CGCGTTAATTCTGTCGACAAATACAGCAACCACCAGGTTGTGTTCGTGGCAATACCTTTTTATGTCACTGAACAGCTTGTTGGCAGAGAATGTTTGGCCCTCGTAATTCCGTTTCTCCCACCACCTGCCGATGATATCCAAAACCTTCGTCGTCGTTTGCGAATGCGCTGGCAAATGCCTCTGCAATAAACCTGCATCGCTGTATCCTGTCACTGCACTGCCGCCAGGAGCCACAGTCGCCAATGTACACGACGCGGGCATTTGCCATGCGAGCGAGCAAATGAACTGCAGTCAGCAGCATCAAGAAGCTTTTGCCAATGCCCTTGCACCCGCGTATAAACAGCCCGCGCGCCATGGCCATGTGCTGGCTGAGGCTCCGCCGTATCACGCCCGGCCGTACGCCAAATATGGGCGGGCGTGTTTGGATGTCCAAGTATCTGTCAAGTAATTCGGCGATTACTTTTTGCTCACCGGGTCGCGTGATGGCCTCGATTTCCTCTGGTCGCGCATGAGACGTGCTGGTGCTCTGTGATATGACTGTGGGCTCGTCGACATACATGATATTGGGCAGCGCCACAACGCTAGGCTCGGGAGAGTCTAGTGCCTGAGAAAGAGCCTCCGCATTATCCGGCTATCGTGCAGAGGGTGCTAGCGGCACGGCACTGTCTGAACATATACGGTGTGCCATCCATGGTAGATGCAGTAGCAGTGGTCTAAATAGCATAAGCAGATGTAGTACGGATGGCCTCAATGCACCTACGGACAAACTGAAAAACCAAATACTAAAGCTGTGTAGGGTATGCAAGAAAAAACTACAGAAAACAAGTTAGAAAATGGAATGCCGAAGCAAGCAACAGGGAGGAGAGGGGTAGTGCAGGAATGCCGAATCTCTCTTGAGACTCGGATACTCAGCGGGATCCTCGAGTCTTGACGCAAGTTGTCAATTTCTGCAGATCTATTTATAGTCACCACCATCCATTGTCAGGAATCTACAGCTGCACCCGGCGGCTAATTACAATGCCACATTCAGCGAGTATATGTGCAGGGCGCCGACGGGTGCACTAGCATCATCCTCAAGCCCTGTTCTCTGCGACAACAACCCCGACCCTGGGGCTGTCGCTGCTGGGCGCTGACAAAAGGACAGTCGACAGCCACTGGCCAGAACCCAAGCTCGAGCGTGTGCACAATCTGGACGATTGTAGATCACGATAGAGCGAGTCCGAGCGTGTCTGGACATACAATGACATCGGGCCCAGGCTTGTCCGAGAAGGCACTGAGTGGAATAGCCAGTATCCGAGTAATAGGGTGCGGGACACTTATGTATGGAATGAGCTCAAAGTTGTCCAGCACGAATAGCCGACCGCTCTCATCGCCCGCCATCACTTGCGACCCCGAGGCAGTTGATGGCTGGATAAACGACCCGGTGCACATAGGACTTGGCGGTAGCCGTGGTTGGAATATCCATAACCGACGTGCCGCGCGCTAGAATGCTGATCTGGCTGGTGCCTGTTGCAGCCAAGACGTAGCTGGTCAGCACGCCGTGCTTGTCGGGAAACTGAGATGAGCATACAGCGGTGATCATTGGGTCATTGAGCAGAGTCGAGGTGCTGGGGATCATTGCTGAAGACACATGCGGCCTGATCTGCGTGCGCCAGAGCGTCTCCTGTGCATGGCACGCAGTGACGACGCCATTCAGGTCACCAACAACAAGGCTGTTGGCAGAATTCGGGTTGCTATTGGGCGCAATGGCTGAGATAGGTGCGGATAGGATCGAGCGCGAGAACACCTGGTTCATCGAAAATACTGTGACCCGGCCCTCACAGTCGCCGGAGACGATGTCGGGGACGTGGGGGTTGGACCAGGAAGCGTGCTTCATCATCAAGCACAAGACCGCAGGCCCAGTAGTTTCTAGTACAGTCGATGACCCTGTGTTTGTGACCAGGATGACTGCACCTGCTTCGGTACCAACAGAGATCGATGGGTCGCTGGATTTGGGAGACCAGGTGGCGATAGCTGAGATGCGGCCAATGTCGGCGGGCAGCTCAAACATTGACTCGCGTTTCAGCCTGCAGTCGCCGATGGGTGTCGGTGGTTGTGAGGGGCTCCAGGTATTCAGGCGTATCCTCTTTGTGCCGGCCATGTGCTGTTGTAAGAAGGTGCAGGGAGTATGTTCTGAGTTTCAAAAGAAAAGCCGAATCGGCTCGGGGTTGCTGGATGCTATGGCAGCAGCAGCAGCCTCCGTACAATAATGGGCTCGCTGATCCATGCGGGTTTGATTTTTTTGCTTTATCTTCTCTGTGCTTTCTTGTCTTTGCATTTAGAAATTCGCTAGCATATTATTCAAACTAATGCTGCAGACACGGTTACTTGCTAGTCCGGCAGCGCACTTGAGAAGACTCGCCAGCAGCGGGCTTCGACAGCCAGCCTTCGTATACTCGCAGGCACGGTTCTATGCGGCAGGGAAGAAGGCGGTTGAGAACAAACGCGGCGAGATTGATATCTCGACGTACCCGCCTGAACGGATCCGCAACTTCAGCATCATTGCACACATTGACCACGGCAAGAGCACACTGGCCGACCGTCTGCTGGAGCTGACAGGCGTGATCTCCAAGGAGAACAAGAACAGGCAGGTCTTGGACAAACTTAAGGTGGAGCGGGAGCGCGGGATCACGGTCAAAGCTCAGTCAGCCAGCATGCTCTACGAATACAACGGCGACAAGTACCTGATGAATCTAATTGACACACCGGGACACGTCGATTTCAGCTACGAGGTCTCCAGATCGCTGGCAGCATGTCAGAGCACGATTCTGCTGGTGGATGCGGCGCAGGGGATCCAGGCGCAGACAGTGGCCAACTTTTACTTGGCGTTTGGCGAGGGTCTGGAAGGTAGTGCCGGTCATGAACAAGGTCGATCTGCCGACGGCTGAACCAGAGCGCACAGCGGAGCAGATCGAGAGTACATTTGAGATCGATACCAAGGACATTATTCGGATTTCAGCCAAGACTGGGCTGGGTGTCGACCAGGTGCTGCCAACATTGATTGAGAAGACGCCGCCGCCGCAGGGCAGCAAGGATAAGCCGTTCAAGGCATTGCTGTTTGATACGTGGTACGACACGTATGTGGGCGTGGTGTGTCTGCTGGCTGTGAAGGACGGGTCGGTTAAGCGTGGCGACCGGATTGTGTCGAGCCACTCGGGGACCAAGTATGAGGTCAGCGAGGTCGGCATCATGTACCCGGAGCAAACGCCGACCACGTCGCTGCAGGTGGGCCAGGTGGGCTATGTGGTCTGCAACATGAAGTCCATTGCCGAAGCGCATGTCGGCGATACGTTCTATCAAGACAAGCATCCCGGTGGAAGCACTGCCAGGGTTTGTGCCGGCAAAGTCGATGGTGTTTGCCGGTGTGTTCCCGATCGATGCGGGGGAGTTTGACCGCCTCAAGGAGTCGATCCAGAAGCTGACGCTGAACGACTCGAGCGTCAGCGTGCACAAGGAGACCAGCGCAGCGCTGGGCCAGGGCTGGCGCCTGGGGTTCCTGGGCACATTGCACATGGACGTGTTTCGGCAGCGGCTGGAGGAGGAGTATGATACGAACATCCTAGTCACGTCACCGACGGTGCCGTACCAGATCGAGTACAAGGACGGCACAACCAAGTTCATCCGCACTCCAGCGGATTTCCCCGACGGCACTGTGCTACAGGACTTTGTGCAGGCGACCCTGGAGCCGTATGTGACTGCGACGCTGATCTTCCCCGAGGCGTACCTGGGCCACATGCTGGAGCTGTGCAGCTCGCACCGCGGCGACATCCTCGACCATACGTTTATCGATCCAGACGCGGGTAATGCTCAGGTGCAAGCTGCCGATGGCGGAGATTGTGACTGACTTTTATGACAAGCTGAAGTCCAAGTCCCAGGGCTTTGCCAGCTTTGACTACGAGGATGCTGGCTACGGGCCCTCGGATCTGGTCAAGATGGAGGTCCTGCTGAACAACGAGCCGGTGGATGCCCTGGCAGCAGTCATGCACAAGAACAAGCGTGGTGACTGTCGGGCGAGATCTGGCCAAGCGGCTCAAGGAGGTGATCCGCCGGCAGCTGTTTGATATCATCATCCAGACAGCCTCCAACGGCAAGATCGTGGCCCGGGAGACGGTCAAGCAGCTGCGCAAGAATGTCACAGCCAAGTGCTATGGCGGCGACATCACTCGCAAGATGAAGCTCCTGAATCCGGCAGAAGGAGGGCAAGAAGCGCATGAAGAAGATCGGCAAGGTGGAGCTGCCGCAGGAGGCGTTCTTGAGCATTATGACCAAGAGCGATAGCTGAGGCGATAGGAGTAGACGCAGCTAATGTGCAGCCGATCCCGCGTTCGCTTTAGACGAGGGCGGGAGGTTCGCAGACGAATTTGTTTTTTTTTTTTTTTTTTAGTCCTAGCGCCTTCACAGAAGCAACAATGCCGTTTTTGCGATCAAGCACAGCGATCTTCTCGCCCCATTGCCGCCTTGCCAGGCCCAATCAACTTTTTCGCTTTGAAAATTTTTCTTGCTGGCATTCCGAGTCCTTGCGTCAATGCCCAGGTGTGTTTGTGTCGTCACCCTTGGATTGTGCTTCTCGTCCTATCTTCAAATTATTTTTTAGCTCTATCTCATGTTCTTCCGTGGCTTCCGTCGCTAGTATATTTTCTTACTATAAAAGACACACCCAGGCACGGGCTTCCCACACACAGTTCTCACAGGTGACGTCGAACGGCTTTTGCCTCCTTGTTGCTTTCGTCACACAGCCCTTTTTACTCTATTTCGCGCTTTTTCCGTCTATTATTTTTTGCACCTCAATTCCGCCACCACCGAGAGCCTGTTACTTTCTCGTACTATATACATCCAAAACACGCACATGTCCGAGGCATCGCCAGCACCAGCACCTGCCACAGCAACCCAGCGCTGGGCCTGATTACACGCACGCACTCACATCGGCCAAGGATCCGCACCTCACATCGCCCTTCCCCGAGCTCGACTCTGACGGAGAACGCGGGAAGAAGGAGCAGCCCACAGCCATATCTGCATCTATTGCTCCGGAGATGACCACAGCAGCTACCGCGCTAGCCACCACAGCAGCCACGGCTCAGCCGCCAAGCCTGGAGATAAGCGTGTCGCCGGCAGTCAACCCGCTGGCGGCCTCAGCTCCGTCCACGTCGGTGCCGGACGCGCTCGCATCGCTGACACATGCAGCACACGACCAGGCGCTGGAGATCATCAATTCCCTGCAATCGAGCGCACGGCGCCGACGCAGCTCGGTTGAGGCCGTGGCAGCAGCAAGCTCGGTGCTGGCGTCGTTTGCGAGCAGTGCCAAGGCACGGCATGCCAACAGAACCGAGGCTGCAGCCGCCCTGGCTACGGCAGTGGCAGCAGCAAACTCTCCCCCAGTGCTGAATCCGCAGATGACGTATTCGTCGGGGCAGCACTCGGCAGCAGCGGCTCTGCTGGCTGCGTCGGGCCTGCATCCGGGGATTCTGCCGACCGATTCCGTCGGGCCCCACATCCCTGCAAGGCACGCCTGGCCCTGGCGAGCGCATGTCAATAAGCAGCGAAGGGCATGGGCGATACGGGGATCCCGCAATTCGATGTTGCGTCGTTTGGTGCATTGCCTGCCTAGTGCTTTTACTACGGCCGATCCGATGGCGAGCGCGGTCGAGGCTACGGTTGGGGGTGACCCTAGCAATACTGCCCAGACCCTGCTGACCACGATCGCTGAGACGCCGACGCGATCAGCTGGCAAGCCGGCAGTAGCAGCCAAGCCGTCGCGTCGCAAGGCTGCAGCTGGCGTGAAAGCAGCCTACAAAGGCTGCCAAGGCCGAAAGCGAAGGAGCCCGATCTGGAGCTCAGCATGAGCCCGCCCAGCAGCCAGTTCGACGGTCCGCTCACCAGCAACGGCATGCCGCTGACGCCCGATGCGCCTGGATCGGGCCGGCCCGGCTCTCTCCGGCACCTGACACCCGATGAGCGGCGCGCACGGCGACTGCAGCGCAACCGCCTGGCGGCCAAAGAGTGTCGCCAGAAAAAGAAGGTCTACATCACCAACCTGGAGCAGCAGGTCGAGGATCTGGAGAATGAAAACTCGCGCTTGCGCAAGGAGATCGAGGAGCTCAATGCAAAACTCACCCTGGGCGGCATGCGCACAAGCAGCACTGCTGGTTACTCCCACACTGGCACACAAGCAGCTGGCCGATGTCGGAGACCCGGCCCTGGTGCTGAATGGCGAGTCGCCGCAGCCCAAGCGCTCGCGGGTCGCTGACCGATCCGCAGCTCCAAACCCCGACGTCTGAGGCGGCCGACGCGTAAAAAGCGCCGCTATCTTTCTATTTTATTTTGCCCCTGTGTATGTGCCTGTATTCACCCTACCTCTCCGTTTACTTTGCGAATATCTTCCATTTCTGTCTGTTGAGCAAGCAAAAAAGGTTGGTTTATATTTAAAGCGAGAGATGTTGTCTAGAAGAGAGAGGCGTGCGTGCTGGAGATACGGGATATTACAAGAGGGCGGGGGCATTTTAGAAGCGGACGGGTGTTCAGTTTCACTCTGTTACGCGCTTGAGCTCCCCGTTGACAAACCGGCTCTCCTCCATGCCCTTGAGCGCATTCGCACCCTTCTCCTCTTGCCGCCCCCCAGCGTGCTCCTCGTCGTCCAGCCGGTTATCGCGGTTCACCGCCGGGCAGCCCAGGAAGCTCGATCCTGTCACTGTGCCTACTGCCGACACAACGCCGGCGAAAAACAGCATGTTGGTCAGCCGGTGTCTCTGAACCCCTGTCAGTGTCCGGAAGCGCATTTGTGCTAATGTGAAGGTAGAAGGCCGATTGGAAATGCGAAAGGAAGCAACTTGCGACGTGGGATTGAATCGGCGGCCGCAAAATCTGCCCAGGGCTTATCGAAAAAATTCGATGAGATCGTCTGGAAAGCCTGAAGATTCGAGCCCATCAGCTCAGCTATGCAGCGAGCCGAGTCGTCCCGCCATGAGTCTAGCTGCCAATGTGCCAGAGCGCAAGTGCTCCGCATGCCACACCAGCCAGGCAGGGCCGAATTAGCTGGCGACGCAGTGCATCTACATATAGGGGCTCAGGACATGTGCTGAGAATAGTATTTCACAAGAAGACGGCACTGTGTATGTTGCAGATATTATCTAGATGCTCTGCTGGCTCAACGACTTTGTCGCCGCAACAACCCTTGCCTCATGGCAGCATCTCAGCGCGCTCTCCACCAGCTTTCTCGTTGCGCGCCTCTCCTCTGTGGTATCCTGGCACAACGCTCCTTGGGTCCTCAGTCTCCGACGCATCGTCGCTCTCCAAGTCCATCGATGGGCGATGCACAATTGTCGGTGCAGTTTCTGAGAAGGACTCGATGACCGGTGATATCGGCATGACCAGCTTAGGAATCTCGTCTTGGTCCCATCCGGGCGGGTGCTCCGGCAGGTGTTGAGGTAGGCACAGGCGGCGGCTGCGCGCGGTGGCTGCGCTTGTACTTTGAAACGCTGTTCTTGACGGACAGCTGGCGACGAATGCCTGTAGACATCGCTCTGGCACGGCGTGGCAGCGGTGGTGGCGGTGTCTGCTTGCCACTCGATGCATCAGAGGGTTTGTCTACAGCACGTACTGGTAGTGGCGGTGGTGCCGCCCGCGATCCAGCGCGTCTATGGGTTGATCTCTGCATCGGCGGTTGTGGCGGTGGTACCAGCGACGGCATCGCGCAGCTGGACGATTTCGAGGCACTCAAGGGAGTATGCATTGCTGACATAGGCGTTGGTGGCGGAGGTGGCGGAGCCCGACGACGATGCTGACGATGGCCGCCATTAGTCTCGGATTTGGCCGGTGTTCGCTATAGATGCACCAGGCACAGATGATGCCAACGGCGAGTGCGGTGCTGACGATGAGGGAGGTGGTGGAGGCGGAGGTGGAGGACGCCGCCTGGCCGGTGGTGTTGGTGGGACCGGTGAGCGTGACGGTTGAGAAGGCGTGTGAGGTCGGCGGTGATGTGCCGCCGTGGCTAATGGCGGTGGTGGCGGTGGTGGGGCTCTGCGCGATACCTTTGGCCAGGTCCCTGAATGGCTGTCTTCAGAGCGCCTTGCATAGCACGTCTCCTCGCTCATTGACGATGACAACGACGATACCGGCGATGATATGCCACTTCCCCGCCGTGACTTTACCTCAGGAACGCTAATCGACAAGTCCGACGCAGTTGACAAGCGCGGGGTGCTGAAATGCCTCATGGATGGAGGTGGCAGTGGTGGTTCAGCATGACTTTCGTGCTTCTCCGAAGCCGAAGCATGTGATGACACCAGCGAGTGGCGCAGTAGGTTGACCAAGCACAGCTCAATGTCCGAGAGCCTATGCCGTGTAGTTAGATACACCGAATTTCGCAGAATCGCGCTGGTTACCAGCAAGTATGCCTGGCGCTGCTTGGGCAGCCCGTCGGAAAGATTGGCCAGGTCGCGGATTACAATGTCAATCAGCACAAACATGTCGTTTGTATACAAGATGCACGACGTGCTGGGATCAGTTAGAATGCAGTACAGCATGTGCAGAATCAGCACCTGCGTGGACGGCTCCGTCTCGCGGTTCAGTAAGAAAACGAGGTTTTCTGTGAACGTCTTGCAGCAATCGATACGCTGCGCCAGCAGCTCTACCACCGGTGTCGAGTGGCCAGAAGACGAGCGCCTGCACAGCGTCGTGGAACTGGCTATGCTTGTGCGAGCTGTGCGCGACCCTATCCGCTGCACGGTCTGGTCCCGTGTCTCGGACGCAGAGCGGATCAGCGAGCCGTCTTCAGTCCTCGAGCTGTGCACGCAGGTCCATCGAGCGGCTGCGTGAAAGCACTGGCACCTCTTGTGGAATCGACTGTACGGCCGGATGCCTCAGCGGGCGCTGCGCGGCGCTGTCGATGCCGCTATGAGCACAGGCACTGCTGGCCATGGCGATGTCGATAGGACTCGGCCCGTGAGTGCCGAATGCGCTCTGAGACCCGGCCTGCATGCGACTGGGGTCTTTCGGCATCGTCTGTGTGTAGCGACATACCGGGCGATGACTCGGGCGGTGGCAGCGAGTATGTTGAAATAAGACTATCAGGGCGAGCGCCGGAGAGGCCGCGTTGCGCTTTGCCTGCATTGTTGAATACCAGTGGGGATTGCGGAATCGACTGGTACCCATCATGCTTCAAAAACTGCTCGTTCAGCGCCAGCAACAGCTTAGTTCCTGTGTTGTTATACACATCGCTCTCTGCATACCGCATCCGCTCGACATAGTCCAGCAGGTAGAGCAGCGTATCGTCGGTTACACAGTCAATGTCCGTCGGGCGAAAGTGTCACGGCCTGGGCAACCTCAAACATCAGCGACATGGCTAGAACATGCAAGTGCTTCTCTGGTGCACCACGCACAGCTCGCGCCAGCAGTGGAAACAAACCTGTATCCCTGCACAACCCGTATGTGTCTGTCTGGAACTCGGTTATGAGATGCAGGAATGCTAGCAGTAGCCATAGGGTGGGCTCATAATCAGTGGCCTCGACGCTGAGCTCGGCGTATGTGCGCTTGACCAGGTGTCTTTGCACCAGCCGGGCGTTGTTCTCGATATAGCGGCGAGGCAAAGAACATGCAGCAGAGGCGCAGGAAATTCTGGTTCTGGAAAGGCTCGTCGCCATCAAATAGTCGCGACAATGCGCTGACAAACCAGTCCACTGCCATAGCGACGTTTTCGGCCATCGCCGACCTTAGCGAGTGTGTATGGTGCTCGAATACTGTGTCATGTAGCACGCACCGCAGCTCTTCTTCGGCGTCCTCTACGCATTCAAACTCGGGCTGCTGTTGTAGGAGCTGCTTGCCATAGGCTGTCCGGTACGACTCGTAGTCCACGCTGCTCTCGAGCACCATCGAGAACCGTGATGACTGGGCCCGCCTTATCAAGGGCGCGCCGAACCCGCTGTCACTTTCTGCTGCTGCTGGTGGTGTTGGTGCTTCCGGTGCCGGTGCCATTGCATGCTGTGGAATTTGCTCTATATCTGCCATTCGTCTAGAGAAACACAAACTGTATGCAATGCGTGTGCCGGCTATGGTATTTTTCTGCTTCCTCGCACAGTGCTACGTAGATACAAAAGGAGGTAGCGGAGGGGAGACAGACAGCTAGAAATGTAGAGAAATATACAGGAGAAAGTGCTAAAAATGGAAGAGAAGTGGAGAAGACGAGGCCAGTGGAGAGGGCAAGCAGTCGAAAATAGCCTGTGTGTGCCAAATAGAACGAGTGGGCAAGTCTGCATCAGGCTTTCCTTTTCTATGCCCCTTTCTGCCCATCATGCGCGGCGCATCGGCCAAAAGGAGCCAAGCATGAAACATCAAATACCACAAGCCTTGCAATGACCAGGCCACGACCTTTGTGTCCTGCACGCCAAGTATCCCAGAAGGCGGGGAAGCACTGCGCTTTCTTGCATGCTGTTTGTCCTCTCGTGGATGCTGCCGTGACCAGGAGGCGGCAACAAACATGGCCCAATCACTGTTTTCGTCTTCCTTTGTTGTGTTTTTGCCAATTGGAACACACGCACCACGCCAACCTTGGGGGCAGGCTAGACTGCTGCTGCGATACATGGCAATGACACCCTTACAATCAATGGCGTCGCCTCGTCCAGACCTGTGCTGACAGAGTGCATGCAGCGTGTGCGGGCATGTGCATATGAACGATCTCCATGTTCCCAGCACCACATGATTCAGGACAAGCTGGCTGGCCAAGACCGGTCCAAGGACTGCCTGATTTAATCGCAGGCGCGGCGAATATCGGCTCCATCTGATTGCGCACCTCAGGAGCTGGCGGAGCAATCGAGAAAATGGGCGCGAATTCGGCTCACGTTCCGCGGGCCGATTTGCTCGGCTCCACATTGGAGAGGGGACGGAACGATCCGCAGGCAGTTGGTAGGAAATGCACCGTCGGCAGCGGGTGAAAGGGAGGGGAGGGCGCCTGGCTCGGGAGAGGCTCACGGTAACGCTTTCCCAAGCGTCCGATCCCACCACACTTTTCTGCCTTGCCACTCAGACACCTTTTTTTTTTTCTAATTTGCTACTCTGAATTCACGGCATAGACCGCCTTCTGATAACGTACCGCATAAAGAAGCGATGGCGCATGAACCACGTACTCCCAACAACCTTCAGTGCCTTATCGCCGGTGGACTTGCCGGTATGGCCGTCGATACAGCGCTGTTTCCACTGGACACAATCAAGACCCGGCTACAAGCCAAGGGCGGGTTTCTGGCAAGCGGGGGCTTCCGCGGTATCTACGCCGGTCTCTCGTCGGCTGTGATCGGCTCCTCCCCGGGCGCCGCCATGTTCTTCCTCACATACGAAAAAGTCAAGGCCATGGCCGAGCGGCGAGTTTCCAAAGAGTACCAGCCGGCCGTGCACATGTTTGCAGCGTCCGCCGGTGAGGTCGCCGCCTGCATGGTCCGCGTGCCCACTGAGGTGATCAAGCAGAGACTGCAGACCAAACACCATCCATCGCTAGGCAAGGCAGTCCGCGGCACATACCATGCAGAGGGCATTCTGGGGTTCTACCGCGGCTACCTGACGACTGTGGTGCGAGAGATTCCGTTTACATGCATTCAGTTCCCGATCTACGAGTACATGAAGGTGTGGTATGCGAAGAAGCAGGGTAGGCCAACCCAGGCATGGGAGGCGGCGGTATGCGGATCGATTTCGGGTGGATTTGCTGCTGCCGTTACAACCCCGCTGGATGTCGTAAAGACCCGGGTCATGCTGTCAATGAAGGGCATGGAGGCACACATGCAGTACTCGGGTATTGGCAACACGCTTGTGCGGATCGCCCGCGAGGAGGGCTTCAGGGCTCTGTTCAGCGGAGTTGTGCCCCGCACTATCTGGATCAGCATCGGTGGATTCGTGTTCCTGGGCTCATACGAAAAGGTCAAGGCTGTAATGATGGATCACAAAATCCTTTCGACATAGCGTTTTGCCAAGCGGTATATGGCAAGCGTTTTGAGTGATAAAAATATCACGCTGCTACACCGGGTCCAGACATCGCCCTAACAAACGGTCGTTTTAATGGCCAGAACATAAGGTAGCATGCATGTTCTCTGATGTTGCGCATTGCTCGCTACTACTATATAAATGGACTGCTACCCTTGCCTGGCCATGGCAATTGCTGATAAAGTGATATATGTAATTCAAAAATGGGCAAGCGGTATGCTTTATTTATGAGTTCGCTTGCTTCATCGAGACTATTTCATCAACAAAGGAGTTGTTCGCACAGATATCATTATACTTGAGTGGAAGGTCATCAGAGATATTTCCTGCACCACCGATATCGACTCCTATCACTCGATGGTTCAGCGTTTCCGAAGAAGGATCCCAGGATGCATTGCATTTGGCTTTTTTTTCCAGCGCTTAAAGGCAGTATGTGATATCAAATATCGCAACCAGAGCTGCCGTGGTCGAGCCAATGGCAATTCCAATGACCGCGCCTTTGGAAATTCCGCCTTCATCCTTCTTCGAGTCTGTGCTGGAGGTCTCCCTAGTAGTAGTTGAGAAAACCACAAGGCCATTGCTGTACCCAGTAGAAGGTGTCGCGGTATCCAAGGCTTCTGTTCTAACCGTCAGTGACCGTGATACTGATGCCGACACTGGTTCAGATTTTGATTCTGCTGATGGAGATGATGATGATGATAGCGATGATGATGACAAGGTTCCGGAGGATGAAGGCGTGTACACGAGCCTGTTACGAGGTCTAATCCCAGAGTGGCCAACAATCTTTGTACCTGAGACGGCCGCCACGCTAGAAGTCGCCAGCTAGTAATCATTGTCTTTTGACACCGTAAACTTGGATACATCCCCGAGGTAAAAGGTTCCAAAATACACGCTGATGTCAGACAAGAAGCATATGTAGTTGTCGATCCGCGTGTAGTAATGGAACATTTTTGCTCCGCTGCAAAGGTCGGCTCCGTATGCTGCAGAGTGGGAGTAGATGTAGTCGAGCTCGATTCCGCCCGTGAGCGAGCCAATGCTAAAGTATGTTGGCTTTCCTGAATTGAAATGGAGTATAGCGATGTTGTTTGCCAATGTGGTTGTCATAGCGTGGGTTTATATCGATTTGCTCAATAGCTGTTCTGTTCGGTGGGTAGCTGTTGATACTTTCAATGTAAACCCCGTACTTTATGCTTGGGTCAAGGTCGCCAGAACTATCGAAATCGAAGCAGATTGCAGCAGCATAGCCAGACGAGTTTCTGAACAGATCCATTTTGCAAGATGTCTGCTGGCCATTCTTGCCAGAAACGCTACGGACATCGGATGTGCTTTGCTTATCGACAGCCACCCTGCTGGCCAATGTCGACAGGAGTAGCATACCAATGAGTGATATGTAACTAGGCATTGAGCGTATGCTCATAGTGCTAGGATGATTTCAAGCAGTTGCTCCAAACCTAAGATGGCGAGAACGAGAGAGCAAGTTGAATAGCAGCGAGCATCTCTACCAAATGGCAACTGGTGAACACCATGCTAGCCTCTTATATGGTTTTCTACGAACTATGCCGTTCGCAAACGATGTGCAGAAGCGATCCCCAATCTCTTTTAGCTGTCGCTATTGGCAGAGACGGGCTGTCGAAAAAAATAAACTGTGCGCTGGTTTACCAAACTTGAGAAACGACATGCAGATCGGCTAATGCTTTCCTTGTTGCACCTCTTTTCTGGGTCGTGCACTGCGGGTCGTGGACTGCGGGTGATTTACCAGGAGGATGTTCGCAGCAAGTGAGGATGCGCAGCACGCCAGCAAGCGATGGCATTGGATTGTATAACTGACTGCTACAAGCTGGCCATATGTTCCAGTCATAAGCGTGCAGCACAATGAGCCAGACGACCGACCACAGCCACCAGCCAATGAGCTGGTCCCATGCAACATCCAAGGAGCAAGTCTGATGCAGTGGGGTTTATATGTAGTTCACAGATTTTCCTCGCTGCTAATGTATGAGAGCACATAGGGGTAGCTCGACCTTTTCCATATACTTTCTGTGCATTCAACTCTAATAAATCCAAGAGCGCTTTATATTTTACTTTGTGGGTGCAGCTGCATCCACTTCAGACAGGATAGTTTGCGAGGCTTTGGAAAACTACACAGGCGTGATCTGCATCCAGGCCCGCTGGGATCAGGGGGCAACCGGATTACGTCAAGCGGCTGGTAAACCTTCCAGCGAGTTCTTGCGCGAGCTTCAGAGCTACAAAACCACGGTCCACGCACGAGGGTGTGGCCACCGTTTCTCTCTCTTCTCGACAATTTCAACAACCTTTTTACCTCACATTTCCCAATTGCTAACAAGAATGGCCAGCACGACGTAAGTTTATCATAGGGGAGCATGGGCCGCCTGAAATTCCATGCGCAGATATGCTAAGCGCGTCTCTTTTTTGCTGTAGCCGTCATCCCGAAGTTCTCTGGGCGCAGCGCGAGGACCTCGTCTACCTGACAGTGAACCTGCACGATGCGCAGGATGCGGACATCGACCTGCAGGAGACATCAATTGATTTCAAGAACACGACGGACGCGAAGGACTACGCGTTCCACATTGACTTCTTTGACAAGATCGATATCGCGACGTCGAAGCGGTCCGCTACGGGACGCTACGTGTTCATGGTGCTGAACAAGGCCAAGGGCGAGTGGTGGCCGAGACTGACCAAGGAGAAGGTCAGGCTGAACTTTGTCAAGACCGATTTCGCTCGCTGGAGAGATGAGGATGATTCGGAGGACGAGGCCCCTGCCGTTCCGGATGGCATGGACTTTTCGCAGTTCGGCATGCCTGGCATGGGCGGCATGCCTGGAATGGGCGGTATGCCTGGAATGGGCGGTATGCCTGGAATGGGCGGTATGCCTGGCATGCCTGGTGGTATGGACTTCAGCCAGATGTTGGCCAACGCCGGTGCTGCCGGCGGTGCTCCTGGCGATCTCCCCCAGTTCGACGAGTCCAGCGATGAGGAGGAGGAGGAGGAGTCCAAGTAAGGACCTTTCTGCAAGCAAGCGCTGTCTTCACACCAGCAATAAAGCACCACATCTCGATCCGATCTGCATGTCAGTACTAGTTGCAATCGTGTGCCTTGTATCAGCAAGGTTTTTAAAATATTTTTAGAGTACTAAGAAACACGGGTTGGTTGTTTTTTTGTTACGCCTGGATAACACCAGCAGCGGCAGTCTCCAGCAGCTTGTCGTCGAGCTCCTTCGCAGCGGCAAAGCACTCATCGTACGAGTCCTTGTAGTCCTCGTGGGCCTCGCCCTTGCCGCCCTTGCCGCCCGGCACAATCATGATGCAGCACGTCGGCCGCTTGGTCGAGCACGAGCCGCCGAGCTCCTCCTTGGTCGGCACAAAGCAGTACGGCACGTTGCTGTCCTCGCACAGAATCGGGATGTGTGACAGCACGTCCATCGGCGAGATGTTGCCGGCCATCACGACCAAGCCCTTCTCGCCCTTGCGCAGGCCCTTCACAACCTCCTTCACGCCGCGCTTGACGTGCCGGTGCTTGGCCGCCTTCTTCACGGTCTTCAGCACCTTCTTTGCAAGCTTCTTGTCGGCCAGCGGGTGCGCAATGGGCGCCAGAATACCAGGGGCGGCTGACTCGTCAGCGGCGGTGTCCACGACGGCCGATGTGTGCTCCTTCTTATGCGACTTGCCCATGGTTGTTCTGAATGGAGGCGGTGGTATGATGAGTAATAGAGATTTCCAGGTGCTATGGATTGGCGGTTGGAGTAAAAGAGGCGAGGTGAGGGGAAAAAGTTGGCGTTGCATGGAGTTTTTTTTTCCTTAGAGGCTAGATCAGAATTCGCTGATCCAGACTGTAATCGGTGCCGAACATCACCACGGCGTGATCAAGACCTCTACTCGTTATAGGTGACCTGACACAAGAATTGGGCGATATGGCGAAAAGACTGTTACTCGATTTCGAACAGCAGAGATTCTAGGCAGGCACAGACATAGCTAGCTGATGAACAGCTTCTTGCACTCGGCCAGACCGAATGTTTCGCTGGTACGTGGGCACTTGACCTTGCCGCTGTTGTTGGCAGCCATCTCGTTGAGCGAGTTGAACGAGTACACATAGCCATTGGGCAGACGCATGGGCGGGTTGTCCTCGTTCATGTTCTCGCCGGTGATGCGGCAGACCAGATTCGAGTTGACATGGTGGCTGAGCGGCAGGTCCTGGGCCAGCTTGCCCAGGGTGTCGCGCTGACACACGGGGCAGTTGCGGTTGTGCTCGGCGTCGTCGTCCGAGATGCAAGCCGGTGTTTTGAGTGCCGAGAGCCCTGTTTGCAGTAGCAAGTGCAGCAGCGGCTGAGATGGCAGGTGGTGGAGCTGGAATATCACCATGCGGAACTCCTGCGCCAGGGTGTCCCACCGGCCAATATCAAACATGGCCCTGTACGGCGGGCATGGGGTGTCGGGCGGGAACGCCAGCAATGTCATGGCACGCTGGATGCGAGGCATCTGGGTCTCTGACCATGCCACCAGGTGCTTTTTGGCATAGACGATGGCCTCTGCAGTGTTGCGCGCCCTGATTAACTCGATATACTCTTGCAGGCGCAGCTCAAACTCTAGCGAGCTATCAATCTTGCGCAGCGCACTGCGGTTGTCGGCACACCACTGCAGCGTGCTCCGGCACAGGTGCTGCTCCTTCAGGTCCCGCTCAATCCGCATCACCAGTGTAAATAGCGACGAGTCAGCGAAATGCTCCAGGCCATTGCTGTCTATCAGCTGCTGTGCTGTCGATGTGTGGCCGCTGCGCAGCATGTAGTCTATCAGCACGCGGTCGAGCCGTGTCCGACACCACCGCTCAAACTCGGGCTGTGTTGATGACGTGAATGTGCTGAGCTCGTTGAGCTGCATGGCCCGCTGCTTTGACCGCTGGATGAGCAATGCCTCCTCCTGCTTGACCACCTCCAGCTTGCGCTTCAGGGTTTTCAGTCTGTCTATCATTCCGTCCAGAGCCCCGTTGATGTCCCCGGCCTCCGCGCTGCCTGACCGCTTTATCAGGCTGCTTACTGTCGAGCTCACATCCTTTGTGTCCCGCTCTGCCTGCTTCTGCGACTGCCGCACTGCCCGCTTCAGCTGCTCCAACGGCACCTACAATGCACCCGAATGAAAAATGAGCCCCGTGTGCATTCTGGCTTTGACAGGAGGTGGAATGCACCAGCTTACCTTCATGAAGGGCTCCTCAATAGCCAGCATTTGCTCGACATTTATCTTGTCCATTTATGACAGAAAATACGGTGGAATTTATTATGTTGGGAAAGTGGTAAGAAGAGGAGCGCTGCAGCAGCGAAGGGCTGGTGGGCACGGGGTTTAGAGATGGCAGGCATGGGCACTATTAAGCGGGTGACGTCTGCTAACAAGCGATAAATCGAGGCCTTGCGAGCGCTCACCTCGCATCAGCCGACTCGCACGTGCCGAGTGAGGGGAGGCAGGGAACAGCATTCTTGGGCCTGAAATAGCACCCAGCGATGAGGGGAGGTCGGCGCAGCGCAGACCCTCGGGTCTGATTCCTACTGCACATATGGCGTTTACTCGCAATTATAGCGCAAAAAATGGAAGACAGTTGGGCATGTAGCGCAGGGACATGACGACAGCACCGATACTGCCACCGCGGAAGCAACAGATACATGCAATGGAAATGGCTGCAGGTGCCACTGGCATTGACACCCTGCTCGCATGTGCCGGGCTGTGTATCTAGAGGATCCCAGTGTCATATGGCACTTGTCATTTTCTGGTGCGGTAGCTGGTTCACTGCTGGCCAACACAAAGCAGAGCTGGAAGCGCTGCAGCAGCAGGCGGACATGGGTATTGTCCGGCATTTTTAGCCATCAGCTGGCACAGTGAGCGTTGGGATTTTTCGTTCATGTCCTTTTCCGACCTCTTTCTCTTCTCCTCAATGGTTCCTTTGCGAAATTGCAATCCTACCTACTTTTACGTTCTGTCCAGGCCCTTTGACGCTTTAGCGACTGCCCTTCTCTAGCCTCCAGAGAGGAGCCTCTTTTCTGTATTTTATTTACCTTGCACACACGCATCATGTCTACTGTAGATATCGGAGACGACAGCGCCGACAGCTTGGCGGGCAACGCTGGCGCTACAGGCGGGTGGAGCCTTCGCGTCAAAGCGCTTCTGGAAGGCGGCGCAGAGCGCGAGTACCGAGTACAAGTCCAGCCCAGCGCGACAGTCGGCGACTTCCGCACGAAGCTGTCCAGCAAAAGCCAGGTGGCAGTACACCGGCTGCGACTTATTTTCAGCGGGCGGGTGCTTGCCAACGACAGCCAGAGGCTAGCAGACGCCGGGGTGGAGGATGGCTGTGCCTTGCATATGGTTGTGCGCCCCGCTGCCACAGCCGGAAACAGCGATGCTGCCAGCGGCCAGCAGCGCGAATCACCTGGGCAGGGGCGAGCAGCTACCGATGGGCGCCAGGGAGCCGGGCGCTCGGTGACCGTCGACATTCCCATCTACTTCCATGCTCCGGAGAATGTGCGATCCGAGCAGGACCAGCAGCAGCAGCGTGACCGGCTGGGGCGGACCATCGCTACGGTGTACCGGAACTTTGGAGCCGGCGATGGCGGCGAGTGGATCGCAAGGACTTTGACCGGCAGCATGTACCGCATTGACCGGGAAGCCGCCGAGCGGGATCTGCTGACGGACGAGGAGATGAGCCGCGGGACTGTCCCCAGAACGGCTCTGTATCCGGCTAGCGAGTCAGAGCACTCGGGAACGCCGATTCCCGGGCTTGTGTATTCGCAAACCACCAGCGGCCAGGAAATGGCACCACAGCGCGTGGTAGTCGCGACACGACCGCAGCCAACGCGCTCCCAGGCAAACGAGCTCATCTACGATTTGCTTGAGAACATCCTGCCCGCCGTACGTCGCGTGCCCGGCAGGGAAAACTTTGAATTCGATAGACCATCGACAAGGCAGTCGCGGTACATCTCGCACTCGGAGCCTGCTGTCGAGCAGGTGGGCGCTGCTGGCCTGGCAGTCAGGAACCTGGGCGATGCCCTGGTCGAGGTCGGCCGCATGTTCCAGCACATCGGCCTGGGTATCCGGGACACTGCCCATGGTGAGTCGCAAGCGGATGCCGAGGACAGGTCGCAGCTTGCCGAGCGCGCGGCCCAGGCTGCCCGCCAGGTTCTGGCCGCAGCACCGCTGGCACTGCCCTTCCTTGAAAGCTCGGTGCAGCTGCCAGCCGAGCTGCCGTCCGCCCGCACCAACCCTACAACCCGAGGCGTGTCTGCATCAAGACATGACCATATTCTCTGCGTGTCAGCTTCACATGGCCGCCGCCGGAACCGCCGCATGGCTATGGGGCTGTTGTCGAGCCCAGGGAACGCTATGTTCTTTGGTCCGGGCGTGTCAGCCGATTACACAGAGTTCCTGGCGCCCCAAATGGTTGTCGAGTCCATGGCTACATGGACCCACCCAGCCCCGCCCGCCGGGATGCAGCATGGAACAGCGGATGCACAGACACAGAGACCTAATACGCAGGCGTATGTAGCAACTATGCAGGCTGCACAGAGGTTTGGTGCTTCAGCTCTTGCCTCGGCTTCGACTGCTACCACTGGTTCAGCAGCGACAGGTCGAAACACTTTCTGGAACGTGGTCAACTCAGCTCCAGCGCCAACGGCACATGACAATGGAGCAAATACAGCATCTGGTCGTGCTGCACCAAGCACAGGAGACAGCACGCGCATGCATGCTACCCGGACTCTGCAGAACGGCAATATACTCGATGTCTACATTGACACCATTGCCGACCCATCCGAGCTGGTCCGCAGAATCCGCAGTGCTGCTCAGCCAGCGCCAACCCCCGCCCAGCCGCAGCCAGCAACCTCCTCACAACCAGCACCTGCCCGACCACAGCCAGCAGCATCCTCGCAGCCAATACCCACGGAGACATCTAACGCCCAGCAGGATCTCGCCGCCAACCCAAACTTCCTCGGCTTCATTGACCGCCTGTACACGCTCGGCAGCCAGGCCTCGTTGGGCGACGATCGGTCCGACCGCTCCACCACCACCGAATATGGCTCGGCCGCTGGCTCAGTCACCGGCGGCACTGGCGGCCACCCACCACGCATATTCTCCACCTTCAGCGGCAGCAGTGGAGCACAAGGCATGTCTGTGCCAAGCACCAGCGACTCGCCGTTTTCATTCACATCCATGGTCCTCGGCTTCGAGCCCATAGCCACCACGGCTGGCGCGCCCCCGCGCCCTTCCGATGCCCAGGACTCTGCGACGCCAGCGGCGAATTCGCAGCAGACCCAGCCGCAGCGCATCTTTGCCTCTACCCGCGGTGCAATGCCTGGGTCCTTTGGCCCCCTGCAGCTCACCTCGGGCGCCAGCCCAGTGAGCCTGTCGGCCCAGTGGTCGACGCTTTTGCAGGCGGTTGCCGGTGATTCTAATGAGGCGCGTGCGGGTCACTTGCCGACAGATGCGGGCGACCAGATGTCACCGCAGGTGGGTGAGACACGGCCGCGCTCGAATTCGTCGTCGCAGCATGGGTACGCCGATGCGGAGGCATCGGGTTCCTCTAGCAGCACGCACAGCTGCGCTGACGCTAGCATGAACAAGCGTCACAAGAAGAACGACCCAGGCGACGGCCCTAGTGGCCAGGGCGGTTCGGGTATTTGCTGATAATAGCTGGATGCCACATAATGATGTGGCTGGTTAGATAGATCTGTCAAGCTAAAGGTGCTGCTTCTAGCAAGATGTCTCATTAGCTCTATTTCTTGGCAAAGCGACGCAGGCTGCTGTATCCCCGATTCCCTCAGATGCGGGGATGGAGAAGTGGCGAAAGCGCCTGTTTCATTTTCGCGGGGGGAGAGATATCGCATACCAATATTGGACTTCATATGCTGTATGAAACACACACCATGCTGTCCTCATATTGCCATCAGCCAAGGTCTTGCAAACACCCTGCCAGCACACCCTTCTGCTGGCCATATGCAATTCATATTAACGCACACCCTGTTCCTGACAGCAAACGCTATGCACCTTTCCATTTCTCCTCAACACGGGCACGCGTGCGAGGTGTCTCCCGGGCGCTTTTGTAGTCGATGTCTGAGACAGTTTACAAATACCCAGATACTGGTCCACACGCATTTCCCTCCCAAGCCAGCTATGCCATAGCTTTTGGTCTCCGCACTAGCTCTCCCTGGCACCAGCTCCCCCTTTCCGCTTCTCTTCCCTTTAGTCTATTTTGCACAGAGCTCAGCTACTCTATTTTTGAAAGCAAATTTTACTTTTTGTTGCATTTGGCATCAGTTCCATATATCAATCTCCGTGCAACAAGGGGCTTTTTTTGGCATTTACATATAGCACATATTTCATATTCAGCATCAACGCTCCCTGCCGCTTATCATGAGAGCAGCACTGTCATTGGGACATGGCCGCTTGTTTCTCTGCGTACTAGTCCACATAGCTTTGGCAATAGTCACTGTTCCCTTCGGCAGCGCCTTCGAATTCAGCATCAGCACGCATTTTGCCGGCCGCACGCCCGAAATCCTTATGCCAGCAATGCGGCTGAACAAGCAGAAGATCGGCAGCGAAGACGCCGCCAACCCTGTGGCAGCGGCAGCCCTCGACCCAAACGAAGCTGCCATGAGCATCAAGTCCCAGGACCTCGTGCCGGCCGATCGAGTCAGCAATATAGCTGTGCACCCGCAGCTGCACCATGGTGCGCACGCCCATTTGGATGGGGACGAGGAAATGGGCTCGGATGAAGTCAATATTAAGGTTGGCGCAAGCAGCGGGCCGAAGAGCAGTGGTGCAAAAAAGAAGAGCGCGGCGAAAGATGGTGACGACGGGTCAGGGGATGGCGATGAGATGGGTGCGACCAAGAGCAGGAGCAGGAGCAAAGGAAGAAGCAAGGGCAGGGATGTAGATGACGATGCGGCCGACGATGATGCGGACAAGTCTGACAAGAGCGGATCCAAGTCCAAGAGCAAGAAGGGCGGATCCAAGTCCAAGGGCAAGAGCTCGTCTGATGCTGATGGTGACGACGACGACACCAAGGATTCAGGAGACACAAAGGATTCAAGGGACACTAAGGATTCCAAGGATTCCAAGGATTCCAAGGATACAAAGAGTAGCATCAAGGGCAGGGGCAAGGAAAAAGGCAAAAACACGCACACCGGCCTCGACGGCAAGGAGATTGAGGATGAGGATGGCGACACCATGCAGCACAAGAAGGTGCAGGTTGAGCATGTCAAGGCCAAGAAGAAAAACTGGCGCACAGGCAAGGCCACGTACGACTACCAGAAGGCGCTCGATGGATGGAAGTCCGCTGGCCCCATGTACTACTACAGAGGCAAGTACTTGAATGTGGCACCAGCGTCTCGTATTGCAGCCGGTACCTGGGCCACCGTGCTGGCGTCAGCAGGCTGGATGCTGCTGTGAGTTTCCTCCTTTGTAAGCCTTTTGCCGTGTCTGGAGCTATTCATAAAACTTTCTTCATATCAATCCTCGCACTTGCACCAGTCTTTTCGTATCCGATATGGCATGATGCTTTAGTAATTCTCTGGCCGGCTCGGGGCTCGATATCGGCGCATGCGTTCAGCCGAAGGACTCGTGCATGTCCTAGCTGCGCATATCGATCGGTGCCTGCGCATGAAAGCCGGCATTTGCAGAATGTGAGCATGAACAGCAATTCCAGCAGTGTTTTCCTTGTGCTCCGCGGCAGACTAAATGGGGAGGCGTTTGTATTGAAAGGCTCATGGATCCAAGGAGAAAGATGTACAGTGCCCCTGGAGGGTGAGGGTGGAGACGGGAATAGGGAGCTATGTATAACGGTAGTGGTCACCAACGAACTGAGGCAGAAAGCAAAGCGCTGCAGTTGCTTCAGCGGTAATACGACTGCGATCCATACGGTGCATGTTGAGTACGGGCAGTCTGGGCCAGCGGCTCCAAATACTCGCCCGACTCCACATCGAGCACCCGTACCCTCTCCACTGCCATCATCTGCGGGTGGCTGGTCTGGGTGGCACCCATGTGGGGGCTGTGCGGGATTGAATTGCAGGCGCTCTGGATAGCCGACGACGTGGGTGAGTACTTTGGGATATATGCCATGTTTTCCAGCAGCGACGCCGATGGCGCGTTGAACCCGTGGCTCTCGCACTGCTTGATCAGCGGAGAGTCAAACGGCGACCAGTCAAGATCGGTGTATTTAGAGTCCTGTTTCTCCTGTGGCCTTGTTCTGTCGGCCTTGGCCTGGATTGGCGTTGTACCTGTTGCCTCGGTCAGAGGAGGAGGCGGTCGTGCTGCTGAGGGCGTTGGGGACGATGGCACGGAGGCAGGCGGCACATAGGCAGCTGTGGGCTGCGCATATGGCTTCTTTTTAATCGACAACTGCGGGTTGTACATGTCGCTCCTTTGCTGCTGCTCTACCTGCTGCTGGTGTTGCTGGTACACCTGCTGGTGCTGGAATAACTGCCGCTGCCGCTCCTGGTAGAGCTGCTGCAACTGCTGCTGCTGGTACATCTGTTGCTGGTGGCGCTGTGACATGTGTATCTGCTGGCTGTAAGAATTGGATGCGTGTGTATGTGGTGCGGCTCCGAAATGGCGAATATAGCACTCACCAAAGGTATACGGATGCGGGCTGTAGTAGTGCTTTGCTGACTGGTACTGAGGTTGGTAGCCAAACGGGTCAACAGCTTTTTCGCATCCTGTGCAGACTGTGTCTCTGCATCAATGTGTATAGACAGAAGGAGGAGGGAAAGCTAGCAGAGTAAATGCAAGTGGTATTAAAAAGTACGGACGAGGTTGCGTGGGAGACAAGGCCTTCAAATAGATCTATTTCTGAGCAGCACGCGTTTATTAGCGAGTATCCTGCCTCAGCACGGTGGCAGCAAGGGGTGTTGCCGGTGCTAGTAAAAACCACCCAGGGAGAGAACCCCAAGAGTGGCAGGAATCTCCAAAATAATAATGTGCTAGTGCTGCAGGCACAGCTGCCTTGCTACCCGGGCCGGCACCAGCCGTGTTTGCACAACACCTCGGGTTGGAAATATGCCCGAGCCCCGTAGCCTGATGGCGAGCTTTTTTTTTTTGGGTTGATCATATTTCGCTTGGCACCTTTATAAGCCGGTCCATCACCAGTAGCTTTCTCCCGGAGCTACAGGACGAACTCTTCCAGCGTCTGGTCTACCAAAAGAGAACTTGCTGCTTATGAGCAGACTGACCTCACCGTGATAAAGGCAACGGCCCAACACCTAGCCCAATGCGGGCCGATAGGCAGATATATCGGCAGGCAGGGTGCTGCGATAGGGAATTGCTCCGACGATGCCTGGTGGTGCCAAAGCTACCGTTGAGCACCGAATTGGGGGCGGGGGGTACCAAGTACCCAATTAGCTTGACAGACAGTTTTAGACGTGCCATGTGTCAGGACAGTTGGGAATGTTCATCGGCCGTTGTCGGCAGTGTGCTTGTTGGGACGCTAGAGTGCCAGAAGCAAGTGCTCCGGACGCAATGGAGTTCCTGAAGGCCCCGGTCCGCTTGTTTTCTCCAAACATGACGGCATGTTTGCTGCCAATGGAGGGGGCGCGTTCCATGTGCATGCATGGCAACACAGCGCTTCACCGATCGCTTAGCGATAGCATCTGTCCTGCAACATGAGTGTGCCCACGCACGCATGCCACCAGGGCGGCATCTATGAACATGGCAAGATTTCAGGGATAAAGTCCATTGGGCAGTTTTGGAATTGCGTGTTTGCTGACCCGACTTTCAGATGCCACTGGACCTGCATGGGTATCAGGCGTGTAATCGCAGGCACTGGTGCGCCCGATGCTCCGGATATCCTGCCATCTGAGCACAGCATAGCGCAGCAACCCCGGCATGCCGAGGGAGAAGAGCCGGGCCAAGTCGTGCAGATTTGTCATAACCTGCACGAGCGTTATCTCCTCACCTGCGATTTGCTCAATGTGGATACCCCTCAAAACCAATTCACGTCCCCCGTGTCTGCATGCACCGCCTTTTGCGCAGTCCTGTTCTTATCAAGGAGTCAGGCGGCGAGCCCGGTTCCTGTCGGCGGACAAGCTGCTGCGGCTGCATGCCACGTCGGGGGATACGGTGTGAGATAAGCAGTCCTGCTGCCAGCGCATTCTCAACCCAACAGCACGATGAATTTGGAAACTCGTTGGGCATTGCTCTGTATGAAAGAGTCGCTGAAAAAGACATCTACCCGACAACATGGCGGATGTAGTAGAACGGCAGGCCGAAACACCCGAAGCCGTTGGCCTTGGCGAGTTTGGCAAACCCCTCGGTCTCGACCTGGTGCTGGAAGAGCCAGGCGGGGAAGCCGACGCCCGAGCGGTGGACGTGGGCCTTGAGCAGGGTGAAGGTGCCGCCGACGCCATCGAGCGGCACGAGCGTCTCGTTTTTCTTGAAGTTGTCCAGGTATTTGCGGTGTGTCTTGAGGGACTGGTAGCCCTCGACCAGGAAGTCGTCTTCCTTGAGGTTTGCGATCATGGCGCGGCTGGCATCTGTCTCCTGCCAGGCATTGCGGTCATACACTGTGTGCTTCCACTGGCCCTTGTCGCCGCGCTTGCGCACGAGGCAGTTCGGGACTATAACGTCCTTGTCGTAGGCCATCAGGTCGCGCACGATGTTCGGCGGATAGAACTCGAGGTCGCCGTCAATCCACAGCACCCACTGCTCATCGCCGAGAGCGCGCGTCCACAGATAGTTGCGCGCGCGAGCCATCATTATCCGGCGCTCTCGCTGCTTCTCTCTCAAATGCCGCTGGTCGCGCGGCAGCGAGTAGAAAAAGTCCTGCCGGTATATGTCGAACCTGCGAAAACGCAGCTCCTCAGGCGCCTTCTCCTGGTACCACTGCCGCGACTCAATCAGCATCTGCTGCGTGTCGTCGGTGGAGTCCGACACCAGGAATGCGATCGATATTTTGTCGCGCGGGTATTTCAACCGGTCTATCAGCGCAAAGTACCGTGCCAGGTGCTTGGCGTTGTTTTTGATCGGCGTCAGAATCAGCAGCGAGTCGGAGTCAGGCTCCTGTGTGTATGAGGCAACCGCGCGGTTGTTGGCAAGGATCTGGCGCGAGTCCTCGGTCAGCCGGCCGTTCTTGGACACCTCCACATTGCCATCCAGTGCGGCTTTGGGCAGCCACGACGGCATGGATGCGGCAGTCTTTGGTCTGTAGTCGTTGCCCAGCACCTCAATGTGCTTGGTCAGCCGATACTGACTGGTTATCCCGTGGGGCGTGTTGGCCAGTGTGGAATTGCTTCTCAAATCGCCGCCGGACTCCCCGTCAGCAGCGCCGGCAGGCCGTGGCAAGCAAGCAGGTTGGGCTGGGGCACGGGCAACTGGTCTGGTCTGGTCAATCATTTCGCTGTCGTTTGGTGCCTCGAGCAGCGTGCTGCTGAAGATATCTGGATGGTACGTGGTCAGCAGCAATAGGGTGCAAATCGCTGCTGCCAGAAGCGTTATCAGCGGGAATGCTGTCTCTCCGGCCAAGCCTACAGGTTTTAAACTGGGATGTGGTGAGTTGGAGGATGTTTCTGGTGTTCCTGTGCCAACTCAACGGCAGAGTCCGTTCTTTGGATGGGAGGGTCGGACTGGGATCTGCTTACCTTTTGGCGACCACGCTGCTGTTGCGCTTAATCATGAGCAAGTAGCTTTCCTTTTGCTTTGGGTCCTCGGACATCATTTTCGGCGCAGATGTATGAGAAGGGCAGGTTCAGGACTGAAGCGGGAAGAGCTGGAAAATGGGAGGGAAGGAGGAGCAGAGGAACTCTGGTTGAACGGGCGTGGTATTGCTCTATGCTAATGACATGGCAGCGCTGCACTGTGTCCGACTACTAGCGGCGTATGTTTAGCAGCACCTTGCTCGGAATAGCATCAGCATGGATAGTAGTAACCACCCACATAAATAGCACCCATGTTTCAGGGCAAATAATACGCTCGCTTCCCCATGCAAACCGAATCGACAATATTGCGCTTAATATCTGGGGTAGTGACGCCCATTATTACGATCTGCGGCGGTCTGTGGGTTCGAGCAAGCCCGATCAGGCCAAACCCAGCCCGATGGATCCTTATCATTTTCTAGTCATTTCTCGGAAAACTGCTCAGCCATGTTCCAGCGCAACGCAGTGCGAGGGCTTCGTCTCCAGGCATTGACGCAGGCTTTTCAGCCTCCGATCGGGCAACGTTACAGCAGCAGCAGTGGACAGATACCTACCAGCACTCGGATGAGCTGGATGCTTCTGCCAACCAAAAAGCCAACCAAGGGTAAGCAGGCGTCTGATGGGACTGCCGACCTACTGACCAAGGCCGGGTACATCTACCAGTCCTCCTCTGGTATCTATACTCTGCTGCCGATGGGTCAGCGGGTGCTGACCAAGATCTCAGCCATCATCGATGAGGAGATGCAGCGCGTCGGTGGCCAAAAGCTGTCGATGCCCACATTGCTCACCCCGGACAACTGGAAAAAGACAGGGCGGTGGGATTCGACGGGCGAGGAGCTGTTCACGCTGAAGGATCGAAAGACGTCGACGCTGATTCTGGGTCCGACACACGAAGAGGAGGTCACGGCGATTGTCAAGGACATGGTCAGAAGTTACAGGCAGTACCCGCTGCGTCTGTACCAGATCACGCGAAAGTTCCGAGATGAGGCAAGGCCCCGTGCGGGGCTCCTGCGGGGCCGTGAGTTTGTCATGAAGGACATGTACTCGTTTGATGTGACCAAAGAAGAAGCCATCGGCACATTTGAGGCATTGGAGGCGGCATATAGGCGGTGCTTTGACCGGATTGGCGTGCCGTACATGGTGGCTGATGCGGACTCGGGCAACATTGGAGGGTCGCTGTCGAAGGAATTCCACTTTGCTAATCCCTCGGGCGAAGACACCGTGTACGAGTGCAAGGGCTGTGGATATACGGCGAACGAGGAGCGGGCATGCAGTAAAGTGGCTGGCAGTGGGCATGCTACGTATATTGCCAAGGTTCTTGAGGGCGACAAGGTGGTCATGAGCCGGCGGGTGGTCGTCCCCGAATCGCACGAGCCCAGCGCCATAAAGGTCAGGCAGGTGCTGCCGATTGCGCCCGACCAGCGGCTGGAATTCGAGCTAGCCATGGACGCTGCGTGTGGCGAGCCGGCCTTGGTGGACGTGTGCGTGAGCAATGTCGATGGGCAGCGGGGTGACTGGCACGTGGCAAAATCGGGCGACCCGTGCGCAAAATGCGACCACGGCGTACTGACACCCAGCAAGGCGATCGAGGTGGGCCACATCTTTTATCTGGGCGAAAAGTACTCGAAGGCAATGGACCTGAGCGTGCTGCACCAGGGCAAGCGTGGGCTCGTGCAGATGGGGTGCTACGGTATTGGCGTTACGCGCATCCTGCAGGCATCCGTCGAGTGCTGCAATGAAGACGGCCGGGGCGTGCGCTGGCCGCTGGCAATTGCCCCGTACCTGGCCAGCGTGGTTCCGCTGACCAGCAGCGAGCGGGCGGCAGAGATATACGGGATGCTGCAGGGCACTGCTCGGTTCAAGGACAACGTCCTGGTGGATGACCGCGAGTACCTGAGCCCGGGATTCCGCCTCAACGATGCGCAGCTGCTGGGGATTCCAGTCACTGTGGTGCTGGGCAAGCGGTTTGCCGAGACCGAGGAGGTCGAGGTGCAGCTGCGGGTTCCAGGGCAAAGGCTGCCGGAGTCGGTTGACGGCATCAAGCTGGATGACAAGGACGGCAGCGGATACGAGTATCGGGCGGATGTGCCGCTCACGCGCCTGGCCAGGTTCCTTGAGCTTGTGCTTGGTCAGTAGAAATTGAGGTCACGCCTGTCTTTGATAATTGCATGCATTGCTGCTGCCGCCCAATGTCTCCTGTGACGCGGGAATTGTCCTGCCGGCACTTGCCTGTGCCTGAGCCCGATGGCTGTACCACGCTCCTTTTTATTCCCTGGCGACAAGAACCGCCTGCTTGTTCGCCAAAGAATTGGCTGGCAACTGGCCAAACAGCAAATAGTCACAGCTGATGGAGGCAGGAGGCACCAAGCAGGAAAAACGCCTCCGCATCGGCATCGGTTTTTTGTGCCCCATGCAGCGAGCTGTCCTGAAATTCCTCGATTTCGCAACTGCACGAGCCTGTTCTTCTCTTTTTCACCAGCTCCAATTCATAAAACTTTTTTAAACCTTGAACCAACCTTCTTCCTTCCCTTCTCAGCGTCTGGCCGCTGTATAAGCTTTTCCTTTCTTTTCTTTTCCTGTCCGTGTCTCTGTCGGTAAACTTGTACAGTTTTATTTATTTCTTTATCTCTATCCTGGCACAGGGCGCATTCGCAGCGAGCGGGTTTTCACACAGCAACCAAGCACTCTAGCATGGACACCAGCGACTCAAAGGGCCCAATACGAAGTAGCCTGAAACACTGGCAGTCTGGACAGAACCGGGTTCAGCAGAACAGGTAAGGCCGAGGGTCGTGCAGCACCACGAGTATAGTGTCTGAAACCAACCCAGGCGAAATCCAACTCAACACGAAATTCTTCTCCTCCGCTAGGGCGACGGCGAGGCTGACCAATACCGCCAATATGGCCTATGCGCAGGCAGCCAGCAAGGTAGGCTTCTTTGTTGTTTGGGCTATATTTGTCATGGCCCTCCCGCCCATGGGCTCATGGGAACATATTGGCACCACCATGTTTGCGGCGCACTGACAGGAGAAGTCTGATTTTTCTCTCGAGACAACGGAAACACAACGCTTTTGGATGTTGTAAGACCGGCGCCATTTTCTTGTGTCGCAAAGGCTCAGCTCGATGTGCGCGGGAATGGCAGGCGCGCCGGACAACAATATTCCCAGCTGCTTCTACTGGCTGAACGGTTTGATGACTGCTCTTTGTTGACACTCGGCACCGCACACCCCCTGCAATCCCCACTCTAGTTCTCGGGACAAACCGTCACAGCCGGTAGAAGAGGGTAGGGAGGCGGGCGAAAAGGGATTGTTACCTTTCTACCTCTCCCCCCAAACTCGCTATTCGGCAATCACCTTTCTTTACGGCCCCATGCACACACCCACTGCCCGTTCACGAATGCATTGCTAAATGCACCTCGCTCCGATTATTAATCGTGTATTGTGTAGAGACCGCCGGCAAAAGTATTGCCCATGGCTCGCGATAACAGCGACGACGATGGCTCCGACTCTGATGACCATGGGTTCGTGAAGGTCGATCGCTGGAAATCCCCAACCGAGCCGGAGATGGCGACGTTTACACCGACGCTGGCACCCAGCACAGCACCCACCCTGACCGTGTCGAAGGATACGGGGCTGATGTCCAAGGTGCGCAACACGCTGAAAACAGCGCTTGCTGCACCCGAATCCACCCCCAGGGCCACAAAGCCGGCCCGGCATAGACCACGCCAAGGCACAGTTCTCAAGGAGGACGCGGGAAGCAGTAGCAGCGACTGCGACTCGTCTGGGTCGGACTCTGAGCTCGAGGAAGTGATAGACGAGACAGAGCTGGAGCTCATCGAGGCCATGGAGGATGCGCAGATTTCGGAGGCAGCGAAGCAGCAAGAGCAGCGCAGGCTTGTGTCATCCCCGGGGCTCCGTCCGCATGGGACACCCGGCAAGGCCCCGTGGGTTGGGCTGGGCGACAGCGGCCTGAGCCCCAAGGGCGGCGATTACAACGAGACGCTGAAGCAGCGGTTTACAAGCAAGACTGTTTCTGGGTTAAGCACCTTGCGGCCAGCGGACGAACCAGTGGCAGCGTCGCCTCTGGGCAGGACCAGCCAATCGCCAGCGCCTGGAGGCACCACAGTCTGTCCAGCAGAGCCTGCGATTCGCTCACCAGCACCCACAATGGCCACACCAGCGCACAGCAGCCCATTATCTCTCACGCCGGATTCAAAGGCGACTCCGCCTACCGCAGATCCAGTCTCGCCACCGCCGCCGGACCCGTACAGTGAGGAGGCAGAGGAGCCCCCAGCGGCAGCATCGACACCAGTGCCAGCTGAACACACCGGGCTGTCGGCCTTGAAAAGCAAGGACGGCAACGAGCAGCGGCCGGCGTCAGTGCCGCTGGATGCAGTTGAGTTTGTGGCCCCGGGCGTGACAAAGCAGACAGCCATGTCACTGCTGCGGCGCGTGCTTGACATCGAGGGCCCGGTGATCCAGCAGAAGATGGTTGAGTTCCTGCTGATTGACGGCGTGATTGCGTCGCTGATCGGCTTCATCACCCATGCGCAGGGCTCGATCTACTCGCCATCATCCAGCACGCAAACCACGCCGTGCTCGCCAGCCATGGGCCATGACGGCAGCAACGACGCACATTTTCGATCACGGGAGTGGTGAGAGCCCGCACACGATGCAGCGCACGCTGTCGTCGGTGGCTAGCGAGCTGCCTAACGCTGTGCTGGAGAAGTTTGAGCACCGCAACCAGTTCCGTACACGGCTCCTGCGCCAGCGGAACCGCTCGGCAGGGCCTGTCTGACACTGACCTGCGGCGCGGATACAATGCAGCGCATATGCTGGTGAGCCGCGATCAGTATGCGCGACGTGTGGTTGAGGCGAAGCTGTCGGTGATTGTACCGTCGCTGATGGCCGTGTTCCATAAGGACTCTCTAGGATCGTTCCACCATGCGTGCATGCTGCTGGAGCACTGTCTGGTGGTGTCGCCGATGAAGACTGCACGGATGCTGCTGTTCCACCAGAACCCGCCGTCACGATGGTGGGCGCACTCGGCTGCGGTGGCCAAGGGCCAGGCGCCGATCTGCGACCTTCTACCGTACATGTCGGAGCCGTGCGTCCAGCAGCTGTTCTTGAAGGCCGAGTTTGGCGTGTGGACCGGCCGCCTAATGACCAGCCTGGGTCTGTCGCCAAACGACGCTGTGGTGGTCACCGACGCGCTGAACCGTATAGGCCTAGGGTCTATGGCCGGCGCTCTGGGAGGCAATGGAAGGCGATGCAGGATCAGATAACCCGGCATCGGCGCAGCAGCGGAGCAAGGCCCTGCAGCTGGTTCGCAACCGGTTCTCGCAGCTGAACCGCGGAGGCTTCATGGATCGAATGGTGGAACTTATAGAGGACCCTGACGCCCAGGTCTCCGAGAGCGTGTCCGAGTTCCTGGCCTTCATGATCAACGACTGCTCCATGTTCCTCGGCTTCAACATCTTGTTCAAGCCCATCTACGATTCGGAGCGGCCGGTGCGCCGTCTGGCCCAGCTGATCATCAATTCGCCTCCTCAGCGCCTGTCGCCGCAGGCTAAGTCTGCCACACGCTTCCTGCAGGCGCTCCTGATGAAGACCTCGTGCCAGTATGGCCTGCGTGTGCGCGATGCCCAGGGCGTGCATGATCCGGAGGTTCACGCGCGTGGATCGCAGCTGCTACTGCAGGTGGGCCAGGCAGCACGGACTGCACTCGAGTCGTTTTTGCCTGGCCTGTTTGCGACCGTGGTGGGATTGCAGGCGAGCACTGATTTGACAACACAGTCAGCATTTAACCGCCGCATATCGGTCGAATCGCTGCGTCTGCCTGAATATGACGAGGCGGATCCGGATCTCGACACCGACGATACTGAAGCTGCTATGTCATCGTTATCGGATAATGGCGAGCATCTCGCAGCTGAGCCTGGCCCTGGGCTGAGGCAATTCAGTGACGATGATCGCAGCATGCGCGGCATGCACACGAGCGACGACGAATCTGATCTCCGCAACTCGGCTGCTGCGCTGCTGCATGCAACATACTCCGAGTCCATCAGCTCTGGATCCATCTCGTCGTCGCTTTCGCCGTCATCAACATTGTCTGCTTCGCCAATGAACATTGCGAGCGGAACGCCCGAGCGCCCTGTCGACTCGTACATGGGCGAGCGGCTTGATGCCGAAGAGCTTGGCCTCCTGGTCGCCCTGCCCAAGCCCGATATCCACCGGCTGAGTCTGCTGAAGATCTGTGTTGAAGTGCTGCGTGAGACTGACGACATTGACGAGACCGTTGGCTGGGTCGATTTGCGTGTGTGGCGCGCACTGACGACGTGGTTCCTGAACCACCCGCACAACAATATGCTGCACCTATCGGTCTACCAGCTTGTGTCAACTGTGACCCTCGAAGCCGTACGACTGAGGCAGGCGAGACGCCGGTATGCTGCTGATCCGCGTGGAGTCAAGCTGCCAACAGAGGGTCGGAAGCCAGGATCTGCGGGTGGGTTCGGAAAGGGCCGGTCATCCGGCAGCACTAATGGCAGCGGGCCATCAAACAACGACCAGGCTAACGGTGTGCCAGAGATTCAGACGCAGTCGGAAGGCAGCAGCGAACTGCGGCTTGCGAGGCGGAGAGCGCGGCGCAGACGGGCGATGGCTGAGCGCATTCGGCGCGAGGAGGCGACCAACTGTGACAACATTCTGACGTACATGGTCGAGCAGAACCAGTGGATCGACAAGCTGGTCAGGCGTGCGACATCGCCCAACTTTGACGGCGCCTACGGGTACATCTCGCTGATCTTGAACACGCTGCGCCTGGCTGTGCAGGTCGACCGGCGGAAATGGGGTTCTGCGGCTGCATCGGCGAATCGTACTGTTGAGCGTACGCCGGCTACAACTGTGAGCAAGCAGACGCCGGTGTCTTCAGTCAGCGAGTCAGAGGACCTATCGTTTGATGTGTTCAGCGATGCGCTGCAGGCGCTGATGGTGGAGGATGACGACGGGTTCTCTGATGACGAGGTCCCTGATGACAGCGATCTGCTGCCGGATCTGGCGTACCACGACCCGTCCACTCGCCGCCGGCTGTCAGAATATCCTCTGTATCGCCTGCAGCGGTGGGAAATTTCACTGCTGTACTCGCCGTCATTCCGCACCCACCTACGCCGCCTGCGTAAGCAAGCTGTCCGGATGGTGCGCAAACTTGACAGCTTCAGACTCTGCGACCAGTCCCGCACACCGATCATCGACCGTGACAACGGGCAGCGCCCGGTGCCCTACCTGTCGCCGCAGCGGATCCGGCCGCCCGTGTCTCTGGACAACTCTGAGATCAAGAAGAAGCAGCTGCAGATCAACGTTGGTCTGCTGCTCGGCAATAACCAGAACTCGTCTAGCGTTGCTAGCAAACTGGCGTCTGCAAGTGGCAAAGACAAGGACGAAGAGTGCGAAAAGTGCCCTGCGGTGAATGACGTGGGCATTGATGCTGACTCGCTGTTTGCCCGCATGCTTGGGTTCACTGAGGATATAGTTGAGCTGCCTGCCAAGCAGGCGGATGAACGCAAGCCGGCAGATACCGCGGCGGCGGAGGATGCTGAGAAGGAAGGCACCGAGAGCACGAAGAAGCCCTCGCGCCTGGCGGTGCATGGCAAGAGCAGCGAGCGACCAGTCCGAAACAGCTCGTCCAAGCGCAAGAAATCGAAGCCGTCGCTCAGCCCCTCGATGCGGGTCGCGAAGGTGTCAGAGATTTTGGAGGACATGTCGCCTGATGCAGCGTCGGAGGCAGCCGAAGCCATCTGCAATGCACTGGGCACGACCTCTTCGTCAAACGCCGCATCAGCTGCGAAGCACTCGGCGGCGTCGTCCAGCAGGCTGCGGAAGAAGGCAGCACCCGTGGCGTCGGCGGCCCGACGTCGGCGCTCGCGGCTGCAGCATCGCTCGTCGAACTCGAGCCTATCGAGTGCTCAGGCGACAGACAGTGCACTGAAGAAGATTGAGGCTGCCGGTATTCTTGGTGAGCTGTCGGTGGAGATGGACCAGCCGCCAAAGAAAGCGATTACAGCAGGGCGTAGATACGGGAAATAGTGAGCAGTAGACAGGAAATATATTTATTGAAGCGTCGGCGGGGGTTTTTTGTTTTAACGCCCTACACGTTTATTTTCTTACCCATTTGTACGTTATATCAGTCATTATAAATCACACAGCTCAACATGGCAAGCATTTGCCATGCCTGCCACGCGCAGTGCATGTCCTGATACATTGATCGAACACTTAGCTACTCAGTACAAGGCCAAAAGTGCCCGTATCCATAAACAGTATTGCTGGGAGACAATATGGTCACAGTTCTGAGGATATTGCGGAGACACGACATTCTCTGTATAAAACTCTGGCTGATATAATCCGAATGTGGCATTTATAATGTAATTAATAAATGTTAAGAGGCGACTTGGGCTTGGCAGCAGGCGGAGCCGGAGCTTTGCGCGGCCTTCCACCGATATCAGTCTTGACCAGGCCGCCCAGGACGCTGAGCGACATTCCACCGTTGGGACCTCCAAAATTCCAGGCTGATGATTCCCGGGATATTCAGCCCAGGTGCGGCAACAGCAAGAGCAGCCAGGGATGAAAAGACGATGCTTAGCTTCATGTTTGGTGCAGATACAAAAAGTTCAGGCTATGGATTTTGTCTTCATTATGGCTCACATAAGTGTTTCTTTATATGAAGGGTTTCTTTTTTCCTGGCATGTGTCGCTATAACTCCGAGGCTTATTTATTCATGCCGGCAATATCTGCATGGTGAACGGCATTAATATCAGATCCATACATATTTTGCAATATCTGCAGCTATATTGCAACACACAAGAACCAGTAAAGGGCGATTAAAGTCGGATAAACATTTACCGGAATGCATTGGATTTCTTACTCGGCAATCGGCTAAGCCTCTAAGAGCGTGAATGCGGTGCTTACAGCCGGTAGTGGATTCGACTGGTATTTCAGAAGCATCGTCAGACCTGGGACGTTATGGGGCTTAGGACGAGGATGTGACAAAGGCATTCCGCAGCGGCTGTCGGCGTGCTCTTGCCATATGGCACCCAGGTCGCTGTTGACTTGAGAGTTACAAACTCTGGCGTGTTTATCGGGCTTGGAGCTGCATGCAGTGTATTTGGGATAGACAGTAATGGCCACAGATATTTTAGTCTAGTTTGGGTTGACAATGGTCCTGGCTGACTGCGCGGTGGCTATAGCACCTGGATTTCTCTTGGCGATAGCGCTGTTTCCACTGATTTACAGCGGTCCAGGGACACCGCCAGGGATAGGCGGCAAAACCGGAGCACTAGGTGTGGCTGACGAGCTGCTTGCAGAACCCGACGTTGTTGTGGAGGTAATACTGGCGTAGGGAGAGAAGTTACACCAGTTCCTGTACTGGAGCTGGATGTTCCAGAAGTGGGGCTTGCAGTACCAGAGCTTGATGTTCCAGAGCTTGAGCTGGATGCTCCGGAAGTAGAGCTTGATGCTCCAGAAGTAGAGCTTGATGCTCCAGAAGTAGAGCTTGATGCTCCAGAAGTAGAGCTTGATGCTCCAGAGGTGGAACTTGATGCTCCAGAAGTGGGGCTTGCTGTACCGGAGCTGGACGTTCCAGAGGTTGAGCTAGGATCTCCAGAAGTAGAGCTTGATGCGCCAGAAGTAGAGCTTGGATGCTCCAGAAGGTAGAGCTAGGATGCTCCAGAGGTAGAGCTTGGATGCATCCAGAGGTTGAGGCTTGATGCTCCAGAGTTGAGCTAGATGCACCAGAGGTAGAGCTTGCTGTACTGGAGCTGGATGTTCCAGAGGTGGAGCTTGTTGTACTGTGCCTGGACCTGGACCGTCTAGAGACCGTTTTTAATATCCACTTTGAATATTCGCTGGACAATACGCTCATCAAGGTTGACAACGGCTGTGTAGGGAGTGGAAGTGGGTGAGGGAAGGTCGGTCCGGGGGAAGGTAGGTAGGGGCAAGGGGAAACTGAGGCACAAGATATTGTTGGCCGACTGAATTGAAGCGGCATCGATCCTAGGGGTGGCGTATGCTGGATCAGCCTCTGCAAAAGCCGTGGGCTCAGCCTGGCGCTACATCCTAGTCCTAGGTGTGCTATTTTGGTAGTAGATAATGCACGATCAGTGGCTGCTATCTTGTGCGTATTAACACTAGGAGTGGCAGCGAACTGCTAGGACGTGCTGATGTATGAGCATCGCTTTCAGGTGCGATAAGGTTGTAAATAGCTTCACCAATCCTATTCGACTACATAGCCTCCAAGCATGGAGGATGCAGCATCTCCGATGTACCGGGATGCTACTCCAGTGACGCCTCCTAAGCCTGGCATGCCGAGAGACTCATAGTACTTGAGTGCAAGACCCCAAACTGGCATGTCGGGATATTTGTAGGAGAGTGAGATCATGTCCAGGAGAGCACTAATAGCCGACTCGCGTGTTATTCCTGACGCGCCCGCAAACGGCGTGATCGTCGGCAGTGTTTTCCAGAACTCCGAAGACTGCATAAGGAGGTCGTTGACATACGGGGCAATTTCGAAACACTTTGCTCTTATCAGCCTTGCGCGTACAGCTTGAGAGCGGCAGAGATGTTTTTCAGCAGCGGGTCGCTGGCAGTGAAGAGGTAGTCCAGGCTGGGCATGGCCATAGCCGTGGTAGCGCTGTACTGCTGGGCAGGACCTGAGGCAGGTGTGCGCATGGGGTTAATCCAGCTGATGTCTTGCAAGAACACCTTCGCGGTCGCAGTGTCAACATTGCCAAGGCCACGGATAACATCCGTGACACGGTTGATTTTTTTGGGGTTTATACGCAGTAGGTCGTTCAGGCGGAATAGAGCATTGTGCTGAGTAGCAAGGTCGGTTGGTTGCTGGTTCGAGGCAGCAGCAACAAACGCCAGCATATCCGGCGTCATCTTTCCTATTGCACTTATTAGGCTGGCGACAGATGCAGTGTTTGGCTGGCTGTCCAAGTTCAGGCGTTTTCAAGCCCAACAACTGATGCAATGCGCTTCGCGTTCTCAGCACCTGCCTGCGCGAATAGCTCGAGCATCATTGGAAAGATACTTGATGCTACGTGGGGGCAGCTCAAACACATCTGCAAACGGGATATTCAGAATAGGCTACTTCATCGCTGGCATGCTTGCCTTAGGTCAAACATGTACTTGTCAGACAGCCTAATCTTGAAGCGGTCAGTGAGGTCATCGAGTTCCATATCGCTGCCCAGCTCTGGAGCAAGCCCCAGGTCGCTCAGGCGCACTCGGCCAAGGTCGGCAGCGTCACTGCCTGGGGCACCGGATGCTAGGAACTTTGTCAGCTTCTGCACCAGTTCAAGCGACACATGCTGTTCAAAGCCTGAGTCGTTAGACTGAGAGCCGGAGCTGGTAGCTGTTGTTCCTGCCAGCACAACAATGGCTGACAAGCCGAAGGAAGAAATAAGTGAGAATAGTTTCATACGGTGTATATAAGAGACTATTAGTCCAAGGGAGTAAAGCAGGGGTGAGATGGCACCACTTCCTTTTGGTAGATATATGTATTCACTTTGTATGGCACGTATATCCCGTGTAGCTTTTACTACTTGATGAAGTCCCCACTTGATGAGTGCATGTGGCTTATTCACTGTGCGTTTCAATGTTCAGAATGCATTGTGCAGTGCACCATTAGCCCTTCACCTATGCCGTATGGACTGCATGGTCAATGCATTGATTTGTGCAATAGGCACAACAATGGCATATTAGAAGCTATCATCAATGGAGAGAGGCATGTGGAAAACAAAAGCCCTGCTGCACAACATATCAGGAGGCGTACTTGAATATGCTCATTTATCCTGATCTTGAAGAGGCGGATACGTAATGTCGCCCATGAGGGACGGAATGGACTCCTTCGTCGAAGCCTCCTTTGTGAACACTGCACTCTGCAAGGACGACTCTGGCGCAGTAGACTTCACAGAGTCATCAACGGTGCTAACTGGGTGCCACGGGTCCCACTGCTTTTCGCTGGTCGAGACCTGGTTGCCCTTGGAGGCTTGGTCGCCCTTGGAGACATGGCGCAAACCGGGAAGCGACGAGTGCATGATCTCCGTCTCAGGCTTTGGCGATCTCGGCGGCGGTGTCTGTTTTGGCGAGACACCGGCACTGCCTCTCACGGGCGGGCGTGGAGAGCCATTGTGCGAGCCAGATTTCAGCTGTACGCCCCATGCAGCAGCGCCAGTATTGGGACTCGAGTCGACACCGTCGTTTTGTGACTGGACTTGAGACTGCTGAACGGAACGACTGCGACGGCGACGGGGTATTGAAAGATTGGGCTGGCGATAGGGTCTTAAATGACTGCGCTGGCGATGGCGTCTTGAATGGCGCAGGCGCCGGGGCATCCGGCCTGACATCAGAGAACGCCTTCCGGAACCCGGCCTCGTCGGTAAACGCATCCAAGGGAGCGAGTGGTCCCGGCAGCGAACCGTGAAGGCAGGGACTGAGCCGGCTTGTTCGGGACATAGTTGACCACAGCGTCCACAGCCTTTTCAGAGCTAGCTCTCTGGGCCTGGCCGCTACGCACAGCGGCTGCTACTGCTGCTGGACGTGCATTCCTTGGCTGAGAACACTGAGAGCTTGTGTGTGAGCTGACACCCAAGCTCCTGGATCTGCGCTAGCGTCCGCTGAGTGGCAGTGGAGTAAACCATGCGCAGACGCGGTGCACATCCCTCGGGACACGAGTAGATGAAGACACGGTGTGGCTGGGAGTTCATCACATAGAAGCGCGGCTCAGCTGTGCATGGCGAGAAGCTGTCGGCAGACTGATATGTGCGTACTACTGTGATGCTCTTGCCGCCTTCAACCTGCAGCTCGACCACAGCGATGGAGCTGTCCGAGACCAAGTTGTTCAGGGCGTCCTTTGCACTCTGCGACAGCGGCAGGCTGACTGTGTGGAAGCCGCCAGAGGCTGCGGCGACCGTCTGCTTGAGCCCGCTTTGGTTGGCGTGCTGGTTGTTGGGATCGTAGTCGGGCTTTGATGGCGTGGTGTAGGTGCGGAAGTGCGTGCGCATCTGCTGCAACTGCTCACTACGCGCGTCGTCTTCCTGCTTGAGTAATCCATGTGCTCGAGCTCAGACTGGGACATGGCGAGGCGGGGGTCGAGCTTCTTCACAAACACGCCACTGCTGCTGCCGAGGCCCTGGGGTTTGGGCTGCACCACCGGCGGTGCTTGGCCTGCCAGCCGCTGGGCTGTGGCAGTAGGTGCTGACAGGGCTGCAACCGATGTAGGCTTGGGGTTCGGGGCAGGCTTGGAGGCCAGCACGGGCTTGGGGGCCGGGGCCGGCTTCTCTGGCGCAGGCTCTGAGCCTTGAAGTGACAGACTCTCAGCACCCTGTGAGATGCCCTTGCCAAATGCCTCGTTTTTTGATGAGAACTGCAGCGAGTCCTCGACATTGCCGAACCCAACTGCTGCCTTCAGCTTGGACTGCGACGAGGCGTAGATCATGCGATTGCTAACACCAACCTTGCCCTCAGGCATCCATGTAACGAGGTACCAGCTGGATGTGTTCAGCACGCAGCAGCAGGAACGCCGGATCGTCGCCGAGCAGTTCATCGAGCTGCGTCAGGTCGCCATTGGCCGGCCCGCTCTTCCGGCCCGTCTCGACCAGGTCCACGCCGCGAATTTGCACACGCAGTACAGAGATGTCCGAATGCTGTCCCTCAGCAGACTCGTCCAAGAACTGCTTGAGCTTTGGTGCAGCTACAGACAAGAGGGAAAGGTGCCCCAAAGGGGAGGGGCAGCTATTAGCTACAGACAGGATAGTGTAGCTTCTCTGAAGGCGAGCGCCTCCTCTCGCAAGCGCCTGCTTCCGCCAATGCGTACCTGCAATTCCACTCGACAGAGATGACATTTTTCCTAGTTCGCCACAGAGAGTAGTAAGATAGTAGACTTAGCAGAGCGAAGATACGCCGTCGCTGTCCGCTGCGCAGCGATTCAGGCCGCCTGAGGCCTGCAGCAGCGCCTGGAGTAGGGCCTTGAGCTGTGATCCGCTAATCGGTCTAGTCTGATCAGCATCGCCGAAGATCCCACACGGTGCCAGTTACTGGCTGCTGCTGCGCATACCTGGTCCTCAGCCGATTGGCTGTGGCGAAGCTGCCAAGGCGCTCGACTGTGAAAACCTAGACTGGCAGCTATATTGGCTCTGCAACTGGCTGTCCAGAAACCGACGTCAGGTAGCAGCCACCCGACGGTCTCTTCCCACATGATTCGGTGCTTTTAAAGTGTTCCCGAAAGTAGCATCTAAAAATAAATCATGCAGCTTTTCTTTTGTGATATACTCGCTCTGCTCGAAATAGTAACGCCTGGCAGACGATATATAAGAGACACCCTGCTCGCACCCATCATTTTTGCCTCTTCTCTCCACCAAACAACGCTGTAATTTACTTTTTTCTTTCTATAGTTGCTGAATTTTCATCCTTTTCTTTGCACCGCCAGCGCAAAACAATGTATAACTCGTCGCCCTCAAGGTTCGGGCTCATAGCAGTCCTGATGATGCTGTTCAGCGCTGCCTTCGCCGCCGACGTCAGTACCAGCGACGGCTCTCTGGCGCTCTCGAAACACGGTGCGCTGACCGCCTCTGGCATCGTGGCCGGCATCGTTCTGATTGTTGTCGGCGTGTTCTTCACGTTCTTTGGTCGCAAGCTCGTAAAGGTTCTTATTTTCCTGGCTGGCTTCTGCTTTATTGGCGGGCTTACCATCTACCTCGAGTACAAGATCCGTGCGCCGCGCGAGGACGAGAAGACGCGAGAGATTGTCTACCTGGTGGTTGGAGGTGTCCTGGGTCTTATTGCCGGTGGCCTTCTTCTGTGCCTGTACAAGGTGGGCATTGCGTTCGTGGGAGGCCTCGGCGGCTTTGCGCTGGCCACCTGGATTCTGTCGATGAAGTCGGGGTCGCTGATCACTTCGGAGGCGGGACGCATTGTGTTCATTGTTGTCTTGATTGTCATTGGCATGCTCCTGGCACTGTTCTTGGAGAAACCAGCAATTATCGTCGCCTCGGCAGTGTGGGGATCGTACGCGCTGTTTGTTGGCATTGACTGCTTCGCCAAGACCGGCTTCCAGGACACGGCTACTGCGTTCCTCAGTGCCCCCGGCGCGACGTACGAGACGTCGGCAAAGGTGTATGGAATGATTGCCGGAATGGCCGTTACTGCCGGTGGTTGGTATTCGGTGTGCAGTTTGCCATCAACCGCGACAGGAAGCAAAAGTTTGAGCCGCTGCCCTGAGTTGCAAGCCTCCCAAGAGAATTTTTCTCTGCACTATTCGTGCACTACTCCTTGTAAAATTCTTTTTTCCTAGCTCCTTTGTCATATACCTGAAATTATTCACCCTCCCCAGCCTGCATACCATATCACGTCACTGCGCACCGCCCGTGCATTGCCGGTGCATTAGCGAATGGGCCATGTGAAACAAGCACACCCACATCACTCCCCCCCACACACGCACTAAACATGGATCAGCGTGCAACGCCCAGCATAATGGTCAATTCTCCCCGTCTTGGCAGTAGGCCAGAGGGCTTGGCATTGGGGTATATATGCCAGAGATAAAAATACCATGACGCTGGGATCTTCCCCAAGTAAAAAGCGTACGGCAGAAATCTCAGCCAGCATTTCCAAACGAGACTGCTGCAAAGGCATGCGCTGTCTCTTTGTATATATATTGAGGCGACCAGCTGCTTCTTCTCAGAAGCCGTTGGCGGCGAATACTGGACCGAAGCGTGTGTTAGCTTTCCTTCTCCCCACTTCTTTCCTTTGCATCCTCACCACTGCATTGCATTCATTCACCTGCATCACACTTGTACCAGTTCCCTGTCATGTCTACAACATCACCCATTCATGCCGACCTCATTAAGCGAAAGAATCCCTACGCAGTGGCCCGCCACACATCGCCGTACCCAGCAGACATCCTCGCCGGTCTCTGGCTAATCAGCCTCGGCATATACTTTATTTTCGTTGGGCGACGGTTCTCCAGAACCCTAGCAACAATCTCCGGCTACGCCCTAGTCGGCGGTCTGGTTCTCTTCATTGAATACAACGCGCAAGCCCCAAGGATACCAGAAACTGCGCTGCAAGTCGGCTACGTGGTGTCCGGAATTGCAATCGGGGCTATCGGCGGCGTAGCTGGCTTCTACTTTAACGAATTCGGCCACCTGATCACGGGTGTGCTCGGCGGTTTCGCCCTTGGCACCTGGGTGCTGGCGTTCAGAGACCGCGGCCTGATCCAGTCGGAAACCGGCCGGATCGTGTTCCTCATCGTCTGCATGGCGTGTAGCGCTCTGTGCGTGTGCCACTTTGACGTACCGGGGACTGTCGCGTTTGCGTCGATATTTGGCGCTTATGCGCTGATGATTGGCATCGACTGCTTTGCACGCACCGGCTATGTGTCGTCGGCCACGTCGTTTTTCCTGTTCCCGGGCTCGTCGTTCAGAGTAACGTCGGAAACGTTCGCCATGCAGGGCGGCGTTGTAGCAGCAGTCGTTGTGGGCTGTGTCGTCCAGACGATCCTGCTCCGCCGGCAGACCCGCAAGGCCATGCACATGGATGAGCAAATGCTGAAGCGCAAGCTCCGGATCCGGCCATAGGGCACGCGCATCACGAGATGTGTTTGATAAGGTCTACATAATGTCAGTTGTACTAGTTTCCGTGTTCTAAACCCCTCGTAAAATAAAAAGAAATAGTCAGTTGTAGCGCGTATTACCTAGAGGAAGTCGATTAGGGAGTCGGTGTTCGACTGCGTCTTGCCCGGTTCCCGTGCCGACCCCCAGTTTGTGTTTTGTGGTGAATTCGACTTTGGCGGCACTGCAGGCGGGCTGAACGTCGACGCAGGCTTGCTGGCATCCTTGGCTGCCGACATTAGGTCCGAAAAGTCAAACACGTCCTTCTTGCCGCTCGATATTTTGCTCTGGCGCGCCTGCTCCGAGGTCGCTGGTAGCGACGGGTTGGACATGGGCTGGCGCTGCTGGCCCGGCGGCGGTGGAAACGACATCGTCGTGAGCCCAGGCGTGCTCTGGCCCGGCATAAGCGGGGCGGCGGCTGCTGGTGCCGCGGCCTCGTTGAACGAAAGCCCCATCAGATCGACAAGCGGATTCTTGTTCACCGCCGCCTGTTGCTGGGCGCTGGCAGCGTCCTCCCACGGCAGCTGAACCCTCGGCACTCTCGTCATTGTCGTCCCACGCAATCAGCTCGCTCTCAGGCTCCTCCTTTGCTGGCACTGCCTGGGCAGCAGCAGCGCCGCCGGTGTGTTTAAACTCAGGGACCCTGCCGGCATCCAGGTCCTTATAAGCCTGTACCGCATCGCCGATAGTGTCGTTCAGGCGGATCAGACGGTCCAGCTCCTGGCGCTCAACCGAGTCCCCGTCCTCCCCATCATCGTTCGCTGCGCTCTCGTGGTCGGCAATCAGCTTGTGGATGCGCGACTGGTTAGAAATACACTTTGCCAGGAGCTCCTTGGTAGTGTCGTCCATCCGACTGCCAGGCTCCATGTTCTGCAAGGATCTCGATAAGCAGGTTGGCCTTGCTCTCGATTGACTCGAGCTCGGACTCCCACTCCTGGTCGTAGTCGGGCTGCTTCGACGACTGCTCGTACCCAGTAATGATCTTCATCAGCTTGTTCGCCTCGCGCAGGTCCCGGGGCGTCGCGCGTCGCAGCAGCTCCTGCAGCTTCGCCTGCATGGCCTCCAGATCCTCCTTCTCGAGCTCCTCCTTGGACCTGAGCGTGTCCTCCGGGCCAAACACCACCGCATAGTTGCTGACGTCGACCTCTGGGAAATGCCAGCCCTTGCGGCGGAGCAGCGAGTACATGTCGTTGATCCGCTGCAGGTCCTCGCGGTGCCGCGACCGTTTGCACAGCGTCTGCCGCCACTCCTGCAGCATCTCAAGGATCCGGTAATGCACGGGGTTCGGCATTGACGGCTGGTACTCGGGGAACCGCCGGAACAGCTCGTTGAGGAACTCGCGGGTCGCAACCTGGTAGTGCACCGGGTGCCCGCAGTTCTTGACCAGGTTGTCCAGTAGCGTCAGCGCCAGCTGCGCCTGGATGTGCGAGCGCCCGTTGATGTACGGCAGCACCGCAAAGACCTGCCTCGTGCGGAAAGTTGCCCTTTTTCTTGTTCACCAGCTCGCAGATATCGAGGTTCAGCGCCAGGTCCTGGCTCGCTGCGGTCGAGGCCGACTGCCCGGTCTACCATGGACTGCAGCCGCGTTGGCGGCTTGAACATTTCGTCAATCGTCTGCTGGAAATTGAAGGCCATCCCGCTAGGTTTGTATTAAGCCCTGTGGTTGGAAAGGCGAGAGAAAAGTAAATTGAGCTGCTTGGGCAAGATGAGAAGAAGAGTGGAGGGTGGAAAAAAATGACCGGCAGTCCAACCTCCCGAGTGTTAGGCGGGAACACTAGTGGAGCCACGTCAGATGCATACCTTCTTTTTGCCCTGTGCGCCAATCGCCGTTGATGGCTGGTTTGTTTGGACCGGATCCGTGGTGGCCAGACCGAAGGTCTACCCAATGCCGATTCCCTGGAAACGAGGACATGTGGCCAAAGCGCAATATGAGGAAGGGCTGGTTGCACTTTGTTGTCAAACAGATGATGTACATGCTTCTGCCACCAATACGCGCAGGTTGCGGATACAGGCCATGGGCATGTCCAAAGTGCAATCAGATTGCGTGCGATGTGATTGCACGCGCGTTTCCTGCCAGCCATGCTGATGGCAAGAGATAACAAATGAGGCTGCTCAGGGCTGGTTAGCCTGTCTTGGCGGCGCAGCGGCTGTCTATTCGTGTGGTATGCAGGCCAACCACAATGTTCAAATGGCATGTGCAGAGGTGAAGGATGGGCCAGCGATATACCACTGGCAGGGTCACTGGCAAATGAGACGCTGCATATGCGTCCAATTGACCTAGGTGTACATGAAGCACCTAGGCGGCAATAAAGCGTAAATGGATGTCCCTTTCTTTACTAGATGTGTAGCGCTGCATTTATTTCCAATGGCACTGATCAATAGGCTATCACCTTTCAGCTACTCGCCTCCTCCCTATATGTAGCTAAAAGGGAGGCCCAGTGGTGCTTTTCGCACTAGCCACAGAGGGCGTCGGCGTCCGAATACTCCTGGGAGAGACCAATATCAAACGTGGCACGCTGTCTGGCTGCTTTGAGCATGCGGACCTGTTCGGTGAACTCGATGATTTGCGTATCCAGCTCGGCAACCAGGCGATCCGAGTACTGCTGCCGTGCCTGCAGCTCGCGCGATTGTTGGTTGATGGCAGTATAGACGCTTTTGGCTACGTCTTTGGCATGCTTCTCGAAGCTGCTCATTCGCGGCTATGTGGGCTACAAAGAGGGGTGTTTGAAGTAATAGGTGCGATTTGCCAGCGGCCAATGCCAGACCGGTTTTCCTTGTTTATCGCAAGGCGCTCCTTTGTGGGCCTTTTGCGCACAAAGGCACTGGGCGGCATATGGGATAGACGAATTACCGCTTATTCAGGGATAATAGGCTCTAAGCACGTCATGTGGTGAAGGGAATATGCCTGCATTTTTCTGGCAAGTGTGAACAGCACCCGCTGCTTGCTTGGCCCACAGCGCACATTCATGGGCGGGTGCGTGCCGCCTGCTTTTTGCATTAATTGCCTGCCGGAAAGAGAAAAGGAAGAATGGCTGCATATTGCTGTTGTCCGTCAAAATAAAACAAACGCCGGACAGCACAAAATGCAACAGCGGTATCCTGAGCTGAAAAAAAATCTAGTGCCGAAGCGAACAATTTGCTGCCCACTGTCTGCACCGCGACGGACATTTGCCAGGCTTAATGAGCAGCCCCCCAATGGCAATCCTCAATAAAGGGCAATATGCCAGTCTGTCGCCCGTGTCGCCCTTGGGCCTCTCGTGAGAGCTTCACTGTTTTTGCGATCCTGCAGCAGGCGAAGAATACGAACGAGCACAAAAGCCCTTGTTTAATTCTTTTTTCCAGTGGCCGCATTCTCTTTTATTCTTTCTAGTACAAAAGAGCGCTGCCCTTACCGAACAAACCTGCCTTCCCGCCTTTTTTCATTTTCCTCCCTCGCCCCTCTTGGCTATGCTGTAATCCTCACTTTTTTCTCTGCCCCTGTATTTAACTGTACATACCATAAGCTGTCCGGCTGCCTTCACTCCACTCCTAAAAATTAAATAATATGACCACGCCTCAGATACACAGACACCTGCCGCTCGACATGAGCTCAGGAAGCACCCCACCCCACTCGACATCGACCCCCAGTCCGCTGCCGCAGGCGTCGCAGACGGGGGGCTCCGCAAGACAGGCGTGCAAATGCTCGCAGTGCGACCCGAGCTTTTATTCAATCCCCGTGCAGATGCTGTACAAGGGCAACGTCGAGTACGTGTGCCGCGATTGCCACATGTCGACACTTTCATACCAGGCCGTCCAGATGCACGAGAGCACAAGCGGCCACCGGCGCTGGTACAACTACCCGCAGTAGTGGGAGCTTTCATACATTAAAAATAACAAGGTCCCATTACTAAAACAATAATACCGTTGAATCGTCTGGCATTAGAGCTTGCCCTGGGTGGCCTGCTTCGGCTGCCAGTGGTACTCGATACCGGTCATCTTGTAGCCAGCGCGCTCGATCGGGAACTCGTCGACGCCCTTGGGGCCGCGCGAGCCGTACTCGTACGGCAGCGGCACAACCCGCTCCTTCTCGATGGTGTGCAGCAGGGGCGTGAAGATCCGCCAGGCCTCATCGAGCTCGTCGCTGCGCACAAAGTTGGAGTGATCGCCATTCAGCACATCCAGGATCAAGGTCGCATAGGCGTCGGGGATCTTGAGGTCCTGGTAGCGCTTGTGGTACGACAGATCCAGCTCCGACATGGCCAGGTTGGTCGACAGGCCGGGCTCCTTGACAATGGTCTTGATGTACACGGACTCCTTCGGGGACACCTGCAGGACCAGCTCGTTGCGCGCCAGGCTCGGGAACAGCGCATTCGGCATGTCCTTGAACTGGATGCGAATCACCATCTTGGCCTCGTCCAGGGCCTTGCCCGCCTTGATCACCCAGGGGACGCCGCGCCAGCGGTCGTTGTCGACGTGCAGGACGCACTGGGCAAAGGTGGGCGTGATCGAGTCCTTGGGGACCGTGGCGTCGTCCTTGTATCCGGGCTTGCTGCCGTCGCGCGTGCCGACGTACTGGCCCAGCAGCGTGTCCTCGAGCTGGATGGGCAGGATGCGGCGCAGCACCTCGGTCTTGCGGTCGCGGATGTCCTCGGAGCGCAGCGACTTTGGCTGGTTCATGGCTGACGATGCTCAGAACCTGCAGTCAGGTGGTTCTGCATGACGTCGCGGATCATACCGAACTCGTCAAAGTATCCGCCACGGCCCTCCGTGCCAAACGGCTCCTTGAACGTGATCTGCACATTGGAAATGTAGTGGCGGTTCCACACGGCCTCGTAGAAGACGTTGGCGAAGCGCAGCGCCAGGATGTTCTTGACCATCTCCTTGCCCAGGTAGTGGTCGATGCGGTAGATCTCGTCCTCCTCAAACAGCGCCCCGATCTCGCGGCTCAGCACGCGGCTCGACTCCAGGTCGTTTCCGAAACGGCTTCTCGATAACCACCCGGTTCGTGCACGACGCATCATACACGTTGCGGCGGATCTGCATGCCCACCGACACAAACACTGACGGCGGCAGCGCCAGATAGTAGATGTGAACGCGCTCGTCGCCCTCGCGCTTGTTCATCTGCTTCTCGTTGGCGTCGATTTCCTCGCGCAGCCGCACGAAATCCGCATCCACGTCGTACTTGCCGCTGACGTACTCGCAGATGCCCAGAAAGGTGTCGATGTCTGCCTGCGGGTCATCCTCCTTAAAGAACGACGTCACGCGCGATGTGAAGTCGGTGCGGGACATCTGTGTGCGCGCGTAGCCCAGGATGCGCGTGCGCTTGGGCAGCAGCCCCTGCTGGAACAGGTGGAACAGCGCTGGGAATGTCTTCTTCTTGGCCAGGTCGCCGGATGCGCCAAACACCACGATCGTGGTCACCACGTCGTGCTTGGCTGCCTCGTCGAGTCCTCCAGTGAACGACATTGGGGGTTGTATCAGTTAGAGTTAGTGGTAAAGAGAGAGAGAGAAGCAGTAGTGAAGTAAAGAGCTGGCCCTTATAATAGTAGACGAAAAAAGCAGCTGGGAGTTTTTTTATTATTAAAGGGGAGGGGATGACGGGGGGAATAGAAAGTTAAGGAACTAGGGGGAAAAGTGGGCGCTCCTAATCTCGGACCTTTTATAGAAACACTCCGACCGGCAGTGCGTGGGCAAGGCCAGGCAAGTGGCTCTCAGCAAAGAATGGATTGCTGGCGAACGCCTCTGTCCTGTTTGTGACATAAATTTCTTTGCCAGCGCTACTTCTTTTCAGCGCTTTTCCCTCTGCCTCTGCCTAGGCGCTCCACCGTGGCAAATCTGGCCCAGGATATTTAGGAAAAACGCAACCCGCATCCGCTCCTGATGACATGGCAACAAGCGAGAAGCCAAAAGGGCGCCTATCTCCGAGCGGGCCGGCCTGACGTGTGCTGTGCTGGGTTTCGGAGAATAAACGGGCTCCAGCACGCCTGCTTATTCGCTGGATTTATGCCGTTCAGCGGCTTCCAGCAGCAGTCGCAGGCGGTGGACGATTTGCAGGCGAGGACGCGTGCATCAGGCTGGCGATAAGCAGTGGGCTAGCTGCTGAGCGCCGAGCGACTGCTAAATCGCAGGGGCTGGCATCTGGTGATGGATTGCGCTGGCCAAATCAGCTCAATCCCTGCGCTGCGTCTAGGTATTAGTCAGCGGGATACCACCCCCAGATATAGGCGCGGGTGCTCGGGGTCGGCCCGCTTTGGAGAACATGCAGATCTTGCACCATCGCCTAAGCGGATTGCGTTTTCCGCCTTTTCTCCTTATTTCACATCTTTCCTCGCCTTAACTAACCTCTCCTTGCCGGTATGTGTGTGATGTTGGGCAATGGCACAGGAGCCAACCTAAAAACAAGCAGAGTCAAGGGGGTCGTGCATTCATTCTGCCGCCCCCTTCCCTCGCTATCAGCAGCCGGTACCTGCGCTCGGTGCTGCCAAGATTTCCCCTCCCTTCTTCTCTTTCACTCTTGAATTTTTCCCTCCTTTCTTTCACACTGCCTAATTTACTCACAAGAAGGTAGAGTCTGCGCACACCTACCGCAGGAGGGAAGGGATTGCGCCGTTGAGAGAAGATAGCAGGAGGGGGCGCAGTGAGCATTGGCCACACTACTGCGTTGTCCATATTCTCGGATGCCAAATGGTACCAGGAAACCAGAAACCAGAACAGCCTCCCCCCGCTTTTTGAGCTACGATTGAAATGCTACATGTACTATAGGAAATGGTTTTGCTAGAGGTTCCCCGGGTGCTGGTCCAGCTGCTGCGCGAGTGCGACAACAACCCGTACGCGCTGCCGCCGACAAAGCAGGGCGACTACCACCACTCGCGGTTCGCGGTAATGTCGCGGCTGCTGACGTGCCTGGTCAACGAGCGGCTGGTGCGGGCATGCTGCGTGACGACCACTGTGAACAATGTGGCAGTGAACTTCCTTGTCGTCGTGCGCAAGGGCTGCGAGTCGATAGCGGAGCAGCAGGACCTGTGGTCTCCCGGGACATTTGTGTTCCAGCTGCGTCACCGGCCGATGGTGAATGAGCCCGGGGCATTCGAGAACGTGCGGTGCGTCAGCATGCTTGATCCCGACGATCTGGGAGTGTGGGTGTGGAGAACGTGCTCGGTCGGCCACCTGCGGTGGACCGGCACGGTGGTTACGTGCCCGACAGAGCTGATGGAGCAGATGAGCACATGGAACAACCTGCAGGCGGACGCAGTGCAGGCCATCTGCGGAGAGCTCGAGAGCTCGATCCGCCACCAGGAGTACGCGTATGCCCACCGCGCAGACCTGCCGAAGCTGGACATTGCAAAGTCGCGACCGATCGACTGGGAGCAGAGCATCGTCGAGGGCCATGCCACGCACCCAATGCATCGGGCGCGCCATGCGATGCCGCCGCTGGCGCGCATCACGCCCAGCACCGAGTTCAAGCACGTGCGGCTGGGGTTCGTCGCAGTGCCGCGCGCAGTAATGGCGATCCAGGGAGACTATGACAGTCTGCTGATGCCAGTTGTTCCGCAGCGCCGAGCCCAATCCCGAGGCCGACGCCCAGTCGATAATGGAGACAGTGGATGGCGAGCGCGAGGTTATCGTGCCGGTCCACCCCCTGCACATGCCGGCCATCCGGGCCAAATTCAAGTTTGCGCGGCCGCTGCCGTTCTCGGCGGCCGCCGAAGCCCAGGCGTCGCTGCGCACGGTCTCGCCGATGGCGCTGGAGGCGTCTGGCTACGACATCAAGCTGCCACTGGGCGCTAAGACGTCGTCGGCGCTGCGCACGGTCAGCACGTGGTCCGCGTTCCTGGGCCCGCAGCTGACAAATCTCGTGCCGCAGATGCTGCAGGCGAACCCAAATGCCCCACTGGTGGCCGGCGAGCCTGCCAGCATTATCCTGAGGGATGCCGACAATGACGTGGCAAAGTACCTGGCCTGCATTGTGCGGGTGAGCGCCCAGAAGCTGTGCCAGGGCAATCGCGACGCACGTGCGATTGTCGCAGCATCGCTGACTGAGCGCAATGCTGCGGGCAGAAGCAACGTTGTGGAGCTGCTGAATCTGCACTCGGTCGAGCAGCGCTTGGCGTTCCTGCGCGCATATGTGTCCAAGCTGTTCAGCGCATTCCTGCCGTCGATTCTGACCCACGGGTTTACGTTCGAGGCACACCAGCAGAACACACTGGTGGTGCTCAGCGCAGCTACGGGGTTGCCGATACAATTCATGATCCGCGACTTTGGCGGCATCATGGTTCACATGGAGACATTCAAGGAGGCGGCTGGGTTCGAGATTCCGATGCTGCTGGACAACAGCACCACGGCGGCGGACCTGGACGAAGTGTATGGGGTGGCGTACCATACGATAGTGCAGTGCCAGATCCACCGGCTGGTGCGGGCCCTCGGGCTGCATTACGAGGGCGACGGGTGGCAGGTTGTGCGGGAGGAGTTTGAAAAGTGCGTGCCGCACGAGTCGCCGCTGTATGTGGCGTGGACACGCAGGGAAGTCAGACTGAAGAGCTTCATCACGATGAAGCTCGGCGGGCTCTACCGCGACTATGTGTATGGCAGCGTTCCAAACATATTGTTCTACCGCAACGAGCAGCAGGGGGTAGTTTTCTGAAGAGAGCTCAAAAATAAAGTAGGCATTGTTGCGACGAAGGAGTTTGCAAACAAGCCTCCGGGAAAGATGCGAGAGAGATGTGGGCTGTGTTTTTCCTTTTCGATGCCACCGCCACAGGTCAGACGAGGGGGCGGGCAGCCCTGCGATTGTTCGCAGGCGGTGTGTATGTTTGTCTTGTGCGTCGCAGCAGGCATTGGCATAGATGGGAGAACAACATGGACCATGCATTGTATCAGCAGGCATACATGTTTTTGCATTGCGGGCCTGCTTTGACCGGGGGCTCTCCGGCCAGGCGCCTTTTTCGGTGGGCAATCCCATTCCTGGTGCGCGGTTCAGCCGTAAGACCATTGGGCAGCACGAGTGGGCCTCCCTCGGATTTTCTCAAAACAACAGCTTCAAATAAAACTCGCAGAAATTACGACCAGTGGGCTGCTGCGAAATCTATTTTCTGTGCACTTTGTGCTGCCTGGCTCCTTGTTGTAGCCTGGACCAGCCTGGTGATGAGCTCGCCCTGCTGTTCTAGCCCTTCTCCACTTCCTCTTTTCCCTTTATTGCAAAATAGTAAAAGAATCCCAGGTCCTCCTCCCTCTGCTCTCTCCCTCTCCTCCAAACCCGCCCCTTCAATCCCTTCCCCTCCCTCCTCTCTGTCCATCTGCTCTGTACTGTCTGGTAGGACACCTTTTGTTGTTGCCAAAGCTCGACCTGTTGCAACTCGCCCATTTTTATTTTTAGCCTCCTTGTGAGAAAGACCCACCTTCTGTATTCTTATAAATCATGACCGCCCCTCTGACGTTCCCCTCGCTGCCCAGCGAGAACAACTCGCGCTCCTCGTCGCCGGTGGCCGACAGTAAGCCAAAGAAGCCAGCACGGCGGCCCAACAAGCCCAAGGCGCCAAAGCAGGCCAGGACCGAGGAGACCGCAAAGAAGGCCGCAGAGACCGCAAAGAAGGCCGAGCACAATAAGCGCGGGTCAGGCAGCCGGCGCACGCGCGCCAAAACAGAGGGCACCAAGCCGCAGGAGAAGCCGCAGGCAGGTGCCCAAGCAGAAGCCGGCGCGGAAGAACCAGGCGCGGCGCAAGACCGAGGCGGCAACGGAGAACTCCCCTGGGCTGCAGCGCGCCATGATCGTGCAGGGGGAGAACGGGCGCGCGCGCGTGCTGTTCTCCGGCCTGAGCCCCATGGACCAGGTGGCCGAGGAGACGCCGCGCCGCGCATCGGTCAGCGCCCACGGGTCGGCGCGCGGGCGCTACGACGGGCTCAGCCTGGTCGGCTCGCCCAGCTCCATGCGGTCGGCGGTGGCATTGCCGCTGGTCAACGGGCTGATCAACAGCCACCGCCAGCGGTCGCTTACGGCTGCGCAGCCGCAGCCCGTGCAGATGGCGCGCGTGCAGCCGGTGGAGCAGCCGCGCACGCGCAGCCAGACAGTGTCCGAATCCACGTGAGCGAGACCGGATTGCGCATTTCCATGGCCCAGGCGCGGCCCGGCAATGTCCTGGCCCCGCACGTGCCGCTGGCCCCGCGCGCCCCCGGCATGCCAGTCCAATGCGTACGCGACCGGCGGCTACTTTGCCAAGCGCCGCGCGTCCGTATCGAACGTCGGCCTGGCAGTCGACCCCAGCCACTCGATCCGCATCCCAGCCATTATGTTCCAGAAGCCCGCGGATCTGGAGCAGCCCGGCGCCCCGCACACGCCGGTGTCGAACCCGAACACGCCCGATCCCAAGGACGGCGAGGGCCTGGCGATGAAGCGCCTGCAGGACATGATCTCGTCCATGCGCAACCTGACGCCCAAGCAGCCGCTGAAGCCCGCGGAAATCACCCTGCCGCCCACCCCCGCTGCCCACCCGACGTCGCGCTTCGACAGCATCCTCGAGGAGGACGAGGATGACGAGGCTGAAGGAGCAGGAGCTGATCGACGAGCCCGACTCCACGCCCGTCAGCCACTCGCAGACCGTGCTGGCCGCGTAAATACGGAGTTCCTGACTCCCCTACCCACCCACACCTTGTACCAATTTCTTTTCCTTCTATCTCTTTGCCATATTTCCAAAAACTGACTTCATAAACTGTCCATGCCCAACCCATCACAGTAGAATGTGTCTTTGGGACATGAGACGACTGGGTGGTTACCATTGCCCTGGTCGCCCACGGTGCCCTAAGGCAAAGCCCCTCTCACACTTTGCCTCTCAGCCAGCGGAGCCAACCGAGTGGACGGCCAACGTTGTCCGAGTGGCCTGATGATGCCTCCTGCTGCTCTGCTGCCTCTTTGGATCTGGCTTTTGTTTTCCGGCCGATGTGTGATCCACAAAAAAGCGCCCTTTGGAGGCCGGGGGAGCGGAATCCATGCCAGAATCACCCCATATGCGTGGCTGCACATACATCGGCTTATTTTATTTATTATATGGTCCTCATTTCGCAGAACTGCTGCTGCTTTACTCTCTACCTTCACTTCCCTCTCCCCCCTTGCTCACATCCCATCAATACTTTATATCTGCAGTCAGCACCATGCCTGAGATCCAGCTTGACCACTTTTCCGAGCAGTATCCGAACCGGATCAACCCGCCCGAGTACCCGTACGTCCTGTACCCATCCAATTTCTTCGCCATCCTGGGCGGCACATTCGCATCTCTGAGCAGCGTCAGCGCCAAGCTGGCCGTCGCCCAGAACACATCGCTGGTGAGCTCAGCCCTGCACGAGATGATGCCGAAGCTGGACATCTCCCTTTTGTCGCTGCTGACCCGCTTTGTCATGCTGGCAGCCATCGCCGCCTGCAACTTTTTCATGTGGCTTGTTTTTCACCAAGGCCCTGCGGTACGGCGACTCGACCGTGCGCGTGATGATGGTCCAGACTGTCTCTAATTTCGCCGTCACCGCGCTGGCCGGCGTCTATCTGTTTGGCGATGTCCTGTCGATGCAGTGGTGGTGCGGTGCCACTTTGATCGCGGTTGGCTTGACCTGCCTGAGCTCGGAAAAGCACGTCGGGTTCGTGCGCGAGAGCCCCGACTATGCCTTTGAGGTCAACGGATACAAGCCCGAGGACAAGAAGGAGTCGAAAAAGACCCAGTGAGCTCGTATCTTCACATTTGCAAGTTGCGCTACATCATATCCAAGGTCGATATACAAAACATTTCCTTCAAATGACCACTCCCAATCTTTACGACGTTGCTGCTGACATGTCGGATAACTTCATGTTTTTTTTGGTTGGCAAGCTGCCCAAGAGAGTGAAAAGGAAATGAAAGGAAGCATATAAGGCAACCTTAGTAGCCACCACGTCCACGGCCACGGCCGCCGAATCCACCACGGCCGCCAAATCCGCCACGGCCTCCACCAAATCCACCGCGGCCTCCACCAAATCCACCACGACCTCCGCCCCGGCTGAAGCCGCCACGGCCTCCGCCACGGCCGCTAAACCCACCACGAGCACCGCCGCGTCCGCCGCGTCCACCCTGGGCACCGCCGCGTCCGCCGGCCGCCTTCTTCTTAACCTTACCGCCAACCGGCTTCGGCTTGGGCAGGAACCGGTCAAGCGGCAGAAGCTTGTCACCAGCAATAAACACCTTGTCGTCCTTCTTGAACGAATCGGCAACCACGCCCTCCTGCAGCTTGACCGTGAAATACACCTCGTTGATCGGCCCCAGAATCTCGTCCACCTTGCCAATCTGCGTCTTGTTCTCAAGGTAGATCGGCGCGTTAAAGTACGGAACCTTGGTGTTCGTGGACTTGCACACCATCTCGCCCTCGCACGCATGCATGTAGCTGCCCATCTCGAACACTGCGTCGGGCGGTCCATACGAGGCGTGTCCGCCGAACCCGCCACGTCCTCCACCGCGGCCTCCAAAACCGCCGCGGCCTCCGCCGAACCCACCACGTCCTCCGCCCCTGCTGAATCCGCCTCTCGAAGACATTTCTATGTGTGCTGCTTTATATATATAGTCCGCTGTCGTTTCTTCCCAAGGGGCTCCTAGTTTGGCTGGCGTGCAAACAGCTAGTAAGGTGAATATAAAGTAGGAGGGAAATTGAGCGTCAGCTTTTAATGTAGAAAGAACGCAGAGCGAGAAATAAAAAAATATTCGTGCTTTGATTCACTGTGGTCCAAAAAAATTTTTGATCCAGGCGTATGAGAATTATATCAAGCGGGACCAGCACAGAGGTTTTATCACGTGATGTTGTAGCCAGCATATCCCTCAATCACTATTGGGCCGGGTTTGGCGGCTTGCCTTGTCGTCCTTCCAATGCAACTCGGCTCGGTGCAGCTCGCCAGCATATCGCGCATGTACACAGCAGCAGCCACAACATGTATATGGCTACATGCCTCATCTGCAATGAGTCGAATATAACATGTTGACAAAACTGATACATGGCTGAAACTAAAACAAACTTTAGACATAACATCACCTAGGAAGTGGATGGAAAACTACCGAGTCATTGTCGCTATCGTAGTTGGGGTGCGGCCCAATATTATATATGCTTATGTACGGACTATAGTCGTCGTAGTAGCTAGCATCGGAGCGGATATGGCACTGCCGAATATCCTGCATCCACTGCTTGATATCGTCATCCGATGGCGCACAATCCGCCTGCCACTGCTGGTGGTACAGCCCGCAGGCACCCTGCACCTGCGATCCGATCTTCGACCAGCTTGTAAACACGCGGTCGCGCATGCCCATCTTGTCAAACTGCGCTGAACGAGGGTGAACTGATCTGTGAACGTACTGTGAGCCACTCAGGCGGATGGGCGACATTCAGGCAGACGTCACACACGAATATTGGCAGAACGAAAATTGGCTGCAGCGACTCGGCAATGCAGAGTGCCTCGAACAGCCAAGCAGACTGCGATCCGCCCAGACGGAAAGCCAGCTTCCAAGCCAGTAGAGCAGGAATCATTGTATAGCAGGTGGCAAGCCACATGCGACCGCGAATGCTCGCTGCACTGCCCAGCATCCGACACCATCGAGGCAGTCGGGCTGCTGGCTGAGTACTTCGCCATCTTGCGCGCCTTGACCAGCGAAAACCCCACCGACATGACTGTCAGGACCAGCGAGAACATAATCCATATACCCTCGGTCAGCCAAACGGTAGCAGAGAACTTTGCATATGTGGTCTCGACCACCTACGCTGGCGCCGCGAAACTCCGCTGAGTCAAACACGTACAGGACTGGGTGGGTCACCACCAGGGCGATCAGAAAACATGCAATTTCATAGTAGTCACTGAGCCGCCGCGCCAACCCAAAGCTACGTAGCCCGTAGCGCACGAACCGAATCCAGGCCAACCGCGCACAGCACCAGCAGCGCGTTGAGCACCAGGCTCATGGTTGCCACAAATATAGGGAACCGCGCTATCAGCAGGCTAGCCGTGGCAGCATCGCTTGTATGCGCGAGTGCAAGCTGGCTGGCTGCGTAGCTGAGGGACGACAGCGACAGGACGCTGACAACCCGGCACCGGAGACTGTCGGCCTGCGATTTACTAAGGTGGATGTTGGTGCACAGAGCCCCCACAAATGTCAATGCCGATATTACAGTCGATGCCAGATTCAACTGTCTAATAGTGCGTATAGCATGCTCATCCAGCGAGGGCCCACCAGCACCATCGAGAACCATAGTCGTAGACATTATCAAAACGAAAGGATAGCAGAAATGATAAATAAAAGCCGTAATAGCAAAAGTATAAAGAAATGGTGGTTGGAAATGAAAAGAAGAAAAAATGTGAACTGTATAACTATTTGCCCGTAGTTTTACGAATGGAAATACTGTTGAGACGCAGGTCAACTGGCAGATCTCTCTCTGGATGGGATATACTCGGTCAAGCTATATATGCATATCAGTGGAAGGCTGCTGCATACTCATAAAGTCATCCAGCAGTCACTGCCCAAACAGGCAATAATAATTGTAGACCATTCTTCCTTTGTTGCATATGGACCGAATATTCCATATTGGCTGATTGTGAAAAAGCTTCTCACTGACTTTGTCGCATTATGTTGTACCGGCAATTTTACGTTGAACATAATGGAAAATATCCATTATCACGGTGTGGCAAGAGACTAGGACCTTCCGCAGGTTACATAAAAGAATAGTCGGCTCAATGTTGGCCATTGGTATGCAGAATGAGGTGTAAATAGAGCCGCAATTCATTTCGACAATAATATTTGTTCAATATCGACAATCCGTGGATTGTCGAAAACGACAATATGAGACAGCCACTACATGGCGCAAAAATATTTTTATTGAATCTCAATAGGCACGCTCCAGCTGCGGGACATTGTCGACATTACTTAGCAGCATGCACCCACTAGTCAAGCTGTTGGTATCGGCGCTATCAGCGGCAGGTATCACTGAGAAAAGAACATCTTGTGTGCTGAGTGAAAGGCGGATCGGTAAATAATGCCTTTGAGCCACTTGTGCTCTGTGTTACACTCGCCATAGATAGTCTGTGTCCCAACAATAGACACTTGAAGCAACGCAGTTGTAGGTAATATGACGCTGGATGGATGCAGCATGAAGTGTATTTTAAGAGAGAATAGCAGCGTGGATTCTGGTAGTGTGAACGCGGCTAATTCCGGCTCTCTGGAACCTTGCACATACAATAGCTGGCGCCGATACCAGCCTCCTCGCATGTACGACCAGCCTTTTGTGCCGAAAATAGCGATCGCTTCCAGTCGTCAATATTGAATTTCGGCCAGTCCGCCAACGCGCGGAACGTATAATGTGTTTCAAATGGAGTCATCAGCCGCTGCTCGTTCGCCTTGAATGGCGACAGACCATCACCTGTGTGCTCTTGGTATGCATTAGCAAACTGGTACAGGTACTCAGGCATCGACATGGCAAAGAGCGGGTTCTGGTGCTCGATCCGTCCGTTCTGCGTAAAAACAAAGTTTAGTCCCATGTGGAGACCATGGTCTGCACCGAGAATAAACACAGTGTCCTCCAATTCGCCGCTATTGCGCATGCCTTCGATAAACTCCGACAGTGCATGATCCATCGTGGCAAGGACCTCGCTAGTGCCCTCGTGTCCCTCCATGAATGCAGCAGTGATCATATATGGCTTTCCATCACGCCTGCTCGCGCGAATATCACGCTTCAGCTTGCGGATGTAGTCGAGCGCATATTCATGCAAATACCTTCCGTACAAGCACCGTGCAGTGATCGAGTGCGTTCCCTTGAAATTCCCAAACGCATTGCCGGTTTCCGGGTATACTTCGGGCAGGCAGAACGGCGACGTCAGCTCGTAGTCCAAACTGCGGTCGGAGAACGCAAATGTTTGCGGATCGAACTTGTCGGCTAGATATTCCTGCGGCCAGTCTTCGCAGCCAGTCTCAACACGGGCTGTCACATATCCGCGGTCGCGATAATATGCCCAAATCGGCAGCTGCTTTTCTTTTGATGGGTAGATTTCGCCAGCGAACATAGGCTTTGGTGTTGTTATCCGTGCTGAATCCGACTGAATGATAGCGATATAGCTCGAAAAGGCGCGAGGTTCCGGGGCGGTCCAAGGTGCGCAGGACACGTGCAGTGCGTGGCAGGCGACGGAAAAACATGCGATGAGACACAGCATCGAGCATCAGGAAAATAACATTCGGGCGCTGTCTCCGTGTGTGCGCAATCTGGCTCACATCAAACCAGTCGTCGTCATTAGTGCTCCGGTCTCTGCGGGTATCCGAGTCCGCAGGCGGGACGTATTGAGGGAGGCTGCGCGCGGGCGGGCTCACTCGAGTCACAACACTGCTGCTTGATCCGCACCGGACAACAACCGACTGGATGCCGTGCGGTACCATGAAGGGTGCACTGGTGTAGGGCATGCGCCGGGTTGCATTCAGGACATTGCGGTTGTAGCCATTCCATAGATCCTTGTCCTTCATCGGCCACAGGCGTGTATCGGGAAGCACGTCGACATAGATCTTATCCTCATGTCCACAGTCCACGTGCAGAGTGCCGGTTTCGTCAATGTGCGCGCGGATCTGCAGCTTTTCCTTCGCACACTTTGATGACCCAGCCCAAAAGTTTTGTGCACCGGCAGGCAGCAGGTCAATATAAGGGATGTTAGTGCCGACCCATTGGCACTCGCCGGGGATATACTGGAATCGACCCAGCACACCTTGGTCAAACACGCGTCTGTAGTGCACCAAGGATATACCTGCCGATATTCCAGCAATAATGGATGCAACAGCAAAGTACACGAGGAAGTTCTCAATCTTGCACCACAGTATGTAGAATACTGCAATGGCTATGTTCAATGGCACATAGATTGCCAAAAACACCAGGAGGTTGTAGAATCCGTGCTTTTCGAAGCGCTCGCCGTGGTCGTAGCAATACAGCACAACCATTGTGCCAAGCATCGCCAGAAATGTCACCCGTCGCATACTTCTGCGCATGCGGCTCGCGTAAAGCATGACGGTAATGGTAGTCATACACGCTACTGACACCACAAGTTCAGCGCCCATGATTCCCAAGTGCTCGTTGATGTACAGGAGGTTGTCGCCTTGGAGCGACATAAGATACGAAACAGTGCCGATGAATAGCAAGAGAGCAAGGCCCACGGGTTTCGGTACAGATCGGACTGATAGTCGCCACCGGCTTTGGTCAGTCGAGATGACATGGGTGTATTTAGGCTTGTCCCAGTCATAGCTGTCTGCACGATATAACGGTAAGCGCTGGTGAATATTGTGCCGCGTAAATGCCATGGTATCGTCTGAAGGTGGAACAGGCGTTAGCGTAAAAGTGCAGAAAAAGGAGCTGTTCGTAGGTGGAAAAGGAGAGGGCGTGCGGAGTTTCCTCTGGTTTATAGCCGAGTGTTTGGAGATGGAAAGTGGCCGTGGAAATTGGGAACAGGTTATTAGCTTGGAATGCCCTGCAAAACAATCAAAAAAAATCAGCGCCCATCCCTAGTATAGTGAGCTGATTGTAGCTAGCCCGCTGCCACTAACAATCACCTTTTGTCGCCTCTGCTCTATCCGGTCTGTAGTCCAGTCAAGCGAAAAAAAACGGCAAAAAGAACCAACGTGTCTGAGCGTGGGGCCTATGAGCCTCAGTCAGTTTCTTGCCAATGTTTAGCATGTATGCACAAACATATAAACGTCGACCATTATAAGCGAGTTTTTAGGTACTCCCTTGCCAACCAGCGTCGCAGAGTGCCTATTCAAACTAGTTTATCTGTCTGTCTGCGTGTTACGCTTTAAAATAAAATATTTTACTATATTTTACTATTAATGTGATCACAATTAAGCTAGTATTATTTACAGTCTTAGGTTGCCTATATTAACATCTACTCTATAGGAAGGCTCAGCACCAGCACCTTAATTTTGTAGCAGCTTATACTTTGCAGCAGCTCATAAATTGAGGTCAATAAATTCACTTCAGCTATAAGGTATTGTATGATAGATTTATTCTTAGATCACCAATAGTTTTATATTTTGTTGAGTCAATTGCCTTGTAGCATATCAATTCTTTCTTCTTCTTTAACTATTTCATTTTTAGCTAGTATTTCAAGTATCTTCAATCCAACCCTCTTTTGAGCTCTAGAAGCACTTGTATCTCTATGCTATAACATTGTATTTATATTCACTAAAAATTAAATAAAAAAAATAAAATATGATATCAGCTAGTAGCTTAGAGTTAGATGAACATTGCAGAGCTAGTGCCAGCCTATGTAGTTATTGATACAGAGTATGGATATAGGAGGTCATTCAAAGTTACTTATCTGCATAACAATTATTTATGCATATTGAAACTACTAATAATTTCAGTGAAATAAAATTTTCACCTAAACTGCTATCAGTATCTTAGAAAAGTTTTAGTGAATATAGGAGGTCATTTATAGAGGCCATTCATAAATATAAAAGTTTAAAGAAACTAAATATCTATTATCAGAACAACCATTTAACAAATAATAAATCAATTACTAGTAGTAGATAAATATTTTAAAATATAGAATGTTTTGTAATGGCCAAAAAGATTCTAGCAACTAGATTAACAAATAAACAAAGATGCCAAATATGGTGCTTCTATGAAACCCCTTTGGCATCCTGAAAAATTTCAGTTGATACACAATTAATATGCTTCTACTGAGATAGAGGCTGTATCCCGAGAAATCAACTGAAATTTTTCAGGATGCTGAAGGGGGTTTCATAGAAGCATCATATTTGGCATCTGAATAAGAAAACAATAAAAATATTAATAATTATTAAATAGCTAACAACTTCTGACTGATCTCCTATAGTTACTAAACTAGGAAATAAATATTTTAACCTTCTAAAGCTATTTGCTCTTTTATTTTTTTTATACTTCTACAAAACCCCTATTGGTATCCTAAAAAATTTCAGTAGATATATAATTAATATGCTTCTACTGAGATAGAGGCTGGGTTACTAGAAATCAACTGAAATTTTTTAGGATGCTGATAGGGGTTTCAGAGAAGTGTAATAATAACAAAGGAATATGAAGTTTTAAATATTAAATATTAAATACCTAGTTTAGTAACTATGAATAACCTCCTTAGGTAAAATAAAAAATTATATCTTTATAATCATTTTTAAGCATTTAAACATTCTAGATACAATAATAACTAATATCTATACTATAAACATCTAGTAGCAAATAACTATTCTAAAAATAATTACTTAATTATCTAACAAACAAAATTATAATTTACTAAATTTTATATTTCTATAAATGACCACTTTAATATATATTTAACTCTTCTATAATTTCTTATTTGAATATTATTTAGGTACTTCTATGAAACTCCTTTTATATCCTAAAATTTTTAGTATATTTCTTTTAACTAACCCTATATCTCAGTATAAGTATGCTAATTATATTAACTGAATTTTTAGGATACAGAAGGAGTTTCATAGAAGTACCTAAATAATATAAGAGCAATAAATTATAGAAGATATGAATACACATTAGGTAGTTTAGTAACTGTGAATAGCCCCTAATAAGAAAATATGCCTTCTTATTAAGGTAATAAGAATATCTAAAGCAGAATGTAGGAGATAATTAGAGTGAAGAAATATATATGCGAAACGTGGTTAGATGGTTTACAATTATCACATGACTTCCAAACCGCAAAGCAGCTGCATAAAATCAATCAATCAATATTTAATTATGGGATTAGCAATAGGGAATTACCAAGGGGGAGTGCCTAATCGCATCTTGCAAAGTGGGATGCATTAAGCTGCAATCGTTGTCGCGGCTTTTTATTTAGAAAAATAGAGCAAGAATTGTCAGCCTGGCGCCTATTGGCTTCAGGTTCAAGAGAATCCAGTGCCTCCTCTCCACACCACATTAATGGACCATGGCCTCATCACATAAGCGCATATTTATAGTTGATGAGCTTGCTATGTTAGTTAAGTTTTAATTATCGCCTTTAAAAACCTCTCCACAAACTGAATAAAATAGAGAAAAGTGAATAGACGTGTTGCGTAGAGGTGTTTTCAATGCGGCCGTTTGTGCAATACATCAGTCTAGACGTTAGCTCCATAGTGTAGACTATAACGGGGCTCTTGTTGACGCCTGGCTTGCGGTCACCTGACTTGGCTGACATGTCGACGTCAGGGACAGCCGCGACGGGTGCACAACAATAAGTAACACGACGCTGGATGGATGCAGCATGAAGTGTATTTTAAGAGAGAATAGCAGTGTGGATTCTCGTAGTGTGAATGCGGCTAATTCCGGCTCTCTGGGACCTTGCACATACAATAGCTGGCGCCGATACCAGCCTCCTCGCATGTACGACCAGCCTTTTGTGCTGAAAATAGCGATCGCTTCCAGTCGTCAATATTGAATTTCGGCCAGTCCGCCAACGCGCGGAACGTATGATGCGTTTCAAATGGAGTCATCAGCCGCTGCTCGTTCGCCTTGAATGGCGACAGACCGCCACCTGTGTGCTCTTGGTATGCATTAGCAAACTGGTACAGGTACTCAGGCATCGACATGGCAAAGAGCGGGTTCTGGTGCTCGATCCGTCCGTTCTGCGTGAAGGCAAAGTTTAGTCCCATGTGGAGACCATGGTCTGCACCGAGAATAAACACAGTGTCCTCCAATTCGCCGCTATTGCGCATGCCCTCGATAAACTCCGACAGTGCATGATCCATCGTGGCAAGGACCTCGCTAGTGCCCTCGTGTCCCTCCATGAATGCAGCAGTGATCATATATGGCTTTCCATCACGCCTGCTCGCGCGAATATCACGCTTCAGCTTGCGGATGTAGTCGAGCGCATATTCATGCAAATACCTTCCGTACAAGCACCGTGCAGTGATCGAGTGCGTTCCTTTGAAATTCCCAAACGCATTGCCGGTTTCCGGGTATACTTCAGGCAGGCAGAACGGCGATGTCAGCTCGTAGTCCAAACTGCGGTCGGAGAACGCAAATGTTTGCGGATCGAACTTGTCGGCTAGATATTCCTGCGGCCAGTCGTCACAGCCAGTCTCAACACGGGCTGTCACATATCCGCGGTCGCGATAATATGCCCAGATCGGCAGCTGCTTTTCTTTTGATGGGTAGATTTCGCCCGTGTACATAGCTTTGGTGTTGTTATCCGTGCTGAATCCGACTGAATGATAGCGATATAGCTCGAAAAGGCGCGAGGTTCCGGGGCGGTCCAAGGTGCGCAGGACACGTGCAGTGCGTGGCAGGCGACGGAAAAACATGCGACGGGACACAGCATCGAGCATCAGGAAAATAACATTCGGGCGCTGTCTCCGTGTGTGCGCAATCTGGCTCACATCAAACCAGTCGTCGTCATTAGTGCTCCGGTCTCTGCGGGTATCCGAGTCCGCAGGCGGGACGTATTGAGGGAGGCTGCGCGCGGGCGGGCTCACTCGAGTCACAACACTGCTGCTTGATCCGCACCGGACAACAACCGACTGGATGCCGTGCGGTACCATGAAGGGTGCACTGGTGTAGGGCATGCGCCGGGTTGCATTCAGGACATTGCGGTTGTAGCCATTCCATAGATCCTTGTCCTTCATCGGCCACAGGCGTGTATCGGGAAGCACGTCGACATAGATCTTATCCTCATGTCCACAGTCCACGTGCAGAGTGCCGGTTTCGTCAATGTGCGCGCGGATCTGTAGCTTTTCCTTCGCACACTTTGATGACCCAGCCCAAAAGTTTTGTGCACCGGCAGGCAGCAGGTCAATATAAGGGATGTTAGTGCCGACCCATTGGCACTCGCCGGGGATATACTGGAATCGACCCAGCACACCTTGGTCAAACACGCGTCTGTAGTGCACCAAGGATATACCTGCCGATATTCCAGCAATAATGGATGCAACAGCAAAGTACACGAGGAAGTTCTCAATCTTGCACCACAGTATGTAGAATACTGCAATGGCTATGTTCAATGGCACATAGATTGCCAAAAACACCAGGAGGTTGTAGAATCCGTGCTTTTCGAAGCGCTCGCCGTGGTCGTAGCAATACAGCACAACCATTGTGCCAAGCATCGCCAGAAATGTCACCCGTCGCATACTTCTGCGCATGCGGCTCGCGTAAAGCATGACGGTAATGGTAGTCATACACGCTACTGACACCACAAGTTCAGCGCCCATGATTCCCAAGTGCTCGTTGATGTACAGGAGGTTGTCGCCTTGGAGCGACATAAGATACGAAACAGTGCCGATGAATAGCAAGAGAGCAAGGCCCACGGGTTTCGGTACAGATCGGACTGATAGTCGCCACCGGCTTTGGTCAGTCGAGATGACATGGGTGTATTTAGGCTTGTCCCAGTCATAGCTGTCTGCACGATATAACGGTAACCGCTGGTGCACATCGTGCTGCGTAAATTTCATGATATGGTCTGAAGGTGGAACAGGCGTTAGCGTAAAAGTGCAGAAAAAGGAGCTGTTTGTAGGTGGAAGGGGGGAGGGCGAGCGGGGGCACCTCTGGTTTATAACTGTAGTTCTGGGGATTAAAAGTGGCCTTGCAAATGGGGAAACAGTTTATTGGAATTTTCTGCAAAGCAATCAAAAAAAAACCAACGCCGATCCCTGGCTTCGTGCACTGATTGCAGCTGGTCCACTGCCACTAACAACCACCTTTTGTCGCCTCTGCTCTATCCGGTCTGTAGTCCAGTCAAGCGAAAAAAAAAAAAAAACGGCAAAAAGAACCAGTGTGTCTGGGCGTGGAGCCTATGAGCCTCAGCCAGTTTCTCGCCTATGCTTAACGGTCAATGTTTATGCGATTATGCACATAGGCTAAGAGCAAGTTTTTTTTTTAAGAGGAAGGATTGCCGGCCTGGCATCTATTGGCCCCGGTTTACGAGAGTTCAGTGCCTCCTCTCCACACAACATTAGCGGACCACGGCCTCGTCACACAAGCGCATATTTATAGGCGATGGGTCTAGAGGAAACGGAATGTGCGATGCATGCGCTCGATGACTTGGCGCTTCTGGCGCCCAGACAGCCTGGCACTCTCAAGGTCCCTAACATCCTGCAGGAACATCGAGCGCGCTCTGGGGGGAGCTGGCAGCCAATTGTGACCGAGCCTCAGGACGCCAGGGGCTGCGGCATTCGGCAATGCCAGGGCTTGGCGGCGCAAATCAAGTGTGAGGCAGATTAGCTGGCCCTGCACGGCCGGCGGCACAGGCTTCGACTCATCGATGTTAAGCAGTCGGTCAATGTCGCGCATGGAGACCTGGATCGATGCAACCGCATGCCGGCTGGCGCCGCTGATCCAGCGCGACAGCAGGCTGCTGACCCAGCTGGCTGCAGAGTACAGCGTCAGGGTGGCTGGCACCGTCGAGAGCAGCAAAAAGTTGAGCTCGTTGGATTTGAGCAGCTTGTCAAGCGCTGCCATGGTCTGGCCCACGTCGACTTTGACTTTTTGCACCTGTATCAGCATGGCCTGCACGAGGTCGCCAAACAGAACATTGCGGAATGGCTGCTGCATCTCGCGCGCATAGACACTCATGACGTCAGACAGGTCACCCCCCATTACACGCTGGCGGATAGCCGTAGCATCGGAATTGCCGAAACGGGAGGCAAATCGCACAACCATGTCCTCCAGCGACTGGAAGTCTGACACCAGTGATTCCTCGGTGGTGACGCTGTAAGTGTGCTTGCCGTAACGGATGGTCTCGTAGCCGCTTCGGAGCGGCTGTATGATGTACTGCGACACATAGTTGCACATAGTTGTCAGGCTGTCCTTCGCCCAGTTGGCGATGTCCTCGCTGCGTCCTGAAATATACTGCGACAAGTACCGTACGCTGCAAAGGACTACTATTCCGGGGAGCCACGCTCGTGTGAACAGTGACGGGCGTCTGTATGCTTTGATCTTGTGCAGTTGGCTGGATGACAGGCTGTTGATGCGTCTGGCCATGTCCAGCGTGCTTGCAGCCAATGTGGCAAGATCTGCATCACCCTGGACCGAGATGGGCTCTGACCTGGATCTGTCAGCCGAATTGATGATATCAGCGATCTGCTCCACCAGCCCGGTAACTGAGATGGCCGTCTGGTTGTCAACCGCAGACGCCTGTGACAGCTGCCCGATCTGCAGTGCCAGACTGTTACGTGCCAGTTCCAGACCGCGCAGCTTGCCGCGCACCTCGCGCCGGGTCAGGCTCAGAATATTGACTTTCTCGGGCACCTGCGGCAGCCTCGCCAACGAGCTGTTGCGGACAAGCGGCAGATCAGGGAACAGGAGCCTGGTGGACAGGAAGTTGTACAGCTCTTCTGCAACCTGTCTTAGGCTGACGTTATCGCGCATCGCGAACTCGATCATTGCAGCGGCAGCTTTTGTGATACAGACGTAGGCGCGCGCTGGCAAAGACTCGACAAAGTACAAGGCCAGAGATATGGCGCCGCTGTCCTGCGCCGCCCAGTAGTCCATGTCGATTGACAGAGGCAGGACTGCAGAGAGCAGTTGCTCGATGGTGTGGGCATGGATCGCTGCAACAGCGCTCATCAGCACCAGCTCAGAATCAGTCTTGCTCGCTATGCTGATGCTCTCCGATGCTGTGCTGACGATGAGCTCCAGGTCTTTGATTGCGCTGGCGATGGTTGGCCGCCTGCTGGTCTGCGCCTGGTCGCCCATGCCTTCTTCCTTATTATCATTGGTGATGACTGCAGCTGTGCTTTCGTCGGGCAAGGCAGTCTGCGGTGTACCGAGCAGCTGTGTTGTCAGGTCGAATGCCCGGCCAGCCAGTTTGGTGTGGCTGCTGGCCCTCTCGCCCAACTCATGGTGTCGGTGTGCTAGCGCCCTGAACACTCCCGAGTAGTGCTCGTCGACAAAGTCCATAGTTCCTTTTCAATACAGCAGAAGATAAAGGTGAATGGCGAGAAAGAGGGAAAAGCCCAAGGCCCAAGGACAGCGATGCAGGTCCGATAGTTGCCAAGACGAGCCGCGGCTCCGGCTCGCTGCTTTAAGTCGGCGCGTGAAAAAATTCTCCACTCATTTAAAGCGCCAGCTTCAGGTTTCCAGCAGCCGAGCACCTCTTCTCTGTACTAAAATTTTTCAGTCGCTTTTTCATCTACTCAATGCTGTCCCTGTGCTGGTACGTATCTCTGGGGTATATTCCGCCCACCTGTTCCCCCTGTTCCATGTTGTGATATGATGAACGACGCCGCCCCAGGCGGAGACTGTCAATGTCGATAACATGCGTATTTAGCCAAACACAAATACCCTACTGATCAAAACATGCACGAACCCAGCAGCTCGTGTCAGATGAAGATGAGAAAGACGAGGCCGTATTTACTAATAACCAGGCTTTCTTGCTCTCGCTTAGATTTCGATCCGCCGGTGCCAGGACCGCTGTAGCCTGCTTTCTCCAACTCATTTGTACAATAACAATGCTGCATTTCTAAAAGGTAACGAATCCCCGATATCCACCTGCGCGCTTCGCACACCCTGGGCTGATGATCCAAACTTTCCATGCTAATTCTGAATCGGCAGAGGTGCCGTGTAATGCAGAGCAACCGGCTTAACCGCCATTAACTGACCAAAACTACGCGAAAGCGCGTGCAATTGCCATCTGGATCCAACGTACTGACAACATCCCGATCCTTTCTCTAGGTAAGCTGCTCCGCCCAAGCACACATCTGTTTAGTTCTAGATCATTTTTGCAAATAAAATCTTTTCCAACCCAGCTCAGCTGCGACTCGGCCTGATCGGCTCAGTTCATTAGAAACATTGGAAAAAAAAACCTCTGCCTGGCTTTATAAATTTTTTATTTTTTATTTTCGCTTCTGCAGCTCTTGTTCGCTTCAATTTGCTTCCCTTTCTCTTTGTATAAATCACAATCATGGACGTCGACGCTACACCACAGGAGGAGCCTAAGAACTACATTGCGCTGCTGGAAGTGCCCGAAGACAAGCTCGAGATTCTGCCGGGTGCCAGCCAGGACCTGACATCCGCGACCTTCTGTGTCAAGGAGGAGGACCACACGCTGGGCAACGCGCTGCGGTGGGCCATTATGCAGAACAGCCAGGTCGACTTTTGTGGCTACTCGATCCCGCACCCCTCGGAGGCCAAGATGAACGTGCGCATCCAGACCACGGACAAGACCGATGCTGTCCAGACCATGGACAAGGGCATTGACGATCTGAAGTCTGTTAGCCAGTTCATCAAGGCGCGGTTCCAGCAGCGTGTGGCCGAAAACAACTATGCCCGCACCAACTAGAACCGCTCCGGGATGTAGAGAATAAACAGCAGAAAAGATAAAAAGCACACGTAGCGTAATGTATGAAGGCGACAAAAATTTGAGTAATATTTCTTTTGTGTTCAAGCGAGATGGCGAGGGGGTTGGGATAAACTACTTGGATTCGCGCTCTCTACTGGGCAGCGATGGGGGCCGACTCGGTCGCCCGCTTCTTGGAGTTTTGCTGCTGCTGCTGCTTCTGCTGCTTCTGCTCACCCTTCTTGGCGGCAGAGCTACCGCGCTTGTCGATGGCGCCGTTGAGCACCTGCGACCGGAACACCAGGGCCTTTGTGCGCTCAATCACCTGCTGGTAGATCGGGTTGTAGCTCGGGTTCATGATAACGGTGTTATCCTTGAAGTCCACCTTGGCGTCCATGCGTGTCTCACGGATGAGCTTGACAATCCACTTCTCGCCCTCCTCCTGCTTCATATTGAGCTTCTTGGTCAGGCCAGCCATGTCAATGCGCTTGTGGATGCGGCAGTACACCTCGGCCAGGAAGTAGCGCGCGTTCTCGACAAAGTCGTCGACGGCGCCGGTCAGGAAGAAATCCTTCTCCAGCACCTCCTCGCACTCCTCGAGCTTGGACGCAGCCTTGTCGAAGTCAAAGTCCACGTACAGGGCCTCGACGAACTCGGTGATCGGATCGCGGTACATGTACGACTCCTGCTCGATGATCTTGGCCAGCTCCTTGATCATGTTGCGGCGCTTGCGGTTTGTGACAATGGCGGCAGTCAGGTAGCGCAGGATCCACGGGCACGCGTTCTGGATCGTGCTCAGGTACTGCGGCAGCAGGAATGTGTCGACGATGCCATCGCGGCCCTTCGGGTGGTTGAAGAACACAAACAGCGACCAGTGCAGCAGCCACGTGCGCTGCTGCAGCTGCTCCGTCGGCGTCTTGAAGTGCGTCTTGTCGATCGTCTCCTTGAGCTTGCTCATGTCCTCGTACGCAACCTCCCAGTTACCAAGCAGAATCTCCGATGCGAGCTTGCCCCACATGGCAGACAGCGTCAGCTCCGGGTCCGTCGACAGAATGCTGAAGTGGAACAGCATATCCGCCGATCCACCGTAGTTGCCGCAGCTGTACTGCAGCTGGCCGTAGTTGTACAGCTCCTGCACCATCTCGGGCGTGCACTGGTAGTTCTCGCGCAGCAGCTTCATGTTCTGCAGCTTGTCCTGGCGCAGCGCACTGGCGACCTCGGGGTTCTCGATGACCTCGCGAATGTGCTCCGTCTTCTGCTCGCTCTCCTCGAGCTTCTTGATCACAGCCTCGCGCCGCTCAGCAAACTCCGCCGGCAACTCATCGGTGTCGTGAATCTGCTGGTACAGCTGACCGGTAAAGTCAACCATGTTGGTGTTGGACAGGAGCTCGAACTTGGCCTTGAGCAGGTCCTCCTCCTTGTACACATTCTTAATGGACACAAACTCGAGCAGGGGGAACACGAGCTGGCGATCCAGCGATGGGATCATGCGCAGAGTCAAATCGAAATCAGCCATTCTGTATTCTTTCACGGTGCTACCCTCCTCTTTTTCGGGATTTTCTGGCAAAATTTAAAGTAGTCGGCCGGTGGCTATGACTAATCTCCTCGAATGGTAGACGAGATGGAGAAGAAAAATGGGTGGGGGGGAAAAAGAGGGTGTGAAAAAGAAGAGAATAAAAGCCGAATTGGCGAGCCTTCACCCCCTGCTCGCTGCCTCAATGCAAGTTTTTCTTCGCCTATTTTCTTGCAGGCTTGGGGAAAAATGGTGTGATGATCTGATCTTCAATGATTACCGCAGGAGATCACCGGGCGAATCACAACCTCGAATCAATTATTCGAGGTGATGCAGACAGCCCGCCAATATCGCGACCGGCCCACAGCAGAGTACGGGTTACCGCCTTTTCAATCAAACTTCAAACGATTTTGGTAAGTTTATACAAAGTGTGCTGGGCCGCGGTGTCGATTTCGGGGAATGGATGCGGATCGATGGATGCGGTCGGTTTTTGCGGAACGAAGGATACAGAGCGTGACGGACGCGAAATTCGGAGAATGCAGAAGTGGACCCCTACCCAATGGCGCACATTTGCGGAATCGGCACCGGAAGCTTGCGCAAATGCGCCCACCCTGAGTCTGTACCCTGTCGGTGCTGGAAGAAGAACCCTCGCTAATGCACAACGAATGCACCCACCCCCTACTGCATGCACTCTCGACAAATAGGTTAGTAACAATGGCCCAGACCGCTCGCAAGAACCAGCTGGCTCCCGGCATTAGCCGCCTTTCGCGCTCGAAGGTGTTCTCGAAGCGCGCTGCTTACAAGATCGCCAAGACCGCCCAGCCCAAGGCTGAGGAGGCCCCGGCTAAGGCTAAGAAGGTCACCCGCGCCAAGAAGGGCGACCTCGTTGCTGCCCTGACCGCCAAGCACAGCGCTCTGCACCCCGCTAACGTCGTGCCCCAGCCCAAGGCTGGCCGCAAGACCCAGCGCACCCAGGGCCTGCGCAAGTCGATCACCCCCGGTACCGTCCTGATCCTCCTGGCCGGCCGTTTCCGTGGTAAGCGTGTTGTCTTCCTGAAGCAGCTCAGCTCCGGTCTCCTCCTGGTCACCGGTCCCTTCAAGATCAACGGTGTCCCTCTGCGCCGCGTCAACCAGGCGTACGTGATCGCCACCTCGACCAAGGTCGATCTGTCGGGTGTCTCGGTCGATGCCAAGTTCGACGATGCCTACTTCAAGCGCGAGGAGGAGGCCAAGCTCAAGGGCACTGAGGAGGAGTTCTTCGGCAAGTCCGCCACCAAGAAGGAGGCCCCCGCTCACAAGGTCGCTGACCAGAAGGAGGCTGACAAGGCCGTCGTCGCCGCCGTCGCCAAGGTCCCGTTCCTGGCTTCGTACCTCGCCTCGACCTTCTCCCTCACCAAGGGCCAGGCTCCCCACTCCCTCAAGTTCTAAACATAGCAACCAAAAATCCATATTGACTCGTCGTTTCTTTTTTGGTTTATTGAAAGAATCTGAAATCGCGAGGTGTACGTGATATGTGCTTCTCCGGCTGCTTCAAGGGAAATGTCTGCAGTGGCGATGATGACATGTTGCTTGCTAGACCGCGGTCTACAACAGAAACGTCCATGACTAGGTTTTATTTTTCGCTATAGAATTCAGGGCTCGGTAACCATAGCGCGCTACGGCTTTTAGAATCCCTTCTTGGTCAGCCATTCCCGCACCTCGCTGATGCGGTTGCCGCGGATCACGATCTGCCGCGACACCTTTCTGATCTCGATCGTGTTGTCCTCCAGCGCAGCCGCCAGGTCCTTACGCAGGGCCTCGACATCGCCGTCAATGCGCCGCACCAGCGTCAGCGTGCGCGTTCCTGCGTTGCGGATATCTGTGTACACGGGCAGCGTCTGGAAGCGCGTGCGGTTGATAAAGTACGGGTATGTGACCAGCTTTTGCTCTACAGGGGAAACGCACAAGAGATCAGCTCAGTGGATCGGGCAGGTGTCTGGCCACAGATTCCTGTCATTTACTCGCCCAAGCTTGTTACCTGCAATGGTGCTCTCAAATGCACGGCCCAAGACGCGCTGCGGTGTGGCCGATCGGGAGAACTGGCTGCTGCGCGTAAGTAGCGACCTGAACATTATAGCAATTTGTGGTGGTGTGAAATTGAGAACGGAGGAGAACGATTGCAATAAGAGCTGGTCGACAATTTCAAATTGGCGAAGCAAAGTGAGTCCAACGCTTTATCAGCTAATACTTTTTTGTCGCTGATCTGGGATTTTTACTGGAAAGGCTGGATTAACCAGTGGCTGGAGTGCTTGTTTTTTTTGTCTGCCAGGATTCGATTCATTCTGTGGCTACACCAGATAGCGGCGACTTTGCTGTACCCAGGTCTGCTATGCCCAGCTAAGCAAGTACGTAGTAGGTGGGCTGACAACCTGTAATGGCTCAGCGTGTATGCAGCTTGTTGCAGCTTGTAATAAGAAACTGTCTGAGACTGTAGAATGTCAAACAAAAGGGAGACTGACACCATTGACTAGGATTGCGAATTCATCATTCCTACCATATCTAATGTAAGATGCATGGGTAGCTTCAATAGTGACTATAAACGCACATAACCCCCAGTTCCAAATATCCTATTACTCACAAGTTGCCATTTTATGGCCGACTGAGGGAAAAGTTACCTTCTACCATCTCATGTTTGGATATTTCATTTGGATTCCGATAAATGACTACACCATTTCCACCAAATTACAGATGTGCTTCAGTCGGCGCCCAATACATCCATACTCTTGATGGTGTTCCCCCATTCCAGCTTTATCCCTTGGATTCCTCATGTTAAAAATGTGAGCTCGATTTCTATTTGGCATTACTTTTCCACCACGGACGGGAGTTTAATATGCTTCCAGAATCAGAAAATAGCTACTATTCTGCCTATCCGTAGTCAACATTCACTAAAATTATTTGCCAACAGCCCATGCAAGTGCAATTTCCTAAACTACTCCTGCATGATCTTTCTTGTGCTCACAACATGTACTATGACATAACCCTGCTCTTTTCGTCAACATCTTTCACTTATCTATCCATTTCGATACCAACTGACATAGTCCATCAAGTGGATCGATCAATTCTGATGCACTGTAAGGAAATCTGGCTCGAGTTTCTCCCTCCAGTTGCATACATGTCGGAACAACCTTCATGTGCCTCAATAAATCAAGCGTATAGTATTCATTCAGGGACTATATTGCTACATTGCTTTGAAGAGCCCTTTCCAATTTCACTTAAAATTCAATTGGCTTGTCTCAGGATTCTTTGCATACAGGTAGAAATAGCAGCAGGGGCATACATATTCAGTCTTCTTTAACAACTACCAAAGCGGAAAATGCTTAATATTTACTGCAACCCAAGAGACCTTTTAGACAAGGAGCCCTACGACCCTGAAAGCAAACGCATACTTCACGACGTCAATGATGAATGCCTATCCCAAATGTCCAAACTACTCAACACGCTGGCACAGACTATCATGGACCTAATTCTCTATCATTTAGTGTACAGGTGCGTCGCCGGTAAAGTACACGCGGCTTTCCAAGCTACTCTACAGGAAGTTTTCTTTGCTGCCACAAAAGCCAAGCTGCCGTGCATCCCTGCAGTTGTCTGGGAAGTATGCAGCTCAAAACAACATCTCCAAGCATGTTACGGCATATTGTACCTACAGAGGGAGCCATCATTCAATGGTGTGCACCCTCAGAGTCGTTCACAGCCACTGTTCGGATGAATCCAAAGGGTTGCAGCTGGGTCACCATTGCTTTAGCAAAGGCCGACTGAAACCAAACAGCAGCTGTCCTACAGCTGATATTTTCTGGAGTTCGTGGGTAGCGGTGGTTCATGGCATGCACTATCTTCTAGGGTTGTTTGAATTATCCCTATTTATTCCGCATGGAATCACTATTTGGACAACTGCAATACACAGCATGGGGGTGATTCTGACTACATAACTGGACCACCTTGCTACAAGGCGTGCATATACTGTGACCCTCAGATATCCTAGTGTGCTGACTGCAATACGTTCTCTTGCTGGTTGCATTGCCCAAGCTGCGGACACTCGACTCAAGCTGGCCATCGCTCAAATCTAATCCCTTGTCCGAATTACCAGCAAATCCGCAATGATCTGCAAGGAGGATTCCTACTTTTGGCACTCAGCAATTTCTCCCAAGAACATTCCACATTTTGTGAACTTCTTGTCAGCCCATTTGCGCAGCCAGACCGCTTCTCCCAGCAGATATAAAAGCTCAAGACGATACTCCCAAACTTAACCTCATCAGAACTTCATCATTCTTTTTTCCTATCGAGTTATTCCCACAAAAAACTATCACCATGGATAACCTCCCGCCGCACGTTATTGACGCCATCGTCTCGTACACTATCGGACAGGACAAATCGAAAACTGAGCTCCGGACTGACGCCAAACCGCTTGCTGTGCCGCATACTCTGTACCCGCTGATGGGAATTTGCCGTGAATGGCGACGTGTCGCTAGTAACTTCATCGGCGAGTCCGCTAGCATCTTCGTCAATTCAAACCTCCCAAACCGCCAGAACGGTCCTGAGTACGCGCAGCCTCTTGGAGACATCATTACTGTCGGGCTCGAACACCATGTTCGTCATTTGCAGCTTGAGTCCACTATCGGGGACATCGCAGACGGCATGGCATACTCGACGATCAGCTCACTGCTCAGCCTATGCAAGGGCAAGCTCAAGGGTGTTCAGACAGTATCTCTCCGTGTTTCAATTGCCCATGAACCCGGACAGCAGCACTTTTTTATGATGGGACAGCCCATGGCTGACCAACAGGAGCAAACGAACATGGAGAAAGAGGTCACTCAAAATTCTAGGCGTATTGGCGAGCTGCTGAAGGAGGCGATGCCAAACATCATTTCGGTGGTGTATTCTGGTGTGCACCACTCTAGATTCAACAACCAGCCTCTGAACAACGCTATTCTGTCAGCGTTGCTGAGTGCTGCGCCATCAGCCCAGTATCTGAGCGTTCTTGGAGGCGAACTGTCGTATACCACTTTGGGAGGTGAGCTAGCACCCAATGTCAAGTACATGCACGTTAGCCTGAGTAATAGCGCTAGCAACGGAATTCCTGAGCTAGCTATTCGCTTTGCAGACCGTCTAGAGACACTGACTGTAGATACCTCAGACTATGAACAATTTAGTAAACTGTTCAAGGGTCCAGTGGACGGATTGCCTGTGGTGTACTCAAAGCTACGTACGCTCAAAACGTCAGGTAGACGCTACTGGAGACAGGGGAAAACAGCTACACTCTCCAGATCAACCCCTTCCCGGAGCTGCGGCGGCTCATATGCAGGGATATATACCCATTCACCACCAGCCATGTGCTTCGTTGGATCCAGCCCACTGTTGAGGTGATGGAGGTTAATTTCAGTGACCACTTTTATAACCAGTTTGTCGAGGACGGTGTGTTTGATGCTGGCTCGTTCCCAAATCTGCGCCACGTCAACCTGTCATGGTCTCAGGACTCTAGCCATATCTCGATTGCTGACCCATCGTCCGAACTCCCCCGTGTGCTATCACTCAGCCCTGTTCTCGAGAAGGTCGTTTTCGATACAGCCATCTCCAGTCCCAGCACTGCAGTTGCTGGCCTGTATCGGTGCAAGCATCTGAAGAAACTGAGCCTGGGTGGCTCTCGGACTACCATTGCCGAAGCGATCCAACTGATCAATAGGTTCCCAGAATTACGGGCACTGACTCTCTCTCTAAAGACCAGCAATGACGTGAACGAGCGAGGTGACATTTCCGACGCCGAAATCAAGGCGTTCCAAGAAAAGAACGTATCACAAAGTAGCTCCAAGCTCAGGACACTGGGAATCAGCACGTTTGTTTTCACCACACGACCGCGTGCTGCGCAGCACATCCTGCTACTGGCTAGTATATTCAAGTCTATCGGACGCATCGAGGTCCACAGTCTCAATGAGAAGCGCGACACAGCAATTATGGCGGCATTGGAGGAGGCCAAGGAGCACAGCAACTTTGATGGCGATGGAGACGACAGAATTCGATGCATGAGAGTTGCACTTGTTGGAGAATAGAGCGGCTAGATATGGAGCGGATGAGAAAATGGTCAGCTTGTGCATGCCTTTTAACTACCGAAGATAGCTGTATATACTACTCGACACAGCTCGGGTTGATAGTGTAAAACTGTGCGACTAAAACATAATCCTTTGTCTACTTGTTGGTGCCATTTCAATTCTTATAACCTTTTCTTTTATTTCTACCTGGAGTATCCTGAATGGGGGTATATGGGCTATGCTTGGAGTGGATGTCTCGTTTTGTAGACTGTCTGTATGCAAAGTGTTAATTCCTCGCAAGAATCATGAAATCACCATATGCAGGGCGTCTTGCGCCCATTCGGAGGTCCATGCACTCATACATACCCTCAATGGCCTTTTTCCAGGGTGACAAAGGCTGAAGACCCTCGTGCGAACTGGAGCGTGCAAATACTTGCACATAGGATGTTGTTGACGTGTATAAATGCCAGCGACCCGCACAAGAAAGCAGCATTTCCTACACCTTTCGATTCTTGGTTTCGCAACCTCAGGCTAGTTGTTTTTTATCAACATTACCAAGGATGCGTCTGTTCAACAACATCATCGTCCAGCTGTCGCTGCTAGCTCTCCTTCTGGTCTGTGCACAGCCAGCCTTGACACATTACACGCAAGCAACCAAAGACGCAACCATCGTGCGCTCGACCGCGTCCTGCCCAGACTGCCCCAACAGCAACTGCAACGAATGTGCCCAGGGTCTTCGCAAGACGCTAGTAGCCAACACTGGTGGACTTGCATACATCCGCATGATTATCGGGTTCACGCTGCCGGTTGAGAAATCGCAGGTTCGCGCATGCCACCTCTCGCTTCCTGGCTTCGTCATTCCTTTGAAGTCCAATGTCACTGTGAATTTCTGGCAGGCAGTGTCGTCAGACTGGGATGAGGCTACTATCACTGGCAACAATGCCCCTGATGCAGGTGCTCAGATTGCCTCGGTTACTGTGCCGGCAAACACCAACATGACTGCAGTCGATATCACCCCGGCTTGCCTGAATGCAGATGAGGAGGGTAACTTCTCTGTCTATGTTGGCACGCAGTTTGACCGTATCGAGCTATGGTCAAAGGAGTCGGGCAACCCAGCCATCCTCCATATAGTAGATGCTGACTAAAACTGGGGTCGTGTCTCCTGTCTACATGACAAGTGGCTGTATAGCATTATAGCACAGTTTCAAGTAGTAATCCATGCAATATAGCACACCACGAAATTCCTCTTGTCCATTGGAGTAGGTAGCAAAGTCTCGACCCCATTGTTGGCAATGGTGCAGTTTCAAGGGCTTAGGGACATCGCATTTGGCTCATCGGCTGGTATTGAAAATGGCAAAGGTGAGGCAGCAGCTCACGTGACAGCACCCGCAAATGTGGGATGTAGGGGTCAGGTTCAGAAACTGGGCATCGAAAAAGGGAGATCGGTTCATGCTAAGAGTTATCTTGCTTTCATTTTTCTGCTTACCAGTAATTCGGCTTTAAATTACACACAGGCTCTAGAGTCATAGCAGGACAGATGTGGCATTTGCGTAGAAAGCTTGCGCAGCAGCTGCAGCGGCGCAGTCTACACACGAACGTTATCAAAACGCTGCGCTCGCGGCAGTTCATCAACGCAGTGACGAGCGAGTCGATCGAACAGCAAACGGACAAGCCCGTGGGCGTGTACTGCGGGGTAGATCCGACGGCCGACAGCCTGCACCTGGGCAACATGGTGACGCTGATGGGGCTGCTGCACTTCCACCTGGCCGGGCACCAGGCGATCCCGCTGGTAGGCAACGCGACCGGTATGATCGGGGATCCGAGTGGGCGCAGCACCGAGCGCGTGGCACTGGGCCGCGATACATTGGCAAAGAACGTTGCTGCGATAGAGAAGCAGCTAAAGCGTTTCTTTGAGCGCGGCACGCAGTACGCGGCTAGAAGGGTTGTTGGGCTGGAGACAGAGAAGCTGGCGAAAATCGAGGTGGCGAGAAATGCAGACTGGTATCGCGATATGAACATTCTCGGCTTTCTGGGAACGGTTGGCAGGTACACGAGAGTGGGGGCGATGGTTGCCCGCGATAGCGTGAAGTCGCGGCTGGCGTCGGCGCAAGGGATCAGCTTCACAGAGTTCTCGTACCAGCTACTGCAGGCCTACGATTTCTGGTACCTGTACCACCACAGGAACTGCCGGGTGCAGATCGGTGGCAGCGACCAGTGGGGTAATATCACAGCGGGCACCGAGCTGATCCACAAGATGCCGCGCGATGACACTGACACAGGCGTGGTGAGTGGGCAGGCAACCAGCCACGAGGCTTTTGGGCTGACGATCCCGCTGCTGGCCACGGCATCCGGCGAAAAGTTCGGCAAGTCTGCCGGCAACGCCATATGGCTGGACGAGCGCAAGACGTCGCCGTTCGACGTCTACCAGTTCTTCGTCAAGACGTCTGATGCGGATGTAGCAAAGTTCCTGAAGATGTTCACGCTGCTGCCGCTGGAGCGAATCGCGCAGGTCATGGAGGAGCATGGAAGGGCACCGGAAAAGTTCGCCGCCCAAAAGCTGCTTGCAGAAGAGGTCACGGAGCTGATCCACGGCGAGGCGGGCGTGCTGCAGGCGAAATGCGCGACCCAGGTGCTGTTTGGCGGAAGGGACCAGAAGATCGAGCAGTTCTCTGCCAGCGAAATCGCCGATGCCTTTGCCAATGATCGGCGCATGGTGGATCTGCCCAGGGCCGATGCCGTGGGCAAGCAAATCGCTGAGCTGGCGGTGCTGGCTGGGGCTTGCTCATCAAAGTCGCAGGCGACGCGGTTGGCGCGCGGCGGCGGACTGTACTGGAACAACACTGCGGTGCCAGACGGCAAGTGGGTACCGGGCAGCGACCAGTTCATCGGCGAGGGCACCATTGGTGTACTGCGGACCGGCAAGACTAGCTACTTCATCATTAGACTGAAATAGAGTTGTATTGAGGCACAAATGAGGAATCTACTTGGCCCGGATGCGGTCGGCAACCAGAGACTGCGCCGAGCCCACACCTAGACCCATGCGCAGCACACGCACAGCAGCAAAGCCGACGGCTAGACACAGCGCCAGCACAACAGATCCCAGCAGCACAGGCACCGAGAACATGAATCTGGGGGCAAACACCTTCCACACCATCAGATGGCGGCGGAAGACAGCCGCAAAGATCGCCGAGCTAGTCGACACCGCCGCATGGTACGCCAGGTACGCTGCAGCAGCGCCCGTGACACGAGCCATGAAGTTCCCGGGTGCTATCCGCAGCAGCTGTGTGCCTAGCGACTGGTTCCACAGCGCAACCAGCGGCACGCCCATTGCACCCAGCACAAAGGCACCTAGCGTGTTCAGCCCGACAATCACACCACAGACGACCAGCTGCATCTCGCGCACGCCCACAAACGCTGTGCTCCACTGCAGCGACACCAGCGTGAACTGGTGTCCCGTAGCAAAGTACCCCATGTACGACAGCAGCCCAAGCATCACCACCTGTGCTGGCACCAGCGACATGCTGCATTGCAGCGCGTCGTGCAGCGCGTCAAATAGTTCCATGGCCAGCAGAATCTCAACAAACAGCACCGACAGCATGATGCCGCCCATTGGCTGCTGCACCAGATACAGCACGCAGAACACGACCGTGACAAAGAGCAGATATGCTACACCGTAGGCGTTGCCAAAGCCCAGAATGATCGCGGTGCGCTTCGGCTGGGCTGCCTGCTTCTTGTGCTTGGCCACTTTTGTCGTGGAGGCATCGGCGATGGCAACGTCAAGGCAGAACGGGCTGGCAAGCCACGCTGCGAGTCCTCCGCCCAGAGCAATCCCAACAGACGTGCGGGCCAGTAGTATACGCAGTTCACTCCAGTTGCCTCCCGACGCCTTGGGCTCGAGTGCAGCCTCGGCATCGATGGAATCCAGGATCCAGTACACGGCTGCCATGCCCATGCTGGCACGCATGCCGATGCCCAGCCATAGTCGTGCCACAGACGCAGTGTCGCTGCGGGACCGCTGCAGGAACCGCAGGACTACCGATGGCACGATCCAGACCATGCCCAGGTTGGCCACTGCCAGCCACACGCTGCTGATTGATGCTGATTCCGAGCCGTAGAACGTTGGCTTGCATCCGCCAGGAATCTGCTCTTCGCGGCACACCGTCGAGTACGATGAAATGCGGTTGAGCACCAGGATTGCAAATGCGCAAATGGCTGCGCGCTGACCAGCAGCCTGCTGAGTTTCTGGCTTCGATGCCAATGTGCTGAGAGCTGCGCCAAACAGCACCAGAGTCAGTGTCTGCAGCAGGTATAAAACGACGCTGTCCTCGTTGAACGTGTAGCTGTTTGACGTGAACACCAAGAGGTGGAAAAGAGTGACCAAAATCGCAACACCGTTCAGTAGCACAGGGATTCCGCGCCGGAAGCCAGGTGGAGAGGTGTCATCAATGCCCACGCCGGCCTGATAGTTCACCAGAGCCTGGAAACAGAACGATCCCAGGGCACCGACTGTGAGTCCCACAACAGCCAGGTCAAGCTGGGATGCATGAGACGAAGCGGCGGTTGCCGACAAAACGGTGTTCAGCGCCTTGGATGCAACCAAGCCAATGATTCCGCCGGCCGCACTGCCAGCCAGGGTCTTGGAGGCAATGGTCTCGAGAGAAGACTGCTGCGAACGCCAATACACAAGGGAGAGGCTGGCCAGCGACAGTAGCATGATTGCCAGACCTGCCAGGATCAGGACAGGATCAAACTGCGCCCACATCTGCCGCAACGTGCCCAGCATGATGCGCAGGAACGCGTAATACTGCGCAGCCGCCTCTTCCTCACCCTCTGCAATAATATTTTTTGTTGCGCGTCGTCTTGAGCTGCTTTAGATCAGCATAGCTTTGCTGTGCCTGGTCATACAGCTCGTCCCACATGCGGACAACGTCGTCAGAGAACCCATGCGAGTGTGACTTTGCCATATATGCCTTCAGATAGCGAACCACCTGGGCCGAGTTCAGCCGCAGGGCATGTAGCAGTCCCCATTCGCCGTCAACCGAATCGTCCGAAGCAAACATCTCGGGGATCACGGCCCCCAGGTTGTTGAATGGCACCGGGAGGCCCAGTACCAGCGCCATGGTCGATACAATGTCAATCTGAGGGGTGCTGCGGATCAGAGGCGCTTCAAACAGTGCTTTGCCCTCTTGGTTCCAGTACTCGTCAGAAAGATGCGTGTTCTTCCACCACCCACGACGCAGGTCCTCATCAAGCGATCTTCCAATTTGGTGTTCGTCAATCAGTGTCTGCGCACGCTCGAGAACACGCCCAGAACGCTCTGCACCGCGCTTTGAATTCCACTCGGTGTTCGAATACACCCACAGCGCAGCATCCACCTCGCGAGGGCTGTCACCGCCATGGTCGCCCTTGGGGTCCATGCCGTGGTCGCCAAACACATACAGTACTGTCGATTTGTCTGATCTGTCGACCGCATCAACGATCATTTTGATTGCCTGGTTCATCTGCTGCAGTTTCAGTGCCATTGCCGGGTGGTCTGGACCGAACCGGTGCCCGCAGTGGTCGACGCCCAGGCAGTGTGCAATAATTGTGTCCCAGCCCTCTTGTAGCTCCGAGAATCCGACCCGGCCATTCGCCATTGTGTTGTGAGGGCCCAGAGAGGGTCCGCCTAGGTCTGAGTGCTCAAGCATTTCCTTCTGCTCGACCAGCCCTCGCCATGCCTCGCGCCGAGCGCTGGCTTCGTCTGAGGTATCATATTCAGGTGGCCCAAGGAACAAAGGCAGCCGACTCAGCACGCCGTCATCAACTGTATGCAGGTCCCAGACATTCAGGCTTGGGAATGGCCGGATCCGCGCCCATCCGCCGTATTCCTGTATACTGTCCCCCTCGGTGCTGTTGAGCTCGTCTGTAAACGTGTCGGCAAGCTCATTTGGGAACAAGCTGGACCACGTATCGTCGCCCAAAAACACCAGGTTGCGCTTATGCCCGCTGCCCTCTCTGCCACGGATCGCCTGCAGCCAGTTGTCCTCGTCAATAGCACTGCCTGCAAAGTTACTCCCGGCATCAATGAATGTCGGTAGCTGGCCGGTGGTCAGTGCCTTCAGTCTCTGCAATGTGGTTGTTGGCGGGTCCGCACGGAACCTATACAGCATGCTGTGCGATGGCCGGGACTGCATGACGCGGTCGATAATCGGCAGGTTGTTGTGGTAAGGCATTTTCCGGACCCTGTCGTCTGTCGCATTCAGCTCGCTGCTAAACATCGCAAAGTCAATCCGCAGAGCATCAACTACAAGGACAATCGAGCGCTCAAACTTTGCTGGGTACCAGCTGGCATTCGCTGCGTCTGGCGCCGGAGTACTGTGGCTCTGCTCAAACGGCAGCACCAGCAAGTGCGAGTGATCGGGCAGCACCATGCGCGTCAGAAGGAAGCCACGCGCAAACAGCCAGAACCCGATTGCGTTGGCCACGACAAAGAACACCGATAGTGACCAGTGGCCGCGCACAGGCAGCTTGCTGGGCTTAGCCACTGGCGTTTCTGATGGCGATTGAGGTTCCGCCATCGGCCGTTTTCGTTAATAGAAGGAAAAGTGCTATTATAGGTCGTAAAGGAGACTGAGAGAAAAGAGGAGCAGGAGAGTCGAGATGTTGAGAATGGAGAAAGGTTAGGGAGGAAGCGGAGTTGAGCAGGTCCAAGAAGCCATCGAGTGGCCGCCCCGCAAGCCATGGCCACATTCGATAACGTGGGTGAACTACAGATTTCTTGATCTTGGGCGATCTGGGCAAGTGTCGGCTCCCACCTGCACACAGTATCGTGTGTATGCCACAGCACGCTACCCATCCAGTGGCAGCATGTGGCGACCAATATTCAGATGTTTCTATCACCAGCAGTGCTGCCCAGCTGGATTTATTTTAATGGCTTTGCACGGTAGCATTCATCACACTCATTCCTTTGACGATACAGCAGCGAACGAGTTGATTCCAGTCTTGGCCCGCTGGTACGCCTCGTCCGACATTGGCGAGAACACGATCGGGCAGTCCTTCTGCGGCATCTGGTACAGGTTCTCTGGCTTGTGCGAGTTCATGGCATCTATCCGTGCAAACTCGCGGAACCTCGGCAGATCGCCCTTGAACTTCATGTAGGCATCGATGTTGTAGCAGTCGCGTGGGCCAAGCTGCTGCAGCACCCGGTTCTTGAACGCATTCTTAAAGTAGTACAGCGCGTGGAAAATGTAGTCGCTGTACGGTGTCCACTTTGGAAACTGCTGCTCCAGCGCAAACCGGCCATCCTCGCGCCTCACCAGCGGATGGAACACGGGCGTGGTCAGGCTGATCACCGGATGCTGGTTCGGGTACTCGCGCGGAATGTCAACGCGGAACCTTATCACACCGTCCTTCCAGTACCCACGCTTGACGAACATGACGCCGTGCCACACGTTGATTGATGTCAGCGACGGCATTACGTACATCCCGCGCGGGCAGTGGCCCAAAGTGCTAAGCCCAAGCAGCTCGATCCGCAGCTCGCACCGCCGCATGTGCTCCGAGTAGAACCGCCCAGTGCTATTGATTGCCAGGGGCACCGCGGGTCCTTGCAGGTCCTCCTCCGAAATGTGCACCTCTGCCATCCCCTGGTCCTGCGCTGGCGGCTTTGCATCAACGTCCATTGCGTTGTCGGTTCGATCATGTGCTGTCGCTGGCTTTTTGCTCGGCACCTGCCATGATGCGGGCCCGGAGAAGTCTATGTTGCTGGCTTTCTTCTGTGTTGCTGACGGACTAGCACCATTGGTGTATGTCGCAAAGAAAAGGTCTTTGAGCCGCTGTGACGGCGACATTGTGCCCATGAGCGGTGTGAATTGTGGCCCGAAATGCTCGCGCCCTGTGAAGCGGCCACCTGCGTTCTCTGTTGCTGTTTCCTAATAGCGAACACGCGTGATTAGCAGCAAGGCTCATTCACATCCCAGAGTCAGACCAAATGCAACAAGGCTCACACCAGTACGCTACCTCCATGCTTGCTTCTGTGGGAAATAATGTTTTGCGATGCGAATTTGAGAAATTGGAAATGAAAATGAAAATGATTTGAGAGGTGAGAGTGGGTGAGAAATAGTCAACAACTCAGCCACTTTCAAGAGCGCATGCATTGGGCAGTTCTTGTTGACAATTAAATCTGGCGCCTAATTGTCGGCCACGGCCATGTTTCACCGGAAGACCGTTTCCAGATCTGCAGTCCAACAAGGCCCAAGCCATGCCCTCAGACAAAGACCACGGCAGGCAGCCACCATCGCCGCTCGCCTTGGCATTGCGTATGTGTATCCGGCATCTTGTGTGGACAGGGCGATGTGGGGTTGCTAGAGGTGTACCTTCAGCATATGCCACAGCACTGGCTGAGAAGGTATTTAGGGTGTGTCGAGCGTGAATACCTCGTGACTAAGAGTAAGGAAAAGGGGGCATTGCTATCCACTTGGACTGGTTGGAGGGCATGTAGCATACTGGGCAAGTATATGCTGACTGGGATATGCGCTGAAAGCATGCCACGATCCAAGACCGCTCAACCCATAACCGCCGAAAGTTTTCGCGTAGTTGCCTCGGTGCCAGACCAGGTGCCACAGATCGAGAGCATAAAATCCGACACTCTCAGTTCACAAATCCAGATTTCAATACCTACCCCACACATGTCAGCACACGAGCAGGCACGGGAAGTGCGGCTCGCCTATCTCCATACAGCAAGCCGAGCAGCATTCAGCATATGCCCGCAAATGGCCGCCTACTTTGGCAACCAGTTCCACACGGCACTCGGCCCGACTCGCGTTCCAGACATGATCTCGCGCCAGATGTGTCCGTACTGCGGATCGGTCCTGGTTGACGCACACAGTGTGTCGCGTGTCAATATCAGCAATGCAAATTCCCGGCGGAGGAATACGAAAGGCGGGGCAACTGCCGGCAGGATCATCAAGGTCAAGCTCAATGCCAGCGCACAGACGATCTCGGCTAAAGCGACCAAAGAGGAGCGAGCCAGAATTGCCAAGGACCGACGCAACTGCGTCAGCTACATGTGCGCCATGTGTTCGTCGCAGATTGTGTTTCCTGGCGCGTCCACATCACAGCTCGAAGCTGCTGGGCTGTCCAACGCACAGTGGAGAACTGAGCAGAGGCAGCGGAAATTGCAGACTGCTGCAGGGACTAGACACGCAGCTGAGGAGCCAAAGCCAGACACCGAGGTGGAGCCCAAGCCCAAACCTAAGCCCACATACAATCCTGCTCCAGCCAAGGCACCCACAACAATGCCAACTTCCAAGAAACAGAAGCACAGTGCTTCTGCCAGCACGCCATCAGCAATCGAGCCGCAATCCAAGAAGCGCAAGAAGAACAAAAAGTCGGGGCTTTTGGCCATGGTTGCTGCAAACCAGAAGAAGGCGGATCAGAAGGCGAGCAATAGTGCACCGGCATTTAGTCTCACAGACTTCCTGTCCGATCTTTAGTATGAAATAGAAAGTGAAGGTTGGCCCCCTCTTCTACTGTCTGTTGGGAGCCGGATTGTTCGCGCGGCCGGTATATTGTTGTCGCGCAAATGGTCATTACGTCTCGAATTTCTTGCGTATAGCAGTAGATTGTTATTGCATTGCCTCGTGCATGCTCTGAGCAATGAACAATTCCTACCATGTGCGCTGCCGTATGCCGCGGTCCGCGTGGGTAGCAATGGGCTGGGCGATTTAAAAGCATAGCGTGGTCTCCCGCAAGTTTGCCCCTCTCCGAAAGAAAAAACAAAAAATAATCCATGTTCTACGGTTGAGCTTCAATATCTACATACCCACTTATATTCTTCTATAACCCAGCGCTATTGTGACCATGGCGATAGAGACACTACACGACGGCATGCAGCGCAGATTCTCGGCCGGCAACTCTGGGCAGCTACCACTGCCGTCACCGATGAGCACCAGATCGGCATCCAGCTCGTCCTCCAGCAAGCGGCTAATCCAGATACTGCAATACCTGAATCCGCTGTACTATGCTCGCATCGCGCAGACATTTCTGGCCTCGGTGCTCGAGGTCTATGGGCTGTCAGGCACTCAATCTTCAGGACGCATTGCAGGCACTGGCCATGACAACGGCGAGTCGATGATGGGCTACGAGTCACTGCAAGACGACCCCGCTGGTGCCAATGCGCATCATTACATCACTGCCAATTACCTGCCGCCTGATGTCTCCGACCAGATCACCTATCTGCCGAACCTGAATCTGGGCGACGAGTACAGGCACTCGACTCTAGTGGCTGATGGATTAACGCCCTTCACAGATGCAGTGCTGGAACCACTCTCGGCATCTGCTACTCCGAAGCCATCTCTCGATGCAGCTGACGAGTGCCCAAGCCCTAAAGCCGATGATGCCACACCTGAAGAGGATCCTGCCCCCGAAAGCAACAACACTTCACCAGAAGCTACTGCTGTTGATAGCAACAAGAGCCCCGAACCAGCAGAGCAGCCTGTAGTGGAAAGTGGCGATGATTCTCCTACTGAAGGGGTTGATGCTGCGTGCGATGGCGCTCCTGAGGCAGCACTCAACGATGGACGCGCTAATAATGAGGAGGATATTCATTCAGAGAGATCAACACAGTGCTCTGAGACGCCCACCGTGCGAGCTGCAAGTCCTAGGGAACCAGCACCAGCCAAGAACAAGAACCGGCCCAACGGCGGTCGCAAGAGCAAACGAAACAGAAGCAATCGCAGGTCCAAGGTCGTAGCCACCTAGTATTTCCAAGCACGTTCATTGTTTTATTTATCCAGGATAATTAAGGATATACTACCATTTAACGCGACTTTGGGAGCTTGATGCCGACGATGTAGGCGTTGAACGCATAGGGCATTTCCATTCGGGTCTTCATTTCGGTGAATGCCTCAAAGTCGCCTTGGCCAGAGCTACTATGGCCATGGCTGTCATCACTTGCATCCTTGCCCTCATCCTCGCAGGAACTGGCCTCTCCGTCAGTTTCCTCGCTACTATCACTGTTTTTATCCTCGTCGCTTTCTTCATCACCGTCCTTGGTGCGCGGACTGATCCACACACTGACATCGTCGAACCCAGCCTCCAGCATCGCCTCCTTGAGATCTGATATTGTGTAGACGCGAAACTCGTAGCTGAAGCAGTTTTTGAGCACCGACCCATCGCGCATCTTGAATCCGAGCGAGAAGCGAATGGTGTTGCTCATCAGGTCGTAACTGTGCTGGTGGAAGTAATACTTGAAGCTACCCAAGTCGCGGATATTGCTGATGCCCGATTTGGTCGCTTCGACACCCCCAAAGATATCACAAAACAAGAGACCAAAGTCGTTCAGGTTCTTCAGACTGTGCTTCAAGTACCGGATCAGATCTTGGCGCTGGTGGAAATAGCACATAGCATAGTTGAGCGAGGCGATGATGTCGACGCGCGGCAGGCTGAGTCTATGCAGCTCCTCGCTTGCAGATCCGCTGCCCTTTACCGCCATTACATCAGCGCATACCAGTTTGATTCGTGAGCCAAGCGACGATTCGTGGTGGCCAGCTCCACCAACCGTGTGTTCCATGGCATAGTCGATTACATTCTTGTCGATATCCACGCCGTACGCACAGCGCTCGGGCGACGAATCAGTGCGGACCCACTCGGCACACAGAACCGCTGTGCCGCAGAAATCCTCGCGCATGGTCAGCGCATGTCGCCGGTGACCATGCAGCGGATCGTCGAGACCAGAGTCGGACGATTCGCCCGGGCTCTGATTCGCTGGCCGCTTTTTTGTTGCGTGGTCCAGATGCTGTGTACAGAGCTTACGGTAGATGGTATCCAAATTGCGCACCTCCTTGCGCGGCTTCTGCACTGCTTGCTGGTACAGCTGATGCTTGTCGGCAAGCTCGGCCATAGTTTTTGGCCGCTGGTGCTTGGTTTTTGCTTTCGTGGCCACCGGCTCTTCGGCAGTGCTCTTGAGCCATGACCCGGGCGCCTTGCTGGCGGTTCTGCTCTTGCTCTTACCCATGCTGGTCTTTTTTATAACTTGAAGAATGGAATGCGGAAACAAAAATGATGCGTTGGCGTAGGGTGGCGATGCCCGGCTATTTTTTTTTTGACCGGGCTATAAAATCGGAGAAAAAATTAGGAGCGAATCGTAGCGTGACGAGTCTGCTGATGTGGCTCGCGTCCTCCCTCCTGCGTCAGCTTCCACACCTTCATGTCCTGGAACGGAGAATATAGATGTAGCCGCCTATACAGTATACTTGCCAGATATGCATTATCGAATACATGCCATTAAACCCAGACTGCATATAAATTAATGTGCGGGTTTGTGGTTCGAGAGATACGTGCGAGTCATCAATGAAACGTCACAACCGCCATCAGGAGCAAGTTACGATCGATCAGAGTCCTATACTGCAGCGCACAGTCGCCCCAGAACACAGTACCAGTTTTCAGGTACTCAAGCCCCTGCTGGTGCCAAATGGACCCCGGCACCCCATGGCTGGGCATAAGGCGGGCCATGTGCTAGGTTCATAACACCGTTTGCAACATGCCTGACATTGTCTGGCCCATGATATGAATGGAGTGGGCTTATACATTGTAAAAAAGCGCAGCTATCCCACAAAGGTATGGACAAAAAAGAGCCTGGCACTACAACGAGACATATAGTACGCTGAACTACTAATCTGTGGACCCGGCGCAGATGTTGCAGAGGCTTCTTTTATCCAGGTAGATGTCGTCGCTTGGGATGCTGGCAATAACTGAGGCGTGCATTGGTCGACTCAAGATGAAGAAACAAAGGGAAAGATGAATTAATTTGGCGCTCGAGGAGTATGGAGGATGGAAAACTGCTTTTTCTTCCGGAGGTGTGTAGTGAACACTATGCTCTTGGTTTCAGCCTGGCAACCCTGCCCACATGCCGACAAGCGGACCTCATTTCCTGAGCCTCCTGCAAAACGAAATGTGCACTCATTCCGTTGCAAAAGAGGAGGGCGAATCCGCCTGGCATTTGCTTCGGTCAAGAATGTAGGGGCAGCTGTGAGGGAAAGGACACACACCCCCAGCACCCTTGGTCGTCCTTTGATATGCAAGAAACCAATTTGCACACCACACACATGCCGGTCCTGCCCACATTCTGCCTCTTGTTCTAAGCCTAGCTGCATGCTCTGCATTTTGGCGTAGAGGCGAGAAGCATTGCTCTTTCTCAGTAATCCAACTCGGAGAAACCCACATTGAGGCTTTTGTACCAGGACGACCCACGAGGGATCCGCCTCTGGCCACCTAGGATCCGCAATATCTGAGAAAATATTATTACAGATGCGCACCGAATTTTAATGAACTATTGAGATATGTACCAGCATACGCATGTACTGGTGCTCTCGCTCACAATACCATGAGAAGGATTCAAGGAGGTTCTCCATCACACTCGAGAGCGGCCTTTGCTGGGGGTCAATCCCTATCGACGACAAGGAGCATTTCGACTTCCCTTTCTTTGCCCACTTAAATTGTGTTGAAAGGCAGCTTGTATGGAGGATGCAGAACATTTTCAGCAAATGGGATGTCGCAAAGTTTGACCACGAGAGCTTGGAAATCATGCCGTCACAAATTTTCAGAACGCACAGCCACAAATATCTGTTGGTCATGCATTTGCATACATCAGGCACCTCGGAGGTTGTCAGTTTTTCTTTTCAACAGGAGCATCCCCGGAAGAACTGAAAGCCACTCACTATGAAGAGAAAAGGCTGTTCAAGATAATTGCTGTTAGGGTTCAAATGAAAGGCAGCACTCCACGTAAACAATATTGCCAGGTGTCATTTGGGATTAGAGAAAATAAAAGACAATACGCTCACCCTGGTCACTACTCGATACTCTTGGTACATGCCCACAGCTTTCTTGGTAGGTGTCTGCCCTATCACTCTCTTTGTGATTGACATATGCGGACAAACAGGTTGCTTCTCTGCATGATGCATCTACTGCCCCCTTTCACTTGCTCTCGACCCACTTTTACAGATGGGAGTGAAAAAGCTCGATGCTATGTACATACTCAGATATGCATATGTAGGGGCAAATATTATTGCTGAGGATGAAATTGAAGAAAGGGCCGCTTGCGAAAAACAGAACTAGACCTGCTCTCTCTTGTGGCCACCTGGGGGTTGCAATCCTCTCATCCTGCACCTCCCCATGAGATGTGTTCCTTCCTCAGCCCTTTTTTCTTCACTCTGGATGTTTTGGGCACAAGGTAGGAAATACAGGGCTGTGAAGAGTAGCAAAGCAAAAAGGAATGAGGAATGGATCTAAGATATGTGTATTTCCGTTGGGTGTGGAAGGATATTCGGATGGTGGTATGTCACTCCAAAAGTAACAGAGTCAAGGATTATATTGATATATGGATACTTAAAAACAAAGGAAAGAATAGGGGTGGGCTTAAATGTTTTATACTCTCGCTCAAGTAGCACAGCCAAAAGGAAATGGTATACAAGGGAACTAGCGTTAGCCGAAAGAAAAATTATGTAGTTACCAACAGTATCAGCACACCACTGGGCTGGCATACTTGCGGAGAGATCGGTGAAGTCATCTTGTGGTTGAACTCTGAGCCACCGGGCACCTAAATACTACCCTGGATATTAACCAAGCAAAGATTCTATCCGGATCCGAATCAGTGATAGGAACCTGATGTGTCCGTGGTATGAAGGATGCACTTAGCCATCATAGTACCATGTTTCTGAATTATGTTAGCGGACTTTGGCCATAACAGGCCATAGCACGGATCCACGGTGCCGCTTACCTCACTCTAGCGGCCTCGTTATAAAATGTGTTTCCTCCAAATTCCTAACGGCTGTTGTAATTGTATGTGTGTTTTCTGGTCACTGTGAAGCTAGAGTGTAAAATGATATTTAAAAAGTAATTACAATGCCAACATATCTAATGTGATACATACAGATAATACAAAGGAGAGAGGAGGGTAAGCTATAGGCATCTAGAGAAGTGCTTGGGTGCTACAACCAAAAATTGAACACAAGGATAAAAATGAGTATGGACATGTGTAGTCTACAATAATTGGATCGTTGGATTACATAATATATGACTGATTTGCGAGGTATCCATATATGCATGTTGCATGAGCATGTGATTCCAATAGCAAGTCACATGTTCAAGTTTTTTGTTTATTAGAAACTCAGCAAGATAATAAATCGATTGAATGTTATTTTCATGTAAATGGTTTCTTTCCTCCAGTTACTACACTGCCCATGGTTGGAGTTATTTTTTGTTGAAAATGCATGCCAGCATTCCATCAGACATCTTCAGTAGACTAATAAATACTGTGCCCAAAGACATGTTCAGCAAGATGGGTGGTAATGTGCCGGTACATGGTCGAGTTCTATGCGGTATCACCGCCTGTGGGGGGGGTTGAAAAACGTGGCATTAGAAAGGCTCATGGATATGCGTCTGTTGATGCAGGCTGAAAGGACTTGGGATGCCTGCTCAACAGTGGAGGCAGCATATTGGCAACTCAGATTCCATCTGGCTAGTTGTTGTGTTCTGTGCAACCCAGTGTTCTAACACGCATGTCTACTTGATATGCATTTCTTAGCACGTAACATTGCAAAAGTACACTATGAATGGGCACGGCATATATCCCAAAGTCTCATGCAGGTGATGGCTTGGTATCGTAGGCGTTGATGGGCGAGCTGCGCATCATGCCAGCAACCGAGCTGTACGATGATGTGCGTGGGGCTGGTGAGTGGTCGCGCTTCTGCTGGGCAACAGGGATGGGTGTAGCCGAGGCTGATGCGCTGGTGCTGCCCTGCTTGTCCGTCTGCGGGGTGCTGTTACCGGACGACGAGACACCCTTGTTGACGTTGCTCAGCAAAGCCAGATTCTTGTACGTGAAATCGTCAAACACACGCTCAGTCTCCTCGTCATCCAGCTCCTCACCTGGCTCCATGGCAACAGCATCAGCATTCTCAGAGCCAGCAATCGATCCGGGGCGGCTGAGGCGGTCGTCGGCGCGCTGCATTTTCATGTCGATTTCCGAGAGGTTCGCGTCAACGCCACGGCTGGGGCGGCGCGAGCGGCTGGTGGTGGACTTTTTGCCGTTCATCAGAATCTGCACAGAGGCGCAGCGCGAATGCGATTTGCTCGAGACATTCGACAGCGCAGGATCCTGGATGCCGTCAGAGTGCTGGCTGGGCGTGCGGCTCAGCGAGGCGAATTTGGCGTGACCAGCAGGCAATGGCGGCAGAGCAATGGCGGCGTTGGCAACCGAGGGCGGTGGGATCGGGCTTGCGGGCTCGAGGTCGTCGTCACCGATCTGCTCAAAGTCCGATTCACTGAGCGAGTTTAGGCTGTTACGTGTGCTCGACGACTCAGTCTTTGCCAGGGGACCAGCGGACTTTGGGCTCTGCTTTCCATCATCCTTGAATGAGTACCGGTCGCTGCTGTCCGCTGATGCAATCGACCCGTCCTTGGTTTCCGGAGCGCTCTCAGCAGGCTTCTTCAGGCCCTCAGGTGACATTTCGCTGAACAGCTTTTTCAGCTGGCCGATGCTTGGGGCACTACCGGTCTGCAAGGCGCTGGGCGGGAAGAGCGCTGGCTGCGACATGCGGCGCTCGCTCGAAATTCCCGGGAAGGCACGCAGGATGGGCGGGTCCTTTTTGGCAGGGGCGGGAGAAGGGTCGGTGGGCTTTGCGGGAAGCACTGGGCGGCGAGCTGCGTCGATCTGCAGGAAGGTAGCGTTGGAGAGACGCTGGATTTCGGAGCGCTGGCAGGACTCGAAATAGCTCGTGTCGACGTCATCATCGGGCATAGGCACAAAGGGCGGCTCAATGCTGCGGATATTAGCAAGGTCCCAGTCGCTGTAGAGGGCGGCCTTGCGGAAATCCTTCCAGTGTGCGCGGCTGGCGGGGTCGGGGTGCAGCAGGGCGCGGATAAGCGACTGGGCGTTCTCACTCATGTATCCATCGTCGTCGGGCCAGTCAATGGCATGGTTGAGGATGTTGCGGAAGATGGCCTCGGGCGACTCGTCGGTGAAGGGCGGGTAGCCGCAGAGGAACTCAAACAGACAGACACCCAACGCCCACCAGTCAACCGCCAGTCCGTTGCCAGCACCCAGCAGCAGCTCGGGCGCCAAGTAGTCGGGGGTGCCGAGGAACGCGCGCTCGCTTTTGCGGGCGTGGGCGCGCTTGGACGGCGGCGGGGCACGGCCAGCGTGCGGGTTGTTGGAGGCCGAGGCCGGCGCCGGAGCATTGTGGCCGGGCTTGGAGAGCTCCATCGTCCAGTACTCGTCGCTCTTGTCGGGGTCAGGCTCACTCTCAGGCTTGCCGTCGGCTCCGGCGCGTACAGCAACCTGGCTGAGGCCAAAGTCGCTGAGTTTGATGTGGCCATCACTGCAAAGAATGACGTTGTCCGGCTTGATATCGCGGTGGACGATAGAGTTGCGATGCAGGTAGTCGATAGCGCAGGCGATTTCGGCGGTGTAGAAGCGCGCAGCGTCCTCGTCCATGACGCCCCAGACGCGCAGAAGCCCGGCGAGATCGCCGCCGATCAGATACTCCATGACCAGGAACAGATGCTTCGACGAGTGGAAGGCGTAGTAGAGCTGAACAACCCAGTCGGCCGACAGCAGCGACAGCGCGCGCCGCTCGGCCAACGCCTGGGTGACCATGTTTTTGTTGATCATGTCCTTCTTGCGCATGACCTTGATTGCATACAGGTCCTTTGTGGCCTTCTTGCGCGCCAGATACACGCGTCCGAATGCCCCGCGCGAGATCGGCTTGACGAAATCAAAGTCGTCGATCGACGGCATGCGCTGTGCCTTAGCCGAGGACTCGCGGCTGCAGGCGAATGTGCTGTTGGTGCGCTGCCGCGACGGAGACATGGCCGATGGCTCGCCGATCGCCGCACTGATGCTGGTGCTGATTGTCAGGCCAGCGGGTACAGCAGCCGGCGAGGGCGTCGATGGCTGCGACGGTGTCGACGGTGTCGATGGTGCCGACGGTGCCGACGGTGACGGCAGCATGATGGGCGGCGGATGCTGCGCCGGGATGCGCAGCTTGCCTGTATGGGCGAATGGCGAGTTCCGACGCCGGAGCGTCGTCGGGCCAGCCGGCGGCGGAGTGCCCGGGCCAGGATTCTTGCGCGTATTGGCGACTCCGTGGTGGTGGCCGCGGAAGAGCGCAGCGAACAGTGAAACCAGCTTACGCGAACCGCTGCTGCTGCTGGCGTGCGAGTCGGTCTCGGAAGCATCGGCGTGTCGCAAATGGCGGCTGATGCTGCGGCGGCCCGGGCGCAATGGCTTTGAATGGCGCATGTCGCGCTGCGAGCTGCTGGCGCGGCTAACAGCCAGCAAATCGGGCGTGGCTGCGCCCGAGTCCGATTGGCCAATGTCGATGCTAGTGCGAGCGGACGCTGTCGGACTGTGGTTCTTGAAGTGAGCGAGCTGCGACCACGTCGGCAGGACGACTGGCTCGCTGGGCGCTGGCACCGGCGAGCCATCCTGCGCCTCACGCGTCAACTCGGCCTGGCGCTCGAGCCGGCTAAACTCTGTATCAAACTCCTCGATGATGGTTAGCTTCTCCTGGATGCGGCGCTGCAGCTGTCCGGCCACCCAAACCGTTTCGATATCGGCGCGTGGCAATGCCGGTGTCGTTACGCGGTCGAGCTTGGCTGTGTATTTGGCAAACTTTGCCTTGGCAACGATCAGCGCGTGGTGCGAGTCGCCGTCGGGCCAGGCAAGCGCCCGTGCGGCGACGCGTCCAACCCGCTCCGCCTCACGCTCGGCCGCCTTGTCCCAGCGCCGCGTGCGCCTAAGCTCACTGAGCCTGCGCATGGCCGAGTCGCGCAGCCGCTTGATCCGCTGATTGGCCTCCTCGAGCTTCAGCGCGCGCGTCTGCTCCAGCATGCAGACATCTGAATGTGCATTCAGCTCAGAGCGTGCAAATGACCGCTCGCACATGCGGCAGATCACTGGCTCATCCTCCTCTTCCTCGGGAATCGGCTTGATATCTCCGGTCACTGCCTCAGCCGCAGTCTCTTCAGCCGGCTTGACCTCCTCAATGGGCGAGGCCGGCGGACTCTTGTCATAGTCGCTGTGCGAATCGTCACCAAGAATAAGCGCCAGCTTCTCTTGTCGCGCCTGCTCATCGGCACCAAACATTGCTACGGCGCCGTATATGGTCGCTGGCCGCGTGATCTGCGGGGGCGCCACTGAAACTGGCGCTTGCTCGGTCGGCGGAGGTGGGACTGTGGGCTGCACCTGCAATGACGTGCGCTTGGACCGCGACACGCCCTCCTCCGTGGTTGCGCTGATGCGGCTCGGCCGGTGGGTCAGCGAGCGGCGGATCTGCGCATCGTCCAGTGACGGTCGGCTAGGCTCTGCACTGGCCTCCTGGTCACCCAGCAGCGGACCAAGCGCAGGGCGCACAGAAGAGCGGGCAGCTCCAGCGGACCGTCCCATTGAACCACTAGCTGGTAGCAGCGAGACCAGCGATGCCGTCGAGCTGTGCGCGGTGCCGGGCACAAGCTGCGGACTGGATATGCGCGAGAGCGAGTCAGGTGCACGGGCCTTACCAGATCCTAGGAGTGGCTCAGAGCTATTGGTTTCATGCCGCAGGGCGTGTGCCAGCACGTTAGTATCGGTGCTGGTGCGCTTGAGCTGTTCGTGTACCTCGTCATGGGCCGCCACAGGCGAAGCCGAGGCAGCACGCGGCGATAAATCATTCTGGACAGCCATTGCTGATGACAATAATGGTGCGATGGCTGGTGGTACGCGCTGGGCAGTCTCGGGCGCCAGCAGTGGACTCGGGTACTGGCTGGTAGCGGGCGAAGCATCACCCGAGGCCGCATGGCGAGCACCGCTCTGCGCCAGCTGACTGACGGTTTGCGAGACCGTGGAAAAGTGGTACAGAACGTCGAGGATCAAAGAACCGATGCTGGCGTCGGACGAGAAGCGCGTGCGCTGCTGTGTCAGCAGGCCGAACAGTTGCTCGGTCAGTGAGCTGGTGAACGACACGTGGCCAAGCTCTGAGACCGTCGCGTGGCGGATCACGCCGATCAGCCCCAAGACGCGTCGCCGGAAATCATTGCGGCCATCGATACGCACTGCCTCCGACGGTGTGCGGCGGTGACCGCGCTTGACCTGCATGATCATTGCGTCGTCGCTACGCAAAGCCTCGCTGTCCTGCGCACAAACCACCGCGCCACTATCGGTCTCCCGCCACGCCCGCAATAGCCGATCGATATGCGCGTCGGCACGCGACTTGCTGACCACCAGAACCTGCCACAGCGCATCGCGCCTGGCTTGGCTGACACTGGCCGGCTCCAGCAGCTCACTGAGCCCGCTCGCTACGCTGTGTCCCGATGCGCTGCGCTGTACGGCCATTGTGCCGCGCGACTCCTCACCCGGACTGCCCGCAGACATGGACGATCCCGGCCGACTTGCCACCGGCCGCTTGGCTTGGGCGCCTGTCGACGTCGCCCGCCCGCGCCCACCCATCACCGACTCCATGCTGGACGGCTCGGGTGCTGACCCGGGCTCGACGCGCAGCTGCGGCGCCCCACGGATATCCATTCCGCCCTTCTCCTTCAGCCGGATCGCATTAGTCGTCGCCGCGCGCGCCAAATGCACTGGCTGTGAGGCCCCGCGCGGTCGCACGTGCTGCGCAACATGCGCTGTGCCTGGAAACGCCGGCGGCGGCGGCGTGCCCAAGTTACTCAACGCATTTGATACTGTCGACGCGACCGACGATGCCTCGTAGTCCAGTGGCTCACTAGGGTACCGGTGCATCGACACATCCGAGCTGGCGATGCCCGAGGATGGCCCACGTGACGGCAAACTGCCGGTGCGCCTATAGTCGACTGTGAACGGGATCCCGCCGTGTCCCCCGCTGCCCGGCAGCGACGTTACTGAACTGACTGTGCCCTGGACGTGGTCCTGCGCTGTAGATGACGCCGATGAATACGTGCGGGTGCCTGCCAGATCATGTGACAGCTGCCAGTCCAGCACCGCCGCATCAAACATTCCGTTCTGCTGGCTACCGGGCGTCCCCCATCCATGGAATCCTGCAAACGGCGATTCTACCGCTGTGCTGCGGTTGTTAGCCCCACTCGGCTCCTCACCTGCCCGGCGGTGTGTCATCTCCAGCTCACCGCCATCGTTATTCGATGCCGCCGACGTCCACGACTGCACCGAATCGGAGGTTGCTGAGATCGAGCTGCGCGACGATACACCCGCATTGGGCTGACCCACCAGCATGGTGCTGAACCGCCGCTTGATCTGGTACGCCGACAGCAATCCCGATGATTCCTGGCTCGGCGTGCTACCTTGCCGCCGCCTCGTACCTGCCTCGCCCGCCCAGTCCAGGGCACTGAGCGCGGTGCGTTTTTTTTGCGTCGTCGATCCAGCGACAACCTGCGACTGTGACCTGCCGATACTGTGTTTTGGAAGGGTGTTAGCATTGGACGCGTCGCTCGTGAATCCGTCTGTCGACTGGTAGCTGAACCGCGGTGTCCTGCCTGATGGCTCGTTGGACTTGCTGCGCGAAATCTGCTCCTCGCCTGCCTGCGACTGCATTGAGGAGCGCGAGAGCTTGGGGAAGATGCTGCGCGATACACGCGCCATGGGCCGCACTACCGGCTGCTCATTCTCGTCTGAGTCCTCGGCCATGCTTAGCGACCGCCGTGACAAGGGGCTGGCCACGAGTGGCGGATTCACGCCCTTGGCTTTAATGTGTTGTGCAATGCGCTGTCCGCCCGATTCGGTCTTTTGCGTGACACTCTCTTCTGGCGCCTCTTCTGGAGCCTCCTTTGCGGCATCATCCGGGCCACTCTCTGGCTGTTTGGTCGCGAGCTCGCTCAGCTGCTGCTCGCTGACCTGCGATGTTGTGGCCGTGGTGAATGCACGGTGCCGCCGCAGCGACATCCCACCGGGCGACATATTGGACAGATTCTGCGCGCTGCGCATTGCCGGGCCCTTTGACAATTTGCTCTGCCGTCCCTCCGTCTCTGTGAATATCGCGCCTGGCGACGAATACAGAGACGGGCTGACGTACCGGCTCGGCGACATCTCCCCCTGTCCTTGCACCGCCAGGCTGTCCTGCGAGGTATTAGTTGAGCGCGAAAACAGCCGGTTCACTTTGCCCTGCAATGCTGCGCTCGATAGCCGCCGCAACTTGCGCACAAAGTTCATCCCCGACGACCGCTTGTTCTCGCCTGGCTCATTGCGCGACCGCCCAGAATGCACTGACATGCTGGTGGGCGAGTGCGGGAGCACCGATGCCTCTGGTATTGCCGCGCCCTGGAGCCCGAGCCCCCCGTTAGTGCCCCGCCGGTGAATGCCCGTGCTGCCAGCGTCGTCTACTGCCAAGCTACTATCTGTCTGCTCAGCTGCCTCGCCAGTGCCTGCTGCTGTGGCCGTAGCGTCCCCGGATATAATATTGGTGGCGCTGCTATCTTCTGGTTCTGCCATATGCTATATATCCGTCACCCCAGCCCAAGGGGTGTTTTCTTCGAAAAGAGGGGTTGTGTGTTTCTGCTAGGGCAATGTGTCCGTCAAGCGGCTGCAATTTACCCTGTGTGCCTAAATGGAAATTGGAAATAATAGTAAGAGGGTGCGGGGGAATAAACGATACACAGCCGTGGGCTATACAAGAAACCAATGGAGCTCCGGCTTTTCTTTTTGCATATATGTTTGTGTAGTGGAGAACGTCTCAAGACAAATATCTCGGGGATGCCCAGCATGCCTTACCTTGGCGATAACAGCGTAAACACCTAGAAGCAAAAATAAAAAACAAGGAATGTGTGTGCGGGTCACAGTTTACAGCGTATCTGAGCCCTGTGTGTATAAACCCCCTAGCGTTTGGTGCAAGCCGAAGGCAATGAGTCTGCTGCAAAGCGAAGAACGAAAGAAGATAGGGAAGTGTAAAAGTACCAGAATGAAACGAAAAATAGTGAAATGTAAAGAGAGACAAGAGAGTTTGCTGTTTGAAATTCTGCTTTGCTGCTCCTGTGTATTATTTTTTGGGAACAACGAAATCAAAATCGGGCTACTTTTTCGCAGCAGGAAAATAATGCACAAGCCTCACCCCTCCCCGCTCTCAGAATCTCGCTGCCCAGCGCATGTTGTGGATTTGCCCGCCATTGTCGTACAGCAAAAGAGCAGGGAAGCGCATTTTCTTTTGCGATTTGATGTGCTCTGTCTTTGAACAGCGCCATGCAAATGTTGACATGCTTTACTGAAAGCCTCTCTGTTCAAACGACCTCTGAACACAGCAAGCACACGGCCAATCCAATCGCCAAGGTATCTGCGCAAAAAACGGGTGACGGTCTCGCCACACAGCAGAAAGAGGGCTTGTTCAGAACAGGGGAAAGCGATAATTCTAAAACCAGCAAAGTCATCGGTTTCCTTTTTTTCTTCCACTCCTGCTTTTCACCACTGAATATCATTTCTGTTACGATAATCGCTGCTGGCACCAAATGTACATATACGGAGCGCGAGTCTAGAACGAAGAATTTAGAACCATGGACCCTGCACGCAACGTACTGGCAACAATAGCCTCTGCAGTGTCATTGACGATAGAAATTCCGGCCACGCCGACGCCCACGGCAACACTCACCGACCGGATAACAGCAACAGTAGCGACACTGGCCAGCACCAGACCCGCGCAGTCCTCCACAGTCTCATTCGGTGCCAAGGTGGCCTCGACTCTGCAGCAGGTGTGGGACTGGCAGCCAACGTTCATGCATGGCTTCCTGCTGGGCCAGCTCAGCATGCTGGTGGTACTGGTACTGGCGATAAAGTACATTCTGTTCGAGGAGCCGCTGGGCGCGCAGGAGAAGCGCGACGACAGCCCGCGCAATGACACGGCGGTAATGCAGGAGGGCGGGTTCGGATTGTCCAAGTTTATGATATTTTCGCGCAAGCCAAAGGAGCCCAAGGCGGACGATCTGGCCGAGGAGCTGCACAAGATGCGCAAGGAGATTCTCTCGCGGACCGGCTACGAGCTGGGGGCGCAGGCGGCCGAGTCGTGCGACTGGCTGACGGTGTTTCTGGCGCAGATTATCGCCAAGTTCCGCGCAGACGCCGAACGCCACGACCGGCTGGTGCGGGTGATCAGCGAGGCCCTGAATGGCGAGCTGCGGCCGTCGGTGCTGGACAGCATCCGGATCACACAGTTCTCCTTGGGCTCGGACTTTCTGCGCATTACTGCGGCCCGCATGGTGCCGTCGTCGGGCTCCCTGGGCATGCGCGCCGAGCTCGATCTCTCGCTGCACGACGAAATCACACTGGGCTTCAACACAAAGGTGCTGGTCAACTGGCCACGCCCATCGGTGGCCGCCTTGCCCGTCACAATGGTGGTCTCGGTGGTCAAGTTTGTCGGCACGGTGGCCGTAGAGTTCGATAGCGCGGCGCTCGAGCCCTCGGTGGCAGTCACAATTCTGCCAGACTACATCCTCGAGTTCGACATCCAGACGTTGATTGGCAGCAAGGCCAAGGTGCAGAACCTGCCGATGCTGACATCGGTGATCAGCAGGAAACTGCAGGCGGCGTTTGCCAAGGAGCTGGTGATGCCGAATGAGAAGCGGATCAAGATCAAGCACCCGTTCACGCCCAAGACCGCACAGCCAGCGCAGCCAGCGCAGCCAGCGCAGCCGCAGCAGCCAGCGGAGCCAGCACCCACCGGCTCACCCCCCAGTATACCGACGGACCTGCCACCCGACTACAACACGCAACTGCCGCCGCCGCACGCTATGCGCACGACGCTGTCGCGGGCAGGAAACCATGTGCAGACCAGCCCGCCAATGGGCATGCCGCCGCGGATGTTTACGCCCGACGAGCCCTCATTGCACCCGATGCGGGCGTCGTCGAGCCAGGCAGCGCCGTCCATGTACGGCATGTCGCCGAAAATCCACCCGATTGTGCCGGCGCCCTATGGCCCGCTGGCGAACAGGGTGTATGGAGCCGGCGGCCAGCGCTTGTTTGGCAGTGCTTTGGCGAGTATTCCGCAGGGGCTGAATGGCGTGACGGCATTGGCGGGCAGTCAGCGCCAGGCGGAAGACGACGACGACGAGATGCTGGTGAAGGATAGTGTGAGGCAGAGAGTGAACCGGGTCATTCGAACAGTCAACGAGTCGTGAGAAGGCTGTCGAGGAGGATAGCTGTTTGCATTCACATGATGCCAGCAGATAAGAAAAGCCGGATTATGTGGATCGCCCCCAATGTGGCAAATAAAAAAGGGACAGTGCATATATTGGTTGAGAATGACGAGTTGAATGTGTACATAGGATTTTGGTTTTTTGCTTGGCCCGGCGCTCACAGATACCGGTGGTCAAAGAACTTGATGGTGACCCCAATATCCGCAGCCACCCTCAGCACCGTCGCATCGTGCAGCTGGCGAGCATCATCCGAGGCGCATCGGCGCCAGATATCCGCAAACTCCCTCACCAGCGTCCTCACGCCGCGCAGGTACCCGTAATCGGGGCCAGCGCAGCCGCCAGAGCACGGGCATTTGGGCATGGGATCAGCCTCAGTCACATGGAAGAACCTGGCCGCCGCGCACGTCGACATGGGCGTGTCGGAGCCGTCAGACGCAGTGGAGGGGCCAAACAGGGGCGAACTGGCGGCGGGGTCCGGCGGGCACTGCTCATGGCACGAGGCATCGGGGCGGGTCAGTGTAGGCTCGGCATAGACATCCGGGTTGGCGACAAAGCTGCAGTTGACAAAGTCAATAATGCGCAGGTCGATCTGCGGCAGCTCAAGCGGCGCCGTAGCCCACTGGCTCTGCCGCCCGCACTCATTTGCCAGATGCGACAATGGTCGGCCACTGGTGCTGCCGCGGGAATCGGCAGAGCCAGGCAGTAGTGAGCTGCGGTCGGTGAATGAATTGGCCGGCGTCATCGTGCCGTGCAGTGGCGGCGTCGACAGCGGCAGCAGAGGAGTGTTTGCCGGTGTGGTGGCCGAGGTCACCAATGCAGGGGCATGTAGCATGGACTGCGACAGCGGGTGGTGGATGGCGGGCTCGGGCGGCAATGGCATTGGGATTGCCGGGGCGGTCGGTCGCCGCGCAAGCGACGGCGGCTGGTCAGGTAGGTCGGTGGTCGGGAACTCGTCCACGGCCCGCGTGGCAGCATACCCGTCGTAGACCAGCAAAAGGCTGGAGCCGAAGAAGCGGAAGCCGTGCATTTGCTCGACGGTCCGGTAGAGACTGCGCAGCTTGACCAGGAGGGCCGGAATCAGATAGGCAAACACTGTCTCGCCGTTGTCCAGGAACTCCAGCAGCGAGCGCTGGAACGTGAACTTGTTCAGCGACCGCCCGTAGTACTTGTCCTGGAAGAGGAAACGGTTGCGGTCGGCCTTGTAGACCTGCAGCCCGCACATGCGCACGCCCAGCTCCTTGCTAGTGGTGGCTGCGCACTTGATGGTCTGCGAGACGACCTTTTTCGCCGGTGCATTGACGCCATGTTGCCGCGTGCCCATTTTGAGATCGAGGATGCATGGCCGCCGCATGGATGCGGTCAGATCGGACATCAGGATGAACTGGTGCGTGCTGCCCTCGATGGCCTCGGTGGGCATGCGCTTGGCGCATTTCTTCTTCCACAGATTTTCAAAGTCCGCCGTGGCGGCGGTTTGAGCTGGGCAGTCCGCGGCCTTGGCGAGGTCCGGCTCGGAGCGGTCCAGTGGCTCACTAACACAGGCCGTGAGCCGGGGCCGCACCTTCATCGCCCCCGTGCTTTCGCGCCGCACAGGCAGACCGTCGCTGCCTAGCAGGGCGCCCGGGGGTCCAGACGCAGCATCGGCTACTGCCCGGTCGTGCAGCAGACTGGAGCCGCGCATGCGGTTGGAGCCAAGCAAAGGGTGGACGATAGGCGCTAGGGCTGTCATGCGCGGTACGCCCGGCAGCAGCTTTGCTGCTGGGGCCTCGGTCCGCGCTGGCCCGGCTGACGGACGGTTTTCCGGGCTGCTGCTGGAGCTAGTGCTTGTAGACGACACATGGCCTCGTGCATCATACATGGAGTTCATACACAGCCCCTCTATATCGCTCAACATCATGTGTTTCTGCAGGTCCAGACTATGTGCCTCGTCGGCGTCGTTGGTGCCGGTGGTGCGCTCGACGGCCGACGCCAATGGCATGAAATGAGCGGGCTGCAGATCAGTCGACGAGTGGCGGCGACGCACGGGTCCATGGGCTCTGATTTTTGCCTGCTGCCGGGCCCGGGCCTTGAGCGCGCGCGGCGACAGCGCGTCCTTCAGAATCTGCTCCTGCATGGCCCGCCAGGCACCGCTCAGGTGCATCTTGCGGGCACCGAAGCTACCAGGTGCGGCAGTGCGGCTGCTGGGCGACGGCACCAGCTGGCGGGCCAGGCAGCTGGGCAGAATATGCAGGTTCTGCTCCAGCACAATCTCCGGGACTGGGTCGCCGCCCTCGGGCTTTTTGCGGTACGTGACATTGACGACGCCCAGGCAGCTGGGCACAAACCGGTACAGGTCGCGGTGCAAGTAATCCACGGCCTCGTAGAACGCGCGCTCGCGCTCATTCATCGGCTTGCAGATGGCGCTGCCCGAGAACTTTAGGAACGGCGTGTGTCCGCCCACCTGGTTAACAAACGGAGTTAACGCCAACGACGGCGGCGTCACCGGGCCGTGGAATGTCGCCTCTTCGTCGAGCCACGGCTGCCCGAGCTCGTCGCCCGACACGTCCATTAATTCGTCGTCCGTCACGTGCGTTTCATAGTAACTATCGTCGTCCTCGTCCATGCTGACCTCGTTGATGTCGTCCTGCACGTCGAGCCACACGCCTGGCGGCTCATTGAGCGACCGCCGCGGCGAGATGCTGCGTAGCCGGTAGTGCGAGCGGTTCTGAATCAGCTGGTAGTTTTTCACCCCTGCTCCATCGATCTGCGGGATGCCCTGGGCTGACACTGACGCCATTAGTGGCGGATGAGCCGCCATGTGTTGCGATGCACTGTTATGAATGTGCTCTGATGTCGCTGCGGCTGTGTGCTGCATGGGTGTCAGGAGCTCATCCAGTTGATTTTCCACCCGGCTTTTCCGCCACCGCCGGCCGGACCGCGACGGAGCGCCTACGGCGGCGCCGGGCGTGCTGCTGGTTGGAGTAAGCGGTTGCTGGTCTGTTGGGGCTAGTTGTACACGGAAAGAGTGCATTGTATGCACATGCTGTACAGGGTTTGGAATTTAAAATAAAAAGGTGAGGGTTGGCGGGAAAAAGAAGATAATCCTGCGGCAAGGGAGCGGATAACCTGCAACAAGCAATGTAGCCGATAATAAAAGCGCCAGCGAAAAAATGTCGGAAAAGAGCGAGGGAAAGCACCAGTCTGGTTAAAAAACACGGAAGAAGGGAAAAAAGAAGAAAAAAGTGTAAACTCGACAAAAAAGCGCGCTCTAGCCGATATTTATACCCCTCGCGAATCGACAAGAGGCCCAGGCATTTTTTGCTTTGGGGGGGCCTTCCAACCGCCCCTTCCTGCCACCCCCCACTGGCCCACATCGATTGGCAGCGCCCCGTATTGGCAAAAGTTCAAGGTACGGTTTCTGTGCGACAATCTTTGGGCACGATATGGCGGAGCGAGCATTCATATTGGGCCGCACAAGAAGCAAGGCATTTCCCAAGAGTCCTGCCGCATTCCCCCTTCTCAAACGCCGTTAGAGCTGCCCTCTCCCACCTGCATGCGAGCCGCGATGGAAAAACGCACGGTGCTTGTCCGATGGAGAGCCACACGTGGGGTGAGGCGGGCACCTCCACTTGCTTTGCGTGCTGTTCACTCTGTAGCACCAATCGTGAAGGCCATTGCTGTGCTATCTGCCCTGCCACCAGTTTAAGCCACGCATTTACAACGGCTATAGGCCACTGGCTAGTAGTCTTATGCTTTTCCTCCTCTAACGCGTCTCGACGCCCCCATGTCTAGAATATCCTTCTACACCACACACCGCGCACACGGCCAATTGTGCTTGGTCACGCTTTCAAAGCGTTTTTATTTTGCCTGCACGGCCAATTTGCTGCTATTCGCACCACATGCATGCATGTCTGGATAGGCCCAAAAAATGCCTACCCTTCCTTTTTCGTTTTGCCATTAGGTCATGTTTTTGTTGAGAGATGCACAAAATAAATAAAAAAAACATAGTGCCAAGCGGTGCGTGCATGTGGGTAACGACGCCATAGCATCATTGGCATATCAGGGCCTCAGTGTGTAAATGCATATGCTGCATACAATCAGCATATCTGTCATCCAGTAGTATGCACATCGTGGGCTCAGGCAGAGGCCTTCCTAACACCCGATTTCCTGCAAATGCTTTGCCACAGTGACACTCGAAGAATGCATGCTTCTGTATTTTTTTTCGGAGAACGGCCAGAGGGGGTTTCTGGGTTGTTGCTTTTTTCCCACTGGCTCGGTGCATTTTCATCCAGCCATCGAGCATGACCTAGATGCGATAGGTGCAAGGGCAGCATATGGCATTAGTCGATTGGATTGCCCGGGAACGCCGTATCTCGAAAAACGGCTTTGCATCTTGCTCGTGGCAGGTCTTGGGCACAAAATCGATAAGATCCGATTTCGACCTAATTCGTCCCACGACTCGTCAGGAGCCGTGGCTCGCCGGCTCAGGAACACAGGCTTCAATTTTGCCACAAGGAAAAATCTGGACGCTTTTTTTGTTTATCAGCATTCACTTCTATCCAAAAAACGCAATTCATAAACAGCGACAATGCCAGAGGTAGCCCGCACCGTGACACCCGCAGAAGACGAGCTGCGCGCGGCCATTGCAGCTGTGAAGGCATCGAACCCCGAGTTTGGCATCGCCCGCGTACTGAGCACGATCCGCTCCTCGCACGGCGACTGGCAGGTCAGCGAGAAGCGTGTGCGCAAGTTCCTGGGCGCGCTGGGGCTGGTGCAGAGCGACAATGCCGGGATCCCGAAGAGCTCATTGGCGCCGACGGATCTGGCGGCAACCACGGGCAAGGGCCAGGTGGAGATCCGGTACATCGACGGCACAAAGGGCAAGGGCGTGTTTGCAACGCAGGACATGCAGCCTGGGAGCATAGTGTTTGAGGAGACGCCCTTTGCGTGGTACCCGCGCTGGGACACCGTCGGCGCCGCCTACCACCTGGACGCCGATCACGAGTGCCAGCTGTGCGCGCGCTCGCTGGACCCAACGGTAGTGCGCACGCGCGTGCGCCCGGCAAAATGTGCCTCGTGCGGGGTCAAATTCTGCAGCAGCATCTGCAAGACCGAGGCCGATATGCATTTCCACAAAATTGAGTGCTCCAAGAGCAACCCGGCGTTTGCCAAGCTGGCCGATTTCAGCCGCCGCCAGGACCAGTGGGGGGCGCCGATGGGCGCTGTGCGCGCGCTGGAGCGCGTCATCATGGAGTTTGAGCAAAGCACGAGGCGTGGCCGCGAGGCGTGGGCTGGTCTAAAGGCCTTTGCCACTGTGAGCCAGGAGACGATTGACGAGAGGCGGTTTGGCCCTGCTTGGTTCATGTACCAGGAGGACCGCGAGAACAAATGGAAGGCCAGCTACAAGCTGATGAAGAGCGCCTTGTGTCCGCCGCCTGCAGCCTGCGGGCTCACGGCGTTTGACAGGATCCCGGCCAAGATCAAGGAGGAGATGCTCTCGTACCAGGGATGGCTGGATCTGCTCGGAAAGTACTGCCTGAACGACCAGAATGGCGGCTTCTATCTGCTGCAGAGCTGCTTTAACCATAGCTGCGTGCCCAACTGCCAGGTCTCGCATCCAAACTCGGGAAAGTACCGCGCCCATATCGAGATTCTGAAGCCCATCAAGCAAGGCGAGGAGATGTTTATTACCTATGTCAACCCCAGAGATGGCGTCGAGGCGCGTCGCAAGGACCTGAAGGACTGGTACATGTTTGAGTGCAGCTGCACGAGGTGCCAGAAGGAGCTGCAGGATCTTCCAAAGACCGAACGCCAGGAAAATGTCATCACAATTTAGACAGGATACTTTTCTTGAATACACGGTAGGATCTCTACTTGCTGCACTCTTGGATCTTCTGACGGTCCTTGATGCCATAGACAGTCTTGGTCCACCACTTCTCTCCCCATTTAGCATACCCGACATCACAGGCCATTCTGCCTAAATGAGCTGCAGCCGTTATAAGACGGCAACCCGGCATGAGATCTGATGCGCTTGTAATCGCTGGTCCATAGGCCAGGGCAGCGAGCACGGAGACTAGCATCACATGGTCTCCACCAGTGCCATGGCCCTCGTTAAGGACACATATAGTACGCAACGGGTGGACAGAATATACCAAGGAATGAGGAAGGGAACCCGGACGAAGACGCGCCAGTAGTTTGCACTGTGGGAGAGTCGAGTAGGTGCAAAATTGCGGTGCATCGTTCACATGGTCTTGCGTTACATGGGGTTTACGTGAAAGTCGCAGCATGTTGGAAATGAAATGGTAGGCAAAGCCAAAGGGTGAATGGCAGGGTCGAGCCAGCAATCCTTGGCAGTCTGGTCTTATATATCCCCCATGATGTCTATGACGGTAAGCGGTACGTGAGATGCGATGTATGCAACTGGTAACAATCCGACTCAGATATTGGTGACATTCATATTTGGCCAGGTCCGGCTGTGATGTGATCGCAGCCCGTCCATATCAAAAGTGCCAAATCTTTGCAAACAGTGTTGCCACAAGTACATCTAGGTGCTGTATTGAATCTTTTGAAGGGTCTACTTTAGGCGCCGAGCCTCAACCGTCTTGACGAGTTCACGCCACCACTTCTCGCCCCACTGCACATAGGCCATGCCAAATGCACCACCGCCTAGATGCGCCCAGTGCGCAAATGTGCTCCATCCGAGGACAGCACCTGCTAGGTCATAGGCCATCAGCAATGGGAACGCCTGGCTAATGGTGAATGGCAGGAACGGCAGGAATATGAGCGCAATCTGTGAGTTTGGAAAGTACATCATGGTCGCACCGACCACCGCATACACGGCTCCACTCGCCCCCAGCGCAGGGAGAATCGCCAGCGGCCGTAGCGGCGACAGCACGTGGTTGGCCAGGCTAGAAATAACACCAGCCGACAGGTAGAATGCAGTAAACTGCTCGGCGCCCATCCGGTCAGCAACAGCCGACCCAAACGACATCAGCGCAATGGTGTTGAATGCGAAATGCCACACCTCGCGGTGGCTGAACGTGCTGGTCAGCAGCGTGTATGCACGGCCCGTCCGCGGATCATGCAAAAAGTACTTGGTCATCTTGGGCATCAGCCGCGGTACCTGCCACATTGCAAACACAGCGGCATTGATGCCCGCGATTGCATACACAACCCGCTTGCCAGGCGACATGCGGTACCACGAGTCTGAGCATGCCACCATGGTGCGTTTCAGCTCGCGTGGCATCCACCCCGGCAGGTGCGCGATCCGGCGGATGGTCTTCGCGTGCGGCTCCGAATACACCCCGTGTGCACGGCCCACCAGCCGCTGTACCTCCAAGTCGTTCATCAGGGCCCAAATCCGGTCCTCCTCATCGCCCACACTGCCTGTCCCGCCCAGGCCCAGCACGTTGAGGTAGCTCCAGGAGCGCTGCCGCATCCGTTCTCGGTGGTCTGCAAACGAGTTGGCACATAAGTAGAAGGCACCGCCGCTGAAGGCCAGCGACCAGAGGATCGGCCGGATAAACAGAACCCGCCCACCACTGGGTCCGCTGGGCCGATATTGCCATGTTGGTTCGGGCTGGGCCTCGTTGCGTAGCGGCGATGCTGACGGGTGAGACCGCCAACGGCCGGCCCGGTATGCGCGGAAACCAGTCGGTTGTGGCCACTTTGGCACGACCCGCGGCACGACCCGCGGCACGACCCGAGGCATTGAGCTGCTCCAGCACCCGAGTCTGAGCATCGTTAAATAGTTGAATTGGTGTTGAATGTGTCGAAGAAAGTTAAAGCGAAACAGCGAGCACCACAGTTGCTGGCGATGACTAAATCCTGCCAAAACGCTTGGCGATAATACCTTGAACTTGTCACGTGAATCTGATCTTGCCACTAATCCGATCATCGCTTGCTGCATTTTTCGTTTTTTTACAGCTACAAAAATAAAATAAAAAACTTTCATCGCATTGGCCGCTGCTCCTTGCAATTCTCCTCTTCACCAACCACTTTTCTATACCTGTATATCAAAACGCGGCCTCCACAGCTAGACATGGCTCCACGGAAGGGACGGAACGCAGCGGCCAAAGCCAAGGCTGCCAAGGGCGAGGCAACCTACACCATGGATCAGCTCCTGGCCAAGGCACAGGAACTGATGGACGACAACGAGCCCCAGACGGCATTGCAGTTTGCCGCGAAGGCGATTGAGATGGACGCAAACAACACACAGGCGCTGTTCCTGGCGGCGCTGATCCAGCTGGAAATGGGGTCTGTGGACCCGGCAATCAACTGCTTGCAAAAATGCGTGCAACTGTCGCCAGAGCGCGGCTTCGAGAAATACATGTACCTGGGCCAGTTCTCGGTCGAGCTCGAAGCCGTAAAGTACTTTGAGCTGGGTGTGCAGGCAATGCAGCGCGATCTGGCTGAGCTTCCGCAGGACTCGCTGCAGGCCGCTGAGCTGCGGCGTATGATGGCTGAGGCGTATGTGGCCATCACTGAAATCTTCCTGACCGACTGCTGCGACGAACCGGACGCTGAGCAAAAGTGCGAGCAGCTATTGCAGCTTGCAGTGGAGAGCGACCCAGAGTGCCCCGAGGTGTACCAGACGTTGGCGTCTGTGCGCATGAGCCAGGCGCGCCCCGACGATGCGCGCGAGTGCCTGAAAAAGGGCATGTCGCTGTGGATCAATAAGGATCCGAACGACCCGCAGATCCCGTCGTACGATAACCGGCTTGCGCTGGCGCGGCTTCTCTTGGAGGTTGACGAGAAGGAGGAGGCGCTGTCGTTGCTCGAGCGCCTGCAAAAGCAGGATGACGAGAATGTCGATCTGTGGTATCTGTATGGCTGGACGTATAAGCTGCAGGCGGAGGATACCAGCGAAGACGGGGACAAGGCGGATCTGCTGCGCTCGGCCCGCGCGTGTCTGAGGCGCGCGATCAAGCTGGCCCAGATGCAGGAGTACGAGGACGAGAGCCTGGTGGCTCACGCGCAGGAGCTGGTGACAGGCATCAATGAGCTGGTGCCGGATGACGGCAACGACGACGCCGAAGAGGAGGTTGCCGGCAATGAGGGCGAGTGGGAGGACGTGGCCAGCGACGACGACAATGCCATGGACACGATGTAATCGAGGAACAATGAGGTGCTGTTTAGTAGATAAATTGAGAACGTTGCAAACAAGCGAGGCGCACATGATCGCGACCCGATTCACGCTCGCGGCAGAGCTGCAACTTAAGCCGAACACCTCTTTCAGGCGCTGCCGAGGAGTGCCGATCTGCATGTCGCTGAGTGGATTTGAGAAGGAGCGCTTTTGGGGAGTGGCCAGTTTGATGACAAGATTTATCGAGTGAATCCCCTGTCGTACAGGAATTTACTAGTGCTGGCTGTTGTGTGTATTGCGGATCCACACACACGGAATAGTTGGAAAAACCGCTGCAGACCTTTTCTTCCCCTTTTCTCTCTTCTTTGCATTTCAAAACACTCTTAATAACATTCCCTAGCTCCCCTCCCCTCTTTCCTCTCGACACCTTTTGGTACAGCAAACCGCTCTCCACCGCTCTCTAAAGGTAAGCTTCTATCCAGAAATCTGGCAAGCCCTTGTGTGGGAATAAAATCGCTGCTGCCTCTTCCCAGAAAGGTGCACTACTGGCTTGGAGGACCGTAAACCGTGGGCTGCTATTGATAATAAACGGTCCGAGCGCTATCCGCTGCACCGACTGGACCCGGCTCTCTGGAGCTTTGGGTCAGTAAGCTCCCAGACGCCACAGATATCTAAAAATGGACCCAGCGGCCTTGTCTCTCCTTCTCTCCCATCCAATAACCACACATAGATCGTATAATGAAGTTCATCATCGCCCTCACTCTTGCCACGGTCGCCTCGGCCGAGACCTGGAAAATCACGAGCCTTGACCAGGGCACCCGTACCAACCTGTGCGCACTTCAGATCCAGTCGTGCCAGAACGACTGTGGCGGCGCCGACCAGGCCCCCATGGCCTTCTGTAACGAGAAGACTCTCGCCTGGGGCTGCGGTTGCCTGGAGCGCACTCCCAACTTCTCCCTCTGGAACTGGCCCGTGCCGGTCACCGACTGTAGGGGCTCCAGGGACGTCTGCCGCAATAACTGTAACGCGGCCTCCTCGGGTGACCGCAACGAGTGCTTCACCAAATGTGATGCCACCCACCAGTGCAGCACCGAAAACGCTCCGATTTCGTACACCAACTCGACTGGCGTCGATACCGCACCCATCTACGTCGGCCCAGCTGTCTCGTACAACGGCACCAAGCTGGGTGATCTGAACGATGGCAACAAGCGTCCGGACTCGGTCGAGGACTCGTCCTCTGAGTCAGCGTCAGCCTCAGGCTCCAAGCCTAGCGCGTCGGCCTCGGGCTCCAAGAACAGCGCATCGGGCTCTGCTGGTGACGAGAAGGCTAGCTCGGCTGCCAAGTCCGAGTCGACCAACGGCGCTGCATCCGTCAAGGCCTTCGGCTACGCCGGTGTGTCGCTGCTGGTTGCTGCTGGTGCCACCCTTCTCTAAACTCCTTCCCAAATAAACAACACTGCCATGACATCAAAAGAAAATAAACATTGGATTCTCTTGTTTTTGTGTAAAACCACCAACTACTTGCGACGGTCGTCTTTGTCGTCTGCGTCCCAAATTGACCGGCTATGATACAGCGAGCCGCCAAAGGATGTCGGGTGGGACATCTCGCGGTCAATCGGAATCCGGAACGGGTTGGTCAGTGCGTCCACCCCCTGATCGCTGCTCTGCTTTTGCTCGCGCTCGCGCTCGCGCTTGCGCACCGGCGCGCCGATTGGCTCAACCAGCGGCCGCCGTGGGTTGACAAGGCTGCCACCAAAAATCAGCGACTGTGTCTGCTCGGCAGCCGGCGTCGTACTGCGCAGCGAGAATGGGTCGGTGCTCTGCTGGCCGGCAGCTGCCTCGGGGAATACTGGCGAGGGGCGGTCGTTGACAGTGCTGCTGCGACCTGACTCGCGGCCATCGGCGCGCTCAAAATCCGGCCACCCGCTGCCTGCGCGAAGATCCAATGACTGGAACCGGAAGTGCGGGCTCGTGGCATTGCCCAGGACGCTGCGCTGGTCCAAGTTCTCAAACGAGCTCGTCAAAATCCTGTCCAGCGGCCGAGCATGGCCAGCTGATGCCATCGACGGCCGCTGGAAATCGCGACGGGCCAGGTCGCTCATCCTGCCGATGCTGCTGCCACCGCCACTACGCTGCCTGGCCGGTGTCGGGTAGGCCAGATCTGTGTCTTTCAGAATGCTCAGCGCGCTGGCCTCGGCAGTTGTTGTCGACAGCGACGGGTCTCCGGCACTGCTGCCCCACAGCGACGATCTTGTCAGCCGGCCAGCATCACGCACTGAGTTCACAGGGCTCAGATGGCGGACAAAATCCAAGTCGCTCGCAGCATCCAGCGGCGCGCCAGCGTTGATCAGGCTCAAGGAGTCAATTGCTGCCGACGACGTCGCCAGCGGTACACTCCTATCCCAAAACAGCAGCAGGTCACTGAGGTCGGCGCTACGTCTTGACCCTACACCGCTGATACTCATGCCCTGGGCGCTGCTGATCGCTGGCACCACCGCATCGCCAAACCCACCGCTCATGTTGGCAAATGACGATGACCTGGCGTGATTGAACCCACTGTTCTGGCTACTGCGCCTTACCGGCATCGTCTGCGCCTGGTACGCCAACGATGGTGGTTGAAGCTCGCCAAACGGATTCACCCTCGTCGGCGATGCAGCCAGTGGCAGTGGTGACGCAGTGCTGACTGCTGGCTGGTACCTGCGCATGGTCTGTGCATTAGCCAGTGCCTGCAGCCGCTGGCGCTCGCTGGTGGCCTCGTCGAGCTGCGGAATCAGCGCGCTGATTTCAGCCTGGATCTTCTCGGCCGACATCGCGATCCGCGACCGGTCGTCCTGCATGCGGTGCCGCCTGCGCACTGCCTCCTTGATTTGCGCATCGAGTTCAGCGTTCTTCTTCTCCTGCACCGTCAGCTCTGCCCGCTTAGCCTTTAGACTAGCTGCCAGATCCGCCTGCTGCGCCGTCAGTTCATCCAGCCGCTGCTGTGCTTTCTCGACCTCAGCCTTAATTGCACCGATGGTGTTCTTCAGCTCTTCCTGCTGCCGCCCGTGGTCACGCTTCTCCTTCTGCATCGTCTCCTCCAGCGCCCTCGCGCTTTTCGTATACTCCTCCGTCTTGCGCTCTTGGTCGCGCATCCGCTCGAGTGCGCGCTGCCGCCTGCCCATGGCATCGGTGATTGCTGTGTCCAGCCGTATCTTCTCGCTGTCCAGCCTGCGCTTTTCCGCCTCGAGCTCACGGATCTTGTCACGCTGAGCCGCCTTTGCCAGCTCCTCCTCCTTGCGCTTCGCCTTCAGCTCGTGGATCTCGCGCTGCAGTCTTGCGCGCTCTTCGTCGGCGTGCTCTCGCAACTCAGCAATACTGCGCTCTAGCGCATCCACTTCGTGCTGCGATGCCTCAATCTCTGCCTTAATACTCGCTGTATTCGCTTCATTTGCTGTCTCCGTCTTGGTACCGTTGGCCTTTTGCTGCTGCTGCTGCTGCTGCTGGGCCTCACCCCGCGACAGCGTGCTGACAAATACTGGTTGGGAGGCTGTGCGTCCCCGGCTCTGCGACACCGCCCAAATGCGCAGCTGGTACATGTGTGCGCTCTGCAGTCCGCGGATCCTCGTATAATCCTCGGAGCCGCTGCATGAGCCAACGATATGGCCATTGACCTCGATTTCGTACCGCGCCACCCGCGCTTCCCTCAGCCCCTTGCGGTCGATGCTGATCAACCCGTTGCCAATAGTCAAGACTGTGCTGGCCAACTCTGCCCGTCCATCACCCGGCGCCAACGTCGTTGATTGCACACCCTGCGCATCGCCCACGCCTATGCTGTTCGTGGCACCGCCAGGCCCAAAGATGCCCGGCGAATTATCAGAGTCGCCCGCTGTAACAATGCTCTTTGGCATGGCTGCCCAGCTGACAATGACGCTGGTATCCCGAATTTCGACAATGCCCAGCCTTGGTGCCGGTGGCGGAATAATCCCCAGCAACAAACAAGCCGGGTCCAGCAATCTCTCGAGCCGCCGGGCATGGTGGTATGCGAGCCACAGGATCCCAAACGATGTGCAGTATGCTGCTATCGGTGCCTGCAGGTACTCGGGCAGAATCGAGCACCACGGGTTGCCGATGCGCGCCAGACTCATCACCGCTGTCAGCGCCCAGCCCTTCGAGTCCAGCCCATGCACTCCGCGCACCAGTAGCATGCACACCACAATCGTCGAAAACAAGGACGTCGTTGTGTACGGCACCATGTAGAATATCGCTACATTCACTACCGTCATGGCCACTGTCAGCAGAGCGAAAAACACCACGGACATGCCGAACGCCTGTACAAACACCGAAAACGAGAAAAACGTAAACACCAGCCATTCTGCTGGCATATGCAGGTCCATGATATCGAACAGAAACACGCCCGCCCACGCTACCAATGCTGCTGTGGCCCGGTGCCGATTGAAGAATGCCAGGACCTCGTCCCACCAGAGCTCGAGCTGCCGTCCCAGATCATCCTCACCAGCTGTCTCGCTGTTGCTAGCTCCTGTCTCTGGGCCATTGGTTGTGGAAAACAGCGACGGTGCTGCGCTCGACTGCCCTTTTTTAGCTGTGTTGCCATTTGGAGCTGGCGAATTGCCGTCACTCCCAATTCCCGCCGCCGGAATTGCTGTCGCTCCTGTTGGCTGCTGCTGCTGTTGCTTTTCAGCCTTCATAGGGCGGGAGTCGATACGACTATAATAATAATTGTAGGAGAAAACGACAAATGCGAAAAAAAGACTCGTTTTTCTCAGAAATGCAAACTGGAGTGCCAAACACCAGTGGAAGCAAAAAAGCGATAGTAGGAAAATTCCAAACAACCGCTGAGGTGCGTCGCACAAAACAAAAAAAACCTCTGCTGCGCCGCGATAAATCTGATTTCTACCAGCAACACACTCCATCATGCGCAAGTGCCTGTTGCCCGCTTTCAGTCAGGTACAGCGCATGCCAGATGCTCGGCTGTCACAGTGCACTAACGAGCGTGTGGGTGCCACTTTGATTGATGAATATGCAGGTCATTTTATGTGTCTGCTGTGTGGTTTATTGTTTGCAAATGAAGCGCTTGTCGGTAAGTCCAGGGCGAGAGGAGCAGCAGTAGGGTGCGGACATTTGCCTAGCCATTGCTATGTCGCTGAGAGGCATATGCTGTCTTGGTCTAACTGCTTGACCACGTATTGAAAAGAGTCGCCGCTAGCTTAGGTCAACCACAAGGCGGCATCACCATTTAGCCGCGATCCGCTCAGAGCAGCACTATTTGAAAGGCGTGCCAAGAGAACTGTAGGTGACAAGCCATTAGCACTCTTTGACAAGTAGAACAACTACAGAACCATTTTGGCAGCTGGCCAGCTGCTCTTTCTTGTCTCCTCAGCCTTTTTTTGCACATTAGATACATGGCCTCCACTACTATTGACCCGCTTTCTCATACATCTTTCTCTTCTCTGCGAGCTGATAGCAGCCCAGTCAAGAGCAACGGCGTGGATATCCACCAGATGGACCTGCTGAGTGGCACGGTAGCTCTGCTGGGTGTGGCATCTATAATCCTGCAGGCCATCCGCACTCCGCTGAAGTTTTCATACCCGCATTTTGCTGTCTTTTTGAAATGGCTCGAGGCAAGCATCGAAAAGGATCTGGACGTGTTTCTCAACTCTTGTACAAAGGACTGCGACACACGCTGCTATCAGCTTACGAGAAATGCACTACTGAGAAGACTCAGCAGCAATATCTTTGTCGAGGGAACACCGGGCTGCAACGGAGGTAAATCGGTAACTGCCGATGACTTGAAGGAGACTATCAAGGAAGGTGGTGGTGATGCGCTGATTGAACTGGCGCGTATTGGTGGGTACCCACGAATGAAGGCCCTTCGCAGAGCCGTGTACCTTACCCGGCATGCTCCTAAGCAACTCGAAACCATCGTGGTCTGGCAATGGATTGGTGTGGTGGTCCACTGGCTGATCTTTGACCTCACCACCCTCCTCATTCCCGCAGTTTTAAGTGCCACCTACTGGGTTGGGCGTGTCTTTCGGGGTGGAGCACATAAAATGCGCCCACAGATGGCATGCACTCCTTTCATATCGAAGAGGCTTATCAGCTACGATATGCTGGAGCTAGCCAAGCATCGCATACAGATCCAGCACCAGCCATGGGTCCGCTTTGGCACGTATTTCATGCTTGCTGAGCTGTCGGAAAAGCCTATCAGTGTTCGCGCGTGGGGAAAAGACGACCGACAAGACACATGCGACCATCTAGTGCATCCACTTGTCTACGACCGGAGGATCTGTTCGCAGATTTCCACTGACCAGTGCTCTGTGGCCCGGATGCTGTACACTGTTTCCCTACTCAGTATCCGGACGATGCTACTCTGCAGCAACATCGCGTTTGTCCCAAACTACGTCATACTCAGTGGGCACAGTAACCTTGATTTGAAGAGGATGGGCCCGATGCTCTTGGTCAACAACGGCACGCTACACGGACTTTATGAGCTCATGTACCAGGTGGGCAGTCAGGGCAATGGAGATCTGGATAAACATGCCAGAGAGCGCCTTCTTGGTTCGTATAGGCAATTGACTGAGAGGATGCGAGGAAAACTTGGCGACATGATATGCGAAGGTAGTCAGACGAGCATCCTGCTTAATCTTGCCTTGGCCAGTATGCAGGATAATAGTGTCAATGAGGCCCGCGACCTTGTAGCCCAAATGCCGGGTACCCAGAATCCTGCAAACCAGTTCGAGCTTGCTGGTGTCAAAATTGACCCAGAGTCATTTCTCTCTGTCTATCAACACCGGCTCGTCATGAACACCACTATCGGGTTGCTCATAGAAAGCGTCCAAACATTCGACCTGCACTGGGGCGCAACTACTTGGTTACTCCAGCTATTTCTCCGTGCTTACGAGGACGTGAACCTGACTGATGACCACAGCACATGCAGCAGTGAGACTGCCAACCCCGGGAAAATCCGCGGGAGAGTAAAGGCACTGTGCTTTTTACCGTTTCAGCCCAAGCTACCCCATCCACCAGCAGGAGCAGATGAGCGGCAGAGGGATATGCCAATGGCGTCTAAGCTGAAGGACAAGGGATTCCAAAGCATCTTTAGATCTGCGTGGTCCCCTTTTGGCTGTAACGAGGCCGGTCAGTTGCTCAGCGCTCCTCCTGCGTGGTGCGTCTGTCGGCGCCATTGCACAGGATTGTGCACTCTTGTCGTGGAAAGATGGAAGCTGCTTGTCTCGGCCCCTCTTTACCAGCACACCCCCTATATATTCGATAGGCGTACTGAGCCTGGCACTGAATCCTCCCCCTTGCTCCCTGACTCGATTATACCCATCGTACCCCTCATCTGCTCGACGAATATACGCTTGCTGAATAGGCACATCAAGAAAATGGGATGGATTGGCAAAACCACAGCCGAAGCTGGTGATAATGGTATACCTACCTCCTCGACACCCGAACAGACGAGCAATGCCATCACTGCACTGCCACCGGGACCGCTTACTGATCATCTCTACCAGAAACTATACAGGATACTGGTTATCTCTCGGGGACGAATTTACACCTGGGACCTCGATAAAACATCCAATGTAGTTACGGAGTCAGTGAGCTACTTTTGCAAACCCGAAACAGTCTCCGTCAGTGGCACATTGTTGACGGTCTATGAAGCCGACGCTCAAGCAATAAAGGGCACAGAGACTGTGGCTGTTAACACTGCAGGCCATACAGGCGATCATCAGCAGCCACCAGAACTGTCCTTGTCTCCTATTGCCTGGCGGTATGACTCTCATAATTCCCCATGCTTGTCAGAAGAGCAGCTGGCAACACATTAGCAGCTCGCTATTTATTAAGCATGAATAATATTCTTGAACACATACATATGGCAGATGCACATGATAGGAGTAATGACAGTGGTGTGTCTACTGGTATTGGTGAGCCTACAATAATTAGATTTGTGACCTGGTATAAAGCACCTAGCGATGAGCACACATGCAGACGCCGCATAGAGCCCCACATTCGGCAGCTCCTGGGTATTTTCCTCCTGCCAGTTTTATTGGCCGAAGGGTACTGATTTTCAAGAGGATTCTCACAGAATAATTTTGCTCTTTCTGGACTCCTTGCCAGCCTTTTTGCGCAGCCAGACCGCTTCTCCTGACAGATATAAAAACTCAAGACGATACTCCCAAACTTAACCTCATCAGAACCTCATCATTCTTTTTCCTATCGAGCTACTCACACCAAAGATTATCGCCATGGATAACCTCCCGCCGCATGTCATTGACATCATCATCTCGTACACTATCGGACAGGACAAGTTGAGACCTGAGCTCCGGACTGACACCAGCCCGCTTACTGTGCCGCGTACTCTGTACCCGCTGATGAGCGTTAATCGTGAATGGCGACGTGTCGCCAGTAACTTCATCAATAAATCTGCTGGTATCCTAATCAGGGACCCTGATGGAATCTATCAGTATCGGTTGTACCGACGCGGCCAGGAAACGCCTGAGCAGGCCCAGCCTCTTGAGGATATCGTTGCGACCGGGTTTGAGCGGCATGTCCGCCATTTGCAACTCAATTTACCCATTGAGAGTATCGCAGACGGCACGGCATACTCAGCGATCGACTCGCTGCTCAGCTCGTGCAAGGGCAAGCTCAACAGCGTCCAGACAGTATCTCTCCGCATTGCGACCAACTGTTTTCCTACGTTCAATCAGTTTCTTATGATGCGGGATACCGTAGCCAGCCCGCAGGAGCAGGCCAATATCGAGCGCGAGGTTTCCCAGAATGTTGGTCGTATCGGCAAGCTGCTGAAGAAGGTGGTGCCAAACATCGTTTCTGTGGTTTATTCCGGTGTGCATCACCTCAGATTCAACAACCGGCCTCTAAATAACGCTCTTTTGTCAGCGTTGCTGGGTGGTGCGCCATCAGTCCAGTATCTGAGCATACTGGTAGGCGATTTTTCACATACTGCTTTGGAGAGTGGGCTGGCACCCAATGTCAAGCACATGCACATTGACTTGGATTCTTCCAGCAGCGACAGTATACCTGAGCTGGCTGCTCGCTATGCGAATTGTCTGGAGACTCTGAGCGTTGAGTCCAGTGACAAGTATATGCTCTGCAGACTGTTCAAGAACTCTGTAGATGAGTCACCCGTAGTGTACCCGAATCTACGTACATTCGTGGCGTCATGCGGGTATCGCTGGAGTGGCAATGAAGAAACATACAATTTTAGGGTCAACCCTTTCCCGGAGCTGCAGCGGCTCATATGCAAGGGTGTCTTCCCATTTACTACTAGCCGTGTGCTTCACTGGATACGGCCTACGATCGAGGTGATGGAGATTAATTTCCGTGACCACTTTTACAACCGGTTTGTCGAGGACGGCGTGTTCAGTGCTGGTTCATTCCCGAACCTGCGTCATGTCAAACTGTCATGGTTTGAGGATTCCAAGCATATCTCGATTGTCGACCCATCACCCGAACTCCCACGTGTGCTATCACTCAGCCCTATCATCAAAAAGGTTGTCTTCGATACACCAGTTGCTAGTCTCAAAATTCCAAGAGTCGCTCTGCATACGTACAGAACTCTAAAGGATCTGGATCTGAGCGGTATTCAGCTCACTATCTTACAGTCGATCCTGCTGATCAGCACCTCTCCTGAGCTTCATACAGTGACATTGTCCCTGAAGTCCAGCCATAGTGCAAATGAACGAGGGAGCATAAGTGACGCCAAAATCAAAGAGTTTCAGGAGAAGAACATATGCACTGGAAATCCGAAACTGATGACGTTGAGGATAAGGACGACTAAATTCCCCACACGTTTGTGTGCTGCGCAACATACCCTGCTACTGGCCAGTGTTTTCAAATCACTACAGCGTATCGAGGTTTGCAGCCTTGATAAGATACGCAACGCAGCAACTCTCGCGGCATTTGACAAGGCAAAGGAGCTCAACATCTTTGACAACGATAGAGAAGACCGGATCCGGTGCATGGTGGTTGTGTTGGTTCGCAAGTAGGGTTTAAAGGGCTGTAATCAGGAAAAATATACGCCAAATGGTGCAGCTTGACATAAAACGCTCTGCAATAGATTATTATTCAAATGTATAATGGATGTTGATAAAACAACATAGAGATCTGAGACAACAAGTGTACAGCAAGTTAGGATATTGGTAGACCTAATGTGGCATGTAACTAGTGTCAGTAAAGAAACTGCTGAGACTTGTAGCTACACTGGCGTGTGCTAAGTTATGTAGTGCACCCACTATACCCTTGCGTGAGCACTATGACGTGGATTTAGGAATCAGAATCAGTCATGCAACAGCATGGTGCTTTTTCGCAGTCTTTCATACTTTTCAATGTATATTTGGGTATTTCAGCCCGCTCCTCACTGAGCTATAAAGTTCATACCCATCTAACAACAAATAGATCAACGGGCTGTCCGAGAACTCCGCGGATAGATTGCCTGTTGTATATTAGTGACTGCATGCATTCGAGATATCGTGCCACAGGTACTGGGAGCGCAGTGAAAAAGGATACGCTTTTCCGATCAACTCATTCCCAGAACTTCGGCGGCTCATATGCTAAGATATGTATCCATTTCCATCTAGGGATACAGTTTGTTGGATCCAAACCAAGGTGGAGGGGGTGGAGACTTGCCCGAGTTGCGAAATTTATGAGATCCATTAGAGAACGCGCATTCGCACCTGACTTGTTCCTAAGTTTGCACTATATGGATCTGGCATGGTCTGTAGTTCAAACTAAGCATCTGAACTCCGGCTCATCATGCGAGGTTGCACATGTCCTATTGCCTAGTCCCGATCTCGAATAGGGGATATTTTATTCAAGCACCCTTCTTCTGGTCAATGCAATGACTGATATGTATAAGTATGAGGATGCGAAGGAGCTGAGCCTGGATAATGGTCAGTTCACCATTATGGAGGCGATCCAGCTGTTCAACATGTTCCTGGAACTGCAGTTGGTGATGTTGGTGCTGAAAGACACCAATGACGTCAGCAGATGAGGCCATATTTCTGACGCCGAAATTGAACGGTTCCTGCAAAAGAATGCGACGTTGGCCAGCTCCATCCTCAGAACCCTGAGCTTCAAAGCAGTTGGCAGTGGATCATATTGGCGTGCTGCGCATCACATCTTGCTGCTGGCAAGTATGCCTACGTTCGTCAAGAGAATCAGGCTTCGCGGGGACGATAGAAAGTGAGAGGAAATTGTTGCAGCCATCAGTAAGGCCATAAACCACAGGTGCTTTGACAGCGACGGGCAAGGCTGGATTCAACGCATGAAAGTTTGGCTACCTAGTTGTCACATTGATATGCATTTCGATTTCTCCTCCGATGAGCCGAGTCAGATACAAAGTCAGGCCGGCTGACAAGAGTCGAGCCGATATTAGTGCAAGACAGCCAGGTAGCAGATCTCTGAGCAACCTCATCTCCGCTTCTCAAGAACTAAAGCTCAGTGCTTAGGTACCTCCACTTCTTTCCTAGGGATTTGCAGTTTGAATTATTAAAGCAAATGGCGGCACAGCAAGCAGCGCGAAACACCGCAGTAACGGTGCTGGGCGGCGGAATAAGTGGGCTGAGCACGGCCTACTACCTTGCACAGCGGCTGCCCTCAACGGCGATGGTGACGCTGATCGAGGGCTCGCAGCATGTGGGCGGATGGGTGCGGTCGGAGCGGCGACAGATCGGCTCTGGGGTATCGGCGCTGGCCGAAAAGGGGCCGCGGACACTGCGCACAGGCGAGTCGCGCGAGGCGCTGGCGGTGCTTGAGCTTGTAGACGATCTGGATCTGCGCGACTCGGTGGTGACGGCATCGCGCGAGTCAGCCGCAGCGCAGAACCGGTACATATACTATAACAGGCACCTGAACCGCATGCCTACGGGTATTGGGTCACTGGTAACGGGGGTTCCTGCGGCGGTGCGGTGCCTGGCGGGCGGAGTGTGGCAGGACCTGTTCACGCGCAAGAACACGCCCGAGGCCACGGACGAATCGATCCACGAGTTCATCAGCCGGCGGTTCGGGCGCGCGGTGGACGACAACCTGGCGTCGGCGGTCATGCATGGGATCTATGCAGCTGATACGAAGGACCTGAGCGCACGTGCGCTGCTGTACCCGTTCTGGCTGGCAGACCAGACAGGCAAGCACGGCGTGATCCGCGGATTGCGACGTGTAGCGAAGCTCTCGCGCGCACGGCATGCGCGATTTGCGCAGCGCGATGCCGAGGAGCGTGTCGAGATCGCGAAGCGGCGCGTGCAGAACCGTGGGTTCTGGGACATGATGGGCGATGCCAGCATGTATTCGTTCGAAGGTGGGCTGCAGACGCTGACTGATCGGCTCTTGGCGGATCTGACTCAGCGCCCCAATGTTGAGATACTGCGCGGCACGCCCGCACAGCGCGTCAGGCTCACTGCTGATAATGCGATGGCGGAGGTTGGGCTGGCAGACGGGCGTGTGGTGCGCTCGCATCACGTGGTCAATGCTCTGCCGCTGCCGCAGCTCAAGACGCTGTTCAGCGGTGCGTCGCCGGCGTTGGTCGATGAGACGCCGTATGCGAGTGTCTCTGTGGCCAACGTGACGTACGCCAAGCGCAGCATTGCACCCATCGACGGCTTCGGGTATCTCGTGCCGCGCGCGTCTTCGCACGACTCGGCGGCTCTTGGCGTGGTGCTCGACTCGTGTGCGCTGCCACAGCAGGACGGCAACGAGGAGATCTCGCGGCTCACGGTGATGCTGGGCGGTGCGACGCGTGACTCGGCACAGCTCGAGCAGGATGCGCTGGAGACGCTGCGGAAGCACCTGGGCATAAGCGAGACGCCGGCGGACATTGACATCACGGTCGCACGCGAGTGCATTCCGACGTATACGGTCGGATATGTGGACCGGCTACGCGCAATGCACGAGTGGGTGGCGGGGGTGATGCAGGGGCGGATGAGCGTCGTGGGCGCAGCGTATGGCGGCCCGGCGGTGCCGCACTGTGTGCTGCATGCACGTGACCTGGTACAGTCCTTGAACCTTAATGCACTGACAGCGCAGCCGCTGGGCGTCACAGGGCTGGAGGAGATCATGCGCAGCTTCGAGTAAACCATTTCTCTCTTTGAAAAATACACATTTTGTCCCATGAGTTTGCACAGGCACGACGCAGCGCCGATCTCGCAAGATGACTACTTCAAGCTTAACGCGCCATTCCGCCTGTGGCTACGCAAGGAGCGCAACACGTACTTTGATGAGCTGCCCACCGACAAGGCCCGCAGACACTTTGCCTCCTTTGTGCGTCGCTGGAATGCCGGCAAACTGCGCTCGCGCTACTACCAGGCCGACCCGTCTCTAACCGGTCTGCCTGCAGGCACCGCCACACGGCACTCCTGGGGACACACGCAGGGCACCACGCAGGGTTCCACGCAAGGCCCCACATTGCCCAGCAAAGATCAGGCGAAAAACAGCTCGAAGCGGTTCCATCATGAGCAGCGCGAGCGCGAGCACGAGCGCCGCAAGCGCAGCCGCCGAGAAGACCGCGACCGCACCGAGTTGATTCTCGACGAGGTCGCGCCCAAGGAGACCGGGCGCGAGGCAAAGATCCTGAAGCGGCGCGCCAAGAGCCAGCATTTGCACCAGGACAAGTCCATGGATGCTACTTTAGATGATAGCGAGCTTTACGGCGACGCCGGCAGTGAGTTCCGGAAATTGGTGCGTAGTCGCGATCAGCGCCGAGCTGCAAAGCAGGGCTCACTGGAGAAACAGGCAGCTGCGAGCGATTTGCGCGAGAAGGAGCGCCAGACCATCGAGAGATACCGCCAGATGGCGCTGGAGAGCAAGGAGCTTGGCCGCGGCATGTTCGCCGAGGACTGATTTAATCTATGATCACTGGCCCTGCAGTTGGTAAAATTGCAGCCTCTCAGCTTTTTTTTTTCAACCCCCTTTTTCACCTCCCGTCGTCTTAATAACACAGCATTTTTCTAATGGGCACACATAAGAGCGACAGGAAGGAGCGCACAGACAAGAAGCGGAAGCGCAAAGAGCCAGAAGATGGCGCTGCAGTAGCCGAGAAGCCCACAAAGAAGGATCGCAAGGAGAAGAAGTCCAAGGACAAGGACAGCAAGAAGGATCGGAAGGCTAAGGAGGAGAGAAAGAAGGCCAAGGAGGATAAGAAGAAGGCCAAGGAGGAGCGCAAACGGTTAAAGGAGGAGAAAAGGAGGGCCAAGGAGGAGAAAAAGGCAAAGGAGGAGAAACAGGCCGAGCCTACCGACACACCAGATGCAACAGTCCAGGCGACTTCAGAGCCCGAGGGTCTGCAGCGGTTCCCCGACTTTTCGCAGGAGCAGCAGCTGTCGACGGAATCGGCGCTGGCGGCCGCGCGCATGGGAATCCCACACTGGCTGGCCCATCCAACGACCATCGACCGCGACCTGACCGTAGCGGCCACCGACGACCGCTTCGCGCTCTCGCCGCACACACTCGCGCGGTGCACGCAGGAGGGGATCACTGATCTGTTCGCGGTGCAGGCAGCCGTGATCCCGGTCTTGCGGGCTGCCCACGCACTGTCGCGGCTGCGGCAGCATGTGCGTGATCTGTGCGTATCGGCGCCCACGGGCTCGGGAAAGACCCTGGCGTATGTTCTGCCGATTGTCGAGAAGCTGCGCCAGCGGCTGGTAGTGCGGCTGCGGGCGCTGGTGGTGCTGCCGACACGCGACCTGGCAATGCAGGTCAAGGAGTGCTTTGACCGCTTCTGCCTAGGCACGGATCTGCGCGTGGGGCTGGCCACCGGTGACGTGTCGCTGGCGCGCGAGCAGGCGATGCTGGTGGAGACGGCGCCGGTGCGTGTGGGCGGTGCCAGCAAAGTGGATATTCTGGTGTGCACCCCTGGCCGCCTTGTTGACCACCTGGCGACACCCAATTTCTCTTTGCAGCACCTAGAGTTCTGGGTCATGGACGAGGCCGACCGTCTGCTGGGCGATGCCTACCACGAATGGCTGCCGCGCGTGCAGGCCGCCGTGGAGACTGCACGTCCGGCAGAACCGTCTGCGGTGCCGGTGCATGACGCGTGCACGGTGCGCGATCCGCTGATCAAGCTCCAATTGCTTGCGCGCCCGGCGCCGCGCATCCAGAAGCTGCTGTTCTCAGCCACGCTGACGCAGGACCCGGCGAAGCTGGCGCGTCTGCAGCTGACCTGCCCCCTGTACATAGCCATTGCCCACGGCCCGGGCACCTTCTCGTTCCCGGCGACTCTGCGCGAGCACTACGCGACATGCGAGCCGCGCGACAAGCCGCTGATGCTCCTCTACATGCTGTGGCAACGCCGGGTGGCCGGTGCCGTGTGCTTCGCCAAGTCCCTGGAGGCCGCCCACCGTCTGGCGCAGATTGTGCAGGCGTGGGCTGCTCAGGTGCCCGATGCCAACATCACTGTGGCCGAGTATTCGAGCGACCTGCAGGCTGCCGAGCGTTCCCGCATCATGCACATGTTCAGGCGCGGCCAGATCACGCTGCTGATTTGCTCGGACCTGATTGCCCGTGGGCTGGATGTCGGCCATGTTGAGGCCGTGATCAACTACGATGTACCGACGCATATGAGCCAGTATACTCACCGCGTGGGCCGCACCGCGCGTGCTGGCCGTGCGGGTTCAGCGTACACGCTGGTCGAGGCTTCGCAGGCCTACCATTTCAAAAAAATGCTCAAGGAGAATGACCACTGGGAGCCGTTCGTTAGCAGAATCAACCCCGAGGCGGCTGTTCTTGAGACCCTCCGTGCGCAGTACGAGAAGGCCCTGGAGCAGGTCAGCGAGATTTACAACTGACATTGTTCCATGGATACACTATGAAAACTACATTGTATTGACCACCCGCCATGGGTACGTGCATTTTGCTGGGCAACGGAGCTTTCCCCAAACTCTGCGAGAATGCGAAGGTCAGGCTGCCCCACGTTCCGTTCCCCACAGTAGCATCTAGACCTATTATGCAACAGTCAAATATCAGGCTAGAGACATGTCTGTTATTGCAATCAGCAAGAAAAATATACTCAAGCCAGCCTAGCTCGGGGTCTTCTTGACGAACCTGTCCACATGGAGAATCGCCGGGTTGCCCGAGTCCTTGGACCAGAACTCGATGCGGCCAAACTGGGTGCCAATGTAGACCGAGAACTGCCCCGAGGTCGCATTGCGGCATGCCCCGGTAATATCCACCGGACCCATGTTGTTATTCGCAGGCACAGTAACCGTGGCGACCTGGCCGCCGGCATCCGGTGCATTATTGGCTGTGACCGTGCTCTCGTCCCAGTTCGACGACACTGCCTGCCAGAACACCACTGTGATGTCAGACTGCAGTGGCTGGGTGAATGCCGGGATTTGGATCTGGCACGAGCGTACCAGCGACCCGTCATACGGCAAGGTGAACCCAATCAAGGCACGGATGTACGCCAGCCCGCCGGTGTTAGCCACCAGCGTGTTGTTATGGCCCAAGGTGCACTCGTAGCAGTTGCGGTTCGGGCAGTCCGGGCAGGACACGGTTGAGCGCATGATGGTCGAGTCCTTGGTGGCCGGGGTAGATTGAGATTGGGCTTGGGCCGGGTGCACACTGACCAGCAGGAAAGCGAGCAGCGAGAGCTGCGCGATGATGATGCTAAGCAGACGCATTCTTGACTATAAAGCTTGTTTAAAGGGGTATTTATAAAACAAGTTTGGAGGTTGGATGAAGAAAAACGGGGAAGGTTCCTGGAGGTCACACATTTATACTCGCCCGACCTATATTTCGCCATGTACTTTACACATGGCTCTGAAACATTTTTGTCAGCTCAGGGAACCAGGCACTGTGAGAACACACAGCTACGTTAATGAGGGTCGATGTTGTTGCGGATCTTTTTTTATGTCCGCCCCTGGTGCGAATAAAAAGGCAGCTCCCACTCCTAAATATACCAGTGTCAGACGACTCAATTGTAAGCACCGCACATAAAAATAGCATGTTCCCAAGAGCATATACGGCATAAACATTACAGGGGTGTCTTGATGTCCGCTACATCCAACCACGTCCCCCAGCCGCTGCATTCAAACTAGCGAAACATCTATGCATTGGATTCTGTCGTCACCGTTGCCATCGAAGCAATTGCGTGGTTGCATCGCGCTTTTTTTGGCCTGCGGATTGCTATGGGCTAGACGGGCTTGAAGATACTGGCCAGTAGCAGGATGTGCTGTGCAGCAATTAGCGCTGTGGAGTATCTCGATGGACCAATCCCCAGTGTTCTGAGCCGCAAACTCGCTGTTTGCTTGTGATTTTCTTGGAGTAGCTTGATTTCGGCGTCGAAGACAACACTTCGCTCGTTCACGTCATGGCTAGGCTTCAGGGGGAGTACTAATGGCTGTAGCTCTGGGAGCCTATTGATCAGCCCAATTGCTTCGGTAATGGTGAAATGAACACCAGACAGGTTTGGCTGATTCAAACCCCCCATATTTGTACAGCGGTGCTAGGCCACTGCTGGAACAAGGCCAATCTGTATAGAAAGCGACTTTCTCGAGAACAGGACTGAGTGATGGCACACATGGGGCCTTGGATGATTGGTCATTAATCAGTCTGCGGTTAGGGTGTTGTGATACTGGTAACTTAACGTGGCATATAACTAGTGACAGTAAAGAAACTAAGGAGAGCTGCTGACGCACTGGCGTGTACTGAACTATATAGTAGAGCCATTATGCTCTTGCGTAAGCACTGTGGCGTAGATCTAGGGATCAGGATCAGTTATGCAACATATAGGGTGTTAACCTAGGGGATGAGTGGTTATCAGATATATGGAAAAAAAATAACTCCTGAAAAAAGTGACTGAGTGGAAGAAGGAAGGCTGGTCGTCTGCCTGGGCCTTTGTACGTGTGCGTTTCGGCCTTGTCCATGGTGGCGCAGGGGGACTCCGGACCCCGAATGTCAACATAGGGTAATGCATCGCAGATCATATTATATACTCATTTTCTTAATTCTCGATTTTGCTATATCAACATCCATTATGCATTTGAATAAAAGCCAGTGCAGAAGGATATATGTCAAGTTGCGGCATGTGGTGTATATTATTCTGAACTGCAATCCTGCAAACTCTACTTTTCAACCAGTGAAACCTTCATGCATTGAAGTCGACCCTCTCCATCGTTATCAAAGCATTTGCGCTGCTTAGCCTCATCCAATGCCCCAAGGATGTCTGCATCGCGCCTCTCGTTGAAACTGCGGATTTTTATGCCCTGGATAGACTTGAAAATGCTAGCCAGTAGCAGTATGTGCTGTGCAGCGCGTGGCCTTGTAGTGAAGACAACTGTGCTAATTTCCAGCGTCCTGAGCTGTGAATTCGCTACACGGTCATGCTTTTCCAGGAACTCTTTGACTTCGGCGTCGGAGACATCACCTCGCTCGTTCACGTCATGGCTGGTCTTCAGTGACAGCACCACTGACTGTAGGTTTGGGAATATGTTGATCAGCCCGATTGCATCGGCAATGGTGAACTGGACACCGGCTAGGTTTAGCTCTCTCAAATCCCTACACCTGTACAGTGGAACCACTGCGCTGGTAGGACTAGAGACCCGTGTATCAAATATCACCTCCTTGAGAACAGGACTAAGTGATAATACACGCGGGAGCTGGCCTGCTGTATCGGCAATTGAAATGCGGTCACGACCAATGTGCCATGACAGATTGACACGGCGCAGATTCGGGAACGAGTCAGCATCGAGCACACCATCCTCAACAAACTGGTTATAGCCGTAGTTCCTGAAATTAACCTCCATCACCTCAACAGTGGGCTGGATCCAACGAAGCACATGGCTGGTTCTGAATGGATATACATCCCTGCATATGAGCCGCCGCAGCTCCGGGAAGGGGTTGATCTGGAGAGTGTAGCTGTTTTCCTCCTGTCTCCAGTAGCATTCACCTGATACTTTGAGCATACGTAGCTTTGAGTACACCACAGGCGATCCATCCACTGGACCCTTGAACAGTTTACTAAACTGTTCACCGTCTTGAATATCTACAGTCAGTGTCTCTAGACGGTCTGCGAAGCGAATAACTAGCTCAGGAATTCTGTTGCTACCGCTATTCCTCAGGCTAACGTGCATGTGCTTGACATTGGGTGCTAGCTCACTTCCCAAAGTGGTATACGACAGTTCGCCTCCAAGAACGCTCAGATACTGGGCTGATGGCGCAGCACTCAGCAACGCTGACAGAATAGCGTTGTCCAGAGGCTGGTTGTTGAATCTAGAGTGGCACACATAAGAATACACCACCGAAATGATGTTTGGCATTGCTTCCTTCAGCAGCTCGCCAATACGCCTAGAATTTTGAGTGACCTCTTTCTCCATGTTCGTTTGCTCCTGTTGGTCAGCCATGGGCTGTCCCATCATAAAAAAGTGCTGCTGTCCGGGCTCATAGGCAATTGAAACATGGAGAGATACTGTCTGAACACCCTTGAGCTTGCCCTTGCACAGGCTGAGCAGTGAGTCGATCGTCGAGTACGCCATGCCATCTGCGATGTCCTTGATAGTGGACTCAAGCTGCAAATGGCGGACATGGTGTTCGAGCCCGGCTGCAATGATATGTCCAAGCGACGGTGTATCCTCAGGATAGTTCTGGTTGTCGGTGTCTTGCGAGTTGGTAAAGATGATGGCCGATTCGCCGATGAAACTACTGGCGACACGTCGCCATTCACGGCAAATTCCCATCAGCGGGTACAGAGTATGCGGCACAGTAAGCGGGCTGGTGTCGGTCCGGAGCTCAGGTCTCAACTTGTCCCGTCCGATAGTGTACGAGACGATGGTGTCGATGACGTGCTGCGGGAGGTTATCCATGGTGATAATGTCTGGTAGGAATAGCTTGACAGGAAAAAGAATGGTGAGGTTCTGATGAAGTCAGGTTCTGGAAAGTATCGTTCCGAGCTTTTATATCTGCTGGGAGAAGCGGTCTGGCTGCGCAAAAAGGCTGGCAACAAGTTCACAAAATGTGGAATGTTCTTAGGAGAAATTGCTGAGTGCCAAAAGCAGGAATCCGCCTTGCAGATCATTGCGGATTTGCTGATAATTCGGACAAGGGATTAGATTTGAGCGATGGCCAGCTTGAGTCGAGTGTCCGCAGCTTGGGCAATGCAACCAGCAAGAGAACGCATTGCAGTCAGTATACTAGGATATCTGAGGGTCACGGTATATGCACGCCTTGTAGCAGGGTGGTCCAGTTATGTAGTCAGAATCACCCCCATGCTGTGTATTGCAGTTGTTCAAATAGTGATTCCATGCGGAATAAATAGGAGTAATTCAAACAACCCTAGAAGAAAGTGCATGCCATGAACCACCGCTACCCACGAACTCCAGAAAATATCAGCTGTAGGACAGCTGCTGTTTGGTTTCAGTCGACCTTTGCTAAAGCAATGGTGACCCAGCTGCAACCCTTTGGATTCATCCGAACAGTGGCTGTGAACGACTCTGAGGGTGCATACTGTTGACTTGGGGAATGAGTAGTTATCAGATATATGGAAAAAATAACTTCTGAAAAAAGTGACTAAGGGGAAGAAGGAAGGTTGGTCGTCTGCCTGGGCCTTTGTACGTATGCGTTTCGGCCTTGTCCATGGTGGCGCAGGGGGACTCCGGACCCCGAATGTCAACATAGGGTAATGCATCGCAGATCATATTATATACTCATTTTCTTAATTCTCGATTTTGCTATATCAACATCCATTATGCATTTGAATAAAAGCCAGTGCAGAAGGATATATGTCAAGTTGCGGCATGTGGTGTATATTATTTTTGATTGCAGTTCTGCAAACTCTACTTTTCAACCAGTGAAAACTCCATGCATTGAGGTCGACCCTCTCCATCGTTATCGAAGCATTTGCGCTGCTTAGCCTCATCCAATGCCCCAAGGATTGCTGCATCGCGCTTCTCGTTGAGACTGCGGATTTTTATGCCCTGGATAGACTTGAAAATGCTAGCCAGTAGCAGTATGTGCTGTGCAGCGCGTGGCCTTGTAGTGAAGACAACTGTGCTAATTTCCAGCGTCCTGAGCTGTGAATTCGCTACATGGCTATGCTTTTCCAGGAACTCTTTGACTTCGGCGTCAGAGACATCACCTCGCTCGTTCACGTCATGGCTAGTCTTCAGTGACAGCACCACTGACTGTAGGTTTGGGAATGTGTTGATCAGCCCGATTGCATCGGCAATGGTGAACTGGATACCGGCTATGGTTAACTCTTTCAAATCCCTGCACCTGTACAGTGGAGCTACTACCCTGCAGGCATAAGAAACGCGTTTATCGAATGCAACCTCCTCGAGAACAGGACTAAGTGATAATACACGCGGGAGTAGCCCTGCTGGATCAACAATCGAAATGCCGTCAGGACCAGTATACCATGATAGATCAACACGGCGCAGATTCGGGAATGAGCCACCATCGAACACGCCGTCCTTGACAAACATCTCATAATTCTGATAGCTGATATGGACTTCCATCACCTCAACCGTAGGCTGGATCCAACGAAACACGCTGCTGGTTCTGAACTGGCACATCCTCTTCCATACAAACTTTCGCAGCACTGGGAAAGGATTGGCCGTTGGCGCACACCCGTCATCCTGAACTCTCCAGCCATTTTTGAATGGTGCTGTGAACGTATGCAGCCGCGAATATACAACAGGTGACTTATCTGCAGGGTTGTGGAACAGCTTGTTGAGTGGTTCGGAGCTTTGGAACTCGACACTTAGCATCTCCAAACAGTCAGCATTGCGCACTACCAGCTCGATGAGTCCGTTGCCACTGCCGTCACTCAGATCAACGTGCATGTGCTTGAGTCTAGGCGCTAATTTACTGTCGAAATCGGCGTACAAGGTCTGGTTTCCAAGGACACTCAGACACTGGATTGATGGTGCGACACCTAAAAACGCTGATAGTGCAGTGGTGTTTATCCGTTTGTTGTCTAGCATCGAATAATGGTCACCAGAATACACAACCGAAACAATATTTGGCATTGCCTCCCTCAGCAGCTCGCCGATACGACCGATATTCAGATTAAAGCCTTTTTCTATGCTGGCAAGCTCCTGTGGATCAATTGCAGGCTGCCCTCTCATATGTCTGTGATACTGTTCGTGCGAATTGAGGACTGAGACACAAACAGTAACCGTGTAGACTTTCGTGAGCCTACCCTCGCACTGGGTGAAGAGAGTGCCAACTACTGAGTGTACTGTTCCGTTGGCGACATCTTCAGGAGTGCAATACAGCTGAAAGTGTCGGACATGGTGTTCGAGCCCGGCTGCAATGATACGTCCAAGCGACTGTGTATCCTCAGGATAGTTCTGGTTGTCTGTGCCTTGCGAGTTGATAAAGATTATGGCCGATTCGCCGATGAAACTACTGGCGACACGTCGCCATTCAGGATCGATGCTCATCAGCGGGTACAGAGTATGCGGCACAGTAACCGGCTTGGCGTCGGTCCGGAGCTCAGGTCTCAACTTGTCCCGTCCGATAGTGTACGAGACGATGGAGTCAATGATGTGCGGCGGGAGGTGATCCATGGTGATAATGTCTGGTAGGAATAGCTTGACAGGAAAAAGAATGGTGAGGTTCTGATGAAGTCAGGTTCTGGAAAGTATCGTTCCGAGCTTTTATATCTGCTGGGAGAAGCGGTCTGGCTGCGCAAAAAGGCTGGCAACAAGTTCACAAAATGTGGAATGTTCTTAGGAGAAATTGCTGAGTGCCAAAAGCAGGAATCCGCCTTGCAGATCATTGCGGATTTGCTGATAATTCGGACAAGGGATTAGATTTGAGCGATGGCCAGCTTGAGTCGAGTGTCCGCAGCTTGGGCAATGCAACCAGCAAGAGAACGCATTGCAGTCAGTATACTAGGATATCTGAGGGTCACGGTATATGCACGCCTTGTAGCAAGGTGGTCCAGTTATGTAGTCAGAATCACCCCCATGCTGTGTATTGCAGTTGTTCAAATAGTGATTCCATGCGGAATAAATAGGAGTAATTCAAACAACCCTAGAAGAAAGTGCATGCCATGAACCACCGCTACCCACGAACTCCAGAAAATATCAGCTGTAGGACAGCTGCTGTTTGGTTTCAGTCGACCTTTGCTAAAGCAATGGTGACCCAGCTGCAACCCTTTGGATTCATCCGAACAGTGGCTGTGAACGACTCTGAGAGTGCATACCATTGAATGATGGCTCCCTCTGTAGGTACAATATGCAGTAACATGCTTACAGATGTTGTTTTGAGCTGCATACTTTCCCAGATAGCTGCAGTGATGCACGGCAGCTTGGCTTTTGTGGCAGCAAAGAAAACTTCCTGTAGAGTAGCTTGGAAAGCCGCGTGTACTTTACCGGTGACGCACCTGTACAATAAACGATAGAGAATTAGGTCCATGATAGTCTGTGCCAGCGCGTTGAGTAGTTTGGACATTTGGGATAGGCATTCTTCATTGACACCGTGAAGTATGCGTTTGCTTTCAGGGTTGTAGGGCGCCTTATCTAAAAGGTCCCTTGGGTTGCAGTAGATGTTAAGCATTTTCCGCTTTGGTAGTTGTTAAAGAAGACTGAATATGTATGCCTCTGCTGGTATTTCTATCTGGATAGAAAGAATCCTGAGACAAGCCAATTGAATTTTAAGTGAAATTGGAAAGGGCTCCTCAAAGCAATGTAGCAATATAGTCCCTGAATGAATACTATACGCTTGATTTATTGAGGCGCATGAAGGTTGTTCAGAGATGTATGCAACTGGAGGGAGAAACTCGAGCCAAATTTCCTTAAAGTGTATCAGAATTGACCGATCTACTTGATGGACTATGTCAGTTGGTATCGAAATGGATAGATAAGTGAAAAATGTTGACGAAAAGAGCAGGGCTATGTCATAGTACATGTTGTGAGCACAAGAAAGATCATGCAGGAGTAGTTTAGGAAATTGAACTTGCGTGGGCTGTTGGCAAATGATTTTAGTGAATGTTGACTACGGATAGGCAGAATAGTAGCTATTTTCTGATTCTGGAAGCATATTAAACTCCCGTCCGTGGTGGAAAAGTAATGCCAAATAGAAATCGAGCTCACATTTTTAACATGAGGAATCCAAGGGATAAAGCTGGAATGGGGGAACAGTATCAAGAGTATGGATGTATTGGGCGCCGACTGAAGCACATCTGTAATTTGGTGGAAATGGTGTAGTCATTTATCGGAATCCAAATGAAATATCCAAACATGAGATGGTAGAAGGTAACTTTTCCCTCAGTCGGCCATAAAATGGCAACTTGTGAGTAATAGGATATTTGGAACTGGGGGTTATGTGCGTTTATAGTCACTATTGAAGCTACCCATGCATCTTTCATTAGATATGGTAGGAATGATGAATTCGCAATCCTAGTCAATGGTGTCAGTCTCCCTTTAGTTTGCCATTCTTGGCTGGGCGGAAATGACACCAAGCCCTATAAATACTGGTACCTTAAGTGCATTCCAATGTGCATCTGCAAAGCCAAAAGCTCTCAACGCGCCGGTAAGTCTAAGCTTGTCATTTGCTGTATGATGCATGGTGATATGGAGTTTACAAGTGAAGTTTGACTTTCTAGTCTTGGTGACAAATGGAACGCTGGATACTTGACTATATTTGCATGAAATGATAAACTCGAGGTTCAGTGTGTCATCGGTTGGAAAGCACTTCAAATAGATTATGAAATGCATGATAAAGGTATGCCATCCCTAGAGACATCATATGGCACTAGCCAAGTATATAGTTCTGTTGAATATGCCCTCTCTGGTAATGCCAGTATCGCTGTGGTTCTCAAGTGAATGCTGCAAGATATCCAGAAGGACTGTATGGGAAGATTGTTGATAGTGGGCACCGATGGGTGCGCGTGTATGCAGTTTCTTATTGCGAGGTGCAGCAAACTGTAGATGAGCTGACCTGCTTTGTATGATTTTAGAGCGTACCTGGTGACATCAACTGTCTGAGTGGGGATGTGATGAAGTCCCTAGATCACCATTCTTGATCGGGGATCGGAATCAACGACTTCAAGCAGCCGAAATAATGGCTGACGCTTGCTTTTCTGCTCCAAACTATACTTTCATTTGTTTTACAGGTATACAAAAGAATGGCAAATGTACTCCAATTCACAGCAATATCAGGAGCCAAAAATGAGGACGCGCTGTGTTACGTGCTCGAAATAGACGACACGCGGCTTCTGCTAGACTGCGGCAATTTCTCGGACTACTCAGGCGAGAATCTGGTGCAATTGCGACGGGTGGCGCGACAAGTGGACGCAGTGCTTCTCTCGCACCCAGATATGGCACACCTGGGGGCATACGCACTAGCGTACAGCAAATATGGGCTGACATGCCCAGCATACGCGACAGTGCCGGTGCGCAACATGGGGCGGCTCTGCATGCTGGACGTGGTGCGCTCGCTGCGGTCGTGCTCTGACTTCACACTGTTCAACGAGCAGGATGTGCGGGATGCGTTTGAGAACATAACGCCGCTGCGGTTCTCGCAGCCAACAGCGCTGCCAGGGAAGCACTCGGAGATTGTGGTGACGGCGCATGCGGCGGGGCATACGATTGGAGGTACGGTGTGGACGATCCGCAAGGGCACGGAACAGGTGCTGTATGCGATGGACTATAACCACGTCAAGGAGGCGCATCTGGGGAAGACGCAGCTGCTGCCAGGCAAGCAGGGGCAGGTGGCCAAGTCCATGACTCGGCCGATGCTTCTGATTACCGACGCGTACAATGCACAGTACAATCTACCGACGCGGGCCAAGCGGCTGGCGAGCTTCATGGGGGCAGTCGAGGCCGTGACGCAGCGGGGCGGTAACGTGCTGGTCCCAGTGGACTCGACCGCGCGTGTGCTGGAGCTGGCGTATGTATTGGAGCAGCGGTGGGCGGAGAAGCGGCACCACCGAATGTCGAATCCGGTTTTTCTCCTGGGACGGTGCGCGCGGCAGACGATGCAGTTTGCACAGTCGATGCTGGAGTGGATGTCGGAAGGCGTGACCAACCAGTTCACAGGCACAAAAGCGAACCCGTTCGAGCTGCAGCACGTGGTGCTGGTGCAGAATATGGCGGAGCTGGATGCACAGATGGCAGCGATTTACGAGGACCCAAAGATCAAAACAAAGTACCGGCCGCGTGGGGCGGTAGTGCTGGCGACGCTTGAGGGCATGTCACTGGGGTTCTCGCAGGAGCTGTTTGTGCGGTGGGCGGAGGACCCGCAAAATGCAGTGGTGCTGCCGCAGCGCGGACCGCCAGGGACGTTGGCGCATGATCTGTTCACGCGGTGGTGGGATCGGGTGCAGACGGGCCAGACAGCCGGCGAGCCAATCAAGCTGGCAGACCCGGTCAGCCTGCCCAAAAACACCTGCATTGAGGTGACGGTGAAGCAACGGATTCCACTCAAGGGCGAGGAGCTCGAGGAGTGGACGCGGCAGGAGGCCGAGCGAGTGGAGCGCGAGGCGGCGCGGGCAGCGATGCTGAAGCGCGGACGCACAATGCTGGACAACGACGACGACGACACCAGCTCGACCGGCGGCAGCGACGACGAAGGCGAAGGAAGGGGCGGGACTCGCGACGTGGACTCGGGAGCAATCGCAGCAGTGGATCTGGAAATGGAGCGGCTGCGCAGCGGACAGACGTTTGATCTGCACGTGCGGGACCGCGGGCGTGTGGGCGGGTTTTTCCGGCAGCCGCAGAGCCACTGCATGTTTCCGTTCCAGGAGAAGCGGCGACGCGTCGACGAGTTTGGCGAGACGTACGACGTGCGGCAATATATGCGCGAGTTCGATACGCACGGCGACGAGGTGGTGCGCGGCGCGCAGCAGGAGCCGGCAAAGCCCGGCTACGGCGTGCTGGACGACGACACCAACGACGATTATGACGAGTCAGTGCCGACCAAGCTTCTGCAGGATACCAGACGTGTGCACGTGCGCTGCCGGTTGTCGTTTGTGGACCTGGAGGGCCGGTCGGATGGGCGGTCAGTGCGCAACATCCTGGTGCAGCTCGAGCCGAAGCGCGTGGTGCTGGTTCACGGATCGGCTGCAGGAACGCAGATGCTGGCGGACTACTGCGCCGACCCCGAGGTGGCTGTGACCAAGGAAGTGTACGCGCCCAGCGTGGGTGAGATCGTCAACGTGTCGTCGGGCGCCAATGCATATACGGTCAAGCTGACCGATGCGCTGCTGACCAAGGTGCGGTTTGCCGAACTGCAGGGAGCGCAGCTGGGGCACGTGTCGGGGCGGATCCGCTATGCAGAGGACGCCGAGGAGCCGGTGCTGGATGTGGATGTGGCGGCGCTGGAGAATGCGTGGCAGAGGCCCGTGTTTGTGGGCGACGCCAAGCTCAGTCTGTTGCGGCGGCGGCTGCGCGAAAGCGGGCTGGCGGCCGAGTTCTCAAGCGACGGCGTGCTTGTGTGCAGCAATGTACTGGCGGTCTCGCGTATTGGCGGCAAGCTGCGGATCCAGGGAAATGTCTCACCCGAGTTTTACCGGCTACGCGACGTCATTTATCGTGCTCTTGTGGTTGTCTAAGGTTCCAGACCCCGGTGTTTTGTGGATAGGGGGGATAGGCTTGTTTATTTAGGAGGCGGAATTCGAGGAACTGCTTTTTTTTTTGTTTCTCCGCTATGCTTTCGCTTTCCTCCGATTTTATAAAACTCGAATTCTAATACTCCGCAAAAAAACAATAAAATGCTGAGTTCTCGTCATCATGCAGTGCTGAAGGAAATCGACACGGCGCGGTGCGTTGGGCGGTGGAGTACACTAGGCGAGCTGGCCACACGGTATGCCAAGCATGCCGAGTCTGGGCAAGGTAAGGTGGGCAGAAACAAAACAGCGCCGGGAGGTTTTAGTTTCCCAAAGCTTAAAGAATTCGCCACTGTAGTGTTCTCGCAGCTGGTGAGGAGCGAGGCGCTGCTGGAGGAGAAGCTGCAGAGCGTCAAGTGGAGTGGGCGCAACCACTGGAAGGGCGACGGCGAAATGACGGGCAACGGGCGGATACAGATCGCATACCCGATGAATATCGCCAGTAGCACGCTGCTGGCCGACATCGAAAAGGACCTGGTCAGTGTGGGCAAGCGCAAAATGACCAGCGACGAGGGATATGTAAGTTGTCTGCTGTGAAGCTGGGGGTTTTGTCGGAAACCAGAAATTGTTCGTGTGCATTGGCCCTAACCCCCTAAAGCTCTCGTAGCAATACAAGGTGGTGCTGGCCAAGGTGTACTTTTACGCAGCGCAGTTTGCAAAGTGCGGCGAGGTGCTGGCGTCGGTGCCAGACACGCTGGAGGAAAGCTCGCTGTCGGCAGACTACAACAAGCAGCTATACATTGCGCAGATGGTGATGCGCGGGATCATCCAGGAGATGGACGGCAAGCTGCAAGAGGCGCTGGACACATACGCGCAGGCGCTGGGCACGTACCGCGGCCAGCTGAGCGCACATGCAGTGGTAGTGGTTCCCAAAGCATCGGGTGGCAGCACCGAGGAGATTGTTAATTGGTCAGAGGAGGCGCTGTACCGACGGGCGCTGCTGTCGCTGTCGCTAGGCGACAAGGAGCACGGCATGGAGCAACTGGGCGAGTACCTGCAGCATATGGACAGCGTGTCTCCGCCGGCGTTCCGCGTGTTCCGGCGGCTGAGAGCCAACCACGTGCTGCTGGGCATTTCGCGGTCGCTGTATACATTGGAGGGGACGCGGCCACTGAAGCAGGCGCTGCTGGATGGACACCAGCACCAGATGACGCTGCTGGGCATGGCAATGCGGTTCCCGCGGGCAGACGACGCCAATAGCGAAGTGCTGGTAGCCGTTGATGCAGCGGCAGGCGATTGGAACTTGACACAAGCGTATTCGCGTACCGAGTCTCTGCGGCTGCTTGAGCTGCTGTATCAGGCGGTGCACATCACGTATAACTCGCCGCAGCTCATGCGACACCTGGTGCATACGCTGATCCGGTTCGGTGACTACCACGAGGCAGGGCTGGCTTTCGGTACATACAATGTGCTGGTGGAACGGCAGCTCGAGACTGTGCGCAAGGCACTGCGTGCTGCGCTCAGCGAGGGTGGGCCGCGGGCGCTGCAGCTCGGCGTGGGCGTCGAGTCAATCAACGATATTCTGGAGACAACCATCACCGGCACGCGGCTGCATCTGGTGCACCTGCAGAATCCGCAGGAAAGCCTGGCGCTGGCCCATGCGGCAGGCGATTTGATCGACGAGATCGAAGGGCTGGATCCGGCAAACGCGTACGTTGGGCGGGTGCCGGAGCAAATCAAGGCGCAGCTGGCGCTGTGGCGCGGGGCAGCCCACGCACGCCTGTCGCAGGCCAGCAGGGAGCCCGAGAACCGCACGCACCACCACACTGCGGCGCTGCAGCAACTGCAGCAGGCAGTGGGGCTAGCACCGCGCATGTACGAGGCTCAGTACCAGCTGGCGCTGGAGCAGGCGATCGGCGCGCGCGACATTACCTCAGCCACGGCCTCAGCCAAGGCAGCAGTGGCGCTGGACGCTCGACGGCTCGAGGCCTGGCACCTTCTGGTCCTGCTGGCCACCGCGCGCAAAGACTACGCGACCGCGCAGCGCATCTGCGACGTGGCTCTGAAGCAGAGCGAGTGGTGGGCCGTGGACTGCGAGATCCAGGCAGCCGGGCCCTCGCGGCCGAGCCACCTTGGGCTAGTGGACAGCAAGCCGGCAGCTCGCGGCGGCGACATCGACTCGGGCATCGCGTACCTGCGGCTGCGGATGACGCGGCAGCTGATTGATAGCAAGCTTGGCGGCCTGGCGGCGTGTCTGAAATCGCAGCCGCATATGTTTGCATTGTATGGCTGCGTTTTCGGCCCCGTGCTGTCGTCGCCCGAGGGCGCTGATGATGCGTCGGCGGCGCTGGAGCTTTCAATGGCTGGGGATCCGCGCTCGGCACCGCCGCTGCGCGATCTGCTGGGCAGCCGCAAGCCGCACTCGATGACATCGGGCAAGCGCTCGCTGGCGCGCTCCTTGGCACGCACCATGCTGGGCAGGCACGTGCGCCAGCGCTCGGCCGGCTCGCCCGACGACCACCCGACGACCACCGGGCATGCACGCACCCACTCGCACAGCGTAAGGCGGTCCCCAGCCTTCCCCAGCAGCTCTCCCAGCGACTCAGCTCCGGCTCAGCCAGCCGAACCGACGGCACCCGCGCAGCCAGCACAGCAGCCGAAGCGGCAGCGGTCGATGCCACATCTGCGCAACGGCAGCGTGGACAGCGCACTGGCGGGTGATGTGCCGACGGAGGCTTACTACGACAACCCGGATCTGTCAGCAGCCAAGATCCGCGCCAGTCTGGGCCTGAGCCCGAGCACGCGCGCCAGCACCATCTCGGGCCTGGCCACCCACCACAGCGTGTACTATTCGCCAATCGCCACGCATCTGTCAATGCAGCGCCAGCAGGCGAGCCGCGCGCTATGCGACCTGTGGCTCCTGTCGGCTGGAATGTTCGTGCAGCTGCAGCGTACCGACGAGGCCGCCAATGCAATTAACGAGGCGGTCAATGCGTGGCCCGAAAGCCCCGATGCCCTGGTGATGCGCGGCCAGCTGGAGCTCGCGCGCGGCCAGCCCCTGCCTGCCCTCAACGAGTTCCACGCCGCCGTCGCCCTGCAGCCTGGCAATATTCGCGCGGCCGTCGGTCTTGCCCGTGTCGAGTATTTGCTTGGCCGTCGTGATGTTGCCATTGGGCTATTGAAGAACATCACCAGGGCCCATGGCTGGTCGGATCCCGAGGCCTGGTACTGGCTTGGGAGGCTGGAACGCGAGGTCGCCGAGGAGCGAGACCCAGGCTCTGATAACCAGGCACTGGCGCGCGCTATGGAATACACCACGTATGCCTTGGAGCTGGAAACCACCCAGCCTATGCGCCCGTTCACGCTGCTATGCCAGTGAGAAGCCGTCGACCTTTTTAAATGCATTTTTAACCAATGCGGCTTAATATTGCCACTATTACCATGGCCACAATCCCCGCGTTTCGGATACATGGGTGTGTGGATAAAGAGAACTGCGTAGAAACGTGGCAGTGCTGGGTGTAGCGATGGCAGCAGGACCTACCAGTGTGGAACCAAATCAAATGCTCGCCAACCAGCCACACTGATTTGGTTCCACACTAAGTCGGCAGGTACCGCTTAGCAGTGAAGTGCACATGATATGCATTTGACCCAGGTAGCGATACTAAAAATGGCATTCTGTCTAACCACTAATCAACGATGGTGCTGCTTGACAGGCGATGAGTTGCAAAATAGTCATGGGTGGCGCGAGCATCACTGAGCTGGCACTGCCTGTGTCTGTTGATCAGAAACTCCATCATCAAATCTCGCAATCACCTAACCGCCAAGGTGCAGCCTCCAGGCCATTCTACAGTGAGGCCCGTTTTTCCTTCTGCTAGAGTCCATTTCGCAATTGTCGCTTATAATTCCAGTTTTTTTTCTACATTTTATTCGGATGGCCGGGTGCTTGCTACTAACGATATTTGCGATTGAGCTTCTGTCGGTGTGCTTGGAGGCGGTCGGCTACAGCACGCTAGCGCAGGGCCTCTGGGCCACATACTGCACGGTGACCGGCAATCAGAAGGCGGCCGAGCGGCTTTCGCTGAAGGCATCGATCACGCAGCTGCGTCGCGACCTGCGTACCGTCAGCTCCGTAGACGAGTTTGCGCGGTGGGCCAAGATGCGGCGCCGGCTGGACGCGCTGACGGGCAAATTCGAGTCGGTGTCGAGCGAACTGGCCCTGGAGCGCACGGCGTTTGAGTTGTACGTGAACCTGGCGTTGCGGGTGCTGATCTACAGCGTACGGTTTATTGTCAGCGTGTGGTTCTGGCGTGCGCCGGTGTTTTATGTGCCTAGGAATTGGTTCTATCCGGGTGTCTGGGTGCTGGCGATGCCTGGGGCTCCCAAGGGCAGTGTCAGCGTGGCTGTGTGGGCGGTCGTGTGTAATCGGGTGTGTAAGCAGATGGGGAGGATTGTGAATCGCGTCTGGCGGCCGGTTGTCGCTGAGAGTGAGCCCCAGCAGCAGCCGCAGCACACAGCAGGTGACGATCTGAAAATGGCACTGCTTATTTGCCAGCGAGAAAGGCGGCATGATGGTCACAGCATGCATTGGCTATTCGCCAAGACTCGGCCCTCCATCTTTTAAAACTCCTTGCGCCAGCAGCAACTTGCCTCCGTTTTACACTCTTTTCTCTTCATTGCTTCTACACTACCATTATACTTTATACTTTTTTCAAAAGCCAATGTCGACGGACAACACCCATTCCAGCTCTCCGGTGGCAGAGCACAGATCCTGTCCGCCGGTGGATACCAAGCGTGAGAGCCTCATCGATTTCGGCGGCCTCCAACCTTACTACTACATGCCTATCCGGTATCCGACCGAGGTCTCTCTTTACGAGCAGACCGTGAGCGCCAGCAACTCAGTAGCCCTGCCCAGCTCTGGCCAGCAGACTGTACGCGCGCAAGTAGATTTGCCTATGCCTTGCGGGTACTTCAATGTCTGGCGGCCCTTGCACGACCAGTCGCTACCGATATCACCGCGTCTAGTGAACTACTTCCCGGGGGAGGCCAGCCAGGGCGCAGCACCGCGGCTAAACAAAGAAAACAGCACAGCCGAGTGGGATAGCCGCATCAGCTACAGTTCAGCCGACGATGAGTACTACCAGAACGGCCGGGCGCTGCCGTTTATCAAGGGGTTTGCACACGGGGCGCTGAGCCATGGCGGCGTATTCCGCAAGGTGGAGCATGACTGGATGATGTCGTATCTGGCACCAACGTACTGGGACAGTGCGCGCGAGACCTCGTTCCTTGCGTGGCGCTTCAATTACGTTGTCGCGAAGCGGCCCATCGACAGGTTCATGGCGGTGCTGAGCTGGTCCAAGTTTGACCCAACCAGCAACGTGCAGTGGAGCGTGCGGGCATTGTCGCAGCTCGAGTTCACTAAAGTCCCAACCTATGTGCTGAGCGCCGACGAGGCTAAAGATTTCCCCGAGATACCCGGCAACGAAGGCGGTGAGTGCGATCTGGAGCGGCGTGCGCGTACTATTGCTGAGCACCGCGGGCAACTCCTGGCATACGTGGGCGTACCGGCCAACGGCAACGATTATATCCAACATACGGTACCTGGGTTTGCAGCCGATCTGACGCAGTACGTGCAGGGCGAGTACGGGTTCGAGATAGCTGTAGCGTTTTATCCGGCCACGTCCGGCCCGAACGAGTGGCAGAAGGCGCAGGTCGCACGCCAGCCGCTGCGCACGACCGTTGCGGGCCGCACCAGTGAGGGAGAGCAAGGCGATGGAGCGGTGTGGACTGGATTTCCGCGTGAAATTGCGCGACGACATTCCAATCGGCCCTCAGCCGCCCGACCTGAAGCAAGCGCTGTTGGCTGCGGGAAAGTCGCTGCAGATGGACGGCCAACAGTGTGACTTTGAGATCGTCGTCGCTGACCCCCAGAACACAGTCGGCGCTCTGCAGCCGCTGATCCGCGCCCATTCTAATGTGCTGGCAGCGGGCAGCGAGTACTTCAGCGCCTTGCAGGCATCCAACATGACTGAGTCCGAAGCCCGCCGTGTGGAGCTGGAGGACATGCCGTACGGCCATGTGCGGCGCGCCATCTACTTTATCTACAACGACATGATCCCGACAACCGAGTACATGGACAGTACGGACGACTGGCTGCAGCTGTTGGATGTTGCTGCCCGCCTGGCCATCCCCCGTCTGGCGCAGCGGTGCCAGGCGGAGCTGCTGCGTATTGCGTCAACCGTGGGCAGCGATGCGCTGACCTTCGACACCACCGACCTGGTCTTGCCAGACGAGCAGGACGACAGCAGTCGCATTATTTTCCACAACTACCCAAAGGTGTCATTTGGCGACTACACTCAGCTTGTACAGTACCCAGACCCCGAGTACATCGAATCGCTGATCGGCCTGGTCGCCGATGCCGGCGCCGATGACCTGGTGGCGGCCCTGCAGCGACTCCTAGTATACTATCCGATTGGTGTCTGCGAGGACCGGATGCGTGCTGCCGACACGCGCCAGTTCCAGGGCCCAGACGAGGACCGCGAGAACAGCTTTATGTTCAATGACATGTTCGCCTTGCCGCACATGGTCCGGCCGGCTCAGGAGGCTGATGACGAAGCCCATCGCCTTGCCCATTTCCTGGGTGCAATGCCTGGCCCGGTCGTCCACCCGCCCCATGTCGGCGTCAGAGACCACGAACCAATGGACGGGAATGACGAGGAGGAAGAGCATGTGCAGCCAGGGCTACAAGGAATTCTCGACCATGTGCGCGAGTGGAATGGCTTCCGCCACCTGTGGATGCCTGTGCAGGTCCCAGGCAATGCCGCCCAGCAAAACAATGACCAAGGCGATGAGGAGCCACCGCAGCCGCAGCCTGGACCGGTGCCTGAGCCGCCGACGCGCACTCAGGATGAGTAAATTAGTAGCTGTGCTATGCTCGCAATCTGGCGGGTGAGCGCGCGCTGTCTATGGGTGAAAAGTGGCAATATGGCGTAGATGAAATAGCGCTTTGGTTGTTATTGGAAATATTGAAATCGGAAAACAGATGGGACGGTAGCAGTAGCTGGAAGCAGATACGGATCACTCGCTTGACGCAGCAGCCTTTCCGCGCCCACGGCCTCTGCCTCTGCCGCGCCCTCTGCCCCTGCCTCTCCCCCGCCCGCGGCCAGCAGCCTTTGGGCTATATGTCTCGTCCTCCATGTTATCTTCCGACTCCCTGTGCTCCTCCTGCTCCTCCTGCCCCTCGGGCTCGTCCCCCACCGGCGCCGCCACCGGCACATCCAGAATCTTCGACAACGGCGCGCCGCCGCCGCCGCCTCCCAGCTCGCCATTCGGCTGGGCTTCCGTCTGCCTCCATCTCAGCCACTCGTGCCAGACACGCCTCCACCCCGCCGCCATCATTGTCGTCCACCACGTCCTCAACGATGTCCTTCAGGAAGTCGTAGCACTCGGTGCTCTCCACGCACCGCTTCAGGTGCGTCGTGCTGATCTTGCGCGCATTGCATGCCCGCGCGTGCTTCGCCACGTCGTCCACGATCGACTGCATGAAGAGCTCCAGCGACTTGGATATCAGCACCGGCGTTGCCTGCGCCATCTTGCCCACGTCCTCATCCATCTGCATGATCTTTTTGATCCGCGCCTACCCGTGGTGAAATGAAAGGTCTTGGTTTTAAGAAGGCATGCTGCAATGCGCTTACTGCTTTTCTTTCCTATGTTGTTTGCTGCATTTGAAATTTGAGACTCAGGCCTCCCAACCTTGCCTGGCCTGGTGCTTTTCTGCAGAAATGCAGACCAAATGCCAATTTATCGAACGCGCCAAAACAGGACACTTACAACTGGGAATTTCGTCTTGTACTTTTTGCGCATTTTGGACCCCCGCCGGTACTGCTAGCTATGTCAGTCGAGAAAGAAAGGCGTGCCAGGCACAGCAAAGTATACAAATACGCGTAAATTCAGATTGGAAGCAAGAAAGGAAATAAAAAGTAGAGACGGGAAAAATAGCAGGAAAGCACCATTGCTCAAACAAAAAATCATTCAGTTTTTATAAGCAACTCCCGGCTCAAATATTGAAAGTGCAGCTTTTTCTTGAAAATCCCCCCTTGCTGCTAGCTAGATAATGTCTAAAGCTGGCTCCTGCCCAGATCAGCGCGCTGCAACAGGCGTGCATTACGTGTAGACGCGATGCTCAAAGCCATGTGTGACGCAGCACAGTTTGCTGAGCGCATAGCCCCTTCCCTGCCTGCATATACGGGTTACATCGCTGTTGATTCAGGGAAATGCCGATTATGTGTGGCGCATAGGGTAGCTTCATATTTCCTGGAGCCGACAGCTGTTGCGGCACTTGGCAACAGCTTGGGTGAGCAGATTGAAAAAAGTCCCAGTCCCACATATATGCAACATGTCCACCTCCCTGTACAGCAGCTCCCTTCGAATAGCAGCATACTGCCTCTCGGCACATACTCATTCCAGTGGCTCCAAAATGAAACGCGCGTGGATATTCAATCGCTTGCGTATTTATTACATACTGTGCTAATCGAACCCGACGGGATTGCCTCCGAATGAACAAAAACTGTACGTCCACACCCAAAAGCTCACCCTGACGGTCGGTGCTGAGGTACGTTTAAAGCACGCTTACTTCTCCGGAGCGGGGTTCATGCGGCGCTTGCCTCCGGGGAGGAGGGTGATGTTAACGAAGCGGCGAATGTACTTCTCGCGCTTGAGGGCACGGCCAGTGACCTTCTTGGACTTCTCCTGAGCCTCGACCTTGGGGGTCTGCGACTTGACCTTACCGGCACGAGCCAACGATCCGTGAACCTTTCCCTATAATGCCGAAAGCAACAAATTCGTCCTCAGATTAGCTTATGGTTCCGGGCTGTGCTCATTCAAATGTCCCCTCTGATGCCGGAGGGGATTTCCGCTCATTTCGCGCACATTCCGGCCCTCTGCGTCCAGTTTACGGCCACGCATCAATCCGATTCACGCCCTTAGATTCCCCGATGGATACGCACCATTTTTGATGTTTCTTTTGCGAAGTGGAAAAATTGGGGTTTGCAAAATAAAAGGAGGATGCTCGCTATTCCGCGTGCAGCTGCTGCTCATAGTGAAGCGCGACCACGCACTGCGGCCGCTGCGGTCTATCCAAACGCCACACGTGATCACAATCCACAGATCGGACTGCAATAATCAGGATCAGCACCTGGATCTTTGATCAGCGCATATGGGCATTTTGCATGGCTCGTCCAATATTGCCTGGCCATCGGCTGCCGCTGGCACTGCAGTTGGTTCTTGTGCAGGGCGTAGTGGTGTCATAACACACATATATATGACGATATGGCAGCAACAGACAGCAATTTTGGACTGGACCTGCATTCTGTCCTGCTCCAATATACGAGAATGTGTATGCTATCAGCGTCCATGTCTGGCTGCTAGAGCTACAATCTGCAATATTCTCATATTTCCCACAGCCGAGCTGTATGAAGCAATGTCGGCCTGATAATATGTGCACAGGTAGCCACTGGAGAAAGAGGGAGCAGAGCCTTGGAAGGGCATAATGCATCTTGCAACAATAGCCTCAATGACGCTAGTTAAAGCCATTGAGCCACAGTTTGCAAAAATAGTATATCTGGGACCGGGATAGCGCCTTCTTTCTCGCTTCTGCTTCGTATTTTGATATTCCCTTTTTATACCAGATAAAGAATCTATATTCCGCCTTCTATTCAGCTACCCTCTCCTCCTTCCGCTCCAACCACATACTCTTGCTACGCCATCCCTTTGCTTCTTCTTACTAGTGTACCGTTTCCATTCCTCAAAAACACAAAAAAAATTTGACGTTAGGGATATTCTCAGTATGCGCCTGCTACCGTCCGTTAGCTTCCTTGCTGTATGCATGCTGGTCAAGGGAGCACCCTGTTCTCGGCTTGTTCGGCGCCAGATGGACGTAGCTGCGACAGGATCCAACGCTGCACTAGACACCAAGCGCCGATCCGTTTAGCAGGCTGGGAAGTGAATCCTGCAGTGGATACCTCGGCTGACTGGTCGGCCGACCCGGCAGCAGCCAGCAATAATGTTGGTAACTCGGTTGCAAATATTGACTCTAGCACCAACATCATTAATACCGAGATCGAGTACCCTGACGACACGCAGATGACGGACAACACAGGCACAGCTGTGTCCGGAAACAACAACGACGTGATGCCGATCATCAACGCTCCTGTCACGGTTATTGTCAATGAGGCACCCAGTAACCACCAGCAAGCAAACCCAGCGCCGGTCGCCCCATGGGGACATCCGCCAGGCCATCCAAACGCTTCCCAGGTCGCTGGGCAGCAGCCACCCGCAAGCACTCCATTGCAGCAGCAGCAACAGCCACCAGTCGATCCATTTACCGCCAACATCCAGAATCTCATTGCATACGCACTTGCTCTAAGGCAAAGCCAGCTCCAGCCCCAGTGACCCCTCATAGTGTTCTATGTTGTTTTGCTCACAGGTAAATGAATGCCTTTATTAAAACCCGTACAAAAAACGGCCCGATAGGCATTTCAGTTTGACTCTGGCTACTTCTACCACACGGCTACTGTTTGGTAATTTAAGGATTCTGGTTCATTTAATGATTTAGAGTCAGATTTAGGAGCCAGAGACACTAGAGGTCGGTGATGTCGCCGCGGAGCAGATCCACAAGATAGGTCATAACACGAGGGTCAGCACGCATGGCCGTTGTGAAGGTACTCGTTGGTGACCCACTGATGGAATCCCTTGACGGTCTGTGCGGTCTTCTCGCTGAGGTAAAAGTCGACGAACATGTCGTTGTAATACGACACACCGGCAACCGGCACAGTGTTCTTGCGCAGCGCGTTCTCGTCGTACAGCTGGCCCCAGCCCTGGTACTCTGCCAAGCCCTGGCCGACCTCCTTCAGTCCGGCGCAGCTCCGGGAATTCGTCGAGCATCCACGGGTAGACAGTTTCGCCGGTGAGGTACACGGGCTCGTCCTCGGACTTTTGAGAAATCTCGCTCGACGTGATGGGCAAACTCCTGCGCAAACTGCGTCTCACGCACCCGGTGTGCAGACCACTGGCTGGGAGTTCCCATTCTGGCAATAGATGGCTCATTGCAAGATGGCGTATAGCGGGTTGGTAGTCAAAATTCTTGAGTGTTGGCAATCGCCGTCAGAGTGCTGGTGGTCAGCACGCCAACCGTATCCAGATCGTGGGTAGCCTTGACGACTAGCTGGTGGACGCTGTCGAAGCCACCCGTGAACCCAAAGTTGATTCCGAGCTGCTGGAATCGGCGTGGAGACAGGTTTCCGACTGTCCGGCAGCGTCACGTTATGCTCGTTGAGGTAGAGCATGATCTGCTTGATGCGGGCGATATCACGCGGGTACTTGCCATAAGTACTGCTTTGTTGCGGTGTATCGTGCGCCTGTAGGTCGCCTGGTAGACCTGGTCCGGGCTGTCTACCAAAGGAGGCACTCCACCGGTGATGAAGGCCTTGGAAATGCCCTCCGGGAACATCGACAGATACGTGGTGATACAGAATCCGCCAAACGACTGACCCAGCAGCGCGAACTTGCTGGTATCGTCGTCGCGGCCAGCGCACAGAATCTTGCGAATGTGCTCGCTGTCGCGCACAATGTTGTCGGCGCGGAACTGAGCGACATATTTGACCTTTTCTTCGGTCGTCGAGAACTTGGCATCTAGGCTGTCCGCACTAATGGCCGAAGAGAAGCCGGTGCCACGCTGATCGAGCAACAGGATCTGGTAGCCGTTATCGATTGCGGTCTTATACCAGCCGCCCTGGACAGATCCCAGGGAACGATACTTCGAAGCCAGGCCCGCCCTGCAGATACAGCATGAACGGCAGCTTGTGCATGTCATCCTTCTTGTCCAAGGGCACAATATGGCGGGCAAACACGCGCACAGTCTCGTTGCTGTCAGGGCTTGGAGTAGTCGAGCGGGCAGTCGAAGAAGCGCTCATACACAATACCGCCGGGGATAATGTACGACTCGACGTCTGTGCGGTCGAGCTCGTGCACCAAGCTGCTGGTTCATGCGAGGTGAAAGGGACATGGATGAAAGCGAAAGCTGCGTCATAGAGGGCGTCGCCGTTGTGGAGAGTGGTGAAGCTTGCTGAATTCCTAAATTCAAGATAGGCAAAAAGTGGGGCTGCGGAGAAGAGAGAGGTGCAGCCGAGCGTGTGGGGAGTCCAGCTGATGCCAGCACAGGGCCGATTTTGCTCTGGCCGCGAACAGCTCTGCCGACGAACCACATCGTGAGAAAATATAATGGAAGGCGCATCGTTGTAACAGGGTGAGGAGTGAGTTGCCAGTTGCCCAGCAGCCAGCTTACGTCCAATTTATATGGGACTGGAGAGGCGGCATATGTGCGGCATTGTCTGTGGTCCAATGTGTGGGAATACATTGACGGCCGAACATTCGACAGGGCGGCAGAAGTGGGGACACAAGGTCGTCATCGGGCATTAACGTTCAAGATAAGTAGCTTTATTCGGGGATATGCCGGCCGCTAAACCCTTTCCCGCATCTTTCCTCCCAAGGAGCCAGATCTGGGGAAGGAGGAGCCGAATCCGGGATGCTAAAGACAAAGACAACAACGAAACACGAGAAGGAAAGGGAGGGTAGGGGGAAGCAGCTGTAGAGCCAAAGCACTACCCAACAGCCACCAAGCGTCCTGTAAAAAGTGAAAAGTCCAGAGGCAGCGAGAATGTCCGCCCGCTTACTTCTTGAGCTGGGCGCTGAGCCACTCCAAACCCTCGTACAGGACCGTCACCAGATGTAGCGCAGGTCGACTGGATGTACCACTCGCGGGCACGCAGCGAGTGCAGACCAAGCTTGTCTGTGATCTCGGCCGCGTTCATGGCGTTGGGCAGATCCTGCTTGTTGGCGAACACCAGCAGCAGGGCGTCGCGCAGCTCGTCCTCGTTCAGCATGCGCTGCAGCTCGTCACGGGCCTCACCGATACGGTCGCGATCGTTGCTGTCGACGACAAAGATGATACCCTGGGTGTTCTGGAAGTAGTGCCGCCACAGGGGACGGATCTTGTCCTGACCTCCCACGTCCCACACAGTGAAGCTGATGTTCTTGTACTCGACGGTCTCGACGTTGAAGCCGATGGTCGGGATGGTGGTGACAATCTCACCGAGCTTCAGCTTGTACAGAATGGTGGTCTTACCGGCGGCATCAAGACCGACCATAAGAATGCGCATCTCCCTCTTGCCAACCAGGCTGGCGAACAGCTTCGAGATCGAAAGACCCATTTTTTGTTTTTACAACGAGTGAATCTACGACGCTTTGGCCGACCAGTGTGTTTTGTCCACGCACAGGAACAGAGCCCAAGAAACGCAAGCGAGCGGAATTACGACGAGTGTTTTTACCGTGGTCACCACGAAGAAAACGACGACGGCAGAAGGACGCAGCGTGTAGCCAGGGAATGCAGCAAGGGTGGAAAGAAGAAATGTTTGTTAGATTAGTAGAAGCCTGTATTGGTTGTCGTTCAGATGAGGCGAGATGAAGGGGCAAATCTCATCTACCGCATAAAAGCTCACGATTCGGCAAATGACCGCAACTGAATTACAGCAAAAGCTCGCAGTTCCCGTACCTGTTATGCGTTAAATAATGAAAAAGAGTAAACAGAAGAGGGTTAGAGGAACAAAAGTGGATGGTGTTCGAAAGCTACAGAAGGGGCCGAAAAAATTGGCAGCATCATCGCTCCCAGCTTTTGAGCAACCCAAAACGTCGAGCATTCACGTGGGTTGCTCGCTGATTCGGCACGCAGCCATTGGACGCTGGGCCCTATGCCCATATTTAACTCCCATTTGGCAGTGCTGGCCCTGCCCCACAAAATAGACCAAAAGCCAGTGCCAAACTCTGGCATGTTATCTGCCACCTCATCACTTTACACCATGAGCAACATTGCATGCCGGCTGCTGCGGAGCCAGGTGACATTTCACCACCCACTGGCCGCCACATCTCGCTGGTACTCGTCGTACCTGACGTTGGAGGACATCCCGGCCAAGGACGTTGATGCCGTCAACAAATTCAAGCTAAAGTTTGACCGCAGTAGCATTCCCCACAAGACATTCACCGTGACGTACCACCGCAGCGGCGGCGCAGGCGGCCAGAATGTGAACAAGGTCAACACCAAGGTGTACATGAAATTTCCACCTGGACCACCAGACGTGGATCCCGCAGTACGTGCGCCAGCGGTTGCATGATCAGGACCCGGCACGGATCAACAAGGCTGGCGAGTACCTGGTGATCTCGGAAAAGACCCGCTCGCAGAGGCACAATTTTGAGGACTGCTTAGATAAGCTGTGGCAGGCAATTGAGCGCGCGGCCGAGCTGCCCAAGGAGGCTGATCCAGAGACCGCTGAGCGCGTCGAGAAGCTGAAGAAGGCAGAGAAGGCTAGGAACAAGGAAAACAAAAAGCGCTTGTCGGAGCGCAAGTCGAGTCGCCGCAAGCGGTTTGACGACTAAGCCAGGGCTGGTGGAGCCGCAACTGCCTTGATGTGGCAGGCTGCACAGTGCTTATCGCCCTTTTTGCTTTCCCACTCTTGTATTTACAAATTCTGTCCTTCTTTCTCACGTATAATTCAGCGTTGAAATGTCAGCCAGAAGAGTAGTAGTAACCGGTCTGGGCATCGTCTCACCAGTCGGCGTTGGCGTCAAGCATGCATGGAGCAACCTCATAGCCGGCAAGTCCGGTGTAAGGTCGCTGATCGCCGAGCGACCCAACGACGGCTTCGACAAGCTGCCATCGACGATCGCAGGGCATCGTGCCTCGCAGCGGCAATGGGTCGTTCAACCCCAAGGAATGGCTTGAGCCCGGCGACACCAAGCGCATGGCCGATTTCTCGCAGTACGCCATGTGCGCTGCCAACCAGGCGCTGACTGATGCCGAGTGGACAGCACCGACAGACGCGCAGCGTGAGCGCACTGGTGTGTGCATAGGGACGGGAATCGGCTCGATGGACGACATCACCAGCAACTACACCCTCTACCAGGCAGGTGGACTGCGCAAGATCAGCCCGATGTTTGTGCCAAAGGTCCTGTGCAATATGGCCGCCGGCAACATCAGCATCCGCTATGGCTTCTACGGGCCAAACCACGCCGTATCGACTGCCTGCACCACTGGCGCTCATGCCATCGGTGATGCCATGCGGTTCATTAAGTTTGGCGATGCTGACGTAATGGTCGCTGGTGCGTCAGAGGCACCATTGCAGCCACTGTCGCTGGCCTGGGTTCTCCAAGATCAAGGCCCTGGCAACAGGGTTTCAACGATTGCCCTGAGAAGGCATCGCGGCCATTCGACAAAGGAGCGGGCTGGATTCGTGATCGGTGAGGGTGCTGGTGCACTGGTGCTGGAGGAGCTAGAACATGCCAAGCGCCGTGGTGCTCATATCTACGCCGAGATCAGGGGATACGGACTATCGGGCGATGGCTTCCATATTACAGCGCCGCCCAACGACGGTGCTGGTGCCCAGCGTGCGATGCGACGGGCGCTGGAGACCGCTGAAATCAACCTGGGAAGATATTACCTATGTCAACGCCCATGCCACTTCAACACCACTGGGCGATGAGATCGAGAACAGGGCGATAAAGTCAGTGTTTGCCGACACGCAGCTGCAGCAGGGCCTGATGGTCTCGTCGACAAAGAGCGCAACTGGCCACCTTGCTGGGTGCGGCGGGTGCTGTTGAGGCCATCTTCAGTGTGCTGGCTGTCAAGAACAACGTGGCGCCACCGACACTCAACCTAAAGCAACATCGATGCTGATGCTGGGTTCGATCTGAACTATGTTGCCAACCAGGCCCAGGAGCGCACTATCAAGGCTGCGCTGACCAATTCGTTTGGATTTGGCGGCACCAACGCATCGCTGATCTTTACAAAGTATGAATAGCTGGAGTAACTTTTTGTCCGCTTCAATATGGTGCAAGTACTATGTCAGTACCCAACAGATGGACCTCATCTTCACATCAACAGGCCATGTAAACAGATATGTGGAATGGTACTGGCAGTATTAGCTGAAAGTACACGACATACAAGCACATGCCGCAATGTTACTCTAAGGGACTGCTTGCACTATTCTGATACACAAGGTATTTAGGGCGATAGAATTGCATTTCCGAGCTATTCACCATACAACCAGCACTGATGCGGGGCACACATATCTATATGCTGGTGCAGCCAATCGGTGGCATTAAGCAATGTGGTAATGAGTACCATGGCTGATTGGTCGCGCATTTATAAATGTGCATTCATCGCATAAATGTCTGTGAAGATCGGAAATATCCGAGTGCATAAGGAGTACATATAGCTATAAACCAGCTATTGAGTATAAGTAATCGTCTCTGGCAATACCAGCGCTATACTCTCTATCCCCTCTATATCATAAAGCAACAATGAGATACATGTACGATACTCTGCCTTTCGTCAGCTATTGCTCGGACCAGCTACACTCGACCTACGTGCAAATGACTCAGTGGATAACCCGGCGCTACCATTATTATCACCGCTCCCAAACACACCCTTACCTAGCACCTGATTCGCAGTTCATCTTTTGCTCGCACATCAACACCTGTGCCAATAGCTGAATGCTACATGTTTGGCTGTATCTAAAGGTGCTGTTTCATACGAGTGCTCTAGTCCTAATACATAGTAATAAAAACTCATTCACGAATATCACTATAGTATGTTCCTGACTTCGTAGTATGCGATGGCTATTGAATCTGGCATTTTTGTCGATGTATTTTACCCCTTACATAGCCACTGTTCGCGACTTAGATCAATGCTGACATAGTGTAGTAAGAAGTTGTCGAGGACCCAGGTCCTCAAAGGAGCACGCGTATTGACGATTCATATCTTTGTGACCACATCCATACGCTAAATGCGTTTTCGTCAAGCTAAACTGATGCCAGCCTCATCGTCAGCACCGCACCGCCTAAGCTGTGTATATGCAACGACAAGCTACTCCAAACCACAGCTAGCCGTCACTCGCCGTATATGTAGTATGTGCTTACACATTAGTCAAGGAGCAGTGGTCTCAGGCCACGTCCATATGGCGACTTTTGTACGAGCCCCATACTCTCGCTCCCAAAAATCCTCGTTCTGTCCTCTGTGCGTTTCTCTCCGTTTCTGTGGCATTATTATTCAAGCTGCCACCATGCGGCATACTCATTCGCATATCCCCAATGAAGCGGCGCATTTCAAGTAGCTGCTAGTTTTCCATGTGGCCATCTCCGGGCAATTTACCTGCCGATCCACATCACTTGCCGAAGGGTATAGTGCAAGTCGATGCTGAAAGCTGGCAGTAAAACCTCCATTTTTAGTTGAGGTAGTTTATGGCCATGTGTATTTGATGGTATTGTCAGTGATGCATGTCACATATCTTGATATTCTTAGAAAGGTGAGTAACGAGGCATATCGTTTCAGCACAGTGATCAACGAGCTACGAAGGCTTGGGGACTCAAGACTCGCCAACCACGGAGCAGACAGCCTGTATGAGCAGCAACCGGCGCCCTAGAGATGTATAAGAAGACATCCAAACTCTTACCACTACATCCAGACTCCTTGCCATTGCCCTCCTGAAACTCTTTTATTTGGATATTTCCAAACCTGTAATAAAAACTATTCAAACAGGACTGACCAGCTGTAACTTAGCCACAGGAAATGGAAGACAAAGGTACCATTATGCAGTTGGCATATATTGGCAATACCTTTCGGTGGTGAGCTCATCCGGCATATAGCAGCAAACCCTGCAAGTATGCATATTGAATAGTCCTGACTCTTTTGTGAGTCCTTAGATGAACCCATTGAGACCATGAGCCCAAAGGGTACATCTACAGCGATGATGTAAACACCACTACTGCTCGCAAAGATAGTTGCTCTTCCGATAACTGTAGCATAGCTCGGCCGCGTTGCGAAAAACTACTGAGCGGTATACTCAGGGTGCCAACACAACCAAACATTCATCTACACCAATTGTTGCTGCTGTATCCCCAACTAGCAAGTGTCAGCACCTATACAGATATTGGCACTCACTTGGCGACGCAGGCAAACAAAGACCACACCGCTAACTACTATATGGGATCGGCTGTTGATGATGTGTCCACAAACGACATGTCGCCACCTCTGGCTACTAGTGGAAATGCGACCGTGGTACTCTTGGTGCAGGTCCTGTTATAATTCCAACTCCCCACTACCCTTTCGTTCTATTTCCACAAGTTTAATATAAAATGCATCCTAAATCACTTGCTGCAAACCACCCTGCTCATCCACGCAGCAGTACATAGGTCCCACAGCATGTGTGCATGACCATAAAACATAATTACAATTTTAATTTGAAATGTAGTCGCATGTCATTGAAGCACATGAGAACTAAGATAAAACGCAGGCTAAATCGCTTAGTTCATGCGGCGGATGAGCGCGTTGATGGCATCCTCGCGGTTACCGGCGTCACCACCCTCGATGAAGTGGCGGACCTTACGGCCAGACCAGCCACCAGTGGGGTTGGACAGCTTGAACGGCCACAGGAAGTTGTTGGCGACCTTGAAGTTGGGGCCGACGGTGAAGATCTCGTGGACGAGGTCCTCAACGCAGATGATGCCGTACTTGCCGAGGTTCTGCTCGATGACAGAGTTGTCGGTGATGGGCACGCGCTGCTTGTTGACCTTGGCGTAACCGCGCTTGTAGATCAGCTCCTTGACCGACTTGAGGTTGGGGGTACCCCAGGCGGCGTAGGGGGTGATGACCTGCAGCATCTGGGTGGTGGCGAAGGTCAGGCGGACGAAGACACCGTTGTTGATCTGGAGCAGACGGAGGAGCTGCAGGATCTTGCGGGCCTTGGGCGGGATCTTGTTGATACCCTTGGTACGCACAACGAAGGCAAGCTTGGCCTGGGCGGGAACGTAGAAGTTACCGTTCTGCTTGGCCTGGCGGCGGAGACGGATCTCGGCGCGCTCACGCTGCTGGTACTCCTTGACGTACTGCTCAGCACGCTTGAAGACGACCTGGCGCTTCTGGCGGCGCTCCTACGGATGAGACACAGCAGGGCAAAGGTTAGCGCTTGTGTATCAACGCGAACGCGCATGCATCATGCAGTTTGGTTGTTGCTCAGCCCCGAAAGATGGTATAAAGAGAAAGCTCAATCATGGGAGTGCAATCCTCACAGCTAGAAATGTTAACATCACCACAACAAGTACAAGCGGCTTCTGGCGCAGGGCTCTTACCTTCTTGGAGGCGGCGGCGGCGGCAGCCTTCTCGGCGGCGGTCTTCTCGGCGTTCTTACGCTGCTTGAGGAGAGTCTCGGGGGCAAGGACCTTGCTAAAGAGGTTGGGTTCGAGTGATGAATTAGTTTTGACACGTTACGCCGGATACTCGAGTCGACGTTGCAAGCGGTAGCCTGGCAAAGACCTGCACGCCCCTTCGTTTCGCAACTGCGGGGGAATGTGGTCATGCCGAGCGCAAACCTTGCAAGAGTACCGGGGCAACATCCCACGAATGAAATTAACCGAATGGATCGCAGTGCAGCAGAGGCACGCATACCCAAAACAGCATCAATCCCCGACAGCGCGCAGGGCGCATAGCGTCAGGCGGTCCATGGCGTGCAGCAGTCCAAAATACGGACCGATGTAAGGAGCCTTCGGGTTCCCTCGCAGCCCGACGTAGAGTCGGGGACATCGTGCCGCACACCAGGGGCGTGATTTCAAGGCAAGGCTTCGCGCCGCAGCGGGCGCAGCAGGAAGCCTAGAGCCTCACATATCCCCGGCTGGATCCCGAGGGATCTCGTAGCGCCGGGCGGGTGGAATGCGACGCCGGCAGTGCGTCTCTCCAAAGGGGCTGTGGGAATCGACAGCGGCAGTTGCAACTTGGCACAATACTTACGACGACATTTCTACTTTTTGGTGCTGATTCGAAGCAAAAAAACGAGTAGTGTTTGGAAGAGAAGGAGCCCAGCCATTGCCGCGGCCGAGCCTGCTCTTTTAACGCTCAGGATGGCGCACCAAAGAGCAAAAGCTAAGGAAAATTTTTACACTACCTCACGTGAGAGAGCGGGAACTGTAGGGACCAAATCGCCATCCTGATCCGTTGATGCAGCGATCCATTATCGGCGATTACGGGCTGAGGATCGCCCACCGACAACAGCAGAGCAGCGGTTTTTGGAGCGCCGCTCTCGCCAGCCGCCTGCCAGCAGCCCGCGCAAAACATAAACATAGCGTTGAGTGTCGTCGCCTCTCTCTTGGTCGCTACTTTCTAACTCCTTTCTAATTCGGAACTCTGTTTCTTTGCTACTTGACCGATTCAACTCCGCTCGTTCCATAGGTAAGTGCCTGGCGAATTTAACGCAGGGCACAGGGCCCCATCTGCGTGTGACTTGCCATGAATTCGGAGTTCTGCCAGGCCCACGGCATGGCAGGCCAGGAGGCCTGGCCCTTCTGGGCTTGCGGCAGTGCCTGTGACCCAGCAGACTGGCTGCATGATATGGCGCTTCTGAGACCCCTCATGCAATTTTTCGCCCTGCCTGGCGTGGCTTCCCCTATAGACTATGCGGCTTCGTTCCTGGCGGCGGGTTTCCCTGCCGCTCAGGGGCGGCGCTGCTGCTCCTGCCGCTGTTGTTTTGTGTGTTTTCATGTTTTGGTAAATAACCCGAGCAGAGTCATCGCTGCTGCAGAGGCAAAAAATACGCTGGTTCATCCCTTCATCGCCGCCTCCAATCAGCGGGTTTGTTGTCGATTTCTCGTTTGTCGGACTGGCGAAAAATTCCTCTCTTACCTCGCACATTATTTGGCTTTCCCCACCACTGGCAGCAGGTCTAACCCTCACCCGTTTTTCGCACCCTCCTTGGTTTCCTCTCTTTTTCCACTATACTGATTCGGGCTTTGTTTTCTCTTGCTCTCCTCATCTGATAGTTGAAATCTACAAATCCATAAAACAAAATGCGCGAAGTCATCTCGGTTCACGTTGGACAGGCCGGTGTCCAGATTGGTAATTCCTGCTGGGAGCTGTACTGCCTCGAGCACGGTCTCCTGCCCGACGGCAGGCCCAACCCCGAGGCCCAGCTCTCGTCGGACGACTCGCTGTCGACCTTCTTCTATGAGACTGGCAACGGCAAGCGCGTCCCGCGCACCGTGTTTGTTGACCTGGAGCCCACCGTCGTCGACGAGGTCCGCAACGGCAAGTACAAGGATTTGTACCACCCCGAGCAGCTGATCAGCGGCAAGGAGGACGCTGCCAACAACTACGCCCGCGGCCACTACACCGTTGGTAAGGAGCACATTGACCGCACCCTCGACCAGGTGCGCAAGCTCGCCGACAAGTGCGACGGCCTCCAGGGCTTCCTGGTGTTCCACTCGTTCGGTGGTGGAACGGGTTCGGGCTTCGGCGCCCTGCTGCTTGAGCGTCTGTCGGTCGACTACGGCAAGAAGTCCAAGCTCGAGTTCACCGTGTATCCGGCTCCCAAGATCGCCAACGCCGTTGTCGAGCCGTACAACTCGATCCTGACCACGCACACCACCCTCGAGCACGCCGACTGCTCGTTCATGGTTGACAACGAGGCCATCTACGACATCTGCCAGCGCAACCTCGGCATTGCCCGCCCCACGTTCGGCAACCTCAACCGCCTCATCGCCCAGATTGTGTCGTCGATCACGGCTTCGCTGCGTTTCCAGGGCTCGCTTAACGTTGATCTGACCGAGTTCCAGACCAACCTGGTCCCGTACCCGCGCATCCACTTCCCGCTGGTCACCTACGCCCCGATCACCTCGGCCGTCAAGGCGCAGCACGAGTCGATGACCGTGTCGGAGATCACCACGGCGTGCTTCGAGCCCAGCAACCAGATGGTCAAGTGCGACCCGCGCAACGGCAAGTACATGGCGTGCTGCCTGCTGTACCGTGGCGATGTCGCCCCGAAGGAGACCAACAGCGTCATCGCGTCGCTGAAGACCAAGAAGACCATCACCTTTGTCGACTGGTGCCCGACCGGCTTCAAGGTCGGCATCAACAAGCAGCCGCCCTACTGCGTGCCCGACGGCGATCTGGCCAAGGTCGACCGCGCTGTGTGCCTGCTCAGCAACACCACCGCCATCGCCGAGGCCTGGGCTCGTCTGGACCACAAGTTCGACCTCATGTACGCCAAGCGTGCCTTCGTCCACTGGTACGTCGGTGAGGGTATGGAGGAGGGTGAGTTCTCCGAGGCCCGTGAGGATCTGGCTGCCCTCGAGAAGGACTACGAGGAGGTCGGCATGGACTCGGACGACGTCGCCATGGACGAGGGTGCCGAGTACTAAGCCCGCTGCAAGAAAGCCTTCCCACCTTAATTTTTTTGCTCGCAGAGATTGCAACAAATCAGACTCCCTTTCAACATTCTATTGCTGCTACCAAGAAGCAAGCGACCTAGCGAGCAACCCGTGGACCTGTGGTCGCAGTGGTGGTGGTGATATGACCTAGTGCAGGGCGTAGAGGGCGGCAGCAATGCCAGCTAAAAGTACATGTGGTGAAACGAGCGACGCTGTGCCTGGGGCCGGAGATGCCGGAGGCAACGCCGGGCTTATTGCGACCATTCGCCTCGTCATTTGCCTTGGTGTCCTTCGCTCCCTTGCCCTTCTTGGAGTCCTTGGCCGATTCGTCATCGTCGAGGCTAGGTGGAAACTTTGGCAGCGAAGCGGGGTCGTCTGTGTTTTGCAGCTTGCGGGAGCTGGAGTCGAGTCCAGGTGCATTGGGACCAAACTTCATGCCAATGGTCAAGCCGATCTCCTTGTCGTCGACCGGCGGCAGGTATCCCTTTGGCTTGTCGTTGACATTGAGGACCCTGAGGTTGCTCTTTGGCGCACTCTGTGTATTGCACTGGTAGTCGGCCGTGCACGACGTGAAGCACACCAGCTTTTCGGTTGGGTCCTGCTTGACCGCACACGAGTCGTTGCAGGCGTTGAGCGCAGCGCGGCACTCGGCAGTGGCGATTGGCCACTCGTGGTCGCCGACAGCCTTTTCTGCAGCACGGTTCATGCACATGCAGTTCCAGCCCATGGTGCGGACGTTGCAAAAGTTTTTGATTGTGGAGGCGACCGAGCCGCAGGCGTTGTAGCAGGAGCTGACCTGCGACTGGCAGACAGAGGCGCGGGCATCGGCGGGCTCCAGAGTCATGAACCACTTGCCGGCGGCTTGGGTGGCAAGGAAGACTAGCAAAAGCAGGCTGCTGTGTGTTGCAATCATAGGAAGGGATGGAATTAGGAGCAGGGGGGTCGGTAAGTGAAATGTGAGGATGTATTGGTGAAAGGCAATAGGGTGTACGAGTAATGGAGCAGGAAAGGCGCAAGTTCGCTGGCAAGGGATATATGGAAACCTCAGGCTCCAGGCACCTGGGCTACCAAACCCTGGGCTGTGGCCCACATGGCCAAGTGAGACTGGGGGAGGGCCCACGCTGGCTGTTCCGGGCAGGCCGACGAGACGGGTTGCTCCCCCTCCCCAGACAAGCGCACCTGCAAAGCGTTCGCAAGCACACTACTCCCCCACATATCCACTCTTATGAAGTACTCTTCATATCATCCCGAATCCTTCAGAGTTGTGGATCGCCGTCAGCAGCCGCTCCCGGAGCTTCTCCACGGTCTTGTACTCTGGCAGGAGCAGAACATTGAAGCACGTGTGCGACGTGGGCAGGCGGTCCGAGTCGCCGCCGTTCTTTGCAATAACGAAGTGCAGCTTGCTCAGCCCGCCAATCGGCACGCGATCGCTGCTTGTGGCAAAAAACAGCAGCTTGCGCTTTAGTTCGTCCGAAAAGCCGCGGACAGTCTTCCAGAAGAACTGGATCACCGGCGTGTCCTTGGCGTATCCGCCGTCGTAGATGGTCGAGTTCTCAAGAGCACCAAAGTCAAGATCGGAGCTGCCACACACCAGTAGCTCGAGCTCTTCTGGCCGCATGCACCGCACGAACGAGCCGCCGCAGATCCGGTCGAACCCAGCCTTGAACTCTGTGAACTGCTTGTTGCACGAGACGTTGAAGATAAAGTCGACGTATTTGTCGATAAACTGGTCGCGGTTGGCAACAGTTAGAGGGATGCTGGCGCCGCCAGGGACCAGCTCGTGGGTGCGCAGCTCGCCGAATTCCTCGTACTCGACTTCAAACGTGCGCTCCAGGTACTCAAGCTCCTCGTCCGTCAATTTGTGCAGCTGCATAAGCCCGCGGTACAGCGTCGGATCAAACTGCTTCAGATCCTGGCGCGTCGCAGGCACGCCCAGCAGCTTCTTGTACATGGCCGGTGGCAGATGTATATCGAGGATGACGGCGTTATACACAGCAAGGCCGATCAAAAGACCCGTCAGCCGCATCTCCTCCAGTGCATCCTTGCTGGGGTCGGACCCGGGCGTGAACCAAAAGTAGTGCGACTCGTTGTTGGCCGTGAAGATGCCGTATTTGACTGAGAATACGTCGCGGACGATTAGCTGGAAGAACTCCTTCTGCACCCCGCCCTCGTCGACGCCTTCCTCGCCGACAAACCGCACCTTGAGCTGCTTGCGCAGGTCCTGGCTCATCTTCAGATCCAGCTGGTACAGCGTGTCTCGGACGAGGCTGTCGCGCCGGACCTCGAGAACCAGGTACGGGCAAGTGACGCCAGTGAACATGGCGCGGAAGAACGAGTCCTGCAGCTCAGTGCGCATCATAATGACGCTCTCGATCTTGATGATTTCGCTCTTTGTCGTCGGCGACAGCAGGAACGGGTACGTGCAGAATGCGACGCCGTCGGGCATCCGGTACCGCGGGAAGTCCTCTTTGATGTCGATGAACTCGTTGACTGAGTCGTTGTAGAAGCGCGTGTAGTCGACCAGATGCTGGTTCTGGTTATAGGCGTTCAGGAGAGACTAGGCACTGTATCACTATTGGAATCTGGGTGCTGCGCAGTGCATAGAGATTGACCCGCTGGATGGTCCGGCGGGTTTGGCTCGTTTGGGTTGGCTGCTGGTGGTGGCGGCGAGCGGCGGGCAGCCTTTGGTCGTCTCTCGTGTGATGTACGTCTGGAAGATGTTCACGAACTGCAAGAACCGCGGGTTATCCCTGGGCCTCTCTTCGCTCGGCAGTGGCAGAGAAGCCTCGTCGTCTGCTGGGTTGCTGGCAGAGAAATATTTGAGCAGCATGGCTTGCTGGGCAGCAGGCTGGGCGACAATAGAGCCGCAGAGATCAGGGAACAGCGGGGCACCGTCCGAATGCGCATACTCGTTGATTTTTGGGTTGAGCAGAAGGATCAGAAGCGCATTTATCTGGTTGTCATGCTCCTGGCACGGCTCGGCGCTCAGCATCGACGCTGCACCCAGGGTCCACAGCCGCAGGTCTTCCAGCATCCCGCTTGACTTGCTCTCAAACATGTACCGTGTACGCATCCTCGACATCGGCAATATCCACTGGACACTGGGCAGCCAACTCCTGGTTGGTCTGCGGGAAGCTGCGTGCCAACGTGCATGGGTCCGCAAACACTTGGCTGAGCTTGTCAACAAGCTCCTTTTCGCTGTTAATCTGGCGGATGAACTGGCTGGTCAGAATAATGTCACCCAGAGACTCGTCATCGTTATCGCTGGCCTCATCGATGGGCTCAGGGCTGCTGCGGTCCAGCGGCCGCTTGCCGAGGATGCCGGTCCGCGTTCTGCGTGGCTCAGAGAGACCCCCGGCGGGCTGGGCGATGGACTGGGAGCGAGACCGCGTGGTGATTGTGCGCACAGATGCAGAGCCACGGCGGTCAACCCGCTGCTTTTTGCGACTCGATTCGGCGGTTCCAGCCATTAGGAATAATGCAGCTAAAAGTACAGTGAGGAATAGGCAGGCGTGGAATGATAGGCAAGGGACGATGGTCAGTACCCGGAACCGCAGAAAAAAGGCGTGACCACGAATTCCACATTGTGTGTCACTACCTTCTAAATATGGGCAAAACTGGCACCAGGGCTTTGATGCCTGCACATTAATTTCCAAACCCCCACACGCAATTAAAAGCAGCTCGTCCGAGCTTTTCTGAACCTCGTCTTTCTCCTCCCCCACACAGCTTTCTAACTATTTTCTACTACGCATCTTTTGATGACAATACGCAAATAGTCAACGATGGCAACACGAGATGCAATGTACTCGGAGGACGTGGTGCGCGTACGCAGCCTGTCTGTGCTCGATGAAGGCGTGCACAAGCTGCCGCCCGAGACAGACAGGTCCGGCAACGTCGAATACAAGGTATGTAGCTGCACACAGGCAGGCAGCTATTACCTGCGCTAGCCTCACTAACATTCGCAGCTGCGTAGACCAAGCTCGAGAAGATATCGCACACACCGGACCACACATCTGGCGAACCCAGCTTTCATGGAGGCAAGTGCACTGAAACATGCTGCCTAGACATTGGGGTCTGATATGCAGCGCATTCATGCTAACTCATTGAATGTTACTGCCATTTAGGCTCGCTGAGGGAAACGGGCACGCAATCTACATAGTGGGTGTGCACGACGACGGAGAAGTGATAGGCATTACGCCGGAGGAGTTTGACATTACCCTCGGAATCATCCAGAAGATGGCCGAGCAGCTCGACAACGCGCGCATAACAACGGTAAACCGCCGGGTTCTGGCCAACTCCCGCGTAGTCGCTGAGGTGCATGTCACGCAGCGCATCAGCATGCGCCGCTCTGAGCTTCGGAATAGCAGTGCTCGGTGACCACAGCGCCGGCAAATCCACCGTGCTCGGCTGCCTCACGTACGGCGAGGGCGACAACGGGCGTGGGAAAGCAAGGCTGAATTTCCTCCGGCACCGACACGAAATCGAAGTCTGGACGAACCAGCTCGGTCACGTTTGGCTCTATTGGTTTCGATGCAGACGGGGTTTTGCTGAACTACACAAACAATCGCTCAGCTGAGCAGATATTCCAGCGTGCACAGCACGTTGTGACGTTTATTGACACGTGTGGATACGCCAAGCACCTGAAGACGACGGCCAGTGCGGTCACCGGGTACTCGTCGCACGTGTTCTGCATAGCTGTGCCGGCGGACGCGACCGAGATCAGCGCTGCCACCCGCGAGTACCTGGCGATTGCCGCAGTACTGGGAATGCCGATCATCGTGGTTATGACCAAGATGGATGCCGCCGTCAAGGCGAGCTTTGGCAGGCTGATGCACAAGCTGCTGGAAGCCCTGGAGACCGCAGTGCCGGGCCGCAGCCAGTGCGTGGTCATGAACATGAGTACCGACGCATATGAGTCACTTGCCCACGACATCATGGACATCAGCGTAGTGCCAATCTTTTACCACATCGGCTGTGCGCGTGTCGGGCTTTGCCGAGCTGACCAATGTGCTGTCAGTGCTGCGGGCACCGGCACTGGACAGCGCTGATGACGGGTTCGAATTCCATATCGAGCACTGGATGTCGCTGGACACAGTCGGGACCGTGGTCACGGGCTGGGTCAAGGCGGGCTCTTTTGAGCTGCTAGACAAGGACCGGGTCCTGATGCTGGGTCCAGACAGTTCTGGGAACTTCGCCAATGTCAAAGTGACGTCCATTCACACGCTGCGAATGCCTACCTGAGTCGGCGCATACTGGATCCAGCGTTGCCCTTGGCCATCCAGCCAGCCGAGCCCCTGGCTATGCGCAAGGGAATGCTTATTATAGATGCCGGCGACGGTGTTGCCAGCGCTCGACGGCGAGTGACCAACGAGTTTGTCGCCCGCGTTGTCGTGCTGAGCCCCGAGTTCAGAGCTAGCAACCTGCAGACCGTTGTTGTGCATGTCAGATCGACGTATCATCAGGCGCACGTTGTTGAGATCGTGGATGACGATGCCGCTGACGGATTCGAATGGGTCAGGATCAGACTCCGGTTCGATGACGCTGTGGTTGATACCGTGTACCCCGACATGCCGATCATTGCGCGCGGCGGCCAGGACCTTTTGTTTGTTGGCCGTGCCATAGCACCCATGTAGGGTTCTTCTAGAAGTGTACAATGACAATATATTTTAAACTGGCTCGTTCTTCACCTGAGGATGTGATGCCGGCGACTGTGACTGCTCAGCATTGCCTTTAGGTTTCTGTATACCTGCTGCCGCCTGCTGGCGCATCTGCAGCTGGGCAATAACCGACCGTGTCAGTGACGAGTTGACGCCGCGACCACACGCATGGAAGATGGGCTTGCCCGACTTATCCACCGGCGAGTTGGAATACGGCTTGTTGCCGGTTCACGCCCTGGCGCTTTGGTTGATACGGCTTGCTGTACGCCCGGTGATGCTTGCCAGCCGGCATCCGCGTCGACTTGCCTCCGCCCGTCCTTGCAGCCGCCCTTGTACGCTCTGGGACTTCGCTGCTGTCGGGTGACAGTATCCTATACATGGTGATTGGCGGCGGCTGTGTGTACTGCCGGTTCGGCTGGCAAAAATTGGCCGCCGCCCACTCGGGCAGATCACGCTCCAGCAGCATGATCTTGTCTTCAAGCGCAGCCACGCGCCGGAAGATGCTCGCCGAACTAGGCACAAATTTTGCGTTGAGATGCTGCCGGATGTTCTCCACCCGCTCCTGCAGTCCGTCCAGCTTCTGCGGCGCCTTAGGTGGCTGCTCCTTCTGCACCGCGCCTGTGGACCGCTCCAGCGCACCCGTCTCTGTCTTTGTCTCGTCTTTGTGGATCTGCACTCCGCGGCTCGTGCCATTGGCATCTGTGCGCGCGCTCGTCTCCTCGCGGCCCTCGGCGGCCTTCAGGAATTCCTCCTGGTTGTACCGGTCGATTTCCTTGCGCTGCCCAGCGACAAAGCCCTCCACTGCCTGCGTCATCCTCCGCCTTGGTTGCTACGATTTGGGCCAGATCGTTGGCAAGCTTCTTGTGTGCCTCGTCCTCTTTTGCCTCGTCTGGCTTTTGCCCATCGAGGTAGGTGGTGATGGCTGTAGACAGTGCCCGGAGTTGCTCGTTAAAGTTGTCGGTGGGGGTTTGGGTAAACACTATGGCTTCGATCTGCTAGCGCCCTCAGGCACTGGTGCAGCTTGGTATTTTGGAAAAAGACCTCGAACGGCTTTGTCCAGCCTGCATTCGACATGGCCATTGGAGTAGCAGACATGAAAAGGAATATTAGCTGATTGAAGAAGCGAGAAAAGTATTTTTTCTTCTCTTCTAAAGGCAGTTCGCATCGCGTACTATGTAGCCACTTTTTTTTGCAGCTGGCTCGCCAGCAAGTCAAAATTTTGAGTCGAGCCGAGCCATGAACCTTGCATTTCCTGCATACACGCATTTGAGGTCCAACCTACTGCAGATGCACCAGCCGTGCCAGGGGAGGCAGGGCTGACGCAGGCTGCATGTATCCGGCTGACACCACCAGTCCTCTCTTCAACCGGCCAGGAGTAGGGTGCAGACTCCAGACTCCAGGAACCCCCCACCTGATCTGGCAAACGAAATGCGCAACGCATGGCCACCAGCGCCATCCCCTTTTAGCATTTCCATATCGGCCTCGCCTTGTCTTTTCTCAGTCGCTTTTCTCGATAATTCAACAGACTAAAACAAATGAACGTATACGTATTTGGCTCATCGAAGCTGCCTTGTGCTGTCGGCATGTTCGTGGTGGTGGCAGTATTCACACTAGCCTTGCTGCTGCTAAACAGCAACCGCGTCGGCATCAGACTGCCGTACGAGCCCAAGGAGGTTTACACTGATGCTCTAAACAGCACACTTGGGTTCCACAAGATCTACGCCACATATGATCCAGTAAAGTCTATCGACAAAGACAATCTGAAGGCCGGCTGCCGATCTACTCGATATCCAGATCGAGTACATTCCAAGACACAGCCTCGAAGAAGCGACCAAGCAGCGCGAGGAGCGCGGGTATTTGGCACCGGTCCCTGATATTGCGGAATTTATAACACATATGGCTATCTACAAGGATATGGCGGAATTCAATATCCAATCGGCGCTTATCCTCGACAGCAGCATCGACATGGAGCTTGATTTGAAGATGCGGCTGGCATCGGCACTGGGAAATGGAATTGCCACCAGCTACGATCTTCTGTTTATTGGCCGTGAATTTTCTGAGCAGTCCGAGCCCGGTGTCGACGATGTTACGATGGCTCTGAAGCAGGACCAAGGCCACCAAGAGCTCATCCGAGCGGTGCTTGCGGCACTGGACCAAAATCAATTTCCTGAACCGCCAGCCACTCGCCTTCCGCACATCCTACCCACACGGCACTCATGCATACGTGGTGAATAACCACCTGGCACGGAGGTTGTTGCGGCGGCTGCCTAGTAGGATGACGAAAGAGGAGCATGACTTGGACTATGTGTTGGCAGACACGGCTATGCTCGGCCTGTCGATTGCATATAGCATCTCCCCGCCCCCGATTACCAGGGTAGCTAAGGACTCTGCTAGCAACGGGCAAATGCAGCAGTATTTGACAAGGTCCACGATGTATGCAATATCGCTTCGTGGCGATAATCCGAACCAGTATTCGCCATATTTGGACTGGTTGGACATATGGCGCGACGATTAAATTTCATTCGCACCACATGGCGCTAGAAAGACGAGCAGAGTTGAGGATTTGTTTGCTCCACTAGCCTTTGGCTATTGTGCCTCTTTCTTATAGCCTTCGTTTTATATCATTTCTTTATACAAATACACATGTTTGGTCCGCATATATGCTGTCATCCACGGCCAGCCAAAATCCTGGACCACAGGATTCACTGTCCTGGTACCGATAGTTCTTGTCTACATACTCTTCCAGATATTTGCGTCTCCGTTCGATGCCTACCGAGACCCAGCATCGCATTACTACCAGCCGCGTAATGCGACACTTGGCTTCCAAAAGATCTTTGTGCTAAATATGCCAGGCACGGCACGACCGGCTACGCAACATGCGCGCACTCGCTAGCTACCATCGATTGAGGCTGGAATTTGTGCGGACCTTTGGCGAACGCGAGTCAAACGAACTGGCCCGCACCCTGGATTACCCGATCAACGGCACACATCTGGCATGCTATCTAAGCCACCTCAACATATACAAGCACATAGGTTGAGTACAACATCGAGACGGCGCTGATAGTCGAGGACGACATTGATGTGGAGCTGGATCTAAAGGACCGACATGCGTACATTATGAGCAAAGTACACGAGGTGTATGGCCGTGACTGGGACATGCTGTACCTGGGCCGCTGCACATTCGACAGCAACGAGCCAGCAAAAGTTGCCCCCACACTAGTTGCCAATGGCACGCGGTACGCAGTGGATCCGAGTGAGCGAGCAAGGTACCTGCAGCGCGACCTGTCGCTGTTTGAATCCGAGTATCCCATGTGTCTGCATGCCTATGCGGTCACCAGGGAGTGTGCCAAGCGACTTTCGGTCTTGCTGCAGGAGCGACTAAAGTCGGTTGGCAAGGACATTGATCTGATTCTTGCTGTCGGGGCGCGCGCTGGGGTCTCAACAATCCTGGGCACATCGCCTCCCTACTTCGTGCAGGTTGGCCGGCAGGAGCTGCCGAGCGACCTGACAGCCATTGCTGACGGGGACACGGCCCAGCGACTCGCTCGCTCGACACTATACCACCTGCATCTGCGCACGCGCGACCCGCAGTCCCTGGCACCGTACATGGACTGGCCGTGGTTCGTGGATAGCATGTAATTAAAATTACGGGAGAGTACATAATAAAAAAACTAGTTATGCTTTGCACCACTCTGTGGCCGGTAAATGTATGGGAATACGCCGCTGACCAGACGGTAGTTGAATGTGATGTGGTTGACAAGACAGTAGTGCGCCATGAACATGGCTACGAGGTAGATCAGGCCTAGAGACACCAAAGCATGCCACCATGCGTGCAGCTGCAGATTCAGCGGCAATAGCGACATGTCGCTGCGGCCGTCCACGTACGGGCAGAAATTTGTGTCTGTGAGCCACACAATGCCAGCAACCAGATACCACTTTATACCGTCCCTGAACAGCCGTGCAACGCCCATCATACCGGCCACCTCCAGATCCTTCTTGGCGCGATACGCCATGTACGCGACTATATACGTGAACAGATTGAAGCTGGCCTGGAACAAAAGGAACTGCAGGCGCCCGCTGGACAGTGCAGTCAGACCCGACACAAACAGCGTCCAGAGGGACAGCGCCCAGAGGAGCCGGCGGTGATTGACCTGGAACTGTGTTGTAATCGCCAGGTACAGCGCGATGGCGACAGACCAGAGCATGGGTAGCTCGTCGAGCATCTGCATCGGGTACTTGAGCGTTGCGTGGAACAGCAGGCTGCCAATGCCGACGGCCGTGATTGAGCGCCCCAGCAGTGTGAACCCCCGGTGGCCCGTCGGATTCATGTGCGCGCAGGCCTCGCCAAGAAACACCATGGCGAGGGATGACCACGAGTTGAAGAATTCGGCGATGTACGGCGTCCACTCGTAGTTGCCCTCGCACCAGTCCATCGACGATGTCACGTCGCCCCAGTAGCCCTGTGTGTTTATCGGCGCCATGGAGAAAAAGAGTAGGGGTATAATAGACAGAATGCAAGTGAGAGATGAAAAGATAAAGAAACAAGGCTTGAGTGGCTCTGTTTCCCTTTTAGCAAGAGGTTTTGAGCGGCAGCCGAGAGCCATTTTTGGGCTAGTTTGGCTTGGCAGTTCGTCGTCGCCGTCGCTGAGTCCGAGCGTTCCCGCAGAGGGAGGCGACAAAGGCGAGGCGCGAGAACGTGACGGAATGTATTGTTGCCGATCTGCAGCCAAAGTCATCCCGAACGAGGATCCCTAATATAACCTGCTCAAGCGCAAGCGCACTACTGGTAAGGAAAAATCCGCATACCGCCTTGCTAGCCTTTTTAGAATCTGGCACACCCCACGGGGTTCCACTCGGAAGTCATGCTAATGAGGGTATCGGAAGTGATGCGATTATATGCTCATGGCTATAGAAAAGGGGAGGGGATACGCCATGTCATTTGACCGAGGCATGTGAGTGGCTCCGGCTCATCGCCTGCTGCTGCCTACGCTTGTTCCGGCGCTCCGCCTTGGACTCGTACTCGTGCCAGTCGCCGGCCACCGGGAACTCAGTCACCATGACGGGTCCTGGCGCTTCCATAGCAAAGTACGGGCTCTCGAGGCACTTGCGCGCCGACGGCCTCACCTTCGGATCCAGCGCCAGCATGTCCTCGGCCAGCTGCAAGGCACACGGTGACATGCGAGCGCACATGTTCTGACGCAGCCTGTTTTCGTAGTTGGCCGTGGGTGTCATGTAGCACGCCCACGGCAGCTTCTTGAACGAGTCAAGCACGGCCGGACTGGGCGACCCCAGCATCTTGAAGATCTGCTCGAGCTGGTCAATGTCGTTTTGGCCCTGGAACGCCGGCTTCTTCATGAACAGCTCCAGCATAACGCACCCGAGCGACCACACATCGACCTCGGGGCCATAAAGCGTGGTGCCCAGCAGCAGCTCCGGCGGGCGGTACCACAGCGTGATGACGCGGTTGGTGAACTCGTGCATGTGCGCGTGGTGGAACGAACGCGCCAGCCCAAAGTCCACATACTTTACTTGGCCGGCCTGGTTTACTAGCAGATTCGACCCCTTGATGTCGCGGTGCAAGATGCCGCGCTCGTGCATGAACGCCAGGCCGTCCAGCAGCTGCAACATCAACGACTTTTTGTGGGCAGGCTCTGGCAGCCACTGCGGATGGTTGATCAGTCCCCGACAGGTCGTAGTCCATGTACTCCATCACCACATACACAGCGTTGCTCGATTCAGGACACCACATCCAGCACCTGCGTGATGTTCTCGTGCCGCAGCTGCCGCAGAAGCCGGATCTCGCGCATGGCCGTGATCGGGAAGCCCTCGCGGTCCATGTCGATGCGCATGCGCTTCAGCGCGACGATCTGACCCGTTTCCTTATTGCGAGCCTTGTATACCTTTCCATACGTGCCCTCGCCGACCATGCTGATTTTGGTGTACATCCTCATGCCCTCGGCCGGGCTGCGCTGCTTGGGCGTCGCTGGCGTCACGGGGGTACCGATGCCCGCAATCTTTGACGGCGTTGTGCTGACATCACGCACGCCTGCAGTGACCGACTGCATGGCACCTGCAGCCACGGGCCGGCTTCGGCTTGCAACTGTTTGCTGTGGTATTGTGTTTGCCTGCAGCGCTGCGCTTGGTGGGATGGGCGGCGGATGGAATTGGGAGAGGCGGCGGCGGGGGCGGCGGCGGAGATACCGGAGGCGGCGGCGGCGGTGGAGGAGAATCTCCGGCGGTGGAGGAGGGGGTGGAGAGACAGGCGGCGGCGGCGGAGGCGGCGGCGGAGGCAAAGGAGCCTTTTGTGCATCGCCTGTATGAGTCACGCCTTCCCCTGCCCTCGCGTGACCGGGTGCGCGAGTCTGGACCAGCAACCATCTCTCCTGCTGCGACGCTCAATGTACCCAGACATGCGGCTGTCTGCATACGGCCTTGGTGAGTAGCGCTCGCCGCGGCTCCGATAATAACCGGAGTCATGGGCCCGCTTGTACGGCCGCTCGTGGTCTCGGTCCCCGGGAGGAATCGACCGCGAGCGCTCGCGTTTCCGATACGCGCCGTAGTCGCGTGCCCGGCGATAGTGATCATCGTACCTTGACGTCCGCCGGTCTTCCTGGATCCCTGTCGCTCCGTAGGCCATGGTCTCGGTCAGCCCGGGATGTGTCAGCTGGCGGCGCCTCTATAGCTGTATCGTGATCGCCAGCCACATGCTCGCGTGGCAAGTAATCCCGATGACTGCGGCCAGGTTCCCGCCGATCGTCGTGGTACCGCCGCCGATTGTCATACCCGCGGTGGCCTCGATCTATGTAGTCGCGCCCGCGCCGGTACCGGAAGTCGTCGCGTCGGCGTCGGCTGTCGTACCCGTAGTCTGTGTAGTTGGACGTGCGACCCCGGTAGTCACGGCTTGACGAGGACAGTGCCGGACCCCGCGGTGCCCGCTCCCTGCTGCCGCCAGCACTCGAGTGCCTGGGGGCATCGGGCTCCATTGAAGTCTAAAGTATGAATGCCAAGGGGGAAATGTAGAGTGGCGAAATCAGAGACTGGCAGGAAGAGAAAAGAAAAACTTTACAATTAAATACAGAGGAAAAGAGAATGAAATGAACACGCTAATAAGGCTCCTAAAAAAACTCAAATCGCAAAGAGAAGAAGCGAAAATTGGGCCAGCTGCAAATTCAAAACCACTTTTGACAGGTTTTATTGTCACGCCCCCCAAACAAGCGGTCAGCTCTGTTTTATAAACCAAGTATTAAAAACAAGCTACTTCCTCAGCTCCTCAGGGCAGTCGGGCTGGCTCTGCCAGTGTGCATCCACAAAGGCATCCAGCTTGGCGGTATTGAGCTCGATGCGCTTGACATTCGGGAACTTGTCCATGTCGACGCCAAACCGGTGCGCGTTATACAGCTGCGGGATCAAGCAGCAGTCCGCCAGCGTCACCTCATCGCCCAAGCAGTACTTGCCGCTGGTGCTCTCCAGCATCTTATCAGCCACAGCCAGACCATCCTCGATAATCTGCACCGCATATGCTGCGCGCTCGCTCTCGGGCTTGGTTTTCAGAATCTTCAGGTTCTGCAGCGGCTGCGTGTCTGCGCAGATAACGCCCATGAGCGCACGCACCTGCGCACGCTGGTGCGCATCCTTCGGCAGGAGAGGGGTCTCGGGATACACTTCCTCCAGGTACTCGAGGATAGCCACCGACTGCGGGATCCCATGGCCGTCAGCGATCAGATACGGCACGAAGCCGCCGGGGTTCAGTGCCTTGTATTCGGGCGACTGCTGCTCACCCTTGACCAGGTTGATGGGGCGCATCTCGTAGGCGATGCCCTTCAGGTTCAGCGCAATGCGCACGCGCGCAGAGCACGACGAGCGGTAGTAGCTGTACAGGATTGGCTTGGTATCAGTCATATTGCAGAGTGGGAGAAGTAAAGATTTGTGTCGGTGTGGAGGAGAAAAATGCTGATGCAAAAAGGAGAGCGAAACCGGGCTAGGGGGATGACCAAAGCTCAGGATGGTGTGGGAAAAAAATCCTATTTTGCTGCCCATTTCAGGAAATACGCGGCGAACACTTGCTCGACCTGGTCCGGCTCGCTGATCTTGCCGTCGGCTGCTGGCGCGGAACAGGCCGGCCGAGAACCGGCTCCCAAGACTGCCCAGGAACGGGTCCTCGACTGCCCGCCGGCCCGCCAGCAGGAACGATTGCGGGATGGGCGTGTCGCCGGTCTCTTCGGCTGGCTCTGGTACCTCAGCTGGGACAGCCAACCACGGCATGTGGTGCGACAGCGACACCGCCATCTTCAGCGACCGCATCTCGGTAGGAGAGTGGCCGCCAGGCCTCCTCCAGCACAGCCCGATGGTGCAGCTCGCCCGACTCGCGCATCAGCGTCCACAGCGCCTGCTGGTCGGCCTCTGGCAGCTGCTGGTCGTTCTCGACCTCCAGCACCAGGCGCTTCGGAAGGCCGCGGTCCAGCGCCGTATGGCTGACATAGAACCAGTTGAACGCTGACACCGGACCGGGCATCTCTGGGTCATATGGACCGACAATGGCGCCAACGAACGGCTGGATCCTCGCCGCCATCATCCTTGAAAAGCGCTTGGTACGCCGTCTGGTTCTCAATATCGATAATCGACGGGTCGGGTCGGAACGTGGGGTGCGAGTGGTACCAGCCAACCACCCTCAGCCCGTTGCCGTTGATCTGCTGCGTCACAGCCAGTTGCTCGCCGGGATCCATCTCGACATTCGTATGCGCATCCTCAGACTCCATGGCCTTGCACGGGAACGCCCGCACCACCGTCAGCACCTTGTCGTGCGAGTTCCACTGCCCGCCCAGTAGGCCAATGACCTCAGACATCATCAAGTGTGCGTGGAAGTCCATCTGCAGCTTCGCGTTGCTATGCACGATTAGCTTGAAGGGCTGGCAGCCGGGAGTGCTGGAGAGGGGTGCACCCGGGAATGGCGTGCAGCGTACCATTTGGTGTGGGTCGTGGTAGTGCAGGGAGGTTGTCGTGCGCGTGTGGTTCTGGCGCTGGGGGCGGTTCAGCGCATACTCCGTGCGCACTGGCGACTTGGGCAGCTCAGGTGCTGCGGATGCTGGTGGCGGTGTGGCCGGGCAGCTCGTCGGTTTGGCTTCGCCCTTGGACTTCGACTGCATCCGGCGCAGGCTGTTCTGTCGAGCCCTCAGCCTCAACAACTGCAATAGCAGTCGCCTGAGCGGGAGCGTCAGCAGCCGTGGATTCCTTGGATGCATTAGTAGCCACTTGCTCGCCACCATTGACCGCCAGTTCCTTGGTCTCCTTGGTCTCCTTGGACTCATCATTCTCTGGCCGCTTGGCAGTCTTTGGTGTTTTGGGCGGCTTTGGCACGACCGGATCCAGCTCCATGACGCGCTGCAGGTACGGCCGTGCAGCCGCACTGTTGGGATCCAGCGGTCGCCCTGACAGCGTGTACCCTTCTCCTGACTCCAGCACCTTGGCAGGCAGTGGCACCTTGTCGCGGAACAGCTTGATCAGATACTTCTGTGCATGCGAGCGAATGGACTTTGGGTCCCTGGTGACAACGTGCCCGGAGATCTTCGACCAGTCGCGACCAAACAGCTCCAGGCCCTCGCAGAACTTTGCCTCTTCCTCATCCGTGTACCCGCCTGATCTGTACTGGCCGGGAGCAACAGGCTCTGCGGGCTTCTTGGCTGCTGGGCTTGCGCTGGCGCTTGCTTGCGGGGCGCCGCGCTTCGTCGTCGTCGCTCTCGCTCGATGACATGGGGGAGTCCAGCACTGGCTTTGTCTTTTTGGCACCCTTGGGTGTCTTCCTCTTTTTGCTGTTCGGGTCCCAGTCATCATCGGCCTCGCTACCAGTCACGCCCTCATCAAAATCACCATACGCCCCCGCGTTGCCGTAGTCATCGTAGTACCCCATGTACTGGCCGCCGCCGTCTTCGGCTAGGAGCTTGGCAATCAGAGCGCTGCTCAGGTCGGCCTCTTCCTGCGCGCTGATCTGCCTTCCATTGCTGTTCTCGGCGACCTCCATCTCGGCGTCGTCAGGCCTGGATCTTGGGCTTGGGAGGCCGCCCGCGACCGCGCTTGGCCTTTGGGATATCAGTATCATCGCTGCCGCTATCATAGACGGCTGTGCTTGCGGGCCTGCGGCCACTGCGACGCGCTCCTGCCATGGCTAACGTTTTCTGTTTCTAGATCGGCGGTATGTGTAGAGTTAGCCTTCTTGAAAAGAAAAGAGCAGGCCGATCAGGGCCAGCACACGTATCCGGCAGGCACCCGGTTGCATACTTCAAGCATTGATAACCCTCTGGAGCCATTACCTGGGAGGACCAAATACACATGGCATATGTAGGCGTTTTGGCATTCGCACTCGCGGCATAGGCGCGCATCGCGGTCACACTTGCTATCTCTGTAGCCCAGACGATGTGACGTAGGGAGCATATTGGGCTGTGTTTGAATTCAGGCTCCAATTGATGATATTCGCATATTGCAGAGCAGTGTTTTCAATTTGCGTCTCTACCTTGCGTAAACTGCGGTCGATTGGCCCCGAAGCGTGCTGGTATGCGCCGGATTGCGATATAGGCTATGCGTAGGTATCTGCTCGCAAAAGTGCAATTATAACAGGAGCAAGAAAAAATTGCACCCACTCCGTACTCTTCGAAACCCCCACCAAATCCTTGGGCATTTTGCTGGTGCTTCGGGGTGGCTTGTAGGTGGTGACTCGCCTCGCGCAGTTTGGCGTGTATTTTTTGATTTAGAGGATTAGAAGGAAAAGGACTAATTAATGGACCGCACCGCCAGCCGTCGTCTACTTGACCCGGCGCACGTGCGCCGGCTCTGCTCCTTCTTGAGCTGCTTCTTGCGGTCCTTCTCCTCCCACTTGCGCCGCTGCTCAGGCGTCATGCGCTCGACGTCCTCGAGCTCATTCTTGCGCTTCTCGGCCAGTGCCTTGGCCAGGGCCTCCTGGCCGCTCCTGCTCCGCCATCTTGGCAAACTCCTTGTATGCCTCGTCGCGGGACTTTGCCAGCTTGCGCAAGCGTCTCAGGGCGCAGCGCCATGCCCTCGCCCAGATAGTCGACCAGATAGAACACAAACTCAAATGCCTTCTTGAACTGCGGCAATGCCAGCAGCGGTGGGCTTGGGCAGCCGCAGCGACACCAGCAGCTTCTTCTCGCGCTTAAAGTCGTGGGTCTCGGGCTTAGTGTCGGGGCAGTCGGAGACAAAGACCTCAGGAGATCAGGCTGTTCTCGTCGGCAAGCTCCTCCTCGAGCCCAGACGCCAGCAGCTGCTGCGTGGCATCGGCAATCTCGCTGATAATGGCGACCTTGGGCGACACCTTGTCGTTATTGGCGATCTTGGCAAATGTGCTGATATCGTAGCGATCGCGGCACACGCCCTTGGAGCGCTTGCGCGGCACAGCGGCGAACACGAATCCAGGCGCATCGTCGTTCAGCGTCACCTCGATCTCGATCTTCTCCTCATTGTTGACCATCCAGATCGTTGGCCAGTGATACAAGATCCTGGCGCGCGCTCAGCTGCATGTGGCCCTGCACGAACTTGCAGTGCCGCCGGCCGCTGGCATAGAACAGCAGGTCGGCGGGGCTGTCCCACTCGAGCACCTGCTTGCCGTCGCCCACCAGCGTGAAGTTTTGGCGCAGAACGTCTGTGATCGGCTGCTCCCACGCCTTGCTGGTGGACTGGTTCCTGCGTGAGCCGTACAGGTAGTTGGCCACCAGCCCGGCCACCACCGCCAGAAGCATGGCCTCGGTCTTGTAGTTGCTAAATGTGAGCTCTACCTCGGGGACTACAGAACAGCAGTTATTAGTCAAGGCTGAGGTGCTATTTCCAGGAATGTGCTCGGCCCATCGCCAGGCTCAAAAATATCCTTGGTTTCTGAAATTGCACTTACGTCCGGTCGGGGTAGCGGGCTTGGGGGCCTCGGCCTGTCGGCAGCGGGACCTCGCCTGTCACGTCTTCGAGCTCGTCGGCCATGGCCTTGGTGGCCAGCAGCGCCATGCACGTCAGTGCCAGCAGCGAAAGCTTCACAAAACGACTCATCTGGGAAGGATATAGAAAAAGAACGAAATTCAGGTATTCAAGAGAGTAGCAGAGGCAAGAGCGATCTGAGTGGTACTCACCCAATTCTAGGTCTCGACGAAAATCCGGCTGGCCCTTTCAGCAAATACCACTTGGCCAGCCAGGTAGCTGCTGCTGTTGCTGCTGTTGCTGCTTTTTTCAAACTCCACGTTTCTTTCATGCTCAATTACTTATTCCTTTTTAGTATACTCCGATTTCTCCTCTAATCTAGACGACAAAAGCATGACACAGACCGGACAGCAGCAGCAGCAGCCATGCAGCAGAAACCGCAGAGACTGAGCTGCAAGCCCCGACGCACCTCTCGTCAGCATCCAGCCCGCAGCCCGCCGACAGCAGCAGCAGCAGCAGCGTTGTGGAGCACTCGACTAACTCGTCGCTGCTGCTGCGCCTGTTTACATCGCAGTTCTTTGACTCGTGGCTGGCCGTCAGTTACCTGTTCCGGTACCCCCAGATGGTGGGCGCCCAGCACTTTTTATGCAACGAGTTGCGCAAGTTTCCGATCGAAGAGGTCGAGTTCTTTCTGCCACAAGCTGGTGCATCTACTGATTACGCGTCCGAACGAGTCGATTGCCGTCGAGTCGCTGCTAATGGACATGTCGCTGCGGTCGTCACACGTGGCAATGCTTCTCTACTGGTACTTGCAGGCGTACCTAAGCGACCTGGCGCCCAACCCGCGCACGCCCTCGTTCAAGCACTGCCAGCGCATATTCAACCAGGTGCAGGAGCTGCTGTTTACAGATATCGCGCCCGAGTTGATTATCGACGCGCCCGAGCCTGTCCAGTACTCGTATCTGTATGCCATGGAGCACGGCACATCGCGGGTTCCCAGGCCCAGTCTGATGGCGGGGCTGGCAGAAGCGATTCAAGTCCATGTTCAGACTGACACCACAAGTGCGGGAAAATGCAGCAGCAGCGTTTGTTGGAATTGGATCGTCGCTGGCATCGGCCGGCGCTCCTTCGTTGGCACCTACCATGGGCTGGTTGGCAGTTGCACAGGGGCAGCGCGTGAAGATCTCCGAGCGCATAGATGAGGACCCGGATCTGCCTCCCCAGCACCACCTGCTGACAGGCAAGGGAAAGAAAGGCGTCGGCCGGTCTTCGAGCGTCATGGTGAGGCGAACTGTAGATAAAGAGGCCGACCGCAGCCAGAAGTCGCTTCGCAATGCGTACACAGGCACCAATACGCCGGAGGCTATGGACATTTTTAGCAAGCGTCCATCGCAATATGCACTGGATGCTGATGATGCCGAGCGCATGTCGTCAAGCCAGCCCACAACACCGTCGATCTCTGAGCATCTGAGCCAGGAATTCGGCAGCGACTTTGATCGTACTAGCTGGTCTGCTACACCTGGTCCGAGCAATCCTGGCAGCAGCACCTGCTATTGTTGGACCAGCGCAGCATGCGTTCCTGGGCAGCCGTGCGCCTACTCCTGGCGGCCGCGTGTCTACCGATTCGTGCCGCACAGTGGCTGTCATGGAGAATGTCGAGCGCACACGCTCCTGAAGGCGCGCCATCCAAAGCCAAGGAGTCGGCCAGTATCAACGAAAAGCAGGGCGTGTTGCCTCGCAAGCAGTATTTGGACAAGGCTGCCAAGGAGTTCCAGCGTAATGCCAAGGCCCTGGACCGCAAGCTCAGTCGCCCGTCGCCTGGCATGCTGAGCCAAGGCATCTGGGATCGCAGCGGGCGCACAAGGCATCAAGAATGCGCGCCAACATGTCTGATATGGCCACATATATGGAGGGCGAGCGCAAGAAGCTGGAGCGTCGCACAGGATACTTTGGCGCCGAGATAAAGTTCATGACGGCGCTGATGGACATTGCCCAGAATGTGTGTGCTGTGCCCAAGGTCGGCCGCCAGCAGTCGCTGAAGGCCGAATTGACGCTGCTGAAATCACTCGCTTGATCGCAACATGTGCATCCCGCTGTGGTGCCCCGATTCTGACGGCGCACACCACCACCGCATTGTGCGTATTCCAACCGAAGACACTGTGGTGCTCAACTCGGCTGAGCGTGCGCCGTACCTTCTGACGCTCGAGATCCTGGAGCCCGATGCTTCAACTGACTGCTCCCGTAGCACCAAACAGTCGCAGTCAGCAGATGCAAAATCCGGTTCGGAGCTGGCGGGCGCAGCGCACAAGGAATCGCCCGGACCACCGTCAGCTGCTGTGCTTGATTTGGATGATGAACTCGAGGTCGACATCACAAGCCTGTCAATTGGAAGGAAGTTTAGTGAGGATCCACAAGTACCGCCCATTGCTGTTGAAGCAGCTAAGGACGTGGTTAAAGCTAACAAGGAGGATGAGATTCCTCGTTCAATTGCTCAGCCTGTTCCTGGGCCAACTGCTGAAGCTGCCGCCCTTCGCCGCAGGATGTTGATGAAGACTTGATGGCGCAAGTATTTGGCGATCTCAACGACTTCTCAAGCAATTCAGGCTCAACCTCACCGTTCAGCCGCCAGTACAGCCGCAGCAGATCATCTGGCAAAGGGCAAAGGGCAAGAGGCAAGAGTACAGACAGGGATGTCAGCAATAGTCCTCGTCACCGGCAAGTATCAGCCACTGGGCCTGGCAATGCCCGCCATACGCCATCGCAGCAGAAGCAACAGCAACAGCGGCGGACCATCGTCGTTAGCAATTCCCAAACACCCACCGCCCGCTCCTCACCTACAGCAGTCTGGATCCCTGTCTGCACAGCCGTCTCTTGTCAGTCGTGCACCAGCCAGCCAGGAAGAGATCCGCGCCCGCATGCGCATGGCATCCGTGCTTCTTGCACAGCTCGCACGGCAGCAGAAGGCGCTCGGAGTCAAAGGTTACTAACCTCGTTGTCCCACAGTCGGCTGGCGGGGCTGGATCGGCTGACCCGGCGAAGGGCAGCGACAGCACGGACACTATGAGGCGCCGCAGCAAGCTGAGCAACCCGACTAGCCAGGCGCTGGCTATGGAGGAGATTCGCGAGAAGCTGATCCACGAGATGATGCAGCTTGAGGAGCTTCGTCTCGCAACAGCACCCGAGATCGCCAGCGTTCCAAATTCTGCTAGCCACCCAGGACCCCAACTTCGCTGACCACACTGTATCTGCTGCCGGCGACAGCGATATCGATATCCACGCTGTCGAGTACAAGGACGATCCAAGCGCTAAAGTGCTGAAGGAGGACTGGGAGTCGAAGAAGGCGCGCATCCGCCGTGCTTCGCCCTTTGGCCGGCACCGCAACTGGAACCTGCTCTCGGTCATTGTCAAGGATGGCGCTGACCTGCGCCAAGAGCAGCTGGCACTGCAGCTAATCCGCGAGATGCAGCGGATCTGGCAACGCGAGAAGACCAATGTCTTTGTGCAGTACTACCGGATCATGGTCACCGGCGAGGGCTGCGGTCTGATGGAGACCATCACCAACACGGTGTCAGTGCACTCGATCAAGAAGGAGTTCTACTCGCGCAACCCCGACTACGCCGGCCTGCCCTACACGCTCTACAACTACTTTGTCACATCCTTTGGCACGCCCGACACGGACCGGTTCAAGACAGCACAGGACAACTTTATGCGCAGCCTGGTTGCGTACTCGCTGATCACGTACATTCTGCAGATTCGCGACCGCCACAACGGCAATATTTTGCTCGACACCGCCGGCCATATCATCCACATCGACTTTGGCTTCATGCTGTCGAATTCGCCGGGTTCCGTCGGCTTCGAGATGGCGCCGTTCAAGTTCCCCATGGAGTACGTCGACATTCTGGGCGGCCGCGAGAGCGCAAAGTTCCAGGAGTTCCGCGGGCTGCTGGTTAAGGCATTCCTGGCGCTGCGCAAGTACGCTGACAACATCTGCCTGCTGGTTGAGATGATGGTCAAGGACTCGCCGCTGCCCTGTCTGAGCGGCGGCCAGGCCACTGTGGCCAGCCTGCGCGACCGCCTGCACCTGACACTATCGGACCAGCAGACCGAGGAGCTGGTCAACGGGCTGCTGATGAGCAGCTGCGACAATGTGACGATGCGCATGTACGACTCGTTCCAGTACTACTCCAACGGCATTTTGTAGCTCGCCCTTCCCAATCTCGCACCCACGTTGACGATTACTATCTCCCGCCGCTGAGCCAATGGTCGAAGCACACCGCACACGCGCAACGTGGAGGCGCGGTCTGCGCGGTCTCCTGCCGAGCCGAGCCGATCTGCTTCCGAGTCGTTGGGGGTTTTTTATTTTGGCTCTGCCAGAACCGAACCGTCCTAATCCCAAACAGCTGTTTTTGCAGGTGAAAAATTTTTTTACGGGTTTGTAAAAGCATTTCCTGGAACCTCATAGTGCCTCTGCCCTAGACTCCGTGTCCGCCGCTTCTTTCTTCTCTGTTCTTTATCCCAGATTCGCTATTCTCTGTAATCTACACACATTTCAAAATGTCCGTCACCGTCTCTGCTGTCACCTTCCAGACCGTCCTGAACGGCTTCTTCGAGGACAACTCGTTCGTTGCTGGGTAAGTAGCATGGTCCCGACCACACACTCTCGACGTTCAGTTCCAGGGCCAGGAGACCCTTTTCTAATGATGATTTTAATATTGGTCCGTGTTTCTGACGCGGCTTAAGACCCCGCTACATGCAGAGAACCACTTTTCCAACATTTGCTGACCTCTCCAACGACCCTGGGGCACACGCCTGTGTGCTGCAACCCCGATCCCAAGCACATTCTTTATTGCTAATATCTGCTCTGCTTTGCGCATTTTCTACATAGTCCCGAGGCCACTGCCGCCGACGCCGAGGTCTTCAAGGCTCTGTCTGCTGCCCCCGAGGCTGCCGTCTTCCCCCACCTCGCCCGCTGGTACAAGCACATTGCCTCCAAGGGTGATGCCATCAACTCGCTGAAGGCTGCCGAGGCCCCCAAGGCTGTTGCTGCTGCCGCCGAGGAGGAGGAGGAGGATGACGACATCGATCTCTTTGGCTCTGACGACGAGGTCGACGAGGAGGCCGAGAAGCTGAAGGCCGAGCGCCTTGCTGCCTACCGTGCCAAGAAGGACGCCAAGGGCCCCGGACCGGCCGCCAAGTCGATGATCACATTCGACATCAAGCCGTGGGAGGCCGATACCGACATGGCTGCGCTCGAGAGCGCCGTCCGCACCATCGAGATGGACGGTCTCGTCTGGGCCCAGAAGGGACAGCTCATCCCTGTCGCCTTCGGTGTCAAGAAGCTCCAGATCAACGCCACCGTTGAGGACGCCAAGGTCTCGACTGATGACCTGGCTGACAAGATCATGGAGTTCGAGGACTTTGTCCAGTCGGTTGACATTGCCGCCTTCATGAAGCTCTAAGTTTTGTGGGATCCCTTTTTGTAGTGTGTTTCATAACAATGTGCACGGCATTTCTGAACCCAACATTTGTCACACCAGTCGCGAGAGTGGAGAGCAGTTTAATGTGAACTCCTGTCCAGAGTGAAGAGCAGCAGGGGCTGGAGACACTAGCGCTTTGAAGAGACAAAATTAGCAGGCGGATGATGCGATTATGCATTCGACGAACCCTAAGCAAACTGCTGGATGAGCTTCTCGAGGTTGACAAAGATCGTGTGCAGGTTCTTTGAGGTGGGCGCCTGGCACATATCATCGGCATTGGCGTTGTCAGAAACGCGGGAGATCTCGGGCACCTCCTGCTTCATATAGTCTCTGAGCTCGAGCAGGCCCGACAGCGTGCCTGGGTAGTTTGAGCCAAGGATCTTGCCCTCGATCTCGGGTCTGTTGAGTGCCAGCGCCGCCGGGGCAAACTGGTGGAAATCGCGGAACTGCGACTGGGTGAGCTCGCGGGCAACCGCCTCAATCACAACACGCTTCGCCGGCGACATGTTCTGGATGGAGCGCGGGAGGCAGTTGCTGGATATGTCCTGGCGCAGGATCCGCTCGTCGCTAGACTCAGGGTGTGCTGAGGCCACAACGACGTCGTCGACTGCAACGGGCGCCTGGCGCAGCTGAATGGGAGTGGCATGCACAGACACAACATACAGCATGGCCAGAGAGAAGATGTAGGGCAACTTCATGTTGGAATAGTTTCGTTAAAAGCAGAGCAAGTATGGCGAGGGTGTGGTGGATAGGAAAGGGCTGGTGAGGGATAATAAGAGCCAATCGAGAGGGAGTAGTATAGAAGCGTAAGTAAAGGAAGCGGTGTGCAGGAGGGGGTGAAAGAGCGAAAGAGCGGGCTTTAGAGGAAAAACGTATACGAGCCCTGTGGCATGCGCCCTGGACCACGCCCATCTGGATGGCCCAGAAGGCGATCCTCGCTGTATGTCCTAATTCCGGTGGTTTAGTTCCCCGCATTTTTCCTTGTTCTTGCGACTGGACATGTGTACATGACCTAGGCATGCCGTTTTCAACCTCCCTCCCCGTATCTAGCCCTTGCTCATCTATTTTTGTCGTCCAAACCTACCCCCGCATGCACATGCCCGAGTCATGCGGTTATTAGGACACCCCTCCTAGCCCCAGCCCCTTACTGCGTGTTTAGCTAACGAGGATGCGAAATATCGCAAACGACCTAGCTTGTGTTCTTTTGTTTGCTGCTAGATCATCATAGCCTGGGCTGTGCATTGTTTGACATCTGCAGATCATCTGCAGAACAGTCGTTGAAGAAAGTATGGAAGGTAGATGGTTGGTAGTGGCATTCCGTCATCAAAAGCATGTTTAGGATTGCCCCTTGTTTTGTTTCGGAGCCGGTGGTAATGCCATGCTTGAGTTCAATATGTGTAGCAAGAAGCGGGGGCAATCCGCCATCTGACCGCGTGGGGACAGGCATGGCCGACCCCTCCTTCTGTGTGGGATTCAGAGAGCACCCTCGCGAGATATAAATGGGATGGGTGCCTGAGGTATATTCAGACTTTGAAAACTAGCTTCCTAGATATCATGGCGCGCAAGGTGAGCTGCGCCAGCAGTGCTGTAATGAGCAATGCACTATCATGGATGATGAGGCTCGAATAGTCAGTTCCGTGGCCAAACCTGTCGAGAACTGCGCCTGCAGGCTGCCCAGAGATGAACATGCCAATTGCACAGGCCACCATGATCAGGCCAATGATGGTTTGTATGCGACTAGAACCAAAGATACTGGCTATGACAACCGGGACAAGGCTGACGATAGCACCAGAGAAGAACCCAAGCAAGACTGTTGCAGTCAGCAGCGTGCCACCAGTGGCAAACGGCAACTACATCACCATGACGCAAACGGTACTGCCTGCGAAGACAATTACGAGTGCATTAAGTGGACCAATCTGGTCCCCTAGGGCACCCAGCATAGCCTGACCTACAACGCATGCTGCATTGAGTATCGACGATATATTGGACCCCCATGTCTGACTTTTATACAGGATGACGGCCGAGAAGGATTGTATAAAATAGAAAGGCAGGTAGTAGCCGCTGGAGGCAAACAGGGCAACCACGAAGAGAAATATAATGCGAGTCCTTCCGCACACTGAAATCAATTATCTTGTCGCGCCGCTCAAACTTTACACGCACCTTCATCAGCAAACTACAAGCCCCACAGACAACGATGATAACAATTCCAGCTGTTTGCAGTGCCCAATGCCGACCTAACCTCTGGATCATGGCACGCATCGCTACTGGTAGCCAGAGGCCGCCGACTCCAGCACTACTGATTGCAATACTATTTGCAAAGCTGCGATGTTTAACAAGCCACTGCGGTACCAGCGTCAGACCTGGGACATAGAGGGATGAGTCCCCTAGTCCAAATAGTATTCCTTGTGTAAATACTGGTCCAGCGAGCGAGTTGCAAAAAGACGCGATAATCAATGCAGCCCTAGCGATATCTGACCCGACACTGCATATAAGGTGCGTATCAAATATCTCGCACAAACTGTCTACGAATATGTCAAATATGCAGATAATTCCCACCTGCAAGGTTCCTATCCATGAAATCAGTGCAGCAGGTGCTTCCGGGAACTCGTTCAGTATATATTCGTGGATAAATATACCGTAAGTGGTCGGCAGCCCAACAGAGAACATGAAAATGATGAATGTGCCGAGTATTACCAGCCAGCCGTACTTTGAGTCAGGCTCAGGAGGCTCTTTCTCAGTGAGCAGCACTGTTGCTGGTATTGGTAAGGATTTGTGATGAAGCAGCCCACTATCCGTTACCAATGACATTATGCTAGGATACTGGTAGACTTGATATGATATTTAACTAGTGACAGTAAAGAAACCAAGCAAACCTACAGTTGCAGTGGCGTGTGCTAAGCTATATAGTGCAGGTACTATGCCCCTTGTGGCATGATATTATATGATACAGTAAGCAATTCCATTAAGCAGAAACTATTTTCTGCTATGGCTATAATGGTAACCTCTTATAGTACCTCGTATATGAGATACTTTGAGAACAGCCTCCTACAACTGTTCAGGGCGCATTAACTTGATAAGCATATTTCCATGACATGTATTTGAATGTATGGAAAAAGACCATGTAAAAACAACATTGTTGTAAATAGGGGTACAATTTGCCTATATATGTAGGTAGTACCTAAATAGAGGTGCACGGGGGCACTATTGACCTTGGGTCAGGAAATCTGTTTCCCGGGAGTAGTGATGGTGTGAATTGGGATACACACCCCTTTTGTAAAAGCAAGCAGTGTGCAAGACTTGACTTATGCAAGCCATCTCATATATGCCTATGGATATATGTGTAGGTATTCGCTCCATTCATAACTGCAGCGGTATTAATATGCTGATCATTCTGGTCTGTCGACAAGGGGTGCTTGTTCTGCAGGATTTATATCTGTATATCAAATAAGCGAACGCATGAGCGATAAAATGCTATATATTTCCCGTTGCATATATTGGCAGGTTGCTGTAGTGGCACTTGTAGTTCCAAGGCTGCTACCTTAGCGTAAACTGCGTGCAGTTCAGGACACTTAGCTGTAGCCGCTATATCCAAATGACCGTTCCCTACGCTGTCTATTAAAACGTAATGAAAAATAACCAAGAAATGAAGTGCTGGAATTCTAGATGCGGGCCAGCCAGTGAGTACTGTACCCTTCACCTAGCCTGTATCGATGGCGCTCCGAAAGTTAGCAACCTTCTGAGCCAAATGGAGTGTATGCTGAGATAGCTTCTATTTCTTGGACTTTGGCCGGGTTTCCTGATCAGTGACTGGTTTGATCCACACTGAGTCCGGCGGGTGGCTCTTCTCGCCCTCGTCATACGTGTACGACGATGCAATAGCAAGAATGTTGCCCGATGCGTTGAAATCCAGCGACGAGATCCCTGTGGGGTACTTTTGGTACTGCCTTAGACGCTTCTTATTCTCAGGGTCCCATAGGGCCACTATGGCGTCGGATCCACCAGTGACAAAGGTGTGGTGTACTGGGTGGAATGCGACGGAGTTCACGGGATACACCAAATCGATTCCCTCGTCGGTCGTCTGGCGATGGCACTTGAATGCGTAGTGCTGCTTATCCTTGACGTCCTGTAGATATTCAACTGCTACACGACCTTCGACTGAGCCACACACATATCCCTGGCCGCTGGGCATCAGCTTGACACACCGTGTAGGATATTTTAATGAGCTCTCGCGTTCCTCTAACGGTGTCTCCAGATTGCGCACATCGAATACAATGAATTTGCGTCCGGCTAATGCCACCACTGCCAAGTTGCCCTCGGCCGACATTGAGTAGACGCGCTCATCCAGGTTGACCTTTGACACCATAGGCTGGGTAGCCCGCTCATCCCAGGCACGCATCGTGCGGTCCCAGCTGCCTGATAACAGGATGCTGTGTGAGGGCACATACTCCAATGCGCTGATCTCGCCCTCGTGGCGACCAAGTTCGCGCTCCGTGGTGAAGTTTTCTTCCCAAGAAATAAGCCGCCGGTCAAGTCCGCCTGAGAAAGATGTGGTGTTGCCGAAGGCGATGTCGAGAACAGCAGCGGCGTGGCCGTGGTGGCTGGCAATAAGCTGGTTGGTTTTCACGTCGTAGAGACGCACACGCTGGTCCCAGGAGCTGACGAGCAGGCGGGTGTCATTGGTGGGGTGGAACTTTATACGCGAGATGCCGTCGCTAGGTGGGTGCTCCAGCTCGTACTGCTGTGCCATGTTTAAAAGGTATGTTGTAGGTTGAAGTAGAGCTAACGAGGTTTTTTTTTGCACAAGCCCGGCCCAAGAAGGCATAGCAAATAGCCTGATCATGGGCCTTGATAGATTATGCGACAGCGCAGACGAGGGGTGCGAGTCTTGGCGCTGCAAAAAAGGTATAAAAGGCAAGACTCGTTTCCCAGGAAATTGTCTGTTTCTAAGCTCAGCTTTTTCTCACTCTCGCCTATATAAACAAGCATGTCTTTTATTCCCGGCTTCCACAACACAACATCTCCCAAGCGGCAGTTCTACATGGACCTGATGCTGCAGTGCACTGGCCTCCTCCAAGGGCAGCGCAATCTGGTTACGAACACAGCCAACATCTCGTCCCTTGTCTACCACAGCCTCCTCGAGACACCAACGCGTGCTGACAAGCCCGTCAACTGGGTTGGCTTCTATTTCCAGGACTCCACGAACCCAGACTCCCTGATCCTGGGCCCGTTCCAGGGCAAGCCGGCATGCACGCAGATCACCTTTGGCCGTGGCGTATGTGGAACCGCCGCCAAGGACGCCAAGAGCGTGGTGGTCGCCGATGTGCACGAGTTCCCTGGCCACATTGCGTGCGATGCGGCATCAAACTCGGAGATTGTGGTGCCGCTAAAGGCGGCCAACGGAGGGGTTCTGGGCGTGTTTGACATTGACTCGTCAGTAAAGGATGCCTTCGACGACGACGACCGGATTGGACTGGAGGCCATTGCCAATTTGGTGGTCGAGGCCTCCGACTTTTGAGATGAAATGTATTTAACAACGCAATAAATGATGGTTTAGCCAAGCTGGCTGGTGAGCTCTTGAGAAGCTTTTTGGATACTGCTGCGCGTGGAGGCGACGAGTTTCGGGATCTCCTCCTCGGTCAGTGTTTCGGTATTAATCGGCGGCAGAACGCGGATGCGGATCGTGCAATGCCGCTTGAACCGGCCGTGCGCCCAGCTGTACAGCGGGCTGGTGCACTGGACTGCCACTGGGATGATGGGCGCATGCGTGCAGTACGCCAAGTAGAATGCCCCCTTTTTAAACTCGAGCAATGTGCCTGTTTCTGACGGATTCCGCTTTCCCTCGGGGAACATCATAATGCTGGTTCTTTCGCGCTCCAAGTACTCCAGCGAGCCCTCAAATAAGGACTTGATGCTGTTCTTGTCGCCCTGGGTAACAAACAGGTTGCCGCCTAGCCGCATGAACCAGCCAAGCAATGGCAGCTGCGCAATGAAGCTGTTGGCGACAATGACTGTCTTGCGCGGGAACATTGCAGCCAGCCATACTGTGTCCAGAAGGTTCTGGTGGTTTGCCACAAGGATGCACGGTGTTTCCTTTGCCCACGCCAAGTTCTCTGCGCCCTCTATGGATACAGCTATTGCTAAAAGGTGTTTGCTCAAGAAATGCAGTGCACGGGCACCCGCCCAGTTTGTTGTTGGTTTGCGCCGGATGAGCCGCAGGAGCGGGTAAGACAGGATGCCGGCCAGCGAGGCAACTGTGATGGAGAGCAGGAACAGTAGGACCTGCGTGTAGAACAGCAGTGTGTCCAGGATGTTGTGTGCTGCTGCCATGAGCATGTATGCTGTGTAACGACTGTTATGTAATAGGAATAAGCAAGTGTGGAGAAGAAGGAAAGAATGGAGTGGAGAGTGGCGAAGGGGGTGTTGTGTCCAAGGCCGACTTTTTCCCCTTTTGCATTCGCCACCACGCGCCGCTCACGCATAGGGGGGATGGGCAATTGAACAATGCCAGCAGCTCGTGTAAAACTGCTGCAGCTTACTATTCTGGTGATTTGCGCCCCTTTATTTGCTAGCCATGATTTCCGAGTGTGTTCCGTGGGGCAGGACGCGAGGTGTCCTTTTTGCCTTTTGGAACATACGCAAGACCTCACCCAGGTGTAAACAGTGGTGTGGATGTGCAATGTTTACTCTTTCGAGTTGGCAAGAAGCTCCGATGCAGGCGAGCCACGGACCGCCTCGGTGGTTCGCTACATGAGCCGCAGCCCTGCTGGCCGATCAGGACTCCGATGGCCGACGAACTAAAAACTTCCAGGCTGTCACTTCCCCAAAAAACATTCTATGAGGCATGTGCTGAGCTTTTCAGGGTCACATTCATTGGGATTGCATGTGTCAGTCTATGAAATGGCGATACGCGGCGGCGAGATGTTCTTCAGCTCCTCGAGCATGATATCGCGAGTCTTGTTCATGACCTCCTTGAGATCATCCTCCTTGACCGTGTCCATGGGGATGGGCTTCAGAATCTTGACCTTCAGCGTCCCAGGCGCGCTCCAGAACTTCTTTTTGCAGTAGATGTTGTGGAAGTCCTGGACCACAACCGGCACAATCGGCACCTTTGCGTGGTACGCCAGCAAGAATGCACCAATCTTGAATGGCAGCAGACCCGGCTCGTCCTCGTGACGGCCACGGGTGCCCTCGGCAAAGAACCACACCGAAACGTTCTTGGAAAGCAGCTCGCCCGATGCCCTCTTGAACATGTCGCTAGTGGACTGCTTGCTGCCACGGCTGATGAAAATATCGTCGGCAAGCAGCATGAACCAGCCGAGGAACGGGTAGTATGAGATCGCGCGCTTCGCCAGAATCACTGCCTGCGTCGGGAAAACGCGGCCCAGGAACACCAGGTCGTACATGGTCTGGTGGTTGCCAACCATGACACAGGGCTGAGCATTGTCTAGGTTCTCTTCGCCCTCGATCTCGACCCTGATGCCCAGGATGAGCGAGGTTGTGTAGTAGAAGGTGCGGCCCACGAGCCAGTTCGCTGATGCACGCTTGCCGAGCGCCCAGAATACCGGCGACGCGAGAATTCCTGTGGTCGAGGCGATCAGAGCGCAGACGCCATAGTGGATCGCGCGCCGGAAAAAGTTTGCCTTGTTGGAGAACTGGGCGCCGATGGCCAGGAGACCGTCTATTATGAGGAGAACGAGAGCCCAATGCATTGGTAAAAGATAGGTCGGAATAGTAGAGGCGACAAGTGAGGAGAAGAGGAGGAGGAGCGCCCTGTGCCGTCGAATTTATTTATCGGGCCGGACCCCACACAGCAGCCTCGGGTGGGCAGCAGCGAAAATTTGGGGTGGCCGTCACCGTGCACGTGAAATTAAATGCGTAGTAGCAAGAGAGGCGAGCTGCACTTAATCGGCTGTCCAGCTTTGCTGCTATGGATTAGTGTGCCTAGATGGGCTTTGCCACACGCAGCAGCCTCTGGCCGCCAGCGCTTCAGCATACTATACCGCGAAATAGCAGCCAGGATACATGCCGTCTCGTACATGCCAGGCAGCAGCCAGCCGTGGGAGTAGTGCTCCTCAGTAGTACACTCTTTGGCCAGAATCCCGAGATTAAGCAGTAGTGACACCAACCAACGCCTTTTGTTCTTTGCCTCCTATTCTAGTTACAAAAAGGCGTAAACAAAAAATCGGGCGCCTTCTTCTCTCCTTTCCTCCCCTCCCGTTCTCTTTCTATTTCTCATTCGCCTTTGCCTGACAATAGCTGCTCTTCTCATTTCTGACTACCCACTATTGACCGGCTATCCAACTAACGCATGGCGGACCGCATGAACCAGGGCATGGAGTACGAGCAGGAGCTCCCATGGATGGCTCATGCTGGACCAGACGGCAGAATGCACACGTTTGAGACGTTTACACCTGCCAGCATGCGCCAGCACCAGCAGCAGCACCAGCACCAGCAGCAGCAATACTATTATCAGAGCCAGCAAGAGTATCAGCAGCAGTACGCACAGCTTGTCAATCCCCAGCAGCAGCAACAGCAGTACCTTCACCAACAGCAGCAGCAGCAGCAGCAGCAACAGGCAAGCAACTATCCACCACGCTCGCCACAAACAAGCCATTTCCCCGTTCCCGCCAACGCTAGTGCCAACAGCAATAACAACATGATGACGCACCAGATGCGACGGATGCGGCGCAATAATCCGCTAGGTAGCAGCCCGACGATGACACGCAACGAGCTCTCCGACGGCAGCGACATGACAGTCGATGGTAACGATAGCAGTGGAACATACGGCGCCGGTGGGTCGATGACGCGACGCAACGCATTCCTTGACACCATCGACCCGGCGATCCGACGCAAGGTCGAGGCCGCGCAGGTCTACTTTCTCGAGTACTACGTCGACCACCTGACGTACGTGGCCAACCGGCGCATGCGCCTGGGTGAGTTCAAGCATGCCATCCAGAGCGTGCGCACATCGGCACAGCACGTGCAGGACTCGTGGCGCGACCACTGCATCCGCGAAACCGCCATTCTCAGAAGGAGACGCAATAGAACGCGCGAAAGAGAGTTCGACATCCTGGCCCAGATCGGCCAAGGCGGATATGGCCAGGTGTTTCTGGCCAGGAAGCGCGATACCGGCGAGGTCTGTGCGCTCAAGAAGATGGCCAAGAAGCTGTTGGTTAAGCTCGGTGAGGTCCAGCATATCCTGACTGAGCGGGACATTCTGAGAACCTCCAAGTCGCCGTGGCTGGTCAAGCTGCTGTACTCGTTCCAGGACCAGCAGTTCCTGTACCTGGCGATGGAATATGTGCCTGGCGGTGACGTGCGCACGCTGCTGAACCAGAACGGCATCCTGCGTCACCACATTGCGCGCTTCTACATTGCCGAGATGATGGTGGCCGTGGCCGCCCTGCACTCGTTCGGGTACTTCCACCGCGACCTGAAGCCCGAGAACTACATCATCGATGCTTCTGGCCACGTCAAGCTGACCGACTTTGGCCTGTCGCATGGCCACCTGAGCCGGCCCACACTCGAGGCGATGAAGAAGAAGCTCGACAAGGTCAAGGACCAGGAAATCATCTACCACTCGTCGAGCGAGAAGCGCAGCTTTTACAAGGTCATGCGCCAAGACGACATGCCGCGCGCCTACTCGATCGTCGGCTCGCCCGACTACATGGCACCCGAGATCCTGTACACCTCTTTGGCCATCGACCAGAAAAAGAAGCAGCAGCACAAGCCCAGCGACAATTCGCCGTTTGCACGTCTCGACGACACAACCATCGGCTATGACCTGCGCGTCGACTACTGGTCCTCTGGGCTGCATTCTGTACGAGTTCCTGGCCAGCTATGCCCCGTTTACTGGCCCTGTCCCTGACGACGTCTGGCGCAACGTCTACCACTGGACCAAGGCCTTCCAGCGGCCCGAGTTTGAATCCCAGGAGGCCGCGGAGAACATGACGGCCGAGGCCTGGGACCTGATCTCACAGCTGATCGCCCACCGTGATAAGCGCCTGAGCTCCATCAATGAGGCCAAGGTCCACCCCTACTTCCAGGGCATGGATCTGCTGCATTTGCGCGAGACCGAGCGCCCGCCATTTGTGCCCGAGCTGCAGTCCGAGACCGACAAGGCCTACTTTGACGATTTCTCCAACCCGAACGACATGGAGCTGTACCGCGATGTATACAACAAACGGAAGGAGCTGGACTCGCTGGTTGGCGATGGCGGTGACAATACGTCGGTCGACCCGGCGGCATTTCATTGGTTTTACGTACAGACACAACCGCCAGAACCGCTTTGTCTGAGCGCACTATATCTGCTCCTTCCCGCACATAACTTAACCCCCACCCCATTACCCCTTCCCACATGCCCTTTATCACGCACCAAGACTCACATCTAGCCCAAGTTTGAATTCCATTTATACCATTACCACCATTGGCTGCCCTTTTCAAACAAGTAAAACGTAGACATCAGAACGCGCCTCACATGCAGCCATGTAAATCTCGCTTGCAATGTCCAAGCTCAGTAGCGTACGCGTTTTTTAATGGCCGCCACTCCCTACGCGACGTGCAACGGCGAGAATTCACTCTTCCTCTTTCCATTCTCGCACTTTCCAGTTCACTACCTTTGAAACTGACACATATCATCACTATTGTAAACATCCACTGTTTCTATCACCGCCGTGTTTATGACCCCAACCAGCAATTTGCGAGACAGCTCTGCCCTTGCCACCATTAAGAGACAAGCTTGATCGTCCTTTGACACGTTCCAGTTTTTCTTTCACCCTGATTATTGCGTCTTTTCTGTATACAGGCATGTCAGAGCCGTCGTCCCAGGGACCACCGGTCCCACCGCCGGCATCCCAGCTAACAGCCCAGCAGATGGCACGTCGCCTGAAGACCCGACTGCGCCTAGCCAGGTGTGCAGTCGAACGTGAGCTTGGGCATTCCCTAACCACCATTGTCCCGCCCGCCCGCTCACACAGCATGTCAGCATCACCACGACCACAACTTCTTGGTACTGCACGCTCGCAGTCCGGCATTCTTCTACACCCCGCATCGCCACGTACCTGTGCGGAACCACAGCGCATCAACCGCCAATCCATTTTCTGCACCGTCGCCGCCGCCTGCACCCAGCACACCCGACCAAGATGCAGAGGTGGCACATACAATACTGATGCTTGCTACACCCCCTATCGTGAGGAGCAGGCAGGCACAAGATGAGTCGCCGAGTTTGCGGCGTAGACGGAGATTGGATTTCACGAGACAGCGTGACCACAGAAGTGTGGTATCAGACAGCAGGTTTGAGACCCCGAACCTTTCACAGATTGCATCGTTGCCGCAGCGGCCCGCTAATACAAAGACTCGCAGGTGCCACGCCACTCGCCCGTCTTCCCCAGCAGAGGCAGCAGCTCCAACAAGCTAAATGTCTTATTCGCGCACATTTCGCTTTAATGTAATTATATTATTTCCCAAACAGCACCCGGCACCTCTCTAGATATGCGGCCAGGTTGGATTTAGCCATCCTGTCGAATGCCAGTGTGGCTGCCTGCGCATGCAAAATCGATGAGAACTCAAAGTCAATTGCGAATTTGACCAGCGTCTGTTCACCCTTGCCTTTCATGAACGGGTTCATCGGCGCAGTTCCCTGCGTGTGTTCCTCAAACTCCCACACTGTCTTCATATGCTTGAACATCCCGGATCCAGGTGCTGCCTCAGCAATGACAATATGCGGCCGCTCCATTGTCACCACCGATGTATATTGCTCGCGGAACGGTGGGTATCCGACAACCAGTTCAGCCTGCACCTTTTCATGCTGCTTCCCAGACTCCTGAATAACCTGTTTTGTATCATGGAAGACAGTCGAGGCGATGCACATGGGCACAAATTCATGGTACCTGTCAACATCGGATACGACGCTGTAGATCTGATCGCGTGTGTACGGAAATATGCACGACTCGTTGTATTGTTTGCGTGTCGCCGAGGCGCCGCTGAAAGGTAAGGTGATGAACGTACGGGCATGGCAGGGCCCAGTCTGTGGGAGCCTCCAGAACAGGACTCTGGTGGCCATGCTTGTATCGGCTGGCCAAGGGCAAGAAATCAATTAGCGAAAGCAGAGATGTGTGCGGAGAAATAAAGACAGAGGAGCTTCTGCCGATTGATAACGAGCCTTTTGCTAATACAAGCGCTTGAATCAAGGGTCCTGCACTGCAAACCACGTGCCACGGCTTGCGCCATCTGAGCCGCGGCTCAAAGGGGACATCAAATAGCCACAAATCGCGCATTTTTCGCAGCCAAGCGCATTTCTACTCTGCATTATCCAATTTCGCTTTTTAATTCAACAGACAGGACCACTGGCAACGAAAATGTCAACAAAGACCGAAGGTATGCGATCGCTAGCAGAGGATAGAGGGCTGGTGTTTAGTTGAATGAGCCATGTGCTGAACACATTTTCCGGATTCTATTGTTTAGACCAGATTCTGCGCGACCGCATGGTCGTCCAAGAGCGCCCCCTGAAACGCTGCCTGCAAGAGTTTTCTTTCCTCTGCGAGCAGTCACCCAAGATTCCAGCTCCTGTGGCACAGCAGATTGCCTCACAGGTACTGCGTGAGATCCGGTGGTTCCGGCACACTGTTCAGTGCGCTGTGCAAGTACAACGCCGCAGCGAGCAGGAAATATCCATGTACGAGCAGCAGGGTGCACAGTTGGAGGAGAATATAGCTGAAGGGCGCGCATCGGTTAGGCGTCTGGGTGACGAACTTGAGGAGTCGCGTAACCACAAAAAGCACAAAATTGCATATGATGAGATTGCGAAGGAGGTGGAGAAGCGGCCGACACGCGCACAGCTGCAACAAGAGATTGACGAAATTAAGCGCGAAACAGACCAGCTAAAGCAAGAGGAGCAGGCGCATAGCAATGTGATTGAGGCGATGCAGGCCCAGTACGCGAATGTGCTGAATGAGATGCACAAACTCGAGGATATGGCAAAGGATGCACTGACGACACAGGAACTGGGCATTTTCCTTGGCGACGCCGATGCAGATGCGGGAAAGGGCGAAGAGGGGCGCCCGCAGAGTCAATCAGATATGCCATCGCCCGCAGCACTGGACAGCAGAGACACACATCGACTGAACGATACCAGCGATGCGCTGATGGACGCGTTCGCGGATGAGCGCAGGAAATCCGAAGGGCAGATGGGCGACGCCCCCGAGAACGAAGAGGAAGATGAGGGCAGCATTGCTGTTGATACTGGTGCCGTGCTGGAAGAGGAGGGTGAGGAGGGCGAGGAGGGCGAGTATGAGGACGAAGAGGGCGAGCTGTCATCGGAGATGTAATTTTTTGTGCCAAGAACTTTGTATGCAGTTATCCGATATATTTGTCAACATCTTCTGTGATAATGGACTGCCTTCGCTGCTATAGGAGAAGCTGCCCGACACCCGGTCGATACATCGGGCGTAGGACAGCTGGGGCTATGCTGCCAAGCCGCTAGCGGAATTCGGATGTTAGAGCGTGTAAAAATAAATTTGCATCTGTTGCTATCTGATGCTGCGAATGGTGATGTGCGCTGGTCTGCCATACAATGATTGGAGCCCTTCAAAATGGGAGCTGCATATGAGGAATGAGGCAATTAACTCGGTCAGAATATCCCGGCGATGGCCCGCTCTGACAGACGAATGGCCACCCAGCTACTCGCAACCCGTTCCCCGAGGAAAACACCAGCCGCGCTGTCGTAGATGACACAGCAACCATACACGGACTCCGCTATCTGCACCCGTGCAGGGTGTACCTTCAGCATTACAAAGGACTCATATCTGTCCCCGATTGTGCGCCACCATATGCCATCAGCGGTCAATACCGAAATTTCCGCTATCTTGCATTTGCTCTGGCACGGCTCACTGGATTGTCTTACACCCACTATTGGGGCTTTCCGCTCATTTCGCAACACCCATGTTGCCTGCATGCAGGCTAAGGAGAAAAACGACCGGATAATCCAAGACACCTCCCTTTGCGCCAGAGCCCAGGTTTAGTAAGCATCTTCACAAAGACCGCAAATAGCCAATGGTGCTGCGGCCAGCACACATTTTCCCAGCCTATGTGTTTTGTGGACGATCGCTGGCAATGGATGATACGGAAATCAAAGAGTTCGTGTTGGGTCCTGTTGGTCAGCAGAGGGTAATGTGTTTTGCCTCCGGCTTGCGCCTTGCAACCTGCGAGATATAAAACCCCTCATACACTGCCGCCCTCCGTGTTCTGCAAAGAACCCCACCTCCATCGCCACCTATCTGATAAGCAACCTACCTTACTCATATTATCCAAAGTCCACAATGGAAGATAAAACAAACGAGACGCGCTCCAGTACGCCTATTTCAAGCTCAGTCGTCGAGGCAGAGGAGCATAAAGTGGGCCTATCTAATGGATCCCCTATCGAAGCACCCGTAGAAGAGACACCGATCCCACCGCCCGACACAATCCAGGGCTGGATAGTTGTCTTTGGCGCTTTTTTCACGCTTATGATGTCGATCGGTGCGACAACGGCTTACGGCGTCTACCTTCAAGCATACAAACTAGACGAGTTTCCCAACACATCATCATCGATGCTATCGTGGATCGGTACACTGCAGTTTTCAAGTATGTGCTTCTTCGGCATTGGCGTCGGTGTCCTTTGTGAGCGCCTGGATACACGGCTAATCAGCCTGTTTGGCGCAGTTGTCACTGGCCTGTCGCTGATTATTGCCTCGTTTTGCCACTCACCGGGCGCACTGCTGGGTACGCAGGGGATTATGTTTGGCTTCGGTGGTTCGTTCCTATATGTCACTGGGCTGACCCTGCCGCCAATGTGGTTTGAAAAGTACCGCAGCCTGGCCACCAGTATTGCAATTGCTGGCTCGGGCATCGGTGGACTGTGGATGTCGTTTGCCACTCGTGCCATGATGAGCAGTGTCGGGCGGGAATGGGCGCTACGCATCACTGGCTTGGTGGTCATCGGTGTATGCTCGGCGATGAGCCCGTTACTGAAGACACGGATGAAGCCAGCGCGGCGCGAGAAGATTATCGACTTCAGCGTTCTTCGGGACCCAAAGTTTGCCCTTCTGTTCTTTAGCACACTGCTGGGCGGCGGGTCATACTATATTCCCATCTACAACTTCCCTACATACGCCTCCATCGTTCTGGGAAAGAACCGGTCGTGGGGCTCCAATATGTCGGCTATTGTCAACGGCTCGTCGATTGCTGGCCGTGTGGTGATGGGACTGCTGGGTGACAAGATTGGCCCACTCAACGCTTTGTGGATATCTACAGTTGGAACCTGCCTGAGTGTACTGGTTCTGTGGCTGCCATTCAAGACAGTCGGGCCATTCCTGGCTTCGGTTGTCTTGTTTGGGTTCTTTTCAGGCGCCATCGTCAGCCTTGTGCCTGTGGCCACTGCAAGTCTGTTTGGTGTTAGGCGTCTGCCCAGCATCATGGGTCTGATTATGTGTGCGTACATGATCGGTGGGCTTATTTCTTCCCCACCTGCTGGCGCCATGTTGGACAGGTTTGGCCATGGCACCAACTTCAGTAGCCTGATTATCTATGACGGCGTGCTTGCTGGTGCATCTGTTGCCACACAGTCAGTTCTACGTGTGATTGTTTCACGGAGATTCTTCCACAAGGCGTAAGTAAATGCCACAGTGAGGTTAGATCCGAGCACATGACTTTTTAGCATACAGTTTTATTAATATTGTTTGTTGAATGTGTGGGGATTTTAAAAGTTATACTTAATACTGAAGAAAAGAGAGAAGAGGGAATAGACGAGTTGCGCAGGGGTGTTTTCAATACGGGCCATCTGTGCAACTTATCAGAGGCTAGACTCTACCTCCATATTGTAGGCTGTAGCGGGGCTCTCGTTGGCGCCTGGCTTGCTGTCACCTGACTCGGCTGACATGTCGACGTCAGGGACAGCCGCAGCGGGCGCGCAACGATATCACATTGATACCGATAAATTGCCATAGCACAAATGTGTGGTCGTGTACGATTTAGACCTTGTGATGATACTGATTGCGGTTCTTTTGGTGCAAGTACACATAGCCGTGCCACCATTCTTGTCAGCTTACGAGGAGGGGCAAGGGGCATCTGTCTATACGCCTACAATGGCCGTGAGTGTGGATTGTACGGCTGCTGTTAGTGTTTTTCTTTTTGCCAAGGCAAATCCCAGTACCCAACTCCGATGTGCAAATCGTGTTGCTACCACAAACGACAAGCTTTGTAGAGGGAGTAAGTGCTTGGCCAGACCGCTATTTTTAGAACCAGTCCTCCAAGCAGGTCTGGTTCTTTAGGGTTTTCTTTGTAACCACGCTCTTGGCGGAGGTGAAACTTTGGCTGGCCGTTCCTTTGTGCTTGAGCAAAGATCTACCTGTCATCCAGATAAACCGCTGTCAGTTCGCACAAACGGGCAAGTGGCTTCCTTGGATTTATAAATAGACTGGATTCCTTCGCATAATTTTTATTTTACCAAAAGGAGGAGAGCAGAAAGAAGAATAATCAAGGGAGGAGTCGTAAAACTACAGGAGAGGGGTGATAATTTGACATAGGCCCGTCGCATGTGCCAAGAGCATTGGCAGAGCGACAGAAGGGAGAGGGAATAGATAAGATGGATAGGATTTTTAGATGACGTCCCATGAAGCGCGCCACTCGCACTGGCCTTGGCCCGACGCTAGTGGCACAAAGTACGAGCGCTCGTTGCCGTTCCACGCTGGTGTCGTGGCGTTAGACTGCCGCCCATTCGCCTGCCATAGGGTCGCTGTCGACTGCGTCGCGACCGATCCGTTATCGAGGTTTCCGCGACTGCGCGAGAACTGCACATAAGGCGAGTCCCAGTCGAGCTCGCCATGGGCGTTCACAAGATCATTGACCTTTGGTGCATCGCCCCAACGCGGTATCGCCAGGAACTTGCCATCAGTGTGGGTTTGCACGCTGTCGGTCCTCCGGTGCTCGTCATCATCAAGGAGCAGCGAGTGGCGATGATTGACTGTCGAGATTGTCGACGCACGCTTCGCGCGGCTGTGCTGGGTGGCAGGGTGCGATGTAGTAATCTGCGGCGTCGCGCTGCTCATGTTGGCCGGCGGCTCTGACGATATGCGCTTGTGGCGGTTATTTGTCAAGGTCGTTGACGACGAGTACATAACCGGCGGGGGTGCCCGCAATGGCACAAAGTCGTAAGAGGACAGCACTGGCTCGTGTGTGCCTGGGCTGCGTTGCGGCGGCCGTGTCACCACTGTGGTTGGCAAGCTGCGCTCGGGGATTGGCGCCAGGACCGTCTGCTGGCCACCAGACCACTTGCGCAACAAGGACCGTGACTTTTCGCCACTGGCCACTGATAAATTGCTGGAGCCTGCGTGCGAGACCGTGGCCCGGCGCCGTGGAGCAATACACGAAAACATCGGCGTGTTTGTATCCGTGAAGTGGAGAACAAGAAGTGAGCAAATAGAAAAAAGCTGCACGACCGTGGCGAGTGTGAAAAACGAAATAAGGAAGAGAAGAGAAATGTCGACTGAGAGGAAATCGCCGTACGGCCGGAAATGGGCCCAGCTGATGGGCTATTTAAGTTGGCGAAACCGAGGAAAGTCGATGTCGAAATGACTGTGAAAGTTGCACAAGCTCAGCCAGCGTAAAATTGGTTGCGGCTGCTTAGAAACAGAAAGAAGCTCCCTCCTTTGGGGAGTGGGGGGTAGGGCAAGCACCAGCACCAGCAGGTTTTCTTTTGCGGCTGAAAGGACAGAGGGAGAAAACTGGCAGTGGCCAAGACAACGCCCAAGAGCTGCTATAAACGCCGTCACTATACCGGCTCTGCCCTCGCCCTGCTTAGCTGCCTGCCTGCGTTCAAGCCGCAGCGCTTTTTTCGGCAGCCCCATCTCGGAACTGGTCAAATTCATCGCCAGCCATTTCCGCACTCCATCGTGCAGGATGGGCAGCAGGTGCATGCTTTCAGCTGCTGCAGCTGCCCACGTACATTTGTGCCCCACCGCCGCAGTGCAGGTTTCACAGCATGGCATGCGTGGTACTAGAGGGCGGGTCTTCGTCTGCTGGCAGAACTGGGCATCGATAGCCGCAATGGTCCTCCCCACACCCGACCAGAGTGTTGCTGCAGGAGCGTTTGCGTAGATCCCAAGGCCCAGTCTACACACTCTCCTTCCCATCCTGTTTCTGCGTTCAATGCATGCCACATTGTGCAAACCAAGATGGCAAGACGGAGCGGCCTAGTGTTGTGCTGATGCTCTACTGCCAAGTGTAGCCTCCCGTGGCGCCAGTCCAGCCCATTTACAGTCTCGCAGCTAGTCCATTGATGATCTTGCTGTCTTTTCCATGTACTAACGACTGCCAGTTTGCCCGAAGGCTGGACGACATTCATCGCCCGGCGATTATTCAGTCTGCCAACCTTGTTTGGGAACAATCGCTCGGCTCTCTGTTTTTGAGCGCTAAGCCGTTACTGCCATTTGTGCTGGTATGTGCGAGGGGAGGGGAAGGTGAGGAGGAGAATACACATCGCGTTTGCACTGTTTCTGCATTTGTCACAGGATAAAGCACAGCGTCGACTAAATTGGAGGCAGATCTGTTGTTCTGCATCGACGTCCCTAATGGCAAAGGCATCCTTGTCTTGCACGGTTCCGTTGAGGACCCTGGCTCTGTTTAGGCACAGCGAGCTGAGCTGGAGAACCGAGGGAGTTTTGCGAGCAGCAACACGACTCTGGACCTGCTCTGCTGCACAGCTGACTATGACAAGATCCATCGCCAGCGTTGCGCTGGAAATGTTTGGGCAAAGAGCACCCTTTGGGAGATGGCTTAGACACATGTTTGGCCTATATGTACAAGTAGCCTGTCGTCTGCTAGTAGAGATGGGCAGATGATCTGCGGGCCATTCGCATTTTATGCCAGATTTAGGCACCTTGTCGTCTAAAAGGAAGAAGGGATAGACGCATACAAGGAGCGACTCTGCCCTGCTCAGTCACCAAACTCATCACTCTTCCTTCTGATACTTCCTTCTGCCTCTGCTGATACACACTCTTCGCCATGTTTGAGGATTTTGGAGCGCACCCGGCCGACTCGTTCCCAGGGATCTGCTCCGAACTGCAGACTCTCCTGCTGTGGTGAACATGTCATGACATGACAGACCATTGCATCGATTCGTCTCCACGATTCGTACAGGTAATAAATGTTTATAATCTCAAATGTATTTTCAATCCTCACGCACTAGCGTAACAATGTTCTCGACATGGTATGTCTGTGGGAACAGATCGAACGGCTGGATGCTAGCAATGCGGTACACAGCCTTTGGCTTCTCCTCAACCTCCTTGGCCTGTACCGTTGACAGCGATCGCGCCCTTGTTGAACATGTACTGGATGTCGCGTGCCTGTGCCGGAACACCGCATGCCACATACACGATGACACGCGGGCCGATAGGCAATCAGCTGTCTGAGGAAAGTCAGGGCTGCTGCCTTTGCGAGGCGGATCGATGATCACAGCCGTGCTATCAGGGCTCTCCTTGACCTTGTCAAAGATGTGCGCAGCATCGCCAAGCAAAAAGTCGCAGTTGGTGATGCCGTTCATCTTGGCGTTGTCGTTGGCACATGAGATTGACTCGCTCGAGATCTCAATGCCCAGAACCTTGTCGTACCCCTCGTGGCACGCAATGCCAAACAGACCCGATCCACAGTATGCGTCTACCAGGTACTTTAGCACGCCCTTCTCTGACGAGTCTGTGGCCAGCTCGCAGCTCCACTTGTTCAGCTCATCGCGCACAAACCCAGTGAATGCAGGCAGGATCACGTTGTTGTTCTGGAAGAAGGATGAGGCTGGGAAGCGGAACTTTAGGTCCCCGACCACATCAGTGACCCAGCCCTTCGGATCAAGGATGAATTCCTTGACCAGTTGGTTCACAGGCACCGATGTTGTGTCGTCCAACGGGGCATCCGGAACCACATATGTCTCGCGGATTAGCAATGTAGCACCGCGCTCGTACGAAGCCATCTTGGCCTTGGTATCGGCCCTAGCCTTCTCCATGCCCTGCTGCACAACACCGGTGCCAATAATGCACTCCTCAATGTCCATAACGCGGCGCTGGCCCGAAATTCCAAAACCAATGGCGAACCTGATCTGGCGGCGTGTCCTTTGCGGATGTCAAAGTGCGGAGTAAGCTTTGTGCGGTAGCCGAGCGTCAGTGGCGACCCCCACACGGGGTTCACAGGCACAGACGCAAACACTGGGTTCGCATGGGCAAAGGCGCGCTCGACAACCTGGTGTTTGAACTCGAGCTGATCAGCATACGCAAGATGCTGGATGTGGCACCCCGAGCACTTGCCAAAATACTTGCACGGAGGCTCAACCCGCTTGTCCGATTTTTCAGAAACTGACAGCAGGTCAGCCTGTGAATACCCCCACTCGTGCTTGACTGTCTTGATCCGCACCGTCTCGCCCTTGAGAGTAAACGGGACTGCCAGGAACCATGGCCGTTCGCCTCTAGCCAGCTATCTCGCGCAATTCATCGACGGACTCGCGAGTGGCAATGCCCACACCCTTCTCGCTAACTTCATGGATATAGACATCGAGCTCAGCACTCAGACTCATCATGCCCAGCCAGCTTAGCTGGGATCGGGGGTGCCCGACAGAACAGCGCTTCTTTCTGCTTGTCGCCGGCGGGCCAGCCAAAGGCCGCAGGCAGATCAGCGGAATCAGGGTGGCATTCCCTCCACCTGCTTTCCGAGTAGCAGCTGGATCGTCTCAAGCACAGAGCTGTCGGCAGTATACTTGCGTATGATGCGGGCTCCGCGCTTGCCCTTCTTATTCCCTTGGTCATTTTTGACGCGCTTAGCTGCAGCCCTATCTGTACTCCTGCTGAGTCGGTGCTTCTGTTGCCGCTGCTACAGTCGTCGGTGAGGCTGGCCGCTTGACACCGGCCTGGGTGCTCTCCGTGTTGGTGTTTGTGAGCTCAGGCATGGAGACTTTTGCTGCTGCTGTTGGATGTTGCATGATAGCCAAACTCTCGGGACGTTTTTGCAGGTTGGCTGTATGGCTTGAATAGGATAGGGAGTCGTCTGGTTGTGATCCGCCCAAGCCTGCCTAGCATAGAGCCGGAATGTAGGAGGAAAACAAATGTGCGGTGAGCGAATACAGAAGCAACTCGCCGTTCGCAAGTGCCCCATCTCATCTCACGTCCAAAATCGGTGCAAAAAAGTATTTGCCATGCCGATCACGTCTAATCTGCTTGATTTATTACTACTTGAGATTGGGTCTATGCCAGGTGAATGTCACTTGATGAGATCCTTTCGCCAGCGCCGATGGCAACGACGGGCTCGTGGTTAGACGTGACGGAGCAGAATCCACGCACCATGCTATCGGCCGAGAATACCATTGAGAACTTGCCCATATTGTCGATGGCTACAAAGGCGCCCTCAGCGACCTGTCGAGATCATCAGATCAGTTAATGCACTGACAGCCGCTGACTCGAGCGTGCGCTGGCGGTACCGGGCACGTAGCGCAATCGTGTGTGCGGTCTGCTGACAGATACACAGGTCATGGGTACTGACACCACTGATGGCGACCTGGCTGTCGGCCCACGCCGAGGCGCCAATGCATCCACACTCGCTGATCTGGCCCTCCCTGCGCCCAATAGCCCCGCCCGAAGAGCTAGCAGCAGCAACCTTGCCACGGCTGTCGATGGCCACAGCACCCACACCGCAGCTCGGGTAGATGTCTCGATTTCCCTGCCCGCCACCAGCCTAATGCGCTGGAATTGCCACGCCGGCCAGCAGCCTGCACGGGCACTCGGGCAGGCGAGTACTTTGGCGTCCCTAACCTGTTGGCCTGCCATGCTTTGTATTCACCAACTCGATGCTCGGTGATGAGCTGGGCCTGGGTCGATCTGTGGGCATTTCAAACTCCTCAGCCAAGATGTCGGCCGTCTTAGGAGCACGCCGTGGTCATCTTGCCAGATTCCAAGATCTTACGCGCCTAGCACGATTGGGATTCGGAATGGTCGAGGCACAGGCGGCTGATGCGGCACGCTGCTTGCGGCCATCACAAATTGTAGCATCCAGCAGAGGATGGCCTGTGGATGAGATGGGGGCGCCGCGGCCAGCACTGAACAGCTTGTTGTTTTCGAGTGTGCGCACGGCAGCCTCGACTGCATGCACAGCAGTACCGCCATTGAGTAGTATGCTGTAGCCAGTCTCGAGAGACTTCTTCAGAGACCGCCGCACCAATGCATCGAGGTCAGGTGTCAGCGGGTGTTTTGAAGGCACGATCCCGCCATGAACCACAATCGTGGGTGGGACATGTGCATGTGGTACATCCCTGGTCTGCGGTGCTGACGTGTGTTTTGTGCTAATATGCGACACGCTGATGGTGCTGCCCCCTGTTGTCGATCGGATATCCGGCTGTCTGAACGTGCTGGCATTTGGAGCTCATTGACGGATCAGTCTGCACGCCCAGTTTTGGATTTGGTCGGCTGGGCGGTCGGTTGCGGTAGTTCCAGGCGAACGAGGATGCTATCGAGTCGTCTTTTGACTGGGTATCGCGGCGGTCCGAGAACTGAGACCGAATCGAGTCCACTGACGGTACCGCAGAAGGAGGCGTTGGCAATGGTGATGTGTCAAATCGGTGTTGGCCGGAGACTTCATCTGGGTATAGCTGCCCCGTGTGCTCGGTGCAGCATGCGGATCCACCTGTCGGAATCTGGCCCATACTGCCGCGAATATGGTGATACTGTGGTGACAGCTTGTTCCGTGGCTTGGTAGTATGCTGGCTGCCGCTGGTGCATTTGTGGTTGTTGATAGCGTGGCAAAGCGAAGTGCGGTGGTTGATGGTGCGTCGGCTGGTGAGTGTGATTATGCTGGTTCTGGTATACAGATTGCTGAGGCTGGCAGTGCTGGTGGTACTGGTAAGGCTGCTGCTGATAGCCAGCCGCTATACGCGTAATTCTGTGGTATTTGTTGCGCCGGCGCCGCGTGTTGATGCTGCACCCATTTTTTATATCCTGCGGGCTGTTTGGACTGCCAATATTGCTGATACTGCCCAAGCTCGGGCCTGGATGGATGACGAGGAACTCGTTGCTTGGATAGCCCCTGAGGCTGTAGAAGCTGCTGCTGCATCGGTTGCTGCTGGCTGAGGCTTGGGCTGTCTTAGCACTTGGCTTCTGTTGAAACTCTGGCTGGTGAGATGTTTTGGACGGTGCGGGGTTGAATCGTGCTTATCTTGTGGAGGACGAAATCGCCGATAATTGCCATTTGGTGGTTCGTATCGGACTGGTCCTGGGTGCGTTGTTGGGCGGTGGAACTGGCTTGTCCTTGCGTGAAAACACTCTACGCACCCTGTCTTTGACTGTTTGCTGGCTTTCCTCGGGCATGTTTCGCACTGGGATCTTTTTGATGGCGGCGACCCCTGTCAGTTGGGTCTTGGGCAGCGTCAGATACGTGAAATCTTCAGAGCTGGAGCTAGCATTGCCATGGGATCGTAGTGGAACGAAAATGCGCTGAAAGAACCGCCGGCTCTTTTCTAGCAAAGGGGGTCTTTTGGCTGTCTCCTCGCGAACCTTGCGCGAAATTTCAAGCTCAATATCGGATGGAATCGATGGAATGGCAGGGGTTGCGCTGCACCTTGCGGGTCACAAATGTGCTCCGGTGCCGCGACTCGTACCGGGGGCCGTTGGCTAGGTCTCCAAGTCCAATGTCAGTTATTCGGGGTGGCTTGTGTTGATGTCTGGATTTCTGAGTACATCTCTGCAAAAAAAAGGATAGGTGATAGAGGAGTGCCGGAATTTTCAGTGATTTGGAAGAGGAGAGGCGCGGTGAGATGTATAACATCCACTAGCTGGCCATGTACTGCCTCTACCGCAGCGAGGCAGAGAGGCATGTGGCAGCTACATAATCTGGAACACTGGCATGCGGCGCCCTGGCGCGCGTTTCTACGTATGCTGCAGCCAGACCACCGTCGATTTTCCAACCCAGCGTGCGGGGTAGTTGGTATGATGAGTGACTGGGCATATGGTCTAGAGTCATGATATGAAAAGACGGAGCCTGCGTCCGACTGGTTTCATATCCGACGTGGGACTGGGCGCGCCTCGCTCGTTGCAGACCCGATGTGCATGCCAGGGAGATTTGGATTGGTCATATGGCCAACTTCGCCTTGGCGCCCGAGCCATCCAATATTCTGGCAGGCAACGTCACTGGCCCATGTCGCACGGACAGTTAGGCCCTGATATTGCAAGCCATCACGTGCGCACCTGGTGATTGGGGCAAAGTGGAGAGGCGGGCAAACGCTAGCACAGCCCTCCCAGGCTTGCACGCTTTCAGCGGCACTTGTGTCTTCTTTTCTCTCTAGAGTGAGCATCTGAATCGTCTGCACTTTTTCTCCAACTCCTGCACTTGCAATCGCAAAAGAGTATTTTTGTACATTTACCCTTCGCGCTCGACATAATCAGAAATGGCCGATCGCGGAGCCCTCTTGAAGCAAATTCAAAAGGGCAAAAAGCTAAAGAAGGCTGAAACAAATGACCGCTCGAAGCCGCAAGTTGGCGCATCCGGTGGTGGTGGGGGTGGGGGTGGTGGTGGTGGACCGCCAATGGGCGGTATGGCCTTGCCACGGCCTCCTATGCCGCCGCCATCAGGCGGAGGGCGTAGCTCAGCCGGTGGGGCAGCACCAGCACCACCTCCGCCCTCTGGCCCGCCGGCGGGAATGCCCGGATTAGGAGGATTGTTCGCCGGAGGAATGCCGACGTTGAAGCACCGTGCTGGAGGCGTGTCTACAGGACGAGGTACGCACCACAATATAGCCAAGCAACATGCCACAGCTGCGAGTAGCTAGCTATTTTGCACATAACTAACAGCACATGTTTTGCTATCCATCTAGGCGATGCAGGAGGCTCATCGAGCAACGGCAGCGTGCCGGTGTCAGCGCCGCCGCCTCCGCCAGCAACACAAAAATCACCCACCAAGAGTAAGTTCTCCTTCCCGTTCGGCCGAAGCAGCCATGCGCGCAGCAGCAGCAGCAGCAATGGTGCACCGCCTCCGCCGCCAGCAGCAGCACCACCTCCTCCACCCTCAATGGCCCGGATTCCGCCTCCGCCGCCCTCCAGCGGACCTCCGGCTCTGCCCGGCCGGCGATTGAGCGATGCTGGACCACCCGCCTTTGCACCACCTGTTCCGCCCACGGGAAGACTACCGCAGATGCCTCCTGCCTCAGCTCCGGCGTCGCGGCCGGGCAGTGCGATTCCCGGAAAACGGGCACCGCCGCCGCCACCCACGTCGCGCAAGCCGCAAATCAAGGCCGAAGCCGCCTGGCTTGGACGAGTAACCGCCAGAGCACGTCGCCGTCGCCGTCGCCATCGTCTGTGCCGAGCACAGCTGATATGCGCAGTCACCTAAGACCGGCAGCAGCCACCACACAGAACACACCACGGCCATCAGCAGCTATGCAGCCGCGGAACAGCCAGGACGATGGAAACGATAGCGGGATCATTGCCGAGAGCCAAGGCAGTGTTAGCTCACTAGGCAGGGATCTTTGGAAAGAGTGTCAGGGCCAAGGGCACCAACCATTCGCGTCAGTCTGACCGAGACCATGTTTAGCAGAACCGAGTTACCGCCGGCACCGGCTCGCCCACCGGCACCGCCTAACGCCGCCTATGGCGACCGGTTCTCACACCAGCGTACCAGCAGTGGGTCAGCACCATCACATCCGCCACCACCTCCTCCCCCTCCTCCAGCCAACGCTGGCTCCAATGGCACAGCGGGCGTGCCAGTGCGCGAAGGCAAGTGGTCGTTCCACGCCATATCCGATCTGCCACAGCCGCCCCAGATGCCGATTTCGCGGCACAAGTACCCAAGTGGCAACCCAACCGGGTCGGCAGTAGCCCTTGACATTTAGATGCTACACTTGGTAAGGTGCTAGAGCGCTGCTTTTCTGTGTAGCTTCTGTGAACACAGCTCTGTAATCCGCCCTAGTAATCGATCTTATTACTTTTGCCGTCTTTGGGAGGAAGAGCAATGCGAGATGCGTCTGATTTGGCAGTGCGCACTAGGCAGGGAGTGCGTTTTGAGGCATTTGGCAGGAGGATCCACGCGTACTAGACGAAAATCATCAGCATCTTTCTAAACCCCTCTTATCAGCAAGCCTTGGCAACTGCCGCTGGCTCTCGCCCAGTGGATAGAATAGATGCAAATTGATAGCCCGCACTGCTTCGCTTGGGAAAATCGGGGGATGTGCACAAGCCAGGAGGCGGATGTGCGGATCGTCGCCTCCACCGCATGGGCCCTCCGCTTCCACTCTGCAAGTTCCGTGCTTTGAAGAAACACTGGGTGCGCTGGTGCTTTGGCGGGCTCGGGTGCAAGGCGTGATGCGGGCAACCAGTCTGTGCTGGCTCGGAGACAAGTGCTGGGTTCGCATAAGTGCATAACTAGGCAAATCTCTGCTCCCCCTCTCCACCCAGTCGGGCCAGGAGCCTTCTCTCATGCCGGGATTTTGCCCTCCCATCCCACTAGCATGCTCGCCAGAGCTATTGCCCGTCAGCCCACCGATCCCTAATATACGGACCCTGCACGTAGAGTGGATCCCGCTCGGCACTATCATTGAACAAGATTAGTGGGCGAGAGGTCGTTCTATGCGATGTTTCGCAGGCTCTTGGGATGTCCATTTTCGTTTCTAAAGGGATGTGGAAGCAATAGCGGCGCTGCTAGTTTCGGACTATGAAATGGAATGTCGGAAACAGCGCTGTCTGATTCTCGCACCGGCATCTCCACTATACACACATTAGAATGACCAATGAGTGATTTTACAACCATTCTGCATATATTTTCTGCTCTTGCAACCGCGAGCATGTATCAATGTCGCATTTCCTTTTCATGTCGGTGGGTTTTCCGGGCACAGCAGGTTGACGCTGCTTTCTACGGGCAGATGCTTGCATTAATTTTTGTGCACTAATAAACACTCTCGATTGCCGTTTTTACACGTCCGACTCCAGCAGAACTGCTGACGCAAAGTATACAAGGCAGTGAATGTGACGCACACATCACATGTGCCGGTGTTGCATGTGTATAGTGTAGCAACTAGTAAAAAAGCCTGGCACACAGAATGCAGAGTAGCTCTCATGCAATGAGCCATGCCGAGTGTAATCGCAGTTTAGAGCATAGAAAAAAGCTCGGGAACATCAGGGAAGCTAGAACTGGAAAGCAGAAAAACAGGCCGCAATGTGAAAAACAAGCCGGATTCACGGTACATATAGGAGTAATTAATGGCCAGGAGAGGAATTGCAGGGCTATATAGTGTAGGCACATGCAGCGCAGTCCCATGAATACTTGCGATGGCTGGCAATATATCTGGCTGCCTCGCAGACGGTGTGTTTCCAGACCGATACCTGTCAAGATGCTGTTTGGGCCGTACCAAACAGTAGAAGGTGAGCCTTGCATGCAGCGAATCATGTCAGAGTGTACAATGTATTCACGGAGGAAATCCGGGGCCATGAACACAAAAGCGCGGTTATTTCTGTTTCCGTTTTATGGATACGGCAGATATCGGAAACGCCAACAATCGGATGCGTCTGGGCGAAGTACGCCATGCCTTGGGTGAAACAATGGGTTGTGGATTGCGCCAAGTTGTGGACAGAGCAGAATGTATGCCCGGGTCACAGAGAGTCGAGGGCGAGATAATAGGAGGCTGCAAACAGGTTTCGGATGCTGCAGCGATTCACACAGGTCTTTGTACCTTGGAATGCGCATCTCATAAAGATCACACTCAGATGTAAAATTGGGCAAACAAAGTACCTTGCGGATTGGCAGCGGCAACATGCGCAGATGCATGGCAGCTTGTATGGGCTTCTTGCGAAGGTAAGGACTGGAGAACCAGAAGATTCATGGTGGATGAGGAACAGACTGCAATGGAGGGCGTGAGGTGAGACGCTGTTATTGCCTTTTTCGGCCCGTTGATCGCTCTCTTTGGACTGGTCGGTCACGATGGATGCTGTTCATCCTGAGGCTGCTGCAAAGTTGGCAGGACACGGACAAAAATCCATGTGGCCTTGCATGTCTTTGCCTTGAAGCTATTTTTATTTGCTTGGTGCAAGCCAGGAAAAGATACCGGGGTAGCATATAGCACGCGTCTTGCAAGGGAAATGAGCCGTGCCTGTCTGCCGTTTCTGGAGCCCATCTTGCATTCCTCGGTCGTAGATCCGCTGCAGTGCCAGTACAGACGCATTGCCGAGCTGGCTAGCAATAACCGGTCTCCAGATCGTGGACAAATTAAGGTGGGTGGCCGATGCTAGGTGGGAGCTGTGGTGGTTGGAGAGATGGTGTGCAGAAAGCACCTATATTCCACATATTCACGAGCCATTTGCAGAGCGATGTGTATAAGGTTGGGGGAGCTAGCATTTGGCGCCACCTTCCAAGTTCCGCTAGAACCATGCCTGCATATGTGTTTGTTGTTGTTGTCCATCACCCGCTTTACCCGGCTGTTTTGCAAGAGTGCGTTCGTTCAGACAATGTGATCGCCGGCTAGTCCCAGCAAAACTATTGCCGATTGTTTTCTGCTGGCTGCACATTTCATTTACCTGCCAGCAAACGCAATGCGCGTTACTCAGCCCAGCCGCCGTACGGAATTAGCCGTGCATTGGCGCCAGCGGATTCGGGGAGAGGAGTATGTCGGAAGACCATTTATTCTCGTGCAAAATGATGCCGACACATTGATCCTCGCATTGTTTGTTTCCCCGTTTGTCGAGAGATACATGCTGGGGGCTCGTCTAGGCGGCAGCTGCAAGTGTGCGCAATGAAAACTGTGTCAAGGTTGCCACACTTGGCATGGAATGCATTGTTTGGGCGATTCATTGGCATGCAGCTCGAAGGAAATAGGGGAGGGGGCTGTACGCGCAAACCAATTGACGCCTACGAGGTGGCGACGATCTCCGGGGCAAGCGATTAGGACCATTCTCCCATCGATGATCTACTGTGGCCAAAACGGCCAGGCGCTTTTGTTGCACGCTCACGGGGAGTCCTGCTGGAGTGGATGCTGGGAGAAAGGGTAGGCTGCCCTTGTGATGTATCAGTATGCATGCCCTCAGTGTTCTGGGAGCATACACCGTCACCCAGACATGTCTCCAGATGCAAGGCATGGGCTGATACGAGCTGGCTGGAGAAATAGCCCGGTGTGTTGCAAGACGTTGGCAGTTCTGGGTAGCTGGAAATTCCGCCTGGTACATGGGCTGTGCGGACCATGGGAAAAAGCGCTGGCACATGGATCCTGGCTTGCGCAGGCGCTCTAGGCACCCACTGCGCCCCAACACTTTTTTGTTCTGGGACTGCACATGCAGACCTGTCGAAAGCGGCAATTGCTGGTCCTGTCGCTGCTCGGCCCCCAAATCGATAGTGGTCAAGCGACACGCAAAGCTGAGCTGTCCTGAGCGAGTTGCTGTTTTCGGCTCAGCGAGATACAGGGGTTCCTTTTTTTTGCCGCCAAGCCTACTCGGCGGGCATTTCAGTCGAGGGACTGCTCTCAGCAGGTTCTGCCATTGTCGATAACGACAGAGCATCTCTCGGGCCTTCCGTTCTAAGTTGACGTAGACCCCTCGCAAGCTCCACTACTAGAGTTCCACTCAAAGGCAAGTGCTATTTTGCTCTATGCACGAGCATCTGCTGGCACATACAGCCCGCATAAGACGAGAGCGTGCGGTCCACAAGGACCGCGAATTGCTTGTGCTGGATATTGCAGACTGCTGCCGCTCTTAGGACCAGTGTGCTTGCTTCCGTGCTGGCACCCTTTCCACACAATAAACATCTGCCATTTGGGCGCATTGATTTTGGTAGCAGCAGGTCCCCCTTTCGGGTCACTAACGAAAAGAACCTCTTTGACCGTTTATGAAGCCATCTATTTTCAGCTCATGTCTACGCCATGCACATGCGCGGAACAGGTGGGGATACACCATATGCAAGATGGCATTGAATAGCGCGTCTGGTTAGAAAGACGCAGGATGACAAAGCTTCGCTGTTGGAATCGCAGTCCAGAGGAAAGCCGGCTTCGGTGCTGTTATTTCGCCGCATGAAAGGTACTGGGCAAGGGCAAACACATACGCTTCTCGGATATGTTCTGGAGTCGCTGTGCAGCACCGAGCCTGCCCGCCCCGTTGCCCTGCACGCTGAAATTTATCGTTCATATCACCCTGTTGCGCGGAGATGGCATGCGAACAATGGGTGTCATACGGAGGGCGGGCTATCCACGGCAGTGCTTTTGGAAACAGACAACGAAAAGCATGTTCTTATTAAGGAACCCCGCGGCATCTTTTATGTGCCCATCCCAGATGCTGCGAGAAACAACTACACCAATGGCACCGCGGAGCGGGCTGGCCGCTGCGGTCCAGGAGTAATCTTGCCACAGCCGCTGGCTTGCTGGCTGCAGAGATTGAGAGTGAACAGGGAGAAATTAGCTGGTCCATCAATTTTGCGGCAGGTTCCCAATTGGCAACTGGCAAGCAGGTGGTGCCAGGTCAGGGGGCTGCAGCCCACCCCCCTCATCAACCGGGGCCATCCCACCCTCTGTTAGAGCCGAAAATGAGCGATTGCCCTGTCGATTTTATGTCCCACCGGATTTCTCCAGGAAGGGCGATGTAGGCACTCCGCTCGGGCGCTGGTGCCTCGGGCCACGAGAAAAGAAAGTGAATTTCAGGACCAGCTTGATGAAGGGGGCGGGTTTGCCGCCCCGACACAGTGCCCCAGCGCCCCTCCCCTCCAAGGTAGAGAACAAGAGGGCGAAAGGCGCCCGCTATAAAATGCACAAAAGCATCCCTCTCCAATCTAATTATTCTCCACTTTTTGGCTTTCGAGACACGCCTCTATTCTCTTGCCGCCTTTTATCCCTCTCTTGCACTCGTTCCTTTTTATTCAGCTCTGACAGCTTCTGCTTGCTATAGCCTTGGGTGCCTCCACCACACTGCTGCAGAAAACAAAACAAAAAGCCCCAAATAATACCATCAGTCGTCATCAGCTTTCGCCTAGCACACTCAAAGTCAGCACTACGCCGGCACCAAAAGTGACCTAAACAAAATCCCGTGGGAAGCAGCCTTCTCCACCCTCTATCAGTCACCCAGCTGGACTTGGGCATTTTTCCTCCTTGATTGTACGAAACCAGCCAGCCTTATTATCTTGCAAATCAGCACGGCCCTCGCACCTGAACCTTCTTCTCCTCATTTCTCCCCTTGTATTACTACGACTCCAATATCAACCATGACAGGATTTCTTAGCGGTTTCCGGGGACACAAGCCCTCGGAGCTCACGATTACAGAGTCCAACCATAGCAGCGGCAGCCATCAGACATACTACCCTGTGAACAGCAAACATGTCAGCAGCTCGGCCGGCCTGGCCACGCCGCACACGCAGTCGCCATATACGCAGTCGCCCATGCGCTACACACCGTTCCTTGATTTCAGCAGCCACGGCCTGACGGCTGTTCCAAACGATATACCTGGTAAGTGCAGTTTGGTCGCTGCCAGTGGCCGATGATGAGGCCAGAAGGAGGGGCCGACATGGTGCGCTGGCCAGGCAGTGGATAGAGCGCACTGTGATGCGTTGCGATGGGCATTGCAGCCGCCCCCGGATACAGCGCTTGTCACGACGGCCGGTTTTGTTTTACTTCATGCCGTGAGCCTGATACATGCGTGATGCGCTTTTTAATATTTGTGACCCAGATGTAAGCTCGCTAATCCCCACATGACCCCCTGGAATCACCATTTGTGCATGTTTGCTTGTGTAGCTGAGGCATTCTCTATCAACCTGAGCACAAATATGCTGACGCAGGTTCCGCCCAGCTTTGGACGCACATTCTCGGCGCTGAACATCCTGGACCTGTCTGGGAATCAGCTCACGTCGCTGCCTGAGGAAATCAGCCATCTGACGAATCTGCGGGAGCTGTACGTCAACAAGAATGCGTTGACACACCTGCCTTTGACGCTGGGGTCGATGCGCAACCTGGAGGTATTGGACGTGTCGGAAAACTACATTCAGTTATTGGATATGAGCATCTCGCGGCTGGAGCTGCTGCGTATGCTCAACATTAGCGACAACAGACTCACATTCCTGCCGCCGTACCTGGGTCTCCTGGCGCAGAACCTGCGCATCCTGCTGGTCGACGGAAATCCATTCGACAAGCACCAGCGCGATCTGATCGAGCCGATTCTGACTATCCCGTCGCGCGAAGCCAAGAAGATTGCCAAGGCCAAGGAGAAGTCAGATAAGCTGCGTGCAAAGGCGGCCAAGAACGGCAGCACGCTGGTTCGCTATGACAATCTGGAGCCCCTGCACAGCAAGGAGTATATGGCGGCAGTGAAAAAGCTGATCATGGTGCGTCTGAAGCGCGGGCGCAAGCAGTCGGTGGCCACCACTGCGCCCTCGCATTTGGCCGACCCGCGTGCATCAATAGTCAGTTCTGTCCCCAGCGTCCAGCGCACCAAGTCGCAGTCTGTTCAGCCCACGTCTGTCAGCGACCAGGCGTCCATACACCGCGGGACCACTGGTCGTAGCACGTCGCTACACAGCGCCATAACCCACAACTACATTGATATGAACATCCCGCCGTCGCCGCAGATACCTCAAATGTTCAACCAGTCGCGCGACAGCGCGGTGATCCCGACGGAGGTGGTTGCCCAGCAGATGGCCAATCTGAATATCCAAGACCCTGGCTTTATGAGCCAGCAGCAGAGCACTCCCGACAGCTCGGCTGGGGGTACGCCCAGCATTGTTGGCTGGGAGACCATCAACCCGCCGCAGTCCGAGCTCAATGACTACAGCTGCCGCGAGCTGCCCCCGCCCCCGCCTGCAGGTATCCCGACCGAGTCTGCTCGCGAGGTTGCCCTGAACATTGCCAAGCGCATCGCTACCGGAACCACAGGCAGCAATGCGCTGACTGACCAGGAGCTGGCAGCCATGGCTGGCTCCTACCTGTCGCCCACATCGGCTGTCACCAACAGCAGCATTGTCAGTGGCCCGTCGGGGCTCTCTGGCCGCGACAGCACGTACTCGGGCTCTGGCGAGTCCCATGGCTCGTCGATGGACGACAGCGCCAGCCTGATCCAGGATGCAGCCAAGGTTGCGCGCGTACTGTGGCAGCTGTGTGACGAGTGGGATCTGAACCCAGATCCACACCGAAATTGAGAACGTGCAGGCGATGCTGGCTCAGCAGCGTGACGGCAACGTGCGTATTGACGGCGCCTCGGGCATCGAGCGGGTGTATCGCCAAAAGTCGGTTGAGGCTGGCGACAGCCAGCGCATGAAGATCCTGTCCGAGCTGCTAGTCACAGAGGTGACCTATGTGGACACCCTGAAGAACGTGGTTGGGATCTTTTTGAACCCCATGCGCGAGGCCAAGATCCTGTCGGAGACTGAGCTGCGTGAAATCTTCTCCAACATCGAGGTCATCCTGGCATTCCACAACGACCACTTCCTGCCTGGCATCACGTACGCCATCTCACAGCAGGACATGCGGATCGGCGATATCTTTTTGCACCACATTGCACACTTCAAGCTGTACTCGACATACACCAACAACCACGACACCAGTGTCAAGACGCTGGCCAATGTGTCGTCGCGTCGCAACGTCAGCTCGTTCATTCAGAATTCGCGCTATGATGTAACGCAGATCGGGCAGGTCGGCCTCGACGGCCACCTGCTGACGCCGGTGCAGCGGCTGCCACGCTACCGCATGCTGCTGACGGACCTGCTGTGCAACACGCCGCCCAGCCATCCCGGACCACGAGCCGCTGTACCGTGCGCTCAAGGAGCTGAACCGGACCATCCACGATGTCAACGAAAAGAAGCGCATGTTTGAGAACCAGGCCAAGCTGCGCAAGATCCAGGACAAGGTGGCCGGCGCCGCCGACATCCCGCTGATCACCCCGCACCGCAAGTTCAAGCTGATGGCCAACTTTAGGCTGCAGATCCTGTCCGAGCCGTATGTCGGCCGCTCAGGCGAGATGTCGGCCCGGCGCATTGGTGTGGGAACGGTTTACCGGTTCTTCCTGTTCAACGACATGATCCTGCAGTGCACAATCATCATGAACAAGGATCTCAAGGTCAATCGCATCTACCACCTGGCCACGCGTGTCGCACCAGCCGAGGTCACTTGCGACAGCGAGCTGCGCATTGTCGACTCGGAGGGCATCCTGTATCTGAAGGGCGACCCGTCCGATCTGCGCAGGTGGGCACACGAAATCAACACTCGCCTCGAGACATAGTAAAATCCACAATGTTGAATAGCTGTCTAATGAAATCTGTGTTTTTACGTACACTAAACCGCTATGGTGCTGGCAGAGTGGTGTCTACTTGCGCCCTCCACGTCCGCGCTTTCTCCGGTTGGCCTTCTTTTCCTTCTTGTCGCCTGCATCGTACTCTTCGTCGTTGCCATGGCCATCGTTGTCGATGTCGTTGTCGCCATTGCCGCTGGGGGCAAAGTCGCCGTCCAGATCATCTCCGCCAGCACCAGCCGTCTCTCCGTCTTCCGATGCTGCCGATTTGTCCTCCGCTGCCCGCTTGCGCTTGACAGACTCCTTTTGCCTCTCCTTTTCCAGATCATCTCTCCGCCGCTTCAGCTTATCCTGTCGGGCCGTGCTATTGCCGCCGCCGCCCGCCGTCAGCTTCAATGTTAACCTTGCGCGAGCCAAGCGGCATATGGTGGAACTTTAGCGCATGCTTCAGATCCGCAGCCGACCCAAACTCGACAAAGGCGAACCCCCTGGGACTGCACCTGTCTTCTTGTCTGTCATCAGACGCACCGACAAAGGATTGGCCTGCTCCAGGAACTCCTTCGATCTCCTCCTTGGTCGTCTTGAACGACAGGTTGCCGACAAAGACAATGAACCGCACCTGGTTGCCGGTCTCGCTGACCTGCGGCTTGAACTTCTCCTTCGGCTTATTCTTTGCTGCCTCCTTGGCCTCCTTCTCGCGCTGCGCCTTCTTGGCCTTGGTCTTTTGCTTCTTTTTGTTAACTGTGTGGTCGTCAGCGGGTTTGTCAGAGTCAGCATCCGGCTTGTCGTCCTTGACTGGCTTGTCATCCTTGGCCGGCTTGGCGATCTTGCCGCGGAACTGCAAGGCCTTGAGCTGCTTCTTTGTCAGTGCCAGCTGCGGTTTCTGCTCGTCGGCCATTGTCCTGAAATGTGTGCGAAAAAAAAAGTAGAGGGAAGGTGGAGAGGTCAAAAAAAATATTTTTTTGGCTGTCAGCAGTATTTTTTATTTGATGAGCCGAGCCGGAGCCATAGAGATCCCTGAGCCAGGAATGCGCCAGCCTATTGTCTGATCATGTGCCTCGAGTTCTCGCTGGCCGGTCTATTTAGTCGAAGCCAGCACGCTCCCCCCCGATTGTTACCAGAATGCACAAACACAAATGCCCGAGTGAAGAATATGAGCACACCCGACTCCAAGACAAAAAGCAGCCAGTTTTTCTTTCCTCTCCACCTCCGCTCTATGTGCCTATTCCTTTGCCAAATAAATCCTATATTCGCCAACCTCAACTATTACCGACAGGTCGAGGCCTTCTTTTATTACTGTTACCAGGGTAGTTTTGCCGTATCGTAGAGCATGCTGTAGCCGTATAAAAGTACAGCCAAACAACTGTCTGTTCAAGGAAGCAACGGCTTTCTCTAGCTTTCTCACTTATTTTTCGCATACAAGCAAGGCGTGTTTTATTCATATTCTTCTATCAGGTCTTCACCGATGACGACAGTCGCTTCAGAAAAGGAACTCACTATCCGGTTCACGTCTCTGGCCCAAGGCAAGGGCCGCTACCGCGGGCTGCTGGACGACGTCGAAGTGACCGACACTTCAGATGATGACGAGGATGTTGGTTCTCTGGCGCGCAACTCGTCCAACAGCATGCTGCGGGCGCTGGGCACGGCCCCCGTCGCATCCGGCCACCCCAAGCCCAAGAGCGTCAAGAAGGCAATCGCCAAGCACCTGTCTGACAATGAGATGCCTCCGAGCAAGCCAGTGAGCGCAAGGTGACACGGGTAGTCAAGACGCGCAAGCACGACTCGGTGATGGGCGAGGGCCTGGTGGCCAGCGAGGAGCTGAAGCGCGAGATGCAGAACGACATGGAGTGCACCGCCGACGAGGGTGACACCGAGGAGGATGCGCCGGCCATGTCGTCGCCGGCCGACATCGAGGACGTCAGGCAGGTCATCCGGCAGAAGAGCAAGCAGCGGGATGCGGTGGAGCCGCGCGAGGTGCCGCTGCGCGAGGGCTCGCCGGGCCCGCGCCGGCTGGCAACTTACAAGCCGCCGCTGATGGGCATTGATGCGTCGTTTGTGCCGCCGCAGCTGGCGTTGCTGAATATTGACCCGGACATGTGGGAGTGCTTTGCGGATGCGCTGAACGCGGCGATTCCGCGCGGCTCGCAGGAGATTGAGAACCAAATCAGGCGCTGGAACGGCGATGCGTTCGAGGACATGGGGTTCCACATCAGCCTGGTGTCGCTGGATGCCGGGCTGAGCTTGTCAGTGTCGACCAGGTGAAGGCCCAGCGTGGCATAGAAAGTGAGAACTTGTCATGAATGGATGAATATATTTGACATTCGCCTATCGGTCACATGTCGGGCACTTGGGGGCAAATCTGAGAACAAAGTTTCCCAGCGGTATAAAGGTACATCAGCTGGCGCATGGGTTTCCCGGGCCAGTCTCAATATTCTTTCCCTCTGCGACGTTTTATTTTGTACACTTCGGTCTATTTTGCCTCAAACCCCCGCAAAACAATCTGGCCTACCACGATGCCGCCCATCAAGCATGACACCAGCAGCAGCAGCGATAGTACATCCAGGGTGTCTCCATCCGCTCATCCCATCGCGACTGCGCAAGCTTTTCTCTACTAAGACTGCATCCCCTGCCAACCATTGTGGTTCATGGGGGAGCCGGAACCATCCGCAAAGAGAAGATGACGCCTTTGGACGAGAAGGTGCTGCGCAATGGCCTGTACCTAGCAACACAGGCCGGGTATGCAGGTACTGTACAAGGGCGGCTCAGCCCTCGATGCAGTCGAGGCAGCAGTGCGGGCGCTGGAGGACAACCCGCTATTCAATGCAGGCAAGGGAGCGGTGTTCAACATCAAGGGGGAGAACCAGCTGGAGGCATCGATAATGGAGGGCCATACGGGGCGGGCGGGTGCGGCAACACAGCTGACGGTGGTGAAGAATCCGATAACACTGGCGAAGCACGTAATGGACAGCGACTTCCACGTGTTTCTGGCGAGCAAGGGCGCTGAGGACTACGCATCGCACCAGGGCCTGGATATCGTCGACCGGTCGTACTTCTGGACCAAGCATAGGTGGGAGCAGCATGAGCGCGGGTTCCTGACCGACGAACTGGACAGCACAGAATGGGATGCAAGCACCATGGCGGATGAGCCAGCGGACCACTCTTATCTGCCTCTGGGCACAGTGGGGGCGGTGGCAGTGGATTGTCTCGGGCATGTGGCAGCGGCCACATCTACCGGAGGCATGACAAACAAGTGGGATGGCAGAATCGGCGACACGCCGATAATCGGCGCAGGCACATGGGCAGACACGGAGATCGCCGTGAGCAGTACGGGGTCGGGCGAGTATTTCATCCGGCAGGGGACGGCGCGGTACATTTCGCTGCGGCACAAGCTGGGCAGGGAGGCGGTTGCCGAGGCGTGTGCCACGGCGATGCGCGAGATGAAGCGGTCGGGCGGCGACGGTGGCGTGATTGCCATTGACAGGCATGGGAGGTTTTCTATGACGTTCTGCTCGGATGGCATGTACCGGGCGTACTGCTCAGGGGCGACCAGCCATGAGCCGGTGGTGGGGATTTTTGGACAGCGAGGTGATTGGCCAGCGAGGACCATCACCTGGATGTATGAAATGCTGAGATATTTACTAGTATGCGGTGGGTATGTACATGGGTTGTGGGCGTTAGCAATAGACGGCGTGGTCGGTGTGCTCACAGTGCAAGATCATCTCGTCCTCCCGGCAGCTGGCATAGTTGCATAGCAGGCACATCCAGACGGTGCGAGCACACTAGGCGGGGACGCTCAGTGCGGTGCATTTTTGTTGGTAAATGAAATAAATGAAAGTTGAGGGAAAGAAGAAAAAACAGGAAGCGGGATGTGCAAAAGGTTTGCGTGTCAAGGGAGGGAGAGATGTGCACATGCATGGGGCTTTATACTCGTGGTGGGAAGGGGGTCGGATGCAGCGGACTGTTTACTTTATTTGAGCAGAGCGCGTGTATTTCAACGTAAAGAGCAAGCTGCCTTTTTAATAAGGCTGCCGATCGATTCTATTCTAGGACATAGAAAGCGTGCACAGTGTTCGCATGTAGGTTTTCATTTTGTTTTCCAATGGCGCAAACCGGATACTGGATGTGCATGTATACAAAAACAAAAAAACTCTGAGCATGTTTGCTAAGAATAACCCTTCCAAGCGATTGGGGTGGGTGGTTGCAAGGGTGAATGCAGCGGAGATCGCTCACACCCCCAAAGAAAAAGAACATGGTGGAGACCTTATCAATACATGTAAGCACGAACATCAAGAATAAAAAGGTGGTGGTTTATTAACAGGTAGAAAAAAGCGAATGCGCCTGAATAGCTCGCCCAGATAAGCAGGGTGGCTATAATAATGGAGCATAATAGCTCATGTTTCCGGGTGCTCCTCAGGCTCTGCAGCCTGCTCTTCCTCTTCCATCTCCACATCCTCCACATCCTCCACGGACTCCTCGTCGACCGACGGACTGATGATTTCAGCGAACTCTGACCAGAGCTGCGCGACACGGCCAAAGTTGCTGCCCAGAGCAACGGCGGACTCGAGGTTCTGGTTGAGCTGGACAAAGTTCCGATTGGCAATGTCCAGGCTTTGGTTGATTTCGACAATCAGGCGCTCCTTCTCGCGCTCAAACTGCGTGCGGCCCAACGTATACGAGTCAGTCCTCTCCATTGCCAACAGCGAACTATGGTTTGTATGTGATGTGTTGAGCTTGATGCACCGAGAAAGGGAACTGATTTATTATAAAGCTGATGCACCGAGCGCTCCCTGCAGTGGGAATACAAAATGGGTAGAATAATTAAAACATTTATGGGTGGTGGGAAATGCGCGCCATGCAGAGCTCTACTTCGCGCGACCAGTCGGTGCGCAGAATGGCCACGATATATGCGGCGGCCAACACCGACATGCCGAGCGCAAAGGCCGCCCACTAGGCCAATAATGCCCAAATCCAGTGCAAACACGGCCATGGCGCCCAATGGCAATACCAGGCAATAGTAGGCACCTATGTTGATGGTGGCCGCCCACCTCTGCTTGCCCATGCCGCGCAGTATGCCAGGCACGATGGCGCGCGTGGCGTCGGTCCACTCGATCATGGCGACAATGCGGATCAGCCTACGGGCCACCGCCAATACCTCCGGGTCCTTGGTATATACGGCGAGCCAGCGGGCGCCGCAGGTAAAGAAGAAAACCGTGCCCAGCAGACTGTAGATAAGACCGCCAGGAGATCAAGACCGCGGCGGAGAAGCATGCGCGACTGGTCTGGCCGCGGCCCAGAAGCCTTCCGATGCGCACCGCAGCAGCGCCGCCGACCCCGTGCGGCAATTGGTAGACCATCGACATGCTATTGAAGGCTATGGCCTGGGCGGCCAGACTGGTCTTGCCCAGCTGCGCAGCCAGCAGCGTCATTAATTCAAACGCCATATACTCGCCGCACGCCTCCACCATGGCCGGCACTGCCAGAGCATAGAAGCTTGTGGAAATCAATTCCTTCGGGCGGTGGCGGTGCCAGGCCGGCCGCAGTGCGTCCCAGGCCAAGGTGCAGAAAACCAAGCCCAGGAACATGGCCCAGTAGGAGAACACGGTGATCCAGGCGACCGCCGTGAATGAGGCATGGCGGCGCCAGACGAACACGTAGTGGTTCAGCAGATGCACGGGAACGACTGCCGCCAGGACCAATGCGGGCAGGCGCATCTGCGTGTTCGCCTGCACGTACCGCTTCAGGCACTCAAAAGCCATCCACGGCCACAGTCCCAATGACAGCACCTTCAAGTACTCGGCCGCCGGCTCTGCCAATTCCCTCGGCTGCCCCAGCACATCATATACTGTGGGCATGGCAAACTGCATAATGCACAGTACCACAACATACCAGAGTGTGACGGCGGTCAGCCCGCGCTGCAAGTGCAGGCCGACCTGGCGCCCGCCGCCGAAATGCGCGAATGACGCGGTGCACAGCGTGTCCAGCGCCGATGCTATGCCTGTGGCCGGGGCGAACGCCAGGATTGGCGCACGTCATGTTCGCCAATGCATACCCGCCCAGTGCCTGGCCGCCCCAGGCCCCCAGGGAGATGAGGTTGAGGAATCCGAACAGGTAGTGGAGGTAGTACGAGCCGATTAGCGGCAGGGAGGCTTTGCCGAGCCACGAGAGCTCGTGCGCCAGAGAATCGGGCGAGGACTGGCTGCCATGCAGCGGCTGGGTTTCGTCGTCTGTCGGCATAATAGCTAGTGTACAAAGAGGAAGAAAGAGGATGCCAGGAACACAAGACATGGTGACCGCTATTTGCTCCCTTCTTTATATACCCCCCGACTCGGACAAGCGGAGCTGGCCCGAAGAGCAAATCCTTCATTTCGCTCAGCCCCTTGTCTCCGAGAGTCACCTGAGCACTACTCACTGGCCAGATGTGCTCTAAACTGCTGCCTTGACGAACTGCGGGATATTTTGGTTTATCTTTAAAGATCAGACAGGAACCCACTAGCGAGGCAGGTTCACAGAGCCAAGGTCAATTGCAAAAAAAATTGCCGATTCGCTAGCCTATGCCTGTTCCGTCGGGCTGCCCCTGCGGGTGTGGCAGCAGTGACAGGGTTGCTAAAGGGGTTATCGTCCTGAGAGCGGCAGGCTCAGCAACTATGCATTATCTCATGCCAGATGGGTAACGGATCATTCCGGCTCTCTGCCAGGCCATCGGGGGATTCAGGACAAGTAGTCAATTAGTTCGCAAAACACATAAAAAAATTTATAGAAATGGAGTTCAGGCGGTCTGCACGCCGCGCGTGGACGTGTTCCATACCCGGGACTCAGAGGCCTGGACGGCGTCACGGGCGTCGCCGCGCATCTGGTCGGCCAGGGCCTGGATGCGCTCAATGTCCTGGTCGCGGCGGGCTATGACCTGGTGCAGCAGCTCGTTGAATTCCGCGCGTATCTCGGCCGCCTGCGGGTGGCTGACAGGGATGGCGGTCAGCTGCGCAAACTTGCTGGGCCTGGGCACCTGCTCCTCGGGCCGTTTCGCCCACTCGGCAGAACCCAGTCTGCCGGAAATCTGCTCGACGACCTCACCGGCGGTCTGTTCCTCAGCCCTCAGACAGCGCGCCCACAGCTCGCCCGCCTCCTTCTCGAGCCTGGCCTTGTCGCGCTCGGCGCGCAGCACCTTGTCGCGCATGCGGGAGATCTGGGCCAGCACGTGGGCAATGTCCTGCTGCACCGAGTCCTCCTTGATCTGCCGCATCTGGCAGTGCTTCTTCAGATTGTTGTAGCGCTCCTGCGTGTCGCCGAGCTCGACGCGCGCCAACCGCGTCTGCTCGTCCAGCTCGTAGATTAGCGATTTGAGCCGCCGGACTTCGGTGCTGGCGGCCTGTGCCAGCGGCACCAGCCCGGCCACCTGCTGCGGCACGCCGTCTATGCCCTGCTGTGTGCCCAGCGACTGCGAGCTGGGGGCCCGGTGCAGTGGCTCGGCTGGCACCTCCGGGCTAATGCCTAGGTAGTTGGACTTGAGGCCCTGCAGGAACCCGGTGCGTGTGCGCGACGCCGGCCGCAATGGTGAGGAGCGCGGCAGTGAGCCGGTGTCGCTGGGCAGCGCCATCTGCAATGTGGCTGCAATTTCGCCGATGCTGGCGCAGATTTCCTCGAGCTCGTCCTCGCGGTTGCGCAGCGCATCCTCCTTGGCCATCAGCTTGAGCGAGTACATCTCATGCACCTGTCCGATTTCGTCAGTGCGCGGCTCGCTGGCCAGCAGCACATTGGCGTCCTTCAGCTTCTGCACGTAGTCGCCCAACACCGGCTCGGCCGCCGGCTCCGTGCTCTCCATGTCCTGCTGCAGCTGCGCAAGCTGGTCCTCCAGCTCACTGCAGCGCATGCGCAGCGGCTCAAGCTCGGCCACCTGCTTTTGCAGGGAATCAGTCTCGGCGGTCTTCAGCTCGAGGTCCTGCTGCAGCCCGGCGATGCGCTGGCTGTGGTCTGCCACGTGCTCGATACTCCCGATGACAGCTGGTGAGCTCACCGCGCTGTCAGCCGAAGGCACCGACAGGGCGCGGATCTGGGCATTGTCCTGCATCGCCTTCACGTCCTGCGACAGCCGCTCGATGTTGTCGAGAAGCCGCTGGCGCTCCTCGTCCCACGCACTCTTGGCCTTGTCGTGCTTGGCCGCGAGATCCTTGGTGGTCTCGTCGATGCGGCGCTCGGAGCTCTCGGAGGCGCGGGTGAGCTTCTCGCGCTGCTGCGCAATGGCCAGGCCCTGGGCCTCGCGCAGGCGCTTCTCGGTGCCCAGGTCCATCAGCAGCTGCATGTTGGTCTCGTGCAGCTTCAGCGACTCGCTGTACAGTCCTGCACACCCGCCCACTGCTGCCGCCAGCAGCTGCATGGCGCCCGTAGCCGCTGGTGCGTCCCACGAATCAGCAGTTGGCTTCTCGAGCGCGTCAATAGAGGCGCCTGCGTCGACAAACTTGAGCGACATGGCTGGACTCGCTGGCACTGTCGAGCCCGCGTCGTCGTCAGATGGCGTGGGAAGGGAGCCCTGGTGCAGCGCCCTGATTTCGCGCAGCGCCGGAACCGCCGCAGCTACGCCAGACGCAAATGCCTCGACGCACTGCCAGCCCTTGTCGGCGCGCCCACGTGCCTGCTCCAGGCTGTTCTGCGCTGCCTCGGCCATCTCGGCGGCCTGCGCGCGCAGATCCGTGAGCTGCTGCAGCATCTCCTGCTTCTGCAGCAGCGCATCGTCGAGTCGCGCCTCGAGCGCACGTGCGCGCTGCTCGGCGTCAGACTTGTGCTCGCGCAGAACCGCCACTTCGCCGGTGAGCCGCTCGACCGCCCGGTTGGCGCTGTGCCGCGTCAATGGCGTCTCGGGGTCGGAGTCGTCGGTCTCGCGGGCCACGCACCGCTGCTGCAGCACGCGCACCTGCTCCTCCAGCGCCCGCTGCGCCTGCGCGGCCTCGCTGGTGAGACGGTCGCGCTCGCTGCGGTGGGAAAGGCGAAGCCCCGCCAGCTGTTGCTCGAGGGACGCGCAGCGCTCGCTCATGCGCTGGGCATAGCCGCGGGCGCCATCCTCGATGCGCGCAGCATCGCCAGCCAGGGAGCGCAGGGCAGCGGCCAGGACGGCTTCCTGGTGGTCGTGCAGCCCACTCTCCATCAGCCGGAGCTTCGTGGATAGCTCGGAGATTTCGACCTCGACCTGCTGCACCCGGGTGTTGGCGCTGCTGAGCTCCTCGGCGTGCTGCTGGTTCTTGGCCTTGAACATCCCGCCGTTCTTGTGCAGCTCCGCCAGGCTTTTGGCCGAGTCGCGCATGCGCATTTCCAGCGCCAGCCGCGTGCGTGCCGACTGCAGCCGCGACTTGGCCGCCGGCACCTCGCGCACGTACCGCTCGTAGTCCGCCTGCGCCAGGATCTTGCCTGAACCCATATGCAGCAGCACCGCCGCCACGCTGCCTGCTGCTGAATGAATCGAGCCGCCTGCTGCCGTTGACAGCGCCGGGTCGAGCCGGTCGAAGGACCGCGTGCCTAGCGCCTGCACCAGCGCTCCAAATAGGCTTTGGTCTGTCTGTAGATCAAGCTCGGCCGGCTCATCCTCTGCTGCCTCTGATGTCTGCGACAGCGCCCGCTGCCGCCCCAGCTCTGCAAGAGCGGCGGAGCTAGGCCGCGCATTGGCCACGACCGACCCGGGGCGCCGGAACGACCCGTGCCGCGAGCTGAACGTCCCGCTCGGGCTGTTGGCAGCGCTGGACGACCGGCTGCGACCCGCCTCCGTGGCCAGCTTTGCTCCGATGCTGGTGCGCGGCGACACCCCGCGGTAGGCGTCGCTGATGGCCACTGGGTCGGTGACAATGCGCAGGCTGTCTGGCTCGCCAAATGCTGTGTGTACCGAGCCGCGTCGCTTCGACAGTCCGTCGCTGCGCAGCCCACGCAACGCCGCCTGCGTCTCCTTCTCTGCCCCCAGGCTGCCCTGCGACTGCGTGAAGCTGACCTGCACGCCGGCCGCAATCGTAGCCGTCGGCTCGCTTGTCATTGCCTTGAGCCGCGACCGGTACAGACCCTCGTCGCTCAGATCGCTGGCGAATGAGCTGCCGCCAGGCGTGTCCACGTGCGGCACCCGGTACGGGAAGCCCTCTGCATCTTCCAGCTCCGATGGCTTATCCGCATGCTCACCGCTGCTCTCAGGGAGGCTTGCCTGGCTGCTGGTCTCTGGCCCAGCCTCAAGTGTCTCTGCCCGCTGCCTGACCGATCCCCCGGCAACTGACGACGCCCGGCTATGCCTGCCGCCCGGACTAGCAGCGCTGGCATCGCCGAATTTGCCAAACAGCGCCGCTATACTGCGCGCATCCTTTGTTCCCTGCGACGACCCGTCGAACAGCGACACACGCTCCGAGACCGACGGCGAGTTCGAGTGCCGCCGCGCAATCACCGGGGTTGTCAGCGGCAGTGCCTCGGATGTCTCGGCTGCCTCGCCCAGGTTGGACTGGCTGAACCGGTTCGCCAGGTTCTTGATCCGGTCGCTGATGACTCGCCGGCTCGCCGCATCTGCTGCCTGCGCCGCCGGCGACGTCCGATCGAACCCAGCCTCGTCGCCCGGCAGCGCACCGAATCCCATCGACTTGTCGCTGTCCACCGTCACAGCCGAGTTGATTTTTTCGACACGTGTCGTGCTGCGTGCTCCCGGGCTTGTGTCAATGCCCGGCAGCCCAGTCATGCCGGCCAATGCCGAGGTGGTGCGCATGGGGAACTCTCCCTCCTGCATGTCATTCGGCTGCGGTGTCGCCTGCGGTGTCGCCTGCGGTGTCGCCTGCTCAATGCTCGCCTTGTCGCTGCTGGGCGAGTGCCGGTCCTCCAGAGTGCTGGGCGTCAAGGGAGCGCTGCTCACCAGCGACTTCTCCGGCGACGTCCCGAGAATCGAGTCCGCCACTGGCGACCCCAGGCTGTTCATGCGGAAGTTGCTGCTGCCCCGCGGTGCGTCTCGCCGGATCTCCTCCATCGTCGCCTTGGTCACAGGCCCCGCGTGGCCCTCCATCGCCAGGTGCCGGATCTGCGGGTGGCTGCCGCTACGCAGCCGGCTCTGCGCCTGCGCTGCGCTGCCGTTCCCCCACAGCTTCTTTTGCCCCGAGCCCGGTGACTGTGCCTCGTCGCTCCTCTTTTCGCTTTTGCTGCCTCGCTACACCCAAACCACGAGTGCTTGTCCATCAGTTCCCTCAGCTGCAAGCTGTAATCAGAATACCGCAAAGAGATGTCCGCATGAACTTACCAGAAGCCGCTTCATCGCTCTGTCTGTGTTGTTGTTGCTGCTGTGTTGTGGCTGGTACCGTTTGCAAATAATGCCAGGATAAATTTTCTGAAAGAACTGTTTTGCAAAGGATATAGAGGACAAATATTCCCTGTCAGGGCTCTCCCAGTAGCTATGCCTCTCTCTACGTCAAGAAATAAAAGACCGTCTGAGGGTGAAACCAGCCCGTGCGCCTAGGATTATGAAAATGGTGGAGAAAGTTGATGTGGTGGAGAAAGCTGGGTCGTTTCTCTTTTTAGCGCATACGCCAAAGTATAGTAGAGAATCCTCCGCTAACACTATTCCGAACTGGGGGGAGGGGCGTTCTTGGTTGTATTGGTCCACGCTGCTAAACCTTCCAGCGTTTCAAATTAATATGAACCGAGGAGGAGTGTTGGACAAGACTAAAAACTCTAATAATTCACTGCAATGAGAAAAGAAAGAAAAACCGCTTGCTAAGAAGAAAGAGGAGAACAACCGCTGCTGAGGGGATGTGCCCCTACTCTAGATTGTTAGCCTTGGGAATTAGGGACCAAAGGGGCGAAAGGCCCGCTCCCAGCATTCTCGAGCGACCCCTACTGATCACCAGCTCCCCCTCCCACACCACTCACTGGCCGCGCCGGCTCTTCGTCTCTGCCTGTGTCCAGCCCTCCGGCTGGTAATCCTCGCCAGGCGAGCTCTTCTGGAACGCCTCTACAGCAAAAAAAAAAAAAAAGAAACGACAACTATTAGACTCAGGAACTCAATCCCAGCTCCTCCCCTACTCACGTTACACATACTCTGTTTGCTGCCCTCGATTGCCCGCTGCTCCCGCTCCTGCAGCATCCTGACATTCATGTCCATCTGCTGCCGCCGCTCAATGTCCGCCAGCAGCTCCTCCGCCGTGGGCGCATCTATGCGCGTGTGCCGCATCCACGCCTGCCACTGCACCGGGATCCGGTCGTCGCGGAACTCGCTCACCGCGAACCGCTCGCGGTACATCACGTGCCGCCGCGTCCGCCTGCTCCCCACATTGAACGCCCGCTCAAAATACATGTTGCCCTCCAGGTCCATGCCCCGGAACACGTCGCGCCGCCACGGAAACCGCAGCGACTTCCACTGCATGTACGCTGTCCTAATAATCCCCATTTGTGCGGTAAGAATGATAAAGAAATATGCTGGTTTCTAGCCCCCTCACCGGACTGGCTCGGCTCGTGCTGTGGGACTCCGCTCACTGCACACGAGTGAATCGATTATGGACATTCCTCCACCACAAATGCCGCCAGTGGTCTCTGCACATAATCCTGGACCACCCACTGGACCACCTGCACACATATACGTGCACACATGCCATATGCCTCCCCAGTGCCACATGCACTCTGCATGCTTTAAAAATAGAAACGCAGCCCAGCCACCATCTTTACTCACAACAGATAGCCCCATTCTTTGTAGCACATTCATCCAAAAAAAAAAAAAAAAAAAAGCAGTATCACCTACAAACTCCAAAAAGATAGGTGCATTCAAAGAACATCGGTGCAATGCCAAAATGAGACAAAAAGTGTGGAGGACCTGGGTATCGATCCCAGTGCCTCACGCATGCGAAGCGCGCGCTCTACCATTTGAGCTAGACCCCCAGTCATTGGATCTCAAGAGGATTGCTGATCAAATTCTCTTTCCAACTTCTGTCGTGTCTGCAGCGAGCAGCATTTCCTCCTGGTCGGAGGTGACTGCTCCCACAGAGGGTTGGGGGGCATTCGGGCTTGCTGTACCTGCCCCTCTCGGCGTACTCGGAGAAGTAGGCATCGTCATAATAGTGTTTGGAAATATAATAAATTGAGGTCACAAATATGGAAAGTCTGTTCAGCGGTCGTCGGTCGTTCTCTCTGTCTTTCGTCGATTATGTTTTCTCTGTCTGTCTACAATCCATACCTTTTATAGTAGGATATTACCCTGCTCAACACGGCGACGTCGACTACATTTGTCAGCGTCGGGCACTTATGCACAACCATGGAAGGTCGCGACATACATACCACCCATATATGGCGTATCGGGTGGCGCAGTAGCAACCAGTCGTTGTCGATCACTCGGGCATCAGATCATCGGGCAATTCGGGGGCTCGGCTCGGAGCTTCAAGCCCAGACGTCGTAGACGCACGACATCCACCAGGGCCAGCTGAGAACTCCGGTCTCTGCGAGGAAATTCGCTTGAAAAAGGTCCGCAGTCGGTTCCCGCTTACTACACTCTTGAATGGCGTTCCATCCAACTCTGACAGGAGGTACACATTCGGGTTCGGTTGCGCCAACACACGGTAAGGTCCCTGCCAGCGTGGCAAGAACTTCCTCTCCTTCGTCGTCATCCATTCGTTGGCCTTCAACAATACCAAGCTTCCCACATCATATGAGGTCTTTCGCAGCATCTTCGTTCGATCGTAGTACGTCTTGGCTTGTAGTCGGGAGTCATCAAGTGCAATGCCAGCAACTTCACGCATGCAAGTGCTCAACATTAATTGTCGAGATCGATAGGCAAGCAGCTCCTCGGTCGTCGTCACTGCATCCCAATCGAAGACAACCCAAGTATCATGCGCAACATCCACAGGTAAAGCACAAGTCTGCCCATATAGCAGTTCATATGGCGCATAACCGGTCGTGCGTTTGGCAGTGATCCTGTCAGCCCATAGAACAGAAGGCAAGTACCGTGGCCAATTCGCCCAATCTTGTGGCATCAGAAGATTCTTGGCCATCGCTCCTGTCAATACTGAGTACCCTCGCTCCACCATACCATTCGTCGCGGGATGATATGCCGTAGTATATGACATATGCACACCATCCTTCTCCAAAGCTAGTCGCACGACGCTATGCCACAACTCTCCTCGATCGGCCACTATCTGTGCAGGTACGCCGAATCTGCAAATCACCGACTCGTACAGAAACTGGTACACCTCTGCAGTCTCCTTGGTCTTCAGCGCTTTTGCCTCGACCCATCCAGTAAAATCGTCACGCGCCACAGCCACATACTGGTAACCATCAGAACTCTGTGGCCACATCACCAGATCGACACCCACCCTAGAGAACAGTGATGATCCCAAGTTTGGATTCAATGGTGCAGCACTCTCCCGCTTGTCAAACAGCTGACAGACTGGGCAGGTTTTTACCCAGTTGGCAGCATCTTTCAGCATGCTGGGCCAGTCGAATCGCTCCTGTAGCACTCGTTGTAAAGCCCGAATCCCTCGATGCCCTGCTGGATTTCCCTGATGCACTGCTGCTAGAATTCGACGCTGTTCGGCAGAATCCAGCACAACCCTGGCTGGCATATTGGTCTTGCGTCGTCGGAACAACAACCCTTGATGAAAAAAGTAGCGTTTAGCTTGCTCACGAATTCGACGCCGTCCTCGCGCATCCTCTGGTAAGTCTCCTGTAGATAAGAACTCGACTAGCGGGCGCCAATGGTCACTGGCGACTGCGTCCAAGTGGCTAGCCTGATACACTTGGTCTAATCCTAAATAGGCAAAGGTAGAACAGGCAACTCCAACTGAAACAGCATGCACTGCACTCCCATCATCAGTTCCCACATATTCGGCACGGCTTAATCCATCAGCTACTACATTCTTGTCCCCAGGTATATGGCGCACATTGAAGTCGAACATGAGTAGGTAAGCGATCCACCGAGTAGCGACATCTGAAGGGAGATCTGGCTTGGCAAGCATACCAAGTACTGGCTTGGCATCAGTCTCAAGGACGAACCGGGTCCCATAGAGATATCGCCGCAACCTTTTTACCATCATCATCAACCCATAAAGTTCCCGCTTGACCTGCGCATATCTTGTCTGTGGTCCCTTGAATGTGTAACTCTCGTACCGGATAACATAACGTTCTCCATTCTTGTCCACCTGCCCTAGCACTGCACCAACACCCATCGGACTTGCATCCACTGTCAGAATCAGAGGTCTGTCGGCGTCATTATACTCAGCTGGTCTCAAAATCGGCGATGTCATTAGGACCTGTCTCAGCGTGTCGAAAGCTGTTTGCTGCTCCTGACCCCATATAAATGGTTGCGACTTCCGTGTTAACAGGTATAGCGGCTCAGCAAGAAGAGCAAAATCGGAGACCCATGCACGGTAGAAAGCACAAGTAGCAATGAATCGGCGGACGCCTTGGACATCCTTGGGTGGCAACCAGTCACGTATTGCAGCGACATGGTCACCAGTGGGTAATCGACCCTCTGGTGTGCACAGATATCCCAGAACCTCAACCTGCTGCATACCAATGAATGTCTTTGCTCCGCTTACTGTCAGACCGGCTTCAGCGAGCTTACGAAACACACGGCACACATCGTCAGCATGTTGTCGTACAGCATCACGCACTTCCCTTTGCTCAGCTATCGGCAGCGTGCCTCGTGGTCCCAGGATAATGCCGTCATCGATAAAGATCCGCACCAGGTGAGGAATATGCTCTCTCAGTATCGTGGTCATAATACGCTGGAAGTGACCCACAGAATTGCACCACCCCATGGGGAGCCGCGTCATCCGTAGTAGGCCCAGAGGGGTCTCAAGAGCCATCTTGTCCCGATCCCGCAGATCGACTGGAATTTGGTCATATCCGCTGTACAAGTCGAATGTCGTCAATAGGGCGCGTCCACATACATCCTCGGCAATCTCGTCTCCAATCGGCGGTTTCCCAGCATTTCGGATAGTTACTTGATTCAGCGGCTGTAAATCCTGAATAAACCGCAGCTTAGACTTGTCCTTCTTGGCAATGACAAACCATCGGTTTGCATATGCACCTATGGCTGGCTCTAGTACTCCCGCATCTAGCTTTGTCTGGAGAAGTTCGACAACTCGCTCGTATAGCCCTTTGGCGACTGGGTATGCCCTGTACTGCCATGGCTTATGCTCCACAGTAGGAATCCGCACAGGTGGCTCAACGTCATCGACTAATAATCCCATCTCGCTATCGTTGAATGCAAACGCTGCTTGCACATCTGGTAACATTGTCCGAAACATATGGACCTCAGCCTGCGTTAGTGCTCCATCACCTATATGCATCTGATCCAATTTCTTGCTATCCAGCACGGTCCCAGGGCTCTTCGCTTTGGGCATATGTGAGCGACTTAGTTGCATCTCCTCAGGTAACTCGGCGTCGACTGGTCGAACCTTCTGCGCAACAGGTTTGTACTTGGCCCCAGCACATACTCGAAAAACGCGCTGTACTAGCTCTGCATGAGCAACTACTTCCTCATCTTCCCCAAGTTGAAATGACTGATGACTAAGCGGTCCAACAACGTCCTGGTCTAGAATCGGAAAGGCAGCGACTGCAGTCCCATCAGCTACGAAATAATGGCGTACTCCATCCAAGCAATCGACCTTGAAATCGGCGACATGTAGATATGGAAGTCCTAATAAAACCTTGAAACCCATGTCAGGATATGCATGTAGTGTGGTTCTCACCAGAGTATTGCCAATACGAATTGGAACATCCTGTGCCTCCAAACTGGTACGCTTCTTTCCGCTGTTCACATCAAACATTGTGTGCACAATGCCCACAGTGGTCAGCGGCAGACCCACAGCCTTGGCCCAGTTGACATCGATCACATTGACTTCAGACCCAGGATCTGCGATGATCTCGACTCGTTGGTTGCCCACATTTCCCCACACAACAGCTGATCGCAGTGAAGAAACCCCATTGATGGCAATAAGCTCTAACTGCCTTGCATACTGGTCACGTTCGCGCTCTGTCATCTGCCTAGTTTTTGGCTCCGCCACCCTTGTGTACTCTATAGCCCGATTGACTTGGCTCAGAGTCCCCGTTGCTGCAGCTGCGCTGTTTGTATGCACAGAAATATGTCCACTATTGCCAGTTGCTGCCGCTGTCGCTGTCTCTGTTGCATTCCTTGCACTCTGACCATTCGCTGTTACCTCTGTTGCTGCTGTGGGAACATCTCGACGCTTCCGTACTATCGCCTTCTGCATAACGTCACGTGCCTCAGAGCTGATGCCAAGCAGGGTACCTAGCGGAATCTCTACTTTAGTACCTGCAAGCAACTTCCTCACATCATCCTTCTTCGCATCCATCTCGAAGTCAGAAGCAAGGTAGAACTGCGCCGGTGGTCTGCTCTGGGGCTCAGTCCTTGTATAGACTTCTCGCATCTCAGGACGATTCGCAACAATCGGGATAGGCCTAATAGTATCAGTAGATACATTGCCATCATTGTCACCCATCACCTGCTCTCTACCCTGCAGCCCATTGTTGCTGGTTCCTGAAACGCGTTCCTCGCTGTCAACAGAATCCCTTCTGTTTGCTCCTAAGCCGCTGGTCACATCAATAGCCGTAGTCACCTCAGGAGCACTAGTGGCAGCTGTAGTAGCTGCCTCCTCAGTACTGCCATTGCTTGCTGCTGCTGCACGAGTCGTGGGTGGTCTAGCATATGGCTGAGTGCGTCGTCCTCCAGTACTAGTAACTTCTGGTATCCCATGGGTATTCGTGCTGGGCCGCCCACGGCGAGCAGCCCATACAACTTTTCCCTCATCGTCATCCTCCTCCTGATCCACTAATCTGCTCTGGTTGCGAATCAGTCTAGCAGTTGCCTGAGAGGCCTCATAGCGCTGCTTCACTAGTGCAATCATTCCGCCATTACGGTAGTTGGGATCTATCTCTAGGCCATCTGGCCAGCAGACAAGACGATCCTTAAGCACCACTTGGTTAGCACGTAAGGCAGTGGTCAGCTCTTGACACTGCCCCTTGTTGTGTGCTTCGCTAGCACAGAACACGCAATAGGGACTACGATTCATAGCTGGAGAAACCGTAGTCTTCGGTGCCGCATTCCCTGTGGTCAATAGTAGCGCCAATTTCTCGAACTCCTTGGACAGTACATCCATAACCTCAGTCTTGGCACTATCACTGCTCGCTGTTGCCTCCACTGATCTTTTGTCAAGAGTGGTATTGACAAAAGCATCAGAAGGCAACCCTGGTACTGCGTCGTCACCATTCACAGATGTCATAAGGTCACCGACCTCATATTCCGTCGACTCGTATTCATCGGCATACTTGTCCAGTGCATCTGCGAAGTCCACAAAGGTCTTGTTGGCATTGTAGATATGCAACACCTGCTCACGCCATCTCATAGGAAGTCTCTTGAAGAGATAGCGGCGCTTCATCCCATCTGTCAGCCCATCGATACGGCTCAACAGAGTGCGCATACGATAGATCTCAGCTGAGGGCGCAAGACGGTCAAAGGGCTGACTGAACTGCTCCTCAACACACTTCAGCAGATAATCACTGTCATCTCTCCCTAGGCTAAGTAGCTTGCGGATGCTCCTCTGGAGCAAATCCCACTTGATCTCCTGGCCCTTGAACTCAATGTAGAGGATCTTACGATCAGGCTCAGGCATTGCAGCAATCACACGACTACACAGGAGTGGCTCTGCAATAGCCCCATCTCGCAATAGAGTGCTGTACTCACTCAGAAGGTAGGCACCATTCTGACGGGTGAACTTTTCAGCATGCCAGTTGGGCAGTGATGCATAGCTGGGAATCCCCCCCCGTCGGGCTCCATTTGTCGTGTCTGCAGCGAGCAGCATTTCCTCCTGGTCGGAGGTGACTGCTCCCACAGAGGGTTGGGGGGCATTCGGGCTTGCTGTACCTGCCCCTCTCGGCGTACTCGGAGAAGTAGGCATCGTCATAATAGTGTTTGGAAATATAATAAATTGAGGTCACAAATATGGAAAGTCTGTTCAGCGGTCGTCGGTCGTTCTCTCTGTCTTTCGTCGATTATGTTTTCTCTGTCTGTCTACAATCCATACCTTTTATAGTAGGATATTACCCCACTCAACACGGCGACGTCGACTACATTTGTCAGCGTCGGGCACTTATGCACAACCATGGAAGGTCGCGACATACATACCACCCATATATGGCGTATCGGGTGGCGCAGTAGCAACCAGTCGTTGTCGATCACTCGGGCATCAGATCATCGGGCAATTCGGGGGCTCGGCTCGGAGCTTCAAGCCCAGACGTCGTAGACGCACGACACTTCGAGGGTTGCACAGAAATTTCTGTATTTGTTGAAAGTGTGCACATGACCTGACTGCCAAAAACAACCAATACTTCAAGTGTCTGATTGCTGCAATCACACTTCCTCGCTAGGACATAGCATACTATCCACAATGTATTTAGGTCTGTCGTCTTTCCGACTGTGTGAATAGGTGACACGGTGTTATGCTTGCATAGTGCTATACAATTTTGAACACTGGCTGCAGCCATCATCCGTACCCATGCTTGCAGCATGCCTAGTGTGCAAACCACTTGTGTAGCTGGTGGTATACCATATACAGGCATACCCCATGCGTCTCTTCCATTTAGTTGATTGCCAGATATAATTTCTAGGTGCGTGATCGACTAGTTTCATGCGCAAACAGAGTATCAGGACCAGACATCCCTTCCCTCTATGAGGAGGATGGCATCCTGTCCAAGTGCCAGTATTTGCGCTGATCCTTCACATCCTTTTGCTGGCTGGCAATCTGTTGGTTGGCAGACATTGTGGTTGTCATTGGGCCAAGCTCGCCATGATTTATTTGTGAGCGAAATTTTTTCCTCACTTGGTGTCAATTGAATGCGCGAATCTAGCTCAGGCAATCTTGCAACTGCTCGGGCTATTTTGTAGTAAATGCGGTCTCTCACGGCCCATTCCGGCCTGCAGCCAGCATAATTACTGGGCCATTCCAACAGACTTTCAGCCAGCAGGATAAATCCACTCTGGAAGCATTGGTGGAGCTTATGTTTCGATTTCGTTATAGTGCTCTGACCTCCCTTACCCAGGCAGTGCAGACATACACATCTCTTTCCCGCTCCTTGCTACCCGCATCCCGAATATTATCCCAATACCTTCACTTTTCTTCCTTTCTGCCAATACGTCCTCACATTCTTTTTATATACCCTAAGCCGCACATGGTGGAGACAAATATACTCTTCAGGCGTGTACCCAACGCGGATACCGCTGTTCAGGCAGCACAGCAGCTGAAGTCCACAGTCGACCCGATTGGACAGCTTGACCGGATAACAATATATGTCGGCGCATCGCTCCATGCCGCCACGCTCCTCTTACTTATCTACGCGTTCTTCAATCGCAAGTACGCACCGATTCGGGCCAAAAACATCTTGCTCACTGGGCTTGTGTTGTTTGCCGGAATAATGGTGTTTGTTGGCGATATTGCGACCAACGGGCATGTGGAGCTGGTCGGTGTATGGTCGAAATGCAAAGTGTGGTGTCTGTGGTTCCGCGTATTCTTCGCTTACACGTTCAGCGCAGCCATCGGCATCCGCACATACGCACTATACCGCGTGTTTGTTCAGCACCAGCCGTACCGCGGATTTGGATTTTATGTGCCAATTATCGGCATGTTCGCATTGGTGCTGGCATTCTGTTTGACGACGCAGTTTATCAGCGACGAAAAGACCGTTAAATATGTGCCGGAGCTCGAGTTTTGCACGTATGTGTGGGCTTTCCGTGGTGCCTGCCTCGGGCTTTTGTGGGTGATCTGGCTGGTTGTGTTCTACTTTGTGTTTATGATCCGTAACATCACCTCGTCGTTCAACGAGCGCATCGAGTCGATCGTGTGCTGCATTCTGGCACTCACCATCATCCTATTCACTACCCTGATGCACACACTCCATCCCGAGTATCCGCTGAACCAAAGCTACCGGGTTGCCAACACGTTCATCGATTTCTGCATGTGCAATGTTGTTATAGTCGTTATCTTGGGGTACCCGTGCTTCCAGTGCATATTTAACCGCGAAAGATATCTGGAAGATTGGACGGCAAAGCTGAGAGCCGATGGGCTGAAGAAGGAATACAAGGTTTCGACCAACACGCGATCGAACACGTACCCTTACGCGGCGATGGATGATGGCGATGATGAGTTCCAGAAGAGTCCAGCATTCTGGGCGGCCAGAGCATCTTCATGTCAATCAATACGCACCGGCACGGGCTGGGCCAGAATGCTCAACCTACAGTTAGCAGCTAGTAGTAGTATGTTGATGTGATAGCTATTAAAATAATCGTTTATCTTTCAGTGTTGCTGGACAGTGATGTCATCGATGCAAGGTCTGGTAAAATTTGGATTTGGCTTGGATCGGAAAGTTCACTCTTCTCTTTCGCAAATTCACTCCAATTTGTTAAACCGTCCAACTCTGTTGCAAATGTCGCTGCTGGAGAATGCACAAACGTTACTGGACACAGTTCTAGACACTTACTCACAGGGCCATTTGACAACCATCTATGCCGATTCAACCGCACTCCAGCTCATTAACGCTACTGCAGCCGGCGGCGTACTTGGCGTGCTCGAAGGCCACGATGGCAGGGCCATGAGAGCTCGCAACATCAAGCAGCTGGACGCAGATATACCGGTAGGGCTGGAAAGCATCGGGCTGACTGACGGCCCACATGTGCTGTTTCTACTTGGGTCAACGGACTGGCCGCAGACAGGCTTGCGAGCAATTAGGCAGGTGCTGGCAGCAAAGGGATATGAGAGGTGTACTGTGTGCGTGCCAACAAGCGAGGACCTGTGGCACGAGGCAGCAGCAGCGTTTCGGCCTGACAACTTGGGGGGCATTGCATTCGACAAGGACAGCCTGCGTGGGGCATTGCATAGGTGGTTGCAGGCGGGCAATAGCGCAGTGGGTCGACAGGCACAGGTGGTGGCAGATGTGCAGGTTGTGCCGATGCTCGGTGCGATTGCGCTGGGCGAGGGTCTGTTTGTGGTGCCTGACAGCAGCCGGGTGTTCCCTAGCATCAGCACCGGACACGATGGGAGTGAGGACGAAGGAGCGCGGCAGATGGTCGACCGGGTAGCACTGAATGTGGCTGCAGTTTTGAACGGACTGCAGATGGAGGGCGATTTCTACTCGCTAGGTGAAATGTCACGGCGGATTAGTCGGCGCAGCATGGGCATGGTGCGCAGCCAGAGTGGAGTCGCCGGTAAGCCCAAGGCAGCGGTAGTGTTTGTCGACCGGACCCTGGACCTGGTGTCACCATTGCACCACAGTGGCCACATCCTCGACATGCTGTATAAGGCGTTGCCCAGTCTTTCGTTGGACCAGTGCGACCACGATCGAGAAGTGGGCGGGCAGTCGCTGCTATCGACGTTCCGGGTACAGCCAGCAAATGGGGGTGTCGGTCTGTGGGAGACGCTCTTTCTGCAGGACCAGATGGTTGCGCTGCAGATTCTGCGACGTGAGCTGCTTGGCATCCTCAAGGCCGCGGATATGCAGATCGAGCAGGGCTTACCGCCCATGACAGGCAAGGCAACAGCTGTGCAGCTGCAGGCGCTTGTGGATGCGTGCTTGGGAAACCCCTCTGTGCTAGAAAAGGCCGATGGGCTAGTGCTGTTGGCACAGGCAGTGATTGATTCAGAGCAGGTCAAGGAGACCGAGAACTGGAGCCAGATTGAAGGTGCTGAAAAGACGCTAAAGCTCGTGCTTGGTGGGGTCAAGGACTCGCTGGCTGAGGCCGAGCTGGCCGACGGCGGGTTTGCAGACGACTCGGTTGCAGCCGAGATGGAGGCGGCCTGGGACCAGGTGCTCTCGAGCATTCCAGCGATCTCCTCCGCAACAGTGGCGCGGTGTGTGGCTGCAGTCAGTTCGGGGATATCTATCGAGGACGCAGTTTTCGCGCACACGCCGGCGCCCTCGATGATTCTCATGGCTGCGTCTCTGCTGGCGCCTGCCAAGTCGGGGATTTCCTTTTCGCAGCAGTCCTTGGCCGCGCAGCGGCTGGCCAATGACTTCTCGATGGTCGCGGAGGCAATCCCTCTGGACAGGAATCAGCAGGCCGAGCAGTGGGCAGCCAGAATTGTTGACATTGCACATTCTGTCGCAGTGAGCGAGGGCATGCGGGATGGGTTAGGGCACTGGCGGCAGCTGGCGGGCCTGTCGAATGGCATGGGGGGCCTGTATGTGCCGCTGATCGAGCGCGTGGCCAGAGACTTGGCTGAGGGCGGCGGCACAGGTGACCTGGAGCACGCCGAGCAGAAGATGGCCAAAGCGAGCAAAATGCTCAAGGGTTTCGGGTAAGGAGCTAGTTCCACTCTGCCAGAAAAAAGGGCAGCTTCTGAGCTTGCTCGAGGGTCACGAGTTGCTGGCCCTTTTGGAGGAAGCATGGGAAAAAAGCCCAATTCCACCGTGTCTCTTTTTTTTTTTTGCTAGCCCTGCTGCCAGTGTAGTAGACTGGGCGTGTTTGCTTACTATCTATGCGATATCTGTGTGCTTTGGTTGACTTATCGCTGATGAATCGATGGGTACTGCAATCCACACAATTCCCGAAATCTGCCACACTTCAGGTTATCTTGCCTCGCTCACTATAATCACAATGCACTGATCGTTATTACTCACTGTCTTTTGGTTTTAGGCGGCGTCTCTTGTCAGCAGGCCACGCGACCGACACGCAGCGCACCGGACAGACGCAGGGCGATGCAATCAGCCATAGCACAATTCTGGTGTTTGTAGTTGGCGGGGTGACATTCGGCGAAGCTGCGCAGCTGGCAAAGCTTGCAGCAGCCGAATTCGGCGGGCGCAGACGGCTGCTGGTGGGCAGCACCGGAATCAGCACGGCGGCCAGCATCGGCTCGCTTCTTTCATAGACACGAGCATCGCAGCCCTTTCTGTCTGGGCATCCAGTGTTTTTACCGCGGCTAGTGCGCCAGCGATTGCGCCTAATCTTGCAAAGTCGCCGGGGGAGCAGATACCATGGCTACCCGCCTTTATACCCGTCGATTAAAATCGCCGCAAAGTCAGAGGGCACATTTGGCGGCAGGACGGAACGTGCAACCGCAAGAGATAAGTCTGTGCTTGCGGCCGTTTCTAAAAGCAGGAAGGGAGATCGACTCCAAAAAAAAGTAGCGACGTTAAAATGACGCTGCTGCTGCCTGTGGAACTGGCCGCCTGAAGCGCAGTGGCCAGCCTGAAATTTCGCCGCATTTGTCTTGGGCCGCTTCCACCGGGTTTGTAGCTTTTTTTTTTTTTCATTCCACCGTGACAAAAAATTCAATATCACAAAAAAGCACTTCCCACAGGCCCACTGTTACCCCGGCATCTTCCGTTCGTCCTGTATAAAAGGCGCAAGGCGCCGAACACCCCCTGGCACCGCCCAGTCTTGTTAACCACGCCTAAAATTTTCCTTCTCTTTTCTTTTTTCATTTTCAAACACCATGCTCTCGAGATCCGCTGCAACCAAGGCTCAGACCCTTGCCAAGCTCGGTAACATGACGCGCGCTGCGCCTCTGTTCCGCGCAGCCCTGCTCCACACACTCAAGCCGCGCCAGCAGTCAGCCGCGGCCGCGGCGACCGATGCTGGTGTTGCCGCCGACTCTGCCAGTGCCTCGGCAGCCGCCCAGGCATTCGCTCCCCTCGACACGTTCCTGCGTCGCCACAACGGCCCGCGCGACTCGGACGTCGACGCAATGCTGCAGGCGCTGGGCTTCAAGTCTCTGGACGAGATGATCTCGGCCACCGTCCCCGACGCCATCCGCCTGAAGGAGCCAATGACGATCGCCGACGGCGAGTACGCCGAAAAGGAGCTGCTGGCCAAGCTCAAGGACATTGCCTCGCAGAACCAGATCTACCGGTCGTACATCGGAACCGGCTACACAGACGTCGTTGTGCCACCCGTCATCCTCCGCAATATCCTGGAGAACCCCGGCTGGTACACCCAGTACACGCCGTACCAGCCCGAGATCTCGCAGGGCCGTCTGGAGAGCCTGCTCAACTTCCAGACCGTCGTCGCCGACCTCACTGGTCTGCCGGCTGCCAATGCCAGTCTGCTGGATGAGGGCACTGCTGCCGGTGAGGCTCTGGTTGTGTGCCTCAATGCCTCGCGCAAGAAGACCCGCAACGTCTTCTTCGCCGACGAGAACTGCCACCCGCAGACGCTGGCAGTGCTGCGCACCCGTGCAGAGGGCTTCGGTGCTGAGATTGTTGTTGGCGACTACAAGACCTTTGACTTTGCGTCGCTGGGCGACCGCTTGACTGGCGCGCTTGTGTCGGTAGGTATTCACGTGTTCACCCGCTTCTGTTATCTGGGCTGATCACTTTGCAAAACCATTTTTTGACTCGGTGGACGCACATCCGCCCCATTGTTTACTCCCCATTTTCGCTCACACCCGTAGCCACACTAACGTTTTTCCTTTTTTGCTGGCTGGTAGTACCCCGACACCTACGGTAACATTGGCGAGTATAAGGCGCTGGCTGACCAGATCCACTCGCAGGGCGCGCAGCTCGTGGCCGTGGCCGACCTTATGTCGCTGGCCGTGCTCCAGCCGCCCGGCGAGTTCGGTGCCGACATTGCCATCGGCAACACCCAACGCTTCGGTGTTCCCCTTGGCTTTGGTGGCCCGCACGCTGCCTTCTTTGCCACGACCGAGGCGAACCAGCGCCGCATTCCCGGCCGTATCATCGGTGTCTCCCGCGACGCCGAGGGCAACCGTGCCTACCGCCTCGCTCTGCAGACCCGCGAGCAGCACATTCGCCGCGAGAAGGCGTCGTCCAACATCTGCACGGCCCAGGCTCTGCTGGCCAATATGGCTGCCATGTACGCCGTCTACCATGGCCCCGAGGGCATCCGCAACATTGCTGACCGCATCCACCGCTTCACCCAGGTCCTGGCTGCCTCCGTCACTGCCGCTGGCCACACCGTCGAGAACACCTCGTACTTTGACACCCTGAAGATCCGCGTCGCCGATGGCTCGTCGGCTGCCGAGGTCCATGCCCGCGCCGATGCCCGCCGCATCAACCTGCGCAAGATCGACGACCAGCATGTTGGTGTGCAGCTCGACGAGGCCATCACCCGCGAGGAGTTGGCGCAGCTTGTCGAGGTGTTCAACGGTGACGTCTCCGCCCTGGACTCCCTGGTGACCTCGGTTGCCCAGACCGCCGCTGCCTCCGCTGCCATCCCCGCTGGCCTCGCCCGCCAGTCGGCTATCCTGACCCACCCGATCTTCAGCCGCTACCACTCCGAGACCGAGATGCTGCGCTACATCACCCAGTTGCAGAACAAGGATCTCTCGCTGGCCAACGCCATGATCCCGCTGGGCTCGTGCACCATGAAGCTCAACGCGACCACCGAGCTGATCCCCATTACCTGGCCCGAGTTCGGCCAGATCCACCCGTTCGCGCCCCGTGAGCAGACCAAGGGATATGCCAAGATGATCCAGGACCTCGAGGAGGACCTCGCCACTATCACTGGCATGGACGCAACCACGGTCCAGCCCAACAGCGGAGCCCAGGGCGAGTACGCTGGTCTGCGCGCCATCCGTGCCTACCAGGCCTCGCAGGGCGAGAGCCACCGCAACATCTGCCTTGTTCCCGAGTCTGCCCACGGCACCAACCCCGCGTCGGCCGTCATGGCTGGCCTGAAGGTCGTCATTGTCAAGTGCGACTCCAAGGGTAACCTGGACCTGGCTGATCTCGAGGCCAAGGCCGCCAAGCACGCCAAGAACCTGTCGGCCGTCATGATCACGTACCCGTCGACCTTTGGTGTGTTCGAGGAGGGCGTCCTCAAGGCGATCAACATCGTCCACAGCAACGGCGGCCAGGTCTACATGGACGGCGCCAACATGAACGCTCAGGTTGGTCTGACCAGCCCCGGCCACATGGGCGCCGATGTGTGCCATCTCAACAACCACAAGACCCTTGCCATCCCGCACGGTGGTGGTGGTCCTGGTGTCGGCCCCATCTGCGTCAAGAAGCACCTTGCTCCGTACCTGCCTGGCCACCCCGAGCTGGTCAAGGCTGATGGCACTCCCCAGAGCGCCGTCGGACCCGTCTCTGCCGCTCCCTATGGCTCCGCCGGTGTCCTGCCCGTCACCTGGTCGTATGTGAAGCTGCTCGGTGGCCGCGGCATGACCGAGGTCTCCAAGACCGCGATCCTGAACGCCAACTACATGGCGAACCGCCTGCGCGACCACTACTCGGTCCTGTTCACCAACGAGAACGGCATGTGCGCGCACGAGTTCATCCTCGACACGCGCCCGTTCGGCAAGACCGCCGGCGTCCAGGCCATCGACATTGCCAAGCGCCTGCAGGACTACGGCTTCCACCCGCCCACCATGTCGTGGCCCGTGCCCAACACCATCATGGTTGAGCCCACCGAGTCCGAGTCCAAGGAGGAGCTTGACAAGTTCTGCGACGCCATGATCGCCATCCGCGAGGAGATCCGCGAGGTCGAGGAGGGCAAGCAGCCCAAGGGTGACAACATCCTGACCAACGCTCCCCACACCATCTCCACGCTGTCTGCTGAGGAGTGGAACCGCTCGTACCCGCGCCAGCGCGCCGCCTACCCGCTGCCCTACCTGAAGGAGCGCAAGTTCTGGCCCAGCGTTTCGCGTATCGATGACACCTACGGTGATCTGAACCTGGTCTGCTCGTGCCCGCCCATGGACACCTACCAGTAAATCTGATATTCTCTTTTATTTCTGCCTCATTTCAACAAAAATACCGTACAGTAGCAAGATACCTTGTGCTCGCTATATATATTGTACTGCATGTTTTTTTCTCGCAGCCATGTGGATTCCAGGTTTATTTGAGAGGAAAGGGTGGGTGTATATTTACAGACAGATTAAGCCGTATTCGCAAAAATCCAGAATATGTACAAGTTCGCAGCAAGTGCTGCTGGCCAGGATAACCAGCAGCTACTTAGTCAAGGTCCAATGTTCCTCCCTTCTAGTATTGTCCCGTCTGCTTGAAGCTTTGCAACCCAGGAATACCATCTTCTGGTGCTTGCCTTAAAGGGCTCTGGTCATATACGGGGTGCGTGCCCTGTCATGCACGCTGTGGCAAGACCCGGGCACCCCGGCACTGTATATCCAGACCCTGGGAATGTTGCAACCCAGGAATATCATCTTCTGGTGCTTGTCTTTCGACGGCTCTAGCCATATACGGGTGCGTCCCTTGTCCTGTGCGCCTTCGGCTAGACACGGGCCCCCTGCAGTGTATATCCAGACGTCGGTGTGAAGGTGTGGCATTTGCCGTTGACGAAGCAGTCTTGGCGTCTCCCTGCCAGCAAGCAGAAATGGAGTGAAGGCGAGAGTGGGCAACATGTCGTGTCGGATATGTCGTTTGAGGACATGCAAGCGCAGGTGCGTGTCAGACTTGGAGTGCTTGTGAATGTCAATCAGACATCCTGATGAGGGACTGTATGAGTAGTGAGTGTTAAGAGGAAGGCATGAAGAGCTGGGGAATTTTGTTGTTGTGTTGATGTGTCGGCCGTCGAAGTCCAGCGTTCTCTGGGGCTTCTTTTATACCCGGCGAGAGCCTGTGTTTGCAGCACCAGTGCCCTTGGGTTAGGGAGGAGCTGCCGCTGTGTCCTTTAGGCTGGTGGTGTCTGCCATTTTGTGTTTTTTCTGAGTCGAAATCAGGAGCTGCAGACTTCACACAATGCCGACTATTTCCTAACTAGGCAGGTTATATATGCAAGAGCGTACCGCGTGGGTGGGATCTGCCATTGTGAATGGAACCAGCCCCTATCATCTGGCACGGCACATTTCGGCTCAGTCCTGTTATTTACATTGGTGATGCAATGGTGATGCAATACGCCGATAGTGTCGTTGCGAGAAACTCAGCCACTAGGTGCACAGGTGCCTGATCCCTAGATTCGCAGCCCAATAACAGATTGCACTGCCACCATGGGCTATATGTCATAGTACTCAGCTTGAAAGTCCGTCTCAATAGGTGTCGACACACGATATTATGCAGTGTTCAATGCCATGTATTTTCCTCTTGACAAGCGAAAGAAGAAGAGACCTTGTGCTAGATATGCATCCATAGTGTTGTAAGCGTTTCCTTAGTATAATTTCCCTTCCAGTAGGAGTATCAAATATGGACAGCTCACTTGCAAGCTCACTAGGAATATGAAGTTCCAATAGCGAGAGTTCCCACACAATCAATTGGTGAATCCATTCTTTGACAATATAATGGAAGTACTCCGCACTTGCAGTGAGCAAAAAGCGCTGCAGTGTTGTGCTAAGCAACACGGAAAGATCGCTCGTGTTCACATATATGACATGCTAATATTGGAGTTAGCAGGTCTAGACATCGAGATGAGCATCAGCGTCAAACTCACATGCCTGGGAAGTTGCATTATGATGCTCTTAATAAATGGAAATGTAACCTCCCAATGCCTTAGCGCCAGGTGTCTAGGGTCCAATCAGTTAACCATGGCTGTGGGAGTCAAAGAAATGAAATTCAACGATGCTGTTTGAATACCAGATTATAATGCTAGCATGCCCCTGTACGTTTCTATTTCCGTACTTTTGGCGTCCAACCTGTCTAATTGAAGAACAATTCTGAGAGCATTAGTGCTTCTGGTGAGGTTAAGAGATATGGATTATAGGCCGCCCTCAAATTCCTTCACTGTCAGTTCCTCCAAGGGTGTGCGATCGAAACTGTAGTAAGGTTTTCGTAATAGTTAAGGGCGTATGTCACATTTAGCGTTTACCGTCTCGGAAACCTCAGTCCAGTGAAAGCAAAATGCGCGACTCTCGATTGGGAATCAGCGTATTGAAACAGCAGCGTTAGCTCTGTTAAGCCAGATAGCATACCAGAGTCATTACCTCCATCGATGAACCACTCCTAGCCGAAATTGTCAGTAATCCCGTTGATGCACCGACTGTAGAGCTACGATAGGAATCCTAGCTTCTGGCAGTAGCGCGGATCAATATTTCAGATTGAGGTCGAGTATGGTGGGGTGGCTGTTTAGTGACTCCATGCTGTCAAATGTGCCAGGACTAAAAGTGAACGTTTTGATGTTTTCCTAGGAGATAGAGCAAGATCGAAACCTATCCAATGCTGCCAACAACATGCGTGTACCAAAGCCATACACAAGGATTTTTGTCTCTCTCGTTAGACCCATTGAGGTAATAATTCTGATATTGGTAGCCCACTGGGGTAAGATGGTACCGGATGAAACAGCCTGGGAACTTTGATACGCTTGTTTTCGATAATGTCAGCTTTGCATAGAGATGGCTTCCGAAGTTCCATCCACAGAAGGGATACTGTTGAGAATCAATAGAAATCCAAACATGTGTGCATGGTCGACCGTGGAATATCTATTGCCTCAGCTAAACATGATAGAATGTCAGCAACAATCTTGCCAGCAGCTAGCGTGTTCAAGTGAAGTGTTAGTCTGTGAATGTGGCATGTATAAGGCATCTAAGAGCCAGGAGGAAATGAAGAATAGAAGGCTGCATGCAGAAACAAGAGCGGCTGCGGATGGCTCATTATATTTATGTAAAACGGACACCATGCCACTAATCATTCTCAAAGGTCAGGGCTTTTCGATATCAATTGAAAGTCGCAGTTCATCACAAACATAATTCTGCTATATCCCACTTGTCAGTTTTGACGGGGGCAGCAACAATGGATTTGCGACAACGCGTCATAATACACGTGAATCGACTAGCATGAAGGTTATCATCAGTGACTTGAGATGGCTATCGATATGAATATTTACCGAGATTTCGGAAGAGGAAAAGGATAATGATATATGAATTAGTACTCGAACCCAGGGTACTTGGAATGGTCGTCCTTGCTGAAGTCCTGGGGCTTTACGCTGTTCTGGCACTTCTTGTTCTCAGTTGTGGCTCCGCACCACTTGATATCGCCCGCCAGGTTGTACCAGACCTCCTGGTTAAAGTGCCGGAATCCCATCGCCAGAGGCGGAGAATGGGGGACAGCGTCCTGCTTGTAGGTGACGCGGTAGATAGGGAACCCGCGCTTGTTCATCCACGAAGCAAACTCCTGGGTACCAACGCGAGGCTGCCCGTACGTGTACAGGTGCATTCTCTCAGTCAGCTCCGGTGTGCTTTTAGCGACATCGGCGGCGGTCAACGAAGCAAGTGCACCACCCAAAGAGTGTCCGACAAACACAACCTTGTATGTGGGGTACTTTTTGGCAAGCTTGTCGATCGACTTGCGGACAAACTTTTGCGACTTCTTGTAGGCCTTCAGGAAACCACTGTGCACCTCCGAGCCCTTCACGCCTGATGGCCAGTTGTCCTTAGTAGCCTGCACGTTGGTGACCCAGCCCAATGCCGTCTTGGTGCCGCGGTAGGCAACGATGATTTCCTTGGTCTTGCTATTAACCGCGATGTAGCCCTTGTTGCCCACACTAGGATAGTCCCAGTACCCAGCCACCTTGGTGCCAGCCGTGGCCTTTTGCTTGCATGCGACCTTGCAGTTCCACGTGTTAACTTTGTGGTTATTGTAAGCAGCGGCAGCGTAGTTGGCATACTTGACGAGGTTGGAGGAGCTTGTAACCGCGACGTTAGCGCGCTTGTCGAGCGAGGAGGTGGGGAGTGCAGTCGCCAGGACGGCAAAGAGGCCGATTGCTAGAGTTTTAAGAAGCATCCTTGGTCGGAGTTTTTTTTTAGATGACGAGTAGTCTTCTCGCTTTAGAAGAAGAGAGTAGTATCAATAGTAAGAGATATACACAGGTGCTGGATGATGTAGAGCTCATGTTCAACCAGGGCCATGAATGCCAGGTTATATAGCCGATTTAGCAGCAGCTATAAATGGAATAGTCTCATTTCTTGGTCAGCAAACAGTTCTGGATTCATTCATCAAAAACAGGCTTTCAGCAAGTTTGCACGTGTAGTGTGGGTATGTAGCGACTTTGCTCAGTAGCTTGGCATATTTTTAGAAAAATATATGAAGATCATCGTGCTGCATATAAAGGCATGCTTGACTCAAAGAACAGAGCTGCCTTTTACAAAGGATGCTGTTAGAATGTTCCCAACTAAGCAACCTCGTGGGTCCTGGTACAGGCGCATCTATTTAAAGCAGCATTCTGCATGACCTGTGCTAATTATATAGCGGTTCGTTCTGGAATGGTTGATGTATCGATGCAGATGCAATTGCTGGTACATGGAGTATGAGATAGCGCAGGTAGACAGCTGCTTTATTGAAGTTGTTGTCATTTCGCTAAATATGCTGGGTAGCTTGCAGCAGCTGAATCTAAAAATAAACGCATATCCACCTGCATAACATGTTGAAATGGCCGTAGGTAGGCTTGTTTACTTGTGACGGCTCTCAAACTCCAGCTCGAGACCAATTGGCGAGATAAGACCTGACGTTGAGGTTCGCGGCTTTGTTAGAAACGGGCTTCCTGCAGGCAAGCGCCAGACAAAACGGTGAACGAGATGTGCCAGCATAATGCGCTGAGTAAGCAGTGCAAACTTGTGCCCGATGCACTTGCGGCTGCCCTCACTGAACGGCGCCCAAGTGAACGGTACATTCGGGTGCCCGTTTTCCCTGGCCGAAGATGCAAACCGCTCGGGAATGAATTTGTCGGGGTTCGGATAGTACTCGGGGTTGTGCTGCATCGCCCACAGGTCGACCATGACCCAGGATCCCTTGGGCAGAGTGTACTTTCCCAGGGTGACAGGCTCTGTCAGCACACGGCGCACATCCGACACGACGCTGTTCTTGCGGAGCGACTCCTTGACAATCATGTCAAGGTCAGAGAGCTCGGCCAGCTGCTCGTCGGTGGGGAAGGCATCGGGAGCATCGCCAATGACACTGATGACTTTATCGCGCGCCCACTGCTGCACATCGGGGTTCAAGGCAAGCTCCATGAGCATGTGGTTCATACCGTAGGCGGTTGCATCGTGCCCGGCAACAAAGAAAATAATAGTGTTGTTGCGCAGCTCCTCGGTGGTCATTGACGGCAGAAGCTTGCCCTTCTCGTCATACGCGCCGTGGACCTTGGTGTGCTCATGTGCCTCAATCATCAGCGTCAGCAAGTCAGAGTTGTCGCGCTCCGTCTCACCCAGCGTCCCCGTTGCCAAGAGCTTCAGTCGCTTTTCCTCGATGGTCTTCTCGATGAACCGATGGAACTTCTTCAAGTTGGCAAAGGATTGAGCGCGCTTTCCTATCGGGTATTTGTCAAGTACTGGGAAAACAAGGTACAGCGGCTCAATGCCTGCCTCGACCACGTCCCAGCAAATTTCGAGCAGCTCACCATCGGTGTAGTCGAGGGCGCCCATGTTTATTCCCATGATGATGTTGCCAAGCAGGTCGAGTGTAGTGCGGCGGCAGATATTGTACACGTCGACCGCCTTTCCGCCATGGCCTTTGATGAGCTTCTCGACCTTGTCCAGGTTTTCGCGGAACATATCTGCAGGCCATGAGCGACGGAATGAGGGCCCGACGATGGCCCGGTGTGCTTTGAAATGGTCGCCGTTCTCGGTCATCAGGTTGCCACCAGCTGCAACTGCGCGGAACACGAAGGGAATCAGGTTGTGCATCTCTATCTTTTGGTATACGCTGGTCTTGAGAAACAGCTGCCGCGCAAACTCGGCGTTGTTCGTCTTGTACATCCACCGACCCCATAGGAACGACCGCACCAGACCAGTTTCCTTCAGTGCAGGCAGGTCAACCCTGTCGCATAGATCCTGTCTGCTTGGGTTGCTTTTGAACGTCCAGTACAGGGTCTTGTAAGCCGGGATATGCGGCACGCCGCCATCGTTGATGCTGGGGGGAACGAACAGCTTGACCAGCAGGTAGATAACGTAGATAGATGCAGCAGCTACCACGACATTTCGAATGCTGTACTCAGCGATGGCTTCGACAATAAGCGACATAGGACTAGTCAGTATAGCAAAATATGAAGTCGAGAATCTGCTGAAGATATTGGGCACATCTAATAGAGCTCTTGCGAGCAGGTGCCACCATGGCTTTAAAGTACCTGCCGTGCTCCCCTGGCTGGTTGTGCCGCAACTCGTAGGGTCACACAGAGTTGCATCGCGAAATGGAGGTGCGGCAAGCTAGTGCGCAAAGGATAATACGCCACCACTTGGCGTCTTGTGTCCCCTGCTCCCACTGCCTACTTCAAGCCTCCCGCGCACTGCCGCCCTTAATTACACTACGCCTCGAGTTGCACACCTACATTTTCCTAGCGGCCTTGCTTTTGTGTGCCATTGTCAGAGAAACAAACAAGGTCCCATGCTGGGCCAATGCTGGCCTATGCAAACCGCAGCCAATAGGCAACACTGCTGGTGCGCCGGAAAATCAAGAGCCGACTCCTAGCTCCATAGTAGCGGAGACACGATGTGAAGGAGCATTGCCATTGTTGAGTATTGTGCGGTAATAGCTAAAGCTCCTAAAAGCGGCTCTTGATGTCGACCATCAGCCCCACAGGCGAGATGAGGCCTGCCGGCGACGAAGGCGTGGTTTTCCAGAACGGACTGTCCTTGGGCAGCGTCCACTCAAACCTGAGCAACAGGAGTGAAATGGCAATTCGCTGCTCGATGAACGAGAACTTCATGCCCATGCACTGGCGGGACCCATTGCTAAATGGCGCAAAAGTAAACGGCACGCTCTGTGCCTTCTCGTCTGCAAACCGCTCGGGAATGAAGCACTCGGGCTCAGGGAAAGTACTGCGGGTTATAGTGCATTGCCCAGGTATCCACCGAGATCACCGAGCCCTTAGGGATTGTAAACTCGCCCAGCTGCACAGGCGCAGACACGCGGCGACGGATCTCAGCCAGAATGGAGTTCTTGCGCAGAGTCTCCTTGACGATCAGGTCCAGATACCCAAGCTCCTTCAGCTGGTCATCGGTCGGGTACACATCCTTGTTGTTGCCCAGCACGCTGACGACGAGTTCGCGTGCCTTGGTCTGGATCTCTGGGTGGCGCGCCAGCTCAAGCATCACGTATGACAGCGAATTGGCTGTGGTGTCGTAGCCTGCGACGTAGAACAGGTTGACGTTGCTGCGAAGCTGCTCGCGCGTCATCGGGGTGACCTGCTTGCCGCGCTCATCCAGCATCTTGCCAGACTTTGACTGTACGTACGCTTCAAGCAGCAGCGTCAGCAGGTCGGCATTATTGCGCTCATCGTCAGTCAAGGGTGGCTGCGTCTCCATCTTCGCCAGACGCTCGTCAATAATGCCGTCAATGAAGCTGTAAAAGTCCCACAGATATCCCCACTGCTTCTTGCGCTTGCCGCGCGCAAACAAGTCCAGCCACGGGAACATGTTATACAGCGGGTGCAGCATGGCCTCGAGCAGCGAGTCGTACATGGCGCGCTTCTTGTTGTTCGGGTCGCGCAGGGCGCGGAAGTCAAAGCTCATGATGATGTGACCAAGCACATCCAGGGTGCCGCGCCGGAACCACAGCAGGACGTCGACGGGCTTGGCACTCTCGCGCTCCAAAACGTCCATCAGCTCCATCATTGGGGTCTGGAACAAGTGAGATGGCCAAGAGCGCCGGAACGCTGGGTTCACTACGGCGCGGTGGCCGCGGTAACTGTCGCCGTTCTCAAACGACAGCGAGAGACCTGAGACACGCGGGCCAAGGTTGTGTGGCATCATGCGCACAATGTCCACCTTCTGGAACAGGTCGGTTTGCATGAACAGCTTGCGCGCATACTCGGCCTTGCTGATCTTGTATGCCCAGGTGCCAAACATCCACGCCTTGACAATTCCGTGCTTGTCCATGTACGGCTTGTCGAGCGTCTTGGAGAGCCCGTAGCGCCCGGTGTTGGTTCCTTTGCGCAGGAAGCCCAGCGTCTTGAAAACAGGGATATAGGGTACGCCGCCGTCGTTGGTTGGGAGGCGGTAGGAACATGCTGACTAGACTGTACACCCCGTAGAGCACAATCGATGCGGCAGCAGCATAGAGCATATCGGTGCTGTGTATAAATGACAGCAGCATCTTCAACTCTCAGTAATAAGTGCTTGTGTGTGGTGCAAGGATATAGAAAAGCAAAGGGTATTCCGGGAAAGGGTGGGTGAGAGAGAAGGAGAAAAATGCACACCTTCGCTCCATAGAGCCCACCCGACCGCTATGTTGGAAATAGTCGATGGTGGCTGCCGCCGCTGCAAAGTCGGCTCCGCCCTGCCTGGCACCTAACAATTGCACCAAAACAGAAATCCATCTACCAGCATTGTCTCTTCACATAGATTGTTGTCACCAGGGGCGAAATGGCCTGGGCAGTGCTGATTTCATCTTCTATCACCAGGTACATCTGGGGTAATGGTAGTGGTGGGGGTTAGGTGAGCTGCCAAAGAAATCATCGGCACGATGCAAGACAGCCTCTGATCAAGACAAAAGACATGGAGAAATATGTAAGGCAGGCTGTAATGGAGGAGGACATAAATAGAAGCGAGCTAGTCGACATTAGCATTAGCAGGGGTCCTCCGCCGGCCATCGTCTGCTGGCAGCCTGGGCCGGGATTGCTTGGGCGAGTTGGTGACGCTGGCCATGTCCTGGTCGTCGTTCTTGGTTGCACAGCCCGCAGGCGTCGATGCCCCGCTGATAATGCGATCGGTACCAACGTCCATATGCTCGATTTCCCGCGTCCAATGCTGGGCTCGTCCTTGTGGGCGTACTCTGCACTGTCGTCTCCGGGCTGCCGAGCGGCAGCTTGCTCATCAGCGGCTCCAGCCAGCTCCGGGGGCGCAACCGCACGTGCCTCGAACGTAGCTCTGCGAGTCAGTGCTGTTGTTTTCCTCGTCGTCGATATCTTCGTCTAGTTCCTCGTCAATGTTCTCGGGCCGCATGCGCAGCCACTGCATACGCGGGCCAGACTTACTCCGCTCGTTAATGGCGAAGCCGTAGATTTGGGGCGTGTAGATGGCGTGGGGTTCTCAGGGATGAATGTCGGGAACGCCTGGAAGAACAGATGCGCAAACGTCGTGCCAAAATACGCACCGTCGATCTTGCTGTAGCGCGTGCTGGGCGGGTTGTAGATGTCGAGGCAGCTCGGGCAAAACAGCTTCACCGACTCGCGCTCCGGGATGTCTAGCCGACCGCATGGAGCCTAGGAATGTGCCATCGCAGGCGTAGCGTGGGCACGAGCCAAAATCGCCGTTCTCGTACTTGTCGGCCATCTGCTGGAGACCACCGCGCGTGATAATGTAGCGCGCGTGGATAAGGCCATACAGGATCTCCGACGAGTTGTCAATGGCCTCGATCTCGTCCGCATCAAGCGGCTCCTCGCTGTCGTCCTCAATGTCGAGAATCATGTCCAGCGCCTCAACATAGTAGTTCACGGTCTGGCTCAGCCCAGTCAGATTGAATTCGTCTTCGATATACTCCTCGGGGATCTCGCAGAAATACTCGTGCCCCTTGAGCGAGCAGAACCACGAGATCCAGGTCAGGTTTGCTGACTCGTCGGACTCGTAGTACTCCTCGGCCTCTTCGTCAAAGTCCGACTCTTCTGTGTGGTTGAGATCAGAGGGATACTCTGTGTTCTGTCTGTCGTTCATGCTTAGTCCTGGACGCGTAATTATTGTTCTGTCTTGTGTACTGTTGCTATTGTTGTTTGTCGGTTCGGCCATACCATGCCTATAGAACCTGCGAATTAAGTTACTACAAATCGAAAGCGTGATTGTGCCTGTCAGTAGCCATTTCAAACAAACAACGCAAAGGCAGGGGTGTACGCGCCAAGTTGTAGCACACACTTCGGCGACTGCGACTGGCTGCTACAGGTAAGGACGTGCAATGCACCGTTCTGCGGATGCCAATTACGCGTCATGCGCTGTCGGATTGTGCGACCCAAGCCCTGGACTAAGCCGGCTTGCCGAATTCTGCCGTATGTTTGTCTAGATTGCGCGCAATTGCATACCTGAGCCTCGTCGTAAAGTCGTTTCCTTGGATAGGTCGAAGCGAGTAGGGGTCTAGAGGAGAAGTACAGCTCAAAAGACAGCAAGATTGGGTAATGAGGGACTTTCAAAAGGGAAGGAATTGAGGACAGGAGACGCTGGGTTGGCCTAGGGTCAACGAAGTGGTGGGCTTGTCGGCTCAGCGAGGCGGCTCTGGGCAACCCGAAAAAAATTTGTGAGCCTCAGCGAAGGTGAGTCCCAGAGTGCTGATAAAAACCGCATCCAATCACAGCCAGCAGTCTGCCAGCCCCTCCTCCTTGACGTCGGACACGGTCACGCAGGCTGTCACACACCGTGGCCCAGACAAAGTCGCTGCTGGGAGTTAAAAAGGAGCGCGCACGGGTCTGTTTGCCGTGCTCTCCACACTCCTTTCCTTCGCTTTACTCTTTTCAGCACGCGCAACGATGAACAGCACCGGCAGCAGCGACGCGCGAGAGCGCCCTCCGCTAAAGTTTCTGCAGTACTGGGCGATGCAGCGTATGAACACGGCCAGCGACAGCTCAGCAACAACTGATGTCTCAGTCGAACAGCAGCAGCAGCAGCAGCTGCCTGGATTCGCCGACTTTGTCATCTCGTTTAAATATACGGCGCCCTCCGGTGACAGTGTTTTGAAGAAGGCGCGCAACCGGTCTGAGGGGCAGCGTGCAGCCGAGGAGAAGCGCGCGGCCAAGGCCGACAAGGTTTCTGACGCCCTATCCGAGCTGGTCCAGCGCCTGACCCGCGCCGGCCTCGACGTTGAGATCCGCGAGGCCCTGGCGGCAAAGAGGGTGCAGACAGTAGGAGACAGGTGACGATGGCGACGAGCACATAAAGCGCAGCACAGCATTTGCAGCCGAATCAGGACACCTGCTGCTGTTTATCCGGTGCCCGCGCGAGACGCTGCTGCAAGAGTGGCGGACGTGAGCGCTTACAGGACTGGCTCTGTGGGATACTCCCGCTGAGACGTGTTCCTCGCGATGCAGCGCTCCAGGCAGCCGACCCCTTCGAGGTTGACCCAGAGACGCAGGACGACCCCTCGAAGCTGCTACAGGCTGGGCACAGCACAGGCCGAGTGCATGTCGCCGTCAGAGCGGCAGCGCATTGTGTATAAGCTCATTGTTGGGCCAGTTGAGGATGGCTGTGCCGACGTCAATCCAGAGCGCGAGCGGTGGGTTGAGTGCGTGTTCCCGTTGCAGGATCGCTCGTTCAACAAGGAGTGGATCAAGCACTGGTCATCCAAATGGCTGATCGATCGCCACGACCTACGCAGTATCCGCCACCACTTTGGCGAGGAGATCGCCATGTACTTTGCTTTCCTCCAGAGCTACTTCCTGTGGCTGGCGATTCCATCGGCAGTCGGGGTCCTGGCATGGCTGTTTGGCTGGAGCTTCTCGTGGCAGTTTGGCATTGTCATCGTACTGTGGAGCGTCATCTTCACAGAGACCTGGGCCCGCCGCGAGTCCGACATTGCCACCTACTGGGGTGTGCATGGTGCCGAGAAAGGCTGCCTCGATGCGTCGCCCGCAGTTCCGCCCCGACCGGTATATAGCTGATCCAGCTACTGGCGAACAGATTCCCTACTTTTCTGTCGGGAAGCGCTGGTTGCGTCGGATGCTCAGCGTGCCGGTGACCATTGCGCTGGCGCTGGTGATGGGAGCCTTTGTCTCCATCATCTTCGCTGTGCAGACCTTTTTGGGCGAGTATTATAACGGACCGTTCCAGACCCTACTGGGGCTAACACCCGTGGTTCTGTTCTCGCTGTGTCTGCCGCTCTACACGGCGCTGTGCACCCACATAGCCAAGCTGCTGACCGAGTACGAAAACTACGAGTACGAAACCGAGTACACCGCACAGTACACAACCAAGGTCTTTATCTTCCAGTTCCTGCAGGACCACCTCTATCTATTCCTGACAGCGTGGGTGTTTGTGCCGTATCAGGATACGTTTGAGCATCTTCTGCGCAGCGTCTACCTCTTGATCACCGAGCTTCCGCCCTGGCTCACTCCTTTCCTGGCGCGCGAGATTGAAAAGCATAGTGGGCGACTCGCCATGGTGGCTATCAAGTCTAGCTCGACTCCGGCAGTGGCCAAGATCCAGGATCTGCTGACCTCGTTTATTGTCACCGGCCAGATCGTCAACCTGATGACTGAGACTGGGCTGCCGCTAATCATGCGTTGGTGGAGCACGCGTGCGCTGAAGAAGGCCGACAAGGAGCCCAGCAGCACCAACAGCAGCACCAACAGCAGCACCACTGCTGTTGCAGATCTATCCGAGAAACCGCACTCGAGCATTCTTGGCAACACACTGACACGGGCATCGACTGGCGGATTCGATGCATGGGCAGATGCTGTGCGCCATGGCGAATCGGCCATTCGCACCGGCCAACATCGAGAGCCAGTTCATCGCCAATGTCACATCCGAGGTGGAGCTACCCGAGTACGACACCTACGGCGACTATGCCGAAATGGCGTCGCAGTTTGGCCGCGTAACATTTTTCTCGATTGCGTGGCCGCTGGCGCCGCTGGCTGCCTTCTTGAACAACTGGCTGGAGCTGCGTACGGACGCGGCCAAGATTTGCGCGACGACGAAGCGGCCTATTTCGCGAAGGGTAGACACCATTGGCCCTTGGCTCACGATGCTGCGTTTCATGTGCTGGCTGTCCTCGATCACCAACGCGCTGCTGATCTACCAGTTCCACCCCAACTGCTCGTTCCTGCCGACGGTCTCCAACCCTGAGGTGATGAAGCGTTTCGGCCGCACCAACCTGAGTCTTGCGCTGGTCGTGCTGCTGTTCTCGGAGCACATGTTCTTGGCTATCCAGTGGGTCATTACGCAAGTCATGGCATCGTGGCCCAGCGCCTACGAGCGGATTGTCACGCGTGCTCATGCTGGATCGAAGCGCCGGTGGCTCGATAAGGCTCCCGCGACGTTGCGCGATCTAGTCGACATGGATGTCGATCTTGGGGCAGAAAGATGGCGCTGACATGGATTCGGACACCCCAGCCGGCGATGCCGCTGAAGCTCATACTACAACCGACCAGCGTTTTGGACGCAAGAGCATGCAAGGATCTGTCATGCGTAGTGGATTGGCTGCCCCTGAGTGGAAAAACGAGCTTGACTACGGCCTGCAGTCGGTTGCCAGCGCCTTCAAATCCGAGTAAGGCTGCTGCTAAGAGAGGGCATTTACTACCAGTTTTCCCATGGCGCTGATGGCGTCTGGCGCTATTTTAACACATTTCTTGCAGCCTTGTTCTCGTTAGAAATCTCACGCTTGCTTGAAATCTTTGCAATGCCTCACTTGGAGAGAGCACGGCACTACACGGTGTAGACAGCCGTATCTAGCAGCAATAGTCTAGGTGCCCTCCTCGCCCACTAAGCATTGCATGCCTTGTGTTTCTACCTGGTCGAGTTTTATAATTGGCCTGGCAAAAGGGGGTCAACAGACATACAAACGATCTGCAGCGTCTCACCTCAGAAAAAGGGTTTGCTCATACTATGTCCAACAGCGCCTCGCAACGGTATTTGCTTTGCTTTGCTCAGCTTTGTTTCAGTCCATGTCAACAAGCTGGAAAGGAACTGAGGGATATTGAGGAGCAGATCCCCTAGTGACCCGTGCTCGATGCAAAGCGCTTGCCCCTGGCACGTCCCCGGTACCTCCGCGCTTCCTGATTCTCTCAGTTGGATGCATTGTTCGACACACGAGGAGCACGGAAATAATGCATTTCATCATCCACACCTCTGCAAACACCGAGCCCACATAAAAGGTCAGTTTCCTGTTGTTGGGAGCTAGCAGGCCTCTGCTTCAAGCGCAACACCCTTATTCCACCGCATCCAGTATTGTCATCTACTCTTATCCCAACTACACACCGCGGCATACTATCGCATGAGCCTCACGCTACACTCGCCAGGCAACCAGCTCTACATTCTGAGCCTAGTTAGCCTCTGTGGCCCTGGGATGATGTTTGCCCTCATTTCCCTGGGTAGTGCGACCTGAGAAGAGCCCGGATCCCGACAATATGTTCGAGATCAACCTGAGTCTTATCGTCAGTTTCCTCCTGACTGGCATTTTCAGCTTCCTTGGCTGCAACATCCTGTACCGCATTGGTGTTCGTTTGTGCATGTTCGCATCTTGCATTTTCATATCGTTCTACTCATTTACCTATGCGTATCGCTACATAGCGGAAATCAACGACCCGCCTATAGCGCTGAGCATCGTTTCTGCAGTGTTCATGGGCATTGGCGTCGGGGTATTCTTCTCGATTCAGACAACAATCAATATCAAGTACCCGCGCGAGGAGGTCCGCGGCAAATACCTAGCCATCTTTGCTGCGTTCTTCAACCTGGGCGGCATGCTGGGTCGGGATTCTCCAGTTCTCACTCAACTACCAGGACGGCAAGCGGAGCAGTTTCTCCAACTACACATACCTTTCCTTGGGTATCGTCCAGGTATTTGGCGCAGTAATCTCTCTTGCTCTTGTCTCTCCAACAAAGGTCAGGCGCGATGATAGTACAGTCGTCATGTCGCACTCGGCAGATCCTGTCGTCAAAGAGCTGGCGAATATGGTCAAACACCTTGTGTCAAAGTGGGCGCTGCTCTTTGCCACACCATATATAGTCTCGCACATCGGGTTCGCCTACACCTCGAATATCCTCAACGGCGCTGTTTTTGATGCTCGCACGCGTGGATTCAACAACATATTCTTCTGGCTTGCCAAGACAGTCGGCGCGGTCGTGCTGGGTCTTATTCTTGATCACACCAAATGGAGTCGGCGGCGTCGGGCCATCACTGCTGTTGTCATTCTAGCGCTTGTCTCAAACGGGGTTTGGATTGGAGGAATTTTCAACCAGATGCAGATGTTCCCGTCTGGGAACATTGGCCATTTTCATGAAAAGCCTCTTGATTACACCGACCCTGCTGCCGGCCCCACTATCACGCTGTATGCGTTCTTCGGGCTCTTCATCGGCATCTTTGACACGTGCATCATGTGGTTCATTAGTCTGCTCTCGGACGACTTTGATGTCACAGGAAGAAACGTCAGCGTGTTCCGCGGGCTCCAGGCACTTGGGACAGCCGTTTCGTGGGTCATGGTGAATAACATGTCCATCTCGACTCTTTGCTATGTCAACTGGGGCCTGCTCCTTCTTGGCCTGTGCCCGCTCGCCTACTTTGCCCTGGTCATCCTGCGCAATAATACTGTCCCATCAGAGTATGACGTTGACATGGAATTTGCTGAGCTTCGGACGCCTTCATACACCTACAAGGCATCCTCAGAATATTATCTTTAAATACCACTCTTTACGATCTGTTTATTCCATAAGCATCTTCATCCTTTACCCTTCAATTGGTTATTACTGGTAATAAAGTATCACAGGGCGCGCCTCAATAGTCTGCAAAAGATACTTCTTCCATATGTTGAAGTTGTGTTGCGGTAGGCATGTTCTACTACGCACTAGGCACGCCACCGCTAATGAAAGACACGATACACACGGAAATATTAATGGCGTCTCTAAATTGCCCATGACATACTTTGCAGTAATGTTTTGCTCCAAAGATGCCATGTGCCATCTTGCGCTTTACAATGCCTCTACCTTTTCTCGTAGCTCTATTTTGCAAGGTCGCTAGCTTTATCTTTATTCACAAGGTTTTATGCCCAGCGGTCATCATGACTTGGCCAACCAGTCCCCAAATTCAACAAGGAGGTCGCAAGAAGGTGGTAATCTTTGAAGAGTCTGGCTCCCAGGCCGCACACTGAAGCCAACTGCCATGAAAACGTTGCTTCGTGGTTCTCCCGCATATTCTTTTGCTGGATTACGCCGTTAATAGCCCACGGCTTCAAGCAGCCTGTCCAGCTGGAGTCCCTCCCAAACATTGGTGTTGGTAGCGAAATGCGCCCAGATGCAATATCTGAACGTTTCATGGCTGAATGGGTGAAAGAAAAGCGCAGAGCAGCCAATCCCAATGTTCGTGCACAGAGCAAGCTCTTGAAACTGCTTGAATTGTGCGAGGTGGGGAAGCACATGTGTATACGTACTTGGGCAATAGTTACACACAATAGTCGTCTACGTTCCGAGACCATGCATCGGATGCAATCTAAGCCGAGCCTAGCATTCGCTTTGTATCCGATTTTGTCCGGCTATCTGCTACGCGCCTTCATCACACGGCTGCTTGCTGAGCTCATACCAGTGTTCATTCCCGTGCTTGTAAAGATGACAACAACATATGCTCACCACAAACGGGCAGCAGCACACAAACACGGCATACCTGAACCTCCGAACTGGCAGGGGTATGTTTTAGTGTTTGGTATATTTGCTATGCTTCTGCTAAGCTCATGGTCTCTGCAATGGTTTTTCTACGAGGTCAGCAAGGCTGCAATTATCGCTCGGACAGCACTAGCCTCGGCAGTATACCGCAAGTCTCTGGTTCTAACATCACAGGCTCGCTCGCGCCAGACACTTGGCAGATTGACCAACCTGATCTCGTCAGACTTGGGCCAGATCGAGAGGGGCATCACATATGTTGTCATGTGCATTACCATCCCGGTCCAGGTTCTCGTTTCGGTTGCTGTTTTGGTACTGATGGTTGGTCCATCGAGCATCGCTGGCTGGGCAGTTGTGGTTGGATTTGTTCCCATGCAGATGTGGGCCTCCAAGTATATTGTCCGTCTCCGCAAAAGCGTGGCCACATATACAGACAAGCGCATGCGCGCAACACGTGAAGCACTTCAGGGAATGAAGGTTATAAAGTTTTTTGTCTGGGAAGACTCGATTGCCAGCACTATCCAGGGGTTCCGCAGCCAGGAAACCAAGGCTCATTGCCTACATCAACCTTGCACGCTACGGGCTTATCTCGCTTGCGCTCAACTCTCCTGTACTGGCATCGATCCTGACATTTGCCATACTCACTGTGTTGGGTGGAAGGCTGCATGCGGGTGCTGTGTTTGCTGTCATCGGCATTTTCAACTCGATGTCAGTGCCGCTGAGCTGGCTGCCAGTCGCACTTACCGAAACTCGCAATTCCAAGGTGCCATTGGAGAGAATCACCGATGTATTGCTCGAGGAGGAGCTCGATCGACCAGTAGTCCCACAACGTAGACTAGATGTAGCGATCCGCATATCTCATGGCCGCTTTGCCTGGAGGTACCAAGCTGCCCTAGTCAGCTCGGAGAACCCCGACTCCTCTCGCGAATCCCGCATTCAGCATCTGGGTGGCCCTCGCAAGCGCAATGCCGGCCAGGATGAAAACAGTCTATCGCTCTATCACATACCGCTTCCCGGCAGAATTCAGCTGCTGACACAGACAGAGATGGCATACAGCCATTCCTCCTTGACACCATCAACATCGAGATCCCACACGGGTCATTGGCAATCATTGTTGGCCCAGTGGGTAGTGGAAAGAGCTCATTGATGAATGCGCTAGTCGGCGAAATGAAGCGCATCTCAGGAAGCTTGGATGTTGGCGGCACACTCAGTTACGCTGCGCAGGCTCCATGGATCATGAACGCCACGATTCGGGACAACATCACATTTGGCCTCCCATACGACGAAGAAAAGTATTTGAATGTCATTGAGGCATGTGCCCTCGATATCGACCTGGCAGAACTTCCGGAACGCGATCTTACAGAAATTGGCGAGCGCGGCGTAACACTGTCTGGCGGGCAGAAGCAACGAGTCAGCATTGCCAGGGCTGCATATGCTGATAGCGATATCGTGCTGCTAGACGATTCCTTGTCCGCAGTCGACGTCAGTGTGTCGCACGCTATTTTCAAGTACTGCATCCAGGGGTACTTGAAAGGTCGAACTCGGGTGCTAGTTACGCACTGTCTGGACTATCTCCCCATGGCTGACCTGGTTGTCACTATAAATAGCGGCCGAGTTGTTGAGCAAGGTTCGTTTGCCAATCTGCTGTCACTGGGCGGTCATTACGTCGACCATGTACAACTCTTATCTGAGCTCACGAATGGACAACGATGGAGAGTGCGAACATACCCAGATGCGAGGGCATGCTACGTACTCAGTCTGGCAGCTCGCTACATACTGCGTCTCTAATCAAGACTGCGCCATGGGCGACTGAAAACCAGATAGATTCAACCATCTGCATCTGACCAGCACACCGGTGGATCCGCGACAAGCACATTCGATACTCGTAGCAGCTCCTCACGGAATGATTCTGGCCCAGGGGTGGATCCGAGCCCTGAGAGTTCAGGCGAGTACTCTGGTGACATCATGCTCAAAGTTATTTACAGTGGATCGGCAAAGGCAAGGATCAGGCGCACAGCTGCCTTCTGCGTCTGTTGCAAACAAGCTTATGAGCGACGAGGAACGGGTGACGGGCCAAGTGGCCTTGCAGACATACATTGCCTATCTTCGCGCTGGTGGCGGATGGGCTTACATTTGCAGGAGTCGTACTAGGCCTGGTCCTTATGCAGGGCTGCCGCGTTGGAAGCGATTTTTGGATGCGAGCATGGGTGCATAGCACAAAGGACACAGGAAGCCTGCCATTCACCATTGGTATATATGCCTTGCTTGGTCTGACGCAGTTTGTCTGGTTCGCGCTATTTGCGCTTTTCCTGGTGATTACGACATATAAGGGATCACAGAAGCTCCACGAGGGTGCCCTGAAGCGCGTGCTGCGATCGCCAATGTCATTTTTCGACACGACACCGCTAGGCAGGATTCTCAATCGGTTTACCCGCGATATGGACTCGTTGGACCTGGTGCTGTGCGAGTTCTTCAGGCAGTTTTACCAGAATACCTCGCGGCTTGTCGGTGCCTTTGTCACAATCTCGATACTCGTTCCTATTTTCCTCGCACCGCTAGCACCCCTTGTCGTAGTAAGCTGGCTCCTCATCTTCGTTTACATGCGCACATCCGTTGAGGTTCAGCGGGTTGCTGCTATGTCCAGGTCGCCAATGTATGCCCACTACTCGGAGACACTCCAGGGGGCAGCGACCATTCGTGCATTCAGGTCTCAAGTACGCTTCGTTCTAAAAAATGACCGTGTCCTGGATGATGCCAATCGTCCGCAGTGGTATTCGCTGGTTGCTCAGAACTGGGTCTGGCTGCGCATCGACTACATTAGCCACATACTGTCGCTGATCGTATGCATCATAATCATCGTCCAGCCGACACACTGGGATTCGGCGGCCATTGGGCTTATGCTGATGCAGGCAACACAGATGAGCGCATATATGACGTATGCAGGCCGTGGATGGACTGAATTGCAAAACAACATGAACTCGGTCGAGCGCATTGGATATTACGCCAACTCGTTGGATCAAGAGGAACAGCAAGGAGTGGGACACCAGGCATGAAATCACCGGGAGCGCCGACTGGAGATCGTCCGATCAAAAAAGCCCCTTCGTCATGGCCAGAGCACGGCGTTGTCATCATTCGCAATCTTTCGCTGAGGTACCGGCCCGGTCTGCCGCTAGCACTTAAGGATATCAACCTTGAGGTATTCGAGGGTGAGCGTGTCGGGGTTGTTGGCAGATCAGGCGCAGGCAAGTCTAGCCTTATATCGGCGCTGTTCCGTCTTGTCGAGCCATGTGGGGGCAAAATATACGTTGACGGCGTTGATATCCAGTGCATGCCACTATCCCAGCTGCGCCGAGGCTATCTGCATTTTGCCCCAGGACCCAGTCCTATTCGACGGCACCTTGCGATCAAATCTCGACCCATTGGGTGAGTATTCCGACACAGACATCTGGAGCGCGCTTGAGAGTTCACGGCTGAAGGAGCTTGTCTCGCAGCTTCCTGGTCGTCTGGATTCTGATATCGGCGAAGGTGGTGATAACTTTTCGGCGGGGCAGCGCCAGCTCTTTTGTTTGGCTCCGAGTGCTGCTGCGCCGGCCGCGGATTCTGGTTCTCGACGAGGCGACAGGCCAGTGTGGACCATGAGACAGACTGCGCGATCCAGCGCATCATACATAGTCTGCCGACGACCGTCATCAGCATAGCCCATCGTCTGCAAACGATCATCACATATGACAAGGTCGCAGTTATTGATGAAGGGCAGGTTGTCGAATTTGGTAGTCCCCTGTCGCTGCTGGAGCAAGCACCTCAGACCTAATCAGTACTCCAGCGACGATGGACCTAGTGGCGAAAGCAGCCAGCAGCAGCACACATCGGCGTTTTACAGCATGGTCAGAGAGCTGGGCGAGGCAACAGCTAACCGCATGTACCTGCAGGCGCAAGCCGCAGCGCAGGGTCGAGACAAGCAATGATGTTTATTTGATCCATAGATACCACGTCTAAAGCGAAATATAGCGCTGTATCTATTTGCCGTTCTGCCTCTTGGACTTGCCAAGGCGCTTGGATCTGCCGCTCTTTGGGATGGCCGAGAAGGTGGAGCTCTTGTTGCGCTTGACGCTGAAAGTGCTCATATCAGCTGTGCTCTCGGCGGTGTTCCGCTTTATGCCGCGCTTCTTGCCACCGAAGCCGAACCGATCGTTCTTTGCCTGGCGCTTCTTGCCGGGATGTCGGCTTTCCCTTCTTTCCTGCAGCCCTAGCCTGCTTCTTCGACCTGGGCTGGCCCTCGTCGTCGGATTCAATATCAATAGCAAAGTCGTCGGCATCGCCCAGGTCCCCGCTGCGCAACCGCTTCTTGATGGTGGCGATCTTGTCCAGGGCCGCCTTCTTCTGGTCCTCGCGCTCCTTCAGCTTCTCCTGCTGGATCTTCTTTCCATACTTGCGCAGCTCGCGCTGCTTCTTGGCCTCCTCGGCGTTCTGGATGCCCTTCTGCTGGTCGAGCAGCTTCTGGCGGATCTTCATCATGTGCTCATCAGACTTGACCATCTCGGCAAAGTAGTCATCGGGGCGCGAGAACGGGACGCCAGCCTTTTCCACCTCGAGCTTGCCCTTGATGGCTGCCTCCAGGCCCTGCTCGTAGAACTTGAGCTCACGATCCAGGTCGTTCTCGGTCTTCTCAACAACGATCGGCTTCGAGCTCGTGATGTCGCACCTCTGGAGCCAGGGCAGACCCTTCATCGAGATCTCCTCAACGAGTGCGGTCAGCGCATCGGTGTGGTTGATGTACTCCTTCTTCTGCACAAGGTCGCTCGACTCCAGAGCAGCAATTTCAAGGGCTGTCTCCTCGTCCTCGGCAATGATCTCCTCGTAGGTGCGCTCGTCGTCGGACATAGTTTGGACTGTGTGTGTCAGGGTGCGGGGCTTCTGCAAGCTAGCGTAGAAATAGGGTGCAAATGAACAAGGCTAAAGAAGAGAAATGCGCTAGCAAGCCGAAGAGCAACATTTTTACAATATTTTTGCAGATGATTGATGCGATTGCTAGATCAATCACACGCCATAACGCTGGGATTTGCCCAGCACCTGGCACGTGCATGTGACCTGTGAAACAGGTACTCAGAGCAGATCCGTCGAGCAAAGCAAGCGGCCCTGCACAGCTCCAGCGACAGAGTGGAGCCAGCTGGGCCGAAGAATAGAATGGAGATGCAAGGACCACCATTGCCATAGCCGCTTGCCTTGGGTGGGCTGTCGACGCATCCTAGATAGCGGTGGACTGTGAGACATGCATTGCCCAAAAGTGTTTGTCCGCCGCGTCAAAAGGTTAGCCAGCCAGTTGCCGATTGCCCGCTGCTACCACCTGGACTGGCTACACCTTATCATTCATTTACTATTCTCTGTACAGCCATGGTTGGTCCGCTACAAATATCACCGATACGTACAGAATTCGACAACACAGACACGATGCTCCAGGGAATCAACTCAACGAAGTCGCAGCGTGCGCAGCAGCGGCGAAGCCAGCGCAAACACCGGGGTGGATGACGAACGTGCAAAGAGCACCCGCAGGCGTAATGAGCGGGCGATGCAATTTCTGACGTCGATAAAGACCAGCGCGGTTGACGAGTCACAAATGGCGGCACTCAACAGCTCCGAGTCTGACAACGGGCATCAGCGCATTGACTTTGACCCGCGCGGCGTGCTGGCGCACGATCCATCCTGGCCCTGGATTTGCAACTAGGCATATGGGCCATATCCCTGGATTCATGTCCCACGACCCTGGCTCGAGCTCCGACGGGGGCCGCATGCATGCTGGCGATCATGACGGTGCTGCTGGCGAGGCTGGGTTCGCGCGTAAATACACTCTTACCGCCGGAGAGCATGGTGACCCTCGAAGTGCACCTCGCAACACAGAGTTTGTGCAGATGAAGCCATCTGCGTTCCCAATGATCTTCTCGTCGATAAAGCCATTTCGTAGTCAAGGGTGATGAAAAGCATGGGTAAGTTGTGCTGCATGCATTTCAGATGCTGGTGCTGCAAACGTTCGTGCTGCTAGGCATAGGTTTTTGTTTGCTGACAGAAAAGTCAGGCGTGATTTGTATGTAGCGAGCGCGTGGCCAGTGCGGACATGGACAAAAAGGTAGGCAAGCAATATCTGAAAAATGGCCATGTGGACACAGTGCATTATCAGGAAAACATGATCTGACCACGTATATGTCGGTGTGGTCGTTTTATTGTAGGACGAGTCATTTGTACATCTGCTGTACCCACTTCACACACTCGAGTAAGTATTGTCCTGTTTTCTTGATTGCTTTCTATTTGTCGAGGGGCACATGTCTCTCCTAGCTGCCTGGATAGCCTCAATATCTTATTGGATGTGCCCTTCCAATCAATCGGGGGAACATGCAGCGATTGACATATTCCGGCCGTGTCCTTGTGAGAGGAATGAGAAACATGTATTCGCACTGCATGTAGCGTATCCGGAAACTATTCATTGCTGTGTGAACATCGGTCAGTGCCTGATAGTATGTCTCCAAAGGGCACACAGAAGAATCACTGCCACAGCACGCTTGTGGATGATAAAAGAAGACTCAATGGCGCGAAAGGCAATTGCAGATTAGGAAGTTTGAAGTAGACAGCGTAAATGAGTGGTACCTCCACTGTCAGTCATCTGCCAGCTGTGGAGGGCGCACGTAGCGAGTGGCAGGTGCGATTGGCTGCCGGCCGATATACATCTCAATCCGTGATGCCCATATATTAGTGCAGCCTTCCCATGACCTCCATCCAGGCTGTGGTCCTTTACCTCGCACTCTGTCTATATTTATCGCTTGGTAGGCTATGTTTGTTGGGGGTGTAGACGGGATAGAGGCCATACCTTCAAATATAGTGGTGCATGTGAGAAAGGAGGGGACGGCTTCAGCATCCCCAGCAATGCAATTGGCTGGTAGCCAGATTCACAGCCATGTCTAGCATATTTTTAGCTTTATTAGTGTCGACTTCTGCCTCGAAGTGCTGCTATTTATGCGCATGCAGCGGTCGATCGTGTTCTGAAGGGCGATAGCTAAGTGCAACCAGTTTTTTTTTTGCGGAAATAGGCCTGATATCAACGAGCATGAACCAGTAGCTGCAGTGAATGCAACAAACGCAGCAGGGTGGCAGTGGCCAAGGCAGCGCGTACCAGCCTAATCGTCTTGACGATCCAGGGCTTCACAAGGGACTGCAGCGAACGGTGCTGGGCCTTACCGGATACATGGGGACTGTATTTGAGTACTCGCGACCAGACGAGCTTGCGACAGGAGCTGAACGACCATTTCCGCGAGACACACCCCGAGCTTGTGGCTGTTGGCCTGACGCTAGACCAGATTCGCCGTCTCAGAACACACATGCTGCGCGTGACGCGGGAGCAAGACCTGGAGCTTTCGACAGCGGCGCTGGGATGGGTGTACTTTGAGAAGCTCATTTGGAAGGGCTATGTTGTCAAGGACAACCGCAAGCTGATTGCAGGTAAGTGAGAATGCCGCATCATCCCAGTGACACGAGCACCGTGTATCTGCCAAAGTGTACTGCCTGCTTGCATGTGAATTCCCGCCATGTCCGCTTGCTGTGACAGAACCTATTGTTAGCCATCCTATGCAGCATGCCGTAAAAATATCGCAACCCTCCCTCCTACCCTCCCTCCCCTCTCCACACATTCGAGATGCCATGGCATGACCAAAGGCTGGCCTGCCTCCCCAATTCTGCAGCGGGCATGGCTCGTGACCTTTTCTCACTCTCTCTGCAATTACGAATGTTTATTCCGTGTCGAGCCAACCAGGCCAACCCCCAATTCAATTTGCGCAGATCGCATTTCCCGGCAACCTGCTGGAAACAGGCAGAGGAGACAGGGAGCGAAAGAGACGCGAAGCCGCTCAATGGCAATGCGTCTTTAACTTTTCCCCTTCAATTTTCGGTTCCAATAGCCAGAATGCAGTGGCACATCCTTTATTGCTGCCTTTCCGATACGATTGAGCTGTCTTTTTTATGCGATGGCGTCTGCCCTCTGCTTTCCATGTTTGCCCGATAGTGCAGCCTTGGCACGCACAACTTCCCGAAAGTGTGATTATTGAATTGCAGGCGCACCTCCCAACAACTGACATTCGCCCATGCTTGCTGCGGCTTTCTCGGTCTTTGGAAAATATCCGGCTGGCACTAATTGCAGAAATCAAGCACTGTGGTTGACTCAGCACATCCCATTTCTTAATCCTACATGATTGCGCCTGGGTGGACAAGCAGAGTGCGATGCGCAGGCATCGTATTGAACCACCCTTCCCGCCCAGATGTACTGGCAGGCAACAGCTAATTGAAAGCGAGGGGCGTTTCCGTATTTCCCCCTGCCATTATGGCCACAGGCAATGCTTGCGAGGGTTCCGCAATACGCATTATACGTGTGAAGCGAGCTATGCTCCTGTACCCAGCGACGTGCATGGTCTTGAATCAGCCATGCCTTGGACTGGCGCACGTTTGACACCCATTGTTCCAAAGCCTGTCACAGGGCTGTTCCAAAAAAAAAAAGCGGGTGCAAACCCGTTTACCTCTGGAGGAAGACGTACCTCGCAAGAGCACATTGTGTGCTGCCCACAGGCAGCTGCACCATGCGCAGATTGCTCTGCACTGTGTTCGCCAATAATTCGCATGTGTTCTGTCTCCGTGTATACATGCAGACGACTTCAAATTACTCGGGGTTGACAAAGGGAAATAGCGGAAGCAATTGTACTGAACAAATGCGTTTTCTTTATTGCGGACGATGTCTCTTTTCTGGTCACGTTGCCGAATGTAGCGGTATGTCTATATTTGGCGCTGAAAATCAACGAAGGGCGCGAGGTGTCGGTTTCCAAGTCACTTCAGGTAAGCTGTTAGTTTTGGTATGTCTTGGCTTATGTCGCCGGGCCAGACTTCTGAATTGAGCCGAGTATCAAACCTGTAGGCAATCCAGCGACGCTTTGAAGTATCGACAAGGTCCATTCTCGACCAGGAGTTCGACGTATTCGCACAGCTCGAGTTCTCGCTATGGGTCCCTCGGCATGAGTTTATGCCGCACTTTGCGCGCATGTTTGAGGCCATTGGGCTGTACCGTTCGTACGAGGATTACCTGGGCAACATTGAATTCTACGCATGTAAACTGCATGCTTGAGGCCACACCCCCAAGTGGCAGTGATCTCGGGTGATCGTGATCAGTGTCAAAAATATTCGAAACTTTTTTTCAGGAGCGCACTGTACTGCCTCAACGCTTTCTTGGTTCTTTCAGCACTCAATTCACTATATTTTTCAAAGGTTTTGTTGGCTGCATTCCAGCTCTGTGGAAGAGTACACGTCCGGGCAAATACTAGATATGGCATCAGCAGATCGCAAGCGGAAATCGACGTCGGCGAAGAAGGAGAAGAAGGAAAAGAGGCAGGCGGTGGAGGTTGATGAGAAGCCAGCATACGAGAGCGTCGAGATGACTAAGCGCGAGGCAGCAGAGGACGACGATGTCCCGGGGATCAGCGAGGCTGAAGTTCATGAAGACCAGGAGGATGCTGAGGACCAGGCAGAAGAGGAGACGGCCGAGGCCATGATCGAGTTCCACAACTTCCGCAACGCTAACCACAAGCAGGCATCGAACATGGTTCCAGTGGCGCCGAAGGTTCCCAAGACGCTGGAAGAAAAGAACGAGACGTCGCGTCTTATTGTGGTGCTGGAGGCAGCTTCGCTAGAGACATACAAGGTGGGCAAGAGCGCAAACGCCAAATATCAGCTGCTGAACTGCGACGACCACCAGGGAATTCTGGCTCGGATGGGTCGGGACATTGCCGAGTCGCGGCCCGACATTACGCACCAGTGCCTTTTGACTCTGCTGGACAGCCCTCTGAACAAAACGGGTCGGCTGCAGGTGTATATTCACACGTCGTCTGACGTGCTCATTGAGATCAACCCGCAGGTGCGCATTCCGCGTACGTTCAAGCGGTTCTCTGGTCTGATGGTGCAGCTTCTGCACAAGCTGTCAATCCGGGCGGTGAATGGGCATGATAAGCTGCTCAAGGTGATCAAGAACCCAGTGTCACAGTACTTCCCCCCGGGTGCGCTCAAAATGACGTTCTCGTACGATGCACCGACCGTGCATCTGCAGACATGGCTGCGCCGGAAGCTGAAGTCGAACCAGAACATCGTCGTGGCAATTGGTGCGCTGTCGCACGGAAAGGATGACTTTGCTGATGCGTATGTCGACGAGAAAATCGGCATCTCCGAGTACCCGCTCAGTGCCTCAGTTGCATGTGGTAAGCTCACCTGTGCGCTGGAGGACATCTGGGGCATTCTCTAAGTATTTTACGTCAAAGGCATTAGTCAATCAGATGTGTGTGCCTCATTAATTGCAAGAAACGCTTTGTGACAGTGGAGCGAAAAACGTGAATAGTGCTGGACGCTCTGCAGAAAAATCCCCTCAGACCGATAGGGTAGTGTCGCTGGCACTCGACTGGGCAGTGTGATACCTCTGCAAGCCACCGTGGGTATATGTCTCAAGAGCGTATATGTAGGATTGCTGCTGGTCATTCGATGTATACTTTGGGAATACAAAAAGGGGCATATTAATACGCCGTTGGGCATTGGAGAGTGTGCTGGCAGATGCCGCAGGAAATTAAGCTCAAAGGCAGAGGTTGCATTTGAACTTTGCAGCTAATTTAGCGATACCATTGGGCGATAAACAAGGGTGGCGCAGTATGTATGTCACATTCCAATTGAGGTTAAATGCAATATGCTTTACATTTGATGTAGTGGGCACTGGCAGCACCTATGGGGACAGCAAGACTGAGGAGCAAGGAGGGCAGGGTGGAACGGAATGAGAGGCTTGGGGGCGAAAGGGCGCGTCATGCATGGAGGACTTGACTTGCATTTATTCGCAATTACGAACGACAACGGCCTCCTTTAAATGTACAAATTAAAGTCTGAACGGCGAGAATGGGGAAATATCCACCCTGGCCGGGCTACATGCAGTACGCAGATTCCCTACCCGGAAGGGGAGAAGCAAGCATACACATCAGTTGTTGCCTATTCTCCTGAATAATGGTGGCGAGTAATTTATATAGCAACGGAGAGCAAGGAGAATACAAAGCAACATGATAGGCTATATACTGAATTACGGGAGGGACGCAGCAGAGAAGAAGCCCATGTCTTGACCAACAACACAGCGGTGTCACTGGCCATGGGTGGATGCTGAATACTGTGCACAATTGGACTGGAAATAGCATTGGCACCTTCACCATGGCCGCCACTTTGTGCCTGAGGGCTTTCTCTTCGCATTGTTGGTGGGCGTGACCTTCCGGGTCGGCAGCCCCCTAGGCTGACCCTGCTCAGAGCCCTGACGCCCTCCAGACAGCGTGACAGGCAACTGCGAACGCACATTGGTGCGCGAGAATCCCGGCAGGGTGCGGTATGAAAAGGCCAGCTAATGGCGTTAGATGTGGCAGAGACATGTTGGCCCGACCTGAGGAAACGGATACTGCTGCGGTTGCAAGCATGTCAATGCCAAACTTCATGTCCCGAACATTCAGGTCGCCTGCAAGTGGTATCTCAAGCAGCTGCACCCTGCCGCGAGCGGCTCTGTAATCGGCAGCCTGGGCAGTGGGGTGAATAGGTGCTCCTCCTACAGTTAGTGCCTGTGCTGTGTGTGCCAGGTTGTGGATGGGTGGTAGGTTCGGACCAGCTGAAGCCGAATCTTGATGAGTTGACATTGACATGGGTGAGGTGTGGGAGCGGGATCGTGCCGAGCGTGAAGAGGATGGTGAGTGTGGCGACGATGCGTGCATATTAGCCGCTGCTACGCCGGCACTAGACAGCATGGCCTGGATGGAGGGAAGCTTAATACTAGATGCCCGTGGCGACAGACTCCGGCGAGTGCTGGACCTACTTTGAGAGGAAGACTCGCTGGGCACTGCCGACGCATATCTGACACGAGCCTTGGCGGCAGAGGTAGAACCTAGCATCAAGCCTGATGCAGCAGGGTGGATGTGGCCATCGGTGGGCATATACATCTGTGGGCCAGAGACTGTGCTGCGACGGCTAGGGTGCGGGTTCTGTGCATCGGCCACATAATCCGACGAAGACTCTGGACGCAGTGCAGCTGGCCATGGCCACGCTGCCTGACTCCAACGATGGTAGGTCTTGGGCGGGCGATTGCAGAATAGGTGTTGCCTGTGCAGAATTGCTGCCGCTGTACACACCCCATGACCGGGAGTCAGCAGGAATTAGCCCGGGCAGGTGCAAGCGATGGCAGGTGATTGTGGTGTGCGGAGTGATGGTCGGAGATGTGCGGGGTGCTGTATGTCTCAGGCACTTGGTCAAGCATAGGATGTGCTGGTGCAGTGCGTGGGGCAGTCTGCTGCAAGGGGCTGATAGCTGCTGCAACCGGAACGCTGACAGTTAAACCATCGTTCACACGTGCGATGTGTCCTGGGTAGTACGATGTGCTGGATGGCGAAGGCGACATTGCTGGCAGCGTATGATGGTGTGGGTGAGCACATGCATGTGCACGGAGAGATGGGTGGGGCTGGAATCCCGCAGGCAGGTATGGCCCAGCAGGATGCGGCTGTACAGAACCATGCTGGTACATCGACTCGGAATGCGATCGGTGGCGATGGCCGGGAGGCACAGCAGAGGCGACAGCGGCAGCAGTCAGGGCCGTAGACTGTCCAGCGACAGTGTTGGCACTGGGGTCAGCCGCAGCTGCAGCTGCAGTCGCAGTCGCAGTCGCAGTCGCAGAGCAGGCCTTGTTCGTCTTTAGCAGGCTGACCCTTTTCGATCATGGCCATGGCCGCATTCACCTGGGACTCCTTCTGCTTCTTCAGGGCTCTCTCGCGGTTGTACTTTGCGCGGCGGTTCTGGAACCACACCTGCACCTCGCGGGGCGACATATCCAACTGAGCTGCCAGTGCTGCGCGCACTTCGTGCGAGGGTGTATCGCGAACCAAAAACGCCCCCTGAAGCACCTCGAATTGCCTCTGTGTAATTCGCTTGCGCTTGGCCTTACGAGGCACTGTCAGTGTGGGTTCTTGAATGATAATCGGATGGGTACACAGTTCCTACCGGTGCTGCGATAGATGTGTGCCTGAAGCCACGCGCATCCGCGCTACTGCCCTGCGCGCTGTGGGTGGCCTCTGCGGGACCGCTGGCCGTGGGGACAAATGTCCGATAGCTGATGTTGCTGTTCCTGGGCTGCATGTAGTTTTTGGTGTGTGCGTGTGTGTGTGTGGTGGTGAAGGAATAATCTGTACCAGTCGTACAATGGAAAAGTTGGAGATAAATTAAATGGCGGCAACAAGATAAGAGTGTGACATGCGCACACAGAAAAAAGGACGGTATATATACACGTAGAATGAAAATCGACAAGGGCAAGCCAAGTGGGGTAAGGAAATAGCGAGGCGAAGAGCAGTGATACTTTTGTACATGCACCAGGGTATGTCGCCTTCGGAAAATAACGAGCTAGCAAAGTAGAGTGGAGGAAGCTAAAATAATCGTCAGAACAATAAAAGCTTATGAAGAGTGCGCTATTGACTGGGTGGTGCGGGTGGGTTGGTTGACAACCGGCGAGAAGGCGCACGTCAAAGCTAGTTTAGTGATATTAGGAGGCAGAGGAGGTGAGGAAGAAGCTAGAGCCGGGATTAGCTCCGAAGGCAAAGTCGTGCAATCTCCAGTCTCTTTATATGTGTTCGCCTGCCGACGAATAATTAGGGAGGGAATTCATTAACATTGCTCAACCAGCGCGCACTTTGCTGACTGGGATTGTCTGTTCGCGCGCCAGGCGCACTCTGCCTGCCCCCTCCTGGCCAGCGACCCTCCTGATCAACCGCCCCCCGCATCTTTGCCACAGCTGCGGCTGTGACAATAGTGGCATTTGGCGAGTCACTCCAGTGTATTTTTAAACTCAGCATGCGCTTGAGCTTTGTCGTCCTTAATTTGTCTCGTTTAGGCAGCACCTATTCGCAAAAGGTGGAGGGCAATCCATGTATGTCGGTGCTCAGATAGACAGGGGCGTCGTGCACTCTTCCTGTGCCATGCATCTTTTGTATCCAGGATCCATCCCAGTGAACACCAAAAAGCAGATACTACTTACACCCCTAGCAAACGCAATTGTTTTCTGCCCGTTGGAGATTGGCGGTTAGAGACGTGTCGCCGGGGCACGGCAAAGAGACGCGCGCGCAATTGTTTGGCTCACACTCCACCCACCTCCTTTTTCCTGCCTTTTCGACCGCAAAAGAGGCAAGCGAACAGAGGCATAATTCAAGCGCCTTTCATTCCATTGTGAGCAAATGTACCGTGCCGTGCAGGCCGAGTCCCGCATTTACACACTCCTACAATTGTACACCTTGGTCTTTGATACGCGGGCAGAACCGATTGGGCACTGGTTCCAGCATGGCACGAATGTGAGGTTGGTACAATCGATGGTGGTCGATGCTACATTACAATCGACCACACTCTTCGGTTTCCAACAGCTTACTATACCCAGGCGAGAGAAATACATGGCTGCACAATAGCTGCCACCAAGGCACGTTTTTGCTGTGGGCGTGCAAAGGACGGCTGCGCTAAGGGTTAATGAACACGCCGTGGTGGCCCTGGATTCATGTATCCTTTCTGGCCGCAAAAGAGCAAATTAGCGTTTGCCGCATTGACGGGAAGTTGTGCATGCGCGTAGGAACCGGGCGCAGTGTAGCTCGGTTTTCACGCCCACCATATTTCCTTCTTGGGCGAATGCGGACGCAGATCTGCCCGCGTTCACATTGCACCCAACATATGCATCCTTGACGAAGATGCGAGCAATACATGCTGCATGCAAGCGTAAAGTACCTGCTCATTTCCCAAATCCATCTCCAAAGGGCCCGCTGCAGCCAGTGGCTTTTCCCCTTGCCTGCCATAGGTCTGGCGTTCGTCGTGTGTGGCCCCGCCGCACGTTCGGCATCAATTGTCGATATCTCCCGACCCACAGCAGAGAATACGCGGGAGATTGCCACCCATCGCGCAATTGTGCTGGCTTTTGTTGGCCGAAAAGGGATAATTGCAATAATTTCTGCCAAGAAAATAGAATAGTGAAGCTAGACGAGTCATCCGTCAACACCCTTTGCCAAATACCGGTGCCAGAACATAGTCATGCAGTGCCCACACCACACGCTTCATGTAGTCCATCCAACTTGACACAAGCCGTGGAACTGGAAGCTTCAGCACCATTGCACCTATCATGAAGCAGATATACGGCAGCATCAGCGGCACTGCAATGGCCAAAAACAGGCACTTGCCCACAGTCTGCCCAACGGTCTGTGGTCGGTAGGGCACCACCTGCTTCAGCCGCTCAATGTATTCTGGCTGCAGGCCGTTTTCGACCGCGCCATCCAGCAGGATCCTGTGGTACCGCTCCGACGGATGCAAGCACTGCTCTTTGAGCCGGGGGTCGATTAGCGTCACACCGGTGATCAGGTCTCCGTCGTACGTCTGGCACCTGATCTCGACCGTCTGGTATCCGACGTCGGGGTTGCCGTTGCCGCCCTCTGTCTCAATGATACGCTGCATTTCCTCTGGTGTTATCAAGTGCGCAACGCAGTGCAGTGGACCCCCTACCTGGCAATCGGCAAATGGCCGAGTCTTGGAAAGTCCTGTCGTCTCGTCAGCCTCTCGGCTGCTGGTAATCTTGGAGATAACACCAAACCCTGGCTCCAGGTACGGCAGACCGGCCATATCAAAGGTCAGTTGATAGCCAGGAACAATAACTGGGAGGCTCTTTTGCGGGAACACCTTGCGCCGCCCCGAAAGAACCTTCGAGCTCATATTAGAACCGTAACCTACAATCAGCCATAGCTCCGGAAGAGCGGGCTAATTAGTCGCTGCTGTCCTGTAGGGCTCGGTCATAAATTAAGGCTGAGGCCCACTGTACTGTGAAGACCAGTGTGATTATCTGCGAGGGAAGCCAAGCCACTTACCCAGGTACCAGAGCGAACCATTGTTTGTAGTTACCGATGGCATCGCTTCGGACTAGTATTCTGTCGGAAAGCAACCTTGCAGTGGTGTGTATTGAGAAGAAAAGGTGACTGTACTCTGACTGCTGTAGTCACCCTCTTTGTAAGGCGCCCCTTTTATCTATCTTTTTCAGGCTCTCCTGGGAGTTGGTCCAGCGCCAAGAGCATTACAAATCATTCGCATGAACGGACCCGTGTCCTGATCGATTAAAAACAGTGATTCCAATCAGCATGCCAAGGCCAATTTACTACACCACTTGATAGCAGGCAGCAGCCATCGTCCATTTTAACTTCCAGAGTGACTGTTTTTCGACTTTCTTTTAGGGGACATTTCCAGCCGGTACATTGGGGACTCGGGGCAAATGAACATTGGTCCGCCGCTGCAGGCCAACGAAACCACATACACAGAAACTGAAGCCACCAGCAGTAATGCGCCACAGACCCAGCTCACGCGCAAGCAGGCGGGGGCAGTCGGCGCAACCACATCAGCGGTACGCGGCCTGCTTCTCCAACCGCTCTACCTCTGGTATCGTACACCGCTCAAACTGTTTCGCCCCTTGCGTGTCGACTATTTGGCTACAGCCCGCGCGCTGCTGCCACAAGAGGTGCTGTCACGGCGAGTCAGCCTACGCGGGTCGTCGCTGGGCATGATTACTAACGCCGTGAAGCAGCGCGGGTGGTCGTTTTTGCCGCGGTATGTGATTCAGCCGATGCTGGCCAACTGGATTGTTGGATTCACGCTATTCACAACGTATACAGCAGCTTTGCCCTCGGCGTATATGGCAGCATCGAGCCAGTACTCGATCAACAGCCAGGAGCAGCTGCCATGGTACCCGCCATTTGTTGCTGGTGCGGCAGCTGGCCTGGCACAGTCAGTGGTAGCAACACCGCTTGACTCGCTGCGCGTGAGGTTCGAGGTTCAGGATATGGTCAACGGGCGGTACCACAGCTGGTGGAGCTTTGTGAAGGGACAGCTGTCGGACGATGGCTGGCGAGGTCTGTATCGTGGATTCAAACTCACTATGCTGAAGGACGTGGCCGGGTATGCTGGATTTTTTGGGCTGTTTGAATGGATCAAAAACGAGACTATCGATTTATACCGCGACCTGATTCGGGTAGCGTGCACAGCCGACATTTTCGAATCCGACTCTGATATACAGAGGCTAACCAGAGAACGGGCTGCGGAGCTGCGCGGGCTGCTGAATCAGGATCCAGAGATGATCGAGGCGCAGGGGTGGATCATCCGCAATCCGATATTTGTACTGCCCGCGCTGTTCCTGCCGCCCATTCTTGGGAAGCCGGCCTGCGTGCTGTTTGCTGGTGGTGTAGCCGCCTTGGCGTACCAGGCGATTGACTACCCTCTGGAGCAGTTCCGTGCTCAGTTGTACTCGGAGGTGGCCAGTGGTGAGGTGATGAAGCAAAAGGTGTCAAGACATTTTCTGGTGGGCGTCAAAAATGCACACAGCACCAAAGGCATGCCGTGCTCGCTACCGCCAGGCAGAATTATCGCCCAAATCACACCGTACCGGGTAGCATGGCGGTCGCTGAAAGACGCTGCAACCAGGGAGTATCCACGGCCGGTAAAGAGCGAGCTGTTCAAGAGCGCTCTGGCCATTCGTAGTCTGTATAACGGGTGGGCAGGTGTGGCGTTGCGATCGATCCCGGCAGCATCGCTGGGCCTGGTTGCATACGAGATGCTGAAGAGCCAGTTATAGGACGATGCCCATTTTGTTAGATCACTGTAGAATACACATGAATGCCCGTGATGTCAGCGGCACCTACACACCTACTTACAAAGGAACCCATGGACTTTTGTATATATGCATATGGTTTGGTAAAATTAGAATATCTCCTGGCACTAAACAGCGCACATTCGCAATGGCTGCTTGCAGATATTATTCCCAGCTACTTTTGCATTGCACTTCTTTGTCTAAAATTAGCATTCCTTTGACGAGATCTTTGGTAGGGATATCTCCAAGTGTTGTACCGGCTGTTGGCTGTACAGACATAATTTGATGCATTGAAATACTAAGGTGGTGGCGCATCGTATACGAAAACCGCCATACCATCTGCCCCTATACCATTACAATTCTACCTTCAATAATGCGCCTGGCAGTTTCAACCAACTTCGCATTAATAGCCTCTGTCGTCGCTTACGCCATTGCCGCACCAATACCAAGCACTGGTCATGGCAGTACTGCCACTATCACTGCTGGCGGGCATGGCCAAAATGATATCCATACGATGCTAGACTCAGCAGACAGCAAATTAAACCGGAGAGGAGGCATAGTGCACACACCAAATATCTATCCTCGCTCAGGGAGCCGTAGTCCAGTTGGCCAACACAACCATATTCGCTTCTACAAATAAATGATCTGATTCCCACAACGGTGTAATCCGCTGAATTCGATATGGTCTAAGAGCCAATCCCGGTCCCATTTTTTGTCAGCCCACCCACTTTTCGTCTTTCCATTCCTCCATATCGCTGTCAACGGGTTAAAAAGCCATGTCGTTCAAGTTCAACTTCGGAGTAAGCGACGATGGCGAGAACATCACTGGTGCCAATGTTACTGCTGATGAGCACGAGCAGATGCAGGATGTAGATATGGCTACATCTGTGGCCGTCGAGCCACACGCCGTGGTCCCACTAAGCATTCCGTCTGTGCCTGGCCTGGTTGTTGATGCTATCTACTTCAAGGACCAGAAGCTGTGGAAACGGCGGATCGACGATATACAGTTCCAATTGGCACAGGAGGACATGATGGAAGCCGAACACAGCACCACTCTGCAGAAGATGATGGCCGAGGGCAAGGACGCTGCAGATGTAATCAAGGGAGTGTACGAAGGTGGGCTGAAGACATGGGAGTGCAGTATTGACCTACTAAACTACTTGATCAGCGAAGAGGATGGTATTGCGGCATTGGCCGGAGCGCAGGTGCTTGAGCTCGGGTGCGGCACTGCACTGCCTTCGCTGCATATCCTGAAGCGGGTCCCAACGGCCCAGGTCTGCTTGCAGGACTACAACAAGGATGTGCTGGAGCTGGTTACCATTCCCAATGTGCTAGCAAATACGGTTTTGTCGCCCGAGAATGGCGTTGCTGGGGACAAACTGCATGTAGAGGACGACACGGAGACATGTGAGATTGATGTGGACTTCCGGCGCACGCAAATTCTGTTTGGCGAACTTGCCGACGAGGTCATTGGCAAGCGCGAGGTGCCGCAGCTGACACTGGAGGAGGTCGAGGTGGCCAACAAGCGGCTGCTGGCTGCTGGTGCTGACATTCAGGGCCGGTGCGAGTTTGTTTCTGGAGACTGGTCGTACATGCAAGAGGCGATTGAGTCACACGGCAGGCAAAACACATTCGACCTTATTCTGACCAGCGAGACCATCTACGACACTGCCAGCTACCGGAAGCTCCACGATCTGATTGCCGCCTCACTGGCCAAGGCCAGCCAGGCAAATGGCCGTCCGCCTATGGCCCTGGTCGCAGCCAAAGTCCATTTACTTTGGGCTAACTGGATCTGTGCTATCATTCAAAAAGTATGTGCAGGCCCGCGGCGTGTTTGTGGCAGAGACGGTCTGGCAGAGTGGGGCAGCATGAACCGCGAGATTCTCCGTCTCACATGGGCTTAGAGCGCAGGCGGTTGTTTTTATGAATGCAAATTTCTGGGCTGGATTGTTGAATAAATTTAGGCAATTTCACATCGGGTATTATCTGCGCCGTTTGTTTCTATGATGTGCTGCTGATGTTACCGCTTACTATGTAGGGACAATTGTTGTCTGGCGGCGAAGCTTTCTCTGGTAGAACAGGCTGAGGCGCAGGCCGGCCAATAATGCATGCCTGAGCCGTTACCACTTGTCCCGTTGCGATGACTGCTGATGCGCGTAGCTGCACACATGCGACGCTGCCTATTTGATGAAGCCGTCGGTCCGGGGCACATATGTGCAAAGAAGAATGTGCTGCAGATCATTAGCCGCGATATTTTCTATATTTGGACCGCGCAGGCTACGAAAGGGACACGGTGGCGAGGGCGCACTTGCATCGCGCTGCTTTGTAGGCAGCAGCATGGCTGGTGTAAACATCTTCAAACAGAGTGCGCACCACTAAATTTAGAGGAGTGTTTGTAAACGCCATCTTTTGTTACATATGCAGCTCCCGGTCCTGGTCCACGAGACTATTTAGGGAGAGGGAGACACAACAACGATGCCAATATAAATGGTCTGCTTTGCCCTGTGGAGTAAAAAAGGCCTGTTTGTTTGCCCCTCTCGCCTCGCTTCACCTTTATTTTCGTCTGCTAAACCTCTCTTTAAGCACTTTTGTTGCGAATTTTAACCTAATTTTTTCCCCATTTTGTACAGATCCACACTGATGGAGGGCATCGCTCTGAGCAGAAACGATAAATGGCTGCTGGTGTTGTCCATATTCGTGCCACCGCTTGCCACGTATCTAAAGTTTGGCAGGTCGCGGACACTGCGCACAAACTGTCTGTTCACGCTCTGCCTGTTTTTGCCTGGGGTTTTCCATGCAATGTGCTCGATCCACAGATACCCGAGCGTAGTATTCCGCCAGACAGAGCCCAAGGACAGCGGGGTGTTCCAGGAGCGTGAAGGAAATGTGATTTGGGAGGTGCCCAGAGACCATTTCCGTAGCATCAGCCATTCTGTGCTTGTGTTCGAGGCGCAAAGCCTGACGCTCAAGAGCGACTTGGCGCAGAAGCGTTCCTTGCCAGGCGGTTCGGTGGCCATACCACCGTCACTGGCATCATCGTCGGATGACACGATCCATGATGATAAGTACCTGGCGTTTGCGCATGCTTCCGCACCAGTGCTCAATCCAGGATACGGCTGGAATATGGCCGACATGCACCAACAGCAATTTCTACCCGATCCCTACGCTCTAGGCATTACACGGCCACTGGAAACCATCAAGATCCACTAAACAGGAAATGGCGTCTGTGAATAAATTTGATTTTTGCGCACACCCATGTCACATGAGCATGCTTCCTTGGCAGCGGTACGTGGTTGACGACGTATCGCATCGCTCTTTTTCGCACAGACGTTTCTTTTCTCACCTCTCCACTCTACATTCGATTTTTCTTGCACTATGTCGCGGCGCTATCACTCAACCGACGTTCTTTTGCTGATCCTGGCGCTGTTCTTCCCGCCCCTGACTGCGTTTTTCAAGCGCGGATTCGGCGCTGATTTGCTTATTAATGTGCTGCTGACACTTCTCGGGTTTCTGCCAGGGCTCCTGCATGCGTGGTACCTGGTCTTTGAGCACCCTTACGAGTCTCGCGGATATGTAGAGATTCGCGGATAGCTCTGTAGTTTTTCGCCTCTAATAAATTAATTGTGCTGATGTACCCTGTACGAATCCGGTGGTGTGTATGGCTGAGCCGGTCCTGTGTTGGTGCCAAATCGTGTGCCTTGGTGGCATGTTTAGGCAAGGGAGGGCTGGTGCCAAGAGGACGCTGGAAAGAGGCGGAGAAAATGAACCAGTGATTGGTCAAACTGTCAGCATAGGAGAAATCAAGCACAGCAGAAAAACGGAGAGCCTTGCGGTTTTTCTTTTTCCACCCTATCTTCTCTTCAATTCTCTGTATTCTTTTTTGCCTCTTTTACTTTCTTTACCGCGCGGCAGTGCACATAGTTCATCGCCAACTAGAGCCTTTGGCTTGCAATAGCCACCTAGGAAACCTGCAGTAGTGCACCCCACATATTCAGTAAACCAGGGCCGCTGCTTACGTCCTCCCTTCATTCCACCAGAACGGAGGAGATTCCTTTAGCAGTATCTACCCTACTGCCACCACCACCACTACCCTGCGACGTTTTTAGAACGCCGTTAGTACCACGCACAGTGTCTGCTGCCTTTCTTCACAACATCCCTGCGCCATGGAGCCGTCAGACATCGTCCTGCTTGCGCTGGCAGTAATCTGCCCGCCCGGAAGCGTCGCCCTGAACGTGGGCTCAACCGAGACTTTATTATTTGCACAGCACTGACGCTGCTGTTCTGGGTACCAGGTAATGCCGGTGGTTTTGACATTGTGTGCTACGTGGGAGATATGCAAGGATATCCTTATGTTCTATTTTTATCCCGATTCTCGCACCTGCTGCTGCTGTTGCTGTTGCTCGGCAAGACAATCGGCGATTGTGCTCGTCAACCGCTCTTGCTGAGAGTTGTAAAATTGTGTTGACAAGACATATGCTCATTAAGCAGGCAAAAACATATTTTGTTTGTGGCAAAAACTTGTTTGTTTTTGTAAACACTGTAGGCATCGCATACAGCTGGTACCTGATCTTCAAGTACCCGCTGGAGAACTTTAGGCAGCGGGGCGGCCCAGGGCGGTACCAGACTATCGAAGATGGTTTGCGGCGACAGTCGATGGGCGGGGCGCTGGCGCTGGAAGACGATGGGTCGGAGCGCAGTGAGGACGATCACAGTCTCGGCGACACGCCGATCACACCTGACACTACGGCGGTGACGCCGCATTCTACATTGCGCTCGCCAAGCCGTAAATCGATGTCAGGACGCAAAAAGTCGCACCGCGGACGCAAGCCGGGTAGCGGGCGGCGGAAGAGCTCAAGTAGCAGCCGTAGCGGGATCCGCGGGCGGCCACCAGTCGGTTGCACTGCAGGAGGCGGCCCGGAAATATGCAATGCGGCAGCAGCAGCGCGAGCGGTCAAACTCGGTCAAAAAATGGTTCGTTGACCGCTTCTACTTTGCCGACCCCACCCAGGTCCCACCCGAAATGGGCAACGATCTCCACAGCAACCCCGAATCGCACGAGCTGTCTGTTCCGCAGCAGTAAACTTCTCATTATCGGTATTAAGAATCAAACTGTTCTTGGTGAAATTCGCCGGTGATTTCCTACGCGAAAGTTTCTAAAAATAGTAGGACGAGCTAGCACCCCCATCCTCACCGACATCGCGTCTTTGCACATACGGTGCCATGGTGCATAATGCATGCATTGGAAACGGGCACAAGTGAATATCTCGTGTAGTCCTTTGTGGTGGAACCTGATTTCTAAAAATACTGTCGTGCTTTCGGAAACCAAGCGGGCAGATATTTCGCAGCAGCATGCCCCACATCCGCCTCGACAGTAAACATGCTGATTATGTAAACACACGGCGGACATGCCTTTGCTTGGCATGGTGTCTGGGTATCCAGTCCTGGTCTGTACGTCGTTATATCTGATCTCAAATGCACTGGGGTGGGACAATTTTATTAGCGAATGTCATGAACAGAAATGCGATGATGGAGATATGCGTATAAATATGCAGCCACATTCTCAGTGGCCATGTATGCTGCAGTATTCATTTAGCGATCATAAAAGTCGTGGCCAAAGGCCCGACAATGCTCGTGCATCTCCACTTCACTCGAGCAAGTGTATCCACATCCGAGACACATCCACTGGGCCTGCAGCACAGACAGGACGAGCAAGCTGCTTGCCTCCGCGGACAGACTGAGGATAGAGTGGATCCAGAGGTAGGACAGGAATGGCACATGCTTTGCAAAACTAGTCATTCTTTTTTGGTGGGGATGCAGGTATCAGGGGTGGTGTAATAAACAAGCGACCGGCGCAAGCTAGAGAGATGTGTAAATGAGGTGGGAGGGAAGGGGCGTTGGGTAGTGGAAGAAAAGGGAGATATTTAAAGGGACGGAGAGAAAGAAATGAAAATGGAATTGCTCACAACGAAAACCCCCTTACCGCCCTCGAGCCCCTCTTGTGCTTTTTATAGCCAAAAGGGGATAGATGCTGGTCAACCAAAAGTATCGGGGCGGCATGATGCACCTGGCTGCTCCAGCTATACAGACTCCTCGAAGGTGCTCTGAATAGGGGATCTTAGGCTCGCACATCATTTGCAAGGCGGTCCTGCAAATAATGGCCGGCCTGCACTCTGCTTTCCGCAACTGCCGCATGCCCCGGAATTGTCTTTTTCTGTTGGGCCTGTGCAAGTCAGCAAAAGATGCTGTGAAACGGGGAACCAAGCGAGCACTGAGAAAAACGGTCGATCTGCTCTCATCCGCGCGTATGTTGATCCGCACAAAAAACTTCCATCGTTTATGAACATTTGCTACCCATATCGGCTCTGTGTCTAGCGGCGCCCCATGTGTGCTTGGTGATCAGGCAAGGTCATCAGCACATCTTGGTTTTGTTCCAACTGTGCTGCGGGGTACTAACAGGAAGTACACCGTCGGCCTTCTTTTCTCTCTTCAAGCAGCATCTTTACACGTGTGCAATGAGCGTACTACAGCCGAATACCCAAGAGAGCCCGATCTTCACTGCGCAGAAGCAAAGATCGGCTTGGTAAAGCAACCACCTGGACGAAGCTTCCCAGCTTGAAGGTCGCATGGCTCCCAAATGTAAACAAGCATCTCCTTGACGGGACTTGGATCAGGAGGGGCAATCCACGTGTTTGTGCGCTGGTGATATCATAATATGCATGGCCATGAGCAGCCGGGAGCCCTCTGGCTTTGGATAGGGAGGCTGCAGAGCGAATAGCTAGCATCTGCGCCAAGATGCTAATGAAAGCGCATATCGTAAGGCGGGCTGGACAATTATACTGCATAAATCGCCCACGGTGCGTCTCCTCGCTGCCACCAATTGGCCACCGGCCTTGTCCAGTCATGTCTCTTCCATGTGGTGGGACATGGGGGACAGTTGTGGGGGAACACATCCTTTTATTCTGGGAGTCGGCAGTGGAAGCGGCTTTCCTTGGCTTATCGCCACTTCCCACATATGCTTAGAACCCCTGCACGACATGATTGTTTGGGAATATCCGCAGGCAATGCCAGGGCAGCCGTCGTGTCTGAGATGTCCAGTGATGCCAAGCACCTGCTCTTACATGGATGCAAGCTGCGTCGGTTCCTTGATAAATGCTGCAACGAACTATCCCTGTCCAAGCTGTAGTTGCCAAGGAATCCATGCTGAGAGGAGGTTGTCTGGCATGCAGTTTGCATAGCAGCGCAAGGACTCATCCCACTAGTGGACACCAGAGACACCCTCGCCACCACCTAGTGTATGGATCGGCAAATGAGGTAATGGTGCAGGCCCGTGTGCAGCATCCAAGACCGCAATGCTGCAAAGGCTTTTCGCTTTTGTTTTGGTCTTACCAGGTCAGCCCAAGCTAGCCAATCATTCGCACTGTGCTGGGGAACCGCCTGCGCTGCAGACCGCCAAATGTGTTCTTTTGCATCAAGCGCACTTTTCAGCGAATGCAACATCGGCTGCTAAAAAGCGATCATTGCTGCCGGGATTGTCGGACCTTCCCCAGGACATATGCGCTCGCCGCGAACGCGCATTTTATGCATGCGCCTCCTGTTCGGGCCAGACGGAAGGCAGCAGGAGCTATAGTCACTGCTGGGGGAGCAATGCGAAACTAGATGCACATGAAAATAGCATCCTTATTCTTAGGCTCTGCTGGGCTGCATGTTCAGTTCCAAATACAAGGATGTGCCCACTGTTTGGGTTGTCCTTCATGATCCGTGATCGAGGATCAGCATCCATGTTCGCCTTGTCAGCGACATGTGCATGTATGCTACCGCGTGGTCCAGATATCTAATTGCGACATGCTTGATAAAGTGGAAAAGGTTTGTTGGCCCAGCCACACACTCGCCAAACTGATAGAGCGATGTACAGGCACGATGTTTGCAGGCTTTGCTTCTCGGGTAGGCGTGCTCGCATTCAATTTTGGCGTGATAGCTGCAGAAAACACTAGAGAAAACAAATTAACAAAGGCCCATTGAATGCGAATCTATGACGACGCCGATGTTCCCGGGTGGTAGCTCGAAGTCAGGGTCGCAACAGACATCCGCTTAGACGATGGCGAGTACTCGCTCCTGTGCATTTCGTCGTGCTCGTCATGGTCATCTTCGTCATGGCTAAGTATGTCCATGTTCCGGTCGCTGGTCCGACTGGACGAGTCCAGGTCGCCAATGCGTGTGCCCGACGTAACGAGGAGCGCACGCTGGCCGCGGCTGAGCATGTCCTGTGAGGGACGGCCGCCGCGCCCCTTCTTGATGACTCCACGCACATGTCGGTCCTTCATCTCGACGAACCGCTGCATCACATACGACCGGCACTTATCGGCACCCGGCAGGTCCTGGATCATCTTGGCGATAGTCGGGTGCGAGAACCCAAAGTAGTCGGGGCCAGAAGCCGAGTTGGAGTGCTCACGGTGCCGGATCTGGTTCACGGTGCGCAGAACTGTGGTCCAGGCACCAGTGGCTGTGTTGGCAATGATAGGCGACCCGGGAATGTCTTCGGGCTCTACATGGAACCGCGGGCCGTCACCGCCGTCGGTAATACGACAGGTATAAATCACCTGCTTGTTCGGGTCAACCATGCTGTAGTACTCGCGCTGCACCGTGTAGCCGACTGGCCAGATATACCGCTCGTTGTGGTACGTTTCGCGGTCCCACACAATCGTCCCCAGACTAAGAACAGTTAGGATACCGACCTGCACCGGCAGCTCATAGTTGCCATCTTTGTCACGGGGCACGGGCTGCACTGACCGCACCTTGGATGAGATGTCATGGTGGCGCTTACGGCGCTTGCCACCGGGCCGCGGCATGCTGGTGTTTGCGTGCTGCATCGCTGAGGACACATCAAAAATGGTCGTGCCTGGGTAGCCACCGTGAGGCGGCGTGTACGACGACGGGGTGGTCGGCGTGAGGGGGGCTGGGTGGCCACCGGCAGGGCCGTTCACTCGAAGAGCCCCGCTGGCTTCAGGATAGCCGTATTGCCCGTGGCTGTCAGACGGGTAGCCTGCCGCCAGCGCATGCTGCTGGTGCATTGGAGGCCGATCTACCTGCATCATGTGGTCGCTGGCGGTGCTCATTGCATCCATGTGTCGGGGACTGCTGCTGCTGTCGCTATGGCATGAGTGGTAGCACGACTGGCTGGCTGGGCCAAGTGACCGTCGCGCTGCATACCCGCCACTGGTGGCCTGGGAGTTCCGTGGGAACTGGGGCTGCGTCGCTGATGCCCGCATAGGCGGCAGGTTCTTTTGCGCATGCTGCGGCATCGGGTAGGATCCCTGGAAATACGAGGAAGGCGGCTGGCGGGCACCGTTGGCATATGGCATGGGCATTGTCTCCTTACTATGTGCGATTCCTGGAAGATTCGGGGTTGGACGGCCTCCACTGGCGAGCATCGGGTTGCTAGAATCTGGACGGGCACCGCCATACACCTGATAGTGGAACTGGGGTGGTGGCACATCAGAGGCGACATGGGAGTCGACACGACCAGCTCCGCTGTTTGCCTCGTTGGAGGTGAATGACATGGATGGCGAGAGCGAGTTTGACGACGACGACATCGCATACCCGACTCCGTCGCGGTCTGCTGAATGAAGAAGCCTGTCCAGCAGAGTGTCCTTCTCCTTGCGTAACCGCTTTATTTCTGCTTGGGCGTCTTCGAGTTGCGACACCATGCGAGCATTATCCTATGTAAGAGGAGAGGGGCATTAGTGCAGCCTGTCAGCAGTGTGTTGGGCGATGCTTAAAGCGATGTCTTCTCTCAAAAGGGGGCGGGCATACATGTTTTCAGGGGATGGGAAAGGGGACACATTGCAACTCCATCCACAAAAAACCGCGTCCTGTTCTTTCTAGATACATCGCTCCATCCTCACTAGCACAGCTCTTTCATGCGACGAATCGACATGGACATGCATGCCCAAGCATGAGTCGGAGTGAGGTATGGATTCGCGCAAAGGCAAAAATCAATAAAGTCGTGCCCAGGCAGAAGAGCAGAAAGAAGGTGAGGAAAATCAAATGGCATGTCCCACCATCCCCCTTTTCTCACACTCATTAGAACGATAAGCCCGTTTGCGTGCGAAACACCGCTGTTTCGTGTGAGAAAGCGGGTGTGCCTTCACATGCTGAGCGTCATGAGAGAATCCAGAGGTGTGGCAAAGGTACAGTTAGGTTCGCGCGTTCTGTCTTCCAGTGAGAGCAAGAGGCTTTTGGTGCACCAGAGTCGGAATTGAGCTGGCTGTGCGGGCATGCAAGCTGAAGATGTTCCGACGGTACTGGTCGTCACACCACTAATAAGGCTTTTTAGGCAACTATTGGTCCCTCTAGGCAGGCACGGTCTGGCACTGGGCAGCAGAGGCCACTGGGAGGAGAGATAACAGTAGTCATGTGATGTCCCATCGGACTATTGCAAGGGGAGGGAGGGAACCAAAACGGAGATGGGGACCCGCCAAGAAGACAGGCGCGACCAAAAACATGGCTCAGGGAACGGCGGAGCGATAATGCAGGCTGATCTCGGACCCAAAGGACAGAGTACCACACGTACTATTTCCAGCCAGCAGTAGGAGCTGGGGGAATGGCTGCTGGATGCGACAGGCAGGCATGTGCTGCTGGGCGGTAGCGCAGAGCAGTGAGAGGAGGCACGGAACGGAGACGCACAATGACGGGCAGAGAATATTGTCGGACAGAGATACCCATTATCGCCTGAAGGATGCGAACAGCACTGCGGGCCGGGGTGCACAAACAGATAGAGTCCAAAAGGCAGGCACGGGAGAGGCGTTCGGCTATTCCGAGAGCTATCGCTAGAATTAGGGAGCTGTCAAAGCCCCCAAGTGGATAATGATGATGGCCAAGAAGACATTGCAGGACCACCACAGGTCGCTTTTGGGCATGTGGAGGCGGTGCTGAGGCAACAGATGCGCGGTCACGGCCAAAACGAGACAATGGAGGAAAGAGAAAAAATGGACTTACCTCAAGCACCTCACGTAAGCGCTGGCGAAGGCGGTTGTACTTGTCTTGGTAGACAGACTCATTCGACAGGTTCACTGGCGAGATGGAGTCGCTGGCAGACCGGTCATTCGAGCTGTTGCAATTGTTTTGTTGGTACCATGAGGATGTGGCGGCGTCAGCAATGGCTGGAATGGCGTTCGGGTTGTATTTGCTGTTGCTCTCCCTGCGCTGGCTGGGGCTTGGTCGCCGGTAATTCGAGTGTGCCTTGTCCATTGAGGCGCTGTCCTCGGGTCGCATCGCTGGCGGCAGGAATGTGGTCTGGTGCGTGTATGGAGAAGAGATGCTGCTTGTGTGTGCAGGCGGTGTGATCAGCGCAGTGGTGCTGCTGGCCATGGTCGCAGCAGAGATATGCTGGCCTGGAGAGGGATCCGATTGTCGGGGCCAGCCAGGGTTGGTGGTTTTTGTCTTGAGAGAGAAGGCGGACGGGTCTGTAGGGCTTCTCATTACTGTGCAGATACAAGGGAATAAGGTCTAGGGATGGTACAGAGGAGCAGGTGTAAGAGCCGAAAAATAGACGCAGAAAGTAGAAAGGAGAAGAGAGAACGTCGTGCAAATCGGCGTGCTGGATGGGCAGCGAGGGCGGGGCTATACCAAGAAAATCTACAGAGTTGGCCGAAAAAAGGGGAAGAGAAAGGGATTTCACTTCTGTAGGGGATGAGTGTTATGCTGAAGGTGCAGCAGCCGCAACGATTAAAGGAAAGGAGAGGGGGGAAGGCGCCAATGAGGAAAATTTTTGGATGACAACAGTGGGGACCATTAGAAATGGCGCGTGCGCGGTGCCTCGTTTGTATATTAGCGCGGGAGACTGCCAGATTAGTGGCGAGGGTGAGACGCAAAAGCAAGACACAGCCTGCTGCAGTTTGGTCGAGCGTTTAATAAACGGCAAAAGGGCTTGCACATGCTAAGGCAATCGCAGAACTTTGGCGGCAGCTGCAAGTAATTTACCGAATGCACGCACAACCCACCGCGCAACAGATATGGCGACAATCGAGACACGGTATTCTCCGAAGAAGTCGAAGCCGCACTTTGACATGCAAAGTACGAAAAGTAGGGTAAATCCACTCTGGAGGAGCCTTGGGTGTTTGGTGTGGGATGGGAGGGGTTTGTGGAGGTGCCGTTTTTGTTGCATTTGGCAATACGAGACCGAAATGGAGAAAGACTCGCGTCTATCCCAGAAAGATCATTGTGGCCGCTCGGTGCCATACAATCGGCAAGGCCGGTCTATGGCAGGCGACAGAGACCAGCTGCTACGCCTCTGAGAAATCGGGACCTGTTAAGGTGGATGTAGGCGTCGGCTCCCCGATCACCCACACCCGCACCCACACATAGCACCAACAGGCTAGAAAAACAAGGCTTTGCACAGGCACGGATTGGGGCGGATGCTTGGCTGTGGGAGATGGATAGCAACAGACACTAAAAACAACATGGAGCAAGATGTCGCATTTGGCAAGTGTTGCGGCAACCATATCGATTGTTGCCGCAGTAGCCAGCAACAGGCTGTGCTTTGGCGATTATGAGAGTCTAGTTCAGCCAGAGTTGGCGCACAGATTGGGCGAGCAAGCACTGCATACATCTGATGGCCCGCTTGTTTGAAATGCTGTGAGCCATGAGAGACAACAAAGGTCGAGCAGGGGAGGGAGACAACTGGGCCAGGATATATCTGGACCGTCACCGGGCCCACAAGGACCGCAGGATCTGCTGCGCATGGCGGCACCCAGATTCGGTAAAAAGGCTGGCATTCTCAGAACAGCCTATTGCCACATGCGTGAGGTTTTTAAAACATTCTGCAAGTTGTGGTGGCAGATGGAAAGGCGCCATGCGCCGCCTGATTTGAAGAAGGTAACAGGCGCTCGGCTGGCGGTGGCGGAATTGCACAGCAAGGATGGAAGCACATCCCAAACAACAGGTATTCAGAGTGCTTAGATGTCAATATTGAAGTGGTTGTAGTTCTATATTACTGCCATTGTCCGTTTAATTGCGCGTGGGGGGAGGTGACAGTACATACAGGGGCGCCGCAAGTGGTGGTAGATGTGAACAAAACACCATGCAAGTGGCGAACAAACAAGAGTCTGGGTAAAATTCTGGCACGGATTTGGGCGCTTACCTTTTTGGAATTGGCGCTGCTGGGCAGTTTGTCTGTCAGAAAAGTCGTACAAGAGAGTGCGTCGCTGTGGCGATGCTTGACCAGAGCGAGAAGACAAATAATAAAGTCAGGCGGCTAAAATCTACACAGACGGAGAAATGATGTTTTGAGCAAGAAAAGAACAAAGGGGAGGAGAATATGAGATTCAATTCACGGCAGAACAATGAGTACATATAGCTAAGAACAGGCCGTTTTCTTTGGTTTCCTCTAAACAAACAAAAGCGAAATCCTTAGGGTGCGGTGGGTGGGGAGAGGAGGTACAAGACTCAGCCCACGCCTTGTGCCCACCCTCCATTCCACTCACCCCGGCTGCTAATCAATGACTTTCAGCAGCTCTGCTAGACGAATATAAGGCGAGCGGATTTTGGGGGGGGGGGAAGAGGCCGGCCCTGGGGTCAGAAAAGCATGTTGACAGACGATGGAATTTTTTCCCACAGCGCTGCCCTAGCAGTCCAAGAAAGACAGCAGGGAGCCACTATGCATCATAAACACTAGCAGCACTCGGCGCTCTGTCCAGTGTGACACCACAGCTGGACATTGTGTACCTAGTTCGGGACAAGACAGGTAGGTGCGGTGCAGAGCACCCAGGGAAAAGAGAATGGGAACGCCGCGCAATTCATGTATTGAAGATGGCCCTCTGCGGGTGTTGTCGCTGCCATCGTCGCCAGGTGTGCTCGGCTGCCTCAAGGAACTGTTCCACGGCAGACAAGGATGGCAAGGAGGCAGGAACCTGAGGAGATGCACCCTCCATAACAGTGCCAAGCACATACCAAAGCAGTGTTTTTGAAGCAAAGCGTGCTTAAAAGCAGCCCTAGGCCGAAGGTTCCGTGTGTTTTTAGCCTGTTCTAGCGATGTCCTCTGGCCGACAACAGGCCAGGAAGCGAGCCAAAGGACAGCAGTGCAAAGCCATGCCTTTGCACCACTGCATAATAGAGGCCAGTGATAGTTGGCAAGGCGCAGGACGGACAAGCGAGCTGAGGTGCATCTGATGAATGAGCAGCATCGATTTCTACTCGCTAGTCAGGAACATGCGCCAGCACAATTCCGAGGAATGATAGGTGGCAGAACCTGCAGCATGGTCTAGCCAAAGAGTAAGCTTTCCGCCAAGAGAATCAGTTGCCAAAACAACCGATGGTGACCCCTCCTCTTGTCGTCGCACACAGACCAAGAATGCACAAGCTGTTCGGAGACACAGACTGATCTAGATGGACAGCGCCAGGGCTCCAATCATGCAAGACCCAGCCGAAAATGGCTGGAACCTAGTGTAACCAAGCGAGCCCACGCAAGAAAAATAACGGCAGGTGGATGATAGGTCCGGCTGCTCAACAGCGTCCGACACCGAAGTCTCGCGATTGGCAAATAAATCGGCGGCATTGTGGCAAGCACCGCCAGTCGCAATAATAGTACCTTGGACGGTACGATGCAGTCAGAGGACATGGCGATGAAAATGAACTGCGCGGCAGGCGCAAGCAGAAATGCCGATGTATGCATTGCAGGAGTAGAGCCGGCGCCAGGCTTGCAAATCGATAGTATGCGCTTCAGTGTCGGACAAGAACACAGCACTGAGGACCCGAAGATCCTTCCGGCATTGAGGCCATGGATGGATGGGTAGGAGGGCCTCTGGCAATTGACGAAGGGGGAGGAATGGCTTAATAAGCTGCTGCTTGGTGTCACTTACCCGGTCAAAGCAACTTGGTTTTTTCCTCGAGCAGCGAATGCGATATCAGAAATAAAAAGGCAGCGAGGACGGCAAATAGGGGCTCTATGAAGGAAATGAGAAAATGGCAATGTGTCAACGATAGTGGACTAGAAGAAAACCGATGTGTAGGGAGGCAGAGAAGGCCAGAGAGTAGATAAACAAATCCAGAGATTGAAAAAAACAAGAGCCACTGCAACCACGCTACTTGCTGTGCATTTGTAATTGAGAGTTTCGAGTACCCGCCAGGCTCACAGGTGTTAATAACGGAACTGCGAGTGAATACAGTTCGACAAACATGGATGAGCCGGTGGTGTGTAATCGCCCCATGTCCAGCGCCCCCTTCGTCCCCAGCCTCGTAGTGGACCCCAACCAGGCAAGGCCAAACGAGGTCGTGAGACCAGCATGTACACAAGTTTACTCATAGCTGTGCGGCCAAGCCAGTGGCCCGCGCTTGACGGGCCTTTTTCGACAGTGCTTTCTTTGTTCTTTGGCAAAATCGTGCACGGGGTTACAAGCAGGAAGAGTGGCAGTATAATGAAGCAGGGGCTACCGCTAGTTCAACTGAGCCAGGCCTAACAGCAGCGCAGCGCAGCCCACCCACCGACCACCCCGTTGACCCATCAGCCTTGCCAGCTGCCGACTGATTCAGTCCAGGCTTTGATAGGCCAGATCTCTGTACTGCCAGAACTTCCGGACCGCTAAGCTAGAGAATCAATGGTATACATATAGAGTTCCATGGATTCGACAGGCTAATCTGCCAGCTGACTAGCGATGTATGGAGGTACGAATGGATAAAGACCGAGTGGTGTCCCATAGAATGTGTATATGGCTGGCAATGGCCTCTCGTATTGAGAGAGACGCCAATAACCAGGGCAACCTCCATAAATAAAGAGCAGCAATGCGGATATCACTTACAGTCTCGGTAGAGGCTTGCTTATGCGGCGGCAGTTGGTTCAAGAGCAAAAGGAAAAAAAGGGAACTCTCGAGCAGGGAGCGAAATGAGGGATAGAAATTTTAAAATGGCAGGATTGGGATGCGGGCAAATGAGTGGGCTGGGCCGTGCTTGCTACCCAGTCCTATATAAAACAACCGTAGAACGCACCGACTGACTCGGACGTAGGGTAGGGTAGCTGCGATAAGAGAAAGGAGGGTGAAGATTGGTTTGGCGAGGGGCCATATGGCAAAAAAGACTGGCAGCTGCATCATTGCCACAAATCCATGATGAACCGAGCGCCAACACTGCATCGCCAGCCTGCCATCCAGGACAGCAGAATCCTTTCTGTCAGAAGGAAGAGCAAATCGACATGGAGTTCCGCGTGTTCCCAATCTGTATTACATACCCCCCCCTGGTTGCTACCACCCCCCGCACCCTTTTGATGCATACCAGCCTGGTGCCAGCTTCCATGCCGCTCAAGCGATGGCTGATTCTAATCCTGTAGACAGTGGAATGTACTCTTTTCAGCGACGCCAATGCACGCCTGAGGACCAGAGAACACCCTTCTATAGATACCAGAGCCAGTTCCATGGTGATGTTTCAAGTAGATCTCCTTTTCCTAGTAAACCCCCCACCTATGACAACAACCTCCAATGTCCGTCCAGCTCGTTGCGGCCATTGCGCACTTTCAGTCAACAGTCATGGAATGACAAAGGTATATCTGAACCACTATGGACTGATCTCTTTGTCAGTGTTGTTGGCCAGGCTAACGATCTGCCTTGGTATGAGGTGCTCTGTGTTGGTCGGCCACAGGTAATGCGCTTCAGGATGCACATTGTGGCATTGACTGAATAGCGACCTTTATATACGAGTAGATGGCCGTTCCTCCAATGACTATTATAGCAAACAAACGCCTGTTACAAAACTGCATATATCAGAGGTCATTTAAACGCAAGACCAATTTGAACGGCGTGGCTGTCTCAGTTGCTTTGCAAAGCGAAAAAGCACGGTAGCAGATCCTCTAGGAATTTTACTTTGACAGAGGGACCGGCGCTAGTAGCTGGCCGGCCCCACCTGCGCCAATACTCCCAGATAAGCCCGCTGTCAAGGGGTGCATGTGATTGTGCCCAGCTCCCTCTCTTGCTGGCAGATCCTCTGTGCAAGACCCATTCATGGTTATAAAGGGCGTGCATCCATGTTCCAAAACCACAAAACAGGGGCTTGGGTGGAGACAAGTACATAGCGCTGAGCGTGTGAACTGGAGGGCGCGGACCATACAAACCGCTTTGCTGCAGGTCTCAAACAAATTCGAAGATGCAACAAGGCAGTTTTGCACTCTTGGGCGCCCTCCTTTACTAAATGGAGTGCTGTGGATCCACCCAGGGCAAGTGAGGGACGTACCACTCAATGCAAGAACGGAACATATAAGCGGTGGATAGAGCGCTGCTGGTTGGCTGGCGCTTTGTGAGTGGGCAGTTCATAGCCGTAGATTTCGTGCTTATGACTCGCGTTGGCACTGGGGAACAAATGGGTTTCAAGCATGTTGTGGTTCAAATTTAGTATACGCCCAAGCATCGCCCTCTTTGCAGGACTTCCCATCATCACACGACGATGCAAATCCTTAGTCGCGCTTGTATGCGCACTGTATCCCACACACCAACGATTCGGTCGCTAACCCCTGCCGACACCACCAGCTGGCTAGAGCCTTCCACTGGCAGCTTCAAACACAAACAGCACACTTGTAAACTGTCTGTTCCCAGAAACCATGTGCGCCATAGATGACAGGAAGATGACATGTTGTCGCATCCCTTGCATCCAAATAAAAACAGAGACACATCGGTCGGCTCGATACGTGCTGCTATAGACCGTTAAACTCCAGTTCGGAAACGAAATGCACCAAAAAGCCTGCAGCTTAGCAGGATGTACTGCCGTTTGCTCCTACAAGTGTATACTCCAGAGGCAATCCGCCAAAGCTGCAGAAGGACGCATATGCACATTCACATTGCTGCCGCTGTAGGCAGTATGCGTAGGTATCAGCCGCCCCACCTGACCTGTCTTGTGGCGGCAGTACTGGAGGGGCATCGCTACAAAATTCTCAACAGTCCCTGTTCCCACTGTGGCCAGTGCTGTAAAACTGCATGCTGCGTTGGCTGCTCCTCTGGCTGCATGCATGGCAGCAACCACCATTGGCCATCGTCCAGTAAGCAATACTTTGGGCACTGCCAAACGATTACCACAGCACTTAGGTCAGAGCCATGCACGAATATATTAACGATCACCAAAAGCTGATGCATTCTTCGCAGAAGCCAAACGAGGCGTCCGCTCGCGCCTCTCAGGTCATGCGTGGCGGAAGGGAATGCCAGCATGCGGCATAATGGCAACTCCCGGCCAATCGGCGTGGCTAGTTTCGAGGTGATTGCATATCACACACATCCTATCAATATACTAGAATTGCTCTGCTCGCAATGCGAGCTCGGCTGCTAGTCAGCATGGGTTGACACATCGATAAGAGCATCACGGTGAACCGGTCATTTGAACGTGTTGGATGGTTGTTGGTACAGTGGCGATCATGGACATCCCCCACCTTGGTGGCCTGCTCAGCGTAGGCGCTTCAGCGCTGGCGAGCTGCTGCTGGAAGCAGAATCGCCTGCTGCTGCACGCCTCTTGCGCGGGTTCTTTGTTGCCGGAGTGGTGCCAGAAGTACTGGCAGCAATGGCCGTAGAACGACGGAACCGTTCAGGAATACTGCCTGAATCACAGAGTGACTGGAAAATGAGTCTGAAGTTTAGAACTGCTGCGAGATCGCGGTTCAAGAGCCGAGACGAATAGGCTCGCCTGTATTGTGCCATGGTCTGCTTCATCTGATGGCATCTTCGCTGCTTCGCGTGCAGCCTTCTTGGCCAATTCCTCGCCCTTTTCTGCTGCTTTCCTTGCCTCTGTTGCTGCCCTCTTTACTGCATTGATCTTGGTAACCTGCTCGCGTGTTTTCGAAATAAACACCTGCTTGATTATTTGCTTGTCTAAGCGCACATGGCCTGGGATCCATGATGTCCGCAGAGGCAAGCATTGGGGGGGAGACTTGCCAAGCTGCTCATTCTCGATAAGCTGGCATAGGCGAATATATGCACGCAGATGCTTAAGTGGATTTACCTTGGCATTATAGTATCGGCTGTCTTTGGCGAATCTGTATTTGGTATCATAGGCATTAAGGACTGGTGCCAGCTTGTTGTAGATTGTAAGCATCGGTGGGGTGAGCACACTGAGATCAGGGCGCCTAGAGGTAGCTGCCTGGCGGAGCTTCTGTGCAGGTATATAAACATACACTTGACATGCATTATTGAACTCAGCCTTAGACACATTGCCCATTGTACTGTGCAGTGTGTTTTTGCGGCTGCGAATATCAATCAATTTGGCCAGAATCCACTGTAGGCAAGTGCCATAGTGCAACACAATGTTATTCTTGTATGCTGTCATCAGCTTGGTGTCCACGTGTGTTGCTACTTGATTCATTTCGCATACAACATGTAGCTCGATATCGCCATTATGTAATAGATAATCATAAATATGATATCTAACTACATCACAGAAATCTGCGCTCGACAGTTCTGACCTGTCCTTCCGGTTGACGAAATCCTCGGCAGATATGACAGTCTTCGCCTTCAGGTTGCGATAAATGAATAAATAAATAAAACGAAAGAATCCCTTTTTCACAAATATTGAAGGGTCAAAGGTATCATCGTCAGCTAGTTGATGGAGTAATATCCATCGTGCAAGCATATATGCATGCTCTTTGATGATATTGACGCTGTATACAAATTGCTCTGGGCAGGGCAACATAGAATCACGGAAGCCAATACCACCAAGCGATGTCTTTATAACAGTAGTGCTGGGGGTAATATTCATTTGAGAAATTCAATAGGCAAGTAAGAAGAGAAATGATGCTGTTCAGTTTTGCTTTATTGCGTATGCATAGCATTAAGAAGTTTTCATTAAAAATGATCTGGCTTGCATGGTTCTTGGGGCCCTTAGCACTGATACAGTCTCTTGAATCAGTCTATACAGACTGGGTCCATTGTGGCCCAAATACTACTGCTTACGCATGCTCATAAGACAAATTAATTTATAAAATAAAATCACAAATATTGCATAACTACCAGAAGAGCTATATGGCCTTATTCAATAGGTGCTCATAAATAAACATCCTAAGAGTGTTGCGCAGCCGGTGATGACCACCATGATGATGCCATGGAAGTTATCGAGTCGACCGACAATGAGAGCAGCTCTTGTGCTGAACCAATGGAGATATCTAGTGGAGACCTGTGACCGCTACAATACCAGCCTGTCACCCTGGCTTTACCGATGAGGTCAGATACCGCACAAGATCAAAAGGAGTTTACAGAGCAAGTCACCCAAACTCGCTTTGAGGTTTAAAAGGGATATTTTTAATTAAAAAGGTTCTAGCAGACAGTCGGACACTTTTGGGCTATAAAATCTTATATATAGGTAAAGATATCCGTTCTTGGTCTCTGTATCCAGGCTAACATGGTCAATCGAAAGGAAGCAGCAGCAGGTCTTCTGTGGCATCTGGCGGCGAGGCCATCAATCTACACAAATCTCGCTTCGTGCCCGGTACACGCAGACAACGAAGAGAGAGCAGCTACAGGCAGATCTGCAATTCCATTGAGAGGCTTGGTGCAGAGGGAGCTAGTGTAGGAGGCACTCTTCTCCCGTTTATTTTGTCACCTCATAGCAAAGGCGAGTGATTTTCCGGAAGAGAGGTTGCGGCTGAAACCTGGCTCCCTCAGTGTAGATCGACGGCGATGTACTAGGTGGCACATATAATGGCATGACAGAGCGCCAGACACGGGATGTGGCTCGCCGATTGGATCGACGCAAGACAGGTAGCATCTACATGTTGCGAAATGCTAGTCGCTGCTTGTATTCGCTCCGGCTCCCCTCTTGCCTCGTGGCATGCATCATCAGCTGCTCTGGTCGGAGCTGGTGGGAATTGTGAGGGAGGTGCCAGAAATTGGTGGCCGAGTATAGTGTGTCCGAGTGGCAAAATCTGCTCTACGGTTTTTTCTATTCGTCACAGCGCCCTGGTGTAGACAACCGAATATGCACAGACATCGATAAACAAGTGGCAGGGGTACCCACTGCAGCAGCACGAGCCCGCCTATTGCCTTGCTTTATCTTGCCAACAGGACCATTTGGCGGAGGATGCTGAGGGTAATGCTGCTCTTGGCGGCCTGGGTGCTTAGATATGGTTCGGGAGGTAGATTGTGACCTAGCATAATGATCCGTAGCGCTATGGGGACATAAGCGACTTTGGATGGTAATCTAGGTGCGTGGTAAACAACTTTCTATAAGAGGCATGATAGAGATAGCAGAAGTGAGTTGGACCTAGGTCCGAGAGCTCGTACTACCTACAATAAAGCCTCTACGTACAATGATAGTGTTTCCAAATCCTCGCCGCGATTCTGCTGCACCGAGGGATGCGGTTGGGGCACCTTGTCCAGTTAGGGGTGCATCAGCCCTTTTCTCTTTTCATCGGTTCTGCTGCTGTTTGGTGGAGGTATCTGGCCGCAATCGATGCTGCACGATAAATGTGCACATATGACTGGAGCACAGGCAGCAGACGCCCGGGCAATGCTGTCGTGTGAGTGCATGGCCGTGCCGCAAAAGCAGCAAGTGTGGTGATAGCATGTGCACCTAGATACAGGTATGTTGCTAGATGCGAAAATTACATTGTTGTTAACCGATAAGACAGCTGGTTTATGTTGGTGCGCATATGGCACGGGTATAGACACGAGGGGTGCCAGTAGCTTCTCACCCCTCCTTCCAGGTGTGGCTGCACTCGGAGTTGCAGCACTTGAAGAAGATGGTTGCTGGCTCATCGAGGGACCGGAGCTGGATCTGCATAAAGTAGGCTCGTTGGTGCTGACACTTGGGACACGGCGTCTCGATCGAATCGACGTTCTTCCACGCCTCCTCGCCGCCCAGCACATCGTCCACCTCCTTGCGCTTGAGGATTGTGCGCGAGATCATCTGCCGCCGGATCGGGAACTGGTACGGACACGTCTGGCACACCAGACACGTCTCGCCGTTCTCGCCGACGCCGTTCTCCACCAGGAGCAGGTTCGAGCACGACGGGCAAAAGTGCATTGCTGACTGAGGCTGTGAATCGGGGGGGGGGGACGAAAAGCAAAAGAGAGCAAGGTGGGCGAAAAGTGTGGCTCCAAGAGCACGAGAAAAGGTCGGGCTTTGGCGGCATAGCCAATCACGGCTGTGTCTGGGGGAGGGAAAGCGCCAGCTGCGGTCAGCTGCTGCCTAAGGCCAGCCGTGATCCACGGCGCCTGGTGAAACGCCCTTTATTTCCCAACCCCCGATTTTCGAATCCATCCAAAAATGAGGTACGTCGACGGATACGCCGCGGAAATAGTGCGCCGGAGCTGCTGGAGTCGCTGACGGATTTTCTTTGTGGGTGACGGACCGAGGCAGGGGCATGCGCGCAGAGGGCAGAGGCGGCAGACATTGGGCCGGAATCGGCATTGGCCTGTGTGCACCCTCAGCCTCGGCACCTTCAGCCTCAGCACCTTCCCACTCAGCAGCAACCAGCACACGCACATTCGCACATATTCCCATGCATGTACGCGTCTATGCACGCCTGTGCACCAAAGAGTCCTTTCACACAGCCTAATTCACCCCACTCTACAACCACTGCTTCACCACACCCTGTAGCGGAAGCAAGATTCAGGTTGCTGCTGTGCGCGAGGAGGTCCGTGCCCTCCTTGCTGCGTCTGCCGAGAGCAAGCGCAAGTTTGTCGAGACTGTCGAGCTCCAGATCGGTCTGAAGAACTACGACCCGCAGCGCGACAAGCGTTTCTCGGGCACCATCAAGCTGCCCCACATCCCGCGCCCCAAGATGACCGTGTGCATCCTTGGTGACGCCCACGATGTCGACAAGGCCAAGGCCATCGACATGCCGTTCCGCTCGGTCGAGGACCTCAAGAAGATGAACAAGAACAAGAAGCTCATCAAGAAGATGGCTGCTTCGTACGATGCGTTCATTGCCTCGGAGGCCCTCATCAAGCAGATCCCGCGTCTGCTGGGTCCTGGTCTGCACAAGGCCGGTAAGTTCCCCACCCCCGTGTCGCACACCGACGACCTCACTGCCCGTGCCGACGAGATCCGTGCCACCATCAAGTTCCAGCTCAAGAAGGTTCTGTGCCTGGCCGTTGCCATCGGTAACGTCAGCATGGAGGAGGACGAGGTTCTCGGCAACATCATGCTTGCTGTCAACTTCCTGGTGTCGCTGCTCAAGAAGCGCTGGCAGAACGTCAAGTCGCTGTACATCAAGAGCACCATGGGCAAGCCCCACCGCCTGTACTAAGCAGCGCATTTCTCTCTGTCCCCCAGCAGCCGTGTCCATCTAGTGGTTGTTTGACGCAGTGGTTCTGAGGGCAGGGCCGGCTATATTCTGGCGACTTCCGCTCAACTCTTTCACCTGTACCAAGTTCACATTGGGAATATTGTACAGTTACCAAAGCGCGGTTCCTAGTTTCCTCGTCCTTCTTTCGTGTGGCAGCTGTCCTGTTAGCAGGAGGGCTTGCCACCGGGCGTGGAGCTGGATACCTGTTATCCACCTAGGGCGTGTCTCTTGGGAGCTTTGTAGCTGGTCTCTTTTCTCTGAGTTGCTGCTCAAATAAACACGCTGTTGGACATAACCACCATGTCGACCACGACTGCAATTTGTCAATTCTATCACCCCCCACCACTGCTGAAGTCGGTGCATATATGATGATAGTTGCTGCTGCTGCTGCTGCTGTACCATTTCTAGAAATGCCTTGATAAGCTCTCCATCAGCTGCACGTGGCATTTGACATGTTTGTTTACAAAACTGTTGGTTTTTTTGTCTATTCGTCCCTCCCTCCCTCCCTCGCCTCCCTCAGTAGGCCTATGTTTAATGACATATACCCCCTTTGGTTCAAACAACACATTTCTGTCTGGGCTGTGACAATGCCTTGCTCAACAGAATGCTGCAGTATATAGCCTGCCGCATTGATCCCTCGTCCTTTACTTTGCTTAAAACCATCAGCACCTGGGCACCTTCATGCCACCCATCCTGCCACGGCACATTCCCTTACTCCTTCGCCTCTTTGTAAGACATTTCCCTCTCTCCAATACCCTTTAACACGAATAAACCATGAAGGACTACGCTGGCTTATTCGACGCCATGGTAGCAAACATCACCGCCCCACCTCTATCACTTGATGAATTCCGCCTGTTCGTCTCTCGCGATTCGCAAGCAAAAAATGCGCTTGCATTCTGTGAGTGGTACCAGCGCTATCGCACTGTATATTTCGACCGCAGCGGCGTGCAATCACTACACAAGACAGCAACTACTGCAGCTAGCTCACGTCCTGGAATACCCGAGCAGTTTGCGCTGTCGAATTCCAACTTGTCGTCGCTGAGATCAGCCCGTTTGCCTGTTGACCGTATCTCGATGCGGTCAATCTCGGTACCAAATTTGCGATCCCGTGGCTTGAATGCCGCAGCAGCCTCTGGCGGAAACATTTACACGCTCAAGGCTCACAGCTTTACAGATCTTCATCAGGGTGCTGCTAGCCACGGCCGCAGCACGATCAGCTCTGGAACCACGGACACACAGAGCTCATCCAGCCTACATGCAGCTTCCTTCGGCCCACACCAGGCCAAGGAGCAGGGAGCCGACACTGACCAGGAGAGCGCTTCTGAGGCTACGCCAGTTGCCCACGCTGAAACACCCGCAAAGGCATTGCTCAGTCGCCGGCGACACTCACTACCCGCTACGCCTTGTGACTATGTGCTCGAGTCTGAATCCAAAGAGCAGGAGGAAAACAGGCAGCAAATACAGTCTCTACTTGTCCTGGAGTGCTGGATGCGATTCCTTGACGACAACGCCGCCGAACAGTTGGTCATCCCAGATGCTGAACTGCGGTTTATCAAGGAGCGCCTGCCGCTCAGCATCACCCATCTAACGCGGCCACTGCTCTGCCCAGGCGACATGATTTCAGCCCGGTCGTCAGCCTCAGGCGCCAAAATTAATTCAGCAGCGGCGACAGTTGCACAGTCGCGTACTGGTGACGACGACTCTATTGAAATCGGGAGCCACGAGCCGCATAATCCTCGTCGCATGGTGACTCTTGGCCTGGTTACCCAGCGCTCGCTTCAGTTTCAGCAGCCCGATTATATTCTCAAGCGCAACTTCGTCTCTCAAGTCCAGCTGCGTCGGGTTAATCTGGACCAGGTTCAGTCCCCGCTGTCGCTTAAATTCGGAGTCAAATATTCCGACTCTGAATCTGACGATTATGCTGAGGTGCATGTAGCTGCGCTAAATGGCTCAACCACTGCAAAGGATTTTATTGCTGGCATTCGCCGCATCTCTACCATGCCCACCATGAGATTGGGAAAGATGATGTCCCAGCTGGCACTCAACCCTGACGCTGATTCGATATCGCCTACTGAGGCGACGGCAATGCGCACTCAACGCCTCATCTCTGTTGGCGAGCTCCGAAAACACCACCCTTCGTTGCGTCCTCGCCCGCCTTTCGTGTCTGTTATCTCCGGAGGCAAGAACGTCGATATTCTAGGATACAAACCGGTTCCACAGTCTATTTCCGAGCTGCTTGAGCCAAACGCTGTTCCTCCAGCTCTCTTTGACACCATTGCAAAGCTAGCAACGGCCCACCTTGTTGCCAACCACTTTCCAGACTTTTGCTGGCAGGCGTCGCAGAACATTTCGCGTAAGGAGGGTATCATCGGTTTAGCCGCTGCGTTTATGTCGCTTTTCGTAGGCCTCGCCGTAGCCACTGCCATGACGCTGGGCCATGTGCACACCGCTTGGCGAGCATTTGCCCTCCCGTTCCTGTTTGCTGCCTGCTCGATTGGCGTGGTTGCATGGCGACGTGTCAGCATCTGTCTGTGGTTTATGCGCAGGCGGTCGACGAGAATTGTCAAATCACACATGCTAACCCGTACTCGCGATCCCGAGATGGCTGTGCAAACCGATCCCAGCCAACAGGGGCTCGATCTCAAACGTGTGCGTATCATCACAGGGACATTCGTCGACCCGTACCAGGCCTGCATCTCTGGCACTGTCCTTACCGGCTGGCAGTACATATCTGGATCCTGCGGTAATATAGTTGCAATTCCTGCCGCTGTCTCAAGTCCTTCACTGTGGTCGTACCAGACCACACTGATGCCGGTCAACAGCTTCGTGAGTAGACTGGTAACACTAATGCTGCGCTCACGGTGCATGGGCAGCTCATGGACGATTGACCTAGACCAGCACTACTACGAGGTAATTGAGCCCGAGGTGCTACATGACCAGTCCCGCACTGTTCTTATCGAGCTTGCTATCATACTGGTGCTCTTCACGATAATCGCTGCGATTGTGTTTGTATGGTGATGTAATTTCATATGGGGGATGGCAATATACAACTACATGTTCGCTGCCCTTTACAATGATTTAAGCGCGTAATACTTCGTCATACAGCCGACGCTGGTGCGCCCGAACTTAAGAGCCACCTGGTCCCACTTGATGCTCGCATCGGTTGTGTAGATTTCCTGAATATGTTCAAGAAGATTGCTCTCCTCACTCGCCTCCCATGGGCGAATGTTCTGCCTGTTCATAAATATCTTGGCTGACGAGCGCTCGCGGCTGCTTGGCTCACGCAGCACCGGCCGGACCGTTGGCCCATCTGTAAGCACATCGTCTAGGCTGTCGAACATGTCGTCGGCACTGGCGCTGCTTGATAGATCAAGCATTTCTCGTGTGCCGTGCGTTGGCATGGTGCGCTTTGAGGCAGCTCGGGGTATTTTGCGGCTTCGCAGCAAGCTGAGAAACTCTGATGTGTTGTGTTTGTTGGCTGTGGGCCAAACTCTGCCATTTGTACCGCCTTGGACATAGGTCGCAGGCGTGTCTTTCTGCTGAGAAGAGTGCATCGTCACTTTGGTGGCCATGCTGTCCGCACCCTTGCACCCCGTGTCCCTGCGCAGCCGCCGCTTACCAGACTTTGGTGATAAGCATGTCGAGTCGGACATGTACCCAGAGAATATTTCGTCTGATGGGCCGTCTGCTGCTTCGGAGTAGATTTCAATTTCAGGCAGGCTCATTGTGCGCTGGAGCGGGGCAAATTCTGGAATCGATGTTTTTGTGCGGTGGAGTAGTGTCAGCCGTCTGCCGCTTGTCTGTGAAGGGATGCTCTCTGGCTGACTACTGAGGTGTCGTAGGTTTAGTTTCCACATTTGCCGCTAGTTAACTGGCTGAATTCGAAGAGATAACAACTATAGCGCAAATTGAAGGAAGGAGAGAGTAAAAAAGGTGCAGCAAGAAAGAAGGCAACTACCAATCACTCAGTGCGCCAACTTTTGTCTGCAGTGGACCACACCGCAGGTGCATACCGCTGAAGCCCATATCCACGCATGGCCAGGCCGTCGTAGCCATGCCATGCTGTGTTAGCTGGCACAGGCAACTGAATCTAGGTTTAGCCCTCTTTTCTCTGAAAATCTCGGAACCCTCAGCCACCTATCGAGCGATGACTGCAAGCCAGACTCACACACGGGAGCTGAGTCTTCGAGCGCATGCTCAGCTCTTCATTAAACATGCCCTGGCTGCGGAATCGCTATCCAATATTGGTCTGAGTCAAGTAGAGCCTGCAGAACCCTGTGCTTCTCGAGGCTACCCCCATCGGCTCCGGATCAGCGACACAAACAACCCAAACATCAGCCATAGCCTAACCTTTGGACGCATACGAGTGTATGGCACCATCGTGGGCAAGTCAGTGGCTGAGATCGATGCGCGCAAATGCACATTTTACTACATTGACGACACAACTGGAATCATCCCATTTATGCTGTGTCCCTGCACGAGAGAGGGCTATGGTGATGATTTGACAGAGAAGAGCGAGATGGAAACGCGGTTGTCACAAGGCCGAACATCCGACGGCGAGCTAACTGGTACCTCTTTAGTTGTGATGGGCCAAATATGCCACTCCTTGTTCCCGTCAACCCAGTCATCGCGAACCAGCTCCAGCTGCTCTGCTGACCAGCCGACGACATGGATTCGGGGCCACATGATCGACATAAAGACAGACCCAATGTCGGATATTGCAGCCATGATGGATACACAACACATGTTTGGCTACTACTTCCCAAGCTATGCCGATTTGCCTCCCTATAATAGCCCGCAGTATGAAGGGCTAGGTGGCAGATTTCCATCTCAGAGCATGCGCTCATTTTTGCAGTCGCAGCTTTCACAAGCACCTTGTGGAGCTCGGACGTTCAGACAGCAGGAGGCTAATTCGGCTGAACGTGGACATGGCAGGCCGACCCTTGTAACCAATGCTGAAACGCAAATGTATCCCCAGGGTGTGGCAAGCAACTCTGAACTGCATTTCTCACCACATCCACCGTCAGCAAAGCGTGTAAGAATCGTCCATTTAGACGATACTGAGCCCTATACCTCAAAATCGTCGCATCCAGCGGATCAGTCCTCGCCCACATGTCATATACGCAAGAAACCTCGTGGTGAAGTGATATCTGAGCGACTGTCGAGTGACTCTCTTGATGCCTTCGATATTGGTGACAACACGCTCTTCGGAAACTTGGATGCCCTGGATACACTGCTGCCTAGCGAGGTGCCAGCGGTGCGGACACTTTTGCAGAATCAAGGCAATTCAGCCACACACAGTGTCTTAGTTGCTAAGCTGGTTGAGATTGGAAGCAATCCCGAAGAAGCTATCGAGGATATGCTTTTGGCAGGAGTGCTGATAAGGCGAGGCGATAAATACTCACTTGTCTGAGTGCAATTTGTAGTACATATTGAAGGAGATGTTGGATTTAAAAGAACGGTAGCTGGAGTAGAACTGATAAACTAACAGCAAATGACGCATGGGTATTCTGAATATTAACATCGCAGATATATTGACAAACTGATGTTGAATCAGCACACTGGCCTCCTGGTTGGTACAAGCATGATGACAAGCCAGTAGGCGAGAACACCAATGTGCCAAATAATCAGCTGAGGAAGAATCGCATGGGTGCCAGTGTGCCACCAGATGTATGGAGAAGTGCCTGTACCCAACGAGTTAACTCCAGTGGGCAAGTGGTTAGATTGCGGTACAGCTTCGAATGTACTGTGGGCACAGGGACGGATGGATGGTGATTGTCGCGTCGGCAAGACACACGGCTCCGGATAGTGTGCCTCTATATCATTGCTCAGCTCTTCTGGTAATTTGGAATAGTGAGAGCCACTGGGCAATGGAGCTGTGTGGCGGCTGCCCACACTATTCAGCAGCGAGGGGGGTACCCTCTGAGCTGTCCACGGCGCAATAATCGCAAGCTCGTTTGCATCAAGTTTGTCTACTTGTGACAGCGTACCCGTCGATGAAATGTTGTGGGAAACAGGCAAGATATCTGTGAAGCTGGAGTCTGTGTTAATGGCGATAGTCGATAATGTGTGGCATTCGTGATGAACTAGCGGTGGGGCTGAAGGACTTGCAACCATGGTACCTGTAGAGCGACTGTGTGCAGGGCGGGGCTGGGGAGCGATCTCCGGGAACCCAGAACAGCCGTTTAATATATTGGCAGCATTTGAATCAACTGAGAGGGTGAACAGCCGGCTATCGGTGTCGGCTGGAGTGTCTGTCACATTATATGTGTCACCAACATGTGTGGCTGTAGACACGGCCACGTTGGTATTCGACAAGAAATCCACCTGATGTATCTCGTCATCGCACAAGTATGGCGTTGGCTTTATGCTCCCAGTACTCGACGCGTGTAGCGCACGATGCCTTGGCAGTTTCTTGCAAAGGGCACGGAACAGTCGGACAAAGCATCGCTCTGGACTAGAAAAGAAGGCGCTGCAGGCAATCCCACCAATCGACCAATACGTGAACGGCAGGAAAATAAGACGAAGTTGGCGGTGGCAGACCGGCATGGTCATGATCAGGACTACACCGACTGTTAATATAGCAAGAAAGGCTGACCACACAGCCATGTTGTAGCTGCAATGCTGTTTTGCGTGTTGGATCCGGCTCCATTTTATGTATTCGGGGATCGTGCTGTTCTGAACAAGGTTGGTTATGTGGTCAACTGCGGGTGTGAGAAGTGATGGTAGAGGTTCTGAGCCAATACAGTTTGCGATATACTGCTGCATGCTGTCTGGGATGTTGATCGCAAGGGCGGCTCCAGGCAGTATAAAGATATCGGCAATGTTAGTTATGCGCGAGCTCATAGCCTCCAAATCATTCGGATCTAGCTGACCTGTCTTCACATCGCTGAGAAGGCTGTGGTAGCACTCCAAGAATGACAAGTTTTCGCTACTGAGCTCGACAAATTCAACATACCAGCGGAACTCATGGAGCGTGTATGGTTTAGGTGCCTCATCATCGAGAATGTCCTTAACCGCGAAGCTGTGATGGTACTGTTGACAGTGGTGACTGCTGCTGTTTCCTATCCTCATGTGCAACGAATGGAGCATACTAGTGGAGCTCGCATATGTCGGTGGTGTAATATGGATGGCAGTATATGATGTCTACCATATCTGTCGGGCAGACAATACAATTTAGCGGGTTCCTGATGATATAACAAGTGAAGAGAAGCAATAAATGACTATGAAGTAGCAAGAGAGGAGAGATTGGTCGTTATATAAATGCTCTGGAATATACGGGATCTCCAGGGTCTGGTAGCAAAATCCAACGTGCTCGATAATGATAGAATGGCTTTTACTTGCAAAGTGCTGAGAATGGGGAGGTCAACTTGAAACCGCTGAATTCCGCAGAGGTGGTGTAAGGAGACTCAGCAAAGCCTTTATAGGAAAGTGGACTTCCATTCTTGTACACCATAGCCATCTACCAAGAAGTGGTGTGTTTTTATTATTATTATAAACATTCCCCACCCCGGCAATGCTCAGCCAACAAAAAAGCTCATCTGCCATACCTGGCCAGAGAGATGAAACTGAACCTTGGAAACCCATTTGAGATGCTCCCCCTACGATCAAATTGTGGCGCTAGGCTAGTACAAAAAATTGCGGAATTCCCCAGTTAAACTGGCTGCTATGCATCGAATGTTTCGAAGAAAAAGCAATAGCCGGCTTTGAGATGACATTGATAGTGTTGTCAGTTAGCTAGGCTGGCGCGCCTTCACAATTGGAGCTCACTGTGTAGTCAGCACGCGCTTTGCTGGTTCCTGCAGTCCATGGCTGGCCACAATGGGTGCTAGGCAATTGGCTTTTTGGATGCGTGTCTCATGACTCTGGTGAAAATTTGCGACTGAAAAGCATAGCTAAATGGTCTCGCGATATAGACTGCATAATCTTCAGCAGTAGTGGGGGGGTGATAGAATTGACAAATTGCAGTCGTGGTCGACATGGTGGTTATGTCCAACAGCGTGTTTATTTGAGCAGCAACTCAGAGAAAAGAGACCAGCTACAAAGCTCCCAAGAGACACGCCCTAGGTGGATAACAGGTATCCAGCTCCACGCCCGGTGGCAAGCCCTCCTGCTAACAGGACAGCTGCCACACGAAAGAAGGACGAGGAAACTAGGAACCGCGCTTTGGTAACTGTACAATATTCCCAATGTGAACTTGGTACAGGTGAAAGAGTTGAGCGGAAGTCGCCAGAATATAGCCGGCCCTGCCCTCAGAACCACTGCGTCAAACAACCACTAGATGGACACGGCTGCTGGGGGACAGAGAGAAATGCGCTGCTTAGTACAGGCGGTGGGGCTTGCCCATGGTGCTCTTGATGTACAGCGACTTGACGTTCTGCCAGCGCTTCTTGAGCAGCGACACCAGGAAGTTGACAGCAAGCATGATGTTGCCGAGAACCTCGTCCTCCTCCATGCTGACGTTACCGATGGCAACGGCCAGGCACAGAACCTTCTTGAGCTGGAACTTGATGGTGGCACGGATCTCGTCGGCACGGGCAGTGAGGTCGTCGGTGTGCGACACGGGGGTGGGGAACTTACCGGCCTTGTGCAGACCAGGACCCAGCAGACGCGGGATCTGCTTGATGAGGGCCTCCGAGGCAATGAACGCATCGTACGAAGCAGCCATCTTCTTGATGAGCTTCTTGTTCTTGTTCATCTTCTTGAGGTCCTCGACCGAGCGGAACGGCATGTCGATGGCCTTGGCCTTGTCGACATCGTGGGCGTCACCAAGGATGCACACGGTCATCTTGGGGCGCGGGATGTGGGGCAGCTTGATGGTGCCCGAGAAACGCTTGTCGCGCTGCGGGTCGTAGTTCTTCAGACCGATCTGGAGCTCGACAGTCTCGACAAACTTGCGCTTGCTCTCGGCAGACGCAGCAAGGAGGGCACGGACCTCCTCGCGCACAGCAGCAACCTGAATCTTGCTTCCGCTACAGGGTGTGGTGAAGCAGTGGTTGTAGAGTGGGGTGAATTAGGCTGTGTGAAAGGACTCTTTGGTGCACAGGCGTGCATAGACGCGTACATGCATGGGAATATGTGCGAATGTGCGTGTGCTGGTTGCTGCTGAGTGGGAAGGTGCTGAGGCTGAAGGTGCCGAGGCTGAGGGTGCACACAGGCCAATGCCGATTCCGGCCCAATGTCTGCCGCCTCTGCCCTCTGCGCGCATGCCCCTGCCTCGGTCCGTCACCCACAAAGAAAATCCGTCAGCGACTCCAGCAGCTCCGGCGCACTATTTCCGCGGCGTATCCGTCGACGTACCTCATTTTTGGATGGATTCGAAAATCGGGGGTTGGGAAATAAAGGGCGTTTCACCAGGCGCCGTGGATCACGGCTGGCCTTAGGCAGCAGCTGACCGCAGCTGGCGCTTTCCCTCCCCCAGACACAGCCGTGATTGGCTATGCCGCCAAAGCCCGACCTTTTCTCGTGCTCTTGGAGCCACACTTTTCGCCCACCTTGCTCTCTTTTGCTTTTCGTCCCCCCCCCCCGATTCACAGCCTCAGTCAGCAATGCACTTTTGCCCGTCGTGCTCGAACCTGCTCCTGGTGGAGAACGGCGTCGGCGAGAACGGCGAGACGTGTCTGGTGTGCCAGACGTGTCCGTACCAGTTCCCGATCCGGCGGCAGATGATCTCGCGCACAATCCTCAAGCGCAAGGAGGTGGACGATGTGCTGGGCGGCGAGGAGGCGTGGAAGAACGTCGATTCGATCGAGACGCCGTGTCCCAAGTGTCAGCACCAACGAGCCTACTTTATGCAGATCCAGCTCCGGTCCCTCGATGAGCCAGCAACCATCTTCTTCAAGTGCTGCAACTCCGAGTGCAGCCACACCTGGAAGGAGGGGTGAGAAACTTGCTAGGCACTAATTTCAATGTACATAATAGTATCCCCCATATACTCGATCTGGCTTAGCAGGTGAACCTTAAAGGATTATCTGTATTGGGATGTCTTGGCATTTCAATTGATAGGGTGGAAATGCTGCAGTTTCTGACAAAGATTGCAGATATATTCGGGAGATGCTGTGCACCAATTTCTGCATCATGTCGGACAAGCTTTTGCTTTTCTCGGACGTCATTGCTCCTCCCTCCGCGCTCTTTATCCAGGCTCCCCCCCCCCAAATGTCACAATCCATTCAACAACACCATTTGCCAATGTGCTTTCAACTGACGAAAAGTCATGCAACCGAGCATTGCTTCTTTCAGCCACTTGAGCACCCCACCCACGGCCCCGCTGCACAACCTCGGCGGCATTCGTGGGCGTATCCGCGATTTGGCAAACCGAAGTGGACAACTGCTGAAAGATGCCCACAAGCGGAAAAACCAAGTATCCCAAACGATGCTGGACAGCAAGACCTCGCTTGGGATTCTCAGCGCCGTGCCGGATAGAAAAGAGTGAAAAAAGAATGCTGTATGGAAGGTTCTGTAGAGCGGAAACAAATGGCGGAAATGCGAGCCACCTTTGGAGCACATAATCTTAGCTTATTGTGTATTCGCAAAATGCGTCAGAGGTGGGTGGAGATAGAGTGGCTAGTTGGGGGAGTAGGAGCGGGCGGGCGCATGGGAGGCTGAACAGCCGACGTAGTTCCGAGGGTGACCGCGGGGTGCCAGCGTGCGCAACGCCATAGCGGCTGTATATTAGAAAGAGTCTGGAGCCCTCTTCCCTCGCCAAACAGCCGACGGGACAGCCCTTTTTTTATTCTTTTCGAGAGTACCCCTAGTTCCTTCAGCATCTCTCTTTCATTACATTCCTATCTGTGCTAAGCAGCTGTCTGCGGATCCACTAGTGCGTATAATATCCAATACTCCATATCGATGCAGTCAGATTCCAAAGCCGAGGAAATGCTTGCCCCGAGCATTTTGTCGAGCTTTCGGCTGTATCGCGGTCGGCCTCGGAGGCCTCGACAGACTATCTGCTTCCACATATCAACCAAAAGGCCAGCGAGCCGCAGCGTTTCCTTCGCCTGGTGTCGTTCTGCATTCCATTGCGACTAAAGCACCCGCTCAATATCGTGTTGTTCACACTGACCTGCACCTGGGTGTCCTCGTACCTGCTGAGTCTCCAGGGCGGCGATCTTCTATTTATAAACGAAAACCTCGGCATCATGGGGGCCGAAATCCTGGTCTCGGTGCTTTCATTGACAGCAATCACGGTTATCCTGTATACGCGGCGGATGCGCCCGACGACACGAAAAACAACCGTGACCATGGCACTGGCGCTATTTGTTTTGCTGTATGTGTATGACCATGGCGAGCGGTTCGAGCACCATGGGTTCTACAATCTACTGGTGTTTTTGCTGATTTACGTGCCACTGAATCTGGTCATCGTCAGCCTCTATGTGCTGTACACAACAGTGCCGCATTTCCTGGCGATATTGTTCTTGGCGGTTCTTGGGTTGGCGTGCGGCGTCACAGTGGCGCTGCGGCACTACATTACGGTATTTGACCAAGGGATGTTTGACAGAATGCGCGCAGTTCCTGGCGAGTGCCAGTGGCAAGGAAACAACTACCCGCTGGTCGATCTGCTGCCGGCAGGCACGCAGAACTTCTGGGCTGGCAGCATGATGTGCAAGCCAGAGGATTTGAAATTCGAGGCGAGTATCGATGGCGAAGGTCTGCTTAGCGTCAATTGCTCGCAGAGCTCCGTGTACGTCGATATCCTGCCGGAGACCAGAGAGTGGCCGCTCAAGGACAAGTCCAAATGGCAGGTGTTCAATCACCGGGTGCTGGACCGCACAACACATGTTCCGTACACAAAGCCAATGCAGCTCAATCCGGGCACGCAGGCCGTGGTGGTGCGGTGCGGTACAGGTAGCAAGATCGTAACAAGGGTTAGCCCGCGGCCCTCGGAGCTGCCGAAATTCACGCCGCCCGCCGATACGCGCAGCCCGACCGAGCATTTGGAGGACCACCCGGGCGCGCCTCAGAAGCGGCCAAACGTGATGTTCCTGTTTGTTGACGCTGTCTCGCATAGACAGTTCTACCGGCGACTGCAGAAAACCGCAAAGGTGCTTGCCACCCTGCACGAGCCGGGCAAGACCGAACTGACCGAGCTCTTCCGGTACCACTCACTGGGTGTCAGCACCGACAACAGTACCAAGGCCATGTACATGGGCGAGATATTCCCTGGGCGCAACTCTCTGCCGATCTGGGCGTATTTCCGTGACCGCGGGTATGTTACTGCTCGCGTGGAGACGTCGTGCGAGGACTGGGCCACAACATATATTGCGGATATGTTCGATTCACTGGATTTTTCGGTCGGCGGACGCAGTCTGGACTATGAAATGTCGTCACCGTTCTGCATGCCAGAGTTTTACCCGAGCTCGGGCAACTCGTTTGGTAACTTCAAGGGCCCGTTCTCGATCACAGCAAGGTGTTTGTACGGGCGGCATGTGCATGAGTACGGATTCGACTATGTCAATCAGTTCAGGAAGGAGATGCGGGAGGCGAACGAAACCAGGCCGTACCTGATGATGCTCAATCTGATGGAGGGACACGAGGGCACGGGCGAAGTTCTGCGCTCGCTCGACAACAGGCTGTCGCAGTTCCTCGTGGAGCTGAAGGAGAGCGGGGAGCTGGAGGACACGGTGCTGTTCTTGCTGTCTGACCACGGTCTGCACATGGGTTTGAATTTTGCATTCCTAAACAGTGGGCAGATTGAGCACAAAAACCCGTTCTTCTCGATGGTCATGCCAAGCTATTTGCGCTCATACGTGGACCAGCACACTAGGCACGGGCTGTATACGAACGAGCAGCGCCTGACGACGCCGTTTGAGACGCATTATACGCTCAAGACACTGGCCAACTGGCCAAGGTACGACCAGCAGGATTTCGACCGCTCTCTGTTCACACCGGTGAAGGCGGCACGGACGTGTGCCGAGGCAGGCGTGGGAGCAAACTTTTGCATGTGCAAGTAAAGAAAATTTTGTATTTGCAGGTACCAGAATTACTCTGCTCGCGATGCGAGCTCGTCTGCTAGTCAGCATGGCTTGACATGTCGATAAGAGCATCACGGTGAACCGGTCATTTGAACGTGTCGGATGGTTGTTGGTGCAATGTCGATCATGGACATCTCCCACCTTGGTGGCCTGCTCAGCGCAGGCGCTTCAGCGCTGGCTCGCTGCTGCTGGCAACAGAATCGCCTGCTGCTGCACGCCTCTTGCACGGGTTCTTTGTTGCTGGAGTGGTGCCAGAAACATCGGCAGCAATGGCCGTAGAACGACAGAACCGTTCAGGAATATTGCCTGAATCACAGAGTGACTGGAAAATGAGTCTGAAGTTTAGAACTGCTGCGAGGTCGCGGTTCAAGAGTCGAGATGAACAGTCCCGCCTGTATTGTGCCATGGCCTGCTTACATGACTCGCTTGTATAGCGGAGAAGGCCATGGCACTTCACAGCTGGGTTCTTCGATCTCTGGTAAGGCCGTGGGTTGGGAACATACCGGAATATCTGCTACTGCTGCCGATGCAGCAGCAAGTGAATCAGCCGGTACTGCTGCAGTTGCTGCAGTAGCCTCTGTTTCATCTGATGGCTTCTGTGCAGGTGTATAAATACACACTTGACATGCATTATTGAACTCAGCCTTGGATACATTGCCCATTGTACTGTGCAGTGTGTTTTTGCGGCTGCGAATATCAATCAATTTGGCCAGAATCCGCTGTAGGCAACTGCCATAGTGCAACACAATGTTGTTCTTGTATGTTGTCATCAGCTCGGTATCCACGTATGTCGCTACCTGATTCATTTCGCGCACGCCATGTAACTCAATATCGCCATTATGTAATAGATAATCATAAATATGGTATCTAACTACATCACAGAAATCTGCGCTCGACAGTTCTGACCTGTCCTTCCGGTTGACGAAATCCTTGGCAGATATGAGTCTTCGCCTTCAGATTGTGATAAATAAATAAATAAATTGGACAAGTGAAACCCTTTTCACTAATACTGCAGTGTTAAAGGCATCATTGTCAGCTAGTTGATGGAGTAATATCCATCGTGCAAGCATATATGTATTCCCTTTGATGATATTGGCGCTGTATACAAATTGCTCTGGGCAGGACAACATAGAATCGCGGAAGCCAATACCACCAAGTGATGTCTTTATGACAGTAGTGCTAGGGGTAATATTCATTTGAGAAATTCAATAGGCAAGTAAGAAGAGAAATGATGCTGTTCAGTTTTGCTTTATTGCAAATGCATAGCATTAGGAACTTTTTATTAAAAATGATCTGGCTTGCATGGTTCTTGGGGCCCTTAGCACTGATACAGTCTCTTGAATCAGTCTATACAGACTGGGTCCATTGTGGCCCAAATACTACTGCTTACGCATGTTCATAAGACAAATTAATTTGTAAAATAAACCCACAAATATTGCATGACCGCTAGAAGAGCTATATGGCCTTATTCAATAGATGCTCATAAATAAATATCCAAAGAGTGTTGCGCAGCCGGTGATGACCACCATGATGATGCCATGGAAGTTATCGAGTCGACCGACAATGAGAGCAGCTCTTGCGCTGAACCAATGGAGATATATAGTGGAGACCTGTGACCACTACAATACCAGCCTGTCACCCTGGTTTCACCGATGAGGTCAGATGCCGCACAAGATCAAAAGGAGTTTACAGAGCAAGTCGCGCAAACTCGCTTTGAGGTTTAAAAGTTTTTTTTAATCAATTAAAAAGTTTCTGGCGGACGGTTAGACACTTTTTGGGCTATAAAATCTTATATATAGGTAAAGAAGTAAAGATAAAAATAACGATATTTTTAATGGATTTCAAGATCTATTTGTTCAAGAAGCCAAATATGTAAGCAAGATCGGTGGGAAAATGGTTCTGGCATTTATTCGCTGTATGACTTGGGGATCTCCAGGCCGACGCGGTTGGCAGTCTTGGTGATGCGGTCGCTTTCGGGCATCTTGGGCTGGAATTCGTCGAGTAGCTCTTTGTACCTGCGGTTATTCGTCAGGTAGGTAAGCACGGTTTGGGCCTTTTGGAGGTCGGGGGTGGCGGACCATTTGAGGCGCAGCTGGGTGGCCCAGAAGCGGTTCTGGCTGACCGATGTGAATTGCTTGTTGACTTCGCGCAGGAGCTGGCGGTAGATGTGCAGGTGGCTTGTGGACATGGTTTGTGGGGGGGGGGAGTTATTAAAAAGTTAAGAGCTACTCCCTATTTTTTAGGCTGTGGATTTTGTGTTCCGCTTTTCGGAAGATCAGATGTAGTATGGTTTCTGCTACTGTCGCCTGTGATGACGCAGTGGTGCGGCGTAGCTGATATTGGTTCGCTGGCTCTCCTCTTCCTCCAACTTTTTTAATACCATTTTTTGCTTCTGTCCGGTATTTCGTAAGTTTCTTGGCGGGGTGGGAGGAGTTCGGCTCTACTTTTTGCCTGACAACTAGAGATAGCTCTGGATCACGCCACAATGCCTGGCGCCTTCATATGTCGGCCGTTGCGCTCAAAAACTGCTCACTAATCTTTTTCTCTCTCTTCTCCCACATTGCATACAAAAACCACGCCATCGAGGAGTTCTACAACTGACGCTATGAACGGAGTAGGGCTGCTGACAATGATACGCGGACTCTTGGCGCTGACCCTAGTGGTGGCAGTATTCTCTTTCCTCCTCGATCTGTTTGCACTCCAACCGATTTCGCGGCTGCAAGGCACATCCAAGCTCGTAACCAACCTCTTCAAACCCCCAAGCATGGTTCCACGCACAAACATCCTAGTAATCGGCGGCGGACTGGCCGGGCTCTCGGCAGCGACCGAGGCGCTCCACCAGACGCGCAACATGGCCGGCATCACAGTGACTCTGCTGGACAAGGAGGCACGCACAGGCGGCAACTCAGCCAAGGCATCGTCGGGCATCAACGGAGTGTACACCAGGACGCAAAAGGCCAACGGTATTGAGGACTCACTGGAGCTGTTCTCAAAGGACACGGTCAAGTCGGGCCATGGCAGATCAAACGAGACGCTGGTGGGGAAGCTGACGAGCGAGAGCACGCAGGCGGTGACGTGGCTGCAAGAGCAGTTCGGGCTGGACCTCGATGTGCTGGCGCAACTGGGCGGACATAGCCGGGCGCGCACGCACCGGCGGCCAGACATAAACGGCAAGCCGCAGCCAGTCGGCTGGGGCATCGTCAGCACGCTCGCCAAGCACCTGGCCAAGCACGACCCCCAGCGGTTCAGTCTGGTCACCGGAGCGCGCGTCACCGAGCTTGTCCAAAAGAACAGCCGCGTCACCGGCGTCGTTTACCAGGCTGCTGAGACCACTGAGAAGCTGGACTCGGACATTGTGGTTCTGGCGACTGGCGGATTTGCCGGCGAAGGCAGAAACGCCGATCTGCTGCAAAAGTATGCCCCACAGCTGGTCGGCTTGCCGGCCACCAATGGGCCGTTTGCCACTGGCGATGGCATGAAGTTGGCTGCGGCGGTGGGTGCGCAGCTGGTGGACATGGACCAGGTGCAGGTGCATCCGACTGGCTTTGTCAAGCGCGGTGATGCTGGTAATCCGACAAAGTTCCTGGCGGCCGAGGCGCTGCGCGGCGACGGCGGCGTTTTGCTGACGGGCCAAGGCAGACGGTTTGTCAATGAGCTCGAAACGCGTGACAAGGTCACTGACGCCATCAACCAGCACTGCATTAGCGATCTGTGCGCGCGCTACCCTGGCGACTACGTAGTCAATGAGCCACAAGCTGCCGCCTATCTTGTGCTGTCCGAGCAGGCCGCCAGCAAGTTCGGTCATGGGGCTTTGGGTTTCTACCAGAAAATGGGGCTAATCCAGAAGGCCGACAATCTGCAGGCACTGGCCGAGGCGCTGCGCGTGGAGCCGGAGACCTTGAGTCAGGCGCTGACAGGACACGACCAGGCGAGGCGGTCGGGCAATGACGAGTTTGGCAAGCATGTGTTCCCTGCTGACGCTGTCAGCTCTGGCGAATATTACTGGGGCGTGGTCACGCCCAGCCTGCACTACACTATGGGTGGCGTGCGGTTCGACGAGCACGCGCGGGTGCTGCGCGCCGACGGCTCCCCGATCCACGGCCTGCTGGCTGCTGGTGAGGTCACTGGCGGTCTGCATGGCGCCAACCGCCTGGGCGGCAATTCGCTGCTTGAATGTGTGGTGTTTGGCAGGGAAGCTGGCCGCCAGGCTGCGCTGGCTGTGAGCAGCTAAATTTAGGTTTTGGGTAGTGCTAGCTTTTATAACAATCAATGCCAAGATTCTGCGGAGATTTCCCGCATCACAATGGGTGCTGGCTGTCCACTCAACTGTTTCGGCGATCGAGTCGCTGTGCACCCCGGGTGCAAATAATGAGGCGGCAGACTACCTGTGTCTGTATTCCTAGGCTTGAGTAGGCGAAATTTGTCCCTCCGATCATTCCCCGATATAGCCAAAAATAACAGGCGCGAAAACGGACTTGTTTCCGTATACGCAGCACCACGGAAAACCTGGACACCATGCAGGCTTGTGTGGCAGTGTAGAAACAATGCTTCTCCCCTAGTGGCTGCTCTCCAGTACTCCAAAGTCAAAGTGAGGGTTTTTTTGGCTCTACGGAACATGGGGTTTAGGTCTCGTCGCACACCTAGTGGGCAATTCTGCCCGGGGAAGAGCCAGCCATTCGCTGGTGCCACCATCATGCAAAGGTTTGTAATCAGAGCACCACACTAGGGATGACTAAAGTGCAATTCGTGTGTGGATAGCCCTCCCCAGCAGAGGCAGTTTTTCTTAAAAGCGTGGCCGAATCCAAGCTTTCGTTTTCCGCTTTGCTTCCAACGCTTTTTCCCCCATTTATTCATTTACGTCAAAGGAGTTCAGAATTTTTTGTATTTTCATTGTTTCCGCGACAAAGCCCTCTCCTCTACTTTCCTGTATAGAAGTGCACCACCGGCCTTTTTCCTTTCATAGATAACGCTTTACTTTTTTCTTTCATACTTTGATGGACAGTACGCTTTCGCAGGAGACGCAGCAGCAGCAAGAGAACGCTCAGCGGTACCGGTCAGACCGGCGTCCCTCGCTCCAGGCGTCGTGGTCAGAGACAACGCTGGACAGACACAGCAATACGAGCCATAGCAGTCTTCTATTACTTGACCCACAACCGCTAGCGCCAACGCATATGCAGCAGGTGCGGACAATGCAGTACTCGACAGCAGAGCATCCAGCGCAGCTGCCACGGCGGGTCTCGACCCCGGCACCCGTGGCCATACAGCAGGAACCACGGCGGTACAATTCGCACGGGCACCGGGCACCACCATTGCCTCTGCGCACGTCGCTGGATGTGCGTCGGCGGCCGACAGACATGTCGCCGTTAACACCCCTGACAACGCGGATCCACCGGACTTCGGCAACCATGCCTACGGATCTGAATGTGATCTCGGCACCGCCGGTCACGTCATTTGTAGCAGTGGAGCCTAGCGCACCGCCTATGCCTTCAGAGCCCAGCGAGATGGCGGAGCCCGAGAGCCTCAGCACCAGCAGCAGTTCCAGCGGGCTGGCGTCGCTGCGGGGCGTGGAGAATCCGCATATCCGGCACGAGCCAACGATGCCACCGGAGGAGGTGCAGCGGGTGGCTTTGCGCAAGGCCAAGGAGTACGGTGGCGAGCAGATGTTCAGCGACAAGGTGTTGAATTTCCGCGATATCGGCGCCAGCGTCATCAAGCTGCAGCTCAAGCTGCACGATGAGCGCGGGCTGTCGAAAAAGGAAGGGCCGATGCCCGGCGTGGTGTTCCGATCGGCCGAGCTCGGGTCGGCCGGAGAGAGAGACGTCAAGACGCTGTTTTCCAGATACGGTATCCGCACAATCATTGATTTGCGGTCGGAGCTGGAGGCCCGGGCCAGCGACATCCTGACCAAGCACTATCCCGCGTCACTGGAGCCGACGCCGGGCCAGAGCATGGAGAAGCTGGTCAAGCTGCGGCAGCAGCAGATCCGCCAGACCATCGTCGAGGTGGCGGCGCACGACTACGAGGGCGCGGCCAAGCCGTGGGAGCGCACCGGCGACTCGCAGCATGCGTGGACGCAAAAGAACTCGCTCCGGTACTCGCGCATGCTCGGCGATGCCCGCAACGACCCGTTGGCCCGGGCGCTTTCGCACCTGTATGATCAGCGTGGATCAGACTCCGAGACCCAGATCACTGGGACCGCGCCATACGTGCCTAGGTGCGACGTCACCGAGCAGGTGCCTATGGCTGTGCATATAGAGCCGCCAAGAGCCCCGCTGCCGGCGATTCCGTCCGAGCCCACGAGTCCAGTGGAGAGTAGGGAGGTGCCGAGGCCAATTATCCGGCCGACGCGCAACAGCGTGGGCTCGGCACTGGACTGGGGCGATGACACGCTGCAGCATCTAAGGTCGTGCTGGGATCACACGACGTCTCAGCTGGGCGGTTTGGCGGCTGATGGCAGCGTCATCGCTCCCCCGCCAGCTGTGCATATTGAACGGGAGCCTAGCCCCGTGCCCGCCCCGCGCCCGCACATCACCATCATCACACCTTCGGTGCAGGCAGCCGAGAACGACGCCAGTGCCAGCAAGGGTGATGATGCTGATGAGCTGTTGTCAATCTCGAGCGGTGCCGAGGAGGACATCGAGGAGGGACTTGACGACTACGAGGACAGCGACAGCGGGATCAAGATGACCAAGCAGCCAGGCGACGACATGGCGTTCGGGCTCAAGCGCGTCAGCAACCCGCCAGCGCGGCCCTCGATGCAGAGTCTCTCGCATTTGTCGGACAAGAGCAGGCACAGCGAGAGTCCCGACGATCTGGCGATACCCAAGCTGACCACGCACCGCGCCAGCACTGCACCAATAGAGGAGTCGGATGCGTCGGAGCGGACCGAGGGGATGGCGGCCTGGCGGCAGTCGACGCCAGAGCATGATCAAGGCATGCGGTTCGCCGAGCGCGGGCGCAACCGGCGACGCATGGTGCGTAGCAATCCGCCGGGGATGCAGCCGGGGCGGACGATCATCGAGAACCGGTTCGACGGGCGGCGGCGGCGGTTCCGGTGCAATTTGCTGGGCGACAACTACCGGCGCAAATGCGTATGGGCCAGCGCCCCGTGGTCGACCAAGCTCAAGGTGATTCTGCGGTTTGCGACGTTCAACAAGGCCGAGGCGATCCGCACCATTGGGCGCGAGGTGCTGGCGCCGCGCGGGCTGGCTGGGTCGTACGAGGACTATGTGGACTATTGTAAGGAGGAGTTTGCGTCGGTGATGCGCATTTTTGCCGATCCGTGTGCCTACCCGATTCTGTTCCACTGCCAGCACGGCAAGGACCGCACCGGCATTGTGGCCGCGCTGCTGCTAGGCATTCTGGAGGTCGATGACGAGATCATTGCCCAGGACTATGCGCTGTCGCAGGCCAATCTGGTCTCGGTGCGCCACCGCATGGAGACGCTCGATATGGGCGCTGTGGGCCTGCCGCCCAGCTTCTGCGATACTCCGGCGCCGGTAATGCGTAACCTGCTGCGCCATATCCGCAAGAACTACGGGTCAGTGCGCGGCTACCTGCGCACTGCCGGCATGCGCGAGCAGGAAATCAACACCGTCGCCTGGTGTCTGCGCGGTAACTTTTGCGGCATCGTCCACGCCCAGTCGCGTCTGGCGCAGTCCCAGGCCCGCAAGATGTACCTGCGCCCGTCGCTGGCCAGCTCTGATTTGTTCGACCGCCCCAAGGACCAGCACCGCGAGCGCAAGGACTCGCGTGTGGAGGTCGAGCAGACTAGCTGAGAAGGCTATAGTTTTTTCTTGTACTGAGAATCACAATTGCCCCCACCCGTAATTTATTGCCTAGTAGCACCCATTGGCTTGCCGCTCAGTTGCCTGTGTTCCAGGCCTCCCGCACTACACCGCACCGCATGCACAATGGCCTAACTCCAGGGGGAATATAGCAGTGCGCGTGCCTCCCTGTTTAGGATGCCCTCATTGTGCAGGCTCTCCTGCTTCTTCCCAGCACTGGCGGACCAGACGAGTCTAACCTCGCCCCTCTCATGTCTCCGCGACACCTGCAAGAGCCACAATTTCCCTGTATCTTTTCTACTCTCACTATCCAGAATGCTCACATCTCCGCTGCTTCGTGTCGGCCGGTGGTCGGCAGCAGCCACAGGTTTCATGGCGGTTTGCCTGGTGCAGGCCACAGTGAACATCGCCTTCTCAGCACATTTCATTGCACGACTGCGGGCGCAGGCGCCGGACTCGCAATACATCGTCTATGACAGCGGATGCATCGCGGCCCAGGTATTTGCAGCTGCACTGGCCTACGGCGGGCTGCATGTGCGCAGCTTCCCGCTAGTGACGACAGCGACAGCATTCGATGTGGTGCTGGCAGTATTTCGGGCAGCGCAGCTGGCGCAGGCGCATATGGGCGTGGCGGGAATGCAGGCAGCCAGCATTGCGGTGACGCTGGTGGGGTGCGCAGCGAAGGCGTATGTGGAGAGCCGATGGCTGCGGCGGGAGTTCGGATGGCAGGTGTACCGGGCGCTGGGCGCCGACCGCGCAATGCAGCGCATGTTTCTGCTGCACCAGGTGCTATTGTCAGTCAGCATTCTGGGTGCTGCGGTGTTTGTCGAGTTCTGGCTGCTGGTGGCTGTAGCGCAGGCGGACGGGTGGCTGCGCAATGTCTTTATTTTGGTCCTGGCGGCCGTCCTAATAACCATGGTTTTGTTTGCAGCCGTCCAGGAGCTGCCATGGGTGATGCGTGCATGTGCTGCTGTGCTCATTGCCACACCGGTGTACTTTATCTACATGCTGGTTGCGGTCAACCGCCAGGAGCGGTACCGCGGCGGCCGCAAGTACCTAAGCGTGATGCTGACCGTACTTGTGCTTCTTGACAGTGCTCTGGCTATGCTCTGCATTGCCGTCTGCCGCACCTTCAACCGTGGCCTGCGCCAGCGGCTCCGCCGGTTCCAGATCATGGCCCGTGGCGAGGTCGATCTAGCTGCCGTCTCCAAGCCCGCCGCGGATCGCCCGGAGAAACCACCGCATGCCCTGACCCTGCGCTTCCGCATCGAAGACCTCGACGCCCCCATCCGCTCGGCCATATGCTCAGTGCGCTCCGAGCACAGAGACGAGGTGCGCCGCTGGGAAATACTCGCTCCGGGCATTGCTGATCCCGAGCTCGTGCGGTCGTTTGTGTCCGACAAGGCTGTGCTGTCTCGATCGGCTATGTCTGACCCGCTGCCCTCCTCGGTCGGCAGCTCCGTGTCGTGTGTCTTGTCGGCTGGCGAGCTCGCTGCCGCTGCTCCACCATCGACCCTTTCGTCGTTCCCCAGCGCCAGCTTCTCTGCAGTCACCAACGAGCCGTCGTTCGTCGGCACCAGAGACTTTGAGGATGACAAGGCCCTGTACGATACCCTGCAGCGTCCGCTGGAGCTCAGAGTCACCAACCCTGATGTCCGCACCCAAAAGAGCCGTCTCGCCCCATCGACTGTCAGCTCCTCCACCGACACCCTGCGCACTGCCCTATCATCGCTCCAGGAGGATCCCGACCAGGGCTTCGATGTTGTTTCCATGCGCGAGACCAAATCCAAAGCATCGTTTGAATCTGCCAATTCTCTGCCTCCGCCAGCATATTTCCCCTCCACATCCAAGTAGCTTTGCAAAAGACAACTATGTATTTTTTTTCATTTCCATCCATTTATTTCTTTTTCAATAGAGATTTCAATACCGCTATATGGTGATGCCTGGTAGACGTGGAGCACAGAGTGCGTGGCCATCTGGAGTAAATCCATGAACGCCCGCGCTGCAACACGCCGCTTGTTGTGTGGTGCCTGGACCAAGTCGCCGAACTGTGCTGTGCCCGTTCTGCTGATTTTGGATACAACAAAATGATAGAATTTGCGCGAATCGTCGTTGGGCATATCACGCTCGTTACCCGCATTCCTGGTGTCAAGAAACCCATCCAAATCATCATCCCCATCATCACCTGCTCCTATGTCCCTATGCGCTGCTGGCATATCTGCGGTCAGTTCAAATTCTTGCACCTCCAACTCATCCGCTGATGGTGGGTCCAGTGACGCCAAACGCGATGGTGTCGACTGCACGCTAGCCGCATGTGACCCGCCGTGCCGAGATCCAACTCCAGGGCTCGACTCTGTGCGCATCGAGACTGACACTCTGCGCTGTGCCATCTCGCCAGCACCGGGGTTCAGCCAGGGAATATCCAGCTCAATGCTATGCAGCTGCAGCTCTTCTTCCTCGCGCTCAAACATCCGCCGGGCCACCTCAGACGGTGACTGTCCACGCCCCATCTCCAGCTCAAAGTGCTCGTCAGATACAATGCTTCTATAGTCGAGCCCTGCATCTATGCTTGGCTTTGGTGAGCTGCTCGGCATTGCAATATGCATATCTCCATCATGAGCCGTTTCGCCCAGCAGCCTAGAGAACACTGACAGTCTGCCTGCCGATGTCGCAGCAGCGACTACCAGCGAGATCCGGTGTTCTAGGTTCACCCGTTTGCACTCAGCGACCCTAGCCATCACCTTACTTCGCTGCGCTGCCTGCCAGTAGCACGTATTACCCCACAGATCCGTCACCCGTGCCTGGTATGTCGCAGCCAACTGTTGAGCAAGTGGGCGTCCATTCGGCGCAATACTGTTTAGTCGCCGCCGCTTTGGTAAGTGGTCCGGGTCTGTTGCTGCATCTCTGCTGTCTCCAGAATCCCAGTCGCGCAGAACACTATTCTCAACTTCCTCTAGCACTCGGTCATCAGCCTCTGCGGCTGGTGCATGCAAGATCGGATCTGCATCGCCAAACTTCAGCGTTGCATGATCTGTCGGGTCCAGGCATTGCAAGACACCACCCAGCTGCCCTGGTGTAACATTCCTTATCAGACCCTCTGCCGGGATTTGCGACAAAAAATACATCTCTGTCCTTGCGCTAGTTGCCGTAGTGCCAGTGTGCGAACGCTGGGGCTTTGCAGCCCCACCGCTACCCGGTCTGGCAATAAACTGGATATTTCCTCCACTGTCAAAGTGGACGGGTACCTCGGCATCAAACAACAGATGCTCAAAATCATCATCCATCCCACAGATACCATCATCCGCTGCCAGCAAAAGCGGGTCGAGGATCGAGTTTGATCTGCTGCTGGTACTACTGTTACAGTCAACCGAGCCGGAACGAGGTACTTGTACGTCAGGAAGCGAGATGGATGCCCAGTCACTGGTATGCGGTGCGATGCGAGCGTTGTGGTCAAGCTTGCTGTCCTTGAGATCTACGTCGGCAGACTTGATCCATCCCAATTCACGCAGCCGTTTCACAGTCTTCTGGGCTGACACTTCGTTCCCACTACCCTCAGCGCCTATAATAGCCAGCTGTATATCAGTGCTTCCCATGCGAGTCAATGTACGTCGGGACTGTGACATCAGGTAGTGTGATCGGACGCACATCCTGAAGTGTTGTCGTGGCAGTGGTCGCATTCCAGGTAGCATCATGCTGCTGGCCGATAACCCAAGGCGTCGATAGAACGCGCACCCATGTCGAGTGGCAGTCAGTATAGAGTAACATGGCCTTGCGCTGTAGCGCGCGTACTAGGCCGATCAGCAGTGTCGATGTCAACCGCAGAGCCATTGGCGCCCGAGGCGCGAGCAGGTCCTGGCAGGCAGCTGGGATGTCAATACTGCTCAGTTCATTCGCTGTGATGCGCCGCCAGCGAGACCGCTCGCCCATTGTCGCCAGCAACCAGATTGTGCCAAAGTGGTGCCCGCGCTTGCAAAGCAAATCCTGGGAATAAAACATGCCAAGGTAGTCGAAAACAGGGGGGATGCAAGGCATGCAAGTATGCACATCCTCGGCTCTTCCCTTCGCTCCCTCCCTTTTTAACTGGAATCATCCTTGAATGATGAATGCTATGTGTATGCGCATACATTTATTTCAAGCTCAGACCCGCCATGAGCCAGCAGCAGATGCAATCAAAAGCTTCTTTTGTACCCTTCTAGTGCTTGATGACAACATGCACTTCATAAACCAGGGCTAACCTGCAGAAAAGTATGAGTTAATTCAATATCCATACCGGCTGGAACCATGTTTCTTTCGCTTCACATGGATGTGCGGTATAGCAGCGGGTCATCCCTTTGGCAACCCATCACTCAGTGCACACAGGCTGAAAGCGGAGAGAATGGAAAATGTATTTGCGGGAGAAAAAATAAGGTAAACACAGGTAAAAATTTTGATGTTAGCACAGGGAGAATATGTGTTTTTGATCCACGAGACAAGAGCGCGTGCTTAGTTGGCAGCAACCTCCTTCTGGATATTGTGGTGGAACTTTACGTTGTCCTCAGTGACCTCGGTTCCGCCGATAAAGACACGCTCCTACGTTGAGGTTGTCGTCGAGAACCAGCACATCGGCATCGGCGCCAAACTGCAGGGTGCCCTTGCGATCGGTGATGCCGAGCATCTGGGCCGGGTGCAGAGTTGCGTTCTCCAGGGCCTCGACCTTGGACGCACCGGTGAACTTGATGAAAGTTGCGCACGCACTGGGCCAGCGTGGCGAATCGAGCCGGCGATTGTGTTGGTACCCTTGATGTAGACGTGGCCGTTGTGTACGTCGACGTCCATATTGCCCAGCTTGTAGTAGCCCTCGGGCAGGCACTGCGCCGACATGGCATCGGTGACAAGGCAGGCACCCGTGGGGTGCGCGTAGTAGGCAATCATGACCGAGTGCGGGTGGACGTGGACACCGTCACAGATAATGCCGTAGTAGGGGCGGGACTCGGAGGCACCCAGCAGACCGATGATTCCAGGGTCGCGCTGGTGGAAGGCAGCCATGGCATTGAACAGGTGGGTCACCATCTTGGCGCCCTTCTTGTGCGCCTCGTTGGCCTGGGCTGTCGACGCGTTCGAGTGACCCGATGAGATGTTGATGCCGGTGGCCTCGATCAGCTGGGGGATCGAATCCATGATGCCCTCGACCTCAGGGGCCATAGTCACGTAGGCGACGTTCTTGCGCAGGTTGTCGAGGCCATAGCACTCATCAAAGTCCGCCAGGCCGTTCTTGGCCGTGCGCAGTGTGGCCTCCTCGTGAGCACCCTTCTTCAGCGGCGAGATGAAGGGTCCCTCGACGTGCGCACCCAGGATCGCGGCGCCGTTCTCGAGCGAGCCCTCGCGGGGCCCCAGATACGGCAGCACCTTGCGGTACACGTCGGGGCGCGAGCTGACCTGTGGTCGGGCAGTACGCCGTACAGCCCTGCAGCAGCAGACCCTTGGAGACGTTGATCGACAGCCTCCTGGATGATCTCGGTGTCGTTGGAGAAGTCGAAGCCGTACGCGCCGTTGAGCTGCACATCAATGTAGCCGGGCGACACGATGCCTCCCTTGCAGTCGATGCGCACGTCCGGGACACGGTTCTCCTCCCAGAACATCTTGGCCGGATCGATGATCTTGCCGTCCTGGACATATAGGTAGTCCTCGACCAACTTGTGGTCACGCAGGATGCGGCAGTTGTAGAACTGGGTGATGGGGCTTGCTGACTTTGACATTGTGGCAAAAGCTTTCAACCGGAGATAAAGCAAAAGGTGTGTGGAGAGAGGGTAATTAATTAAGAGACAAGGGAATAAGGGCGGTGGTGTATAATGAAGAAACAAGGAAAGGGGCAGGAAATGGACGGCCGGCTCTCGACCTCCCCTTATATAGGGCCCTGGAGCAGCGGCAAACTTTTTTCTTTCTAGCGGCTCGCCGGCAGGCGCTAGGAGTGGGGGCGGGCATTTGTGCCGCTCTAAGCTTGTGCTGTGACCACTTGTTCCCGACCACTGGCCAAGGGGATAATGGCCCATTTGCGCTTTTCCTCCTTGAGCCCACCTCACTGGTTGTCTGCCCAACCACACCACACCATTCCGCACCTCGGCGCATCAGCACACTTTTTTCGCTTTATTATCGCTGGCCGCACCAGCAATCCACTGTGCACGGCGCTGGTCATGCATGCCGGCGTGGCCAATGGGCGTGCGGCAAAGGGCATTTGTTCGGCCATTTGCCTGGGGGAAGTTGCGAATTTAAAAAACTTTGGGGAGGATGGATCGTGGATGTGCTTTTCGTAGCTCACCAAGATGCACATATTTTCTGCAAAGACGGCCAATTGTTAGGCCAAATTGCACCATGGCACGGATGCCAGACGCGCTCTTGTCCATGACTAGGCATAGACAATCGGATAGGCGTGCATGATTACATTAGCTGGCAGGCACTGGTGCAAAAGCGAGCTCCTGTGTGGATGGAGCGATATATCTCTGGGTGTGTGCCATCAGCCAGGACTACATACCCGAAGCATCCAGAATGCCAGCACTGGGTGTCACATGAAAAGCTGCTGTTGTCAGATTGAAGGCCACACTCAAAGCGAGTGCAAATCCTGCAATTTCACCTTCAATCCACGCCCCTCCCAACACGGATGCCCACTCTGCAACGCCAGCGCCGATTAGTCGTTGATGGCACCGCGCCTGCAGTAGAAATGGATGGCGCAGCATGCATTTCCCCTCCCCGTTTCCCAAATCCGGGCTATTAACTGCTCCTGCTGGCCGAAATATTGGCCGCTGCAGGCTGCCTGCCAGCCGCGCCATTCAACTGCCCGACCGCGACCCCCGATGTCTGCTGGCCAGCTGTTTTCGCTCCTCCCCCAACGAGCCCACTGCGAAGATGCTTCCAGACTGCCAGTGCTCAGTCGAGCGTGCCTCAACCCCGAGAATTTGTCCGCGGGTGTAACCAGTAGCATTTGCGACGAGGTTGCCGACAGCGTAGGCAGCGAGACAGGGCAAGTAGAAAATTGGTCATGTCGGCATGACCTGGCTACTCGCTGCGGACAGGGTATTAAAATGCATGCACCAGGCAATTGTTGGTGCAAACCGCCTGGCCGTGTCCTTTTGCCACATGGGGGAGCAGCCTTGCGGGCGAAAACGAGCGCAATATCGTCGTGCATGCCGTCTGCGTCAGAATAAACAAAAAACAGGTCTGCTGGTTGCGTACCCGAGGGTTCTGGCTGGATTCAAAGGCGCACCCTCCCCCGCACTCTGTTCTGGGCAGCCAGACGCAATAGCAGCAGTAAAGAAAAGCAAGGGCAGTGATAATGATAAGTGTCAGGTGAGCAAATTTTGTCGTCTGTAGCCCTGGTCCTCGGCACCCAGCTTACAGCAGCATCCCCAGCACCGCGATTTCCTATTTATCCCCATGAAATAAGCGCCTCTTTTTCGTCTCTTGGGCGTCTCCTGCTTTTCTCTTTTGCTCTCATCGCGATATTTCTTCTCCACCCAGGGTTTTCATCTCCCTGTATTCTTTTTACCCTGTTAGACTATTTTTTCTAGACGCCTCGGCCGCTTCTCTGTATCTATTTTGCCAGCCAAGCCAGATACAACGCGCAAGGACTATATATCTGAGCAAAGCAGAACAGGGGGTTCAGTCACCCAACGCCGTATTCGAATGCGTCTCATTATTCGGGAGGACCCGAAGGCTGTTGCCTACTACACAGGTAAGAGCACACGGCAGTCGTCCTCCTCGAGCATTTATAACCCACCACAACCACCGCTCCAGCTAATTGCCCAAATTTCTAGCCAACTATGTCCGCCAGCGAATCAATGAGTTCAAGCCCACGCGCAAGAGGCCGTTTGTAATGGGGCTGCCCACAGGCTCGACACCCGTCGAGGTGTACTGGCACCTGGTGGACTTTTACAAGCAGGGGATCCTGTCGTTCAAAAACGTGATAACCTTCAGCATGGATGAGTACGTCGGTCTCCCACGGTCGCACCCAGAGAGCTACTGCTCGTTCATGCACCGTCATCTTTACGACCACATCGACCTGAAACCTGAGAACATTTACATGCTTGACGGTAACGCCGAGGATCTGGCTGCTGAGTGCCAGCGCTACGAGGAGTGCATCAAAGACGTCGGCGGCATCGAGCTGTTCCTGGGCGGCATCGGCCCCGACGGACACATTGCCTTCAACGAGCCTGGCAGCTCGCTCGAGTCGGTGACGCGGGTCAAGACCCTGGCGTACGAGACAGTGCTGGCTAATGCGCGGTTCTTTGGTGGCGATGTTAACAAAGTGCCCAAGCTGGCGCTGACTGTCGGCGTGGGCACAGTGCGTGCAGCGCGCGAGGTGCTGCTGATCATCACAGGCGCGCACAAGGCGGTTGCGCTGGCCAAATGCATCGAGGAGGGCGTCAACCACATGTGGACCGTGTCGGTTGTGCAGCTGCATCCGTCAGCCATGGTCGTGTGTGACGAGGACGCGACGCTCGAGCTGCACGTCAAGACCGTGCGCTACTTTAAGAGCATTGAGCAGGTGCAGGAGCAGCTGATCGGGCGCCAGAACATTGGGCTCAAAGGCTCGATCTCAAAGCTCTCTGGAGCCAATGCCAACCACCAGCCCGATGCCCCACAGCCAGAGGCGGGGAAGCAGATTTCTGACGACGAGTCGTCGTCGGACGAGTCCTCAGCGGAGGACACAAAGATCACTTCGACCGTCGCCCCACCTGCCAGCAGTCGCAGCGATGCACATGGCGTAAGAAGCAATGGCGCTCTTACGTCCGCTGCCACTGCTGGCAATCCCTTTTAAACACCCCCGTCTCCTGCAAATCCCAGTCATCCGCAAGATCCCTTCGCAACCAACAACGCCAAACCAACAACAACAACGACACCAGCGCCAACGCCAACGCCAACAGCGACGCTGATAACAAACCAGAAAACGTGATCCCAGCAGGCAGCACGGCACCCAACAGTGACCAGATCCTGCCCGCATCCAGTTCCAACTCGCCAGCCCACCTGTCGACCAAGCGCCCCCACGGTTCGTCGCCCGTCGCCGAGTCCCCCGAGTCCATTAGCGATAATGGCGATGAAAATGACGAGCGCATGTCAGAGGAATACGAGGAGAGCGTTCGCCGGCTACGGCTACGGCTACCCCGACGGCGATGATAGCACGGAGCATTACCCGCGCTTCATGTTGCCTCGAGCCTCAGGCATGAGCACCATGGGCGAAATCCACTCGTTCGCTCCGTCGCCCAATACCCGCTCGCCTGCCGGTTCCATGACCAACCTGGCAGCTAGCTACGACCAGACATCAGTGTATCCGTCGACGTGGCACGAGTACGAGGACCAGTTCAACTACTTTTACAACTGCCATTTCATCGAGCAGGACTACTACGACTACCTGGCCAACAACATGCCGGCACAGGCAGGCGACGATGATGGTGCGTCCCAGGGTGACGACGGCGACGAGGAAATGGAGGACGCGTCGTACTCGGAATCCGATGCCAGCGACGCTGACGCAGATGTCATAGGGCTTGATGCCGACATGGGCCATGTCGCAAGACCACTGTCGCCCAATACCAATGCGTCGCTCGAGTCTTCTGGAACCACGCTGCGTGCTGCGTCTGCAGCTGCGTCGCCCGCATTGCCGCCGCATTGCGCCGCTGATGCCGGCAATCACTCGTGAATGACCTTGGTCCAAGATCCACCATGCCTTCCTCGCGTGTTGTTATGAGGGATCTGCCACAGTCCGCTGCGTTGCAGTGTGCGGTTTTTGAAAGTGCCAAGCCAGGATTTCTAGGCCTGTCTGCTTTCCCTCTCGTTTTTGTTCTGTCGTTGTCTTGTTCTGTTGTTTGCTTCCTTTCCTTGCGGTGGATTATTCCGGGTCTCTGTTTTTGGCGAGCAGAGTGCCTTGGGATTCTCCCTATTCTCTCCCACGACCATTTCTTTTTGGTACCATCCTTCCCACCTACTTTTCCTTCCCTAAACTGTATATGTAATTCCCGAGACGGGGGATTGTTCTTCATTAATAAGAATTACCTTTCAAAAAACACCTCATGTGATACCCGCACCACATAATATATATATATATATTGTTGCGCGCCCGCTGCGGCTGTCCCTGACGTCGACATGTCAGCCGAATCAGGTGCCAGCAAGCCAGGTGCCAACGAGAGCCCTGCTACAGCCTACAATATGGAGGTAGAGTCTAGCCTCTGACAAGTTGCACAGACGGCCGTATTGAAACCTCCCCTGCGCAACTCGTCTATTCCCTTTTCTCTCTTTCTTCAGCATTAAATATAACTTTTAAAATCCCCACACATTCAACAAACATAACAATGCTACTATAATGTAAATGATGTCTGGCCCTACTCCATGGCGCCTACAGCTCCGCCAATCCGCTTTCTCAAGGGAATGTGCTTGATGAACAAGACAAAGAGCATAGACAAGCCAGGAAAATGCCAAGAAGGTATAGTACACCATGTGCAGGGACTCGACATAGGCATGAATCACCGCCATGCGCACGTCGGCCGGAACACCTTGCTCCCAGATGATGCTCTGGTTGCTGATGGCGCCAAAAATAATCTTCTCTGCCTCGGGGAACTTGGCAACCACCTTGACCAGCAGCGGGCTCAGCTTGTTCTGGAAGATGCTCTGGGCGATGGCCAGGCCGATGGCGCTGCCCAGCATGCGAATGGTCATCAGCAAGGTCGTGGTGGTAGCGACGTCCTCCTGGTCAACAGCATTCTGGGCGCAGGTGATCATGGACTGCATGGACAGGCCAAGGCCAGCACCAAATACAATTGGAATGCCAATAAGCTTGCTCTGGGTGGGGGTGTCGCCGAGCAGCACAAAGAGACCGATGCCCACAACGGCCATGGCTGTGCCAATCCAGATGAATTGCAGGTATCTGCCAGTCTTTGTGATGGCGATTCCAGAAATTATCGAGAAAAGCGAAATTGCCAGCATGCAGGACACTAGGTGCAGGCCTGAAGAGATGGCGGATGCGTTTTTGACCACCGACAGGTAGATGGGGAAGTAGAAGATGGGCAGGAAGAATGTCATGCCGAACGTGACCTGCACAGCAAACACCAGCGACACATTGCGGCGACGGAACAGCCGCAGGGGCATCACGGGCTCAGGCGGAATCTTCCACTCGACCAGAACAAACACGACCAGCATCATAAACCCAACAATGATCGGGGAAATGACGGCTGCCGATTTCCATGGGTGGTCGCGGCCGCCCCAGGTGAGCCCAAGCTGCAGCAGGACGATTCCAGTAACAATAACCATGATGCCCAGGAAGTCGATGCGCTTCAGCTTCTCGCGCGCGGAGCCATGCGGGATTGGCAGCTTCATGAACAGCACAATCAGCACAAGCACGACAGCCTGAATGCACGGGTTGATGTAGAAGCCCCACTCGAATCCGGTCTTGTCGGCAAACACGCCACCCAAGACAGGCCCAGCAATCGACGCAACAGCCCACACGAGACCAAACACGGCCAGGTACATTGGGTTCTGCGCTGTGGGCACAATATCGCCGACCACCACAAAGCAAATCGACATCAGGCCGCTACCTCCAATACCGGCGATGGCACGTCCTGCAATGAGCATGTTGGTCGATTTGGAAGCGCCGCAGATCACCGAACCGACCAGGAAGAACACATGTGAGACCAGCAATACTGGGCGGTGGCCGTAAATGTTGCAAAGCTTGCCGTAGATGGGCTGCAGGGCCGTGCTTGAAATCATATACGACGACACAATCCACGAGGCGCTGGTCAGGGCGTCGAATTTGGCTGAAATCTTGGGCAGCATTGTCGCCACAATAGTGTTGTCGAGGGCAGCCAGGAACATGGACAGTGCTAGAGCCACCATTACGCCAACCATCTGCTTGCCCTTGATGAGGGTCTCATTGAGCTGCTGCTTCTCGTCGGCCACCGGGTCGGACTCGGGGCCAGACTCGATGTCATGAGAGGGTTTGCTGGAGTGGGATCCCACCACGCTAGGTGTGTGCGTGGAGAGGTCTTCTTTTGCCACAGACATTATATATGGATGAAGAAAGACGCAAGGTGTCTCAAGCGTAAGTGATAAAAATGCGAGTTGATGGAAGCAGCAGGAAGGCAGAGAGCCAGTCGACAAGACAGTTATATACAAAGGGGAAGCTCCTCCCTAGGACATCTGGATTACTGCCAAGACACAAGCTTGGTCTGCTGTGATAAGCCTAGGAACTACGGCGCACCATATAGCCCTGCCCCTCCCCAATTCAGCGCTGGCATTCTACCTTCTCCTTTGTCAGCTCGGGGCAAGAGCGCCAAAATTGGGCAAACAAAGCCTGCTTCAAGGTGCAGCGCAATCGTCTCGGCTGGAATTTTTCCACATAAAGACTGAAAAATCATGGTAATCTGACAGCAATCTTCCCCACGCCCAACTATCGCTTGGCTTTGGCCGCTTTGGTGCAAACGAAAAAGCGGCTGCTGCACACATGATGGCAGACATCTGGCTAAAGAAGGGAAAAAGCGAACAGTACGCCAGCTGACACGGAGCCTCCGCCGCCGAGTATTGCTAGAATAGAGGGGGATGGGGATGGATTGCTTAAACCACAACAAGTGGGAGCATCGGCATGCATGGATAGCGAATGCCATCCATGTGAGAACGAGGAGCAATTGTCTTGGGCAGTTGAGTGACCAGCCACGGCAGCGTCGGCGGTAGAGTCGGTGCCCGAGAATTTCGTAATCAGCGACGTTTTATTTGGTAGTTCAAGTCCTGGCCAAGTTCACGGCCAACACCATAGGCCAGACTGAATAGTTTCCAATGAGGCAGGAGGCAGGCAGGGAACCAGACGACAAATATACATGTCTAGTAGCAGTTAGCATTGATTGCTGCTAGCGGAACGGCCCTCAGCGATCAAGCATATCCAATAGTCTGTGGTCCCATGGCACAAGTTGAACTGAACATATTTCCTTTTGCGATTGAAAGTTCTTGGCATTTACCTCAGGCACTGGCTGTTGATGATTAGATTGGAGTATTATGCTGATGTCTATTGCTGTAGTCAAGATCTACTAGAATTTAATGCGGGGAGGATACGACAAACGGACAAGGTAGTGGCGACATGTGTCCAGGCTACCAAGGAGAGACTAACTACAAAAGGAGCGGCGTGAACTTGCATGGTAGACACAGACCTATAGGCATTCGCACCCCTCCATGTGCCGCTCGTACGACTCTCTGTCGGGGTCGCAGTACCCGCATGTAGGGCACTTCCAGTGAAACTGCATAGCCCAGATACTGAGGTGCAATATATGTAGTGGCCATGCTTTTGGTTCTTTGAGACGAGGAAATATAGAAGAACGCTTGATTGGCGGCGGACGAGAAAACGTAGGAGTATGGTGCAAGCTATGTAGGTATGAAGACGATGATGGCGAAGCGACAGAAGGAAAGGAGTGCTGGAGAATCGGGGCTCGGGGGAGCGACTAGCGTTTTAAAAAGGCAAGTAGAGAAGCGGAGAGGAGTGTAAAGGGGTAAAAAGGAGATGGGTTTTCCAAGCAACGACACCTTCTGAAGTGGCCATTTTATAGCCACTTCGAAATGGTGTCAGAGAAACAAGGAGCTAGGGAGAAAGGAGAATGAAGATCTTAGCGGACAGGAGACTAATCGCCGTGACACTCACAGAGAACTGTAGAAACAGGAGCAAGCAATCGATGATGGTTCTTGATCTGGAATGAGGAGCACGTCGGTCACGTAGCGTTGGTGGGGAAACCGGCCTTCGACACCACATGGAGGCCAGAATAGCCAACCATGAAGATCGCTTGGCCGACGGACACACTACCAGTGCATTCTTGTGCCAAGCACAGTCTGTGGTTGCTGTTAGCTGAGCATCACCAGGAAGAAGCAGCAGCACAAGGGTGGGGGAAATAGAGAGGAAGCCCCTCCCCCATTGTGCGGATCTCTTTGTGGGCTCTGTCGAGTGGCAAGTTAAAGCAGCCTCTACACGCTGCATGCGCGAGGTCCATGCGATGTGTGGTTGACCACGGGCTGCGCCCTCCATCAGCATGTGGATGGCCACAAGGGATTGCGCTGGGACGTCCCAAATGGCCATCGTTCTACATTGCTATTGAACATGGCCGGCTGCGCCCACATTTGGCAACTGCCTTTCACGCTCCCTCCCAACTCTTATTCTATCCATCCATGATATCAACACAATGTGACAAGTCGCTACGATGCTTACACTGTGCCTGCATCCCTGGCTCAGGGTTAAGGAGAAGTAGACCCTGAACTCGCTATTGCCATGCCGATATTCGTCGACGGTTTGGGTTCCTGGCGAGCAAGGCACAGCCAGCTTCCGGCACACGGGTACGCACCAGTCCTATGAAATCGACCTGGTGGAAGGCGAGGCGAACAATGCCCAGGTAATGCATGTGTTTGACAGCATGGCAGAGCCCATGGGAAATGGGCTCTACTCAGTCAAGGTCGATGTGCCCAGTGACATCCCCGATGGTGCTTACGCGGTGCGCGTTGGCATGCCCGACGGCAGCTTCTGGGCATATCTACAGACAGCTTGCTATTTCCGCCAAGGGCGAGTCCAAGAATAACGATGGGGCTGCCAGCTCCGCCGCTATGACGCACTCGGATTCCTTTGTGAAGGAGCCTGCCCACGCGGAGGATGATGCTGTTCCACAGAGCAGAATTGCTGAGAATCATGCGCTGTCGTGTCATCCATGGGCTGCTCTGGGCATACAGATCGCCATGGGTGCCATTCTTGTGGCAGTGCCGGCGCTCTAACAGCATTTGGGGAGCGGATTCGGTGGCCAAATAGAGCCTTTGGGTGATGCCTTTCACGGCCAGATTCCTCTGTCGCAATAATCCCGCTGGCTATTATGAAAACGAATGATGTAATTTGAAAACTACATGAGGATGGTGCATAAAAATGAAAATGATATTTTAGAATCGGCGCCCAATGGCCGTAGGCTTCTTGCCGTCCAGGATCTTCTGGCGGGCCTCAGGGGAAATGACTGACTTGACATTGCTGATCTGGATTCCTGAGCGTATCGCATCGCACACGACGTTGTAGCAGGTGTTGGCCGTCTCCATGATGTGGTTCACCCACTCCTTGGCCGCCTCCGGAGAGTCAGCACGCAGCTGCAGAATCTCGCCATTCTTCAGGTTAACCAAGTCAAACTGGTCGCGGACTGGCGGGCGGGCCAGCAGATCGTATGCCTGGATCGGCAGCCGGTATGCATCGTACTGCCACTGGTCGCCGCGCCGCTCGGACACTGTGATCATCATAAAGTCGTTGAACAGGATCACGTACAGGTGCTTGCCCGACGACGCCTTGCGCAGCGGACCCTTGAACACAAACTTGCGCTGGCCCACGAGTTTGGTGTACGTGTTCAGGTTCAGGTTGACGCCGCCCAGCAGGTGCATCCAGTTGAATGTGCGCTGCAGCTCGTCCAGCTGCCGCTTGTTGGTCAGCTCACCCGACTTGCGGTTGACTTCGGTGGCCACGCTTCCAGCAATGCTGAGCGCCAGAGCCACGTCGTCGTAGTCAGGGTGGTCGACAGGCGTGTATTTGAGCAATGCATCCAGCAGCAGGGTGTATCGCATCACACGCTGCACTGGTGTCACCAGGAAGGACTCGAGGCGGAGCCGGTGCAGACGCGGGTCCTTCTCGGCTCTTTCCAGTGTCTGCAGCAGTCGCTGGTGGGCTTCGCGCGATCCGCCGTTCTTCAGATTGAGCCGGGAGTTGCTCTCCCGCACCAGCTTCAGGTACTCGATAGCTTTCTCGTGGTTGGCCGAGTACACGGCGTACATCTCGGAAAAATCCTTCAGGAACCCGGCCATGATATCGCCGATGCACACATTCCTGACGTACTCCAGCACCTGGTCCTCGTTCCACTTGGTCGCGTCGTTGGCCGGGTCTTCTTCGACAGTATTCATACTGCGCACGCTGCCCCTGGCCGGCATACGATGATTGCCCTAGCTGCGACATGCTGCTGCCATTCGAGTTGTGCCGCCGCCGCGCTGCCATACTGCCGCTGGCCCCTGTAACGACATACCGGTGACCAGTGCCCTGGCTATCGCCGCTCGAACCGCTCGAGCCAGCTGAGAACGCTGACGCAGTGTCGTCATTCTTTGATCCCTGCCGGCGCAGGCTCATATTGCCCATGCTGTCATTGATACCTTCGGCTGAATACACAGACGACGAGTCCTTGCCACTGCTCGACATGCTGAGGCGTCGTGAGTTGGATACCGAACTCGACACAGCCATGGGCGATGTGGGCGATTTGAGCGTACTGCCGTGCAGTGCCGACCTGTGTGAGCCGGTGGCATGTGACGATTGCGACGACCGAACCGCGCCGCGCTTCTTGTTTTTTTGCGCCTTGTCGGGATTGACAAACACGTACATTGGGCCTAGCCGCTGCTCCATCTCCAGGTACATCTTGTTGTTCATTTCGGCGATCTTGACCAGATCGCCAAAGATCACATCGACCACCCGCCGATTGCCCAGATACTGGACCGGCAGCAAGAACAGCTCGACGACCAGCCGCAGGTCACTTGTGTACTTGCGCTCAGTGCGTACCAACTCAAACAGTGCCTCCTTACGCTTACACTCCTCGGAGCGCCGTTTCTCGGCAGCCTTTTCGGCTTCGGTCTTTGGTGCTGGTGCAGTCGCTGCTGAGGATTCTGAAGTCGCCGCAGCAGGAGTCTCAGGTACGGCTGATGCAGGGTTCGCTGTCATTGGCGTTTCTGTTACTCCCGAAGGCAAATCATCAACATTGCCTGAGTGCAGCGATGCTGTGTCGACAGCCAGGGTTTCTGTGGTCTTAGTGGCCGGGTCGACACGGGGTAGTGGCCCTGCCGAGGCCCGATGGTGCGGATCGTACATTGCTTGCAGTCTCGCCTTCTCCTCTGCAGCCTGTTGTTCATGATCATTGTCCGGGAGTTTTCGTGAGTATGGAAAAAGAGACCGTGTCCGTGGCGGGATTTGCATTTCGTGGTATACGTGACGACATGGTTTCGGTCCCACGGGCGATGTTGATGTGGACGAGGAGGAGGATGACGACGCCGACGACGACAGTGATATCGGTGGTGTTGGTGGCAATTGTTTTTTCGATGCGGGTTTTTTCGTGGTTGTGCGTCGGTCACCACCGCGGGTTGAAAACAGCGAGAGCATTGTATGTATGTTCGTTTGTTTGACCGTCCGGATCGCAGTAATGAAAGGATGTTGTCGCCACAGCCGATATTCAGAACGAGAATATGCAAAGGGAGAAAGAGAGATGGAAAGAGATTAGTATAAAGAGCGCAATAGGTGTGGTTCTGGACCCAGGGGTATAACTGAAGAGCACGTCGCACCCTTCTCCGGCCCGAGAAAGAGAAAAGTAGTGGAGCTAATAAAAATGAATCCGCGATAGTAACGGATAATAGGCAATAATACAGAGCTGAGGAGAGAAAGGAGACATGCAGAACGCAATGGGACAGGGGCGGGAGAGAAAGTCGGCAACGAGGAGAGGGGCGGAGTGCAATGCGCACAGGGCCGCCTATTTTTCGGAGCAAGAAAAAGCGGGCCAGGCGCTTGTGTAACAGGGAGTGCCGGTTTGACCTTCAAGGGTGTTCAAGAGAGGGGTCGGTTTATAAAAAGATTCCTCTCAATCTTCGGCATCACTGGACGGTTTTAAAATAGCTGAGCCATAGAACACAATTGCTTCTAAATGGGGCCGTCGTAGGCTGGTTCTGCAGAGCGTTCAAGCAAATGGCAAAACATGCACTTTTCACGACCCGCATGGCCAGACCCTGTGCCAAAAAGGAATGTCTCAGACCCATGCGGAGCAGCTGTGCTTTACCTCGTCGATGGCTTCCAGTCGCAGGACAAGGAGCATGGTAAAAGAGGCCCTCTTTAAGCTTGCGGGATTGAAGAATACGCAAATAGAACAAAAAAGTGCCAAATGTATATATATCAAGCAGGGGGAGGCAGAGCACTTTAAGTAGTCGCGTCCGAGTGCCCTCTGCCTTCTATAAATAGAAAGCGGATCCAGCTGGTTGCCGCGGGTGCTGCAGGCATCAAGCGGCTTTTTCATGGGTGATACGGATGCAAGGTGTTGACAGCATTGTTGGCAAGGAGTGACGATACATGGGCGCAAGTGTGTGGAATGACAACAATCGTGGTTGGTACTTACCGATGGGTAGTTTGGTGGCAGCGACTGGTGGCCAGCAGCAGGTTTTGGTGTGCTGGTGGATGGGTCGGGGCCAGCACGGCCATGGCCGCTGAGCGCATTGTTGATGGCGGCAACCGCAGCCGCAGCCGGCGACATGCACACCGCCGGCGAAGCCTCCTCGGCCTGCACCGAGGCAGGAACTGGCGGCAGGGCGCTGGTCGGAGGCACAGCCCACGATGTTGGGCGCGACCGGTGGCCTTGGCTGCTGCTGGCCGGGGCATTGCTGCTGGCCGATGCGCCAGGGAACTCGGGCAGACTGATCGGCTGCGGAGTGACGGCAATTCCAGCAGAGGGCTGCGACGATGCAATGCTCGGTGTGCTCTGGTGCAACTCGGTGACCGAGGAGGGCTGCGGGGTGGGCATTGTGAAGGTAGTTGGGGCTGGACCCGTGGGCACAGTGCTTGCGTGATGCACGGCGTCGTGGTAGACAGGCGTTGGGAAGGTATAGGTGCTCTGGGTCTCGACCGAACCCTGTGCAGGCGGTGCCGATGGCGCCGATGGCGCTGATGGCGCCGATGATGCAGGCAGGGGCGGCGCCGATGGGCTCAGCATGCCCGCCATGTCAGAGGGCATTGGCGGTGCGCTGGGCATGGCTGGCCCAGCCAGCATCACTGGTGGTGCTACCGGCATGTATGAAAACGGCTGGCCGTATGGGCCGGCGGTGGCTGCTGAGTGCACTGGAGCCGGAATGGCAGAGTACGAGGTCGTGGGTGGGTAGCCGTAGTAGCCGTAGCTGGCAGGCATGGGCTGTGTGCCGTCTGTCTGCTGGCGCTGTTGCAGCAGCAGCAACTGTTGCATCTGCTGCTGCTGAAGGAGCTGGAGCTGCTGGAGCTGCTGCTGCTGCAAAAGTATCTGCTGCTGCGTGCGAGGAGGGGGTGGCGGAGGGGGTGGTTGCGGTTGCTGCTGAGCAGGCTGCTCCGGCGACCCACTGACGTGAATGCTGTCGACTGTTGCCGACATTTCCGGGTTGGCAGTAGAGCTGGACTCGGAAGTCTGCTTATTAAGCTCAGAAGTCTCAGTAGGGGGTTTACTAATATGCTGGTGGTCGTCGGACCTGCTTCCTAAGGGCTCTGCAACCGACAGGATACTCGGAGCTCGGAGGCTGTGCGACGAGTTTGATGTAGCGGTGCGAGAAAGAGCCGGCGAATTGCTGCGGGGCGTGGTGCTGGAGAAATGAGAAGAGGTGGGCGAATTAAGGTATGTCTGAGCAGGAGGGACAGTGGAGATAGTGCGGACGACCTTGCCACGAGACGCTTTGCTTTTCGAGTGCATCAGCAGCGCGTTGGGGGTTGTGTGGTAGAGGTTGATGGAGTCAACGCCTGGCTGTTGGCTGCCGTCGCCTTCTGTTGATGTCTCCCGTGCAGCTTGGCGCTCGGAGGAGGCCGGCCGGTACTGGTAGGTGTTGTAGGTGATTGGCCTGCCGTCGCTGGGGATGGGCGCTGGCTTGGGCACCGGATTGTTGGCTGGCAGCTTGTCGTCAGGTCGCTCGCAGCCACTCCTCCAGCGACACGGCCAGCGCATCTTGCCCATGGGGGCCGCCCCATGGTCAGCGCCAGCCCCGCTCACGCCCTGGTCAGCAGACATGGACTTGTAGATACTGGGCGGTGGCGACACGCCATCATGCATGAATGTATCAGCAGCATTGGCCGACTGGACCTGGTACGTCGCCGAGCTGGTGGCAGCGCGGAACAGCGCACGTGCCGACGGGCGCTCAGCCGCAGCGTCAATAGCCGCATGCGACGCCAGCTTCTCCTCAACAAAGATCTTTGGCACCAGCGGACGCGCCTTGTTAGGCAGCGGGGGAGGCACCCGACCCGAGGCCAGCGTGCTGGGCGAATCAGGCCGACGGGTCCCACGAGAGCTCGGCAGCAGCCTGCACGGCCAGCGTGTGCCTGATGCGGTCGGGAATCGGCGGCGGCTGCTTACGCGTACCCATTACAGGCATTGAGTTCCTGATGCGCTGGCCACCAGACAGAGATTCTGCCGCGGATACTGCACCAGCAGCCTGCAGGGCCAGCCCAGGGATATCAGACATTTGCGCAGTAGCATCGGACTCAGTCCCGTGAGAATTGAGCGACTTGTGCTTGGAGGCGGCTGGCAGCCTCGGCAGGGGCTTGTCGCTCGCATGCAGGCTGCGCACGCGACGCGATGGCTCAGAGTCGGGTTTGGTGACCACATCGCTCTGCGCAGTCGGCTGCGGCTGCTCGGTCCAGTACGATGCTGGCACCATCTCAGCCAAAGTGCGAGTCCGACACAATGCTCGACCGGGCGCTGCCAGGCTTGGCATCGGGGCTTGGCACCGGATCAATACCGTCGGCTGACAGTTCAGACACCTGTCTTCCCATCGCTGGCGCGCCAGTCCCGCTGGAGCCTCGCCGCGACCGGTGCTTTGAGACAAGGCGGCGGTTGCGCCGGAGCGTTGACCCGCCGGTACCTGCGCCGGCTGAAGAGCGCACCAGCAGCGAAGTCTGGTCTGCTGGCTCGGCAGCGGCGTCGGCCACTTGTCCCTGCAGTTGGCTGTTGCTGGTTGCTGGCTCTGCAGAGTCAACCAGGTTGGTGTCAAAGCCCGGGTCGCTTGCACCGACAACGGGGAGCTGGGTGGACTGCCGCTGGGTTGGCTGGTGGTCGTCAAAGTCGCTGCCATCAGTGTCGTCGTCGCTGTCGGAGCCCTGCAAGTCGCTGCTGATATGTCCGTCATCCTCGCCTGGAACAGGTTTGTAGAATTCTTCTTCGCAGTCGTCGACCTTGTCCGCGCTGCCAAGAGTCTGGGCACTGCCGACTGCAGGATTGGCAACCGATTCTGACTTGATGTCATCTACAGGCTCCTCTGTGACCAGGTTGGGCGTGGGACCGATGTATTTCTCCAGGTCGTCTTCATCCTGCATCCGCAATCTCTGGCAGCGCTGGCCCGTATTCATGGCGCTCCTGGATCAGTGCGCGCGACTGCAGCTTCCATGTGTTGCTGCGATTCAGCGCCTCCAGTAGCCCATCGTCGTCGTCTGCTGTGCTGTCAATGTTCAGAATCTGGTCAATATCGCCGGCTACCTTGCCGCCAACCACATGCTGGGGAGGGCTGCTATATTGCTGGTCAGCCGACTTGGGCTGCGCGCCAGCCTCGTCACCGCCCTCGTCCTTGTAACCGTCTATGGGCAGATACTCGGCGCTGCCGGTCAGCGACTTGTCGTAACGCATCTGGTCGATTTTGTCAAGCAGGTCGTCCTGCTCTGCTGTGTACTGGTTTCGGCATTGTCGACTGCATAACCTCGGCCGCCATGCTGTCGCGAATCCTGTTCTGCTTCAGCACCGGGTCGCCCGAGCCCCCCTGTTCGTCCGCGTCGTCGTCGTGGGACTTTGACAGGGCCGCCGTGTTGCTGCTCATTAGCAGGTAGTCGGCCACATGCTCCGAATCCTCAAACAGCTCGTCCAGCGTCTCGTCCAGGTCGTGGTTGACCTTGGGCGCTGCCCGCTTGTGGTCAAACCTGGTCCCGCGCCGGCCCAGAAGCGATGCCAGCCGCTCGGCCTCCTCAATGTCCTTCTCGAGCTCCTTCTGGTCCTTCTCCGGCTCCCTTGCTTCCTTGCGAAGCGTTATGCGGCGCTTCAACGTCTGCTGCCGTGCAACACGCGTCAGGTTGCGAGAAACGCGCATGGACTGGATAAAGTCGTCCACTTCGCTACCGCTGCTGTCTGCCGACCGCTCGGCATTTGGTGGCGGCGGCATTTGTAAGAAAAGAAAATAGGAATGTAGGAATTAAAACTAGTCGTAGCAAAAAATAGGACCCTGAAAGCCCTCCTGGGAGTGCCAATTGGAATATGTGTTTCAGGAAATAAAACAAAGCTGTGAAAACAGAGAGAAGCTAGGGAAAAATCAGCCAGGTGCTTGGTGTGTGAAAGCAGTTGATGCCTGGTGTTTACTTTGTTGTCTCTATCCCCCAAACGCTCGCAACTGTCAAGTCCACGTTTGAGGCGGGTGGGCGTGCATAGCCTGCTGATCTCCGCGGTGTGTGCCTATAAGTAGGTCCACTATAAATAGAGCACAGCACAAGCACAAACCACGCTGGATGTGGCAGTAGTACGCGGGGACAGCGTATGCTGCCAAGGCAGTCTGCTTGGATCAGTCAGCATTGCTAATTTGCCGAGACTGCTTGGCCTTCTATAGCACAAGCTATAGCAGTTCAGGAACTGGCAGTCTGGCCTCCACCATCCCATGCATTCCGGAATGTAACCGGATATTCGCGATGGATCACCTAGCAGACGCGGATTTCCGCATGCGTGTCTCCAGAAGAGAACAAAAATGCCGCACAGAACCTTCGGTCACCTTTCACCAATGGCCAGCCCTTCATGAGTGATGATGATGCTCTGGAGCAGCAGGGCGTCGCGGGTTCCAGTATTTTGCTGGATGAGGGTTGCTGAGGCGCATCGGGGCGAATTGCCACGCCAAGCGACTCAGACAATGGCAAAAGCCCCAGCTGCCGCGCATATGCATAATGCCGCCCCGCTGTCTGAACACCCCCATCTCAGCCGAGCCCGCCCTGTCCCCGGGTTACACAACCGGTGCTGCCGCTGTCCCTTCCTCCGCAGGCCGGAGCACGCGGATCAGATCACGGGATCTCTAGATCCCGACGGAATTGCCAGCTTAGATCAAGCTTATCAATCAATGTTGCCTGTGATGCTTTGCTGACAGCGGCCAGTGCCTGGCAGCCGTTGCCAGGCGTGAGTGCTGGCAAAAGGCCAGCAAAAGCAGAAAGCTAGTCTTGGAATTTTATCTCTAACGCGAGAGATGAGATACAGGGGAGAGCGGAGACTTGAATCGCTCTCAAATCTACTCACCGCATTTCACTTTTTTATTTTTCTTTCTCTTCGATTAACACTCGAATCTTTTCTTTTCGTTATTACAAGAAAAAAAGGAAACTAGTTCTTGGACGATGGCCCTGCAGTATCTGAGCAAGAACGCTTTGCCGAAGGTAAGCCCTTTTGCTCTCACTCCCCTCTCCCTGGCAAAAAAGGGAGACATTGCTGGCTGTCGATTCTCCAATGTGCTCAACATACCCTATGCCTCTACCATTTAGCTCGCCCGCCCTGCTGGCATTCAGCTGGCCCGCTACGCGACGGTCAACACCGGCAAGACCCAAATCACCACTCTGCCCAACGGCTTCACGGTTGCTTCCGAGAACGACCCGTCGGTCAAGACCGCCACTGTCGGCGTGTGGGTGAACTCGGGCAGCCGCAGTGAGACCGCCAAGGACAACGGCTCTGCTCATTTCCTCGAGCACATGGCCTTCAAGGTAAGTTCGAATTACGATTTTTCTTTCGAGATAAGGACTCGCTTTTTTTTTTTTTCGCAGGGCGATGATCGCTGATCCAGCACATGAATTTTCCTAGGGCACTGCCAACCGCTCGCAGCACGACATCGAGCTCCTTATCGAGAACATGGGCGCGCACCTGAACGCCTACACCTCGCGCGAGCAGACTGTGTACTACGCCAAGGCTTTCGAGAAGGACGTGCCCCAGGCGGTTGAGGTTCTGTCGGACATTCTGCAGAACTCGACCCTCAACGAGGGAGCGATCGAGCGCGAGCGCGACGTGATCCTGCGCGAGCAGCAGGAGGTCGAGAAGGTCATGGAGGAGGTGGTGTTTGACCACCTGCACGCGACGGCGTTCCAGAACAGCCCGCTCGGATACACGATCCTGGGCCCGCGTGAGAACATCCTGTCGATCACGAAGAAGGACCTGGAGCAGTACATCTCGCGCAACTACACGGCGGACCGCATGGTTCTTGTTGGCGCCGGCGGTGTCAAGCACGAGGATCTGGTGAAGCTGGCCGAGAAGCACTTTGGTTCGATCAAGACCAGCGAGAGCCCGGTTGCTCTGGCGACCCGCAAGGACGCTCCCCCGCGCTTCTGGGGCTCGGATGTGCGCGTCCGCAACGACGACATCCCGGCTGCTCACATTGCGCTGGCCGTCGAGGGCGTCGGATGGACCCACCCCGACTACTTCTCGATGCTCACATTGCAGTCGCTGATCGGCAACTGGGACCGGTCGCTTGGTGCCCCGGCCAACGTCAGCTCGCGTCTGTCGCAGATTGTGCAGAAGAACAACCTGGCCAACTCGTTCATGTCGTTCAACACGTCGTACCATGACACCGGCCTGTGGGGTATCTACATGAACTCGGAGAACATCACCAACCTCGACGACCTGGTTCACTTCACCCTCAAGGAGTGGGCTCGCCTGTCGACCTCGGTCACCGAGGCCGAGGTTGAGCGCGCCAAGCAGCAGCTCAAGGCGTCGCTGCTCCTGAACCTCGACGGCACCACTGCCGTCGCCGAGGACATTGGCCGCCAGATCCTGACCCACGGCAAGCGCATGGAGCCTGCCGAGGTTGCCGCTGCCGTCGACGCCATCGACGCCGACAAGGTCCGCAAGGTTGCCTACGAGCGCCTGTGGGACCAGGAGGTCGCTGTTGCCAGCGTCGGCAGCATCCAGGGCATGCCCGACTTCATGCGTATCCGCTCGGCCATGTCGTGGATGCGTGCGTAAGCAAGCGCCGGCCCCTCCAGCCGTTCTACTTTTCCTTACTCTCTCTTTTCGCTGTTGAAACCCAAATCACAAACTCTTCTTAGAACCGGTCCAGCAGCAGCCTGATTGCTGATCTGATCTCTGCAGCAGCCAGTGTGCTGTTCCTGGGAGAAAAGCCGCCGAAATGACGGAGCGCGGGAGGACGCCTACTGCCCAGTCACGGTGCAGCAGCGCGGGCCAGTGGCCAATGGCGTGCGGGCCGCTGGTTTGTGATTTCTGTTTTAATCTTGTTGGGGATTTTTTCTTTCTCCAGCTTCGAACAGTTGAGAAGCGCACAGAAGCAGAATATATTTGCTCGCTGGCGGTCCGGAAGACGCACTCTTCTCTGCAGCAAAAAATTTTTCGTCTGAATTTCGTCTCTTTTCGACACTCTATTCACCGTCTGTACATTTCTGCAAGCTGTGCCAGCGCCCCGGTTACAAAAGGTAAGGAGGAAGCGAGTGGTGTGTGCGCACTGTGCTGCTGTTCATGCAAAACATCCACGGCATATTCTGTTGCTAAGCACCCCTCTCCTGTGCTCTCTTGCTAGACTCTTTCTACACATTACGAAACCATGGTTCCGCGAAACAAAGTTCTACGACGTGCTGGGCGTGTCGCCCAATGCTACGGATTCCGAGATCAAGAAGGCGTACCGGAAGCTTGCGCTCAAGTACCACCCGGACAAGAACCCTAATGCCGGCGACAAGTTCAAGGAGGTGTCGCATGCCTACGAGGTCCTGTCGGACGAGCAGAAGCGCCAGATGTACGACCAGTTCGGCGAGGCTGGCATGAACGAGGGCGGCGGCGGCATGGGCGGAATCAACCCCGAGGACCTGTTCTCGCAGTTCTTTGGTGGCGGCGGCGGTATGTTCGGTGGTGGCGCCCGCCGCGGACCGAGCGGACCGCGCCGCGGTCGCGACATGTCGTACACGCTGAAGGTGTCGCTTGAGGAGCTGTACAAGGGCAAGACCTCGAAGCTGCAGGTGACCAAGAACGTGATCTGCGTGACGTGCGACGGCAAGGGCGGCAAGGACGGTGCTGTCCAGGAGTGCCGCCAGTGCCACGGCCAGGGCATTGAGGTGGTGATCCGCCAGATGGGCCCGATGGTCCAGCAGATCCAGCAGCAGTGCCGCCGGTGCGGTGGAGCTGGCGAGGAGATTGACGAGCGCAACAAGTGCAAGAAGTGCAGCGGCCGCAAGACCACAACCGAGCGGAAGCAGCTCGAGGTGCACATTGAGAAGGGCATGCGCGAGGGCCAGAAGGTCACGTTCCCAGGCGAGGCCGACCAGGCGCCCGGTGTTGTGCCCGGCGACATCGTCATTGTTGTTGACGAGAAGGAGCACCCCCGGTTCAAGCGCCGCGGCGACGATCTGTTCTATGAGGCTGAGGTTGACCTCGTCACCGCCCTGGCTGGCGGCAACGTGCACATCCAGCACCTCGACGAGCGCGTGCTGAACGTGGCCATTCTGCCGGGCGAGGTCATCAAGCCGGGAGAGGTCAAGGCCGTGGTGGGCGAGGGTATGCCGTCGCACCGCCACCACAACATGGGCAACCTCTACATCAAGTTCAGCATCCGCTTCCCCGAGAACAACTGGACCACGGAGGAGAACATCAAGCAGCTCGAGGCCCTGCTGCCCCCGCGGCAACCGCTGCCGGCTGTGCCCAAGGGATACGCCGAGGAGGAGGTTGTGCTCTCTGTGCTCGATGCCAGCCAGCAGAGCCGCATGGAGAACGGCGCCGAGGACATGGACATGGATGACGAGGAGGGCCACGGACACGGCGGCCCTGGTGTCCAGTGCGCCCAGCAGTAAAAACACAATACCTTTTACTTTATTCCCCTGGTGTACTTCAACATTGCTTTCTTTTCTTTTACGTCATTTGCAAATAATGGAGGCAGCACTTTTTTTTTGGTGGGGGATGGTGGCTCCAGCAGATGGATGTTTTGCCAAGAAATGAACTGGGTGCCAGCTTACAGCCCAGTATATTTCACATTCATTTATGTGTATCTACAATGCCAATCATCCACTGCAGTTCGTGTGGTGCCATCCAGAGATCCAGTTCCGCAAAGAACACGGGATCTTTGGGAGACATACACATTGATCAGACACAGCCATCCTCCTGGACATGCTTGAGCCAGCCAAATCTGCCCTTGCCGCTGGCGAGCCGCAGCCAAATCTGTCCTTGCCGCTGGCGGGGCCGCAACCAAATCTGCCCAGCTGCCAGTGATTCCCGCACCAGCTCAATAGACGATCATCACACGCTCTCGCCTTGTCAGTGGCTGGGGATTATTCCAAGCGCTAAACAATAGGGTATGCGGAATCCCTAGACTTTCCCCTCTTGCAAGCTTCCATCTCGCCGTCATCGGCACTGCCGCCACCAGACATCCACACTGGACATGCACTTTGGTGGCCGTCTGGTGGTTGGTTTTCGGCGGACCCATCGGTGCCGATAGCAGGCAATCTACCAGTGATCGACACAGTGTCTGGGAAAAATGAAGAAATTTTTCGGGCAGCTGGCCTTTGTCTTGGCAGAGGCCTATTAGTAATCTCTGGCTTGACGCTGCTGCGGTTGCACACAGTGCCGGAATCGCCGAGCAAGCCCGTCGTTGGCTGGCCTATGCTGGCTGTTTCTGGGGCCTGGGCCCATTCGGGATTTTGTCGCGCGGTAATTTTCGCACACTTTGTTCTTTCTTCGCTGTTCCCCCAGGGGCAGGTCGGCTGCCTGTCCGACCATATTTTGGCGACACATTGTGACCAACCTGCTACAAAGAGGATCAGCTTCTTTTCCCCTCAAGGCTGCCGCTGCGCGAAGAGATTCAGGCATCTGGCTGTACATTTAAAGCTGGTCAGCCTTTCATCTGAATCCGCGCTTCTTGCTTTTCTTCTTCTTCTTCTTCATCTTTCCCTCTCTTCCTCATTTCTACCTTCAACTTCATATCATCCGCCCTATTATTCGCTAGTGCCTATCCAAGGGGGAACTGCAAGACATCGTCACTTGCTTTTAATACCATACCTATTGGCATTTATTTTACCCTGCAACCTAATTAATTCTTTGTGATGGCATCTGCGCGTGGGTCTACCTCGAGCAAGGCGCCATCGCTGGCTGCCTCCATCACACCCAAGGAGAGCCAGCATGTCCATATGGATAGCGCCGATTCGGCCAATACCGAAAAGGCCTCTGTGCATGAGCTTGACAAGCTCGACCAGCTGCCCCCCGCCGATGACAACGATAAGGACCGTGTCGTGGCCGAGGAGGAGCAGCCGCCACCGATCAAGCTGGTGCGCATGTTCCGGTTTGCCAACAAGACCGACAAGCTGCTGTGCTTGCTTGGCACCTTCTGCTCGCTGGCTGCTGGCGTTATTACGCCAGTAATGACTATTGTATTCTCGAGCCTAATGTTCTCGCTCATCGAATACGGAAGAATCACCACGAACTCAACGCCGGAGCTACTGGCAAAGGCCAACCATGACCTTGATCATGATGCGCGCAAGTACTGCCTGTGGTTCTTTTTGCTCGGTATTCTGATGTGGATTCTGTCGTACAGTCTCAATGCGTGCTGGACGATTGCTGCGGAGAACCAGGGCCTGCGCATCCGCGAGCTGTACTATGAGTCGATCATGCGCCAGGACATTGGCTGGTTCGACACCATCAAGACTGGTGAGCTTACTACGCGCATCACCAACGATGTCAACCTGGTGCAGGACGGCATTGGCGAAAAGTGGGGGTTCATTATGATGAACACCACGTCGTTTATCACTGGTTTCATCATTGCCTTGGCCAAGGGCTGGGATCTGGCACTCATCTGCCTGTGCGTGATGCCGTTCATCATGGGCTCGGCTGGCATCATGGGCTGGAAGATCTCCAAATGGGTTGCCTTTGGGCAAGACCACACCGCAGCCTCTGGGGCTGTGGCTGACGAGGTCCTTGGCGGCATCCGCACGGTGATGGCATTCAACGGCCAGGAGCGCGAGCTGACGCGGTACGACGAGAAGATCCAGGAGGCGTACAAATTTGGCCGCAAGAAGGGGTTCGTCCTCGGAGCCGGCTTTGGTGCAGTGCAGTTCTTCATCTTTGTCATGTACTGCATTGGCTTCAACTACGGTATCTGGCGCATCGTTAACGGCCATATGAACCCACAGCAGCTGCTTAACGTGTTCTTTGCTCTGCTCATCGGTGGCTTCTCGATTGCCGGCTCAGCACCCAATTTCTCGGCGGTGTCGACCGCCCAGGGATGTGCCGCCAAGGTGTTTGCCATCATCGACCGTGAGTCGCCTATCGACCCGCTTGACTCGGAGCACGGCAAGAAGGTCGATCGTGTGCGCGGCCATATCGAGTTCCGTGATGTGCATTTCAGCTACCCGACGCGCCCTAGTGTTCCCATTCTGAAGGGGTTCAACCTCGAGATCCGGCCTGGGCAGAAGGTTGCGCTGGTCGGCGAGTCTGGCTGCGGCAAGTCCACGACTATCGGTCTGATTGAGCGCTTCTACGACCCGGCCCAGGGTGAGGTGCTCATCGATGGCGTCAACATTAAGGAATTCAACATCGGGTCGCTGCGTCACCGCATTGGCATCGTCACTCAGGAGCCTGTGCTGTTTCTCGACCTCGATCTACCAGAACATCGTCTGGGGCGCCATCGACCCTGAGGGCAACCCACCGACCAAGGAGGAGGTCATCGAGGCGTGCAAGGCTGCCAACGCGCACCAGTTCATTGACATGCTGCCCAACAAGTACGAAACTCTGGTCGGCGAGGGCGGTGCCCTGCTGTCGGGTGGTCAGAAGCAGCGTATTGCCATTGCCCGTGCCATTATCCGCAACCCCGATATCCTGCTTCTCGACGAGGCTACCTCAGCCCTGGATACTGCATCCGAGCGCCTTGTGCAGGATGCTCTGGACAAGCTGTCTGCCGACCGCACCACGATCTCGATTGCGCACCGCCTCTCCACCATCCGCAATTGCGACCAGATCTATGTCGTGCGCGAGGGCATTGTGTCTGAGAATGGCACCCACGACGAGCTGGTCGGGTTCAACGGCGAGTACGCTGCCATGGTCAAGGCGCAGGAACTGCGGCAGGCTGTGCGTGCCAAGATCGAGGTTGATGAGCCTGTTGCTGAGGAGGACGTCGATGCGCTGATTGCCAAGGAGCTGAAGGAGCAGGCGCTGGATCTGAAGGCCACTACCCACCAGACCATGCAGAGCGTCAAGCGCGTGTCGACGACGCAATCGCAGCGCGAGGCCAAGAAGCATTACAAGTCGCTGGAGGAGTCGAGCGACTTTTACCTACTGTGGCGCCTGCTGAACCAGTACCGTGGATCCATGAGGGCTGCGATTCCGGGCTCAGCTCTCGCCATCATTAACGGTGCCAGTGATGCCGTGCTTTGCGTTGGTCTACGCCCGTCTCCTGACTGCCTTTGCTATCCCGGATCTGCATGAGATGAAGAAGGAGACCACCAAGTACGCTTGCATGTTCCTGATCTTCGCTGTCGTCGATTTGTTCGCCATGTTTGGTCGCGCCGGTCTGTTCCACATTGCCGGTGAGAGCCTGACCAGGCAGATTCGCCACGAAACCTTCAAGGCGTACCTGACGTTCGAGTCCGGGTACTTTGATGATGAGGAGAACGGCACCGGTATGCTGACGGCGCGCCTTGCCACCGAAGCCGAGGACGTCAACAAGGTCGTGGGCACGGTTCTGAGCACGTTCGTCAGCACCCTGTCGACGATGATCACGGCTATTGCCATTGCATTTGTGTACGACTGGCGCCTGTCCAATCATTGCCATTGCGTGCTGGCCGATCCAGGGCTTTGCGCAGTTCATGCAGGCGCGTGCAGTCTGGGGCTCGTCCTTCCGCACCAAGAAGGCGTACGAGAAGTCGGGCCAGGCAGCCGCCGAGACCATCCGCAACATCAAGACCGTGGCCACTCTGCGTCGCGAGGAGACGTTCATCAAGATTTTCAACGACCACAACCGCGAGCCGCACAAGAGCAGCATCCGCAGCGCGCTGGTCACGTCTTTTGGGCTTTGGGTTTGCGCAGGCGTGCAATCTGTTTGTCAACGCCCTGGTGTTCTTCGCCGGCTGCAAGTTCATTGTCAACGGGTTGGATCACGATGGACCAGATGACCAAGGTCATGATGACCACGCTGTTCTCGTCGATGGCCATCGGCATGCTGGCGCAGTTCTCCACTATGGTGTCCAAGGGCGCTGTGTCGTCGCGCGGCATCTACATGACGCTGGACCGCAAGTCCCACATCGACGGCATGAACCCCGAGGGCGATGTCTCGGAGAAGTTCGAGGGCAACACCAGTTTCAAGGACGTCAAGTTCAGCTACCCGATCCGCCCCGACACCAGGATTCTCAAGGGCATCTCGTTCGAGGGCATGGCGGGCAAGAGCGTCGCTCTGGTCGGCGCCTCAGGCTCCGGCAAGTCCACGTCGATTCTGCTGGCCCAACGCCTGTACGATGCCGACACTGGCTCGGTGTCAGTCGAGGGCATCGACGTCAAGGACTGGAGCATCACCGGGCTGCGCGACAGCATGGCCATTGTCGGCCAGGAGCCGATTCTGTTCAACTACACGATCGGCGAAAACATTGCCTACGGCAAGCACGGCGCCACGCAGCAGGAGATCGAGGAGGCGGCCAAGGAGGCCAACATCTACAACTTCATTCTGAACCTGCCCGACGGCTTCAGCACCAACGTGGGCCAGAAGGGTGGCCGGCTGTCCGGTGGGCAGAAAGCAGCGCGTCGCCATTGCGCGTGCCTTGGTGCGCAAGCCCAAGCTGCTGCTGCTCGATGAGGCCACTGCCGCTCTGGACTCGCGCTCCGAGAAAGGTCGTGCAGCAGGTGCTGGACAAGGCAGCCAAGGAGCGCACCACGCTGACGGTCGCCCATCGCCTCAGCACGATCCAGGACTGCGACATGATTGTTGTGTTCAAGAACGGCCGCATTGTCGAGCGCGGCACCCACGACGAGCTGATTGCGCTCAAGGGCACCTACCACCTGCTGGTCGAGCAGCAGTCGCTGCAGGTGACCCACTAAATGCACACCTGTTAGTTCACCTACACCCTTTGTAGTCCACCAAAAATACTTTTTCTACACTAGGAGTTCCTTCCGGTTTTCGGAAGGTGTACCACCCAGCGGATACTGGACACTGGCGCTGCTACGTCATAGGGCAGCTTTTGGAGGGCCAGGGCGTGTTCCTGTGCTCCCAGTATCTCCATAGTGCCAAGACTTTCGGGAGGCCGAGAGGCTCCCAGGGCTTGCATAATCGAAGGTCCGATTGCTTGGCAATAATCCACAGGCGGTGTCGGGGTCAAAGCGCGTGGCACACATGCGCCAGCAGCGAGAATTTTCTGACTCAGGCCCGGCTGCGCTCAGCGACAGAGTTTTTTTTACCCCCATCAGCTGGGCAAATTGCTCCCCCAGCCCCGCGATCGGTACTTCCCAGAATCTCAGGTCCCCATCCCGTTCCCCCGAGGGGTGCCATGTGGTTCACGCGGCCGCTTCATGAACATCCTAACGGGCAAATCAAAAATAATGCGCTCCCAACACTTTGAACTGAGAAAACGACTCCATAAATGCCGGCCCGAAAATAGACCAGGCAAAAGTCTGCACTGTGAGCGGATTGGGTTTTTGCAGAATTAGGCAGGATTCACAGGCAAAGGAGCTGCAAGACTCGGGTAGGTTTCGAACAGGTACAGGGCCCACCCTTGCGAGGCGCGCGCCGCCCCATGGGGGAGCATGCATTATTTCCACGAGTGCTGTGGTACGCACAACGCAAATCAAGATACGCTGGTGGGCAAAGGATGTGCCCGCCCCTTTTATTGTGCTGCGGTGTATGGGTGGAAAGCGGAGGATGCAGAAATCCCCCTTGCTCAGCAGGCGAAAAACGGACTACAGTGGGCGAAATGGCCCGACGCTGAGAAAAAACGAGCCACCCGTTCCGCGTTCGTGCTGCATACAAAGGGCCTCCCCTCTTTCCCTTGCCATTTTTGCCCCTCTTCCTTGTTTTCCTCTCCATTTTACTTATTATTTCCCTGGCTTTGTGCGTGTCTCTGGGCACCCGTTTTTGACCTGTTCATTCTTTCCCAAACCATGCTGCTGACGATCTCGGGCCTGCGCAACTGGGCCGCACAGTTCTACTGGAAGTGCCCGGCCTGCGGATACTGCAATGAGGACCGCGATATCTACATGGAACACGTAACCACGATGCACCCGCCATAAGGCCTGCCATATCTGGAACTCGCCTCCCCCATGAGCAAAGGCAGGGTATGCTGGCTCGCTTCACACTCGCATTTTTATACCTGTACTCGGAAATCCAAACCCCTCCACCTCTTTTACATATCATTTTTTCTTGTTCACTTTTGAATACATTATACAGCTGCCTTTTCCACAATTCATTTATGTGCGACGGTGCATGGCTCTGGCCGTGTCAGCTGTCGCCGGTATGTGAGGGGTGCAGATATGTATTGGGCCATTGTCACCATACATAGGCCTCCAGGCAAACATGCCTGGTGATAATGACAACTCGGCTCGGCTCGCTCGATGACTCACTGAGGGCGAAAGAAAAATTAGAATGCGGCTGGTGCATCAGCTCCAGCCCAGCATTTTTTTTCTCCTTTCGATTGACTAGATTTTCTTTCATTTCTTTCCGCAAATTCCATACACACCTCCCCGTACTTTCCGGCATGTCGAATCAGCAGGAGAAGCGAGCCAAGGGCAAAGAAGTGGCAACCAGCGGGCCGGGGCCAGACGCAGCAGCCAAGGCCAGGGCAGAGAAGGAGGAGCGGAAGCGGCTCAAGATGATCGAGCTGCAGCAAAAGGGCATCATTGACAAGAAGGGGGCCTCAACAAAAAAGCCGACTATGTCAAGGGCCGAGCGGCGCGCCAAGCAGGAGCTCGAGCGCGCAGCAAAGCAGGCCACGGCATCGCAGGGCGACAAGCAAAAGGACGCCAAGGAGCCCGCGCACCACCACCACCACAGCGCAAACGCGGGTGCCGATGGAGCCGCGCAGCAGACCAGCGCAGGCGCACACCATGTGCCGACAGAGCACTACACGATGACGAACCGTGTGTTCCAGGAGGACAAGCGCATGTACCTGTACTCGCACCTTGATCTACCGCCGCATCCGCCATCGTCGGTATCTGCACTGGCGCCCAGCCAGGTACTGAACGCAAACAGCACTGCGAGTGCTGAGGGCGGAACCGGCGATGCAGGTGCGTTTGTGGCCGGCATAAAGAACTCGGCATTCCCACCCGGGCCGCAGGTCGTTGTGGGCATGGCCAGGGATGCGTATGTGGCAGCTGAGACCGGCGAGCCGGCGTCGGTGTCGGTTCCTGGCGGTGTGGGTGGCCCCAGTGAGGCTATTTTGCGTGATGCACTGCCGCCGTATGCGAACGGTCCGGGCGAGCGCAAAATAGCAAAGTCGACAAACCAGACCGCCGGCATGACCATCCATCCCCGTATCAAGGAGGTCGGTCTGCGCATGGGAACTATGGAGATTACTGGTGCCAATGCGCGCGCTGTGTCGGTGCTGGCGGCCTTCATTGACGTGATTGGCCGATTACACGACTCCGCCGCAGACGTCGCTGTACCGCCACCTGCTGTCGTACATTTCGCCGCAGATCAACTTTATTGTGCACCAGCGCCCAATGTGTGTGGGCATCGGTAACGCAATCCGCTGGCTCAAGGACGAGATCATGCGGATTCCGGCCGACATGGATGAGGCCACGGCCAAGAGCGTGCTGATTACCCGCATCCTCGACTACGTCAAGGAGCGCATTACGGCGGCGGGCGATGTCATTGCTGACTCGGGCGCGCAGAAAATCCAGGACGGTGACGTCGTGCTGACATTTGGCGCATCATCGACTGTGCAGCGTCTTCTGCTGGCAGCCCACCGGGCTGGCCGCCGGTTCCGTGTGATCGTTATTGACTCGCGGCCGCAGTTCGAGGGACGCAAGCTGGTGCGGCGCCTGGTCGAGGCGGGAATGGCGGATCTGAGCGCCAGCGGCGAGTCGGGCTCGGTGCCAGCGGCAGTGCCCAGCGATCTGGGCAGCTCGCGCGGCAAGGGCCGCGGCCGCAACGGAGCCAACGGCGGTGTGACGTATGCGCCAATTACAGCCCTGGGCTTCATCATGCGCGAGGCCTCCAAGGTGTTTTTGGGCGCCGAGGCCTTCTTCGCCAATGGCGCGATGCTGTCGCGCGCAGGCACAGCCATGGTTGGCCTGGCAGCGCGCTCGCACCACGTGCCGGTGATTGTGGCCTGCGAGACATACAAGTTTAGCGAGCGCGTGCAGCTCGACGCCGTGGTATCGAAACGAGCTCGGGGTGCCTGATGCCCTGGTATACAAGGCCGGTATCCCCGATGCGCAGCCTGTGGGCTTTGGCAATGCACTGACCGACCAGTCTCTGGCAGAGATGGAGTACAGCGCATATGCCCGCGACCGCTACTCGGCGCGCCCGCGCTGGAACAACCGCAAGACCTTTGTTGACGAGTCTGTCAGCGAAATAACTGCTGCTGGCAAGCAAGCGAAGCAAGCGAAGCAGGCCAAGCAGGCGAAGCAGGCCAAAAATGCTGCGATGATGTCTCCTGCCGCCTCCATGGAAGCCAGGGCCGAGTCCAAGCTGCGCACCATGTGCCCGCTGACTGACTGGCGCGAGACAAAGAACCTGCGCCTGCTGAACCTCGTCCAGGACATTACTCCTCCAGATTTTGTCTCCATGATCATTACTGAAGTCGGAATGATCCCCACCACCAGTATTCCTGTCGTGCTGCGCGAGTACAAGAACCAGATGTAAGCTGTCTTTTATACTTGGCTATCTTGTTATTACAAATATCGGTGCTGGAAGTATAGCGTTGCATGCCAGATATCCAGAAGGTGCATCAGCGCCAATCCCTGGCGCTGGCGTGGACTCTGGGTGTTAACTTGGGGAATGAGTGGTTATCGAATATATGGAATAAATAACTTCTCCAAAAATGACTGAGGGAAAGAAGGAAGGCTGGTCGTCTGTCTAGGCCTTTGTACGTATGCGTTTCGGCCTTGTCTATGGTGGCGCAGGGGGACTCCGGACCCCGAATGTCAACATCGTGCACGCCATGTAGCTCAATATCACCATTATGTAATAGACAATCATATTTATGATATCTAATTACATCACAGAAATCTGCGCTCGACAGTTCTGACTTGTCCTTCTGGTTGACGAAATCCTCGGCAGACATGGCCGTCTTTGCCTTCAGGTTGTAATAAATAAATAAATAAAACGAAAGAATCCCTTTTTCACAAGTATTGAAGGGTCAAAAGCATCATCGTCAGCTAGTTGATGGAGTAATATCCATCGTGAAAACATGTATGCATGCTCTTTGATGATATTGACGCTGTGTACAAATTGCTCTAGGCGGGGCGACATAGAATCACGGAAGCCAATACCACCAAGTGATGTCTTTATGACAGTAGTGCTGCGGGTAATATTCATTTGAGAAATTCAATAGGCAAGTAAGAAGAGAAATGATGCTGTTCAGTTTTGCTTTATTGCGTATGCATAGCATTAAGAACTTTTTATTAAGAATGATCTGGCTTGCATAGTTCTTGGGGTCCTTAGCACTGATACAGTCTCTTGAATCAGTCTATACAGACTGGGTCCATTGTGGCCCAAATACTACTGCTTACGCATGTTCATAAGACAAAATAATTTATAAAATATATCCACAAATATTGCATAACTGCTAGAAGAGTTATATGGCCTCATTCAATAGGTGCTCATAAATAAATATCCTAAGAGTGTTGCGCAGCCGGTGATGACCACCATGATGACACCATGGAAGTTATCAAGCCGACCAACAATGAGAGCAGCTCTTGCGCTGAACCAATGGAGATATCCAGTAGAGACCTATGACCACTACAATAGCAATTTGTCACCCTGGTTTCACCGATGAGGTCAGATACCGCACAAGATCAAAAAGGAGTTTACAGAGCAAGTCACTCAAACCCGTGTTGAAGCTTAAGAGTTTTTTTAAACCAATTAAATAATTTCTGGCGGACGGTAGGGCACTTTTTGGACTATAAAATCTTATATATAGGTAAAGATATAGTGGAGGTGGTATTTCCATTTTCTAGTGAGTGATATACGCCTTAATGTATTCGGATTCGCCAAACCAGTCTGTTTCTGGATAACGCGAGTGGTCAGGAATACTGTAGTTTCCGATTGGCACTAGGTCGGAGCACTTTGTATTCTCCCCATTCCTGCCGCAAAACAGTATCTGGCCATTGCGGACCCACACTTCTTCTGAAAAATGCTTATAGTTGAGCCAGCGGAACGGGATGTGTGGAACCATGTCACATTCGTATACCATCCGGAAAATCGGCAGTTTCAATTTGTCGACCCTGCTAGCCCACTCGTCATTGCCGATTCTCGGCTGCCCGTATGTGTAGATGTGCATTCTCGGCTTCAAGTCAGGTCTCCGGTTCAGTAAATCTACAGCACACATCACTGTTTCAGCGCCGCCGAGCGAGTGCCCAGTAAACACAATCCGGTGATCAGGGTACATCTGGGCGAGCCTGGTAATCTCCGATGTGACATTGTGCGCGACAGACAGATAGGAGCTGAGAAATCCATGGTGTACGAGAGAGCCTGAGAAGTGTGGTGGCCAGGGGTCCTGCACGAACTCGGCATCTTGGATCCAGTCGTCGGTGTCCTTAGTGCCCCGGAATGATATTACCAGGAGTTTGGAGTTGGAGTTGCGTCCGATATACCCGACGCTTATTGGTGCTTGACTGCGCCATCTGTACTCGATCTCGGTCCCGTGTGTCTCTGGCGTCTCGCAGCTGCCCTTGCAGTTCCACAGAGACCCAACTGTGTATGCAGCGTGCGAGTAACTACGCGTACATTGACATTCAGGAATAATTCAAGCTAATGACTGACTCACGTATCACATACTTACTATGCAAATGTCTTGAATGCTGATTTCAGGTCATGGTTCTGCATTTCAAGTACTGTGTACGCTTTGGTGACAGGTCCAAGCGGTATGTACGATTTAGGCTTACTACCGGTGTCTTTCGCAGGTACTACTGGCAAGCAGAGTGCGACTGCTGCGCTTGCAAGCTTCATCCGCGGCTAAGAAAACCCAGACTGTAGTCGTTGAGGAGTAGATGAATTAGGAGGGTAGTCCTAGTAGAGCTGGAAAAGTATAGGGCAGAAAACGCAAGAAAAATGCAAAGCTCCCCATTGCTACGTCGTGCAATAAACTACCACTTGCTTCTTATGTATACTGCTGTGAGAGAGGCTATCCAGCACCTATGTATGGCAAATGTGCTCAATTCAATGGTGGCGATAATGCATGGACAAACTTCGCTGGAGCAATAAGGCCTACATGGTGAGAGCGCCACACATGGGGTTGCACAGGCTCATAAACCAGTGTAAACGGGGTCACATTTTTAAAAGACTTGGAAATGATAGAATGTGTGTATTATCGTGCTCAGAGCGCAGATGCCTTCTCGTACAGCGACTCAACGACCAGACCAAGGCTCTTGATGGTGTCGAGGGTGGCATCATACGTGAGGTCACGCTTGGGCTCCTCGAAGATAACAAGGCAGCCATTGCCCTGGTCCAGGATACCGTGGAAGACCTTGTCGAGGATCATCTGGCTCAGCTTCTTCTCAACCACGCGGATGGGCAGGCCAATCAGCTCCGAAATGTGTGCAATCTCGACCTTCGAATACGGCTCAATTAGGCGCACGAGGTTCTGCTCCATCAAGGTGTCGTAGAGCGTGGTCAGATGGGTGCGAATCAGCTCATCCGATTGCAGCTCGTTGCGGAAGGTGGACAGGGCCTTCTCAAAGTCGGCAAGCGACCGCTGCTTCTGCGCCTTGGCTACAGCCTGCAGTGCCACAACCACCTGGCGGTCGCGGAACTTTGACGCGGTCTTTCCGGTAGCAAGCAGCGCGGCCAGCTCATCGGGCTGCTGCAGCATGATCTTGCACAGAATCATATACGCAAATGCCTGCAGCTGCCGCGTCTCGACCTCAGCGGCGGACAGGCCAGTCTGAAGCGAGTTGTTGTCCTTTGACGACGAGGCTACGTCCTTGGGCGATACATACACAGCTAAGCCCTCCATGGTTTCAAAGAAATACGAGTACGCAGTCTTAAAGTCGCCCTCCTCGGCATGCAGAATGCCCGACTGCAGATCGAGCTGCGCCTGGAGTGGCGGCGGGGTGTAGATGCTGTTGGCTGACGTGCGCGCGGACGTCAACGCAGCACGCGACTTGGCCAGGTTCTTCAGGGCCATATACACGCGGCTCTCCAGCAGATGCACCTCGACCAGCTGCATCTTGTCGTCAAGCTTCTTGAGCTCGGTCAGAAGCTGTGCAATGAGCGCCAGTGCCTCGGTGTACATCTGGTTGTCCAGGTACAGCGACGCCAGGCGGGTCTCCAGGGCCTGGCGCAGGTACTCGCGGTTCTCATCCTTTGCCCACGCAATCATGCTCTGGCATGTCATTATCTGCGGCTGCTGGCCGCCCTGGATACCCGAAAACCGGTCGACCAGGGTGCGGATGATCTTTGAGGATTTGGCCTTCGACACCGACACCAGGTAGGACTGCGAGTCGTTGATCAGTTTGGTCAGCGCCGCCGCGTCCTGCATCTGCTCAAAAAGGGCCGCCAGCGACAGCAGCGCAGTCTCGCGCTCAGCCACTGTTACCGCACTCGACTTGTCTGCGAAGAGGACAGAGCTGAACAGGGCCGCTGCCTGCTGTGGTGACTCCTTGGCCAAATTCTGCGCCTGCTCCAACTGTGCTGCCATGTCTGTTCGTTTTTTGTCTGGCGTTAAAATCAGCTAATTAGCAAAATCTCTGCTGGTGCAAAAAGGAGAATATAGGTGGGATTGCAAGGAGAAGAGGAGGCCGCGCATTCGGCTAGTCGTTGTCGTAGTCGTCAACACGCTCGGTGCGAGGGAAAGCGGCTCAGCGAGGCATTGCGTGGACAGCCTTGATCCGCGATCAGCCAGCAGATCTGTGACGCAATACACGCGTGTGGGCTTTTGGAGAACTTGGCTCTTGTCTCTTTAACTACACAATTCGGCTCTCTTCTTATTATACGCTGCCAAATTATACACTACCACACAACAATTGGGCTTTCTATTGCATTCTGTTACTGAGCAATGTCGGAGGAAACTGCTGTATTCGCCAAAAAGCCAGAGCTGTCGCTTGCGCAACACAGATTCGCACTGCTGAACAGCGCACCAGAGCAGCGTCAGGAGCATGCGCAGGCACTTATCGAAGGCATCAAGGCCGACAAGATGGTGGCATTCTATAAGAAGCTAGTGGCGGAGAATGCGCTGCCAGAGGATGCGGCTCTGGTGAAGGAGCTGGAGGCTGCATACACGGCCGAGCTGGCATCTCTCGACAAGAACATTGAGGAGGCAAAGGAGGAGCACGGTGAGCTGGAACAGAACGAGAGCAGCATCCACCGGGCAGTGTTTCTGGCGCAGATCGGGTCCGAGGAGAAGGCGCAGGCGGAGTACGAGGAGATCCTGAACCGCCCGACAACGACGCTGAACCAGAAGCTGGATATCGTGTTTGGCAAGCTGCGACTCAGCATGTTCTACGACCGGCCGCACCAGGTGCAGAGGGAGCTGGAGCGGGCAAGCGAGCTGATCGACCGTGGTGGCGATTGGGACCGGCGCAACCGGCTCAAGGCGTACGAGTGTGTGTGGCGCGCGAGCCAGCGGCAGTTCAAGGAGGCGAGCCAGCTGTTCATCGACTGCTTGAGCACGTACGCGAGCCCCGAGCTGATGTCGCTGACGGACTTTGTCTGCCATGGTGCGCTAGCGTGTGCGGTGGTGCTGCCGCGTGGCGACCTGAAGAAGAAGGTCATTGACGCGCCCGAGGTTGTTGAGGTTATCCACCACATCCCAAACGTCGAGCGTCTGATGCGTGCGCTGTTCGACTGCCGCTACGCCGACTTCTTCCGCGCGCTGGCCGGCGTCGAGACTGACCACCTGAATGTGTCGCGGTACCTGTACGCCCACCGTCGCTTCTACACACGCGAGATGCGCATTCGTGCCTACGCCCAGCACCTCGAGTCGTACCTGTCGCTGACCATCAAGTCCATGGCCGAGGCATTCGGTGTCAGCGAGGAGTTCATCGACAAGGAGCTGGCTCGGTTCATTGCTGCTGGCCGCCTTCACTGCGTCATCGACAAGGTCGGCGGGATCGTCGAGACGAACCGCCCCGACACTAAGAACGAGCAGTACCAGGCCACCATCAAGCAGGGTGATTTGCTACTCAACCGCGTGCAGAAGCTGTCGGGCATCATCAGCGTCTAAGGGTTTATTAGGTTACTTTTTGGGCTCCGTTTTAAGAAGTGAAAAAAAAGCCGCCGTCTCTGCCCTGCTACCGCTTTTGCCGCGCCGATGACAGAGTCGTAGGCGGCATGCTGTTGTGGTTGTATGGGTTGTGGTTCGGATGTACGATGATGGGAAACATTGGCACTGACGATGGCTGCACTGGCTGTGCTGGCTGTTGCTGCTGCTGCTGTTGCTGTTGCTGTCGCATACGCTGCTGGGCCAGGGCAATTGGTGACAGGACCTCTTCAGGCGAGTCGGAAGCCTTTCGCGTGCTACTCCTCCGGTTTGGGCGGGTGGCGCCTGGCGAGTTATCGATATTGTGTACCTTTCGCATATGAGTTTTCAGATTGCCTGCCTGCGTAAACGCCTTCTGGCACTCGACAACCAGGCACTTGAACGGCCGATCGCCAGTATGTCGTCTCTCATGCGTGCGCATATTACCCAGCTGCGTGAACGCCTTTCCGCACCCAGGAAACCCGCACACATACGGCCTGTACCCAGTATGCGACCTGATGTGGATGTTGAGGTGGGCGCGCTGATAAAACACCTTACCACAGCCCTCCACGGTGCAGATGAACTGTCTCCTCCGTCCGCCGGCGTCTTCGCTGGCGTCGTGTGCGATCTGGTCGACAATGCGCTGGTACTCGGAGCTGAGGGCCGCGCTCTGCGTGTTTTGTGTGTCGTCACGGCGTGGCCGGCCGCGGCGGATCTTGGTCGCAACAATCAACGACGACGGGATGTGCGGCGCAATGGGGCTCGGGTCGCTGCTTTCGTGGCTGGAGGATCGTTGTACGGTGGACGCGGCAGCTACCAGGCTGTTGAGCGAGGGCGTGGTTTTGACTCTGGGCGACATTGCAGACTGCGAGATAAAAAAAATATAATTTTCGTTATAGAAAGGGAGCGCCTCTGAGAGGAAAAAAAAAAAAAGAAGCTGCTAGCGTTGCTCGTTTCTTTTTTTTTTTTTCTCGCTCAGGGTCAACACGACCAGCCGTGATTGGATGATCCGAGTTTGATCAGCACCTGTGGTTGGCTGCTTTTGGAAATAGCCTGGCCGAATGCCATATAGCGCTTGATAACCCCTGTGTGTCTGCGTGCTTGCGGGGAGTACTAGTGGCATTTGCACCATTCGGCAGGCTCGCCACAAAATGCTCTCCGAGCCAGGGGTGGTCGAGTGATGAACAAGGGGGGGTGGCAGTGCGAGCCGCAGGGGGTAAATGCAAATATACTGAAACGGCGGTTCAGAAAAGCGAGAATAGCTGCCATACTCAGCAGCATACGGCCAAAAGCATCCGAAATCCGGTTTTCGCTTGCCGGGATGTGGTAGCCTGCTGGCCAGCGCCTCCTACACTTGCAAGCCCGCACGCCTTTTTCCTGCTCAGGCTGCAGCTGGAGGCCGTGAAAGAGCCAGAAATAAAGGGCTGCAAGGCTGGGCATGGGGCTGGGCTCAGGTCCATCACCACTTTTTCTCCCAACTCTGTACACTTTGGAAACACAACACTTACATCACTACTCGCTGCACATGGAGTCGTACCCGCGCGCCCAGTTCCTGCCGTTCGAGATAATTCAGCATATTGCCCAGTATGGTATAGCCGGCAAGGGTGCCCAAGTCGTGCCCGCATGCAGTGTGCTGGGCAAAGACATACGCGAGCCAACCCAAATCCAGGGCATGCTGTGGGCGTGCCGCGCTTGGCGCTGTGCAGCCCTGCCTTTGTATAGCTCGACGGCGACGGTCCGCGGCCGGTCTGACGCCCGCACGCTCTACTGGGGTCGGCGGGGGCTTACGAGCCGCAAGGCATCGTCCCTGGGCTGGTCGCATCACGTGCAGAAGGTTGTTATCGTAGCCTCATCGATGGGTGTGATTGCTGATGAGGTTCTGCAGGAGCTGGGTGCCTCCTGCTTGTTTGCCAATGCCACACATGCAGAACTGCAGGTGTTTGGGAGCGACCATGGCAGGGTGGATGTTGGCGGGATTATGAAGGCGATGCCGGTGGTGATGCCTGGACTGAGCCGAGTGGATTTGGGCGTGCGCAAGGCATGGGTGGCGGGCGTGGAGGGACATCTGGTTCAGAATGTTGATCTTGTGGCGTGTCCGGCGCCCCAGTTCTCCACCCCCACGGTTAAGCTCAAGAGTCTGACGATTGACCCGTCCGGGCCAGATCCGCAGTCGTGCTTTGCGCTAGCGCGTCGCTGCGCGTCGACCTTGGAGTCGCTGACCGCGCGGTACATCCATATTCACGATTGTATCCAGCTCATCCAGGACTCGCACGGGCGTAGCACCGAGTATCCGAATCTCAAGCATCTGGAAATTGACGCTCTGGGCGCCTATGAGGACAATGCCCTGGCTACGCGCTTGGCGCCGCCTGGCATTCCGTTCCCGAACCTCCAGCATCTGGGCTGCAAGTCCGCGTATCCGTTTGCCAACGACGTGCTGTTGCGTGGATGCCATGCGTCGTTGCTGAAGCTGGAGATTGCTGTTGATGCAGCCTTGGCTGGCCAGCTGTTCCCGCCTGATTCCTCAGAGGACCTGCTGCTGGCAAAGTGCTTGCAGCTGCGGGAGCTGGAGATCCAGGTCATCACCCGTAGTGGAGCGTCGGACGATAGGAACCGCGTGCTGCACGACCGTGTGCTTCATCTGGCGTTCGCTGCGCCGTTGCTTAACCGACTGCGCATCTGCTATCCAAACTCTCAGGCTGCGGAGTACAAAGACAGGCAGGGGTGACTGCACCCCCGTGTCCTCTGCTGATCGGCATAGTGGGGGAGGACCGCGGGCTGAGAATGCAATGCGTCTACTCTGTTAGTGGTAATGCTCTTTGATGTGCGGTTTACCCAGAATGCTATTATCTGTTTCCCGTTATAGTTCGGCCCTTGAGGTCTGGAAATCGGCCAGGCCAGGTATGCGGCGCCAGAGTGTGAGGGAAAGGGCACATGTGGGGGTTGCATGTGCGGGGAGCAGACAAAGGTTGCGCTTCTTAAATAAAGCGTGCGATCGGCACGATGTTTTGATTGGCGAAGCGAGAGGCTCGGATGGGCTGCTGTGTGGACCGTGTACGTGCTGTAAGACCAAGGCTTTCTAGGTCTCAGTTCCGCATTTGAACTTTTTCTTTTCTCTTTGCTTACATTTTCTCCCTCTCTTGTCTCATAGAGCGGATTGTTTTCGTCTAGTCTATTCCCTGGCGTTTTCTTCTTTGGGCATGTATTCATTAACTCGCGCTTAGATTTAACCTCAACCCCTTATCTTGTACTTGCCAGTACCCTACATATTCTCTTTCCCTATCTCTACTCGTTTTTCTTTTGTTCTTGTGAACCGTGTCACTGGTTCCTTTGGGAAGCCCCCCTTCTCCCTGGCAAACATATGGTTTCAATGGCGACAGACGGTCATGTACATTTCCCTCGGCGGCCGTCAACAGCGCAGGGCAGCCAGACTATGCGGTCTCTGCACCTAAGCCGGACATCAACAGACTCGCGGCCTACGACAGCACAGTCGATGCGGTCACCGACAGGAGATGGATTTGCAAACCATCGGGCACTCACACTGGGCCTGACAAAAGCCGAGGCGCGGCCGCCCATGCCGTGGTTTGCCAAGAAGGAAGAGCCCGTATCGCCGCTGGCTGCACACTCGCCTGGTGCTGCCACACAACGGCTACGGCTGCCGAAGCGGCGAGCGGGATCAACAGCGCGCAGCAACTCGGCGGCTACAGTCATTGATATAGACAACATAGGCGGGCCAATGTCTGTGCCCTCTGGGCTGCCAGAGGTGCCGTACACAGAGGCAGACAACGACTCAGTCACAAGCTATCCGGCTACCTTGACAGATGCTGGCTTTCCTGCAGATACATCAACAAAACCGGTCCGTGGCACGCGCAGCATGAGTGCTGTGCGGAACAGCATTGCGCTGAGTGCATCATCTCGCGCCAGTCTGACACATCGGCTCAGTGCCAGCGGCTACATGACGTATACTCCTAGCAGCTCTGTTACGCCGACGCTGCCGGTATATGCGCGGCCACCAGCGTACAGCTCTGAGCTGCCGCGACTGTCTGGTGAGACCCCATCCAACAGCGTTGAGCTGACGATCCGCCTCAGCGTCGATGCCAGCCGTGCGCTCAGCTACCAGCGGCTGCTCGAAGGTGACACGGTACTGGCAGACCTGGTGTTGCTCGAGGACGAGTTCCAGCGCACCGTGACACCCGCGCGCGCAGGGTTCGGGCGCAAGCTGATTGGCCTGTACTTTGCTGCGACGTGGAGTGCCGAGTGCGACGAGTTCTCGCCAAAGCTAGCCGGAGTGTCGTCAGCACACTCGTACGACCTTGTTGTGGTCCATGTGTCGGCCGACAACCATCCCGCGGATATGGCGCGGCTGATGGGCAGCACCGGCTGGCTGGGAGTGCCGTGGAGCGAGCGCGGAGTGCGCGAGGATCTGATGGAGCGGCTAGGCGTCAGTGTCAGCGACCTGCCGGTCCTGGTGGTGCTCGATGGAATGACGCACCGGGTGATCACCACGCGCGGAAGGCAAGACGTGGAGGCGAGCCCGCTGACATGCGTGGCCGAGTGGATGGAGAGCCGCAGCGGACTATCGTGGTGGAAGAGAGCAACGCCATGGTAAGTTGGTCATGGTGAAACCTTGGCACCCATTTTGGTGCTATGCTCTGTCTCTTGTCCATGAAGGGTTTGCTGCTGGCCTTTTTTTTTTGATACGCGCTCTTTTCACTTTTGTCTATATCCTCCCTCCCTCTACACATTGCGATCTCGACTTGGGTAGTCAGCACGACTTGTCTTGTCGGTTCTGATTCATACACCACACATGCATCTCGTCTCTTGCACCTACACGTAGAGAAGAATCAGACGCCCCGAGACTAGAACCGCAACCCCAATTATAATGTTTATTTTTATATCGTCTCTTGAATACAAAGCTAAAACCGGTGCTGCTACTCTTGGCAAATGTAGGGTCGCGCGATTCATCATGGCTCTTGTTCTATGGCAGCTGGCGGTGATCGTGTACGAGTTCATTTGGACCGGCGAGATTGGCCACCTTCAAAAGATCTCGCTCCCCCGCTGAAGCGGCGAAGGTGTAGAAGCCTGGACTTTTACCAAATCCCCCTGCAGAATAGCGCCACTATCAAAAAGCAATGGCTGGAGCGCTATCATCTAGATTTTTTCTCAGCATTATGTATCAGCAATTGCATTTACATTTACACTTCACCACTAGCGACTCCCCGGTTACTGCGATGCTGCAGCATGTGCGACGATTAGATGTGCATGGGAATAGTAGCAGCGGAGGATCATTGCAGAAATCTCCAGACATTGTCCTTCTGGAGCTTGCCTGGAGCTGCCGGGTGGTTGCCATTGGCTCTGCGGTCCATGTAGCTGAAGGAGTGCGTCGCGTCCTGGACCATATTCGGGAGGAAGGGGGAGGTGGCGGCAGCAGTGAACCGCATGAAAAAAAGCCGTGCTTGGTGCTGAGCTCTCAAACAAAAAAAAAAAGCCATCGTGCTGGGTGGGGGCACCATTCAAACTTCTCTTCTCTGCTCTCCATTCAGGCTTTTCTTGCATTCGTCTCTTATTCGTGCACAAAACATCCTCCTCTATCTTCCCGAACTGGCAGGCTATTTGTGACGCGTCAATTCAGATAGCCCAGATTCAGCAACCTCCCTGCTTGTCACGGTCCTCCCTTCTATTTAGCCCTCTTTGAACAAGCAGAGACATGAGGGACTTGCATCCTCCACCTCCAAAGCGGATGGAGCGGGCGCGACTGACAGCCACGCGTGGATATTCTCAGACAGGTGCTGATTCGGCGGAGCCCTCAGTACAGAACCATCGGCGAGAGCAGACTCCGCCGGCGCGGCCACTGACGGCTGGGCGTTCGCAGCGGCCTCCGTCGGTAGCTGGTAGTGGGCCATCGAATTTCCCAACATTCCATATGGGCGCAACGACACGGATACCGTCTGGAGGCAGTGCGATGCGGCCGACAGCGTCAGCACGGATGCGGCGACAGATGACAGCAGCAGCCTCTGCGGCATCAGCCTCGTCTGCAGCAACTAGCGAGAGATCGCTTAGGCGATACCATTCAGCAGGGATCTCGCGGTCAAAGTCACCGGCACCAGCGCTAGCGCACAACAGCCCATCGGCGGCGACAAAGGCCGCGGGACGGCGTGAGCTGGGAATTGCGGGCAGGCAGCAGTCGGAGGCGAGTGGAATGCGTAAGCTAAGAAACCGCCCAGCCAGACCGACCTGCGCGCGCATGCACTGCCGAGCCCGACAAGCCGGTCGTCGGCCAACCCGACGCCGCTGCCGCATTCCTCTCTCAGTCATGGTAGCCGCGTGCCATCGCGGACCAGTGCGCCGGGCAGAGGCATCAGGCCAACAAGTCCCGGTTCGGCGTTCCGATTCAGCACGCAGCGGGAGCCATCACCGACACATGTGCCATCAGCTACCGCGCGCCGTTCGCGGATCCCAACTGTACCAGGAGCCAACAGGGACAGCCTATACAACCAGTACATGGAGCAGAAAGACGAGCTTCGAAACATGAAGGACATGAACGAGACGCTAGTCAGGGATATCAAGTCGATGGCCACAGTCAGCGAACGGCTTAACAGCGAGCTCCAGGAAGGTGAAGGAGGATCTCGAGGAAGCGAACAGGCGGGCGTGCAGGGCAGAGGACCAGTTTGCAGCGCAGCACGCGGTTGAGATGGCGCTGAGGAGAAAGGTTGAGGCGCTCGAGGCTGTGGTGATGAGCGGGCCAAGCAATGGCAACGGGCTGCCGTCGCCCCACAGGTCGCAGAGCGCGCAGGTGGAGGACCACGAGAGTCCGATTCCCGCCGACGACTGGCGCGAGGACGCGACGCTTATTCGGCGCGGCATAGAGAGCATTCACGCGTCATGCACCATGGCGCAGCCCGAGTCGCAGATGGATCGCGAGAGCCGCCAGGGGCTGCGGTTTGTCGAGCAGCAGTTCCTGGGCCGCGACCTGCCCGACCCATCTGGCGGCTCTCCTGTGCGCAGCAGGAATCTCGGCAAGTCGCCCAAGGTGCTGACGCCACAGCAGCAGAGGCGCCTGGCCGACGAGGATCTGGTGGCGCGGCGGCGGTCGACGATGCTGTTTGAGGGGCTGATCCAGCCGTCGCTGGGGGCTGAGTCGCGTGAGAGCCTGGCAGCGCCGCTGCAGGAGTCATCGTCTGGCCAAGGCACGTGCCTGCGGTGCAAGCAGCTGGAGGACACGCTGCAGACGGTCGTTATCGACAATGACTATTACCGCGAGGCCAACACCAAGCTGCAGGACAACGTGCGTGATGTGGTGTCGCGGCACAACGCGCTGGTACGCCTGTTTGAGCGCGAGCGCCAGAGACGCCGCGAGGCCCGTGCCGAGAAGCTTGCTGAGGAGTCGCGTGTTGCCGCCCGCGACCGGGCGATCATCGAGGCACAACAGCGGGCGGAGATCGAGGACAGTGATGGACTGGCAGGCGAGTTTTCGCGCGGACTGCACATCTCGTCTCCCAAGCGCGTGCGTGCCATGGGTGACACCCGGCTCAGATCCTCACCGATCGTGTCGCCGCCCCAGTGAGCCACTCCCATCTTTTTTCTACATACCACCTAAATTTATTGCAAAGGTTTGTGTGCTTCTCAGTTTTTGCCATTCGTGGCACGCTCCTTCTCAAAGTACTTGGCAACCAGGAACGCAATGTCCAGGCTCTGTTCGTAGTTGAGCCGCGGGTCGCAGAACGTCTGGTAGTTGACCGGCAGGTCCTTGGCGTCCAGCTCCTGCGATCCGCCGGTGCACTCGGTGACATGCTCTCCAGTGAGCTCCAGGTGAATCCCCGATAAACGGCTGCCGAGCTCACGGTGGATTGCAATATTGCTGGTGATTTCGCTCACGATCGCGTCGAACGAGCGGGTCTTGTGTCCTGACGGTGCCGTAGTCGTGTTGCCGTGGCATGGATCGCAGCACCACACGGGGCGATGCTGTGTAGCCTGCACTGCCTTGATATGGTCTGGCAAGAACTTGTCGATCTTGTCGGCGCCGTATCTGGTAATCAACGTGACGCGTCCCGGCTCGAGCAGCGGGTCAAGGATATCCAGTACACGTACAAGTTCGGCAGCATCCATGGTCGGCCCGACCTTGACGCCTACCGGGTTCTTCACGCCGCGGAAGTACTCGATGTGGGCGCCATCGAGCTGGCGAGTGCGGTCACCGATCCAGATGAAGTGCGCCGACAGGTTGTACCAGTCGCTGACGGCTGGCAAGGTGGGCGTTCCGGGCGTCTGCGGGCTTGTGTGGCCGGAGGGCGCAACAAACACATTCTCAGGCGCCATTTGGGCCACGGGCCGGGTTCAGCGCCTGCTCGTAGTCGAGCAACAGCGCCTCGTGCGACGTGTACATGTCCACAGTGTTTAGGGCTGACAGCCGGCTGCCGTCTGCGCCAATGACCTTCATGAAGCCCAGCGCGTCGGTGAGCTTGTTTACGATCATCTGGTAGTCGCGGCGAATGTCCTCGCGCCTCACATATCCGAGATCCCATGCCTTCGGGTGGTGGATGTCGGCGAACCCGCCCGACAGCAGCAGCCTGACATAGTTGACTGTCGACGCCGAGTGGAAGTACGCTGACAGCAGGCGCTGCGGATCCGGCTTTCTGTCCTTCGGGTCGATGCTGTTGACGTTGTCGCCGCGGTACGACATGATTTTCTCGCCATCCACAGTCTCGAACGGCGACGACCGGGGCTTCGCGTACTGCCCGGCCATGCGCGCAATACGCACAATCGGCAGGCGCATGCCCCAGATCAGCACCAGGCTCATCTGCAGCAGTACTTTGAGCTTGTCCTCAGATGGCTGTCGGGTTGCAGTAGTCGAAGGACTCGGCGCAGTCGCCGCCCTGGAGGAGGAATGCGCGGCCCTCGGCCACATCTTTCAGTTGCGCGCGCAGCCGGTCGATTTCGGCCGCGGATACAAGCGGTGGCAGGTTGGCGATGCGGGAGAGCACCGTGTCCAGCTCCTGCTTATCTTCGTACACGACAGTCTTGCTTGATCGGCTTGGTCTTCCATGACTCTGGCGTCCACTGCTCGGTCTGCTGCGCGGTCGCTGACATTGCTGTTTTATGGATATGTGGCAAAGAGATGTAATAAAAGTGGAGGTGTGAAGATGACTAGCTAATGGTAAGTGAAGGAGAGAGCAAAGGGTGCGCGGGGTGCTAGCCAAGGCTTTATACTTTTCTGATTTGTGCTCCGCCTTTACGAAAGACCGTCTGGCCTGAGATGTCCAGATGGGCCGCCCTCATTGGTCCATTCGGCCGTGGTAGCTGCTAGAAACCCGTCCTACGCGCCCACTGATGCGTCACAAGCTTTGGTATCTCTATTGACCAGTCCAAAGCGCACCTGGCCAAGGCTTCTCCGCATAGGTGCCACTCAAGAAAGCTCAAAATCAGCAGTAGCATAGTGTGGCCATCTTGCTGGGCAGTACATCTTGCTAACTTCATGGCTCAATGGTGGCTGAACAGCCGGTGGCATATATTGCGCTGCTCCGCTATTTAAATGCCCAGGCGGCCATCACCGCATTCCACTCAACAATATATCACTATACTTGCTCCCCGTTTGTGCTGCCCAAAGCGACTATTGTCAAGGTCTTTTCGCTTTGGAAGCCGCACCGCCTCATTGTCATGAAATTGGTAGGTCTTGTTTCGGAGATCAGGGCGGAGCTTGCCATCATCTTTTGCTGATCTTCAATCCTGATGAATATTAGCTACACGCGTGCGCATTCACAGATATCAGGTGACGATTATTTGGTGAAGCTAAGCTCACAGCATGTTGCCGTAAGGATTAGCATCAGCAACATTGAATGATCCTCACGCATCGACAATTGGTGAGTATATTTGTTGCTTGGGCCTTAGTCTGTGCCCTCGTTATTCGGGGTCGTAGTAGACCTTGCACTCGAGGAACCGGAACTTGGGCAGCGCCTTGTAGTGCTCATCGTACTTGGGCTTGAGCGCATCCTTGAGGCTCTTGACCTTGCCGTCCTTGTGCAGCGTGTTCCACGGGCGCTGGCACACATCACCCTTGCAGTCATGCAAGACATGAAGCAGGGCATCGAGGCGGTTGAGGAAATTGGGATCCGTCCGGTTGTACTTGTTCACCAGCTGGTACGGGTCGCTGTTCATCTCGTAGAGCTCGTGCTCGCGTGTGCACCATGCCGAGTAGTAGATGTTGAAGTCCTTGCTCACAAGACGCACAGCCTTGTACGTGTTGTTGATGTGGGTCTCCATGGAACCACCCTCAACAATGTTATTGTTCCAGAACTCGATGGCAAACGATTCAGTCTTCTTCGGGTCAAACAGTGACGTGGCATCCAGTCCGTCCGGACGCTCAATGTTGGCGAGGTCAAGGACAGTGGCAGCAAAGTGTGAACTAGTAGCAGGGCTGTCGTTGATCTGCTTCTTGGCGATACCAGGTCCGCGGATGATAAACGGAATACGCACATCAGTGTCGTACGGAGTCTGCTTTCCAGCAAACATGCGGTGATGGCCGAGATGGTAGCCGTTGTCGGTGGTGTAGATAAAGTAGGTGTTGTCAACCAGGTTCCTTCTCTTCCAGCTTCTTGAACACCGCCTCGACGAGCTCGTCAGTGGCCTGCAGCGAGCGCAGACGCTGGCGGTAGTGCTCGTCGATGGCGTTGATCTGGAGCGGCGACAGCAGCGGCAGATCCTTGACCCAGCCGACCTTGTCCTGCACCAGCGGGTTGAAGTTCGGGTCGCGTGGAACCTTGGCATCCGGGAACAAATGCTTTATGACGCTCGGCTGGGCGCGGTGGGGTAAAATGGCCAAATTCATTGACCTCATCATGCGGAGCAGTCGGTGAGATGACAAACAGGAACGGGATCGTCACTGTTGGCGATGTCGTCGATACGTGCCAGAGACTTCTCCAGGATCAGATCGGTCTGGTATACGCCTGGGTGCTTTTCCAGCGGGCCGCCGTTAAGCGAGAAGATGGGGTTCGTAAAGTTGTAGATTCCAGGGGAGATCAGAGGCTCAAAGTGCTCCCAGCCCTTTGGTGCCGCCGTGTTGTTGGCATCGAGTCCGTTGATAAACTTGCCAATGTAGTGGTTCTTGTAGTTTTCCTGCTGCAGCCACAGCGGCAGCCAGGCGTCGTCCAAGTGGCTGTCCTGGAACTTGTAGTACGATCCGTGGGGCCGATTCTCGTCGGTGACATTGTGGTTGTGGGCAAACTGGCCGAGCCAGAACGACACGCGCGACGGACAGCAAGTGGCACTGGTGGTGTGGTAGTGCGTGAACTGAGTGCCCTCGTTGATGAAGCGCCTCTGAACATACGGCAAGTAGTCGAGCGAGTGCATCAGATAGTCCTGGTCGTCACTCATGAAGATCACAAAGTTGGGGTTTCTGAACACTTTGCTTGATGAATCTGCAAGTGAGACAATGGCAATGGTCGTGGTTAGCGAGACAAGTGAAATCAGACGCATTTTCGAACAATACTAATAGCGATAGCTGAAAAGGCATCTGATTGATAATGAGTATCAGTGACAAATGCACCGTAACAGGCGCTTTTTATATGGACAATTCTCCGGACAACCCCCTTTCTCCATTGAATGTGCTATCAGCTCTACCACCAAAGCGGGAAAGCTATGAAGAGCATTGATTCCAGGCTCCTTGGATGGAAATAGCATTCAATGATGCAATGTATGAGGTTCCCACACGATATTCTCTGTCATGCTACATTCACATCGCCTCCGATGGCAGTCCGCTACTGACAGCGTGGGTGCGGGCTAACATGCATGGCGGGATCTGCGCCGGAGATCTTGGTTAACATCAAGCCTTTGTTCACATTATTCCACACATTGCGAGTTTATGCTAGGGAACAGCGCATGTAGAAGGGGATATATTTAGCAAAAAGGAATTCCGCTCACACAGAAAACACATTACCGACTACATGCCACTGTGAAAGCAACATAAAAGAGATTTTCTGGATGCTTAGCATGCGTCATTAGTGCGAATGTATACTAGCTATTCAGTTTTAATCTGTGTCTTCATTGTCTACATCATAGTACACCTTGCACTTCAGGAATCGAAACTTGGGTAGCGACTTGTAGTATTTGTCGTACTTGGGCTTGAGGGCATCCTTGAGGCTCTTGACCTTGTCGTCCTTGTGCAGCAAATTCCACGGAAACTTGCATACATCGCCCTTACAGTTGTATAGCACACTGAACAGGGCATCGAGGCGGTTGAGGAAGTTAGGATCCGTCCGGCTGTACAGGTTCTTGAGCTGATACTTATCAATAGCCATGTCGTATTATTCACGCTCGCCGGAACACCAACAGAGTAGTAGAGGTTGAAGTCCTTGCTGATGATCCTCAGAGATTTGTAGGCGGTCCGATTCTGGCTATCGACAATAGTCTTCTTGGATGATGCTTGCCAATATTCCAGGTTAAACGATTCGGTGTGGTCTGGATCAAACAGCGATGTCGCATCCAAGTCATCAGGCCGAGAGATGCCCGCGAGATCCAGGATAGTGGCAGGGAAGTGCGAATGGGTGCCAGGATTCGATCGGGTCACATTTTTTGCAATTCCTGGTCCGCGGATAATGAATGGCAAATTGACATCGTCTTCGTAGGCAAGTGACTTACCTGCCTTCAGCCGATGATGGCCCAGATGGAACCCGTTGTCAGTGGTGTAGATAAAATAGGTGTTGTCAACCAAGTCTTTTTCCTCAAGCCTTTTGAACACTGCATCAACCAGCTCGTCTGTGGCCTGTAGTGAACGCAAGCGCTGACGGTACATAAAGTCAAGGTACTCAATATCAGCTGCCGATAGCAATGGCAGGTCCTTGAGCCACAAGACCTTGTCCTGTACTGCCGGATTGAAGTGCGGCGTACGAGGAACCTTGGCATCCAGGAACAAGTACTTGTGACGGTCGGCTGGACGCGGAGGTGTGAAGTCGCCATTCACTTGGACCTCCTCATGCGGGGCAGTCGGCGAGATGACAAAGAAGAGTGGATCGTCGCGCTCAGACAGGTTGTCTATTAGAGCCAGGGACTTGTTGCTGATAAGATCGGTCTGGTATACACCTGGGTGCTCTTCGAGCGGACCACTGTTGAGCGAGAAGATTGGGTGAGTGAGGTTGTAGATGCCCGGTGACACTAGCGGCTCAAAGTGTTCCCAGCCCTTTGGCGGCCCCAGATGCGTAGCATCGACGCTGTTAATGAATTTGCCGATATAGTAATTGCGGTAATTCTCTTCCTGCAGCCATCGTGGTAGCCAGTGGTCGTCGAGCTTGTTCTCCTGGAACTTGTAGTACGATCCATAGGGGGCGACCTCAGAGGTCGTGTTGTGGCTATGCGCGAATTTGCCGGGGAGAAAGCTAACACGCGACGGGCAGCATGTAGACGACGTCGTATAGTAGTGCGTGAACTGCGTTCCTTGGTCAATAAAATACTTTTGTACATACTCTTGGTACTTTAGAGAGTCCATCAAGTAGTCTTGGTTGTCGGTCAGAAAGACAACAAAGTTAGGCTTCTTGCCATTAGTGGGTTGGCCAGGACATTTACCCAAGTGCTTAGACCAGCTGTCAGAGATGTTGCTAGGGTAGCTAGCGCAAAAATCGATATGAGCTGCATCCTGCACTGGTGATTTAGAAAGCTAGGATAGGTGGAAGAATAGGTAGGGCACTTACGGATCCCGGATGTAGAATCTTCACGCTCTGTGCATTGGACAGGTAAGCCGCTTTTATAGGAATCATATTACTGGAGTCTCCATCCGCCCGTTTGCCTGAACACTTCAATACACTGTAGCTGTGAGATACCGAGATGCCCCGCTAGTTGTCGGCAACAAGGTTCGAGTGTGTGTTAATTGCATGGAGTGATCTGCGGATGAAGACGTCATCCCAAGGTGAACTTTGCACATCCTACAAAAGCTGGTAGTTCTGGTACCGCTGTGCCCAGATTATAGGCAAATAGAGGCAAATTAAGGTGCTGTGAGGAATGCGATATGTGTATATCCTAGCCTACTGTTGTTTCCAATAGAAGGTGCAGTGGATCAGCCGTGCATTAGTGCCGCTGCGGGATATACAGATGACACAGGGGTATGTTTAAAGGCCGGTTCCTCTCCTGCGATTGTCCAGCAAGCACGCAATTCGATCCTCCAATGGCCAAGGATTGTTGCATCCTATCTAGTCAGTGGTATCGTGTATGATAAAGCTACTGCTAGTGAAGGCGCTCCATACATCAGAAGCCGGCCAGCGAGGTGTATGACATGTTGTTGCGCGCCCCCTGCGGCTGTCTCTTATGTCAACATGTCAGCCGAATCAGGTGGCCGCAAGCCAGATGCCAACGAGAGCCTCACTACAGCATACACTATGGAGGTAGCGTCTAGCCTCTGATATGCTGCACAGACGGCCGTATTGAAAACTCCCCTGCGCAACTCGTCTATTCCCTTTTCTCTCTATTCTTCAGTATTCAATATAACTTTTAAAATCCCTACACATTCAACGAGCACAACAATGTGTAAGGGTCTGGCATGAACAACAGAATTTGTGATTCAAGACGCAATTTCTGGATATTGCCGCAAAGGGGACACAATTCTGACGTTCAGGAGTGAGTGAGTCCAGCGTCGGAATTCAACTGTGTACACTGCACTGGGATTAGTAAGCATGTGGCACTGTAGTACCTCCGTCTTGCTTGTATATGCCTACTGTAGCTATGCAGACCAATTGTTAGCTTCGACAAAGTGTTTATGCCTGTCCCGGCGACTAACCATTGGCCTCTTGTGTCTGCTTTGCGAAATGCTGAGGGAGCAAAAACAATTTGAGCCTTAGCCCAGGTGGAGAATGGGACCACCTCTCTGGATATATCGCATTGAATGACTGTACTTGCTGTTGCCAAATAGTGGTGCTCTGCGGAAAGCTCATGGTGGTGGTTGCTTTTTGTCACTTTGGTTTCAGTGATGCCAAAGGTAATCCGGTGGTGACGCCTCTTCCAGAGTGAATGCATAGCAGACGACGCATGTCCAAGATATTCTTTGCACTCCACAGCATTAGTCAAGCATCAAACCGCAGCTATTTCGCGGAATTCCACTCGGCTTAAACTGCATCTGAACCGCAGCAGCGATAGAACCAGGCTGTCCTACACTTGGGCGATGGCAGCACTGACTTTGCAGTAGCGAGTTTACTTGCTGCGTTACACCCCCTGTACTCGGGGAGTACTCATGCATACTCATCTCCGGTCGGGGCAAGAATTGGGCTGTTTGGGCCGCTGGGAAGCGTGGCTATGGAATGTTGGTGCCTCTGACAGTGGGTCCAAACAAATCGGGCAAAATGATTTGCGGGACACCAGGTGGATGCGGAATTGGGGAGACGTGGTTTGTCATCAGAAGCGACGGTTTGTGCAGCGTGCTTGCAGACTGTACAATGGATCTTGCAGAAGATCGCAGAACCACTTGCGTCAGTGGTTCGGATCGTCCCTATAAATAATCCGGTTTGGCGGTGTGGGGAATAATCCAGTTCTGCACTGCACCCATTTTCTGTCCTTGCATTCTTCTCCTGGACCAAACACCCGATTTTTAGCTTAAAGTATAAACTCAAACGATAACGATGGTTGACGGAAAAATTAATGAGATCCATGGCTGGGCTGCCACCAAGTCTGGAATCCAGGTCGAGCCCTGGTCCTACAAGCCCCGTCCGCTGGGTCCCAACGACGTCGAGATCAAGATCGACTACAGCGGTATCTGCGGCTCTGACCTACACACAATCAAGTGCGAGTGGGGACAGGCCAACTTCCCTGCCATTGTTGGACACGAGATCGTTGGCAAGGTCATCACCAAGGGCGAGAGCGTTACGACCCTGAACGAAGGCGATCTGGTCGGTGTCGGTGCCCAGGTGTTTGCCTGCCTCAAGGATGACTGCAAGGAGTGCAGCCGCGACCTGGACCCGCACTGTCCGCATATGGTTTTCACATACAACTCCTTCTATGCCGACGGCCAGCAGGCACAGGGCGGCTACGCTGAGGCTGTGCGTGTTGACGCAAACTATGCCATCAAGATCCCTGCTGCTATTGACCCTGTGTACGCAGCCCCTCTTATGTGCGCTGGTACCACTGTCTTTGCCCCGATGCTGCGCAAGGGTGTCAAGAAGGGCGACCGTGTCGGTATTGTTGGCATTGGCGGTCTTGGCCATCTTGCTATCCAGTATGCCCACGCACTGGGTGCCAAGGTCACTGCCTTCTCGCACTCGCCTACCAAGAAGCAGCAAGCAACTGAGCTTGGTGCATCGGTTTTCGTCGACACCTCGAACAAGGAGGAGCTTGATGCTGTGCGTGGCTCGCTTGACTATCTGTTCATCACGGCTAACGCCAGGAGCAACCAGTACAACGAATTCGTGACCTGGATGGACTATGAAGGTGAGATCGTCTTGCTGGCGCTGCCTGAGGGCCAGCTCAGCTTCTCGCCGTTTGAGCTTGTCAACAGCGAGGTCAAGATCACGGGCTCGCTTATCGGTGGCAAGAACATCATCAAGGAGACTCTGGAGTTTGCCGCCAAGCACAACATCCGCCCGATCATCGAGCGCTACCCAATGGCCAAGGTCAACGAGGCCCTCGAGCATATGGACCAGGGCAAGGCCCGGTACCGCATTGTGCTCGAAAACGCGACTAGCAGCTTGTAGATTTACTAGGACTAGCACACCTCTGAGCCGGTTATGAAAAAGAAAAATAAATGCGTTGCAAAACAGGTTGCCGTTCCCTAATGCCGATTGTCTAAAGGGCCTTGATCGCACTAAACAATGCATGTGGCGTTAAATGTGTACTGTGGAATATTTCTGTGCATAATGGTCTGGGAAGATTCATTATGTCGTTCTGACTGGAATGGGGTGGTTAGCGGAGGCAACCAAGGAAAATGCATCTCTACTCTCTAATAATCAATACCATATACTTCTTTTATCACAATGGTTAGGCGCTCGGAAAAAATACACGGCTGGGCAGCGACAAAGCCAGGCATTGAGGTTGTGCCGTGGTCATATGTGCCACGCCCACTAGGGCTTCACGACGTCGAAATTAGGATCGACTACACTGGCGTATGTGGGTCAGACCTGCACAAGCTCAAGAATGACCTAGGTGGCACAGCATACCCTATCATTTGCGGCCATGAGATCGCTGGACGTGTTGTATCCAAAGGCAAGGACGTTGCAGACCTTCATGTAGGCGACGTGGTTGGCGTCGGCCCAATAGCCTACTCCTGTCTCAGAGATGACTGCAAGTTCTGCGGCCAAGGTCTTGACGCACACTGTCCACATGCTGTCCACACCTACGGGGGCATTTATCCCGACGGTGCCAGCTCCCAAGGCGGATATGCCGAGTCTGTACGTGTACGTGCTAGCATGGTATTCAAAATCCCACCAGAGATAGATCCCGCGTATGTGCCGCCCCTACTGTGCGCTGGCGTGTCTGTCTATGCACCCATGGTAAAGTACGGTGTCAAGGCAGGTGATAGAGTCGGTATAGTTGGCATTGGCGGACTGGGCCATCTTGCTATCCAATTTGCAAGTGCACTGGGCGCTGAGGTTGTCGCAATCTCGAGGTCATCTGCTAAGCACAAGGACGCCATTGAGTTGGGCGCCACTCGCTTCGTCCATTCGGAGAATAGAGAAGAGACCCGGGCAATTTACAACACTCTGAAGTTCCTGTTTGTCACAGGCGATTGTGGCACGGCCCAGCTCAATGAGCTGATTCATCTGGTGGACATTGGGGGTCAAATCGTGATTCTGGCGCTTTCCAAGGAGACGCTTGAACTGGAGCCGTTTATTCTAGCTGTCAAGCAGGTCAGTATATCGGGAAACCTTGTTGGCGGCATCAGTATGATCAAGCAGACACTTGAGTTTGCGGCGAAGCATGGTATCCGCCCTGTTATCGAGCGCTATCCCAATGGCCAAAGTCAACGAGGCCTTGGAGCACGCAAATGCCGGCCGTGCTCGCTACAGGCTTATCCTGGAGAACTGATGCCAAATGTCAGTTGCATATGGAACTGCTAGTTGCGCAAAGCCCTACGCAAGTGTAGCCTATTTTAGATTTTAATGTGGTTTCTTTACACAGCCTACATGCACTAGGGTGTCCATTTGTATACTCGTAATATATTTGGATTCGTGGTTTGGCTTTCAGTCGCATATGCATTAGCGACTACAGTGAGGGATGCGAGGCAGCCCCTGGATCTATTTCGCTACCAGGGCTACCTCCAGGATGCATAGGTACCATTTTAGAGTGAGCAATGGCACGAGCAGGACGGGGGTTCCAGGTTGTGTCTCCTCTAAACAGGTCTGCCGCTACCTTTTGCTGACAAGTATTGTCTGGATGTACGCTGCTCATTATCAATAAGCTGGCATAGGCGAATGTATAGCATCGCAAGGATTGCCTGGATATAGTATGCTGATTTACCTTGGCATCATAGGCATTAAGGACTGGTGCCAGCTTTTTGTAGATTGCAAGCATCGGTGGGGTGAGTACACTGAGATCAGGATGCCTAGAGGCAACTGCTTGGCAGGAACTTCTGTGCAGGTGTATAAATACACACTTGACATGCATTATTGAACTCAGCCTTGGACACATTGCCCATTGTACTGTGCAGTGTGTTTTTGCGGCTGCGAATATCAATCAATTTAGGCCAGAATCCGCTGTAGGCAAGTGCCATAGTGCAACACAATGTTGTTCTTGTATGCTGTCATCAGCTCGGTATCCACGTATGTTGCTACTTGGTTCATTTCGCGCACGCCATGTAGCTCGATATCGCCATTATGCAATAGATAATCATAAATATGGTATCTAATTACATCACCGAAATCTGCGCTCGACAGTTCTGACTTGTCCTTCCGATTGACGAAATCCTCGGCAGATATGGCTGTCTTCGCCTTCAGGTTGTGATATATAAATAAATAAATTGAAACGAAAGAATCCCTTTTTCACAAATGCTGCAGGGTCAACGGCATCATCGTCAGCTAGTTGATGGAGTAATATCCATCGTGCAAGCATGTATGTATGCTCCTTTGATGATATTGACGCTGTGTACAAATTGCTCTAGGCGGGCAACATAGAATCACGGAAGCCAATACCACCAAGTGATGTCTTTATGACAGTAGTACTGCGGGTAATGTTCATTTGAGAAATTCAATAGGCAAGTAAGAAGAGAAATGATGCTGTTTAGTTTTGCTTTATAGCGTATGCATAGCATTAAGAACGTTTTATTAAAGATTATCTGGCTTGCATGGTTCTTGGGGCCCTTAGCACTGATATAGTCTCTTGAATCAGTCTATACATACTGGGTCCATTGTGGCCCAAATACTACTGCTTACGCATGTTCATGGACAAATTAATTTATAAAATAAATCTACAAATATTGCATGACTGCTAGAAGAGCTATATGGCCTTGTTAAATAAAATACTATATATAGGTAAATATAAAGATACTTCTCTACCAATGGTTGATGGCAATATTAAAGAGATCCATGGCTGGGCCGCCACCAAACCCTGTCCGCTACGTCCTAACGACGTTGAGATCAAGATCGACTAGAGCGGCACCTACGGTTCTGATATTCACATCATACCAAACGAGATCGGCACCAATAGCATGTACCCTTTGATCCCTGGCCATGAGATAATCGACAAGGATGTCATCAAAGGGTGAGAGCGTTACGACCCTGGACGAAGGCGATCTGGCTGGTGTTGAAAGCATAGTTTGCATCGGACACGCACAGCCTCTGAGTATCCGCCATGAGACTGTTGGCTATCAGCATATACACCATTGTAGGTGAAGGCCATATGCGGGCAGTGCGGGACCAGATTGCGGCCGCACTCCTTGCAAGTGTCCTTAAGGCAGGCAAGCACCTGGGCACCAAGATCCTTGAAACTATGGATATCACCCATGCATTGGGTGCTGAGGTCGTTGCCTTCTCGCACTCGCCTACCAGGAAGCCAGCAAGCGACTGAGCTTGGTGCATCGATCTTCGTCGACGCCTCGAAGGAGGGGCTTGATGCTATGCATGGCACACTCAGCTACCTGTTCATCACGGCTAACCCCAAGAGTAACCAATACAACGGCTACGTGACCTGGATGGAGTACGAGGAAGCAGACCATAGCCTCCGTCATCACAAAGTTGATTGGTGTGAACCTCATCTCGCCCTCAGGAACGGCTAGTTAATACCACCGGCTCGTTCATCGGTAGCAAGAACATCAAGGAGACCTTGGAGTTTGCTGCCAAGCACAGCATCCGCCCGATCATCGAGCGCTACCCAATGGCTAAGGTCAGGGAGGCCATCAAGCATATGGACCAGGTCAAGGCCCGGTACTGTATCATCCTTGAGAACCAGACATTGGAGTGGAGAATTTTAAAATTGGTTTGAAGAGAATGACGTTGCCTATATCTTTTCGCTTGCTCGCTTAAACGACACCGCGCATCTTGAACAGAGACCGGACATAGTAGATCTGCCAGCCGCAGGCACCAGCAAGAGCCAGTGTCTGCAGAACGGCCCAGTGGAACATGCGCTTCTGCGTGTCAGCGACGCTCTTGTCGTGGACCTCATGGCGGAACATCATATGGTTGAAGTGGTCCTGGACCTCCTCAACATTGTGCGCCAGCTTGCGCACTGCAGCCTCTGCCGGCGTCGCGTCATGGGAAGAAGCCAGGAAGGTCTCCTCCTCGGGCCCGTGCGGGTTGAAGTTCACTACAATCTCGTGCGGCGCGCCGTTGATAAAGCAGTACGAGTGGCGGCCGTCCGTCTGTGCCAGGTAACTGTAGCCGCCCTCGCCGGTGTGCGGCAGCGAGTATACAGCAGTGCCCATCGGATCCTTGAATACGAAATCAACTGGCAGCTTGCCTGCTGTCTCGAAGGTAATCGAGAAATGCTCGCCCTGCTTCATGCGCTCGTGGTAGCACTCCTGCGACTGCACATTCATAATTGTCGTGTAAGCTGCTGCGTACGTCGCAAACAGGCCCAGCGCAAGCACGAGGGACGCGAGTTGTCTAATCATCTTTCGTCGATTTGTACCGGTCTTTATGGAAAAGGGGGGGCAGAGTTGAACTGAGCAGCACTTGAGTGAAATGCACGAATTGGTGTTGCAAAAGAACGCACAAGCGCGTGGCCGGTCCGGCTGGAGCGGGTTGGCCATCGGCCATTGGCCGCCAGGCTTCGCTTTTGAAGCTCAGCCTAGACAAATCACGTGCAGCAAATCTTGAGCATCTAATCCGCGCCAAGCAAAAGTGCTTGATTTTTTCGCTGAGCGCAGTCCACAGGCCTGGTGTGAAGCGGGCATGCCAAGGCGCGCACTGCTGCTTTTGGCCTACCCCTCAGCCGTTCTGGAATGGGTCCTGGGAAACCCAGCAGCGAAATTAGGGCCCTTTGCACAGTACAGAAAAGGTCCTGCCTCGCCCCTTCCCCCTTTCCAGCTTGGCTTATCTCGCTTCTGGTATTCAATAGAGTATATATTTCACAAGGTTTTCTGAATCGCTGTCCAAATGTCAAACGACGCTACAGACGCAGAAGCCCTTGATGCGAGCTCCAGCGTTACCGCGCCTCTACTGTCGGAGGAAGGCAGTGACGCCAAGGACCGTCAGTCGACAACTGTGCGCAGCCCACCGTTCAAGCCCACGAAGGCTGCTGCACAGAGCGCTTTGAACACCGAGGGAGTGGCTGGAGCTATCGAGACGACGAGCTCAGTCTCAGCAACAACAACAACAACAGCAGCAGCAGCAGCAGCAGCCAGAATCTGCCCACGGCGAAGTATACCTGGAAGCAGGCATCGAGCAACAACCTAGAGCTTGTCAAAAAGTGTATTGAGGTGCATGGCGTCCCTGTCGATTACACAGACGAAGACGGCAACAGCGCACTTCATTTTGCCGCGCAAGAGGCTTCCATGGATGTATTGCGCTACCTGGTTGAGGATTGCAAGGCCAGTATCAATGTGCGCAGTGGAAATTTCAAAGCAGCCGCCGTTGTTCTGGGCAATCTCGGCCCAAAAGATGGACGCAATTATGTTTCTGCTCGACCATGGTGCCAATGCCAGCCTGCAGGATTCGACTGGCAACAGCGCACTTCATGTCGCGATTCACTCGGGCTCGGTGCCCATCACCATCTATATCGCGTGCACTCAGCATGCAGTGCTGGGACACACAGTCGACATGGTGGACTTCAATGGGATCACGCCGTTGATGTGGGCGTGCTACCAGGGGCAAGCCCGAGCTGGCCGCGCTTCTTATCAGGCTTGGTGCAGACATCAACAAGCAGGACTCGCGGGGGCAAACGTCTCTGTACTTTGCGCTGATCCGCGGCGGCTACTCTGACATCGATTTTTTGCTGGAAAAGGGCGCTGACCCGAATTTGCGCGAGTACGGAAATGGCGACGCTGCTTCGCCGACAGGGAATACGGTATTCGATCTCGCAGCAAGCATTGGCTACAAAGCGGAGTTTGAGAAGCAGGTCAAATGGGCGCAAGAGCGGCGCGCGATGGCGGATCCTGGACCAGCATTCTGCAATCGGTCAATTCGCAGAGAGATAGCGCCTTCACTCATGGCACTGGGTGGTGTCAGCCTGGCCCTGGTGGCCATATCACTATACCCATGGTTTGTTGGTGTGTTCATGGGCATCGCCATTCTGGCGGCCATGCACTTTACAGTGGTCCGGTTTATTGTTAAGGCGCCCAACATCCACTATCTGCAGCAGACACCGTACCTGTCTGCCATCTTTCCAGACCTCTGCGCTTCTGGTGCTGCTGACTTGGCTTTTCCGGATTCCTGCCTGTGACCACGCGCGGCTCGTATGACGACCATTCTGTGCCGATGTACCGGATGCGCAATGCTCTGTTTACCCTGTCATTCGGCAGCTGCATGTACTACTTTTACCGTGCGCTGCTCCAGTCACCCGGGTTCCTTCCCCGCAACCATGACATGCAGTCTGCCGAGCATGTTGTGCGCGAGCTGGCGCAAAAAAACATGCTTGACCTGGACCACTTCTGCCGCACCTGTCTGAGCACCCGCCCGCTGCGCTCCAAACACTGTCGCCAGTGCAACCGGTGTGTTGCGCGGTTCGACCACCACTGCCCGTGGACATACAACTGCGTCGGCGTCAGCAACCATCAGTACTTTATGCTGTTCCTGATCCTGCTGTTTGTGTCTATATGCCAATTCCTGCCTTTGGTCGCGCGGTACCTCAACATTATATACATCGTGTATGACCCGATACCTGGCGAGCCATGCTACTTGAATGATTTCATGTGCGGGTCGTTCCAAGAGGACTCGTGGACACTGGTCGTATCTATCTGGACCACATTCAACTGCGCCTGGGCCGGTTTCCTGATGGCCTCGCAGCTATTCCAAATCTCATTCGGGCGCACGACCAACGAGCAGCTGACTGGTTACTCGCGTGTTGCGCCCAAATCTGGCAAGACATGTAAGCATGGTCACGGCCACGGTCATGGTCACGGCCACAACCATAGCCATAGCCATGGGCACAATCACGGTGGACACGGCCAGCGGAATGGTGTTGTTGGCAAGGCTGCATCGCGCATTCGCTCGCTGATTATTGGTCTTGGTGGGTCGGTTGAGTCCAACGAGGGCACACCAGCTGGATCCAGCACACCAGCAGCTCGGGGCACCGACCTTGAGGCGCAGGTGCCACGGCCACTCACTGCAACAAATACCGGGTCATCTGGGGAGCTGGTGCCAGATGGGCCCGATGGGTCAGGCCCGGCATTCGCACTGCGGACAATGGATAATTTGCGACTACAGAGCGTGAATGGCGTGTCAGTGAAGAAGGACCCGTACAGTTTTGGTGTGGTGGACAACTGTCTGGGCTTCTGGACAAGGTGACGCGGAAGGCAAACTAGCTGGAGCGAACTGGTTCAAAGCTATGACGTTGTCAGAGCTTGCGCCGTACCATCCGCCGCAGTCTCCCCATGTCGAGACATTGCCCCTTCAGGATCACGTCGTAGTTGATATGTAGCTTACTGCGTTCATTTCTTTTGGCTATCACACGCTTGGTCATTATACTGGAGGCGACTGGAATTGATAAATGTGCGTATAAAAGTGTGGCTGCCTTCAGGTATCGATTCAGGTGAAGGCATGGCGGCCTATTCAAAAAAAAAAAAAGTTCAGCATCGTTTGGAAACTGCCCAGATGCAAGTGCCCAGTGTATATAGGGTCCTGAATATGCTGTTTTAAGAAAGTGAAACATCGTAAATGAATCAACTCTATATGCCCTTCCATCTCCAGCTTGTCAAATTATCAATATGATAACTCTACTGTTGGTAATTCTTTCTGTGTGCGTGTGGGGGCGTACCATATGGCTCGAGTACAAGAAGACACTCAAGCTTCAGCGCGTCTGGAGCGTGCCTGTTGGCACGTCTACTGCCGAGAACGACGAGACCCCTGTACTGCGGTACAACCAAGACAATGTCAGTGCCCAGGGTAAATGCGTGATTCCCCATGGCACATTCCGGACATTAAACGACGGGCTACGCTATGCAGTTGGCCAATGGCCGGAAAATAGAACACTCGGGATGCGCCGTCTGCAGCGCATGGTGGTTGAGCAAGCGCCTGTAGCATGCGGTGGATCAGAAGGCACTCGAAATGACTAAGCAGACGCGGATGTTTGCATGCTATGGAAAGTACGAGTGGATTACGTATGAAGAGATGTGGGAAGAGCAGGGGCTTATTGGTCGCGGGTTAAGGCGGATGGGTATCGAGCCGAAGAGACGCATTTGGTGTTTGGGCACCGACAAGGTAGGAAATGTCAGACGTATGGACACACTATGAGTGCAGAATGTACTTACTGAGTCTGATATGCATGTAGTCGACAATGCACCATGTTCATATGCGGCAGTATGAGGCAGAACATCACAATAAGTACTGTTTACAACACTCTGGGCAAGAGCGGGCTGTACCAGGCACTCCAGGAGACCAATGCCCAAGGAGTGTTGGTCCGTGTAGATCAACTTCCTCACATCGGCGATTTGGCTGATGCCTATGCCAAACTTGAAGCTGGTTGTATATTTTGGAGAAGGCGAGTGGGACTATGGATGCGCAATCCAGAGCCAATGCGCCATTGAGAGCCTCTCTAAGCGAGTCGCCTGTATTGTCGTTGGCTGAGCTAACCAGCGTGGGTCGCCAGCATCCGATCGAGGACACTGAACCTATGCCAGACAGCATTGCGTGCATCATGTACACCAGTGGAAGCACAGGAAAGCCAAAGGGTGTCGTCCTGACGCATAGGAATCTGCTCAGCACCCTGTCTGCCATCATAATCATGGTCTTCTCATACAAGATCGACAGCGACATGTACCTATCGTACCTACCCACATCGCACATCCTCGAATACATCATTCAGCTGGCTGCCTTGACCGGCGGGGTTCCCATTGGGTTTGGTACTCCGCACTCGCTGAACTGACGCAATGGTCAGGGGCTGCCGCGGCGACCTAGCCGAGCTCCGGCCCACGTTACTTGCTGGCGTCCCGCAGGTTTGGGATACAATTAGACGCGAAATAATGTACCAGGTGCGCCGGCGCGGTAGGCGGGTCGAAAAGGTGTTTGGGGCATTTGTTTCGCTGAAATGGTATCTGATGCAAAACAGCTTGCCACATTCCTGGCTTGACTGGCTCGTTTTCAACAAGGTCAAGCGTGTGCTAGGCGGCCGCCTACGGTATGCATTATCTGGCGGTTCATCCATATCAAGAGAAACACAAAAGCTCTTGTCGAACGGTTCTCTGTCCACTGCTGCAGGGGTACGGGATGACAGAGTCAAGCGGTGTCATTGCAGTCCAAAGCCCAGAAACCTTTTGCCTCCAGCGGACAGGTGCTGTGGTGCCAAACATGGATATCAAGCTAGTCAGTGTTCCAGAGGCGGAATACTATGCATGCAATGGGGTTGGCGAGATCTGGGTGCGTGGACCAGCTGTCGCCCTCGGCTATTTGTGCCCTGAGAACGTATGCAAGCCAGTATGTGCAACCACAGCTGACGGCTGGTACCGCACTGGTGACATTGCACGGTGGCATGCCGACGGGCAGTTTGAGGTTATTGACCGGATCAAAAACATCCAAAAGCTGGCGAATGGCGAGTACGTTGCTATTGAGAAGCTGGAGGCAGTGTACAAGACATCAATATATGCAGCCAATGTATGTGTCGATGTGCAGCCAGACCAGCGGCAGCCGATGGCAGTCGTCAATCCCCGATCCAAAGACCGTTGTCCAGCTGGGGGAGTCCCTCGGCTTTTCGCCCGACAGCAAGATACATGATCTGTGCAATGATCCGAGGATCCAGGAGCATATATTCAGCTCGTTGCTTGAAGCAGCAGCAGCACACGGGTTCCTTAGAACCGAGACGGTGTTTGGCTGCATCATCGACCCAGACAGTTGGACCCCAGAGAACGGACTCCTGACTGCAGCAGCAAAGCTCCATCGTGCGCGCATTCGGCAGAGGCTTGCGCGGCAAATAGACGCTGCCTACCTCCTGCATAAGCCATCGGTCTAAGCTGTTAGCGAATTTATTGAATGACTATTTCTGCAACTCCTCGTATTCGAAGCCCCCAGGGATGAGATCAGGCACCTTGTTAATGTAGCCGGCCATGAACTCGAGTGAGTCGACTAGACGCGGACCTGGCCGGTTGAAGTAGTAGTGGCCATCGCAAATGACAATACGTGGGACTGCAGCGCGAATCGCCTTCCAGCTATCGCGGCCGCTGATCAGCCCGATCTCCTTGCGGAGCGTGTGCATCTCCAGACCGCATGCGGCAATGATGAGCACATCAGGCTTGGCTTCCAGCAGCTCTTCAGGGGTGACCTTGATCGCACGGTCGCCATGGCGGTGGCCGTTGTCGCCAGTAAAGGCTGGGTTGAGCAATGCAATCCCGCCTGCAATCTCGATCATCTGTGGCATCCAGTGTCCGCCAACAATTATCGGATCAACCCAGTCCATGAACGCAACCCTTGGCTTGGTGTCGGTGCCATGGGCAGCAGCAGTAGTTCTGACCCGTTCGATCCTGTCTTCGAGCGACCTTGCGATACTCTTGGGCCTCTGCCTCGAGACCAGCAGCCTGGCCCACCTCAGTGACATTGTCAAGCATATCTTCCAGACACACGGGGCTCAGATTTAGGACCTGCGGCTGTGGATCCATAGTCTGTGCGATCCTCTCGACAGTCATCAGGTCAATCGAGCACACGCGGCACAGATCCTGTGTCAGAATCACATCAGGCTTTAGCACCTCGATACGATCTCGGTCGACCACATACAGTGTACCGAGCTCCTTCATCTTCTCCTTCACCTGCTTGTCGACGTCTGCCGAGGTGGTGAATTTGGTGATCTGGTCGATAACCGCAGGCAGATGCACAATGTCGCTCGGATAGTCGTCCTCGGAGCTGCGTGCAACCAGCAGCCGCTTGCCGCCAGGAATGCCGCACAGGATTTCGGTCGCTGATGGAAGCAGCGACATTATACGCTTCGCAGTCATGTTGAATGTTGGGAGCTTAGGTTCGGGAGCTTAGGTTCGAGAGGCTTAGGCTGATCAAGTGTGGGGATGTTCTGGCATTTCCCAGCAGCCGGGCAGGTACAGGCCCTGCATATCCTTGGCCCATCACAGGGCTACAACTATGGTTGCTGTCCCGAATTGCACGATCTGTGTGGCTCCGAGTGCGGGCCGTTGCTGGGAATGCGCAAATGGCGTGGATAGCAAAGTAGGCGGGGGATCAGCACTACAGCAGCCTCTATGGGAAGTAAGCACAGCTGGGCTATAAAAAAACCTTGGTTGGGTTGTGCTTCCAGGTGTTCTTTCCCTGTTCGCTTCTCTCCGTCTCGTCTCACGCATTTCATATTTACTCTTCTTTGAACACCCAGATTTCGAAATGGCCATGACGTGGGTCTTCACCGTGCTAGCTGTGGCAGTCCTGGCGCATCTGAGCGGACGCAGCAGCGCCGCTGGCAAGCGCAGTGCCTGGCAGCAGCTGTGCGATGGTCTCTGCACGATTCTGCTGCGCGCACTCCACCTTGCCTTCGCCATCCACCGCTCGTTCCAGGCATGGGTGCACAACTCACTAAACCAGGCGCAGTTTGATGTGCGCGAGCTGTTGGAGGACGACGACACTGACGAGATCGCTGCAAAGCGCGCAAAGCTGGCTGGGCTGTTCGAGTCGCTGCCACAGAAGCCCGAGCACTTTGCCGCCATCATTGCCGAGGAAGACGAGCCCGTCAATTCGGTCGAGACGCTGTGCGCGTGGTGTGTGATGGCCAAGGTTCCGTGCCTGACTGTGTACACCAGAAACGGTAAGCTGCATTTTCTTTTCGTGCTACTGCACCAGCACTCCACATTTGTCCTTTTGTTGGTAAGGAGCGGCGGTCCTACTGATCATCTGCTATTGTTCGTGTAGACGGTTTGAGGACAGTCTTTCGACGACATCGCATACCGCCTGGGCAGCTCCAAGAGCGTGCTGCGCGCTGCCAATGGCCGCGCCGCACGTATCTGTCTCCGCGATGGCGATCGCATCGAGTATATCGGCACTGACGTCGACACAGTGCTGGCGACAGAGCAGCAGTTTGATATTCATGTGTCGCTCTGGTCCCGCAGAAACGGCTTCCCTAGTCTGGTTGGTGTGGCCAGGGACATGTGTCGGCAGGCAGAAATGGGCAGTCTGACACCTAAGGATATTGACGAACAGTATGTCGCGGCACGGCTCAAACACCCGGGCGGATTTGTCCACCCGGATCTGGTTCTGCTGTACGATGAACCTGGTGTGCATCCCAGAGTTCCCGCCCTGGGAGCTGCAGAACTCGGAGGTGTACCAGATCCGAGCGGCAGCCAAGGATCTCGATGATCGCGTTCTACAGAGCGCTCATGGGCTACGGACGTATCGAGCGCCGCTGGGGAAAGTGAGTAGCTCCTCGAGATAGTCGCTGCTGTGCTTCAAATACACCACACTCAGCAACTTCCAGCGAAACCGCAGCTGGTACAAGGAGCTTTAGACTACCCAAATGCAGGCACGTGAGAAAGGGGTTTCGGTGGCCAACCACACTGCGCCAGAGGGCTGTGCGCCAAGACGCCCATCCTCAAGCCAACGTCACAAGTTTTTTTTTTTTTTTCCTTCAGCAGCAGCGAGTATAAGAGTTTTATCCCCAGAACCGGAGAACACAGCTTTCTTCAGGCTTTTTCTCTCCATTTCCCACTTTTACAGACGGAATACACTCTTACATTCATGGCTACTATACAGTATACGGGCGTGTTTGCGCTTTTGATCGCAGAGGTCGTCACCTTCCTTACCCTTATTGTAAGTAGTCAGCCAACTGAATTTGCAGCGCTGCTGTCCGCCTGGCGGTCTTCACAGGCTAATTCTGCCTCTGCCCTTAGATTCCGTTCCCGAACAGGTGGAAGCGCAGTGTGTTCACGTGGGCGTCGCGGTCACCGGTGGTGAAAAAGATCATTTATGGCGTCAAGATAGCGTTTGTCTTTGTCTTTGTCCTGTTCTGCGACGCCGTTGTGCGCCTGAACAAGGTGCGGAAGGACCGCAGCTCGCACCACATCATCGATGACCACGCCCTGTGCCAGTTCAAGGTGCAGCAGTTCTACGCCCAGCGCAACACGTACCTGACCGGCATCACCATGTTCCTGGGCCTAATCCTCGTGTCCACATATGCCCTGATCGGCCAAATGCTCGAGACGGACAACCAGGTCGATTCGCTGCGCAAGGAGGCCACTACCTCCAAGGCCAAGAGCGGCGAGGTTGAGAAGCTCGAGAAGCAGCTGACGGCAGCACTCAAGGAGGTCGAGGAGCTGAAGAGCAAGGACCGCGAACATGGAGACGCTCAAGAAGCAGGCGCAGACGACCCACGACGAGTACATGCGTCTGTCGGACGAGTGCGAGGCCCTGAGGAAGAAGCTGTCGGCGGAAAACGAATCCAAGAAGGACGCGTAACACTTTGTATGTGCAATTTTGCTTCTGTTTATTTGAATGACGACTTTTTCAGATAGCTGCGCAAGCTCAGGCGCTCGAGCCAGCCTAGCGTCTCCTCGTTTGGGCCAACCACGTCCAGTGTGTTTATGACCACTTGCCGCTCGCCCCTGAATTCGCTCAGCCGTCCGTGCACGCGCACAGACGTGCCGAGCTTGTGCGTTTGCCGCAGCTCGGGCTCCTCCTGCTCTTCATGTGACGTAAACCAGACGCAAGCAATCACGCCAGTGCCGTCATCAACTACAAAGGCTCGCTGAGGTCTCTTTTAGCCAACATCCGCTTACGCTTGGACAGCTTCCATTATAATACATACTGTGGTAAACTGTTGTTTTCAGGCCGCTGGCATTTGCAGATACTATGATCCCGAACCAGCTCGACAATCCGCAGCGGGTGCTGGCTGCCAATGAAGAACACGGTGTTGGGACTCGTCGGCGGGCAGTACATGATGCAGGTCACCTACAAACACCTTGGCCGGTGCCCAGAACAGTGGGTCAAGCCCGTAGCTCGACAGGTCCCCAGAATACGTCTTGTTTGCCAGGTTCATCAAGGACAAAAAAAGAAAACTGCATGATCAAACCTGCCGCATCCATCTATACGCCTCACATATACATGCACTTTGAGCCGCGGCTCGATGTTAGGGTATATCACGTATTAACTTGTAGTGTATGGCACGTGAGACTAGCCACGAGGAACAAAGCACACCCAGACGCACAGATAAAAGCCGTATGTGACAGAGATACAGATTGTTTCCACAGTTTATTCTTTACTCAAATACAAACACGTCAAACTCGCGTACCGATGATCACGGTAGTCCATCAATACCGAGGTCACTCGAAAAGTGGAAAGAGCAAAGTCACCACAGCCGACGTCTTGAAGCATAGCCCAACGACTCAGACGAAGGGCATCATGGTTTTGATCGCCCGACTCGTGGCAAGTCAAGCTTTCCTCATTCACTTCGTGGCCATTTGCACATCAAATGGCGTGCTGAACAAAAAAGCGGAAGATCACCTCTCGACATCATTCTAGCAAGTGAAGGGCCTGGCTGGTAAGGTTAGCATCCATATTTTGGTAATCGTCTGTGTCTTCGGATCATAGTGACTATGCACTGATTGCACCATCCTAACATGGTTTCGCTAATCGCGATGGCGATAGCGCTCGGCAAAGCCTGAACTGCCAATAGACGGCAGTCGGAGGGGGTGATCATGAGGGGCTCGGCCACATAGTGCGCACAGATGCTCTCCCATCGCAAATGGCGTAAACTGGCTCCTAGTAATTGCGATCCCAGATATCGATGCAGCCATCTTGACCGAGACAACCCCGGTACTTGGATGATAACAGCACTGCAGATACAGTCTGCATATAAAAGGCGTCTGCTACGGTGCATTTGCCATTGATATTCATCATCAAGTAGGCGCACTTCAAGCTATTGCTATTAATATTCTACAAAAAATGCATCTGCTGTCTCTCATCTCGTTAACCTCGGTCATTGCCACGGTCTCCCTTGCAATCCCTGCAAGCAGATGCCCTGCTAAGCCTACCCATGGCAAGAAGCCCAACTTTGTCGTTTTCTTAACCGACGACCAGGACTATCTGATGCACTCGCTCGACTACCTGCCGTATGTTCAGAAGCGCTTCATCAACGAGGGCACTCAGTTCACGCACTACCACACCACCAGTGCCACTTGCTGTCCGTCGCGCGTGTCGTTCTGGCTCGGCCAGTTTGCCCACAACCACAATGTCACCGACGAAAATCGGCCCCACGGATCGTACTACAAGTTCCAGGACAGCCACTTGGACGACGCCTGGCTGCCGCTGTGGCTGCAGCAGGAGAACTACAAGAACCATTACATTGGCAAGTTTATCAACGGACTCGATGCCAACAACACGGCGGCACCAAAGGGCTGGGAGCACTTTGAGCCTCTGATCTCCCCTGGAATCTACAACTTTACGAACCCCATCTTCTCGCTTAACGGCGGCCCGCTGGAAAAGCACCCAGGCGTATACCAGACCGATCTGATCCTGGAGAAGTCTCTGGCACGTATCGACGACATCGCCAACAGTGACGACCCGTTCCTGTTTGTCATCTCACCGACTGCTCCGCATGATGAGATCCAAGCAAACGGGGACTTTACCCCACCGCGTCCAGCCGAGCGTCATAAGCACTTGTTCCCGGATGCCAAGGTTCCACGCGACCCGAACTTCAACCCGCTGGTGCAGGACAAGGTCGGCTGGGTCAAGGATCTGCCGCTGCTGTCGCCGCTCCAGATCAACGCCATCGACGAGCACTACCGCCAGCGTCTGCGCTCGCTGCAGGCCACTGACGAGCTCGTCGAGGCGGTGTTCAAGAAGCTGGAAGAGAAGAATCTGGTTGACAACACCTACTTTATCTACACCACCGACAACGGCTACCATCTTGGCCACCACCGCATGTTTGCTGGAAAGCAGACTCCGTACGACACTGATGTGCGTATTCCGTTTATCATCCGCGGACCTGGTATCGCCAAGAAGCAGATCAACGACAGCCCAACCACCCACTCGCACTTTGCTGCCACTGTCCTTGACCTCGCCAACATTGAGCGTCCGGACGGACTGGATGCCACGTCGCTGTTTGACCCGAAGAAGACTGAATCGTTTGCCATCGAGTTCTGGAACCGCAACTTTGTTGAGGGTGGTTCCAAGGAGACCCACATCAACAACACATACAAGGCTGTGCGTCTTGTGAGCAAGGACTTCAACATCTACTACTCGGCATGGTGCACACGCGAGCACGAGCTCTACGAGATGAACAGTGACCCGTACCAGCTAGTGAACAAGTACAACCGGACGGATCCCAATTTCCTCAACCGCCTCGATGCCCTGCTTAATGTCTTGCATGACTGCAAGGGTGATGTGTGCCAGCGCCCGTGGAACACGCTGCACAAGGACGGCAAGGTCAAGAGCCTCAAGGATGCGCTCAAGCCCAAGTACGATGAGCACTACAAGGCGCTGCCCAAGTTCCGGTTCCTCGAGTGCAAGGTCTACTACGACCCCGATAACGAGGGCACAGACTGAAAACGCCAGAAATCTAGTATCTTGATGCATTTACTCTAAGCAAAATTTGAAATACCATAGAAGCTCAGCTACATTTCCACATATATGATAGTCGCTAACCTCTAGTTACTCGCGCCCTGGGTAAGGCGGCCTGAGCTGGGGGAGCTGTGAAGCTGAAAGCAGGTGCCCTTGCAAAGCAGTCCTCCACCACGCTGTTGCTCTCCGCTCCACTCTTTTGTGCTCTCTGAAGAACTGCCCACTCCAACCCCCCAAAGAAACTCAAAGCGGTGGGGCAGCGGAGTTAGCTGTCGATTTTGGCGTCCGGGCACAAGCGCTCTTAGGGTAAGCCGTCGTGGTGGCACGTGAATTGAAGATCGGTTTTACTGTGGCAAGGAAATTGCAAGGACGCCGATGCTCCGGCGTAGTGGACGGTCTTATCTTTTTAGAGATATCTAGACGGAGGGCTGGAATCTTTTTTCTAGAGGAGGAATCCATATGCATGGGTTTATATTCACAATCCAGGCAAATTATTGGTTCCCCACGTGGAGCTTTTCGTTAGCTGGCTCAAGTTCCGGACCTGCTCTCATAATATCCTTCGAATTATCTACAGATTGCTTGCATCTCCTGCAGTCCAGCTGTAGGCAAGTTGCCTTAGAGAGAAAATGCGGACAATGCAATTCTGGTGTGGGACACGACGGCAAACTATTGTCTCCTTAAAACCGCGTGGCGCTGCTTTGAAATTATGTTTAGTTTCTTGATTCCTGCCAACTCGCGTTTCGTATTTTTATTCTTTTTTCGCTCACTTTTATAAGCTAGTCGACACTATGGTCAGGGCTCTGCGCATCGATCATCCTGCTGGCACCACAGTGAGTCTTGCCGACGTGCCACTGGGCGAGTGGTACCCGTTCTTTATGCAATGGCAGGTTCCTGTGGTCGTCTCTATTGCGTACACACTCCTGTCGTTCATGTTCAATCCAGCATCTAGCAAGCTGTCGCGTATGGAGGCACAGCGGCAGGAATGTGAAGCAGGATGGTTCATTGAAGCCAAAGAAGTCCATCTTTACGCCGATGACCATGTTCATCTGCTTCCACAACGCGGTTCTGGCTGTGTACTCGGGGTGGACCTTCATGACGGTGTTCCCCAGTATTTGTCCAGAGCATTGTGACCAAGGGCTGGTTTGGTGGTCTCTGTGATATCGACGGATCCATATGGAACTCGGTGCTGTTTACACATATGTACCTGTTCTACCTGTCAAAAGTTCTACGAGCTCATCGATACTGTCATCATTATTGCCAAGGGCCGTCGCGCGTCGCTACTTCAGATATACCACCACGCAGGGCGTTATCATGATCATGTACTATGCCAACTACTACGCGTCATCGGCCGCGGTGTTTATTGTGTGGGAGAACGCCTGGTGTCCATACAGTCATGTACACTTACTATGCACTTACCTGTGCTTGGCATCAACCCGCCGGGCAAGCAGTATCTGACCTCGCTACAAATCTTCCAGTTCCTTTTTGGCCAGAGCTTCGTCGTTGCCTACATGTGCATGTCCAACTGCCAGACACCTGACCAGCAAAAGTGGCTGTATATACTGACGGCCTACCTGCTTCCACTTATCTACCTGTTTGTTCAGTTCTTCCGCTCGACATACAAGCGGCCTGCAGAGAAGAAGAAGGCACAGTAGATCACTATTCAATTTTGTTTACTGCCACGATAGATTCATTCAATAAGGTCTACCGTTTTCAATAGCGAGCTACATGTTGGAGTTTCCATCAGAAAATACCCAAGAAAACTGACTGCCCCAGATCTTGGCAGGGTCAGCATAGCGGCCGCGGCGGGTAATGGCACTGATCTTGGTGAAGTCGTCGCTGGGCAAGTCAATACTCTTAAAGTTGCTTGCAATTCGCTCCTTGCTCAATGGACCGTGGGATGACAGAGTACCCGCGCTTGACACCCCATGCTAACAGAACCTGCGCTGGAGTGGAGTCCAGAGAAGCGGCGATGTCGATAACTGAGGGGTCATTGACAATATTGAGGATATCACCTGCCCCTAGCGGTGAATACGCGGTCATGACAATACCTTTGGACTTGCAAAACCCAACCAGCTCTGGACTGAGGAAGGTACGGGTGTAATTCGACTTGGTTGACGGCTGGGACGACGGACGTGTTGTCCAGCAGACGTTGGAAGGTGCTGGATTGTAAAGTTGGACACCCCAATTGCCCTGACCTTGCCGGTATCCAGTAGTTTCTCCATCGCTTTGTACGTATCAACATAGTCAACCTTGGCATCTATCAGGCTGCCATTCTCGTCCTGCTCTGTCTCGGAGGCGATTGAAAACGGCCAGTGCATGAGGTACAGATCCACATACTCCATGCCCAACGTCTTCCAATGACTCGTCAAGTGCTTTGGAAACGTCTTCGGGCCTGTGGTGCGTGTTCCATAGCTTGGTGGTGACGAATACTTCGGACCTAGGAATGTTGCTGTTACCAATGGCCTCACCAACTTGTGCCTCGGTGCCATACTTTGCTGCAGTGTCGATGTGGCGGTAACCAAGCCTGAGTGCCTCCTCAAGAGCAGGGACAAGCTTTCCACCATCTCTGCTCGATCCAATCCCAACAGCTGGGATTCTGGCGCCTGTGTTGAGAAGCAAGTGCGTATCGGCGTACGTTGAAAGGAGCCATTATTGGGAAAGGATAGGAGGCAAAGTTACACTGCGTATTCAGCTTTGCCCGTCATTGGAAGTGGCCCTTTTACACTCCAAGTCTTTTGTTGCACTACTGCGGCCAGGATACGCTGGATGGCATTTGTCTCGACTGCGTGCGGCGCACACACTATATCGAGCCGCCTTCCCACGGCCTTGCTTGAGTTTTGGCCCATTCAGAATCCAGTGCAGCTCTGCAGAAAGCAACATATCACACGTAACGTGCTGTTGGATCGGTTTTAAACTAGATGCAATACTGTGACACTAGCGAAAGAGAGGGAGAGCAAGCATTAGGCGTATTTTAGATCTTGGCCTCGTTAGAGTTGAAGATCCAGGAGCACGACTTGCCCCAGAATTGAGCTGGTTCGCAGAAGCGCTCACGGCGCTCAATAGCGTTGATCTTAGCAAACTCCTCCTCGGAGATGTCAGCGAGCTGGAAGTTGGCAGCAATACGGTCCTTGTTGACAGACTTGGGCACAACCGAGTAGCCGACGCTTGACACCCCATGCCAGCAGCACCTGGGCGGGGGTGGCGCTGTGCGCCTTGGCAATCTCGTTGATAACCGGGTCGTCGCGCAGGTTGAATTCGGCAGTAGAGCCCAGCGGCGAGTACGCAGTCATGACAATACCCTTGGACTGGCAGAAATCGACCAGTTCGGACTGAGGCAGGTACGGGTGAAGCTCAACCTGGTTGGCAGCCGGGACCACAGACGTGTTCGCAATCAGCCGCTTCAGGTTGGGCACCGAAAAGTTCGATACACCGATAGCCTTGACCTTGCCGGTGTCCAGGAGCTTCTCCATGGCCTTGTAAGGTATCGACGTAGTCAACGTTGGCGTCAACCATATCGCCGCTGGCGTCCTTGTCGTCCATAGAGTTGAAAGCGAACGGGCCAATGGATCAAGTACAGGTCGACGTAGTCGAGACCCAGGTTCTTGAGCGACTCGTCGAGACCCTTGGCGACGTCCTCGGGCTTGTGGAAGGTGTTCCAGAGCTTGGTTGTGACGAACAGCTCAGAGCGCGGCACACCGCTGTTGCGAATGCCCTGCCCGACCTCGGTCTCGTTGCCATAAATCCACGCCCCATCGATGTGGCGGTAGCCGGCCTTGATGGCTTCCTCAACAGCCACAGCAACGAGGCCAGGCTCGGAGCGCCAGGTGCCGAGGCCAACGGCAGGGATCTTGGCGCCAGTGTTGAGCGTGAGAGTCTTGGAGGAGGTAGAGACGGTAGGCATGATGGAGATACTGAGCTGAAGAATGAACGACAGAAAATTGTTGTATAGTCTAGAGTCGATGACGAGACCGTGGGTTTTTTATAGTCGCAAACACCAAGACCAGGAAACGCCCCTTGTCCGCAACACATTTATAAGCAGGCGTCTGCGGGTAAACGCAGCGCGGATCGCTTGACCAGTGGAATGCGAGAGCTAGAGCTGGAGAAAAAACGTGTTTATGGTACGGAAATCGCAAAAGTAAAAATGATGCCATCTAGGTGCGACTTCGGTATTCCATTAATTGCCTTCAGTCCCGCAACTGGCAATACGATGTGGATATCAAAGCAGATTAGATCAGTACCGTTTTCTATTATCGCTCAAGAAATATTTCGAATTTCGCGCATTCCACCTTTTTTGTTCGCTTTCTTCGCTCACAAACCTCCAGCTTTATTGTTCGAATCGGCTGTGGAACTGGCAACACAACAGAGGGGAGGCAACCAACACACACGCAGCACAAAAACATGCCTTTATACGAGCTCATTTGCATTTCGCGGGCAAATCTGGTGCAGGCGAACATGGCCGCGCTTTTGAAGCGGTCGGCCGAGACAGTTCTGGACCGCGGAGGCGCAGTGCGCGGCTTTGTCAACCTGGGACGCGACCAGCCGCTGCCGTACCGGATGAAGCGGCACATGGAGTACCACACGCACGGATCGTTCTGGCTGATGCACTACTACTCCAACCCAAAGACCACCGGAGTGCTGATGAGCCAGCTCAAGCTCGATCCGCGGATCGTCCGGTGCAACGTAGTCAAGGTCACCGACAAGCTGGAGGAGATGGTGGCGCTGCCCGAGAAGACATAGGCTTTTGTGCACTAGAATATCAAAATACACGTATTTCGCCGATTCTGCTGGTGCGCGCTCAGGCGCAGGGAGGAGTCGGGGTGTGTGGATCGCAAATCATGCAATCAAGGGCTGGCATTTTTATCTTTGGCCAGTGCGGATTGTGCGCTTACCGCAATAATTTTTCCTGGCTGAGGTGGTGTCAGCATGGGCTCTGCGGGAGCGGATCCCGTCTGGCTCACGGCTCTTCTTGTCTCCTTACAACACCAGTCCCTCTATTGTTTTCTCCCCTTACAAGTACGTGTGCCAATTTAGCAGCGGTTCGAGCAGTATAACAATATCCCAGGCGCCTTGCTCAATTGCTGAATCCACCTGCAAATCTACTCTTAGGGACCAGCAAACGTTTGTAGAAAAATACCATGGCTTACGCGTCTCCGTCAGCGACAGAAGTATTGGCAGCGCCGACGATTAAGGGCCTGGGTCTGCAGCCCAAGGTCGACCTGGACGAGGAGCTGCATTTCAAGTTCTGGAACCCGATGCATTACTATCGCGCTCTGAACGACCACCGCGAGCGGCTGAACCTGCCGAACCCGGGCCAGTTTGAGTTCCTGAACAGGGAGATCAAGACCACGATGCTGACGAACTTTTGGTTTGAGGGCGGGCGCGCGGATCTGGCCAAGGTTCTGTCGCCCAACTTCCAGGTTCTGCACACGTTCCAGATGGGCTTGCCGGGCCAGCCGTCGAGCTTTGAGTTTGCGGGTGTGTATGCGGACGAGAACACGCTGATGCACGGCAAGATGGATACTGAATTCAACCTGCAGGCGCGCCTGAACCACTCGCTGACGAAGCGGCTGCAGGCGAAGGCACAGGCGCAGGTGATGGCGAACGACTCGCAGTCGATGCTGCAGCTGGAGAGCGAGTACACGGGATCAGGACTTCACCGCCAACGTCAAGGCAATCAACCCGTCGCTGGTGGACGGCACGGGCATCTACCTGGCCAACTACCTGCAGTCGGTGACTCGCAAGCTGAGCTTTGGTGCTGAGCTGCTGTACCAGAGCCCGATGCCCAAGGTGCAGGAGACGAGCATTTCGCTGGCTCTGCGCTACCAGCCGTCGGCTGACCGCGTGTGGGTTGCGCAGACCCAGGGCACCAACATCCTGTCGACGTCGTACTGGCGCAAGATCACAGAAAAGTGCGAGGCTGGCGCCGAGCTGCAGGTCATGAACATGCCGTCGCAGGGCCGCCGCGAGGCAAGCTGCTCCGTCGGCGTCAAGTACGAGTTTGCTGCATCGACCATGCGCGCCATGGCAGATAACATGGGCAAGGTGTCGATGCTTCTTGAAGAGAAGATCGCCCCTGGCTTCTCGTTCCTGATCTCGGGCGAGCTGGATCACCTGAAGGGTGAGAACAAGTTTGGTATCGGACTGAACCTCGAGTCCTAGGCCTGCTTACATTTAGAGATGATGATGTTGCCTTTTTGTGGAAAAAACATTTTACATTGCTGGTGATGGGCTATTAATAGCGGGGGCGGCGGTATCCCTGATTGTGAGCGCCAGTTGCACTTGCTGCGGGCTGGTTCCCCTCTCCCCGCTCTTTGTGGTCCCAAAGACAATAGTGTCGTGTGCATGGCCACATCCACCTTGAGCGCCAGCCAAAGAAAACCTTGCGCGAGCGCCTGCATACTCAGGGGGTGTGTATGGCCCAGGTGCTTTGAGGACCTCGGCGTGATGGCACTTTTGCCTTTTAGCGATCTAAATATACACAGCCTTTGCAGTGTGAAATGCCGGCTGGCAATCATTCCCAACATCCTAAAGACCGCCAGACCGTGCGTGTGATTGGCTCATGGCAACAAAGGCCCTCACAATTTGAAAAGAGCGGCTCTGCGCTCAAGGATTATTTTGGCCACACCAGGCTTTGTTTATGCTGGCGCGCTGTTTTCTCTCCTCTCTTTCTCTCTTGCTTCCACTTGCTTACCTTTTACATTTCCCCTGTATCTCTTGCTTCCACCCTCCCCTTCCCCTACCGTTAGAGAAACGAACCGTGCATTCACCTACATTCGAATTGGTAAGTTGTGTGCTTTGTAACCCCTTGCCCCAATGTCTCATGCATCGAGGCCCTGGTGTAACGACGTCAATGTGCATTCTCGTGTGCTCACTGGCCCATGTCCTGCCAAGAGAGCAAGAGTGAGTACTGAGAATAGGCGCTGCTCACTATTTGGGCCGGCAAGGTCCCACCACCACAGCTGCCTGTATTTCCGCGCGATACAATCGCACCTTGTCTCCTCTTTTTTGCACTTTTTGTCGCTTCCCTCTTTTCTTTCTCTGCTCCTTCCCTTTTCAAACCTCGACTCTAACCCACCCCCTTATCTCTCCTTCTTAGCATTTAACGAAATAACCTACAAATGAAGAGCCTGTTCGCTATCACTACTATCGTCGCCCTTGCTGCTGGTAAGTATCGAGGGGTGATTTCTCCCCTCCCCTCCTGAACCAGGCCGTCGGATGCGCGGGCGCGTTAGTGCTAAATCCAGTTATGACGTAGGTGCGTGCAACAAGGACATCTCTGCCAAGTCGCAGAGCGATATCGACACGATCAACGCGTGCAAAAAGTACGAGGGCAATGTCCTGATTGACGGTGACAACGGTCTCAGCGGTCTCGGTTCGCTGTCGCTGGACACTCTGCAGAAGATTGACGGCGACCTGACCGTCCAGAACATGTATGGCCTGGAGACTGTGTCGCTGGCCAGCCTGTCCTCGGTCAACGCCTTCCGCTTCCTGAACAACACGAAGCTGTACAAGATCGCGGCGCCGAGCCTTTATGATGTCAAGGACTTCCAGGTCATCGTGAACCCGAACCTGAAGACTCTGCAGTACAAGAACGTTACCGATGTCGACAACTTCCAGCTCATCGACACGTACGTCGACCTCCTGGGCAAGTTTGTTGCGGCGGAGCCCAAGAACATCGAGATTCTGTCCAACAGCCAGCTGAAGCAGCTTGACTTTAGCTCGGTCAAGAAGACCTCGGGCTACATCAACATCGCCAACAACGCCAGGGACGCCAACGTGACCTTCTCGGCGCTGACGGAGGTTGCCGGAAACGTGTCGTTCGGTAACGTTGGTTCGCTCGACATCTCGAAGCTGTCGGCTGTCGGCTACGACTTCTCGCTGTACACCAACACCTTCAAGAACATCTCCGTTCCCCTGGAGCAGGCCAAGAAGTCGATCACCATCAACGCCAACAACCAGCTAGTGTCGCTCCAGTTCCCCGAGCTGACCAGCATTGGCTCGTCGCTGAACATCATCAACAACACCAAGTTCCGCAGCATCGACTCGTCGACCTTCCCGCAGCTCAAGACCATCGACGCCGGATCCTTCTACGTCGGCAACATCGACAACATCACCTTCCCCAAGCTGACCAAGATCAAGGGCGTGTTCAACGTCACCGGCTCCGGCGATCTTGACTGCAGCAGCTTCAAGAAGAGCTTTGGCAGCAAGGGCGATGTGAAGTGCAACGTTGTCCGTGACGCTGAGGATGATGAGGGTGGCTCGTCGTCCAAGTCCAAGGGCTCGTCGGGCTCGAAGAACTCGTCCAAGGACTCGTCGGGTGCCTCGCGCTCGACCACTGTCGCTGCCATGCTGAGCGGCGCTGCCTTTGTTGTTGCTGCCTACCTGTAAGCAGCTTCTTTATGTGAACCTTCTCCTTATGAAATCTTTCAAAATATGCCGGCCGCCTTATCTAGTTTCTCTTTTTGACTCTTTCCGCATCCGTTCTCTTCCTAATTCGCCAAAACAGACCTTTAAAAATTATAGCACCGCTTGTGGCATAGAGGAAATTATTTGGAATCTAATGGAGCGGAGAGGCTCTATATGAAATTTACAGTACACTTTTTGTTTTTGGCCCGATGAAAGGCGCGGCGGCAGTGGATGATCAGGACTCCGCTGGCAGTTTGACCACGGCGACCGGTGTCTCGGATACCATCATCAGGTTGGCTGCAAAGTTGTGGGTGCGCATGCCTATCCGGAGCCCCTTCTGCTTGCGCCGCTGCCCGACAATGATGTTGTCGACATTCTCTTCAATCGCCTTATTGCACACCTCCTCGCGCTTTTCGCCGAGCATGGCCAGCGCCCTGCACTGGTACCCGCGGGCCCACAGAGCGTCCAGATACTTCTGCAGCAGCTTGATCGATTTCTCTCTCTCCTCGGCATCGAACATCTGCGCATACGCGGCAATCGACGTGTCGTACCACTTTGTCTTTGTCGACGCCGCCATGGGCCGCACGTTCGCCAGGATCACCATGTCCTTGCGCGGGTCGACATTGTAGGTTTTTAGCGTCCAGTTGATCAGAAAGTCGTTCGGGTTCTCGGTCTCGGTCTCGGAGTCGCTGGCCGACAGCGAGCGACGGACAGGCGTGCCGGCTTCCTCCATTTGCTTCTTGATTTCAGCCTTGTCGGGAGCAAAGGCCTTGAGGAGGATCATGAAGGTGCGCTGGGAGGTGGTGCGGGCTGCTGCTGCAGGGCGGATCGTGCCAGTCGACGAGGGCACGGCAATGGTGTTGGCCGAGGCGAAGCTGAGCGTAGACGAGGTCCGCTGGAGTGGCTGATGGACCATCATGATAAGATGAGATATATGTGTGGGTGATTAGGTGAGAAGCGATAGAGGAATATGTTGCTAGACATTTGGCCAGGGCCATCGGGCGGGCGCGCCCGGCCGTGTCCTTTTATACTTGAAAAATTTTCGCACGGATATCGCGAATCTCGCCACATTAGTCAAAGCCCGCCGCTCCCGTCCCTTCCAGCTCTCTCGACGGGCCACCCTTCACTGAACGTGCGGGCAGAAGGATGGCCGTGGCCAACAGTTTGCCAGGCATATGAGATAGTGGCCTGTTGCCAGCCCCAACGAATTGCACGGCGGTCGCAAGTCCACTGGCTTGAATGGTGCAATTGCAAAAAATCCTTTTTGTTTTTTTTTTTTTTGTTGAACTCGGGGGCGGCGCTGTTTTTAGAATTCCTGTGAAGGCCGCTGCGAGGAACAGCGTCGACCGGCGCGACAGGAGAGCAACGAGCAGCGCAAGGCTGCAGAGACCGGTCGGACTGATCCGGTGCATGGTGATCTGAAGAACAATCACCTGGTTGCAGTTCGCTCCTGAGTCATAAATGCAGAATATGCACGAGCCGCCTGCGCCCAGCTTCTTCTTCTCTCTAGACATTTCGTTCTTTTCCCAAACTACACCCTAATCATGGCCGACACCACTGTATCGCTGACACCGGAGGCGAAGTTTGAGCTTATTTCGCGCAACCTCGACGAGATTCTCGGCGCCGAGGAGCTAAAGAAGACGCTGGCTGAGCGCGACATCAGCCTGTACTGGGGCACAGCACCCACGGGTAAGCCGCACGTCGGCTACTTTGTGCCCATGTCGAAGCTTGCTGATTACCTGCAGGCGGGCTGCCATGTCACGGTCCTGATTGCCGACATCCACGCGTTCCTGGACAACCTGAAGGCGCCGATCGAGCTCGTAAAGTCTCGCGCAAAGTACTACGAGCACCTGGTCAAGGCAATGCTGTCTTCGATCGGCGTGCCCCTGGACAAGCTCAAGTTTGTCGTGGGCAGCAGCTACGAGCTGACGCCCGAGTTCTCGATGGACAACTACCGCCTGGCGTCGATTGTCACCGAGCACGATGCGAAGAAGGCCGGTGCTGAGGTCGTCAAGCAGGTCGATTCGCCGCTGCTCTCTGGTCTGCTGTACCCGGGCATGCAGGCGCTCGACGAGGAGTACCTGAAGGTCGACGCGCAGTTTGGTGGCGTCGACCAGCGCAAGATCTTCACGTTCGCCTGAGAAGTACCTGCCGCAGCTGGGCTACAAGAAGCGCATCCACATGATGAACCCGATGGTTCCTGGTCTGCAGGGCACCAAGATGTCGTCGTCTGACCCCGACTCCAAGATCGATCTTCTTGATGATGCCAAGGCTGTGCAGAAGAAGCTCAAGAAGGCGTTCTGCGAGGAGGGCAACATCGAGAACAACGGCGTGCTGTCGTTTGTGCGCTATGTGCTGTTCCCGATCAGCCACCTGCGTGACGGCAAGGCCGAGTTTGTGATCTCGCGGCCCGAGCAGTACGGCGGCAACTCGACCTACCACGACTTTGAGACGCTGCAGCAGGACTTTGCCGACAAGAAGATCCACCCCGGCGACCTGAAGGCGAGCGTCGCTGCGGCCCTGAACCGTGTGCTGGATCCGATCCGCGAGACCTTTGCGTCCGAGGAGCTCCAGAAGCTGGTGCTCGAGGCGTACCCGCCCCCGCAGGCCAAGTCCAAGCCGGCCAAGCAGAAGAAGAAGCACAACAAGCGCCCGGACCACCTTCCGCCCAAGGAGGCGGCTGAGACCAAGGAGGCGGCGGCAAAGCCGGCTGAGACCAAGGAAGAGCCCTCCGCCTAGATGTGATCGGGGAAGGGTCGCGATAGATTTCTCGCAAGGTCTATTTTTAAAAAAAAAAAATCACTCGAAAAACAGCAGTGACGACTTGTCCGAGAGGAGGGCGCGACGGTCCAGGAATCAGCAGTGTCCGAAACTGACAGCCCGCTAATGCAGGCAAATGCTGCATTTTTCATCAAGTTAGACCAGGGATTGGCAGCACGCAAAATCCACTGGGGACTGCAGCTGCGGGTGGAGGCATCACACTGAAGCAGCAGGCGCTTGATGTGATCGACTTGCTGGCGGGCTGGGCATCTATATTTATAGACCACCAGTCCGAATTGGCGAGCGAGCTTCACCTTTAAAAGAAGCGGTCCGAACGCATGGGTGCAGACCGCATTTGTAGAGAGGCTGCTGAACGACCAGCAACACGAGGTCTCGACATTACCCTCCCTCCCTCCCTCACCTCCCTTCCCACGCAACCAGCAACAAACCGCAGCTCGTTGTTCCAACTCCCCTCACTCGCTCCCTCGCAGCCGGGTCACAAGTGCGAGCGAGCTGCGCGTACACAAACCCCCTCGATTTGCCACACAATCGCCAGCCAACATTTCAAGAGTTACCCGCTCTTTTTGTCTCTTGTCTCTGCTCTATTTTTGTTATTCTACGCTTTCTTCTCTGTTCCGCTTAATTTCTTTCTCCTTGTTGCATTTCGCTCTTTTTATACCTTTTTCGCCCCGTTCCAGTTCCAAAGCAGCAGCTCTTGTCTTCCACTCCTCCCGCTGCACAACGCGCGCACGCACCTGTCTCTTTTAGGTTACACACCTGTTGGAACTCTCACATATGCATATCAGCAGCAGCAGGGGAATACGAGTCCACAGCACAGCACACGCAGCCTGGACAGCAGACAGGAGATCACAGCGGTACAAAGCGCTGCTGGTGGCTCTTGCATTTGTTTGCACAGAACTATTAGGCACAGCGGAGTCTACCCTGCACTGGCCATCGGCCGGAGCGGTCACAGCGCGAACTCGCATGCTTCTCCACCCCTGGTCTACTCAGCGAACAAACGGTCTGGCCCTGCTACTGTACAACGGCACGCCGCTACCCGAGGCGCGCAGTACCTGAAAAAAGTTCCATCGCGGTGGTCGGCAGCCTCAGCGATATCCGAAACAACCATTGTACGTGGTCGGCGGCAAAGCGCGGCACTGGCAATGCTGTCTCTGACTACGTCGCAGAATCGCTGGCACTCAATCTGGCAAACGACTTCACGACGGACAGCATTCAGTGGACGACTGCTGGAATCCGAATCGACGTCGCAGATCCCGCTGGTTGCTGGCCACACGCTGTGCTCTAGCGACGACTCCAATATGCTGATTGTCTTTGGCGGTGATATCCCTGACAGGGCCACGTATGTAGCCCCCCTTTATGTCTACAGCACCGGTATTGATTTGTGGCGGGCAGTCAACGAAACCGGGTTCCCTAAACCACTCGTCAACCATACCACGGTGCTGCAAAAATCCACTGGCGACATGCTGATCTTTGGCGGGTCTGCGTGGTCTGCCAACAGCAATGAACTGCAGATCACGAACTCGACCTTTCGCATGGTCACCAATCCAAGGAGTCATGTTGTTGTGACTGCTAGCCCACTAGTATACTTTTCGGACCTTTCTTCAGGCTCGAAAGGTGCGACGGATGACGACAATAGCAGCTCAGCGACAGGCGACAGGCGACAAAAGCAACGACGGCGGGAAGCAGCCCAACAACCAACAGCAAGGAGACTTCCAGATCAACCGAAGCTTCCCGCTCGGCAAAGGCAACGTCACCAACACCACCAGTCGCGGCCAACAGCGATACTGCTGCCAACCAGTTTGTTGATGTCTCCGTCGACTTCCGCCGGAGGCAAGACAGCTACACGCTGAGTCGGCGCGGGCTGGATGGGCTGAATGTCGGCATCATGTCGTGGATCAACCAGACCCTGCCGAAATCAGTCGCAGGACGCGTTGGGCACACCGCGAGCTTGGTCAGTGATCGCTACATGGTCGTGCTTGGGGGCAGAACCCGCTCGGGAAGCATGGTCGGTCTGGATGTCCTGTATGTGTACGACATGCTGGCCCGCACCTGGACTAGAAGGACATCGTCTGGAGATGCTCCAAAGAAGCGCCAGGCCCACATTGCGGCAGTTGTCAACGACACAATGATCGTTGTTCATGGTGGAACTAACACAAATTCATCGGCGGCCTTCGGCGATATTGCGGTGCTTGATACGCAGACGTGGACCTGGTCTACGCCAAGTGTGACTGGCGCGCCCAGCGGCCGGTACGCACACTCGGCGGTTGCAGCTGGGCCATATGTTCTGGATGATGTTTGGGTATGTCTCTGACGCTGCCAGCGCAGACAAGGGGCTCTACATCCTGGACACAAGCACATGGCAGTTCACCAACCGGTTCAGTGCGGCACGATCTGGCCTGGAGAAGAATCACACCTACTTCAAGGTCTCTGGCTGGACGATTTTCGGTCTGCTCGTGTCGTCGGTTGTTGGGCTGTTTGTGATCCTGATCCTGATGTACATTGCCTACATGCACTACTACAACCGCCACCCGCGGCTTTCTGAATCCGGCGACGGCGAGATTCTCTCTCCAACTACAGAGCTGCGCAGCCTGGGTCGCAAACTTACTGCCAAGCTCGGCACCCAGCGTAGCAAAAAGGCACAGCAGGAACAGCAGAAGCAGAAGGAGGAGCGCGAGCCTCTGGGCACCAAAATGCTACGCAGCAACTTCCGGAGCCACGACCCGCGGCTGTCGGCACAGTCAGGCCCGGCGATCAGTCTGTCGAACGGACGTGCAGTTGGGTATTCGCCGGGCGGCGACGACACCAGCTTGCACATTATGTTTGACCTCAGCCGCGAGTCGAGTTTCGAGCGGGGGCTGCTGCCGCCGCCGGCGCCCACGCTGAACACGTCGCTGACACGTCGCTGAACACGTCGCTGAATCGCTCAGCCGACAGCCGCGAGCTCACGGCCAGTGGCACCCGTCTCAGTCGCCGCGTACACCTGGATAACGTCGAAATGCCCGGTGGCCTGCGCAACCGCGACTTTGTGTCCGGCTTTGCTGGCCTCATCGACGACTCCGTGTCGATTCCGGATTCCGAGAACTTCCGTGGATCTGTAGCCAGCGGCACTAGCGGCACTAGCGATGGGCAGTGGTCGCGGACCGACAACCGCCGGTGGGGACAGCGAGGCGAAGCCGAGGAGCCGCAGGAACCGCCGCAACAAGTCCAAGCATGTGTCGGCCATGCTGCCAAGAATCGTCGGCAGCCGACTGACTCTGCCACCAGAGTCGGCCACCGCGCTGGCACGGTATCGGTTCGAGGAGCTCGAAGAAACCCCTGACGGCGTTATGCCGCCGCCAAAGACTGTGTCAGGATATCCAGGCGACGAGACCCCCCAAGCGAGCATTGCTATGCTGTCTGCTGGTAGGGACAGTGTTTCCGATGCTGCTTTGGCGCCGCCAGTGATGCCTGCCGCCTACCAGGATGCCGGGTCAATGAAGTCGCGCAGCTCGAATGGCAGTGACAGCGACGTGAGAAGCTCGGCTGGGTCACAGGAGCCCTCAATGCGCGATTCAATCGATATATTTGCCGTCATGAACCGGATTAATGGACAGGGGTTTTATGTGGCGAACCCCGACAACAGCTAAAGACAGCAGCCTGGTTATATCTGTAATCTACCTATGTACCTCTCTATGCATAATATTTTTTGTGAACACTAATATTGCAGACATATGTGCAACTATTGTCTTAGCCAGACAGAATACAGAAAGGCGCCTCTCCCCATCGACCGCTGGAGGCACTGTGAACTCGGCCTACAAGGCGTGGGCATGTCGTCATCGGCCAGCACAAGATCGACCGCATTATTATGCCGCTAAATCGGCAGCGGGTGTCTATCCCTCGCCTGCTTATTAGCGAGATCCGCTGGTAAAGCCCCGAGCATAGCGTGGCATCCGCAGGAATGGCAGTAAATAAATGGCTCATTCTCCGCCCTCCCTCGCGTTTAGCTCCACTTGCCTACCCGATTTATTTTCGTTTATCAACTTCTGCACTTGGCAATGGCTGCAATTCCGTTTGGCATTCTCACTGTAAGCGACTCGTGCGCTCAGGGCCTGGCGACCGATACCAGCGGGCCAGCGCTAGCAGCGCTGCTGGAGGCACACAACGGGCTTTATACCAAAGCGCAGTCCCTGCGTCGTCTCCGACAACCCGCAGGACATCGCGGCGTGCGTGGCCCAGTGGAGCGCGCACGCCGAGTGCCGGCTGGTAGTGATCACAGGCGGCACAGGCATGGCGGCGACTGACGTGACGATCAAGGCGGTGCAGCCGCTGTTTGACAAGGAGCTGCCGGCGATGGCCATGGCCATGGTGGTCGGGTCGCTGAAGATCACGCCGTTTGCAGGCGCTGAGCCAGGTTGCTGCCGGAATCATCAAGGAGACGCTGATCCTGGCGCTACCGGGGAGCAAGAAGGCGTCGGTCGAGAACCTGCAGCATGTGCTTCCAGTTCTGAAGGCATGCGATCGAAACCGCGATGGCTAAAGCCGGCACGCGCCATCTGCACACGGCCAAGGGCACGCCGAAGCATCCAGGCAGCCCCCATCATCACGACAAGAAGCGCGATATTGTGACTCACGATAAGCCAGAGAACACCACCAGGATGGTGGCCTGTGGGTGTGGGCGGCGTGACGCTGAGGCACCATCTGGAGTCACAAACGACCTGCAAGGCGGAGTCACGAAACGCGCAAGGCACTCGCCGTACCCAATGATTCCAGTAGATGAAGCCCTGAATCATGTTTTGGAGCATGTGCCACAGCCAAGGCCAGCCAGCGTCCATCTAGCCGCGATCCGCGATGGTATGACTGTTTCCAAGGATGTGGTTGCCGCAGAAGACGTGCCTGGCTACCCAGCATCGATCATGGATGGATATGCGGTTGTTGCTTCCGACGGGCCTGGGGTGTACACGGTCAGAGGTGCTGCCACGGCTGGATCGCAGCTCGGCAAGCTTATGCCCGGAGAGATTATGCGTATTGCCACTGGTGCCCCGGTCCCTGACGGTGCAGATGCCGTGGTCATGGTGGAGGATACGCGGCTGCTAGAGACCACTGATGACGGCTCAGAGGAGCTCAAGGTCGAGATCCTCGAGTCCGGCAGAGTCCAGACCGGCCAGCATATCCGGCCTGTTGGATATGACACGCAGAAGGGCAGTGTGGTGACCAGAGCTGGCACTCGTATTACCACAGCAGGCGGAGAGATCGGGGCACTGGCAGCCTCGGGCAATACTGCCTTTGAATGTATACGGATTCCCTAGAATTGCAGTTATGTCGACGGGCGATGAAGTTGTTGACACACTCCAGGCGAATGCAGGAATGCAGCTAGCGCGCGGTCAGATCCGCGATAGCAACCGCCCTGCGCTGTTGGCGGCGCTGCGAGCTGTGGGGTGCGATCCGGTTGATCCTGGGCGTGGTGCAAGACAGCCCCGATAAGCTAGCAAAGTCTATTAAGGCTGCGCTGGAGACGTGTGACGGGATCATCACCACTGGCGGTGTCAGCATGGGAGAGCGGGACTGGCTCAAGCCTGTGGTGGAGCAGAAACTAAACGGCAAGATCATCTTTGGCCGCGTAATGATGAAGCCGTCGAAGCCGACCACCTTTGTTGCTCTGCCCGAGGGGAAGTTCATGTTTGCGCTGCCAGGAAACCCAGCCTCGGCACTTGTCGCCTTCCATATGTTTGCTGCACCGGCCATTCGCAAGCTCGCAGGCCATGTAGTCAATGCATCAGTGGATGACAATGTGGTTAGTATTCTTCCGGCCGAATGTCAAGGCGCACTTTGTCGGCGATTCCCTTGCGCTGGACCGTGGACGGCCAGAGTTTATGCGTGGACGGCTGGTGTGGCAAAAGGGCTCCAGCAAGTGGACTGTTGAAGCGGCCGATCGGCATCAGCAGAGTAGTCGCATGGCGAGCATGCAGGGTGCTAACGCGCTGATAGCGCTGCCCATCGGAACTGCTGACAAGCCCACAGTCAGCAACAACGAACTGGTCGATGTCATCGTCATTGGCGATGTTTTGTTTATCTAATTTAGTCGCTGAGTCCTAGTTTTTGATTTGTGGTACCACATACTGATTCACACGAGTCAAGTAGCGACTGACTGAACAGCATTGCGTGAATGTATTGCCAATTGAATCCCAAGGACACTTGCGATTACTTGCATATCTGGAAACATATCGTTTAATCAAAGGCTTCCACGGTGGCAATAGCCATATTAAAATAGGCATTACCTTGCCCTACTCTCTGTTTGCAATCACCAACGGCCTTTTCACATCCACCGCATCATGTTACCACACAACACCAGCAGTGCAACACTTCATATCTTTGTGAATATTCCGTCGTTGTTGACGAATTAGCATTTTGGCCTACTTGATGATATGTATTGGTTAAATGATAGTTTAGTTTTGCGCAGCAGGTGTTGCCGAATTCCTTCCTTCGCCGTGATACTCTCGCCGCTCCCTGGCATAGCGGTCCTTGTCGTTCTTCGCTAGTCTCTCCCATGGAGCCCGCTCAGAGTCAGTCAGACATTTCCACTTTTTGGCAATGATCTTTGTCTGCTGGCCAATGCTCATTTCGCTGAGCTGATCGGCTAGACGCGGGCGCTCAGTAGTCAGAAAATAGAGAAACGCAGACATTGGGTGCTTGGGTGCATCCGGATCCTTCTTGCTCTTTTTTCGCGCACGCTTTGGTGGACTTGACACACGCAGTCGCGACCTGGACATGCCAGCTTGCGCTGATGCTGGGTCGCTGGGCTGGATTCTCGCTGCTGATAGATGCCAAGTCAGTGGTGCGCTGGATGCCAGATAGCGTTGATTCCAGCACGGAAACGTCAGGGCTGGAGAATGTAGTGGCTGAAAAACGGCTGGCTTGGTCTGTCATGAGTCAAGGAGGCTGGGTCTGCTGACATCGTGTTTAGATCGCTGAAATTTGTCAGCGAGCGAGAGTTGTGCTAGAGAAGGGTCGATTGATCAGCGTGTCGATCTGGTCACCAAAAATGCTACTGGTGCTGGCGGTGTTGAGAGACTCGAGGTTTGCGGACATTTGGTTCTCATGGTAGGCAGGCTGGGATGTCATGGGAGTATGGTGTGTACGTAGGCAAACTCGAAGGAGGTCTCGGCAGATTATAGGGCATGTGCACTGAATCTTGGAATGCATCGTTAGTTAGGCTGAAGCCAGATTGCTGCCACCTGTCCTCCCCTACAATGGTTAAGGAACATGAGTGATTGAAGGGAAAACTGCGCAGTACCTGCTGCTAGAACATTAACATGTTGCTTGCTTTACGCCTTACCTGTAGCTTTGCCACTAACCTCTTCGCCCAGCTGCTTTCCAAACTGGTCAGCATCTTGGTAGCCTTGGTTGATATGCTGGTGGTCGAACTTGAACATCTGACTACTGGCCATATCGGACTCTGAATGCGCCAGCGACGAGATATCGTTACTCAGTTGAAACGGGTCTGCACCCATGCTGGCTAGTGCTGCTACATTTCCATGGCTGTGGATGTCTTCCTGAGGGGTCTGAGGGAACTGGGTCTGCGGTGTGTGGTGGCTTTGACTTGGATTTGGTGTATGTGGCGAATATGGTGAGCGCAGCCCATGACCCATGTATGTTTGCTGTTGCTGTTGCTGTTTGTTGCTGCTGATGTTGTTGCTGCTGCTGCTGCTGATATCCAAACGGGCTGGGCGGATGCATGTGGCCTTGATGTTCTGTAGGCACCATGCCATTGTCAATTATCTCCAAAGGCGGCGGAGCATGACCTTGCGACGGGTGGTGTGTTAAAATTGGTGGTGGTGGCGGAGGAGGTGGCGGCGGGTGGCCAAGGCTCATATTCAGGCTCTGCTGATTAAGCTGCTGTTGGAGCTTTAGACTGAGTTCTGCACGCCTAGCATTGTAATCGTCGCGAAGTTGTTTCGCCTCGGCACGGTATTTCTCCTTTTCTTCCTCAGCCAGATTTGCCCATTCGCGCGCCAGAATCGTGCTCTGCTGCGTTGTGTTAAGATCAGGGTGGGTCTGGCGCAGTTGCACGCGGCGCTCGGCTGAGTAGAGCAGAAACGAGTTCATGGGCTTTTTCAATGGAGCCACGTAGTCAATTGGCTGCCGGATATGGTACCATTTGGTGCTCGCATGTGGCATGGGTGGCATTGACATCCGATCCTCGTACATCATGCGCTGATCAGGAATCCCAGACATGTTATACATCATTCCGTATGGGCGAGCATTAGGTAGCAGCGACGTCATGGCTTGGGGCGTCCCTGGCGGACCGCTTCCTGGCATACTTGGGTTCAGGGGGGCTGCGAGAGGATTGGGCATAAAGTTATTGGAGCCGATGCTGCCGTGGCTGCCAAGTGGACTATGCAGGCTCATGTGCGGGTTTGTAAGCGACGGGAAGGTAGCGCTACGCTGGATATTCACCAATGTGCTTTCGTCGGGCATACCGGCACCGGCAGAGCCACCAAGCGAAGGATCGGCCGGCATGTTACTGCCCATATTTGCAAAGGCCGAATTGCCACCTCAACCCATGCAAGGCAAACGGCGTCTGGTTGCCGGAATTGTCTGCAGCCATATGCGAGATTGGAACACTTGACGATGTGGTGGGGTTAATGTCGGCGGCTGAGCTGGACAGCCCAGGTATGTCCGATAGGAGCTGCGAAATGTTTGACAATGTGCTTTTCCACTTTGTGTGGATCCTGTACGGTGTCCTCGGTGAGTTGGTTTTGCGCAGCTAGTGGAGGTACGGCTCCCGAAAAATCGTCTAGCGCAGAGAAGGAGTTGATGTTGGATATATGCTGTAGCGATTGATACAAAGGCGGTGAAAAGATATCCTGGGATGTGACTACATGACAAAAGGAGGTTATATACAAGATGTTAGCCTGGTGTACCTATAGCTTTGTTTTATTCTTCAGTGGGGGCGCTAATAGATAGTATACCATTGACCAATCTCGGTTGGGTTGGATGGTCAATGGGCGCCAGTTATTAGCTGTGGCTTTTGGATTGGGACTCTCGTCTTGTTTTGACTGCCTGGCAGTTAGTATACTATTGCCTCCATTGGTTTCATTGCAATGGCATAGGCTCGATTATCACAGTAGAGCATAGTCATATGGATAATATATAGTGGCACATTACGCGGCTGGCATTGTAAGAATTCGTGCTATGTGCTGAGACAAGGCACGTACAGTGGTTTATCTATGGCCACCCCATGTTTGTGGGTCATGGATGACCAGATTAGCAGCAGCTTAATGAATGTTGAGGATAATTACGATGTGGGTGGCCGGTTGAATCGACCCGCTGCCAAATTGCTGTTTCTGACCAACATACCTGTACTTGTGACCCATGGATCAATGCCGAATATGCACCATCTGTCGTGGCCGATGAGTGGTCACTGGTTCCACTTATCTCTGGCCCTAAATCCTTCATTACAGCCATCCTACCCAGGACTCCCCCGACACTTGTCTCTTGGACCATCTACGAGCAAATGCGTGTTAAGAGTGGCTGCATTAAGGGTCGGACAGCTTTACACCATACAGAAAGGCACATACCGACAAAAGGCAATATTTAAATATGCATACGTACCACTACTGCCGATTCCAGCAAGGTGATGATTCCCCTGTGCGGTAAGTTGTGAACTGCCGTCTTCTGCGCCTGTTGACTGTATGTGGCCGACAAGGCTGGTTGCTGGGTCGAGGGTCATGAACGTGCTCGGGGGAAGAAATGCCAACGGCTGGTGGTGGTGCATTGCCATGTGGCTCTGCCCGAACAGCCCCATTGTCCCCAGTGGCTAAACTTGAACAAAGCGGATGAGGGAGGTTGCGGGAAAACAGGATCACATTAGCTGTTGGACATACAATAGGTACTGGGTGCAAACATAGGGTGACAAAGCGCAAAAATTCGGGGGATATGTGTGAAAGTCCCTTTTTCTTACCTCGGCATTCGTGCTTATCGCCACCGCAGTAGAGCTCGCAGCAGATATCAAACCGAACTCGCTGCTCATGTGGTTGGTGCCAGTAGACAAAGGCAGAGCAGGTGAACCAGCTTTTGGGCTGCTGTGCTGACTAGCTGCCATGCGAATATCAAGTGAAGGGCCCTGTGAGATTTCCTGCTGATGGCCAGCGGAGGAATTTGACTGCGAACTAGTGGTCACTGTGCCACCAGTGCGCGGCAGGAGGATGTGCTTGTGGATTTGGTCGCTCTGGCCGCTGGTGCGCTCGCTGAACGAATGCAGTTTAGCTTCGGAAATATTCGCTGATCGTGCCTCGCCATTCCTTTGTATGCGACGTCATCTTTTGTTTGCAACCAGGAGTGTATAGACCAGCTATACTATATGCTAGACTCCTAGATATTGGTAATATTTGTGCCGAAACCTAAGAGCCTGGGAGATGCGTTTCCGGTTTTATAATAAAAAAACTACACGGTTAGTGGATGGCAAGTAAGAATAATAAAGACAAGGATCCAAAAGCTGAAAGATGGTACGTTTTGCACAAGGTGCCCCCCTTTTCTTAGACTATATTTCTTATTTGGGGAGCGCCCTTGCCAGAAAACCCACCAATGTTGTTTGAGTAATAAGGTGGAGTGTGAAAGTAGGGATAACTGAATGTAGCGCTTTAAGAACCCAAGGGGATCGCAAACAATTAGGTCCGCACGAAGGTAAATCCTTAGTGCTGGTCGATGTTTGAAGAAAAAGTATGTGGAAATGTGGGATGTGGCCCAAGAGTACAAAAATGCAAAAGGGGTGAGCTGGAAGGAGGGAAAAAGAAAGGAGGAAATGGAAGGAGGTGAGGCACTTATTCTATGTTGCTCGGACATCACAATCTCGGTTATAAAGTTAGCCACTAGAAATGCTGCATGAAGATCAATATATGCATCTCTGAAAAATTCTATGTAGTCTTCTGGCAGGAACACAGTCCTAGACCTCACTCAGCCCAACCCGATCACTTGCTGTCTTTTTCAACTTACGTGCTATTCAACTATTCTCTTTGCGCTTGAGAGTGCGTGTTTATGAATGAATGCCCGGCGTATCTACGATTGCTAAATCGATTGAGGGCTCTCTGTATCAACACAGAATAGAGTGAATATAATGTCAGGAACAAGAAAACTTTTGCTAGGAGAGCACAATATGCTGTAGTCTTGAGATATTTCTCCGTGTGCTTTTTATTCAGCTGCATTGATAGTCCCTGTGGAATAGCATACTAATACATCTTCAACGATAACCCATGCATCGAACCATTTTTCTTTGCCACAAGTTGGGAGTGAGCACATTGTGATATTTGGTAGAGGCACTTATGTAGGAATATGTAGGCGAATGATTTAGGGATGCAATGCGCCAAGGTTACCACATATGCATAATTTAGCATTGGCGAAATCACAGATGATGCAGCAGGAATGCAAGGTTAGCCGCTTACCTTTGGGAGCTTGCAGAAGAATAAATTCGGGAATGTGCTTGCTGTCTGCATATTGTAAATTCTGAGGATAGCGACGAAGGTCCAACATTTTTATGTTGGTGCTGTTTGTTTGAGGACACTGCTGCTGGTGGTGCTGCCAGGGATACTGGTGACCAATCAACTAACCTTTGTCCAAGACGCAAGAGTTAGCTGTATCGGCAAAAAACATTGCAACAAATCACTATGGACTGCACAAAAATTATGCTGCTTCACTCTTGGACATGGGGTTGGGGGATGATGGGCAGACATGGAAGGTACCCGAGCAAACGTCAATATATGGCTTATTGTTTTAATTAAGAGTCAATGGGATTGTGGCTTCATTGACAGATATTCACTGTGCGTCCGCCATGTCCCCGTATTCTCCACCCATCGTGCTATTCCTTGGCGGGTGCGAACGCCATAGCTGGACGAGTGAGGCACCGGGCTCACGCGTGGAATCAGGGAAATCGCCTGCGATCAAATCAAAGGAGCTGGGTGGGAATTCTGGCAATGCTGTGCGGCTCTTTGTCTAAAGCATGATTAGCTGAGCTGAAGTTCATGCCGAAAGTCGGAACGCCTCCAGACGTTTTCCATCTGCAGACCGGCAAATTTTAGCATTTCATTCTCTTCGCTCCACTAATTTTTCAGCAACTTAAGCACTAGTATACAATCCACAATGTCCGACGACGAGTTCCAGCCGCTTACCCCCACTCTGCAGAATGTGCTCGACCAAAAGTCGCTGCAGTGGGTTTTTGTCGGAGGCAAGGGCGGCGTGGGCAAAACCACGACCAGGCAAGTACTTCCACGAAGAAACAGGGAAGCGCTGGCGACTTTGCACATCACGCAGCATATTCAACTAATGTAATTGCGTTTCTCGTGGTGTAGTTCTTCGCTGGCAGTTCAGATGGCGGCGGCGCGTGAGAGCGTGCTTTTGATCTCGACCGACCCGGCACATAACCTGTCTGACGCATTTGGACAAAAGTTTGGCAAGAACCCGACGTTGGTGAACGGGTTTGACAACCTGTTCTGCATGGAGATTGACCCGACCAGCAGCATCCAGGAGATGATTGAGAGCGCGGACAACAGCGCAATGAACTCGATTATGCAGGATCTGGCATTTGCGATTCCGGGTGTGGACGAGGCCATGGGGTTCGCTGAGGTGATGAAGCTGGTCAAGTCGATGGAATACTCGGTGATTATCTTTGACACGGCGCCCACGGGCCACACTCTGCGGTTCTTGTCATTCCCGACGGTGCTGGAGAAGGCGCTAGCCAAGGTGTCGCAGCTGTCGGGACGGTTCGGTCCGATGATGCAGCAGATGTCGGGCATGATGGGTGTGAGTGCGAATCACGAGGATATCTTTGCCAAGCTGGAGAGCATGCGCGCCGTGATCAACGAGGTCAACCAGCAGTTCCAGGACCCCGACAAGACGACGTTTGTGTGTGTGTGCATTTCCGAGTTCCTGTCGCTGTACGAGACCGAGCGGCTGGTGCAGGAGCTGACCAACGGCAACATTGACACGCACAACATTGTTGTCAACCAGCTGCTGTTCCCACCCAAGGAATCCAACTGCGACCAGTGCCAGGTGCGGCACAAGATGCAGCAAAAGTACCTGGAGCAGATCTTTGACCTGTATGAGGACTTCCATATCACCCTGCTGCCGCTGCTGACACACGAGGTACGGGGTGTTGACAAGCTCAAGACCTTCTCTAGGCTGCTGGTGGAGCCTTTCCAGCCTCCTAAATAACCTAGATTGGACCCGACGGTATGGGCTAGTTTCTTTTACCACCAAAGAGTATCACAAGTTCTATATATCCTTACCACCATGAGCTCCTTTTAGGGAAAGCGTGCCAAGGCTATGATGATCTGGTCAGTACGGCGCAGTGCAGCTCGAGTGCCACTAGCTGGGATACATCAGAAATGTATCACCTACTAGCGTGCAGGCAGCCTGTGTAAGCATAGAATAGCCTGCTGATACTCCCCACTTGCCTTGTGGGTGGCATGTACAGTCTGTCACATATGGAAACAGCCGGCATATTGACTCTGCAGCAGACTCAGAATCTCCTTTGCTAGCTGCCTGGTCCTGAGAGCCCGCCTGGATCAATCCATCGCCAAGGAATAGGAGCTTACGAATATTAGGCAGTGGCCGTCCTAGCAAGCTTTCAATCAACACCAGGTCTCGGCTGATCCCCAAAGTCTTTGGGTTCGCATGGTGTGCAATGATTCGGACCTCTGTAATAAGATGTCGCTTACTGAGATCATCGATCAAACCAATGCTAAACCTCTAAATGTGCTTATGCGGATATTCGCACGTATGATCGTCACAAATTCACGGGTTATTGCTCTCCAGGAGTAGGACTCTGAATGTTGTGTCAGGCAGCTCGATAGCGCGAGCAGGATATGTCTTGGTGAATCCCTCGACGTACCAGTAGTCATCCATAGTTGAGACGGGACCGACAGAGTTTTCAGCTAGCTTAGCCGCGTTAATAGGCAACTCAGTTTGCCACTTGACACCCGCACTCCGGCGAGACATGGTGATTAGCAGAACAAAGAGTAGCTTGACTATAGACGGCGTTGGAAAAGCAGTGTCCAAAAAGTAGTTTTATTGGCAACGGGTATTTGGAAATGGGGAAGGGCGATGAGGAACAGCCGAAAAGTGCGCAGCTTCTCCCATGAGTTCATGTACCACTTTTGAAATACTTTACAAAAAGGTTGTCAAAAAATAGCACTGCGTGTAATGGCACGGTTCTGCACTGTGAGTGAGCTGCAAATGTACGAAAATGCGCATCCGATTACGCAGCCATCTGATGTTTCCCTATAGACATCAAAATCAAGGGCCACTTTCTAGGCCAACGATATGCTTGCTGGCTGGTAGAAAGAGCGTAAAAATGACGATGCTGTAAAGAGATACCGATGGGCAGGCGCACTGCGACACTGGGGATAAGTTCGTTTGAGGTATAGCTCTACATCCTTCCATGACTCGTTTTGCCTAAATATACACTGGGTAAGCTTATGCGCAAACCCCCATCTCCCTGCCCGAAACAAGCAGCGTAGATGTATCCACTCATTGATCAACTGCGAATAGTTCGCAGTTTCTCTTTGTAGAGGCTTTGTGTAGCCAAAAGGCAAAAAAAGTGCGTGCATAAATGCTCTGGGCGCCATGCAGCGTTTATTTACATAAATCAAAGTAGCTTGCTTTTCAGCACTACGTCTTGGCAAAGAGGGGAATGTAAATTGGGATTGCAATAGAGTATCCTTTTTCCATGGATGGCATTTTCGGCTACAAATATTTGAATGTGCAAGGGGTCCTATGTTGCCCGAAATACACAATACACGAGTTGCTATTCTTTAGAGTCTATGCCAGGGCAGGTGATCCGACTCCAATAGTGGATTTGCTCGGAAAATCATTGCTCAATGTCTTCAAATCATCCGACATGGATCCAACATGGCTTGTGTACATGGGATAACTTGTTCACGACAACTTTTGCCAAAACAAAATGGCTGGCTGTCGAAATTTTTCCCTGCTGCTACAGGCTGTCAGAGAAATGTAGCAAAGGGGTGTACCCCTATAGACTTGCCATCTCTATCAGTGTAGTAATGCCAATCTTTAAGCATGAGCAGCTATAGCATCTAATACAGCTGGAGGATGAATCTGTAGCATCAAGTCACATGGCCCGACATGGTTCATGTGTGATGTGCTGTGTACGATTGTAAAGGCTATAAAAGCAGAAGTAGCTTATGCTCTGGCATGTATTCTGTCTCTGCTCTTCCACGGGCACATGAGAGATATATGCAGCTGATAGGCGACGGCTAGCAAGCTAGAGATACTGCGGCCTCTACGCTATGACGATGGATTCAGTTGCTACCTCAGCATCGCTGACTTTCGCTCATCTGCCGACTACTTTAGACATATTTTCGCATACCATTAGTGATGGTCTATTTTGTTTTGATAATCATTATTGTAACACAGCCTGGGTATCCCAGTAGGACTCCAGAACATGTAGCGCAGACACTAGATCTGCTTTCTTGAAAAATTGTATTTCCGATGGCAGCCAATTCAGTCTCGCAACGTGCCACAGCAGCTGGACAGTATCCCCTCGTTGGTGGGCTAATCCCGCATGGGCCAATACGGCTGGAGGAGCCCAGCAATATTCCCAGTCTAGGCCAACAGCAAGCCCCTCTAGCCCTGTCTCAGACGCCTCCTTCTGGAGCCTTGCGAAATATCCCCAATTGCGCACGACGCTTCCTCGCACATCGTTTCAGCATCCTCCGATTCGCTGGAAATTGCCAGGGGGATTTTCCCACCTGGATGGAAGGCTCTCCTTGCCACTGTGCAGCAATAGCGCCGGGTTACGTGCTAATGACGTCAGGCCTAATTTTAAAAAACCTCCTGGCTCGGTGTTGAGCCAGGGGACATTGTTGGCGGTATTTAGAGAGTTGGAAGCCCCCCGCTTTGCCTCTGCCGAGGCATTTCGAACTCTAGCACACTTTTCCACTTACATTTTCAGCACTCTTATACGCTTACTTGGCGTTTAACCCTCCTCTATCACACACTCAAGAACACCATCATCAGTATGGCTACATCAATTGCACCGCGCTGGGCCACAACAGCTTCTGGCAGATGCCTTAAGCTGGACTCAACCCATATGGCCAGCCGGCGCGGCATAGCAACAAATCCGAACGACACGCGTAGTGGCCCGCCAAAGGCCAGTGCGCTGTCAAAATCGCGGCGACTGGTGACCAGTGCACGCATCCTGCCTGGCGGGTTTGAGAGAACCCGCGCTGTATGACTGCCACACAAAGATTCCACGGTGCGAGCCGTATCCCACGACACACCACGGCGGGCAGTTCCCATGGCTGCTGAGCGCCGAGCGGCAGCGCATCCCCGAAGACGACCTGGAGGGCACCAGCATTGTGCCTTGGGGGGTGCGACAGACACTAGCGCACTCGCTGAATGAGTGGGTCGCGCAGATGGTGCTGGGCAAGCAGGCCTTGGATGACGTGTGCGTTGGCGCACGGCATGCATTGCCGCATGTAGCCCAGACACTGTCTGAGGTGGGACGCGGGGGCGTGGCGCACGGGCTGGACACAATGTTTACGCCTGGGCTGCGTGACCGGTTTGCGAGCGAGCTGGAGAAGCTGCGCGCAGCGGGAATCGAGCTGAGCCTGGAGGTGAGCAAGATCTCAAGCGCCAGCGTGTGCGGGATCCGCACGCAGGTGGGGCCGAGCCGGGCGTTCGGGTACGGCGAGTCGGCGAGTCTGAGCGCGGGCGTGGCGCGGCATGCATACAAGGTGCGGCGGTTTCTGGGTATAGCGCATGCAGTGCCGGCTGACTCGGAAACAGAAGCGCTGCGGCGGTATGCGAGCGTGTGGGATGCACTGCAGGGGACTGTACCGGTCAGGGTGCGCGTGGATGTGGAGATTGCAAGCCGGATGCGGTATCGGCTCGTCGACTCGCACCAGAAGTCGTCCCAGCACGAGCTGCTGGCGGACGTGCAGCGCACAACGATTGTGGACGACGATGCCGAGCGCAACGTGGTGCTGACGCTCGAGTCGAATAGCATTGCGCGCGGCGACCGGCTCGTCTGGAAGGTGGCTGACATTGACTACTTGCTGTCGAGCGAGCGCCGGATCCACAAGGAGCTGGCCGAGGCGACAAAGTAGAACTGCTATAGCTTTTGTTTTTTTGATGTATTTAATGTTTGTGCACACGCCTCTTGGGTCTTTGTGTCTGGGCCGGTACCAGTCACAGGTCGACGGCGGACAAGAGTGTCCTGGTTGGACTGCGTTTACTGAGCCAGTCTGCGGAAGTGGACGATAGTGTAGCCTGGCCAATGCGAGGCGTCTACAGTCCAAAAGTGGTCTAAATATTGCTGGGGTGAGCAGCACTGTGCGACGGATGGGGGGCAGGTTCCAGGTGGTCCAATTGGCAGCAAGTGGGATCCGCTTTCAAGTGCCTCTGTGGGTTTGGTTCAGGTAAGCGCGAGTTTTTTTTTTTTTTTTGCCGTGGTAGCCGTAGCAGTCGGCCAGCTCAAGGACGCTGTTTTCCCGGCGACCAGGTCCAGAGTTGCTATGCATAATGGCAATCAAATAGATGCAATGTCCACCACAAAAGAGTCGGCGTGGGACGATGCATGTGTGCATGCGGTTTTGGGAGCAGAAGAATGTGACCTTCTTCGCTGTGTCAGAAATCCGGGAAAGGGAGAGGACCCGGGGATGCCAGAAGCGAGCGCCTCCTCCCCTTCTGGCGGTCGTTGCCATCGCTGTCGTCCACCCGGATCCGCTCCCCCTTGGATCCGGGCGGCTGTTTGTTCGGGGCTCTTCGATGGCGCCTCTATTGGGTGTGGCGGGGACGGATATTAGCGCCTGGCGCCTCTGGTCCTACCGCTGCTTTAGGCTGGAGCAGCGGGGAGGAGGCTTGTAGCGTGGCCAGATAGAACACGCTCGGACGAGGGGCAGGGTGGGATTGCCCGATACTATCACGTGCAGAAGAGGTGCAAATCGCTGCACATGGCTTGGGATGCACAGAGATGACGGGCATGTGCAAAAGCACTGGGCCAACCAGTGTGGATTTCTGTCAGACAAGAAGCGGCCGGAGCCTCGTGCGACGGCAGTGCGCAAATGATAAGGGAGGGGTTCTGCGAAAGGAACCGGGGGCTGTGGCAGCACCGGCAGTAGACTACGGGCAAATCCGGTTCAGAAAACGGGTGGACAAAGCGGAACGAATGCCAAAAGTAAAAAATTTTGCGGCCTGCTCCGCTCTCGGGCCATTCCCACCGTATCGCAAGCAGCGTGCAGGCATGTGCCTGCGAGGGCACTATAAAAGGGATGGTGGGCGCGGGGGGCCGAGGAGCGCCTGCTCCCCTCTTCTACTGCAAGTTTCTTACCAATTCACTCTAATACCTGTACTTTTCTCCCGTGCTTTTCAACATGTCCAAGGAATCCGAGATCTTTGTTGGAGCCATCGACCAGGGCACGTCGTCGTCCCGCTTCCTCATCTTTGACACCAAGGGCCAGGTGGTGGCCAGCCACCAGGCCGAGTACCAGAACTTTTATGCCAAGGCTGGGTGGGTCGAGAAGGACCCGGACCAGATCATGGAGTCGGTTGAGACCGTCGTCGTGGGCGCGTGCCGGCGGTTCAACGCGCTCGGCTATGATGTGTCGCAGATTAAGTCAGTGGGCATCACCAACCAGCGCGAGACCACGGTCGCGTTTGACTCCGAGACTGGCGAGCCGCTGACCAACGCCATCGTGTGGAGCGACGTGCGCACCAAGGACCTGGTGCACCGGCTGGTTGAGGACGCCGGCTCGGCCACGCGCTTCGCGTCAATCAACGGGCTGCCCATCACCACCTACTTCTCGGGTACCAAGATGCGCTGGATGCTGGAGAACGTGCCCGAGGTCCAGGCGGCGCGCGAGCGCGGCACGCTGCGGTTCGGTACCATCGACACGTGGCTGATCTACAAGCTGACGGGCAACTACGTTACCGACGTCACCAACGCATCGCGCACCATGCTGATGGACATCAAGACGTTCAAGTGGCACGACGAGTGCCTCGAGTTCTTTGGCGTCCGGCGCGAGGAGCTGCCCGAGATCCGCTCGTCGGCGGAGGTCTACGGGAAGATCCTCGAGGGCCGTCTGGCGGGAGTGCCTGTCGCGGGCTGTCTCGGCGACCAGCAGGCGGCTATGGTGGGCCAGTCGTGCTTCGATGCGGGCGAGGCCAAGAACACGTACGGCACCGGCTGCTTCATGCTGTTCAACACCGGCGAGGAGCCCATCTTCTCCAAGAACGGCCTGCTGACCACCGTCGGGTACCAGCTGGGTCCCGATGCCACGCCCAAGTACGCGCTGGAGGGCTCGATTGCCGTGGCCGGCTCTGCGATCCAGTGGCTGCGCGACAAGATCGGACTGATCTTCTCGGCAGACGAGATCGGCTTCCTGGCGGACTCGGTCGAGGACAACGGCGGCGTGTACTTTGTCACTGCCTTCTCGGGCCTGTTTGCGCCGTACTGGCGCGATGATGCCCGCGGCGCCATCGTCGGCCTGACTCAGTATGCCACGCGTGGCCATATTGCGCGCGCCACGCTGGAGTCGGTGTGCTACCAGACCAGGGCCATTCTGGACGCCATGCGCAAGGACTCGGGCACCGAGCTGCGGCGCCTGCGCGTTGACGGCGGTCTGACCAACTCGAACCAGGCCATGCAGATCCAGGCCGATATTCTGAACATCGAGGTTGTCCGTCCCGAGATGCGCGAGACCACCGCCCTGGGCGCTGCTCTGGCTGCCGGTCTGGCTGTCGGCATCTGGAAGGACCAGCACGAGCTGCGCCAGGTCGCCCAGTCCAACGTGTCGGCCTTCTGGTCGCGCATCTCTGACGAAAAGCGCGACGAGATGCTCAAGGGCTGGGACAAGGCTGTCGAGCGCAGTCTCGACTGGGCCTAATTATTTTCTATGCGTTTCCCGACTTAACCTAATGTATTCAACACTGCTCAAATGCTGTTTGCCTCTGAAAACTCCTGCCGGATGCGCTGCTCGCTGGACAGCAGGTAGTCCAGATCAGCTACCCGCCACTCCAGCGGCGACGCGCCGTCAATGATGCTCGACTCGAGCGTCACCATTGTGTTTCTTGTTGCGTCGTCATCCACAATCGTCGTGGAGCACCCGTCTTTGCCGCCGATCAGCCGGTACCGCATGTCTGTGTTGACCTCAACATCCACACGGATCCTGACCGGCTCACCGCCGCCCAGGGCGCTCACCAGATCCTTAAAACGAGCTGTCCACGTCCTCTGCCTTCTGCGCATGGACGACTCCCAGGAACATCGTTGACCTGGACAGGCCTGGCGGGCCAGCCCAGCACGCAGCCCAGAGGCCTTGGCCTGGTCGATAGTGCCGACCGCCGAGCCGATCTGGGTACGAATTGTGCGTATGTTCGAGCTGTTGACATGCTTGACTTCGAGCACAAGCCGCACGTTATCGCGCGCCAGCCGCCCGAGCTCGTCCTGGAATCGCGCGAATAGCGGACCTGTCAGCGCCCGCTGCAGCTCCTCTGATGACTCACTGCCGCTGAACAGCTCGGCAATGTGCTCCAGAGCCATGGCTGCCCCCGCCGCAATGTCCTCCATGGCCTGGGCACCCAGTGCCGCCAGCGCTATCTGCCGGTTCAGTGCGCGTGACAGGTACCGCCGGGCTGCCATTGGGAGCGATGCCTCGCGGCCCCCGGTGGCCAGCGGGTCCAGGGGAATGCGCTGCCGCTCGGCACTCAGCAGCCAGGGGAAGGAGCCTGCGTGGTAGACGGCTGGGTACGGGTCGCTGAGTGCGATTGGTGCTGCAGCGGTTGTTGTGCCGGCTGCAGGCGTGTCGTATGCCGGGTGCTTTGTGAGCCGCCGCGGATGCGGGTGTGCATTGGCGACCAGTGACTGCCAGAATACGTCTGCGGGTGCTAGAGAGATACATTATTTAATTGATGAGAGGCAAAGAAGAGAGGGGTGGGATTCATGCAAAACTTTTGTAACTGCCCGCCTGTACGCATTCGATAAAGCGCGCGGGAATTGGAAAGCACATGAGCGCTAGAACACCTTTCATGTGTATTTGGTTGCTGGTGTAGATGCTCCGTGCCGAAAAGCAAAGCCGGAAGCTGGGTCACACGCGGGGCACCGGGCCAAATGTGGCGATATTGGGATTTGGGCTCTCTGCTTGAGCTATCCAGCCCTCCCCCAAAGCATGTGCCGAACTCGAGGCTCCTTTTGCGCAGCGTCTTTTGTGCGAGCAGCACTGCCAGGGCACCGAGGCAGTATTGGCGAGCCAAAGTGTCTACTTTCTTTGCTGACGGCTCTGGCGTACTTGCTCGGAGCAGCACAATGCTTCACGATCTCGGGCTCCCAACGGTTCGCGATTTCTCGAATGACGTTGTCCTCGATAAGTACTGCATTCTGCACAGACACACGAAGCTGCGCCTCAGAATCCTCCAGTGCATCCCTTATCCCAACACTAGAGCCGTATCCGGAAAATAATAGTGCTTATCCGTGTCGCTCAGCTGGCGCTGCTCACTTGGTGCAACCTGCCCGGCGATGGCTTTGACTCCTCAGTGTCTCTTCTACAAAAAGAACCAAAGTCACTCTGAACCGGCGGCGCTCCTCTGCAGCCTGCCCAAATGCCCTCGCTGCTGCCAACGACATCATGCAGAATGTAGCTGTTAAAAATAGATGCACGATTGCATGCTGACAACCGTCTGAATTTTTTTTTTTCAGATAAAAAGAGAACTGAAGCCCCACACTGGCAAAACATCCTGACCCACAAATCGTTGAGCGCTCTGCCATTGGCGGCCGTCTATTTTTGGACTGGCACGAAGCCAGATTGCCGAAACGGGTGGTCTCTGGCTATTGCGTCGGGTCAGATAAAGAGGCAAGGTTTAGCCATGTCTGGCGGGAACAGGTGCAAACAGCTTCTTCTCTTTCTCCACTCGTCGCTGCTCCTTTCCCCCGTCCTTCTCTTTCATTCATCTTGTTTATAGCGCTCATTAGAGAGGAACCCGCATAGACGCTCTGTTGTTGTTTTTCATCAGCTGCCGGACAGCCCTTCCATCGTTTTTCTACCAGACTCTTGGATAGTACCTCCAGCCCAACCAGGTTGCCAAACAGTAAGTGCCATGGAAAGAAAAGGCTGCTAGACGCACTGTAATATGGCTGTGGGATCTTGTTTTGTTTTCGAGGCGATCGCCAAACGGCGTGAGCGAGTGAGAGTGAGAGTGAGAGTGAGTGCGACGGCGGACCAACAGGCGCGATGGCTACTTTTTTCTTCGCACTTGTGGTTTGTTTTCTCAGTACAATGCCCAGAGCTTGATGCAGCTCTTCCCATTTCCCTTTTTGGGAACGACATGGGCGACTCCTGACAGCCCACCCAGCTCCTTATTCTCTGGCTGCTCTTTCTGCGTTCACTATTGCTTGCGTCTTTCCTTCTCTTCTTTGCTTGCCTTCCCCCATTTCTTTCCATTTTTCACTAACCATACCTGCCTCCTCTTTTGCCTTTAGCCTCCACGCATTATCACCAATTAACACTATGCCGCCGAATTACGAGCGAGGCGCTACGCTCAAGCGTGGCCGCACAATGATCCGGCAGGACCGCCAGCAGGCGGCCGCTCCCATGATCACCAAGAAGAAGCAGCCCACGACCGCCTGGGTTATCTACTCGAAAGTCATCACATTCTGGGCTCCTGGCATCCTTCTGACCAAGCTTGGCGGTATGCCTGAGGCCGGCATGCAGCAGGCGTGGCGCGAAAAGTGCGCCCTGGTGTCTCTCATTGTGCTGGTGTGTGGGGCTGTCGTCTACCTGACGCTGTTCCTGCCGATGACCTTCTGCCCGGAGAGCACGTCCAAGCACCAGAGCAACATCCTGCAGGTATCGAGGAAAGGCTATGACGGCAACGTCGGTGTATACGGCGAAGTCTACTCGGCCTCCTCTGCGCAGTGGCCCAACCCCATTGAACTCTACACCGGGATCGATATCAGCTACATGTTCCGGAAGGACACCCCTCCCGAGTGCGAAGACGCGAGCATCACGGGTCTGCGTGCCATCAACACCAACACGTGTACAGAAGAGACCCAATGTACCATGGGCGACCTGAATAATATCGAGGCTAACTTCCACGTAACCAAGGAGAACCGGCCCGTCGGTTACGATTGGGCCGACGTTACAAGCACAACCGGTCTCTTTGTCATCAACGGCATTGTCGTGAACCTGACACCGTACCTCAACTTGGTCAAAGACAACGGAGCCAAATACGATATTCTCGACCAGGCCATTTTCAACGCCGCTAACAACGGCTACAGCGACGCGACAGTCATGTTCCAGCGCACGGATCAGATGAAGAAGGCAGCTAAATGCATCAGCAAGAAGTTTGCGGCTGGCGTGCTGGCCAAGGATACCCCCGGATGCTTCTCGGTCAACCTGTTCAACTACGCCGCGCTTGTGGTTATTGGCGGAATTGTGCTCACGCGCTTCTTCATGGCAGTCGTGTTCCAGTACTTTTTGTCGTGGCAGCTGGTGCGCCGCCCGCCCCGCAGCAAGGTGCGCCCTGTCTCGTACAACGCTGCAGCGCCGTGGTCCGGCAAGAAGCCCCAGACCGGCGGTACCAAGACTGTGCTGCCGCAGGGCGATATGGACGAGCTGTACACTATCATGCTGGTGACGTGCTACTCTGAAGGCGACGAGGGAATCCGGGCCACCTGCGACTCGCTGTGCGGCACCGACTTTAGCGACTCGCGCAAGCTGCTGTTCCTGGTGGCCGACGGAAACATCAAGGGCTCTGGAAACGACCGTTCGACTCCCGACATCTGCGTTGACCTGATTGAGCAGGATCCGCAGTTCCTGGACCCGCAGCCGTGCTCGTACATCGCCGTGGCCGCCGGATCCAAGCAGCACAACATGGCCAAGATCTACTGTGGACACTACGTGGTCGGCAACCACCGCACCCCGGCCATCGTCTGCATCAAGTGTGGCACGCCCGAGGAGCAGGAGTTCCCCAAGCCCGGCAACCGCGGTAAGCGCGACGGCCAGATGATCCTGATGAACTTCTTCTCGCGCGTCATCTACAACGACCGTATGACGCCGATGGACTACGACATTTTCCGCAAGGTCCACCATCTGATGGGCGTGACTCCCGACACGTTCGAGATCATCCTCATGGTGGATGCCGATACCAAGGTGTACCCGGATTCGCTGCGTCTGCTGGTGAACTGCATGAACAACGACCAGCTCATCATGGGCCTGTGCGGCGAGACCAAGATTGCCAACAAGCGCGACTCGTGGGTCACTGCGATCCAGGTGTTTGAGTACTACATTTCGCACCACTTGGCCAAGGCATTCGAGTCTGTGTTTGGTGGTGTAACCTGTCTGCCTGGCTGCTTCTGCATGTACCGCCTCAAGGCGCGCAAGGGCGACGACTGGGTGCCGGTTCTGACCAAGCCCGAGATCTGCCAGGAGTACTCGCAGAACGTGGTTGAGACCCTGCACGAGAAGAACCTGCTGCTGCTTGGTGAGGACCGCTTCCTGACTACCCTGATGCTGCGCAACTTCCCGAACCGCAAGATGATGTTCATGCCGCAGGCCATCTGCAAGACCGTGGTTCCCGATGAGTTCAAGGTTCTTCTGTCGCAGCGCCGTCGCTGGATCAACTCGACCTGTGCACAACCTGCTCGAGCTGGTGCTGGTGCGCAACCTGTGCGGCACCTTCTGCCTGTCGATGCAGTTCTCGATTGCGCTGGATCTGGTCGGCACCGTCGCCCTCCCGGTGGCCATCGTGCTCACATACATCCTTATTGTGCGCGCCTGCATGACCACGTACAACTCGATCACCGCGTACCTGCCGCTGGCCATGCTTATCATGGTCCTGTTCTTGCCTGCGGTGCTGATCTTCATCACGACCCGCAAGTGGATCTACGTGGCCTGGATGTTTGTGTATCTGGCCGCGCTGCCCATCTGGAACCTGGTGCTGCCTGTGTACGCGTACTGGCACTTTGACGATTTCTCGTGGGGCGAGACGCGAAAGGTCGCTGGCGAAGGCAAGGACAAGGGCCACGGCGACTCGGACGGCAAGTTTGATGCCTCGGCAGTCCCGATGAAGCGCTGGGAGGACTACGAGCGCAAGCGCCTGCGGTCGATCAAGCGCAAGGAGCGCAAGCAGTACGCCGACGACTCGTCGTCGTACCTGCCGGCTAACGTCGACGACAGCGACAATGCCGGCCTGCTGCAGAATGCGGTCGACGAGTCGATGTACTACGAGTCCAACCCGGGCTACTCGTTCATGGATGACTCAACCAATACCTCGGTTATCCACAGCAGTGGCACCATTGTTGGCCAGCAGCACAGCCAGCCAGCATGGCCAGCCAGCAGCATGGCCAGCAGCAGCAGTACGAGATGCACGAGTACCCTCAACAGGGAGGGTATGGCAACGAGGCGGATTACTATGGTCAGCAGCAGGGCGGCTATGACCAGTACGGCTATGGCCAGCAGGGCGGTTACGACCAGTACGGCTATGACCAGCAGCAACAGCCGCCTAGCCAGCAGCAGCAGCAGCGCCAGCGCCCTGGAGGCCCGCGCGACTACCAGCATTAAATCTCCCACACAAAAAAGCCAACATATACATACCTATTCCTCTTCTTTCTTTGCTTGATTCTGTTCTTTCGCTTTGCAATGTCATATTACCACACATGCACTTTGCGGCAGCATGTTGAGTGTGTTGAACAGAGATGATGGAGAATGTTTAGAAACAGCGAGAAATTAATTTACGGTAAGGAATTGATGGAAACCGGCGCCTATTTACCACTCAAAGTCGCCGGTCGCCTTCAGGAACAGATAGTCGCGGCCGTTGATCAGCATGATGCCGTCCTTGAGTACGCACTTCCACTTGTTCTTACTCCGTGTGACCTTGTCGTACTGGCACAGCACAATATGCTCTGTCTCCTCGCCACCGCCCTCGACCTCATCCTCCTCGTCGGTGTCATCGAGGTCTGAGTTGATTGCATCCTCGGGGTTTTCCACAGGTCCTTTTGGCTGGTCATTGTCAGATGCACCGTCCACCTGCGGTACGCCCAGTTCCCTGGCCTTCTCATAGATCCGCTTCCGCTCATTCCTCATCCGCTCCCACATCTGCATCGGCGACAGCGCCTCGCGCGCATCATCCGCGCCGTCGTTTTGCGGCACATGCCCCTGGTACGCATGGTGTGCCTGCTTGTACTGCGGCCGAGATGTAATCGGCGTGTCGTCGTCCTCGTCGTCCTCCAGCTGGCGGCCAGACTGCGCTAGCGACGCCAGGCTGGCAGCGGTGGGTGCCATGCTCTCTGGGGTTATTGATAATCGACGCCAGCGAGGCCGCTGCATTGATCGGTGGCGCCGGCTGCTGGGCCGGCCGCGCATAGTCATCGTGCGTGTCGTGCAGCCCGTTCTCGCTGGGGAATGCCTGCGACGCGGCTCTCGATCACTTTGGTCTCCCAGCTGCGCTGCAGGTCCTCGAGGACTGATGTGTCGACGCCGTGGCCCTCAAAGTCGCCCTGGACGTTGCGCACGACGTCGTCGATGACGTACCGATACACTGCGGCTACGACTGTGTTTGACATACTATCGCAAAACAAAGTACATGGAGGGGCTTAGACGCACATAGCAGGAGAGCAGGACTGTTTTCTTGGTATTCTCTATTTTACCTGCGGAGGAGTTTTTGTACTATATGGTGGAGTTTTGTGGAGGAGAAAATGCAAAGTTCGCTTTTTAAAGGCCAGGGGCTGGCCTTTTCAGCCAGCGCTCCCCTTCGCCCCAAAATTTCGTGACATCAGCGGGCTGATCGATCAAGCGATCTGCCGCCAATTTGCAATGTGGCCAATGCGTGTGCTGGATATGCTCGCAAATGGAAAGATGATATTGGTGCCAATGCATCTATTTGCCGCAGAAGTTTCCGACAGATGCACATGGAACGCTGGCGAAGCCAGCCATATGTGGTGCAGGGTGCGCCATGTTGGAAAGGCGGTTTGGGTCTTGCGGATGGCGCTGATGACATGAGTAGGTGACGGCTGCTTTTGAAGGATAGAGTCACAACAACCAAGTGATTGTCGGGTCTTTTTGGCCGTTCAGGCCGAATCTGAACATCTGGCGCATATGTTCAGCCGCAGTGCCTCTGAGCCCTGGCGGGCACAATCCCTCGGGCACTCAAAGCAAGCCAGACGTATTCCGCAGCCTGGCCTCGGCGCCGTATCTGCAGTCCGCCATTCGGCCGAAACTCCTGGCTGTGGTGCTGAGCATCGAGAAAAAGCGAGCTGGCTGACATTGCGCACCGATTTCTTCCCTCTTTTTACTGGTGCAATCTGATTGGCCCAGCCTCCCCAGCCTTTGGAGAAAAAAAAAACAGGTGGAGTTAGGCAGCAGACATCTCGCAGCTGAACGGCCTTTCTTTCTTCCTCAGTTTCCTTAGCCGCACTTATTAGCAACTACCCCCTTGGCCAATATCCCAATCATCCTACCTTTTTTCTTTATCCCTGACATTTGGTCTCTTGTCAGCGGCATATAGCCATACCTTTTATATTATTAGCCTCTTGTAGCCGAGTACTTTGGCGCCGTTGGTCTCTAGTGTAGACCAGCTTCTCTTTCATAGGCTTCATAGTCTCGGGAATATCCGCAAAATCTCACATCCCGTATCGAAAGAAATTATTTTTCTCTACATTTTTCTTTCCAACATCCCCCGTCATCCTCGCCATCTCCTCACCAACAACCGCACGTTGTCAGCACTGACGTTGCTCTTGTCCTCTACCACACTGACACATCCGAGATGAAGCGAGTGCGTGCATCCAATGTCACCACGGGCGGTGTTGCCAAGCCCGAGGCCAAGGCGTTTGACCTGAGCGGAGTGCGGCTGCCGCCTACGCAAGACCCACAGGGCATGGCGCGCAAGGCCATGGGCCGCAAGCACATGTTTGGGCTGCGTGAGGCACCGACATTTTATCCGACCGAAGAGGAGTTTGAGGACCCGATGGGGTTCATCCAGAAGATCCAGCCTGAGGCTGAGCATTTCGGTATCTGCAAAATTGTGCCGCCGGCGGGGTGGAACCCGCCCTTTGCTCTGGACACCAAGGTACAGTTTATCCCAGATGAAGAGAAATTTCTTGCTCCCGTGTATCCCGCAGAGCGTGCCCATTGCTAGGTCTACACTTTGCTCTTTGTTTAAGCTTGCTGTCTGACTTGCATCGGAAAACAATATCGCTTGCTCATGGGTAAACCCCTGTATTGCGCTTTTTCTCTTGGCTGGATGTAGAGCCAGTGATGTCCAAATGCCCTGGCCGCTAGCAGCAACACCAAAATAAGAGTGCAGAAAAATATGCGCTCATTCTTCTCTTCGCTCCCACTTCTCATCCCCCAGTCTACTGCTCACATGCCACAAAAGCGAGCCATGGCTTTTTTCTTCCCCTTTGACAATTTGCTGTGGATTCCTGTATTGCGTGTGTACCGGCTATGTTGTATATTCTTGGCTGGCTGAGTCGCTTTTTCAAGGGGTTTGTAGCTGCTATGACGCCTGGCATGAGTGCAGAGACCGACATTTCAATATTTTCCTTCTAGCTGGCCTCTGCCTCCCCACACACACACTACAGCCCCTCGCCTCCCCACTCCAAATTCTAGGTCGTGCTATTCAGATATTTGGATACTCGCTCTTTGCCTGCTTCTGGACACTTGGCTTATTCCTCCCCTAGCCCTCGCTCACCGTAGCTAAATGAGTGTGGAGCTTGATGGCATCTGAGTGCCATGGCCGCATTACATGAGTCGCCAATGGATTTTTTTTGCAGTGGATGGCTGAACAGTATTCTCCATCTCTTTGTAGAAGTTCCGGTTCCGGACCCGCGTCCAGCAGCTCAACTCGCTGGAAGGCAAGACGCGTACCAACCTGATTTATCTGGACCAGCTATACAAGTTCCACTCGCAGCAAGGCCACCCGCTGACCAAGGTGCCGCAGCTTGACCACCGTCCCATCGACATGTTTGACCTGCGGAACGAAGTAAATATGCGCGGCGGATTCCACAAGGTAGGTGCAGCAAGGCGAAAAAAAACCAAATCCTTGTCGAATTGTTGACATGATATGTGATTTTGTTGCTGACAACAATGGTAAAAATAGGTCAACAGCGAGAAGCGGTGGGCGGAAATCGGGCGCGTGATGAAGTACGACCGCAAGACATGCACGTCAATGTCCAACTCGCTTAAATCCACGTACCAAAAGATCATTCTGCCGTTCGAGCTTTATCTAGCCAAGCACGGCAGGCTCGGTACTTACCTCCCCCTTGCGCAACGGGACCACAGCCGAGGGTACCCCTGGCACAGACTCGCTGGACAATGACGAGCATGAGGATGGGTGGCGTGCGCAGGTCTAAGCGCCGGCGGCCTGCAAAGCCGTCTTCGGGAATCAGAGAATCGTCAGCAGTAGCGAGCCGCGAAGCCACTCCATCCAGCGTGCATACGCCGCCGCCCCTAGCACAGGCAGATGGTACAGGGGCCAGCTCAAAGCGCTCTAGGGAGGAGAAAGGTCCCGACTATTGCGAGGTGTGTCGATCGGGCGAGCACGGCGAAGTAATGCTGATATGCGATGGCTGCGAGAAGGGCTTCCACATGGGCTGCCTGGAGCCACCTGTACACTCTGTCCCCAGCAACGACTGGTACTGCGATGCATGTGTGCTGACTCCCGGCGCCGACTTTGGATTCGAAGACGGCGGCGAGTACACCCTCGATGCATTCAAGCGCAAGAGCGACGACTTCAAGCGCAAGTGGTTCTCAGGAGTACTACCACGGCAATCCACGGCCCAACAATAACAAGGAGGTCGTACCTGTATGGTCCACAGATGGAAGGCCGTGTGCCCAGAGGAGGTTGTCGAAGGAGGAGTTTTGGCGGCTGGTTGCAACGCCGTACGAGGAGGTGGAGGTTGAGTATGGCGCCGATCTGCACTTCGGCGCAGCATGGCAGTGGATTCCCGACCGCCGAACGCGATCCGCTGGAACCGTATGCGCGGCATCCGTGGAACCTGACGATGCTGCCGTTCCAGCCAGCATCGCTGTTCAACCACATCCAGCAGGACATTTCGGGCATGATGACGCCGTGGATCTACGTAGGAATGTGCTTCAGCACATTCTGCTGGCATAATGAGGACCACTATACGTTCTCGGTCAACTACCAGCACTGGGGCGACACCAAAACCTGGTACGGCGTGCCAGGCCAGCACGCCGAGATGTTCGAGCAGGCGATGCGCGATGCGGTGCCGCAGCTGTTTGAAGACCAGCCGGACCTGCTGTTCCAGCTGGTGACGATGCTGAGTCCAGAGGTTCTTCTGAATCGCAACGTCGATGTGTTTACCGTCGACCAGCGCGCAGGCGAATTTGTGGTCACCTTCCCGCAAAGCTACCATTCGGGGATTCAACCAGGGCCTCAACTTCAACGAGGCAGTGAATTTCGCCACGCCCGACTGGATGCCGTACGACATTATGAGTGTCAAGCGGTACCAGCAGTACGCGCGCAATCCCTGTGTTTTCGCACGACGAGCTTTTGGTGACCATGCTGGAGAATGACCGCGAGTACCTGCAGCACCAGTGGTTCCAGGATGCAGTGGTGGAAATGGTCAACAGAGAGCTCGAGGATCGCAAGTTTGCCCGGGCGCTGTGGCCTGCACACAAAATCCAAGAGATCGAGTGGGAGCCGCACGACGATACCGAGGCAGCAGACGAGCTCCAGCAGCAGTGTTTAAAATGCAAGGCCTTTGCATACCTGTCTGGTGTCGTGTGCGGCTGCAGCCTCCACTACGTCTCGTGCCCGCTGCACGCCGACAAGTCGTGCAAGTGCGATGGGGACAAAAAGATCCTAAAGTACCGGTACACTGACGAGGAGCTACAGGCATTGCTGACCCAGTGCAACCAGACTGAGAGCAAAGCGCAGATCTGGGAGAGCGAATTCCGGCAGAGTCATGTCGCTGTACTCTGCCGATGCCCATGCGGCGGCAGCAGCAGCAGCAGCGGACTGGTTGAGACGCCTACTGTGGGTGCTTCGGGCTCGGCGCAAGCCAGCGACGATGGTCGGGCTGCCGTGCGTGAGGAAACCAATGAGCGCGAGAGCCTGGCAGCCACCACAGTCGTTGGCCACGAGTCACAGGATGATGAGGCGCCCAAGGCTCTGGTTAAGCGATCTGCAAGCGATCTGGTGGTCAACCATGTGCAGATTGACCTGGAGCCCACGATCCGTCTGGCCAGCCTCAATGTACGGCCAGGACCTGGCTCTGATGATTGTGCTGCTGGAGGAAGCCCAGCGTCTGGTGCTTGACCGGCCCGTGCGCATAACGCCTACCAACAGCAGCTCTGGCAAACCAGCTGCTGGAAACAATGCCCATAGCGGTGTGTCTGGCCGGGGCGGTCGCGGTCGTGGCCGCGGTCGTGGACGAGGCCGTGGCAGAGGTCCGTGGTCGTGGCGGCTACCATCCATGCTTCACGCAATAATTCGGGCAGCCCATCGACCGGAGCCCTATTATCCACATCCACATCTGTGGGTAACAAGGTGATGTCGGATCGCGTCGAGAACGAGCAAATGCTTATGCTAGGCCATGAAATCGAGCGGCTATTTGCCGCCTATCCCGGAAACCCCGCCGGCAGCGATAAGGACCTGGCAAGCCGTGTGGATTTGCGGATCCTGGGTGACGTGCGCCAACTGGGCCGGTTTGTGCAGGCTGCCAACACATGGTGCGCAGCCACCCAGGCCCTGATGGCCAGCATGGGCCATGTTGAGCTCGTGTCCAAGATAACGCAACGTCGTGCTGCCAACTACCAGTGGCATCGGCGCAAGTGGGCCGAGCGCATGGGCGGCAAGCTTGGCCGTGTAGCCTAGCGATATGGATGGCTCGATGGAGGTCGAGCAGCGTGTCTTCATTGCCGAGCTCATCGAAAGGGACGAGCTAGAAGCAGCATCAAAGCTAGAGGCTGAAGCCAAGATGGCAGAGGCCGAGAGTGGATCAATGTCTCCGGTGGAGAAGCGCTACAAAACCGACAGCGAAGAAGACCGGGAGTCCAGCGAGGAGAATAACGACGACGAGGATGACGGAGATTTCCGGCTCAACGCCCCGGCGCGTGGTGGACGGCGTGGGAAGCGCCGGCTGCGGTCTACAAGGGCACCATCGGTTGGCCACCCGCGCAAAGACAGCAACGCGGCTCCCAACGGAGTCAAGCGGACGCGCAGATCGCGGTCTGGGATGCGTGCGATGTCGCATGAACTCGAAGGAGTCCACCCCGCCGCCATCGGCCTTGCAGAAGGTGTCGCGCCGGTCATCGGCAGCTCTGCCGCGCGGGGTGTTCAGCAGCTCGTTGATCGCCAATATGACGAGGAACGATATGCAGGCGGCTGTGTGCGAGGCTATTGATATCGATGATTCTGACGGCACTTTTACGCTGGACAACCTGCAGGCACTGCTGCGGGAAGGCGACAAGCTGTTCTTCAACTCGCCTGAGCTCGATACTCTGCTGCAGCTGGAGAAGCGGGCACTGGGTGCTGTCAGCGAGATACAACAACTTTCCGCCACGAGCCCCGACATGTTAAGCCACATGGATGGGGTGTCGCGGAGCCCCGAAGCCTATGGCGCTGAGCCGACTAGTTGCGAGAGGCTTGACAGTGTGCGGCAGCGCATCAGCGACATACGGCGCGAGATCGACCAGATTGGCTTGGAGTTTGCTCAGGCTGACAGTTTGTGGCAGATTGAGGGCCAGATTAGCTGGATCAGCGAGTGTCAGGAGCGGTTTCGCAAGCGCACACTGACCCAGTCTGCCATGGAGGGGCTGCTGAGCGAGGCACGCAGGCTCAGCCTGGATCCGAGCACAGTGGCGCTGTATGCAAGGCTGTGCGACGTCCAGCGGTCAGCTGTGGAGTGGGAGGAGGATGCCCAGCGTATTATCGACTCAGACTCACTGCTGGATCTGCGCGACATGGGTGTGCTACTGGAGAAGGGCCGCAACCTCGAGTTCTTGCCGCCCAGCTACGAGCAGCTGCGCAAGCTGCAGCAGCAAGCCCTGGATATCCAGGCGCGTGCTGACCGGCTGGTTGAGCGTATGGGCGCTGACAACATTACATTCCGGCCAGAGTATGCCGATATGGTGCAGTTTATCGAGTCGTACACCCAGTTTGCGCGGTTCCGGCCCAGCTCCGGCGATAGGCTTGAGAGTGAGCTGGACCGCGCCAATGAGTGGTGGTTGCGCATGCAGAACGCGTTTGCCAACCCCAGCAGCGAGGAGTCGGCGTCGGATCGTGTGCGTGTGCTGACAGATGCATTCCGCCGTGCTGCCGATGTTGTCGAGGGCAAGCAGCGGATGCAGGACTGCGTGTGTCTGTGGCCCATTTCGGATACCACGGCTCACAAGTGTGTGCGGTGCGGTGAGACGTACCACGATGCCTGTTTGATGCAGGGAGATTTGCGGAATCTGGCTGTGTGGGGCACTGGCCAGTCGTACGTTTGTCCACTGTGCTCGCACCGCCTGCAGCCACAGACATGGGAGCGCCATTTCCCATCGCTACACCGTATCAACCGCTTTATCGAGCGTGCACGAGGGTTGTCTATTGTCATGGAGGATCTGGACCCGCTGGTTGGTATTGTCCTGCATGCGAGAACGCTGGTCCGTATTATCGGCAAAGACTTGGCGAACGCCGATGCGATCGCACCTGGGGACGGCTCGCATAAGTGAGCTCCGCCAGCGCCTGCTGCGTTCGCACTTGCGGTTGCTGCTGGGAATTGAATGCGATCTGGGCCAGAATCTCATGATGGATCTGTATGGCCAATTGCTGGGGTTGTCCGCCGATACCTACGGCTCTGCAGTGCCGCCGCCGCAGGTGCATGGTTCTATCGGGGGCGTTCCAGAATCGATGGCGGCAGTTGATGGCACATCCACCCCTGATGTTGACGAATCTGGCGGTGCGGAGCACCCTTTCCAGGCGCAGTTCGATGAGCTAGCGCATCTGATCGCCTCGCCACCACCTGTAAGCATGGATCACGGCCAAGGACTGCTCACAGCCGGCCAGGCGTTTTCTCAAAACACAGACAACTGCGTGTGTGCAGAGAACGGTGGTGAGCTGAACAGCGATCCGATGGCACCAGTGATTCAGTGCGATTCGTGCTGTGATTACTACCACCCAGAATGTGTCCAGCTGCCGATCGTCGACGCTAGGATTATTCGCTTCCACCAGCTGAGCCGCCAGGCAGGCGTCATTGTAGACATACCAGAGTTTGTGCCCCGGGGGCCGAAGTCGTACATGTGTCCTGGATGCTGTGTCAACTCAGGCATGCCCTACGCGTATGGCGAGATTGAGGTCGTTGACGATTGAGTACTTTTTCTTTTCTGTTCCATTCACACATAACATACAGTCTTCTGAATATATCCCGCAGACAACAATGCGCGAATTCTTATCACAGTAGTGTCAATGATCCAGCAAAAATTGACGCTCTGCAGCACCGTCTGTTCTATGATCTGCCGCACATCGGCAGGTCCGGCATGGTGAAGTACCTTGCTGCAGCCATCCTCGCCAACCGCAGCGAAGGATTCATTCACGATCCCAAGTGGGTGGATGAGTGCGAGCGCCTGCTGTCCATCGACTAGGCCATGCAGTAGCCTCCAGTTACGCTTGCATCTTTCTTTTGTGTTGGTTTGAGTGAAATGGTATTTTGGTGTACCTCAGCTATCTTGGACGTAACCTCATGTGTGCAGCTACACCAACAATCCGCAAGGATCCCGGCACAGCTGCACTCGGCCAGTGTGGGTAATAGTCATCATCGGCACATGTGTATTGCTTAAAGCAACTACAATTTTCAATGGCTGATGCAAAGAAAATGTATGAGGTTTCTCTCTCTGGCTGCCGTGCTGCTCCCCGAGGTCAATACAACAGGTGTTTTTTGAGCGATTGGGGGTTTGCCAGATCCAATCATGTGACTATGCTATGCTGCAAGCAACTGTGCATTCTGGCCACCAGGAGACCGGAAAGGCAGTCACAGTCGAGAACTGGTGTTCCAAGAGCCGCCATTCACGTCTTTTGTTACATACTTTCGGTTTCCATCATCAACGATGTAGCTGGATGGTAGTCTGGAATCTCTGCTATTATACAGTAATGCACCCAAGCCACTCTAAACGGCGTAGAATGTATTACCAGTAGTATGTTTTTTCTAGTTATTGCTTCAACCAGCAGCAAGAATGTGCTTTGCTACATATACATAAACCGCTGGACGGCCTCCCCACTTATCAACCACAGTGCACGGTAGCCTTTTATGTATTTGCAGACGAAGTTATCGAGGGCCTGAACTATGTTCACGACAATTGACTCAGTCAAGTGCTGGCTGATGCTATATGTATCATCCTCCTTGCAGCTAGAAGCTTTGGTGCTGCGTCTAAGCCCAAGTGAATCGAATAGAAAAGCAACGTTCGGAATGCGGTGTGCCCACTCGGGTCCGAATTTATGTATATGCTTGATGTGGATCATGTGCTGTAGGCTAGTGGGAGCCTGAGTACTGACAGACCTCTCTAGCAAAAAACTCTTGTTAACCGAAAAAGATTATAGTTGCAAAAGTGGTTATAGGGCTAGATAACTTCGTTTGCAACATACACCTAAAAGGCTATCGTGCACTGTGGTTGATAAACGATAGGCCTGTCAGCGGTTTATTTATATGTATGCAAAACTGACATGTTTGGCCTGCTACTTCGGTATTAGCAATATAAGCTGTATATCAGGAAATGGATATCGATGACTACCAAGCAATGACCATTCAGACATTAAGAGTAGCGTCGGGTGCACTACTGCATAACTAGCAGATTCCAGACTACCTATCCAACTACATCGTTGATGATGGAAACCGAAAGTATGTAACAAAAGACGTGATAGTGGCTCTTGGAACACCAGTTCTCGACTGTGACAGCCTTTCCAGGTCTCTGGTGGCCAGAATGCACAGTTGCTTGCAGCATAGCACAGTCACATGATTGGATCTGGAAACCCCCAATCGCTCAAAAAACACCGTTGTGTTGACCTCGGGGAGCAGCACGGCAGCCAGAGAGAGAAACCTCATACATTTTCTTTGCATCAGCCATTGAAAATTGTAGTTGCTTTAAGCAATACACATGTGCCGATGATGACTATTACCCACACTGGCCGAGTGCAGCTGTGCCGGGATCCTTGCGGATTGTCGGTGTAGCTGCACACATGAGGTTACGTCCAAGATAGCTGAGGTACACCAAAATACCATTTCACTCAAACCAACACAAAAGAAAGATGCAAGCGTAACTGGAGACTACTGCATGGCCTAGTCGATGGACAGCAGGCGCTCGCACTCATCCACCCACTTGGGATCGTGAATGAATCCTTCGCTGCGGTTGGCGAGGATGGCTGCAGCAAGGTACTTCACCATGCCGGACCTGCCAATGTGCGGCAGATCATAGAACAGACGGTGCTGCAAAGCGTCGAGCTTGGCTGGGTCATTGACAACGCCGTCCTGCGGGTGGTGCGTTGCCAGTCGCCCCAGAACTCGCCAATAGCAGCGCGCACAAACATGTCCAAGTCGACGTTGATCACGTCGCGTAGCTGTTGTGAGTTTTCAGCCTTGGCAGCGATCACGTACAAGACGTCGAGCAGTGTCACCATGACTTGGCGTTCGGCGGGGTCGCCAATTGAGGTGCACAGGAACTTCTCGACCTGCAGAGCAAAGTTGTACTCGTCAGGTGTCTTGTCAAATACCAGCGGGTCCTTATCTAGGGTATGCTGCTTGACGGTGATTCCGCGGCCCGGCGACAAGCGGAGGAGCTCATAGACACGGGGGAAGAAGCCCTGCGGGACGCGGTTCAGCGTGCCGTCGTTCTTGCGACGACGCAGCCAGCGGCCGAACGACGGGCCAACAAGGAGTGATGCCGAGTCGGAAGCCAACACAGCTTGTTCATCGGGAGTTAGCGGCTTGGCTACCTGGTTGAGATCCAGAGTAACAGAGAGAATGTCGGTAGGACCCTCAGACTGTCGACGTAGAGACTCCTTGGCAGCAGGCACTGTGATGCGGCAGGCATACTTGTGGCCGATTAGACACCACGAGTCGCGAGCACGGATTTCGCGCACCTTTGCAGCACCCAGTGACTCCAGCGCATGGCGAGCAGCCGGCGTCAGCTTCTCGGCGCAGTCACCCTGCGCAGCTACCACCACGATACTGGACGGCGAGACCTTCGTCGACAAAGTGAGCCAGCTTGTCAGAGTCGGTATGCGACAGGCTGGTGTTAAAGTTGCGCAAATCGACGATGCTCCGAGCAACTGCATCAATGACCTACCACGTTGAGGCCGGCGCCAGAGACGGGGATGGTGTTGCCGTTGATGGCGATGCGCGAGAAATTGCCGGCACGCAGACCGCCTGACTGCACCTCCAAAGTAAGTTCCGATGACTGCGACAGGTCGGGCAGGTCGGCGCGTAGAGGCTCTTCGTCGGATCCGTAAGCCTGAACCTGAGTGGCCAGGTCCTCCTCGATCATGGTGAACGAATTTGTCGAGCTGAGCAGGGGACCGCTAAGCACAGTGTGCAGAAGCGTCTTGACCTGGAACGGCGTGCTGTTGAACAGCTCCTCGATTGCCTGTGCCTCGTCGACGCTCAGCAGGCGCGAGATCTCCTCACGCAGCGCAATGACCATCTCGTGGGTACGCAGGAACAGGATTCCGTTGAAGATATTGGGCGCGGCCATGGCCAGCTCCTGCATGGCCTTCAGGATCTCCTGTACGACTTGGCGCTTCGCGCACATCTTCAGACGAGTACTTGTCGTCGATCATGGCAGCCAGCTCGGCGGCACCCATGGGCTGCTTGATAAACACCTCGTTGGCGCCAAAGCCGATGCTGGGGATCTTGCGGCGCGCTGTCAGCTCAGCCAGGGCCATATCCAGACCCGGCACACGCTTGCGCAGGAGGCCAGCTGCAGTGCGCACTGGGTTCCACAGGTGGCTAGCAACTGCGCGCTCGTAGACTTCCTCCAGCAGCTCGCGGACCGTGGCATCAAGGCGGTGGATGCGGTGGTCGAGGCCATGGCAGGATGACAGGTACGTGAGCAACTCAGCCTGGTCGTACAGATTAGTTGAAGCTGCTAACGCCTCTTCAGCTGCCAGCACCTGGCTGGCATCGCCGATCTGCAGAGTCAGCATCGGCGGTGTAGCTGGTGGCACCCGAGTAGTCTTGATCTGCAGCGAATCGTGCTCCTCATCTTCGGTGGAAATGCCAAGTACCTCAAAGTCATCAGTGACGTCCACATTGTGCTGCTGTAGCTTGTAGCGCGGTGTTGTTTGGCCCAGTGAGTTGGCCATATTGAAGTAGCTATGCGTTGAGTCGTCCGAGTGCATGATGGGCGTGTGCAGAGCGTTCATAGAGCCATGCCGGCTCGATACGCGGGTCATACGAGGTGTTGTGGGCGTCGTCGGCACATCAGCGGCTTGCAGAGCAGGCGTGCGGGATCCCTTTCTTTCTTCCGCCATGTGGGCATCCAGTAGAGGGTTGGTGCGTGCCGTAGCCAAAAAGTCCAAGCTGGAGATGTGGCTGGTGGGAACTGCCTCTGCCATCTGAGTGACACGCACGCGCACGCCTGGGACTACGCCAGCGCGCAGATCTTTGATGAAGCTGAGCAGACTGCGGTGCCGGGTGCCAATGCTCTCGTTGGCGTTGTGGGCGTTGAACATGGCATGGGTGAGCGGCAGAACAAGTGTCGGACGGCCGCTGCTGGTGAAGTTGGCGCTAATGAACTGCAGCTCGTTGGTGATGCTCGACACCAAGTAGTCCGAGTCAGCAGTCAAGTAAAAGTCGGACGAGTTCAGGAAGTTGGGCGTGAAGGCATAGAGCTGGCCTTGCATCCGGTACAGATTGCTGGTGGCCAGCGTGCCGAGTGGTCTGGCAGGGCGGCCGGTGAGCCCAAGCTTCTCGTTCTGGCCGAGCCGCGAGTACACGTCGACCAGGGAGCTGCAGTTCAGCACGCGCACAGGCTTGCAATCGGCCGGCGTCTGAGTCTCGAGGCCGTGCACAGCCAGCTCCTCCTTAAGCGCAGCATCCTCACTCAGCAGCACGACCTGCACAACGCTGTTGGTAGGATCGGTGCGCATTGCGTTGGCGCGGCAATTCAGCGGGTCAAACTCGGCCGGCTCCAGCAGCCCTTCGTGGATCAGTCGACCCAGGTAGAACAGCGAATTGGCCCACACTAGTGGCAGGTTCTCGTTCGGCTCGCGATCCTGTGAACGAGGATTGGCCTTCTCCTTCTCAATCGCCTCCAGCGGGACGTAGAACAGCTCAGGGATCAGCGGGAAGTGGTCGCCGTGCAGCACATCATCCAGGGAGACACTCGGGTCCTGGCACATAGGCTTGTGTGTGCGTGAGTCGTACAGAAGAGGCTTGATTGCGGCCATATACTCGTCGGCAATCTCCTTCTTGTCCGTAAACTGCGCACCCAGAATAATATATGTGAAGAACAGCGGCCACTCGGACTCGACGTCCTTAAAGATCTCCAGCTCGCGCTCCTCGTAGTGCAGTCTGTTGTGGTCCTCGAGCACACACTGGTGGCCGTCCTTCAAGAACCGCTTGAGTCCGTAGCGGCCGCGCAGCTTGCGCACAATCTCTTCATACACCTTGTCGCAGAGCTTGGCGTCGCATACCGCGAACGATGGAAAGCCAATGGCAGACAGAATTGCGCCATCGATCTCCTTGGAATTGGATTCGCGCGGCAGCTGGCTCAGCAGCGTCTGGTAGCACCGGGTGGTCTCGTCATTGAAGCAGTGGATGACGGATTTCGGGCCACCGCGGGCGCCAAACAGATTGAGTCCGTGAATGGCGCGCAGCGCGCCCACGACAATGCCGATAGACGACGAGTTGAGCTCCAGAATGCCCGTGTTCTGCTTCGACCCGCGCTCCCATGCGCCATACTCGCCGAATGCGTACGCCTGCTCGATGTAGAACACCAGATTCTGGACGAAATCGACCTCGTCCTGCGTAAACACAATCTGCAGCCCGTTGGCCGTCATCTGGGCCAGCATCAGAAGGAAGATGCTGGTTGCGTCGATCTGCAAATGCCCCCAAGCGTTATCCTCCACGACAGTGCTGCCCGTACCCGTGTCATACTTGGCATGCAGCGAGTCGAGCGGGTTGTGTGTGTACTTGAATTTCTCGACCTTGGCTGACTGGCGGCTCATGCTGAACAGGAGCCCGCGCATGAGCTTGACCACAGCGTGCTCGAGCTCGTAGGCACGGCCCTGGTTGTCGTCGACGCGCCTGTAGGCCAATGCTAGACCATAGACAGCCAGAATAGAGTTGACATTGTCGCGCACCCAGGCATCCTGGTAGTTTCCGTGGGTGGTGATGGCCACCGAGGCTGGGATGAGACCCGTCACCGGATGCTGCCGACTCAGGATCGTCTCGTTGATGGCATGGTAGTAATAGTCCAGGCGCTCCAAGCGCTTGTCGAGTTGGCTGAGGGCATGCGTATAGAATGGTTTAAATATAATAGAAGCAAAGCTGTCAGTTGCGAATGGAGAAAGGGGGAGGTGCTTCATGCCGCCGAAGATGTGCGCATATATACTGGTTGCAGGGGGATTAGGGTTGGTTTCTGAGAGCGAGCGATAGCATAATCCAGGTTCTTGCCCCTTGCAGGGCACACCACCACTTTTAGTCAGCTGGATTGGTCACACAGCTGTGCTTTCATCGGCCCTCTTTCCCCATCAATACATACCCCCGCCGGCTCCAGTCGGGATTTTGTCATCCGCTCATAGCCTGTTTACTAATGCCAGACCAGCACTACTACACTGTAGTTTTCCCCTTCAGCACTGATCGCAAGCGCGTTCTGCTGGGGCTGAAGAAGAGGGGCATGGGCGAGGGCCTGTGGAATGGGTTTGGCGGAAAGCCCGAGCCCGGCGAAACAATGGACCAGTGTGCGATCCGCGAACTACAGGAAGAGTCGAGTCTGACGGCCACCGCTATGGACCGTGTCGCGGTGCTCATCATGAGGCTCGAGAGCGGGCCTGAGCGGGTCATTTTCGTGTACACTGTCACAGGCTTTTCCGGCGACGTGTGCGAGTCCGATGAGATGCGGCCTCGGTGGTTCGATTTGGAGAACCTGCCATATTCGCAGGCATATACTGAGGCGAGGATCTGGTGGCCATATATGCTTGCGGGTAGAACATTCGTGGCCGACTTTACGTTTAACGATGATAGTATCGTGCGGCAAGAGTGTCGCGAGGTCCAACAGCAGGATCTGGATACCTATCTACCATAACTTTGGTCCTGGTAACTGTGCCAGCGGTTAATTGTCCCACGCCAAAGGGAGTGATTTTTCAAAGGACATCCTTGCCCTAATACATTCACATTCACCAACTACCATGGATAGCCGTTCAGTCGCCAAGCACGTCGAGGACCCCGAGTATGTTGCCCGCCCGCACAAGCTCTATACCCTGGTGTTTCCAGTCGATACTGCAACCAGCAAGGTGCTGCTGGGCATGAAGAAGCGCGGGTTCGGCAAGGACAAGCTCAATGGCTTTGGCGGCAAGGTCGAGCCCCACGAGACCATCGAGCAGGGGGCGGTCCGCGAACTGCAGGAAGAGTCGGGTCTGACCGCCACGCATATCAAGAAAATCGGCCTGCTGTTCTTCTACTTTGAAAACGACCCGGTCACCATGGAGGTCCATGTATACCAGTCGGACCGGTACGATGGCAGGCCAATGGAGACCGATGAGATGCGGCCCGAGTGGTTTGGAGTGCACGAGATGCCGTTCGAGAGGATGTGGGCCGATGACTCGCTTTGGTGGCCGTATGCGCTTGAGAACAAGCGGTTTGTCGGCAGATTCTGGTTCAAGGCGGACCAGGTCACGATTACTCGCCAGGAGCTGAGGGAGGTGGACAGCTTGGAATTCTAACATTTTAGATAATAGCCAAGAAAAATAGCCTTTAGTTGCTTTCAAGGTTGGCCAGAACCACCGACGTCTTGTCCTTGATGATGCCAAGCAGCTCCGAGACGTTCTCCCTGGTCGATGCTGCAGATCCCACGGCCACCCTGATGGCATCGCGCCCATGCAGCTTAGTTCCCAGCAGGAAAGCGCGGCCATCCGTGTTAATCTCGTTAGCAATGGCCGCATTCGCGGCATTCTCTACCTCGGCACTGCCCTGCAGATGCGTCGGCAGTGCTGACGGCTTCAGGCGGAACACGACCAGACCAAACACCACAGGCACGACAAGCTCAAAGCGACCATCGCTAACCAGCTCCTCGCTCAGCCACTTTGCATTGTCAACATCCTTTCTGATATGCTTGCGGATGCCCTCGGCCCCAAACATGCGCAGAACAAACCACAGCTTCATGGCGCGGAACGGCCTGCCCAGCGGCAGCTGCCAGTCGCGGTAGTCCTTGACGAACCCCTTGTCCTTCTTGACCTTTGGCAGGTACTCGCGCTGGATTGCCATGGCATTGACCAGGTGCGTCGAGTCGGCCACCCACATTGCGCAGCAGCTGTGATTGCACAGCATCCACTTGTGCGGATTGAAGTTGAACGAGTCGCAGCGCTCAATGCCCTTGGCCAGCGGCTGGAATTCGGGGCAGGCGAGGGCGGCGCCGGCGTACGCACCGTCGATGTGGTTCCAGAGCCCTTCGGCCTCGGCCACATCGGCGATTCCCGGCAGATCGTCAATGGCGGTCGTGTTGGTTGTACCGAAGGTTGCGCACACGTAGAACGGAATCAGCCCTTTCTGCTTGTCCTTGGCGATGGCGTCGGCGAGGAGCTCCTTGGTTAGGCGGAAGTCGCTGGCAGTCTGGATGACGTTGATTTGGCAACCGATCAGGTTGGCGGCCTTCTGCGCAGCCGAGTGCGTCTGGTCTGAGCAGTATGCAATCAGCGAATTGCGCAGTGCAACGATCTCGTCCTCCACGACTCCCTGCGCCTTCAGCTTCTCAGTAGCCATTTCGCGCGCTGCAATCATGGCGACCATCATGGCCTCGCTGGCTCCTCCCTGGATGACACCGCCGCCGTCTCCCTCAAACCCGTCTTCCTGGATCGCCATAAAGCGTTCAGGGAGACCAATAAGCTTGCCCAGGGCATCCATGACCACAGGTCTCCAGCTCGGTTGCGGCAGGCGAGCACAGCCAGTTGAACTCGACAATGCTGAACATGCCACAGTACATGTCGCCGAGCATCGCCGGGAACGACGTGTTGGAGGGGAACCAGGCGTAGAAATTGGGCGACTGCCAGTGCGTCATGCCAGGCATGATCTTCTCCTTAATGTCCTTCTGGATGGCGTTAAGGGATTCGCCGGTCTCGGGGACTTCGTGTGAAAGTAGCTTGTAGAGGTAGCCGGGCTCGACCGTAGCCATGGGCTTGATGCTGGCCAGGTTCTCGTAGTAGTCGGCTATCTCATCGATGACTTGCTTGCCGCGGATTCTAAACTCGCTTGACATCCATTCTGGGGAAACTGAGTGTTTTGTGGTATGGTGAAGTAGCTGAAGAGAAGAGAAGGTGGTAGGAGCAGGCGAGTCTTGGCTCCCAGGGGAGGGGGCTGAATCCAAGCCCTATTTCCGTTGGCTTTGCAGGCATATTCCCACAGCCGCTTTCGCACAGGGAGTGATTGTACCTGTTGCAGAAACATGCAGCGCGTTCATGCCAGTGGCTTGTTTGTGTGTAGCTGAACTATGATTTTGAGCGGCTCAGCGTGCATGCAATGGCCCATTTGCGTGCATTGAGCAAACTAGCTATGAAGACTTTGGCAGAAGCTATGTGCAATATATGGTGCTAACCACACAAAACATTTGGGGGCCATGTACGATGGGTGCAGCCATACATCTAGGCTGGGTGCAGCCATACATCTAGGCTGGGGTTCAGATATACATAGATGCTGGTCTTTCATCTAGGCTATTTAGGGCTTGGCCTTATATAGTGTGCTAAGAAAAGGCAACTAGATGGCAATGGCAGCATTCTAGGATGCCTTCTCTGCTACAGTTGGCACGGCGGCAGGGCAAATGCTGCCAAGCAAGAGTGAATGTTGTTGGCTCACACAGTTTGCTGGGAGAGCAACTAGCCCTCGCATATAGTGCCGTACTGCTGCTCTTATTATCAATCCATAAGTAAAATATGCAGCAGGATATACAGCGAGCCGAAAAGCATATGACCGTGTTTATATGAGACGCAACGGTAGGTGATTTTCAAAGCCAGCAGCCCATAGCTCCAAGTGGATGTGCGATCCAGACACATTGCAGGAAATGGCGGTTCCACACAATAAACGCAACCCTGATTCCCTTTCCGCACAGCTGTCCATGTAGATTTTGATCTGTCACTTTATCATGCCGCTCTCAGACCGTATCAGAAACCTTGTGAATAAGTACTCCAGCGACCAGCATAGCCCAGCAGCAGCCAGGGCCTTGCCAGGGGTCCCCACAGAATATGCCGCGGCCACCTGAGACTCAGTACCCAGGACAATACTCATACCAGCAGTATTGGCAGCAGCAGCCCGCAACCAGCAGATGCCGCAACAGCAGATGCCGCAACAGCAGATGCCACAGCAATGCCGCAGCCGTATCCGATTCAGTATCCAGAATACCAGCAACAGCAACCGTATGCACAGCAATATGCCCCACCTGTTTCAGCACCACCACCCGAGATGGCTACACCAGCTCTGCCACCAAGACCACAAGGGTCCAAAACCGGTACCGCCGCCAAAACCGCCGCGCTCGGTATTTGCCAATCAGCACCGATCCAGCAATGCTCCGGCACCAAAACCAGATGGCACCTTGCCTTCACATGTGCCCCATAGCGAGCATCCTCTCAGGCTGGTCGTCGACAGACCCACGCAAGCTCCTAGGGGACCGCATGGTGCGCAACAACTACCGGATCAAATGCCCGAGCTGACTCGACCCACGCCTAGCCACGGGGCCAGTGCCGACCAATGCGTGGTGGCAGAACCTGATCGTCGAGGCCGGCGACCAGCCGGTGGTCACATCGCCATATATGATAAAGTGTCCTGGCAGACGCCATCACTGTATGTGCGCCGACGCCGCTGGTTGAGCCCAAGTTTCGTTGCCTCGGTCTGGCACGACGACTGGCGCTTGGCCATGGGCCCGGGCCGCCGCGTCACGCATTTCGACGCCCTGGCAGTGCACGATAGCATACACTGGAGCACACGTGCCGCTAGTCCGCGGCATGCCATTTGTCACGGCCGAGTTCACATCGCCGGCAATGCTGCACTTGACGACTGTCCACGCAATCACCAACGTTGATGTGCAGAATGTGCCACAAGGCTGCGCAGTGGTCTCGCTGAATGACGGCCGCACGTGGCTCGTCTGCTGTGAGCTCCCAGTGGGACTGCGCCAGGACGGCATGTCTGCAGTCGTCTCGGATCAGCCAGTCACCGGCGCCGTGCGAATCGCCCTGGTCAACAACCCGATGGACCGCCGTGCCAGCGCTGCTGGAGGCTCGCAAGGCAATCCCGGTTGGTGGCTCGGTCCACTGTGGACGCAGATGAGCACTCAGGCGACCTTCACAGTCTCCTGGCAGACGCGCAGCGGCGATCAGCCATTGCTCTGCGCCTTCCCGTACCATCAGATGCTAACCAACGCCGACTGGGAGGATCGGCGTCGGCCAGTACTGGTCGACCAAGGGGCCGATGCGTGCGGTGCGCGGTGCCCAGTGGCAGTGGACCGAGCAGATTGAGCCGCTGGGATTTGCGGGTCCGTGTAAGCCCAGCGAGCACGATCCGGCAGCATTTGTGCAGGCTGGTCAAGACTGACGCCCAAGCTCTGCCACCCATCGAGCATCTGCCGCGCGACCCGTATTTCTTCGGCAAGGCGGCAGCACGTGCCGCGCGCATTGCGCTGATAGCCGACGAGATCGGCGAGCCGGCGAGTCGCGATCTGGCACTGCAGCACGGCGACTGCGTGGCTGGAGCCATGGCTCCGTGGGCCGCAACGCCAACCCGCTGGTATTCGACACCGAGTGGCATGGGCTGATCAGCACCGACGGCCTCCACGACTCCAATGCCGATTTCGGCCAGGGCCGGTACAACGACCACCACTTCCACTATGGCTACTTTGTCTATGCCGCCGCCTGTGCTGGCCAGGCTGCGGCCCGCATGGGCAACGGAATACCGCGAGCTCCTCGATTTGTTTGCCCGCGACTACTGCAACCCGCGCGCTTCAGGCTGACGGCCACTTTCCGGCTATGCGCAATTTCGACTTCTTCGATGGACACTTCGTGGGCTGCTGGCTTGTTTGCCTTTGCCGATTCGCGTAACCAAGAGTCGACGTCAGAAGCCTATCAACGCGTACTACGCCGCATATCTATATGCGCTGGCCACGGGCCGCACGCAGCTGGCATGGTATGTGCGGGCAATATTGCAGCTGGAGGCTCGCACATCGCGCATCTACTGGCATGTCGGCGATATCGGCAGCAGCATATATCCGGATACGTACTCAAATGACAAAGCCATTGTTGGCATTCTGTGGGCGGGCAAGTACGACTTTGCTACCTTCTTCAGTGCTGATCCCGCCTGCATCTACGGCATCCAGTTTCTGCCATATACGCCGGCCACTGCACTGCTTCTGAAGCGCTCGTGGGTTGCCGATATCTGGCCCAAGTATCTGCAGAAGGTCGCCGGAGAATGCCGAAACTGAGCCCTGGCGTGAAATCATCGAGCTGGCCGGCGCTGTAGATGACAAGCAGCGCACATTTCCAGCGTACCGCACACATCACCAGCCATGATGACGGCAACTCAGGCATCCAACTCGTACTACTGGATCGCTACCGCACCCAACTAGAGCCAAACCGATTTTATTACAGCTTTTTTATTCACCTAAAGGTCGGAACTACTGTGTTGTCTGCGTGTGATGACCCAGTGCTCTCAGCCCATTCTGGACGCGTGTGGGTGCTTTAGCGGACCGCCCTATGCTAGTTTGATTTTGCACGCGCTCGTGAGTGCCGTAGACCATGGGGACCGCGCCAACGTCGCGGTCTTTACCGATATCTGAGGTTCGTTCTATATGCACACATCCGCCGATCCCCGACGGCCTCTCAATGTCTCCTGGCACCACCAATGCTAGCATTCGGGTGGATCTCTGGCTCGATATATTTGGAACTATTCAACTGATAGCACTCGTCGTGGGAGGACCTGTTGTGCTGCTCCTCGGGCTTCTTGGGGTGATGCTTGTGGATGATGTCCTGAAGGTCCTTTTCGAGCATCTTGATAGGATTTCCGTGAACCATGGTAGAGCCTGACAAAAAAGCAGTGTAGTACATGTGAGAAATTGACGCGAAAATACAGAAATGCAGGCGATAGGCTGGCCGCTTTATAGCCAGCACAGGACAGCCACAAGAGAATGAAAAAGCAAGTGGCGTGAACAAGGTAAAGGGGTTGTGCGGCGAGGGCTATTTTTGCATAAATGTACTTGCGAGCTACCAGTCCAAGTGGTGCAGATTCGGTTACACCCGCAGCAGGGGCTGTCGAGCAAATTCCAGAACCTCTTGTTCTTCCATTTACCCTACGAAACTCTGTCTGGAACACACGCCGTTGCTGGTGGAAAGGAGATCTGTACCAAAGAGGTTTATTGTAAAGAACAGGTAGAGTTGAGTGAACAAAAACTCCGCATGGGAGAGATCTAGTACACGGGAATGACAGTGTTGTCAAAATACATTATGCCCGTGTTCCGGCCTATGCTTGATCTGCACGGATTGCACAGAGGACCACCCATGTTGGATCTGTGCTGCTTCGGCTCGTGGATGCCCGAAACAACAGTGGACATCCTCCATTACTGGGGTCTTGCCGATGGACGAGCGCCGCTGGATATTGATGTTGCCGCCGATGAGTGATCCTCGGTGGTATCCGGCATATCCGCCAATGCCGGCGTTCGGGTGGTCTGCTGGTTCATTGTACATGTTCGTGCAGGTCGGATCAGGGCTGCGAGAACGGACTTAGCAATGGCTTTGACGATATTAGTGAATGTCCATTGGTAAATTTCCGTGGGGGATTGCTGCAGATGTAAGTGGAGAGAGATGCTGGTGTGTCTGTTGCTGATAGTGAGTCGGGATTGGAAGAGAGACCAAGCCCTAGCGAGCAAACCCCTTTTATATACTTGGATCCCAGCGGATCGACTTATTTCTCTTCCCTGTTTCTGGGAACCCAGCATTGCATCCATTGCAGTATGGATGCCGGAATGTCAACCTGCTCGGTGTTTGTGAAGAACCCGTGCAATATCTTCTGACTAATAGGAAGATATGGCTGTATAGCACTGTATATTGCGGTGTTGGTTCTGTGCTACCTGGAGGTCTAGGACCCGGGGGGATACATTTTGCCATTGCTTTGGGTTTACTGACCACGGCACTATGAGCAGCCAGTGCGACGGCAAATATTAAACCACCGGCGCTGTCTGGTACGACTTCAGGCACAGGAATTACTAATTCTCCGATCACTCTCTCTTGGCTTTGCCTAAGGTCCGAATGTCGAGAGCATCCGGATATTACATCTAAACCATAGCGCCGTTTTCATTTCGTCGGCAGTTCCATACACCCACTCCCACCGGTACAAATATCCACCATTCCAGAGATGAGTAATGACACAGAAGCCCAAAGAAGCAGCAAACCCGTTCGGGATTGATTCTCAAGCGAGCTAGAGACAAGGATAAAAAATATTACGATGCGAATTCATGGAAAATGTCAGGCCGCTTATGCGTGAAGACCGGGATGTCGCTCCGGCACTTGTCCAGGAACTCCAGGTTGATCTCGCCCACGGCAATGGCGGGTTCAGTCGAATTACGCGGGCACCGCGCCACCACCGAGCCCCACGGATCCACAATCATCGCGTCGCCGTACGACGACCGCTTCGAGTTGTGCTTGCCGATATGGGCAGCCGCAATCACATACGTCTGGGTCTCGATTGCGCGCGCGCGCAGCAGTACCTCCCAGTGCGCAGCGCCTGTGGGCTCGGTGAAGGCCGACGGATAGCACAGTACCTGCGCCTGGCGGTGCCGCAGCTGCTGCGCCAGCTCCGGGAACCGCATGTCGTAGCAGATGGCCAGCCCCAGCTTGCCCACCGGCGTGTCCACGGGGTCGGTGATCTGGTCGCCGCGCGTCGTTGTCTGGCTCTCCGACATCCGCGGCCCGTCCTTGACGTTCACGTCAAACATATGCAGTTTGCGGTACACTTGCGTCAGTACACCCTCGTCAGACACCACGGCATTGGTGTTGAACGGGTGGCCGCTGATTGTGTGCTGTTCATGCACGCCGATCGACACCCAGATGCTGTTGTCCTTGGCCGCCTGCTGGATCTCCTTCATGAACGGCCCGTCCAGCGGCTGTGCCTGCTGCGCCGATTGGTCGCGCCGCTCGGGAATAAAGTCGCTGGCCTCAGGAAGGAACACCATCTTGGCCCCGCGCTGTGCTGCGCTGCCGATCAGCGCTACGCACGTCTGCAGGTTCTTTTGCATGTCGAGATGTCCGCAGAACTGTGCAACAGCCGCTAGTGTACGCCGTGCTCCGGGCAGGTTGATGCGGGAAAGTGGCGAGCCGATCATGGACGAAAAGCTTTCTAAGAAAAAAACACAGGGCACAGAGAGATAAGGTTAGCAAAAAATGGAAAGCTGCAAGTTTGCCGAGATAAGCCGCAGGGATGTACATTTGTGGGTAATATACGCATGGCGGATGTGATTGGAATTGTGGATATCGCCGAGTCACGCCTGGCCCCTAAGGGGGTAACTTACCTTGCATCAGAATCTGGTTCTCCTCGTACTGGCCCCCGTTGTGCACCACCTCGGATACAGACCGCAGGAGCTCGTCGGTCGACGACCCGTTGGCCTACTGCCAACGTTCCCTGGCCATGGAACAAATGACCTGTAGCCTGGCCATCCTGACCGGGCGTTGAGCTGCCATTGGCAGCAGCAGCAGCGGCCACAGCAGCAGCAGCAGCGATGGCTCTCTGGTCGTACTGTACGCTGTTGGCCGGCTGGCTGGACTGGCTTAGCAGATGCGCGCTGTGATGCGATCGACGGACGCGCGATGCGATGCAGTGGAGTCGGCAGGAGCGCTCTGGTCGTGGCGGTTCTGGTAGTGGCGGTTCAAGATGGTGGTTGCGGTCAGCGGGCCGTACTTTTGCGAGCAGAAGCGGCACTGGCGGAATCCGTCATCCATAATATCGTACCAGTGCCAGACCTTGCTCTTGAGCCGGCTGTTGCGCGACGCCGACGCGGCCTGGTGCATGGCCATCAGCGGGCGCTTGGACGGCGTCACGCTCTGGGCGTCCATCAGCCGCCCGGTCTTGTACTCGATCGGCGTTCCCGCAGGCGCTGGCGAGTGCGAGTGCGACGCGCTGTGCAGCTGCTGCGCGGCCAACTCAGCGCCGATCGAGTACCGGTCGTCCTGCGGCTCCTTCTGCCCATCGTCCTGCGGCACCGGCGTTGCATTGCTGCATCCAGGCCGGCCGTCGACGTGATCACCTGCGACAGCGCTGCCAGCGATGAGCTCGGATCGGCCATCGAATATTCGCCAGCGCCCTCATCGTACACGGGCTGCTCAGTCTCGTACATTTGCTGCCCGTCATGCATGATTTCGCCCTCTGCCTGCTTGTCGATGATCTCGCCCTCATACGCGTACTCGCCCTGGTGCCCCTCGTCGAGCATCTGCCCGCCATTCTCCTGCGTCGCCAGAATCGACCCAGCTTCGGCATATTCGCCCTGGGCTGCCTCACCGTGCTCGCCAGCCGTCATCTCCACCTCGCCTATGTCGTACTGCTCGTACTCATGCTCGTACTGCGCCTCTTCCAGCTCTCCGCCGTTGCCGTGCTCAACCATCTCGTATGTCTCGCCCGTGTCGGCATCCTTGACGGCGTCGGCCATCTGCGTCGCCATCTCTGTCAGTTTCAGCTCCGCCTCGGACGTGTCGTTGCCCGAGTACACCGGTTCGTGTGCGCTAATCTCCGACAGCTCGCCTGTGCCTTCAACCGCTGCCTCCTCTTCGCCTGCTGCCACGTCGGCTGGCGCAGGCCTCTTTGCTGTGAACTAGCCCAGGAGCCGCTTCTTCGTGTGCCAGCAGCTGGCTGTCCTCTTCGGGTCCCGGCATGACTGCAAAATGTTTATCGCGCTTTTGTACCTGAAAGAGTTGTCGAATTTGCTGAGGTGAGCCGCCAGGCAAATGGGAGGGGGGACGCCTTGATTAGGGTGAGTGAATGCGGTTAAATACAGAGGAAAAACGAGAGCTTGCAGAAAGGAAGACTGGGGCACTCTGCTGTCGGCTCTTTATGTTTTAGTGGAGGTTCGAGGTTCGGCTTGCCCGACAAAAAAACTAAAAATGCTTAAATTTTTCGTGTTGCTGGAGAAGAAGAGCTGAACCGGTCGCGTCTGCCAGCTCGCCTCCAGGTAAAAGGAAAATGCGCGCGCGTTGGGAAAACGCCGTCTGCGCTGTAAATTTTTCAGCCTCCCCAGCGAATTAGTCGCTCATTTGCTGATCGTCCGTGGTCACATGCGAATCAGCAGCCATCCAAGGCACAAGCGGATGGCCATATGTATCTTGCGTACAATGGTGATGGCACAGCCAAAGAGGCTACGGGCGCGGGTGGTCCGAAATAGCATCCCTCCAGTAAACAACGGTTGAACTTTTTATGGTAAATCTATCTCATTTTTGTTTAGCAAATACTCGCTTGCCCGCCGCTCTGCAACTGCCCAGCAGACTGCACAGGGATCAGCCCCACCAGCTCATACAGCACCTCGGACAGCATCGGCGAAATGTACGTGTTAGTGGTGCGCCCAACCACCCACTCTCGCCAGCGCGCAGCAAACAACGCATCGTGCTCGGGGTGCAGCATCTGAAGGACATGCATGGCACGCTCCGCCAGCTCAGTTGAATGGCGAGTCGGGCACCTGCGGAGTCGGTCCACGCGAGCACTGCAGCCCAATACGCGCCCACCACACCAGCACAATCTCCAGCAGCGCACGCACCAGGTTCGTGTTGGTCGCCAGCTCGTGCCGGAACCGCTTCATTTCCGCTGGCACCGCCATTGCCGCATATGTCATAGGCACGAATGGCATCGGCCGCTTGGTCGTCGCCCGCTGCTGCTGCTGCTGTTGCTGCTGCTGATGAACGCCGTTGGTACTGGCATTGCTGCCCAGACTCGGGTTGGTCTTGCCGTTCTCTGTGATCCAGAACCGCGTGTACTTGCGCGATGCGACCAAAGGCTGCGGCGTTGCAATTGTCACCAGATTGCTTAGCACCACCAGCGCATACTGCAGCCACATCAACCGCTTCTCGCCAAAGTTCTGCACTGAGCCAGGATATGCAACAAGCGATCGTCTGGTGCCCAGACAAAATACCTGCACACGCCATCGCCAGCGCCATATAATGGTCCGAGTCCACCTTGCCCGCCAATACCAGTCGGTTCACGTCGATGGTTGTCAGCCGCGCCGCCGATTCCAGCGCCAGCAAATAGTACATGTGGCCGTCCAAAGCCTTGACATGCGCAATGCCAGCCAGTGGGTCGCCCATCACTACCGGCGCACAATCCCGCAGCCAGCCCTCAATCACATCCGTGGTCTGCTGCTCATCGGCAAAGTACGCTAGCAGCTCCATCGTCGCTTGCAAAAACTCTTCGCCCTTGGCCTTCAGATTAACCATGTGGGCAATGTTTGACAAGATCAGCAGCAGCGACTTGCGGAACTCGACCGCACGCCAGACAACAAGACTCGTCAGCCGCTCGCTGCCATCGCTGTCTGAAAACTGCTGCCGCACTCCGTCGACTGCTCGCCGGCACTTTTGTACCAAGCTAACAAACATGCTGGCAAACTCGGCGCTGTCGGCATAATACTGCTGGTTGACGTGCAAGAACGACAGGTTGCGCAAAGCATAAATCACTGTCAGCGCGCGGTTCGATGTGAACGACCACAAGTCATCGCCGCCCAGTAGCAAGCCGCGCAGCGATGTCTCGTCCTGAATGTCATCTCCAACCATACCGCCCTCATCTACCGCGCCTTCATAGGAGTCGTTGAACAGCCGTGTGTCTGTCGAATATGTACCCTTGGCTGGTCGTTTTTGTCTGCTGCTGCTGCACTTCCGATTCCCCACTCGACTGCTTAGTCTCGGATGGCAGTTTGATGCCCTGAAGAATGTCAAACAACGCCTCGGCCAGCTCGTCACACTGCCTCAACGGCAGCACTGTGTCAGGATGCGCTGTCGCCTGGACCAATGTGTTTAGCGCATTGGTGACCTCCATGGCAATCCCTGACTCGATGCTCAAAGTCAGTGCGCGAATATCGATTGATCCATAGTCTCCAAGATTCGGAAGCCGCAACTGGGGCCGACACATCAACGCCGACTGCAGATCAACGCCGCCACACGTGTCAACAGTCCGTTCCAGTGGGAACCAGTTCAGCGGCTTTGGTCCAGGGGGCGGAGGGGGGACCGTGAGAACCTGCACCTTGGACTGTGCCGGGGCCTGGCTGTTGTGGCTGTGTCTGTGGCTGCGGCTGTGTCTGTGGCTGTTGCTGTGGCTGTTGCTGTGGCTGTGGCTGAACTACAGACTGCTGTTGACCAGCTGCCGGTGGTGGGGCTGGACCATTGGGCACTGGTCCAGCAGCAGTCGCATTGTTCGCAATTGACACAGCAGCAGGTTTAGGAGTCACTGGTGACTGGACATTGCTGGTGCCGGACACTGCAACCTGCGACGCTGGTCGCGTCGGCGTCGATGCCAGTCCATTGGTCGGGAGTGTGGGCAGCGACGACAGACTGGCAGCCACGTTCATTTGCGGAGGAATGCCCATGGACATCCCCATACCGGACATCATCTGTGGCGGGGGTGGTGGTGGTGTGTGGTGTGCTGGGCTCGCGTTAGCCGACACAGCACCATTAGTCAACGGACTGTACATCTTCATGCGCTTCTGCGAATCGGCGCTGACCGAGAACGACCGCTCAATGCCGCCAGGCCCAGGCGTGCCACCGGGACTGTTGAGCGAGTCCTTTTTCCGCTTCTTCAGCGAAAAGTTGGCATGTATTCCCGTGTGTTTTGGATGGCCTGGTGGGAACACCCGCAGCTGCTCCAGCGGCTGCAACCAGCTCTTGTACCAGCGGCTGAGCAGCGGGGGCAGTGTCGGAATGTCTGGCAACCCCGAGTCCTTGGCCACCTGGCGCCAGATCCGCTTTGTGTGCACCTGCTCCAGCCCGCCACTACGGATCACCTCGCAGAAAAACCGGTACAGATCGATGTGCTTCTCGTCGAACACCGGCTTCTTGCTAAAGTTGCCCGTGATGTCGTTCTCTTTGTAGAACTTTAGCAAGAACTCCATGAACGTCTCGCTGTTAAACTCGGGCAGCTTCTTCACAAACTCCTCCGACGACTTTATGGCCTTTGCCACTTCCTCCGGCGAGTAAGCAGTATGCGGCGTTCCACCGCGGATGCTGACCTCGCTCGGCGTTGGTGTTGCCCGGGGATCATCGGCGAACGCAGAGGCCACCGAGCCCTTCCGCTGCATCACACCACCGCTGCTCAGGGTGCGTGGCGACTGAATACCTGACGACACTCCGCCAAAAGGCGGCGGCGGCGGCGATGCCTGTGACAAGAACGATGCCGTTGGCGAGAATGGCCGTGGCATCCCGAGCAGCTGCTGCGGCCCAGGCGACTGGCTCTTTGACCGATCTCGCGCTACGCTCTTTGACGACCGCACCGAGGCCGACCGTGTCATCTCTGCGCTCTTCGCATTTGCCGAGATCGGCGTTTGTCCTCCAGCTGCATTTGGTGTCTCCGATGCCTGTCGTAACCGCATCTGTAGCTGCTGCTGCTGCTGTAGCTGGTATTGTTGCTGCAATTGCTGCTGTGCGTGGTAGTTTTGTATTAATGCCTGCAGCTGTGCTGGCGGCAGTGTCGCCCGAATGTTGGCTGGAATACCAATTCTGGCAGCAATTGCTTCCAGTGCTGCTATCTGGTTGCTATCCATACCCGTTGGCGTGCCTGTTCGCGGAACCTGGGTCCGAGCAACGCCGTTTGTCGCAGACTGTGTCGGCGTGGTAGGTGTTGCTGGTGTGGTTGCTGCAGCAGAGGTTGTTGGCACTGCCGCTGCTGTTACTGCTGCTTTCGACGTACTAGGGGCCTGAGTAGACGTAACATTTGTTGCAGGAGCAGCTACCGACTGCAGTCCAGAGACACCTTGTGCAAGCTGCACTGACTGCTGATTCTGTTGTTGTTGATGCTGAGCCAGGATAGCCATTTGCTGATTGTGGATGGCCTGTCGCACCTGCGCAATATTCTGGAGCTGTAGCTGAGACACGCCAGGTGCCTGCGACTGAGCAACCAGTTGTTGTTGCATCAGCTGTAGCTGCTGGAACTGTTGGAGCTGCTGAAGCTGCTGCTCAGTAAGCGCCGGCTGCTGTTGTTGACCAAGTGCTCCATCGTTCTGCTGACTGCCTGGAGTGACTCCTGTGCTATTGGCGTTGAGTGCGGTTTGGCCTGGAATATTGTTCATCACCATGTTGACTATGTCCGCGCTGTTATCGGCCAACGGAACCGATGTGCTCATGGCGCGATAGCTGTGTTGTTCTGATCCCTAGACACCCGCCTGCTGTATCCGTAAGATGAAACGAGCGAAGGGTGTGTGCTGGCTGCTGGGCTCGCGTGAATAAAGACGCCAGCCGAGAAACGCGTGTATGAAATACCACAGAAAACCTTGTGTATATCAACGAAACAAGGATCCGCTAAAGCTACGCAGCATGAAAAGAGACGAAGAACGTATACTCAGCAATAAATGGAGTGGAAAGCGCGAACGCTTGGAACTGTATTTTTTGGCGAAATTGAGATTAGTTTCGCAATGGCTCTTAGCAGACCTCTCGCCATTCAGCCCACACCCTCTGCACTAGCAGGCTCCTGTTGCTAGCAACGCCCGCTCTGCCAGAATACAGATAATAAAATAGCGAGGCGAATTGGGGGAGTGAGAGGAATGAGAAAGCACACGGGAGCAGGGCGGCAAACTTACCTCTAAATTCGATAAAGGCTCTAACGCACGGAAAGGGCGAGAAATATTCCCCTGGGCCTGTTCTGCGTTTTAGGTTAGAGAGTAACTACCGGCCGAATCTTGTTTTCCTTTGAAAAGACTTCCTCTGCTAAAAAAAAATAAGGAATATGAAACAGGAGGGAAAGAAAAAGAGCAAATTTGTACAAGTATGAAAAAAAAGGTCAGGGAAAGTGAAAAAAGTCGCCTCTATATTCTAAAGGCCAAAAAACGAAAACTCCCCTTCAGTATAGAGTAGACCAGTAAAAAAACGCGTGAGACGCCAGAACGCGACAAGGAAATGAAAACCCGAGGAAGGGGGAGCTGTCTGGCTTAGTGAGGGGATATGAGAGAGCGAAGGCGATATGTATGCACAAGTGGGGGTGGAGAAAAGAGAGATGAAAAACCGGACCTACTCACGCGTTGGTGGCCGTGCAAAAAGCGCTCTCCCAGGCGAAAATCATCAGGCATTAGCTACAGGCCCGGCGAGCCAATTGGACGGCAGTAGGCCAGCGTCTATTATGAACTTTACTCTAGGCGAACATGATAGTGAGGCAGCTTTCTAAATGTTGATCGGGGCATCAGGCAGCAGCTCGGGCCGGCCGCTGGAGCTAGTCTGGCTTGAAGATGGCTGGCACAAACTCGACGCCCTTCTCCTTGCGCTCCGCAGCGATCTTGCGCTGCGTGTCCTCGATATGGCGCTTGCACTTGGTGGCCTCACCAAAGCTGCGGTTGTGCATCTCCCTGGCGACCGGATCCCACACACGCCGCGACTCCATCTCGCCCTGCTCCTCCAGAGGCTTGACGACCTTTTCGGCGACTGCCAGCCCGGTCAGGTCGATAAGCACGCGCTCACTCTTGGCCTCGGCGCGCTGCACATAGACCGTCTTGTCCCAGTTGCCGTGGAAGCTGGCCACGACCTTGCACGACTTGGGGATATCCTTGAGCCGCCAGGTGCCGACCTGGTTGCCCTGCTTCTTCGGATCATACTGGAACACCTTGCCCAGAACGTTGTCTTTGGACTTACCAAACCAGCGCTCCTCCTTGAACTCGATGATCGTAGGCCAGTCCGGTCTCGGGGCAGATGATATAGCAGTTCTCGATGAACTGAACGTGCAGGCTGCCGCGCAGCCATCCAACAATGTTGCCAGTCGGGTGCGTGGTTGCGTACGTCTCGTTGTTGCGGCTCTTTAGCGTGATGAAGATCCCCTTGCATCTGTCACCGGGCGACACGGTCGCTGACAACCCAGTGAACTTGGCGCTAATGTGGTCGATGCCTGTGGCCTCAATGCCCTTCTCGACGCACCGGTACATGTGCGCCGAGACCGGCGGGTGGTGCGACACCTGCTCGGTGATGTACTCGACACGCAGCTTGCCCTTTGCGTCCTGCTCATCCGACCCAGTCGACACGGCAGTAGCGCTCGAGGACGAGATCCCGGTTTGGCATGGCACGTCATTAGCGTCAACCTCCCAGTAGCAAAAGAACTGCTCGCCAAGCACCGAATTGAACGGCTTCAGCACCTTGCCCGTGTGCTTGAGCAGCTTTGAAAACCACCACGCCAGCGTGGCCAGCATGCGCTCGACGTCGTCGTCCGAATCGGGGATACTACATATAAATAAGGTCCTGTCACATGAGTTATCCATGATGCCAATGGCCCCGCCCACGCCGCACCGCACCGCGCATTGCACTGTCCACGCCTTGCAATATAAAAAAACTTACGCGGCAAAAAACTCGGGCCTGTCCATGTAATTCCAGTACTCGAGGTTGGGGATTGGGTCCAGCAGCTGTGACGGCAGCGACAAACGCCTACACGGATAAGCCAACGGGAAAATTGCGAAACACGCATGGCACCTGCTGGTCGGGTTAGTATGCTTATTCGTTTGCATTCTGTGTCGCATTGTCGACCACCAATGCGAGAAAGCCAGATCTGCCACCAGAAGCTGGACGCTGGGCAATACAATATGCAGCCGTTGCCTTCCTATCCAGTCCGCCAACTAGGCCACAGGAAAGGCCAACGAGAGTGGATAATAGTCTCACCGTGCAGAAATCATCAAGGGCTGGTCTCGGCTAGCCAGTAAGATCCGTGCGCCAACGAACGCGTCCCCTCACCTTGCCTCACCATGCGTAAGGGGGACGAGCAACCCCCTTTGCAAGGAATGCAACTTTTTTCCCCATTGTGCTATGGCAAAACCAGCTGGGCCACTGATGTAGTGCTTTTTCGATATACTTACAAGCTGATGACGTCCGAGACACCGATGAGCTTGCGCAGAATGCCCAGCATCGCCGAGAACTTGCTCTGCTCGCCGTCAACATGCACATCCTCGGCACGGTCGACCTCCTCGACCGCTGCCTTGTGGGTATCCGCTGCTACTGCCGAGTTTCTGGGTGCTGTGTCGCTCATGGTGTGTATGTGTATTTAGGCGTGCCTTATTTCACTTCTCTGCCGCGTGCGATATAGAATGGAAAGGGTGAGAAAATAGCCAAAGCTGGTATTAAGAAGTAACTGGAAGGTGGGGGCGCCTGAGCAAATAAATAAAACCGGGGCTCCTAAGGACACAATGGAAAACAAAAGAGTGCTCAAGGACTGAGGATGAGGGAAGAGTAGAGAAGAGAGAGGCGAGACAAAGTTCCTGGCCAGAGTTCTCGAAAAGAGTAGGTCGCCAGAAAAAAATAGATTGGTCGGGTTGCGGGGGGAGGTGGTCAGCCCGGGCCCCACACCTCTGTGGCCAATTCTTTAGCGAATCCCCCCGTGTTTTGTGTCCATCTGACTGTTGCGCGACTGGCCCGCCTGCTCCAGTCTGCACGGGACGGCAAATAGCCCATTCAAAAGTCGCAAAACTAGGCTCCACTGTTTTTGCAAGAAACAGCCCATGTTCGCCTTTTTTTCCCTAGCTCAAGAAAGGACCGGCAACTTCTCCTATGCCGGTTGCTGGCAGATCGTGCTGTGGAGGGAGATTTGGCCAAAGCAATTCTGTATGTGCTTTCACAAAGTCAGAACAAAGCACACATAACTCCTTAAAGTCACCATGAGCCGAAACAAATGTGAATGTGAAAACCGGAGCCAACCAATTTTAGACATGCGCGATGACCACATGCTTGGCGGTGTGGATGATCACCAGCAGGACTCAATGCCCAGCTGACAGATGGATTGCAATGCAGCAGCACTCTGACAACGACTCGTCTGCTGAGCCAGCAGAGTCTGCCAGGCACACTGTCAGCAGGTTGTTGCCAAACCGCCATTCCTGTGGGTCCAGCTCCCTGCCCAGGATGCGAATACTCTGGATTGCCAGCGGCAGCTCGTGCCATTGTGGATTAGCACGCCCGCAGCGCGAACGCAATCCTAGCGCGGTTTGCCAATGGTGCCTCGGCCAGACGCACCCGAATTGTCCAGCATGGCTGCTGCCCGTGGGCTTCCCTGATGCACCCTGCCTATAGCACTATGGACCGGCCGCTCAACCACTCCCGCGCTATTAGCCTTCTGGATATCGCCCAAACACGCAGCAAATAGCGTGGCAGAGTGGCTGGCGGACCGGAGCATGCTCATTCTGACAACAGTCAGCAAATCTACGGCGAGCGAAGGGAGCGAAAAGTCGAACCATTTTGCGTCAATTCTGGTGATGAGTGTTCGGCCAGTTGAAACTTGCCTGGACCGCGTACAGGATCCTCCGGAGATATGTCATGCTCCACAACTACCTGGGCTGCGCGTGGGCTGGTTGCCAGGACATCGTGGTCAGCGGGCTGTGCCAAGACGCTGGCACTCACTCTCGAGGCTTCTCGGCAGATGATATCCAGACTAAGCGGCTCAATGGCCCTATGTGGCGACACGTTGTATACAGAAACGAGCACAGCGTTGGCAGCGGCCACTGCTGATGCGCCGACAAGCAGGCCGGCACACTTGCTCATGTCTGAGAATATGCAGCGCTCATGTATAACCGGCGGACTAAGCGTGTAGGTGTTGTTTGCAGCGCCCACATATTCAGATAACGGCTGGCGGCTGTATTCTTCAGCATTTCCTGTTATATATACTGGGCCGCCACTCAATGCACGCGAAACTGCATGAATCCGGCTCTCGGCCTGGCCCGGCTTGAACATGTCCCAGTCCATTACAAACCATGGCTCCAAGGCGCGGCTCCATAGCAAATTCGCCATGTTGCAGTAGATATGCCATCCATGCGAATCATGGACGTCTGGGAAGTAGTCATCTGAATTCCTGAACACCGTACGGGGCTGTGGTGGTTTCTGGAATCCGTGGCTACTATCAGGACAGGCGTCTGGGACATGCAGTAGATGACGCTAGATGGCCCAAAGTGTTTCAGCGCAGCAGCCTCCATCGCCACATAGTAGGTATGGATGAGTTGTTGTAAATGCGCCTCGCCATTGTCACCGGCATCTAGCGACTCGAACGACGCCTGACAGTCTACTTTAACAAATGTGATTCCCTGCGACCTGAGCCATCGGTAAAACTGGTCATAGAATGCATGGATGTCTTGCATTGAAATCACCCACACGTCGGCCTCGACGGGCATGGCAGAATTCGGCAGCCTGTGGAATCTCTCCAGAGCATAGTCGTGCGCCAAAGGACCGTGTGGGTCGATTCCGCCCCAGTAGCCCCACAGCGCATGCCACACGCCGACCCGTTTCACTCCAAGAGACGACAGCTCTGTGACTGTTCCTTGCAGCTGTGCAGGGAACTTTGGGTTTGCCTCATGGCTGACCAAGCGCCCCTGGCTCGAATACTCAGTCACCGACTGCCACCCGTCGTCAATGAGCACCCACTCCGGCCGTGGCTCGCCAGACATGCTACTGGTAGAGCAAACATCGGACAACGTCTTTAGCAGCAAATCGTGCGACACGTCGGTGTAGAATGTGTTCCACGTGCAGTACCCGAGCCGCGTGGTGATATCCAAGTGGGTAGGTGTTTGCGCAGATATGGCTGTGGGAGCTGGAGAGCTGGAGCGAGACCGAGGCTGGCGAATTCGGGCCAGGGCGTTCAGCACAGCTTCGTGTGGGTGGTGCTGATACTAGCTGCAACCCGAATGCCCTGGTGGCCACCAAGTACAGGATGCACGGACAGTGCATCATTGTCGCCAGCCCTGAAAACAGCAGCTCTGGAGTGCTGGTCATCCCTGATGAAAGGCACCAGCGCAATACAAGCACCCGACTGCATCTGCGCCAGGATTAGGAAGATGTCAAACTGGCCAACCGCCCGAACGTCGCAGCCAGACCCACACAGCGGGATGATCCAGAACGGATTCTTGCGCACGAATGCCACAAACCGCAGACAGCCCTCAAGCCTTCCGAACCTTGGTCTCTTCACCCACCGATTGTCTGAACACGCAAGAGACGCCGTCGGCCGCCACCTGCCACGAGTCACCAGCGACAATAGGCGCGTCATCCCCGGCCACAAATGCATCGCGTAGCTGCGACCGCCAATATCGATAGTCCTTGGAGCCGCCGGCCGCGACACGAATTCGTCCATTTTCGCCAAAGGCACCAGCCCACCGCCACTCGGCCGAGTCGTCAGGGCGCCAGCGCACGGTGTAGTCAAACTCGGCGCTGAGAGCGGACGCGTCCACGGACAGCGAGTAACACTCTATCTCCTTGTCCTCCAGGAATGACTGGCATTCTGTGGGCCTGTCCCCATGGACCATTGCTACTGCCCTCCACTGTCGGTCTCTGCCCATGTTGGTCCACAGTTCAACGTCCTTGGGCCGATCGTCCTTGTCAGAGGTGACGTAGAACGCGGAATGGAATCACCGACTCTCTGCCCACCACCGTCAGCGTGCCCAGCGGCGGATGTATGGAAACGAATGTCATAAGTACAGAATACTGAAAGAAAACTTTTACAACCAGAAGAGTGGGCGTTTGAGTTGTGAGCTGAAAGGACAGGCTGAAGGCCCCGGCCGCTGCTTTTTTGTTGCAGATGCAGAGCGGACAAATAACAAAGGGATAGAAATCGAGCGCACTTGTTTATGCATTGGTGTCAGAGCTGCCCTGCGACGCGGTGCAGCTGAAGCACAGGCTGCCAACTGCACGGCGCAAGCGCGTGTCCCACGCCAGGTACTGGTCGGCTGTTTTGTGTGCCGCCTGGAGGTCGAATGGCCCCGTACACTGCAGCGTCGCTGCCTACCGTGCCAGGGTGCGCTCGGCGGCTGGTATGTCTGCAGCAATGGCTGGCCCTCGCCGTAGAAGTCACTGCTGTCGTCCTGAGTCGTGGCCGCTGTCGCCCTTGTCCTCGTCCTCATCTCTATCTTCATCCCCGTCCTCGCCTTCGCTGGCCAGCATCTGGTCATAGTTGGCCTCGGCTTCCCCCTGCTGCTGTGCCTTCAGCTGCCGTCGCTGGCATGTCCCCAGCACCGCCTCCAGCGACTTTATCCGCTCGGCACGGCCCTCCTTCCACTTGTGCTGCTGGCAGCCGTCGTCGGAGCCGCTGTGCGATGTGGCCAGAGTCGCAGTTCCCGACGAGCACCCAGTATTTGACGGTGACGGTGCTGGGTCTGCGTTGGGATCGATGTTGAACGTTACCAGTGGCATAGCTGCGCTGTGAGAAACGAGTCGGAAGCGAAGATGAAAGAGGCTTTGAAACGTGCTCGCTTGAAACGTGGGTTCTGGATGGATTTTCCACGTGGTCACTGTGACCGGCAAACTGGATTCGGCCAGCACGAGAAGCCCTAGCAACACCCTGCCAGGTAGACACGTCAGCGCTGCCAGGGCCGCATGCTGGCACAGCTGATGGCTGCGCAACACCGTGGCAGCAATAGAAAACCTCCCTGAGACTCCTTTCTGCCATACAAACCGGCTCCAGCGAATGGCTGGGCCTGACGCACTATCAAGCCGCTCCTGGCGTGCCAGCGCATTGGAGAGCGGTGATCGCGTGATTTGGTGATCACCAGTACAGCCAATGGCGGCACACTACGTCAAAGGCATTTGTCGAGAATGCGCTGCATACTCTTTCAAGACCAGCACATACCGATTAGCGATGCACGGTCTATAAAACCGCTGCCTTTGCAGGCGATTACAAGTAGCCAACCCGCAAACTCTGGCACGAATTTTTCTTTTCCCTTCTTTCTCTTTCCGATTATTTTATTCTACACTTTTTTTCTAGTGCACCTTTGTATCCTATTGCCATGAAGGGAGTGCACTTCTTCGTCACACTAGCATTTTTGCTGCTTGCGCTCATCTCCGCCGCCCCGTCGGTCCGCGGCGAGGAGTCGGAGACTAAGGAGGACTACGGAACTGTTATTGGTATTGATTTGGGAACCACCTACTCGTGCGTTGCTGTCCACAAGAACGGCCGCGTCGAGATTATCGCCAACGAGCAGGGTAACCGCATCACTCCGTCCTGGGTCGCTTTCACTGCCGACGGCGAGCGCCTGATTGGCGACGCCGCCAAGAACCAGTACCCGTCCAACCCCGAGCGCACCATCTTCGATGCCAAGCGCATGATCGGTCTCCGTTTCGACGACAAGGAGGTCAAGCGCGACGCCAAGCACCTGGCTGTCAAGGTTGTCAACAAGGATGGCAAGCCCGGATTCCAGGTTGACTACAAGGGCAAGGCCCGCACTTTCTCGCCTGAGGAGGTCTCGGCCATGGTCCTGGGCAAGATGAAGGAGACCGCCTGAGGCCTACCTCAACACCAAGGTCACCCACGCCGTCGTCACCGTCCCCGCCTACTTCAACGATGCCCAGCGCCAGGCCACCAAGGATGCCGGCGCCATTGCTGGTCTCAACGTCCTGCGCATTGTCAACGAGCCCACCGCTGCTGCCATTGCCTACGGTCTGGACAAGAAGGGCAAGGAGCGCCACATCCTGGTCTACGATCTCGGAGGTGGTACCTTTGATGTCTCGCTGCTGGCCATCGACAACGGTATCTTTGAGGTTCTGGCTACCTCGGGTGACACCCACCTTGGTGGTGAGGACTTTGACCAGAAGATTGTGCAGCACTTTGCCAAGCTCTTCGAGAAGAAGACCGGCAAGAACCCGCGTGAGGACAAGAAGGCCATGGGCAAGCTGAAGCGCGAGGCCGAGAAGGCCAAGCGCACTCTCTCGTCGCAGATGTCGGTCCGTGTCGAGGTCGAGGCTCTCCTTGACGGCGAGGACTTCTCCGAGACCCTGACCCGCGCCAAGTTCGAGGAGCTCAACAACGCCATGTTCAAGCGCACTCTGAAGCCCGTCAAGCAGGTCCTCGAGGATGCCGGTCTGACCAAGGCCAAGATCGACGACATTGTCCTGGTTGGTGGCTCGACTCGCATTCCCAAGATCCAGAAGCTGCTCGAGGACTTCTTTGACGGCAAGAAGCCGTCGAAGGGTATCAACCCCGACGAGGCCGTCGCCTACGGTGCTGCCGTCCAGGCCGGTATTCTGTCTGGTGCCGAGGGTACTGACGACGTTCTGCTGCTCGATGTCAACCCCCTGACTCTTGGTATCGAGACCACCGGCGGTGTCATGACCAAGCTGATTGGTCGCAACACCCAGATCCCGACCAAGAAGTCCCAGATCTTCTCGACTGCCGCCGACAACCAGCAGACCGTGCTGATCCAGGTCTACGAGGGCGAGCGCTCGCTGACCAAGGACAACAACCGCCTGGGCAAGTTCGAGCTGACCAACATCCCGCCTGCTCCCCGCGGCGTTCCCCAGATCGAGGTCACCTTTGAGATCGACGCCAACGGTATCCTGAAGGTCGGAGCCATCGACAAGGGCACTGGCAAGGGTGAGTCCATCACCATCACCAACAACAAGGGCCGTCTGTCGCAGGAGGAGATTGACCGCATGGTCAAGGAGGCCGAGGAGTTCGCCGAGGAGGACAAGGTCCTGCGCGAGCGCATCGAGGCCAAGAACACCTTCGAGCAGTACCTGTACAGCGTCAAGAACCAGGTCACCGACAAGGAGCAGCTGGGTGGCAAGATCGACAAGGAGGACAAGGAGACCATCCTGTCCGCCATCAAGGACGCCGAGAAGTGGCTCGAGGACAACATCGCTGAGGCTTCCAAGGAGGACATTGAGGAGCAGCGCGAGGAGCTCGAGTCTGTCGTCAACCCGATCGTGTCCAAGCTGTACGGCGCCAAGGGCGGTGCCAAGGCCGATGACGACGACGAGGATGACGATGCCGAGCACGATGAGCTCTAAAAAGTTGTGTTTTTCGCATTAAAAATCTCAACATCACCAGGTGCTGGCTCTGCGGCCACATTGCCTCAAAATGTGTTTCAGGCTGGAATTGATATACTGGACGGCTGTCTACTTCCGTGAACGCTTCGTCTGCTTCTTGCCCTTGGTGTTCATCTCGGCCTGGACCTGCTTGTTGGTTCCCAGGGCACGCTGGGCCTTGCGCACGTTGAGCAGGCTGGCCTTGGCCTCGCCCTTGTTGACCCGGTTCAGGATGTCCATGTTCTTGGACTTCTCCTTGTCAGCACTGCCAACCAGTGGGTCGAACTTGCGCTTGACGCCCTTGATCTTGGGCTCGCCAGTCAGCTTCGTGTCGAATTTGCCCAGCGACGCAGTCGAGCCCTTGGACATAACCAAAGCGCGCTGCAGCTGCGACTTGCGCATCTCATGCGGCTTCATGCCGCGCTCCGTGGCCATTGCCTCCTCGGCGTTCCTCTGCCGGCGGCGGTCATTCTTGGCGACGCGCTCCTTCTTCTCCGTGCGCAGCTTGGCGTACTGGTCCTCATACGGGTCTGCGTTGTCAGGCACCGGAATCGCCCACTGGTTCATCTCCTCGTTCTTGGCGCTCTTGTAGCCGAACCGCGGCTTGTACTCGCCCGACTCCTCGTCAAACACCATGCGCGAGTGCTTGCGCGTCTGGATGCCCTTGATCTTGGCAAACTTCTCCCACCGCGTCTCGGCCTTCTCCTTGGGCAGCGGCTTCTCGCGCGGCAGCGTGGTCTGCGGCTTCGGCAACTGCGCGTACACGCTGTCGTCGTCGACTACCGTCGGCAGGCTGAACAGCTCATTGATCATCAGCTGCGCGCCGTCGCGGGAGATTTCTTTCAGGTAGGCGTCCCGTGTCTTTTGGCTCGCCTTCAGCTTGCCCGGATCCAGCAGGTTTATGTCAAAGCTGGCAAGGTGGCCCAGGTCAAAGTCGACCGGCACCAGCTTGTCTACTTGCACCGATCTGAACCGGTCCTTGTGCTCCTGCAGAATACCCGAAACATCCATGTGCGTTATATAGCTGCTCTGTGAGGTTTAAAAGAAAAAAGGCTACGGGAAAGTGAATTGGTGGCAGGCGAGAATGAAGAAGCCAGCATGAAGGTTGTAAAGATCGATTTTTTTTTACTTTTTTTCCAGTCGAGTAGCTGTGATCAGATGATCAGATTATGATCATGATATGGAAATCAAGATTTTGATTTATCACTGAGTGATATGTATTACCAACGTGATTTGTGTGTATCGTGCACATATGTGTATCGTGCACATAAAAACGGTGGTCGCCTCGTCTGCTGTTTCGGTTGCACTTTTCTCTGGAATTGCCAACTTTCTCTTCTCTTGCAGCTAGCATAATTCCTCACTATCGCTACACGTGGACACTGTACCACCGACTAGAACCCAGTCTGCTCTTTTGGATCCTATCATCGTGCGCAGAGTCCTTACTTTTGTCGCAGCCCACAACTGCATCACCAGGGATGTTATATGTAGCCATGTATGCAATGAAGGCGCGCATCGTTTACTGTGGGGTATATGAACGCTCTCACGTCAGTTCTACGATTCCTTTACCCATCTTTATTTCACGTGGCTCTCAATATCGACCGTCTTTGCCTATATATACGATTCCAGATTCAGACACTCCCACCACCATACCTTCATATGGCTACTGCATACTGATCACAAATACAGAATACGTGTTTTCTCTGGACCTTACTCAGCAAACCAACTCAGCTACTGTGGCCGGCAACTTCTTCCGGCACGCGTTTTATCCATGATCACCTGAATATTCACTACTGAACGCAGCGCCTGAAATGTATTTTTACTTGGGTGGTCCGATGGTTACGCTTCCGCAGGTGAAACATGCCGTGCTGTCCTTCCGGTGGTCTGATGAGACAAATGAAACCATTGGTACATTGGGTATACTCAGAAGACTGTCGCTATATGTCACGCATTACGGGCATTCTTTCCTTCGGCCAGGTTCAACATCAGGGTTCATGATGACTGCCATTATTCTTCTGACCTGTGGAAGATGACGTTTCTTTTGAGATATCCAAATCTGCCAGTGGCATTCGATCGCTCACATATAAAAAAAAGCCGTGAATCTCTCATATATCCTCCCAGACAATGCGATAGGGCTTACCAGACTATATTTGCACATACACCCGTTGGACAGCCACCATTACAGGATTATGCGGAGAAACTCTGCAACACTGGTCGAACTCAGTGCTAGGAGAGTCCAATAGACAGCTCTCTAGCGAATTGTGATCGGAGATACTGAGCAACATGTCGCATATACTAACGTTAGACAGGCTAGTCCTGGAGATCGTTTACGATAACCGCGATGCATTCCCTGACAAACTTTCATTTGTGGAGCCGTTTCCAGCAGTGACCTATATGTGTGTAGTTTCAGAGGTTTTTCCCATACCAGCTTACATTGTTGGTCTAGAATCTCGCAAGCTCAGCAACCTGGTTCTGGAGTACCCGCAGACTAAGCATCAGAATATAAGCGCCAGAAGCTACAGATATGGTGATATTATGGACGCATATGTTAGCTGCTCTACCCTCATGCACATAACTGTTTGGCAACTATCGCCGAAAGATTATCAGGATCGACTATTCCACCAGAAACATCACACTAACATGCTGGTCCTACCCCCTTCAGCACTGTCATTTGCATTCTGCCCAAACACCTATACCCCTTGCTACTCTCTCTTGAACGATATTCTGGGATATCTCCCATCAACTTAAATTACACATACTCACTCTTCCAAAGATTTAGGTTTAATATCCACCAACTCGTATTACTTCTTGGCACTCTCCGTCATCTGCATTCCCTCACTATCCACCTGGCTCTACCTAAGAAGAAAAAGAGATGCCTGAGAAGTAGTAAAATCGATGATATGGTTCAGTATATGGAGCAATGAGCAGCCGCAACTGAGGCGCCTCGATCTTACGAATGGAAAGTTCCAGAAGTCTGTGCCTGCTACTTGAATAGTTCATCATCCAAACTATCGCCCCAAGGTTGCTCCAGGTCATGGCTCTCTTATTTGACCTTGGCTGTATAGAGAATTATTGGCCAGAATGTACTAAAAAAATCCAAAATTTTCAAAGTGCAAGGATAGCTTTTCGCATTTGGAGCTAGTGGTTAAACCTAAGCAGCACAGCCACGAACCACAGACATGGCCCTGGTTGCATAATATTATAAGCTTTTTTATGAATATTTACTTTTCATTTAAACAGCAGGAAATGTTGCAGACAATAGCCTATCTAGGCTGCCTGAGATAAATACGTGCTTCTCAATATGTATTTTCCTAAAGTAGCCATGTAATATTTTTATGTGCAACAGGTCTGTTATTATGAAAAATGTATATAATCAAGTTATTCTGTTTGCTATTTTAGCACTATTGCTAATACTGACTGAAGTTGCCAATATTTTTTGATAGCCTGAGATTGAGATGGCATAGTTGAAAAGGGTCATATGACAAACAGAATTCAGAGAATATTCAGATAGACTATTCAGGTACTGTATCGACCCAACTGTTTCAGATATAAATATATGTAATAGGTGCAAAGACGGTGGAATAAATACATTATATAAATGATAATATGATGCAATAAGATGGTTGGTTAGCAGCATGTTTATGATATCCATATATGTGTGACAACAGGCCTAGTATGGTAGTGTTGCAACCAGAAGTAAGGGGAGGCAGTTTGGTGAGACAAAGTGAGGATTGACATAGTATCCTGTGATTGATGTATTATTCTAAGAATCCAAATGTTTGTAAGCGAATTAGCTCAGATTCTGGTCTAAATTCGGTGATTCCAGCCCGGCTAGCTCAATCGGCAGAGCGTGAGACTCTTAATCTCAAGGTTGGGGGTTCGACCCCCCGTCGGGCTGTCTTTTTGCTGGAGCGGCGTTACTTTTTTTAAATATAACGCTACGCGCATTTTGAGGAAGATCGGTTATTGTATAGTCGCTGTTTTATTACTATTGGCATCCTGATGTTAGCAAAATGTGAAGTCGCAGTATATCCCAGATAGTGACGCACACGTTGATTTGGAAAAGCCGATTTGTACAGCTTGATGTAATGATGGTGCTAGTAGCATGGTAATGCTATTCAGTTACTTTCATAAGCCTGCTTGTATCACATCTGATGTATTACGCTGTTTCTCATTGTTATCATTTGACTCTTTTTTCTGGATCACTACAAGTGAATATGTAATTCGCCCATATAAATAGAAATCTGGCCTTCGCTGACGAACATCATCTCTCTTGAACTTTCCGAGTTAACTACGCACGCAGTACAGCTAATTTAGCATTTAGTTTACACATTATGCCGCTAGCATTCTGTCCATATGCGCTCTATATTTGTGAGGATTGTGGTACTGAATTCTATTTTTATGTGGACTACTGTAGACACCGTGATGATAGCAGTTGATTTTGATTGATGTGCACTGAAAAATCAGAATGGCGTCTTTGCGTAATATAGGACATATCACATTATTCATAACCTCATATTTCTGGACATTTCTGAAAATAAGAAGCCGCAGTATCATCTTAAAGAAACTAAAGGGAATAGCTACGATATGTACTTGTTGAGGGTAGCAGCTGGATGATAGTTTTAGTAGTGAAGGTGTACAGGTATGTTTCATTACACTAGCATGATATATTTATTACCAGACATCTTCGACGTAATGTCCAGAGGACACCAGATTAGAGAGATAGGTGCAGCAGCATCCATCTGACAGCAGACCATGATTCTGGAAAATGTGGAGCATAGCGCTGACAACATCTTTGGCTAGTTTATTGGCTGAGCCACAAACATAGACACGACCACCGCTCTGCAGATGATTCCAAACATCAGCACCATCGGCGGAAATGTGGTGCTGCACATACTTGGACTCATTGCCAATACGTGAAAATGCAGTCTGCAGCTTGGCCAACGTGCCGTGTTGGAACGTACTGCTCGAGCTCGCCTTTGTAGAGGTAGTCATATTCTGGGCTACGGCAGCCGAAATATAGTGTAGCACCGCCAATTCCAGCATGCTTCATCTCTTGCAAGAATCCGCGGAACGGCGCGACTCCAGTGCCGGCACCAACAAGCATTACAGGTACATCTGATGAAGGTGGAAGGTGGAAAGCGGCCTGGGCAGGACGGTGGGAAACTGAAACACGGGAACCAGGCTCCAGCGATGCAAGGTACCCAGTAGCCAGACCACCATACGAGCGACCATTGACAATGTCATCAACAATCGCAGCCGAAAGGTGTACTTCATTTCCAACTACCGACTGGCAACTGGCGATTGAGTAGCGGCGAGGAGTCATAGCCGATACAAAGTGAAGAATTGACCCAAATGGTACGTGATGCACAAGGGAGGCATATTGGCGAAGTACATCCAGGACTGTGCGAGTTTGTGAAATGAGTGCGTTCCAGCCAGGCGACTGCTTGCCCAGTGTATCAACATCTTCAGCAGCAGCTTTCAGTATTCTGTACTCGGCGTCCAGTGCTTGCAAGTTCGCTCAGTGCAACAATTAGCTCGCGTGAGGGTGCTTCTTTCCAGTCACACACGTACTGGAGAGCGTCAGATACAGTGCACATGTGGCCGTGAGTGGCAGCTGCAGCAGAGCGGCTGTAGCGCGAGGCATCAGCTGAGCGCTCAAGCGTAAAGGCTGAATCCAGATCGAGTTTCAGGATCGCAGCAACCTCGCGCACTACGCCTAGGCGCGTTGACAGGGTGGACATTGAGATGGTCGCCGGTTTGGTACTGAATACCAGAAGACTGATCAAGTGTAATCTCGATATGGCGAGTGCTGCGGCCGCTCTTGCCAATATCCTGCAGCTCTTGGTTAACCTTGATGGCGGCATTTTCTGGGGCGATTCTGAACGGAGCCAGGGTACCGTCAACTAAACTAATGTTGAACGGTAGCGACTTGTCAGTTGTGGCTCTGACAAATCCCTCAGTGCTCGAACCGTAGTGGCCGACAACTGCAGCGCAGATTCTCAGCGACCACTGCAAAAATCTTCGTCCAAATCATCATTCGAGTCGCCAAACTGGAACTCGCTCAAGGGTGTGGCGCCAAGCTCGCTCAGACGCGTAAAGACATGGCGCGGGAACTTTTGGAATGTTCTCCACATCGAGTTGCCACAGCCAAAAAGCGCATAGTCGACGCTGCCAAGCAAATTTGTGCGGGTCTCGAGGTCTAGCCATTTGGAAAACCTTGTTGCGTTGTCGGGTGGTACACCGTTGTAGGTGCTGGTGATGACGATAGCTAGGATTCTTTTGCCGTGAGTGGGGTGGCTGCTGAGATGTCCCATTCATCGAGCGACTGAACTGTAAGATCCCTGTACCCCATTTGCAACAGCTGCTCAGCGATCTGGACTGCATATCCCTCGCTAGTGCCCATATTGGACCCAAATAGCACGTATGTGCGCGGCAGCTCATCTGCACCGACCGACACAGCATTAATCTTGCCAATATCAGGAATGGCAACTGCGCCTAATGTAGTGGCAGGCTCTACAGAATCAGTGCTAGGCTTTGGAAAGTCAGTTCGCTTGTGAACTGTCATGTGCAGATCTAGCGGTTTAGTTGTGATCGAGTTCGGGTCATACGTGACCTCTTTGCCGCCAACCGTCCGGAAATTCGTATTTTGACAGCAGTCGGGCCAACACAACACGCATCTCAATCATCGCTACCGACATGCCCAGGCATGCGCGCGGTCCTGATGAGAACGGCAGCCAGGCACCTTCCGGAATTGATTTGGCATTCTCCTCACTGAAGCGGTCCGGGTTGAACGAATACGCATCCGGGTAAACCTTCTCATTGTGGTGAAGGCTCCAGACGTTGATAAGGCCGCGCATACCTTCATATGCGATATATCCACCGGGCAGCACGCATGTCTTGCCGCATGTCTTTGACAGTGCAGGTACCGGCGGGAACATGCGCAAAATTTCCTTGATGACCTGGGTCAGATACTTTAGCGAGTTCGCCTGCTTGACACTAACCGGCTGGTCGGGGGTGATATCAGCATTTGCAAGCTCCTGCAGAACACGACGGTGGATACCTGGGTGTTTGTCCAGCAAATATAGAATCCACGACAGCGTATTGGCCGTGGTGTCTGAGCCAGCAATACCGAGGGTAATGAGCTGGTCAAAAATAATGTCGTCAGAGAGACCAACCAGATTGCCGTCCTCGCCTGGCGCCTTGGCGTTGAGCATAAACCCAAGAAGGTCTTTCTTCATATTTTTTCGCATCGTCAGAGTTGCGGCGTTCGTCGATAACCTGCTGGATAATCCCCCTCATCACCTGCATCTGCTCCTGGAACCAGGTGTTTTCGTCAAGCGGCAGGTGCTTCCAGAGAGCTGTGAGCATGAAGCGCTTCATGACCACTCGCAGACAGTAGTTCATTGCGACCAGGAACGGGTTCTTCTCTGTACTCTTTGGGATTCGAGCAGGATGGAAATCGTAGCCAAAGCCGATCGCTCCGTATAGTCTCAAAGGTAATGTTAGTCGTGTACTTCGATCACCTCGATGCTGGATCCCAATTTGTCGGCCAGACAGAGTACAGCACGGTCAGCAACATTGAGCATTTCGTTGGCATATATTTTCATTGCGCTTGCTGAGAACGCTGGCATGAGCAGCCGGTGTGAGAGCTCCCAGATCTTTTCCTTCGACGAAGTCGTAAACAAGCCTTGGCCACCGATCTCGCGCAACTCGCTGAATGGATAGCCAATATTCTTGTAGAAATGCTCGCTGTCGTCCATCATAACCCTGGCTACCTCAGGGTCGCGCGGTGCCCAGTGTGTGCTTGTTGAATACATAGTACCGGATCGTGTCTCCGTGCTCGTCATACATCCTCTTCTGGTTGTTGCGGAAGTCGCCGATCATCATGGGAACCACACCAATGATCGGGTAGCCAGGGGACAAGTGGTGCAGGGGCTGCGGTGAGAGTGCCAGCGATGTAGACAACCTTGAGCTCAGAGAGCTGCTGAATAGTAAGTAACCGGAGTATTGTTGGCATCAACCAGACGGATAGATTCAGGCAGGATTGTGGAACCTGCGCTACGTTTTGCTATGGTACGACGGAGATTCGAAAGGTTGGTGTCGGTGGGTAAAGTCGTTGCGATAAACCCGTCAGCCTCGGGTATTTTACCCTTCTCAACTACAATAATAATGACTGTGGGGCTCTGGTCGGTCGATTGGTTTGGTGCATGGTCAACAGGGCACTTTGAGGCAAGCATGATGTAGAAGGCGGATTAGACAATGATAACAGGAAGAGCTGAATAATCCTAATGGTAGCAGTCGACGGGAGAAAAATGCGTCGATTTAAACGGAAAGCTGTTCAGTACATGGTGTTGTGGTGAGTCTTGGCAGCAATTTTCACGAGGAAATAATGTGAAATTGGCACGAGGCAAGTAAGCATTGAAGCGTAGAATCATTATTTTCGGTCTGTGCTCGGAAAGCCGCGAACATTTTCTTCAAATTGCAGCTGAGGCAGTGTCGGTGTCGATGATTCTTTTGGAAAAAAAAGGCTGAGGGCAAACGTTGAAGGTCCATGTTGCCTCTTATTCCAATTGAATGCAAGCACGGAGTTGGCTGTGGCGACCACCGCATGTGCTCCTGCAGAGAGCGTTAACAGCAGCTTCGGGTGACACGAGAGGGCGCACGGGCTGAGTTTGAGCCCGGATGAGGAAAAAATAGTGACGTGGTCGGACACCATACCCGGAGTCTGGATGTCTGCGCGGTATGTGCACCGGCCAATTCTTTCAGCACAGATGTTCAGCCATGTGAAAGGCAGGGCTGATCTGAAGTTGATTAGAGGCCCTTGATTTGCTCGCTAAATACATTGATTCGGGGTTTGGCCAGGAGCTAGGGATGCGCTAGTTGCGGGGTTCTAGTGGACACTTGGCAAGCCAGAAATCAAAAGCTGCCTAGAGATCGTCCTTTCACTTCTTCATTAAGAAGTTATCCAAGAGAAGGGATGCTCCCCAGCTTATCTTAGTTTATGCAGATAGGTTCGAGTACCCGTCTATTCTCGTTGGGCTACCAGGGAGCAGATATCAGTGCAGGCAGGAATGCGATCAATTCCTGCATGGTAAGGGGATTGGGTGGATCGGGCATTTTCTCTGTTTGTTGACAGGACGATCGCACGCCAAGGAGCAGCAGTTGGTAAAAATCAGCAATGCGTCGTGATCTCCATTCCAAATTGGCTGGAATGTTTTTGCCCATTCAGTCTGTATAAAAATAGGCAGATATCTAGAACAAAAAAACCCGGAATAGAAAAAGGAGAATGTTCTGCTGTGTCCATTCTATCGTATGAGCTTGTTCTATTTATTTATTTTCTAGCCGCGGCTTCATTCCCTTCCATTTTCTCTTTACTCTTGCGTTTATATTTATTCATTCTTGTATTTTTGTTCGTACTATGAAGCTGACGGTCCTGATGCAGGCGTTGTTGGTGTTTCTGACAAGCCTTGCTAGCTGCACACCAAAGGAGTTGATTGTCGGATACCATGCCTGTGCCAAAGGCAAGGGTTGCCATGTAATGGATCAGGTCACCTTCCACGACTCGCACATCTTGCTGCTGGCAGCAGTCAGGCGCATCATCGGAAATTGCAGGTAAGCGCCAGAATTCAGCAATGGGCTAGCATACATTGCAGAGGAGAATGGAGGGGGTTATTGAATGTGCTGCTTTTGCTGTTTGTAGGGCCGTTTGGTGGACTTGGGAGCTGGCTGTCCGTTGGCGGCCCAGACTGGCGACACTGAGTTAGAGTTCAACAGTAACCCCAACAATGTCGAGGTGAAGCGCGACAATGACGCAAGGCTCAATGACAGCCACAACGAGCAAGTAGAGCTCCCTCGGACTGCGCCGCCCACACACCACCGGCACCCACACAAGAAGCACCGCGGGGAGCTGGTGGGTCTGGTGCGGTGCGGCAAGTGCTCGCTGGCAAGCGATGCTGCGCGAGGCTGCACGGAGTCGGGATGGGCGGAGTGATCGTCTCCAATGCCAAGGAGTGTGGCCAGTCAACCGATACGTTTGTCGACTCGCCAGGCAGCTTCAATATCCCGGTAGCCTTTGTCTCGGACAAGGCCAGCCAGGAAATTGCTGCAATGGGAGCGCAGATCTCTAAGGCTGCCAGCAGCACCAGCACTGAGTCGTTTGTGTATGTGCTGGTGCCTGACGAGAGCGATACCGGGCGACCAGCCTCAGGGCATCGGCCGCGTGCTGGTCATCATGTATGCGACTGTGGGCGGAGTGGTCTTGGTGTCGATGGCGTACTTTACGCTGTTTTGCAGCCTTGGGCTCGCTTGCCCACCTGCACAACAGCATCACAGCGACCATGTTTATGCCGCAGACTCAGCCATTGGACGAGGAGACGCTGGAGAAGCTGCCATTGGTAGCCGCAGAGTGGACCGACCGGGCACAGTCGGAGTCGCATCACGTGGAGGTGTATGAGGCGGCGGATGCGTTGAGCGACAAGATCCAGCAGCAGCTGGCAGGTCGTGATCCAGCGCCATGGCGCGGGGTCGTATTCATTTACCAGCGAGCAGGCGTGCGCCATCTGCCTGGACCCGTACGTGCATAATGCGTGTCTGCGAGTACTGCCGTGCCGACACGCCTTCCACAAGACGTGCATAGACGCGTGGCTGATGTGCGACGACATCACCTTCCACTGCCCAATCTGCAAGGCCAGCATTTATGACGGCCTCCGCGATCTAGACAGGCTGGGCTATGGCGAAATCCTGCGCAAAATGCACGCTGACGAGGTCGTGCAGCAGCCCTGGGGACTTGTGTATGTTTGTCGAGTCGCTGCATGGGCTGGCAGGGCTTTCAAGGGCCGCCCGGGGTCCTCTGAGCACTGAGCCTGCAGCCAATTCTGTAATTTTTTAACTGTACAATAAATCCGATGCTCGCCGCAGCTTTCATCATGCATCCCAAAGCCAGTTCCCACCCCCGCTGATAGCCACTTCGCAGTCACACCCTGCTTTGAGTCTGCCACCCTTTTCACCTCTCTGGCAATTCGCCTTCTATTGATTTTTTTTTTTTTTCAAATGCTTCCCTTGTTTTCTCGGAGCACGAATTTGGCGCTAGCACAGCGACGTCTTATTGCGACAGCTGCAGGCAGCGGCAATGCGTATGTGGAGCAGCTGCAGCACCGCTACCAAATGGCCAGGGACCTGTGTCTGAATGACCCCGAGCGGTTCTCGTCGTCTAAAATCCGCGCGTTCTCAAAGCCAACAAGCAAAGACATATTCCCAAACACCGAGCTGCGTCTGAGCAAGATCCGCACATACGGCTTCGACTACGACTACACCTTGGCGCGCTACACGGACCGCCTCCCCGAGACTATATACACGATGCTGCGCGACGTGCTTGTGAGCAAGATGCTGTATCCGCCAAAGCTGAAGGGCCTAAAGTATGACAAGACGTTTGCTGTGCGTGGCATCTCGTATGACCGCGAGACCGGGTGGCTGTTCAAGCTGGACTCGAACTACAACATTGCCCTGGACACTATTCACTATGGCCGCGAGCCACTGCGCGATCTGGAGGAAGTGTATTCTCTGCATAATGGCCCGCATGTGGCACCGGACTATGCGAAGGCGCACCTGTACCAGCTGAACGACCTGTATAGTGTGCCAGAGGCGACACTGCTGGCCGACATTATCCAGTTTTTCAGCGAGCACAACATCCCGTTCCACCCGCGCTACTTGGCCGAAGATATTCGGACTGCTGGCGAGTATATTCACAAGGGTGATGGAATCACCGCCAGCCCGCTGCACAGCACCATCATGAGCAACCTCGACGAGTACCTAGGCAAGGCGCCGGAGCTGCTGCAAATACTCGAGTCGCTGAAGAAGGAAGGGAAGCGGCTGTTCCTGCTGACCAACTCTGGATATAACTACGTTGATGCCGGCTTGACCTACATGTTTGACACGCCAAAGTGGCGCGATCTGTTTGATGTTGTGATTGTGAGCGCGCGCAAGCCCTCATGGTACCTGTCACACCGGCCGTTCCGCCAGGTGCCAACGGGTACGAGCAGCAATGTGCAGCCGTGGGCCTATGTCGAGCAGTTTGAGGATGGCCAAGTGTATTCTGGCGGCAACCTAATGTCATTTACAAACATCACAGGGTACTCTGGTCGCAACGTGATGTACTTCGGCGATCACATTTACTCTGACCTGCGCGACCCCACGATCCAGAAGGGGTGGTACACGGGCGCAATTGTTGGTGAATTGAACTATGAGCTGTCGGTGCTGCAGCGCGCAGACTACCGCCAGAGCGTGTCGTATATCCAGCTGATTGAGAAGATCCTCAAACACTCGCAGCAGGAGACGCGTAGCCCCGAGTTTATGAAGTTGTCGCCCGACGATCGCGAGCTGTTCCGTCAAATGCTGGATGTAGGGCGTATGGAGCGCCGCAAGACCAGGGCCAGGATTCGCAACTCGTTTAACACCAATTTCGGCAGCGTGTTCCGCACTGAAAAGTATCCGAGCCTGTTTGCCACTAAGATCAAGTCGTTTGCCAATGTGTACACGTCGGATTTGTCAAACTTGGGGCTGTACCCGTCGGATTTCGTGTTCTATCCGAAAAGGGTGGTGCTGCCACATGAGAGTCGCATGCCAGAGGTTGACGACCTGTTGGAGGACATTATTGGCCCGTGAATAATCAGTATAGCAAGTTCCTTTTTTGATAGAAATACATCGTGATACAAAATATACTCTTGAAATGCGTGGAGTATAGTAGCATGATAATGGCATGCTCTTGCGCGTCCGACGCAACTGTCTGCGAGGTCAGCGTGGCAGTTAACTCTGGGGAACAACGAGTCTGGCATGGACGAGAACCCACTACAGGCTGCCAGTAATGATGCATTCTAGTCGTTGATGTGCTACGCAGGCCGCTGTATCAAAGGTATCCTGTATGTCTGGCCGCAAGATGCAGGCTGCTGCAGGCTGCTGCAGGCTGCTGCAGGTTGCTTCAAAGCTAGTTGCAAGGTTATATATATGAGCGTGTCGATCACAACCGCGATGTACATATTTCTCAATTACTTTTGTTCCTACTGCAATATACCGACTTTAGAGATATTACAAAAGCACACAACCACATACTTCCACATGCGAATTAAAGACAAATAGTTTGCATGTACTTTCCCTCATCCGTTCCTCATCAAAAAGTAGATGCGGCGGATTCACTTCTCACATGCCAAAAATACCTCAGGTGGCTGGAGTAATTATTTGTGCATGCATGCTACATTGCTCCATTCCTACCTGACATGGCTAGATGCAATAAAGTGAGAATAGTCCTCGCTCACAACTTGAGCCAGAGTATTCAGCTGACAGGAGATTGCAGCAAACGTACAGCCCTTCTGTCGCCGTGTGAAACGTTCGGACATCAAGGCACGGCCTGACAATGCAAGAGGGAGCTGCAAATCGGATACCTAAATCCACGCGGACAAGTGGCGTTTTATGAGGATGGTGCTGTACACCGAGCCCAGGACTTGCAGCATACCGCTAGCTAGGAAGAGAAGCGAGCAGCTGGCATGGCGGACATTCCTGTCCCTGTCTTGACATACGCTTCACGGGCAAAGCAAGTTTGGCGGTTTGCAAGCAGGCAAGCTTGTTGTGGAGTGGAACTGACAACTCCTCACATCCTCATTTTTTACAATTGGGTAACAAGGATGTGTTCTCACCGAGTCTTAAGAAATAAGAGTGCTACAATTGCTGGTGCATGTCGACTGTATTTTTAGGATGGCAAGCGTTGCGACAGGTAGTAGAGTGGCAGATGGGTGGATGGACAGACAGGGTGCCCCGCATAGGCGTGAGCAATCCGATTCCCCTTGCAACATTGGAGTCCTGCCACTCCTTGGAAATCATTCTTGAAGCAAGGGGATTTTTAGGCGGAGTCAGTGGTGATCATTAAATTAAATCGAATGCAAACCCAGTTCTATATAGGCAATGTCGGGTTCATTTTGGAGCTACACGTCATGGAGGCTCATTGCACTTGCACAATTTTTAGCATACCCTCTGCAGATGTAGCGGCTGAAACAAGTGTAAGGAAAAAAGACAATACTGTGCAAACGGCTGGGTGTACTGGCCAGCTGAATTATGATGGCCGCCACCATCTCCATTCCCCCCATGAAAGTCAGATGCATACTTCGGCCAACTAAACAGCATCCAGGCAATTGTGCGTGTTGTTTTTGAATTAAATGCCGGTCCCTAATCAGTTTTCAACCAAGGAACATCCAGCAGGTGACGGCTATTCTGGTGACAACTTATTTGTTGGAGAGAGGGTGGGCAAGGGATTTTATGCAGGCTATGCTCACTTTTTGCAGGGAAGTGGGGTCACGACTGGCATGAAATAGATGATGTCCAGCACACAGCAGAGTGCTGACACTCGTATGGAAACCTAGGTGCGCAACCCCCAACGATATCCTGTGCACTTTTTCTCTAGTCCTAACCTACCAAATACTAGTTTACTCTTAACATCCACCAACATATCCCATGCGCCCTGAAGCGCCAAATCCTCGACTTCTTGCGCGATTTTTTGAGAAACTTTGACACTGATTTTGCAGTTATCCACCCTTTGGACCCCGACGACGTGAAGAAAAAGAAGCTAGAGGCTGCGTGCAAGAAAGCCCACCTATGAGACGTCGACTGTGGCTGACTACCTGCCGTTTGCAAAGTTCTACCAAGATTACCCCACCTTACACTCACATCTGCCTGAGTTTGTGAAGAAAGTCCCACTCATACTAGAGTGCCAAGGTCAAGTGTTCATGCACCGAAAACCACCTGCAAGAAAAGCCATGATCGTGTATGGAAGAGCAACATCGAAGAGCTAGAGGCATGTGGCCTGTTGTCCTCGGTGAGCGAACTTCGTATAGCCTGTATAATGACTGTCCGAAAGATCTCCATCTTGACAAGGCTATCCAGGAGCTCGGTATTCCCAGTGGTGCGATTGCCAGCACAAAGCTTATTAGGTTCCTAGGCCATGGCCTACTTTTATGCTGGCAAGAGGCAGGAGTCCCAGGATGCAGAAATGGAGGCAACCCGCACTGCCCAGCTTATCCTCGAGCACTGCCCTCATGCCAGGGAACTATGGTACCATCCAGATCGAGTCTGGGGTCTAAGCAAGAATCCCCTTCAGGAGTTGCCTGGTGTCGGGACAGAGATAATGATAATGCTTCGCCATGTGCTCCACCCACGCCTAACAATGATGCAGGTTACGCGGCCATTCCCATCTTATATTGACCAGCCATTCTCGCCGAATCTCCAGTATCTTGTGCTAGACCTGAAGCTTGTCCCGGAGTTTGTGCACTTACCGCCTATCCCTACAGACAGCATGAGCCATCTTGAACTAAGCGGAATCTCGAACGGCATCAACTGGGGTCCTGTTCAAGACTGGACCAGACAGAAGGGTGCATTTCCCAAACCTCCAGACGCTCGTGATGCGGTTTAAAGAGCCTGAGAAAGGTCTCCTGCAGTCCTCGCTGGACGTATCCAGAGTTGCGATACCGTCAACGGTTGGTGTCACTGTGACTGGGATAACCCATAGCAGAAACGACCATCTGGGAAATACTTCAAGAAAGGGCTGCCGCCAGCTGTCACTCGTAGAGAGCACATTGGAATTTAGAGATATCGATGTCTACAATCTCCAGTGCTCTGAGCATTTCCAGCTCAAGTTGATCCCGGAAGAGGGCGATTCCAGCAAGCCTCTCCCATCTGCAGGGCTGAGAAACTTCTTTGGCCACAGGAACACTGTCATCCGCAGGATGTCAGTGACTGGCATTGAGTTTATGCTGCCTCTGACTGTGAAGTTTCACAACATGGAGGACCTTCATCTGTCTCTGGGAATCGCAGACAGCAACATCATTCTCAACCTAGGCACACAGGCCTGACAAGGCTGAAGATTCTGCGCATCCGTTGCTTCTCTATGTACTGCAACGATCTGAATCATCACAGGACGCGGGGTTTACTTTGCCAACGAGGACCACGAGCTATATATCATTGCTGCGCATGCAAGGGATATCCCGATTATAGCCAGCAAGAATCTGCACTGCCTGCACCTGTACTCGCACATGGCGATTGACCCAAACAGGTTCATCGAAACTGATGGCTCGGTTCCCAAACTTGGCCGAGATACAAGTTAATGGTGAGATAGTTGAGTGTGTGGATTGGGCTTTTCGTCGATTGTAACATCATAACCAGTGCGATTGATCCAAGCACGGTGTAGCATAGTCTCTTCCTTCACTTCTTTCTCTCATCCATCTTATATTAGCATGTACCAGTACAAATAACATCTGTAAATAAGCAAAAGCAGGAGGCAAGTCTTTGGCTAGAAGCGAACATACAGAGCGCTGCAAAGTATCCTTTGCTAACAGGGTCATAGCTATGCGACTTGTCATGCGCCACATGATCAGATACACTTCCTGGATCACCAGCATGCATCACGTAGCGCACAAGACCTTGCACCCTACCAGCAGCTCGGGGTTTGCTGAGCATGGTTAAATTGCGGCACACCAACACGCAAGGAAGGAGTCTCTTGAACAAAAGCGGTCACCAAGATGGGGTTGATTCTGAGTTGTTTACTTTATAGACTCAAGCAACTGAGCGCCTGTTTATAAAAGGGAGGCACTTTCCTAAACCCAAATTGAGCAGCAGCTTCGTAATAAGACATTTTCTTCAACCCTGAACTGAGCAGACAAGGGGTTTGTGCTGCTCGTTTGCTTTTCCGATGGTGTGTGGAGAGTAGAGCATCGACTCATGTCGTCCGTGTTGGAGCAACTTTCTGGTTTGCTCTTTCTTGCATCATGCATGCTTTTATTTCCATAGGCATTTTTAACCTGTTGCACCACTTTCCTACGGAATTTTGACATGCATTACAGATCATGGTACCCACCTAGAAGATACTATGAAAATGGTATCTGACGATGCTTCTGGCAATGCTTTGCCAATTCGCCCATAGAATATGTCCAAGCACTGTACTCATAGCCACCAATACCATCTACCTGCTATCGGATTCGCATGCTACAGTCCTTAACTAGGCTACACCAGACATAACTGATATCCTCAGTACTTTCACTGGTGAAACTCTTTCAATACATTTGCTGTACCTCTTCATATGCTTGAAAACCCATGCGAATAGCACCTGTGAGTGTCCAGCAAGTAAGCCTGTTCAGCAGCAAACGCACGCCAAAGAAGGTGTAATTTAATGCCTCAATTGGACGGACAGGAATACAATGCGCCATTTGCCATTCACCTTGGGCAGCGACAGTGGCAATGGGGCACAGAAATGTCGTATCTCGAGTGCTCAACAGTTTTTACACTTGTTATTTTTTTTTCTTCGAAAGGGTGATGATATTCAATACTGGAGAAAAGAGGAAAAAGACGAGTCGCACGGATGCGCCAGATGATTATATATATGGCATATCTTCAATATGGATCGTTTGTGCAACCCACCCGAGGCTTGATGTTACTTTCCACTTTGTAGCTCCAGCAGGTGTGCAATATATTTTATTTTATTTTTATGATTTCTGTTATCTTACACATTTATGCTCTGCTCATTATTCATATACTCAGTATCATCGATACTAGGTCTACATGTCTTACTATCTGTCTGGTATTGGCTATGATGATTCAGATGATAATGCTTTTGGTACATCTGTGCCACTTTGCTTTTGGGACATGTCCACGTTTGTATGCATAGTTATCAATACCATCTATCCACTATTGGATTCAGATGCTAGTGTCATCCTGAACTAGGTTGTAGCAAGTATAGCTGTTATGCTCGTTACTATTGATGCGCAGCCGGTGATGCGCAGCATGGCGACTGGCATGCCAGTCCCCATACAGGCTGTCAGCGAGAATAGCCGTAACACCCAGACAATGGAGACACCAAATGAGGGTGTGTGATCCTTATGGACACATTTCGCTACCCTAGTTTCGTTGCGAAGCGGCATTTAAGTGTAGCAATGAGATCCTATAAAGGCGACACGTGGTGCTTGCAGTTTCCTTTTTATTTCTCATATGTTTTTCAAATAAAATAACTTCTACCATATCCACTTTAAAATGCTCTTACAATTGACATTTGCAACATAATCTTCGCGTGCTAGATATAATAGCATGTGCTGCTTGAAAATATTTAATGTGGAAAATGATTTAATAATACTCAAGATGTCATAGCTTCGATCCAGGAGTCCTTCATTATGAATTTTGGGTTGATTCTGTCACCAGTGGGCTTCACATCCGGTGGCCTCGAAGGCTCAGGTGTGTCGTCCAAATGTGCTGGCTGTGCTGGTTTGCACCTATAAACAGCACTACACAGCCTGACTCTTTCGGCCCTGAGCTGCTGCCGAATGTGGGGCACTCAATCGCCTACTAGTCTTCTGTATCCATATAGGATATAGTCTTCCCAATGCCTAGCTATTTTGCGAGAACTTGTATAGGCGCGAAATGCACAAAGAGCTTCTAACGGTTTTTGATTTTAAAAAAAATGAACTACATAAATAAATGGAAAAGAAAAGCCACGAGCGCTGCGCTATGCCCCTTTTAAAGTTCTTACTGCCATGCGGCGTCTGCGTCATACCAGAAAAGCCAGGGAAATATGCTGTGATTGATGTAAGCACAAAAATATTTTAGTTCTCTATTGGGTCAGCCCTGGAGCTACTCTCGTTGCTGGTCGATGTGCCGACTGACATGGTGTCGCCATGCTAGATATCACCAGCTGTGAAACAGTATCCGTGCTGTAACTATATTTAGCGGATGCCCATATATTTGCTGTAGTTCCTGTTTTCTAGTTTATACATCAATGGGCTGGTTCCAGATATCATCGTAGAGTAGCATTGATATATTATGCACCTATTTTCATTTTCGGAATGGGTGGTTGAGTGTACACGCTCGATTACCGTGCATCTCGTATACCAATACTCCAAACTGCAACATTATATAAATCCATAGATTTTAATTTTTGGTTCCCGTAGAAAAGAGGAAATGAAAGAGGTTTAGAGAGGTAGAAATAGGGTTGCGAAAGCAACCGCGGCAAAAGGATCAAAAATAGAAAAGCAAGCTAATGGCTAAGCTAAACGCCAAGGAAGTGCTTAATTTTTTTAAATGGGTTGTTTTCAGGCAGGTTCCAACCGGGTAGAAGAGTGCGAGGATATCGGCAACCTCGGCTTGGTCTTTCCCGGTGCACATTCCCGATACTTTTTGTTTTGTTCTTTTGGAGCAAGGCCGCATCTCTCAGTTTGCAGGCGGCTGGGCAATAGCGGACACTGCATCGCCCTTTTGCTGCTGATTGAGCTGGTCAACCGAGAGGCCAGAGAACTTGTGTGCAAATACCTGCCGTGAGATAAACGCCGGCTTAGGCGCAACATTTGCGTCACCGTTTAACAGCGGGCGCCCAGGGTTCTCTGCCTCCAGCTCAAACGGGTCGTTGCCATCGGCATCCGACGCAGCCGACGACCCGTTGCGGCTGCTGCGCCCTGTAGCATTCGAGATGGATGTCGACGAGTTCGACCCGCGCGTAGCCATGCCGCCTGGACTGATTAACGCTGCTAGTGTAGTCAAGTGCAGCCGCACCGATGGTTGTGTGCTGGTGAGCCCTTGCAGTGTGGCGCTGACCAAGACTAAACGGGCTGTCGATAGCCGATGTAGGCGTGCCCGGCGCCATTTGCGCAGATGAGAAATAGCGACCACCGCTGGCTTGCTCCCATTGGTTCCGATATATGGCGATGACTGACCGCTGGCCTGGTTCGATGCCTGCTCCTGACGTGTTCCAGAACCCAGTGCTAAACAGCTGCTGGCCGCCCTTGCTACCTTGTGGAGTGTAGCTTGTGCTGTTGCGCTGCGATGACGATAGCGCCAGTCCTCCAAACGACTGCGGCGGGCGCAGCGGTCGAGACGGTGTACGGGTCATTGAACGATCTGCCACTGCCATATCCCAGGCCTGTGTCGATGGCAGAGTGGGGCCCCGGCGAGTCCGCTAGGCGGTTGCCATAGGCGAACGGCAAAAACGCGGACTCGTTCGGCAGCGAGTGCATACCAAGCAGCGACGAGTAGTCGTGCGCCTGGACGCTGTCCCTCGGCGATGCAGTCGGGAATGGCGCCCGCCGTTTCTCATCTGCAGACCATGGGCTGCTGTGCTATTGCCGGTGTCAAGAGCGGCCATCGGCGAGTGCAGCAGCGACGATGCGGCAGGAATCTGCGTGTTTGATCGCTGGCGGCTGGACAGAGACGAGAAGCCGTTGGTGGACGCGGTCAGGGGCGAGATGGGGCTGGCGAGCGATGCCGGGAACAGCGGGTGTGGGGCTGGGCGATCGAGGAAGTCACCTGCGGACTGCGTGGCCAGCGGACTGCGTTTCTCGCCTATTAGACTCGACGAGCGCACTGACCGGCCGATTACATCCGATACTCCGCCACGCATGGCCGTGGTACGCGAGCTGCCAATCGGATTCACTGCCGGGGTGCCGTCACGGGAGCTGTCATGGCTATCGCCGCCGGCATTTAGCGACGACACGGATTGTAGGTAGGAAATGTGGTGGTGCTGGTGGTGGATGTGGTGGTGGCCCGACCGCAGCGAGCCGGCTGTATCCTCTGCACTGGCAATCCCCGCCGCATCTACGCTGGTGAATGCATGGCGTGTCAACTCAATGCCACTATTGGGCACGGGGCTACGGGCAAATGGGTGCATACCAGGCGAGTCCCTCGCGCTGAGGCTTGACTCTCTGAATTGGTCGAGCAGCGGAATGGAGCTGGACAGGAACGGCGAGCCCGACAGCGAGTTCTGGTTGACCGAGTGGGAGATGGACAGCTTGTCAATCAGCGTGCTGTCCTGTGGGCTGAGCCCCGTCTGAATCGGAGACAGGTGGTCGCTGCCGCCAGTGCGCCTGCTGCCCAGCCGCGGCTTGGGGATGGGCTGAGAGCGCGGGTTGAGCGGGCTGCCCACCGACCCAAGCCCGGCGTAGCTGTGGGTGATGCTAATTCCGATGCCAGCCTCACCGGTGTCTCCGCCCAGCGACGGTGACGCAAACAGCGACGATGGGCTTTGGTCGCGCGAATGGAAGAACGACGCAGGATCGAAGTGGTCATCGCCGCTGGCAAACTCGGCCACCCCAGAGTCGACCCGCGTCGCCGGGTGGTCCTTTCGGAGCAAACCAGCGCTCTGGCCCAGCCTGCCGACGCTCTGGCCCAGCGACGACGAGCCCACCGAACTCTTGCGCATCGGCGCGACGTCATCGGCGCTGGTGCTGTGCTCGTCGTCTGTCTTGACGCTAGTGCTGCTGCTGCGCGTCGAGCTGTTGGCGGCTTTGTCCTCGCTGCTGCTGTCAGGGTTAGGTTTGGTGCGGATTTTGGGCTTGGCGTCGTGGTCTGCCCCAGACTTGCCTTCCCTCGCTGGCTTGGCACCGCCCAGCGCCGGGGTGGCCGATGCGCGACGCGCCTGAGACGACGAGGCGGCTGCCAGACGACTTGCCGAGGCTGGCAGTCTCTTTGGGTGTTCCGCTGTGCGGCTGCCGCGAGCTGCCGGTCACTTGGCGAAATCCGTTTTCCTGTGGCGGCAGGGTGTGCAAGAGCGCGCACTTGCTGCCGTATTTGCAATTGCCCTTGTGGAAGTACTTGCATGGTGCTTTTCGACAAATGCGTTGATGTCGTGCGAGAACGAGCAGTTGGCTCCGGCCGAGCAGTGCCCATGCTTGAAGAACTTGCACGGTATGTGTTTTGTCGAGCCAGCCTAATGTAGGGGAAAGAGAATAATGTGCGAAACAAAAATTGAGCTGTGCTATCAGGCCATCATCGGCGTGCAATGGAGATTGCATACTGATAAGCGATTAGGACGCATCCCGGGTGCCGCTGTGCGGGTGAGAAAAGCGATATATGCCGGCGCAGGCATAATAGGCAGCAAATTGCCAATTGCGAGGTGCCCGGAGAGTGGGGTCTCTCTGGGACGAGCAGAGAAAACGTGATGGCTCAATCAGGTGCGAGAGGAGAAAGTCAGCCCGGGAGCGGCACCTCATGTGTCATGCTCCAGCTATTCATCACATTATTGTGCCCGACTGCCTCCTTTTCCACGGGAGAGGGAGAAAATGGACGCCGACCAGCCTCCCATCTCTCACGCGAACAGCATTTGGCAAAATAGTAGATGGCTGGCCCCGCCCGCTCCCTTGGAGGGACCCGGTTTGTTTTTTTGTCCTCCCAATGGCGTGTGTGCGGGAGAAACCCAGGCGGGGGTGGTTGGCCTCTGCTAAGACACCAATTGTTGTCTGATGTGTATACGTGCGAGGGGGATTGTTGGCTCAAAAGTGGTGCTTGTGCTGTGCGCGGGGGAGGGGGTATGAGTGCACCATTGCAAGGACTTACCGTTGTGCCCGCCGCCGCGGCGCTCGCGGTCAGAATCATCGGCTCCGTTGCGTCCTGCTGCTGACGGTGCCGGGGAGCTCTGTGCGTGCGATGATTGCCGAGATCTGCCGCCATGACCAGCGGCGGCCTGTCGATGTGTCGACTGTGAGCGAGACATGGCTGTTTTTGTGTGTGGAACTCAAGCGAGCGGACGCGGGCTGCTACGTTTGTGTATGTGTGTTGTTGTTTCCAATAACGTGCCCCTGTAGCGCGGAAATATCACTGGGCGGGAGTAATAATATATCGTTGGTGTGGGTGGGACCAAGAGAGGAGATACGTGACGTGGGCTGGATGGGACCGGCAGGAGCTTTTTTTGTGGGCCACAGAATACTAAATACAAAGCCTACTTTGCTGGAATATTTTGAGGAATAGGAAGGAGTGTGTGAGGAGAGGAGAGAATGAAATAACAAACCAAAAAAAGAAACTGTAGAGGCAGAGATGGGAGGAGACGCAGGTTTAAAGAAAAGGTGACTGCGAAGGGAGGTGGAAAAGGAGGAGGGGAAGGTGCTCAGGGAAATAAAAAAGCAATTACGCGGGGAGCAGCGCAATTCTTCCTTTACAAAAAGGGGGAAATCGGTACATGGGCGCTATGATAGGCTGGCGTCACGCAAACTTTATTAATTTCCACAGCCGCAAACAGGGGAGATAGGCCGGGCCCACGCCTAGTGCCATCCCGGGCCAGCCGCTCATTCCGTCCGGCCGCAGGTGGCAGGGAGGGAGCGGAGCGAGTGGGTGGTGGGCGACCGCCGCGCGAAACAGCAGAGCACAATGCTCGCTTCTGCGGCTTCCAACGAGGCAGAGCGATTGCATTGTGCCCATGGAGATGAAAGGAAAAAAGTAAACAAGCTGCTGCCAGCGATCTACTACGGTGCGTGTTCTGCTGATACAGGCAGGTGCCTGCTGTTAGCGCTCGCTCGCCCGTGCAATGCTGAGCTGTCTCGCAAGCTCAGCATAACTCTTTCCGTCGCGCGTGAACCACGGTGCCCACGGCTCCTTGAACAGTCGCTGGCTACGATGATCAAAAAGGGATATAACGAAAAAAAAAAATCCGCCTTGCCGGGGGCTATTAATAGATATCCGATGTCTCTTTGCTGCCAGAAACAGGGTGTCATCGCCTGCTCGAGTAAATTACCTTGCATCCGACAGCTCAGCGATGGCCAGCTCTGTGCTCTGCGACTCGTGCGCCAGACCAAGGCTGCGCTCGATGTCGCTGTGTGCGGCCCACTCGGCGAATGCGGCGCTGGACAGATTCTACATGGAAATAGTCCGCCGGCAACATTGGCGCAAAGAGAAATATAGCCAGCAAGCGCGATTTAGCTTATCTTGCTGCATGATGTCTTGGTATGCATGGTAAAGCAATCGCCCACAGTCGCTTACCTCTCTGCTGCCGCGCGCTTTGGGCAACTGCCTCGACTGCGGCCTCCAGGGGCTGCGCGCCCGATGGCTGGCTGGCGATATCGCCCCTGCCTACAGATATGCGATCATTTTAGCAATGTGCTTGCATTTCTCCATGCTCTCCCCTCATCTTCCTTCCAGCAGAATAAGGCGCATGAAACTGCCAGTCGTCTCTGTCTCGCTAGTCTCCCGGACCTGCGTGCAGCGACAATTTCCGGCCAATGGGTTTGCATAGAACTGGTAGCAGCATGAGCTAGTTTGCAGCAGCAATGTAGGTAATGCGCTGCGGGAACCGGAGAGGTCATTGCCAATTATAACAGCCAGAAAAACTTGGATCAGACTGGCCAGCACACCCCCTTGAGATGCAATGTTCTCGTTCAAAATTCCACTGTGCTGCATGTCTATGTGCCTCCCTATATATAGACCTGAGTCTGTTCGGCGCATTATTTTCGCCCGTGGGATCGTCGATGAGGGCCTGTGCAATTGTGCCAATTAGGCCGATTCTGGAAGTGAGCAGGGAATGTTCAGGGGCTCAGTAGAGGGCGGTGGGGGGCTATCCAAACCGCCAAAGGCACAGCCCACCTTGGCACGCAGTAAGCCAGTAGTCCAAGCGCAGTATTGCTGGGGAGGGGTGCTGCGCATGCATCACTGGTAAAAATGTAAACATCTGTGGATTACGTACCAAGCCGTTCGAGGCGTTTGCGCAGCTCTTCCATGTCGCCCGCAATCGTGTCCATCACATGGCTGCGGTGGAGGTCTAAAAACATACGGAGGTTCACTGGTCAGCAGGGGATATACAAGATGTGTGCGCAGCACATTTCTAGCTGCACGCAATATATGCACGCTGCTGTCTTTGTGGACAAACCAACAGGCAGACATTCCCCCGTCGCTTGGCTGTGCCTTGTCTTTTTTTACGAACCTCTTATCAACTGATCTGCAAGCCGGGTCACGACCACATCATTTGCCTACATTTCTCCATTGGAGAAAAATATGTTGGCGATTTGCCTGGATATGATGAAAAGAAGAAAAAGAAGTATCCCGCCACCTACAGAAAACAGCGGATATCTTACCTGCCCAGAGGCTCCAGAACCCACGGCCCGGGCAATATCGGCCAGAGCCTGCCTAGTCGGATCGCCGTCAGGGTAAGTGCTGGCGCGGCTGATTTTCCAGCTCGCCTCGTTCTGACTCTGCAATTGCGCCAGCTCCACACCATTCCACGCCTCTCGCAGGTCAACGTATCGCAGGGCCTTAAGCAGCGCCTCACTCTGAGGCACCACCTGACCGTTGACGAGATCAGCAGTCTACAAGATCCACGGGAGGGCACATGCCAGAATGTAACAAAACCCGCAATGAGCTTTACCAACGCTTTTTTCGTGCAAAGAATACTTGCCTGTTGCACCGAATCCCGAATCGCACGCAGCATGCTGCCAAGACGCTCCATCTGTGACGCAATATCCTGCACCTATAAGCAGGAGAGGGAGAGCCACCAGCACCCAAGGTGAGAGGCATCAGAATGACCACCCATTACTTGTTAACATTGCATTAATTAAGAGACTCGGAACAATCGCAGTGTGCATGTGTCATGAGGTACATGCCCGCCATACCTGCTCATATGAATCCGCCTTTGCCCACATCCCCGAGTCGCTAGCATCCGCAGGGCCGATTTCTGGCACAAATCCAGCGAACTCTCCCGCTGACCTGCGCCAGCGCGTCCGCCTCGACTGCACGCAATACCGCATTCCTAAAGACCGAGCTTAGCAGATAAGGGAACCTTGCTGGAGGGCTCATTTGTGCTGGACAATTCCACAATCAACATAGACAGTGTCGCCCAGTGAACCTTACCTGAAATCGCGCGGTGCGCTATTTGGTGCCGCCTGTGCATTGAGATGTCTGGAGATCCGCTCCAACGTCCATTTCCAGCTCCGCCGCCTCATTAGGAAACCTTTGCCTTCATCTCATTGATCTCGCTCCAGAGCCTTACATGGCGGTCCTGCAGTTCCTACACACAGAAAGGGGCACACAGGTTTCAGTACACTCGAATTCAGCTGTAGTAGATGCCTGTAAGCGTTGCATAGCCTTACCTTTAGCAATGAAATGACGCTAGCCACCATAGCGCGCCGCTGCTCCAGTGCTTCGGCGCGATCCTGCACCGTGTTCGGCCAACGCACGTATCGCCCGCCTGGCGCCCTCAGCCCGTGCCCTCAAGCCCACCTCAGCGCCGATCTGCCCACAAGCTAGTCTCCCTAACCAACTGCTCAGCGCATGAAACCAGCCGCCTTAAATGCACAGCCATCGCTTGGCGGACAAGCACGCGCGTGCGGCGCTCGCGAATCCGCAGTTGCGCCATTTTCACCTCTTCTGCCAGACTCTCAATGGCCTGCACGGCATTTTGGTTCTGCAATGCAAGCTCATCGAGCTCCTGCTGGGATTGCATGTATGTACAAGTGCGTTCGTTGAGCTGCTTGCGCAGATCAGAATAGGCATAAGGAGAGTCGCTGTGGTAGGAGGTCAGGCGGTGGCGCGCGTGCTGGGCGGTGTGTTTGGAGACGGTGTGGCGAGCTAGGAAGGCAAGGATTGAGGAGAGATCGCCTTGGAGCAGCGGCTGAATATTGGATTCGGAGAGCTTCTCTGTGCCGCGCATAGTCACCAGAGTCGCCTTTTTGCGGAAACCGAGCTCGTTTGTTGCCCAGTCAGCGATATCCTTGGCTGCGCTCATTGTGTATCTAAGAAAAAATATATCTCTTGGGAAAAGCTCAAAGTACGACAAAAGACTGCGGATGGGGGGAAAGGCTATCGCTGAGGCAATATCCCGACAAGCGATTTATTGGCGATTATTGGGCCTGTAAGAAAAGCTACTGGCCTTCACTGCAGTTTGACGATGGAATTGATAAAGTCCATATATGCGCTAATATGCGTGTAGATGACGAAGCCGTCGGGGGCATCGCACCTGCTGCTACCGTTAGCGCCGGAGCCAAAACTCGTCAGGCCAATAACATGGGGTTTGCCGTTGACATAGACAATATTGCCGGTGCCCGAATCGCCAAAGCACGGGCTGGTGCCCGGTGCCAGGCTGTTCTGCGAGCAAATCTGCCTGCCATTGCTCGAAAACGCCGCATTTCCAGACCCCATCAGATATCTGGCGCAATCCACATCCTTGCCAATGGTCACTACGCCCTCCTTGAGCAGCATCGAAGTAGTGCCGCGCACCGCATCCACGACGCCCCAGCCTAAAGCGACAAACTGCGTCTCTGGGAACAACTCGCCGGTATACACTGGGATCTTGTCCACGTTTTGGCCGTCCAGCGGCAGCTTGGGGACCTGCACTATGGCGATATCGTTGGTGGAGGTCTGAGGACTATACTGCGGATGCACGTATAGCTGCATAGCATCCTTGAATACCAGGTTTTGCAGATCATTACTGCCATAGCCGATTTTAATTTGCAGGTCCCGGGGCACATGGCCAGTGGATTCGTCGTAGAAGCAGTGGGCAGCGGTGACAATGTACTGGTCGCTGACGATGGTGCCGCCGCACATGAAGTTGCTGTTATTGTAGGTGCTCTGGATATAGGCGATGTAGGGATACCGGCCAGTCGGTGCGGTTGTGCCGCCGATTATTCGCTTGGCGAGAACATCGTCGATGGGCAACGCCCGGGCAGTCATGAAAAGAACGAAGAGAAGAAGAAGGAATATCATTACGTAGTTGGAGGGGAGGAAAACCGGGCCGGCGGTGCTTGGGAGCTGCTCCTGGAAGCGCCCTAAGGGATCAATTATATACACAACGGAGCGTAAGAGACTCTTGGGGATTCGCTATTCACAGTCAAAAGGCACAAGAGTCTTTTTTTCTTTCTTATTCGGATCGTGTGTAGACTGCGACAAGTTCCAAAAATACACAGAATTGCCACATGGCGAGTGTGCTCGCGTGGAGGACCGACGATCCTCAAAGAGACAGATTGAGCAGAGCAGAATAATAGTGAATGGCCACAAATAGACGGGTGTGAGGTTCGCAGTTCATCATTGTGGCATGCATGTGTGGGAATGGCGGAGGTAACATGCGAGATAGCATTTCGAGGGACTCACGAGGTGTGTAACTGGTCCCCATTACAGAGCACCCAATCGCAGCCCCATGAAATTTCAACCTCTAGTTTTATTCTTAGACTAGCAAAAGAAGCTGCCATACTCATCACATACCTTCCTAAAATGTCTTCATCAAAAGGCAAGCTGAGCCGGGACGACTACCGCAAGCAAAAAGAGCTAGAGGCCGCACGCAAAGCCGGCACAGCGCCGCCGGAAACCGATGCCTCAGGCAACATGATCAACCCGCATATCCCGCAATTCATGTCGCAGGCACCCTGGTATCTCGACTCGGGCCAGCCGGGCCTGGCGCACCAGCGCAAGCAAGCAGAGGAGAAAAGTGACGCCTGGTATGCACGTGGGCAGCGGACAGGCACGGGGGCTAAAAAGTACCGCAAGGGCGCGTGCGAGAACTGCGGCGCCATGACGCACAAAACAAAGGCATGCATGGAGAGGCCACGGAAGCGCGGTGCCAAGTGGACGAACAAAGGTATTATGGCAGACGAGGTGGTGCAGGATCTAAAGCTGTCGTACGAGGCCAAGCGCGACCGCTGGAACGGGTACGATCCGGAGGAGCACAAAAAGACGATTCGCGAGTGGGAGATGGTGGAGGAGGCCAGGCGCAAGCGCAAGGCCGAGGCGCTGGATAAGGGCGAGGATGCTGAGGTAGAGAACCAGGGGGGAACACGCAATCTGCGGATTCGCGAGGACACAGCCAAGTACCTGCGCAACCTGGATCCGGACTCGGCGTACTATGATCCGAAGACCCGGTCGATGCGCGAGGACCCACATGCTGGGCAGGCAGCGCAGAGCGCGTACAAGGGCGACAATTTTGTGCGGTTCTCGGGCGATGCGCTCAAGGTCGCGCAGATGGAGGTGTTTGCGTGGGAGGCCAGCGAGCGTGGCAACGCCAGCGTGCATTTCCAGGCCAACCCCACGCAGGCAGCCATGGCCCACAGCGAGTTCCAGCACAAGAAGGGCGCGCGCAAGCAGAGCGCCCAGAGCGCTGTGCTGGACAAGTACGGCGGCGAGGAGCATTTGGTGCGGCCACCGCGCTCGCTGCTTGAACAGGAGGAGCGGTTCGTCGAGTACTCTCGTGCCGGCCAGCCGGTGGTGCCCAGCCAGGAGGAGCAGAGCTCGCTAGGCGTGTCGCGGTACCGCGAGGACGTGCTCCCCGGTAATCACCGCGCGGTGTTTGGGTCGTGGTGGAGCGACGGGCAGTGGGGGTACCGGTGCTGCCGGCAGACGATGCGGAATTCATATTGCACAGCCAAAAAAGATTCGAAATAAAGCGCTCTATTTGCTCTTGGCAGCCTCCGCAGCCGCATGCAGATCGTCCAGCGTGCGGTAGATGGTCTGGCGCAGCTGCTCGGCGTCAGTAGCCTGGCTGCTCTGCCAGTCAGAGACAGTGAACTTGAGGTCGCTCTTGTCTAGCGCGTAGTTGATGCCGTAGCCATCGGCGATGACTGGGGCAAATCCGCCGCGGAACAGCTCGCCGGGCGACACGTTGGATGTAGACATGGCGAACGACATGGACTGCACATACGATGGGTCCTGGAACAGCGTGGCTCGCGATGCCTCCGCCTCGTCGCGGATCTGCACGCGCAGCCCCAGCAGATGCCGGTCGATGCCCTTGCCAACCGCTGCCGCGCGCGTGTACTCGATGTGGGCGCCCACTGCCTGCTGGAACAGCGCCAGCTTGCGAGAGAGCGTGACGTCACTGTCATCGAAGGCACGCGCAAAGGCTATGGCCTCAGGCGTGCATGAGCGGATGGTCTCGGTGCGGCCATGGAGGAACGCCCGCAGCGACGCAGTCTCGTAGGTGGGCGCCGGGACGGCCGTGTAGACGCAGGTACGCGAGCTGCAGGGCGACCTGGAAGAACGCATCGGGGCTGACGCCGAGCTGCTTGATCCACTGCGCGCCAAACTGGTCGGCGTTGCCGAGCCGGATCCGCAGGTTGCCAGCAAGCCGGCTGGCATCGCCGCGCACCTTGTCGATGGCTGTCAGGACGGATCCCGGCACGTGCCAGAGCAGCGGCGCCGGCTCGTCCAGGCCCTTGGCTGGCTTGGTGTCCTTGAGTGGCCCGCGCTCCTTGATAGCCGCCTCCATGGCGATGCGGCCGGTGGTCAGCGCATCGACCGGCGCGTGCTCGCCGTTGACACCAGCACGGCCATTGCTCAGCACGATGATCTGGAACGCCTTGTCGTACCAGCGGTTGCGGCCAGCCTGCGAGTGGCAGAACGTTGCCGCACATCCCTCGGCCGACTCCAGCAGCGCAGCCTCGACGTCCACGTCCAGCGCAACGCCAAACAGAGCGCTATCGGCAGTCTCAAGGGCCAGCTGAATTGTCCTGCTCCAGCGCACTCCGGGCGGCCGCCCAGTCGTCGCGGTGGCCGGCGGTCAGCTGCGCAACCGACGGTAATGGGCCGTTCTCCAGCAGCTTGTCGATCCGCTGCACCGCCAGCGCCAGCTGTGCGGTGATCTGTGCCAGGCTGGCGCGCTCGCCGTGGGCATTGTAGACGGGCACGCTGGCGGCCTGGTCACGGTACATAAGCAGGATGTGGCGGCTGGTGGCCGGATACTGGCTCACGATCTCATCGCAGTTGGCGCGCGCAATCCGCGTGGTGCCGAACTGCGACTTGTACTGGTTCATACACAGCGGCGTGCCCCGGGCCGTTTCGGGCTCCAGCTGGCCCTTGTTCAGCGTATCGTTGAACTCGAGTACGTGTGCAATCAGCCGCGCTGCCCGTCCAATCTGCACTGCCGATGCCTGCCCAGGGCTGGGCGCTGTGGCGGCGACTGGGAAGTCGGGGTTGTCGGCGATACAGGCGAACCAGTTCACGTTGATGTAGCTCGGCTCGCGCCATTCCAGGTACGCCTTGTTCAGCCAGATATCCTCCAGCCAGCTGTGCGCTGCCGCCTGGTCGGCGCTCTGCAGGCGCTGCTGCAAAACTGGGCCCAGTCCACTCGGGCTGATGAACTCGTCTGACGGCCTTCTCGGCTCGTGCATATTCTGCCCCCGTCAAAAGCGGCTGCAGTGACTTCAGATACCGCGAGGCGGTGGCCTCCAGTGAGGGAATGGGCAGCCTGGGCAGCTTGTCCTGGTTGCTGAATGTCGAGGGTGCGGTCGTGTATGCACGGATAATGCGCCGGGCAGCAATCGCCCTGGTGGAAGACAAAACCGAGTAGCGGAGCATTGGCAGTTCTGATAACAAAAAAGAGCAGAGTATAGAATTGAAATAGAGGAAAACGGGAACAAGATGCTGCCGGCTCACGGGGAGAGCGGGGGTAATATACGCTTCCACGAGCTCTGAATGCACGGAGGCCAGCCTGAATGCGCGTTCCGCCCCGTGCATATTTGGCACGTGAATATCAGGAGCCAGGGGCCGATCCCTGGAACTTGGCATCGACGTCAATGCCTGCCAGCTCCACGCGCCGCAGGATCTTGAACGCCCACTTGACCACTGGCATATCAATGGCCTTGCCGTCCAGGTCAAACGCTCCCTTGCCGAGCTCGTAGTTCTCCTGGTACCCGTTGACAATGCGCCAGGCACGCCTGACAATCTCGTCAGGCGGCAGGAACCGTTGCTGGACTGTGTCGACCTGCGCCGGGTGGATCACCTGCTTGCCCGTGAACCCCATCTGCGCTCCCTCGCTGCACTCATCGCCCAGCACCGCCATGTCTCTAAAGTCCATGCACACCATGTCAATCGCCTGCTTGCGGAACGCATGTGCGGCCGTGGCAACCGCCGCCCGCGCATAGTACAGCTCCTGCCTACTAGGCGTGCGCGTAATGCCCGTGTCCGAGCAGTAGTCCTCGGCAGCAAACAGCAGCGCGTCGACGCGCTCGTCGCTCATTGCGATTTCGCGTAGATTCATGACGCCCAGGGCGCTTTCGATGCTGGCGATAATCTTGATGTCTCTCTTGGCCTGGCTGATCTGGTGAGCCACCACCTGAATGTCGCGCGCGGTTTCGGCCTTGGGCACAAGAATCACGTCCAGAGTGGGCGCCTGCAGAACCACTGAGAGATCCTCGAGCTCCAGCCCGCTGCCAACGCTGTTGATGCGCACCCCGCGCTCCTTGCTGTGCGTGTTGCCGTGTATTGCTGAGAGCACCAGAGAGCGCGCCTGCGTCTTGCGGTTCAGCGACACGCCGTCCTCGAGGTCGTACATGATGCAGTCGGCTGCTGACGTCTGTGCCTTTTGGATCTTGCGCTCCTCGCTGCACGGAACATAGAATACCGAGCGACGCAGCTTCTCGTTGCTGAGATCCAGGCCCGGCACTGGCGCTGTCAGCGTAGTCCTGCTGCGCTTGCCAAACGTCCAAGCGGTTGTTCTCGTTAGCGGTTTGCCTACCAATTGACGAAGCATTGTAAATTCAGAGACAGAGAGATAAGGTGGAGAGGAAAAAGCACCGCCTTTTCCCACACCATTTATGCCACCTCCTCTTCCCACACACATGCACACACGGTTAAACATCTTCTCCGAAAGAGCCAGAATAGCATACATCTTCTCCGCAAGGGATAAACACCCAGCCGGATATGGTGATAGGCCACAAGCGCGACATGTCGGGACATAATGTATCCCACCACATCACCCCGTGACATTTTATTTTGAATAAAGTCAAAAAGCGCCTGTTTTTTATGAGCCTTGACTACCAAGGCTCCAGCCATAAGGGCTTTTTCTTTTTAGTTTTTTACTGAGCACCCATAGGCTTGGTGATCAGGCGGCTGCGGTCAAAGCCGTTGCGGTTCTTGTGCGCCAGGATCTGGTAGCACGTCGACGAGCCCTGGCGGGCAATAATCACCGACCACGCCAGGAAGATCTCCCAGATGCGGAACCAGCGCTTGCCATACGTCTTGGTGATCTGGTCCTTGTTCTTCATCCAGTTCTCGTACCACCGTCCAATCGTCACCGAGTAGTGGATACCGATAGTCTCGGACGTGCGCACCTCGAATCCGGCGGTCTCCAGCTGTCCCACAACCCAGTTCAGCGGGCACGACGCGTCGGCACCCGGGAAGACGTACTTGGCCATGAACAGTCCCCACACAAAGTCCTCGCACTGCCACGCCCCGCGCAGACCGGCGATCTGCAGGTAGAACAAACCGTCGTCCTCCAGCATGTCGCGCACCTGCAGCAGGAACTCCTGGAACTTGCGCACACCGACGTGCTCAGCCATCTCCAAGCAAGTGATGCGCTTGTACCGCGGCCGCCGCGGAATATCGCGGTAGTCCATGCACAAGATCTTGGCCGAGTCGCCGACTCCCCACTCCGCCGCCCGCGCATTGCCAAAGGCCGTCTGGTTGCGGCCCAGCGTCACGCCAACCGACTCAGTCCCGTAGTGCTTGGCCGCATAGGCCGCCAGAGTACCCCATCCGCACCCAATGTCCAGGTGGCGGTCGCCCGGGCACATCTGCATGCGCTCGCACACATCCCGCAGCTTGTTGTCCTGCAGCTGCTCCAGCGTCTCGCGCTCGCCCAGCTTGCCCACCAGTCCCGACGTATACACCATGCGGTCGCCCAGGAACGCCGCGTAGAAGTCGTCGCCCCTGTCGTAGTGGTCGCGCACCTGCGTCTCGTCCTGCTTCTTCGAATGCCACAGCAGCTCCGGGATCCACTGGAACAAGAAGAACTTGGCCTGCCGCCACGTGATCTCGAACGTCGCCCAGTCGTACCGCTGCTCAAACATCGTCAGCGCATCGCCTGCCAGATCAATGTCCCCATCAAAGTAGCTCTCAAAGAACACCTCCATCGGGATCTTGCTCATGCCGTGGTACTTGGCCTTTAGCTCCTTGTCCAGAATCGTCATGTACGTCTCCAGCGCCTGGTTCGGCAGCGCGCACGTCTGGTCGGTCGGCTGTGGCCACACCCACGAGAACAGCAGCAGAGACAGGGCGCCGATGGGCAGCGCCAGCAGGGCAGTCACGATGATGTACGTCAGCCAGCCGAATCCCAGCAGACGCTTCAGCATGTACGGAGTCAGCACCACCAGACCGTACAGGATGTAGCTGCTGTACTCGCGCGCGCCAACGCACTCGTACGCCAGCGTCGGCGCATAGATGGTCGGCGAGGAGAACGCCTTGGCAAGCTTGGCCGTCCACTCCTTGGGCTTGGGTTCACTTTCAGTAGTCATCTACTTGAATTACACAAAAATAAGAAACAAGATTCTAACCTTGTGCCGGGGGTTTAGTTGCAAGAGATGAAGAGACAAGAGTGGGATCTGTCTTTGCCATGATGTGGCAACCTGTCCTTTTTATCTAGGACGGCGCCGCTTTTTAGGTCCGCCGCGAAGCCTCGGTCGGAGGCAGAAACAACGCCTAAACCACTCAACATATTTTTGCGCCGGACCAGTCACAGACCGCAAATGCACTATTCTCTCATTTCTTCACACAGCCAATCGCCACCACTCAATCTGCCCGAAGAAGGAACTGCAGTACACACGATTTTTGTTTCTTCGCCAGCGGGGACCAGTTCCTCACGTTCAGCTGCATAAAAAGCATTGCAACTGCTGCCCAACACTCAGCCTGTCCCTCCCCCCGTCCTCTGGTTCGCTGTGCATTATACTGCTGCCTCCCTAGAAAAACCATGAATCAGCTGGCGCTTGTCTACTGCCCAGCACGCATCACCCTAGTCTGCCCGACGCTGATCTCGGTCTCACTGCCACTGCGTGCTGCCTCCACCACAAACGACCTCGCCAGCACACAGCGCCAGCGCGGGATCATATGGTCTCGGTACAGTGTCTTGCCAATCTCAACAATGCGGTGACCGCTATCCTCGGCAGTGCTCCTGGCCCGCATAATAACCACATTGGTCACGACCACCACGCACTCCATTTGCTGCTGCACCTGCACCAGCGTATCAACCAGCACCTGCTGCATCCGGAACTGCCCCGTAGCCTTGCGGCTGGCAAGCCTGATAGGTGCGCCCTCACTGTGGTCGATCCGGTGGTTGCTGCCCAGACCGTCGATCAGTAGCCCGCCGAACCGCTTCTGTTTGCCCAGCACGCCAAGCGTTGCGATTGCCGATGCTGTCGACAGTGGCGAAAACACATGTATGCGCGATAGCGCCCCATCCACCATGCGCTCCACTGACTCCCGGGCAATCCCCTTCCCAAGCCGCTGCTCAATATGCTGCTTCTGCTGCCTAACGTCAAACTTTCCTGCCATGTCAATGATCGCCACGTGGGTTTCATGCCCACCGCCCACCAAGGGCATGGCCAGCGTTGCGCTGATGCGGTAGACGAGCTGCGTTTTGCCGCTCCCTGGCAGGCCGATCAGCTCGAATATCGGCGCCCGACCCGCTTGTTCCACCGAATCCCTCTGCTGCGCAAGTACGTCGTCGATGGGCTGCACGCCGGTTGTCAGTTCTGTCCTGGGCTGGGTGCCGGATTGTCCGCTCACATCAGCTCCAGAGTCGACCTTTATCTGCGATACAATGTCGAGTATGTCTGAAATCATGGCGCATTAAAAATATAATTCTGATTGTGTGGACGCGTGTAGTGCGGCCGACTGCTACTGGGGCGTCGCCCCCGAAGAGGGAGGGAAGGAATTTTGCACATGACTTGATGTTATGGCCTCGCTCACACCCCTCCCTCCCATCCACTTGTGCACATACTTCTCTCATCAGCTGGCCATCATATCCGCATCCACCCACCAGTGTTGCCTCCTGCGACTCAGAAGCGAGTCGACTCGCCACTGTGAAGCTGGCACCCTCAGTGCGAATTTCATCATACACTGCTCATTCCTGCCTGTATAGAGGAGCAGCGCATGAACAATAGGGTGTCATGATGCCAAACAATAGGGGGCAAATTTTTCGTGCATTGTGTGTCTTGCATTGGTGCCCGCCCCGATTGTTCGCCACGGCAAGGTGGGGCGAAAATGGACAGGATCCACATGCACATGTATCAGCCCACCCAACCAAAGTATTGCCGATGTGTGCATGTGTATGTCTCCTCCCCCAGGCTTGCCCTTTTCCCGTTAGTGCTTGACTGCCTGTCAATGTCCAAACTCTAAAAGAATGCCTCTGCTGCCTCATAAGGCCCGCGAAGAATGGCATGCCCACATACCCTACCCGCCCTGCCTTTTTTGCTTGCCGAATACGCCTTGTCTTTCATTTTTAATTTCTCTTTTCATTACCGTCTAACTGTACCCGCAAACCCAGCCCACATATGTCAGTAGAGGACATCGCACAGCCACTACCATCCGCCTTCGATACCTCAATAGTCCGCCGAGTAGTGCAGCACACCCTCGACCACACATGTACCATCGAGGATGTCCTGCGCGGCCACAACTGCCCTGAACAGACACTGCGCAATCTCTGGAAGCTGCGCACAGTCTCGCCACAATTCTACAAGACCTGCACTGACCTCTACTTCCGCTTTATCACCACCAGCTATCCGCTCACCGCCGACCCGCACATTCTTGGCACACACCCACTCAAACGCACCATGGACCTGCATCACCACCACAAAATGCATGTCTTCAGTCTACGCCTCATGCCCCACGTAACCGAGATCCAGAAGGCCATGCTGGAGATTATCAAGGTTATGTATCCGATGATATCGCTGTTCCCGCGCCTCGGCGAGGTCCTGGCAGGCGGAGATTTTTGGCCTGCAGTCAGGGAGACTGAGCAGCGCCCGGCGCTGCCGTGCATTGTCTGCCCGGCTGTCAAGTACGTTGTCATGTCGTTTGACTGGGACAGCGTTCTCCACCCAAGCGTCCAGGATGAGGTCGACGACAAAGTCTCCGCGCTATTCGCTATCATGCGATCGTGCTTTCCAAACGCCAGGCTGCATTTGCAGATCGATGACTCGGACGAGTACCTGGAGGACAGCGCCAAGATGCTGCTGGTCCGGTCCATCTTCAGCTGCTGGGGACGCGGTCACTCGCTGATGCATATTTCGCGCAAACTGAAGCCCTGGGTGGTGTTCCCTGCCGCCCTGACCGGCCTGACGAAGCTGCATGCGCACGCGCATCCGCTGACCGACCATTACTTTTACGCTATGCATCGGTCGGCCGATTCACTGACCGACCTCAGCCTCAGCGGCCTGTATCCAGCCGATCTTTTGCGTGTCGTGCACCTCAGCAACGGCGAGCGTGTCGATTATCTGCTGTTGCGTCGCCTGGTCGTCAGCTTCATTTCACTCAAAGGCAACGAGTTTCCTGACGAACTCGCCTTTGCCGAGCACTTCCCTAATGCTGCCTACATGAAGGTGATGTCGTCGGGCTGGCCCATCCCCGGGTACCTGGTCGGCGCTGCCTCGAAGGGCCTGAGGGACCTGGTGATCGAATATCCGCGCCCAACCAACCTGTTCCGTAACCCTGCCGGTGGCATCATGGCGGCGTACCACCAATGCCCGGCACTCGAAAACATCACCATCAGGCAGTACATGGCCACAATGCAGGCCGACAGCAAGTTTATGTATCCGTCGATAGTAGAGAACCTGTTCCGGTATCCGAAATCAGCGCGGTCCTTCCGCCTTTGCTCCGATCACATTGTTGGTGTGTATGAGACCAACCGCTGCATCTCTGCCTTCCTGAACGCCCCTAAACTTCAGTCCATATACATCCCTGAGGTTGCACTAAGCATTGGAAGCGTGTTTACTCTTATCAGTGGTCTGACATCATTGCACGAGCTGACTGTTCGTTTTGCCTTGCCGGTCTCATCAATTACGAAAATGGTCACGGCCAAACAGACAAGAGAAATGGCCGATATGTGCAGAGACTGCTGCGCGCCGCTCAAGCGCCTGACGCTCACAAACAACCATTTCAAACAGAAGCGCTTGCTGTTTAGCTACGTGGCCATGATTGCTGCGGTGACAGGTACCTTAAATCAGGCTACAGTCCATGTCACCAGCAAGTCAGACGACATCATGGACGTGTTTTTGAGCGAAGCGAGGAGGAAGATTTTCAGAAAGTACCGCAGCAACATTGGTGAGACACTTGTGTTGCATATGGGGGACATTCAGGCTTTCAGCTACCCTGTGGATGCGTCTTTGGAGCCAAGGTTTTAACTGTATATATTGTTTTCTGCTGACAGTTGACTGTGCTCATGATGTAGATATATCACTACGTAGCCACCCTACCAAGTGTCCCAGTTAGATGCCGCATTTTCCGATGCACTATTTTCAAGGTTATGAGTATGATATTTGTAAACCAATGATAGACAATGCCTATATCCTGCACACCAGAGCAAAAAGTCAGATGCCCTTAGCGGCCTCTTCTCCGAAAAAGATCGGTAAGGTCATTCGCGGCATGTCAGGGTCCTTGTCAAAGATGTCAACATGGATGCCCAAGTCGAACCGCGGCCCGATCTCGTTAATCTCCACCCGCAAAACCCCAAGTGCGAGCTTCATGACGGTTTTGAATTTCTCAGCGAGGTTATCCATGAAGTACTTCTTCTGCACTTTACCCAGCAGACTCCCCCTGTACCCAGGACTGAATGGGCCGTTACCATACCATCTCTCAAACCGCATAAAGTCATCGATGAAGCTCATGGCCCTCGTAAAGTATTCATCGATTTCGTTTGGCAAAGCCCGTGGCTCTGTCCACTCGCTTGAAGTTTGTGGACGGCATGCCTGCGGTGGAGGTGTGCTGGCGGCATAAGTTCCATCCAATGAAGGTGTCTCCTTATCGAACTTACGAAGGATATCGAGATCCCGTTGGTACTGGCTCGCGACAGCCTTCACATCATCTACAGCAGCAGCAACTCGGTCCAACGTATCGCCGACATTCTTCTGGCAGTTTTCAGCCTGATTCCTGTCACTTTCCTTTGCTGTGACCGCCAGTGCATTCAGCGCAGCCTCGTATTCCCCCTTGCACGACTCTAGTCGCTGCTTGCTATTAAGCAGCAGAATGTACCCGGCCCTTACAACGCTAAGCAATATGTCACGCTTGTTGTCAGTCCCAGTTTTGCTCTGGTCCGAGTATTGTAGAGCCATTCCTTGAAACAACGAATAAAATTTGCCCATATGGAAACTACGGAGATGAGGAAGTTTAGTCATGGAAATGAAGTGCAAGCTGATGGATGGGTCGCCAACTACACTTTTTATACTTCAGCACCATGTAGCTAGACTAAAGTGTTGATTTCCTGTTGAAGCTCTGATTCCAAACGTGGCCTTGATAAAATCACAAATGGCGATAGGGTACCTCTCGTAAAGAAAGTGATAAAAGCGCAGCTGCTCTTACCAGGCGAAAGTATTGTGCTATGATGGGCGCGAAGTTTATAAATTCTGAAGTACTTTCCTGCAGTGGTAGCTGTAGTGACCCCACCCGCGTATATACGGACGAGCAGACAGTTGTGAGTCCAGAGTCATCCTGCTCTAACACCTTTTGTGAGTGATGACTTTCATTCATGGCACTCTACAAAGGCTGCTTTGATACTCACACCACGCATCAGGATTTTCATCTTGCTGTGCGCTAGCAGAAACATCAATACTGATCTGGCATTGGACCAAGACGCACGATAATAAGCCCCCATATATTGTTGAGCACGATGTCCAGTCAGACCCAAATTTGTGGGCCAAACAAAGGTCTCTTGTTAACCTTAAACGCAGGGAAGGGATACGCGTTCATATGTGTATATCCAAAGAACAGAAGAAAAAACATCTGAGGAAAAGAAAAGTCTGTAGGATGGTCCTGCTAGGACTGCTTATATGCTGCTTGGTCCGGTCAATAGTGGCGCAAAAGTGATTTGGCACTCCACGATCAAAATCTACAAATATGCTGGCTATGACCGCTCTGCGCTTATCCCTCTTGCTATATATTGTGCGAGTGTATCAAAAGCTATCTGCACTCTGCTGGTGCCAGCTACCGCATGTTTATTGATTGTGTTGAGCAGAAGTTTCAAATCAGTAGGAGCATGTTTGTAAATGTTTCTGGCAAGCACTCTCACAGCAATGCCCCACAGCTTCTCTATGTCAACCACAGTATCTGCATGTCGGGTGAGCCACGTCTGGGTCCACATATCCGCCTCAGCCTTTACCTCATCATTTTTGTTGCCCTTCCACCTGGTAGCAAGTGAAAATATTTCTATACCCGATATTGAACTTGCAGTGGAACTGGAAGATTCTTTCTATACAATAGCGGTTCCGGATGCACTAGTTTTTAAAAGCTATTCTGCAGTGTTACATGAATTCCAAGCAGCAAGCATGTAATAAATATCTTAATACTTTCAATGGAGACAACCATACATCTACAATTTGGTTGGCATAAAGTATATACTGCCTTTGGCTGAGATTGTATATTGACAGAGCCCTGAAGTCGTGTCAGGCTATTTTGTTTGCTGCGGATAGTTTATTGTTTATCGACGAATTTGAATAAACCAGCTCTTCTCTATGTGGCAGACAGTAAATAAAGAAAGAAAGCGCAAGTATAGAGTCAATTCTGTAGTAGTGGACAAAAAGTTGACCAAACGCGTTAGTTATGACATTCTGGTGCCCCATTGCCACTGTCGCTGCCCAAGGTGAATGGCAAATGGCGCATTGTATTCCTGTCCGTCCAACTGAGGCATGAAATTACACTCTTCTTTGGTGTGCGTTGCTGCTGACAGGTTTACTTGCTGGACACTCACAGGTGCTATTTGCATGGGTTTTCAAGCATAAGGAGAGCACAGCAAATGTATTGAAAGAGTTTCACCAGTGAAAGTACTGAGGATATCAGTTATGTCTGGTGTAGCCTAGTTAAGGACTGTAGCATGCGAATCCGATAGCAGGTAGATGGTATTGGTGGCTATGAGTACAGTGTTTGGACATATTCTATGGGCGAATTGGCAAAGCATTGCCAGAAGCATCGTCAGATACATTTTCATAGTATCTTCTAGGTGGGTACCATGATCTGTAATGCATGTCAAAATTCCGTTGGAAAGTGGTGCAACAGGTTAAAAATGCCTATGGAAATAAAAGCATGCAAGATGCAAGAAAGAGCAAACCAGAAAGTTGCTCCAACACGGACGACATGAGTCTCGATGCTCTACTCTCCACACACCTCGGAAAAGCAAACAAACGGCACAAACCCCTTTTCTGCTCAGTTCAGGGTTGAAGAAAATGTCTTATTACGAAGCTGCTGCTCAATTTGGGCTTGGGAAGGTGCCTCCTTTTATAAACAGGCGCTCAGTTGCTTGAGTCAATAAAGTAAACAACTCAGAATCAACCCCATCTTGGTGACCACTTTTGTTCAAGAGACTCCTTCCTTGCGTGCTAGTGTGCTGCAATTTAACCATGCTCAGCAAACCCCGAGCTGCTGGTAGGGCACAAGGCCTTGTGCACTATGTGATGCATGCTGGTGATCCAGGAAATGTATCTGATTATGTGGCGCATGACAAGTCGCAAAGTGTTGGACACTAGTCGATGGACTACACAGTTAGTCCTAAATCGGCAAGTCACTGTGAGAAAAACCCTGACTAGACAGCCCACCAACTATGTGACGTTGAGTTTCTCTCTAAAAGAAATTTTCTTTCTCTTTCTTCTTTATCGGTTTAGCCGCTTAGTATTTTCTCATTTCTTATTTATAAAACTTTGCGTATAACGCCTCAGTTTACTTTACAAAGCTATGATCCTGTTAGCAAAGGATACTTTGCAGCGCTCTGTATGTTCACTTCTAGCCAAAGACTTGCCTCCGCTTTTGCTTATTTACAGATGTTATTTGTACTGGTACGTGCTAATATAAGACGATGAGAGAAAGAAATGAAGGAAGAGACTATGCTACACCGTGCTTGGATCAATCGCGCTGGCTATGATGTTACAATGACGAAAAGCCCAATCCACACACCCAACTATCTCACCATTAACTTGTATCTCGGCCAAGTTTGGGAACCGAGCCATCAGTTCGATGAACTTGTTTGGGTCAATCGCCATGTGCGAGTACAGGTGCAGGCAGTGCAGATTCTTGCTGGCTATCATTGGGATATCCCTTGCATGCGCAGCAATGATATATAGCTCGAGGTCCTCCTTGGCAAAGTAAACCCCGCGTCTGTGATGATTCAGATCCTTGCAGTACATAGAGAAGCAACGGATGCGCAAAGTCCTCAGCCTTGTCAGGCTGTGTGTCAGGTTGAGAATGATGTTGCTGTCTGCGATTCCCAGAGACAGATGAAGGTTCTCCATGTTGTGAAACTTCACAGTCAGAGGCAGCGTAAACTCAATGCCAGTCACTGACATCCTGCGGATGACAGTGTTCCTGTGGCCAAAGAAGTTTCTCAACCCTGCAGAGGGGAGAGGCTTGCTGGAATCGCCCTCTTCCGGGATCAACTTGAGCTGGAAGTGTTCAGAGCACTGGAGATTGTAGACATCGATGTCTCTAAATTCCAATGTGCTCTCTACGAGTGACAGCTGGCGGCAGCCTTTCTTGAAGTATTTCCAGATGTCGTTTCTGCTATGGGTTATCCCAGTCACAGTGACACCAACCGTTGACGGTATCGCAACTCTGGATACGTCCAGCGAGGGCTGCAGGAGACCTTTCTCAGGCTCTTTAAACCGCATCACGAGCGTCTGGAGGTTTGGGAGATGCACCCTTCTGTCTGGTCCAGTCTTGAACAGACCCCAGTTGATGCCGTTCGAGATTCCGCTTAGTTCAAGATGGCTCATGCTGTCTGTAGGGATAGGCGGTAAGTGCACAAACTCCGGGACAAGCTTCAGGTCTAGCACAAGATACTGGAGATTCGGCGAGAATGGTTGGTCAATATAAGATGGGAATGGCCGCGTAATCTGCATCATTGTTAGGCGTGGGTGGAGCACATGGCGAAGCATTATCATTATCTCTGTCCCGACACCAGGCAACTCCTGAGGGGGATTCTTGCTTAGACCCCAGACTCGATCTGGATGGTACCATAGTTCCCTGGCATGAGGGCAGTGCTCGAGGATAAGCTGGGCAGTGCGGGTTGCCTCCATTTCTGCATCCTGGGACTCCTGCCTCTTGCCAGCATAAAATAGGCCATGGCCTAGGAACCTAATAAGCTTTGTGCTGGCAATCGCACCACTGGGAATACTGAGCTCTTGGATAGCCTTGTCAAGATGGAGATCTTTCGGACAGTCATTATACAGGGCTATACGAAGTTCGCTCACCGAGGACAACAGGCCACATGCCTCTAGCTCTTCGATGTTGCTCTTCCATACACGATCATGGCTTTTCTTGCAGGTGGTTTCGGTGCACGAACACTTGACTTGGCACTCTAGTATGAGTGGGACTTTCTTCACAAACTCAGGCAGATGTGAGTGTAAGGTGGGGTAATCTTGGTAGAACTTTGCAAACGGCAAGTAGTCAGCCACAGTCGACGTCTCATGGTGGGCTTTCTTGCACGCAGCCTCTAGCTTCTTTTTCTTCACGTCGTCGGGGTCCAAAGGGTGGATAACTGCAAAATCAGTGTCAAAGTTTCTCAAAAAATCGCGCAAGAAGTCGAGGTTTGGCGTTTCAGGGCGCATGGATATGTTGGTGGATATTAAGAGTAAACTAGTGTTTGGGGGTTAAGACTAGAGAAAAAGTGCACAGGTATCGTTGGGGGTTGCGCACCTAGGTTTCCATACGAATGTCAGCACTCTGCTGTGTGCTGGACATCATCTATTTCATGCCAGTCGTGACCCCACTTCCCTACAAAAAGTGAGCATAGCCTGCATAAAATCCCTTGCCCACCCTCTCTCCAACAAATGAGTTGTCACCAGAATAGCCGTCACCTGCTGGATGTTCCTTGGTTGAAAACTGATTAGGGCCGGCATTTAATTCAAAAACAACACACACAATTGCCTGGATGCTGTTTAGTTGTCCAAGTATGCATCTGACTTTCATGGGGGGTGGCGGCCATCATATTCAGCTGGCCAGTACACCCAGCCGTTTGCACAGTATTGTCTTTTTTCCTTACACTTGTTTCAGCCGCTATATCTGCAGAGGGTATGCTAAAAATCGTGTAAGTGCAATGAGCCTCCATGACGTGTAGCTCCAAAATGAACCCGACATTGCCTATATAGAACTGGGTTTGTATTCGATTTAATTTAATGATCACCCCGACTCCGCTTAAAAATCCCCTTGTTCAAGAACGATTTCCAGGAGTGGCAGACTCAATGTTGCAAGGGGAATCGGACTGCTCACGCCTATGCGGGGCACCCTGTCTGTCCATCCACCCATCCGCCACTCTACTACCTGTCGCAACGCTTGCCATCCTAAAAATACAGCGACATGCACAGCAATTGTAGCACTCTTATTTCTTAAGACTCGGTGAGAACACATCCTTGCTACCCAATTGTAAAAAATGAGGGTGTGAGGAGTTGTCAGTTCCACTCCACAACAAGCTTGCTTGCTTGCAAACCGCCAAACTTGCTTTGCCCGTGAAGCGTATGTCAAGACAGGGACGGAATATCCGCCATGCCAGCTGCTCGCTTCTCTTCCTGCTACGGTATGCTGCAAGCCTGGGCTCGGTGTACGGCACCATCCTCATAAAACGCCACTTGTCCGCGTGGATTTAGGTATCCGATTTGCAGCTCCCTCTTACATTGTCAGGCCGTGCCTTGATGTCCGAACGTTTCACACGGCGACAGAAGGGCTGTACGTTTGCTGCAATCTCCTGTCAGCTGAATACTCTGGCTCAATTGTGAGCGAGACTATTCTCACTTTATTGCATCTAGCCATGTCAGGTAGGAATGGAGCAATGTAGTATGCATGCACAAATAATTACTCCGGCCACCCGAGGTATTTTTGGCATGTGAGAAGTGAATCCGCCGCACCTACTTTTTGATGAGGAGCGGATGAGAGAAAGCATATGTATACTGAATAGTGAATCCTTTCCACCTTCTGGTGTTGATTACGTGCCCACCTTACTCATCATTAGCGTAGCTTTGCAGAAATCCGAGAACCACGTTCGGCTCCGAAAGCCGCCACTTTTTGAGCTTTGTTGTAGAATGCCAAGCAAAGCGTATATTAGCCATCGCATGGCGCGCAAGTAAGGCTGGTTCACTTTACTTCACTCTAGTCCTTATTTACGTATGTTCAATACATAATATAGGAAGTGGCCACTTCTATTATAAAGATTTGGCAGTCTGGGGTTCTGACCACTGTACGTAGAGCTACACACCGCTAGACTTGGCGTAGCGCTACACATGCATCATTTATAGGAGATGCCCTTATCAATTCAACCCACATAGCAAGATCAGCCATCTGCACTAAGCCACTCACGCAGGCGCCTGATCTATTCGCCTCATGATCACAATGCCTCTTGAGCTACCAAGCGCATCTAATCACCATTTGCGAATGCTGGTCTGTGGTTCGCAATCGATACGCACCTGCCACTGCAAGCTACAAACGAGTTGTGCATATTTTTCCCAGTGCTTTTTGTTCATCGCCCCCTGAGCCGCCTTCACTGCAAATGGCAAACCCTCTTTTGAAGCTCGATATGCAGCTCACACCCAGCACTGAGTCCGCCATGAGCAAAGTCTGAAGGAAACCAGTTTGCCAATGGTTGTCAGTTTATTTATTTGCTCAGCCAAGCATTTTTCTTGCCACTGCCTTTTCCTTTCTCTTTGCCCTTCCTTTTTGCAGCTGCATTCGTCATCGTCATCACCTTCAGTATTTTTGACAACCCTTTGTCTGCCTTAACAGTACAGTTTATTAGATTTCAGTTCCTCCCTTTTTGACATTCTGCCTCGCTGGCTGTAGCAACCCGCACACCTCAGGCTATACCTACTACTGTATGGATATGACCATTCCAGTGGATTTTACTGCTCTTGCTGGCGGATATATCGCCGAGCAAGTCCTCTCCAAGGTTATCCTGCGAGAGCGAGAGAATGGACACCGATACCATGCATACCAGAAACTGTACAGCTACGCCTTGGTGTGCCGTGCCTGGTTTAAAATCACTGCTCCGCTCATGTACGAACGTGCATTCATCTACTGCACTACGCGCAAGATTGATGAACCAGAAAAGACCCCAAACCGGCACTACGAATGGCACTCGAATCTAGGCCAAATTATACGTGCCGGCATGCAGGACCAAGTCAAAGAGTTTCGCATTGAATGCGAGCAATTTTCACGCATATTCACCAACTGTCCAGACTTGTTCGGCAAGCTGGGGATGCCGGACACGCCGTTCGTGAACGTCACCAAGCTGTGGTTCGGCGGCACATGCCATTACGGCGCCGGCATGGAGGATCTGTTCATCATCCCGACCACACGCTACTTTGTCAAGATGTTCCCGAACGTCACAATTGTGGCCAACAACCGGTTCTTTGACCGTGGCAAGATGTTCGACCACGTCATGGATCGTATCCAGCACCAGTTCCACAACAAGATCACCAACTACCGGATTGAGATGGACTCTCCGCGCCGCATACCGCTCTACTTCCCGCCCAATGTCACCAAGCTGACGCTTCAGGCTGAGATTTTGGTCGGCTACCACAACCGCATGGACTTTCCACAGATTCCCGCAGCCGGGCTCCGGTACCTGAACATGAGGAATGTGCGGACAAATTTCAACTGGGACATCTTCAAGTCCGACGTACCTGGCGAGATCCGGTTTACAAACCTGGAGGAAATCCATATTAGCACCGATTACCACCCGAACCCTATTTCGATTTTCTCCGGGCACGACCTGCTGACGTTCCCAAAGCTGCGGATCGTCCGGACACTAAACATTCTGCAAGTGTACTCGGACATGTTCAAGCTGTTCCTCCACTCGCCGATCGAATCGCTGCAGCTCTCCGAGAAGGTTGCCCAGCTGAACTGGATCAACCCCGAGATTTACTACATGGCCAAGCATATCAGTATCCACCCAATGTACGACTATACTGAGAACGTCGACGATGCCACGTCGATGCTGATGCCTGTGCTCGACACCCCCTCACTTGTCACCCATGCTAGCCTCCGCATGACGCTGCGCGAAATCAGACTCCCACAGTCAACGGCATGGGTTCATCTGCGCCGGCTGGTGGTCACCGTTGACAAGTTTATCGTGTCGGAGGCAGAAAACCTGATCTCGTACCTCCCAGTGCTCGAGTACCTGCGCGTCAAGTACGATCCGCCACAGTATCAGGTCCCGCATCGGCAGGCAAGGATCGATGAGCATGAGTGCCCGCCCTACGACCCTGACCGGGTCATCCACCCAGCCCTTCAGATGTTCGAGATCCAGACTGTCCACGACTGGCTGAACGAGGGCGACAGGGACCGCCTCAGGTACTTTGTCAGGCACATCCCCACACTGATCAAGATCAATGTTCCGCCAGAGTTTGGTAGGATTCTCATCCAGGAGTTTGCTGAAGAGGGACGCGAGATTATGCTATACCAGCACGAAAAAAATTGACGAGCGCTTCAGGCAGTATATTGATCCTATTAACATGTAGGCCATGGTTCTGTATTTCGTTTACCCAGATACCTCTAGTATTAAAACAGCAGCTACCAGCACCTGATGCAATCAACCATGTCAACCTTCACATGCTGGGACATGCATGAAGGCGTAACCAGGCACATAGGAAAGGGGAGGCGGCAGTTTTGGGCTTTGTGCAAATTGATTGCCGCCGCTATAGCGATGTAGGCGAGCTGAGACGGAGAACGGCTTTTCGACCGACAAAATAAAAGACCTGCGAGGACGATCGTTCGTTTTTTTCTTTTGAAGAATCAGCCTAGCGTCATTTATTAGCTTTCTCAAAGACTTCGAAAGTACCAAACTTGGAGCGCTAGGAGCGGGCTTAAAAAAAAGGTAAACACAGCTTTGCTGTTTGCTTTTCTCTCTCTCGGTTTCTTTTTATTAAAAACATACTCTATTTTTATATTGCTCCCTTAACCCTCTCGCTAACCAAATACCGATACACCAATGGAGGACGTACATGACAGTAGCATTACCGATGGCCGGGCATCGCTGAGCGCAGTCGGCCCCAAGATAAATGTGATGGGCAGTCCGAGCACACTTGCGACCGAGACCACTCTGGGACCGAGCGAGCCGGTGTTCAAAGAGTTTTCCCAGGAGGAAGGTAAGCACCAGCACCCAGCTATGCGGCCCGGGGGATAAAACAGAAACTCCGTGAGGGGCTGATGCTAACAGGCTTTTTTTTTACTCTAGACGAAAAGCTGCTTGCAGACTATCTACCGTTGTTTGGCAACCAGCAGCAAGTGGCTCACCGCGTGTTCCACTGGGAGATCGACAGCTGGGCTGGCCTTTCCAGCACCGCGCACAGCCCGCCATTTATGATTGCCCAGAACAAGTTCCAGATACACCTGGAGCCAAACACGGCCGAGCCGCACACACTGTTCCGTCTAGCCTGCGAGCCAGCAGACAATGACGAGCTCTGCGTATACTATTGTCTGGCAATTTCCAATGCCGAGTGTCCAGAGGTCTGCTGGAAGCGAGCCATCCAGCACAGATACATGGCAGAGACAATGGCGCAGGGCTCGCAAGAGATCGTAGAACACAGCCTGCTGACTGACGCAATGCCGGACTATGGACGCCCGGTGATTGAAAACGACTACGTCCGAATTAGCGTCTACATCCGAATCATCAAGGACAGGGCGACAGAGCCGGAGCCGGAGTCGGAGCCCATGCCAGCAAGACAGTACCAGCGCACGCAGGCCGTTCGCAAAAGCATCATGCGCACGAAGCATATCAACTCAGTGTACAGTCCGCCGCACCCGCCACCACCGCAGATGATCCGCGTGCGCATTATCACCGACCAGCACACGCGCGACCACCAGGAGTTCGACATTTTCGACTTTGATTCCCCGGACGGCTTCGAGATGCTGCTGCCGCGCACGCACCAAGTCTCGGAGCTTCTGGACACGTACAGGAGCCGCACAGAGGCCGTGGGCCAGATGGATCTGTGGATCCTGAACCGGCGAGACACCGGCACGTTGCGCTGCAGCCACCCGATAGAGGTATCTGCTGAGGCCACCCTGGGCGACCTGGTCGACATGCACTCGTTCAGCTCAGACCTCGCCTACTTTTACTGCGAGCGCCACACCCCCGGCCTTGCCAAGCCCGGCCTGACCAACCTCATCCATATTAAATTCTACGACGCTGCCGCAGACAAAATGGTCGGCCTGGGCCATCTCCGGCTGTCGTTTTTCAAAAAAACTGCGGCTCATGTTCCCCGAGCTCTGCAAGATCGCCAAGCTGCCGCACGGCACCCAGCTGCTGCTGTTCGAGGAGGTCAGGCCGGGCGAGATCAGGAAGCTCGATAGCGAATGGACGCTAAAGTACTCGGGGCTGGGGCCTGGCGATATCATTTGCTTCCAGATCAAGCCCGACGGATACGACGGGATGAGCCGCTACCAGAGAGGAAAGTTCCCGTCGGTTGTGTCGTTCTTTGGGAGAAAAGCAAAGTGACATGCTGCATATTGTCAAGCCATCACACATTCTTCAAACATTTCTTGCTCTGTCCAAACATGTTCTTACAAGCAGTGCAATGTGTATAGAATGGTGTATAGAATGAAAATTGGAAGAGTAAAAGAAAAAAGAAAGAAAAAAGAGCCCTAGAAGAGTAGCATTGCATGCAGTGGATACAGTACGACTGCGAAGCGATAGATCCAGAGTGCGATTCATTTTGTGGCAGCAGCAGCAGAGTAGGTGACTCAGGCAACGCGAGCTGATGAAGAGGAGATGTGGGAGTAAAGTTTGCCTGGAGCATGAGCATGCTGGGAGAGATGGCTCAAGAAGAATAAGCGGAAATATGTGTGTTTAGGCGAGTAAACATCGAGTACATAGAAAAAACTAACAGAAAGATAGAGACTAAGCGGAGGATAGGATAAGAAGAAGATATAGAGATGTGCTGGTGGAGGTATTAAGGACATAGGGAAAGATAATGTTTTCTTCGGGAGCGGAGGTCAAGTCATACACATATTACTAACATACAAAGAAGAGTAAATGACAAACAGCGCAGTGTACTCTCCTCTCCACATCATCCGGAGTGAAAAGGGGGGGGTGACTCCATTGTATAGGACTGGTCGACCCAGCCTTGCTAGAGTGAAAGAGCGGCATGGTCGTGGTTGATGCCCAGGACAGCTGACACGTCTTCCACATTGGTCAGGTCTATCAGGAATGGAATGAGGTCGAGCAGCTCAGTGTCGTGGGGGTCGTTGAACCAGGTGCTGATGCCAATGGCGTTATTCGGATGGAAGGCATATGACGCCGGCGAGTTATCTATAATGATAGCTTGGCTTACGTCACGGCCTAAGACGCGACAGGTCCTTGACATAGTTGCCGTTGTATAGGTTGCAGGACTCGCGGAACAGGCGGTGGTGCACAACCTGGCTCTTGTCCAGAAGGTCGAGAACAGGGTCGGCGTACTACAACAGAAAGAAGGCAAACAGGCCAGTGGCGCGGACAGGGGTGTTTGTTAGTAGAATTGAGCGGCACATCTAGGAAAACCACAACAAAACAACAGCATCTACAACATGGGGATGGCTTGCGGGTTACACCCCACAGTCTCAACATGCATAGCCGCCCAGCACTTACCATAGAGAGCGAGGCTGTAAACACCACAATTTCGTAATATTGGCCCATAATCCGCATGAACTCGTCAACACCAGGGCGCTTCACGACATAGACATTGTGCTCCTGGCCCTCGAGGACGACAGGGACAACATAGTCGGGGTTGTCGACCTCGCGGAACGAGCTATGCACCAGGGTCTCGTCGAGATCCAGAACCAGGCACTTTCTTCCCCTTGAGCTCAGGCGCCAGCGGGCCGAGCAAAAACTGGTTCACTATATGCGTAACCAGGCGCTCGGACGATTCAGTCGCGACGTTTCCCGGTGGCGACGTAATCTCTGCGCGCAGGTCGTTCTCCTCTTCGCTGTCGAGGTCATCCTCACCGCCCAGGCTGTCACGGTCAGCCTCGGATGACGTGGTTGAGTGGCGGTACAGCTGGTCAGTCGAGCGGTCGTTCATATATAGTTTGCCAATGGTGTTGGCCGGTGTCTCGCTGGCCTTGCCCTGGCCGAGCGCGATGCGGCTGTCACTGCGGTTTAGCTCCCCCTGCAGGTACGACGACCCCCGAACGACGTGGGTGGAGTGCGGTACACCGAATTGCCCACTGAAGCTGACGCCGGCGTCAGTGCCCAAGTCCGAGTAGGCTGAACTATGCGTGCCGTAGTCGCTGGTCTGTGCTGAAGCGGCTGCCGACGAGGGAATTGCAGAGACCTGCGGTACCGTGGCCGAGCGGACAGCGGCGGACTGGGGACGTGGTGCCATTGAGGGCTCCGCGAAGACCAGAGCCCGGGCTTGTGAAACCGTCTTCGTCTGCTGAGGTGGCATCCTCCTCAGCGGCTGGAATGAGTCGGTCGCCTTCTCGCGCATTATCCTCGGCCGGGTCGGGGGTGACTTTGACAGTGGGGAGCGGCTGCTGCTGCTCCAGCCGCTGGTGGGAAAGCTGCTCGTCTTCATTAGCTGACTCGTCTTCGATGGTGGACTCGGCGAGGCTCTGCTGGCCCTGGGCACGCTGCTCCTGCTTAACCCGGCGCTCGGAGTCGTCGCACTGGGACTGCGCAGCGTCGGTCTCCGCCGACCCTCGGTTTTGCCGGTTTGCGTCGTTGCGCATGCTGCCGTAGGAGGGGCTGCGCGAAAACAGAGGCACGGGCGAGCAGCAGGCAAACAGCCGCGAGAATAGGCTGGGGCGCGGACGGAATTCCTGGCTGCGGTTGGCGTCCAGGCTCTGGGTGTTGCGTGGGACGCGCACAAGCTTTGTCTTGCGCGCATTGACGGCGGGCCCGCTGCTCTGCGAGATCCGCCTGCCTGCCATGGACGGGTTGCTGGCGTTCTGGGCCGACGACACCTGGAATCCCGAGGCGCCCTTGGTTTGATTGTTCATTGTCAAGTGAGCGCCGCTATCCGCTCGAGCATTATTGGCGCTGTGGTCGTAGCCGCCGCCTGTCGATGCGAGCGGCACTGCGGTTGCGCTGTCGTCAGCCTGGGCACCAAGGCCTTTGTTGCTATCCTGGTGGTCGTAGTGGCGGTGTGTAAACTTGGTACGTGCTAGAAGCAGCTGTCCGCGCTCTATAGAAGGCGTATGTGGCATAAGTAGCGAGGTATATAAATAACCCCCACGCGTTACGGGGCCGTGGAAATAGAAGGGGGCGGCAAAAAAGGCCAAAAGCGGTGGAAAGGAAAACCAAAAGAAGAGCAAAATTACTACACAGCGCGCGTATGTGAGTGAATGCGCCAGTGGGGAGTGGGAGAGTGGGAGAGAGGAGGAGGGGCGAGGCAAGGCGAGTGAAAAGGGAAGGAAGATTGACACGGAAGTAGGGAGTGACTTGTGCGCTGGAATTGTTGACAACAAAAGCTGGTCGCTCTGCAGCAGAAAAGGAAAAGGTCGGCGATCACTTGTATTCCACGGCTGGTGGGCGATTTTTCGAGCAATAGGCAGCGAAGAAAAACAACAACAGACAGGGGCACGGATTGCGCATGCGTTCGGAGAATGAATAATGAGCGCCCAAGAAGAACACAGGGCATCGGGCCGAGTCGCGCGTATTAAATAAGGGGGATGGCCGTGGCCAAGGAGCTGACGAAGACGACACTCAGACGCCCTCCCATCCCCAGTAGGGTTCAGAAAGAGCCCTCCGCCCCAGCTGGCGCCTGAAGAATAGGACGCACTCCTGGCAGCGCACTTTGCGTCCCTAGAAGCAGAATGCAGGCGGCTGCAAACAGGCTTTTCTAACCACAGCTCCATTGTTCTGCATGCCCGGGAGCCATCCCACCGCCAGAAAGGCAAGCCACCAGAGCTTGGGCGAAGAAGCACGGTGTTTGGTGTATCGGCAGCCATTTGTGCCTGCCCCCGCCGCGCACGCACACATTGAAGCAGTCCCCCCGCCACTCGAGCAGCGCTGCTTGGCCCAGCGCCGGTGTTTGTTGTTTTAAAAACACTACTGCGCTCTGCGGGCCACGGACACGCACATTGGAGCAGAATGCGAGAGAATAGCGGGTGAGCGCTACCGCTCTTCCGCACAATAACCTGGCTTTTGGGCCCGATAGTAGAGGTTTACTTACCGCGTAGCTTGCGCAGGCGAAGTCCAGTCCGCGACGCCTTGGCCGATGCGTGCGGCTTCGAAAGTGTAATGTCGACTGCCGGGGCTGTGCTGGGAGCGTGTCCGCTCAGTGTGCTTTCCTCTTCGGTGGGGCCACGGCCAACTCTAGCGTTTCCCATGTCCTAATGATTGAAAACGTTGGTCCCGTTAGGCCACGAGCCACGAAATGAGGCGAATGCAGTGCGTGCTGTAGTCCAGCAAAGAAAAAAAGGCACCCCCGTACCTAGTGAGTCTCTGGCCGAATAAACGTATCCCCCCGCGTTCCAAGCTGTAGAAAAGAAAAAGAAGGGTGCTCCAAGCTGTCGGTGGGGTAAAGGTGGGAGGAATGGAGAAAAGCGAAATTTCCAGAATACACTCAAAACAGACGGCCTTGTTGGTGTATGTTGGGATGAAGCAGTGTGTATGTCCAGCTGGCTCTCCCCTTTCTGGCCTGATATGTGGTGCGCCAAGAGTTTATTTTAAGGGAAAAAAGCAGTCTGATTAATAATATTGCCCGGCAAAGTGTATGTGGGTATCTGAAAAAAAAAAAAACAATATCGGTGAAGAGCGAAGGCGAAAGGCAACCTGCTGGCTGCAAAGGGGGAAAGATATTGCGAGAGATCGCAAAGTGGCGATTTATTTTATTGAGGTTCAGCATGAGCCAATCACAGACAGGAAAACAAAGCGCCTCAAAAGTTTTTTCACATTTCAGCCGCCGGGCTTCTGGGACATCCAGGGCGTCATTCAGCGGCGCGCGACCAGCACCGACGTTGCGCGGGGAAGTGACAGGGTCAAACAGCGCAAAGGCGCTGATGCTGCTGCAGTGCTGGGCCAGGTACATGGCGCGATCCACCACCAGCATGCCCTCGATCAGCGGCCCGACTATCGACCGCAGCGTCCACACCACCGCCATCTGCCTGAACCCGTGCTCCATGCTCCGACGACACTCAAGGCATTCGCCCAGGCTCGGGTGCCAGCTACTCTGCATCTTGCGCAAAGCCGCATACACATACAGCGCAAACTCCTTGTCGATGCCCTCGGCCATGTCCTGCATCTGCTCGCGCTCCACTGCCTCGGCCAGCTCGGTGTTGGTCACGCCGCCCACAGTCGGGAATCTGTCGTGCTTTGACAGCTGGCCCTTCAAGATCATAAAGTACTATACGAGAAGTGCTTAGTGCCCATTCATCCCCCCTGCGACAATTGGCCTGGTGCTGTGGTGGAAATAGAAAAACTTACATGCAACAAGGCGCGGAAGTAGTTGCGCTTGAATGACTCCATTGTCTCGCTTGGCTTGCCCTCCCAGCGCACTGTCGCTTGGCACGCTGTCTTCAGCGCATTCATGCCGATTTCGACACCCGCAAACGCAGTCGACAACGGGAATCCTGACATGTCTACACGCAACAATCACTGAATGGACAATGCGCCGATATACGTCATGAACCAAGGTGTATTCTCACTTACCGCCGCAGTTCTCCGAGATGAAATTGTAGCAGCACGGGACCAGCGCCACCGCCGACGCGTCCGACTCGACAAACGCCTTGAGGATAGCGCTGGACAAATCGCCACACGCATGCAGCCCGCACAGCATCCATTTGCGGCCACCCGCCTGGTCACGCGCCATCTGCACCAGCTCGCCGGTGCTATCCATGCCAACCTTTACCACGCAGTGCACCAGCCGCTGCTCATCGCCCTCCTGCCACCGGTACCCGTCCGTCTGTGCTTTCTTTCCGCGCAGCTGCTTGATCAGTCGCTTCTGGAATGTCTCGGCGCCGCGCTTCTGGCCTTGCGCAAAGTCCACCGCCAGCACTGACGCCCGGCTGCCAGCCGCCGAATATGCAACCACCCGAGACAAATACCCTTGCCCGGCTCCCACGTCGACCACGAGCTCGGTGCCGGTTTCGCGGGCAACTTGGCTGACCAGGTGTGCTAGATCAATGACCTCTGCTTGTTTCTTGGGCTTCATGCCGTTGAGGAAGTATTTTTGGATATCGCCTACTGCTACTTTGTCGTCGGAGGCGCCCGTGTCGATTTTGTCGCGCGGAAATCGCAGCCCAAACATCTGCCGGACAAAGCCGCTCAGCGACTCTGGCGAATCCGCAGGCACCTGGCCCTGGGAGGCCATTGGAATCAGGCTCTCAATGTCAAATGCACTCGAGTCAAAGTACTCTTGCCAGTCCTGGGGAAGCTCGCTCCAATGGTCCTCCACCAAAAAGTCAACAATGTGCATCGCGGGCAGATAGGCGAACTCTTTGTACATCTGCTTCAGTACTACTACGTACTCGTCGATACTGTCGAATCCACAAGGGATATTAATGCCGCTGGGGATTGCCATTATGTCGTCTAAGTAAAAGAGCTTTTGAGGCTAACGTCGGATGTTTTTGTGAGCAGAGCACCTCATTTGACAATGAAGCTGGACGAGGCGCACTTGCGCAGCCTCACTGGTACCCTCTGCAGTACTGATCGAGGAAAAAATGGGACAGACAAATCGCTGGTCCACTGCGCAAATGCTGCTAATTTCGAGACAATCGCCGATCTACTGTGGCAATGGCTCAGCTTTCTTGGGTTCAATAGATGCTCGCTGCCATAGAATGCGAGCAGTTGCCTGCAAAATCGGCAGAGTTCATCGTATATATGCAGTACGCCATGCACTTGATGTGCTACAGTACGTTCAACGGCCAGCTCAGAGATTGGTACTCAAGTAGTCGACAAATAGCTCTGGCACACGATCGATCTTGGGTGTAGCCATGCGATTCAGATTCGTAAACTGCCTCCGCAGCCGCCGCAGTTCAGCCAGCGTGACATTGCGACCAGGCATCTGCACCTTCGTCCCTGATCCCGGCGCTGCGATCTCCGACATGGGCACCCCTGACTTTTGTGCATCCAGCACTGCCGTAATAACCTCCTGAGTGGCCCGGTCGAACTCGAACAGGTAGTTCCCGCCCGTAACCGGCTTCACCGCTGTCGCAAACGTCGGTGGCGGTCGCCTTTTTCTCAACCACTGCATCCCACACCTTGTCGAACGGGATCGGGTCATTCATATGCTGGATAATCGTGAACAGCGGGCTGTCCCACCTGGTTGCCGCGTTCGGCTCCTCATACCGCATCACCAGCTCTTCGAAAACCGTCGCCTCATACCCCTGTACCTGCCTCGAGTCGTTGATTCGGCGCGCCTCCTCAATGGGAATCGCGCAATGGATCACACAGTGCGGCGTGCTCATCTCGCGCGCTACGCAGAATAGCTGGTACCGGAAGCCCTTGATGTAGTTTAGCGAGTCCACGATCACAATGCATTCGCGCGACAGGTGCCGTTGCACTGCTGACATGACCTGTGCCGCGCGCCTTCTTCTCTTCATTGGCCGTGGTGTAGGCGCTGTGCGGCACCTCCGAGCTGGTCATCGCTGACCACCTGCACTGTAAGGATGCGGTTGCTGTTCTCGGGCTGCGATATACGCTGCTCGAAAAGCTGCTTCAGCTCGGCGGCTCGCGTCGATTTGCCACTGGAACGGGTATCCGGTCAGAATAATTAGAGGCATTTTAACAAACAAAAAAAAGCCTTTGTAAGAAAAAAATGAATTGGAAGGCAAGGAGCAGAGGCAAAAAAAAACAAAAAGGGCGCCACTGTCGGAACCCATTTTACCAGCTGATTAGGTTGAAGTAGAAGCTTTTTTGTTGATTTGGGGAGAGCGCAGTTTGTGAGCCAAATGAAAATTTTGTGTCTTTTTTCTCCTTCGCATCCGAAATAGTCTCTACTCTTTTTAAATGTCTTCGATTTCACAGTTTTTACCTGACCCGAAACACAGCAGAGCAGTCGAACGCAGCAGAGATGAGCCAGATACCTGACGAAACACTAAAGAGCCAAGCAGTGGCTCTGCGCAATGCTCCAGCACCCATTCCGCCATATGGCAAGCGCAAAGGATGGGTACCCAAGACTGCCTCAGACTTTGGCGATGGCGGCGCATACCCCGAGATCCATGTTGCGCAATACCCACTCGGCATGGGTCGCAAGCGGGGCAAGAAAAGCAACGCACTGGCCAAGCAGGTCGACAGCGAAGGGAACGTAAAGTACGACGCGATCGCACAGCACGGCCGGCGCGAGAACGAGATCGTGCAGTCGCAGTTCAAGGAGCTAATCCCGCTGCGCCAACGCAGCGACTTTAACGAAGAAGACGCGATTCCAGAGCGTCCTGACCAAGAGACGGTGCGGGAAACCACAGAGCGCACGAAAAAGGCCCTGGAGAAGCTGGCTGGCGGCAAAGTCAAAGGCGGGCCAGCCAAGGGTGCTGGCGGCAAAAGCGAGCCGTCGTATGTGAGGTACACCCCAAGCCAGCAAGGGGCCGAGTTTAATTCGGGCGCGTCTCAGCGCATAGTGCGAGTGTCGGAGATGCCTGTGGATCCATTTGAGCCGCCCAAATTCAAGCACCGGCGGGGGGCCGAGGCAGCACCAGAGAAGCCCGCGCCCGTCATGCACTCGCCGCCGCGCAAACTGACGGCCGAGGAGCAGAAGGAGTGGGTGATTCCGCCGTGTGTATCCAACTGGAAGAACATCCATGGCTTCACAGTCTCTCTTGACAAGCGCCTGGCCACTGAGGGCCGCGGGCTCGAGCAGCTGGAGGTCAGCGACAACTTTGCCAAGCTCTCAGGAGGCCCTGATATCTGCAGAGCGCAATGCCAGAGAGGAGATCTCGCAGCGCGCCAACATCCAGCAGAACCTGGCCCGCAAGGAGAAGGAGGCAAAGGAAGAGAGGCTGCGCATGCTAGCACAGCGGGCACGTGAGGAGCGTGCAGCAGCAGCTGGCAATCGGCAGCCAGTGGACATTGACGGACCGCGCCAGCGAGCAGCTGCTGAGCGCACGCCTGTCCGTGATGCCACGCCAGACTCGCCAGGGTCGCGCTCGCCAAGCGTGTCCCCGCACCGCGCCAACCGCCCCTCAGCAGCCTCGTTCTTCAATGACAAGTCACGTAGCCCCAGCCCTGCCCAGCGCGCCCGCCGGTCGCGCTATGAGGACAGCGATGACGAAAAAGAACCCCCGCGCAAACGCAGCCGCAGTCCTGGGCAACGGGCTGGCCGGTCACGGTACGATGATAGCGGTGACGAGAAGGAAGCCGCACGTGCTCGGAAGCGCGACGAGCTCCGGCGTGAGCTGCGCAAGCAGAACGAGCGTGAGCTGCGCCTAAGCCGCATGGGCAACGAGGCCAAGGCCAAATACCTGCGCAAGAACGAGAGCCGCGACATCTCGGAGAGGATCGCCTTGGGCATGGCCAAGCCCACGGCGTCGCGCGAAGGCCTGTTCGATTCGCGCCTGTTCAACCAGCCCAGCGCATCCAACGCAGCACTGCAAGATGAGGAGGCGTACAATTTGTATGACAAGCCGCTGTTCAACACCAAGGGGCGGGGCGTCAATAGCTACCGCCCCAGGGCGATTGAGGAGGAGAGCAAAGCGGCGGCGGAGGCCGATCGTCTTTTGAACAGCGATCGATTTGGAAATGCACTGAGCGGGTTCAAGGGGTCGAAGAAGGACAGCAACCCGAGGAGTGGGCCGGTGGAGTTTGAAAAGGATGATGTGTTTGGCATCGATGCCTTTGCTGACAAGGCAAAGCAGAGCAAGCAGTAGACTACTATACCATTACAGGGTTTCAATACATGTCAAAGGCATGTATTTACCAGCAGCAAAAATCCTTTGCAAATACTATGCATGCATTCTGGTCCTAGTTGTTCATGGTATTGCCTTTACTACCTATACTAGAAATACTTTGTCCTGCGATGCAAGCTCGGCTAATAGTCAGCATAGTTTGACATGTTGATAGAAGCACCACAGTGAAATGATCATTTTAATGTGTTGGGTGATTGTTAGTGTAATGGTGACCTTTGGACATCTCCTGCCTTAATGGCCTGCTCAGCATGCATATTCAAATGCTCGGTTCACTATGATGCTTTTATTAACATGTCAAACTATACTGACTAGCAGCTAAGGCTGCATCATGAGCAGAAAAATTCTAGTAGCTATATATGGCTGCTGGTTATAAAATGCTATTTGGAAGACTGACCACTAGCGCCCTTACTGTTTTTGTTTGGGATACCAAACACTAGTATAAAAGAGAAAAATGAGTAGAGATTCATAATGGCTAACCAGAGCTTTATCATTATTCAAGGGAGATGGATCCAAGCAGGCACATTGAGTATCCTATCAGCATGTCTTGCATATTACATTCCATAGTAATGATAAAACACTATTCCTTGTTCTCCTTCGCCTTCTCTTCCTCGGCACTGGCAATATACCGCTCCTGAATGAACTCGTGTGCCATGATCAGGATAAGCAGCACTGGCAAATGCACCAGACTACTGAAAAACAGCCGCCGCGACTTCTTCACATCTGGATGTCTCCAGAACTGGTAGGCACACCATGCCATAAACCCATTAACAATCGACGAGTCCAGCAAGAACCACATGTCGGTGACACCCAACCACGGGTACATTGCAGACAGTGGGAACATCAGCAGAGCATAGCGCAACGAAACGCGAGCGTTGAGCCGCGGATGCGTCACGGACATCATCCGGTAGCCGGCTTTCGAGTAGTCTGCGCGCAGCGTATACGCCAGCGAGTTGAAGTGGGGGAACTGCCACGCAAACATCATTCCACCCAGAACCCATGCGCCGGGACCCAATGTGCCAGTTGCAGCTGCCCACCCCATCAGCGGCGGGATTGCGCCTACCAGCGAGCCCACCCACGTATTGACGATAGTCATCCGCTTCATTGCCGTATATATGAATGCGTAGAGCACAATGTTCGCTGCTCCCAGACCCGCCGTTAGCGGATTAACAAACACCATCAACGACCCCACGCCAACGATTCCCGAAGCCACCGAGAAGCCCAAAGCGTTAAGAGGCGACAACGCGTACCTCGCCAGTGGCCGGTTGCGTGTCCGACTCATCTGCGCATCATACGGCACCTCGATCCACTGGTTGAACCCGTTGGCGCTGGCAGAGCACATGGTTGTGCCAAAGGTGGTCCAAAACAGCGTGCCTATCTGTGCCGCTCCTGGTGCGATCGCATACCCTGCCATGGCTGTCAGCACCACGAATGCCGTCAGCTTGTCCTTGGACAGGTCGCTGTACACCTTGGGAAGATCCACCAACTTCGTTGCTGACTGGATCTTCCACCGCGGCTCGGCATCTGTACGCGTGGTTGTGAGCTGCGGTGTTTTGGTTATGTGCGTGAAACGCTGCTGGCTAGCTGCCTTCGTCAACGAGAGCGAAAAATGTGAGCGAGGGAGCAGGCTAGTTTGTGAGACTATCCGAGACTGGGAGGTGTCCAAACCGGCGAATCTGTGCATTCCGCTGGAGAACATTCAGCCTGCCTGTTTGCACTGCAAGCTGCTGCGATAATTGTCTAATCATTGCTATGCGAATTTGAGGGGAGGTAGGGCGAAAAGAAGGCTGTAGGAGCGCAGTGAGGAAAACGCAGGTTGCTGGCTTTTCAGAATCCGATCGGGAGCAGGAATCACGGCTCGTGACTGGCAACTCAGATAAGCGTGAACCGAGCCGGGCGTGGTTTATGTAATGGCCATCGACCAGCAAGCACTGTGGCAAGGCCTGAGCGTGAACACAGAGTATAGCCTGGATTTATATGCTTTTAGGGCTCCAGTGATGGAGGAAAGATGGCTGATAGTATATGCTTTCATGGAAATATCCCTATAGTCGCTTCATCTATCAACTCCACGTTCTTCATTCGGATCGCAAGAAAATGCGCGCTTCACCTTCGCTCTCTTTTGTCTGTATATCTATTGCTGCCACATCATATCCTATCGGCCGGCACACATAGCAACCCAGCCTGGCAAACGAGCCCAGGTACAGCAGCTAATCACCCACTCTTCAAAGTCATAAGAGCCGCCCACAATTGCATACCATTTCAGTACTTTGCACAGGGTACCAAATATTTACAGGCAAGCACCTGAACAAAAGTGGATGTCTTGTGGCAGAGGTTTACTGTGGTGTGCTTGCTTGACCAAGTTTGTATTTCGCGTGCATCAAATACAAGAGGCGCCCCGACTTCATATTAGCCCTATATCTTCATAGTCCAGCTTTGAGAGTGAAATAGGTGGCGACGGTAGCAAAAAATGCAGTGGAGGCGTGGGAGTGTGCGCCATCTGGTTGGATATGGTAGTCCTGTTCAAGAAAACTAGCGCAGTACGCGGTCCATACAAAGACAACAGTCGCCAGCAGTGGAGCAGTCACATCCAGGACTGTATCCGAGCCTTGAGCCATACAGTAGCAGGGCCCGCCTCCACCTCTGATTGGGCCAGAATTGCGCCGGAGAGTCAATATTTGTTTCGGGTCTTCCGTTTCAAGGCTTCCCGTTCCAACCGCGCGCCAGCAGCACCCTCGCCACTATGCGAGTGCCCTGTGTTGCGCTTCATTTCCCGCTGCAGAATACTCAACAGCTGCGCGCTATTGGTCTGTGTCAACTATATTGTTAATTAACGCCATGTATATTGGCGTGAATGCGCGGCTGCATTTACTCCGCTGATATTCCACATCCCAAACATGCCATATGGCCATGCGCTTTTGAAGCAGTGCGGGGGGTGTGGGGAGACGCAAACCAGCGTAAAGCGGACATCCTTCTACGCAGGAATGACACAGACACAAGGGGTTCCCGACAGCATGGGCTGGGTCAAGACTTTTATGAAACGACGGCTCTGTCGCATTCGTCGCGGCCTGGACTCGGGCTTCTGGACAGTGGCTATAATGAGGTGGAAGTGGACGTTGCAGCAAGCACAAGGTTGGCTAGTGGGAGTGCAAATCTGTTTGGCATTATTGTTTGACTCGAAAATAGCTGGCCAAAAATAATTGTCCCGTTTTCCGCCACTCAAGAGCCCGCTTCCGCCCCCTTTCTCTTTCGCAGACTCTTCTCTTCCTCTTCTTTCCCAAAAACCATCCTTTTACACATATTTTCAGCATAGGCACTATGGCAACGCTCGACAAGCAAAAGTGGAATGTGCAGGGCATGACCTGCCACTCGTGTGTGCACTCGATAGAGCAGACACTGGGCGGCGTCGACGGGCTGGTCTCGTACGACGTGTCGCTCGAAAACAACCAGGCGGTGGTGGTCTACGACCCGGCCAAGGTCACTGCATCAGATATAACAACGACAATCGAGGACTGCGGGTTTGACGCTGCTCTCGACGGCACCACATACAAGCAGACAACGCTGGGCGTGCACGGTATGACATGCCAGTCGTGCGTCAAGAGCATAAAGCAGGCGCTGGCCGAGGTGGTAGGGATCACAGAAGTTTCTGTGTCGCTCGAGGACGAGCAGGCAACGGTAGAGTGGGACCCCCGGATTATCCAGAGCGTCCAGACGATCGTGGACGCGATAGAAGACTGCGGGTTTGACGTTGATAAGCCCAACGGACAGATGGACGTTGCGGCCGGCAAGTCCGAGAGTGGGCAGGGAAAGGTTTGTGTCGGGATTACCGGAATGACTTGCCACTCGTGCGTGACTTCGGTGACCATGGCCTTGGAGGACACCGCTGGTGTGCAGAAGGTCTTTGTCGAGCTGGAACCCCGCGGACGAGCCGAGGTCGAGTTTGATACCAGCGAGGCGACCATTGATAACATTGTTGCGGCCATCGAAGACGCCGGGTTTGATGCGGCGGTGGAGCAGGGCGATACGGATCATAAGCCAGTGCCACCGCAAGGCCGACCGCTGCTGGTAGGGAGCCCGCTCAACAGCGAGACCACATCAGAGTTCCCTGACGACAATGTCGAACAACCGCTGCTGGCATCGGGATCCGGGTCCATGCGGAAACCCAAGGAACGCAGCCACAAACAATCGGGCTACTCGGTCTCGAGCACAAGGTCCGGCGACACGTTGCTTAACAACTCCTCCATCAACACCACCACCCAGTTTGAGGTCCATGGCATGACATGCTCGTCGTGCGTGGCCTCTATTGAGCGGGGGCTCAAGCGCAAAGCTGGCATCATGTCCATTAGCGTATCGCTGCTGGCACAGCGCGCGACGGTCGAGTTTGACACACAGCGGGTCACACCCGACGAGATAATCGGGTGGATTGAGGATATGGGGTTCGAGGCGAAGCGCGCCGACGAGACGCCGGCTAGCGCAAAGATCACATTGAACGTGTATGGCATGACATGTGCGTCGTGTGTATCGCTGATCGAGCGCTCGGTGCGGCGTGAGCCAGGAGTCGAGTCGGTGGCTGTTAGCCTGCCGATGGAGACAGCGGTGATCGAGTATCGTCCGTCGGAGGTTGGCGTGCGTCGGCTGGTAGCTGTAGTAGAGAGCACAGGCTTTGATGTCCTGGTGGCAGACACGACCAAGAACAACACACAAATCGAGTCACTGCAGCGTACCAAAGATATTCTAGCCTGGAGGCAGCGGTTCTGGCGCTCGCTGTGGTTCTCGCTGCCGGTCATCTTCGTTGCCAAGATCGCCCCACATATCCACGTTCTGAGCTCGTTCTTCATGACCCGGCTCATCCCCGGCCTGCCGCTGGGCTCGCTGGTCCAGCTGGTTCTGACCACACCGCTGCAGTTTGTCATAGGTGCCAAATTCTACCAGAACGCATTTAAGGCTCTGCGTCACGGCAATGCCAACATGGATGTGCTGGTGACCACTGGTACATCGCTAGCCTACTTCTTCTCGCTGTTCATGCTGCTTTGGTCGGTACTTCACGGCAAGCACCCAAAGCCACACTGCTTCTTTGAAGCGCCCGCGATGTTGATCACGTTTGTGTCGCTGGGCCGGTACCTTGAGAACATGGCCAAAGGAAATGCATCTGCTGCACTTTCGACGCTGATGACGCTGACACCATCGCAGGCGACCCTGATCACGTATGACGAAGACGGCCGGATCGCTAGCGAGAAGCAGATCCCGACAGAGCTGATCCAGCTCGGCGACAACCTTCGTGTGTTCCCTGGTGAGCGGGTCCCGGCTGACGGCACTCTGCTTGAAGGTAACTCTGAGGTTGATGAGTCGACAGTGACGGGCGAGGCGAATGCCTGTGCGTAAGAACCCCGGCTCCATGCTGGTGGCTGGTACTGTGAACTGCACGGGCTCATTCACGATGAAGGCATCGCGGGTCGGCTCCGAGACCACACTGGCGCAGATTGTGCAGCTGGTTGAGGATGCCCAGACTACCAAGGCGCCGATCCAGGCGTATGCCGACAAGGTTTCCCAATACTTTGCACCCGCTGTTTTGTGCATTGGCTTTGCCACGCTCATTACCTGGGTCATCGTGTCGTACACGTCGCTCCCCAAGCCTGCCATATTCGAGGCAGAGGCCCAGGAGACTGGCAGCTACATGGTCGGATGCCTGAAGATCGCTGTGGCTGTTGTCGTAGTCGCCTGCCCCTGTGCTTTGGGCCTGAGCACCCCTACTGCTGTCATGGTCGGCACTGGTGTTGGAGCGCAGCTTGGTGTGCTTATTAAGGGTGGTGAGGCACTGGAGGCCGCCAGCGGCATCGACGTGGTGGTGTTTGACAAGACTGGCACTTTGACGCAGGGCAAGCTCGCTGTAGCGGATCTGGATTTTGTGCCGTCAGTCAGCGGGCTGCACCTGTCGCAGCGCGGCTTTGCACTGCTGGCTGGTGCGGCCGAGGCTGGCTCTGAGCACCCGCTTGGCCGTGCCATCCACTCCTATGCACAGTCCATGCTGAACTCGCAGGCGTTGCCAGCCCTATCGACCAACTTTGACTCGATTCCTGGCCAAGGAATCAAATGCCATGTCATGCCCGATATTGGTGCCGGTGCAGAGTACGCTAGCGAGTTTGCTGCCGGTACCGAGGTGCTGGTTGGCAGTGCGGCATTCTTGGGCAACCAGGGCGTGCACTTGCCGGCTGGCTACCGTGAGGCCAAGACTCGACAGGAGCGCATTGGGCGGACGGTGGTCCTGGTTGCTATTGCTGGCGAGTACGCTGGCTGGCTGGCGCTGTCCGATGTCTTGCGACCTGAGGCCATCCCGGTGATTGCGACCCTGCAAGACTCGCTGCACATCGAATGCATCATGGTCACTGGCGACCAGCCGTTGACTGCGCAGGCCGTGGCTGCCGAGTGTGGAATCCGCCGTGTCTATGCTGGTGTATCGCCGGCAGGCAAGGCTGCAATTGTGCGCCAACTGCAGAACGAGACTACTATTGTCAAGCGGCACTGGCTGCTGCGTCCGTTCTCGAAACACCAGCTCATACACAAGCGCGTGGCGATGGTTGGAGACGGCGTCAATGACGGTGCTGCGTTGGCTGCTGCTGAAGTCGGTATTGCAATGCGCTCGGGCACAGATGTCGCCATGGAGGCAGCCACTATGGTGCTGATGCGCGAAGATATATCCGATGTTGTGGCGGCTCTGGACCTGTCGCGTACCATCTTCAACCGCATCCGCTGGAACTACGTGTGGGCCAGTCTGTACAATATCCTGGGAATCCCGCTGGCCATGGGTCTGTTTATGCCCCTGGGAATTGTGCTGCCGCCTGTGTTTGCTGGTCTGGCCATGGCCATGAGTAGCCTCACTGTGATGGCCAGCAGCCTGCTGCTGAAGCTGTACAAGAAGCCAATCTGCAGCATGCCTAGCGCCACGGCCTTGCCACTCGAGTCCTCTGAGGTCCGTGTTCTTGCAGCCCCAACACAGCGGGGGCGGGCGAATAACCAGAACGGCGAGTTTGTCGTTGACATGTCGGGCATCATTGATGACGATGGCACAGCGTTGGAGCTGGATGTCATGTCGAGCGACGATATTATGTATGGGGATGACATGACGGCATCGCTGTCGCCTGAGGTGCCGTTGGCAAAGGGTAAGGCAGGGTACTTTAGCTTCCCATCGTCCTCGCGGCACGCATATGAGCCGATTTCGCAACACTAGCTGGTTTTTAAACACTTTCCAAGAACCAATACATCTTTTTGTATTGGATAATGGCATCACTGTTTGATTTGCAAACTATATCTCACAGTGCTTTGATGAAGATGTGCCCACTTTTCGTCGCCCATCATATTTCCTCTCTATATCCGATTCTATAGTCCAGAATAGTATCTGGACTGCTCGCTTAGAGCATTTTTTTATTGACTGAAGGAATTCATACTCTTTTGAGCCTCACAACGAGCGTGCATGACTCGCTCTGTGAACACGTAAAAACCAGCGTTCTCTCTTTTACCCAATGGTATTCAGATCTTAAATATATCCTCAAAGTACTGGACAAGATCGAACCTGGAACTTTATATCAAAGCGCTATTCGCTTTAGTTCTGTATTTTGTAGGTCCAGCTGTCAAATAAACGAATCACTCAACCTTCACATCTTCGGTACTCAGACTCGGAACCGTTGGCTCGTTGGTCAACACACAACCTACATGTAAAAGCCGCCCTTCCTGTGTTATCTGCCTTTTCTAACCCCTCACCCCTCTACAAACCCTTCCTTTACATTCAGCTATTTAACTTTTGCGCTTGCCAGCCGCGACATACCCTGATGTGGGGCTTGACTCGGTGATGTACGGCGGCAACTACTCGATGGAAACACCTGATTATACAATAGTTTCCTGCCCTAAAGCCCCATGGCAGGTTCTCTGCTACATTATCGACTGTCTAGATCTCTTACTGACTAGCTAAGCACACATTGTGAGCGCCATCAGTCTGGTAGCAAAATACAAGGTATTAATTGACAAAAGTGGAGGATAACTAATATTTAGGGTAGGCATCACTCTGCTGCTGATACTGGCTTGACTGAACTGGCGGCTGGCAACGACGTGGCATGTCTAGCACTACCCATGTCAATAGAGCCAGCATGTTCAGCATCGGGTCGACACAATACCAGGCGGCCTCACTGGTCACCATAAACGTGACCTGTGGGTAGAACATGGCAACGAGCTTGAAGACGTTGCGCAACAAGACCAGAAGTCCGCCGATGTAAATGTTTGCGTACCATGCTGGCTTTGTGCGAGCCTCAGCATACTTGGCCAAGAAGAAGCTGGTGGATACCATTAGCAGCGCATTGTTGGCAACTTGTCCGGCAATACTGGCCTTGAGCAAGTCCGATGCGGTCTTGAGCTGGTTTAGAGACGCAGTACCCTGCATTAGCCCAGATCCGGCTCCTGACAGTGCACCAAAGGTTACCGACATGACGATGGCAAACACGTGGAACCCAGTTATTGTCTTACGGGGCGGTCCCATGGACCAGCGATTTGAGCATATTAACCAGCAGAAGGTAGTTGACGAGACTGATAAAGTTGGGGGCAACGCCGTTGAGCACGCTGAATGCAACGAATGGGCTGGCATCCTGCATCTGGCGGTTAATGAAGATACCGCGGGCGACAAAGGCACCTCCCAGCATCAATGCAATGAGCACGCCGATGCGTGTAAGACGATGGCTGTGTGCGCGCTGCCCCTCAAACAGCAGTACCAAGCCTAGGACAAAGAATGCTGAGGCGACTCCGTACGCTGCACCCTTGCTTGGGTAATACTGTGGGATGAAAAATGCGGCTCCGAACGAGATGTCAGTCATTATTCGATTATGTAAGAGAGCTGTTGAAGAAAGATGGGTGTTGGGTGTATGAAGAAAACTGAGGTGCTGCGTGGCAACAGTGTATTTATAGCAGGCTGGTGCTGGATGGAATTCTACCAAATACAACTGAGTTGATGTAGAGCAGCGCTCCCATGCAGACTTGTGCCAAGAATAGCTCAGAAGATGGAATGCTCAGTTTGGAGAAAAATCCTGTTTGTTGATGCATATGTACCTTGATTTCTCAAAAAAATTCACACTATTTTCATGCTGATCCGTGCCAAGTGTGACTAGTTGCCATGTCAAGAGTCTTGGCAGCGGGGTCAATGCCAATCAAGCGGAACGCCGCAACTAAAACCGCAGCTAGTTAGATGTGTTTGTTTTCATTTTCGGCTGGACTAAGAACGGTTCCCACATCTTCAATGCCCAGGAACAGTGTGGACGAAAGCTTGGCAACGTCAGCTCGCAGCCCTCTTCTCTGAGGTTGTACCGGGGTAGTGGAGACGAGGAAGATTGGAAATAGCCCACACCACCACCACTAGCAGGGTAAATAGCATGTCGGTGCAATATGCTGCAGCTTCTGAATTCCGAGTCGAGTTGATTGTTGTGAAAGCAGTCGTAATCAGGCGGGCCAGGTTGCGACTGAAGACAAGCAAAGCGCTTGCCTGAATAACAAACATCCAGCCCTTGTACCGGCGCAGCCCATCAGATGTTGTTTCGTAATGATACATAACCGACAGGAATATTATACTGAGAGCAAACTGGCCGCCGACCCCAGCCTTGATGATCCTCTCTGCAACCTTGACCTGATCTGGCGAAGCACCACCTTTCAACAGTGCGTAGCCAGCACCAGCTAGCACGCCAAAGATGATGGCCGCAGCAAATGAGCCAGTACACATGGCTATGCGCTTGACACGACTGGGGGTATTAGGCACCAGACACAGCAGACGTGCCAGTAGAATAAAGTGAAGGCCAGTCATCGCACTGGCCCCAACATCGTTCAGCACGTTGGCCTGTTGTCCATGTCGCGATGGTTGGGCTCCTGGAAAACACACCGCGGACGATCAGCGCGCTGCCAAGGATCCCTGAAATCAATGGTGCCAGGACATTTTGTATGACTCGGCTTACCACAGCCGACTGGGCAATTAGCAGGCACCCAAAGGCATAGAATACTGCGCCAAGCACAAACGCTGCTGCTCTGTTTGGCTCATAATTTATGGCAAGATAGGTGTCGGGCGAGGTTGGGAACTTTGTCATTGATATGAATAATGAGAATGGTGGAGGACATGAAGTGCTGAATGCAAAAAGTGCGCTGTCTATCTATCCTTTACTCTTTTCGTGGGTGCGACTGCACATACATTGAGAAAAACACATGAAAATCGATAGCAGCACTACGTCAGCGGCAATCGCATCAAAGGGATAATGGCCCTAGCAAGATTTGCAAATCAAATTGGCGTGGACATCCACAAGGATATGTTCTTGTCACTCACACATATACTTTTGGCATGTTTGGGAGTGTCACTAGAATCGCCTGGTGTACCGGATGTTGTCGAGGGATCCCAGTCACATGCACAATGCATGGCATGTCTCACAGGTGGATTTTTATGCACATTTTACTGGATATCGGTTTTCATACCACCATTCAGTATTTATCCTACCATGCTATACTCCGCTAAATTTAGCATATATCATTTGTTACAATCAAAAGGCAGACCTGAGTCCGTTGGCGACCTGGTTTCATTTGCATAGAGTCCAAGAGCAGCCGATAATGAGGGAAATAAAAAAGGAAAACAAGCTCTTGGTAGCAACTAGACCAGGTCACCAGCCCAGCAAATGGTGTATAGCGAACCGATGTGTCCAACCAAGTTGGAGCAGGGTGCATTTCGTGCATCTTGGAAGACCGCTGCTCATCTTCACAGAACCTGGCTGTATTACACGCTTGCTGCCACGTAGCTGGTGGTCATCGGCAAAACCCAGGTCCACTAATTCCTCTTGATTACATCAATCAGGCAGGCTGATTTTATTGTCAACACAGGCTCGGCTCAACGCAAAATTTATGCTCAACGCGCCGCTGCAGCATGGACACTGTTCGTGTCTTTTCTATTTCGCTTTATCACTATAATTGTTGACCGCATTCCCTCTGCACTTTCTCGTAAGCGAACGCAGATTCCTATTACATACTTGTTAAATGGCCCCATCCAGTAGTGACATTCCTCCGCTGACTTCGTCAGGTGTTGGGCGCAATTTGCCAACCAGCAGCGGGCTTATGCCTCCGCCGACATCGAGTATTCCGCAGCTGAACAGCGAGGGCTCGGTGCGGCGGCGGCTGGCAGATACAACCGACTACACGCAGAGCCAAACTGGCATCAGCTCCGACCTGGGCAACCTGAACGAGCCGCGCACCCAGGCACCACGCACGACCAACGAGGAGGTGCAGGAAGAGCGGGCGCGGCGGCTGCGCGATACGCTTGGCATTGCTCCACGCGAGGGACGTACCAAGATTCGCGATGAAGCTGCCGAGGCATTCCGTGTCATCTTCGAGACATTCCTGGAGGCCTACAGCGAGGAGGGCGGCGAGAAGGATCTGAGATACGGTGGCAAATTGTATGCACGGCAGGCAGCCAAGATGCGGATTGACGAGTGCTCGACGTTGTTTGTCAACTTTGCCCATTTAATGCGCTACGATGAGCGTGCGGCACAGGCCCTGCTCGAAAACTTTTTGCGGCTGGAACCGTATCTGGGCCTGGCGGCGACGCGGCTCTACACCAAGATGCATCCGGATTCTGAAGACCCTGTTAGCATTTCAGTGTCGGTGTTTGGTCTCCCTGGTGTTAGCCGTGTGCGCGAGCTGCGTGCTGATAAGATCGGCTCACTGGCGTGTATCAGTGGCACGGTGACCCGTACCTCGGAGGTGCGGCCCGAGCTGATCAGCGGCATGTTCAGGTGCGTGGAGTGCAGCACCATCTGCGGCCCTGTGGTGCAGCAATTCAAGTATACTGAGCCGAGCGTATGTGACAACCCGACATGCATGAACCGTATTGCATGGACACTGATTGTCGACCAGAGCAAGTTTGCCGACTGGCAGCGCGTGCGTGTGCAGGAGAACTCGAGTGAGATCCCGCCTGGAAGTATGCCGCGCACTCTGGATGTAATTGTGCGCGGAGATCTGGTTGAGCGCATCAAGCCTGGAGACCGAGCTCAATTCACTGGGTCGTTGATTGCGCTCCCGGACATCTCGGTTATTGGAGGGCCGGGCCAGGTTGCCGTTGCGCAGAGAGATATATCCAGGACCCGTGCTCCTGAGGGCGGGCCTGTCCGGAACCAAGGCACTGGGCACACGCGAGCTTACGTACAGACTGGCTTTCCTGGCGTGCTTCACCCAGGCGGTCAATGACGCCACGACTTCCGGAGCCTCACAGCAGACCAGCAATGGGGCGGTCCCGGGCATTTTGTCAGCCAACGGCACGTACCTTGGCCATGCCGGTGCTCTGTCCGGCGATGAGACCCTGGGCGAGGCTGAGGACCGCGAGGCGTTCTTGAACTCGCTGAGTACCCAGGAGCAGGAGGAGCTTAGAGAGATGAGCAGAGACTCACAGGTCTATACGAACCTGGTTAAGAGTGTGGCGCCGACAGTATTCGGCCATGAGGAGGTCAAGCGGGGCATTCTGCTGCAGCTTCTCGGCGGTGTGCACAAGCGCACAGCTGAAGGTATGAGGCTGCGTGGTGACATCAATGTATGTATCGTCGGAGACCCGTCGACATCCAAGTCACAGTTCCTCAAGTATGTTGCTGGGTTCTTGCCGCGTGCCGTGTTCACTTCTGGCAAAGCCTCCTCTGCGGCCGGTCTGACAGCCAGTGTCGTCAGGGATGACGAGACCGGCGAGTTCACGATTGAAGCTGGAGCCTTGATGCTGGCAGACCACGGAATCTGCGCTATTCGATGAGTTTGACAAGATGGATATTGCAGACCAGGTCGCCATCCACGAGGCCATGGAGCAGCAGACCATCTCGATTGCCAAGGCTGGCATCCACGCCACCCTCAATGCCCGCACGTCGATTTTGGCTGCAGCCAACCCTGTTGGTGGCAGGTACGACCGGCGGCTGACGCTGCGCCAGAATGTGGCCATGAGTGCGCCTATCATGTCGCGCTTCGATCTGTTCTTCGTCGTGCTCGATGATGCCAACGAGACCACAGACTTCAACACTGCCCGTCATATCGTCCAGATCCACCAGCTGCGCGACCAGGCAGTCGACCCGCCGTACTCGCCGGCTCGGCTGCGTCGGTACATCCGGATTTGCGCGCACCATCCAGCCCGTGCTAACCGAGGATGCTGGTCGCCTGCTGTGGGAGTCATACCGCAACCTGCGCCAGGAGGATGTTGGCGGCGGTTCGGGCGGCAAGAGCTCGTCGGGCAAGAACGCCTACCGCATCACAGTGCGCCAGCTCGAGTCGCTGATCCGGCTCAGCGAGGCTCTGGCGCGCGCGCACTGCTCCGAGGAGATTACTTCGCGGCACGTGAGCGAGGCCGTGCGTCTGCTGCGGCGGTCGATTGTGCACGTCGAAATGGACGATATCGATGTGTTTGAAGGCGAGGATGACGAGTCCAAGACGCAGGATGTGACTGTTGAGGCCCCAATGAACGCCGATGAGGCGGTGGAAGGCGGCGACTCGCAGCAGCCCCAGCAGCCCTCCAAGAAGAAGGTGACCATTAAGCGCGAGGACTTTGATCGCGTGCGCTCGATGCTCGTCCTCAAGCTGCACGAGGCCGAGGAGAGGGGCGATGAGGGCGTGCGCCGCACTACACTGGTTGACTGGTACCTGGCGCAGCGCGAGGAGGTGATGGAGAGCGAGGACGACTTCCATCAGGAGCAGCACCTTGCCCAGTCAGTGCTCAAGTATCTGGTCAACACTGAGGGCTGCGTGATCGCGCTGCGTGCCGCTGAGGGCGAGACTGAAGAGGAGAACAGCGATGGCCCGATGCTGATGCTGCACCCGAACTTTGCACTGGACTAGTGCTTCCGTAGGCTCTCTTTCAGCCATGTCGAAGGTTCTTTTGTTGAACTTGCTTCCACCCCCCAAAAAAACTAGTTGATTTCACAAAACAGCACTTTAGCAACGACGATTCGATGTAGACCATATGCGCATCCAGAAATCGGACCGCCAATCGGACCGCTGGAAATCATGGGGAAAAACTAGGCCAGAAGCAGCCTGTGTGAATAGCAAACCCGCGGTGCCACGCGTTGTTTTCTCCAGCGATCTGCGCCCTTTCTGTGCTTTGAAGCACATCACCGGCGTGTTGTCAGCGAGTCAACGTTGGGGAGGGGGCACCGTCCAAGAATGTGTTAACTTGGCTGGGTGGGATAATAAATGAGGTCTTGCTCGCTATCTTGCTCGGTTGGCGCCATTAGCTCTTTCTTTTTCGCGCCCGCACTTTCTGTTTACACTTTCTCCAGCTCTGTTCCATTAAGCCATTTGTGGATTCTACACTAAAAAGCCTCTTTCCCTTTCCAAAAGGCACACTCTCACCGAGCACGCACACGCCCACTCTCCAAAAAAATAGAATAAAATGGTTCTGAAGCCAATCCGACGGTCCGTGATTCCGTCCCCGCTCGAGAATTCGCAAAAGTTTGACGAATTCATAACGCAATACTTCAACAAGTGCGATGATCTGCTGTCATACACGCCAGCGATACCCGGTAGTCAAGGAGAACGAGTACATGACAGTGCAGCGCCAGAACCGCAACCCGAACGAGGACCACCGGTGGCTGCGGCGAGACGTATATGTGACCACGCAGACATCGTACGACGAGCTCAAATCCATCCTGTTCCTGGGCCGCGCTGACCACCTACCGCAATGGATGCCGTCGATGGTAAACATCGATGCAGTCGAGGCGCTGGTGCCAAACGTGGCGGAGGTATTCCGATACTGCTTCAAGTCAGGTGGGCTGAAAGCAAAGCGCGATTACTGCCAGCTGGTGCTGAAGCGCGAGTTTCTGGGCGAGCAAGCACACAAGAAGCCGCGGATTTTCACCCCCAGCATGAGCATGACCAACCTGGCCAACATGATGCGGGCGTCGCAGTCGACAACCAACCTGGGCATCCATTCAGTGCCAACGAGCCCGCTGGCGGTGAATCCCATCAACGAGCGCGGTCTGCAAAACGCACGCAGCTTTGCGAATCTGGACAACGCCAGGATGCAGCCACTACCCGGCATCGCTTCATTCGCCTGAATCGCCGAAGTCGCCACTTCCACGACCAGGCCGTTTGCGCAACAGCCGCACCACCAGCAGGAGCAGTCAAGATTTGTGGGGCTGAACCAGGCATCGCAGGCAGTCCAGGATGACGATGACAGCGTGCATGGCGATACACGAATTCCGATTCCGCCGCTTCCAGGTTGTCACGGTACCGATAGCCCATTCTAACTGCACAGAGCAGCGCGGATACGTGCGCGCGTTCTACGAGACGTATGAAGAGGTCAGGGAGTACTCCAATGGTGATGTTGAGTGGTCGTGCATTCATCACTCGGACTTTTCGGGCTGGATCCCGTCGTTCATGGCTGATAAATCCATTGCCACGGGGTTCCCGAAAGAAGCCGATGCGCTGCTTGCCTATGTGCAGCGCGTACGAACACGTCCTTTGCATAACGAGTATTAGGCATTCAACTACGCTGAGATACAAGTATACACAAACTTCCACAATCCTACATTTTTCTGTTCCGCTGCGATATCACTTTATTACTCAAACACGACCTTTTCTTTTTGCCAAGTATCTTTCAAATAGAGCATTACCTGTCATATGCTGAGGCTCCTATCAATGACCTATTGTATGCCTGCTGCCATATTGCCTGCTGTACAGCCTGGATTAATGGAACGGATAAAGGAAAGAGTTGTGGGTGGCATCAGGCCATATCACAGACGTCTATATATACTGTTACCGCCCTCAGCATTGCTCGTCGTGCATAGGTGACACCATACGAGCCTGGCTGATTGTCTTGGGTGGAATTTTCATTACCGAAGGAAAATGTAAGGGCGATGATACTGATAAGGTATTTAGCAAAGGAAGAAAGGGAGGCTATGTGTCGCAATCCGAAAGAGGGAGGGGTTCTATATGTGGAGTTTAGTAGAGGACCCACTTGGCCTGAGCGCCCTGTGGCAGAGTAACAGTGCATCCGTTGTCGACAGAGCACTTGCCGCCCTCGCACTTGCACTCTCCGCTATTGGGGAAGTTGCACTTGCCCGACGTGCACTCGATGCGCACGTTGTAGGCATCAGAAACCTTGAAGCCCTTGGAGGTGTACAGCGGGTTGAACTGCACGCTGATGTACGTGTTGCCGTCAGCTGCCTGGCCACCGCCAAAGATGTACGGAGCCCAGTTGCCAATCGGCTTGTCGTCGTTGCCCCAGATGCACTGGGAGGCGTCGGAACCAGCCAGATTGACGTAGAACTGCGAGGAGACGCCGAGCCAGTAGGACTTGGGCACGACGTTGAGCTGTACTGAGCCGCCGGCAGATGCGACGGACGGAATGATCATGGCCTCGTTACCGGGGTACACGGTCTGGCAGGCAGAAACCGACTGGCCGAGCTTGTTCTCAATGTGGGCATTCATCATTCCGGATTCGCAGAACGGACGGTCAGGGAACGGCTTCGACAGCTTGCCGTTAGCGTCAGCCTTCAGACCGCCGTTCATTGAGCCAGCGCCGTTGTAGGCCGAGGCGCTCGGATCCCACTGCGCCGAGTAGTATCCTGGAGCGCATGCGTACGGGCACCAGCCTCCCGGCTTGCACGACTGGTCGGGCGACATGGCCCAGCCGCCATTCAACGACTGCGGGGTGATTGGGACCACGTTGTCGGCGTTGTTGTGGTTCCATGGGAAGCGCACAGCACCCGACGGCGTGTTGAAGCTATTGCCTTGCCCATCGGGAATACCGCCGCTGGAGCCCGACGACGAGTTGTCGTTGCTACCATGAGTGGGCTTGGCCTCTTCCGAGGACGAAGACGGCGACGAGGTCGGCGCGGCCGACGACACCTGCAGGTATGTGCTGGGCGCAGGAGCAGCCGAAGTGGTCACGGCAGAGCTCGACGGCTTGTTGCCGACCTTCTGCTGGTTGCTAGCCGTGTTGCTAGCCGTGTCGCTAGCCGTGCGCTCGACAACTCGCCCTGCGGTGTCACTGTGATCGGCTGGTTGCTGCCCGGCAGCAGATATACCATCAGTGGATCGCCCAGCTTCTGCAGGTCATTCAAAATGTTGTTGAGCTGAATCGGCATCGCCATTACTGTTGTCAGCATAGCAAATACCAAAGCAATCACTGTTATGCCCTTCATCTTTAGGCTTTTGTTCCTACTGCTAAGAGGGTGGTAGTTGGGGAGAGTAGCCTGCTCGGGGAAGGGGTATGTGTATGTGCTCGATATTCAATATCAAGCCAGAGACTCTTTAACGAAAAGGAGAGGTAGAGAGTACTGAGCGAAAGGAGAAAGAGACGTGTCTCGCTGGAAGACAGGTGGTATTATATAAGTGAAGCGGTGTCCAAAAGGGAGTCTACGACCTTCGGTGACAAGGCGCAATAGTGAGGAAAGATGTTTGGGACCGTGTGGGTGTCGCTTGGACTGCCAGGGAAATGTTTGTTTACAAGAGCCAGGTTGTCAAAGAGGGTAAAAAAGCCACTGGCGTGGTGATTTGTGACCTATTGTGAGTCGGGCTGCTTATTCTCTCAGCCAGAACGTCTTGTTCTTAAACAGGGAAATTGTCAAGGGATGTATCGGCGCGCGAACGAGCGGGGCGGAGGGTGAAAAGACAGGGAAAGGAGGGTGGGGTGGGTAGAGGGGTGGGTAGAGCGAGAGGTCTGCGGAAGCGAGAAAGAGAAAAAGAGAGAGAGAGGAGTGCGGCTGTGGGCGAAAGGCGGGTGAGAGAGATGTGAAGGAAAAGGAAGGAGGGGATGGGTGGGAGTCTTAAAAGTTCATAACGGACATGTATCTTCTGTTTGCGTAAGGGGAAAGAGGGAGAAAAAGACCATCCAAATGTTCAAAAAAGCAGCAACCTCCCCTCCCCAAGCGTCGCGCTTTCAGTTGTCGATCCTCTCACATTCAAGCAGCCAAAGTCAGACCACCATTCTCACTGGTCCAAACCGATTTCCCATTGTCCACACCCGAGCTCTTCACAGTCACTGGCTGAACCGCAAGACCGCTTATTGCACCTGATTGTCCGATGCAAAAACAATGCGCCGTTGTTTGTGGTTGAGCCTGGCTCGGCCCAGGTCACGCCTATTATTTTGCCACCTGATGCCCAAATCCCTTTGTCGCCCATCCGGCCACGCTCCCTCCCTCCCCTTGCATATTCACGCACTTTTGGCACCACGCGGTGCCAGGCGAGTATTCCATCGTGCGCACAGCGGTCGGGTCTGTACCCCGGCTATAAAATGGATTTGTGGAGTAAAAAGGATTACATGTTGGAAAAATCGTTGGACTTTACCAGCTCAGCAAACAGGCCGCCTTTGGCCAAAAGATTGGCCGGCGTGTCGAACTCGGCAACAGTGCCATGGTCCATCACGATGATGCGATCGCTGTTCATGACGGTTTCAAGGCGATGCGCGATGGTCAGGATGGTACAGCCGGCAAATTCCTTGTGGATGACGTCGTGGGTAATCCTGTCCGTCTTGAGGTCAACATCCGCCGTAGCCTCGTCAAGAACCAGAACCTTGCGTTTGCGCATCAGCGTTCGGCACAGACTGAACATCTGCCGCTGCCCCGAGGTCAACCAGCCACGTCCATAATATCTCTTTGACAGCCCCCAGTCTTTGTTGCGAGTTAAAAGGCTGTCTGTGTTTCTTCGCTCTTGGAACAACCACAAGAACGCACGCATCGGCCAGCTCGAATTCAGACGCTTATCCCTCTGCCTCTCTGTCTCCCACAAATAGTCGCTGTCGCTGTCCTCGTTCTTCATATCCTTCTTGGTCTTGTCATGCTTGGCCTTTGGGTTCACAACATCGACTAGCTCAGCCTTTATTAGCGCTGCCCACATGTCCTCAATCGTGTATTGCTGGAGTGGGTCGAGGTTGGCCTTGACGGAACCGTTAAAGATCGTCGGGTCCTGCGGGATGATTGTAAGGTTTGGACGTAGGCCGTCCGCTCGCAGCGTCGCAATGTCAATGCCATCGACCAGAATGGATCCGGACGCACCCTCGACTAGCCGGAACAACGCCCGTGTCAATGACGACTTGCCTGCACCGGTGCGGCCCACAATGCCAATGCGCTCACCGCTCTTGATTGTAAACGAGATGTCCTTCAGCACCAAGTCCTGATCTGGGGTGTATCGCATGCAGTAGTTGCGGAACTCAATACTGCCCTGCATCGGCCAGTTTGCTGGTGGCTGCATACCGCCTTCGTCCCATGCTGCCTCAAGCGGTGTCTGGATAAACTGGCGGAACAGATCGACAGTCTCAAGTAGCTCAATAACCCTTGTGCGCAGGTCTACAAGTCGCGACATGCTCGATACCATGTCATTGATTAACGACCCAAACACCTTGAGCTCGCCGGAGGTCAGCTTGTAATCGGTGAACTGAGACTGCATTACCATGATCACTGTGACAACCGAGCTCGTCGTGACATCGATGACTTTGACCAGAGTTCTCGACAACGAACTCAAGGCCTTCCTCGGTCGCGTCAACCGCACCTCTTCATCGACGTTGCCCTTGTGAATGCTAGTGAAGTAGCCTTCGACACCATGAAGACGGATTGTGCGGCTGCTATCGCTGAGGACGTCTCTGATCCGTGACTGTTCGACTTTGAATGAGCGAGTGATTTTGCGCACTGCACGATATGTAGGAATAACCAGCTTGCCGACATGGTTCATTGCAATCGCCATAACAGGCGCGATAAGCAGCAGCAGCGGTGCCTTGCGGCTGACGCGGTACATTGACAGGGAAATGCTCAGGATCGTGGAGACATTTGTCTGTATCAGCATTGGCAGCCTCCTTGCAAGCTCGTTTTTGCACACCCAGAACTTGGAATCAATATCCTGCTTGCTGGAACTGTCAAACAGCGACATTGGGGCGTATACCAAACTGCGCGTAAACATATTGATTACTCGCTCCTCCACATACTTGTCAGCGACGTTCCTCTTGAGCATGCTCTCGGCCGTGTTAACGACGTTTGTAATTGTTGCAGCGAGCATCTGATACCACAGATAGGTACCAATGGCATGTGGATCTGCTGCCACGCTGTTCTTGTTGAGTGCGTCAAGCTTGTACCCCTCAGTGATGTAGTCAGATACGGGGTGAAATGTCGCAGTAAACAGCGTCAGGACAAGGACAGGTAAGCCTAGGATGTCCAACGCATATTTCGCATCGTCCCAGTTAATACCTTTATCCATGTCGAAATCTTTTGGTCGCATGCCCCCTCCTGCTATCACTGCGCCTGCTACTCGGCTTTACATAGTTCGTCAATGTCGAAGTCGATCCCTCAGACATGGTATCGTCCCCAGATCCGCCTTCTGGACAAGAGCCATGCAGAGTGGCCAGCGAATGCACTCTCGGGTGTTCCTGGATCTCCACGGTGACCTGGCCCTTGTCAACCGTGATATTCTGGTTGGCAAACGCATCCAAATGGTTAGAGTTCATCGACACCACACGCAGCTTGTTGCCAAGTAGCCCAGTGTTCAGCAGGACATTGTCGAGCAGATGTCGCTTGATTTGTGCATCGACAGCAGAGAGCGGGTCATCCAGAATATATACATCAGCCTGAGTGTATACTGCACGAGCAAGCGCCAGCCGAGCCTTCTGTCCGCCCGAAATGTTGATGCCACCCTCGCCAATCAGCGTCATGTCACGCTTGGGCCACTGCTCAGCATCCTCCATTAGTGCGCAGGCCTCCATGACACGCCAGTAAAGCGACTCATCAAAGTCACGGCCAAACAAGATGTTCTCGCGCAGAGTTCCATTCATGATGTACGGCGACTGCCCCAGATATCCAATACGGCCGGTGACATGACCTGCTCCTGATCTCATTTCCACCTCACCGCACATCGCAAGCAGTAACGACGTCTTTCCGGATGCGACACCGCCCTTGACTGACACGAGCTGACCCCTGCCAATGCTCAACGATACACCCTCGAGTATGTTCGTCTCTGTCTTCTTTGTGTGCGTAAAAGTGCTGTCCTTCATCTCTATTGACGGGCCGGCTTCAGATAATCCAGGTTGAACCGCAATGCCATTCGTTGGTTCGACTGCTAGGCATCCCTCCAGCCGCAAATTGTCATTAACAGCCTCACCGATGAGGTAATAGCTTGAAAGGACGCTTTGGGCGTTGTTCTTCACTTGCGTTATCTGCTCGATAATCTGAAGCAGCTCGACGCTGGACAACGTCTCTCCGCTCTGAAGGTACAAATTCACCGTGAAAAATATCGCGAGCTGACTAGACACATTCCGAAGGATGCTGTTCGCCGTTTGCGCAGTGCTTATAAATGCATCCGCCAACCGTCGATACTTTTTTGGGATCTTTACGCTGTCGTACGCGTCCGGATCATCGTTGAGGACAAGCGTCGGATCGAGGTATTTTTGCTCCCAGCCGTTGAATTTGATGGTTTTGATGTTGCTGTATATATCGCGAGCATCTACGCGAGATGTCCAGAACGTATACCTACTGTAGCCGCATACGCGCCGAAGATAATCCAGGGACATCGACACCAATGACAACGCCATGAGAACGACGATTGGAATGACCGATATCCACCCAATCTGCCGGTATGTCAGCCAAAGAGCGAACAGCGCAGTGACCACCGATGAGATCTCAGAGACGACTGTTCTCAGCCCCCGCATTACCGACCCAACAAGGTGAGTGATATACATGTCATTGGTACCTCCCTTGCCAGCGTTTGCCAATGCGCACCGCAGTATTTCGAATCTTATAGAATCTTTGACGCGCTGCTCCTCTTGGTCCAGCAGTCGGTTAACACGCTCTGCCTGCGACTTGATTAGCTGGAGACTAAAGTTGGCAGCCAAATACAGATACGGCTCATACCAGGCGTGTGTCGACGGATTCTCAATGCACATCAGAACCATGGTGAACAGTACAGACTGGGATACCACAGCAATGCGAAACAGTGACTGGAACACAACCAGCGGCAGATACGGTCGCCATATCATCCGTATGATGCCACGAATGACAAAAAGCGTCTCATTCTCGTCATACTTGAACTCGCGATGAGCTGCATGGAGCTGGAACCGCTCAGGCAAGGCCCAGAAGTCATCGATGGTCAGCTCGCGCACGCGTCCAAGCCTAATCAGCGCTATCTCTTTGGCATAAAGTGCACTTTGGACGTTATCACGCAGTTCGTGCCAGCCCTGTCCATCGAGATCGACCATGAGCATGAACAGATGCAGAGCGATTCCAAAAGCACGCAGTGAGAGGGTGACGTCAGCCTTTGATTGAAGGAGGGTCTGAATACCGATAAAGTTGACAAGCCTGAATGCTAGCTGCCCACCAGCGAAGCGTGCTAGTGCCAGTAACATTGCAACAGATACTTGGTGCAGTACGCCCTGCCAATTGTTGCCAACAAGCCCTGAGATGACAACGAGCAACACATGGACGCACTGCACAGGTGGTGCGCAAAGGTGGTGCTTGCGGTATGGCGCGCCTCTTAGCCTAGAGTACACCACCGACCCCAGTGCATAAAGGTGGACAAGAAGTGGAATATTTTGCTTGACAGATACCATGCTTCCAAAAAAATAGAGTTTGGACCCAAGATGGGAAGAGGCAGTGCGCGCCTTGGCTGTCGGTTTTTCACAGCGGTGTGTTCCTGAGGGCAATTTTTGGCTTCGGCTGCATGTGGTGAATTGCTCCCCACACCAAGCAGATCCTGTTTCTCACACCTGAGATTTCAGCGATTCCATTGGTACTGGCAGCAGGGTTGTCAGAGACTGACAACGTCACCCCTCCCCCAAATAAATCTACCACGGCCGCAGCAGCATGCACCCGCTGCATTCCAAAACTAGGACTCTGTTGTGGCATCGTGAAGGTGGAATTCAGACAATTGCATATGCGTATTGTATACCGACACGCACAGTAAAGTGCTACATACAACTGCCTTGGAAAAGGCAAGCCGTTTTTTTGGAGTCAGCGATTAGACACGTGAGTTGGCCCTGGGGAACTCTCTAAAAATATCTTCATGCCTTTTCCAGGGCCCACCAAGCTGTAGTTAGATTCCAAGCTGCCAAAGCAAAAGCTATTCCAGCCCACTGCCTCACCGAGTGCAGCTGGGGAGCAGCCGAGCATCAGTAGCCAATATTTAGAGTGAGGTGTAATAGAACTTTGCCTAGAAAGAAAACCTGTGCCATATGTAGTATTGTCTGAGACCAATGGGTGACAAGCCTTTGCCTTTAACACTCAGCAAATTGGCCAGGATAGGAAATTATTGTGGCTTAATGTATTGGTGTGTATCCTGGCGGCCATTTCGGAAACCAACTGAGCTAGCCGGTGTAATATCTATCAGCATGACTCCGTTACCTAATCCATCTATTCATATGCCGAATCTTTAATCATCGGATATGCTGTCTAGATATATGTGGATTATGTTTTGTAGACAGCAGCCACACCCATTGCTAAGTCGCTTCAGTAGACACTGGTGGAGTTGTATCTCTGACTGATCGGCAACTCATACATCATATTTTGCAATAGACAGATCTTCAGTGCATGCAAATCGTCTTGCGAATTGTCAACGCCATCCACGCTCAGAATTTCGTCATATATGGACACCGAGTCTTCCACTACCCAGAGCAATAGGTGGTCTGCTTTAGGCAGGCAATGAGCTCATGCGAATACCTATGTTTGGGAAATACAGATCCAAATCGAGTATAAAAAGACACATGTTGCTGTAGTGTACCATTTTGGCAGTAGCAATAGCAAGGCGGTATTCATCCCACACTTATTCTTGTTTTACTTCACCATGCCCTCACCAGCACCAGCACCAGCTGTTATCCAGCCTCGATGGCGAACAATTGTGCGCCGTGTGTTTGCCCGTAAACCTGTTGGCCAGGTTCTTCAAGAAGGAAGCAAGACGGAAATGAAACGCAATCTTGGTCGCCTTGACCTCATCGGGATTGGCATCGGCTCAATCATTGGCACTGGAATCTTCGTCCTGACTGGAACTGCAGCCGCAAATGATGCTGGCCCGGCAGTGCTTATCAGCTTTATTATCGCTGCTGTGGTTGCAGCGCTGTCTGCCTTCAGCTATGCTGAGCTCGGGTCAATGGTCCCGATTTCAGGCTCTGCCTACACATATACCTACGTGTCACTTGGAGAGTTCCTGGCATGGGTTATCGGCTGGGACCTGATTCTCGAACACCTGGTTGGCTCAGCAACCGTTGCAGTTGGGTGGAGCGCATATCTTGTGCGGTTTTTTGAAGACGCCTTCAGTGTAGTGCTGACGCCCAAGACAACACAGCCACCGATTGTTTGGGACGGCACATCGCTCAAGTTCATCATTAACCATGGATCATACATCAATATCCCGGCCATATTTATTGCCTTATTACTAATGACCATCCACATTTTTGGTGTCCGGTATGCGTCATGGACCATCAATGCCATTGTGGTTGTCAAGATCCTCGTCGTCCTGTTCTTTATTTTTGGCGCAACCAAGCATATCGACTCCAACAACTACAGGCCGTTCCTGCCAGAGCGTGTCGGCAACTCATACGGAGCCCTAGGCGTTTTCCGCGGCGCCCAGCATGTTTTCTTTGCGTATATTGGATTTGACAGTGTAACGACTGCTGCTCAAGAGGCAAAGGATCCACAGCGTGATCTTCCCTATGGTATCATCGTTTCGCTTGTCATCTGCACAGTCCTGTACATGGGGGTCGCTGCCGTGCTCTGTGGTATCGCAAGGTATGATACTTTAAAGAACCAACCGGCCCCCCTCACTTTTGCCTTAGCACTCTACCCAAACACTCGCTGGCTTCGGATTCTAATTGATATCGGGGCCATTGCCGGTCTAAGTTCAGTTATGCTCGTCTCATTCTTGGCTCAGCCCCGTATCTTCTTCATCATGTCCCGGGATGGGCTGCTCCCGCGCATATTTGGCCGACTGCACCCAAAGTTCAAGACACCTTACGTCCCTACACTAGTTACTGGGACCCTGTGCGCCATCTTTGCTGGAGTATTGCCGGTTGACGTGCTTGGTGACATGACATCGGTCGGTACGCTATTGGCGTTCATCTTGGTCAACATAAGCGTTGTTATCATGAGGTTCACCCATCCACATGCTGAGCGCGGCTTCAAGACGCCTTTTGGTCCTTTCCTTTTGCCTGTTCCTGGAGCAATCATTGCAATCCTCTTGATCGTGCTTTCAGATGGTCCAACAATCTACCGCCTGTTCATATGGCTGGCCATCGGCAGCCTTATCTATATTGGATTTGGATACCGCCGCTCGAGAGTAGGAAACCCCGACAAGTGGTCCCCCGAGGACTTGGCCTATTTTGGCGACCAAGGGCTTTTTGCCGATGCGACCACAGAGCCGTCTGATTCAGAATTTGGTGGGAAAAAGTTGGAAATATAGTACACTTTGTTTTTCTATTTCATCTCAATCTCGTCGCTATGCTTTTGAAACTTTTCAAGAGCCTTGTGCTGGATACCCAGCGTAAGTAGCAGGTAGACAGCAGTGAATGGAATCAGTGCAATGAATGATGAACGCATTGCCTTCATATACGCGCCAATGACGAGCCCGCGCACCTCTTCGGGGATACTCGGCGAATGTAGCTGGCTCTGGTCTTTGGCTACCGCTGATAGTTCATCAATAAACTCTGGGAACCGAGCCATGATCTCCTGGAGGAGTGGGGCGAGTGAGTTTTGCATAACCGAGCTCAGCACCGCCACTACAATGATGGCACCAACCGAACGCAGAAATAGACCCAGCGTTGTTGCCGTGGCCATATCTTTGACTGCTGCATTAGCCTGCTCGACAATCGACAAAGACTGGTTCGCACAGCCAAACCCAAGACCGGTGACGAATAGCGGACCGATGATTTTAGCCAGCGATGCATTCTGGTCCAGCATCACCAGCAAGCTATTTCCGATGACCAGGAGCACGCCCGACAGCCAAATTATTTCACGGTACCTGCCAGTCGATGACATAACCAAGCCACTGGCAGTAGCAGAGATGATGAGAGCGACCATCATCGGTAATAGATACAGCCCTGATTCGATGTTGCTGGCGTTCTTGACTATAATCGCCCATTGTGGAATGAACATAATCGGACCATATACTGCAGCGCCAAAGAACAAGAACGAAAACGAGCTCAATGCAATATTGCGGCTCTTGAGCAGCCGCAGGGGCATCAGTGGTTCGCGCGGGATGCGCCATTCAACCATTACAAATGCACCAAGCATGCCAATGCCGGATACGAGGCAGCTTACAACTAGTAGCGAACCCCATGAATACTCAGTTCCTCCCCATGTCAGCGCCAGGAGAAATAGGACAATTCCTAACATCGATATGACGGAGCCTAGAAAATCGACGCGCAAGAGCTTGTCTTTTAGCGAGCCTTTGGGCTTTGGGAGCCGCAAAAGGAGGAGGATGATTGCGGTGGCAATGGCACAGATGGGGACGTTTATCCAGAATATGATGCGCCAAGTTGTGTTCCTGACGATGGCGCCGCCAATTACCGGAGCAATAGCCGAGGTCACACCCCATGTAGCAGCAAACAGACCGACCCACTTCCCGCGCTCGCGCTCGCTAAGAATATCGCCTAAAACCACGGATACCAGTGTCATGAGGCCACCTCCACCCAGCCCTTGGACACAACGGCTGGCGATGAGCATCCCAAGAGATGTGGACATGGCGCACATGATTGACCCGCCCAGAAACAGCACGACGGCAGCCACGATGGTCTGGACACGGCCAGTGATGTCGCTGATTTTGCCGTACAGTGGCTGGGTGGCGGTTGTGGTGATCAGGTAACTGTTGATTATCCACTGCGCATGGTCCATAGACTGGAACTCGCTGGCAATGGTTATGTATGTGGATGCAACAATTGTCGTATCAAGGGCGGTCAGAAACATGAGGATGTTTAATGCAATCATGGCGAAAATGAGGGATGCGCCAGCGAGTGACCTTGTTTGCTGTGGTGGCTCGCTGAGCTGCTCAATGATAGTCCGCCGATGCACAGCCTTCATTGGAGTACCGAGATAATGTCGGGTTTGCGGCATCCGATAACTGTTGTTAGAATGGTTGTGTTGTGACAGCGTTACTCGGCTAGTGCCAGCTGAGGGCGAGTAAGGGGAAAACGGTGAAAAGGGGGACAAGGACGAATCGTCCCTGTGGCTGTCATCTCCCCGCAAAGTGGTCCAGCTGCTCTGTGCAATCACCTGTGGCGAGGGTACCGGGTTGCTAAGGGCCTTTTTATATGGACTAGTATTAATTTGCAAAGGCATTTTAAAGATCCACTAGTATGTGCAGTAATATGTGAAGGGAATAAATGTAGGGGAGCAGGAAACATCTAGGCGCATCTCATTCGGTATTTATGTGGGGAAACTTAACTGTTAGCTCTTGAACAGCCCGTTTACGAGTCTCTAGCGCTATCCGTAAAGACGTGCTTCGTAGGTTCAGTGTCAGCAGATGTGGCTGTTCATATTCCATCTTTTTTTTTGCTAATATACGCAGCTCTTGCACTACTTTCACAGCAAAAGTCTGCATGCAGACTTTGGCAGCTGGTGAAGGTGGGGTGTGCTGCGGAGTATGAAGCAGGTACCATCCACAAAGACATGTAGGAACCCGAATTTTGGAATTCCTAATCCGAGGATGGAGCCGGGATAGCGCTGATTCGTGATTTGCGATGGCTTTTTATAGAAATGCCGCTATGTTAACATCGTGGCGGCTGTGCATGGGTGGCAGATTCATAGAACTACGCCTTTTTTTCTCCACAGCCAACTATCATCCACAGGTAGCGAAAATGGAATCCGGCTTAGCTCCACCCGATCATCCTTTTTGCTTCACATATTGCTTTGATGCTGATGTTTGCATTGAAAGTACATTAAAAATTTACTTGAGCTGCTGCTCGTTAGCGCGCTTCGAGTGCTCCTCGATATCGGTGGTGCAGTCCCATGGGAAGAACAGCCAGCGATCGGGAGTGGTGGCAGCCGGGAAGTAGTTCTTCATGACCTCCTCAGGCAGCTCCTCGGCCTTGGGCTTGTCCTTGTTGTACACGACAAACACGCCGAGCTCGGTGTTGGACGATCCTGGCTCCAAGCCCTTCTTGATCTCCTGGCAGCGGATATCCTTGAGGAGCTCCTGGACGGCGTAGACTAGGGTCTTGCGCGAATCATCGACCTCATCGACAATAAGGATGCGGCGGCCCAGCAGATTGGTCAGAGACTCGGATCCACCAAAGTTGAGCCACTGCGTCTTGGTGACCTGCACGCCAGGGATCTCCGGGACACCGTCCTTGCCTGCGTTCGGCAGCTCCTCATACAGCGACAGGCCGATGGCCTGGATCGGGATGTTCTTGCCTGTGGAGGCCTTCAGGAACGACCGCAGAATGCGCGCCGGGATGAAGCCACCGCCTCCAATGGCGATGCACAGATCAGGGTTGAAGCCCTCGACCATGTTGTAGGTCTTGACCGCACCTTCGATCAGCTGGTGGATCTGGTTGTAGGAAATGTGAAGCTTGTTCTCGGCCATGGCGCAGGGCGGTTCTTTCGGCGGTCCTCTTTTGGGATAAAGAAAGGTTGGCTAGACAAGGAAGGGGAAAGGAGATATTTCCAAATCCCTCCAGTCATTTGGTCGTGGCCAGGCCTGAAAGCAAGCCTTTTATACCTGGCCAGACTCCGGAATTTCGCGGAAAGAAAAAAAAAATTTTTTTCACGGCGATTATTCCCCAAGAGTCAGCCGTCTGACCGCACCCAATAGAAGCGCAAATGGACATACCGCCGGTGGGGCGAAAGTCTTGTGCGGTACAAAAATCCTCTAAGGGCTCGCCAGTGTTCAAAAAAATAAATATGAAAATCTGCTGAAAGGGGTGCTAACAGGCCTAGGAGACGATTCTGAGAACCGTCGACGCACCAGTCTGCCGGCTGGGGAAGATGACAGCCGGGCCGCTGCTATCGATCCAGACACTGAACGAGCGGCTGTTCTTGGCTGCATACTTGCAAGCGGCAGTGACATCGATAAAATCCGGCCTTGCGCTCCCACTAACATCAACGCTGCCCAGGACATTGCCTGTCGGGATGTTCGACTGGCCATTGACCAAGTCCTCATCCCAGTCGTTTGATGCCTCCGACGCAGTCAGCATGTACGCACCGCCGGGTGAAGAGACGGGCTGCTGCAGACGGAGCTGGCACTGGCTGATCTTGTTGAGACCGGCAGGCAGATCAAAGCCGATCAGCATGCGCACGACCTCGTCGTTCTGCAGCGATGCCGCCAGCGTGTTGTCGGTGCCATGGTTGATCAGCGCGCAGGGCGAGTCGCCGCATTGCTGAAGGTTGAACACGACCGTGGCATCCTTGGAGCATCCAACGTCAGTGACCGATGCAGTGTTGCCGAGAGAGGCGAAGAGCGCGAAGCTGAAGACAATCTTGGTGAAAACGTTCATGGCTGGAGAATAGATGGCATAAAGATATCACGCTTGAAGCTGGTGCTGAGATGTGGGAGGCATGGTTTGGTTTGCGGTGGGGGCAGCAGTTTATATAGCACCTATTGCCTTGGAGGTTCCAGCGGAGGCCAGCTCATGGTGTGGGTGTACACAGGGAAACAAAGGCAGCGTCGGTGAAGGGCTTCAGATCACAAGGGCGCGGACAAGCCCTTTGCAGCTGCAGGAGGGTTTTGTTTCTGCCAGGGCAATCAGGCACCAACGCAGAATGCAAGTCAGCCAGGCACATTGACCTAAACGAATGCTGGAATCCTTGGGCTCTTTGGTAGGAGGTTTGCAGCCTATTTGGATTTCCTGCTATCCATATGCCAACCGGTATTCGTGTACATATATAGGCACTGCTAGCTGCGCATTATTAGCCGCCTCATAAGCCTCGCTGATATCAATGGGCAATACCTGATAACCGTTCACATATAGCCGAAGTGGGAGAGTGGGTGGGAATACCCTCGTTCGAGTCATAATTTGCTGCAATTCAACCACCGCCCCGTTCACACGAACACCGGACATAGAGCCATTCTGTGTCTGGTCCCGGTTCCCACACATTATGCACAGCCCAAGTGCCGGCCGTTGATTAACTTGCGGATCTTTTTCTCCTGATCAAGCAAAAGAAAGGCGCCGCCCAACTATGCAACAGCCTTGATCCACTTTGTCTTTGCTTTTGTCTTGAATTCCCTATAATGCCAGCCGTAGAAGAACCACAACAGTCGTTGCCGCCTATCGTAGAGCGCGAAAAGGGCGAGGCACCTATCAAGAAAGAATACCTGGTTGTATATCCCACTGAGCGTGCGACTGTGCCAGCAGACAAGCCCAGAGCCGAAGGCAGCAGCGAGCCCCAGCCAAAACGTCGCGAAAAGGCCAGCGGGCAAAACAAAAACCGCAAGCAAAAGAACAAGCAGGTCTACAGCGATGCCAGCCGCCTATGTGCGCAGATCGCGCTCGGCGAAGAGTGCAAGTTTGGCGAAAAATGTACGTTTAGCCATGATGTCGACGACTTCCTGGCGCACCGCGATCCGGAGTTTGGCGACCGCTGCGTGCTGTTTGATTTGTTCGGAAAGTGTCGGTTTGGGCTGCGGTGTCGATTCTCATCAGCGCATACAACGGACAACCACAAGCAGATCGTGGACGAAGAGAAAGCCAAGCTAAAGACAGTCTATTGCACGAACGATCTTGGCAGGGACATGCAAATTAGGCTCAGGAAGAGGCAGGTCAAGTTTCCGCGTACTGAAGAGATCACCAAGATTCTAGAAAACGAAGTGAAGGAGGGAGAGCAGCCTATAGCAGAAATCGACGAGGGTGGCGAAGATGCAGAGACCGACCGCTCTAAGCGGCACAAGGGAACGCGCGGGCACATTGACTACCGCGGCAAGACGTATCTTGCACCGCTGACTACCGTTGGCAACCTTCCATTCCGGCGAATCTGCAAGGGCTTTGGCGTCGACATCACGTGCTCCGAGATGGCCATCGCCACCAACCTGCTTCAGGGGCAGCATACCGAGTGGGCGCTGCTCAAGCGTCACCCGTGTGAGGACTTGTTCGGCATACAGCTTGCTGGAAATCGCTCCGATGTACTGGGCCGTGCAGCCGAGATCGTCAGCCGCGAATGCGAAACCGACTTTATCGACCTCAACATGGGATGCCCCATCGACATGGCGTATAACAACGGCGGCGGCAGTGCTCTGATGGGCCACCCCAAGAAGATCAGCAGGATCGTGCGCACCATGCACTACGTGACTAACTGCGACGTTACTGTCAAGTTCCGTACAGGAATCAACAAGAACGACAATGTCGCGCATACGCTTATTCCACAGTTTGAGGAGTGGGGAGCCGCCTTGGGCACGCTCCATGGCCGATCGCGTCAACAGCGCTACACAAAGCTTGCAGACTGGGAGTACATTGCGCAGTGCAAGAAGACAACCAGCAGAATGCCTCTGTTTGGCGGTGGAGATGTCATGTCCTGGGAGGAGTACTGGGACCACATGGACAACCAATGCGCGGACGGAATCATGATCGGCCGTGGCGCCCTCATCAAGCCTTGGATCTTCAAGGAAATCAATGAACGCAAGGTGTGGGATATCTCTGCCACTGAGCGTCTGGATATCCTCAAGGACTTTACCAAATTCGGCATGGAGCATTGGGGAACGGACACTGTGGGTATCAACAATGTGCGCCGCTACTTGCTCGAGTGGCAGTCGTTTTTGCACCGCTACATTCCTGTCAGTCTGCTGGAGGTGCTGCCGCAGCGTATGAACGAACGGCCACCACCGTTTGTAGGCCGCAATGACCTGGAGACGCTGATGGCCAGCGACAAGGTCAGCGACTGGATCAAGATATCCGAGATGCTGCTAGGCCCAGCACCTGACAACTACACGTTCTTGCCTAAACACAAGTCAAACTCTTATGAAGGTTAAACATGGGTATTCTTGTATTGAGCTTATTTAGAAGAACATGCTATCGTTCTTATACATCTTTAGTAGGTGATATCGACACTGAACTTATCCTTGTTGGCCTGGTGCGAGTAGAACGTAACAGCCGGTCCGCTGGTGTCAAGGAAAATGCTGAACTTGCCCTCAGCAGCCGCTTGGCAAGCACCAGTAATGTCAATATCGCCCGGCTTCTCGTCCTTGTCAGAAACAGACACACTGCCAACCTGTCTAACGCTAGTTATTTGGGTCTGGGCGTTGGCTGTGGCCTCGTCCCAGTTGCTGCTGGCTGAGAATGCAGTGAGACTGTAGGAGCCACTGGGCGCATCCTTGGGAGTTGGGACATGCAGAACGCACTTGGTGATTTGGGACGGGTCCTTGACCTTGCTGGGCATATCAAAGCCGAGCAGGATTCGCTCGTAGTCTCTGTTTCCCTTGAATGTCACCAGAGTGTCTTTGAGCCCCTTAGGCACCAGGGCATCAAAGGTTCCGTCGGCGTTCTGGAAGCCGTTGTAGGCGAGAGTCGTATCGCGGGCAACATCAGTGGAGACGACGTTATTACCAGACTTGGCGAAAGCGACAGTGGCGAGAGCAGAGAGAATGGCAATGACCTTCATGATAGATGTGGTATGATACTGTTTCTGAGGATTGGCTTGGTGATTATGATGGTGGTGACTGTGTTGATGGTGGATTTTGGTGTTGGTGTAGGATACCTTGGGCCATTTTATATGCGCTAGCCCACCGCTTCAGATCGGTGGTACACCCCTCTTGCCCACCCCAAATGTGGGCTGGTATTTTTATTTCTTACCCATGTCAAATGTTTGGTCCTTCCCACAACCTCACCCCAGTGTGAAATATGCACGCGACATATTTTACAATTGCTACCTTATGAAGGACTTGGTTCCTATATTTAGAAATACCTTACATTCTCACTAACATAAGCTTGTTAGGTTCTGGGCACAATAAAGGGTGGAGAGCTCCGGACCCCCACGAGTCGACCAGATACTCACGACCCCTTCTTAAGTTGGGCAAGCCAAGGAAAGCAACTTTTCGTAGCAAAACTGCGCTGCCGGCATTTTTTTCACGCCCCTTGAGGTCAGAATTAAACAAGTCTGGGAAACAACGCAATTTATGCATGTCGAATTCAATTGTCGCAGAGAGGGCTTGGTTTGTGCGAATAGGTGCGGCGCGTGTGCACAAACCTGCACAAGTGCGCATGCGCTGCGCTCTACTGCCCACCCAATGCTGGCATGCGCACCCTTCATTCGCAATAGCTGTGCAAGCACCTTTTCGCTCGGATATGCCTCGATACCCTTATGACGGATTCTCTACAGGTCAGGCCACTGTGCTAGGCAGCACCTTTCCAGTCAGCATGGTGATGTCTGCATCGACCAGCAGAGGCCATAGGCTGCTGCTGTTTCCAACATATGTTGAAGGGAAGTGAAAGATGAGGCAGATGCTTCCTCCTTGTCGCTTGCCGGAACAAGAGGCTTTCGTTTGTGGATGTGACCTCGTGGCCAGGATCCAATGGCACTCTTCCGCCTCCTTCTAATATATACAATTTACAATGCACACAGCATCAACGGCGCTCGGCTTTGTATTCCACGGCGAGGCCCACCACTTGGCCCACGTTTCATCCGCTGGCTAAACCACCACCCTTACCCGGTGAGAGCGTCCAACATTTATAAACAAACTCGAAACCCCTCTGAAGCAGCCAGAGCTCAAAACATTCCCACACAGTATTCTTCTTCTTCCATTCTTCCTAGCATTTGCTCTCCCACTAGCCAAATGTCTTCGTTCAGGAACATCGCGGCCCCTTACTGGGCCGAATTTATCGGCACCCTGGTTCTCACCACCGTGGGACTCGGTGCTACCGCGCAGAGCCTCGTCAACAAGGACAGTCAGGCCGACGCCCTGAGCAGCTCTGTGGCCTGGGGCCTTGCTGTTGCCCTCGGTATTTGGACATCTGAGCATGTCAGCGGCGGCCACATCAACCCCGCAGTGACCATCTCCAAAGCTATCTTCCACGGCTTCTCCTGGGCACAAGTTTCCGGCTACCTGCTTGCACAGACCCTCGGAGCATTTGTCGGTGCTGTCCTTGTCTGGGCCAACTTTGCCGCCGGCCTTGCTGCTCTCAAGCCTGGAGAGGCCGGCCTCCACCCAGCCACTGGCGCCTTCATCACCTCCAACGACTTTGGACAGGGCTTCTTGGGCGAGACCATTGGCTCGGCACTCTTTGTGTTGGCCATCTACGCTGTATCGGATGCCAACAGCAGTGCCAAGAACATCGGTCCGCTCGCTATTGGCCTGGCACTCAGCGCTGTGTCTCTTGGCTTGAGCTCCCCGCTCGGTCTGGCCCTTAACCCTGCTCGTGACTTTGGACCCCGCGTCTTCGCCGCCCTTGCCTATGACTTTAATGCTCTCACTGACAGCAGCCTGTACTTTGTCGTCCCCATTGCTGGCCCTATCGTCGGCGGCACCATCGGTGCCTTTGTTTATGAGTGGCTGGTCAAGCAAGATGCCGAATACCACCACCAGCTCGAGGCAGGCACTGCCTGAATATCCCCTGCCTCCTCAAGTGAGGCAACTCACTCCGTAATATCTCTCCATAGCGTTTACTCTGTGCGACTTTTTACCCACTACTGGATAATTTGATTTTACTATCTCTACCCAGAAGTACATCATAATACATAGAGGAGCTCAGCGGTCCATGGTAGGTACACCGACCAGCTTGCCGCTCCTATGTGCGGCCGCCGCCAGCTGGTGCCTGGCATCGAGTGAGTGGTACGACTTTCTCAGTTGCTTGTACTGCTTGATGAAGTCATCACATTCGGCCAACCCAATAGTACCGTTGTGGTTTCGGAAGTTGTCCAGCACCTCGTTCGACTTGATATCGAGCTGATTGGCCTCATCGTTCATCCGCTGAATCAGTGTTTGCGGCGAATATGGCTTCTGAAGATCAACATGCTCCTGCACCAGCTCATACAGCCGTGTTGTCAACGACCCAGCCACCGCCTGCAGCTCTGCCACCTTGTCACGCATTTTTTTCAGCTCGGGCTCCGCGGTCAGGTTGATTTCCGCAAGACTCTCGTTCTCGACCCGCAGCTCGTATTCGAGCGTCCGAGTAAGCTGCACCTGCTCAAGCCCGTCAATATGCGCCTGGAATAAATCTTCATACCGAAGCAGGTCTTCGAGGTCGTCCGCTGACTTGTTGGCAAACGTTGGGAAGTGCTCTCGCAGTAGCCGCAGCTTGTCCTCTATAATTTTCCGGTCTGATGGCAGGTTGTAGTTGTTCATGGGCTCAGGAACTCGCGAATCGTACGGCCGCAATGCAACTGGCTCCCGTGACGAATGCGGCTCAAATTCGCTGAGGTCTGTGGAATCGGTTGGAGGTGACATTGTCCTCTGATAGCTATAAAGAAAAGAATGTGGAAATGTGAAAAAAAAAAAAAAAGCGAAGCAAAACAAAGGGAATAGCTAGTTCCAAAACGCCCAGCACTATGCCTGCTTGGCATGATGCCTCAATCACATGATCCGATCGGGCATATCAAAACAAGCCCCACATGCTCCTTCCCACAGGAACATGCCACCGAGGTAACTCAACGTCGCAATGCAGGTGTCTCAGGCTGTAGCCATACTAACAAAAGGTAGAGCTACTATGCCTGAACTCACAGTACTGCATGCTATTCAGTGCAAAGAGGCCAAAGTAAAAGCCAAATACTCTGCAGAAAACAATGAGTACGATGAAACGCCTGGAGGACATAGTCTCCCACTCTGACACTGCATGTACGCTGATGCACACCGTACTAGCTAGTTGTAAAAATAACCACTGCGTGTCACATCCCGCCTGTTTCGGAACCAACAGCAAAATAGTAAACCACCGACTCAAGCCGATGTCAACAAAAAGAGTGGAGGACCTGGGTATCGATCCCAGTGCCTCGCGCATGCTAAGCGCGCGCTCTCCCATTTGAGCTAGACCCCCTGAATTTCGGAATCGAAGCTAATCCGATTTGACTTCCAATTTCTGATATCGCAGAAAAACAACCATACATAGAATACCGTATCAAGTGGATTGCTCATGATGAAGCGGTGAAAGCGGGGCTCACACTCTACTGCGGACTACTGATGCACCCATTCACCCAAGCTATCACTTGTATCAGTATTACCAGCTTCTCACTTGAGATTTCGTATCTGTCATTTTTTTTTTTATTTCCACCTGTTCGTGTTGACTGATTGCACAGGATAACCACTGCCCTACGATGTCGGTGTTGGCTTGAACAATTTGAGAAAGCAAGCAACTAATAGAGGATAGGTGTTTGTTTCATTTAGAGTCTAGTGAATCAAGAGCCGGATGCATGTCCCAAGTAACATACCAAGTGCAAATGTGGCTCGTACAGGTGAAACAACACAGTCCAATTCTCACATAAGATCGAGCGCCAGTGTACAGTGGGGTTATTCAATGGTATCTGCCATCAAAGGGTGGTTTCCAACTACAGAGTCAAAGTACTTTGGCACATATTTCATGTTGCAGATAGAGTTGATTAAGGAAGGAGACAATCCAGACAAATACCAGCATAGATTAACCATGTATTCTATATTTTTTCACCTAAGATATAACTGGTTATCGGGTGTAGATGGAAAACACCTTTTCAAAAATCTGACTGAGGGGAGGAAGGAAAACTTATCGTCTGCCTGAGCCTTTGTACATGTGCGTTTCGACCTTGCCCATAGTGGTGCAAAGGGACTCCGGGCCATGAATATCAACATCAATAACTAAATGGTGGTTACAGCCCTTTTATACTACGTACTAGCATAGGAAGCATAATAGTATTTTGCTAAATTTAGTTACGTATAATCCTAATTGTGAAGAGGGTGGGGTACCTAGGGGTCTTGTGGTTCAATTTGGCGTAGACTACACGGGAATCTGCTGTGCGCTGATGGTTGCATCACTCGGTCAACGCTTATTCGATGCTCCGATTTCATACTCTACGAACACTCACGCGTGTGACGTTAGCAACGGCGGCATATACACTAATGCCATCCTGAACCGAAAACCTTTCAAATGCATCAGACCAGTCCAGAAGGCAATCTTCAGAATACTTTTGTTTCCAATCGGTGGCCAATATTGTCCAAGCCCGTGCTGGCAAAAGAAATCTGCTGATTTTTTTAAAACAAGCAAGAGCGGAAGATAGATCATAAAACTTGTGTCTACTTTTACTGGCTCATTAGGAAGCTGTATGCCGGCCATTCCTACATCACTAACCCCCAATTTGCTTGAAAACTGGGTTGACTCATTCTATTTGTTTATGACTGATAACATGCTCCGACAGTCCTTCTCGGCCCTGCCTTCGCACATACATTTTGTCTCAGACTTCAAGTAACATATAAGACTATACCTACCTTTCCTTGCGAGCCTTTCATATCCACTTTCTCAGATTTTATCTTTTCTTTCCCCTTTAAAATAATAGAATCTTTCACTGCTACTATTCCGCGTCACTAAAATGGCTAGCAGCATCACCAACCAGCCTGAATCAATTAATTTTGCTAGGTCGTGGCTTGACCTAAGCGATGACGAAGATTATTGCAGTTCCGGGCATCTTTTCAGTTTCCTGTATATGAAGCAGACACATACCAGATCAGCCTCCCCTGAATCTCCAAAAGAGCAGACGAAGCATGATCCACTTCGCTTCCTCAAGCCCACACTCAAGATAGGGCTATTCCACTAAAGCACTGATATCACGCCTTAAACAGCCAAGGTATACGACGCTGCACAGGTGTAATTCTACAACCGAGCGTTTCTTTGTAACTATAATAAAAACGAAATACCTGCTACTGAGGAACAACGCTGGCGGCTTGGTTCAGACAGGCCCCCAGCACAGCGGGCGCCAGCCCCATTCTGGCGTGATTGGTGCTGCAAAAAAAAGAAAAGAAAAAAGCCAGTGCTGCCGCCGCTTGGCAGGCAAAAGAATGCTCTCCGACCGGGAATTGAACCCGGGTCTCCAATGTGACAGACTGGTGTACTCGCCACTATACTATCGGGGATCCACTCATTTTGTTGAATTTCTTGATAAATAAATCATCCATAAGCATACGGATCATGTGTACTTTGTTTAGCGGCTGCTTACTATTTGTAGGACACTGGCTTTATGCAACGGCATCCTGGCACTAATCCACGCCAATGATAAAACAAACTTTGGGATCAACTATAGTGCTTTGTGACATGGCCAACGTGTTCTGTACGCAGCTAAATAATAGACTATATAGATATCTCGAGTAATGAATCGCATCGATAGCTTTGACCTGAAACAAGTAGATGAATTGAGATAGTACTCCAAAGATATTGTAACTCCTAAGGATACTACAGAATATTGGTTTGCATGCATGACTTATGGAGGCCATTCATAAATATAAAAGTTTAAAGAAACTAAATATCTATTATCAGAATAACCAATTAACAAATAATAAATCAATTACTAGCAGTAGATAAATATTTTAAAATACAGAATGTTTACCACTGGCCAAAAAGATTCAAGCAACTAGATTAATAAATAAACAAAGATGCCAAATATGGTGCTTCTACGAAACCCCCTTCGGCATCCTGAAAAATTTCAGTTGATACACAATTAATATGCTTCTACTGAGATAGAGGCTGCGTCCCGAGAAATCAACTGAAATTTTTCAGGATGCCAAAGGGGGTTTCGTAGAAGCACCATATTTGGCATCTGAACAAGAAAACAATAAAAATATTAATAATTATTAAATAGCTAACCATTTCTGACTGATCTCCTATAGCAGATGCACATTCCATTATATCCATACCATTTTTTTTAATGTAAGAGCAGTAGTTATAAGTTGGCTGACAAATGCAATGTAGCCCCAACCTGCATCAGTGATTTTTGTTAATGATTTGGAGCAACTGTGCCAAACCACCTGCTTGATTAGCAGTATTCGAGTTAACTTGAATACAAATGAATTGCAATGAATGGTTGTATAGGACAGTGGCTTAAGGGCTATTATTGTTATTAACCTAGAGGATGAATAGCCATTGAATACATATGGAAAATAGCTTTGGAAGAATGTGACAAAAGGGAAGAAGGAATACCAACAATCTTTCTGAGCATCTATATATACATTTCATCCTTGTCTACAGCTGCTAAAATTTGAGGTCCAGAGACCCCTGCACTACCACAGACACTATGGTTCCAAATCCATATGATTTCAGGAACCTATAGATCAAGGCCCTTAGGCCATAATGGCCATCTATACTATTTCAGGCAACTGGCACTACTACTTAGACTAGTACCTACCCTTTTCACCTGGTGATTTCCCCTTCCTTCTTTCATATAGCATATTTCATATATTTAATATATATTATAGAAAGGTGCTTAGGTATGATATACTTAGATAGACAGCCTCCTGTAGCTGTCTGGAATACATTTACTCTCTGAGACAAAATGAACAGCTCCAAACTACAGAATCAACTAGGAAATGGCATACCATAAATCACTATAAGTTACTGCTGCCCATCACAGAATATGTATCTACCTAATTTTTAGCTATGACAATAAAGCCTACTACATTATCAATAGGATGGTTTGGCTAAGTAAATATATCTATCTAGGTATTTTATCTTATATTCACTGCATAGGTGTCTGCAAGTCCTATACTTATCATATTGCCATTTATACCATTTCAGTTGCATTTTTATGAATAATCTGCATAGGTTTATATATGGTGCAATTTATTACTGCCCAGGATCACTCAGACATGAGATGTGTGCCCCTACAAATCAGTGGAATTATATAGATAGGTACTAAACTAGTCATAAGTGCAGTGTTGACACTTGGCACTACTAGTGTAGAAAATAGAAATAAAACAGAGGATATCAAAGTAATAGTATAGCCTATAAATGTGTGAATTGTCAGGTTGTTCGGCTAGCTATCACCCTCTTGAGCCAAACATAAACTAGGCACTATGGATCTTGAGCTTAAAGTCCTGAGAATAATGCTTTAGTGTGAGTGCATAGTATAGAAGTTATCAGAATTAGATTTTCCTTATTTCATTGTTCTATTTTCTCTTTATATTTTGCTACCTAGCCCAATACTGAACCAGATCCTTCTTGTCTTTCTTCTATATTTTTCTACTTGCTTAGTGCCTTTCTGCACTCCTTCACACTTTCTCAATATATACATCTTTGGGTGTTTCAGCCCACTCTACACTCATATCACTTATAACCTTCTGGCAGAAGTTGTGGGAATATTATTGCAGAAATGGTATATGCCAGGGATTGTAACTGGAAATGGCATTGTTCAGATCGATCTGTGCATTTCTGCAAGTGTGTTAAGTAGGCAAAGATGCTGCCTTATTAATAATTTGTAAGGATAGCTGCATCCACTAATGCTATCAATTGTTCTGGTGGAAAATTAATGAGGCTGGGTAAAACTGTGAGATGGTGTAGCTATGAATTAAGAAGAGTGTATCTGGTACTGAATGAGGCAAAAAAAAAAGCCAATCATATCTAGATGCCTAGAGCATGTAGCTACGCAATGAGCATCACTTGAGGCATCTGACCATAGCGCAATATCCGGGGGGGGGGGGGAACATGCGCTATGTACTAATAATACTCCGCAAGCTAATAATGGAATTACAAATGAGGGGTTTCTTCTCTAGGCCATGCCATCACCACATGGCCTGCAGAGACAGCCTTTGGTGCAGAAAGGGACAGTGGTCAAGGATAATCACACTGATTTGCCCACAAAGGACACCGCTGTGTGATGATGGGAACACAGGAAAGTGTAGGCCATGGCCCAGACCGCACAACGCCACTGCATCTGCATCCAAGCTACCCTTCAGCAAATGTGGTGTAGAAGCCACTGATTTTTTATTTTATTTTAAAAAGTCGTTTTCTCTTTCGCTTTCCTTACAGTGCTTTTATGTTTTTTTATCACGGGGATAAAGAGGGAAATACAGAGGCACACATTCGCGCAGTGCCTATCATGTACCGTAATAACGTAGGGGATTCCTGAGATAGCCCTTCTGCACAAGTCTACCGAATAGGCGTTGCAAAAGGTGGCAAACGGATCAGTAGTGCATTGCTTTGTTAGAGAAAAAGTAAAGCAAACAAGGGCAACGATTCACGGCCACTGTTACATCTGTCTATAGAAACTAATGGACATTACAGATAAGAGAATGAAGCATGCTATGGCTCTCCGATCTAGCGAGGTAAGATGTTATGAATATTCAGTGAGGATCGCATACAGTAACTCTCGCAAACATGATTTTTTACAAAAAATCAAAAAAGAACAGCCCGACGGGGGGGTCGAACCCCCAACCTTGAGATTAAGAGTCTCACGCTCTGCCGATTGAGCTAGCCGGGCTGGATTAACGGATTTGACTCATAATCCAAGCCAATTCACCTCTGAGACCAAGAACTTTAGAATAATAATTGAATATCAGGATCTTCTGCCACGGCATCGTTGTCATGTTTACTTGCTTCAAACATACCTTCAGCGCCTCTCTTGCTTCCTCAACCTCACCCTGCTATCAACAGTCTCTCAGTGTATATTAACGATATTCGACCAGCCCTGGTTTTCTTTTTCTTTTTCTTTTTCTTTTTTTTCTTTTACCAGGTTGCCTATCCCTTATTCAAGCATCATCAGCTAATTTCATGGTTACCATACATGCACTGACCAGAGCTGTGCGCCTACTATTAAATTTAGCGCACCTTTTCACATTTGTTTTTCTGTATTTAATGTACTATGTGGCTTCTCTCTTGTCACCTCTGTAAAATCCTGTCAGTTTCGCCAACCTACAGCCTACTGATTGGCCATTGCTAGCCTAGGGGATAGGTGGTTATCGGGTGTATGGAAAATTAACTTCTCAAAAATATGACTGAGGGGAAGAAGCAGAGCTGATCGCCTGCCTACGCCTTTGTATGTATGCATTTCGGCCTTGCCCATGGTGGCGCAGGGGGACTTCGGATCCCGAATGTCAACAGTCGCAATGCATTAGCACAGCTCTTCAAATATACCTATCGTGGTACTCTAATATCGCCACAGGTACACATACTACTTCCATATTCCCGTCACACCTTGCACTATAAGCCCTGCACCACATTAAAACATCTGCTATATGCCCTTTTCCTCCAATGCAAGCATAATTACAGTACACACACCGGCCGTTTACTCATGCACATACCATATCATTGATAGTTCAATACTAAATACATCATATTGCCTTCATTTCCATTCGGCATCATCGGCATTGCTGCTATACTTGCGACGAGCAAGTTGGATCCAGGTCGGGTTGAGCCGATTCCACTCAATATACTCGGTGTCCTGCTCCCATCCGCCCTTGCGGATCTCTGGCTCCGCCGTAGCATGGTGGTGCGGCGGTGGCACAATCCCAGACATGTTGCGCTGGTTGTCAGTGTACGCGTTCTGGAATGCTGCTGCATCAAACTTGTCCGGCGAAACACCCACCACATCCAAAACCGTCGTCCACGAGTACAGAAACGATGTCCGCGTCACCTTGTTCAAGAATGACGTCTTGTCTGCAACTTCACAGTCGATGCGAAACCCGTATGTGCATAGGTAGTCCTGGGCAATGAAATGTTAAATATTTTAAATGGAAACGAACTGTTTTAGATTACCATGAGGAACCTTCAACCTCAAACTTCTCAGCAATGGCGAAATACCTGGCAACCAGTTTGTGGACAGCAGGCTTCAGGTTCAAGCTGACAACAGCGTTCTGGACCTTGCTAAGGCCATGCGTCCTTACAAGTCTGATGACCTGCTCACAAACCGGGTTCGGGTAGGCCATACTGTTGTACCATCTGTCGTGGTAAACAGTTAACCACACTACCGCATCTAATGCAGCCATTAGTGAGTCACTGCTAGAAATCGGGATGGGGTCCTCCAGGTCCTCGTTGCGAAGCCGCTCCTCGTCCTGCATATCGCTGAATGCCCCTGAGTACAGCTCCAGCAGGTGCTGCCACGCCTTTGCTGAGAATCGGATGTTGAGCGCATACTCGAAGGCCTCCTTGGCCTCTGACGGGTGGCGAAGGCGCAGCGCAAGATCTCCGAGGGCCTCCCATTCAGCCTGCGTGTGACGGAATGTGATCTGCTGGCCAGTTGCACGCAGGTTGTGCATTTCAGATCTCCAGGCGGTGTAGGCGCGCAGATCATCGAACAGGATCATGATCAGGTTGTCAAGCCAGCGCTCGCACAGCCGCTTGCGAATGAGGCCATGGCCAGAATCTTCGTCACTCTCGTCGCCATCCTGACGGACACCGGCGTCCTCCTTTGGTTGCTTATCCGTGCCCTCATTTGCACCGCTCTGGTCATCGGCAGGGAGCACGGCCGCTTGAGGAGCTGACACAACATCAGCAACTTCCTCAGGAGGGCTCTCAGGCTCCGTGAGCTTAGTGTCCTCGCTCTTGGGTTGCTCTTCCTCGGCGTCTGAAAGCTTGATCTCCTCGAGCCCGTCCTCAATCGCAGCAGTCTTATCCTTGCTTGGCGTGTCGTTCTCACCATCAGCGGTGGCGCTAGCGTCAGCATTGGCGTCGGTTTCAGCTACAGGGGGTTCTGTCAGCTCCTCGGTGGATGCAGGCTCCAGCTGAGCAGCCTCCTTGAGGTTCTCCTTCGACTTCTTCTTGTTCTTTCTCTTCTTGTTCTTCTTGCTCTTGGAGCTGCCTCCAGGCTCGGTAGTAGTTTCCACGCCTGCATTTCCACCCTCCGTTTCGTCATTGACCGCCTCATGCTCATTCTTGGGCTTGTCATTCTTGATAGCAGGCTCCTCTCCTGGTTCGACCGTGACCTCAGGTTCCATTTCTGACTGTGGAGAAATACCCAAGTTGTCGTCCGCATCAGCCTTGCCGTTCTCAGCAGGCTCAGCCTTATCGTCCCCAACAGGTTCAGTCTTGGTGTCCTCAACAGGCTCGGCCCTGTCGCCCTCAGTAGGCTCATTCTTAACCGTATCAGCAGGCTCCGTCACGGGTTCAGTCTCAGCAGGGGATTCAGGCTTGTGTGCTGATGGAGTATCCACAGGGGGCGCAGCGACAGGGGGAGCATCGGCAGATTCCTTAGACTTCTGGCGCAGGGCAGCAAGAGGGAGGTCATCTTCATCATCGTCCTCGTCATCGACCGCCTGGTTTGGGTGGGCAGAGTTGCGGTATTCATCTTCCATGACAAAGGCTTGGCTCCGGAGCTGAAGCAGCTCATCCCATCCAACAATGCTGACCATACGAGTCAGGTAATCGTACGCACGTGCGAAAGTGCCCTTGAGCGTAGGTGCTGAGAGTTTGAGCAGAATGCTGTTCTCGTTGATGGCCATCTCCTCAATTAGGCCAGGCGACTCACTCTCCATGCTAGAGCGGCTGTTGGTGGGAACGGGGCCATGGGCGTGGGTATCGTTCGAAATGTGTTCACCCAGGTTGTACTCTGCGAGGATATCGGACTTGACTGGGAAGTTAATGCGGCGGGGAGTGGGCACGCGTGGGTAGTCGCGGTCAACAAAGGTGTACATGGGGCAGGTGTTAAGAGTGAGGAGGGCACGCTGGAAGTCCTCGCAGTCAATGTAGATATCAGTGAGCTTGGCCCACGCCTGGAACTCGCTCGGTGCATACTTCACAGCCATACGCGCGATTGTCAGTGCAGCGCCAGTGTTCTTCTTACGACGCAGAAACTCTGACTGGGTATAGAGCAGTGGATAGCACGAGGGTCGCACCTTCAACGCCTGGTGCATGACCCGCACTGCCTGGACCTCCTCGTCGCACTCGACGTAAGCGTCTGCCAGCAGCGACGCGACTTCAGGGTCAACGCCCTTGAACTCTGCCGCTGGCGAGTCGATCGAGCCGCGCTGTCCGCCGAGGGGGGAGTAGGCCAGTGGTGCCAGGATTTCGGCGGCGCAGTCATCGAACCGGCCGGCATCGGCAAAGTAGCGCATGAGACCATCCACCAAAAAGTTGCGGGCATTCGACGCAACCTGGGTCTCAGCGTTGGACCCTAGCGCCCAGCCATTCCAGAATTGTTCGACGATAGCCTCCATGAACCGCGTCTCCTCGCGAGAGTTGGAGACGGGCGTCACTCGCCTGAGACCTGTTACATTGTAGGCCATCGGGTCAGCATAGAGGATCGCACGCAGCATGGCGCTGATGTAGCATTCTTTCCACATTTGCTCGGTGGCCTCCTTGCGCTCGCCCTGCGCAGTTACGACGTAGGCATCGACACCGCCAGGGATTTTCACTTGCACACGCAGGTCAACATTCGAGAACGCATTATAGCTGCAGTACGTGCCAGAGGTGATCTTCCAGCTGTTATTCGAGCCAAACCAGCCTGGGGTGTCGTTCAATGAGTACTGCAGCGAGTTGATATACGCTGCTAGTGTGGCTGAGGATGAAGTATCGACACCCAGGACATGGTGGTAGGACCCGATCTACATGTTGATGAAGGAGTTAGGAGCACATTGACCAAGAAAGCAGCTGAATGTGGATTAGCAACCACCGCAAGGGGGTTTCAGCACATTATGTTTGTTGACCTGTACTTACATCAGGCTCGTTGCGGTTGGAGCTGTGGATCTTCACGATGTGGCAGAGGTCGGGCGGACCGAGCTCGCGAATCATGCCTATATGTAGAAGGGCATCTTTGGGGCAAGCGTTAGCATAGGGGTGTCGCCACTTTGCCAGCCAACTGTCAAATTCATGCGTTATGCTTCTGCTTACCGAGTCCCTCGGAGCGGGAATTCAACGACTCGCCAATCTCGTTTTCGAAGATGTCCGGGACATCTTGCAAGCAGTCGTTGTGTGCCATCTTTCACTAAGCTTGTGTAAATTTGCCAAATAATGCTGCACAAAAGGGGAACTGTTGAATGTTGTTGAGATGAGCAGGAGGGGGACCAGCGAGTCCAAAACCGGTGCCTATGACGTTGTGCATGCTTCCTTCGCGACTCCAAGACACAGGCGCCGGGATAAATCAATCAAGCGCGCTTGATTACTGATCGGCCCACGTTTCGCGTTTTGTGCCAGTGTCGTAAACAAAGCTCGTCTTCCACCTTTCTCATTCTACTAGCTGTAGCCACTATTTTCCTCTTGCTCCATTTCAATGCCGCGTGAAATCATTACCATTCAGGCCGGGCAGTGCGGCAACCAAATTGGCTCCGAGTTCTGGAAGCAGCTGTGTCTCGAGCACGGAATAAACTCTGACGGGATTCTCGAGGACTTTGCCACAAATGGCACTGACCGGAAGGACGTGTTTTTCTACCAGGCGGACGACGACCACTACATTCCGCGCTCTATTCTGCTCGATCTGGAGCCACGAGTCATCGATACAATCATGAACTCGCCCTATGGCAACCTGTACAATCCGGAAAACATCTTTGTCAGCAAGGACGGGAGCGGCGCTGGCAACAACTGGGCCAGCGGCTACAGCCAGGGCGAGAGGATCTGTGAGGATATCCTGGAGATGCTGGACCGCGAGGCCGACAACAGCGACTCACTGGAGGGGTTCAATCTGCTGCACTCTATTGCTGGTGGTACAGGCAGTGGTCTGGGTAGCTTTCTGCTCGAGCGCCTCAGCGACCGGTACCCAAAGAAGCTGCTACAGACATACTCTGTCTTCCCTAACAACGAGGACTCATCGGACGTCATCGTTCAGCCTTACAACAGCCTGCTGACCCTAAAGCGTCTGACAAACAACGCCGATTGCGTAATGGTCCTGGACAACGCAGCGCTAACACGTATCGTCGCTGACCGCCTACACATCCAGAATCCTGATATCTCACATACGAACCGGCTGGTATCGACGGTTCTTGGGGCGAGCACGATGACGCTACGGTACCCTAGCTACATGAATAACGATCTAGCCAGCATCATCGCCCCGCTGATCCCCATCCCCAAATGCCACTTTATTTCCACAGCATACACACCATTCACCAGCGACAACGCCGAGAAGGCAAAGGCTGTGCGCAAGACGACCGTCTTGGACGTGATGCGGCGTCTGCTGCAGAACAAGAGCCGCATGGTTTCGATCACTCCGACCAAGAGCAGCTGCTACATGTCTATCCTAAACATCATTCAGGGTGATGTCGAACCGACGGAAGTTCACAAGTCGCTGCTGCGCATCCGCGAGCGTGGCATGGCCCAGTTTATTCCGTGGGGGCCAGCCAGCATACAGGTTGCCCTGACCAAAAAGTCTCCGTACATCCATACGCAGCATCGCGTAAGCGGCCTGATGATGGCCAACCACACCAGCACCCGCGGCCTGTTTGCCAATATCGTCAACCAGTACAGTCGCCTGCGCAAGCGCAACGCGTTCCTGGACAGCTACCGCCGCGAGGCAATGTTTGCTGACAGTTTGGAGGAGTTTGACGATGCGCGCAATACGGTGGTTGACTTGATCAAGGAATACGAGGAGTGCGAGTCCGAGTCGTATCTGCGGCCACCAACAGCGGCTAGCAGCTAGCTCTGGATTCATTAGGATATGCAGCTGATTGCGAATATACACAACTCCTGGGAAACCCATGCATGTGACTCCTCCCCATATAGTTGCTGAGGCGTTGTCTCGGGATACGTGACGTACATTCTAGTGGCCAGGCCGATGATGTTCATCTCCATTTATTCTCCTCTTTCACTTCTCTTGCGAGTTTTCGCCTTCAGCCTCTCCTGTAGCATGGTCGTTAAGGGGATCGTCATTGCACTTGCGCTAATAGCCCTCATTCGCTACCTCTCACGGGAAACATCGCTCGACATGATAGGGTAAGTGCAGCCATTTTTCGCGGAGAATATCTGAGCGATATTCTCCGCGCTCTACCATCTAAAAATCCTGTCCTCGGCAGCTCGAATAGGAAGGCGACACTGGCTACAAGGGCATGTGCAAGCGCACCCGTGTACTTGCTCAGAGACAGGGGAAAGCGCTCCGTAATGCCCCTATAGAGCATGGCGAGCCTTGGCCGTAGTGGCAGTGGTCGCTCAAAGCTGTCCGTTACTAGCCATCTCTTTTCCACATTTATTTCAGCCCTTACTTACTGCGTCCCGCTCTCTCCAAATTCCTATCTTTCTTTCCGCCCGCTAGGAAGTATATTACCGACTGGTATACCACCACGTTTACAAACAAGCAGCAGAAACAGATGAAGCTCCGGGAATCACCCATTTACCACGAGCAGCAGTGCTTCTGGCTTTGCGCCAAGCACTCCCTGAACAATGTCCTGCAGCACGAAGTGTACACCCAGGCGGACTTGGAGCGCATTGCGCGGTATCTGCACGACATACATCCGGAGCAGAGCGGGTGGCTCAAGTTCAACTCGCACAAGAACTTCCTCGGGTTCGGCGACTACGATGTCAATGTGATGATCTCGGCACTGCAGGAGCAGGGCTACGACCTTCTGTGGCACGACAACCGCCGGGACATCGAGGAAGCGGATCTGAGTAACTGCATTGGGCTGATTATCCATATCCAGCCCGACTGGTTCTTCCGCCGTGGCCACTGGTTCGGCATCAAGTATTTCGATGAGACCTTGACCGTGCCACACGTCCCCAAGGTGTATGTTGGCCAGCCCAGAACGGCAAGGTCCGCTGCCGAGAGGGAGTCGCACGATTATGAGACCAGGACATACGACTCTGGGTTCTGGAACCTGGACTCGAAAATTCCGCACCCCGAGCACATTGGCGACCGGCAAAAGTTGAATGAGTTCCTGCGGAACTTGTACAAAAAGAACCGCGTGCATGTCCTGCTCATTGTGCCCGTCACACACTCATCCGCCTCATCTTCGATATAATTGCCGCCCTCTTCCACATGTCTGTGTTTTTAGTGGCGTCCAGTACATTGCAGTCTGTACTTTACCATTATTTTACTCTCAGGGATAGCAAAGGAAGAGAGATAGCGAGCGAGAGTGAGAAGAGGGAGTGCCGGTGGCGCATTGCCAAATGCCGGGCTTGCTATGTAGAAACAACTTGTCCTGTACTTTTAGTATATTTGACTGTCAATAATGAGACGCAGAAGCATGTGCAAAGTGCAAGACAAAGAAAACATGTGTAACGATTAAGACAAACGGTCTCGCCGGACCTTGCCCACTCAGAACAATGCGTATATTGAGCCTGTCGATGCAGTAGCGCCACAATATGTTCGACACCACGAGCAATGACAAATTGTCTTAGCACAACTGGATATGAACGCATGGCAAGCTGTCCAAAAATAACTTGGCAAGCCTGTCGATGGTGTGAGATGATGCAGGTATAAATGCACCGGGCGCTCCGTCGAGTTAGCTCAAGATACAGCAACTCAACAGCACATCTTCCCTCTCAACGCTACTTCAACAAACGTGCCGGCACTACTCTCGCTCTTTCCTCCGCAACAGCTAGCTCAACTCAAGCCTACTCTGACTACCATCTTCGAAAACATGAGGCTCTTCACCTGCGTCGCTCTTCTCAGTGCTGCTGCCATCCCTGGCTTCTCAGCACCCGTGTCTACGGGCTCTGTCTCGCGCCGTGGTCTGCTGGATCTGGACCTTGGCCTGTGCCTCGACCTCAGTCTGCTTGGGCTTGTCAACCTCGACATCAACAAGAGTGGCTGCTCGTCAAAGGGAACTGAGCAGAAGCCGATCAAGGTCGACAAGGAAATCTGCGGGCAGATCAGAAACAACAATGTAAACCCCGATGACATTTACGTCCATTGCGAGCAGCACTGGAGCACCAGGGAGGCCGAGCATGACAATAACAACGGATATTACAAGAGCGAGACGGGGCCTACTGGTTACGGAAATGCTGGTTACAAGTCCGTCGCCCCTGAGCACGAAAATACCGGGTACAAGACTGTCGCTCCTGAGCACGAGAATGCCGGGTACAAGACCGTCACCCCCAAGCATGAGAACACGGGATACAAGGCTGTGGTCCCCGAGTATCACAGCAAGAATGGTGCTGACTGCGACACAGCCCCCAAGCACGAGAACGCCGGATACAAGGCCGTAGCACCTGCATATGTTGCAAACCCCGCCTACTAAACACCTATGTTTCCAGAATTCTTGCATACACTTTCCTGGTGAAAGCGGCGCGCCGATCGCAGCGGCTGTGCTTCCAAACTCTGCTTAAATTCTAATTATCCTGCTAGCCAAGGATATGTGGTTTTACAGCAGTGTCAACAATGAGATACTTTGGTGAAGTAACAAACCAATCCCCACCCAATTCTTGGCACATGCGGAAAGCGGGCTTGGCACTTGGGGTGTGATGAGTGGATATTAGCTCTAGGAAACAATCACACCAACACAGACTCAACTTAAAAGCGCCCTTGTCAGAGTCGGGTGGGTCTTCGAGAACCACAAAAGCGGCACCCTTGATTTCCTTCCTGCTCCTTTCTTTTTGGCTCTTCAATGCAAACCAAATTCAACACTACCCAACCCAGCTTTTTGCGTCGCAGGTCCGAAACTATTGGCGATATCAGTGAGATGACAGCAAGCAACAGTAACGGCAGCTTTTATATGCCACAAAATAGCCGACAGCAGCCACCTCAAGTGCCAAAGCGCTCACGGCCAACGCCTCGCCCGCCATCATCGGCGCAACATCGCCTTCAAGGTCTATCCATGTATCTGGACGAACATACCCACTCATATGAGGCAGTACAGCCGCCAGAGGCTCCGATAGATATGAACTACAGAAGGCAGCAGACGCAGCAGCAACCCCCATACCCGCAACAAACTCAGCAGCAACCGACAGCCCGCAGGCCGTCTATCGACCTTGACAAAGCACCCACTACGGACCGCCTTGTAGAGTTTCGCCTGAGTATTCCTGACGGAGTACGCAACATGACGCAGCACCCTGGCGACACTATTGTCGGTTCCGTTGTTGTGACTCTAACGAAGCCGACAAAGATATTCCGCATCAGTATCCAGTTCTTGGGTCGAGAGCGTGTATATCTTCGTGAGAATCCACCCAGTGCGCCTATCGCCATGCACGCCAAGACTGACTATGTTCTGTTCGACCACCGTATGACCTTGTGGGGAGAGAGAACCACAGATGGCACCCAGCAGAACAACGGGTCAAGCAGACACTGGGGGACAATGGCACCAGGAACGCATGTAATACCGTTTTCAATCTCCATTCCCAACGTCAACTACCCTTCGGCTATCAGACGCGAAAAGGTCTGCGGCGTAAAGTACACGGTCCAAGCCTTTCTAGAACGGCCCGGGAAATTCACTCTTCGCAGCACCAGCACACGGCCAGAAGATATAGTCATTGAGCCCATTGCTTACCCGCTCCGGCCGCGCAATGTTCTGCGTATCGACTGCACTATCCCCGGAAATCCTGATAATCAGGGTATGCAGGATATCGCTGTAAGAATACAGGGTGGCATCTCCAAGCTACCTGTCGTCGCTGGCGACCGTATCCTCTACAAGCTTGAGGCATGTGCGGTAAATGACACTGGCGATGATCCACAGATCCGGTCACTCGCTAGCAACTACACCGTGAAGTACATGACCATATACATTGTAGAGTGCCTGGAGCTGAAGGGAATGATCAAAGGCATCGAGCGGTCGCAAACTCATCGCAACAACGTCCACACTGTGCGTCTGCCACCTAACAGCGATAAGCAAGAGAAGTATTCAAATTCAGCCCCATTTTTCACGACAAGCGACTACATACGACTCCCACAAGATCTCTGCCCCTTCGACAGCAAGCTTTTGACACGCACATATGAGCTTCGCATCGACTGTGAAGTTGCAGACAAGACGTCATTCTTGAACAAGGTGACGCGGACATCGTTTCTGTACTCGTGGACGACGGTTTTGGATGTGGTGGGTGTTTCGCCGGACAAGTTTGATGCAGCAGCATTCCAGAACGCGTACACTGACAACCAGCGCAACATGTCTGGGATTGTGCCACCGCCGCACCACCATGCTACGGCGGAGCCAGAGATCCGCAAGGGCGGATGGGAGCAGGACACCGAGTATATTGAGTGGAATCGGCTCAACCCGACCTGGATCCAACTTGCTCGTCGCAAGTATAGCAGCAATGCCGATGATGCCGAATGGAAATGAAGGCAATATGATGTATTTAGTATTGAACTATCAATGATATGGTATGTGCATGAGTAAACGGCCGGTGTGTGTACTGTAATTATGCTTGCATTGGAGGAAAAGGGCATATAGCAGATGTTTTAATGTGGTGCAGGGCTTATAGTGCAAGGTGTGACGGGAATATGGAAGTAGTATGTGTACCTGTGGCGATATTAGAGTACCACGATAGGTATATTTGAAGAGCTGTGCTAATGCATTGCGACTGTTGACATTCGGGATCCGAAGTCCCCCTGCGCCACCATGGGCAAGGCCGAAATGCATACATACAAAGGCGTAGGCAGGCGATCAGCTCTGCTTCTTCCCCTCAGTCATATTTTTGAGAAGTTAATTTTCCATACACCCGATAACCACCTATCCCCTAGGCTAGCAATGGCCAATCAGTAGGCTGTAGGTTGGCGAAACTGACAGGATTTTACAGAGGTGACAAGAGAGAAGCCACATAGTACATTAAATACAGAAAAACAAATGTGAAAAGGTGCGCTAAATTTAATAGTAGGCGCACAGCTCTGGTCAGTGCATGTATGGTAACCATGAAATTAGCTGATGATGCTTGAATAAGGGATAGGCAACCTGGTAAAAGAAAAAAAAGAAAAAGAAAAAGAAAAAGAAAACCAGGGCTGGTCGAATATCGTTAATATACACTGAGAGACTGTTGATAGCAGGGTGAGGTTGAGGAAGCAAGAGAGGCGCTGAAGGTATGTTTGAAGCAAGTAAACATGACAACGATGCCGTGGCAGAAGATCCTGATATTCAATTATTATTCTAAAGTTCTTGGTCTCAGAGGTGAATTGGCTTGGATTATGAGTCAAATCCGTTAATCCAGCCCGGCTAGCTCAATCGGCAGAGCGTGAGACTCTTAATCTCAAGGTTGGGGGTTCGACCCCCCCGTCGGGCTGTTCTTTTTTGATTTTTTGTAAAAAATCATGTTTGCGAGAGTTACTGTATGCGATCCTCACTGAATATTCATAACATCTTACCTCGCTAGATCGGAGAGCCATAGCATGCTTCATTCTCTTATCTGTAATGTCCATTAGTTTCTATAGACAGATGTAACAGTGGCCGTGAATCGTTGCCCTTGTTTGCTTTACTTTTTCTCTAACAAAGCAATGCACTACTGATCCGTTTGCCACCTTTTGCAACGCCTATTCGGTAGACTTGTGCAGAAGGGCTATCTCAGGAATCCCCTACGTTATTACGGTACATGATAGGCACTGCGCGAATGTGTGCCTCTGTATTTCCCTCTTTATCCCCGTGATAAAAAAACATAAAAGCACTGTAAGGAAAGCGAAAGAGAAAACGACTTTTTAAAATAAAATAAAAAATCAGTGGCTTCTACACCACATTTGCTGAAGGGTAGCTTGGATGCAGATGCAGTGGCGTTGTGCGGTCTGGGCCATGGCCTACACTTTCCTGTGTTCCCATCATCACACAGCGGTGTCCTTTGTGGGCAAATCAGTGTGATTATCCTTGACCACTGTCCCTTTCTGCACCAAAGGCTGTCTCTGCAGGCCATGTGGTGATGGCATGGCCTAGAGAAGAAACCCCTCATTTGTAATTCCATTATTAGCTTGCGGAGTATTATTAGTACATAGCGCATGTTCCCCCCCCCCCCGGATATTGCGCTATGGTCAGATGCCTCAAGTGATGCTCATTGCGTAGCTACATGCTCTAGGCATCTAGATATGATTGGCTTTTTTTTTTTGCCTCATTCAGTACCAGATACACTCTTCTTAATTCATAGCTACACCATCTCACAGTTTTACCCAGCCTCATTAATTTTCCACCAGAACAATTGATAGCATTAGTGGATGCAGCTATCCTTACAAATTATTAATAAGGCAGCATCTTTGCCTACTTAACACACTTGCAGAAATGCACAGATCGATCTGAACAATGCCATTTCCAGTTACAATCCCTGGCATATACCATTTCTGCAATAATATTCCCACAACTTCTGCCAGAAGGTTATAAGTGATATGAGTGTAGAGTGGGCTGAAACACCCAAAGATGTATATATTGAGAAAGTGTGAAGGAGTGCAGAAAGGCACTAAGCAAGTAGAAAAATATAGAAGAAAGACAAGAAGGATCTGGTTCAGTATTGGGCTAGGTAGCAAAATATAAAGAGAAAATAGAACAATGAAATAAGGAAAATCTAATTCTGATAACTTCTATACTATGCACTCACACTAAAGCATTATTCTCAGGACTTTAAGCTCAAGATCCATAGTGCCTAGTTTATGTTTGGCTCAAGAGGGTGATAGCTAGCCGAACAACCTGACAATTCACACATTTATAGGCTATACTATTACTTTGATATCCTCTGTTTTATTTCTATTTTCTACACTAGTAGTGCCAAGTGTCAACACTGCACTTATGACTAGTTTAGTACCTATCTATATAATTCCACTGATTTGTAGGGGCACACATCTCATGTCTGAGTGATCCTGGGCAGTAATAAATTGCACCATATATAAACCTATGCAGATTATTCATAAAAATGCAACTGAAATGGTATAAATGGCAATATGATAAGTATAGGACTTGCAGACACCTATGCAGTGAATATAAGATAAAATACCTAGATAGATATATTTACTTAGCCAAACCATCCTATTGATAATGTAGTAGGCTTTATTGTCATAGCTAAAAATTAGGTAGATACATATTCTGTGATGGGCAGCAGTAACTTATAGTGATTTATGGTATGCCATTTCCTAGTTGATTCTGTAGTTTGGAGCTGTTCATTTTGTCTCAGAGAGTAAATGTATTCCAGACAGCTACAGGAGGCTGTCTATCTAAGTATATCATACCTAAGCACCTTTCTATAATATATATTAAATATATGAAATATGCTATATGAAAGAAGGAAGGGGAAATCACCAGGTGAAAAGGGTAGGTACTAGTCTAAGTAGTAGTGCCAGTTGCCTGAAATAGTATAGATGGCCATTATGGCCTAAGGGCCTTGATCTATAGGTTCCTGAAATCATATGGATTTGGAACCATAGTGTCTGTGGTAGTGCAGGGGTCTCTGGACCTCAAATTTTAGCAGCTGTAGACAAGGATGAAATGTATATATAGATGCTCAGAAAGATTGTTGGTATTCCTTCTTCCCTTTTGTCACATTCTTCCAAAGCTATTTTCCATATGTATTCAATGGCTATTCATCCTCTAGGTTAATAACAATAATAGCCCTTAAGCCACTGTCCTATACAACCATTCATTGCAATTCATTTGTATTCAAGTTAACTCGAATACTGCTAATCAAGCAGGTGGTTTGGCACAGTTGCTCCAAATCATTAACAAAAATCACTGATGCAGGTTGGGGCTACATTGCATTTGTCAGCCAACTTATAACTACTGCTCTTACATTAAAAAAATGGTATGGATATAATGGAATGTGCATCTGCTATAGGAGATCAGTCAGAAATGGTTAGCTATTTAATAATTATTAATATTTTTATTGTTTTCTTGTTCAGATGCCAAATATGGTGCTTCTACGAAACCCCCTTTGGCATCCTGAAAAATTTCAGTTGATTTCTCGGGACGCAGCCTCTATCTCAGTAGAAGCATATTAATTGTGTATCAACTGAAATTTTTCAGGATGCCGAAGGGGGTTTCGTAGAAGCACCATATTTGGCATCTTTGTTTATTTATTAATCTAGTTGCTTGAATCTTTTTGGCCAGTGGTAAACATTCTGTATTTTAAAATATTTATCTACTGCTAGTAATTGATTTATTATTTGTTAATTGGTTATTCTGATAATAGATATTTAGTTTCTTTAAACTTTTATATTTATGAATGGCCTCCATAAGTCATGCATGCAAACCAATATTCTGTAGTATCCTTAGGAGTTACAATATCTTTGGAGTACTATCTCAATTCATCTACTTGTTTCAGGTCAAAGCTATCGATGCGATTCATTACTCGAGATATCTATATAGTCTATTATTTAGCTGCGTACAGAACACGTTGGCCATGTCACAAAGCACTATAGTTGATCCCAAAGTTTGTTTTATCATTGGCGTGGATTAGTGCCAGGATGCCGTTGCATAAAGCCAGTGTCCTACAAATAGTAAGCAGCCGCTAAACAAAGTACACATGATCCGTATGCTTATGGATGATTTATTTATCAAGAAATTCAACAAAATGAGTGGATCCCCGATAGTATAGTGGCGAGTACACCAGTCTGTCACATTGGAGACCCGGGTTCAATTCCCGGTCGGAGAGCATTCTTTTGCCTGCCAAGCGGCGGCAGCACTGGCTTTTTTCTTTTCTTTTTTTTGCAGCACCAATCACGCCAGAATGGGGCTGGCGCCCGCTGTGCTGGGGGCCTGTCTGAACCAAGCCGCCAGCGTTGTTCCTCAGTAGCAGGTATTTCGTTTTTATTATAGTTACAAAGAAACGCTCGGTTGTAGAATTACACCTGTGCAGCGTCGTATACCTTGGCTGTTTAAGGCGTGATATCAGTGCTTTAGTGGAATAGCCCTATCTTGAGTGTGGGCTTGAGGAAGCGAAGTGGATCATGCTTTACTTTATCTGTCGTTGGTATCTTCAGTTTGTGTTTTGATCTTGATTGCTTCTTGTGCCAGAAACTAAATCTCTTTTTACTTCTGGAGGCATCTTCCCCATCGCTCAGATCGAGCCATGACCCAGAAGGGTTGATAGACGTAGGTCGATCATCGGTGTTGCTTGGCATCTCTAGACTTGAGTACTGTGTGTAGATAATGATGCAAAGAATAGCGCGCATGAAAATTTTATGAAAAATTTGCAGGACTATTGATTCATGCATAGTCACTTATATACCCTCGTCTGAGCTCTAAGTGAAGCTGGCCATTATTAATATTCGCTATGTACCGTTCTACACTTACCAAATGTAACAAACAAACAAAATTATATTCACCAATTACAGCTTGTGAATGAGGCAAAGTGACAGAGTAGTTGGCGCAGTAGTGAGACTTTCAAATTCTAATCTTTGCAGTTTGCTTCTACGAAGAATTTCCCGAAAGGCTCCTCTCGTCTTTTCATTCCGCTAACAAACAAATACTCAGGGCCAATTAATGGCATGCAATATCACACTGTGGCGAGGTAACAAGGGAACTCGTCATATCGTTGGTACACTCTCTCCGAAGACCGAACGAATGGCTGCGCTAGAAATAACGCATTTATAAACATAACGATGGAAATGCCGCTATTCATAGTTTTTTGGGCGTCAAAAGGATTATGTAACTGAATGTACTATGAGCGTTGACAGTTCCTGTAGATGCATATTCGCCAACCGACATTAAACGAAGATTTGTTCCACAAAATTCATTCGTGTGTATTTTGTGGCTGGTGGATAAGAATTCGAAGAAAAATGTTCTACGAGTGTGAGTAAACGTCCTACTGCTCAGCACAGAAATAAAATTAAAAGCCGAATACAGCGCCCTCCAGGCGTTTCATCGTACTCATTGGTCTCTGCATAGTGACCTACGATGACACTGCGTGTCACATCCCGCCTGTTTCGGAACCAACAGCAAAATAGTAAACCACCGACTCAAGCCGATGTCAACAAAAAGAGTGGAGGACCTGGGTATCGATCCCAGTGCCTCGCGCATGCTAAGCGCGCGCTCTCCCATTTGAGCTAGACCCCCTGAATTTCGGAATCGAAGCTAATCCGATTTGACTTCCAATTTCTGATATTGCAGAAAAACAACCATACATAGAATACCGTATCAAGTGGATTGCTCATGATGAAGCGGTGAAAGCGGGGCTCACACTCTACTGCGGACTACTGATGCACCCATGCACCCAAGCTATCACTTGTATCAGTATTACCAGCTTCTCACTTGAGATTTCGTATCTGTCATTTTTTATTTATTTCCACCTGTTCGTGTTGGCTGATTGCACAGGATAACCACTGCCCTACGATGTCGGTGTTGGCTTGAACAATTTGAGAAAGCAAGCAACTAATAGAGGATAGGTGTTTGTTTCATTTAGAGTCTAGTGAATCAAGAGCCGGATGCATGTCCCAAGTAACATACCAAGTGCAAATGTGGCTCGTACAGGTGAAACAACACAGTCCAATTCTCACATAAGATCGAGCGCCAGTGTACAGCGGGGTTATTCAATGGTATCTGCCATCAAAGGGTGGTTTCCAACTGCAGAGTCAAAGTACTTTGGCACATATTTCATGTTGCAGATAGAGTTGATTAAGGAAGGAGAAAATCCAGTCAAACGTCCGCTTTTATAAGTAGCATGTAGCCTATATTTTATCCGGCAATTTAGACGTGTTTGGTTGTGTTGACCTCGAAGCAGCAGCGCATTTCAAAGCCACCATACCAAACCAACAGAACAAAGGCTTGGCACCCTGGACCACCCACCCGGTCCCGCATTTTTCTGATCCTATCCTATTTTTCCATAAGGCTCGAGGATATTTATCCCTTCAGAAGGTTAACAGGCTGTAGTAATAGACATAGTCTCTTTAGTAAGAGCTTTTGACATTAAACTATAGCTACTAGGGAACTGAAATTCAAATTTATCCAAAGTCAGATGCCTTCCTTCTATCAGCGCTCATGGTAACCCACAAATAATAATATAGAACAACGGTAGGAGCCTAATGAGACGTTAGTTAAAGTGCCTGAGAAAAAGTACTAGGTAGCATGGTTTCCTAGTAATAAACTATGCGGGTGCTGATAAAACCAATCGTAAACGCTCACAAAAATATATTGGAAAAACCAGGATGAATCTCCGCTGCTAGGAGCCAGCTGGGGGTATTTAAGCAAATGCTGAGTGCGCATACGGAGCCCTTGAGCTAAGCCGTGTATGGCTATGGATAAAGCTACACCACTCTCAGTGAGTACGCCGCCCCAGGTACGACGGAACAGCCCTAGGAGTATGACATTACTATTTTAAGCAGTCTCAATCTTGTCTTCAACAATGCCAAACTCAGAGGCAGCCAGCGCCAACACGCGCTGCACATCGCCGACGATATCCAAATCCTGGGCATCTGCAGCCACGCCCAACATATCTACGAGCTCCGGCCACACCTTCCGCACCGCCTTCTGGAACGGCTTCGGTGCCATCGGTGACTTGGCCAGCTCGGGCAGGTACTTCAGCAGAACCACAACGCACGGCCGCCATGACGATACAATCATCGCGCCCTTTTTGGCTGATGCGGTTCCAGCGTTCTTTGCCGAGACATCTGCGCCAGCAATATGCACGGTGCGCGAGCTATCTTCGCGGTGGCCGGGTCCACCTGCACAATACTGCTCCAATACATTCTTGGAAATAGCCGCCAGGCGGTCATCGACCTCGTCGGCAACGGCCGCCCGGTCGCTGGTGATGGTGGAGGTCTCCACGGTAATCCCAATCGCATCCGAGTTCATGCGCTGCAGAATATACAGTTCAGTCAGCATGCTCAGCGTCTCCTGCTTCAATAGACTGGGCATGGTTGGCATGACACCCATTTCGACCAGGCGGCGACGCACCTTGCGGTTCTTGTTGAAGCGGTGCGCGAAGCTGCGCGACTGGTCGACACAGTCCAGCAGAATGAACAGGTGGTGGGCAGACATGTGCGTGTACAGCGCCTCGCTCTCAAACAGCTCGCCCAGGGTCTGAATTAGCAGCAGCTGCAGGATGCACTTCAGTGTTATATGGATGTAGTCGGCCGACTCGCTGTTCCCCTGCGCGCTGTTGGCCCTCGGCAGTGGTGTGGTTGATGGCTCTGTGGTGTCCCCATTGGTTCTGGGCTGATCGTCTTCCTCCCAGGTAGCGCCGGCGATCGAAAATAGCTCTCGGGGCTGTGACCAGTTGAACAGCCGTGCCAGGGTCTCGCACACCAGCGCCCATGCACTCTCGTCCCATTTGGCGAAGTTGTTCTTGATCAGATCCTGCAAGCACGAGGTTCCAATCTTGCCCAGAATCTCCGACGGTTGCATGATGCACATGCTCAGGAGTTCCAGGACTTCAGCCAGCATGCCGGACGGCAGGCTCGCTGGGTAGTACTCGGTAAATAGGGCGATCAAATGGCGCAGTGCCTTGATCAGGGTCGTCGAGAACCACAGCTCGAGATCATCCACTGTGGCAAAGCGCTTGGAAGCCGACGGATCCCGCAAATCAGCAAACATGGCAAACACCAAGTCGCGCAGAACGCTGGTCCACAGACCACGCGAGAAATGCCTGCCTTGAGTCATGATCATCTTGAAGAATGAGTCGACCGCGCGGGTGCGCACCTCAAGGTCCTCAGTATGCATCACCACCTCGTGGAAGGCACGCAGGGCAGGCATCCATACGCGGTACAGCGGCTGGTCATCCAGGCCGATCTGTTCCGAATTCTCCATGGCCGGGTGGGCCAGAATCTGCCGACCCAGATTCACCGCCGCCGTATGCAGGGTGTCGATGGCGTGCAGGGCCAGGCGCGGGCGGCGTGTCGCAGCACCGACCGCGAATTCGTTGAGGCAGTCGATCAGCTCGTGGAAATACTCGAGCCCAGCCACAGCCACAATCTCCACCGGCTTGCCGTCTGAGAGCCGAGGAGCCGAGGCAGTGGTCAGCAGCCACATCTGAGGGCCATGCTGCTCGGCACACTCCTTGGCCAGATGGAAACCCATCTCAGCGATTGCGTCGCTCTGATCGCGCGCAGCAACTTGGGCGACATTCAGCACGGCCTTCCAGCCCGACCGGATATGCCGTGCCGCCGCCTGCACCAGCTGGCGCACGCACCGCAGAACCATGTCCTTGACCAGGCCGTCAACCGCCACTGGTCTAGGCGCATCTGGCACTACGCCCTCGAGAATATCAGCGAACGGACGCAAGAACTCCTTTTGGAAGGCAAAGTGCGGCAGTTCCTCCTTCTCCAAAAACTTCATACTCAGCTGGCGCAGCGAATCCAGCGCAAACAGCGCCGCGCGCGTGTCCTGGTAGGCGCCGACGCGGTCAAACAGGGGCCCCAGGATTGCCCAGATCTGCGACCACTCGACACGGATACGCTCCATGTTGTAGTACGAGATCTCGACGATTTTGGTCAGCGAGAACAGCCGGGCCGGCGGCACCTGCAGCTGAGTCGATCCGCGGCGCTTGCTCGGCTGGGGGTTCTCGATGCGGTATGTGGTGGCAATCTCACTCCACGCAACACTCGACAGGGCACGTACAAAGTCGGTAATGCCCGACCCCGACAGGTGAACCGATGACGTAAACAGCCGGTCAACTGTGACCACAAGCACCTGCGAGTTCGTCTCCAGCTTGGCCAGCTCGGCCACAGACACCACCGAGTTTCCGGATGCCGACCCGGCAAGAGCCCGAGCCGAGATGCTCTGCTGGCTCTGCTGCACATACCCTTGGTCGGCACTGGTGCGCGGATCCGAGCCTTGCGTCAGTAGCTGTAGGCGCTCGAGCTGCGACACACACTGCAGCACGTCCAGCCAGCTCTCACACAGCCCGTCGCCTACATCCGCCCTGCTCGCCGCCACCTCGACTAGCGCTCGGATCGCCTCGACATGCTTGCGCTTCATCTCGGCCAGGTTCTGCAGCTGCGTGAAGTTCCGCAGTGTCGTCACAAACGTCGCCCGCTCCAGGGGCATCCGGAACCGGCACGCCAGCGCAATGCCGCACTGGAAGCCCGTCAGACAGGCGGAGATCACATGCGGATCTGCTGCCGTCTGCATTGGCGACGATAGTGCGGCTAGAAGCGCGGCCCAGATCGTGCCGAACATAGGCGCGATGTGGTCACTGCGCGTGGCATGCAGGAAGTCCGACATGTCCAGCAGCATCGCCCATGTATCGAGCGTTGCCAGGGATGGTGCCTGCGACGCTGCCTGCTGCTCCTCCTGCGCGGAACTGTTGAGGGTGTTGCTAACAACCGAGATCGACGGCCGGCGGACAGCCCGTCTGCGGCGCATCTTGGTCATGCTGCGCAGCGACTGCTCGCTCTTGGCTGCCATTTCGGCGCTGGCGTGTGCTTGTTGCTCGCGGATGCGTGTCGCTGGGCCATTGCCCCACAGGTCAAACAGCGGGCCGGTGTGCTGTGTGTTGTCGACCTTGCCCTCAAGCGGATCGTCCTTGAGCTTGATCTCGTCAGCCACAATCTGGTCGAAAATCTGATTCAGCAGGTCGGGCTCCAGGTTCTTGCCGTCGTTGATGCCGCGGTTGTTGTTGATAAACTCCTGCCGCGTCATGCGGTTCTTGACCTGCGGTGAGTGCTGGTCCGTGTTCAGAAGGATTGTCGAGTATGCGAGCACATAGGCGGCATCTGCGTTGGCAAAACCAGCCCCTGGGTTGCCCATCAGGTAGCGCTCGGCAAACTTGAGCATGAACCGATCGATCTTCTGCGCTTCCCCGGGCAGCCGGAATGACTGCAGGAAAAGGCGCAGCGCATCGACAAACTGCATGTCGTTGAAGTTCATCATGTCGACAAACGCATGCATGATGGCGATGTTGTGGGCATCGCCCTCGCCCAAGTACTCGCCCAGCTGCATCTTGTCGATGCCCGTGTTGCTCGAGAAGAACCTGGCAATCTCCACCGGGTCGTTGGACTTTATCAGCCCACCCTTCTTCCAAGCCTCAATGCCCTTCTTGGGCTTCCACGCAAACAGCTTGCGGCCCTCCTCGAACCGCTCCTTGCGGTGCTTGATCGACGACAGCTCCTCGGGGTCATCTGCTGGCGCATCGGATTTCCGCGGCACCGGCGTCTCGGAGTCGGTCCGGTCTACCTGCGACTCCTCGGGTGTCTGCTCCGCATGTATTGTTGGGCCTGCCATCCGGTCACTCCACACAACCATGCTCTGCAGCATTGCCGCCAGCGCATCCAGCGCTGACTGCCGCACTACGTAGTCATCGATGACAGTGCTACCGGCCTGTTTCTCGCTGGCAGAGTAGTTGAGCCCGCCGTACATCATATGGTTGACACTGCTGGACTGGCTGCTGATCGAGAATGTGCGCGACGGCCGACCCACCTCGGTACCCAGCGACTCGGTGCTATTCAAGCCAGTAGTGCGAAGAGCCTGGGACACAGGCATATTGAACACTGTCTGCTTCTGCTGCACTGCATGCCACGCAGCACTCGACATTGCGGCGCCCTCGCCGGACTCGGCATTGACCAGAAAATGCGGACTATTCTTGATCACGCTGACATAGTTGCCGCCCAGCTTACACAGGACCTCAGCCAGGCGCTGGAACACATTGACGCTCGAGTCCTCGGCGCAGTCATAGTTGAGGTACAGCTCGACCACCAATGCTGGCTGGCTCAGCAGCCGCACCAGCGTCTGCACAACACGGCCGCGCTGGTACAGGGATGCCGGGCTCTTGCTCTCCAGCACTGGCAAAAGAATCTCGCGGAAAATCACCTCCAGCTCGCGCTTCATGTACATGCGCATGTGCTGTACTGCCAGCTCCCAGACCGCCAGCCCGAGATCAAGCACCATGGGGTTTGGAGACACCAGGTTGTGGCTAAGCGACAGCGACAGGCTCTGCCGCAACACCGCAATCAGCGGCACCGCCACTGTCGATGGCGTCTCAGTAGGCGACCCCTCGCCGTCCTGCTGCTGCTCCCGCGCCGTCTGCACAATCTGTGCGGAAATCGCTCTGTCCGGGCCCTCTGTGTCGAACTCGTCGCCTGCGTCGGTGCTCTCCTGCTCAGCTCCGTGGACTGACCGCAGGTAGACGTACGAGCTGACAAACACCTCGGTGTGCTCGCTCAGCGCCAATCTGATCAGATTCAGTGCCAGGCTGCGCGCGCGCAGCTGCGGTGCCCGCGGGTCCAGGTCATTAGGGATCTTGCGCATCGATAGCTTGCACAGCGATCGCAGGAGCAGGAACGCGTCACGTGCGGCACCGTCGTTGGCCTTCTGCATGCCCTCGTCCTCGTCGGTCTCCACTGGCACGCGCTGTAGCACCAGATGCACCATCTGTGTCAGTGTGCCTTGCGAGATCGTCTGGTTGCCGGTGTTCCGTGCCAGCACAAACACATTGAACGTCGTGCGGATCGCCGCCAGCATCGCCGCCTGTCGCACCGGTAGCCGGTCAGACGAAATCAGTGCAAACAGCGCCTTGACTATCTGCAGCTGCACGGGGTCTGCCGTTCCCTCGCCCAGACACCGCGACACCATTGTGACCAGCCGGTCCGCCACGCTGCGGAAATACCCCATGCGCAGCTGCTCGGCCTCTGCCCGCGCCTCCCATTGGATCTGCTCATCGTCAGCCTGGTCGCCGCGGTTCGACCGGATCCGCTGCGCAACCGACTCCTGCGTTGCCAGGCCAGAAATGCTGTCGAAATAGTGGAATGACACGAGCTTCTCGACACAGTCCAGGGCTATTGCAACCGTCGGTGCGCTGTGCTGCGGGCTGCATGCCATGTCCATGGCCTCTAGGATTGTCTCCATGTCCTCCTTGCCGAGCCCGTGGCCCACTGCCTGCGGCGCATTGAGCGGCTTCAGGATGTTCACTGCCTTGTCCAGTGCCGATTTCATGTCCTTGCGCTTGCCTTCGCGCGTCCCCAATAACTTCTCCAGTGCCCCGATAATGAACACTAGCCCAGGCAGAGGCGTCGGTGGTGTCTGTGGTGAGGCACGTGTTTCTATGCGGTCTTGTGGCTGAGTTGTCGCTGTGGCTGCCTCTGCTGATGCGCTGGCTTCTGGCTGTTCGCATGAGGTCATGGTGGGCTCCTGCACAGACTCTGCTTTGGCCAGGGTGTCCCCCGTCTGTGGTTGGCCGGTGTGGCCCTCATCGATAGTTTGTTCTTCAACAGGGTGCTCAATCTGCGTCTCTTCGTTCTGTTGTTGCTCGGCAGGTTTGTCACCGACAGACTCTGCCTCGTCAACTGCCTGCCCATCTGCATCTGCCAAATTGGTCTCCTCAGAAACTGCCTGCTCTTCAACCGAATCGCTGAATTCCTCCAACGGACTATGCACCGGAGGTAGCTCGCCAGCTTTCTCTGTCTCTGTCATTTAATACGAACTACGGGAGGATAGGGCACAGATAAAATTAAAAAAACGTTGAATTTGAGTAAACAGGGAGAGTATGAGTGAGTTCTGTGCGAGTCGGCTGGTCCACAGAAAAAAATCCGCTTCATCAGCGCCTGAAGGATGCGATTTCGAAAGGGCTTCCCCCCACCAAGAATGCCACTGCTGTGTTGCGGCTGATCGTCCTTCAGCACAGGTTTCCTCCCCGCTCATTTATCGAGACCAGGTGCGGACTCTGATGGGCTGAGCAAAAGCACGCACTCGTGCCTGTGGTGGTCTCCCCGCTAACAGCCTTCCACGTCTTAATCCACAGATATAATAAGGGTACCCAGAATATATCCGGTTCTCAGCACGACCTGCAGTCTCCTACCAACAAGCGCCGTGGAGCTCACGGGACCTCTACGTCACCACTCTATGTAGAGGATTGGGGGCAGCGCCCACATATGCGGAAACGGCATCGATTTCCACATTCCAATGTCAGCAGGTAGGGATGACTTCTTCCGGGGGGCAAGCACCGGCATTTGCAATAAAGGACACTTTGGTGTTTGCAAGTAATGCACGCCTGGCAGACAGAAAGAGATAGAGTTGCCACCCCAAAATTTCTCTCCCTTTCGGCAATTGAAAGCACACCCCTCTCGACAAGGTGGCAACAATGAACTACTAATTCGTCCTTCTGTTCATGAAAGCCTGCCGTGAGAACTACCCGGAGAGCCACACCTTCTAGAGCACCCGCCTCTACTGGCGTCCTTGGTTAAATCGCTAAACCAGCAGGTATTGTATTCGGGTCCTTTATACCTACATTATTCAGAGGAACAGGCAGCAGCAAGTCATGGGCTGGAAAAAAGTATGTACGAATCTTTATTACATTGACCAAGTAGCTACAATAAGGGTAGTGCCGAGACTTCATTTCAAGCAGAAGTCCGGTTTGCCAAACCGGCGTGTTAGTCCACGAGCTATACAGAAAAGTGGGCGAGGATCCTTGCTAGGTGTCCTACGAGCGTGGTGCTCATAGCTGCATACTCAAGGTCCAGCGACAGGGCTTTACTCGCTGCGCAGCGAGAATCCGTGCGGAGTGCCAGGCGTGTTGATGAGACGGAAGTTCAGGTTCTGGGTGTACATTTTCCACAGCAGTTGCTTTATAACAAAAAAAAAAAACAGAGTGCAAGGGGGTGCTGTTTAGTTTCTTTTAGAAGAAAAGTGGGTGAGGAAAAAACTGGTATAGAGGGAAGAAGCGCGCTTCTTGGGTGTCACGTCTCTCCATTCATATATACTGAGCCCCTCCACAGGTCAGATGAGAGCTCAATGCAGAGAGCGCAGATCACCCTCCTTTTTATTGTCGTCCTTCAGGCATCAGTCTTCGCACATCTCACCTCCTGTGTCCGTTGCCGCTACTAGGGGCTTTCCTGCCCTCCAAACCTCCACCCAAAAAACACATTAGTGGCAGGGCTCTGTCGAAACTCGGAAATGATCGCCCGCGTCAGAGTTGCTTTTCCGCCTCAGTCCATACTCAAACAATTGCGGCTCGCATATTGGTAGTGCCTCCAAGCATGATAGCGACATGGAAATGTGAAGCAAATTAATGATTTATTTGCGACATAACCGGACGTGTCCCAAACAATAACAGCTCAAGAGAGTTGGGACAGCGAGCTGATGCCAAGGATGGTCAGAATCGACTGGGGGCTCTTCAGGATAGCCTCGATGCACTGCGGGTTGGCCAGAAGGGTCTTGAGCAGCGCTGGCACCTGCTTGATTTTCTCCAGGAGCTCTGGGCTTGAGATGATCTTCACCACGTTCTGCACGTTCTGCACGATCTCATCCGCACTCAGCTGCAGCTTCACGCCGTCGGCATCAACATGCACATTGGCGTCGACTGGACCATCGACTTTGGCATTGATACCTTTGGCGCTGACATCTCCGTCGATGTGCACGGGGCCGACATTGAGTTGTCCGTCAATGCCCTTGGTGTTGGCGTGCACTGCGCCGTTGATGGGGCCAGCAGAGATGTGGCCGTTGATACCGTTGAGGTTGGCGTTGACACCGAGGTTCGGCTCAAGCAACGATGTTGTCGAGGCTGGCGGGGAGAGCAGAGGCAAGGGTAAGGAAGAGCGAGGCAGTGAAGAAGCGCATCTTGAGGGGTAGTAATCGTAAGATTATGAATTGGCAAAAGAGGGGGATGTAGAAGAAGGGCGTGAGGGAGGATTGAGGTAAATGTAGGCAGGAAAGAGTGTTTGCTGATGAAAACATCTAGCAGGTGCCGGACCGCGGGCCAGTTTATATATGAATGCGGTTTGGCTACGGAAAAGAGGAGCACATTTATCAACTATTGCACCATTAGGCTTTTTGCTCAGCTTCAGCGTTTTTTCGGGCTCTCGCACCGCTGACGAGCGATGTCATATTCACAGGATTCCCCGCTTGTCCCAAAATGGCGACAGACCCGGTCTTGTTGGGCGAAGTGAATTCCATGTGGTGGATTTACGCTTATCTCTTCCTGAGCCAAATACCGAAAGGCGCGTACAGCCGATTGGCGCATGCTTTTGGAAAACTAAAGCTTGCATCAGCTTTTGTTTGTTGCTTGTCATCTATTGCTCCATACACAATTCTGTCCTTGCATCTGAAGTTTGCATAGTCCGGGAACACGAAATAAAAACAACGATTTCCCTTCTGACACCCCCAGACGCTGATAGAGAGTTGTCAAGTGTATGAGTCAGTGAGGTGTCCGGTATGGGCTGGATCAATATGAATGTGCCAATAACGATGTATTCTTTGCAAATGGAGGCTGAACGTGAGAGCTGGAAAGTATCATAATGCATTCCAGCGGATCAGCAGCAAATAAAGAAGAACGTGGGTGCTAGGCGTTGGTGCTGGGAGTTTCCAGGAAGCTCTTGAGTCTAGTCACGGCGTCTGCGACCAACTGCGGGTTAAGCATGTACTTTGTGAACAGGTCTGGTGTGCAATAGTCCATGGTATTTGCTGTCGAGCGAAACAGCTGTTTGGCAAACGCAAACAGGTTTTGTACACTCTTTCCCGCGAGAATATCGGAAGGGTTGACCACCTGTATCAGTGACTTTAGGTTCTCGTCGGAACCAACGGCAATTGACAAGAGGCAGTTGTCAATATCGGCTGTGCTGGAATCTTCTGTAGATTGGCCACTAGACACAGGAGCATTGTCCAGATGTAGTATCAGAACCAGCAGGATTGGCTGCATCAGTGGAGTTAACAGGTATCAGCAGAACTAACAGTATCAGCAGGACTAACGGTATCAGCAGGGTTAACGGTATCAGGCAGGGCTAGCTGCATCAGCGGAGTTGGCCGAACCAACAGGACTAGCTGCCATAGCGAGACTAGCTACCCTAGCAGGACTAGCTCTACTAGCAGGACTAGCTCTATCAGCAGGACTAGCTCTATCAGCAGAGTTAGTCACACCAGAAGGGCCAACTGCACCAGAGTTGGCCGCTCTAGCAGGCTTGGCTGTATCAGGAGGAATAGCTCTATTAGCTGAGTTAACTCCACCACCGAGATTAGGCGCGCCGCCAAGGTTAGTTACACCGTCTGCATGGTTGGTGCTTAAGCCAGTATTGGAAAAAACGCGGTTCTGGGCAAAACCAAGGATGCCACCAGGACCGAAGAGGCGACGCCGTAGTGAAGACAACAAGGAAAAGCGAGACAGCAAAGGGACGCATCTTAGAGAAATAGGTAGCCGTGCTAAATGAATTACCGACAGTTTGAACGGAATATATATCAGCAAGATGAAAAAGCCAAGTGTGACAACCGGAGGGAAGGAGGGAAGGAAAGGGTATATTGGTGTACATTAGCAGACCTATATTTCTGTGCCAAGCCTCAGACCGTTTCATATTTTGTTCAAGACTGGGTGGCGGAGCTGTGCAATAGTCGTCAAGAGGCGCATTGATCAAAAGTGGGCATCAATACGAGTATGTATTGTGGCGCTATATGCGCAGTTTGTTGATACTTGCCAATTAACCGATATATATACTGCAGCCCACCAGTAAATGGGTAGATGGAAAAGACAGCTGTTTCATTGACTCAAGAAAACGTCGGGTTTCTTTTCATGGCAAACCCAAGAGTCCTTCTAAGCCAGTATCATTCGACGAGGAACAAGGAATCAGAATTAAAAAAAACTGCTAAGAAAGCTTAGGCTAGACTGATGCCAAGAACAGTCAGGATCATCTGTGGATTCTCCTAGAGCCAGCCTGATCATCTGAGAGTTTCTCCACGGGGGGTTTAATAAGAGAAAGGACTTTCTGAATCTTTTCAAACAGTTCGGGATTGGAGATGATCTTGATCATGTTGTGGATGTTTGTTTGGAAAGAATCAGTGCCAGCTGACCCTCATTGTCGCTAATCTGACCAAGGATACCACTGAAGTCGAAGAGGCTGGAGCAGGAGCATGGGTGGCATTGGCTGCAGCAGCAAGGACGAAGGAAGCGACGAAAGAAGCACATAATGGTGTGACTAGTAAGAAGGAGGGGGGTCCGGAATTATTGAATATGAGGGAAACTGGAGGTGGGAGGAGTATCAAGCTGCCTTAGAGGTGAAGACACACTTGTCTGACATCTGCAACTGACTGGTCTTTTATAGGAATTAAACGACTGTGACTCCTTTAAAATGAGATGTCCAGTGAATCTGCTGGCCACCACAAGCATGCTCTCTTTCTGGACTCACATATGCCAAGTTTGCTCCTATCTTTTAGTTTAAGCATGTACCAGATGTCTCATGGTAGGTCCCTCGCAGTAGTCTCAGCATTGCTTGCAACCTATGCAACAACATGTGCATATCCAGCTTTTGGCAGCAGAAAGTTCCGTGGTGTTGTTTGCTGTCATGGTATAATCTTCTATAAAAGATCCACTTCAAAACCAGCTCATTCTGGCTATGGCCTTAAGATGCACTGCGAATGATGTATTTTCCATAGTTCCAAAAGCAGCAGATGGCCGATTTGTGTGCACACTAGACAGGAGCCCAAATGCAAATTTTGCTGCTCTTTAGTATGCTGCTCTTTGCAGCTGGCTTTTCGCTCTCATGGATAATTTCTGCTCTAGGTTTGACAGCATTGACACTCCTCCCTGAACTTCAGACAGAGAATCCTAAATCGCAGCCACAATAGCTACAATTCTCGATCCACTTATTTGTAAATACTCCACATACCAAATGGCACAACGTATAGTCAAAGTGAATATTTCTTGTGTAAGCAGCACATTGGGGAATGGTTCAAACTGTTGAGATAAGACTATAAATCGTGTACCAATCTACTTGATCATTGGTCGCGATTTGAGCCCCTAGTATAGATCTGGGGTCTGGCTAATGTGGCTATGAATGACTACAGGACCTGCTCTCTGAGTCTCCCATCATTCTCCAATATCCTCAATACGCTGCTACATTGTACTTAAACCAGCTATGTATATTAACCGATTGACCCTTATCACTGATTAGGAAATAGCTTGTATTAGCATTATTCAGAAATGTTCATCTGTACGTGGATGTGTCAAGACAATATCGTACGTAGAATTGCTACATCCAGTATCAGATATGTGTACAGTATCACAAGCGAATTCTTGTCGCTGATCCAGCTGCGCGTAGTAGCTGCGTGGACAGGGGGAGCCGAGGCAGAAGCAGTATCAGAGGTGGCAACAGCAGCCGCATGGCCTGCGTTGGCAGCAGAATCGTTCGAGGAGGTACTAGCAACAATATTGGTGATGTCAGCAGGGTTACCGAGCTCAAGGGGCATGGCAGTGGCGGCAAGAAAGAACGAGGCAACGAAGAAATGCATATTGGGTCCAAAGTCGTGACTAGAAAAGGGGAAGGGAGGTATTAGCGTAAGAGGAGAGTGTGCGTAATTGCAGAAAGGGAGAACGTGTAGAGCAATCTGTAGATGTGGTGTTTGGTTGGCCTAGTTCCTGGACCGTGAAGTCGTTTATATATGCGACCGGTACCGATTCATTTGCACCGGAAACTGTTGGGGAACACCTAGCATAGTGCACACATTTGTGGTTCATTTGGAAGGCTATAGTTAAGCTGTGTTCATTGTATGCGAATATGACGTTTAGCGCATAAACAGAAGAAGACAAGGAGACCGTTTTTTGCATGGAGAGATCGGCGTCTATAGCACCAAGGTTCGTTCTATAAGCAAACGCCAGTCCCGATAGGAAACACACACACACACACCAATACCAGACAAGTACTGAAGGGCTGGTCGACATGCCGACACCACTCAGCCGTCGGTTTTAGCTGTACTTTAGCATCCACGTCATATTTTGCTGGTATTCGGGCTGCATATGGCAAAGTCAAATAAGCTTGTGCAGACGCTGGCTCACTTTATTTCTCTGACCAAACAAGGAGCTGCAGTTCTGAGCAGGCTAGTTGCAAATAGAGATTGTGATTCTCGCTAGTTTAGACTTTTGTTGTTTTGGCCTGCTGGTCGCTCCGTATACGAGAGGCGGCTAAAGGGGGCAGGATGTTTAAAACGGATGTGGCCCGGTCTGGTGGAGTAGCAATCGATGCAGGCTGGCATCTCACCATGCAAGTGTTTTGCTGTGCAAATGTCGTCACTATCGACTGGTGTCAGATACTTGTGAGCTGGAAAGAGTAGAAAAATGGTGGCCATTCTGCCTTGCAAATCCCTAGTGGTGCATTCTGCTTCAGCCAGGTGACGACGAGCTACAGACAAAGTAGGTTCTTTTGGCTACTGAACCTCTCACACACAACAAGCAGCCCATGTCGTTGTGGCATTTTGGAGGTATATATATTTGCCAAATTTCCTCAGAAGAGTTAGAGATATTGGAGCGCTGTGACAACGCCAGCAGCTCACAGACATGCAGAGTAACGTGGTTGGAATATGAGGCGCTGTCTATCCGGGCGCCTGCCTCCGGGTCCACGCATGTGAGTCCCGGGGCTTGCTGCCCGAGAGCATGTCGTGGTCCTGCTCATACATCTGCTCAATCAGCTCGTGAGGTGGTACAAATGTCTTTGGGATCTTCCTGATCGTCTCCTCTCGCCTCTGGTTCATCTTGCGCTCCTCGAGGCGCTTGTTGTATTCACGGCGGCTCAGCGACGAGCCTCCTGCCAAGCTGGCGCTCATCAGCGGGATCTGCATAGGCAGCGAGCCAACAATTGCATTGGCAGTGATGCTGGGAGCATCGGTGCGCTGGGGCATGTTCAGGCCAGGCGAACCAAAGTGGCCAAAACCGCGCTCCTCGGCAGCAGCAATTGACGAGTCATCATCAGCATCTGGATCTTCCGAGAAATCGTCAGACTGGTGGCTCGTGTTGCGGCGGCCGAATCCAGGAATCGCCGAGTGATACTGCTGCCCAGGTGTCTGGAAATCATCATCTAGATCAAACACATCGTGGTCATCGACCTCGACAGATGGAATGCTGCCGAGGGCACCGCGGCTACCTATATTGCGCGGTCCGGTGCGCCCCAGTGTGCTGCTCAGTCCGCTTGGGCCACCTTTGCTGTTTCCACGCAGGATGGCTGACAGTCCAGACGACCCAACTGATCCCCTGCGTGCAGAGGTGGGTAGTGTGGGCGACTGGGGGTTGATGCGGTTGACCAGCTCGGCCACGATAGCACACTCGCTCCAGGCGCGGTTGCTGAGTTTGTCAAATGCTTCATCCTGCTTGCTCGTAAACTCGCGGATCCGCTCATACTTTGCCGACTCCTCGCTTTTCAGGTACTCCTGGGTACTGCTCTTGATGTCGAGAGGGATGTGGATATTGGGGTTGGGGCGTACGTCGCCTATAATTTTGGGCGTCAGAAGCATACCAAAGGCAGGCGAGTAGTCTGCCAGCTTTTCTGCCTCCTCGACCTGATTGGGGGTCTACGTAATATAGTGATGGCAGTAAAGGGAAGCAGGGTGTTGAGTTGGCAGGTTGCTGGTACAATAGACGAGGTGGTTTGTGTGGAGTTATTGTTGCTCGCAGACTTACCATTGCCCCGCTGTCCAGGAACACAGGGCTCCCGGTCAATGGGAGTTTTGCTTGCTGCTGGCCTAACGATATGACCGATGATGACAGGGTCGGCTGCGGGATTCGGAAATAGATGACCGGCGATTTGCACACCAGGCACCGAATGACGCTGATGCTGCGGTCAATTGATGATGCCGGCTTGATCTCCAGCAGCTTTCCCTGAGCGACCTGCACTGCTTTTGTGGCAAGGCGGCACTCCCGGACCCCAGTAATATCCTCCAGCGATGTCTGCTGCTCGGCGATGCTGGCTGCGTGTATGCGCACATTGAGGCAGGCACAGCTGTAAATGCGCTGTGGCTGGTCCATGGCTGACGGGGTATTCGAATTAGAAATGCAAAAAATTGAGAGTATAATTCTGAGGATTGTGAAGAGACAAGCCAAGAAAGTCACACCAGTCGGAGCCAAAAAGCGAGCAAATGCGAGATGCCCACACCAGTTGGGATCAGGGGAGGGTTGGATCAGCATATCAAATCAAAACCGAGGATGAGCAGGGTGTGGGAGCCAACGGGATGTGGGCCAGTTTTCTGCGTCTCCTCCCTGGGATCCATGTAGAAAGAGTCGGCGTGGTAGAAACCAGCATGGCTGGCAGCCTTGGCAGCTGCATAAAAGTGCGGCCGAAACATAGCCAGCGATCGTCCGGGTGCAAGGCCATTTCCATTTGTGCTTGCAGGCATGGTGGTCCAAGCAGCAGAAAAGCAAAGAGGGACCACCATGCACTGGATGGTGATAATTGGCGATTATCCACCACCACCACAACATGGAAAAATTAAGCCATGTGCGAGCATGTACGAATGGGGTCAACTGCGAAGGCATTTTCCACAGCCTATGCTGGCTGCCAGCCTGTGTACCCACGAGGGGCCAGTGCATCGACAGCTTTTGTCTTTCTGGAAAGCTCGGCCTGGCCCTTCGCTACCGGAAGCACCGAAAGCAAAAGGGCCAGCAGGCGCTTGCTTGCTGGGGCACGGCCAGCAAGTACATGTTTTCCGGAGTGGAGACCACTGCCCTGCTTGGCAACAGCAGCCCATTCAGGCACGTATTCTCCGAGTAAGAAAAAATACAGCAGCAGCTGGGGACAAACACGCGTCATGTAATATCTGCTGGCAGGCATCGTCCATGGGATGTACGGTTTTCTAGAAGGTCGTGCCGGATTGTGCGTTTTGGCAAAAGGAGGAAAACAATTTATGTGGCTCGCGAACAAGTGACACGGATGCTTTTTTTTACTGCTTTCGGTGCCTCACAACTTTCTTTGCGTTTAAAAGAGCAGTGTTCAGCACCCATCAGAAAAACCATTCGAGCACTTCTTCCCTGCACCCTCGTTTCTTCTGAAATATTCGCGTGTACCCTTCCTTCCATTTTCCCGGAAACTACTGAAAAATACCAGCATTTTTCATCGCCTCCGTGTTTAGTGTTTCGAAACAGCTTTCCATCTTTGGGAACAACCCGCACCCCCTTAAAATCCATACATGAGTTCAGTTGCGGAAATACAGAGCAACCTCTTGACCCGCGAGGGCGGGGTGACCGTTTCCGCAGGACCCGCCATTGTAGGCTCGCAGGCATTTGTAACCCAGTCACCGGTCATAGTGTCATCCAACTCATCACCACACCAACGCACATCGCCAGCGCAGCGGCAAGGTAATGGGCGCGCCACGTTGATGGACCTACCAATCACCACGCATTTCTGCTCGTCGTGCAAGAAGCGCATGCCGTTCGATGCCTTCCAACGCAGACAGAACGGCAGCCTGTACAATACGTGCATCAGCTGCCTGACAAAGACCAAGCAGCGCAAAGGACAGCAGGCCCGGGCTAGCTCTAATGGTGCATCACAGCAGCGTCAACAGCAGCAGCAACAGCCACAACAGCAACAGCAACAGCAACAATCTCAACAGCAGCAGCAGCAGCAGCAGCCACAACAGGTAGCGGGGATTAGCGTAATGGGGGACGACTCTGTGCTGGCCGATCAGCCGCGACACCAGTTAACACCTGAGGAGATAGCGCTGTCATCGACCACTGCCGCAGCCATCCAACAAGGTAAGCGATCTTAGGTGTGTTGTTGGGTGCAGCACCGAAAGTATGACAAGCTGATCCCGAACTCCTTTCACCTCCTTGGAATGTTCGGGCCGTCTGGGCACAGAAAACGGATGTGAAAAATGGCGCTCAGCAGCACGATTTTCAGTGTCCTCCTCTCCCTCCCTTTTCTGTGTTGTTGAGCTCGAATATGTTCAGCAACTGGATATGTCCTTTTACGAAGAGGCTGCTGTTGCTGAAAATCCATCCCTCCACTATTCGCCTTCAGACTTGCTGACCAAAGGGGGATCTGCATCCTGTCTGCACATGATGGCAACAGCAGCAAAGAAATATTTGCGAAGGAATTGCCGGACAGGCTGATATGATTTGTGCTCCGACACGGCGACATGACCGAGGCAGCGCATAAATACCGGATTTAAACACACACATGCATACATACATACAAATCAATCCTCATGTAGATGGGCTTGTTGCCGCCGCCGCGATTGCTGCAGCTGCAGCCGCCAACACCCACACAGTGCAGGCGCTTCAGAGAGCTGGCCTCTCAATGGACACGTCGCCCGCAACGACCACCACAGCAGGGTTTACAGCACAGCCCACGCAGCTTGCATTTGCCCGAACCCCGTCCTCGCATACTGACAGCGCCTACCGCGCCGCACGCGCAATGGCCAATATCCCTGCCACCACGGCAACCGACGAACTGGGGATCACGACATCTGTCGGTGAATCGTCGATTATGAGCGCCCAGCGGATGCTCGGGCCCTCGCCAAATACTGCAGCGATCGCCGACTGGTCGTCTGGGTCGCCGCAACTATCTGTGCCGCAGTCGCTGCCGCTGCGTCAGACGCTGTCGGCGCAGGCTACTAACTCGGCTTTCGGTATGATGTCCGGCTCTGCAGGCGAAGTGAACACACTGGGCGTCCCATCGACCCCTGCTGGCCAGCCACCGGCAAAAAGGCTTCGGTCTTCGACCGCCAATGCAGAGCAGCGATCGCAGTCTCTGACGCAGCAGCAGCAGCAGGCAGTGTTACTCAGCTCAGTTACTGCTAATGGTGCATCGCCAGAGGCATCTGGTTTGCCGTTTGGGCGTCGCGACTCGCTGGGTACAAGTGGGCTTATTCTGCCAGACGCGTATGTGCAGCTCGAGTACCAGCGGCTGGAGCTGGAGCGGCAGCGACTGGCCCTGGACCAGGAGCGGTGGCGCGAGGAGCGAGCCGAGCGGATACGGTGGGAGACCATGTACAGAGAGCAGTGGCAGGAGGACCGCGAGGAGCGCCGGGCATTCCGTGAGCGTGAGCAGCATATCTGGAAGATCCTGCTGTCCGTACGTAGTGGCACCGACATTAATGGCATCGCCCAGAGTATGTAATTTGTTACTGTTATTTTTGCGTCTTTACTCCTAATTAACTTTATATGTGCGAAAGTACCACCAGACAGTCGCGCTCTGGCCGTGTCGGGTTCATGGTCATATGCGTCTTGTGCGGAATGTCGGGCACCCTTCCAGCCAAAACCTCCGACTCACCATCCTGCTGTCGGCTGCTGACCTCCGATTTTGCAATCCTCACATTATATCGCAGCAGCAGGTTGCTCAGCACCACATGCAGCTCGACTAGCGCCAGGTTCTTGCCAATGCACGCCCGCACGCCAGTCGAGAACGCCAGCATATTCGCAGGCTTCTTCTCGCCCAAAAACCGCTCAGGATCAAATGCACTCGGCTGCGGGAACACAGACGGGTTCATGTGCAGCGCCCCAATAGCGCAGCAGATCCATGTACCAGCCGGCAGAAAATATCCGCCTAGCCGCACGCCGTCAGCAGGTGCCAGACGCGGTAGCATGCCAGGCGCTGGTGGCATAATGCGGAGCGATTCAGTAATGACCGATGTCAGATATGGCAGCTGCTGGCGACAGTCGGAGAAGGAAATGACGTGGTCCTGCGGAAACTCGCTGCGCAGCTCACTGACGACTCGTCTCAGAATGTGCGGATTATATAACAGTAGCATCAAAGTCCACGTCAGCCCCGAAGAAGTAGTGTCAACCCCTGCCAGCAGCTGCACAAGGTTTTCAGAGGCGATCTGGGAATCGCTCATCGGCTGGCACTGGTCTCCTGGAACTGTTCCAGCGTTAATCAGGTGCTGCAGGATATCGGGAACTGGAATCTGCTCTTGTGCACGTCTCTCGATAACCGCACTATGGGCAAAATCGAGAACCTTTGAAATGGTCGTCAGCCTCCACCCAACCAGCCTCGGGATCTGCTTCAGCCACGGAAACGCCATGGTAACATAGCTGAGGACCCGCACACGGTTCAGCAGTGGAACTAGCTCATGCATCTCGTTCTTTAACGCATGGAAATTGCGTCCGAACGCCAATATCCCAATGGTATCGAGCGAAATCAGCGAGAACCACGAGTAGATGTTTACCACAACCTGCCCCTTGTTGTCAGCCGCTTCAGCCAACTTGGCATCAAGCTTCTCCCGCACGGACAGAACTGTCGCTTCGAAAATCTTGTCCTGCATGCCAGTCAAGTTGCGGTGCGAAAAAGCGGCCCCTATCTGTCTGCGCCTATGCGTGCTGAGCTCCGGAGATTGTGTCGAAAATGCATTGGCTTCAATCCCCTCGGGCATCTCATAGCTGGGCGTCTTCCTGAACGTGTGCGAGCCAAGAACATGCCTGATAATGTCCGGGTCGGCAACCGATACGCGCTGAGGTGAAATCCGTACTATCGGTCCAAACTTCTGGTGCAGCTTCAGCAAAAACTCTGGCAAGTCGCCTCGTATCATATGGTACCGCATCGGAATGCTGGTTATCGAGTGAACGATTTGTCCAGGCACAGCCGACAGCGGCGTCACACACCGCTCGTAGAGAATCTTGAACAGGACAAGAATAACTGCGAGCGTTATCACTGCAAACACAATGCTGCCCATTGGTGATCCGGGGTAGTCGTCGTCGTCAAACAAAAGCCGAGTAGAGTTGCCTCCAGCACCATTCATAGTGTGAAAAAACTATAAGACTAGTGTTGAGCAAAGGAGGCAATGCAGCACGACCACAGGGTTGCTTTCACTTCCTGAAGGTTGGGGTATAGCGTGTTTTGCTATTGTGGCAGTAAATGCCAATAACCTATTGTATAGCTTTGTGTTTTACTTGTATGTAGTAGAGATTGGAAAAGGGGTTGTGGCCAACATGTCTCAGCAACTTTCATAAGGCTAGATAGCCAGCATGGCTAGGGTATTTTTAGTCAAGTCTGCTAGCGACAGCTGAAAACATGCAATGTTAGGCAAGGATGCTAGAGTCCAGGACGTAGGTTGTCACAATTATAGCTGCTGCCTCTATACCTATAGCAACTGGGGCACTAAGCTTAGTTGACGATATCAACACTACTATTGTTCTAACCTCCATCACTCATGCTGTTTACTAGTGCCTAGTGTGCAACTAAAAAGTGATATATCTACAGCATAGTACTGGCAGCACCTTAATTACTTGTTCTTGAAAGAATATAGCCAAATACTAGGAACCTACAAATGTATAGCCCTACCCAGTAACTGCCCAGATGGCCTATGACTAGATGGTGTGGTGCAAAATAATTGCAGTGTGAGATGTGGACTAACCACTCAACAGATCTTAAGGTTAGGAGGCATAGTTTAAGGCTTTTCTCTAGGGGCATAGTATTGGTAAATAATGCCGAGGCAGTGATCATCTCAGTGTGGGCATTGCAGGCAAGTATATGGTTGCTCAAAATGGACCGGATGGACTAGATAGGCATGCAGATCACTTGGGTTGATATGGTGGTCTCAATGTGCACATGACAGAGTCCTGTCTTGAGTTAGGCAAAACCATAGATAAAGCTGAATCTGCTGCGCAATGCAGTAAAAGGCAAATGCGAATTGAACTGAAGCCAAACAGATTAATTTGCAATAGTGGCACATTATCATAAATCGCAGACCGTTTCAGCTGAACACAGCTTTTATTCTGTTCGAAATTAAGCTTATGTGTGAACTTCAATAGAGGCTATTAGCGGACCTGACTTGCTGCCTCCTCAACACCCAGCTGCACAGACATGGCTAGGTCCGAATGCTTGAATGCCTGGCGTGTGAACTGAATACCTGAAAATAACCCAAACACAAGCGTGCTAAATGTATACTGCAGCTGTGTGCTCAGTCTCATCGTATGCGGCTCGCGGCGCCTGTATCTGCGACAAGCTAGGAACATAACGATGGCCTCGGCGCTGTGCACCAAGATCAGTGACCCGAGCATGAAGCGGAAAAGCCTTTGTGGCAGCACCCAGTAAACCCACAGAGTGACCAGGTTCTGCTGGTTGGTGTATGCGAAATACCACAGAGCCAGAAATCCACCGATGGTGGCTACAACGATAGGCATGGGTGGTAGCTTGAACACAATTGGTGTACGTTCATCCTTAGAGCTCAGTTCACGCACACGTCGCATCAGCAGTGCACGGTGTGCATCATGTGCCATATCCATGACTCGGCGCATGGTAGTCGCTGGACCCCACTGCTTGTTAATGTCAAACTTGCGCGTTTCCTTGCAAGTCACGTCGCCGTTTTTCCACGACCACTCAATAGTTATTGTGTCAATGTCGAGGTCGAGGACATGCGCACACTGCGCCTCTGGGCAGCAGCCGTAATAGCGGACAAAATCCAGGATGTCGCGGTCATAGTGGTCATTGAGTCGGTCCAGAACATGGTCCTTCTCGGCGCTCAATGAACCATTGCTCCTGGGGTGTGATTTGTCACTATGAACCCCGTTTGTTAGTTCAGGTGTCATGGAAAAATGATAGTTTTGTATGTATCTGAAGGAGATTGCACTGAAGAAAAGTACAGGTGCAAATCGGGATAAAAGATAGAAGGGAGTCTATGCTAGCAGAGAAAGGGCTGATTTGTAAAATATAGCGTGCTGCAGAAATACATGATGAGTTTCTAAAAACGAGCATTGAATTCGCAATATTCTGCTGCCATCATTACTACTGCAAACAAATTTACCTTGCTGCTCACCTGTAAATTTAGCTGGGACATCTTATTCGAGTGGCCTCACTAGTTTACGGCCATGACGCCACATCGTCTGCCCTCACCAAAGCAATATATGAAAAATGCAGTTTCCGCCATGTGTTTTTTGCTATATCGATGTGTTAATCGCTGATATTACATGGCTGTGTAGTTGGGAATTAATCGAGGCAAGTTAACATAGGAATATAAATGGTCTGCTGACAAGCAAGCACGTGGAGTTAAAGTCGTCTTTGCCAAGCCTAATCGACACTGTCAGTGCAGCAGCGCCGACGCACCCGCAAAATAAAGGGTCCTGAAACCTCTTCAACAAAAGTAGTGACCACTTCAGATGGATATAACGAATAGCCGATGCCTCTGATCCGACGTATAAGACAAGTCATGGCAGTCCTCCTTCCTGCAGGAGATGAAAATGAGGGTATGGCTAGTGGCAGAGCCAACTCAAAATCCAAGTGGCAGAACTGCAACCACAGCGAGTGGTGCAGGCGATGCGAATGCTTCAGGAACTCCACGTGTCCTGGTTTGTATTAATGCCTCAGGCTATTTTAGGGTCTCAGGTACTGGAAATGCACTAACCGCATGGTGTGCATCAGCCACGAGTAATACACAGGCCACAGGGAACGCACCAGCTACTGTAATCTGTATCCTAAGCATTTGTATATATCGTAGGAGATACTATCTGCAACTAGGAGCTATCAGTCAGGCTCTTATTACCCTTTGTTTCAGGCAGTATACGGGCACCTTCCATGGTGATCTCTTAGGTGCCGTATTCAAGGGTGCAGCAGATTTCGCAGAAAAGAAAAGAGAGCAATAAGGAAGTAAGAGCCAGACCTTGCAAGTGCACGTATTTTGCAAACAGAAGCAACCTTAGTGAACAGTGCGGAATGGCCGAAGAGTGGGCTTCATTGCGAGTCCGACAGAGTGAGCCATGCGGCCTTATGTCGGGGCTTAGTCGTGAAAGTCTACTAAGAAAACCCTTTGGACGTAACACAAAGGCCGTCGGCTGTCCGACAACTTCGATCCCCTACCCTTTCAGGAGAGTGCTATCGACCCAAAGAAGGCAGGTACTAGCGAGTGCAAAGGTATCGGCGACATTCCTTGGACTTCTGGGAACACTGTGGCTATTGCTGCTTGCTCATCACCGATGTTTCCAGTAATTCATTGGCGGGCCCTGTTTTCCACAGGATCCATTAATAAGCATGGAATGAAGCAGTGCACATGGCTTCTGAAAGAATCATATACTGGTACGTCCGGGCACAGGTATAAAAGAAGCCATGCACAATCGTGGGGGGGGGGGAGCATGAAACAAAGAGCTATATCAATCTTTGACCAGATCCAGAAGTATCCAAAATGTCAAACTCACGCATCAATATCCACATTCTGGCGAACAAGTTCTCGCCCGGTGGTCTTGCAAGCCTCGACAACTTTAAAATCGCCACAGAGCCAGATCCTACCAAGTACTCGCTGAGGGAGAACCAAGTACTGATTCGCACCCTGTATCTCTCCATTGATCCGTACCAACATGGCCGTCTGACCGGCGAAACCGACAGCTACGTCCTTCGCTATGAGATTAACGAGCCGATCAGCAACTTGGCTCTGCTGCCGTCGAGGCATCAACTAGTGCTGGTTTGGCAGAGGGCGATATTGTCAGTACGCCAGGTGCCAACTAGGAGAGCTTTTCGGTAGTCGATGCTGCTACTGTGCGCGAGGTTCTGATGGACTCCAGTACTGGCGCGCGCGACGCTGTGGCTATCTTCAGCCTGCCGTAGTTTGCTGCATATACTGGGCTGATGGAGGTCGGAAAGCCCAAGGCTGGTGAGACCATCCTGGCCTCTTCAGCATCGGGCACTGTTGACCAGATTGTTGTTCAGCTCGCCAAGGCTCGCGGTCTGCGTGTTATTGGTGTTGCTGGCTCTGACGACAAGGTCGGATGTACCAAGTGCCTGGGTGCTGATGCTGCCTTCAACTACAAGACATGCGGAAACTTTGTCGAGGCGATCAAGAGGGTAGCTCCTGAGGGAGTTGACATCTACTATGACAATGTGGGTGGCGAGTTCCTGGACGCTGCTCTTGCCAACATCAACACTGGTGCGCCCTAAAAAACGTGTAAATGCGCCTTCATTTCCACTAGAGCCTTTTGCAGTCTACTTTACAATTCACGTTCTTCAACCCGCAGCTTTACTTGTTATATTGCCGCATATCCTGCTGGCAACATCAGAGACCATGTCAATATCGTGTATGACTGAATGCATGCAGTGTACTTGCGTACACATACAGAAAGCGGCAATCTTGTTAGAAAAAAGGGTCAACCGAAATACTGCACAATAAAGTAAATGCCCACACACGTAGCCAGCATACCTGCTGCCAGAATAATCTTATCCTGGGTCGTCCGCCGGTTGATATACGTGATAACTGACTTTGACAGCCCTAGAGTACTATCGGCGTTCAGGATCCTCTTATGCGCGCCCTGCAGCATCCCGCGCTGCTCACGCAAATTGCCCAGCGACGCCACACCCTGAGCGATGTAGTTGTCTAGTGCCAACTCGCTACGCTGATAAAACGCATCCTCGCCTTGCGGGCCATCCATAGTAATCGCCGTATCCATGGGCTGTGAGGCGTTTGGTCGCTGGAACAGCTCAGCGCGCTCGTGAGAGTATGTGGTTTGGTTCTGCTTGTGCTGCTTTATCTTCTCAACGCGTCGTTTGAGGTTCTCGTGGTCGTCGGCCATGGCAGTTGCCCGGTCAATCATCATGCGGCGCTTGCGCTCGTTGGTGTCTTGGCGGGCCAGAATGCGGTATTCGGCAATTTTCTTGCCAAGCGTCTGCAGGTCTTGGGCAATACCGGCCTGGAGGACCTGGGAGTCGGTGCGTGTGTCCAGTTCAAACTCGCTGACATTCTGCTTGATCTTGTGCAGAAGCCGCTGGGCGGCGTTGTACTCGCTGGTCATTGCTATATAAAGAGTGCAAGGGTGCAAGAAATGAGCATCCTTCCTACTGTTTGGCCGTGTGACTTGCTGGGATTTCACCACATGTCTGTGCAGCCTCCCGTTGTGGGAAGCGAGGATCTCTGGGAAACATTCGGAGATTTGCCATTTCTGGTATCGAATAGGGAGTACAAATTTAGAGAAATGCGTTAGATGCCAGTCGTGGTAGCAGCTGCCATGGGCTTGGGCTCTGCTGGCTGATGGCCACCGCTTGTAAGCCCGCTGAGCTCAAGCCCGAACTGTTTCTGCACGTGCTCCCGCCACCTCTCCTCAGCAACAGGTGGCATTGCGTACGTATGGATGCCCTCGACAGGGAACTGGCGGCTCTTCACATCCACATCATACTCCTGGATGGCATCGGCCATGCGCGGACCCAGATCAGCATAGCTCTGGCAGAATTTGGGCGTGAACCGGTCAAAGAACCCGACCATGTCTGATAGCACCAAGACCTGGCCGGAGGTGGCTGAGCCAGCGCCAATGCCAATAGTCGGGATTCGCAGCAGCTTGGTGATCGTCTCAGCAACCAGCGACGGCATCGCCTCGAGCACCATGGCGAAGCACCCGGCCTGCTGCAGAGCCAGCGCATCGTCGACCAGGGCCTGCGCCTTGGCCACCGACTTGCCTTGCACGCGGAACCCGCCCAGCGCCACGGCAGTCTGCGGCGTCAGTCCTATATGGCCCACGACAGGGATGCCAGCGCCATTGACGATTGCGTCGATTTTGGGCGCGCCGCGCCGGCCAATCTCCAGCTTGACGGCCTCAGCGCGGCCCTCTTTGACCATGCGGATGGCATTGTTGACGGCAGTCGCCTCGTCGTTCTGGTAGGAGCCAAAGGGCAGGTCGGCGACCTGGAAGCACGACTGCTGGCCGCGTGCCACGGCCTTGCTGTGGTGCACCATCTCGTCCATGGTGATCTGGGATGTGTCGGTGTGGCCCAGGGCTACCATAGCCAGGGAGTCGCCGACAAGCGTCATATCGATCTGCGCACGCTCACATGCCACGGATGTCGGGTAGTCGTAGGCAGTCATCATGCTGATCGGCTTATTGTCTTTGTACATCTTGCGGATCGTCTGCACGGTGACCTTTGGACGGTCTATTGTGAAGGGGCCTGCATGTTAGTTGGGATTCGGCGGGGAGATAGGGGTGGGAATATTTTGTTTGGTGAGAAGGGAAATTTCTCTTACCTGCGGTGTCACGGGCGATTGGCCGTGCGCTGTATGCACGCATGCCAAGCAGTGCGGGTAGGTTGCGGGTGTACGGCGCCGCGGCCATACCCAGGGCCGATTTTCTGGCAGTAGCTGCGGTAAGTGGGAAAGCCATTCTGCTTAATTATGTGCGTGTGCGTGACTCTTTCTGGGAAAATCAAGGCTGAACTGCTGGTGGAGGTTGTGCAGGTTCGCGTGAACAAAAAATGGCTGCTTATCAATGCGGGCCGAATAGAATGCGCTGGAGATAAGGGAGGAATTCACCGTCGATTCCGTCGGCAGAGATAACGACAAGGGTATGCAGAAAAGAAAAATGTAGGCTGTAAAGGAGAAAAAGCAAGGAAGGACGGTGCTCTATTTATGCCCAGGAGCTTTTTTCATAGATGCTCGGGCCCAGTAGGACAAAAAACCACCGCCTGTTTCTTTTTCAGGTGCTGTCTGCCTTGCCCCCAGCTGCCGACTAAAATCGGTCGATCCAGTTGGTTCAAATCCCTCCGGCCACAGGCAGGCCGGGTAGGGCGAAGGTTTCCGTTGTATGAGAAAATTTATTAAATTCCACCGCCACGATAGCTGTCCAACAAAACACGAGCATGTCCCTCCAATCGTTTACTTCCAGTTTGCAGCAACATTGCGAAGGAACTCGAAATCGACCATCGCCTTTTCATACACTTCGCAGCGCTCCTTATCTGGGTGGCACACTGGCATAACCGCGTACTTGGCATTGTCCGCATGTCTTGGCATGGCGCGGATAGCGCCGCCGTACGCCGGCATTGCAGGGCTCTTTGCAGTAAACGTGCCATTGTCGATGATGCCAAGCGTATATACGGGAGTGCCAAACACATCAGCGATTATCTGCCGCAGAACCGGGTTCTGTGAAGCGCCACCAGTAACAACGATGGTTGAGGGCAGTTGGCGGGATTTGCGCCGAAAGTCGAGACGCATGCTCATTGCCTGCGACTCCAGAATCATGCGCGCATCGGCAGATGTCTCGGCTGTTACGGCGAACCGGTTACTGGACTGTGGGCTCACCAGATCACCAGAATCGGAGCGCACGAACCGGTACGTGCCCTTAGTCTTGGGCAGAATCTCTGTGGCTAGGTAAAAGAACCCGAACCTGTCTGGCATCGGCAGGTTCGGCAGCCATATCATTGAACTGCTGCCAGGAGCCACCGGCGGAGATGCTATTGCGGATGTGCTCGCGTGCCAGCGACCCGTTCTTATAGCACAGCATTGCCATATACCGGTCAGGGTCAGTTGGATGTTGTAGCACATGGCCGTCCGTAAACGACGCACTGGTGGGTTTGCCGGCGCCGTAAGGGTACGTGTCGAGCGACGACAGCACAGTATCGCTCGTGCCGAGGCTGATCACCATGGCGGAGCTGCGGGCGCCGGAAAGCAGCGACTCGAATCCAGCAAATGCAGACGGATTATCGCCTGTAAATGCAACAACGGGACATGGCGGCATCCCGTATTTTGCTCTAAAATACTCAGCAAGCGTGCCAATCTGTGCATCGGCCATCACGGGATGCGGCCCAAGCTTGGCACTTAACCCTTGGTCAACGCTATTGCAGAGGTGTTCAGACCACGCCATCTGGCCAATATCGTAGAGGTTGGTGCCCGAGGCGTCGCTGGCGTCGATGGGCGCGAGTTTGCCAATTATAAGCGAGGCGGCAAACGACGATACTAGGGAAATATGAGCCACCTGGGACCAGCGGTCCGGGTCGGTCTGCTTGATTTTCGCAATCTGCGCACCCGTGAACCGCTCGAAGGCAACGGACCCAGAGATCCGGGCCAGATTAGCTGCGCTGCCCGCCGCTTGCTCCAGGCCCTTGCACTGCACAGCGGTGCTCGAATCCTCCCAGATCGGCGAGTCCATGACAGCAAAGGCATTCTGGAGCTGCTCCTTCAGGGCCGCTTTCGAATCAAGCCTGGCAAGCGACTCTACGCCCTGCTGGGTCCAGTACACACTGCCGTGCTGCTGAGCGGCGCCGCTGATTCCACAAATCCGGGATGCGTAGCCTGAGCTGCAGAGCTCGCTGAACAGTCTGTCGATGGCTTCGACCCAGAGGAGCACGGGAGTCGTGGCAGTGTCGTTGCGGATGTGGCGGCCGTTGGTGGTGGCATAGGTGGGGAAGGCAGTGTCGAATGGAATGGTGGCTTCGTGGATGATGTCGCCGGCAGAAGTAACGAGGATTCCCTTGAGCTGCTGCGTGCTGAGATCCAACCCCAGGAACAGAGGGTCCGACGATGTCGTCATTGCAAAGTACGAGTCGGAATAGCGGATTAGTAATCGACCGGGAAATATAGCTCCAGCTCGCGTCGATGGGCATAAAGGCGGCGCCATCGGGCAAGGGCAGTTTATGGACCAAGCACACCTTTTCTTTTTGTTTTCTTCAGCATAAACTATTTCTTGAACCCGGAAATTCAGCAACGTTTGCAATGTCTATCAAGGTAGAATTTGCAGTGGACATGACGTGCCAGAGCTGCGTCGATGACATCGGCCAGATCCTCAGCAGCACAGCAGGCGTCACCGCCTACGACATCTCGCTGGCGGACAAAACGGTGTTGGTCTCGGGCACGGCCAGCCCGACACAGCTGCTCAATGCGTTCAAGGACTCTGGGCGGTCAGCCGTGGTGCGCGGGGCCGGATCAACCAACGGCAATATTGGAGCGGCTGTGTGCATTTTTGAAGAGGGCCGCAGGCTGACCGACCGGACCAAGGGCCTGGCGCGGTTTGTCCAGGTCAGCGACTCGCTGTGCTTTGTGGATATTACGGTCAGCGGAATCCCCGACGGCGACCACGGCGTGGCGATTCATGCAGCAGGCGACCTGAGCAATGTGCCCGAGTCCTGCGGCCCGCATTGGAACCCGGACAATAAAGAGCATGGCGGCAGGGATGCGGGCCACCGGGGCGACCTCGGGAACATCACGGTCAAGGACGGGTGGGGTGATTTGACGTTCGAGACGGATCGGTTCAAGGTCTGGGAGATCATTGGCCGGTCGATGGTCATTGCTGAGGGCAGAGACGACCTGAAGAGCGAGGGCAGCAGCGGCAGGGGCATTTTGGCCGGCGTGGTGGCCCGCAGTGCTGGGCTGTTTGAGAACGATAAGCAGGTCTGTGCGTGCTCGGGCAACACGCTGTGGACTGAGCAGCGCCTGGTCGACGAGGGCCGCCGGTTGTAGATGCACGTGACTTTGTCTAAAATAAACACCGCTCTAGGGGCGGAGGCTAACTCGCTCCGCATGACAGTTGCCAAGGCAACAGGGCCGCGGTGGGGTCAGTTCCTTGACAAACTGAGGGGTTCTCGCCTTGTCTTTGCTTCAATTACCCTCTTTATTTGCATTTCACAAACACTGTATTTTCTCGAAATGTCCTTCAAGTTTACGGCCAAGGCGCATCTAGCGTACACGAAATCGAAGCCCGATGAGGTTGGCCTGACGCCCGGCGACACACTCAATGTGACGAATGATGAGCACGGCGAGTGGTGGGTGGGGGTGAACACGACGACCGGCGAGTCTGGGTGGTTCCCGGCGAACTACGTCAGCAAGGTGGAGGAGCACCGGACGCCGCCGCCGGCACGTCGGCCCAAGAAGCCGAAGCGCATGGCGCGCGCGCTGCAGTCCTTCGAGGCGGTCGAGGACGACGACCTGGCCCTGCAGCCCGGCGACATAGTCGAGATCATCCAGGAGACGGACGGCTGGTGCCTGGGCAAGAACAACGGCAGTACTGGTATGTTCCCGGCCGACTTTGTCGAGGAAATCGCAAATGAACCGGCTGCCCATCCGCTGCCGCCGATTCCTCCGCGTGCTGCCACCACGACGTCGCTGCCGCCGCTGCCGAAAAGGACTGCGACGCAGCCGGCGGGCGGGCTGCCGGCACCACCGGTGCAGAGTCCGCCGCTGCCGCCAAGGGCCTCGGTTGACCAGGAGAGGAAGCATGAGGAGGAGAAGAAGGATAAGCACAAGTCGAAGCGCATAAGCAGGCTGTTTAGCACCAAGAAGACCAAGTCCAAGGAGCACGAGCACGAACACCAGCACCAGCACAAGCACCAGCCGCTGCACAAGGTGCCCAGCACCGAGGGCCCTAGCGTCAGAAGCGTGCCCAGTGCTCAGAGCGCGGGTGCTGTGGATTCGTCGTCCATCCCTGATGAGGTAACATGTCACGTGGAAAGGGGTTTTTGGAGGGGGATGACGACACTGCATTTCTATTGCATATTCAAGGAACTCGCCGGCCAAGGTTTCTTGTTTCCTAAACGCTTTTTTGTTGCTTTTATTTCTTAGGAGCCCGAGGAGAGCACTACGTCGCCTGCCATGCCTAGCCGCCCGCTGCCACAGCCCAGTACCAACCCGTTTACCGGCAGACCTGCTCTGCCGCAACTGCCCAAGGTGCCGCCAGCTCCGTCGGCCGCAGTTCCGCCGCCGCCACCAGCTGGAGCTGCACCCCCCATGCTCGGCGTGTCTCTTTCCATGCAGCCGCTTCCCGCTGGAGGTATCCCTCTGGGCGCTCCGCCTGTCCTGCCGGTGCGCCGCCCATCTGCATCGTCAGTGGCCAGTGGCACCTCAAGTGTCCGTGAGGGATCAGTGCCGCTGCCGCCGCTGCCGCAGGTGCAGCAGGTGCCCAAGACTGTCGATGAAGAGGGAGCTTCGGATGAGGGGGATGACGCAGACAAGCCCCAGAAGGAGGATGAGGCGGGTTCAGAAAAGGACGACCAGGAGGAGGGGGCGGATGAGGGTGGCAAGGATGCGGAGAGCACCGCGCCGGCCAGCAAGCCGCGCGGGGACCCGAAGCTGGCCAAGATCATCGAGGACTACGAGGCGACATCGAACGAGGAACTGAATCTGATTTCCGGTGATGTAGTCACAATCATCCATCGAGGCACAGACGGCGAGCCGCGGTGGAAGGGCGAGTACCACGGCAAAAAGGGGTATTTCCCAAGCCACGTGGTCGAGGCGATTGAGGAGTCAGCGGGGCTGGACGAGGAAGGCAATGAGGACGAGTCTGCCGAGGGCGCTGAGGGCAAGCCCAAGGGATTCAAGCTGGCAGCGTACGGTGTGCAGCAGGGCGGCCTGGGCGCGATCTTTGCCGGCGGCGGCATGCCGATGCTGCGCAAGTCGGCGCCGTCTTCGAAGAAAGAGACAGAGGCTGAGGAGTCAGAGGATGCGCCGGTGCCGGCTGCTGCGCCTGTGATGCATAAGCTGCGCAGTGTCAGGCGCCCGCCACTCAAGGAGGAGGTCAAGGAGGAGGTGCCGAACTTTTTGGCCCAGCTGAACCGTGTACCGCGCAAGAGCTCCCCGTCAAACAAGGAGGAGGAGGAGCCCGTGGCAGCTCCGGCTCCAGCTCCAGCGTTGCCCCGCAAGACGCTATCACGCAGTAGTACTTTCGAAGAGCCTCCTGTTGAAGCGCCTGCTGTGGAGGAGCCTGTTGCTGAAGAGCCTGAGCAGGAAGCTCCAAAAGAGTCGGCTAAGGAGTCAGCTAAGGAACCGGCCAAGGAGTCGCCAAAGGAGTCGCCAAAGGAGTCGCCTGCTCCAGCAGATGCCCCTGAGCCCGCTGTCGAGGAGCAGCATGAGGATGAGGAGGAAGAGGACCAGGATGACGACGAGGAGATCGCGTCCCAGCCCGAGGAGAAGAAGGAGCCGGTGGAGAAGCCTGCCACTGAGGAACCCGAAGCGCAAGAGGGGGAGGAAGAGGAGACGCAGACACAGGACCGCGATCTGGACACTGAGGTCACGCCTGATCTCAGCGAGTCGAGCGAGCCAGCCGAGCAGGCGTCGCCGGAGCCCAAGCAGGCAACACTGGAGCCAATCAAGGCACCCTCGCTACCGCACGTGAAGCGACTAGTGCGGCGGGCGCCGCGGCAGAAGCCAACCTCGGAGGGCCTGAAGAAGCAGGTGGAGGAGGATTCGCAGTCAAAGGCCCTGCAGAGCGCATTGGAGAAGGACAAGGATGCGCCGGTGGAGGAGCCGCCAGTGCGGGCGGTGCCGCCGCCGGTGGCCGAGAAGCCCAAGGGCCTGGGCGGGCGCAGTCATTTTGGCGGCCCGCAGTTGCCTACTGGCGGGTTCAAGGCCACAGGCCGCGTGGGCTCTGCGATGGCTGAGCGGCTGGCAGCCCTGCAGGCGCGTGCCAGCGGCGCTGTCAGCGACGAGCCGGAGGAACAGCGGGCGCCCAGTGAGGCCCGCCGGTCGTTTTCGCCGCCGCAGCCACGCGCAGCAGCACCAGTGGTGACGCATGCGGAGCCGTCGGGCGAGTGGCAGCGGCAGGTCGAGGAGGAGCAGCGGAAGATGCGCCAGGAGGCCGAGATAGTGGCCGGGCGCCTCCGTGGCACCGAGCAGGAGCTGACAGCGAGCAAGCAGACAGTTGCCAGGCTCGAGCGTGCGTTGGAGGCGATGACGCAGAACCTCAATAAGGTGCAGGAGGAGGCGGCCCAGGCACGCCAGGCCCTGGCAAGACTCGAGACCAGCCAGGTGTCGAAGGAGGACGTCGCGATGCTGTTGAAGCGCGAGCTGCAGGCGGCGGTAGAGCCGCTGTGCAAGCAGACGCAGGAGCTGCGCGACGACAACAGCAAGTTACGCGACGAGATCAAGGGCCTCAAGACGTACATTGACGAGCTGGTTGTCGAGGAGGAGTAAGAGGCCCTCTTGAGGGTTCATTTTTTTCATTCCAGTTTTCTTTTATTTGATTCCAAACATGCTTCTGTTCTAACTGTCCCGCGCTCGCAATGCGAGCTCACCTCAATCCAAGACAAATGCTGCCTGCCTTACATTGTGGCTGGCACAGCTGGTCTGTTTGGATTGCATCAGCCGATGCTAAGGCAGGATCTCTGCTGTGGAGCCTTTTGCAGTGCACTGCAGAGTGCCGTCTCTCAGAAAGGTCATGGAGCCCTTGGCGGTTCCTGGCAAAGGTTTTCACTGCCGCGGCATTCAGAGTACTATTGGCCTTCAAGGCTACATTTCGTGGCTGGTTATCGGGTCATAGCTTATGATATCTAAAGCGACTGAACAGTGGCGAGTGGGCCAGACCATGGTTCAGTACTGGGGTTCATCATACAGTCCATGGTTGAGCAGGTTGGCATGTTATTTTGCAACCTCACTTGCGACTTTAAATTTAGAGACGACAAAGCGAGGAGGGGAATCAGAACGGGTTCTGCTGGCGGAAGTGCTTCATCAGGCCGTTGTTGCGCATGCCGATGGCGGTCTTGTAGTCGTGCCTCTGGCGGTACTCCTTGAACGTGGCCATGTCCTTCCACGCCTGGCGGCCATGGGGCTGGGCCATGACCAGCTCACGGTTGTGGCTGGTCTGGACGATCTGGTTCTGGTACTCTGGGTTCTCCGCATAATTAGTCAGCATCTTGTGGATCATAACGCTGTCCTTCTCGGTGCGCAACATCGGGATGGTCTGCTTGTAGTAGCGGCGCAACGTCCTGTGTCCGATCCGCTCGCCGCTGGGCAGCACCAGCTCGCCGTCCTCCTCCTCGACGCTTCCCATGAGACTGCGCCGTCCCGCCATCGTCTCCTCATCCAGCTCCTCGTCCTTGTCATGCTGGTCAGCGTCCGGATAAGTGGACGAGAAATCGTAAAAGTCCGAGATCTCCAGGACGTCGATTTCCTCCTCGTACGCGATCTTGCAGTGGCCCTTATCGAGCATGTGCTGGCGCACGGCCTCAAGGCTCTGCAGAGCGCGGCCGCGGCCGCTGCAGTACAGGCAGACATTGGCGATGGAGATTTTGTTGGCCAGGTACTGGATCAGGCCATGCAGGTCCACCAGGTACTCGAGATCGGGGATGAACAGCGAGTGGGCCTTGGCCATGTGCTCCATGTTCTGTTCGAACGTGTCCGACTGGTTCGGGCAGAACAGGCAGTCGTGGTCGGGGTTGAGCCGCGGTGCCGCCTTCTTTTTCTTCTCCAGCAGGTCAATCACCTCCTGCTCGGTAGTGGCCGTGTTCAATTGGTGCTTGATCTGCCGCTCCTGCTTCCGGCGCTCGCGCTCCACATCCTCCTTGCTCAGCGGCGCATCCACATCCATCTTTTGCTCTACCACCTCCTCGTCCTCGTCCTCGTCCTCATCATCGCTGATGACAAACTCGCTGACCTTTGGCGCCGATTCCTCGACAACTTCCTGCTCCTGGTCCATCTTCTGGATCTCCTCGTCCTGGATCTTCTGCACCATCTTGCGCTCGGCCTCCTTGTGCTTCTTGCTATTCAGGTGGTTGTTGAAGGCGTTCTCCGAGCTGTAGGTTTTTTTGCACACGTCGCAGGTTGCCGAGAAGCTTGCGCGCTGCGAGTCGTCGGCCGCCTTGGCTTGCTGCGCCAGCACGCGCTGCGCAAAGTTCTCCGCCGTTACGCTTGGCAGTCCAACCACCTTGCGCTTCAGGTTGTAGCGGTGCCAGTCGGTGCGGTAGTGAAGGCGCTGTTGCTCGGCCGAGTAGAAGGCGACCTGGCACGCCATGCAGGTGAACAGAGGCGAGCTCTGCGCGTTCATTGGGATGGAGCTGGGGGGTTGAGAGTCCATATTTTGTAAAGTGAAAAAGTGTATGTGGATATTACAAAGAGAGAGAGAGATGGGGATTTGTAATCGCAGCTGGGGGTTTACGAGTTGCTGGCCGCAGGAACAAAAAATGGTACAGAGCTGCGGTTTGCAGTTTGCGGATAAATTTTCTTTCGCTGTTGATTATGTGGAGTTGATCTGGTACAGTGATCAGGAAGGAACAACGAAGAAGCAAGGCACGATTATTTTGCTGTCGGAAGAGAAAAACACACACAAGGCACCGCTGAATTCACGCACTGCAGCGAGCAGTCAGTCTTTTCTTTGTTTTTCTCTCATCTTGCTCAATATACCTTTTCATTAGCCTCCAGGCAAAAAATATTAAAAAGCAGAAAGAATGAACGCACCGGTTATTGTTCTCAACACCAACAAACAGCGGGAGAGCGGACACAAGGCGCAAATGTCGAACATTGCGGCGGGCAAGACGGTGGCAGACGTGGTGCGGACGTGCCTGGGACCCCGCGCGATGCTCAAAATGCTGCTTGATCCGATGGGCGGGATCACGCTGACGAACGACGGGTTTGCGATCCTGCGCGAATGCGAGGTAGCGCACCCAGCAGCCAAGTCGATGATTGAGCTGAGCCGCACGCAGGACGACGAGGTGGGCGACGGCACGACCAGCGTGATAATCCTGGCGGGCGAGATGCTGGCGATCAGCGCGCCGTTCCTGGAGCGCAAGATCCACCCGGTGGTGATTCTGCGTGGGTTCCAGCGGGCGCTTTCTGACGCGCAGGAGATCCTGCGGCAGATTTCGGTTCCGGTCGACACCAGCGACCGTGACCAGATGCTGAAGCTGATTAAGAGCGCAATCGGCACCAAGTTTGTCAGCCGGTGGAACGACCTGATGTGCGGACTGGCGCTGACGGCCGTGCAGATTGTGGCGAAGAGCGAGGGCGCAGATGTGCGCGAGGTGGACATCAAGAGGTTTGCACGTGTGGAGAAGGTTCCCGGAGGGGAGATCGAGGAGAGCCGCGTGCTGGATGGCGTGATGGTCAACAAGGACGTGGTGCACCCGAAGATGCGGCGGCGGATCGAGAACCCGCGGATTGTGCTGCTGGATTGCCCGCTGGAGTACAAGAAGGGCGAGTCGCAGACGAACATTGAGATCACGCGCGAGCAGGACTGGGCGCGCATCCTGGAGATCGAGGAGGAGCAGGTCAAGGCCATGTGCGACAAGATCGCGGCGCTGAAGCCCGACCTGGTGATCACGGAGAAGGGCGTGTCGGACCTGGCGCAGCACCATCTGGTGAAGCAGGGGATCACGGCGCTGCGTCGCATGCGCAAGACCGACAACAACCGGATTGCACGTGCCACAGGCGCGACGATCGTGACGTCGGTGGACGAGCTGAAGGAGCAGGACGTGGGGACGGCGTGCGGGCTGTTCCACGTGGAGAAGATCGGAGACGAGTACTTTTCGTTCCTGACGCAGTGCCGCAACCCCAAGGCCTGCACGATTCTGCTGCGTGGGCCCGGCAAGGACACGCTGAACGAGGTAGACCGCAACCTGCAGGACGCCATGTGCGTAGCCCGCAATGTGATGTTTACGCCGTTCCTGTGCCCGGGCGGCGGTGCTGCTGAGATGGCTGTGGCGGTGCAGCTGGCGCAGCGCGCCAAGGAGCAGGTTGATGGCGTCGAGCAGTGGCCGTATGCGGGCGTGGCTGAGGCCATGGAGGTCATCCCGCGCACGCTGATCCAGAACGGCGGCGGCAATGCGATTCGCACGCTGACGCAGCTGCGTGCCAAGCACGCGCAGGGCCTGACGTCCTGGGGAGTCGACGGTGAGCGCGGTGTGCCCGCCGACATGCAGGAGTACGGAGTCTGGGAGCCGCTGGCCGTCAAGCTGCAGACCATCAAGACTGCCGTGGACTCGGCGTCGCTCTTGCTGCGCGTCGACGATATTGTGTCGGGCACTGCCAAGAAGGATTAAAGTTTTGATTGAGTCTTCAGAAAATTACATTCTCTACCGGCCGCCGCCACACCTTCACCACGCCCTGCCGGCACGCGGTCACCAGCAAGTCCTGGCTGAACTGCACTCCACATAGGGACGCCTCGTGGATGCGCTCAGAGACCAGCGGCTGCAGCACAGCGCACCCGTCGCGCGGCACACGGCCATGCACCGTCTCCGAGGGCGCGTCGTCGACGCCGGGTGGGCCATGCAGGTAGTCGAGGTCTGAGGAGTGGCGCACGTGACCGGCCTGATGCGACGGCGTGCGGTGCAGTCTCGGCCGATGCAGCGCCGGCAGCGAAAAGTCCCACACCAGCAGCTGCGCGTCCTCACCGACCGACATGAACCGATAGGCATTGCGGGCCGCTGGGTCGAACTGCACATCGGTGACCCACGACAAGTGGCCGGTGCAGCGGGCCACGGCCATCTGCTCGTAGTACCCAAAGACCGTCAGCTGGTCGTCCTTGCCGCCGGCCACAATGTAACGCGCGTCGGGGCTCCAGGCCGCACACGTCAGACCGCCGAAATACGACAAATAGACGTCCTCCAGGAGCTCGTTCATGTAGTCGATCACGCGCAGACCGCCGTCCTCGCACGTGACCGCCACGCGCTGCATGTCGGGTGCGAAGGCCAGAGACGTGATCGCGCGGTTGCTCAGCTTCCAGTATGCCACCGGGTTGCTGCGTGGCTTGAGCTGCCGCGCCACCTCGAAATGGTCCATGCGCGTGACCTTGCGGTTCGCATGCGCTATACCGGGCACATAAAAGTCCTCCTTGGTGCGGTCCATGATCATCACCGCACCATCGGCCGTGCCCGCCATGAACAGCGTGTCGGAGTCTGGCAGCCATTTCACACACGTGATCGCCGGCCCGTATCCAGAGTTCTTGTTCAGCCGTGCATACTTGCCCGACACTGGCTCGTACCAGATCATGTCGCCGTGGACAAACCCCATAATGATATCGACACGGCTCGCCGACCGCACGCTAACCGCATGGCACAAGGGCGTGGTGCCCGTCAGGTCCAGCCTGGCTAGTGTCTCCCGGCCAGCCTCCGAAACCCCCGCCCACGTCAGGCACCTCGGTGCATTGAACACCAGGAACACGCTCTGCTCGTCCACAATCCATTTGGCGAGGTTCTCGGTCGTCACCATCCGGCTCACATACGTTGATGTGCATTTTGTCACTATTCCCTTGCCCACCGCAACCTCGTTCTGTTCTTTGGTGCGCCAGCCCCGCATAAAATTGCTCTTGCGGCTGTTCTTGGCTACTGATGCGCTCGACGACCCACCGCTGATATCCGCTGTTTGCTCGCTGTGTGCGTCTGTCGGCTCGTCATTGCGGCTGCCTTGGAATATCGCCACGTGTGTGGGTCGGTTCGCTTGCGCGTACATGCGCGCTGCTGCCTGTCGGCGGTGGCGGCGGTGGTGCCGGTGCCGTCGGTGTGCTTGGGAACATCAGCCCGCCGGCTGCCATAGCGGTGCTGGCAGCACCAAACCGCATCGGACCATTGATCGTAGGCGGCACTGTGCCCATGGTGGACGAATTGCTGGCGCCTGCACACAGGTCGTCGGCGCCAATGTCCTTGGCGATGTTGGGCAGGAACTGATTCGCCGCATCTTCCGTCTGGAACTTGCTGACCAGCACCCACTTGCCCCTCGGGCGTGTCGAAATGCGTGCACGGCTGAGCAGATGCCATTAGTACAAAAAGAAAAGGGAAATTACTATTGAACGAAAGGAGAACCGCGTCATGTCTTTTGCTTGCTCAAGCTGTCAGGGTATTTATTGGGTGGGTTCACGTCACATGACTCTTTCATGGCAGTGCATTGGCGTAATGCTTGCCCAGGAACGCCATTTCGCCGCCATACGACGCACGGTTGAGCACAAAGAATCCGTCGACCACGCCGTTGACGCTATTGCCCTTGGCGCTGCCAATTGTGCCAATCGGTCCGGTCACCACCATCGTCTCGTTGCGCAGCTGGTCCCACCTCGGGTTCCAGTACTGCACCCACGTCTGCCTGCGCATATTGAAGAACACCGACGTCTTGGTGCCATCGGCCGAAAACGCAATATGCGACCACTTGTCCTTGGGCAGGATAATCTGCGTCGCATACTGGTGCCCGTCCTGCTCGAACGTCACTGTCGGGCTGGTCGCATTGCTAATCAGCAATCTGCCGTCGCCAGACTCGAGCAACACGGCGTTCGGCTGCTGGTCACCGGTGGGCTTGACCCACAGCCCGATTGCGTACGGGTACCGGATCGACTCCAACGGCGTCTCAATGTACGCATCGCTCGAGAGCTGCACTGCCTTGCCGTGGCCCTCGCCGATTTCGACGATTTTGGCTCCGTTCTTGAGCTCGCCATGGTACTGGTTTCCAGACGCATCCTTGACACCATCCTCAAAGTCATACGAAATGACGAACTGGCCCTTGGACTTGGGCCGGCGCTGCAGTGTCAGCCCGGGGATGTTCTCCAGCAGCTTCTTGGCCTTGGGTGCCCAGTCGTCGTAGGAAACACGCTGAGTGTTTTGCGCGCCCGACCATAGCTTCTCGGCCACAGCGCCAGCCGCCTTGGACACACGGTCGAACACCTCGACGCGCGTCACAGACTCACCCAAAAAGTCGTTCCAGTTGGCGAACCCGCCGCCCGTAAGCAGCGGCTCGTTCGGCTTTAGATTGCGGCTCGAATTGGTCTTGTCGAGGATGTCAAACACCCAGGGCTCCCAGAGCTCATACAGCTTCTTGCTGTCCAGGTAGTCCCAGTACGACTGCGAGCGCGGCACCAAGTAGACGTCGGGAGCATTCAGATTCGACACCTTGTGGCCGCGCTTCACCAGATCCACCGGGTTCGAGTACGTCCAGTCCCAGTGGTCCGTGGTAATGTCGGTTTTGATTTCAATGGTGCCCGGCAGTTTGACGTCCGAGCCCCACATGCGCACGGTGCGGTTGAAGTTGTCCCGGAAGTAGTCGTGGAAGTGGTTGACGAATTTGCGCGCCAAGTCGCCCTTGGTCTCGTCGTACTCGTCGGCGCCTATCGAAATCTCGCGCGAGTCAAACCATCCGACAAACTCGCCCCACAGCTTCTCCACAAACGTCCACACTTCGGGATTGCCCAGGTCAAGCCAGTCGCCGCGCGCGGTGTCGTTCTGAATCGACCACTCTGGATGGAACTTTGTAAAGCACAAAGAATGCGCCGGCGTATCGATCTCCGGAATCAGGTCCTGTCCGTGCGCCTTGATGAAATCCTGGAACTCGCGCATATCCTTTTTGGTATACGCCATATCTGCATTTGCGTATTTGGCAAACTCTGGGTTATCCGACTTGAGGCGGAACCCCGAATAGTACGTATTCCAGTTGGGCATCAGGTTCTTGACGCGCATGCCCGGATTGTCATTGTAGTGGTGGTGCAAGGTGTTGTACTTGAAGAACGACGTCACCACCGAGTACTCGCGCAGATCCGACTGCGGGAACGGCTTGCGCGCAATGTCCTGCATGAACTTGCGCTCATTGTAGTTCGGGAAGTCTCTGGCCCGGCCCTGCGCCAGCCCATCCCCCTCGGCAAGTATCACCATCTGCAGCAACGTCCGTGTGCCCCAGAACGCTCCGCGGGATGTCACCGCCTGGATCTGCACGCCCTTCTTGTTGATATCCAACAAGTATCCCTCGTGGTTCAAGGCCTTGTCCTGCGCGTTAGCGCCCAAAGTCAGGAAAATGTCGCCCTTTGAGGGCTTGCTCGACACCGCGACTTGGAGCTCGTGGCCGGTCACCTCGTGCAGGTCCTTTTGCAGTGTCTTGGCAAAGTCCGTCAGAGTCGAGGGGTTCGCCATGAACGTGTTTGGGGCGTCGCAGGAGCCGCCCTTGGCGTACTTCGGGTCGACGACGATTCGCGTCTGCTTGGTTAGCTGCCACGTGCCCTTGGCTCCCTGCCACTCCTGCAGAGACGGGATCACAAATGGCGTCGGGTTGACGTCCTTGCCATGGGAGCTGGTCGTGGTTGCCACCACATCTGATGAATCGTCGGGCACTGGGTTGGCCAGCACTCCGACCGTGCCGATAGCTGCTAGGGCAGCGAGGAAAGTAATGCCGACGCGTCTCATGGGTTTATTATGACGAGGCTGGCTTCTTGATATAATAATAAAATAGTACTCGGGGCTATAGCAAAAATAGGTTTAGTTGAAGGAAGAGGTTGATACGGATTCTCAAAAGCGCAAGATGGCAACTAGCTCGTCCTTGTTTTATACCTGCGAGCAGGCCTTGCCCACAGCGTGGTTGCCAATGTTTGTTCCTTTTTGTCTTCGCTCAAGCAAATCCAAGCCTTGAACTCGGCCACTTCCTCGCTTCCTGCTCCAAGAAACAGCACCGCGATTCTGCATGGAACCTCCTTCCCGACAATTTCACAACAGGACAAGGAATCTACTGGACTCCGGGAACACAGCTGCGTGGTGGCGAGATCCGCACATGTGTGCATATTCCGCTCATTCGCCCTCATCCGGAAAACAGTCAATCCGTCCCAGTGCCTCCGCGAATCGGTCGATATGTCGGTGCAATGAGGCACAAAAATGGGCAGAAAGAAACCCATGCAGTTCGCTGGAAGTCATGAGGTCAGCGAAACCGATGTGTATAGTGGATCTTCAAAATGTCTTCTCGAATTCTGCTTTCCAACGCACACTCTCTGGAGCGCCATGACCGAGGATTTACCAGTCCGTGCCTCAGTTCTGCAAGCACCCCACTCCCTCCGGTCCTTTGTGAAAGTGAGACGCACCTTTTTCCACACTGCATTTTGTGGCAAACTAGAGTGGCCAGAACGTCCCCGAGTCATTATTTAGCCATTCTGTTGGAGTGCTGCAAGAGGTAAAAACAGGGTGCGGATAAATATTTTAACAAGAAAAACCAACATTTACATAAAAAACCAGCACACGGAGTGACTGGCTCTACGAAAACACTGCCTTGGTCAATGACATTATATACGATTGCCTGATCCGGTTCGCCAAATAGTCTGCATTCAGGCCTGCAATGTAGTTATCCGTAGACTGTGCTTTGACTTGCACCACATCTTCCATTAGCTTGTACAGTGCATTACGGTAATTGGCCGTCTCTGGGTGCACGTACAGTGCACTGGCCGTCTCCAGATCGCCCAGGAACACTGCCAGTTTTGAGTAAGCGTCCTGCTCGTGCCCATCAAACGGTTTGATACGCGCTAGGCGCTGCACCATCCCGTACATGCCAGCTAGCTGCCCAATGCTCAAACTGGCTGCCGCACAGATTCCAATGAAAAGCAGAAAAACGAGTGCGATGTTCATTTTTAAACACACAAGTAATCAACAAGGTTTGACAAAACTGAGGTACCAGCATATATGCTGTTCCGCGGCTTTTATATTCTGATGTTCCCCGCACACTCGGTCACGATGCGAATTTTGTGAGCACATCTTGCTGTTTCTTGCTGGCTGTGAAAAGACTAACGAGTTTTTACAAGTGTGGAGAACTTGAGGTTGCAATGGTTTCAGTTTATCCCGCTTCCCATACAACTCACTAGGACTGATTGGCGGAATGGAAGCATCGCCGATTTAGTTCTGAATTTGTTATTGGCGATATTTTGCAACTGTACACATATCAATAGCACCAATCTAGTAACTCTCGGATAACACAAGTTTTGTATCCCCAGTTGATGCTGAGCTGCTCTCCAAAGGAATGGTATTTGCATACAGGTGATGTCGACTATATTTCACTCGCTGTAGTCACTAGCGCAACTACTGCAAACTCTGTGCCGATAGCTATTCAAGTTGACTATTTCCTCAGGTTACCTTCTAAAAGCTGCTGAGGAAAGCTCAGCGTCAAGTCGCAATATGCTACTCCGTCTGTTGGTACAGCCAGAGAACAGGGTGAGCTGGGCTGTCCCAGTGCGGCTAGGCTCGAATTCCACTAGTTGGAGACAGCTCCAGGCATCCAACTGGGGAAGCTTTAATGATATGAAAAATCATTGATGTCCACTGTTGATACGTGATACGCATAAACAAATTGTATTCGTGAAAAATAGCATTCAGATGGCTGAGGATGGTAATGAATAGGGATCATGGAGTGACTATTAAATACTAGCTGCATTTTATGCATGATAGTACTGTAGTGACATATCCCATAGACCGACTATTCAGGACACAAGGAAACGCTTCGTGTAGCTGCTGATTCGTACTACACCACATGTATTATTAGCAATGCAGCAACTATCTACCCCTTGTGGTATTAACCTAACGCAAACATATCCAAAGAGGTTCAGTATACAAAGCGGCGATATATGCTTGGTATGTACAACATAATACTTTCCTAGTATATACCTCACTATTATTGCAAGCAGTGGTTTGGTGGCATACAGTTATACTGAGAAGTACTTTGGGGCTGGACCCCTATAAATTATGTTTATTCTGACCACAGATCCAAGACTCTGCCCTTTTAGAAATGCAATTCTCAGACACTCTGTTTCCGTTCTTTTGGTAGCAGTGATGTCAGCCGCCAACCAGCATGAGTATGTAAAGGAAGCTTAGGGCAGCAATAGCTGTCATTGAAGCCATGATCGTCGGGGTCGAATCCATTAATGACATTCCCTCTGGCCAAAGAAAGCGCTTAATACTGCTATTAATGAAGATGTTGACAAGGAACATATTATCACAAATCCTATCAAATCAGAGGTAGAAGGTATATCTGGAGTATTCAGCAATTCAGACTGCAATAGATTCTCTAACTGCAGCATTAGGAGTAATCAGACATTGGAATAAAGTTGGCTGAACCTTATTATACTGGCACACAGACATTAAGGGTAAACAAAATTGATGTTTTAAGAGATGTCTGGGTACTCATGCCTGTGTAATTAGCCAATGCTTATTGCAGTCCTATCATCCGACATATATGTCCAGTGAGCAACCATTATGGTGAAACAGCCTAAATGCATGAATCATTAAGTGCAGAGTGGAAAGTAGACTGGAACAGCCAAGATTATGTATAATGAGCTGGAAAAAGGCTGGCACTAGTCGTAGGGATAAGCAAAGGAAAGCAAAGAGATGGAGTCAAATCTGGTGGCTGGACAGATTATGAATAAGGAAATAACAGTGAAAAATGAGGAATGCTTCATCAAATTTCTGACAGTTGAGTTTGAAATGGAGAGATACTGGGCTTCAATAGACTGGAGAAAGTTGTGAGTTTGGAGAAATTGCTTGGTGGACCCAAATCCATACCACCACATAATGCTGAAGAGAAACAGCAGCGGGGCACATTAATTGGGTTCCCGTTGATTCAACCAGACGAAAAATACAATATCAAGAACACAAGGTAAGCGATGGTCCATTCAGCCCTGAAAACACTTCTTTGGTATCAAACGCTTTAGGCGATTCGCAGTTGCCAACCAAGAGAATGGCCGCTGCTATAGTTAACATCATGCGGTTCTTTCTAACTCTTGCACATATAGGAGAGAGCTGTAAGAGGTCACCACGAGCCTAAAAAGTATATTTAAGGGTTTTATGTTAAAGGAATCGATGAAAAGGAAACAGAGAAAGGATGAAGGAGATACGAGAATCTCGTTAGGTCCTCAAACTCTAATTCCTCCTAATGACCTGGAATGAGCATCAGTGTGCCATTATCCTGTAGAGCAAGGGGGCGAATGGACAGGAGATGAGGAGACGCCTACTGAAAGGGGACTAGGAATGTTGTCAGACACAACTGGAACTTGGTTACCAGTCTAGATAGCCATAGAGGAAGCACACCTAGTGAAAGGTATAGCCCATAAAGCAGCTGTCACAGTCGCAGAAATTGTGGTTGATGGCCATGGTTGATGGGTGGCAGTATGTTCGTGTTGCAAAGAATAAAGTGTAAAAGTTGAATTCCACGATGGAGTGAAAGGAAAAGACAAAATGCCAGGCTGGAAATGTCCTGCCAGGATGCTCTTTAGTATGAAATCTCTAGGATAAGGGTTTCAACGTGCTGAAGGCAGCTTTTTCTCAGCTACATGCTAGGCGACTACAAAAACAATAGAGGGATGTGCACTAGCAGTTGACAAGGGGTGTGGGCCAACCAGTTGTTCTTAGCCTAGGATCACTGGAAATGCCAGTGGCTACCATTGTCCAGTAGAAAATCAGACAGAGCGGAACAGGAGGAAAGCCGCATATCCTGCAGACATCATGTTGGACACATGCATAAAAGCACAACACCTGGCCAGCTTGAATTAAAGGTGGCTGCATGCCAGAGTTGGTTGTGTGAGTATCAGGACTTGCAAGGAGTGGAAATTTGTGCACTACCACCTGCCTCTCGCCGCCCAAATGTCTGAGCCAAGAACGCCTTGCATATACGGCATCTGCTGAACTTTTTCTGACTCGGAGATACATATGCAGAAAAATGGCCGCAGGCTAACATGCTTCGTTGTTTTCCGGCCAGCAACACTTGCATTGGTGCTACTGTGACCCGCAGGAGATAGGAGACATCCATGGCCCAGCGCTCTATATACTATTTTCTAAAACCAGGATTACTTTCTATTGCCACTCAAGGCCACCAGGACCACAGGTTTTGTGTCCTGAGTCTATAGAGGTGGATCAAAAGGACACGGCATCCTCTTTAGTGTTGCTACCTGGATCAAATATGTATCAGTTACACTCCATTGCTGTCCGCTAGTCAGAAAAGTGTTGTTTGTAAGACGGTAGGTCGTGAAGAAGTCATAGATAATGCATTGCTTCACTGCTAGCCTTCATCGGACGAACATGGGTTCTGATGTGCATAACATGCGGTCCATAGCAGCCTATGCATGTGTGCAAAAATCTTCTCATATAGCCATGCTGTGAAGAGTCACGAAATTACGAATGGGCTGGCACCATCTGACAAAGTCCAGGATGGAGTTGTGGATTTTGGCAGTAATGTGCTTGCGCCCAACGCGCATCATGCACAGTGACCAGAGGAATTGGGATAGCTACCACCAGAACTGAAGGGCGTGGGGACACAGCTAGAAGTAGTGCTCCTGGTTTTCCCCCGGGCATTGGCATATAGGGCGTTGTCTATCAACTCCCAAGGAGATATACACTATATGTATGGCCTATATTCTCTACTATTGTACTTGTTCGCTAGATTAAATTGTCTGCTTAGATTTCTCCGAAATGTTGCCGCAATCAATGAATATGAATAACCGTTCAATGTTGCGGCGTTATTCAGTTACCAAGTGAATGCAATAGAATTGCTTAGCCCTACTGCTATTGAAATAAGATCGGCGCTATATTTAAAGTAGAGGAGTCCATGCAGTCCACCATCCAGCACAGCTATCCATTTATCCCGAACATTCTTCAATACACCAGCTTTTGGGAGAACAAATCTACATCAAGCATATATAACAGTACATACTTCCTGTTTGTCGAATATCAGCACAATCACCTTTACAATCAACTTTCCCTTACTACCAACCACAATGAAGCTCTTATTCACCGTCCTTGCTATTGTGGGTGTTGTGTCTGCCGTCAATGCGACTCCCAATTCCAGCTCAGGCTCAACCAATACGCATGTAGTTTACCCACCAAGGTCGACACCGCCTGCTGGAGGAAACAGCAATGTGCTGTGGCACCCGTGCATGCATGTGAAGTGTGCACCTAATGAAGTGTGTATTGAAAGGCAAGTCCAGTGCTTTGTTGCTCCTTGCTATCCGATCCCTGAGTGTGTTGCTGTATGAAAGAAAGCAGCCTGTGCCTGCAACGGGTTACATTGGGTATCGCCACATTCATGCGCTGTTGGCTGCACAGCGTAGCGTCTCGAATATTGGCGACACCGCATTTTCCTAAGCGATGATTAAATAAAATCACTGATCAACTTTTCTGCGAATCGCCGTTTTGCATTAGCCCAACCATCAATTTTCATGAAATGCAAGCTTATGATAACGTTGGGAAGCACGGAGAACCTCCAGCGCCGTCTTTACCCTCCCGGACCTTTCGCAAAGCTTTTAATTTTTGTACTATTCTGACCGAATAAGGAACCGTATTATCTCTACATTTTACTAGCGATCGTTTAAGCAGCCCACCCCAGGTACACATCAACCATGAACAACGCACTTTTCCGGTTGCGCACAAACACCACGGCAGTCTCGGGCGTCGCACTGCGCCTGACCCGCAGCGGCACCACCGCATACAAGCCCATCGCCAGCCGCTACCTCCTGGCCTCTGGTCTTCACACGTCACGCATTCAGCTCGATGGCGGGCACATCAGCCCGATCAAGGCATTCGCCGAGTCGATCAAGCGGCAGGTGAAGGAGAACCAGGAGATGCAAGAGAACATGAAGCTGCTGGAGGACCGTAGCAGCAAGATTGCGGATTCTGCGGCGATGAAGAAGACAAAAGAGGCGGCATCGGCAAGTTCCGAGGCGCTCAAGAAGACAGCCAAAGTTGTTGGCGGCGCGGTGGGCGAGGGAATCAAGGTTGTCGCCGATACGCCGGTGGTGAAGGTGACGGGCGCGGCCGTCAAGACCACAGCCAAGGCTGTAGGCACGGCAGCATCGGCGGCGACGGCGCCTATCCGTAATACCGAGACGTATAAGACGGTCGAGCGCAACGTCAAGGGCTATGTGGACGAGGCGTCGCTGCAGTACGGTGGGTACCGGGACAAGGAGACGCGGGCGCGGTCGCGCATCATGAGCCGCACGAACAAGGCGCGGTCTTTTGCAGAGTACCAGCGCACACGTGTTGTCAAGGCCGACGAGAACGCCGGCGAGGGCATGGTGTTGCACAAGGATTCCAAGTGGAAGGAGAGCTGGGATAATTTCAAGTCGACCAACTCGGTGATGCAGGGCATCTTCAAGGCGCGCAAGGACTATGAGGAGAGCGAGAACCCCGTGATCGAGGCGTCCAGGGTAGTCACTGACAAGGTGCGCGGCGTGTTTGGCTTCTTCTTTAACGAGACCGAGTCGGCGACGGCTCTGCGTCAGATCCGCGATCAGATCGACCCGACGTTTAATATCGAGGACTTCATCCGCGAGTGCCGCGAGTTCATTATCCCTGAGATCCTGGACGCATACCTGCACAGTGACGCAGAGACGCTGAAGGTGTGGTGCTCGGAGGCCTCGTATAATGTGCTGACGGCCATCTTCACGGCACAGGTGCAGCAGGGCGTTATCAGCGACTGCAAGATCCTGGACATGCGCCACGTCGACTTCCACTCGGCGCGCATGCTGGAGAACGACGTGCCTGTCATTGTCGTGACTTTCCAGACACAGGAAAACAACGTCTTCCGCGACAAGAAGACCGGCGAGATCGTCCAGGGGTCTGAGGACGTCATTGAGGCCTGCCACTACGTCTCGATCTTCACCAAGGTTCCCGAGAACGCCGACGATCCAGTCACCAACGGCTGGAAGATGATCGATCTGGCCAAGCAGGCTTCGCGCCTACCTGGTAGACGCACCCAAAAGTACCTTTTTCGAGATAGACATTCAGCACAATTTATTTTTTGACAGCTGCAGACGAGCCCAGTGCCACGCACCCTTTACCACGATGCCTTGTCGACACCCGGCAGATCGCCGTTCAGCGCGTGCAGGCGGAACTGGAAGCGGCACATCTTCCACTCGTTGAAGATACCGCGACCACGGCCGGTAATAAGGCAGCGGTTCTTAATGGCCGTCGGGCTGGCCTCGCGCGGCGTGCGATTCAGCGCCAGCTGCGCCTGCATGCGAATTTGAGGCTCCAGTGTCGTGTTGCGCGACATGTACCGCCATATTGTCCGCTCCAGCTCCTTGTCCACAATCGACTTGCGCGCCTTGATGTTACGGAGGATTCTCGACTTCATTTGTGGACTGAATAAAGGCTAGGCAAGAAAATGTAAATTTGAGGTCAAAGAGAAAAAAGCCCAAAAGCCCAAAATCGTGGCATTTGGTAAGGATAAGCGCACCCAGATCATGATCAGCAGGATGGGCTCTCAATCAAGGCGCTTGCATTTGGGCAAACTGCCCCAGGTACATGCTCGCGATGAAGAGGCCGTTGTGGGTGTTGTAGCCGATTCGGGTGGACGCTACGCCCCTTATGTCCCTCTCCCTGTACAGGTGTGGCCTCCACTGCTTTGTCGCTTCGCCCGGATTCCCCACATACCGCATTGAGCAGAAAAAGAACCGGTTGTACATAAAAGTCAGCACAATGTGGGTATGCAGCACAGATTTCAAAGGTGCAAAGTTGAGCCGTCTAGAACGCATCGACCCAATTGTCATATCAGATGCACCAACAACCTGGTCAAATGCATCCGTGAGGCTCTGCAGTGGGATTTCACCATTGGGAAGCATGGTCTTGGGCCTTAGTGGCGCCTGCACTTTGATAACGATCTGCGGTAGCATCATTTCGCACATTTGCTGGGTCGGTGCCCGGGTCATTTGCAACGTCACTCATGATCACGATGTCAGCCATGCCGCCGTCACTAGGGCTAAGCTCAGTGTTGACGGTGCACCCCTGGTATTTCAGCGGCATCAGCAGGGCTGAGACGAAGCACAGGTATGTCTCGACAGGATGGGTGAGTGGAAACTCGTGTCTTGCCGTCAGGTGCTTGTCAATGAACCAGGCAAAGCTTTATCAGGTCGCCGTTGTGGATCCCCGTATCATACAGCACTGGACTCAGTGTCCAAAAGCGATGTCCTGGTTCCGCGCAGCGGAGATGCAGAATCGCTAGCAAAGCTTCAAACGCCTCGTTGCTCGCAACACAGACATGCCCGTTGACAAGTACCAGGTAGCCAGCCTGGTATAGCTGGCTGAACGCCGATTCTAGGCACAGTCCAGCAGCGCTACATTCCCATATGCGGCTTTGGTCGACGGATAGGCACATGTGCACCAGGCTGGTGAGTGCGTCGCCATCTATCATGAACGGTACACTGGTGAAGGCACTCTGACTGAGCATCGATATGCCCTCAGACTGGATCTCTGTCTCCAGCGTGCCTGCGGTTGACAGGCTGCCGAAATGATATAGACGGCGGGTCATGTACTCGAGGATTGGCCCCTCAATTAGCTGTCGGAATCTCTGGGGCTCGACTATATGCAGCGAGTTGGTATCTAAAGTTTCGCGCAGCGGAATCTGGTGGTCCAAAATCGAGCCCTGGATCTGGGCCAGCGTGTTCGTATCCTTCAATGGCCTCGATGAAGCGAATTACTGAGCGCGTGTTGAAGCAGTACTGCTTGGTCCCGTAGGTGTTGTGGTTGACGGTTTTGAATATGTACGACATCAGGTCCTTTTTGAATTGAAGCTTAAAGGCTGGAGTGGAGCGGGCGCTATGTCGCTCGACATGGTCGCATATGAGATCCCACGCTTCGGTTTCGGATAGACCAAATGCAGCATCAAAGGGGTTAGAAGAGTCTGAGGAAGAACCAACCCCGTGGTGAGGTTGGAATACTTTGTAATCACTTCTGCCAGGCCTCTTGTGGTAGAGCGGGATGTTATATACACCAGCCAGGACGCCAATCTTCAAATAGCTGTTGTTCTACAAGGATTGTTCGGATAGCAAACACTTTCAGCTGCAGTGCCTCTCCACCCAAAAGCGGCTATCGGTGACAGGCACTTACCTTGAATAGCTCATTGTAGAATGCAGAAAATTCGTGCAATATCTGGTCCCGCATAAGCGTGTCAGCAATACCATTGCTGTATCCAACAAGCTTGGTAATCGCATGGTAGCCGGGCGTATCGTAGTTGTCGATGATGATAACCGAGTTGGCTCCACCTGGATATTTGCTGAGAACAGACATGAGCTGTGGCAAAAACTGACGGGTTTCCATTTTGGCATACGGGCGCGCAAAGTCATACAGGCCATCATACTTTTCCAGGGTACTGTTGATGAGGGAAACCTTCTCATCTACCGAATAAAACTGCCCCTTGTCGTTCCACAGCCTTTTATCGCTGAGATGAGTCTTGAGTAGCGATATGTAAGGGCGAGAGATCTCGATAATCTTTGACGCTATAGTGTAGAAGGCCTCGTCGGGGCTGTTCACCTCCACAGTCTACAGTTATTGCTGGAAACTGAGTACAATGGGGAGGCTGTCAATAAAGAATAGTCATGTGCACCCGATTTTCTGCTTACTTTAAAATCCATGTAAAACACGGGATACCTTGCGAAATGCTCGTGGACAAACGGCTGGTTCCGGTGAAATAGTTCATAGTCCTTTGAAGACATGGAGGCGTTTTTCTTTTGGTACCGACTGATTCTGCCGACAGGAAACTCACGCAGCATGGTCAGGAACGTCGTCTTTCCGAAGCCACGCGGTGCCAGGCCGGTCCAAGACCGTGCATCCTTTGGTCATAATACGCTCAATAGCCATGGACTTGTCGACAATGACACCGTCGTCGGAAATAAACCGCGACCACACGTCCTGGCCGACCAGCACGCGGTTGGCCATGGGTACGCGGTCTGTTAGGGGTAAGTGTGTTTGGAGTCCAGGGTCTCGTCCTCTGAAATTATGATGTCTTCAGCGGCGCTGTCGTAGGCAGGGCTGGCGCGTGTGCTCTTGGAGCTGCTACGCCTACGGGCAGAATGTGGCGGGGGCTTTGTTCTGGGGCTACGGGTGGCCTTGGGTGGCCCATTTGGTTGTGCTTTGGGCATTTTAAGGGTTATTTTGAGAGTACAAGTGGGGTGTAGTATGCTGGATGGAGACGAGATAAGAGGGCTGGTGAGGTGGAGGAAGAGGAGAGACACCTGGAATGCGAGCAACCCATTCCACGCTCTGCTGACCTCGCTGATCGCTGCAGGCTTATGCGCAAGGTGGGGACAACCTCTTGGGTAATGTGACATGGGAGCCAAACCGACCGACATATGCGAACAGAAGGGATTACTCGGGGACGATATCCGGATAAGAAAATCAAGGAAAAGACTGCGCGGTAATCAAGCAAGCGCAGGAATTTTACTATCAAAGGTGGTATGCGGTGTTCCGTGGTATATCCGGCCACCCACCGATGCACTTTGGTAATATGACAAACATGAAGCCATTCTTGCCTCTGGACTCCCAGTATCTTCACAAAACATGCCAACAATGAGGGACTGTACCTGATCCCCCACTGTCACCTGGGCCATCCATGCATTGGTCCGTGTAGTAGATCTTGGCGTTGGCTCGCGTTAATAGCTCAGGCGCAGAGGCGCATTGTTTTTCCTTGCTACCTGCCACGATCTACCAGTTCAGCTATTAATATGGAGCCCGCCTTACGATAATATTTGAGCGATTTTAGCGATCGAGTGACTATGGTGATGCTGACTAAGAAAGGCGCAAAAGCCGAACTGATAACGGGTGCTGTTTGGACCCCAAAGCCTGTCCCCCAGAACCAGGACCGCCCAAAAATCACGAAAATTGCATCATCGCTACACAGAATTCCCCATTGACAGTGGCAGGGTCGTTTGTTTAAAAAGTAGTTGAAATTGGCCCGCAAACTTCAGACCTTTCGCTTCTCTACTCCTTATCTCGATTTCTACCTTTTTTTCTCCTTTTTCTTGTGAGCTGTTCACTGCTATAATGCTGTCGTCTGCGCTATTCAAGACGAGCATGCGGGCAGCGTCAGTGCCATTCGGACGGCTGACGGTCTCGAAATTCGCTGCAGCCTCGCATTTCCGACAGCTCAGCACCAAAGCTGCGCACAGCAAGGTGCTGCAGCACCTCAAACAGCAGTCACAGCCATACCGGCTTTACAGCTCGGCCCCGCCCAAGGCACCCACTGAGACACACACAGCCCTGCCCAGCCAGTCGCCCACAGAGACAAAGCTGGTCCCGGCTCCAGCAAAGAAAAGGAGCCGTGGTGCCATGAGCAAGGGCGGGCTCCAGATTATTCTGAGCATGTTCAAGTACGTATGGCCCAAGGGCGACTGGGCGACCAAGTCGCGGGTCATTACGGCTATAGTGCTGATGCTGGGCAGCAAGCTGCTGAACGTGCAGGTCCCAATGATTTTCAAGAGCATCGTGGACGGGCTGAATGTGGACGTGGCGATGCTGGGCGGCACGCTGTCAACGGTGGCAACTGCTATGCTGGTCGGGTATGGCGTTGCTAGGCTAGGGGCCGCAGCGTTCCAGGAGCTGCGGAATGCAATTTTTGCCAACGTCCAGCAAAGTGCAATCCGCAACCTGGCACTGAACGTGTACAGGCACTTGCTGGACTTGGATATCCGCTTCCACCTATCGAGAGAGACTGGTGGACTGACCCGCGCTATTGATCGAGGAACCAAGGGCATCAGTTTCATTTTGTCCTCGCTGGTAGTGCACCTGTTCCCGACTCTGCTCGAGATTGGAATGGTGTCGGGAATTCTGGCCTACAAGTTCGGTCCGCAGTACGCGGTGGTCACAGTTGCTACCATGGCAACCTACATTGCCTTTACGCTGGCAATCACGCAGTGGAGGACAAAGTTCCGCCGTCAGATGAACGTGGCTGACAACCAGGCGGCCACCGTCGCTGTCGATTCGCTCATCAACTACGAGTCAGTCAAGTACTTCAATGCTGAGGAGTTCCAGGCCAAAAAGTACGACAAGGCCCTGGCCAACTACCAGAAAGCGGCACTGAAGACCGCCGACAGCCTTGCACTGCTTAATGCTGGACAGAACGCCATCTTCAGTACATCGCTGGCGATCATGATGTACATGGCTGCACAGGGCGTGGTTGGCGGAACCATGAGTGTCGGCGACATCGTCATGGTCAACGGGCTTGTGTTCCAGCTGTCGCTGCCGCTGAACTTTTTGGGTAGTGTCTACCGTGAGATGAACCAGGCCGTGATTGACATGGACACCCTGTTCAACCTGGAGAAGGTCAGGCCCGAGATCACCGACAAGCCCGATGCCAAGCCCTTGCAGCTCCAGGGCGGGTCAATCCGGTTCAGTAACGTCAGCTTTGGGTATATCCCCGACCGCCCGATCCTGAAGGATGTGAGCTTCGAGATCCCGCCTGGCTCGCGCGTCGCCTTTGTTGGTCCCAGTGGATGCGGCAAGTCGACGATTTTGCGGCTCATCTTCCGGTTCTATGACCCAGACACTGGCAAGATCGATATCGATGGCCAGACACTCGACCACCTGCAGCTCGAGTCCCTGCGCCGCGCAATCGGCGTTGTCCCGCAGGACATGCCGCTATTCAACACTACAATCTACCAGAACATCCTGTATGGACGTGCTTCAGCCAGCGAAGAGGAGGTGTATGATGCTGCTCGCCGGTCCAACATCCACGACACGATCAAGTCGTGGCCGGCCCAGTACGAGACACAGGTCGGTGAGCGCGGCCTGATGATTTCTGGCGGTGAGAAGCAGCGTATTGCGCTTGCGCGTGCAATCCTGAAGCGCCCGCCGATTCTGTTCTTTGACGAGGGAACGTCGGCGCTGGATGTGAGCACTGAGCAGTCCATTCTGCGCAATGTGCGTGAGATTCTGGATGAGCAAAAGTGCACTGCCATTTTCATTGCCCATCGCCTGCGCACGATCATGGACGTCGACCGGATCTTTGTGCTCAAGGATGGCCATGTTGTCGAACAGGGCACCCACTATGAGCTGCTGTCCAAGGATGGCACCTACCGCCATATGTGGAACATGCAGGAGTCGCAGGGATACCTGGAAGAGCATGCTGGCAAATAAGTATAAAATATCGTTTTTTTAGTTGCGAAATAGATATTCAACATCCAAGAATTGGTTAGGTATTGCAGATCAGGATGCGGTGTGGCGTGTTGAATCTGGCCGAGATGTCCACCGCAATCCACATGAAAACTACGAGGAACATAAGACCTGAATCGAGACCGTACCAGCCTGACTCATGGCGGCGGTGCGCTTTGAATGTCAAGGAGAGCACCTGGACCGCGCGCAAGATGAAGCGCACAAGAATTATAGCTGCGCCTGCTAAAATAACTGCGATCCAATCCTTGCGGCGCCTCATTTCACGGTGCTTGGCAACAAGCCAGCCAGTGACAGCGATGAACAGTGACGTTGTGACTGCCTGGCTCACAACGGCGGTTCGTACTAGTCTGTGCTCCAGTCTTGACAGCATGCTCGTTATATCTCTTTGATATCAGCAGCATTCCGGACACTGCCAGCGCCGAAAATAGCGCACATGCTGCAATGGCAACAAATTTAGCCCTGTTTACTGCTGTGCCTTTGCATGGGGCAAGCACTGTGCTTTTCAGCAAGCGAATCAGCAGTAGCGTGTTTGGGATGATCACAAAGCATGGACCCAGCTCATTCAGCACCATCGATGCAACGTACGCCCTCGAGTCCAGCACGTGGTCGTCAGAGTATATTCCACGGGCAACAAATGCGCTGCCTGAGATAAGGGATATCAGCGATACGACTATGTACTGGTAGCGCCTGATCCGTATGCACTGTCCGAAAAATATAACCCCTAGCAGGTAGTACAGTCCGCCAGTGGTAAAGGCCACAGACCCATGTGGCATGTACATCGGTGCATCGAAGATGATAAGGTATAGTTTGTCGCTGTAGTTGTCTATGCGCTTCATGAGTGGGATGTGTAGAAAGTAGTGATAAAGAGTGATTTAATGGAATAGAGGGGCTAGAAAGAGAGAAGGCAGAACGTTGAGAGACCGAGCTGTGCCAAAGGGATGGAGGGATGTTGACCAGCAACTTCAAATGGGGGTTTCCTTGGCTGATGCACGCCGGCTGATCGGCACAGCAAGATGCCTGGCACGGGGTTTGTACCTGACGAGAACAAGAAACTGGGGCAGCTTATACAAAAGGCATTCCTGTTTTCTCCTATTTATCAACACCCAGGTTTATTTCTGAATGATACGTTGGCCGGACCAGCGCAGGGACTGTGGTCCAAGGCTGAAATAGGCACAGGGAGTGTCGACTTTTCTATCAAGAACAACTGTTCGCAGAGGCAATGCTGGCAGCAGCGCCCTAGTCCAGCCAGAGAGACAACCCAAAAGGCGTGTCCTCAACTTGGCGTAGATCTTGGCGCGCTGGAAAGGGGTTCTATTTTAAGTGTCCCTTTCTGCGAAAGCCTCGTGTTTTGTGTCTGACCAATCGTAGCAGGGCATGTCAAGGACTATCTCCGGGATACGTGCTGTAGCGGCTAGACCCTTCATCTGCATATTTTGTTTGGCTAGTACCACAAGTGACAACCTATATAAAGCAGGCACTAATGGGAAAAGGGCCTTGTTTGCACACTATTTTCATCCTTCCCTCATGCACTTGATTCCTCGCTGCTTCAGGAACATACGCTCTTTGCATTCGCTACTTACACCAACACCGAGACCACACAATGCACGCTGCGCTTTCCGACTCGGATATTCTCAGAAATGTTTTCGTCACCTTCCGTGACCACGCCATCGACAAGTCGTGCGACAGCAGCTACCGGACGTTCAGCAGCTACGTGCAGCCACTGCAGGCCGTCTCGACTGTGTGCCGTGCCTGGCGCCAGGAGGCGCTGCCACTCCTGCACGAGACGCTCGAGCTCCGTGTGAGCGCAGCGCCACTGGATGCAGAGAAGGCCGGGTCCCAGCACATATTCCAGGACGAAGCTGGCCATTGCGTGTATACTAACCTGAACACCATTGACCAGGCGGCATGGAAGCTGATTCGCCCGCATCGCGTCCAGATCCAGATCGAGAAGGGCACGAGCATTGAGGCGGTGGTTGCGCTTGTGGAGTCGCTCCAGCAGCAGCTCTCGGCGGCATCGACTGCTATGCTCACTGAGCTGTGGCTTTTCGGGCACATATACAATGGCGATAGCGCAGACTCGGAGCTCCGAGCACGTAGCCATGCTGCTGCGGGACGTATTGTGTCAGCGATCCACGCTGTGGCGCCTGGCATTAGCAAGCTCGACGTGCGTGTCTCGGATGACTGCCGGGAGGAGATCCCGATGGCCACTGTTCTCGGCGGCTTGGCTGAGAGCTTGACCAAGCTAAAAGTCACGGCTAATGCCCCCCTGAACTGGGACCAGGTGTCTCTGCTCAAGGTCAAGCAGCTTGAGGTCCTGTGTTCTGACAAGCAGGGCGAGGGCATCATCACTGCTAGCGTTCCCGAGATGGACCCCTCTGAGCTCGAGGTTCTCAAGCTGCACCATGTCACAATGAGCCATTTCTACCAGCAGTTCCGCAGCAGCGACTCGGCCAAGACGGTCACGTTCAGCAAGCTGAGGAAGCTAGTGCTGTTCTTCATGTCTGAAGACGTTACCGATATTTCCGAGATCACAGGTCGCTACAATGTCAAGTACGAGTTCCCGGTGTTGGAGAGGCTGCAGATCACCAACACTGAGCTTGATTTGAGCGGGCTGTTCCAGCTGTTCGCGCACACACCTGTCCACAATATCTGGATGGAGAACTGGTATGGGTGCGAGGACAATATTGACCTGACTGTGTTCCCGAACTTGGCCCAAGTCTACATCAACTTCCGCGACTACAACACCGACGACATGGACCAATTGCCCAACACGATCAGGAATGCACTCGAGCACTGCTCCGAGCTGCGCTCGCTCAGGTTTGACTACGTCACCAACTTCGAAGTGACGCTGCCCGACACCATAGCCAGTCCGTATATCGAGCTGCTGCAGTTCGACGGATATCTGTCGCTGAGCGACATCACTCGGCTTGCTACCGAGCTGCCTCTGCTGGAGATGGTATCGGTGATCATGTCGGATGAGGACCCAGAAGAGGTGTCGCTCGAGCAGGTACAGCAGCTGTTGGAGAGTGGCAACGAGCCGCTCAACACTAGCCTGACAAGGCTCTTCACTCCTTCGTTTGGACGTTCTCCGCTCGAGGATGGCAAATACACGCTCGAGTTTGCTCAGTACCTGAAGCTGCTGGTGCGTCTTCCATCACTGCAGACTGTGACCCCGCCGTTCGGACAGGAAGAAATCGAAAGTCGGTTGGATGCAGTGCTTCCCAGTGGGCTAGACAAGTCAGCTGGTGGCCACCTGAGGATGCTCGAATACTACTGAGCACAGATTGGGCCTGGCTCATTTCATTAATGTTGGTTTAAATATTGGAATATCCTGGCAAATGACAGCATGTAAACAGTAATGGTGATGCTGTCCTGCCTACACATGGTGCTCGAAACACTCAACATGTGCATTTCTATAATTAGATATTGGGTAGCCTGTTCCAGTACCCAACACAGGCCAGCACAAGCAGTCAACATCACCCTTATGAGTGCGATTTTCACCGAGATTCGCCACTCCTTTCCACTTGCATGCCGGCCGCCCCTTTGGAATGCAGTGCAAACACTTTACATTGAGCCGAAGATCTCAAGACCGACATATACAGTGCTGCTTTTGCTTATCTGAGTGCATTTGACTTGCGAGTAGCAAGCGGTATGCCAAATTCGGACAAGAATACGTTTCACATAGGAGATTTGCCTGCATCTCGGTCGTTCTCCACTGTTGCCTTTCGGGACATGCATCTGCATGTGCTGATAAGAGGTTCCCGTTCCGTTTGCCGAGCCAATGCAAATGTCAAAACCCCAAGCGCGTTATACCTCCAAGAGCGGAATCCAGAAAACGTTGTTTTTTTTTTTTTTGAGAATCTGCATTGTGACTTCCTATGCGACCTTATCAACAAATTTGGTAGCACACCGTGACTTGTTTCTTCCTCTTTCCCGCCTCTCAGTTGCACAAGGAATATGCGTACGCTCATTTTTCTAGACATTATGCAGCCTGGGAATTGCTCAGAGCATTGCCAAGGCACAAGAGATTGCCGACATGTAGGGGAAAGGCGAACGAGCCATGTTTCACAAGCCCGACTGATAAGGAAACGGATGCGCTAAAAACACCCATGGGAATATTTTTTATATCGCCGCACTTTGGTACTTGACTAGGATCTGCACTGTAGACTGCGGGTCCGCTCTGTAAGCACCCAATAACGACACGCTCAGCAGCTCCCTTTAATACCGACAACTCCATTACTTTTTTTCGCCGTGCTGTCTGCATAGCACGCGAGTGCATGAGGCAGGTTCTGGCATTCGGATATACCGTAACCGAAAATGAAATATACCACGGATATGCAGTAACATACAAAATGACCCATGCGAACATAATAGGCTGACTAAGGGTCGTCAGACCTGGAAAAATCAACGCTTGGGCCCTCAGATGACACTAGTATATCCCCCAAATTATGAATGAGACCTTATTTTGGATCTTGTTTTTCTGTGGGCTCAAAAAGCTGTCCCAAATGATCCACATGCACAAGACGATAATGCCCAAGAGACGGCACAAGGCCTTGCCGCTTCTTATCTCGCAGTCGGCCGCAAAGATTTTATTTTGCTCCTGCATTACATGGCACACGTTCCAAGAACAGTTCTGGCAAGTGCACATGCCCACCATTCATCCTGCTGGTTTCCTGTTTCCCACTCTCCCGTATCAGTCGCACCGGCCTTGCAGAAGAAAAAGCCACTCCTATCTTATCTTTTTTTGTAAAAACCGCTTCATGTGATCCAGGCTATTGCTGAAGCTGGGCGCGGCATGTCGGCGCGAGGAATGCCAGAGAAGCCGACAAAAAGGACGATGTGGCAGGATTGCTTTTTTGTTTTCTTCCAGCGAAGCAAATCCACCTTGCACGCATATGAGATGGGAATTTCATGGGGCACAAGCGGCAAATCCTAAAAGCTCGGGATGCATTGACCGAGTCGCTCCCCCAGCCATATGCTGATGCAGACATGCACAGCGGGAAATCGCCCATGCCAGGCCCGAGGTTTGTGTATGGATTATTGGTGCTAGATAATGGAAAGGGGCGGGATCACGCAAAAAAGACGGACTCAGCGACAGGGATGCGATCTCAAATGGCTGCTCATGTGGGGTGCTCGGAGAAAGCATTGGGAAGGGGGTGTCTGATCACTGGCGTGCAATTGGCAGGCAGGCAGATCCGTGGTGTGCGACTCAGCCAGTGAATGTCGTTTTTTTTTACCGGGGCCGCAGTCTCCCTCTGTTGGCTGTTGTAGATGACATAGAGCACCTGGCTCTTGCCAATGCCCTTGCAGGAGAGTGGTGGGGGTGGTTGGCTTTTCAATGTCTTTGCAAGACTGTTCGGCACAAGAATGTAAGGTATCCAATGCTCATCGGGTGGTGAAAAAGAAAGCCAGCTGCCACCAGATCCGTGGCTCACACAGCAGAATAGGAACGCAGTATGTCTTATTGTTGGTTCCACCATGGAGGCGCTATCTCAATGGCATAGGGGCCGTGGACAAAGCGGACATGTTCGTCGGGTGGGCACAAAAAAAGTCATGAGGGAGGTGGAGTGGGACGACACCCAATGTGGGCACGTTTTACAGCAGGCGGCAAACCTGGTATTCTTTTTTTGCGACGGCGGGATTCTGACAGGGCACAGGGGGGAAAGGAAAGGCGGGCGGATCCGCTGGTTATTCCGTGGGAGGGGGGAAGGGGGAGGTGTAGATCACCCTACGTTGACCTAACAGACTGGCATGGCCCTATATGCTTCTAGGGGATTTACGATTCAGCTCAGTGTGCAGAAGAAAACAACAAGTGGCGAACAACAAAAAAAGCACTCTTTCACAGTAGGGACGCTCGTTGCAGGCTTTTCGCTCGCAAAGGCGGGCAGACGCCATTGAGGCCTGACCAAATTTTTTCCACACCTCGTTTTGCAGTCCCCAGCTCTGGGCGGTGTCCGAACATTTCTGGATATATAAAGCGACCTGGCCTTTCCCGCAAGATGTTGTTTTTGCAAGTCACAAACAGCATTCCATTACATAATTAACTCTTTTCTCTCCTCCTCCACATATAACTCCCCCTCCAGTAAATGGCGCATTTCCGCAAGTTTGCCAACCCAGGCCCGCTGGGTCTCTCGTCATTCGCGCTGACGACATTCGTCCTGTCGCTGCACAACGGCGGCATCGGGCAGAAAATGGGCTCGCCGCCCAATATTCGTATTGGGCCTGGCCTTCTTCTACGGCGGGCTCTGCCAGATTTTGGCGGGCATGTGGGAATTCGCCTCCAACAACACATTCGGCGCCACGGCGATTCACCTCGTACGGCGGCTTCTGGATGGCATACGGCGTGATTATCACGCCGGCATTCGGCGTTCCTGGACGCCCTGACCAAGGCCGGCGGCAACGTCAAGGCCCACGCCTTGGGCATTTTCCTGCTGGGCTGGGTCATCATGACGTTTATTTTCTTCCTGGCCACCCTGCGCACCAACCTGGGGCTCTGCCTGCTGTTTGCGTTCCTGGATATTACGTTTATTCTGCTGTGCGCAGGCGACTGGACGGGCAAGAGCGATGTCACCAAGGCCGGCGGGTACTTTGGCCTGTTCACGGCGCTGATTGCCTGGTATATTGCGGCGTCGGATCTGATCAATACGGGCAACAGCTACTTTAACCTGCCCAATCCGTCGCTGGCGCCCCGGTCGGTGCGCACGCTGGATGCCGAGGACGGCTGATGTCAAGAGCGAGAGCGGCAACTAAAAGAGTCTGCCGATTTGTGTGGCTTTATTTGATAATCTCGTTTAGTTTCGCGGCATCCTGGAATTAATTCTTTCCCTTTCCTTTTTTCTGTTGAATAACACTTTGTTTTTTGTATAAAAAGGAACCTAGACCGGAGGGGCTTTTGTGTGTGGATGAAGAGCAAGGATATTGACAGGCTGCTGTAAAGAAAGAAAAAAACAGAATTCGTAGTGGATGATGGGCATATGCAGACGACCCTTAGCTAGAGGCGCGCGTGGTGGTAGGGGGATTTGGCAGACAAGTTCAAACCGGTTTTATACATGTGTCGTTTTTTTCTTCTAGCACAGCCTCTAGTTGGCAGCATCCGATCCAGCGGAGGATAGAAACATCGGCTTAGAAACAAAAGAAGAAGAAGAAGAAGAAGAAAAAAGCCAGGGCATATTCCTGCTTGCATCCTGGTACACAGCATTTTCTTCATGGCATCCCCCTCCCATATCTCAAGGGTCCCGGACATACCGGGGGCGGCAGGCAAAACAAATCGGAACAAGAGAAATGGTATTTTTGCTGCAATCTGCTTGACAAAGGGCGTTATTTCTCATGGTCTTGGATAGTGAATCAGCAGCGACTAGTCTGGCTGCCATTGCGGACGATCCAGAGGCAGATCGAGCAGCTTATGCAGTGCAGCGGGTACAGGGATTGGGACATTGGGGTGCATTTCGTGGACAATGCTAGGATCCAGGAGCTCAATAGGACGTACCGGGGCAAAGACCGGGCCACGGATATTTTATCGTTTCCCATTCCACCAGGTGAGCATAAAGAACCAGCATGCGCAAGGAAGCCTTTCGGCAGCACTAAGAGGATTGGGATTAGGTGGAAAGAGCCGAGGTGGATCTGCCGCGGACAGGCAAGGAGGACGACATGAACCTCGGCGACATGTTCCTGGCAATGCCGTATATTCTCAAGGACTGCCGGCAGCACAACGACGCACTGGGCGAGCGGCTCCCGATACTATTCACGCACGGCATCTGCCACCTGCTCGGGTATGACCACGAGCTGGACCACGACTACATGCAGATGTCTAAGCGCGAGCGACGAGATACTGCAAAAGTACCACAGACTCAAATAAAAAAGATACACAAGAATAAGATTAGTTTACTGACGCGCCGGGCTTCTTGGCGCCGCCCAGCGACCGGAAGGTCAGTTCACGCGCAGTCACGGTGGGCGTGGTGGGCGTGGTCTTGGTGGGCGTGGCGGGCTTTGCGCGGGTGCCGGGGGGCGGGCGCTGCGCATGGCGGGATTTCCGGCGCGCGCTGCCGAACCGCACAGGGCCGGGTGCTCCCGACGCCTTGCTGGTCTTCAGAATGCCCTTGACGGGCTGTGCGGCCGGGGGCGGCGGCTCGTGGCGCGGGTTGTTCGTGCCCGAGCTGCTCGCCGACGCAAACGACTCGTCCAGGTCGTCCGACGGCTCCTTGGGGGGCGGGCGCGGAGACATAGCAGGCATTGCGCTTTTGCCCGCCTTTGCGCCCTCCGACCCGTCGTCGTCGTCGCTGGAGCTGTGCCGGCGCCGCTTGCGCGTGAGCCTTGTGAACACATCGCCGGCCGGCTGCCGCCGGCGCTTCGCCGGGCGCTCACCTGGGCTTGTTCCTTGTTCTCAGTCAGGCGGAGCTGCGGCGCCGGGCGCCTTCCGTTATTGGCGTCGGCCAGTTTGAGCTGCGGCGGCGGCATAGTGCGGGAAACGCTGGTCGGCGTGCGCGGCACAATCGGCGACGGCGGCACCAGCGACGACCCGTCGAACGTCCAGGCCGCGGCGCCGCCGGCCGCCCTGACGTCTTCCATGGCGCGGCGGGCAGCGCCGGTGGCTTCGGTGAAGCCGGCGATCGCCTGCAGATACGCGTCAGGCAGGCGCTCAGCGGCACTGCCCAGCATGCATTCGGCGGCCAGGCGCATCAGCAGGGCGTTCTGGCGCGCCAATGCCGCAGCCATCTGCTCGGCCATCTCGGCATGCCTTCTTAGAGCGTTGCGCTCGGCCTGCAACGACAGCACGCGGTGCTCCTGCTCCACCTGCCGCAGTTGCTCGCCCGCCAGTATCCGCGGCGTCTGCTGCTGCTCGGCCTCCCGCGTGTACTGGTCGATCTGCTGCGCTGCGTGCTGCGCGCGCCGCCCCAGCACTGCCCGCTCACGCACCAGCTCGCGCGTCAACGCATCGGTCTGCCGCCGGAACGCCTGCTGCGGGGCGCCGGTCACCTGGAGCACCGCCGCCCGCTCCGTCCACTCGCGCAGCCCCGCCAGGCAGTAGTCGTACCACTGCGCGGCCGTCGCCGACGACGCATACTCCCACCGCGCCTCTCGCACCGGCGCATACGCGCGCGCCAGCGCATTCCGCGCATCCTGCACCGCCTGCGCTGCCAGCGTCTGCTGCCGCAATGCCCGCATCGCCTCGGCGCCCGTCTCGTCGCCCGACCGCCGTCTTTGATCCTGCAAACGCCTTGCGTAATCTGGTGATCTCCTGGCTCTGCTCGCGGATCCGCTTCTGGTACTGCGCCAGCGGCACCGCCGCCGACTGCGTGTTGCGCTGCACGTGCGTCGCAATGCGCTTGGCGCGGTCTAGCGTACTTTAGCGTGTTGTGGGTCTCCTCGTAGTACACTGACGAGGGGGAGACGCACGTGATCATCGCCGTCCGGCTGTTCCCGGCCAGCGCAAACTTCAGCAGCCGCGTCAGCTTCGAGTCCCGGTACGGCACGTGCCTCTGCCGCTTGTCGCTCAGCGCGTTGATGCAGTTGGCCAGCGCCAGCAAGGACCGGTTGATGTTGGCGCCCTCACGCACCCGCTTGCCCTGCGCAACCGTCGCCCGCTCGCTGCCCGCCAGGTCGATGATGCTAAGGGTAGCTGCCATCACGTGCGTCGCCAGCCCGCTGCCCCCGCGCGGCGTCTGCCTCACCTGCACCTGCAGAACCGCATGGCTGCGCGACGACACTGCATTGGCCGCCGTCGCGCTCATCGTGCGGTTCTTGTTGCCCCTCGCCAGCAACTGCATCACCGCCTGGGCATTCTCCGGCCGGTGGGCGCTCAGTCCCGCCACCGTCACGCTTTGCCGCGCATCGTCCCGCAGCGCCAGTGCCCGCCCGTCGCCCAGCAGATCGCGGATCGATCTCATTATACACCTCCAGATACGACACCGTCACCTCCACCTCATTGTCTGACTTTTCAATGCGCTCAAACAGCTCCTGCATAGCCAGCACCACCACCCCAGGATCATTTTCGCTGCCCGTAATCGTAAATGTCTTGCCGCACCCTGTGGCTCCATAGGCAAACACCGTTGCGTTGAATCCCCCCAGGACCGCATCCAGCAGGCCCTTTGTCGTGCCCTGGTACACGTCCTGCTGCGTGCTGGTTTCGTCATACACCCGGTCAAACGCAAACCGCATGTCCTTGTGTCTTTTGTTGCTCGCCCCCATCGGCACCGCCCGCCCGCCCGTGTCGTTCTCGTCTGCCGGATCAAACACCAGCACGTGCTCGTCAATCGCGATGCACTACCTTGCGCAGCGTCTTGCCCGAGGAACGTGCTGCCTCCGCGTAGTGCATAAAGTTGCTGGCTGTCGGTACATATTGCCGCTCGTCCGCCTGCTCGAGCTGCGCTTCCTCCTTGGCGTTGAACGGCCGGATCCGCACCGCTACCAGGATCGCTGCTTCCTGTCGCTGCCTGTGTCTGAGCCACTGTCTCAGTCGAACCACCCGACTGCGACCTCAGCATATTACTGTCAAAAGAACGTACTGTTTCTAAGAAAAATATATATATAACTCTAAGGGATAAAAGTATGAAAAAGGGGGTGTGTTTCTGAATTTAACGCTGTGAATTGGGTGGAAAAGCTGGCATTAGCGACTCTGTGCGCAAGGCCAGTCGCTAGCTTTTTTTTTCACATTTCCCCATTGTTGACACTTGCCCTCTCCCCACCAATAGCTGTTCATCGCATTGATCCTCTTTCTTGATCACCCACAAAATCTACTCAGCTTTGCCCAAATCGGGCAGTTTGCATAAATCGCCGGGTCGTTGAAGATGAGCTTCCGGTCCAACCCACTAATCTGCGCCATCTCCTCCTTGGACAGCTCAAACCCAAGCACATCCAGATTCTGCCTTGAGCCGCTCCGCATTCGACGACTTTGGGATCACCGCAATATCCCGCTCAACCGCCCACCGCAGCAGAACCTGCGCGCTGGTCTTCCCGTGCTTTTGCGCAATCTCCCTTATAGCCTCGTGCTCGAGCAGCGGCGTAATCCCCTCCGGCACCATGCCAATCTGCTTATAGCTGGTGTCGCCGAACGACGAAAACGCCGTGACCGCGATGCCCTCGCGCTGCGCCAGCTCCACCAACTCCTTCCTGACCAGATACGGGTGGACTTCAATCTGCATGACCGCCGGCTTCACCCTGGCGTACGACAAAATATCATATACCAACGCCCCGGCGGTATTGGAAATTCCCAATGTTCCTCGCCAATCCCAGATCATACAGCTCCTCCATGCCCGACCACGTCTCGCTGAACGGCACCGGGTCCAGCTCGACCTTGCCGCTGTCGTAATGCCACTCGGGCGGGTACCGCGTCTCAAACGGCACGTACTTTAGCGAGATCGGGAAGTGAACCAGATACAGGTCCACATAGTCCAGGCCGAGGTCCTGCAGGGTGCGCGTCAGTGCTGGCTTCACGTGCTCGCGGTGGTGGTACGTGCACCAGAGCTTGCTGGTGATGAACAGGTCCGAGCGCTGCACAATGCCCTCGGAGATCGCTCTGCGGATTCCTTGTCCGACCTCCACCTCGTTGCCGTAGTCGCACGCCCCGTCCAGCAGCCGGTACCCAGCCTTGATTGCATTGTACACTTGCGTGGCTGCCACTGCCTTCTCGATCTTCCACAGCCCAAACCCAACCGTCGGCATCTTCAGCCCCGTGCGAAGCGTGATGGATCCAGTAGCTGCTGACATGCTTGGAAAAACTGATGACAAGTATAAATCTGTGGCGACAATAAAGAAAAACAATGGATTCTTGTCCATTCTCCCAGAACTGCACTATTTTTTATGTGCTGCAGCAGGTGGGTTAGGGCTGGAGTGCATTCCCGCTAGACTGTAGTAGATCCTCCCGTATTTTGCCCGAAACGGCTGGCTGCAGTTTCTTTCCCCGTACAGCAACTGCTATTGGAGATGCGCCAGAACGATAGTGAAGCGAGTTCTACGTGTATACTGAATGTCCCTTGCTAGAAGGCGTTGTAAAACCATACTGGACGAGAATAAGCCGGAAAAGACATTGACTGTATGAGAGAAGAGGTAGCCATTCTCCTGCCTGGAAATCTCATCCCACGATAATGTGAATGCAGGTTAGCCCACACATTGTGCCCATGATCGCTTGTGCTTCAGGATGTGTCAGAGTATATGCAGCCACACCCAGGCAAGTTCAGCAGCAGAATACCGGTGTAAAATCGGCAATGCATCGGGGTTGCTTCTGCTGACATCTGTGCCTCACCAGGCGCTGTGCCACTATGAGACAAACCCCAAGCATGCCCACATATATATGGCCCAGAGTAACTACATAGTACTGTTTTCTCCTCAGCAGAATTTCCAGGTTATTTCATTCCATAAAGCTCGTAGCCACATATTCGTTTATTAAAAGGTATCAGCCTACCACCAAATGCATCACCTTGGTCAGGCGGCAAGAGGATGGTAATCAGACGCTGCTTACAGTGCGCAAATAATGATATTCTGCGCTGCCTCATGTTGGGACGCAAGGCCGGTGTTGTCCATCAATGGTGCGCGTGCATGTAGCGTTCTTGCTGATAAATGGAATCTGACAACGACGCAACTCGTGCTGAAGCTGGTTGGTTTTGCCTTCAGCTTTAAGAGCACTGATGAGAAGGATTTGACAATGACAATCCATAGCCGAAGGTAGATGCTCGGTATGCTCAGCATAAATCAATACTATCCAATATCATTTTCCAATTTTTATTTATTTATTCATTCATTCATTCACTTAGTAATGGAATGCGGGCTGAGTATAAATTTCTTACGTCTTATATAGTCTTGAAACTGAACAGATAAAAGAGATACTAGGCTGTGGATATCGTTGCTCTTTCAAGTTTGCCACGTACCTGCAAAAGAACCTATGGAGGTGGGCACTAGAGGGCTTCCTGTGGGCGCTTGTGGTAGCATCACCGGTGTCGCCACCACGGTATGTGCAGCAATATGAGGTCTATTGTGCGTCCAGAGACAATTGCCACTGACGTCACCATGTGCCATGCCCTGCTTGCCTTTGCTAGCTGCATTGCAGCGGCAGGCAGAGCAGTCAAAGATTTCGGACATGCCTGATGCGACTGAACTGGGTTCCTTATCTCCTGTTCCTTTTCTCCTAGAACCCCCCAAGATATATACACATAAACATCCAGATGTTAACAACCTGAATATTTCCTATATACTCCGCCATCAGACATGCGAATTGGGAAAGTAGCAGAGAAACACAAACGACATGTCAAAGAAACTACTGATCTGCATGTACAGTTGTATATCCCTTTTTCCCTGTCCATCCTCTCCCCAAGCCCCTGTTTTTTTTTATTTTTATTTTTATTTTTAATATTGACACCAGTCTCTTCCCTTATTTTCTCCTGATCCTGTCCTGTTCCTGTCCTTCTCCTCCTCCTCCTAGCTGTCCCTTAGCCTTTTTCCTCTCTCCAGAAATTGACCTTCTAGTCCTCCCTCCAAATAATATTCATTTCCACCCTGGAACTACAGCCATGGGACGCACAATATATACTATGTCATGTACTGTATTGCCCTGATACTACTGCCTCTCCATGTAGCTGCTAATGCATATGCATATCTTGCCAGCACCGACGAATTCTGTGGCGAAACCAGCGGCTGGCGGTACTCGCTGAACAGCGATTGCTTTCCGCATAGGCGCGGTATGGCCTGCCATGTCCCTGCTGACACTTGTACTTACCAGGTATTGTGCGGATATTAAACGTCACGTTATGTCCACGCGGCAGCGGAGTACGCAGGTCCTACAACAATCAGACTCTTGCACCAGTTTGCTGCTGCTCACTCTACTCCTGGCGCTTTCATCGGCAACCTGCATTGTGATCAGCCCTAAAGGCTGGCGTCGATACCAGCTAGCCAATTCATCAGCGACTGGTGTGTTTTGGTCTCTGGCCACGGCAGCTGCTGATTGAATATCATAAAGTAAACGCCGACGGCAGGTTGCTATAACTGGCTGGTAGCTCCTGTGCTTGCCCGGTGTGCAATGACTGTGTCAGAGTGCTATTTCACGTTCTTTTCTCCGCAGCATGCTAGTGACAGGGTTTTCGACGACGAGCATTTTGCCAACTCTGTGGCACTTTTCACCACCAGCATATTGGAAATTATCGTGCTATTTTTGCTGCTTTTGGTGGCGCAAAAAGGCGCATGTGATGATAGCCAAAAGAGTGACGAATATTGGACGCCGCTCAGTCAGGTGTGCTCGGATCAGCATCCATCTGTGAGCTCAGCCCGAAGGACCGCGCATCAATACTCAGCCGGCTGACGTTTTCCTGGGTCCTCCCGCTACTCCGCCAAGGGCAGCAGCATGTGCTCGGTTTCAGCGACCTTTATTTGCTGGCAGGTCGCAGACCTCCCGCTACCAAACTGGCACCGATACATAAAGCATGCAGTGCCAGAGCGCACACTGCATATGGCACTGGCACGTACATTTGCTCCAGAGCTGCTCAGCCAGCTTGCACTGTCGATAGTGTTCACGACGCTGTCGTTCTCGGGCCCGTTTTTCATGCAGCGCATTTTGTGGTCGATCCAAGAGCACCAGAAAAACCCGGCGCGTCGCGTGCCATATATGTGGATGCTGTGGGGCTTTTGGCCACAATGACATTGCGGTCGCTCACAAAAAACCACGCATTGTGGGTGGGCCGCAAAATCTGCTTCCGGCTGCAGTCGTTTCTGGTGGCAGAAATAACCGACAAGGCTCTGCGTCGCCAAAAGGCACCAGGCTGGTGGACCCGACCATGTGAGCGCCGAGGGCAAATTGGCTAGCATTCTGACCTCAGATTTCCACGGCGAATCGCCGGCGCCGCGTCGTAGCATGAGCGATCTGTACTCGATTCCGCTCCAGTTTGCTATCGGGGCCTGGTACTTGTACAGCCTGCTTGGGGATCCCGGCACTAGTGGGCCTGGCTCTGACTGCGCTTTACTATCCGGTGTCTGGGACGAGTAATTGCAATGCTGTCATCATATAACCAGGCGGGTTTTGAAATACAGCGACCAGCGTCCTATCGATGATCACCGAGATGCTGAAGGGCATGCGTGCAGTCAAGCTGTTTGGCTGGGAGTCGCGCTTCACTCAGGCCATTTCTCAGAGCCGGTCCCAGCAACTGCGTGGAAGTGTGGCTGCTATATCTAGTTACATTGCCGATAAACTTGGTGGTGTGGACGACGCCCAACATTATTTTCATTGTGGTGTTTGGCATCAATATCGGTATTCTGGGCCAGAAACTGACGGCCGATATCGTCTTCCCTTCCTTGGCCGTGTTCTATATGATCAGCAACTCAGCTGAGCAACATCTCGGACTTTTTTGTTCCGGATGGCTAGCTTGTATGTTGCGCTCTCCAGGGTCAGCGAGTTTTTGCATGGCGGCCACATGCAGCCACTTGATGAGACGGATTGACATTAGTAGTGGCTCAGCAGGCAACTGGCCCGAGGTTGGATTTGTGGAAGCCGATCTTCCACTGGGACATCACAGCGGCCGGCAAACAGCAAACTCTAGACTGTGCAGTGGTGAAAAAACATGCCCTGTCCATTTCCGGGGAGTCTACTGAGCAATCGCCTTTGCTTGTGCCGTGCAGCAGAAACAGCAGCTCCGGCATACTCTCAGCCAGCAACGTGACATGCATGTCTGACTCGAGCACCCTCTCCCGGGCGCAGTTTTCACTGAAGAGCATTTCTGCCAAATTCCCCTTCGGGTGGCTTCTCGATTATCACTGGTCCGACAGGAAGCGGAAAGTCGTCGCTTCTCTCGGCACTGGTGGGCGAGATGAAACTGACCAGTGGCAGAATAGTGCTTCCGGTCGCCGACGCTTTCCTTGCAGATGCCCGTCATGGCAGCCACTACCGTGACATCATCGCACTGACAAGACAGCAGCATATCGTTTACAGACATCGCCTATGTTGCGCAGGAGGCATGGCTGCGCAATGCGACCATCAGGGATAATATTTTGTTTGGCAGTGGCTACGACCAGATGCGGTACGAGGAGGTTTTGCGTGTTTGTGCGCTGAAGCCCGATCTGCGCATTTTCCCAGCCGGCGACTTGACTGAAGTAGGCGAGCGCGGCATTGCCCTGTCTGGCGGCCAAAGGCAGCGGGTTGCACTGGCTCGTGCTGTGTATTCAAGCAAGCAGATTCTGCTGATTGACGACTGCCTATCTGCCGTTGATGCAAGCACGGGCCGCCATATCTTGCATGAGTGTCTGACTGAACAAGTCGCCGCTAATGCATGGCCGGACTCGCATCTTGGTTACCCACCATGTCTTGGCGTGTCTCAAGCACTGCGATTATGTCTTGGTTCTTCGTGGTGGCCAGGTGGCGCTACGTGGATCGCCCCAGGAAGTCCAGGCGTCTGGTTTCTTTTCGGAAGATCCTGGGTGAGCTCGACAAATATGACGCAGAAGGTAGCAGCGACACCACCATGATCGGCAAGTCAACTAGTGGAATCAGCGACTTCACGTCTGAAGATACCTACAACGCTGAGCGACACACTAGGACCAGTGCAGTCACTCCAGTGGTCAACGATGTGCGTAACTCCGGATATGTAAAGCCCCATATATGGTTTCCGGTATATTCGCGCCTGTGGCTCGGTCTGGTTCTGGTCTACGCTGGCATTCCTGATGGTGGCCTCGTGCATAGTAGACACGTCGGAGGAATTCTGGATCAAAATCTGGATCAACTCCCTCAACGATGTAACAGACACATCGCCCATTCCAGCCGCACACCAGTCTCTCCAGCCTCTTGTCCGGTACTTGTCCAGTAGTGCAGCTGAGCCTGGTCCGGAACACTCGACTGCATTTTGGCTGTCATGGTTTGTGGCGATCGGGTTCTTCGTCAGCGCGATGCGTCTGGTAAAGTGGGTATTTGGGATCTGGGGAGGAATGCAGGCGTCGCATTCCATGCACACCCAGTTGCTCCACAGGGTGATCCACGCGAACGGCCGCTTCTTTGACACAACGCCGATCGGCCACATCATCAGCCGGTTCGCACAGGACATCAGGACCGTCGACGAGCTGCCAATCGAGACCATCAGCTCGGCATTGTCGCAACTCACCTATTCCTTAATTGTCCTGGCCATCATCACCTACGTCACTCCGCCATTTGCCATCGTTGCTGTGGCGGTAACAGCCGGCTATGGGTTGATCGCCAGATACTATTTAGGTGCTCAGCGTGAATTGAAGCGCATGGAGTTGGTGACAATGGAGCCGCTGCTGTCGCTGTTCAGCGAGGTCATTGGCGGAGCTGTCTCCATCCGCGCCTTCGGTGCCCAAAACATGTATATCAAAGGAGGCTATGGGCCGGATGGACTTCCACAACCGGCCGTTTTACCTGATGTGGGCGGCAAACCGTTGGCTAAGCACGAGTATCGAATGCCTGTCGTTGATTATCTCGTTTGCCACTGCAGTGGGCCTATTTCTTAGGCTGGACTCGATTGATTCGGGAATTGCCGGGTTTGTGCTCGTGTTTGCCACCGGATTCACTGATGCCCTAATGATGTCAATTCGCAGCTATTCTAACTGCGAGCAGCAACTTGGATCAGTCGAGAGAATCGACGGCTATTTGAACATTGAGCAGGAGCACCATGAGGACAAGGGTATCATTGTCTCCTTCTGACTGGCCACAGCATGGAGCCATCACTGTAGATGGCCTGGTCGTCGAGTACACACCCGGAGTGCCTGTTTTGCAAAGCCTGACATTCCATGTCAATGCGGGAGAGAGGATTGGCGTAGTTGGACGCACTGGCGCCGGCAAGTCAACGCTTTCGCTTGCATTCTTGCGGTTTGTGGAGGCGGCTCAAGGTCGGATAGTCGTGGACGGAATCGATATTTCGCAGATTGGGCTAGAGCGTCTGCGCAATGCTATTACGATTATCCCACAGGATCCGGTGTTGTTCCATGGCACGATTCGGTTCAACCTCGATCCATTCGATGAGTGCCCTGACGAAATTCTGCTGGATGCACTGCGCAGGACATGCTTGCTTCGAGATGAATCCCGTACTGACAATGGTGGTATTGTAATGGATATCCGTATGCCTGGCGTCATTGGCAGCCTGGAAGATAAAGTGGAGGAGAATGGTCAGAATCTATCTCTGGGGCAGCGCCAGCTGGTGGCGCTGGCAAGGGCGCTGGTGCGCCGCTCCAAGATCATTATCATGGACGAAGCCACTGCATCTGTTGATTTTGACACCGATAGCCGGTTCCAGCGCTCGGTTTGCACCTCAGAGTTTGCTGGGTCGACGCTGTTCTGCATTGCTCATCGACTGCGGACTATCATCAACTATGACCGCGTGCTGGTGCTGGACAAGGGCAAGATTGCCGAGTTTGACACTCCTGCAGTGCTTCTGGGGAAGCGCGACAGTATGTTCAGGACACTGTGCCAGCAGAGCGGCGAATTCGATCAGCTTATAAAATGTGTGTGCTGAAGTGCTGTTCTGTGAAATATACTATTGGTGCTATTGACAGCATTCGGGCTAACGGCAGGTGAAACTGTGGATATCTACAAAAACATCTGTGGCTGTTTCCATCATATAATCCACAGGGCGATCTCTGTTAGTCTGCACTGACGTCAGTGTGGGAAGCAAAAACCAAAGCAGTCGACAGCTTATCCGGGTATGCTTCTATGCTCTTCCCACTTGCGCACCTGCTCTATCGGCAGAATGCGTGGCGACACAAGATACGACCTTGGGCCTCTGAGGCTGATGTCGCCCAAATCTGACATGGACACCGCCCCAACCCCGACCGCAGCTTTCCCCCACCGCGCCCCCTGCCCATCGCCGCGATACCTGCCCATCAACACCGACTTGACGTATTTGACCTTGTGCTGCCAGAAACTAAGCCGGCGGATCCCGCCCGCCGTCACTGGCACCAGCACGCCGCGCCGATTCCACGGATGCTGGCTCCAATGCGCCCGAAGGCCCTCGAAGCTGGCAAACGACGCACTGCACATGGCCGTCGGGCACTGGTATCTCTCCGGCACTGTCGGCTGCCCATCCACTGTTGCCACCACAAAGTAGTCGTGATGTAAGCCGCGCATCTGCTGGGGGCATCGGGAACAATGCGATCCAGCAGCTCCGTCACGCGCGCTGTTGGCGATGGCGGGCACTGGGTTAAGTCCGACATGCTGCGCACACTTCGCCGTGTCTGATATGCTGACTACAGTCGGAGAGCTAGGACTCAGACGATGCCTCCCAGGATTCAGTGTCTTTGCGCTGCATGCGCTGCTGCATCAGTACGTCCAGTGCTGGAACTGACGTGGTTATTGGTGCCGGTGCGTCCACACGCGTAATCACCGGCCGCGGGCTTGGCATTACGCTGTTTCCGGCGTGTGGATCCGCTCAGTATCGAAAAATTCGACTGCCGCCGGCTGTTTGCCGATGCTGATCGCCGCAGCCCCTTGATTCGCTGGATGCTCGGGAACTCCAGGGACCCCCGTAGTGACTGCGCGCTAGTCTCACTGTCTGCCATGTCTGGCGTAAATAACTTTATATGTACAAAAAATAGACTGCTGCGGCTGGAATAAGACCTCAGAGGAAACAAAGAAGGTGGTGGCGGGCGAAAGGTGCCGGCGTAGAAATTTGCAAACAAGCTTCCACTTTTGTATATATGCGCTCAGCGTCCTTATTCTGACATCTCTTGAAGCCACCTTGTCACAGTGGGGAGAGGCAATCCATGCCTGATAAAGCCTTATGCACCTGGTGGGCGATTCACCTGTTTTTTCCCATCAACGAGGGGGTTGTCACATGAGTACAGCTGATGTCCTGGCTGCATTATTCGCCGCTCACTCCTCTCGCCCAAGGTTGGGAACACCTGCTGTTTGCCAGCACATTGCTGACCCGGTGGCCAGCTGCTTGTATTAAATTCCAATATACCCTGAGGTCACAGTATACCGGTACATTGCCTCCACTGTCTATAGAATGTGCCTTGTTTATTAGTCTTGTCATCTGCCTGCATCATTCGCTGGCAGCCGGAAATTACTCCCGAAGCCAGCTGAGAACAAAATAATCTCTGCCTGCGCATTTGTCCAGACTGGTACTAATTCGGGAACAGGCTCCAGTCTATGCGTGGACAAACCTGCATGTCTTTAAAGAGCCACGCCAAGGAATTAATTCGGGGGAGGAAGCGGAGCGGAAGGCAGTGCTGATGACATGGGTCATGCTCATAACACCTTGTGACATGGAGCATAAGCTGCCTGCATAAATGTTGCTCAGATTCATTGATTTAATTGGCACTATGACTTCCTCCTGGCTGGCTATGCCATTACAGCTATTCAATATCCGGCCTCGGCAATGAATGGTGTCGAGCATATGTCGTAGGTTGTCGGCGGTGATCGATGCACTCATTTGCCTAGGAGAACTAGTAACTAAACTGCAGCCCCCTTACACTCTTACCTGCTGCTCCAAGGGCGAAGGCTCCTCCTAGCTTTTTAGGGTAAGCTATTGACTAACCTGATACACTCTCATTGTGAGAAGCACTAGGTGGCTGATAGTCTGTAGTACCGCCTGTGCCAGAAGCTATTTCCATTTTCTGCTCAATTTTTTCGCTTACTACGGTTTCCGTTGTTTTGGTCGACTCTTTTTTATTAGTCTCAGGACCGATGGCCTACATTGAGATACCTGTTGCTCTCGGTTGCGAAATATACCTGGATTGTACATGAGATTGGGGATATTAAATATCCTCTTCTTCCTTCCACTTATGTCAGCTCTGGTCCAGAAATAATGTGCAGTTTATATAGATTGATGGGAAGCAGCGAGTATATCTGCTTATTCTGAATAAAATGTGCTTTAGTGCTTATAAGTGTGCCAGCTAAGCCAATCGTTAGGATTCAGCTATTAGCTGTACGTTTACCAGCTGGCCCCATTCATATGGATAGCTACCCTCTTTCTTATTTTCATAATCCACATTGTTTAGACATTTAAAAGTGAAGGCGGTTGAATGATGATGTTGAACATCCCAGCAACAGTAAAACATGAAATTCTGGACACGCTTAAAATAAATTAGCAAAATGCTATTGAAAGCAGAGGCATCTGCAACGAAGAGATGCTGCACCTGCTTTACAGTCTACCTCACCAAGAGAAGACCCATGAGGTGCCCCTTCCTATGCAAAACTTCTGCAGGTAGGGCAAGGAAACAAGATATATTTATTGCACCATGTCCCTGTGGTTGGCACATAGCGTACTCTGCTTCAAAGCTGTTGAGTAAAGAAGTGTGAAACTGTGGAACTTTACAAAATGTGACACAGCATCTAACCCTTAGTAGCACTGAGTGCTGTTTATTCATCCTGGGATATCGGGGAAGGCAATTCATAGTGAGGGATAACTATGGATGAGTTTCTCCAGACGCTTCAGCTGCCTCAGCAATGGCCAGGACACTACCTATTGAGCTGCATTTCCCTTGCTGGAATTCATATCCCCTTTCCTGAATGCAAGCTTCATAAAAAAAGAATTCTTTTGGTGTGGCAGGAATTCAACAGTAGTGAAATAGCCTGGAAATATACCTAGGCGAAAAGTGAAATAAGAGCAGAATATACTTTTGAAGAATGGTGTGAGCCATGGAAAGCAACTAGCAAGTAAATTATCATGCTGAAGTATTCTGCTGAAATATTCTGCTAGCTAAGCACTGGCACCCAGAACAAAAGCCATGCTAGTAACCAGTCGCTTCTAGACTTGCACTCGGAGTAGAACGCAAAGATAGGTTTCACTTGAGCTGGGTTTATCATCAAAAACAATGTTGCCTGCCTTTCTGCCAATTTCCAGCAGAAAAATCAGCCTACTCGCAATGGCCTGACAATTTCATTAAAATACATCCCAGTATCCTACTTCATCTTTGCCACATACTTGAGAATTAAGTAGAATATAATGTGCACGGGTAATTAGATAAATTTACAAACTAAGCGCAGAGTCCAGTAGTCGCTGCCAATTCATGTGTATCCGAGCAGCACCCTGAGCTCAACCAGCGTCCTCCATATCCTGCTTCGACATGGCATCGGCCGAGCCTGTATTTCCTTGCTCGTTGATGATCCTCAATAATCCCGCTGCTACTACTTGTGAACAATGGCCGCTGGGCAACAGCCACTGCAGCACTGATGTTCGACGGCGCCGTATTCATGTACCTTGTGCATATGGTAGATATGGGCAGACCGCTTATCGCACAAGGTGCCCGCAGGTCGTGCACTTTTTGGCCTTGACAACCGGCAAGCCAGGGATTTTCTGGATACGCGTGCCCCTGCACGACTCTAGCCCACACCTTGTAGCTTGCTGCGTCGTGGGGCGATGACTGGTGATTCCTCGAGAAAGCGCTTGGCAGCGGTAATGGTTCTATTGGAGGGCATAAATTTGCGCGGCGAATGTGGATGGCTAACGCACCAGACAAAAGTGCTTGCGGATCTCGGGCATTATTACGGCGTATCGACACATGTTGCAAATAACCAGGCGTGTCGGGGCATGGAGGTATAGGCCAAGTTTTCCGAGCGGTGTGCTGGCATCCAGTTCCTAAATAAAAAACCAAAAACCAGGAGGCTGGAGTTGCCTGATTTAGTGACCATGTCACTGCGCAGCCCCAGTGGGCTAAAAGCAGAAAATAGCATACCTGACTGTCCTCCTCCGCACCAGCACTAGCCACAGCCTCGTTATTTGATGGTGCGGGTTTCTCTGTTGATTTCGCGGCAGGGGTTTGCAGGCTGCTGCCCGTGTTCGTTGGACGGTATCTTTGACTCTGGTTTCTGGTCGAGCCTCCTACGCGCCTCCTCCATGCACGCCTGGCAGTGGTATTTGTGGACGCTAATCATATTGACAATTGTAATGTCTTTGCCACAAAGGCACTCGACGCGGTTATCAGCGTGCTTTTGGAACTCAATAACGACCTTGCCCAGGAACTTTATTCGCACGACGGGCAGGTGAGAGACGCGGTGGCGGTAGAGCTTCAGGCTGGTTTGGAATATTTCGCCGCAGTCGCGGCACCCGAATCTGCCATGGGCATGTCTGCCGCGGATGCCATAGTTGTCACGGATGGGTTTGGAGGTTGTTGGAATATCGTCGGTCATATTGGCAGCGGAAGAGTACGCGGTTAGTAAAAAGGCAATGGAAAACAGCGGGGTGGAAATGGCGGTGGTAGCGAGACTCGTTGTTTTTATGTTTGTCTATTTAACTGTCTAGTTGTGGAGAGTATGCACGTGGAAAGTCTGGCATTTCCAGAGGAGGGAGGTAGGGATGGGTGGTGATCATTTTGCGTATACCTGGCACTTTTGAAAAGTTTCAAAGCGACAAAAAAGTTTCAAATAAAAGTCCCAAAATATCGCACCCCTGCACACTGTGTAAACTCAAAAACGATCCGATTTTTATATCTGCACGCGTGATACAACGAAATTTCAACTCCGTTATTTACATTTCCAATTCTTTACAAAAAAAACATATAAAAACGACGCAAGAAATGCCAGAGGAGCTCACCAAGGAGCAGCAGAAGCTGTACCAGTACGCTGGCAATTCAAATCTCGTACTTCAGTCTGACCGCTCCGGGCTGGCGCGGCGGGGCGAGCGCGGCAAGGAAGTCGAGTCATTGTATGGCAAAATCGATGCGCGCGACATGGGCGCTAATGTGCGGCATGAAGCGCCCCCCAAGGCGCCGACACAAGGCAAAACCAGTTCAGAGGAACTCCGCAGCATCGAGCGCAAGCGGCAGAGGACGCGAGCAGCGCGCCCTGCGGACAAACTATGGATACACGAATATTCTGGCGGCAACCGAAGACATCGAGGGTGTAGCGTATCGCCCGCGGTCGCGCGAGACGCGACGCGTCTGGGAGATGATATTGGCACAGGCGCGGAAATACCTGGGCGACCAAGCACCCGAGGTCCTGATGTCGGCGACCGACGAGGCACTGGCTGTGCTGAAGAACGATAATGTCAGGGAGCGCGAGAAGAAAAAGCAAGTGAGAAGCCCTTTTTGGCGCCAGCGTTCCGGAGACTGAGTTCAGCGTGTTTATTCAGCTGGCACGCCAGATCACTGACTACGAGGATGAACCCATGGAGGTTGATGCAGGCAGGCCGGATGCGCAGTCGGGCATGGCTGTAGTCTTTGATGGCGAGGAGGAGGAGGAGGAGGCAGGCAGGGCAGTTTGTTGTCGATGGCGAGAGCAGCGGCAGCGACAGCGAAGATGACGAGGACAGAAAAGCGCCAGAAGATCATGGCTCCGATGTTGGCAGCGTCCAGGGCGATGATGAGGCAGGCGGATACCGGACAGTCATCCACGGGTATCATGAGAAGAACGCGCGGAAGCTGAAACCAGCGCAATGCCGAGCAGGCCACAGCTCTAGCGGCCGCAGCATCGACGACTACCAGCTTCGGCAAAGACGCTGCAGACGATGGCTCTGACACAGAGATGGTCGATGCCCCGGACCGGCTGCCGCCGCGCAGCATCGATGCGTTCTGGCTGCAGCGTGAGATCGGTAAACACTTCCCTGACCACATGGCTGTGCAAGAGAAGACGCGTGAGGCGCTGCGGCTGCTGGCGAATCGGCGGCTGGCGGCGGGCGAGCTGGAGAACGAGCTGGCGGAGCTATTCGACTACGACCATTTCGAGACGGTGCAGGTGCTGGTGCAGAACCGTGAACTGATCGTATGGGGCATGAAGCTGGCGCGGGCAGAGGCGGAGGACGACTCGCAGCAAAAGACAGGGATTGAAGAGGAGATGCGCGAGAATGGGCTAGGGTGGATTGTGGATGCGCGCAATGGTATCGAGGCACAGCAACAGCCGCCACAGCAGCCGCCACAGCAAAGGCAGAGTGCGAGCAGCCAGGACGTGGTCATGGAGGAGGCCAAGGCAAATGAGCCCAGGGATTTTGAGCCCAGGCAGACCATTGATCTTGCAGAGTTGGCGTTTACGCAGGGCGGGCATTTGATGACCAATGAGAAGTGGGTGCCACCCAAGGGCGCCGAGAAGGTTGTCATGCCCGGGTATGAGGAGATCCGCGTACCAGCACCCGAACGGCCCCCGCCGGCGGGTGACGACGAGCCAATTGTATCGATCACCGACTTGCCCGAGTGGTCACGCACAGCGTTCCCCGGGGCCAAGGAGCTGAACCGCGTGCAGAGCCGCGTCTACCCGATCGCCTTCCAGGCCGATGACAACATGCTGATCTGCGCGCCAACAGGTGCGGGTAAGACGAACTGCGCGGCGCTGACAATGATGCGGACGATTGGACAGTTCCGCGATTCAGCAACGGGCGAGATCAACGTGGATCAGTTCAAGATGGTCTATATAGCGCCAATGAAGGCCCTGGTTGCCGAAGTGGCGGGGTCGTTCAGCAAGCGGCTGGCCCCGCTGGGGATATCGGTGGCAGAGCTGACCGGTGACTCGCAGCTGACAAAGCAGCAGATTGCAGCGACGCAGCTGATTGTGACGACGCCGGAGAAGTGGGATGTGATTACGCGCAAGGGCGGCGAGGGCAGCTACACGCAGCTGGTGCGGTTGGTGATCATTGACGAAATCCACCTGTTGCATGATGACCGCGGGCCAGTGCTCGAGGCGCTGGTGTGCCGGCTGCTGCGCACGCAGGAGCAGACGCAGCAGCGCGTGCGGCTGGTGGGCCTGAGCGCGACACTGCCGAACTACGAGGATGTGGCAACGTTTCTGCGGGTGCCGCGGGACCGGGCGCTGTTCCACTTTGATGCGCGGTTCCGGCCGTGTCCGCTGCAGCAGGAGTTTGTAGGCATAACCGAGAAGAAGCACATCAAGCGGCTGGAGCGCATGGACCAGGTGTGCTACGACAAGGTGAAGAAGCACGCGCAAGGCAGCCAGGTGCTGGTGTTTGTGCATTCGCGCAAAGGAGACTGTGCGCACAGCGCAGCGGCTGCGGGATATGGCGATTGAGGAGTCGCAAACAGGTCTGTTTGTCAAGACAGGCAGCGCGACCAGCGCAATTCTGGAGGATGCGGCAGAGTCAACGCGCGACCAGGCACTAAAGGAGCTGCTACCGTTTGGGTTTGGCTGCCACCACGCCGGCATGTCCAAGGCGGACCGCGGGCAGATGGAGGACTTGTTCGCAAATGGGCGGCTGAAGGTGCTGGTGTCGACGGCGACGCTGGCATGGGGAGTCAATCTGCCTGCCCACGCGGTGATTATCAAGGGCACGCAGGTGTACAATCCTGAGAAGGGCTGCTGGTGTGAGCTGTCGCCGCAAGACGTGCTGCAAATGCTAGGACGTGCGGGCCGCCCGCAGTACGACACGTTCGGTGAGGGCGTGATCATCACGAACCACGGCGAGCTGCGGTACTACCTGTCGCTGCTGAACCAGCAGTTGCCAATCGAGTCTCAGCTCATGTCGCGGCTCGCCGACGCACTAAATGCTGAGGTGGCGCTGGGCACGATCCGGTCGCGCAATGACGCGGTGGACTGGCTCGGATACACGTACCTGTATGTGCGCATGCTGCGAAGCCCGTCGGTGTACGGAGTGCCCGGTGGCGAGATCGATGAGGACCCGGCGTTGGTGGGGCGGCGTGCAGAGCTTGTGCATGCAGCGGCCGTGGAGCTTGCGCGTAGCGCAATGGTGCAGTACGACCACAAGACCGGGAGGCTCGCGTCCACCGATCTGGGACGCGTGGCGTCGCATTACTACATCAGCCACCGGTCCATGGCGGTTTACCAGCAGGACCTGCGCGCAGACGCCAGCGACATCGACATTCTGCGTGTGTTCTCTCTGTCTGACGAGTTCCGGCTGATTCCGGTGCGCGCCGAGGAGCGTGTAGAGCTGCAGCGGCTGCTGGAGCGCGTGCCGGTGCCGATGCGCGAGTCAGCCGACAGCCCGCAGGCCAAGATCAACGTATTGCTGCAGGCGCACATCGCCAGTCTGGGGTTGACGGGCTTTGCGCTGGTGTCGGATATGGTCTATGTGACGCAGTCGGCGGGGCGGATTTTCCGGGCGCTGTTTGAGCTGTGTCTGCGTCGCGGGTGGGCGCGGGCAGCGCACCGCGTGCTAGGTTGGTGCAAGCAGGTGGAACGGCGCATGTGGTTGACGATGACGCCGCTGCGGCAGTTCGGGCGGGCCTGCCCCACAGATCTGGTGCGGTCGGTTGAGCGCAAGCCGTTCCCGTGGGCGCGCTACGTTGACCTCTCGGCGCAAGAGCTGGGCGAGCTGGTCGGGTCGCCCAAGGCTGGTCGCCTATTGCACGGCCTGGTGCACCTGGTGCCGCGCCTGGAGGTTAGCGCGCACGTGCAGCCGCTGACGCGGTCGCTGCTACGGTTCGAGCTGCGGCTCACCCCTGATTTCCGGTGGCAGGACGCGGTGCATGGCGCGGCTGAGCAGTTCTGGATCTGGGTCGAGGATGCCGATGGCGAGCGGATGCTGCACTCGGAGCTGTTTGTGCTGAAGAAGCTGTATGTGGGGCAGGAGCACGTGACTGAGTTCACCTGCGCACTGACTGAGCCGCTGCCGCCGCAGTACTTTGTGTGCGTGACCAGCGACCGGTGGATCGGCGCTGAGACGCGCCTGGCTGTGTCGTTCAAGTACCTGAGTCTCCCGACAAGGCTATGCCGCCAACCGAGCTGTTGGACATGCAGCCGCTGAGGGTCTCGGAGCTGCATGACGCTGAGTTCGAGTGCGTTTACCAGGCTGCCGAGTCGCCAATGCAGCGCACCGGTGCCTTCAATGCAGTGCAGACCCAGGCCTTCCATGCGCTGTACCGCACCGACGACAGCGTGCTGATGGGTGCAGCGCCGGGCTCCGGCAAGACGTTGGCTGGGGAGCTGGCGCTGCTGCGGTTTTTCAAGCACGAGGCGCTGCGGGCGCGAGCTGACGGTGAGGCATATGTACGGCGGCGGGCTGTGTACCTGGCACCGTTTGCAGCGCTGGCGCGGGCACGAGCACATGAGTGGCAGCAGCGGTTTGCATCGCTGCAGGGCGGAAAGACTGTGGCGGTTCTGTCAGGCGACCTGGCCGGGCGACTTGAAGCGGATTGAGAACGCACACATTATTGTCTCTACGCCCGGGCCCTGGGATGCGTTGAGCCGCAAGTGGCGGGCGCGGCAGCATCACGCGGTGCGTGAGATCGGGCTGGTGATTGCCGATGAACTGCATTGGTGTGGCGGCGCCGGACTGGGCTCCGTCGATGATGTCGTCAGCGGCTCGGACTATGGTGCTGGCGCGGACCTTGTCGGCGACCAGCTGGCGGCCACATATGAGGTTGTTGTTAGCCGCGTGCGCTACATGGCGGCCGAGATCGAGCGGCCCATCCGCATCATTGCCCTGTCAGTCCCATTGGCCAATGCGCGCGATGTGGCTGCGTGGATCGGCGCTCCGCCATCGGCCGTGTTCAATTTCTCGCCGGCTGTGCGCCCAGTGCCTCTGGAGATCCATATCCAGACGTCAACCATTCCGCATTTTGCGTCGCGTATGGCAGCCCTTGCGGCACCGACGTACCGGGCCGTGTGCGGGGACCCGGTGGGCAGCCGGGCAGGGCAGTCGCGGGAGCCGGCGATTGTGTTTGTGCCGAGCCGCCGCCAGTGCCGCGTGGTGGCTGGCGAGCTGTTGACACTGGCGGCGGCTGATGGCGTGCCGGCCCGGTTCCTTCGGGCGGAGGCTTCTATTATTGAGTCGGCCATTGGACGGGTCGCGGACAAGGCACTGCGCGAGTTCCTGGCTTATGGTGTTGGGTACTACCATGAGGCGCTGACGGATGCGGACCGCCAGACCGTTACTGGTTTGTTCGAGGCGGGCGCCATTCAGGTTTTGGTGGCCAGCCGCGAGACCTGCTGGGCACTGGACTCGGTGCATGCGCAGACCGTGGTGATTATGGGCGCTGAACGCTATAGCGGCCGTGAGCACCGGTATGTCGACTACAGCATCCCTGATGTGTTGCAGATGATGGGCCGGGCGTCGCGCCCCGGCATCGACACGAAGGGCCTGTGCGTGCTGATGTGCATGGCGAACAAGCGCGAGCTGTACAAAAAGTTCCTGTACGAGCCGCTGCCGCTGGAGTCGCGGCTTGATGCGCAGCTGCACGATCCAATGAACAGCGAAATTGTGGCCAAGACGATCACCAGCAAGCAGGAGGCTGTGGACTACCTGACGTGGACGCTGATGTACCGCCGCCTGGTACAGAACCCGAACTACTACGGCCTGCAGGGCACGACGCATCCAGCATCTATCCGACTACCTGTCAGAGCTGGTCGAGTCGACCATCAATGACCTGGTGAGCGCCAAGTGCGTGACCTTGGATGACGACGAGGTTGGCGTGTCGGCGACCAACCTAGGCATAATCTCGGCCTTCTACCAGATCCGCTACCTGACTGTCGAGATGTTTGCGTTGTCCCTGGCCGCCAAGACGAAGCTGCGCGGCGTTCTTGACATTGTCTCGGCTGCTGACGAGTTCGAGGCGCTGCCGATCCGCCATCGCGAAGCCCATGTACTGAATAAGATTGCGCGGCGCTGCCCACTGGCGCTGCCATCGACTTCCAATGATAGCGACGACGGCCGGTGGAATTCGCCGCGCGTGCGCACCCACCTGCTTCTACAGGCGCATTTCTCGCGTCTTGCGTTGCCGGCGGATCTGGCGGCCGACCAGGCCTGGGTGTTGGCACGCGTGATGCCGCTGTTGCAGGCGCTGGTGGACGTGGCTGGGTCGATGGAGTGGCTAGGCGCCGGCATTGGCCTCTATGGAGCTGTCGCAGATGTGCGTGCAGGCCATGTGGGAGGGCCGCGATGCGCTTGGTCAGGCAGGTGCCGCATCTGGGCGGCTCTGAACGCCTGCAGATGTGCGAGTCCATGCAGGTCGACAGCGTCTTTGCTGTCATGGATATGGAGGATGAGGATCGGGCCAAGTTGCTCCAGGGGCTGGCGCCAAAGCCAGGTCGCCGAGGTCGCAGCCTATGTGAACCGGTATCCGAACATCGAAGTGGAGTTTGAGGTTGCTGGGGAGGTGCACGCCAATGGCATTGTTAGCCTTGTGTTGTCGCTGGACCGCGAGTGGGACGAGGAAGAAGAGGGAGATATTCCAGGCCCTGTTATTGCGCCGTTCTTCCCCTATGCGCGCGCCGAGGGCTGGTGGGTGGTCATTGCCGACGGCCAGACCCTGGTCAATGTGCGCAAGATCAGTGTCGGCAAGGAACTGCAACGCACGATCAAGTTTGCCGCGCCTGAAGTCGCCGGGCAGAGGAATCTGAAGATGTTCCTGATGTGCGATGGATATTTGGGGTGCGACCAGGAGCTGGATGTCGAGTTGGATGTGCTGCCGCCGGAAGAGGAGAGCGACAGCGAATAGGTAGAAATCGCTTCTTAACCTTTTTTTTATATTTGGATATTGCTGGAAAATGGATTTGCTCTATGCTGATCTCAATGTAGTACCTGCATGGTGCTGCAATATGTAGGAATGGGCTTTGCCTAAATGGATGGCAGCATGTCTGCATCTATGCATGTGGGGTTTATATATATCCCTCTGTATTTTCACTGGCATATAGTGAGGTTTCCAATAAGCATATATAAAAGGACTGAAAGAATGCATCCGGAACATACTACCCCAGTATTTCTGATTACGTGTACAGTGTTATTGCCAGGATTCAAATGGACCTTCCACTCCTTTGGACTCTTGCATTAGTAAAAGCGAAGCATTTACTCTCAATGCCATGGATACTCTCCAATGCGCAGTCTCTCTCTCACTGGTCCACTGGGGTTTGCTCTAATAGGCATGCCACCTTCCGCTAGTGTCATGGCAAATCACTGCTGCTCTTCTTTGTAGGTAAAAGCCCTTTCTTTAATTGCCAGCGTATTTGAATCCATACGTTTATTCATATCTATGCCCATGACTTTCAAGAGATACCTATTAAAAAAAGCGGCATGACAAAGAACATGCTGAATACAATTCAGAAAAGCTTTGTTAAAAACATTTCCGTGTGCAATGAAGGACCTGTTAGAACCTCAAGATCTGATTGCTGTGAACTACATTGCTTCTCACTCCGATGTTCACCTATCTTTTTATTCATCGTTTTTCTTTTTAGCTGTGCCACCAGAGCTACGGTATAAAACTTTTACGCTCGCCTTCCTTCTTCTTTAGCTTTCTTTGCATAAGTATAGTCCTTGCCTCTGTCGCTTTATGTTAATACTAAGCCTATTCTACCAGCGTGCTTCTGAACTGAGCTGCCCCTGTTCAAAGACTCATTCGGAATTTGTGATACACGAAAATACGCATTCATATATCAGATATTTTCGTTATTCATCTCTATCCTCTTATTTGGCTTTGCCGTTCTCTATCTCCTTACATCCTCCACCTTGTATTCTAGACCTTCAACGTAGAGGGGGTAAGGACATGGCAAGTATGTGTGCTTGCGTGTATGCCGTGTAGGTGGTTCTGTCAGCTTTGACACCTATCCCCACTCTGTAAGTCAATGCTACTTAATGTTGCACTGCATGTCTTTACTCATGGCAAGATCTCAAGAACAGCGCTTAGCTCACTCGAAAATACCGACAGCAGCTCATTTGCTAGCACGACTACAAAACTGTCGTTTTTCTCCAGCAGCCACGTTCGTTTGTAAGCTTTTCAATTGGCCGGATCGATTCGGGCTTGTCAAACTGGTTCATCTTGACATGCATTACGAGCATCCCTTCATCGAATCACTCTACATGTATCAAGCAACTATTGTGAATTGAGATCGAGGCTGTGGAAAACAGGAAGCATTTTGCCTGAGCATTCCCTGCCAGAAACCTGGAAAGGCCGCCATTTGTAACCAATTGAATACACTGCTGCTTTGTAAACATGATGGCGAGATATTGACACTGCTCTTTTGGCATCTTACATCTAGCTGCATCTGGTGTAACTTCGATGGCGTTTGGTAACGGTATCGTTTTTACTTCTCCCCTGTGGTTCTAACTCATGGTATCATTGCAGCAAACGCATTCGGTTCTCCCCTTGAGTACATTGTCTTCAAGTATACTGGCGAAAATATCGATCGCATCATGGCCAGGCTCCACAAGCTCAGAGAATGAAGTGCAGATGGTGGAGTCCCCCTCCAATCAGAAAGGCACCCAGACGCTGGGTCGTGAGAAGCGCAGGCTGTCTGATCGCTCCAACACAAGCGGTTCTTCTACTGGGCATCACAGCCCTAAGCAGAAGGTACATAGGGCTATACTCTGAGATAAACAGCTGATGATGCCAGTAGAGAGTAGTTCAGCAACTACCCGATGGGACCAGTCAATGATAGCAATCAATGTTGAAGGTATTAATTATGTTGCTCGTGCCCATGTTCAGCCCTTTTTGCACCAACCTCAGTTCCCTCAGTTTTGAAATTCATTCCAACAAATCCTACATACCAACCTCACGAACTACCCTTCACAACATTAATCTAGCCAACAAAACTGCCATTACAAGGTGTTTTCAGGTAGACACACCGGCGGTGTATGCATCCTGTAACGTATGTGTAGGCTTGGGGGCACATCGACTTTTGCGCTGGTTCTTGTCCTGTGCTGCTCAATTTTTTTACCGAATTCCCAAATAATCACCAGATGCAATTGATTTCTGCCTGGCCGCAGTCGTCACTATCAATCAAAAACATGCACTATGCTAACATCTATGCCAAGACTTTTGCACGAGTATAAGAATGCCAATAAAATCCTTGACAAGACAGGTCCATGTCCTTCCCCTCACCTTTGTGTTTCATTTTACTTTTTCTGCTTAATAACTTGTTGTGAGGTACGTAGAATTTGACAGCAGTTAACAAGATATACTTATTCGCGGACGGTAAGATAGCCACCAGTGCTGGCCAGCGGACAGTAGTCCTCCTTGTTGCCCCAGTATGCTGGCACGACTACATTCTGGAAGGCAAAGAATATCACGATTCCTGAGATGGCCAACCCGGAATCCAGTCCAGCAGATGTGGCAAAGGCATAGCGCTGCCACGCAACCCGATACAGCTTCTGCCACAAAGCAACAAGGAAGCACGCACCAATGAACCAGTTCACCAGCGTACCAGTGGGCATCGGCGGCATGCTGCCGGAAATGCTCATGATCACAGGGATGTGGACATGCTTCCAAATGCTGTTCGGGTAGCGCTTGTACAGGTACCAGAAGGGGATGGGGATAAGCACACCTAGGATGAAGAGATACAGCGCAGTGTGATACGGCGAGTCCCCTCCAAACATCCGGCCAGGACCGACCAGACCCCAGATGACGGACGCCGAGTAGAAGGTGTTGGCTGAACGGCAGGTCCATGGATACCCCTCGGGTGTGCACATGTTGTCGATGGAGTTCATCAGCCAGTATGCAACAAGCAGCTGCACCAAACCGGCAAGGATTGTGCCGACCATCTGCTGGATGAACATGTGGCGGGGCGGGATCTTCATGTAATGGCCGAGCTTTTGGTCGGAGACTAGATTCAGTGCCTGGGTCATGGTGATGTAGCCGTACACCTTGAACGTGACATTAGCGACAGGGTCTCCGGCTTTTCCGTAACCGATGATGAATTCGGTGATGATGTTGAGGCCCGGCTGCTGGTTGCTAATGGCCTGGATAATGCCAATCGGGATGGTGAAGATGAAGGGGATGACGGTAGCCAACACCATCCAGTACCAGTTCATGAGATGGAAGACCTCGCAGGTAACAATCGAGACGGAGAATGTGGCGACAAAGGTAGCCAGGTACCACCACTGCGGGACCTCCTCATAGTTGCGCATCAGCTTCATGTGGATGTCCTCGTCCATCGTGCGTGACTGGCGGAAGCGTCTGACGATGTCCTTTCCGTAGTGCAGGCCGACATAAACGAGCAGCGCCATGATCGCAGCAAAGCCGACACCGTACGTGTAGCCGAACATGTAGGTCATGCGCAGGGGGCCGTACTCGGCATACTTGACTGGGTCCAGCGTCTGGTGGGGTGTCATGATCTTCTTGATGTTGTACTTTGAGCCGTTGGGCAGGAAAAGCCCTGCAGTGTAAATCGGGTACAGCCCAGTGTCCCAGGTGTTGGCATAGTAGCCGGCGGGCGTAGCAATCCACGCCATGATCACAAAGCCGACGAACAGGTTGCAGGCCATGGGGAATGGGTACGAAATCGGGGACCCCATGTACGACGCAATCGTGGACCAGTCGAGGGTCAGGTTAAGCATGCCCAGACCAGAGTAACTGTCGCCGAGCTGCTGTCGCAATGACGTTGTTGGGCGCGGCAAGGCACAGAATCGGAATAGCAGTCAGCAGCGGCATGGCAAACCCAGGCACGAAGTACCATGCAAAGCTTGCAGCAAACGCAATCCAGAAGACCTTGGTACGCGACAGTTTTCCCCAGTTGGTAGTCTCGTGGAAGGTGCGGAACAGGGTGGCAGTGACCAGAGTGGTAGGCCACAGCATGGCCGACGGATACACAAGGAAACGGCGCGACAGACCAGCGAAAGAATAGCCCAGAAGCTGCGATGTCATCAGAAAGAGCAGCGAGGCGCCAAAGCCGAGGTCCGACTCGTACCACATCTTCTTGATGGTGACCACGTCGATGGCATAGGCAGACGTGGCACAGGCAGTGGCAGTGATGGTGAGCAGGACATGCTCCTTGATGTTGAACGGGCCTGGGTTCAGGGTCCACTTCCAGCCAAAGGTACTGAAGACCTTGGTGGGTAGGACCTTGGCCATCAGGTAGCCGCAAGGGAAGGAAATAATCTGAACGACAGATGCGCCGAGAGTCAGCTGGTTCTGGCGGAACCAGTAGAACTGGTTGACGAAGGCCAGGGCAGCACAGAAGATGACACCCAGGAACCAGGTGCGGAAAGGTCATTGACGGCAGGTCAGGGTTGTCCTTGTTGGACACCGCGATGCGCACAATTTCGAAGGGGGAGTCCTCGTCCTCCTCTTCTTCATTGAACTGGCTGTCCTTCTCAAGGCCGACCTTGGCCTCGGGGTCGCTCCATTGCCGGTGCTGAGCCTCTTGATGCTCCAGTTTCGGTGCTGTGCTCATGAGGAGGGAAGCTATTGACGATTACAGAGAAATGATACCGATATGGTAAGGTATTATCAGAAAAGACCAAGTAGAACTAGCAGGTAAGGAAAGAAAAATATGAGGGAATGTCTCAATAGACGGCTGCCAGGAACTGGAGAAAATTCGTCCATGGACGCTTCTCTTTATAGCGCCGCCCTGCTCTAGAATAGAAAATAGAACGCCGCGACATTGTCTGCTTCGCTTGAGCGCTTCTCCCCACATAATCGACAACAATTCATTCTATCCTGGACGAGTGCGCCGACAGGCTGCCCATGTAGACCAACCAAAACCTGCTGGCGGTGAGATACGCTGGCATTTAGCTGCCTAATCGACATACTGCACAGGTAGCGTTGTGATTTCTGTGCTTGCTGTCTTACAGGGTTGATCATTCCCTGGGCCAGGCGTCGGCGCACTCATGCACCCAGCTGTCTTGTTTGTCCATCCGCATACAAATATCCCTATCCCTCTCGGCCAGATTTTCATGTCAAGGCAAGCGCTAGTTTCTCACCCTCATCACATGCTTCCTGCCAGTTTGCCATGGAAAGAGAACCGAAAAAGGGAGGGATACCCGCGGCACAAATTGGTATTCTTTGTGGTCACGAACTGCGCGCTTGTAAACAAGCGATTCCCATCCATTATTATATTTGTGACCAGGCCTCATTGCTTTGAGGGGGTGTTTTTTAGTGCGTGCAGAGTCTGTTTGGCACCACCATCATCGAAATTCAATCGGTTGGTGCTGTCTTTATGCTTGTTCTCCTGCCTTTTCCAACTCTCGAAACCTACAGCCTATCCACATCTGCAGCTGGTAAATGTATGTAAGCGTCCATGTGCATAGCCCCACATGGCGAAGCAACGGCAGAGAACAGTAGGCATACTAGCCAGCGCTCGGCCAAGCTCAAAGCTGGCGAAAATGCATTGGATGGCAATCTTTTTCTCACATATGTAGCAGCGACAACAAATGAGCTACGTGAGAAATTCGCAAGACAGCAAAGGGGCAGTGGAATGAGGTGAGGATGGAGAACCTGCCGGTCGCGACGTATCCGAATACAAATCCGGGCAACCAGAATAATGGCCCTTCTATTTTGCAGTGCGATGGAGGGATAGACGCCGTTTGGCATGCACATGCATACCGGTTGGGAAGCTGCTTCTCGCAGGCTTATTTTGCAAATCGCAATAGCACTCTCTCTTCCGTGGAGAAACTTCTTGGCAAGTGGTTCATTACATGGCAATCACATTCGATCATTGTCGCAGACGTTCGCGTGATTCAGACACAACGCTGTATTCGCGCTCCTGTGGAATCGGCTGGTTTACGCCTCCCTTTATGCAGCGGACCACCCATCCCAGCTGAGGCTGACTTCTCTGGGCACTCCCCCGCCATACCTCAATACAGTCAAGATACATGTTGCTGTCGCAACTAAGCGCATGAATTGCGCACAGCACAGGCAGCGTTTGATTATCATGTGAGATGCGATTTCGCGCACCTCTTGTCAGTTGGAAAGGAAGCCAATGATGATTTTCTCAGCATCAGCATAGCATCCAACGAGGTTTTTGGGGCATTTCCGAGATAGATGGACAGCCATTCCCATTCTCTGTATCCTACCAAAGGCGACATGGATATGGAGAGATGGTGCAGAGAACGACTGTATATACGGCACAATGCGAACCTGTTCAGAGCAAGCATCAAAGGCTGAAGGAATGTTCGTTCGAAGTCGTAAGCATTCTAACCTATCCAAAAAAATATTCCCACAGAGACTCTTGAGAAAGTCCGCGACATCTGGACTTGCTGGTCAGCAGACAAGCAAAGCACCGGCTCAATACACTGACAGTGGAACATTATGCGCAACTGGTAGTCACCAAAGTATAGCTGCAGGTTCTAATAGCTACTGTGTAGAATAGTTTTTAAGCTGGAATAGTTGTGCAAAATGTCTAGCGGGCAGGGCTTACCATACCAACGAGCGATGGTGCAACTGGAGAGCGGCTCTGGCGTTAGACACAAATTGCATGCCCTCGATGATCGCTGTAAAAACAACCGAAGCAGCAATCACATGTGCATGAATTGCTGCAATCGCTGCCACAGGAGACAGAACTCAAATTGATTTGATTACATAGATTAACTCTCTTGCAAAGAGTTAGCAGGACAGGGTATATGCCGTGATTGTTAGAAGCATATGCCAAGCAGGGCATACCAGTCAAAACAAGGATTAGCGTAATGCAATGGCCAATTATTACCACTGCTAGATTCGGAATCCGCTCATCGCTCAAGCAGCCTTGCATCACGCAATCAAAAGATCGATTGCAGAAGGCTGCTCAAACTCCAGGAACACCAGTGGTACCGAGCATAACACCACTCATGGAGCCATGCGTGAGAACAGATAAACACTGCTGCAAAACGATGACGCAAAGGAATGCTCGCTCAGCAGCACGGTGTGGGTCACTATAGAAGGGGGGCTTGCCCTTGGTCAGTAATGCCTCAGGCGTCAAGGCTTATCGCTGCGCCGTTTTGGAAAAGCGCCATGCGGCGGGACGGTTGGGCTTTTTATTGCGGCTTTCTAGCGCGGGGAATTCGCAGAGTGTTGGAGGCGCTGTCCAATAGAAGGGTGTAGTGGCAGATCAATGCGCTCGCTTTTTTGTCACTTTATTTTTTTCAGGGGGCTGAGCAAAAAGCAGCTCCCCCTATCACACCCCTTTCACCCCCTGAAACCCCCCTGAAGGCTATGAAGCACCAAAGAATTCCCACCTGCTTCGCCTATAAATAAATGACCGGCAGTTGAATTCCACCTCTTCCTTTTCTTCTACTTACACTTTCACACTATATTTATCCAGATTATTAGACTGCACTGCTACCACCAACTATACCTTCTTCCGACATGTCTTCAAGAGCCACTACTCCGTCATCCAGTCCCTCCGTCAACACTATGCAGGACCTGGTCAAGCAGCTCAACATCACGATGGGACCACATGGCCTGGGCGACGACCTCATCCGGGTGCGTCAAGTCAAGAAGCTCATGCAGTCCTACGTCTCCCAGGCCACAGACTGGTCGCAGTATGCTGTGTACCACGAAGGCACGCGCTACACGCGCAACCTGGTTGACGACGGCAACGGCAAGTACAACCTCCTGGTGCTTGTGTGGGGCGAGGGCCAGGCGAGCCCAATCCATGACCATGCAGGCAGCCACTGTATGATGAAGCTGCTGGATGGCGAGCTGCAAGAGGACCTGTTTGCCTGGCCGCGCGAGTCGACCGACGAGATGCGGCTCAAGCGGACGGCGGCGCTCAAGACGAACAGCGTCGCCTTACATGCATGACAAGATTGGCCTGCACCGGATTGCAAACCCGTCGCTGCAAGGGAAGGCAGTCTCCCTGCACCTCTATTCGCCGCCGTATAACGTCTGCAAGACGTTTGATGAGAAGACAGGTGCGACAGCGATATCCAGCTGTGCTGCCTCAAAGCTGACGCCTGGCACCAGCTCTCCTCAGTCGTCCATGGACATTACCGCCAACTGAGCACTGTTTTCGTAAAACCCTTTCTTGTATTTTAAAATAACAAATTCCTTCTAACTGCAGTCACGTATCGCTGTCTGACACCACGGCAGATGCACCCGAACCCACTGATACATCTCGCCGCTGTGCCTTGCGCTGTTTAATGAGGTCATGGCTGAGCTGCCACGATACCAAGATGCTGAGCATGTGCCAAAGAGAAAATTCTGGCCAGTAAGCATTGACGAATTTCAGATAAGCCATCTTCGACGACTGCCACAGCATGTAGTTGCTGAAACGGATCTCGCCGGATGTGCGCACCAGGATATCGAGCTCAGGGCCAGGAATGTGGAGCCGCTCCTCGAGAGACTTTTCGCTGACATCGGCCACCATCAGCTTGCCACTATCAACATCCTCGACGAGCGTGCGGATAGCCGTTGAAATTTCATCGGTGGCCGAGTATGGAAAGCACACGTTTAGGGTCATGCCCGTATTGTCCTTGGTTGACTCCTCGGCAAACGTAATCGACTCGCGCACGTCCTCTGGGAGCATGTCCTTGGACCCAGCAACACGGATCCGCAACCCGTGCTTCTTGACCAAATCGCTCTTCTCTGCCAACACGCGCAGCTTGTCGCGGGCAAGCGCCATCAGGGCCGTGACCTCATCTGTCGACCGCTTAAAGTTGTTGATGGCAAAGGCAAATACGCTGACGTGCTTGATACCTAGATCATTGCACCATTCAAGGACGTCAGTGAGCTTGTGGAATCCGGCCCTGTGCCCGCCGCTGGTGACTACATGGTTTTTGCGCGCAAACCGGCGGTTTCCGTCCATGATAAATGCCACGTGCTGCGGGATTGGGCCCTGCTTCATAACACGGATGGCGATGCGCCGCAGCCGACTGGAGCCCGCACTGCATATGGACTCGCATTCTTTCTGGAAGGGCAGCTTTTCCGACTGCACGCCGGCCAGGCTGCCGCGGTATGTGCCAGCGACCACAATGTATGTGACAGTGACTGCAGCTACCAGTAAGCTGGAATAGGCTGCGAGCGAGGACATTCTGGTATGGAAAGTGTGTGAATTGAGTTGACCTGAGTTGAGTGGAGTTGAGGTATGAGCCTGGTGCCAGCAACGGGGTTTCTTCAGAGTGTTGGCTGACCAGTGTTGGCTTGCAATACCTTGATCGGGATCCTGGGATCAAGACTGGGAATCAGGACATCTGTGTCACCGATCTACTCCGGTCAGCCCATGTCTCGGACTGCGGTTCTGCTCGACTGTGGCCTCTTCATCTTTCCTCCTCGGCCGTGCACCAGTATCAACAATGTCGTCGCTCCGCAAACTCGTATTCGTCACCGGCAATAAGAACAAGCTGCGCGAGATGCAGGAGCTTCTCTCCACCACAGTTGCCCTCGAGAACAACCCTTTGGATCTCGAGGAGATCCAGGGCTCAACGCAGGAGGTGGCCATTGCCAAGTGCCGCCGTGCAGCCAACATTATCGGCGGTCCTGTGATCACCGAGGACGTCGGCCTGGGGTTCAACGCGATGAACGGCCTGCCCGGCCCCTACATCAAGTGGTTCCTGAAGGAGCTGAAGCCCGCTGGTCCTGTACAAGATGCTGGATGGGTTTCGAGGACAAGACCGGGTTCGCTGTCTGCACTGTCGCCTACTGCGAGGGGCCGGGGCATGAGCCGATTTTGTTTGAGGGCGTTCATCCACGGACGGATCGTGGAGCCGAGAGGCCCAGGCGTGTTTGGATGGAACCCGATCTTCGAGCCCGAGGGACACTCGGAGACCTACGCAGAGATGTCGGATGAGACGAAGAACACGATGCTCGCACCGGTTCCTGGCGGTCGAGAAGCTCAAGAAGTTCTTGAGCGAACAGTAATTCTCCACCGAAGCACCTGGAAAGAGCCACAGTTGCTCGTGGCTGACGAGAGCGAAAATGCCAACCTTCTCGTTCAATGTTTTTCTCCTAGCTTTTTCCGATTTTTTATACACCCTTTAAAGATGCCAGCGAATTTGGATCGGTTCACATGCGACATTGGCTTCCCTGTGGGCTGCATTGGCGTGACCTCCTCAAACGAGGTTGTGCTGGGCGGTGGCGGCGGCCCTGGCGGGTCGGGCGTCAAGAACAAGCTCTCTGTCTACAAGGTGGACAAGGAGAGGCAGGATCTGGATGAAGTAAGCACGATCACCCTGAGCAGCAATGAGGACGCGCCTACGTGTCTAGCAGTGCACCCAAAGGAGAAGACCATCGTCAGCAGCGTGAATGTCGATAAGGAGCGGATAGAGAAGGGCGAGAATGCGAATTGCCGCGTGTTCAAGCTAGCCAAAAAGGGCATTCAGGCAGGCAAGGCAGCAAAGACGATGCTGAGCACTGACGACATGGACTACCAGAAGACCATTGCGATTGAGCCGCACGGCAGACTGGTAGCCAACGGCTCATCGGACGGCACACTGGCGGTTGTCGAGTACCCGTCGCTGAAGCCCGCGTTCCCGTTTGTCGAGGCGTCGGGCGAAATCAACGACGTGGACTTCAATGCGTCAGGCAAATGGCTGGTGGTGGCAACGGACCATGAGTTGAAGGTTCTGGCGTCCAAGGACGGCAGCTCGGTGCAGAACATCGACAAGCCGCACACAACGTCTGGCGAGCAGGCAGTGTTCCGGTCGAGTCGCTTCGGCCGTGCCAAGGAGCAGCTGATGGGGTTCAAGGCGCAGCAGAAGACGCCGGTGATGCTGAAGGACGTTTTGTACACGGTACTGAATACGCGGTCGCGCAAGCAGGCGTATATTGCCATGTGGAATACCCAGACCTGGCAGCGCATCACGACACGCCCGGTCTGCCGGTCTGCGATCACGACCTTTGCAGTGAGCAACAAGGGCAGGCTGCTGGCATTTGCGACAGCTTCGCTGCAGATTGGCATCTGCGATGCCCACACGCTGCGTGTGCTGGTGCGGATCCCGGCTGCTCACAGCTTTGCCATTACCTGCGCTGGCGTTTGACAAGGACGACAAGTTTTTGATCAGCGGGTCAGCCTGACGAGACATGCCAAGTGATTGCGATCCCGGAACAGTGGCCGACGGCGCTGGAGGATGCGGTGCAGTGGACCAAGGACAACTTCCAGGTGTTCGTTATGCTGGTCGTGCTGCTGCTGGCGGTGCTAGGCCGGTTTGTTTTTGCGTTCCTAAATGGTTTTTTTCCTCTATTTTTCCTGCAGTGACTTTAAGATTCTATCGAGTGCGTCCATGATGTCCGATTCCCAGAAGCCCATCTCGTAGTCCACCAGCCCGTACCTTTTCAAGCGCATCTCCCCAGTGCACAACAGACTGCTGCAGATGCACGATATGCTCCTCACGTAACCGGTCTTCGTCAGACTTGGCGGCTGTTACGTGCTGCAGCGACACCAGCCAGCAGCGGTTCAGCAACAGCCAGAATGCCTTGCGGTCAAAGGTCTCCATGACGGGCTTTTCCGTGGCGAGTCCGAGAGCCTCGCAGCTGACGACAACTGCATCGGTGACTTTGCTCAGGATGTCGAAGCTCTCGAGGATTTTGCCGGCGCGGATTCCAGCAAACACACGCTTGATCTCGTCCTGGATCTCAGCCAGACTCGAGCGCAACTGGCTGGAGTCGATTGACATGTAGGTGTTGGTTTGAGCAGACATGAAACTGTACACGATGTGCTGCGCACACCATATGTTTGTTTCGGGATATATTGGTGGATGCCGTGCAATTGTATTTATATGGTGGTTCACGTGAGTTTGTGGGCTCAGTGCTCGGCGCGCTTTGGTGCAGGCTCGGCAGCTTGCTTTGCCTCGCTGCTGAGTCCGTGCTTGACACCCTGCGGGCGCGACGAATGCGTCGCTGAGCTTCAGGTTGTCCATCGAGCTGCTGATCCGCAGACCGGGGTCCTCGACGTCTCTACAGATGGAGAAAGGAACGCAGATGGGTCAGCCAAGTGTAAAGGAAACTGCAAAAAGGCTGTGGTAAACGGATGGAGTAGTATATGAACAAATTAAACACCTTTCTATAAAGAGATAATTCCTGGAAGGGAGGTGGAACCGTCAAACCCTTGCGGGATGCTTGACTCAAAAAGATGCTTACGCGCGGAGGATGCGCATGGTGTTGGTGTTGCCGACACCACCGCGCCAGCCCTGGATGGAGATGACGACATCGTCCTTCTTGAGCAGACCGGCGTCAAGAGCGTTGGCGATAGCGAACTGGATGCGGTCATCGACATCGGCCTGCCACTGGTCGCGGGCCTCGCTGGCATTGGACCGAGGCCTCGGGCTTGTCCTTCTCGTACAGGAACGGGTAGCAGCCACGCGACAGGTGGACATGGCGGGCAGTGTGGTAGTCGCGGGTGACGACCAGGATGGGGATCGAGGGGCGGTACTTGGACAGCAGGCGGGCCGAGGTACCGGTGGTGGTGATGCAGATGATCGCCTTGGCGTCCTGCTCAAGAGCGGCGTTGACGGCCGACGAGCAGGTGGCCTCGGTGGTGGTGATCGGGTAGCTGGTGGCGGCGCGGATCTCGTTGAACAGAGGCGGGTAGGCGATAGGCCGACTCGGCGAGGAGCGAGATGTCGGACATCATGCGCACGGCGTGCAGAGGGTAGTTACCCTTGGCGGTCTCGCCCGAAAGCATGACACAGTCAGCGCCGTCGAGGATGGCGTTGGAGACATCGGAGACCTCAGCGCGGGTGGGGCGGGGGTTGTAGGTCATGGACTCGAGCATCTGGGTGGCGCAGATGACGGGCTTGCCGGCAACGTTGCACTTGGCCATGATCATCTTCTGGACGATGAAGACCTGGGCGGCCGGGATCTCGATACCGAGGTCACCACGGGCGAGCATGACACCGTCGGTCTCCTTGAGGATGGCGTCAAAGTTCTCGACACCCTGGGTCGACTCGATCTTGACGACGATCTTGATGTGCTTGCCCTTCTCACCGAGGTGCTGGCGGATATCAATGACGTCCTGGGCGGTACGGATGAACGAGGCGAAGATGATATCAACACCCTGCTCGACACCGAAGCTCAGATCGGCCTTGTCCTTGTCGGACAGAGCGGGCAGGTCGACAGGCGAGCCCGGGAGGTTGACACCCTTGTGGCTCGACAGGGCACCGTCGGTGCGAGCAACAACCTTGACGGCGTTGTCCATGATCTCAAGGACCTCGAAGGCCATGATACCGTCGTCCATGTAGATGGTGCGGCCGGGGGTGACAACCTTGGGCAGGTTCCCGTAGTCAACATACAGGACCTCGAGGCTGCCCTCGTCCTTGTACTTCTCGTCCATCGAGAAGATCATCTCGTGGCCGATCTTGAAGGGAATGTCCTTGCCGTCCTTGGTGTTACCGGTACGGATCTCGGGGCCCTTGGTGTCCAGGGCGATGGCGACGGGGCGACCCTTGAGGGCGCTCTCCGAGGCGCGCACGTTGGCGATGGTTTTGGCGTGGAACTCGTGCGAGCCGTGCGAGAAGTTCATGCGGGCAACGTTCATACCGGCCTTGCGCAGCTCAGTGATCATCTCGACGGTCTGGGTCTTGGGGCCCAGAGTGCAGATGATGGAGGACTTGCGGACGTGGTCGGGCGTCTTGGCGATGTCAAGCGACTCGAGCCACTGGAGGCGGGAGGTGTTGCGAGGGTCAACCATGGTGGAGGTAAAAAAAAGTGTGTACTTTGGAAAAGGAAGGGGGAGGAGAGCTGTGCGTATGGCGAAATACAAGGAGAAAAAACTTTTCATCACTACCTGGAAGACGGTAGTCCTTTTATATCCACTACTGCCCGCGCTACAGGATGGGGGGAGGGGGATTCGTGGCTACGCTGCAGGCTGGTGTGCACTTGCCGAGCGTGCATGGACGAGGAAGAAAAATTCTGCTGTCGCTTTGGGCCGCACAATATCTTGGGGGTTGTGAGGATGGGGTCTGGAACCGCCTGACGGCTGGGAGAATTCCGGAGAAGGGTCAGGCTACGCGGCGGCTGTCCGGAATCAAGCCCATGCCAATTGTATCACTGCTTGTACGTCACGACGAGTCGCTCTTTTGTGTTCCCCACCGGTTTGCGCTGATGGCGAGCTTTTTTTTTTTCGTCTTCCTTCCTTGACTATCCACGCACATGGGCCAGGGAATGAAGGGGCGGGCCGGTTTGGCATAGGGGGCTCCCACCCATCCTGCGCATTGTGGCACGTATGCGGGCCATGCACGCACATACGTCGGCTTTCGTCGGCTCCATAAACAGTGATTGGCAATGTGTCAGGCTGAGCTCCTGTACCTGAAAAACACACGCACACAAGTGAAGGGCCATACATCATCTGCCTCCCTTCATCACCATGCTTGTCGCACGCACCGAGAACATAGGCTTCCGTCGCTCCAAGCGCCGCGGCATGACGAAGAATGTGACTGAGCGGTACATCCGGCGCGACATCCCATGCGGCATCTCGGAATGCACCAGCTGCGTCCGCAACGCCAGTCTGCGGGACTCGGGCCTGCCCATGCTGACCAGCACGCTGCCCGTGGTGGTTCCAGACAGCAGCGTGGTGAGCAGGTACATTGAGCTGCTGGAGTCGCAGGATTCGCTGCGCAATCTTGTTTTTTGCCAGACGGTCATCGAGGCGCTTGATCGGCGCAACCGCACCAGAACCATCCGCAATGTCAGGCGGATTGCTACTGATGCTAGGCGCGGCTCGGCAGTTTTCGCCAATGAGGTGTTCGCAGGCACCCAAATCGATAGGATGCACGGCGAATCCCTGGCGGTGCGCGACATGCGGGCGGTTCGCAGCGCGGCAGCGTGGTTTTCCCAGCACTATAGCGTTGTCGTCATTGTGGTCACTCTGAGAAAGGTACGCAAGTCAGCTGTTTTGCAACCCAACGGAAAAAGCGCAAATTAGAAGCGGACCTTGAAAAAGCGTGCACAGCTGCTTTTTTTCTCGCTCATTTTGCGGCCAATGGCCGTCCACCACCAGCGCATTCTACTGAAATCCATTGGGGGAGCGTGCTGCTTCTAAATAGGCTGGCCACTTGGCGTTTGGGGGCAGCGGACAGTGTCAGAGTTCTGGATCTCGACGAGTTCCTCGCCACGTACCACCCGGCCCTCCTCGATCACTACTCTGCGGTTACTGAGGCCACGGCCGACAAACCCGACATGGACATCTCAGCCCTGGATCCGGTTGAGTTTGCGCAGCTGCGTCTGGCCAACAAGAGCAAGCAGGGGTATGCCAGTTACTGGTCGCCCGAAGAGGTTGCCGAGGGCCTGCGCATGGGCACACTGGTGCGTGGCAAGCTGCGCTATGACCCGCTCCAAGGATAAGGAGCCATCGGGTGTGATTGAGCGTGAAGGAAAACCGGACATTGTCGTCACGGGACGCCTGGCGCTCAACCGGGCGGCGGATGGGGACACGGTGGTTGTACGGGTGCTGGCCATGACCGAAGAAACTCCGGGGCTGGGCGCAGATGGCATCAGCGAGGAGGACCAGGACCAGGACGATGCAGACGAGGAAATGGCCGCCGAGCTCATTGATGCAGGCGAAGAAATGGCCCCAGCGAGTGGCACGGAAAAGCCTGTGAGCGGCGTGGTGGTGTGCGTGCCCGAGCGCAAGTGGCGCATGTATGTGGCTACACTACAGCTTGACGAGGCTGGGGGCGCCCAGCACCTGGCAGTGCCGGTAAATGCGCATGTCCCCAAGATCCGGATCCATTACATGGATGCGGCAGTGATATCGGATCTGTACTTTGTAGTAGCCATCGATGGGTGGCCTGCCGACTCACAGTACCCACATGGCCATTTTGTTCGCCCTCTGGGCCTGATTGGTGACCTGGACACGGAGATCGACGTGATCCTGGTTGAGCGCCAGATCGCTGTGTCGCAAGCGGCACTGAGCTTCTCCAAAGCCAGCTTGCGCGAGATGCCGGTCGATTCGCCCACAGCCCCGTGGCAACCGGATGCAGCGGAGGTAGCTGGAAGGCGGGACCTGCGCGACCAGCTTATCTTTAGCATTGACCCCAAGGGCAGCCAGGATATCGACGATGCGATATCGATGCGGCGCACTGAACAAGGTTTCGAAATGGGCGTGCACATTGCTGACGTGTCACAGTTCGTAGTGCCTGGGTCAGCCACGGACATTGAGGCGCAGGCGCGTGGTACAACCGTGTACCTCGCCGACCGCCGCTTCAATATGATCCCTGAAGTGCTCAGCGAGCGCATCTGCTCACTGCGCGGTGGGGCCGACCGGTACGCAATGTCGGTTGTGTGGCAGATGGACAGCAACTATAATGTGACCGATACCTGGTTTGGGCGTACTGTGATTCGCTCGGCGTGCGAAATGTACTATGAGCAGGCTCAGGCATTGCTGGATGGCGCCGTAAGTGCCCCCGAGTTGGTAAACAAGTCGCTGACTGAAAAGTTGCGCTCCAGCATTGTCGAGCTGACCACTGCGATGCGCGTGTTGCGCGAGCGCCGACGGTCTGCGGGGGCTTTGGAACTGGCGAGCACCGAAGTCAAGTTCTCGTTTGACCCTGCAACGCACGCCATCACCGAACTGACACCAAAGGCTGGCCTTGAGATACACCGAGTGATCGAGGAGGCCATGGTGTTTGCCAATGCAGCAGTGGCCCGCCGAATCCACTCGGTATTTCCGAAGTCTGCTCTACTGCGTCGGCATCCGTCGCCGAGTTCCGAGCGGTTCGAGCGGCTAGTCAAAGCAGCCCGGTCCCGCGGGTTTGACATTGACTGCTCGTCGAACAAGGCACTAGCTGAGTCACTGGCCTGCATTGTCAAGGCCGCAGAGTCGTCGGATCCTGACATGATCTTTATGGCCAAGTCGATGGCGACATTGGCGATGCAGGAGGCCGTGTATTTCACGACTGGCGATCAACAGCCAGCGCAGTTTGCGCACTACGGTTTGGCCCTCGAATACTACACGCACTTCACGTCGCCAATTCGCCGGTATGCAGATATAGTTGTGCATCGGCAGTTGGTTGCTGCCTTGTCGGGCGAGGACCCCATGGCTGCTGGGTCGCAAAAGTGGGTGGGCGATACCACTGAGCGACTAAACGAGCTGAACCGCCAGAGTAAGTTTGCACAGCGCGAGTCGACAGAGCTGTTCCAGAGCCGGTATGTGAGCCAGATCATCGATCAGCAAGAGTACCTGGTAGCAGATGGTGTTGTGGCCGAAGTACGCACGAACGGCTTGATTGTCTACGTGCCCAAATACGGCATCCGTGGTCCAGTTCATCTGAAAGACAAGTCAGGCGCCATCAAGATCCCGCTGTCGGTGCTAACAGGCAAGCCGCGAGACATGGAGACTGCCATTGACGGATGCACTGATTTTGAGGCTGAAGCTGATAAGCTGTCAGTTAGGCTACCGATAAACGTGCCAGTGTTCCACCTGGGCAGCGCAACTATGACCTTTGCCGTGTTTGATCACGTCAAAGTCTGTCTGCGTGTATTGGAGACACGCAGGAGACGGCCCCCAGTATATCTGAACTCTCGTCAGTCCAGGCAGCAGTCCAGACCATAGGCAAGCAGCCTGCGTACCGATCGAATGTTTTGGGGATAGACAAAAAGCTCGGCAACAGCCTGGTCCCGGTATGGTCAGCCAAGAAGAAGGAGAAGCCGGCACTTTCCCCGGCTGCTGCTATTCCGGACTTCTGTTCGGTACTCCCAAGCGCAAGGACAAGAAAGGCAAGACTACGACCGAATACTATTCTGTATTGGCAAAGTTTAGTCAGCTGTCTCTGTTGGAGACGTTTGCTGATGTCCAGCAAATCGAGGTGGATAATACTAGCACCACTTCGCGTGCTGGTTTAAAATAATACAGCAGTTTAACACGAGCTATTCACAATCTGCTTTTGGCTGATGGCATAGATATAGCCAGTCTATATTCAGGGTACACAGAGTTCAAGCGATCTAAGAGAAATACGGTCGTCTCGTTTTGTTAACGAGATATGGCTTTCAAATGTGAATTGCTTTCTGTTCTGCGTATGCCCAAGAGTTGCTGCAAGAACCGGTGCTAGGCTTGCGGCTAGGCAAAAGATGTGACTAGCACACTGCTCAAGCTAAAACAGGTTTTGGCACAAGACTTTGAAATCAATTGCCAATCCTTTCTAGGAAAATCAGGGTTGCCTGGGCAAAGGCAAGTGTGAACTGGTCAAAGTTCCATGTGCATGGCTCTTTTGTTAGCAGCGCAAAGCTCATGGAGAGACGGACTATTGCCGTCTTTTCTTGCATCTATCTTCATCTAGTTTGCTTTTCCAAAGCCTCTATATAGCCTTCACTACACGCTGACCTGATTTGGCTCGTACGCCTTCCATTTAATAACTGTGTGTGCTAAGGAGCCAGCTAGCTTTTCGACAGGCGCTCAAAATACACCACTGTTGTGTAAGCCAAGAGATAACTATGCTCAGGTTCTACGGCAGCTGTCCAGCAGGTATTGTTTCCAAGCAAAGCGGGACAGATGGGTCCAGCGGTCCGTGTGAGTTATCAGCTCGTTAGCTTTAGCCGCTAATGCTTCCAGGGGCACATTTGTCCGGCCAAGGGTCCATACACACCAAGTTCTTTCTATCAGAACGAGCTTTAGCTAGAAAGCATTTGCATTCACTTGTAGTGGCTGTTCTAATGTAATTGAGCCCTCCTGTTTCTCGACCTGACACAGGGAAGAGGTGTGCGAAAACAATACTGCAGCGGATTCCTTCTGGACCTCCTGCGCTCGCGGCAATGCACGTGTATTAACACCCATTTCTGACCTCAGGGTCCACCTGACATTTTTGGACGCGACAAAATGTCACGACTGTTGTCAAAGAATTTCCGGATGCAAACTTGAAAGGGTGCCAGAAGCACTCACACTTTGATACTGGTTGGCGCTTCCTTCCGTCTCACTCCTCCTCTCACCCCGCTGCTACGCACATTGAGTATGACATTCATGTGGCCACTATTAGAGCTGGACTAGGGGCGGCCACCGTAGTAATTTTCTCACAAACGGCAACAGTAGAAATGGAGATCGGGAAATATATGGCAATGAAATGGCGTTTCCAGACTACGCAGCATTAGCCTGAAAAATAGGATATATAGCACCTACCCGCACCCCTTCCCTGAGCCTTTCCTTCTACTCCTTACCCTCGACCTTTTTCTGCTCGTCAATCCGTGCTAATAAACATGTTGCTTCGCAAAGATTATATCTTCACCAGGTTTGACCGTGTTCTCCAGCTGTTCTTACTGGTAGCATGTTTCATATCCTGAACGACGTTTTGGTTACCCAAGTTAAAAAAAATAACTACGGTCTCCGCAGGCGCCATAGATGATTCTGCCTTTGACAAACGATGGGTGAGGTGTATCTCCGACTCAGTCGCTCACACTCTCATGTTTGATCATGTCATGATTAGGCCTTGCGGCGGCTTCAGTGGATATAGCTACTCGCTGGCACTCGAACTTGAAAGCCGTTCTTGGTTTACGGAAAGTGCATGCTGTGCAAAGAATCGTAATCGTCATGCACAATAGATGCAAGTGTACGATTCCTATCATGGACATACTGAGGGAACTCATGTCCACAGACATCGATAGGGGCAGGCATCCGCTCGATCCAGGTTTGTTGGCGGTGGATTGTTTAACAAGTCTGATTTCTCAGGTAGCGAGCTGACAAGTCGACATGTCCAGTGTGCCACCAACTATATGATTCGCCCAGATGAGTACATGTGCAAAGCCCTCTACGCTGCTCACTAGGATCTTCCCTGGAATCAGTTCAGTGATTCACACCATGACACGCGCTACCAAAATTTCCGGATATTTTTTCCGTAGACGACCTCTGCCTAGTATGTTCTACCAGGGGCTATATTGGCACTACGAGGCCAACCTGACCAATATTCAGCTCACTTGCCCGATTGCTTGCCACGAAATGCCTTTCTTTGATGCCGCACATCGCCTCTCCCACATTTTGATGAGAGACACATCAAGATGAGTTTCGGACCTTCTTGGACAGATGCCATCGTATCAGGTCCAGGCAGTCTGCATGGTCATGATACTGTGACTGATGGGCTTGGTTTCGTGGCACTTGCTGGTGGCCCCTGGAACAAATGAAGTTCAAAGTGTCCCAGTACCCCTAAGAAGACTATCCTGAGGGCACCTGATCCCAAAGCGCGGACAGAGATCGTGAAGCGGCATGAGGAACGGTTGGTAGCCATGCCACAAACCCAGAATCACCCTCTGACTCCAAATGGCCAAGGCTGGAGGCATTGTCTTGGCCAGTTCTAAGCAAGGAGCTAGAGACTTTCGATATTGCGACCTGTGGCGAGGGGAGTATCAGCAAAAAAAAGTTGCGAGCTCATGCCTCATCTCCCAATGTTGAAGCTGGTTCAGACAACCCGAGCGTTTGTTGGTGATGTGCGGCAGGACGTTTGTTGACACTATTGGGCCCAGGCATCGAGTCACTCAAGGATTCAGTCCACCTGAGCTGTAGTATCCTGTTAGCATAATCTTATTCCTCTGTACCATATGTATATTTATTCAACACCATCTAGTTCAGCAACAAAGATGCTTGTGTGCGAGCAAATGTCTAACCGTGTATCTAGCTGGGTAGGTACTTCAACAGCTTCCAAGATGTTAGGAATGTATATTTGTCGCTACGACGATCCCGATATGTCGCTAGAGAATACATAGCCATTAAACACCCCATAAAGCCCGCTTGTTTGGGTTCTCGCTCGCTGCAGAATCTGGTGGTCTAGGACGCCCGGTGAGCAACATGTAGCGGAGTCTAGCCTGATTCTCCATGTGGCAGCGTCCGCTCGCAAGTGGCCAGCAGATCCGGGGCTGAATCTGATTTGATCCAAGGAATCATCTGCATCGTCAGATGCCCTTCCAGTCACGAGGGCTTGACAATGAACTGGCAGCTAGCCAGGCTTGCTCTAGAAAAAGTTCAAGAAAGCCCCAAGGTGGCCCGCCTAAAGCTCAGCAACACTTTTTCTTCGCTATCCTCAAAATTCATTATGCTTGGCCGCTCTTCATCGTTTCTGTCACCGCTTCAGGGCACGGGTTCAGGTGGTGGTGCTTCACAGGGCCAGAATTCAAGCTTCAGCGACAGCGGCAATGACGACAGCGAACTGTGGATAGCACCCAAGGTGCGCAGGCAGCAGTCGAACCAAGGGGGCTCGCCATCACGGACAGCAGCACCAAAGCATATTGCAGGGCGGGACCGAGCATTGACGGCGCCCTTGGAAACGAGCAGGTACCAGGCAGGGCAACGGCGCCGCGGCCATTCTGCAGGCGGCCAGCGCGGGGAGTTGCCATCACTCAGCCTGACAGTGAACCAAATGGTGTCATGGTATCTGCCGCGGGTGCTGTTTCTGTTTCTGATCGGGTGGACATGGTCGGTGGGCGTCCAGTTTATCCATGCAGAGCAGAACTCAGTGGGCTCGGTGGCGGCGATTTCGCGGATGGAGTATGGGCAGGCAGAGAATGGCCGACAGTCGCAGGGCAGTAGCGATGAGTTTGCCTATTACGATGACGACGCGGGGGGTGGGAGGCAAGCGGCGGGGCTGACCCGTGACCTGATCAGCCGTGCTTTGCAGCACTCGTCGTGGGTGGATGCGCTGAGCGGGCTGCTAACGGTGCTGGTGGGCACGGGGTATCCGTTCCTCGACTGGAAATGGCGCAGCTACACGATGCACAAGGTTGACTGGAACGACGTGCTGCGGTGTGTGGGCGGCTTCCTGGGCATCAACTACGCAGCGCTGAAACTGCCATTCGAGACAGTGGGCCAGTCGTCGATGATTATGATCATTATTTCGCTGGGTCTGTGGACTGTGTGCGATGGCACGCTGCACGGCTTCCTGCTGTCGTCGTCGATGGCGCTGATTGCCACATGGCTGCTGTACTTCCAGGCCATGAGCGACTACGCCAGCTTCACGCAGGACGACTACCTGGGCCTGCTGTCGTACCTGCCCAGTCCTGCTGTTTACATACTGCATCATGGTCGGCAGCATCGGGCGTCGCCTGGGATTCCACCCGCACTGGAAAAAGTACCGGCACCGGCATCTTCGCGAGGAGCAGAAGCGGGAGGATAATCCGGCAGTTCGGTTGGATGGGTAAAAATATATATTTCAAAGTGGGCCATAATACACGGTTGCAGCCCTGCGTGGGGTCATTGCGTGGGCGAGGCCGCGCCAAGCCGGTTTGGTCTCCTTAACGCTTAGTCTCAAAAATGAGACAACCCCCGATTTCATTAAAAGCACAGCACGGACGCGGTGGCAGCCCACAGTGGCAGCGGCCTATGATGTTAGCTGCCGTCACGATCTCGGAGATTGAAGCCAGACCCGGTTGGGTGTGTTGGCACCCTTGGGACCTGTCTTTCATGGCAGCCCGGTGGGTGCGAGCACAATAATCGGGCCTATACGCCAAATATTTACAAAAGACAGAAACGACAGAGATGCGCGCTCCATGGCACCAGGGGGTGAGGGGGTTGGCGGCTTGTCGGCAAAGAGCCGGCCAGCGGTGCCTGCTGATTGGGGTGATAAGAGCCAGCGAGCGCTGACCTGCTTCGCTCTGCCTGGGCCAAGAGGCCTGTCAGCTTTGGCTTGGCCGAAAATCGACCCGTCCGAGCCTGTGGCTGCCGAGGAGAATAGGGAGAGCGGATCGTATCTGTGACTGCTTGGCCGCACAGCCTGCTGCTCCATGCCGATCCATTGGCTACAAAACCTCCAGCTAAGCCCGCCCACGCCGACTTGCCCGATCTTCACGCAATAACAGCCCAACAAAATACAAAGACGAATCGCTTGTCCATTCCATCCGCACAGCTTGTCCAGGCAGTGATTTTGCGCGCTTCTCCTGTGCGGAAGCGAGAGATAAGGGATCTCTTGGAATTCCTGTCTGGTGGAGGTTTCCCAGGGGATGAGCCTGGCAGAGAGCCTCAGTCGCCCCAATCGCGGCGGGTATTTGGAGTCGCAAGTGATAATGCTAGCGCAGAGAGACAAGAGGAGCGCACACTGCCACAATGCAGTTTCCCACCGATGCCAAAAGACCAAACCCAGAAGGCACAGGGCGCGTTTGCGCACACTTGGCGTTTATAAGGAACACCCGGCCGACAACTCAAAACCCGATCTTGCTTGATACCCCTTTTTTCTCTTTCATCTCCATCTTTGCAGGTACTCTTTTACTTTATTCCCACCTTTTTGCTTGACGTAAAGAATCTCAAGAGAGATCCGCTACTCCAGAGACTTTAGGAAAATTTAACAGGTAAGGACAGTCGCCGCAGCTGCTGCCGCTCGTGTGCATACACCCGTACCTGTCCACTGGAATAGAAACTTGCATGTGAAAGTAATCGAGACCGGTGGCCAAAGCGCAAGAAGCTCCAGACTTTTGAGCCTTAGTGGGACCATCACGGTCGGCTTTCACGTGCAAGTGCCATCAGCCTAAACCTTGGCTGCTCTAGGTGATCCTGAGGATACTGGTTCGCCACGTATGGCCTGTCTCACCGGCGAGGTCGCAATATGGCGCCTCTATGGATCCCTGCGTGCCAGCGCTGCTAAAAGAGCACACTCGCCCCTTCCCTGTAGGCACGCCTGGAAAAACAGCTTAATACCACTATCTTTTTAGCTCCAGAGGAACCCCCTACTCTCCTCGCTCCTTTCTTTGCATCCACTATCTTGTAATTTTCTACTCTGTCTCTTTTACGTGTGCTATTTTCGGTCCTGTCTGGTAAGTAGCCTGCTCGCTTTGTTTTGGCCTGCCTCGCGATCGCGAATCATAAATCGCCACTGCGCGGCTAACAAATCTGACTGGCCTGTGTTGGGGACAGTGGTAATGTGCAGTCCGCTTGTCCGACTGGTGGTGGTGGTGATGGTGGCGGTGCTGCGTTGGAGCATCGGGGAGCGGCCTATTGTGAGTTCTCGATAGCAGGCACACCGCTTCTGTCCGCTATCCCCCTCCTCCGGATGGCGCGCGCTCTACGGCAGCGGATGGATCTTGGTTGGGAACAGCAATACTGCTCGGCGTCCTTACACTTGGAAGCGCTCTTTGTTTCACTATCACTTGTTTTCCAACGGCACACACTTGCTGATCTCCCAGTTCCTGTTATCTCTTTCCTTCCGTCCTTGCAAACACCATCCCCCAATAGAAAGTCGCAACTCCCCTCGTTCGTCGCATACTCTTTACCAGTCTGTCGATCTCGCCCCGCGCGTCTACACAAAACCACTCGACAACGAGAACAACCCACTTCTTAAAAATGATCAGCAACAACGCAAAGACAGCCGCTGAGGCTCTGCGCCCGCTCAACATCAAGTACTCAACGACAGAGGTCACTGTGCTGGTGGCCAACGAGCTGTGGGCCGCTGCTGAGCAGCTGCGCGAGCAGTTCCAGACCTCCGCTTGGATCGCCACCGCTCCGGCCGATGCCGAGAGCAACACCACTGAGCCCATTGAGCTGGCGGCCCGGTTCTTGAAGTACGCTGCCTCGCAGTACGCAACACTGCCCGAGGGCCTGCCGTACGTTGATTTTGTCCGCCTGCTGTTCAAGCACTTCCGCGAGGCATTCCTGCGGGGGAACGACGTCCATGCCGCCACTGCCGAGCTGTCGGTCGACACACGGAAGGTTCGTCATCAATGCCTACTACACGGCGCAGGTCCTGCTGGTCGAGTGCGGCGCCTTCATTGACACTGCCGAGTACGCCCCGGCTGCCCCGGCCCTGTTCGAGTCGGTCAGGAGCGGCAAGGCTGGCATGTTCGCCGTCTTTGGCGGCCAGGGCAATGTCGAGGAGTTCTTTGACGAGACACAGGAGGTCTTCGACACATACGAGCCGCTGATCCGCGACTACGTCGAGAAGATGGCCGCCATGCTGCGGCACGCAGCCCGCACGCCCGAGGCACAGACTGTCTGCTCCAAGGGGCTTGACATCATGGACCTGGCTCGCCAGTCCCGAGGCCCGCCCCGATCTGCAGTACCTGCTCAGCGTGCCGGTCAGCATGCCCATTGTCGGTCTGACCCAGCTCATGCATGTGCTGGTCCTGAGCAAAGTCACCGGCTTGACCCCCGGCCAGATCGCCGACCACTTCAAGGGCGCCACCGGCCACAGCCAGGGCATCATCACCTCGGTGGTCTTTGCGTCCATGTCCGACGAGGCCTCGTTCTACGCGCTCTCCGAGAAGGCCGATTGGCCTGCTGTTCGCCATCGGCATGCACTCGCAGCTCGCATACCCGCCTACCACCACCAACCCGGCCATTCTCGAGGACTCGCTCGAGAACGCCGAGGGCAACCCCGGCCCCATGCTCAGCGTGTCGCGCCTGCGCCAGAGCGACGTCGAGAAGCACATCGAGGCCACCAACCGCCACCTGCCCGCCGACCGCCAGATCGTGCTGTCGCTGATCAACGGCCCGCGGTCGTTTGTCATCACCGGTCCGCCGCAGTCGCTGTATGGTCTCAACCTGAGCCTGCGCAAGCTCAAGGCCCCGGCCGGTCCTGGACCAGAACCGCACCCCGTTCTCCCAGCGCAAGCTGCAGTTCTCGACCCGCTTCCTGCCGATTTACGCTCCGTTCCACTCCGAGTACCTTCGCGTCGGCGCCCGAGGCGGTCATGCGTGACGCTGCTGCCAGCGGCTGGACCCTCGATGCCAAGGACATCCGTATCCCGGCCCTGTCTGGCGACGACGGCAGCGATCTGGCTGGCGAGAAGGACCTGACGCGCAAGCTTGGTTGACAGCCTGTGCCTGCTGCCCGTCGACTGGCCCAAGGCCACGGCCATGGCTGGCGTCACCCATATCGTTGACTTTGGCCCTGGCGGCGTCAGCGGCATCGGCGGTCTCACCAACCGCAACATGGAGGGCACTGGTGTGCGCGTCATCCTGGGCGGTGCTTTCGAGTCGACCAACTCGGAGCTCAGCGCCAAGAATGCGCTGTTCGACAACCGTGCCTCGTCGATTGTGTTCTCGCCCAACTGGCAGCGTGACTACGCCCCGCGCCTGGTGCGCACCGAGTGCGATGGCAAGCTCCAGATCGACACTCCCATGAGCCGTCTGCTGGGCAAGCCGCCTGTCATGGTCGCCGGTATGACTCCGTCTACCATCAGCGAGGTGTTTGTGTCGGCTGTCATGCGCGCTGGCTACCACATCGAGCTGTCTGGCGGTGGTCACTTCAGCGAGCCGATGCTGCGCGACAAGGTCGACAAGATCCTGAAGCTGGTCGACCCGGGTCTTGGTGTCACAATCAACTCGATCTACATCAACCCGTTCCTGTGGAACATCCAGTACCCGGCCATGCAGGGCCATGCGCCGCGAGGGCATCCCCATGGAGGGCCTGTGCATCGGTGCCGGCGTTCCGTCGTTCGAGGTCACCAACGAGATCATCGCGACCATCCGCGAGATTGGCTTCCGCCACATTGGCCTCAAGCCCAGCTCGGTTGCCACCATCCGCCTGGTTATCAAGATCGCCCAGGCCAACCCCGACTTCCCGATCCTGATGCAGTGGACCGGTGGCCGTGCTGGTGGTCACCACTCGTTCGAGGACTTCCACCACCCGATCCTGGAGACCTATGGCGCTGTCCGTGCCCAGAAGAACATCATCCTTGTTGCTGGCTCCGGCTTTGGTGGCGTCGACGACACTCTGCCTTACCTCACCGGTGAGTGGAGCAAGCGTTTCGAATGCGCGCCCATGCCTTTCGACGGCTGCCTGTTTGCTTCGCGTGTCATGGTTGCCAAGGAGGGCCAGGCCTCGGATGCTGTCAAGGAGGCTATTGTTGCTGCTCCGGGTATCACTGATGCCGAGTGGGAGAAGACCTACAAGGGCCCCGCTGGCGGCATCGTGACCGTCCTGTCGGAGCTCGGCGAGCCGATCCACAAGATCGCCACCCGTGGTGTCATGTTCTGGAAGGAGATGGACGACACTATCTTCTCGCAGCCGCGCGACAAGCGTCTGCCGCTGCTGCTGGCCAAAAAGAACTACATCATCGAGCGCCTCAACAAAGGACTTCCAGAAGCCCTGGTTCGGCAAGAAGGCCGATGGCCGTGCTGTCGATCTCGAGGAGATGACATACGCCGAGGTCGCCAGCCGCCTGCTCGAGGTGCTGTACATCCCGCACCAGTCGCGCTGGATCGACATCACCATGCGCAACCTGGTTGGCGACTACCTGTACCGCCTCGAGGAGCGCTTTGCTATCAGCGAGCGCCCATCGGCTCTGCAGTCGTTCGACCAGCTCAACAGCGACCCGTACGCCGCAGTCAAGTCGTTCCTGGACGTGTACCCCAAGAGCCACCAGCAGCTGCTCAGCACCGAGGACATTCAGTTCTTCATCAACCTGTGCATGCGCCCTGGCCAGAAGCCCGTGCCGTTCATCCCGCTCATGGACAAGGACTTCCACATCTGGTTCAAGAAGGACTCGCTGTGGCAGGCCGAGGACGTCGATGCGGTGGCTGACCAGGATGTTGGTCCGCGTGTGCATCCTGCAGGGCCCCGTTGCTGTGCGCTACTCGACCAAGGCCAACGAGCCAGTCAAGGACATCCTGGACAACATCTACCACGGGCAGATCGCGTCGCTGCTTGACACCTACTACGGCGGTGACGAGTCCAAGGTCCCGACTGTTGCGTACCTGGGCAATGCACCCAATGTCCACGCTGTCCCGGCCCACGTCAAGATCACGGCCACCGAGTCGCAGCGCTCGTACAAGCTGAGCAGCCGCAAGTCGCACCTGCCCGAGACCGAGGCCTGGCTCAAGACCCTGGCTGGCAACGAGCTCAACTGGCTGCGTGCCCTGCTGACGACTCCGATTGTCGCCCAGGACCGCAAGTATGTCGACAATATTGCTCGCCGCGTGCTGCGGCCGCTCGTCGGCCAGACCGTCAACGTGTCTCTGAAGGACGGCAAGCCTCAGTCGGTTGAGGTCATCGATGCCCACGGCGTCAAGGCGCTCGACTTTAGCATCGACGCCGACAACGTCATCCACTTCAACATGTACTCGACGCCGCGCAAGTCCCTGTGCACGCTGGAGCTGCTGTTCCGCTACCAGGCTAAGATGCCGTTTGCGCCGATCCACGAGGTCATGGAGGAGCGCAACGAGCGCATCAAGCGGTTCTACTCGCAGGTGTGGTTCGAGAACAGCGCCGATGGCGAGTCAGGTCATTGGCGTCATCGATCCCGAGTTTGAGTTCACCCACTCGGGCGAGGTCATCCGCAAGGAGGACATCCGCCAATTCTGCCGCGTTGTCGGCAACCAGTCGGACCGCTATGTCGAGCACAACGACGGCATTGTCTATGCCCCGATGGACTTTGCTGGCCGCGCCTGCTGGCCTATGACCTGCAAGACGATCCTGCCCAAGATTGTTGACGGCGATGTTCTTAACCTGGTGCACATGTCGAACGGCTTCCGCATGGTCGATGGCGCCGAGCCGCTCAAGGCCGGCGATGTTGTCGACAGCAAGGCCTAAGATCGTCGAGGTCATCAACGAGGAGACTGGAAAGCGCTCGATCATCAAGGGCTTTGTGTACCGCGACGGCAAGCCTGTTGTTGAGGTCACCACGTCGTTCTTCTACCGCGGCCAGTTCACTGACTTTGAGAACACGTACCGCAACATTGACGAGCAGCCGATGCGCCTGACTCTGGGAACCACCAAGGACATTGCTGTTCTGCGCTCCAAGGAGTGGTTTGTGCCTCTGGAGTCTGCTGCTGGCCACGAGCTGCACCCGAATGCCACGCTCGAGTTCCGCCTGCAGTCGCGCTACCGCTTCAAGTCGCGCACGGTCTACTCGCACGTCGTGACCACGGGCCGTGTGATGATGCAGGTGTCGACCAAGGAGTACGTGCACATCGCCGATGTCGCTTACGAGGCTGCAGAGTCGAACGGCAACCCGGTTGTCGAGTACCTCAAGCGCCACGGCCAGTCGATCGAGGACTCGTTCTACTTTGAGAACGGCGGCTACTCGGTGATGCCCCGTGGTGACGAGTTCTCGTCGATCACCCATTCGCCTGGATCCAACGAGCCGTACTCGCGCATCTCGAGCGACCACAACCCGATCCACACCAACCCGTACTTTGCTGCCTATGCCGATCTGCCGGGCACCATCACCCACGGTATGTGGACTTCGGCGTCGACCCGCAAGTTTGTTGAGACCTTTGCTGCCGACAACCACCCTGAGCGGGTCAAGGCGTACGAAGTCGATTTTGTCGGCATGGTTCTGCCCAACGACCAGCTCGAGACCAAGCTGTCGCACGTTGGTATGAAGGACGGGCCGCAAGCTGATCAAGGTCGAGACCTTCAACCAGCACGGCTCCAAGGTGCTCGAGGGTATCGCCGAGGTCGAGCAGCCCATCACTGGCTACACGTTCACGGGCCAGGGCTCGCAGGAGCCGGGCATGGGCATGGACCTCTATGGCCGCTCCGAGACTGCGCGCCAGCTCTGGGACCGCGCCGACAAGCACATGCGCGAGACGTACGGCATCTCGATCATTGACATTGTCAAGAACAACCCGGGAGAGCGCACTGTGTACTTTGGCGGCGACAAGGGCCGCAAGATCCGCGACAACTACCGCTCGCTGACCTACGAGACTGTCGATGCCGAGGGCAACACCAAGGCTCTGCCCCTGTTCCCCGACATTATCGAGGACTCGCCCTTCTTCACCTACAAGTCGCCCACCGGTCTGCTGCAGGCCACACAGTTCACTCAGCCCGGCGCTGATGCTGTTCGAGCTTGCTGCCTTTGCTGACATGCGCGCCAAGTCGCTGATCCAGAAGAACGCTCCGTTTCGCTGGTCACTCGCTTGGTGAGTATGGTGCGCTCAGTGCCATTGGTGAGGTGCTGCCGGTCGAGGCCATTGTCGAGGTCGGCTTCTACCGTGGCATGACCATGCAGCGCGCTGTCGAGCGCGACGAGCTCAACCGCTCGCAGTACAGCATGATGGCGATCAACCCGGCCCGCGTCGGCAAGAGCTTCACCGAGGAGGCCCTGTCGTTCGTCGTTGGCTCGATCCGCCACCAGGGCAAGGGCCTGTTGGAGATCGTCAACTACAACGTCGAGAACTGGCAGTACGTTGTTGCTGGTGAGCTGCGTCTGCTCGACACGCTGACCAACGTGCTCAACTTTATCTTTAGCCAGAAGATCGACGTAGGCGAAGCTGATCAGCGAGATGCCGCTGGAGACCGTTCAGGAGCAGCTGGGCCAGATCATCGATGGCGCCCTGGCCAAGGCCGACGAGAAGCAGGCCCGTGACGGCTTCATTGTCGTGGAGCGTGGCCAGTCGACCATCCCGCTGCGCGGTATTGACGTGCCGTTCCACTCGAGCTTCCTGCTGTCGGGTGTCGGTCCGTTCCGTAACTTCCTGCTGAAGAAGCTGAAGGTCAACGACATCAACTACAGCCTGCTCAAGCACCTGTACATTCCTAACCTGACTGCCACCCCGTTCGAGGTCAGCAAGGGACTACTTTGAGAACGTGCTGGAGCTGACTGGCTCGTCCCGCATCACCCGCGCCTTGAAGAGCTGGGACGATGCTGCCCTCAGCAACCCGGCCGAGGTGCAGCGCCTGTCGCACGTGCTGCTCATTGAGCTGCTCGCCTACCAGTTCGCGTCACCCGTACGCTGGATTGAGACCCAGGACAAGCTGTTCAAGGACTACGGCATTGAGCGCTTCATCGAGTTTGGCCCAGGCCCGACCCTGTGCGGCATGGCTATGCGCACGCTCAAGTTCAAGTACGAGGCCTACGACGACGCCATTGCTCACCGCCGTTCGACCTTGTGCTACACCAAGAACGAGCGCGAGCTATACTACACGTACGACCCTGAGCCCGAGGCTGAGGCTGCTCCGACTGAGGCTGCTCCGGCTGCTGCTGCTGCTCCGGCCGCTGCCCCCACCGCCCCTGTGGCTGCTGCCGCCCCCGCCGCTGCCCCCGCTCCTGGTGGCGCCGGCGCCGCTGTCGACGATGTTCCTCTCAAGGCGATTGAGATCATCCACGTCATTGCATGCCAGAAGCTGAAGAAGTCGCTCGATGAGGTTCCGACTAGCAAGGCCATCAAGGACCTGGTTGGCGGCAAGTCGACTCTGCAGAACGAGATTCTTGGAGATCTGCAGAAGGAGTTTGGAAGCGACGTGCCGGAGAAGTCCGAGGAGACGCCGCTCACCGAGCTCGCCGAGAACCTGACCTCGTTCAACGGCTCGCTGGGCAAGCACTCTGCTAGCCAGGTTGCGCGCCTGATCAGCGCCAAGATGCCTGGAGGCTTCACGCAGGCGTCGGCCCGCAGCTATCTGCAGACGTCGTACGGGCTTGGGCCGCAGCGCCAGGACGGCCTGCTTCTGATCGGTCTGACCATGGAGCCGCCTGCTCGTCTTGGCAGCGAGGCTGACGCCAAGGCCTGGCTCGACACTCTTGCTCAGGCTTACGCCAAGCGCACCGGCATTACCTACTCTGCTGCCTCGGCGGGCGGCGCTGGCGGTGCTGCTGGCGGCGCGGTTGCTGTCATCAACAGCGAGGAGTTTGACAAGGCGCAGCGCGACCAGCGCCGCATGGTCGAGCAGCAGCTGCAGGTGCTGGCCCGCTACCTGGGCATTGACCTGCGCGAGGGCGACCGCTCGTTCGAGGCCTCCAAGGTCGAGAACGGCATGCTGCAGGCGGAGCTCGACCTGTGGATGGAGGAGCACGGCGAGTTCTACGCCAACGGTATCAAGCCGTCGTTTGACTCGCGCAAGGCTCGGCCGCTTCGACTCGTACTGGAACTGGGTGCGCCAGGACGCACTGATCCTGTACTACGAGATTCTGTTCGGCCGCCTCACTGAGGTTGACCGCGAGATCACGTCGCAGTGCATCCGCCTGATGAACCGCGCCAACCCGGCTCTGATGCGCTACATGGCCTACAACATCGCCAACACCGACGTTGCCAAGGGCGACTCGTACAAGCTGGCTCGCGAGTATGCGCAGATGCTGTTCGAGAACTGCGAGGTTGCCTGTCAACCACCCGCCGGTCTACAAGGATGTCGACTTCCCGACTGGCCCTCACACCGAGGTCACCAGCAGCGGCGACATCACGTACGCCGAGGTGCAGCGTGCCGACGAGCGCAAGCTGCTCGACTATGTGCGCAAGATGCAGGCCGGTGGCGAGCTGACTTCGTACTCGAGCCGCCAGAAGGTGGAGCAGAACCTGGCCAAGATCTACCGCATCATCAAGCAGCAGAACAGCATGAAGAAGGACAGCAAGCTGGCGATCCAGAGCATGTACGCCGACGTGCTGCGCTCGCTGCGCATGTCGCCCAACATCATGGAGGAGTCTGGTGCCCGCCGCATCTTCAGCCGCTCGCGCTCGTCGCTGGGCGAGACCAAGCCTGCTGCTGCCGAGTCGCAGAAGGAGACCATTCCGTTCCTGCACCATTAAGCGCAAGCTGCCGACTGGCGAGTGGGAGTTCAACTCGAAGCTGACTGGCATGTACCTCGATGTGCTCACTGAGATGTGCAAGAATGGCCAGACGTTCGAGAACAAGAACGTGCTGATGACTGGCTGCGGCAAGGACTCGATCGGTGCCGAGGTTCTGAAGGGCCTGCTCACTGGTGGAGCCCGCGTCGTCGTCACGACTTCGCGCTACAACCGCCAGACGATGCTGTACTACCAGAACATCTACCAGCAGTACGGTGCCCGCGGTGCTGTCCTGATTGTCGTTCCGTTCAACCAGGGCTCGCAGCAGGATGTCAAGAGCCTGGTCGAGTTTATTTACGACGACTCGCCTCGTACCGAGAACCTGGGCTGGGATCTTGACTACGTCATCCCGTTCGCTGCGATCCCCGAGCAGGGCATGGAGATCACGGACATTGGCTCGCGCTCGGAGCTGGCCCACCGCATCATGCTGACTAACCTGATCCGCTTGCTTGGCGAGATCAAGACGCGCAAGGCCGAGCGCGGCTACGAGACCCGCCCGGCACAGGTGCTGCTGCCGCTGTCGCCGAACCACGGCCTGTTCGGTTCGGACGGTCTGTACAGCGAGTCGAAGATTGCGCTCGAGACGCTGTTCAACCGCTGGTACTCGGAGTCGTGGAGCAACTTCCTGACCATCACCGGTACTGTGATCGGCTGGACAGCGCGGAACTGGCCTGATGAACGCCAACAACATCGTGTCTGAGGGCATTGAGAAGCTTGGCGTGCGCACGTTCTCGACGCAGGAGATGGCGCTCAACATCCTTGGTCTGATGCACCCGGACCATCAACGCCCTGGCGCAATCGGAGCCTGTTTGGGCCGACCTCAACGGCGGCTTCCAGGCGATCCCCGATCTCAAGGACGCCGTTGCCCGGCCTGCGTGCCAGCATCCGCGAGTCCAGCGATATCAAGAAGGCTGTTGCTGCCGACTCGTCGCTCGACTTCAAGACGGTTGCCGGTGCCAAGAAGGAGCGCCTGCACAAGACGCGCGTGGTCAAGCCGCGCGCCAACCACAAGTTCCCGTTCCCCGAGGCCAAGCCGTTCGACCAGCTGGAGCATCTGCGTCACCTGCAGGGTATGGTCAACCTCGACAAGGTTGTTGTGGTGACTGGCTACGGTGAGGTCAGCCCGTACGGTAATGCCGAGACGCGCTGGGAGATGGAGGCATATGGCGAGTTCTCGCTCGAGGGCTGCATTGAGCTGGCCTTGGATCATGGGCTACATTAAGCACTTCAACGGCCGCCTCAAGACCACCAAGCAGCTGTACTCGGGATGGGTTGATGCCAAGACCGAGGAGCCGGTCGACGACAAGGACGTCAAGGCCAAATACGAGAAGCAGATCCTGGAGCACACGGGTATCCGCCTGATCGAGCCCGAGCTTCTGGACGGCTACGATCCGAACAGGAAGCCGATGATGCGCGAGCTGCAGCTCGAGCATGACATGGAGCCGTTCGAGGCCACTGCCGACGAGGCAGCCCAGTTCAAGCTGCGCAACGAGGACAAGGTTGATATCTGGGAGAACACCGATGGCTCGTGGTCGGTGCGCTTCCTCAAGGGCGCCAACCTGATGGTGCCCAAGGCGCTGCGCTTCGACCGCCTGGTCGCCGCCCAGATCCCGACTGGCTGGAACCCCGAGCGCTACGGTATCCCCAAGGACATTGCCAACCAGGTCGATCCGATCACCTGCTACGTGCTGGTTGCCACCGGTGGAGTCGCTGGTACGCTCCGGCATCACCGACCCGTACGAGTTCTACAAGTACGTGCACGTCACCGAGGTCGGTAACTCGATGGGCTCTGGCGTCGGAGGCATGAACTCGAACAAGCTGATGTACAAGGAGCGCTACTTTGACAAGGACATCCAGAACGACATTCTGCAGGAGACGTTCATCAACACGATGGCGGCCTGGGTCAATCCTGCTGATGATGTCGTCGTCGGGTCCGATCAAGCCCACTGTCGGTGCCTGCGCTACCTCAGGTTCTGTCGATCGACGTTGCTGTCGAGACCGATCCAGACTGGCAAGGCCAAGATCATGCTGGCTGGCGGCTTTGACTACTTCCAGGAGGACGGCTCGTACGAGTTTGCGCAGATGAAGGCGACCAGCAACACGCTGGAGGAGTTTGCCCGCGGCCGCACGCCCAAGGAGATGTCGCGTCCGTGCACTACCACCCGCTCCGGCTTCATGGAGGGCGAGGGAGCTGGCATTGTTGTCGTCATGAACGCAACCACTGCGCTCGAGATTGGAGTGCCTGTCTACGGTATTCTGGCCATGACTGGCACTGCCACCGACAAGGAGGGCCGCTCGGTGCCTGCTCCGGGCAAGGGTGTGCTGACAGTCTGCTCGCGAGGTTGCGAGCAGTGTGCCGTCGCCGCTGCTTGACATGAAGTACCGCCGCCGCCAGCTCGAGCAGCGCCAGTCGATGATCGGCGACTGGGTCAAGCGCGAGCGCGAGTATGTGCAGCAGGAGCTGGAAGTCGCTGAAGCAGTCGCCTGCTGGCCTGCCGTGCGACGAGGCCACGTTCGTCAAGGAGCGCAGCGAGTTCATCGAGAAGGAGGCCAAGCGCCAGCAGCGCGAGGCTCTGGACACGTGGGGCAACGAGTTCTGGCGCCAGGATGCGCGCATTGCGCCGCTGCGTGGCTCGCTAGGCCGTGTGGGGCCTGACTGTCGATGACATTGGCGTTGCCTCGTTCCACGGCACGTCAACCAAGGCCAACGACAAGAACGAGTCGCAGGTCCTCGACAAGCAGCTCAAGCACCTGGGCCGCACTCCGGGCAACGCTGTTCCGGCTGTCTGCCAGAAGTGGCTCACAGGCCACCCGAAGGGCGCCTGCCGCTGCCTGGATGCTCAACGGTGTCATGCAGGTTCTGCGCACCGGTATCATCCCTGGTAACCGCAACGCCGACAACATTGCCGCTGAGCTCGAGCAGTTCGAGCACATCCTGTACCCATCGCGCTCGATCCAGACCGACGGTGTCAAGGCTGGTCTGCTCAAGTCCTTCGGTTTCGGCCAGGTCGGCGGCGAGATTCTGGTCATCCACCCCGACTATCTCTATGCCACCCTCTCTGAGGAGCAGTACGAGCAGTACCAGAACAAGGTCAAGGGCCGCGAGCAAAAGTCGTACCGCTACTGGCACGACACTCTGGCTGGCAGCCACGGCTTTGTCCAGATCAAGGATGCTCCTCCGTACACTGAGGAGCAGGAGCAGCAGGTCTACCTGAACCCGCTGGCCCGCGCCAAGTTCAACCCGGCTACCAACAGCTACAAGTTCTAAAGACTTTATTTCCTTTTTCCACTTTTTTTATATCAAAAATACCAATATTCGCATTCTATGTGGTCGGACATGGTGATGATATATTGAAAGGTGGTGATGGTGATGGTGATGGTGAGAATGAGGATGGGGATGAGGATGGAGTATTAGTGTCTATGCCTTGGCAGTAGCATTGCCCTTGTAGCACTCGATGGTGATTGACTTGATTGCCATGATTGAACGACGGCAGCTTCTCCCAGTTGACGTATCCGCCGGCCCACGCTCTCGTTCCAGGCCTCTCCAGAGCCGCCGTCCCAGATCGAGAAGCTCACATAAGACTTGGCATCTGGGAACTGGAACCCGTTGGCTGGGTCCCAGGTGTCCTTCCTGTTGACCGTGCGGAACGTCTGGCCATTGACGCTCCACTCAATCTTGTCGGGTGTCCAGTCGATCTTGTACGTGTGGAAGTTCTGCGTCGTGTCCGAGAGCACCTGCGACTTGACCATCTTTGTGTAGTCGAGCTTGTTGTGCCAGTAGTAGTTTGACTGGACCGTGGCCGTGTCGGCGCCGACAAACTCAAAGTCAATCTCGTCACCCACCTGGTCGTTGCGGATAATTAGCGAAGACACAACTCCGCCGCTGGTGCATCCGGATTTCACCTGGGCTGTGACGGTTCCGTACTGGATCGCGCGCGTGCTGATCACAGGTCGCCCCGAATCCCTTTTCGCCCTGCTTGACCAGCGCCAGCTCAAGCTGTCCGTTGTTGAGCTTTGCGTTTGAGGGCTCGAACTTTGACACAAATTTGGCAATCCCCGGGTCGTTGGTCTTGTAATCGGCGATGTTTGCAAAGGCACCAGGCTGGCCGAAATCGACGGCGGAGTCGGCGCAGTCCATCAGTGCCCCAGCAGCTGGTGGGCGAGTGCGAGTTGGACGGCTCGCAATCAAATGGCATGCAGTATTGTGCATTTCTGTTGCAGAAGCCCTTGACACAGCATGGGGTGTCGGCGCTGCAGGTCTGGGTGCCACAGGTGCCGGCTGAGGCTGCAGCAAACAGCGACAGTGCAGAAACGATGCAGAATTTCATGTTGGTTTGGAGAAATGCAAGGATTATAGCTCATGAAAGAACGAAAGGAGCCGTAGAGCGAGTGAAGGGAAGCGAAAGCGAGGTGCTTCTTTGCTGCCCCATTCATGTTTTCGTTGCTGCTGTTGTCCTGCGTTCTGCGCCTCAAATGCACAATGGCCTGAACCATCGGACAGTAATACATGTGTTGGCTTGTAGATAAACAACACAATTGGGTTTGGCAGCCTTCAGCCCATTGTGTATATTATTGTCGCATATACTGATTGGAGAACGTAGGAAACACAAGCCACCTTCTGGATGCTTGCTCAACCAAACCTATATTTTTCAGCTTCTGTCGAGGGGAATGGAGACAAAACAATTAATGAACATAGTTCTACTAAATCAACAGCATCAGTCTGACCGGTCGACATCGTCCTCAACGCTATTCGACGATTTGCCAGACTCTTTCCGCACTGGAATTTTGACACCCTGTTTGGCGAAATGTTTTGACAACGAGGTTGATTCTAATGGACTCTGAGAGCGTTTATTAGCCATTCTGTCGGTTCCAGGCAACTACTGTCTTTCCAGCCAGGCGCTGTTGTCCTTGTGCTCCTCTTACCTATCATGCCCGGGAATTGTTTTGCGGAATACACTCTGAATGGATCGGAAAATGTCCTGGCCTTGATGTTGGTCGATGTGCGCATTATACCGCCTGTCTCGCTACGAATCGTAGATCTCCCATTCATTGAGTTAGCAGAATAGGTATGCAATATGTAGAGCTGCCACCCATTTTGCTGAACAACCGGAAAGCAGAATGCACAGGGGCGGAGTGGGAACTCTGACCCAATGCTGGTGCAGCAGATGGATGGGAGGCTAGTGGACTCACAGTAGGCACTTACCTTTTCAGATCAAAGAATGAGAACCGCAGACGATACTCGCCGTCCTTGCGGATTGACAGATCTGGGAACACAAAAAATATGCCCAGTGAACCATCGGTGTTTTGCAGTTTGGCCCCTGTGGCTATGCTCGATCCAATGAGATTGCGCACTGTGTCTGCTGCCGAGGGCGTGGTGCTGGATGGGAACGCCATCGATGTCGAGCCCATTACGGTGCTTGGGCTGGATGTTGTGTGCGGATGTGATAAGGAGTAGTGGTATACAGACGGCTCAGCAGAGATGTTTGTGCTCATTGAGTGTGGCGACATGTCATTTGTGATTGGGCCGTCAATGATCTCTGGCTGGTGGAAGTCGTACCCGGGCTGGTACGATGATATCTGGTGCTGCTGGTGGATCAACGACGCAGCGCTGACAATGCCTGTGGCGCTGCCGTGACCAGAGTCATGCGACGACCGTTGCCGGATCAAATCCATCTCGGCCTCCATGTCCGCCGAAACCAGATTGCATGTCGCTGTGAAGAAAGACGTGTCCGTGTGCCTACAGGGGTAGCAAAGCGGGTATAAATATTGCTATGCCATTGTTGGACAGAGCGATTTGCAGTAAAGTGGGAGAACGAAAAAAAAAAAAAAAAAAAAAAGAGGGACAGGAGGCAGAGCAACAATCTGCATGGCGTTTTTGGGAAATGTGCGGGTTGGTTGGTGTATAGTGGACCCAGAAAATTTCAAAAAAGGCAGAAACTGCATGCATTGTCCCCACCTCACAGAAGAAAAAGCACCGTTCGCGCACGCCCTACCATGCAAGAATGCATGGTATCCGGTTGACCGAGAGGGGGAGTGCATACCCGAAGGCACACTTGTCCCTTCATATGCCTTACTTACTCTACGCTTAGCTGCTGGCCGGTGACTCGATCGTAGATGAACAGCTGCAAAATGGGCGGTGGAGTACACGGTCGCCGATCCTATAGAAATGACAAGCCGATAAGAGTAGGTTAGGCGGGGAGATTCTAGAGCTTACCCACCGGGCCAAGAGCGGCCATCCAAGAAGATTGCCATAGCAGCAGGTGCGACGATATGCGGGGATAGGTGTAAGCCAATGCGGCACTACCCAGGATCGAGCAGGTGAAAACCGCGCTGTGGCTCTTGGGAAGAAGTTTGCACTAGATGGCGGCACCATGTCCGTCACCAGCCTATCTCACGCATGTTGCAGATGGGGCTCATTGGGGAGATCGACCCATCCACGGATACAAAAATAGTCGTAAGGCCTGGTTGCCAAAGCGAGAGGGAAAACCAGGGAGGGTAGCGAGACACTCCCCATGAGAAAAATTGCTAGTGCGCGGTTGAAATCGGAATGAGGCGTATTTACCTTCTCACCAAACCCACACATGCGTGCGCGCAGCGGCTGCTGGATGACACGAAGCTCGTACGTGTACCTATGTGTTCAGATTTTTAATTTCCAGCGATGGAGGCACTAGTAATGAAACCAGTGTGCGTGGGTGTCCCGATTCTGTCCTTTTGGAGCGCAGTAACGATAATATTTACATGTCACGAACTATACAGCAATCTATCGAGCTGGCAACGGGGAAGAAGCGAGAGAGGCGAAAAATGAGAAAAGGGGGAAGCCTTGGGCAGTAAGAGAAAGCAAAGAGGCGAGCATACTGCTTGGACCCAGAAAAATCGTTCATGCGGCCAGAACAGGAAACGAGAAAGCAGCAAGCGAAAGGCGCCTGGAAATTTGTTTTACTAGCTCGATTGACCAACAAGGCAGCTCGGGCCTGTATGTGGCAGACAAGCGAGCACCCCCAGTAGCCGAAAAGGATCAAAGGAAATTGAGTTGGACACGCATGAGCCCCGCCAGGAACTCCCTTCTGCCGGCACCTGATTCAAGAAATAATAGGCACTTACGGTTGCGAGGTAGGAACATGGTCTGGGCGGATCCTCAATCCGCTGGCTGTGTCTGAGGAGAGCATGGCGGTATATTAGCGAGTATATAACTCCGAGTGTGAGAAAGCAAGAATATCGAAAAAGTAGCTGAAAGGGGAAGTGGGAGGTGAGAAAAGAGCAGAGGAAAGGAAAGCAGGTGAAGCAGCTGGAGATTAGCGCATGGCCATGCCGGCAGGCTGTGCCGATTTATACTTGTACGCCTCTCCACGGGCTAGCTGCCGCAAAATCGCAAAAAACCTTATCAAGCGCTTAGCGAACACCCTTAAGCCCTTTTCTTTCTCAGGGGAGGGCTAGCCTGCCCGGAGCCCGGGTTCGAGATGGGGCCACTTACCCCCTCTCCTCATCCACCTGCCCCCAAAACACCCTCGCTTTATTCCTTTCATTCTCTGTATGGGAATAGAAAGGTCGACTCCAGAATGGAAAATCTGAAGTAGCGCCCGCATTCGAGTAACAAATGAACCTTGGCGGCTGCATGCTAGCGGAGGGAAATTACACCCCCTCCTTCTGCACAGTCTTTCACCCCTTGTTTAGCTCTTGGGCCTAATGTTTGTGAATGTAGCATGGCCTATTCCTGGCGCGGAGTCTCATTCACGACGCATTGCGTTGCAACGAATGCGTCGGTGCTAAGGCAGATGCGTCGATGGCAGCTGTATGAGTGTACGTGCCACTGGATCCTGTAGCCTCCAGCCGGAGCAATCGCTTGTCCAGGTCTATTCCGGACACTAGCCTGAGCAATTTCTACTCTAGGTTCACAGAAGCACCGAGGGTGTTGGTGGCTCCGCCTCTGCTCGGCCGTCCGCTGGTCACACAGCCTCCGCGATGCCGACTGGTGTCTGTGGGCAGCAAACCACAGGCCGACCCTGAGAACGACACGACAAACCCACCAATGCGTTTGCTTAGGGCACAGCCTGCTGCTCTTGCTGCTGTCGCTCCTGGGGAGGCGATCTTCCAGGCACCTTCTACCCTTGGCTTAAGTAAGTGCATCGACGAATTGGCGCGGACCCATTGCCATCTGCCTGGGCAGAAGGGGGTAGATCCACCGATGCTGGGCCCTTTCATGCCGAGGGGTCAACCCACGCCCCCAGCCCACCACTGGCCATTTCAGCCGTAATCGAGCAGTGACGGCGATCCAATATCGCACACCCGCTTGGGCAGTTCTGCGTTTGGCAGCTATTTGTGTCTGTGCAACTAGGCCATGTGCTTGCATCTGAGTGGCCAGAGATACACTTGGTGGGCCTGCCTCCTGTCCACTTGCTGCAGAATCGCACCAGCTCGTTCTCTGGGTAGACCCACTAGCGGCGTTCCGGCCATATTCCAGTGAATAGGTATGTTGCCAAGCAGGATGGCGCTGTCGATCAAGCCTACCCATGTCACATGACACGGAATCCAGCTTTCGGGATCTGATTTAACGATCAGATTATACCGCAGCCCAGTCCGCCCTCGCAGGCATTTAGTCAGGATGGCAATGTTTTCTCCGCCTGGCCAAAAGGGTACCTTGGCCAGGCGAAGATTGCTCTGAAGATAGGTATGGCGACATCAGGACACATTTGTATTCGTCGAGCCAATTAATAATGTTCGACTGGCAAGGTCGCTTGATGAGAGGCGCTTTGGCTCGACACTTTGCGTACAAATAGTGGCTGTCCGCCTGCCATCCTGGTCAGGCTCTGCAAATATCCCTCTTTTTCTCTTCTTCCTCTCCATCCTGCCTCTCCATCCTGCCTCTCCATCTTGCCTCTGCTCTGTATTTCCATTAGCCTCTACATACACGCACATTCGGTCCATGGACACCAGCATTGAGACAACAGCGTCGTTTGGCGCATTCATATCGAATGTTCTCGGATGGGTACGTTTACGTCGCTCCCACGACGTGGTAGGAGGTCCTACGATTGTGCTCTACTATCGCCTCCCTACCATCCCCTTCTCCCTGCTCTGGCACAATTGCATGCTACCCATGTTGTTTGTTTGTTTGTCTCCTTTCATGATACTCGTGGTGTATGTGGTAACGGTTTCCAGAATCCAGCACTGCCACAGCCCAGGAGGGAGCTCATTCGTGGGCACTGGTGCAGGAGGACAGAGGTGGTTTTCCCTTTTTGGCTATTAGTGACTTTGTTGCCAGTACAATTGCCCGACTTCGTGCATTGCCCACACTAATTCCACCCAGAACCCATTGTTTGCTATAGACGTACTTTCTCGCGTGGTCTGTGAGCTTCTATCCGCAGATTATTCTAAACTACCGGCGCAAAAGGCAAGTACCTGTCTCATCCAAAATAATGTCCCCCAGGGCTACTGCGCGTTCATCTCCGGTGGGATTAATATCTATATATTGCCAATTCATGTAGTGTCGAGGGGCTGTCAATAGACTTTTTAGTATACAACGTGTACGGGTTCGCCTGCTATGCCACCTTCAACACAGCCTTCTTCTTTAGCGATTCGATCCGCGACGAGTACGCAAAGCGCAACGACGGCCACCAGAACCTGGTGCGGTTCAACGACCTGTTTTTCTCTTATCACGCGCTGGTGCTGAGCATCGTGACCTTTGTCCAATCGTTCCTCTACAAGGTAAAGGTCGAAATAGCGTGCCTGCATGGATGTCCTACTGCAAATGCAAATTCTGATGACGATGTCATTATATTAAAGCGTCACGCACTTCCCCCTCCACCCCCCAAACTAGAGAGCCCCCGCGCAAGAGTCGTCGCTGGTCGTGCGTGTCTTCTTCTTCGCCACCGCCACAGGGGCCGTGCTACTGTCGCTGTTCTCGACAGCATACAACGTTGTGTACTTTTTGAGCTTCATCAAGCTCGGGTGCAGCCTGATAAAGTACATTCCGCAGACATTCTTGAATTTCCGCCGCAAGTCGACCGTTGGCTGGTCGATCCACAACATCCTGCTGGACTTCACTGGCGGCGTGCTGTCGTTCACACAGCTGATTCTCGACGCGGCCAGGTCGGGCAATGTTGGCGAGGCGTTTGGCAACCCGGTCAAGCTGGGCATGGGTCTGGCCAGCATTGGGTTTGACGTTATCTTTATGACGCAGCACTACCTGCTGTACACCGATCGATATGACCCGCGCAACTTTGAGGCCCAGCTGCAGTTCCACAGCGACGGCACGCCGAACTACGGATCGGCTGACAACAGCGACGCCGAGTCTCGGTCTACTCTGTAATATCTCACATCACTTTTGTAATCCATTGCCAATCATCTACAATGTCTCGATAACATCCATTACCCATGGGTTAGGCCGTGATCTGCGAGTCGTACTTGGCGCGCAGCTCAACGACGCGCTGCGCAACATCCTTGCCAGCCATGTCGCTGAATCCAGGCGTGGCCACCAGCTCGGCCAGGAATGCCTCGATCAGCTTGGATCCGCTCGCCATCTGGGCCTTGGTGAATTCTGTCGCCTTGCTTCTTTGGCTCACTGTTGACCGACGAGAAATCCTCGAGCTCGGTCACCTTGCGCTTGGCAAGCTTGATCACCGACTCAGGGAACTGCGCCAGCTCTGCAACATGGATGCCGAAGCTCTGGTCGCACACGCCCTTGCCAATCTTGTACAGCAGCGTCAGCTTCGCGCTGGCCCGCTGTGCTGCCTCTTACGTGCCCGCTGCTGATCCTTGCCATGACATGGCGGTTATTCACAGCTGGGTACAGCTTCTCGAGCTCTGTCAGCTCGTGGAAATGGGTGGCAAAGAGACACTTGCTCCTGATCTCCTTGACAATGTGCTCCGAGATAGCCCATGCCAGGCCAAATCCGTCGTAGGTGCTGGTGCCACGACCCAGTTCATCGATAATCACCAGCGAGTTCTCGGTCGCCGTCTTCAGAATCGACGCGGTCTCGAGCATCTCAGCCATAAACGTCGACACGCCCTTGAGCTGTGCATCGCCCTGCACCCACACGCGCCAGAATGCAGTCGAAAATGCACAGCTGCGCCGAGTCGCACGGTACAAAACAGCCGACCTGCGCCATCAGCGCAATGACACCAATCTGGCGAATGTACGTGGACTTGCCACCCATGTTGGGTCCGGTGATGATGACAAACTCCGACTCGCCCTTAGTCATGCTGACATCGTTCGCGATAAAGCTGATCCCCTCCTGCACCTCCAGGCAAGGATGGCGAGCGGCAGCCAGCTCGACATTGCCACTTTCTGTCAGCACTGGCCGTGTATACGGGATCGGTGCTGTTGCTGATGCTTCGGCAAAGCTGGCAATGACATCAAGATGGGCAACAGTCGTGTTGAGCCGCTCCAACACTGGGCAGTACGACGCTGCAACCTTGATCACCTCCCTGACCAGTGCCGACTGAGCCTTGTCATAATCGGAGGAGAGGTCGCGATACATCCGGCTGGCATCACGCAGGGTAGGTGTCGTAAAGTACACGCCTGTCTTGAGCGTCGACAGCTCGAATGTACTTGGTCCCCTTGCGCAGCTTGGCTCCGTCAGTGCGCGAGACCTTTAGGCAGTGCCCAAACGTCGAGTGCTTCTCGAGCTTCAGCTTCTTGTTCATATCAAGCCCCAATGCACTGGCCACTCGGCTCTGCTCAGCGACGATTGTGTGCATCTCCTTCGCCATCTGCGCCTTGGTCTCCTGGAGCCCCTCGTCAAAGTCCGCCTTCAGCATGAACTCGTGCTGGTCCGCCATCTCCAGATCGACAGCAGTCTCGACCATGCCTTGGAATGACTCCAGGTCGTTTGCAATGGACACCAAATCGTTCAGGTAGTACTGGTCCACCAACTGGCCCGTTGTTGGCCAATACATCGCAGAGCGCAGGCAACGACACAACCACTTGGTACACGCGCACAATGTCCTGTAACGTAGCATACCCGCGCTGGAATCGGTTAGACAGACGTTTAAAGTCCGGCAGGCTGCGCAAGATTCACACTGCGCAGGGTCTCGCGACACTCGATGTTCATGAAGAACTGCTCGACCAAGCCAAGCCGGTCCTCAATATCCGTAATCGACAAAAGCGGCTGCTTGAGCCACTGCTTCAGCAGACGCTTTCCTTGTGAGGTCTTGCAGCGGTCGAGCAGTCCATACAGGCTCATGGTCTTGCTTGCCCCGTCCTGGGGCGACGGCATCAGGTTCAGTGCCTGGACCGCCGACGCATCAAGTTTCATGTACTGCGACAGGTTGTGTGTACTGATAGTGAAGTTGGCGTAGTTTGACTCGTCGACCAGGAGGTTGAGATAGCCGATGATGGCCGCCAGCGCGCCCATCGAGCGCTTCAGATCATACTCGGGCAGGCTCACAACCGGTGCCTGTGAGTTCACCAAACGCCCCAGATCCTGCTCGATATTGCTGACAGTGAACTTGCTCTTTTGCATGCTGGTGATCACAACCCCGCACCTGTCCAGCACGCTAACCAGTTTGCGACTCTCCAGACTCTGCGCCGCGCCAAGCTGCTCAATCAGGCATTCCTTGACATTGAGCTGGATCACCAAGGGATTCGAGGTTCGAATAGACATCATTATCGACAAACTCGCACACGCCGATACTGCGTTGCGCCGGATCCACAAACGCGACACCCACCTGCTCGCCTCTGACGCTGACGGCCATGACCAGCGGGACTGTCACCACCTCAGAGTTCCGGAACAGCATCTCCTCGACCTCCTGCAGGTTTCCGGGCGATGCGGTCTTTGACACGTTCCACGACCCCTGCCGGGAATCGCTGGCGTAGATCTCTACGCGCAGCTGGTAGTTGAGCAGCGCATCGCGCATAAAGCTCTCGGCGACCACGCGCGACATTGTGCAGCTGGGAAGGTTGCTGCCCAGCATCTTGAGTACTGAAGGCGTCTTATAAACCACAGTAGCCACATATTTGGCATCAGGCCCGTGGACGCTGTAGTAGTCGCCATTGGAGCGCTCAAATATGGCGGACCGTGTTCACCTTTTGCTCCAGTGTGCTAAAGAACCTGCAGAACCCTTGCTCCGACGACTTGTCCAGAGCCAGATCGGGGACGCTCTTCTTCCTTGGTCATTCCTCTGAATCAGTGAAAAAGGGGGGTTTAAATGCGAAAGAATTCGTTTTTGAAAAAACAGTGGAAAGCAGTGTAGAGAGCTGCGCGTCGAGGACGATGGGCAGGGCTAAGCCACGCTGCACGCGCGCAATTTGCGACTGTTTAGATATAATCAGATTGATCCTTTGTAATTAGAAGCAGGCTTCGTAGCTTGGGGCATTGTGAGCTCTGGATATTGGGCTGCTTCGTCACTCGACCCTCACAACGATCCTCGTTTCTTTTCTCATTGTACTCAAATTCAGCTGTTTGTAATAATGCGCAAACGACATCAATACCGCCAAAACCACGTCCAAGCCACCGTACAGGCCCTCGCCCGGCTGCCTCGGCTGCCTCGGCTGGCCCGAACAAGAAGAGCCACCAGCTGTCTCATCTGGCCTTGCCACTGGCTATCAGCCAGTCAGCATATACTGGCACCCGGAGCGTGTTCTGGTGCCAGTGTCCCGCCTAATGCAGCAATCGTAAAGTTTGCTGACAGAAATATCGTTCGGCTAGTGCACCATGAAGACGGCGAAACCATCCCTGACGTCGTAGACGGCGAGACAAAGGTAGTGGTGCCAGGCCTTTGCCCCTTCCATATGGTGGGTACCGAGGATACCGACCAGGCAGCATTGTGCGGGGGATTCCATACGCACATACACGAGCATAAGACGCTGGCTGTACAGGAGCCTATCACCAGGAGGGTCGCTGGTCTTGCGCTACAACCTGGTGACTGTGCCAATGCCAATCGACATCCTCATTAAATCGCCAGAGCTGCGGATGGTTTCGTTATACGTGTACCGCGACAAGATGTTCAATGGGTCATCTCCAAAACTCTACCAAAAGGTCGACCATGGTGTCGTGCTGGATCCTGGGTTTGACGGCAAGCATCACTTGGACCATTATCCGAATCCAACGTGCCGCCGGCTACTGCAACAGCATGCAATGGAGCCACTGTGGAAGTTGGAATGAGGAGTACATATATTCGCTCGAAGAGTGGACCCGAAGGATCGGCAGCTCCAATGTGTTTATGTACAGGACGCGAAACAAGGTGCCATTTCCTCCAGATAAGCGGTTTCATTCAGGCTCCGACTCGTTCAAGGTTGCATTTGGGTTCTGGACGGAGTTCCAGCAAGAGATGTGGAAGTACTTTTTGGAGAACGATACTGGCCCGTGTTACCTGGATGCTGTGTATCAACCATCCACCGACGGCTTCCAGATCTGGGCCCTGTTTTTTGAGCGCAACAGCCAGCCGGTGCCAGTCTCGTATCTGATAACCACCTGGCGTCTCAATGCAGCTGATCAGCGACTGGCTGCTTGACATCGTCCAGACCGTTCCAAACCTGCCAAAGAAGACGCTGTTCGCCAACATTTTCAAGCACCATTTGCTGCAGCAGGTGTTTGAGACGTGGAGAATCCGATACTCAAAGTATTACATTGCACAGGTGGTCCGCAAACAGGTTCTGCGCAAAAAGGGCTCCGCCAGCGATGAGCTGAAACAGGCGGCATGCTCGATCAACTCGAGCTTCTCAAAATCGCTCACCACTATATTGAAGCTGAGCAGCGATGCAGCATTCTGCATTTTCTCAGAAAACAGTCAGAAATGGCTACCACGTCCAGTCCAGAGACATGGCAGACTTCAACTACAGCGCTGACGCTGTGTGCCGCTGGCGGTTCCAGCTCTGGGTGGCAATGCTCAGTCGGCCAAACACTACGCGGATTGACTCGGTTCTGTACCACTTGGTCGACGTTATAGAGCCCCAAGTCAAGGTGGCGGATGGAGGATTCTGGCATGGAGGGTACTGGTGAGCCGTTCAGTCTTGACACAATCGAGAATGGCCATATCAATGACACTGGGCACCCGTACATGTCTCCGAGGAAGATCGATAGCAAGCTGTTCTATGTGCACCGGACATGACAACCTCCAGAGCAGGACCATCACCGATACCCGTCTCAATGTGTGCTACTGCGAGGTATTCATGCGGCGCGGGTTATGCGAGCACCTCATTTTCTGTGCACCCGACGACATCCACCACCCGCAACTACCAAAAGCTCTTGTGTGAGATTCCAGACGCATAGGCGCGGTTTAATGTCAATAAACAAAAATCATTATGCACTGAGGAACGCACCGACATCCCTGGCAGCCTTCCTTACTGCATCTGTCTGGCCCTTGATGCCCAAGATGACAATCATCTCGTCGCCCAGGATTCTGGCGCTGTCTTTGCACATGGGGAACTTGGCGGCCAGAATGCCAAACACGTTGATCAAACGAAGCTGCGCGTCCGCGTTGTTGGTAGATGTCAGGAACAGACTCGCTGGCGACAGAATCGTGAGTCCATCGTCATCGTCGCCCTTTTGTGTGGCAGCAATAGCCATGTTCATGTACACGTTCGACAGTGCAGTGACCAGGTTCTTGTTGGTCAGCGGTGTGCCACGAGTCGTCCAGCGCCTTCAGGATTTCGCTGCGTGATGCCCAGACTAGATCGATGCCCTCTGCATGTGCAAACGAATTGCCGATGGCACGGGCGCCCATCATCAGGTTGATTTCGTCCTCCTTGCTGAGCGCTGCCTGCGAGCTGGATAAGAGGGAAAAAATCCCAGTAGCGTCACCAACAATCTCCACAAACCCTTTGCCATCGACGTAACGCGAGAAGGCAGCCGGGGAGGATGCCACAACCAAGACGCAGCAAGTCCAGCCCTGGGAACCGCTTGTTCTTTGGCCACATCAGTACCGCTCTCAGCACAACGTCAACTGCCTCAGGCGACACAGCCTGGCCCGATACCACTGCAGCCTCAATAGTGCGGACTGCCTCGATCTGCGGCTCGGTCAACGCAGCGCTGTCGCCTGCATGGGTCAACAGCCCGTTGAACTCGGCAAACTTGTTGACGATCGCCGATGCGTTACCTTGTCCTGTTGATGATGTAGTCGCGCGGCGGAGCATAGCTAGAGAGCGCAGCTGCGGATGATCCGCCTGGGACATACCGGTTGCCGCCCGTGAACGGATCTCCCGAATGCCCACCGGCTGCCTGTCCGGACCCGCCAGGAATATACCGGTTGCCACCAGTGAACGGATCTCCCGACTGTGAGGCAGCCGCTGATCCTCCACCCGGCACATACCGGCTGCCACCAGTAAACGGATCAGCCACCTTGGTTTTGGTCGGTACCGATCTGCGCGCCATCAGTGTTTTTGATAATGAAGTCGACGACCTTGGTCAAGGAACTCCATGTTGAGCTGATTCCGCTCCAGGAACTTTTGTGCTGCCGAGTACACGTTCTCGGTAACATTGTAGGGAAGCTTCAGCGGTGGCGCGCCTTCCTGGATATCTACGTCGAACACGTAGTCATACTCTTTGCCGTCAAATACCTGCTTCTGACTCTGTCCAACAGCATCGACAACCTCGCCGACCTTGGACCATTTCTGTGACGACTGGATCCCACTGGTACGCCTCGACGACCGTGCCCTCCTTTGACCATGATCACCTGCTGGTCCTTGGTGCCAGGCTGGCCCAGGCGCTCCTTGCCGGGCAAGCTTGCTTGTGTCGAGCCCGCCCATCGTCTTCTTGTTCATGGCGAACGATGCATTTGCAGCTTCGAACTCTTTGGTCGCTTCTTCCGAAGCCTAGGCGTGTCGAGTCAGTGGAAAACACACGGACCAGGCCATCGCTGGTGCCGCAGGCAATATCGCCGATTTGGCAAGCCCACAACGGCCCACACCAGATGTCGACGGCACAAGAATTGTCTGTTCAACCCCACCGTTGCGCCATACCTTGACACACCGGTCTTCTCCGCCAGAAACGATGGCTCCGTCAGGGAGCACATCAATCGAGTAGACAAACGATGTGTGGTCATAGAGCTCGCTTAGACATGCGCCGTCAAGGCTCCATGTCCTAATTGCGCTGTCGTTGCCAGACGATACAAACCCGACCCCAGGCAGCACTGCCAGAGCGCGGACACAGTCGGTGTGACCCGTATAGACATGCTTCGATACACCGTCGACCCAGCGCCTAATTGTCTTATCCGCCGAACCAGTCAGAACCGACCCATCATCGAGTACCAGTACGCTCCACACGGCATGTGCATGTCCCTGCAATGTATGCTTCAGCACGCCGTTCTCCCACACCTTTGCCGTCTTGTCCCATGACCCAGAAACCAATGTCTTGCCGTCTTTGGAGGCTGCCAGGGCACAGACGTTGTCGGTGTGGCCAGTGAGCTTGGACACCGGCTGAGCCAGGTCTGTCGGGTCCCAGAGATTAATTTCCTTTATCGGCACCACCAGTAGCGATGAGGCCGCTGGGGCACTCAGCAGTGGCGGAGAGAACGGCGACCGAGTTGACGTAGCCAGTATGGCCGATGAACACGCTGTCCTCAGCAAAGTCGTGGGTAGTGGTGCGTTTCCAGAGGCGGCCGGTCTTGTCGCGGGAGGCAGAAATGAGCGCGTCGTTGCCTTGGGCGGCGAGAGCACGTACGTCTGACGAGTGTCCGCTCAGCGACGCCGAGAGCTTGAATATCATACTTTTGAATTGAACAGTTGAAATGAGTAAGCGAATTCCCAGCAGTAGAGAGCAGACCTGCCGCTGTCCAAGGCCTGCCTGTGCCTCAAGACACCCCCGCATTGCGTCACTAGCTCTGATCCATCACAGCGGACTAATCGTGATCAATCCCTGATTCGATCCCACCCAAAAGCCAATGTGTGCGAGTCAGGATGATACATGGCAAAGGCATGTGCTGCACCAACATGCGCAACACAGCTGTACTTTGCACTTCATAGGATGTCTACCGACCTAACTGGAATCGAGTGGCGCTTCACAGAATGGATCGGACCCAACGGCGGCCTGCGCCCCGACAATGTGCTTGAGTACTTTGGCCTGTCTCCGTTCTGGGACCCGTCAAGCAACAACGCAATCCTGCGAATGCAGACGCAGTTTAACGAGCTGCAGAACGCATCCCTGGACCTGCGGCAGATGACTGGCATAGAGTTTGCAGTCACATACCACGAAGCACCAGCACTGTTCATCATCACCAAGCAGCGGCGGTCCAACCCGACAAAGGTGACGCCAGTGTCGATCTACTATGTGGTGAATGGGAATGTCTACGAGGCGCCGTCGCTGTACTCGATTATCTCAACACGGATGCTGAGCAGTATCAAGCACGTAGAGGACGCGTTTGAGTTAGCCAACAAGCACGCAGAGTTTCATCCGTCGTACGGGTACTCGTGGAAGGAGACAGCAGAGCAGAAAGAGGCGCGCAAGGCCGAAATTAAAGAGTTCAAATAGCTTTTTATTGGAGATTTTTTGTTTTCAAAAGCAGGCAGGCGCCTGCCACACAGCCGAGATGAGATCAGGGCATGCAGCGGCCGACGAAGCGGGGGTACAGGCAGCAGTCCTCTGACAGTGAACCGGTTGGTGAGCCAGGCAAGGAACCGCTCGACGCCGAGGCCGAAACCGCCGTGCGGGCACGTGCCGTACTTGCGCTGGTCCAGGTACCAGTAGTAGGGAGCCGGGTCCAGGCCCTCGCGCTTGTAGGCAGCAAGCAGCGTGTCGTAGTCCCAGATACGCATGGATCCGCCGACGATCTCGCCGACACCCGGCATCAGCAGGTCAACAGACTCGGTGACGCGCGGGTCCTCCTCGGTGGGCGGCATGTAGAAGGCCTTGATGGGGCCAGGGAAGTGCGTGAGCAGAATAGGTTTGCCGATGGTGTCGGTCATGAAGCGCTCGGGCGACTCGGGGATGTCGTCACCGAAACTCAAAGTCCTTGCCATCCTCCTCGCGCTTGATGCCGCGCTCGTTGAGCCACTTGATGGCATCCTCGTAGCGCATGCGCAGGAACGGCTCGTCGGTGATGGGCTTGAAGCCCGGGTTGAGCTCCTCAATCATGGCGCGCGTCTCCGGCTCGGCCCACACGCGGTTCACGACGTCCTTGACCATGTTCTCGATACCGTCGAGCAGGTCGGTGAACGAGATGAACGGGATCTCAGCCTCACAGTGCGAGTACTCCGAAAGGTGGCGGCGCGTGTTGGACTTTTCGGCGCGGTACGACTCGGAGATTGTGTACACAGCACCCATCGACGGCAGGCATGTCTCCAGGTACAGCTGCGACGACTGCGTCAGGTACGCGTTCTCGCCGTAGTAGTTGAATGAGAACAGTGTCGAGCCCCCCTCAACCTGCGTCTGGACCATGCACGGCGGCGTCACCTCGTAGTAGCCAGCGCTGTCAAAGTGGTCGCGGAACGCGCGCATCACACGCGACCGCACCTTCAGCACCGATGACGCCGTGTCGCCGCGGATCACCAGGTGCCGCTGGTGGTACTTGATCGACGGATCGGACTCCGAGTTCAGGATGTTCGTCACTGCATCGTCGCCGCCCGGCGCCTTGCTGACAACCTCCCAGTAGTCAACGATCAGCTCGTGGCCGCCCGGAGCCGTCTTGCCCTCAGGCACCTCCTTCAGCTCACCGTACAGCGCAACCGTCGACTCGAGCGTTAGAGTAAGCGCATCGTACGTGTGGCACAGGCGGTTGGTCAGCACACACTGCAGGAAACCACTGCCGTCACGCAGCACAATGAACATCATGTCCTTGCCCTGCACGCGCAGCCGGTTGACCCACCCAAACACCTTGACACGCGTGTTGCGGTTGGCGGCGCCGTCCCGGATCTTGATCTGCTTGGCGGCCGGCAGAGACGCGTCCTCGGTGAGCACAATCTTCTTGCTCTCATCCAGCTTGCGCTGCTCCTCGGCCTGCTTGGCAGCAGCCTGCTCCGACTCCTTGGCGGCCTGCTCGGCCTGCTTCTTCGCCTTCTTGATGTTGAGGTCATGCGTCTTCTTGGCCTTCTTCAGCGCAGATGCAGTGATCTCGGCATACTCGTCGCTGCCAGCCTTCTTCACCTGGACCTTGAAGGACGCCTGCTTCTCAGCAGGCATGCCGGCGATCGCTGCAACAGCCGCCACAGCGGTCTTGAACGGCGCGGTCTGAACTCCGCTACCAGTCTCGTCGGAGCCGGCGGCCTCGTCGACAAACAAAACTAGAAATGTGTCGTTAGCACCGTGTTCGATTTACAGGCGAATTTCAAAGGAGCGATGCTTACAGTTTTCGTTAAGGCTCATTTCCTGTGTCTTGGAAGCGATTTCGTCCGCGGACATTTCTAGCGATTTAGAAAAATAAAAAAGTCTTCTGTGGGAGAATACGAAGAGAAAAGAAGAGAAAAGAACCGTTGACTCGCCGCTTTTAGGGGCGCATTTATGCGCGCTGGAAAAATTTGCTCAAAGCCCACGCTGTTTTGGCTGAGCTATATGCAATCAGGGATGGTGACTAACTTCATCGCCAGCTGCGAGTGCTCAAGCCGCAGTTCCTTGCTTCTGATATATCATGTGATGTATTCGTTGTTCGGTGTTTCATAATATTGTCAATGACCTAAGCCGCTCGCTGATGGGCAACGATAAGCCAGGAAGGAAAACAGGCTCTAAATCTTACAGGGACTTGGGCGGCTGGAAGTTCGGGTCGTCGTTGTTCTACACAGACCAGAAAAGCAAATTAGCTGCAGGTATCTGCGCTTAAACGCTATATGATCTAGATATATGGATGTAGTCCCTTACCTTGAACTGCTTCGACCACATCATCGACGGGGTCCACACGCGAGGGTAGATGGTGCGCTCCTACAAAACATGCATGCAAGCAAACAATTAGCGTGGTACATTCTCTGAAGGAGTGCAGCAGTGCTACAGCTGTGGCACTTACCTCGAGCTCAGCCGACTTCTTGAACACGAACGCAACGACTGCCGCCGCACCCAGACCAACAATGACCGTGTTGCGCTTCCACGACTTGGGCTGCGCCCACCAGCCACCGGCCGGAGACCACACCTGCTTCGGATAAGGCTTCTGAGGAGTTCCACCCTACAAATGTAAATTTGAACACCGGCGACTTCAGCATCCACGCAATAGCGACTGCTCCGGACTCGAATTGATCTACCTTCAACGTACCATTGTATATAATTGTGAATGAGGTTTCTTTTTCTGAAATTGACAGTGCTGGAAAAGGTGCAGAATTCGCCCTGGCGTGCTCACAGCGCTAACTCTGGGCTCGTTTATCTCGACAGATGCTGCCCATCGCTGATCCAGATCTGATCCGATGATTTTACTATTTATGGTATGATAGTGTGAACAGCCTAAAGTAGAAAAACAATGTGTATAAACGTTTGCCCCTTGGGTCCCTCAGTAGTGGCACACTGGCGGGAATGCCCGCGTGGTCAACGGATACGGCAGCCATGACCGATCCAATGAGTCCAAAAATGACCACTCTGGGGATGACTCTGTCTTGAGACACCAAAAGAACCACCCTGCCCCGCCCTTCTCGTACGCATCCAGCTGTGCCTCGGCAAACCTACGCCGGGCCTCGTTCTCTCTGCCCCCCAGCGCTGCCGTCGGAAGCGCCAGTGACCACTCGCCAACGATTATCGGGAACATGGTCGCGTTCGACTGCAGGTCACGCCCATTGCTGCACACCAGACTCAGATGTCTCTCCAAGGGCCAGTCGTCGATATTGCGGTCGAACACATGGTACAGGTGCGCATCGAGCCATGTATCGGTATGGTACGAGTTCCAGTCCCTGGGGAAGCGCCCGTGCCACCAACTGAACTCCTTGAACCCGCGGTCGATGATGGAAATAACGGGCGGCGTCTTGTTCAGCCCATTGGTTATCAGCGAGTGCGCACCCGTGTTGTACTCCCACAGCTGCGAGAAGTCAAGCGCATCAATCATCGGCTCATTCAGCACATCGACTGCATCGACTGTCGCCAGCAGCACCGGGTCTTTGGAGATATACCGCAGCATGTTCAGCATCGCCTGCTTAGAGAGCCGGATGTTGTTTGGATCCCTGGTCCAGTTGATACCCTGGGTTGTCCCCGAGTTGTCGAAGCCATTCTGGCTACCCTGGCGCCGTGTGCATGTCTGGCACGACCTTGAGCCCGTACTTGTTGGCCCAGTACACCAGCTGCTTGAAATACGGCAGCCCGCCACCAACGAATCCCTCGTCAGTCTCGATAAACTCCCAGTGTCCAATAGGAATCCCGCAGATGAGTTATGCCGGAGCCTGCAAGCCGGCTGATCTCATCCTCGGAAACCCATGTATCCCAGTGTCGCTTCATCAGTGCCAGTGTGCGCTCCGGCCCGAGGTACTTGCAGAGCTGTAGGTAATCAGTAGGCTTGGGCTCAGGTAAGTTGGCAATCCATCGACGGCGTGATCCAGAACTCGGGCACCAGATACCCTCCTATATTGACGCCGCGCACAATCTTGCGACCATGGTAGATCATTGATGAGCTAGACGGCGGCTGCTGCCGGATATCTGATGCGACCTTTCCCGTTTTCCCTCCAGGCAGGATTGGCACTGCAGTTTCTGCTGGCGCAACCGACAGGTACTGGTGCTGCGCCTTCACACCACTATTGGAGGTATTTATTTCCTCGTGTAGATCTGGCTCCAGTGCCACCCGCTGTATCCTCTGTGCCATGACTTGCTCCTGGTCGATTTCTTCAGCCGTTCGCAGCTTCTCCCCCGAAACACTACTGCTCTGTGTGGCATGCTGCGCGTCCGCAACAGACTTACTGTTGCTTTCGTTTTTGGACGCACTGCTCTTCGTCTCCATCTACTGAATTATCGTGTGACGACGAAGCTGGACTTGGAGTTTGCAAAACCTGTTGCAAGATCTGGTTTGGTATTTCGGTCACAGCGGAAGACACGGCAGCAGGAATCAAGGCTGTGTGTGCGGCAACCGCAACCGGTGGTGAATCGGGGCCCTGAAAAAGCTCCTGTAGCCGAAAACCACATCTGGGTATATAAAGCCATCACCGGATACCTCGCCCAATGCAAAGCGTTGCAAGAACATACCTGCCACTAGGGCCAAGTTGCGGATGAAGCTGTGCCTTGACCGCATCGAGTCTATGAGAATGTAGCTATCAAAAATGTCTATGTGATGAAAAAGGTTTAGAAAGAAAACGTGAGAGACAAAATACAAGTCGTGTGCCAGACTAAATGGATGTCGGACTGATTGCTTGGATCGAGTAGAGGTGAAAGAAAATGTTTCGCAATCGGTCTCCAGACTATAGAATAAATGAATGTAATTAGTGGATAAACAGTTTCATGTTGTTCGACTCATCCAGATACTCGTCTGAACAAATATGAAATTCCAGCCATCTCCATACTCTTCGTTGTCCAGTGACCAAAGAGAGGGAGCGGGTGACCTTGTGGCCAGCCTTTCAATATACTGCGTGTGCAAGAACATGTCTTTGAATTTCAGAAAAAAGTGTAAACAAGTCAGAAATGAGCCCGATAAACCAGTGATGTGTCTGCCATGTTTCCTACTACCTTTTTGCCTTTGCGTTCAGTAACGTCCTTTTTCTATCGAAAAAATACCAACTAGTGAGACATAATTCAACAGTAGAGGTGTGGAATATGAACCAAGCTCATTTGACAAGCGTCCGATCTTATAAACAAACTATCGAGCAGGATGGCATCATGTCTGAATGAGAGCGTCCTGTCACCCATCAATCGCATATCGCAACCATGCATCGTAGATAAATGGGAGTATGGAGTCACTGATTGCACTGTCACTGTAGTGAAGGTACATTAAATTAATTGGCGTCGACAGGGGCTATCTATATGACGTTTAGGGAACCTGATGCACATCCCCTCCTCCTTCCTCTAGTTGGGGCACTCGTTAAGGGACCAGCCCACTGGCGGGTTCGGGATAATTCCAGCATTGGCTAGCTTGATGTAGTTCCACGCATCGGAAGACTCGGTCTTGAAGTTCCAGAACACCCAGCCGCTGGCCTTCTCGTACGCCTGGAACTGCGCTCTGGCGAGTCTGGCCAGCTGCTTCCTTCTTCTCGGGGGTCCATGTAGACATATCCTCTTGGCCGGCGCACGAGCCACCGCTGGCAATTGGCGTGCTGCGCAGGTAGGTGCCGTCCCAGCGGGAGCCGCGCTGGAAGCCGTTGAGCCAGCCAGCGCAGTCAGTCGTAGCCATGCTGAACTCGCCAACAATTGTTGGGGTGCGGTAGTTGAAGGGCGCAAGCCTGGCGCCATCGCTGCATAGCCTTCTCAACGTGCTGCTGGTCGTTGAGCTTGCAGCAGACCGTCATCAAAAACATGGTAGATGTGCGTGTCGAGGTAGACGTTGGTCCAGCTGGCGGGCACAAGATCGCCCCACTGCTCCTGGGGTAAAAAGGCATCGTGGAATACAAGTGAAACCTGCGGGGCAACGGCACGCACGCCTTGCATATGCCTGGTGGTAGAAGTCAATGAGGGTGCTCTTGGGAATCCCCCAGTTTGCTGGCTCGTTCAAAGCCTCAATGCTCTTAACAATGGGGAACTCGTTGGCGATCCTGGCCAGCTCAACCAGTCGAATCGACCGAGCGCTGGACATCACCGGTGTTCTTGGACCAGGAAATCTCGCCGCGACGGCCCGAGTTGTCGAAGCCGTTCTGGGAGCCTGGAGCGCCATGCAGGTCGAGCATGACCTCGATGCCGTAGTTGCTGGCCCAGCCAAGCACCTGTTTCAGATACGGGATCTGCCCTTGGATGTATGGCTCAGTGTAGACCGGCGACAGTGCCCAGTACCCGATCGGAATCCCGGATCGTGTTGATGCCTAGTGATGCGAGTTGGCTGATGTCGCTCTCCTGGACCCACGATCTCCAGTGCGCTATGCAGGCGACGGGTGCACTCGTCTTTGCCCAGCGTAGCGCAGTAAGACCATTCGTCATTGACTGGCGAGTTGGTGATGTTGGCCCACTGCGCAAACAGAGACGGCGTGATCCAGGGCTCGAGAACAAAGAGGCCACCGAGGTTGACACCGCGAATCGGGCCATTGTACTCCCGAGACGCCAGTGGCGTCGCAGGCCGCATGAAGCGAGCAGTACGTGGCGCATGCTGCCACCGACGCAATAGCCGAGCTCCAAGCTTTTAAATGCATAATGAAAAATAGAAGGGTATACTACAGCAAAGGAGAGAAAAGTCAAGGGGATGCGAGAAGGATGAGCAAAAGACAGAGAATCTTATAGTCTATGCGCTGCTGTTTTTGTTGTTTTAATACAATCTTCAAACATCACGAACGCTAGAGGGATGCAGGCGAGTAGTCCGCGAGTCTGGGTCTCAATACGGGCTATTCTAACTTGAACATGCGGTAATATTGACAGCAATTCTATTTTTATAGCATTCCACAAATTTGTTGTGACCCTAATTGGTGATACCCCCCAAAAGGCGTTTTTTGGCAGCAAGGATATCGCAAGCTAGCTATTCGCAATTCAAATGGTAACTTACAGTGCTGGTTTAAATATAGACAGATATAAAGTGGGGAGGAGGAAGTATATGAGGGTCTAACGTGGTGGAAAGAGGGGTGGTGGAAAGAGAGAAGCAGGACCAGTAATGCGCTCAACAGGTGACTTTTGCAGCCTCTCTTATATACGGCAGACCGCCAATGCAAGGTGTACGCGCCTTGGGACCGTAATCAAAACAGCTTTTGAATGGAATCCTCAGACATTGTCGTCCGCCGGCGCACAAGGAACGTGATGCCACAGACTATTTTGGCCCCAACTACCTATTGCATTGTGCTCAGCGAAACATAGTTTAGCAGACTGAGTACAAATTCCTATGACCACCTTCCTTTCCGCTCTGTGTACTACGGGCTCTGGTCACTGCAGTGAGGGGGCGCAGACACACTATGCATGCTATTGAGCACTCCATGCCAAAAAGAGGTGAATAGTAAAATTAGAGCGAAAGGAAATGGTAAAGAAATTACACAGATCAGATGGGAGACAGGCATCACTCGTGGCACCATGGCGAGCTGATTCTTATGGACCAATGGCTGCCTTCGAGCGAGTACCTCGAGTACGTGCGGTTCGTTGGTGGCACTGGAATAAGTCCGTTTTGCGCCAGCTTTATGTAGTTCCAGTCGTCGGCCTCCTCGGTCTTGAAGTTCCAGAATGCCCAGCCGCTGCCAGCCTCATAGGCATCCATCTGGGCCTCCGCAAACTGTCTGAAGAAGGTGCGAGTGCTGCTGTCCCAGGCACCAATCGAGTTCTGGCCTGCGCAGGTGGCGCCTGGGTAAACTGGTCCGTTCATCTCCCAGTTCATTGTCCCATCCCAGCGCGCACCTTTGCCAAACCCATTGAGCCACCTGGCACAGTCGGTTGTGGCCAGAGACCACTCGCCAGTCACCGTCCACAGGTGGGTGTTGAATCTGCGCACATTGGCCGCATCCTGGCAGGTTGCTTGCAGATGGCCGTCACGGGACAGCGTGAGCCGGTCCTTGACAAAGACGTGGTAGGTGTGTGTGTCCAGAATGACATTGTCCCAGCCCTTGATGTTGAAGTCGTCCCACTTGTCGGGCGACATGAACGCATCGTGGATGACATAGAGTACATGAGGTGCGATCTCACGAATGGCGGTGTAGGCGCGCTTGTAAAAATCAATGATGCCCTGCTCGCTTAGACCCCAGATGGCAGGCTCATTGACAGCCTCGATCGCGTCGACGACACTCGGATACTTGTTTGCGATCCTTGCCAAGCCCTCGAGTGCCTCGATTGTCCGGTCAATGTTCTCCGAGTTGTCCTGCCAGTGGATGCCACCGAGTCTGCCCGAGTTGTCAAACCCATTCTGCGATCCCGGCGCACCGTGCAGGTCAAGAATTGCGTTAAGGTTGTACTTGCCAATCCATCCCAGGATGCGCTCCAAATATGGAGTCTGCCCCTGCACGTATGGCTCGTTGTCCTTGACGGTAAAAGCCCAGTATCCGATGGGAATGCGGATGTGGTTGAGTCCGAGTGCCGCCAGAGTCGAAATGTCATCCTCGACAACCCACTCGTTGTAGTGCTGCTTCAGGCGCCTCAAACACTCCTCCTTGCCCAATGCAGCGCAATATGTCCACTCGTCCACCACCGACAGGCTTGACCCCTGCCACTCCTGGAACAGCGACGGCCGGATCCACGGCTCAAGGACAAAGAGTCCGCCAAGGTTGACAGCGCGGATGGTGTCTCCGCCCCTGCCAAAGCGCTTGGCCTGACGGGGGACCGGCTTCGACAGAGCGGTGCTGCCCAAAAGAGACAGTAGAGTACAAACTGCCGCAGCTATCTTCATGATAAACAGCTATCAATGCAAAAAGACAGAGGTATTTGGTTAGTGGGAAGTCAAAAACCAAATGACAGTTAGGTGGGAGGGGACAGGGAGGGACAGGGAGAGGGATAGGAATCGGGTAACTCGGTATTAGTCATGTACGTCCATATACCGCTTATATTAAATCGTGATTGCTGGCGTGAATTGGGCCAAAAAGGACAACGACAATATTGGCCGGCGCTAACCACACGGAAAAACTAATGTAACCACGCAGAATGCGAGTCATCCCACCATAGAGACTCATGGCCATTGTCGGGCCGTGAAAAAAAAAGCGGAGGAGTGCGGGATGAGACGAGCATGGTCGGGCGGCTACTTTTGATCGCGCAGCTAATTTCTCCGTATTCCTCCTCAGTGAGGAATCTGGTGAGTGCTCGATGTCAAGCATGGCTGCATGTGTCGGAATGTGGGGAGGAGTAAGCTGAGATATTAAGATGGCACTGCCAGAGCACGGCTTGCATGGGCACAGTAAATTGATGAAAAGCATGAGCGAGAAACAGCGGCCATGGCACTAGCAGCAAGGCCAAGAGGAGGGTGGCGCAACAGAGCAGTTATTTAAGCGGGACATGTCGAGATAGATACCTTACAATCAAATACAGGTGAGAGATGTCGTGGTGAGGCTGGGGGCTGGTGAGGGCTGGTGAGAGTTGAGAGAAGGAAAACAGAGTACGGCCCTTCAGCTGCCGGCGTGGCAGCATTTGTGGTCTTTTAAACGGATACGACTCGGGCAGATTTCTCGAAGCTCGCACCCTGCCCACAGAGAAAAACAATTGTGAAATTTTGCTATTGCAGCAGTCGGAGCTGGCACTCCTATTGTCGAGTTTACTGCTCGGAGAGGATATTGTAGGCGTGATGTCCCTCATACCCTTCTGTCTCCGCCCCTTTGTAGTCGGCAGGTAGTTGGTTGTGGCCATCTTTTTCGCCCATCCTTATTTTTGCCTGGCACGGCTACTGCGCACGGGGCATATCATCCAGGCGTGACAAACATTGCAATTCTTCGCCACTGTCCTGTGCCATATAATCCGGAATCTCGACAAAAAAGGTGCATGACCATTGCCACGCACCCCGCCCGACCTGTGAAAAGAAGAGCATTTTATTCAGGCACCACTGCAGTCTGCATGTATGCTGGCAGCGACTTCCACCCATTCTAGGGAGGAGATCAACTCGTCGTCGTCCATTGGCGCCCTGTCGTGCTCCCACACGACAATCTCGCTGAATTCGCCTGCCGATGTGAGCTCGCGCTGTCCGACTGGTGTGGCAGGGGCCTCCTTGGCTTCAAATGCCAAGTCCTGTGGGCACTGGGAACTGACACGTTCGACAAGCACATGACCGGTAAATTGCTCAGGAACTTGGATCCGGCGCCCACACAGGCGGCGGCCGCGGAACGACGCTTCTACGATCACACGAGTTGCTTAAGCTAGCAGTTTAATATGTGTCAGATGGACGACATGTGGCCACACTCAAGGTGGGAGGCAGAAGCTAAATTGGAGGTTCGGTGTGGGTGCAACGCGCTTACCTTCTGTCTGATCGTTCCCCTTGCTCACCACAAAGTAGGCTTGCGTCTGTGCTGGGCCGCTATACTTTATTGAGCAAGGCAGCCAGGTCCATCCGCTTGATTTCGGCATTGCTGTCGTCGTGTCTGAGGTTCACGACGTCATAGGTGACACCTGCTGACATGGTGGATAATGGAAATCAGCGCTGAAGGCATAGAATAATCGAGATCGCTATTTTTGCCAATAATTTTTTTTGCTCGGGAGGCGTAGCGCCGATACCCCGTGTAAGACTATGGGGGATTGCCAGTGGCAATTCAGGATTCGGATATAAATGGCTGGTTCAGGGCATCGTGGATCCGCTTTGCTTTTAGATCGCCAATTCCTGGACATAACGTCAGCTCAGCGACACTCGCCTTAGCCAGCGCCTCCAGTGTGGAGAAATTTGACGACAGAGTGAGCACATCGGCCTTGGTGACCGAGCGAATATCAGTCAGTGTATTTGTCAGCCTGGCCATGTAGCTGTCCTCGATGCGCTCGCGGATCATATCAGGACGAGCGGTGCTCGAATGCCTTCAGTGTCTCGATGTACCTGCCAGCCTCATCAAGTGACCACGCCAGCAGGAGCGTCACGTCGCTTAGCGCAGCAGTGCGGTTGATCTCTCTCAGTGGAAGCTTGCAGTCTTCAGTGTCGACATGGACAAGCAGCACGCGCAGCCTGTGGCCCTTGCCGAGCTTCTCTATGCGCTTGGAAATGTACTCGGGATGCAGTCGGTGGTACTTGATGCTCAAATACAGAATGCAGGCGGATTGCCCGACCACGTAGTCCGCGGCAATGTTGCGAGAGTAGCTCCAGCGCACGTTTCGGATGCAGGCAAGAACCGGGTTTCCGCGCTGCAGCTCGTTGACCAGCACTGTGGTGTTTGCATACCGCGGTGACTGAGCTGGGCGAGGAGACGGTGTTTGCGCTGGAGCGGTGCGAGGGGGCGTGTGGCTAGCTGGCTGCGGCAGGCTGATAGTGGTGGCTACCCGGTTGGCTTCCTCCTGCGCCTTCTCAATTTCCTCCACCGTTGGGATGTGAAAGCGCCTGGTCTGCTGCTGCTTGTCAGGGGTCTCAGACATGATCAAGATAATAGGCTGGAAAATGACGTATGCGTAGAGGACAAATGTGGTCGAAAAGAGCATGCTCCTGCGCCCTCATTGCTGCGGAGATGTGCTATGCAAGCGGACGATGGTGATTATGGATTTGGCCTGGTGTATTATTGGATTTAGGCCAGCAGCAGCCTATAGAGCCTTCCTGGAGAACATATTCTCCCATGTACAGGGGTTCCAGGCAATGTGTCAATACCAAAAGCGCCATGTACGGTGCATCATGCGTCAAGTGGATGTAAGAAATTACGTGGTTATTATACTAAACAATAGTGTCGAATTAAATTTAACCCCTGAGGACAGCGACGTTAGGCTGGAGCTTATCGGAGGTATCTTCCGAGATCTCCCCGGAGGACTTCTCGTTGGCGGACAGACTCATGGTGCGGTCGGTCATCTTCTCGGTGATGCCAAGGTACAGCAGGTAGGCGATCAGGGCGGCCCAGTAGAGGCAGTACGAGATGATGGTGCCGTAGCTGGCAACGTTGTTCCAGCCGAGGATGGCGTTGAAGATCTTCCAGCCACCGCTGTTGGTGGTGAGCTCGGGGTTTCCGTAGTCAAGGAACCAGATGTTCTGCTTGACATTGATGACATCGCCGGCATCGGGATCAGCACCAGCGTACTTTGCAAAAGTGTAGTTCTCGAAGAAGTTGACGCCGCGGGACATCAGACCAGCAGCAATCAGATAGAGCAGCGCGGTCGAGGCAACGAAGAACCAGTGGAAGGTCATGGCATTGCCGCTGCGGTAGATCAGGTAGCCGATGATGATGCCGCAGATGAGGCCAACAACGACTGCCAGAGGGATGGACTTGGCCGTGGTGCTGATGGAGATGCCGGCGACGAACACAATGGCCTCGAGGCCCTCACGCAGCACGGTGAAGAAGGGCAGGTGGAAGAAAATGTACTTGCGCGAGAAGATCTTCCAGCTGATGAACCGTCCTCCAGCCCTTGTTGTCCGAGTCCTCCTGCAGCGCGGCGCCCAGCTTTGACTGCCACTTCTCCTGCATGCGGCCCGAACGCAGCATGCCGATGCCCATGGCGGTGATCATGATGACGGCGATAAGACAAAAGATTCCTTCCCACAAGTTTTCGGCCTTGCTCCACGCGTCGTTGGCGACCGTATACCAGAGAACAATGAAAGACGACACCGATGACGAGGCAGATGGCGAAACCAATGATAGCACCGATCCAGATTTGTTTTCGAAGCTTTTTAAGCGACTCGGGGTCGTTGGCGAACAGCCGCTTGACAAAGGCAAGCAGCACGGAGATGATCATGCCTGCCTCGAGCGTCTCGCGCAGGATGATGAAGAAGATGGCCACGTTGAAGACGTCTGCCATTGCTACTGCTGTGCGAAAATTAAGTGTTGGAGTGGAAAAGATAAAATAAAAAAGGCACTGGGGGTTGGATAGAACAAGCAAAGACAGGCTCCGGCTGGCGTGAAGGGGGCGTCCCTTTTTAAAACGGGCATTTGCAGAATCAGATGCGCAATGTAGGGGTGAGCGAGGGATGAAGTGGACGAGGGGGGTTGCAATGTCGGTCGGAATGGCCGACTCAGCGAAACAATCTCCCCCATGTCGGTCTTGCCACAATGAACTCTGGATAAGGTTGGGACAGCCAGCTGCTGCTTACTCGTCCGCCATCCGGCGCACATCCTTTTCGAAACAGACGCTACGGCTGAAGCTTCGACTCTGTGGGAGATAGGCTGGTGGAACGCGAGGATCATTAGCTGGAACAGAAAGGTCTCTCGGGAAATCCGAGACGCGTAGCTTCCACAGGCGAAGTCCGCCGCATGCAATGGAAGCAATTATTTGCGCATATCTGACCTGCGAAAAGTTATTGACCACAATGGGTTTTTCCTTTGGGACCCGATCGACGCCGGCCAGGAAGGGCGGGCAAATAGTGCTCAAGCGATTTGCTTGGGACAGGCGAGTTGTCTGGGAGAAACGAGAAGTTTTAGCAGCTCGTCCTTATCTGTTTGAGCGCCCATCCTCGACAGGTCGCTCAGCACAGCCACTGTGGTGGGGAGAGCCATGGTCAAGGACTATCCGATGGAGCCATTGCCTTAACGAGTCACGGAGCTGCTGCCTCGTTTTGGGGATGCTGCGATATCGCCCGGGCGAAGGCGACGCATTTTCGGCCGCCGACTGGGCGGGAGTGGGAACATGCCCAATTTGCGACTGTGCATGGGCAGGCCGCTTATCTGTTGGAAACGAACTGTCCTAGGAGGGATTGACCGTGCATCTGGGCGCGAATGACACTGTATATGGCCATTGTCTAACAAACCAGACCCAGGCAGGTCAGATATGAGCAGCACAATTAGCGCAGGGAGGTGGAGCGCAACACGATCTGACAATGCGAAGAAAAATTTTCTCCTGTGAGCGGCCGCGAGGGATGCGCCGGGCAATGAATTCCTGACGAGGAATGCCTCAGCGCTTGCACTTGCATGATAAGAGGGCCTTGGTCAGCCGAGGAGCATTCTACCATTGCCTCCCCCAAATGAAAAACCTTACTGGTTGTTCTGGAAAAAAAAAAAGGCATGGCTGTAAGCCTTGCACTCTGTCAGCTGCGATCGACGCAGTTGATGAGATACGTGCCCTCTCGGACTTGCCGCCAAAAACTATCAACCGCTTGTCTGTGCCCCCTTACCCATTCTGCTTCTGCTTCTGCTCCTGCTCGGGCAAACACGCACGCACTTGTCCGACAGGCGCTTTGAGCAGAACGGGGGGGGACAGTCTGTCCCCAGCTGCTTGCAGTTTGGCAACTTGCCGTTGCCTGGCGAAGGGGCAGGGGAGTTATAAAAATTGCGGCCTGCGAACGGGGGTCTTGTCTGATTCCTTCCCTTGGTTTATCTATTCGGCACTTGACGCCCTCGCCTAATTCTTTTCCTCCACTTTATTTTTTATTTCTTGGTTGTGGAAAAAACATTATATCATCTTACTGCTCCACATCGCTTTTCTTCAGACAAGTAATATACACACCTAATCATGCTCAAGTCTCTGATCGGTCTGGCCCTCGCGGCGACCGCAGCAGCCAAGGAGGTCACATACTACTGGGATGTCACCTATACGAAGGCGAACCCGGACGGGCTCTTTGAGCGCCAGGTGGATCGGTGTCAACGGTGTGTGGCCGCCGCCGCCGATCGAGGTCTCGCTCAACGACACGCTGGTGGTCGAGATGCGCAACTCGCTCAACGAGCTTACGACCCTGCATGCGCACGGGCTGTACCAGAACGGCACCAACTACTATGACGGACCCGACATGGTGACGCAGTGCGGAGTTCCGCCGGGTAGCAACATGACGTACCGGATTCCGATCCAGCAGACGGGCACGTACTGGATCCACTCGCACTGGTCGGCACAGTACATCGACGGCTTGCGGGCGCCCTTGATCATCAAAAATCCCGACGAGCCGCACGAGTACGACGAGGACATCACCCTGACATTCGAGGACTGGTACCATGACCAGTCGGCCGACCTGCTGCACGAGTTTTTGAACTGGAAGAACCCGGGCGGCGCCGAGCCTGTTCCCAACAGCGCGCTGATCGGCAGCGTGGGCGGGGCGACCAAGAAGGTGCTGGACTTCAAGCCCGGCAAGACGTACAGGATCCGTCTTATCAACATGTCGGCGCAGGCCATGTTCCATTTTTCGATCGATGGGCATGAGATGCAGATCATCGAGGTGGACGGCATTGATACTGAGCCCATGACCGTGGGCAATGTGATGCTGTCGGCGGCGCAGCGGACATCGGTGCTGGTGACGGCGCTGAACTCGACCGACAACAACTACCAGTTCCACGCAGACATGGACATCACCATGTTTGACAGCACGCCGCCCGGGCTCGACTACAACTCGACCGGCATCATCCAGTACGCGGCCGATGCGCCGATCAAGGAGGGCTACGAGGCCGACTGGTCGTTCTTTGACGACGCCACCCTGGTGCCATACAAGAAGGTGCCTGCGTTTGGCTTTGACGTGAACTACAACTTTGACGTGTGGTTCCTGCAGTTCACCGACTCGTTCAACCACTGGCACATTCAACAACAACACGTACGTGCAGCCCAAGGTGCCCACGCTGTTCACCGCGCTGTCGATGGGCGAGCTGGCCAACAACAAGACCGTCTATGGCCCGCAGACCAACGCCGAGGTGATCCAGAACATGCAGGAGGTGCAGTTTGTCATCAACAACTACGACGCAGGCACGCACCCGTTCCACCTCCACGGCCACCACTTCCAGATCGTCGGCCGTGGCGAGGCGCCCTACGACCCGACCAACAACCCGCGGCCCAAGACCCCGCCAATTATGCGCGACACCGTGACCATCCCCAGCATGGAGTACGTGGTGCTGCGGTTCCGCGCCGACAACCCGGGCGTCCATCTGATGCACTGCCATCTGCTGTTCCACGCGCTGTCTGGGCTCAACATGATCTTTATCGAGTCGCCGGATCTGATGCAGGCAGCAGCCTCGAGGTGCCGCAGCAGATCTACGACCACTGCGAGGCACGCGGCATCAAGACGTCGGGCAATGCTGCTGGCCGCGAGGGCTTTGACCTCACCGGTGCCCCGTACGGTCCGTTCGTGTACCCGCAGGGCTGGACCAAGAAGGCCAAGGGCGCGCTGGCCGGCTGTGTGATCTCGGCGCTGCTGGGCATCTGCACTATTTTCTGGTACGGCTGGACCTCGCAGAAGGCTTACAAGCCCGTGATGACCGTCGACCCGGCCGAGAACATCAACCTGCGTGACGAGAACGAGCGGATCGGCGAGGTTGCTCGTCTGTGAAAGCCCCTGTCTAATTAATTGCCTTTAATCCATTATTTCGTTGTGCAACAGCAGCAACAACAAAGAAAACCTGTTACATAATGAACCGCAGTGATGGCTTTCACATGTGATATGCATCGGTGGGGTACTCGGGGGCCGACGGTTCGCGGTCGGAGCCAGCAGAGCGGAGTTTGTTGCGCTTTCAGATGCAGCCCTTTTAGTTTAGGGGTATCCTTGTGCATTCCCAGGATACCAGGAGGCTATTGTTTGGGGAGGGGGGAACATGAAATGTTACTATAGCGATCGATGGCATGGATACGGTAAACGGTCCTAGGGCAGCGCCATTGGTTTTTTGGGGGACGCAAGGGAGGGCCAGCAAACCCCTGGACAGTCTACGCCTTTTTGTTGAAAGCAACTTTCAAGCACATTCAGCGGGGCCGGGGGCGTGAGCTGAGGGGTTGCGAGCTTCATGTGACAGTGTCAGGCGATAACATCTTCTAGACGGCCAGGGCTTCTAGACGACGCAATTAACGACAAAAGGCGGTCTCGCTAGCCGGAGAGGCCCATCGCCATGCATTCCCACATGATTGGAGGCACTCTGGCTCGGAGGAGAACAATTGCAGAGGGATGGGTTTCCCCGGGGCCATGGATGGGGGAGAATGTGCTGAGCAAGAAAAATTACCTGAGCGCAAGCGCATTGCAGAGGGGAAAAATCGCGGCAGATGTAGGATCGGGTCTTGGATAAAAAGGAGGCCAGTTTCCAGACCCTCGTCTGACTGATAAAGACTCTAGCCAATTTTTTTCTCTTTCCTTCCTCAAAAAAAGAGAAACACTTTTTATAACGTCCCCATTTTTACCCGTCCTCCTACTACGTAACGAACCTATAGCCTATAATGAAGTCACCAGTTTTTCCAGTCGGTTGAAATCGAAGGCACCGGTGGCGTGCACGAAACGCCAGTGCACCGGTACCCGACGGCGGTCAAGCAGCTGATGGAGTGCGCGCCACCGGGAATCCGCACGGTCTACGACGCGCTCCAATACCGTATCAGCCAGGAGCCCGACAAGAAGTCGCTGGGCAAGCGCGAGATCCAGGAGATAGTGACCAAGGACAAGGTGGTGCGGCGCACAGTCAACGGGCAGGCGACCGAGAGCACGAAGAAGTGGAGCTACTTTCGGCTGACAGACTACTCATGGATGACGTACCAGGAAATCGGCCAGCGGACCCGTGCGCTGGGCGCGGGCTTCCGGCATCTGGGGCTGGTGAAGGACTCGCGGGTGATGATCTATGCGCCGACGTCGCGCGAGTGGATGCTGTGCGCGCTGGCGTGCTATTCGCAGGGCATGCAGGTGGTGACGGCGTACGACACGCTGGGCGAGGAGGGCGTTCTGCATGCGATGAACCAGGCCAAGGTGGACCTGGTGCTCATGCATGTGGACCAGATGCCGGTGCTGGCCAATGTCATGGAGCAGGTCAAGACTGTCAAGCACATTGCGTTTTTCCACGACGCCTACGGCATGTCGGCCAAGGCCGAGGCGGCGCTGGGAAAGGTGCGGGGTGGGTTCGATGTGCACGCATTGGATGCGCTGGTGGCCATGGGCGAGCAGTTCCCGAGCGACCTGCATGTGGCCGAGCCCGAGGACACAGCGCTGGTGATGTACACCAGCGGCACCACGGGGCCGCCCAAGGGCGTGCTGATCTCGCACGGCGCGCTTATGTCGACCAGCGGCGCCATAGCCGAGCTGGTGCCCGACTACATAGACTTTGAGACGGACAAGGTGCTGTCGTATCTGCCGCTGTCGCATGTGCTGGCGTTTTTCGTCGAGACGTTCTGCATCTACTCGGGGCTGGGCGTGGGCTACGGATCGCCGCGCACACTGACAGAAGATAACGTTACGGATTGTTTGGGGGACATCCGCACGCTGCGCCCGGCAGTGATGCTGGGGGTGCCCCAAGTGTGGAACACAATCCGTGCTGGCATTTTGCGACAGGTCAGCTCCAAGCCCGTGCTCGTGCAGAAGCTCTTCCACGGCGCCGTGGCCCTCAAGACGTGGCTGCGCTCGTACAACCTGCCGACGGGCCTCCTGGACGCCGTCATCTTTAAGAAGACGCGCGAGGCAACCGGCGGCAATCTGAAGATTGTGATTACCGGCGGCGCGCCGATCAACCAGCACGTCCAGAAGCTGATCAACGCCGCCGTGTGCCCGATGATCCAGGGCTACGGCATGACGGAGATGAGCGGGCTGGCCACAGTGCAGGTGCCCGGCGACGTGACGCTGGCCAATATCGGTCACGCCGGTGCCGTCGTCCGAGTGCAAGCTGGTGGATGTGCCCGAGGCCAACTACTATGCGGCCAACAACGAGGGCGAGATCTGGCTGCGCGGGCCGTCCGTGTTCAAGGGCTACCTGGACGACGAGGAGGAGACCAGGAAGACGCTGACCGCCGACGGCTGGGTGATGACCGGCGACATCGGCCGCTGGCTGCCCAACGGCCGCCTGGCCATCATCGACCGCAAGAAGAACCTCGGTCAAGCTGGCCAACGGCGAGTACATTGCGCTGGAGGCGCTGGAGAGCGTCTACCGCAACAGCAAGTACGTCAGCAATCCTGTGCCTGTGCGCCGACTCACGCATGACGCAGCCCGTGGCGCTGGTCAACATCGACGCGGGCCAGATCGGCCACTGGGCCGACGAGGCCGGGATCCCGTACGCTGACGCTGCTGACGCAGCCCGCAACCCGCAGTTCCGGAAGCCTGGTGCTGGCCGATCTGCTGCACCACGCCAAGGTCAACGGATTGCTCAAGACCGAGTCAGCTGATGGACATCCGCATCGACCCCGAGCTGTGGACGCCCGAGAACGGCCTGCTGACCGCCGCGTCCAAGCTCAAGCGCGTCGACATCCAGAAGCACAACCAGAGCAACCTGGACGACATGCTCAAGATGCAGGACTGATTTTTTTTTTGTTTTTTGTTTCGTTCTACTTTTGGTCCCCTGGTCCACCCACGCGCTTTATTTTCGAAAAATATATTTCTTTTTTTAAGAATAGAACTGATTTGGGGGACCCTGCTTTGGCCCGGCCGACCTCTCCTTTGCTCTCTCCCCTCCCGCACCTCCTGTATACATATTTCCTATTCTTTTTATTTATTTCTGTACAAAAATGCCGTTCAGTGGCCCGGCCTCCGACCTGACTATAGACCTGGGCCCTGGCTCTTATGACGACACGACCGCGCTGACGCGCCACCACGGCCGGGTTCTGCTGACGCTGACAAAGCCAATGGCCGTGCATTCGGTGCAGCTCTTGCTCCTTGGCGAGGAGACAGTCAATTTGCGCGCCTGGATCCCGCTTAGCACCAACACGGCGTCGACGCCCATAGTGGACATACAAAGGGACCTGTACAGCGGCGGGACACTAGAGCCCGGCATGCACGTCTTCCCGTTCACACTGGTTCTGCCAGGCACGTTGCCGACGACGTTGGAGCGCGAGCTGTGCACAATAAAGTACCGTGTGCGTGCGGAAGTAGCCAAGGCGGCGTTTTTCTCATCGCCCAGCATTGCCCTGGCCAAGGAGGAGGAGGTCCTGGTGGTGCATAGGCGCAGGGCCAAGCGCCTGGCGAAGACAAAGTCGCTGGACCAGTCGGTGGGCTGTCCCCGACGGCACCTGCCATGTAAAGTTCGCGGGGTCCATCAGCAAGGACGTGGTCAGGCCGGGCAGCAAGGTCAAGATCTCGGTCGCCGCCCGCACATCGACAGTCGCAGTTTGGCCTGCGGCTGCTGGCGGTCAACTTTGCCGAGGCCGTGCAGTGCCACGTTCAGGTGCGCGGCGAGGAGCGGCTGACTACACAGATCACAAACCTGGTTGGCTCCCGGCTGGATGCGCTCGAGGGCGACCCGGTGATTGCAGCGGGGGCCGAGAACGACGACATGCGGACGGTCAGGAAAACCCGGTCGCGGCTCACGGATCTGCTGAAAGCCAGCACGCCGCCGCCCACGCCGCCGCAGATGCCCGGCAGCGTGGCCAATGGCAGCACCACCGGCCTGGCTCTTGGCGGGCGCGGGTCGGCGGGCACGCCCCGGGTGGTGCGGCAAATAAGGGCTACCCACACGCTCGAGGTCCCGCAGGGCCTGAGCCAGTTCGACGCCGAGTACATTTCGCGCGAGTACCGGCTGATGCTGGTCGCCGAGGTAGCGCCGATGGAGGACACGCCCGAGAACGCCGACTCGGTGCACATCAACGAGGCCCGGCTGGACATTTCGCCACGCAGCACCTTTGACAGCACGCGCAAGTCGTCCTCATCCATGGACCACCGGTCCCGCCAGAAATGGGCCGTCTCTGAGCAGTCCTCGGCCATGACAGGCTGGAAGATCGACGATTGTCGACACATTCAGCGTAGTCGATGCGTCGAAAAGCACCGCCGACATCATTGTCGGCCAGTACAGAATGCTGGGCTCCGACGACCCGGCCAATGCCACGCTGGGCAGCACATTGCACCAGCAGATGTCGCTGCCGCCGCCTCAGCACGTGCATCACCGGCGCACGAGCTCGGGGCTGGTGGGCTTTCTGAAGCGGGGATTCCGCAGCTCGTCGCCGCGGCCCGAGAGCGAGCCGTCGGGCAGCTCAAGGTCGGTCACGCCGGTCAATGGCGATGCTTCGTATTCCGAGCATATACAGCAGCTCCCCGGCATTCGGGCCGCGGTGGCCGCCACCCGGTCAATGCGGTCCAGCAGTGCGCCACACCACCCTCCACCCAGCGCCATATTCGGCCAGCCGAATGGCAGTAGCAAGGAGTGATATGTGCCAATACATTTGTGAAAGCGCAGCGATGGTAGTGTACCAATCAGGACATGCAGAGTCTGCAGTAAAAGGGATCTGGGAAATATGTCTTTGCATAGATTGCAGGTTGATGCAATTCAGGCAATCATGTGGATGCGTGGTCTATTTGAGAAACAACGGGCCGAAGGAAAAGAGGAAAAAAAAACAGAAATGCACGCTCCTGCTCTACAGGATCAGCACCGACACAAGCATTGCCAGCATGCATCCCTGCATCGACACAAGGCGCGACACTGCCCCGTTGCTTGGGCCGCTCGACGACGGACAGGTCCTTTGTGCTGTTGCCGTTGGTGTAGGTCGACGCGCTGGCGCCAGTCACCGAGGTGATAAACGACATGAAGTAGTTCACATGCGTGTAGAACGCCAGGCCGTCCGACAGCGCGCAGTCCGACGAGCCCGAGTTGGCCAGGTCCGTGCCCACGCTGGTCAGCGCAACAAAGTACAGCTGCCCGCCCTTCTCAATCACCGACGGCGAGCCCGAGTCGCCCTGGCACGAGTCCTTGCCGGGCGTCAGTGCGTTCACCGTGCACACCTCGGGCCCGCTGGCCGACTTGTACGTCGGGTTGGCCTGCGCGCACGTCCGCGGCTGGCCCACCTTCACGTCCACCGCCATCAGGGTCTTCGCCAGCGACGTCGCGTTGTTCGACGTCTTCCCCCAGCCCATCGTCGTCATCGTCATGTCGACCGGGATATCGCCCGGTGTACACCGGAATCGTCCGTCACCGTCGAGCTCAGCGTCCACCGGCTTTATCTGGATAATCGCAATGTCGTTTGTCACCAGCTTCGGGTTGTACTTTGGATGCACTGTAATGCTGACCGGTCGGTCCTGCTTCTGCAGCGTCCGTCGCATCTGCTCCGTATGCCACGTACACCTGCTCCGGCTCGGCTATCGTGTTGGTGTCCTCGTCCACCATGCAGTGCGCTGCCGTCACTACTGTGTCTGCTGCGATCAGCGTGCCGCCGCACAGGAACGTCTCGGTGCCTCGGATAATCGTCAGCCGCACTGCAAACGTGTATTTGCCCGCCGGCGCCTTGGTGCCGCCGATAATGCGCTCGTGCATGACCGGGAGGGATGCATCCCGCCGCACCACGCGAACAGTCCGGCGGTTCGGCGTCTGCCGTGTGATGATGCCCTGGTTGTTGGGGCTAGTGCCTGCCAGAGTACTAACGCCGGCCAATGCCGACGACGCACACAGCAGGGTCCCCAGGAACGAAAAAATCTTCATAATTACTGATACAGGAAAGAAGGGAAAAGAAAAGAAAAAACAAACAAAATCAACCGGGTTGTGCGGGACAGAGGAAACAAAGGTGGGCGTATATACGTAGTCTATAAAGGAAAGAAGGGGAGAGGGGAGGGAAAGGAGAAAACAGCAGGCGCAGACTTTTACAAGCTTGCTTTGTGCGAAAATACAAAAGGGCGCTGGTTTGCAATATGTCTGTGTGTTTTCGCCAGGAAGAGAGAGGCAATGACAATATCAAGAAAAGCAAAACAAATAGGTGCAGGAGGCAGACTGGCAGGACGGGCTAAGAGGTGATCCTTTCTAAGCGAAAAGCACTTGCAATCAGCGCCCAACGGTATTTATAGCGGCAGCAGCAGCGGCAGCAGCAATGGCAACTGATGCCCATTAGCGGACACTCAGGAACAAGCCCGGAACGGCTGGGCCAAATAAAATTGTGTCATACCCGCTTGCATTTCCACCTGTACAACCCGAAGACGTCTTGCTGCGATTCGCCAGAGGGGGGCTCTAGTTCCGCATGCCGGACTGCGCGTTACAAGAGACAACCCTTCCAATTTCCTCGCCAGAGCTGCGCTAGCACGGCTGCACCAGACAAAAAAACAGCTGTTTCTTGGCGCCAAGAGCGTGTCAGGAGGTGGGGGTGTCCTTCTCCAGCCGATTGGGCTCAGATCGCTGTCCCCCGAGGATCTCTGGATCATGCTGTGACTACTCATTTCGCGATTTTGGCCGCCTTGCTGCCAGCCACTTCCGGTCCCTCGGCCCGTCTGGCCAGCCCAGGCTGTTTCGCCGAGCGTCGACGGCACACGCATGTTTCTGTTAAGCTCGGGCGGTAGAGGAGATGGACCTTTCGCCTCCGCCCCGGTGTCTATCGGCCAGCCGATTTGCATGAACGGGGTCAGCGCAATAAACTTGCTTCGCGGAATCAGCCGATTTTTGTAGTCGCAGATAAAAAAGACCACTGATCTCGAGACTCTCCCCGCATCCATGCCGTCTGCGTCTTTTTTCCTCCCTCCGCTCTCCCTTGCCTTGAAGTTCAAGTATTAAATTACACTTCTGAATTTGCGTCCACTTTTTGTTTTCCTCCCCTTCACTCTGCATTTTCCGTGCATGTACGATCATTAAAGCAGAATATCCAGCCTGTTCTTTTTTCTCGTTTCGCGTGATATAATGGCAGACAACAGACTTGTGGCGGTGGTGACCGGCGCCAATAAGGGCATTGGCAAAGCAACAGTCCGCCTCCTGCTTCTACAGACCGAACGGCCAATGGTCATCTATCTGACGGCCCGGAACGTAGAGCGCGGCCAAGCCGCTTTCGATGACATAAAGCGCGAGCAGTCGCGGATACAAGCCGCATTCAGAAAACGAGCTGCGCTTCCACCAGCTCGATGTCTCAGACCTCGACAGCATACACACGTTTATCGATTACCTGTCATTAATACACGGCGCCCAGAGCGTCGACATCCTGATCAACAACGCCGGCGGAGTCGTGCGCGCCCACAACGGCAAGGGCGTGTCGCGCGTCTGCAACATGGAGACCGCCCACAAGATTGTCCACATGAATTACTTTACTGCTGTCAACACCACATCGCTACTTGCTGCCACATATGCGCCCTGGCGGCCGCATCATCTTCATGGTCTCGGCCCTTGGCCCACCTGGGCATTTTCTCGGGCGAGCTGCCAAAGGTCCTGGTGTCGGACGAACTCAACCTGAACGGTCTCCACATTATAGAAAACGGTTTCATCTCGTCGGTTGGCAAAGGCACGTATGCCGAATACGGATTCCCGCCCATGCCCTTTGCGGTCGCCAAGGCTGGCCTGATCGCTTACTCGCGCATGCTTGCCCGGATCTTTGCTCCCGATCCGCGCAATCTGTTCTTTGCTGCTGTCTGTCCCGGCTACTGCCAAACTGATATGACTGGGCCCTACGCGCCCCTGCAGCCCAGCCAAGGCGCGGAGACCCCGGCCTATCTGGCCACTGCAGACACTAAGCGCATTCAAAGGCACAATGGTTGCCTGTGGAAAAACAAGAAGCAGATAAAGTGGTAATTACATGCGTCCCGTCCATTCCTGTGCTAATTATTCTAGATCTCTTATCACTTTGGCTATTTGATTCATATACACATATCGTCGACTTTCCACTTGTGGACACCTGTCATTCAAAGTGAATGGCCGCATCTCCCGCTGTAGCAGGAGAATGGTTGGATCTCTGCCATCCGTCTAGCTTGCATTTCGGTTCTACAGGTGATAAGGAGGCTGGCAGGAAGGAGCTCAAACGTAAACAGTCCAAATTGCAAGGTATCCACAAACTGTGCCCTTTCCTGTGGATCCACAACCGTGACGTCTGGGCCGACAATCCGTCTCAAAATATCAGGGTACTCTGCAAATCGTGGCTCCCAGTGAAGGCTGAGGAGACCAATCTGATTTATGGCTCAGACTATCACTCGGGTTCATAGTCTGGAAAGTATATGTTTCTTCAATGTCTTCAAGAGGCAATGTGATGGTACAGATGTAGAGCACTGTTGCCATGCTACTTTCGCCTAGTTTAAGCAAGTGAGAAGAGGGATGAGGAGACATCTGTTTTTTAGATTAGTTTCGCAATCAGATTCTATATGGTATGTTCCACTGCTATGCCTAGTCTATATAAACGGCTGCGCACCTACAACGCTGGAGGTTCAATTGGACTTCCAGCTTATACTTGCTTGGTACATATATCTGGCTCTATTTATATACACCGCTTATTGTAAAACCTGCTTTCCACTTTTTTTTTTTGACCATACAGCAGAACCACCTTTAACAGCCATCAAACGACATCGGTTAGTTCAACCTGGTCAGTTTCTTTTCTTATCCTACTTCTCAGTGTATCGCCTTTATCTATGTCCTCTATGTAATCATCTCTGACGCCATATTCCAGGCCTCCTGCTACCTCGTCTAACCAGGAAAGCACGCTACCATGGATCAACCTCAGCGGCAAACTGGTGAAGAGAGCACTGCAAAACTACGATCGCATATGGAGAGGATCTATGTCAAGGAACCCAACGGTGTTGTCATATCAAACCCATCTGACGTGCGGCGTATCCGTTGGATCCCACTCATTCCCTAAAGGCGGCATCACTTTATGGCCATAGATATTTTTGACGAGCAAAACAGCCTTAGCGGACGTGATATCCCTTTTGTCAAAATGCGCAAAGGGCAGACTGGGCATTTCCTAAACTCTAGCCTATCTCGGCCGCAATGGAAGAAGCGATACTGGCGCATGAGATTGTTGCACTGAAGGAGAAGTGGAGATTCGCAGCTCGAGCATAGTAACAGTGACATGGTTGAGGTGAACTATTTCGGACGATTTTTGCTTTAGCCGCATTCAGGACTATTGGTGGCTTGGCGGTTGGCCAGAATTTCAGCTCTCTTAAATGCGAGTGGAAACTCGCTATGCCATCAATGCACGAGACGCAGACCACTATCTGGTAATCCGCGCAATATGGCCAGTGATGAAACACTTTCCTGTTCTCATTGCTTATCGGAAACCTGCAGGACGCAATACAATCGTATCAATGGACACGGTCTTTAAAATCGATTTCGCAAAGCAGGGAATGCATGGCTAATGGTGGTGAAAAAACCGGCGGAGCTTCTTCAGAGGTTCTTCGATACCGAAGACCCTAGAGTCCAAGATTCCATATAAATGGCTCCCAGATCCTGCGCAGAATCATTCATCTTTCACAGCTTGCTGGAGCTTGATCCCAATCTCGCTAGCACTAGCCGTGGGTTATGCACTTCCTGATGCTGCATCCGAGAATCCTATACAAGAGCAGTTGATGACGTGTGTTCAATCTTTTCGACCGACCACCTCATTACCTTTGCTGAAGCGCAAAAGTCGCTGTCTTTCATAGAAATATGCTCATAAGAGCCTCAACGCATACAGCCTATTGTCGTCATGCACAGCCCACATACTACAGGACCTTGTGTTATTGCACTGCAAGGCAATTTTCTCGCCATGCAAGAAACAATCTGGATTGAACTTGGAATGGCTCCTTCCACAACTTTTTTGGTCTTGAATGGCCCATGATGGCAGGACGTTCTTGCAGGGATTAAGCCCGCTGCAACTTCTTTGGCTTTAGTTATAGCATCTGCATCTGCGTAGATAGGGCCCTTGCTTGGATGTAGCTGCTTTCAATCACCTCTAATATTCTGAAAGATTACGATTTGTCGATTATATCGAGATATACTTATCTCGCCCTACGTGTTTTAGATGCGAATGCGTATCCAAAGATCATGGGCTATGAGAGGTACATGGTTGCCTCTCCTACAAATTTAGACAGTGATTGTCGAGTTTGCATTGCCAAGCAGTCAGCTTAGTATCATAGGTAACAAGTAGATCCAGGCCATACCTATATACAACTAGCGGAGCGTTGATATCTATATATTCAGCGTCCAGGTGACAATTAGCAATGGTGTTTATCAAAGGGGCCAAAGTCATCACGGCTTTGGAGTGTTGCAAAATAAAAAACTACATAGAAATACACTGTTTATTGCATACGTGGACCCAAGTTCTATGTCTTCACCTTGTTATAGGTCTAAAGCACACGGTGGGTGGTGTAGGGCAAAAGAAAAAAAGAAACGAGTAGCGAAAGATACCTTATATATGATTTTATGTGTAGCTTTCGTGTAGCGCGGATTCTGAATAAACTGTCAAGCGATAATATCTTAATCCAGAAATGTGCGAATGTTGTGAACGTATCAACAATAGAAAGTGACAGAGTCAAGGAATATATATTGATGAAGAAAGCTAAAGAGAAGTAGGAAGGGAGAGGTGATCGAAAAGGTTTCATACCATCGCTCAGGTGGCACAGCCAAAAAGAAGAAGAAAGAAAAAGAACAACAGGATAAAAAACTATGTAGTTCACAGGAATCGGATCTTGAGATTCTAACACAGCTCGCATCCCTTGCATCAACTGCTACACACGGTCGCGATAGACTGTGCAATGGCAAAACCTGGTCCTGGTCTCTGCGCAGCGACTGCTTCCGGTTTGGAGTCTTGCTCCCTTTGATCGTTCTGTCAGGTACAGCAGCCAGTTCGCCGCCCACCAGGCAACACCCGCCTGGTCGACAACCGTGCCACGATCGGTGCGGCCAGTACCCTGCTGTCGATTCTTCTGGCCGGACTCTCGCTCGGATGGCAGTTTTCTGCCAAAGCAACACATGAGAGGCTACTTTCTGGCGGCCTTGTACTAGCCATGCTGGCAATCGCAGTAGCATCAGTATTCTATTACATGGCTTTCATGCGCGCTGCCGATCGCATCTGGTACAGAGGGCTGTTTCCGCTGTTTTTGACCTGGGCTATTGGTATTCTACTCGCCCTGGACTTGCTTGAGGTCTACTTCTTGTTCTTTATACCTGAGAACAGTGACGCTCCGTTCTGGTTTGGTGCCTCGCAGCGTTCGCACTACTTGCTCTTGATTACAGTCACTAACACTGTCTTGTTTTTCTTCCATGGAGCCGCGCAGCACCGTGCAATTTTCCTCCGCCCACACCAACCCTGCACCGATGAGACCGAGGAATATGTGGATGCTGAGCCGGACAGAGACTTTGTCGAAACACCGTTGGCACAAACACGTGGAAAGAATGGCTCCCCTTCCCTGGTCAATACACCTGAGTATAGTGGTTCGTTGTTCGATACATTCACATTCTTGTGGGACAGCGACATATTCTATAAGGGCTCTCGTCGTCAGCTCGATTATGCGGATCTTTACAAACTGGATACGAGTGACACGGCGATTCCAAACTGGAGCCGCTATGCAAAGCACCGCAAACCAGGTCGGTCTCTGCTATTGTCGCTAATCCTGACGTTTGCCCCTCAGCTCCTCGCTCAGCTGCTGCTTTCTGTGGCTGTTGCAGTATTAAACTACTCTGGCCCGTTCTTCTTGCAGCGCATTCTGCAGTCGATCGAGATTATTGGCAATACTACTGTGGGTGGTACTCCAGCAAAATCGATCCGTAGTGCATATCTAGATGCATTCGGGCTGTTCGTCTTCACACTCCTAAATGTGCAGCTTGTTGACCAAGCGATGTGGATTGGCCGTCATATGGATTTCCGCATAAAGGGTCTCTTGGTTGGCGAGCTGTCTACCAAGACCTTGAACCGTCGTGCAAAGGGATCACTTGAAGGTGTCACAGGCGATGGCGACGAGGATAGCAGCGACAATGGGTTAGAGTCGGCGCAGGAAGCGACAAGTGGCAAAATAATGAATCTGCTCACCACAAATCTCAACCGTGTCACCAAGGTCGTCGCCTACCTGGATGACCTGTACACGCTGCCTCTGTCAGCAGTCATTGGTGTCATTTACATGTTCAAGCTGCTGGGATAGTCATCGCTCATCGGATTCTCGATCGTGATTCCGTATTACCCACTGACAAAGAAACTATTCTACTATTTGTCCGATCTTGAGGAGAAAACTTCGGAGCTGAGCGACGAGCATGTGGAAGCGATTACAGAGCTTCTGCAAGGAATCAAGGCTGTCAAGCTCTATGGCTGGGAGTCCCAGTTCCTCAAAAAGATCGACGCGCACCACGAAAAGCAGCTGGGTTCGATGTGGAGATGGCTACTCGGCTGGGCCAATGCATCCATCGTCACATCTCTGTCACCGATGATCGTCATGGTACTGATACTTGCATCATACACGGGCATATTCGGACATCAAATCAATGCTGAGATTGAATTTACAACGATCTCAGTGTTCCAGCTCCTGCGAATTTCACTGGAGCATTTCCCGGACCTTTTGAGCTGGGTCATTTCGGGCTATGTGTCGCTGAAACGTATCGATTCATACCTTGCGATGCCTCAGGCCCAGGACCTCGACAAGCGGATCTGTCGAGTAGATGGCAGTGGTGATGTGCTGGGATTTGTCAATGCCAGTCTAATCTGGGACACACATGGGAAGAACAACTTGACTAATTCAGCCGATGATACTAGGTATATGGTGAAGGTCGACAAGAACACACCACTGATATCAGACGCTTCGACCTATTCAGATGCTTCGTTGGACAGCCAGCAGGAACAGCCAGATAAGATTGCAATCAGGCTCAAGGACATCGATATTCGCTTCCCTGCTAATGAGCTATCCGTCATTGCTGGTCCGACGGGCAGTGGCAAGTCGTCATTGCTGTCAGCGCTCATTGGTGAGATGACATTGATCAGCGGGTCTATTCAGCTGCCAACTGTCAATGCTGACCAGAGCATCGCTTCGAACCAGGGCTATCAAGATGTTATCGAGCTGTCACGCGAACAGATGGCAATTCGCGATATTGGCCATGTCACGCAGGAGGCATGGCTGCGCAATGCCACCATCCGCGAGAACATCCTGTTTGGCGAGCCGTATGATCAGCAGCGCTACGAGGAGGTGCTGCGTGTCTATGCACTGAAGCCTGATCTGCGGATCCTGACTGCTGGTGACCAGACCAAGATTGGCAAGTGCGGCGTGACGCTGTCGGGTGGCCAGAAGCAGCGTGTTGCATTGGCGCGTGCTGTGTACTCGGACCGCAAGATCCTACTTATTGATGATTGTCTGTCGGCTGTCGATGCGCACACTGCTAAGCACATCCTGATGGAATGCCTGCTGAACAAGACATCGCTGATGCAGGGCCGCACTTGTGTCCTCGTCACCCACCACGTGTCGATGTGCCTTCCGTATGCGCAGTACATCGCGGTGATGCGCGAGGGCGAGATTGCACTCAAGGGCAATCCGCAGGAACTGCAAGCCCTGGGCAAGTTCTCTGCCACACTTGCTGAGCTCAACACTAAGGAAGACACCAAGTCTGACGATGGATCAAAGGGCAAGGAAGTTGATGGCATCGAAGATGATGGCAATGCCGAGCGGGCCAAGGCTGTCAATGACCCGACATCGGAAGACGAGTACAACAGCAAGAGTCTGCACAAACTGGTCGCTGACGGGGGCTTGGGTGCAGATATCAATCCGGTAAACCTTGAAGGAACTTTGGTTGAGGACGAGGAGCGTGAGACTGGACGGGTCAAAATGGAGGTTTGGGGCATATTCTTCTCGGCATGCAGTGGCTACTCATACTGGTTTGCTGTTCTTTTGTTAAACTCCCTGGCCAAAGTGGTTACAATTGTTCAAGACTACTGGATCTGTATCTGGGTAACGGCAAACAATATAGCATCTCCACATGTAGTTCTACCTGATTCCACTAACACAGTATCACCAGCAGCAAACACCAACATAATTGGCCAGCATACAGTATCGTTTTGGATTGGTATTTACCTGGCAATCGGTGTCATCGAAGTTTTTGCGCTGTTTATCAAGCTTGCCTATGCATATTCTGGACTGATCAAAGCCGCCAGAAATGTGCATGCAAAGCTGATCAGGTCAGTTGTCCATGCCACACCGCGCTTCTTTGATTCGTCACCATTCGGCCGGATCATTAACCGGTTCTCCCGTGACATGGAGTCTATTGGCACGAACACCCTAGATTCACTCATCTGGATGTTTGCAGACTTCACCTCTGCATTGGGTGTTATCGTCATCATCACTGCAGTTATGCCGCCATTCATTTTTGTTACTGTTGTCATCACAGTAGCATATGTGGTGATTGCCAAGTGTTACTTGGATTCAACCCGCGAGCTGAAGCGACTTGAGTCAAATGCCTCAGCGCCGCTGCTGTCACTGTTTGGCGAGCTGATACAGGGTGTATCATCAATCCGCGCATTTGGTCTCAAAAAGTACTACATCATGGAGGCTATTAACAGATCAGATGAGCTGAATCGCCCGTTCTACCTGACAATGGTGTCGAGCTGCTGGATGTCCATCCGACTTGATGCTGCAGGTGCAACAGTGTCATTCTTCTGTGCTTTCTTCATCTTGTGGAATGTCTGCAGCTTCGACGCCAGTCTTGCTGGATTTGCGTTGGTACATGCACTACAGTTTAAAGACTATATGCTGTTTGCCATCCGGAACTATGGTGACAACGAGCTGAACATGAACGGTGTTGAGCGGGTCAGCCAGTATCTAAAGCTTGACCAGGAGGCCAGTGCTCAGTCGACGCCCGAGAACAAGCCTGTCAGCAACTGGCCTAGGACTGGTGACCTTGAGGTTGAGGACCTGGTCGTCGAGTATGTGCCTAATGTCCCAGTGCTGCATAGCCTGAGCATGTCGATCAAGCACGGCGAGAAGATCGGTGTGGTTGGCTGCACTGGCGCTGGTAAATCTACGCTGTCGTTGGCATTCCTGCGGTTCATCGAGGCAGCCAAGGGCCGGATCATGCTCGATGGGGTTGACATCTCGAAGATTGGCCTGGAGGATCTCCGTCACAATGTCACGATCATTCCACAGGACCCAGTGCTGTTCAACGGCACTATTCGCTTCAACCTTGACCCGTTCAGCGAGTACCCTGATGAGATTGTGTGGGATGCGCTGCACCGTGCACATCTGGTGCGTGAGTATGGCAGCCAGACTGCTAGCACAGCAATCAGTGTGCTTGAAGGCAACGCCATCGATAGTTCGCTGGAGCACATGTCAGGCATATTCACTAGCCTGGAGGCCAAGATCAAGGAGAATGGCCAGAACCTGTCACTAGGTCAGCGTCAGCTAGTGGCACTGGCTCGCGCTCTGGTGCGCCGGTCACGACTGATCATCATGGATGAGGCAACAGCATCAGTTGATTTTGATACTGATGACCGTATCCAGCGCACGATCCGTGGCTCCGAGTTTGCCAACTCGACCCTGTTCTGCATTGCTCACCGGCTGCGCACCATCATTGACTATGACCGCGTGCTGGTACTGGACAAAGGCAAGGTTGCCGAGTTTGACACTCCGGCCAACCTGCTCAACAGGCAGGACGGCATCTTCCGCAGCATGTGCGAAAAGTCCGGCGAGTTTGAGTACCTTGCCGATGCTGCTAAGCGAGCCCAAGATCCCAAGCAGTTTTCTTAAAATTAGCATGATACAATATAGAGCCACAATTGCAGCTAGGGCTGCTCTCAGTGCTATCCTTATTTGTCATCGGTTCTTCAAGGTTTACTTATTCACCGTCACATTCGTACGTCGCTGACAGACTTGCATATCCTGGAACTTTATTGATACCATACTCATCCAGCATACTAATACCCGGGGAGATGTTGGGATGACCCTCGAGTATTGAGTCAGGTTCAGCAATGGGATCAACTGTAAGTCCACGATCAGACTGGCCTTCATGAACCCATCTGTAAACATCCCGATGCCGATCTGGGTATAATCTGAGGGCGTGATTGTTTCATGAGACAATGACCATGTTATTGGTCTATGGTGCTCAGTTTTGGTCGATGTATTCGGTCTTGAGCGTGCAGAATAATGCTCAGCCTCAATGTTAGGCACTTCTTGGCTATTCAGTGCACTATCCACTGATTCAGACATTTCGGCTGTCACTGGTACTGTTGTGTCTCGGGTACGATACACTTGGGTAGACAGCCTCCTGCAACTGTCTAGAACACGTTTACTTTTCAAGCACCTTTCCACGACGTATATTGAATGTATGAAATATGCTGTATGAAAGAAGGAAGGAGGAATCGCCAGGTGAAAGGGCAGGTGCCCATCTAAGTAGTGGCGCCGGTCGCCCAGAATAGTATGGCCAGCCATTGTGGCCTAAAGGTCTTGATCCATGGGTTCCTAAGATCATAAGGATTTGGAACCACAAGTACTATTGCTTCTGCCTGTGTGTCATCCAAATTCATCATCTCGTTTGCAGCTAGCACATGATATGTTGGCGTCCAGTGAGTCAGGCCTTGACTGCTTGGTCTCAACCCTGATCCACTGTCTGTTGGCGAACTAGGTGGCCCTCTTCTTGATCTGGATGATCCAAAGGAGCTACCGGGTGCTCCTGGTGCTCCTGGTGCTCCTGGTGCTCCTGGTGATCCGGGTCTGCTTGACGTATTGGTCTGTCACTATTCACCATCGTTGTCTTCCCAGTATCGCATCAAGTCAGTGCCGGCAAAGTTCTTTGCAAGCACATTTTCATGCCTGTCACAGAGCTTATAGACTATGCCTATTCTCTGGACTACTTTGTATGGACTGCGTTGGCGTTCTGGTGCTTGAGCAATGTTGTGTGCAATTGGGTGAGCACAGGTGGTCACCAGCTCACCGAGTAAGAAGTAGTGCAGCGCTACAATGGCATTCGCATGCAGTCTTGCTTATTACCATATGTGCTGTTGCTGCTGACATGCTCGCTGGTAAAGGTTATCAGCCAGCTCGTTAATCGTGTGCTGATTTCATTCGCTGAAGAACAGCTCAACTGGAGTATATCCAATTGTACTGTTGGGGGTGACAGCATTTGCAGCTACGATTCGGGCTGCATGATGCATCCATGAATTCTTGTGTGGATGCTGCAGCAAGAGCAGCCTCAGGGCACTTTTGAAGCATTTTACTGCAGTTTCGGCAATATTGGCTTGTAGATGGTATGTCGATGATGGGTTCCATGCAATGTCGTTACTCTGCAAAAAGTTGCAGAATTCAACACAGTCGAACTGGGGCCCATGATCTGAGGTCAAAATCCGGGGTCGGCCATATGCCTGGAACCAATTCATAGTGAGCACGTCGATGACATCACCTGCAGTAGTATTTGTCATCAGATAGACTTCAAAATACATACTTGCAGCATCGACAATGACCAATGCTTCACATTCAGGGTCGTTAGTTGGACCAACTATAAGCAGATCGATGTAGACTTGTTCCCGTGGAGTTGGCATCTGTGAAGGCACCATTACCATACTAGGCCATTGCTGAATCGCTGTCATCTGGCATTTGGTACAGCATTTGGTTACATCATTGACCAGTTTGGATAACTGGTGGTACCATATCCATCAGCGTACAAACCCATAGAGCCGCTTATACCATGGATGTGCCAATGCCATGTGTGCCACGGCTATGTACTCATGAGCTGCAGATTTTGTAAGTACTGGCGCTCATAGATCAGTACCACGTAGACTTCTGAGCTCAAAAAAATGGACAAGTACTCCATTTTGGAGTCCGTAATCAGCTGCTTCGTCCAAATACAGCTGGTCTGCATCCGTGCCTACTTGTGTTCGCTCTTCACACATACGCTGGATCATAAGGGGGAAATTGTCAGTGTGCTAGCATTCAAGTTATTCTGATGGATATGGCAGATCAGAAAGCACCATATATATGTGCTCCATTCTGGTACCAAGCTCTTCTTCATCCAGCTGCACACCTATAGCATGCCGCTTGTCATTGTCATCATCATTGTCATCATCGTCCTGCTGTATGCTTTGTGTGTTGGCTTGTGGCATGTTCCTGCTGTCATTGTCAGACATCTCATTATCATAGTCATCAGCTGAGAATTCGACGTCCTCAACCTCCCCATCTGAACTTGACCCTTCGTCATCGGTGTCTGTTCGAATGGCGCCAAAGACATAGTGGACTGGCTCGGTAATTTTCTGGTTATTTTCGCCAACTGAAAGTGCAATATTGTGTGACAGCCAATCTGCTATTTGTTGCTTGATACCCGACCGATGCTCCATCATTCAGTTTGTGATGCCCATGCTGGACAGCTCCATCCTGAAGTTTGAGAGATTGTCTGCATCGCTCTCTGTCTTGTGTCGGAATATGGCATATGCGGTAGTAGCATCTGTCTGAATCCGCAGGTTGGCACATCCATTGAGATACAGGTAAAAATACTTTGCTGCATCTACAATGGCCACATATTCTCGCTGTTGGACACTAGTTGATGGACTATATAGTTAGTCCTAAATCAGCAAGTCACTGTGAGGAAAATCCTGACTAGACAACCTACCAACTATGGGGGTCATTCCTGGACTTGTAAATTTTAGATATTTGCAATTTACTTAGTTAGATATTTGATTAATCGTTTTCAGAACAGTTTTTTGCTACTAATTATTTTTATCATGGTTAATATTAATTATTGTGTCCAGAATGTTTCTGTGCTTATAATTGATTTTAAAAATATAAATATTTTTTTTGCCATTTCACCCAAACCGCCATCGGCATCTTGGAAAAGTTTCAGTGAACATAATTTCCTTGTGGTTGCTTAGCCACATCTATTGAGATATTGACTTTTGTTGCCCAATGATAATTAACCCCAAATATGCAAAGTTTTTCTTTCTGGTTGAAATTATGTTCACTGAAACTTTTCCAAGATGCCGATGGCGGTTTGGGTGAAATTTTTATTTCACTGAAATTGCCAATAGTTTCAATATGCACAAATAATTGTTGTGCAGATAACTATCTCTGAATGACCTCCTTATTGAAGCATTTTCTATCAATGCAAAATTCTTACTGAAAATTCTTATTTTAAAAGATGTTTATGACATGTCAACATAGAAGTTCATTGACTCATCAATTTTAGCTTGAATCAGTCTATCTTGTAGTTCTCTCATTGAAGCCTCTAACTCTACTTTTTGTGGTAAACTACTTCCAACTTCAGCATGTGTTGATCTCTCCTGATTGTTGCTTGGGTAGTCAAAGTTAGATAGAACCCAAAGTGTGTGGTGATGTTCAACAGGAACTTTACTAGCTGCTAGGATCTTCTTCATATTGTAGAGTAAGCAACAGAGTTTAAACTGCACATTGTACACAGTTGTGTTTCTAATTCTCACAACTTCTCTATTTGATAGTCTCTTAAATGTGTTACCTAGTTCTCCAAATGTGCTCTCAACCATTGATCTAAATGACCCAAGTTTGCTATTATATTCTAACTCTGCCTCACTTAAGTTGGTTCCTCTTGGCTTTCTAACTGGTAAGCAAAAGTTATGCATTCCAAAATTTTCATTCTCTTCTGCTTCTGTTAACTCCTCCAGAATACTTTGAGGATAGCCACCATCTAACACAACACAATCTACTGGAGAGATATATTTCAATAGTGACATGTTCTTAATCATCTTAGAGTCTGGGTGGTTTCTACATTCCTCAGTTGGTGAAACAAGGACAACCATTCCATTCAAATCAATGCAAACTTGTGTTCTATATCCTGACTTCTTCAACTTGAAGGAATAAAGATTTGGTTTGTAAGCACCATTATGTAGTGCTCGTGAGTCATGTCCATCTAACATAAGAGTAATATGCTTAAACCCTTTAGGATTCTGAATCTTTGCTGAGATCACTCGTAGTTCTGGAGTGGAGAACATTGTGTGCAAGTAGTGTGAAAGCTTCTTGTTCAACTCACTTAACTCTGAGATATAGAACATATTATGAATCACTTGGTAGCTACTCTTAGGAATAAACCTTTCCATCTCATTGATTGATAGCCCAGCAACTAACTGGTACAAAATCAAGAGTCCTTTCTCAACATTTCTGTATGGACATGGATACTGCTTTCCACCAAACAACACATTTAAGAAGAAGAACACAGGGATCATTCCAAGTTGCTTAACAAGTGTATCTTTGATAAGCTTTATTTCTTTTACTTCATGAGCTTCACTCCTATAATACTTCTGCTGTTTATGCACTAACCAGTCGTCATCAAGAAATCTCCACTTTGTTGTGTAGAGCACATTCCACTCCTTCTCTCTTAATTCTTGTAATTGATTATCCATCAGTGTGAGGTAGTCATAAATAAAAATTTCAACTTTTATCAATTTTAGAAAATGGGATCATTCCAGAACTTCTTCAAGCAACATTTAGCTGAGATGTGTGAGGAAGAAAGAAATATGCTTACTCTGCTACTTATTCATGATTTTAATATGAGTGATGACCTAGCAATACAAGTGCGTAATTGGATCCAACATATTGCTACTGATTGTGAGGTAAGGGTTGAACATGTGTATGATGTTTGTCATACTTTCCATAGAGATATGGAGAGAATGGTTGCTTATTCTTTGTTTTAAAATGGCTGCTATTCAACTGTGATTGTTCTATATCCTATACTTATAACTCTTAAGTAGCTTTGTTGCTTTGTTTCTCCTAACTGTTGAGAAATTGCTTTTCCAATTGAACTATCTGCTGGTGTCCTGA